CCGAAAATAGGTGGAAGACCGTACTGAGCTCCTTGCCCTCGAGAATGTACCCATCTGCTCGTCCAACCTGGCCTGGTCGGCTCGAAATGACGGCATACAAACGACCAGCACCGAACTGCGTCTCGAGAAGGGTCGAGTTTGGCGTCCTTTTGCGCCTTCATACTTTTTCTTTGTCAATTCCGACTGTGGCTTTTCTCCTCTGTCGTCTCGGTGCAGCTGCCGCGCACCCTTTCTTGGTCGAGACGGGTTGACCGTACTCAGAGACTTTATGAGTTTATATATGGATGTACGAGTTGTAACTCACGTGGCTCTCGTACCATTGCCTGAATGGCGTGGCATCGACCTGGATGACGGCACCCTTAACGAGCGTGTTGGTACGGACGAGTTCGTTATTCGAGGCGTTGTAGTTGACGGAGATGATGCGAGTCTTGCAGGTCACGCTCTGATCCCCATGCATAGTTGCCTATCAAACATGAGCATTTACACGCATGAAGAAGAAAAAGAGAGGTCGAAGGAGGAAAAGGAAAAGAGAGGAGATGCACATACCAGAGTCCAATCGCAACGCCCTGTATTTTGTATTTCCACCACGCGTACGAACGGTGTGAATACGCTTTGCACCGAGTTTTGTGCTCGCGGGCTGACGGCCGAGCTCAAACTTTCTCTTCTTGCGGTAGTGTGGTCGGTGACCACCGTCGCGCGCCGCTTGTGAAGAAGAACGGGAAATACCTGAGATCCGTAGAGATGGATCAATCAGAGGGGAATAAGCAACACGTTAGCAGGCCACATTCAAATCCAGAACTTGCAAGATGAACGATGGGATGGGAAATGAGGACGTACCCATGATGAGATATCAGACAGCTACTCTGATTTACAGCAGCTGCGTATTATTGGGATTTTTATGGAGACGGCCAATGTCAAGGCGTGGTCGAGGTGTGCACAAACAAGCGCAAATACAAAAAGGTTTACGTCTCCCCTCTACTTTGATATCCCAGATTTCATACTTTTACAATACTATCTATATACTCTGATTGCACTTGGATTCGTGGATGGACAAATGCCAACGACAGAGTCTGAGAGCCCGACTTACTAACCCGAGATGTTGTACTAGTCCCTCTCTGCAATACCGGCGACGGTTTTCTCGAAAGCGACATTGTACTCTACGCATCAGTGTCACCGCCAGAGCTATTCCGACTTGCGTCTCCGGTTACGATTCGGGTCCGAGGATGTGACAGAGTGGGCGTTACACATGACCCAAGGCCCAACAAGCGGAATAGTTGCGTATCAAGCGGACGTAATAGATTCGAAATGGTGACCAAATGTCCAAAACCTTCAACCTTTTCAATGATCTCACAAATTTCCCTTTGCGTACGGAGATTCAGCAATGGCAGTTCCAAGGTAACTAATTCTGTCAGGTGTACCGAGCACGTATCAATACTTTAAATTGCCGTTCAAGATTTTGACGACACTGCACCTTGACTACGCCCATCCAGTGACGGACTACTGACAAGGGTACGTCCTAGACGGTCGCGGCGGTCCTCTACGCTGAAAATCTATCAAGCTTGGAGAATCTAAGCTCGGTTCCCGCATCAAATGGATGCCTTTTTCATCATGCTCGGAGCACGCAACACCGTACGACCAATCAAGTCTGTCGAATTTACTTCCACCGTGCCATTCCACTTCCTTAGCCTTATACCCGATATCCTCGCCGGAACGAATGTGATGAGACCATCCAATATTGAGCTGTCGTGGCGCGGGAATTTAGACGGTTTGATGGACATGAATATGTATATCCCATTCTCCCTTGATACCATTATGTTTGCTTATCATCGCACATAGTCCTGGTTGCAAGTTTTGTTATCTCTCCCTTCTACACTGCGCCCACCCGACCACCAACTCATCTATGCCTCAACCGAGCCAAACTTCCGTAGCCATCGCCGCACCCTTGCAAGATTCGAATTTACCGAAATTGAGCCAGTACCCAGTCGATGACCTCGAAGTACTAAGGACATGGGAAACGAGGGAGGAAGAGTGGAAGATCACCTCGAGCTCGATAGCGAACGGACGGGCGAAGACGTGCGTGTCTCCGTATACCTACTTTCCCAAGACTGGGCGTGCGGTTACGATCACCGCAGAGGGAATTAGGTATGCTCACCTATGCGGGCTTACACGATCATCCTTAGTTTGAGTAGATATGAAGACGTGTAGACATGTTCGAACGATGAACTTGCGTTTGAACAGAGTTCACTTTATACACCCTCGTTGAGAATACAGACATCTGGGCGAGGTCCACCCGTCTATCTCAATTACATCTTTGCTTATATCGCAATTTTGACAACAAGACTAACCCGGCAGCGACTCATTGACGATTCAGTTACAATGACGATATCGGCCCTCTGATCCCTGAAAGTACCATGGATATCTTTCTCGCTGGAGTAGCTTGCATAGAGCGGTATGACATAGTTCATAGAGGATATACTACATGTAGACATTCACCTTTACCCCCTTCGACGTCAGTATTTCACAGTCAGTCTGCGTTAAACCAGTACAGTATGCGAACGCTAGGTCCAATGTGCCGATTTTCCTTTTTTCTACCAAATTTATATTACCACCCTTCTTGAAAGAGCACTCCTCGAACCGCAGTCTTCACGCGGGGCAGCACCTCGATGAGAGATGCGACTGCACTCGCACATTTATATCTTGGGTAGTCTCCTTCCATACATCCAGAGTAAGGTGGACGATGCAAGGGAGAACAATCCGTATGACAGATATCACCTTCTCCGCCAAGATATCTAAATCGATTGATGAGGGATAAAGAGTGAGGTGGGATACCTTGGGGAGAGTCAACAGCGACAGGAGATGATGCTCGACCACGGGTATTGAAAGACGTTCGATACTCGGGAGTGTCACCGATGATGGAAGATATGCGATGGATTCGTTTTCGTGGTGGTATATATCCAATTCCACTAGTGACTCCCCGAGAGGACTAGTGAAGTTTGTGAAATATAGTCGAAGAATAGTGAGCTTGGGGAGAAGAGGAGTCAAATGCTCCTTCGTCCAGACATTGTGGACGTTCTAAATTGTGATACCTTTGGAGAGTTCCCCCCAGGTCATGATACGGAGCACCTTTGTTTTCATTCTGACGAAGCATCAGAGATTGAACAGGATAAATAGTGACTTATAGTAGGCCTCAAGACGTTGAAGTGATGTTTTGAGGGGGTGAAGATATGCCTCCCGGTCCAAGTTTACGCTGCAGCGCGGTAACACGGCCCTTTCCTTCTGAAAATTGGCCATGAAGAGAGCTCCCATCATTTTTATTTGCATCTATTCCACTCAGGAATACCGCTCCGCCCCAAGCTTCATACACAGACCGTTGGGTTCTGAAATTGTCTGAAGCCGTAACACCTCCGGTCCGTGCCGCATGTAAAAGAATGTTCCCAAGTGAAACCAGTTCCTGTTCTGCATGTATACTGGCATTGGTAAACGTGATAGCCTGCTCAAGCGCAGAGATGGCCGACTCGCAATGTGCCACCGTCTTCCTATCTTGCTCGATTATCCGAGAGATAGAAGCGAGATCATCTTGTTTAGACTTCCTGTGGATCTGGGATGCGCTCGTTGTACCGCTAGCAACTAACGACCTTGTATCAGAGCTGGATAATCAATCAGAATTTTGCCAGCTACCAAATCCAGACTGCGTACTCGAGTAGAATACCATCATTTGGGATTTGAGGATGCTCCATAGCAATCGTCAAGTTTACAAGATGGCGGTTGGGTTCAAATCTGTCCGCAATTAGATTATCAGTTTCAGGATTTTGTTCATACGACAATATCAATTGAAATCAATTCACATTCCATATTATACTAAACATAGATGTTCAACTTGCCAACTGTCGATGCCAGGACATCACACTGGCCCCGCGTCAAACCAGTACAGGAGGAGAGTGTGAGCTCTGCCAACGACTTGAGCCTACAGGTTGCGGAGAGCGAGAAAGAATTGGTATCGTCGAGTTTGGGTACAGTGGTGGCGAGCAGCTCCTCTGTGTCGATCTTTCCACTGTTGGCCTTCGCAATAAGACAAATGAGTGCAGGCCCGTTGAGATGGCATTGCTCAAAGCGGACATGCTGGAGCAACGACGACACACTAAGGATTTTCTCCAAGACATAGACACAGTCTATGGTTGATTGGATTGTCCACTCAATGAACTTTATCTCCCCTACTTTCTGAAGTTTGGGTAGAAGTGAAGTAATGAAAGATCCCACAAGGGTGGAATTCAAGTCTTCATTGACGCTTTGCAGTCCCGGTGAAGATATGACGACTGCTGTGCGCTGATTTGCTGGGTAAAGTGTTATACTCTTCAGGTTTGGCGTCATGATATGAGTGAGGAGCGGATATTCATGCGGAGTGATCGCAAGGTGCCGAAGGTGTGTGAGACAAGGCGCGGCACTGGATCCTAATTCCACAGTGTCAGAACCATTATGGCGAATATCCAGGTCTCTGATTTGAGAGTGGAGGAAGACCGAGATATCGAAAGGCTCAAAGCGATCGATTCGGAAACATAGGCGCTTCAAATTTGGCATTGATAGCGAATTGGAGCCAGTGAGCCAAATGTTTTCCAAAATGAGTTCTTCTACTGAGCTACAACTCTCCAGGAACCTCTTGAGGTTGCTTCCCCATCCGGTAGATGCGCCAGTCAGAGTGAGTGTCTTAATCGCATTGACCGGGGGAGTATAGATGTGAAAGTCGAAGGAAATGCCGACATGAAGATGTGTGGATAAGAAGCCTGTTAAGATGCTCGAAGGTACCGGTGCAAAGACTTCTTTCGTAGGCGTACCAATCCTTCCATTCGTAGGCGTACTAAACCCTGGAAAATGCCCGGGAGTACTGAATGCGTGAGCGTATGGATTGTGGAACTGTTGTACTTGATGACCCCATGCCGGATTAAAATGGCCGAAAAATGTGTAATGAAGGTCATTACTTGCAGCTGCTTGCTTCGCCCTCTCCAAATTGTCCAATACTGATTGTGGCCACAGCGTAGGTTTGTATATATCAAACCTTACCCATAGAGCGGGTGTTCCAAGGACAATTTGGCGCCATGAGCTACACACCTGGCCCAAGAGGAGTGGAGAAGGAAGGCTGTGATGAGCAGCCTCCAGGTCACGCTCCCTCACCCAGTAGTCAAAGACTTTGACCCAGATCTCTGTTGGAATCCGTCGCATGGCCGAAAGAATGCTTTTGATTCCATTTATAACCTCGCCCAAGGACTTGTGGTGAATCTCGAGCTGTTTGAGGTCATATTGGTGAAATTCCAGCTCCATGCGCCAATCTAGAGGCTCCTTCTTCATCTGTAGCGTCATTCTTTCCAAATTTTCGATCCTTTCGAGTAACTGTGTCGTCTGGTCAGGGAGAGACTTGAGCTCATCCAGTTGACTTGGCAATCCTATATATGAGATAACCGTGTGACATGTTTTAAAGGAATTGGATTCTTTTGTCGAGTCGATACTCGTACTCCCAGTGTCAAGGGATTTTATATTGTCGCATACTGTCTCTAGCGACCGAAGGCAAATCTGCATAGTAATTGTAACGTGATATGCACGCTCAATTGTATTCTCTAGATTAGATATGGCGGCTTCACTGGCACTGATGAGTTCACGCGTGGTTAAGATTCGTTTGTTGGCAGTCATAATTTCTCTTTTCTTGCCCGCCAGAAGCTTCATCAGGCGAGTCTGACTGCCATTAGTTGGAACACCGTTCCATTTATAACTATTGCAGAGATTAGACGTGGTATAGCGACTCGCGTGCTTACCAAGCTGGAATAAATGGCTTGCTTGTTGAGCAGTCGATGGACTTTTCGTCCTCCACCGGACAGAGTAATGCATGAACCGGAGACCTTGGTGAAAAAATAACGCTCTCCGCCATCTCAGTTGGAGACGGTGGTGCTGCCTCATAGTGTAAATCGATGTTCCCAAGTGTCTCGGCTAGTATAGAAACATTTTCGCGAGTTGGATTTTCTGGTACATTCACTGATGATGTGGCCGAAATTTTAGAGCTTGCTCCTTTTTTCTTCTTTGCCATGGATGAAGGCGGTCGTTGGAGCAGGTCGGGGTTAAGTGGGCGTGTGGAGCCTGGCCATCGATTGCCGGCTGGCGTCAAGCATGGATGCCATGATTCGCAATGCACGCAATTATCTTCCATGATACCCTCATGAACCGCAGTAACGGACAGCCGATGTTCACATGAGCCTCTGACTCGAGATAACCTACTGTCCATTGTCATAGCTATATTGATCCATCCAATGTTACCCTAGAACAGTAGAGCTCCTGGCACGGGGAAGTAGGGGGCCCCCCCAAGACCCAATTGCGATTTCTCCATCAGCAAAACGCCATGCATCCAAAAATAACATATACACGACAGGATAACGACAGCAAAGAAAAATAGATTATCGAACAAGATACCTGCGATTGCTATGAGGGTTCCATGTCAACGCACGGTCGGTGTTAGCCAGCGAATACAGGTCGTCCCAATCCTCTGCAGGCTCCTCCGCGCTACTAGCAGCTTCAAGCTCATTCTCGAACAATCCCAGCTCCAACGGTGGCATTGAGCTTCCCCTGACGGCCTGGCGAGAGGACTTTGGAGTCGGCGGGGAACGACATTCTCCAGTGGTAAGCGACGTTGTTCTTCCGGTTCGCCTCTTCAGCTCTATAACGAGGTCTCGACAGCGTATGCGAACATCTGTAAAAGGCGTAGAGACCCCGGTCGTCGCTTCGTAATGTCGCAATTTGTCACGCGCACGCCTGGAGCCAGGAGGGAGCTGGACGCAGCCAAATCCAGAAGACAAGTGCTCTTCGAGAATGGAAAACGAGTTTGACCGTGGGCGAGCAGGGCGTACGACCGGGGACTTCACCGTTGCGTCCGGCCCAAACATCGGACTGGGGACCCTAGCGTTGTGATAGTTGTACAAGGGCTGTGTTTCGAACGGTGGCGATGGTACGCTACGCAACTTGCGGCCGGATCCCAAACAGCGAAAAGGTGCACCAAGGTCGAAAGAGAGCAGTGGCCGAGCAGAGGGAAAGAAAAGAAAGACTGAGATTCATCGTATAGTACAGAAGGCTAGAAACATACCTCCTCCCGTCGTCGTTGCTTTGGTAGCCGGTCCTCCACATTAGATCCTCTGGAAAGCTCGTTTATAGAAGCAGCCGGGGCGATTATTTGATGCTTAGTAGATGAAGGTATGAGTTGGACGCAAAGCGCTGGCCGGATGCCAATTCGCCATCGTCCTCTGAGTAGTGGTCCGTCAACGTATTGAGAGCAAGCTCAACTTGACGCTCCTCTTCGTCGAAATCGTCACGCCATTCAATATCATGAGCCACGGTAAGGTCAGGTGTCCCACTTCGGCCGTGGAAAGCGTGACCTCTTCCTCTCCCGAGTCATACAGCGGGACGCTGACAATCGACTTGGACCGACGAGTGTTCGTCACAGTTTGAGGCGGCAGATCTTGTGACTCTGGGCGCTTCCATGGTCTTGCTTTGGTCCAAGTCGCCTCCTCCACGATGGAAGGCTGCGTGGTGGTCGATGCATCATCATCATGGGTTTGGGTCACATGAACGTGACTACGCTGAGGACCCAAATATGTCGGCTGCAGGCGCGAGATGACAATGGAAGTTGGTTCTATCCGTGACAACGAGCTGGCCTTTGGCGAGACGTTGAAGACTTTGTTGGGCTGTGAGGTAGATGCGGATTGAGTCCGTGGACGTTGATATAAGCTGAGCTTGGACAGCATTTCCTTTGAATACGCCGTTGGGGTTCTCGTTGATTCCGAACAGGCGTGTTGGGTGGCGGCGGCAGCCTTCGGGAGAACAAGTCTCCCGCGAGGGTTGTTGGATAGGGAAAAAGGGTTCCTCTGCAATATCGGTAGCAGGGTCAACCTTTCTTCGTTCCACTGCAAAGCTCTGCGGGTTTCCGGACCGCCACAATCCAAAGCTCCGACGAACGAGCCCCTGGATAGGCTCAATTTCGTCTTCGCCATCGGTATCGGTGCCTCTGCGCCGTTTGGAACCCAGCGTAGGCGAACGCTTCCTAACGAAATGGTGCAATTCCTCGTTCTGGTTGGAACCATCATGGTCACGGCGGGGCATCCATGCAAGAAACGGCCGCGGCTCGTCATCGAGGGACATTGCATTCGTATTCGACTCGTCCTCTTCCACCTCTTCCACATCGGAAATCTCTTCTCGGAGAACCATTACGGGCCCTCGTAGTTTTTTGGCCGCATACATGGCCGGGTTCGGCTGGAAGCTGTATAATTTCGGGGGCGGAGGTGATGGTGATGGTGAAGGTGAGACGCATGCCGTCGAAGAGGGAGATGCCCGCGCGAGGCGTGTCCAAAATCAAAGATCAAATCATCACTATCCTCCGCAGACGATTCTTCAGCGATCTTCAGCATCTCGCGCACGTGAAGCGCCTTGTGCGCCCTCGGGTCGCGGATACTTGCGCGGTCGGCCTCGCCCCCGCTTGACGACAGGAGGCTGATCAGCAGAGACTGGATTGGGCAACGGGTGCTTTCTAGGTCGACCAACTTTCCGCTTGGGTGCCTCCTCTGCACTACTCTCATCCGAAGCCTTGGCCTTTCGGCGCTCACGTTCCCGTTCGAGGAACCGCTCCGCACGCGCGAGTTCTGAGTGCGGGTCCAAGTCAGCTTCTGTCTTCCGCCGCTTGAGCGGACGTTTCCCGTCGTCGTCTTGTCGGTTCTTGTTCATTGGATGGCTGTTGGCGGCAGTATGATGGCGATAGACGTTCGCGAACGTGTCGTTGGGGCCTGGCGAGTTCTCGCGGCTAGAATTAACCAGGTTGGTAGGGCTGATACGACTCGGCCACGCTGCGCCATAGATGTTAAAATGTCGCTTGCATCTGTAAAACGTCAGAAGTGTCTTTACGTTGACGGGTACATACCTTCCACAGGTCAACTCGTTTTAGTTTCGAGCTCATTCCACTTGCAGATAATGCACGTCTTGCCCTTTTCGAAGCAGCCAACGTCGCTGAGATGGACCAGACCAGAACCACCAGCGTTCCCATTCCGTCGAGCGGATGCCCAAGCATTCGCCTTATCCCGCAACTTTCGCTGTCGAAACGCATATACCCGACGACTCTCTTCCTCTGAAGACGTCGTCTCCTCCGAGTCGTCCGAATCAGATTCATTCGAGGTGCTGCTCGATTCATCGGCATCCGAGTCATTCGATGCGGCACTCTTTGATGTGGACGCCGAGGACTTCCCTTTGCCTTTGCCAGTCGTAGTCCGCGTTCTTGATCGCGTCGATCGTCTGGGCGCGTCAGCATCCGAGTCACTCTCCTCCTCGTCGGCACTATGTGTCTTGTTCGAAGGAGGTGGCGTCAGAATGACGTTATTTCGCTGTCGTTGCGTTTTGACTTTTTCAGACGGCCGCGCTTCATCGCCGCCCTCGTCCAATTTCGGAGTCCCACTTGATGTAGATCGATAGCTGCGAGTCGTAGACGGAGTCGGCAGCTGCGCGGCTCCACTAGTCCCAGACACCGGCACCCCGTTTGTCGATGCTTTACTCGATGGAGCACAAGAGGGCGTCGCATCTCGATCACGAGTCCGACTCGTCTCTTTATTCCGCTCCTTTTCCTTCTTCTCCTTTCGTTTCTTCCGTTTGCGCTTTTCGTCATCCTCGCTATCCTCACTTGCGCTGACGGGCAGCACGGGGGCTTTCATCAGGTCGGTGAGGTTCTCTTTGAGGTTGTCGAGTTCGGTCCGCCGTCGCCTCTGGACGTTTGGTGGTTTGTCTTGTGGGGGTGCAGCGGGGGGTTCGTTGGACTCGGATTCGGAAGAGTGGAGCGACCAGTCGGATTCGATGGCGTACCCGCCAATGCCCTTGTGCTCGCAGGTAGCGCAAAGACAGCGTCGATTGTTCTTGCCAACTGGCCGGTCATCAGCCAACGTCGTATAATCAGACTCGACTTACAGTAGTCTTCACCATAGTGGGCGGTGATTTCCTCCCCTGCCGCTATGGGTCTGAGAACTTTGAATGTAATGTATCGTCCGTCTCGAAATAACTCGCAGTTGTTTTCGCAATCATGCTACGAAGAGTGAGCGAGTGAACCTCTTCAGAGAAGCAACCCACGTTGACAAACCGCGCTGGACCCAGGAAGAGATGATTGACGTTTCTTGAATGACTGAAAATGACCGAAAAGTCTCGCCGCGCTCCCGCTCCTCGAATCTCTTTGAGCTCTTCGTCCTCTTCGGCGGTCAAGTCCGCCATCGAGCCTTGAAATGGTCAGCTATACGATGTTCCCATGGCGTTTAACACACCTTTCAAGTCGGTAATCGTTTGCCCTGGCTTGAGTGGTTTTACCGCAATCACACAAAGCTCCGATTTTCCAGTCTTGTGCGAGTAACGAGATGTCTGCGCGACTTCGATGGAGCCGCCCGGTAAGTAGAGTTCGAGATAACGAGACATATGACTGATAACACAATGAGTTTTACCGAATACGCGGAGAAATCGGGCATACGTTGCAAATGCATTGATCTGATATTGTGACTTGTGCCATATATAGCGTTGAACATTCCGGAGTTGCAGGAGGATATCGACAGCTGGTTTGACGCGTGCGTATGGGGCAACAGCGCCACGCCCCGGTGGGGAATTGACAACGTACTGCAGACCGAGTTAAATACAATCCAATAAGACGGAGGGCAAGAGTACCTTTTGAACGATAGCGAGAATAACATCGGGTTCCCAAGTCGGAAGTTTACGAGAGGCGTCCATTTTGTGAACGGACAAGGGTTCAATAGTCCCCAGACATTCGACAAGCATGTGGCTATTGACAACACGGTCAGCAGAATGTTTCCAAGAGTCTGTTCAGCAAAACGGCGGTATACCTGATGAAATCATCGTCACGCGCGAGATCACGCGCATTCATAGGTGCTGTCGTGTATTTCCATTCTATCATTCTCCGCTTCTCCTTCTTCTTGGGAGCATCGGTCGTGCCCGACTTTGTAGGGCTGCCAGCACCAGCTTTCGAGGACGAAGGAGGCCCGCGGTCTGGATCCCTGGACGAGCTGGCATGCTGTCGCGGTGCAGCACTCAGATGCATATTCTCGACAAGACTGGATACTCGACCTGCGCAGCTGCAGCGCACAACCAGCTAGCGCTCGAGGGTCGATCTATCGACTTTGACACGGAAAATAGCGAAAATCTACTTCAAAAAAAGCACAGAAAAGATGAGCAAGCAGAATATGAACTGTTAGAACGTAGTACATACATCTCCAGCCCGTGTATTGCCCGTTTGGCCTGAATGCCGTTGCACAGTAACAAGCGGATCGTAAACGCGTCGTCTAGAGTATCCATAGTAGTTCAGAATCCAAGTAAAAGTAGAAGAGCCAGTGTTTGCCACTTGTCCGATCCCTCTGCCAGTACGGTCAGCGGCACGCCGTCGGAGTTGGAGACCACACGCCACCGGGAGTTTATTTCGAGGATTAGTACACTTAGTGCACTGGAATACATAGATATAGCACGCGTAAGACCAGCCTTGCACCAGTTCGCATCTTGACCCCCGCCATGTCGAGTACCAGCACATCATCACCAGAGTCGACACCATTTCCAGAGTCCTCTCTCAATTATGACCAAATTGTCAAACAAGAATTCGACCACCTCTCCAAAGTACACCCACAGTACAAAGACATTCCGACCTGCATGTCTCTCCTAGGCCTCTACTTGTCCTGCAATGGTACAAATACATGAATTCGCGCCAATTCGCACTCATAAAGTGCCCAACAGGCTTCAAGAACCACATGCGGTCGATATACCGAGACGGCGAAATGGCAAAGTGCGCGCAAAAATTTGACGATTTCAGATTCTGCATGAAGATGAAGTTTAAGACTGAGGAGGAGAGGCGCGAGGCGTGGTTATTACATCGCGCAAAATGGTGGGCGACACGACGGACTACGGGGAGCAGCGAGGACGTCTGGGATATTCGAACGTGAGTTTTCTACGCAATTGGTAATAGCTATTGACATCTCTTGACTAGTAAACCTCTGGATAATTACCCTGGCCCGCCTCGCACGTTTACATTCGACTGGGACTCCAAAGATTTCGTTGCTCTGCCGGATACCAAACCATCCTAATTCCTACACGGCTGTTCTTCTAGTCGTAAACGAGTATATAATATCAACAAGGGAACAAACGGTCGTAAAAAGAAACAGAACAGGGATACAACACGGTCCTTGAATGATGAAAATTAGGTAACGCCTCCTTGATTAGGTTCTTCACCCTTCGAGTCTTCCGGTCCTCCATGCGATGCTATCGGTGGATGTCCATTTGCCGGCGTGTCTTCTGTCATCTCCGCCTCGTTATCCACCGTCATTGGAGGGTTCATAATCTCGTCAATCTATATCCAGTTCAGCAGGCCAGACAAGATGGATGAAAGAAACATACCAGAGCGAGCATCTGCTGCGCGGCTTCTGCAACGGGCCGGTCCTTCCTATTCTCTAACCGCGCCAGACCCTCGAATCCTCCGGAGCTCTCGAACAATTTTAGATATAGATTGACGGGCGCACCATCAATCTCTATCGGATCGTGCTCTCCAAACAGAATCAACTTCCACAGAGCGTCAAGGATGAGGACGAGTATGTCAGACTCTATGGAGTACCGCAACGCGACGCACAACCCAGATAAGCCACCGAGAGCAACGGTATGTCGTATCGCTTCTACTTGGCCCTTGTTGATAATATTGGCCAAGATAGCGCACGATTCGCGACTCCGACCACCAAACTCGTCTTCATCAAACCCAGATGCATCCACTTTGAGTAATCGGACAACGGTCGGAAGGATTTTCGGGTGGTAGACGATGAGGTTGAGATGCTCGACGCTCTCGGCGATGATATTGGAAATGACCCAGCACGCATCCTCGCCCAACTGGTGCTCCACGAGGTCGCTGAGGGCAGATAGGAGGTTGTTATTCAGTAATCGCGTCGTATGTTCCTCCGACTTGGCGGTCAGCGCCCCGACGAGTTGTAGCGCTGCTTTTGGATATTGACGTTGGACCCTCGCTCGAGCAGTCGAACTAGTCGACCGCATATCTTGTCGTTTCAAAGCGCGCCAGCCTCGGAGTTGATCTGAAGGATCGTCGCGAGGCCAAAGCAGCACTCTTCGAGAATAGTATCCTCGACGTTGGACATGATGATCGTACACAGCAATTCTTGTATCCTGAGAACCTGTTCGAGCTCTTTAGTCGCGAGTGTGTTCGACCAGCACCACCCACCAGCGCCGTCGGCAGGTCCTGCGCCGATTTTAGAAAATGGTTAATCGCCCAGAGGAGCATCGTCGCATAGGTAATGTACGTCTGCATCTCGTTGGTGCCAATCATGACCGAGGTCTGCTCGACCATGATGTTGAGCACACCTAATCCGACGAGCGCGTCGGCGCACTCGACGTCGTCTGCCGCCAGGTTTCCCAAGATCCACGCGCTCTTTACTCGCACTTCTGGATCCGGTGACGAAAGGCGCTCGATGCACGCTGGGACGATGCCAGAGTTGTACGCAATCGTCGCGTGGCGTGTATCCCCGCATGCGAGAAAGCCAAAGACGATACTAGCTTTATCCTACGCGTGTGTTTTATCAGGAAGACTAAGAATGAGATGTGTGCGGGGAGGACGGTACCTGCAGGTTCACGTCGTCGGATCGAAAAAATTCGACAAACTTTTTGACGACACCACGCGTGACGAGGAGGTCCAAAGCGTCATTTATGAGCATTGGATCCGCATTCTGAAGCCACTTGACAATGTTGTCCGCGGCGTTGATCTGGAGAAACGAGTCTGTTGACAGGACATCGCTAAAGAAGACGGTGATATCCTCTGGGCGCTATCGGTACAAGAGGGACCCTATGAGTGCTTGGAGACACCTCGAGTCTGATCAGAGACCTACCGGCCCATCTCGGATGAAACGACGACTGCCAAACTCGAATTTAAAGGCCATCAACAGGCGGAAAGGATGTCCATAAACTGTTCCTTTCTCCTCTAATCTGTGTGGTCTCCAGACGTGCGTCTGTGCGAATATCGCGGGTGTGTGACTGTCACTAGATGCCCTGCGGCGCTCAAGTCCAACGTCGGTGAGCCACGAGTGACCCACTTTGCCACTATTCGAGGAATGAAATGTGCATAAGGAAAGATTTTTGGGAATCTGATTACATATGATAGGCGGCTTGTTCAAATTCTAGGCTGGCGCATTTCTATAGAGATGTAGGAGTGGGACAATTTGATTGAGAACAGGGTAGTATCCTACAGGAATACCTCCTGGGTGTGGAATAGACCACAACTCTACCCAAAAGCTCACGCGACCTGGCGAGGTTGCAACCATCTGTGCTACCGAGAGGTATCAACTCCTAAATCTAGCATTTTATGGACATATACTTGTGCATTAGCATGGTGAAAAATCGTCTACTCTTCTACGGCCTTTGCAAGAGTTGAGCCCATGTAGTTGATTGAGAATACTGGGCTTAGTGGAGTATCCCGATATGTAAAGTTGTCTGATTGAAATGGAATATGTCGAATATCAGTAGGAGATGTCATCCTTGCGACAGACGACGTAGCTGCCTCTTCGTGAGAAGCGTGCTGGGTATATTTGCAACTAGAATGGCTGAACATAGAATATTTACGCCCGACCGAGAGTTTTTACAACTAACTCTGAGCCGGCCAATAAACTGGTGGTCGAGTCCCTTGGCCCCCTTTGGCCCACTTCTCCCAGTCGAGATTTATTATACCATTCTGTTATTTATTAGCATTGAGTGTTGATATTTACGCGTAAAACGCGTAATCCGACGCGCTAGCTGTGGGTTGAGACGCGTGAGTGAGCCAAACAAATACATCCAAACACTTGGAGCCGACGTCGTCGGTTGGCCCAGCTCTCTGCGTTCCCAAAAATCTCATTAATATTCCCAAAACCTTTATATCGCGAAATGGCTACGATAGTTCATCGTCAGGCCCTTGCACCTCGGCCGGTCAACGACAGCACGCCCCAGCGACTCTCAGGCAGTGCAGGCCCCGGGAGCTCTCATAGTCTCAAACGAGCTCGTGAAGACGACGGAGAGGACGTGGTCGCATCGAGGATCTGCAAAGCGCTCCCGGGCGAGCCTCGACACATCAGTGATACACTCCGGGCAATCGCTCCAGAGACCAAGATAGCTGCGCTCGAGCTCACTCCCCGTCCTATGAAACCAGCTCATACAGTCGCAAAAGTCGATAAGCAAGCTGACCGAACAACCGAGGATAAGCTTACGAAGGGAAACCGCACGTCGTCGAAGAAGACGCGTGAGGAAAAGGAAAAATCTCATGCCGCAAGACTCGCTGCTGAAGAAGAATTCAGCTCCAAGTATCGAAGCGCGTTTCCCTCTTGGAAATTTTACTTCGACGGAGTTCCCACAGCAGCAGTAGCAACCGCAACTAAGCGTATCGAGTCGTTAGGAGCGGTAATTGAACCTTTTTGTATTCTGAGCATATGCTTACATTTTTTTTCGTATAGGTCGTATCAACCGTCCTCTCCAAGGAGGTCACGCATTTCATCATCCCGACTAAGCTCGAGAAGGAAAATGGAAAGTCGCAGAAATCTCTTGTTGTTCCGAAAACAACGACGACGCTTCGAAGTCCATTTGAGCTGAAAATGTAAACCGTCCTGTTACGCTGAACAGCTAGATCTAACCCCCGTGTAGCTCGCCTGATGCAGTCGAAAAGGCAAAACAGTGGGGTTTGAAAATGTGGGATATCGCAAGTAAGTGCACTCCTCCTTCGGAATTGATCTGACGCTCCGTCACAGAGCTCGAGTCCGTCTTGGACAGAACCCTCGCTCGTCCGTCCAAGTCTGAACCTACCACGACCACGACAGCAGCAACGCACACTGCCTCTCAAAAGCTGGCCCTCGCATCCGTCGTTCCCAAGAATCCCTACGGCACCCTTGGTGTGTCGAAAGCTCCCAAAGCGCAAGGCCATGGCGGTACCTGGCATCTCCCTCCACCGTCTAAACGACCAAATGCTGCATCCGCTTCCCTTGCAAGTCTACTTGCTACGGAAAAGGCGACAAACATGACCCTCGAACGCGATCCCAATTCCAGGAGGCATGACTACACCTACTTTAACAAACTCGCCGCCTTCCTCATCGTCGACTCTACCAACATCGATTATCAAGGCGTTGGTCGCCTCGAGTTCGAAGCCTCCAAACCCACGGTCACTCTCCCCCTCAAACTCTCTTTTGGCGGACCAGGCGTCAACGAAAATCGATCCGCCTTTGTCGCCGCTCACAAGGGACAGAATGGTCACCTCGATTACCCTATTCTCTACATGGATCACCGCATGCGCTGCCCTTTTCAACCGTACAACCAACGAGTTGAGCAAAAGGAACGTCGGGCCGACGCTCGAGACAAAGCCTACGTAGAAGACCGACAACAGATCATTCGCTACGTTCGCGCATATAAACGACATAACGAGTCACTCAATCGTACCGTCGACCTCCAGCAACTCGTGTCCGAGGCCATTGCTGCGCTCAGCCCTGCGACTGGCGAAACTCCCAGCAAGGCCAACGTCACTGCAAAGCTCGATGGTCACGCCCCGGCTAGCACTAATCCCGACAAGGACCGAGCATCTGGCTTCATGCGCTCCACGGCCAACCAAGAGAGTTTGGCAAGCATGGCCAGTGTGACCAGCCTCAGTGCCGCTACCGGAGTCCCAACGACGATGTCGCACCCCACCACTGGCTACTCATTCTCCCAGTCTGGAGGAAGTTGGACGAAGCATGTCGGTGCAGGTGGCATTGTTCCCAACTTTAGCGGTGTTCGACATGCTACGCAGGTCGTGATGAATCGTGGCGCTTTCGCTGCTGAAGCAGCCCCCGAAGCTCCAGTTTTGATCGCTAGGACGAAGACGGCGGATGACTTGACCGTCAAGGCAGCTCGCACTGGTGGAGACCCCACATCTATTCGTCGTACCAAGAGCTTGGCTACGATTCAGAAGACTAAGGAGTCTCAACCTGTGCCGACGAAAGAGGCGGAGAAGAAGCAGCTCGGCCTCTGCGAATGCTGCAAGGAACAATACGAGTCGCTGGCCGAGGTACGTTGACGGTCATCCCATGTTATCCAGACTGCTGAACCCATATAGCACGTGCAAAGTCATCGTCATCGCAAATACGCTTGTGACCCTCGTCGCTGGGGTGAAGTTGACGCCATGGCGAAGAAATTAAGACGATATCGCAAGTCTGATTGGGAGGGCATCAATCAATATCGAGAGAACCTTCGCCTACAAATCTTTGCTGCTCATGGCCGTCCTCTCGATGGGAATGATGCTACGCCCGGAGAAATGTTTGCGAGGAGCATTCCGCATCCTTTCATTTCTCATAGAGTAATCTCTCACAGTCGCTTGACGAAATCGATTTCCATTGCAGAGGCAGTCGCATTGGACTCGACACCCGCCACTGGCAAGGCAAGGTACCCTTCTTCGGCGATGAAAACGCCGATCAAGCCAATCCAGATTCACGGCTGTGAAGTGATTGACTTGACAATCTCCACGTCAACTGCCGCCGTCGCCGCACCTAGCGATCTCGGGACCTCAACCAACAACGCCACAACCGACGGTATGACGGAGCCTGGCACCATCGAGACGATGGCACTAACGACGACTGCAACGACGACTACGAGTGTCGCCTCTTCGACGCCGTCGGAGATTGTAACCGAGGTCGTATTTGAGCGTCCTTATGGGCGTGCCGTGCGCAAGCAGGCGACGCCTTTGCCGGATCGTAAGTGGACGGAGAGGGATTTGCCGAGCGTTGGATCTGATACGCCACTTGTTGCGCTTGCGGCTCGTGGCGGGTGGACGAGTGAGTTGGAAGACGACGAAGATAGGCGGGTTGTTTTGGAGTGATGGAACCATTAGTCAAGGATTCATCCTCTGTTTTCGGTGTCGTTCTCCGTATGTGACTGATTGACGGCTGGCGTGCATTTGCCAGGATTGGTGCTGTGATTATTGTCTACGTATTTTGTCCGTGTAGCTATTCTTGAATGTGCTCCCTGTTCTCGACTGATATTTAATGTTAAGTCTATCATATGAGACTGGGTATCCCCGGTAACCCTTCCAACTTCGCTGCATCGAAACATAGCCCTATACCAGCAAATGATCTTTGGAGAGCCACAAAGCCTGCGGAGTCTGTCTACGCGAAGCGATGTGTATCCTATCCACAAATATTGAGCACAAGTGAGAGAGATGGCATCATTATCTCGTATGAGTGGGATAATGTACGCAACGTGGCCGTACTCAAATCCACTGTATACATGTTTACATGCTATGAAACAAACGAGAAATGATAAGAAGTATAGCCCCCCATACTCGCAGAACGATTGTATCAATGTATAGACAGACTATTGCATGAATTGTGTCATTTAGGAAAAGAAGCGAGAGAAGAATTGAGATAGACGTTGAGTATAAGAGTTTTGAGATCGCTCGGAATCTATGAGTTTAAGAAGCTCCATTGACCTCACGGTATGAGGATGATCTTGACCAAAGACCTCAATCCGTAGATCCATGGTCTCTCGAAGAAGCTTTGCCGCTTCCTCGGACTTACCCGCTTCGTATACCATAACAGACAAGTCCAATGAGGCGGTTAGGGTGTGTGGATGCCGTGAGCCGAAGATATCTAGCCATAGACCAATTGAGTCCCTTTGAAGCTTTTCCGCCTCATCTAGCCGGCCGCGGTTATAGAACGTTATTGCGAGGTTTTTCATTGCAGCAATGGTAGACGGATGTCGTCCTCCAAGTATATCCAGCCGCAGGGCAAGTACATCTTGTTGCATCCGTTCTGCCTCGCCCAATTGGCCGCGGCTATACAAGGTTGTCGCGAGGTTGCTCATCGCAATGATTGTGTCTGGATGTCGTTCTCCAAGTATATCCAGCCGCAGGGCGAGTACGTCTCGTTCCATCCGTTCTGCCTCCCCCAATTGGCCACGGCTATACAAGATTGTTGCGAGATTGCTCATCGTAAAAATGGTGTCTGGATGTCGTTCTCCAAGTACATCGAGCTGCAGGGAAAGAACGTCTCGTTGCATCTGTTCTGCCTCCCCCAATTGGCCGCGGCTACACAAGGTTGTTGCGAGGTTGTTCATCGCAAAGATGGTGTCTGGATGTCGTTCTCCAAGTATATCCAGCTGCAGGGAAAGAACATCTTGTTGCATCCGTTCTGCCTCGCCCAATTGGCCGCGGCTATACAAGGTTGTTGCGAGATTGTTCATCGCAAGATGGTGCTGGATGTCGTTCTCCAAGTATATCGAGCTGCAAGGAAAGTACGTCTCGTTGCATCTGTTCTGCCTCGCCCAATTGGCCGCGGCTATACAAGGTTGTTGCGAGATTGCTCATCGCAACAATGGTGTTTGGATGTCGTTCTCCAAGTATATCCAGCCGCAGGGAAAGTACATCTTGTTGCATCCGTTCTGCCTCGCCCAATTGGCCGCGGCTATACAAGGTTGTTGCGAGGTTGTTCATCGTAAAGATGGTGTCTGGATGTCGTTCTCCAAGTATATCGAGCTGCAGGGAAAGAACGTCTCGTTGCATCTGTTCTGCCTCCCCAATTGGCCGCGGCTATACAAGGTTGTTGCGAGATTGCTCATCGTAGATGGTGTCTGGATGTCGTTCTCCAAGTATATCCAGCCGCAGGGAAAGTACATCTTGTTGCATCCGTTCTGCCTCGCCCACTTGGCCGCGGCTATACAAGGTTGTTGCGAGGTTGCTCATCGTAGAGATGGTGTCGGATGTATGCCATATCGAGCTTCTGAAAGACTTGCCGATTGTTCCGGCTGCAGATGGTTGATGAGATTGTCTCCACAGTATGCGTGCTATCGATGGTGGAAAGGACGTCTCGCTGTGATCTGTTCGGCTTCCCCAATTGCCGCGGCATACAAGGTTGTTAGAGTGTTGGATAAGATTGTCTGGCATAGGCAGGCGGCATTCATGCATCGTCTCCCTGTATATAGCGGCTCTGCAGGTTGTTCATCGCAGATGGTCGGAAAAGCCTGCATTTGTTCTGCCTCCCGCCACCCCTGGCCGCGCCTTGGTTGTGCAAGGTTGTTGGTGAGGTTGTGCATCGCAAAGATGGCGATGTCGTTCTCCAAGTATATCGAGCCGCAGGAAAGAATCAGTCTTCGTTGATGGATGTTCTGTTTGCCGTTCCCCCACTCCAAGGGACCGCGGAATACATCTGTTGTATCTGTTCTGGTTGCCTTGGCCGCATGGAGTTGTGCGGATGTTGTTCATCCAAGATGTCGTTCTCCGCGATATCGAGCAGGAAGAACGTCTCGTTGCATCTGTTCTGCCGCCCAATCGGTCGCGGCTACAAGGTTGTTGCAGGTTGTTCACGCACAGCGCAGTATCGGATGTCGTTCTGCATCGAGGAACGAAAGGTTGCATCTGTTCTGTTGCCCATTTTGATGCTTGTTGGACGCTCATTAGACGAGATGGCGTCCTATGTCGTTCTCAAGGCATCGAGCCTGGGCAAGATCTTGTTGCATCGTTCTTGCTTCATCGGCTAATCGCTGTTCTGCCTGCATCGAAGGTTGTTCCTGGATGTCTGTACTAGCTGCAGGGAACGTCTCGTTCGCCCACCAAGGTACCTGGGAGTCATCGCAGTGACGTACTTGACGTCTCAAACGCTGAACCTCGTCCCATTTGCTCGGCTTCATCCAATTGACCACATTCCCAGAGCACAGCGCTAAGTTTGAGCATAGCCCATAACGAATCTTCATGTCTCTCGCTCTTAGCCTGTTGAAGTTGGGGAACGGCAGACTCTAGGAGTGCTCTAGACGAGGTCCAATCCCCTATGGACTCATAAAGCGCATTGAACGCCAACACACGTGCCAAATTTTCCACCTGTAAAGACCGAGGTATATTGTTGGCATGGGGAACTAGTCGCCAAAGGGGCGCATAACTGCTTTCAACAGGTCGAATTGCACCGAGTAGGAGTTGCATTGTCATACTTGCGTATCGCTGATTCTCCTGTTCATTGAGGTCATCCTTGATATACGCCTGAAGGAGGGGATGGACGGTGTAGAACAATCCGTCAATCGAGACGTCAATAAACGACGCGCGAGAGGCCGATTCAATGATATCTTGAAACAGCCCCTCATCCCATGTCGAGCCTATGATCTGTTCAAGGCCCGAGATGAAAGCTTCGTCGGTCTCCGGTGGAGGGCAGTCTTTCCGGATGATATATGTAGTGAAACCGTTTTTTATCGATTCTTCAAATAAGAAGATGGGAATGAGCGAGTGATGAAGAAACGCGCAGAGCTTCAGAAACTCTCGTGTCTTTGTAGGAAGGTAATCGAAAGACAGGTCGAATGCGGTGTATGTCGAGGATGTGTAGTCGCTGCCGATGTCTACTTGCTTTCGCAGAAGTCGATGCCGATGACTACGAAACGTGTCGAGATATGTATCGAGGCGCCGTGTCTTGCGAATATAGGCTCCTGCCTGGGTGATTGCCAACGCCAACATCCCAAGCTCCTTGACTATCTTGAGGGACTCGACATCGGATTGTGGTGCGACCTTGGCGACAGTATGAAGGAGCTTGATCGCCTCGCTCTCCTCCAGATCGCCGACAGGTACTGAGCCATCTGGAGCGTAGCCAACATATTCACTATTCCTTGTCGTGATCATAACTGCCCCGTGAGTAGACATAGGGAGGTATGGACGAAGGTCAAGGTCTGGCGAATCGGCATTGTCGAAGAATAACAACCAGCCTTTTGCCTTCCCATCCAAGTAAGCAACTGCATCATTCCAGGTCATCTTGCTATACTCTGGACCTAATACGCGGATCGAAAGCTCCAGGTCTTTTTCCAATTGGGTTTGACTGGAAGCATCGACAACAATGACCCGAGTGAAACTAGCCAAACATTAGAGATTCGCTTTAAATAGTCAACGAGTTCGCACCTGCTTTCGTGCTCCCGAATCCAGTTCATGGCCAGCTGAGTTTTTCCCACCCCTCCAATTCCATGTAGTATACAGCGTGGCTGATGCCGTTTATGGCCGCCTGGAAGTAGATTATGCGTGATGAGGGACTGGAGTTCTGGTCTATCGACGTAGTTTCGTGAGACAGTAAGTCGAGGCTTCGGCGGGACGATCCCGTGTGGCGGTAGGTGATATCCATCGGCCACAGCTGATTCTAGTTAGTAGGTAAATGTACCACTGAGATTATGCGAACCTCGATGCGCATCCTCTGTCGACCATTTTCTCGTCACCGCAGTCACAGCTCCTTCAATGTGCCGTTTGAGGTATGAGAGAACCGTCACGTAGTTCCTCTGTTTCGTGTCAATGAACTTGACCATCTGACAGTGATCGGCATCTAGTCCCTCTTCAGTCGCATGGCGATCCCCGGCCACTGTAGCCGAGTAATGCGGCACAATCTACCCACGTTAGAACTAAGAGGATCAAACCACGTTGCACTCACCAGCTGGCTTTTGCCTCCAATAATCGGCGTCGGGTACACTTCATAAAATAGAACCGTTTCAATCTCTGCACTTGCCGAAATGTATAGGTTCTGTATATTCTCTAGCTCCGGCGAGTGCTCCCCAAGATGCCGGAGGATTACATCTGTCGTCTTCAAGTACAGTGACAACAGCCGGTTCATGGTCTGCAAAAGGTCGACACCTTTGACTCCTGAATGGGGTGTTCCAAAGAAGAGAACGGCGTGAGTGGACACCAAGATATCACGGAGTGGATTTGTTGACCCCCGGCTCTGGTTCTGACAAAGGACGAGAGCCTAGACGACTGTCAGAACTAGCAGGTGCATAGTGCGGCGGAGTACCTGTTTGAGTACTATGCCACCCAAACTGTGTGCAATGAAAATGATTGGTCGCTGCCGTAACTTGAGACCACTTCGAGAAAACGAGATCTTCTACTCACCCGTGGATTGCCACTACGTTGCCGTGACAGGGATTTGAGAAACTTGTCCGCATGCTGATATATCGTCTGCGTCGAGACACACTCTCGACTGCGAGTGTCGGCGTCGTAGCCATACACGAGGATCCGAGCGTTGGGAATGTCGACGGAGAGGAGGTCTCGAAGCCACAAGACGCCATTGTCTGCCGTCCACGTTTTCTCTCTGTGGCCATCCAACCCGTGAATGGCGATAATGCTGACAAATTGAGCTCTGGAACTGATGCGTAGGACGTTGGAATCACTCACTCGACGATGGGATCCTTGCCTGACGCAAGCTCCAGAAAACCAAGTTGAACCCCCTTTGGTTGGTCTCCTAGGCTTGACGGTTTACTAGCATCCAAGTCGGGAGTAGCAATTGCCTTATCGGTTGCCTTATCGGTTATTTCTGTTGATGGTTTGGAAAAGCGTAGAAAGCCTTTGGTAGGCGAGCAGGCACCTGGCGTTATTCTGTTCAAAACTGTGCGGAACAGATGATGTGTCTCTTACTGAATAGTCGGACGTCGAATGATCGTCGTTGAATCTGAGGAAGACCGGTTGGATGGCCCAGTGCCGGCCAGCGTCTGTGGCCGTATCTTGAGATTAAACGCGACGTGACTATTGTTCGGTCGCTGGAAATACGAAGAATGCATTTAAACCACGAATGAGGACTTGACATCCTCTCTGGCCAAACTGGTGGAGAACAAGCGTAAGCGGCGGTTCAACAAGGACAATACCGGAGACTGGCCAAGCGAGCCGGCGTCTGCCAGCACCATTCACGTTATTATACGACAAAACACGATGTAATTGCAGTTATATGTTGCATATAAGGACTTGAGTTCTCCCAGAATATCGTCCCCCAACTTTTCGTCGCTTTGTCGATGTCCTTGATGCTGTCTCTTTCTGTACCGACAGGCCAGATGAGAGTGGCCGGACATGTGTTTAGACAGTACGTATACACCAAAGCAAGTCTATTGAATATATAAACATGGAGATATACAGAACCATGTAATGGGTCGTCAGTCAGACCCATAGCAGCGGAGGTCATGGTCGAACAACGTTTCCTAACATCAAATGGGAGTCCCGTGAACTCGTGCTCCGAACTATAAAATGTTCAAAAAGAGTAGCCTACACCAACCGTCACCAACCCGACGTCATTCAAAGCGGCAAAGCCGGACAAGTTCTTCATTGAATGTGGCTGAAGCCTTACGTAGATGTATCCCTCCCTATTCAAATAGAGCGCTTAGCGTGGGTACTGAGAAGTGAAAAATGACGGCTAATTGATGAAGATTTGGCGGTATAGCGCGTCGTTGATAGCTTGAAATGAAAATACAAGAGATGCACGACGAATAAACGCAAGTTGTCTGTGGCGACACACGCGGCGGAGGCCAAGGTTGTGTCACCACCGCGGCTGGTCCTCGGAATCATGATCTCATAGTACAGACGGTCGAAGTACAAATAATGTATTTACGAAAGCAAAAATGTATGAGTTTGAAGACCAGGAGGCTGTCCAGACACGAGGTCATTGAGAAGTTGTTGTGGACGGCGAGTGTGAGTGTGGTCAGCACCAAACATCACGACGCGTAGTGCCATGGTCTCCTGTAGAAGCTTGGTCGCCTCGTCGAGCTGATTGCCCTCGTATAACATGAGAGCTAGGTTATAGCAGGCATCAAGGGAGCGAGGATGCTCTCGGCCCAATATCTCGAGCCGGAGGGCAACTGCCTTTCGTTGCAGTTTCTCGGCATCCTCCAGTAGACCACGACGGTATGAAGTAGCGGCGAGGTTGCTCATAGCTGATATAGTGTCAGGATGCCGCCCTCCAAGGATCTCAAGCCGCAGATTGAGCGCCTCACGTTGGAGATTTTCCGCTGCTTCAAATTGACAACAATCATGTAAGATATTTGCGACGTCCTTCATTGCCCGGATGGTATGTGGATGGCGTTGTCCAAGGATCTCCAACCGTAGGGCGAGCACCTCTCGTCCCATCTTTTCCGCCTCGACGTACTGACCGCGGTCGGACAGTGTGCTTGCAAGGTTACCCATTGCCCAAATTGTGTGTGGATGGCGTCCTCCAAGGATCTCCAACCATAAGGCGAGCACCTCTCGTTGAATCCTTTCCGCCTCGACCCACTGACCACGGTCAGACAGTGTACTCGCAAGGTTATTCATTGCGGAAATTGTGTGTGGATGGCGTCCTCCAAGGATCTCCAACCGTAGGGCGAGCACCTCTCGTTAATCTTTCCGCCTCGACCCACTGACCACGGTCATACAGTGTACTCGCAAGGTTATTCATTGCGGAAATTGTGTGTGGATGGCGTCCCCCAAGGATCTCCAACCGTAGGGCGAGCACCTCTCGCTTAATCTTTTCCGCCTCGACCCACTGACCGCGGTCAGCCAGCGTGTGTGCAAGGTTACCCATTGCCCAAATTGTGTGTGGATGGCGTCCTCCAAGGATCTCCAACCGTAGGGCGAGCACCTCTCGTTGAATCCTTTCCGCCTCGACCCACTGACCACGGTCAGACAGTGTACTCGCAAGGTTATTCATTGCCGAAATTGTGTGTGGATGGCGTCCTCCAAGGATCTCCAACCGTAGGGCGAGCACCTCTCGTTGAATCCTTTCCGCCTCGACCCACTGACCACGGCCAGACAGTGTACTCGCAAGGTTATTCATTGCGGAAATTGTGTGTGGATGGCGTCCCCCAAGGATCTCCAACCGTAGGGCGAGCACCTCTCGCTTAATCTTTTCCGCCTCGACGTACTGACCGCGGTCGGACAGTGTGCTTGCAAGGTTACCCATTGCCCAAATTGTGTGTGGATGGCGTCCTCCAAGGATCTCCAACCGTAGGGCGAGCACCTCTCGTTGAATCCTTTCCGCCTCGACCCACTGACCACGGTCAGACAGTGTACTCGCAAGGTTACCCATTGCCGAAATTGTGTCTGGATGGCGCCTGCCAAGGATCTCCAACTCCAGGGCGAGCACCTCTCGTTTAATCTTCTCCGCCTCGTCCAACCGACCGCACCTGTTTAATGCAATGGCAAGCGCGGACATAACCCAGAGGGAATTTCCATGTCTTTCTCCATTGTCCTGCCGAAGCTGGGAAAGAATAGCCGCCAGCAGTTCTCGACACGCGTTCCAATCACCTAAGGACTCGTAAAGTGTGTAAAATGCCAACGCGTAAGCCACATGCTCCAATTTCATGGACAAATGTATAATGGCAGCATGGGGAAGCAACGGCCAAAGATGCGCATTGCTACCTTTGGCTGGCCGAATGGCTCCAAGGAGCAGTTTTGCTGTCATTTGTGAGTAGAACCGGTTCTCATCTGCGTTGAGACGGTCCTTGATATACACCTGAAGGAGGGGGTGTACGCCGTAGACTAAACCGTCATTCGAAACGTCGATGAACGACGCACGATACGCCGATTCAACGATCTCCTGGAATTCAAGCGCGTCCCACGCAGAGCCCAGGATTTCTTCAAGGTTTGACATCAAGGCCTTGTCACTCTCCGGAGGGGGGCAGCCATTCAGAACGGGGTATGTAGTGAAACCATTCTTTGTTGATTCTTCAAATAGAAAGATTGGAATGGCAGAGTGATGAAGAAACGCGCAGAGTTTTAGGAGCTCTTGTGCCTGTGTGGGAAGGCAGTCGAAGGACAGGTCGAATGCAGTGTATGTCGACGAGGTATATTCGCTGCCGAGACCCGGCTTCTTGCGCATAAGGCGATCTCGATGTTTACGAAACGTGTCGAGGTACGTATCGAGGCGCCGTGTCTTGCGAATATATGCCCCTGCCTGAGTGATGGCGAGCGCTAGCATCCCCAACTCTCTGACAATCTTGACGGACTCGGCGTCATTTTGAGGTGTGACGTTAGCCACTCTATGAAGGAGCTCGATCGCCTCGTTCTCCTCCAGATCACCGACAAGAACTGCGCCATCTGGAGCGTAGTCAACGCATTCACCATTTCGAGTGGTGATCAAAACTGCTCCATGAGTGGAAACAGGGAGGTATGGGCGAAGGTCGAGATCTGGAGAATCGGCATTGTCGAAGAACAGCAACCAGCCTTTTGCCGTCTTATCCAGGTATGCAACCGCATCATTCCAGGTCATCTCGCTGTATTCTGGGCCTAAAACTCGAACCGAAAGTTCCAAATCTTTCTCCAATCGAGTCTGGTTGGATGCGTCGACGAAAATCACACGAGTGAATCTAGCTACTAATGAGAGATCTCCAAATAATCGGAGACTGCGTACCTGTTTTCGTTGTCACGAATCCACTTTGTAGCGAGCTGAGTTTTACCGGCACCTCCAATCCCGTGTAAGATACACCGGGGTTGTCGTCGCACAGGACTACTTGGGAGGAGATGTCGTGTGATAAGGAAATGAATCCGTGGCCTATCGATGTAGTGTCTTGACACAGTCAAACGAGGCTTTGGTAGGACAACCTCATTCGGCGATAGATCTTCTCTATTCGCCAGATCTGGAGATATTTATTGGTTTGAAGCAATACCAGCGGTCCACGAACCTCGATATGCGTCCTCGGTACACCACTTCTTTGTCACCCCAGCGGTGGCTCCTTCAACGTGCTGCTTGAGGTAGGAAAGAACAGTTGCATAATTCACGTGGCCTGAGTCGCGAAACTTGACCATTTCACAATGGTCAGCGTCCAGTCCTTCTTCAGTTGCCTGACAATCCCCAGCGACGGTGGCAGAGTTATACGGCACAATCTACGCACTTCAGCCTCCAAGAAGCAAGATCCATCGCACATACCATTTTTCTTTTACCACCAATGATCGGGGTTGGATACACTTCGTAAAATAGAACGTTTTCAATCTCTTTGCTAGCCGACGTGTACGACCTCTGGATGTTTTCTAATGCTGGCGAGTTCTTCTTGAGATTCTGGACGATAACCTTTGTCGTCTTCAAGTACACCGACAGTAGCCTGTTCATGGTGTGCAAAAGCTCAACGCCGTTGACGCCGTAGTGTGGTGTTCCGAAGAAGAGAACAGCGTGAGTTGACACCAGGATGTCCCGAAAGTCATTTTTTGAGCCCACACTCTCGCTATGACAAAGGCCGAGTGCCTTGGTTGACTATCAGAGCAAGTACGTGCGCAGTGAGACGTATTACCTGTTTGAGCACAATGCCTCCCAAGCTATGCGCAATGAAAATGATTGGTCTCTGCGGTTGTTGAGACGACGAGAAGTAGGGGTGGACATTTACTCACTCGTGGATGATCAATGCGTTGTCTCGAGAGGGATTTGAGAAACTTGTCGGCGTGTTGGTATATTGTCTGCGTCGAGACACACTCTCGGCTTCGAGTGTCGGCGTCGTAGCCATACACGAGTATTCGTGCGTTGGGTATGTCGATGCTGAGGAGATCTCGAAGCCATAAGACGCCATTTCCCGCCGTCCATGTCCTCTCTCTATGGCCATCCAAGCCATGGATGGCGATAATGCTGACATGGTGAGCTCGAGGTTCAGCGCGCAAGCAATCCGTTCACTCACTCGACGATAGGATTAGTTCCTGACGCGAGTTCGAGGAAACCAAGATCATCCGCCTTGTATTTGAACTTGGATGTCGTTGGTTTGTTCAGATTCGAAGGGGTAATACGCGCTTCCTCGTTCATCGTTTGCGAGGACGGGTTAGAGCTGCGTATAATGCCTTTCAACCGTGAGCGAAGACTTGACATTTTTCTTGGTCGAGACAGTGGGGAACAAGAACAGATTATTTGCTGAACGGCCTGGCGTCAAACGGCCCACGAGACTGGCATGCATGGTAAACTAACGTCTCTCCAGGTACCATTGCAACAAAGTGACGATAGAAAGGCCAGACCTAGATTTTAATTGTTTTATCGAGGCCTTTGATGTCTTTACTTTCGCCTATCTACCGACAGACGCAGATGAGAGCGGTCGGAGCTGTGCTTAGATCATATATATGCAGGTCGAAACAGATCTATTGAATGTTTATGTAAACGTGGAGATACCTACGGGTCCATATACTGGTTAGTCTTCGATCAGATCCACAATCGTCCAGGCCACATTCAGCCAATCTCTCCTGATATTACATGGAAATCTCGTGGACCTATGCCCCGAACTACAAGACGTTCGAGAAGAGTGGCCTGTGCGCCAGCCGACGAGTGTCATCAAGCCGAATTCAGTCAGAGGAAAGCTGGATAAGTTCTTCACTGAACGTGGGTGAGGCCTTACTTAGCCACATATAAGTAGAATGGTCAGCGTGTAGACTGAGAGTAGGAAATAACAGCTAACAAAATTAAATGCTGGCCAAACATCGCGTAAACAAAACAACAAGCTTGAACCCGCCGACATGTAGAGATCTCTTGTTGTCCCAAGAACATCAATTACTCGAAGTCTGTTTGAGCTGAAGGTGCACGCCGTCCTGTTACGCTCAATAGCTAGATCTAACCCTCGTGTAGCTCGCCTGATGCAGTCGAAAAGGCACAACAGTGAGTTTTGAAAATGCAGTATGTCGCAAGTAAGTGCACTCTTACTCTGGAACTGATCTGACACTCCGCCTCAGAGCTCGAGCCCGTCTTGGACATAAGAACCCCTTGCTCGTCCACCCGAGTCTGAGCCTGCCACGGCCACAACAGCAGCGGTTCAGATGCGTCTTTGAGTTGGATTTGGTATCTAGAATGCCAATAGTCTTTTCTGATCAAAACCCTTGAATCTCGACCCCGACCGTTCGACGACAGTACGCCTTTGGCAGTGCAGGCCCAGGAAACTCCCGTAGACTCGAGAGTTTGCGAAGGAAGCGGAGAAAATACTATTACATCTCGAGGATATGCACAGCGAGAGATTCTAGATGATCGCCTTGGCCATTCACGCTGTTCGCATAGCTAGGTAGATATGCCGTTGCTAGTCTCAAATTCCAATATCTGCTCTTCAAGCCAAGCAATGATACTGTCCTCCGCTTCGACATTGCCCTCGTGATCGATTCGTGGCCCTTAGGTCTTGCCCACGGACCAAAGTACTAGCTACGAGTCAGGTTTGCAAGAGACACGTCAGAAAATCGTACCTTTCCATTGTACTCGAGCGCCTCGGTGGACGTGGCTGCGTATAAAGGAGTCAAAGCGCCCATCTTTGTGGGGTGGAGCATTGGCTTGGTCTATGGAGACAATGTGAAACAGTTTAAAAGGAGTTTAAAGCGTGCGTACTAGCATTTGGGCAATGGCAGGTGCATGGCGTTGAAGATTTGACTCGATGCGTCCTATCACCCATCAGACATCCATATATACTCCAGGTTATCCGAGTCACCTGGATTGACGCTTGCTGTAAAGATGTTGATACCTAACTCCGTCATCCTCCTAGCACGTGCAGCTGCGACTAGGATATTTCCAGACTTGCTCTGCATATACAATTGCGTGGTTCCGACGGCTCTCCTGGCGTCCCCGTCTTTGAGAGTCTCAAGCTTTATTACCTCTCCACCGGTGAACGCACTGAGGAAATGAGCGTCCGAAGCCAATTCAACGACCCGCACGCCGATGGGGTCAGCGGCAGAAAGAGAAGAGGAGGTGGATTTGAGGGTTGGGAGGAGAAGATGCGTGAAATAGTAGTGACCCAAGACGTTGGTTCCGAATTGAAGGTCGTAGCCTTGCGCGGTTACCTGGTCGACTGGTGGAGACATTACTCCACTGAGAAATAGTCAGACACGTTGAAGGAATGGTGTGAACGCACGCGTTGTTGATGAGGATATGCAGCTGGCCCTCGTTGCTGTATCTAATCAGCACGTTGGCACTAAGAGTACGTGAAGACAGTACCTTTGGAAAGCTGATGCCGCCCTTTGCACGCTTGACATGTCAGCGAGGTTAATCTCAAGCACGTGGACGTCTGCGTCCTTCACTTCATCGCGCAACTTGCGGACCGCAGCTTCACCGTTTGCAGTTAATTGAGCGAGATGTTAGGTAGACTTTGGCGTGTTTAGCTACCAGAGCCTATACAATGTCATCTTCATTTCGGTGCTATTTGTAGAATACGTACCTTGACAATCTCGTATCCAATCCCAGCATTTCCGCCCGTGACGATGGAAATTTTGCCTGTAAGGTCTGGCATATCTTCAAGCGTCCACTTGGGAATTCCCGGTGCAAAATCTGCGAGGTACTTGCACACACCGTCCCATCGAACACTACGCGGCATGTCGGAAAAGAGGAGTGACCACCAGGGATGGACGCACAGTAGCTCCTTTTATACCCTGAGAGTTTATTGGCGCTAAAGCATACTTGAAGTCCTGTCAACCCGAGCTAGCGGCATCACACGGCCAGGCACTTCTCAATTCGAATCATCAAACCTGGCCACCAATTGATGTACTTCTGTCTCAACTTGAATAAGTAACAGAGAACCAATTATACCCTATAACAAGAGCCGTCCAACGCAGAGGCGGGATCCTGCTGCTGCCAAACATCGCGTAGACAAAACAACAAGCTAATTACCCGCCTACGTCACGTAAAATCTCTTGTTGCCCCGAAAATAGCAACGCTCCAAGATCTTTTTGGACTGGAAATGTAAGCCGTGTTTGAACTGGATGACTGGCCCTGACTTTGGTATTATAGCTCGCCTGATGTGAAGGGCAGACCAATGGGACTTGAAGTTGTGGGGTATCGCAAGTACGTGTACTCCTTCTCTTCTGGAATTGGACTGACACTCCGCCTCAGAGCTCGTCGAATCCGTCTTGGACACAAGAGCCCTTGCTCGTCTACCCAAGTCTACCACGACCACAACAGCAGCGGTACATACTGTGTCGCGAAAACGGGCCTCGCATCCGCCTCTCCCAAAACTCCCTACCGCATCGTCGGCGTAGCGAAAGCACTCAAAGCGCGAGGCCATGGCGGTACCTGGCATTCCCCTCCACCGTCCGAACGACCAAACGCTGCATCTGCATCCCTTTCAAGTCTACTTGCCACGGAAAAGGCGACGGACATGACCCTCGAACGCGACCCCAACTCGAGAAGGCACGACTACACTTACTTTAACAAACTCGCCGCTTTCCTCGTTGCCGACTCTACCAATATCAGCTATCAAGGCATCGGTCGCCTCGGGTTCGAGGCCTCCAAACCCACAGTCGCTCTCCTCAAACACTCATAGATCGAGCATCAGTATACCGAAATCTAGAGCAGCCGTCGCCGAATAGCTTGGCGCCATCCACCGATGGATCTGACTGGTCCCGCGTCTCGACGATGCAAAACCAGGCCGCTGGATACAACCGCGGCCAGTCGAGATATCCTGCATCGGAACAGTTCTTGTTTATACATTTTCACGGTCAAAATATTCTATCAATTTCAAATGGAAGAAAGAACACGAACAAATAACAGGAAGAAATCGTGAAAGGGTGAACTGAAATGGACGGAAGCAGCAAACACGGACGTCAAAGAAAAGAGTATGTATCGTAGGCGTAGACCAATTATTTTGCCTTCCTCCTATTGTTAGCAACTCGCTTGCTGGTGCGCTTCGTGCGAGGCTCCCGAACGTCTGGCATGGTCTCCGTATCCTCGTGCTTGCGCTACAAATGATCAGATGGTTTCAATACGACAATTTAAGAATACCTTGTTTGCTCCAACGCTTCTTGTTGTATTAGGTAAGCTAATGGCGGATTGAGATTGAAGGCGACGACGAGAGCCACCAAGTCGCTTAGGCTGCATGAGTTGGAGAACTTCTTTCGCTTCCATAGTACGAGGATGGTCGTCACCCAGGACCTCGATGCGCAGTTCTGTGGTCTCTTGTAGGAGCTTGATGCCTTCTTCCTGCTGACCAGAGTGACACAATGTAAGGGATAAGTTTTGTGAGGCGTCAAGCGTGTCTGGATGCTCTCGACCCAGGAGCTCAAGTCGCAGAGCGAGGACCTTTCGTTGCAACTTTTCTGCCTCGGCCATCTGACCACTGCTGTACAATGTGATGGCAAGGTTGCTTTCTGCTACCAACGTATCTGGATGTTCCTCTCCACGTAGCTCGAGCTGCAGGGCGAGTATCTCCCGTTGCATTTCTTCCGCCTCGTCAAATCGATCACGATCCCAGATTGTCAAGGCGAGGTTGCTCTTTGCATTGATAGTTTCGGGATGCCTTTCGCCAAGGGCATCGATCTGCAGGGCAAGCACTTGTCGTTGCATTGCCTCCGCCTCCTCCAGCTGACCGAGGCGTTGCAATGTAACAGCAAGGTTGTTCATTGTTATAATAGTGTCTGCATGCTGTCGACCTAACGTCTCGATCTGCCAAGTGAGTATATCTTTATACATTTCTTCCGCGTCGTCCAATTGGCCGAGCTCACTCAAGGTGGTTGCGAGGTTATTTCTGGCCAATATTGTTTCTGGATGCCGTTCTCCACCAATCTCCAGGCGTCGAGCTAGTACAATTCGTTCTATGTCTTCCGCTTCCTTCAACCGACCTCTGTGCCGCAAAGTCGTGGCTAAATTGGCCATTGCCATGATGGTGTCCGGATGCGCTTCTCCTAGCGTCTCCAGGCGGAGTTTCAGCACTGCGAGCTCCAACTTTTCCATCTCGTCGAATTCACCGCACCCATCTAACGCGATAGAAAGCGAGCTCATGATCCATATCGTGTCTTCGTGCTTTTCACCTTTATCCTGTCGAAGCTGCCCGAGGGCAAACTCTAGCAGCTCTCGACACGACTCCCAGTCACCCAAAGCCTTGTACAGCTCGTGAAAGGCCAACGCGTGCGCCGCATTTCCAAGTTGCACGGATCGAGGTATGGCGTTGGCATGGGGGAGCAGATGCCAAAGCCGTGCATTACTGCCCTCGTGGGGCCGGATCGAACCGAGTACGAGTTGCGCGGTTATGTTTGTATGCTGCTGGGCATTTCCTTCTCCCATGCGGTCCCTGATATACACTTGGAAGAGGGAATGAATGCTATAGAATAACCCATCGATCGAAACCTCGATAAACGAGGCGCGAGAGGCAGAATCAATAAGTTCCTGGAACTCGATTTCGTCCCACATCGAGCCTAAAGTCTCCTCGAGCTTGGACGCGAACTCCTTGTCACTCTCCGGGGGAGGACAGCTTTCCAAGACAGTATATGTCGTGAAACTGTTCATTGTTGACTCTTCAAAGAGAGTAATGGGAATGAGTGAGGGATGAAGAAATGCACAGAGCTTCAGGAATTCTTGTGTCTTTTCGGGGAGGTAGTTGAAGGAGAGGTCGAACGCGGTATAGGTCGAGTATGTGTACTCGCTGCCGATGTCTGGCTTCTGGCGCATAAGGCGATCTCGATGTTTACGAAACGTGTCGAGGTACGCATCGAGGCGCCGTGTCTTGCGAATATATGCCCCTGCCTGAGTGACGGCGAGCGCTAGCATCCCCAACTCTCTGACAATCTTGAGCGACTGGGCGTCATCTTGAGGTGTGACGTTAGCCATTCTATGAAGGAGCTCGATCGCCTCGTTCTCCTCCAGATCACCGACAAGAACTGCGCCATCTGGAGCGTAGTTGGCGCATTCACCATTTCGAGTGGTGATCAAAACTGCTCCATGAGTGGAAACAGGGAGGTATGGGCGAAGGTCGAGATCTGGAGAGTCGGCGTTGTCGAAGAACAGCAACCAGCCTTTTGCTTTTCCATCCAGGTATGCAACCGCATCATTCCAGGTCATCTCGCTGTACGCTGGGCCTAATACGCGGATCGAGGTCTCCAAGTCTTTTTCCAACTGGGTTTGACTGGAAGCATCTATGATAATAACCCGAGTGAACCTAGCCAACGATTAGAAATTTGCCCTCAAAGCTTGAGCAATTCGTACCGGCTTTCGTGATCCCGAATCCAATTCATGGCCAGCTGAGTTTTGCCCGCCCCACCGATCCCGTGCAATATGCACCGCGGCTGATGACGCGTATGACTATCTGGGAGCAGATTCTGCGTGATGAGGGATTGAATTTCCGGTCTATCGACGTAGTTCCGCGACACGACGAGTCGAGGTTTTAGTAATACGGCCTCATGCGACGACTGATCATCTACGGCTGATCATAATTAGTAAGCGAGCATGTCATTATGACTCCACAAACCTCGATGAGCGTCCTCTGTTGCCCATTTTTTTGTCACTGCAGTCATAGCCCCTTCGACATGCATCTTGATGTATGAAAGAATGGTCGAATAATTTGTCTGCTTTCTGCTGGTGAACTTGACCATTTCACAGTGGTCAGCGTCCAGTGCCTCTTCAGTCGCATGTCGATCTCCGCCAGCTGTTGCCGAATGACGTGGTACAATCTACACACTTCAGACACGAATGGACCAGTAGGCATTCTACTCACCATTTGCCTTTTACCGCCAATGATTGGCGTCTCATACACTTCGTAAAATAGAACAGTTTCAATCTCCTCGCTCGCCGAAACGTATAGATTCTGTATGTTCTCCAGCGCTGCCGAGTGTTCCATGAGATGCTGGAGGATAGAATCTGTTGTCCTCAGGTATATTGACAAAAGCCGGTTTATGGTGCGCAAAAGCTCGACGCCTTTCACCCCTGAATGAGGTGTTCCGAAGAAAAGAACGGCATGAGTAGACACCAATATATTCCGCAGTGGATTTGTCGAACCCCTGCTCTGGTTGTGACAAAGGACGAGTGCCTAGGCGACTATCAGATCAAGCAATTGGGTCTTGGGACGGGGATACCTGTTTAAGGACTATGCCTCCCAAACTGTGCGCAACGAAAATGATTGGTCTCTGCGGGAGTTTGAGATACATTTCGAGACGGACCAGCGCGCTACTCACACGTGGAATATCACTACGCTGCCGTAAGAGGGACTTGACAAACTTGTCCGCATGTTGATATATCGTCTGTGTTGAGACACACTCCCGACTGCGAGTATCAGCGTCGTAGCCATACACAAGGATTCGGGCGTTGGGTATGTCAGCTGGTAAGAGGTCTCGAAGCCACAAGACGCCACTCTCCGCCGTCCATGTCTTCTCTCTGTGGCCATCCAAGCCATGGATGGCGACAATGCTGACGTGGTCGGCTCAAGATTTCGCGCGTAAGCAAACCGTTACTCACTCAACGATAGGATCCGTCCCCGACGCGAGTTCGAGAAAGCCAAATTCATCCGTCTTCGACTTGGCTTTTGACGTTGAAAGATTGCTGATATCTGGGCCAAGGATGGTTGTCCCTTTGTCGGTCGTTTGTGACGAAGGTTTGGAAATGCGGAAAAGATCCCACAATCTCCAGCCAGGACCAGACATCCTGTGTGATCAAGATGGTTGGGAACAAGAACAGGCTTTTGCTGAGCAGCCTCGCGTCAAACGGCTGTTGAATGGAGACTGGCATGGTGGCTCCAGCCGTCTGCCAGCACCATTCACAATATCCGGTGGTAGGGAACAACGTGCGACCTCCTCTTTGCATAAGTAAGGTATTAGACAGATCGTGACGCCGCACAAGGTTGACCTTGTACAGCCCAATATTCGCTTCGACTCGTTAACTACCACACGCCTAGTGCGCAAGAAGACGACGCCAAATCTTAGGTAGACGGCGAAATTGATATGACTCTCGCCACCTGTGCTTGACAGGCCAGCCGGAGGCCGACGGGGGTTGCCTTGAGTTGCACAAGATATCAAATCAGAGATATATTCGATAAGGGATAGTTTTGCGAATCCCTATAAGTCCGGCGTTCTTACCATTTGTAATGAGGTGAGTAGATAAGATTAAGGCACTAAGAGGCCTTCTCTCTCCGTGTACTGAGCTCATACTCGAAGGCTGGACAGAGCCACCTGTCTCGAGACGCTCGTCTGCTAATGAAGTCACATATTTCTCCGACAATTTATGTCATTCTCTCATCCAATCGCATCCCAATATCAAAAGGGTGGTCTTCAGGCGCACGCATGTCAATGCGACGGAGTTCGTCCGCGCCATCTGCACTGAGTCGGGATTACCGGCTCCAAAGCTCGAAGAGATCACGATTGATTAGTGTACTGGCGTTACACAGGCTGACTGGGACGCGTCAAGGTTCATATATATCTTTGATGTATGGAGTTGGTAGAGAAAAATGTAAACAGAATTAAATACACCGATGCCTCTAGTTAGGATATATCGTTATTGCTCTCAAACGAGGATGTCTGTTCCTCGAGCCAACCAATGAGTTTGTCTCCACTTCGATATTGTTCTCGTGATCGATACGTGGCTCCTTGCGTCTTGCCCACGGCGCAAAGTACTAGCGCAGAGTCAGGTATGCAAGGAGAGAGTCAGACCACCGTACCTTTCCGTTATGTTTGAGCGCCTCGGGAGACGTAGCGACATACAAGGGAGTCAACGCGCCCATCTTTGTGGGGTACAGCATTGGCTTGCTCTATGAAATAATTAGAACCGGCTTCTGAGAGGGTATGAAGCATACGTACGAGTATCTGGCCCATCGCAGGTGCATGGCGTTGAAGATTTGACTCAATGCGCCCTATCGCCCGTCAGACATCCCCCATATAGCCCAGAGTATCCGATTCACCTGGATTGGCGCTTGCTGTAAAGATGTTGATACCTAATTCCGTCATCTTTCTTGCACGTGCAGCCGCAACCAGGATATTCCCAGATTTGCTCTGCATATACAACTGCGTAGTTCCGACGGCCCTTCTTGTGTCCCCATCTTTGAGAGTCTCAAGCTTGATTACCTCTCCACCGGTGAACGCACTAAGGAGATGTGCGTCTGAAGCCAACTCAACGATCCGCACACCGATAGGGTCAGTGGCGGAAATAGAAGAAGAGGTGGATTTGAGAGTTGGGAGGAGAAGGTGAGTGAAATAGTAGTGACCCAAGACGTTGGTTCCGAACTGAAGGTCATAGCCTTGGGCGGTCACATGGTCGACTGGTGGAGACATTACACCACTGGGAGAGAGTGAGATCCAAAAAGTAAGGCCAGGAAGACGCACGCGTTGTTGATAAGGAGATGCAGCTGGGTCTCTTTGCTGTATCTGATCAGCACGTTGACACTAAGATTACGTGAAGACAGTACCTTTGGAAAGCTGATGCCGCCCTCTTCACGCTTGACATGTCAGCGAGGTTAATCTCAAGCACGTGGACGTCTGCGTCCTTCACTTCATCGCGCAACTTGCGGACCGCAACCTCTCCGTTCGTAGTTGAGCGAGACGTGAGATAGACTTTGGCGTGCTTGGTTAATAATGCCTATGCGGTGTCATCTTCACCTCGGGACGACTTGTAGAGGACGTACCTTGACAATCTCGTATCCAATCCCTGCATTTCCGCCCGTGACGATAGCAACTTTGCCTGTGAGGTCTGGAATATCCTCCACTTTCCACTGAGGTGTTCCAGGAGCAAACTCTGCAAGTAGCTTGCAGACACCGTCCCATCGAATGCTACGCGGCATGCTGGAAGGGAGCAGATTTATCACCAAGGATGAAGCAACAGTGGTCTCCTTTATACCTCGGGGCTTTTTGGTGCTAAGACATGTTTGACCTGCCGTCCGCGGATTGCCAACTCGAGTGAGCAAATTTTGCCGTTGAGCGAGTTTTGCCATTCAACGGACTACCGAAGAAGATTCGTTTAATGTTTCATATTTACGAATCATTTCTCACGATTTTCGGCACTGGATCTGTTGGGTGAGCTCGTTTTTGATTACCTTCCAAAGGATCTGTGAGCAGCTAGAAACCAAGTAACCTCTCAGATAAAAAACTTGTTCAGATTCCAGGGAATCTACTGGTTCAACCATCTGAATCGGAATGTGGAAGAGACCAGAGTCCACTTTGGCCCTGACTTTTGTGTGGCGACATGGTCTGTATTTTCTATCCAGGTCCTGAGATGTGACTTAGATAGTATCTACCACGGGTATTCCTTATCTAATGTATTATTTCCTCTAGTCCTCGCCGCCAGAGCTCAGCCCGTCGCAACGAGCCGCTCAAACGCGACAGCGGTTGAAAAGACCGCGTTCTCCATCTCCATCAACAGGAAGAGGTCAAGCAGCTGGTACAAGTGGCAGATCGACTGCGCAACGCGCAACAAACATACGCGGCGCCGCCCGAAGCTCATCTCCTGACGGCCGTAACACATCTTTACCGCCATCCTCTCCCCAGAGATTTTCTGATACAGACGATAATAGCGGCATAAGTGATGTGGAGGCTGTTCCCGACGTGGATGAAGTGGAAGGACGACCAGTTGATGAAGACGACGAGGGCGAGGATCTCTTTGGCGAAGACATGGAAGAGTGAGATTCTACGCTAGTTTGCTGTGTGGAATGTATCTAATCTGATGCAGGGATTACGTTCGAGATCCTCGACTCGATCGATATGACAAACGCGATATCAACGATGAAGAGGAGTTTGATGAGATGGATCCCGCTGCGCGAAGGGCAGCCGAGCAAGCGATGGATAGACGTGATCGCGCTGCTGGTCGCGGGCCTGGACGACGCGCCGCCGCTCGGGAACGGATGCCGTTCATCCTGAGTGATGGAATGGAGGCAGACGACGATGATGACCTGGATCCTGCAGCTGGACTGTTGGCTGGTATGAAGCCGCGCGTACGCAAGCAGTATGACGAGCGGAAAGACATCGACGACGCAGAGGGGATCGAGGATGTGAGTTTTTCTTCGCCTCTGTCCATCTTGATGACTAATAACTGTGCAGACTATTCCTTTGGAACATCTTAGTGACATCAAGGCCAATTCGATCGCAGAATGGATCGCCACCCCGAGCGTACAGAGATCTATCGAACAGCACTTCCGTCACTTCCTACTCAGCTATAGAGACGAAGCAGGAAGTAGCGTATATGGAGAGCGCATCAAAGACCTAGGAGAGAGTCAGTGTGAGGTTCTATTCACCTTCGATCGCTGACGATCTCCAGCCAATGCGGAATCACTGGAAGTAAACTATCACCATTTAGCAAACTCTAAAGCCGTTCTCGCTTATTTCCTCAGCAACTCTCCGTCTAGTATGCTAGCCATATTCGACAACGTAGCACTGGCCTGCATTCTGCTCTTTTACCCTTCATACGAGCGCATTCACTCCGAAATTCATGTTCGAATCACGCATTTGCCTACCTTTTCCACCCTCCGTTCTCTCAGACGCAACGACTTGAACTCTCTCGTTCGTGTCTCTGGCGTCATTACACGTCGCACTGGCGTCTTCCCCCAACTCAAGTATGTCAAATTTGACTGCCGAAAGTGTGGAGCTGTGCTTGGGCCTTTCTATCAAGATGCGCTTGTCGCGGGAGGTGGAGGCAAAGGCGGTGGAAAGGAGGTCAAAATTGGCGTCTGTCCGCAGTGCTCTGGACGTGGACCTTTCACTGTCAACAGTGAAATGACAGTGTATCGAAACTATCAACGGATGACTTTGCAAGAAGCGCCTGGGAGCGTGCCACCTGGTCGCCTTCCTCGCCACCGGGAGGTAATCCTGCTCTGGGATCTCATCGATAGTGCAAAGCCCGGAGAAGAAGTCGAAGTGACGGGTATTTACCGTAACAACTTTGACGCATCACTCAATACGAAGAACGGCTTCCCCGTCTTCTCGACGATTATCGAGGCCAACTATATTTCGCGCAATTCGAACCCCTCACTCGCACTCACGCTAAGCGAGGCAGACGAAAAGGAAATAAGGCAACTCGGCAGGGACCCTCGAATCGCCAAACGCATATTCAAATCCATTGCGCCGTCCATATACGGTCACGAAGACATCAAAACTGCCATTGCGCTCAGCTTGTTTGGCGGAGTCAAGAAGAATATCAAGGACAAGCATCGTATCCGAGGCGACATCAACGTCCTGATGCTCGGAGATCCTGGAACGGCCAAGTCTCAGTTCCTCAAATACGTCGAGAAAACGGCACCGAGGGCGGTCTTCACGACAGGTCAAGGAGCCTCAGCTGTCGGTTTGACAGCCAGTGTCCGTAAAGACCCCGTGACACGCGAATGGACTCTGGAAGGTGGAGCGCTCGTCTTGGCGGATAAGGGAGTGTGTTTGATCGACGAGTTTGACAAGATGAATGAATCCGACCGTACGAGTATTCACGAGGCTATGGAACAACAAACGATTAGTGTCAGCAAAGCGGGTATTATCACAACACTTCAGGTAAATTTACTTCTTCTCATCTCCGCTTGGAACTTCTTTACTTACTCTCGGCTCTTTGGTAGGCTCGATGCGCTGTCATCGCGGCAGCAAATCCCATCAAGGGGCGGTACGACGGGACGGTTGGGTTTGGACAAAATGTCGCACTTACAGAGCCAATATTGTCCCGTTTCGACGTGCTCTGTGTTGTAAGAGACCTTGTGGATCCTGTTGTCGACGAGGTGAGCTCAACTTGCTTGTCCATAGAAAAAGGCTGACGCGAATAGCTCCTTGCGCGCTTCGTGATCGGAAGCCACCTTCGCAGCCATCCCAAATTCGAAGGCGAAGTTGAGGAGATGACTATTGGTGACAGCCTTGATCAAGACGTACGTATTTCCATTCCACAATGCGATTTATGGTCTCACTGAGCCTGTTTGGATAGATTATTCCACAAGATTTGCTTCGCAAATATATCCTCTATGCGCGCGAGCGTGTCGAGCCCAAATTACACGACATTGATCGCTCCAAGATGTCCAACTTGTTTGCGGATCTGAGACGAGAGAGTCTCGCCACTGGCAGTTTCCCCATCACAGTGAGACATTTGGAGAGCATGATTCGGTGAGGCCATACACTCGAAATACACGAATTGGGTACTTACACTGACTTTATGCGCCTCTAGAATGGCAGAGGCGAGCGCTAAAATGCATCTACGCGAGTACGTGCGCGCAGACGACGTCGATCTTGCTATCTCGGTTGCTGTTCAAAGCTTCCTCAGTGCGCAGAAGCTGAGCGTACGGAGGTCTCTCGAACGCGTACGTTCGTGTTTCTATCCTGACTTTACTCTATTCACCTGAAGAGTCTTGCTGATCGTAATTCTGATAGGGATTCCGCAAATACCTCTCGCACGCGCGGGATCACGAAGAGTTGCTAGCATTCTTGTTGGGGCAGATGATCAAAGACAAAGTTCGTCAGCACCAACTCGTCACTGGATCAGCACCAGATCGAGTCGTCGTCACAACCGAGGCACTCGAAGCGAGGGTACGTTCCTCCTGTGCTCATCCCACACTCACTGAGACTAATCATCTATAACAGGCAAAAGACCACGAGATATACGAAGCCGCGGCATTCTATCGTTCCAAGTTGTTTTCGACAAATGGGTACAAAATCAATGCGGCCGGAGAGATTGAAAAGGTGTTTAGATCGGATGCCGGGCTCTGATAAATCGCTCCGTGGGATGTGCATAATCGAACAGACAACATTTCGCCATACATTCGATGGGCCAAGGATGAAGTCTATTGTACAACTGCACCAGATTTCAATGATCTCGACTAGAGAATAACCGAGTGAATTCTGCCTCTTTGTCCAACTGTTGATAATGCGGCACCTCCAACCGGAGACCGCCAGATGGCGGCCGGGCGTTTCTCTTACTTCCTACCACCTTTGCGCCGAGTTTTGTCAACGTTTTACTCGTCCATGGATTCATTCAGCATTTGGAAGAATACTTGGGCACCGTGAGAGTAGCATTGGTTGGATCAGTAGAATTTTACACTGGGCAGGAGATGGACTCTCCTTGAGCTCGTCGACCGTATCCCAAACGAGTCCTTGCAGGCTATATTGGTTATCGTGGAGTCCACCAAGAGTATGCGTATTATTATTCAATCTCGCTTGCGTGTCGGAGATGGTGCGCGACTGCCCTGGTGCTGCACTGGCTCCACCTTGCCACCTCGCTCACTGGTGATGACTCCCGTCCAGAGCGCGTTTGAGATTTACATGACACGAATCCGCTTCATTCTCAACGAGCATCAGCCATCTTAACCAGGTCATCCCGCAAGTTCAATACCTAACGATAGCCTCATCAAGCGATGCATCTCTGAACTTATGGACACCCGCGGGGTGACCAGAGACGTCATTCCAATCGCTTCGTCCTTTGTTTTTTGACTATAAGGCTTCCATTGAAAACGCCGACCTTTGCACTCGTATCGACTCTCCTTCTCGTTCAACTTGCGGCCGTTGCTTCCTGTTTCGATTTGGGCTTCGTATGGGCAAATTAGATTACGTATCTGTGCATTATCCAAACCTGCAAATAAGCGATACGATAATGACATTGAAGACGACGCGACATTCCTCCTGTCATCTTCCTTGGCCATTCGATTTCCCCTGAATGCATCGTACAAGATTGATTACACTTCAATTCTGTTTCTGCTGTTCTGGCATTTTGGACTTTGAAACGTAAAGAGACCAGGGCTTCACTTCACGTGTTTCGCGAGTTCATCTTACAAGGTTTCGAAAGATACGGAACCGACGGACATCTCGGACGAGGGCCAGCTTCCTAGTTTGCCTGACAGTGTAATTTGCTAAGAAGCACTCGCTGGCATCGGCGGGCGATCGTCAACAACAGGGAATCGCTGCCACCTTTGTAATCGCGCAACTTGGTCTCCTCCACATCTGCTCACTCACTCGTCACAGCGTTTCCGCGGTCGGTAGCCCATCCGTGCTCTATAGACCCCGCTTTACTTACTGCCCGACTCTTTGAGATGTCTACTAAGGTAGAAAAGCCTCCAAAGCAACCTCCCAAGACGCTTTCGTTGAAGCGCAGCTTTGGGAAACTCCCGCGACTTTCCAAAGAAATGATATACGACAGTGTCCGGAACCAGCCTATTCCACAGATGCCGCTAGCTCTGGCACCCGCTGCACACGGTGCCTCTGTGGCGAATGGTGCAATCCCAGTGGACAACGACAAGCCGGCGTCCCCCACGTGGAGGAACTATTTTCCATTCTCCAGAAGGGGATCAAAGGCGGATCACGGTCCTGGGTCCTTGTTAGCCATGGATTCTCCACTTCCTTTAGCCGCTCTCGGGACTCAACCTCCAAAGGCGGGCTCACTCAGTGCCGGGACGTCAAAGACACTCAAAGAGCGAGCGCGCAGCTATGCTGACCTCGCCTCACTCAGCCTCTTCGATGATACTCCCAGAGCGATTCCTGGAGATGAGTCCAAGAGAAGGTATGCTTTGCGCAGTTGCCCTCGTCTATCTCTCATGAAATTACAGCGGTAATCTACTCGAGGCTCTGTCTCTCCCTTTCCGTAAGCATGCGACCAAGGGGTCTCATCGAGCGCGAAGCAAGAGCGATGCCACGATAGCCACCGACGATAGCCTTCCAGAGACTCCTCTTCAAACGCTTCAGCTCCTGGACCGACATGAATCATCTCCCATCCTCAATATTCGTGCCCATCCAGGGGGCTTCGATCACTACGTCCAGCGTTCCTCCCCTCTCGACCTCGAGTCACATTACGTCGACGTTGTGAGTATCTCTTGGCCTGATTTCGGACGCATACTCATGGATTACAGGCCCGGACACACGGCAACGTCGAGGGTTCCCCAGAGGCGAAGAAGAATCGATGCCTCCCACCATTGAGTGAGAGCATGATCTCTCTACGCACAGTTGAATCAGAATTCGATGGTCCCAACTATTTCATCCCTTGTATGGGATTATCGTTCCCCCTCCCGCCATCGTGCACGGAGGAAGACGTTACTGCTCTCTTCAGACTGGGCATCGACGTTGAAGATGCACAGGGGAGGCCAATATTTGCTCTTCCCAGGATCTCTCCAGCGAGCATGCCTCAGCCACTTCAAGATCCCCAAGCCTATGCGCGTATGCGCGCCATTACGTACAGTCCCAGCATCAAAGGACCCAACAACAAAGGAGCGAATCACTTCTAGCATGTCTTAATGACCGCCATCCGACTGTATCTTTAGCTTTGTGTATCACTACTCGCATATATAGAAATCTGTTCGTTGATCTCAACTACAACTTTGGCTGCCTAACGACTGAGCGGATTGCTCCATATGAGCATTCTAGACGAACTTCCTTCTATTCTATCTTCAAGTCACTCACATGGTCCCCCCGACTTGGAACCATTGGAGCCGATTCACTTTGGATTCTTCGTCCCAAGGCTGGATAGCAAACCTCAGAATCCAATTATTGATACAATAGAGCTCGAAGACTACTCCGGGCGCTCTTCACGACCTAGTCCAGGTGTAGCGAGTATCCAAACGGGCCAGCCATTGCAAGGTACCGTTGTGGTACCAAACGGTCAGGATGCCTTGAAGATTAGTATCCCGTCCAATAAAACGCCAGTCAGCGACATTTGGATGACGGCTGCGGCTGGTTCTGATGCCCTTGGGGTGCGTATCTCTCATAATTGCCATCCACTCTGCTTATAAATCATCAGAATAACCTCAAGACGTGGGATAGTGTCAGATATTCACGTACGAGAGATGCTGAGCGCGGGGACTTGCTCTCTGAACAAGATCCATCGGTTTTTGTCGCGGCCCAAGACTTGTGAGTCCATCTTGGAGGGGTTTCAATAAGCCTAACAACTCTCCTGATACAGTGTGATTCCTCACGTTCACGCTCCTGGTTCTTCACGGTTGCACTTCCCGCCAGCAGAGTTGATGGAGATTCTTGTTACGAACCTGACTGGCCATTCGTCGCGGCTATATGATTGGGACTCATCGACGGAGAGTTTCCGTCAGTCGAAAGAATATGCGGATAAGATTATTCTTGCCTATGGCTTCACAGAGGAACTGAGCAAGAGGTGTGTCGGGCCCTTGCGATGATTTATTGATATTTAGCTCTTTGTAGCATCATTTCGCTGTATCTTGCTATAGGAACATCTTTCCGAAGGTTGGATAGCCTCATCCAGGATGTTCGACACCGAGTTCTGCATCCGACCATGCATGCGTTTCTTCATTCTCTCGAGATGATTGTCGAGTCGCTGAGGAAGCAGCTCGCGAGAGCAAGGATTAGCAGTCTTCCGTCTTCTCCAGGCTTTGGCTTCAATATGCCGATATTAAAGAAAGTTTGGCAGCGCTTGCGGAACTATGCAATGTGGTACGTAGGACCGTCCAACTGAGCGGTTGTCTTATTGGTCTTTAGGACGCCACGGCCAGTCCACCATTTAAGCCAATTCCAGATGAGCCAGCGGCACTTCTCACACATATTTACACCTTTACCGAGCGTCACATCGCCTCTTTCTCACCTCGTAGTATTCGTGCCAGCTTTGCATATCTACTCTCAACCGCGTCTCACCCATTCCTCCGCACGGTGGAAGAAAGCATAGGAATTGGGAGTGCCAAGGGTTTACTCGTGAACCCTGCATCTAGTAGAAAGTCTGCATACGCAGAAACGGACGAATTCGGATTTCATGAGGAGGACGATGTCGCGGTCCTCAACATGGACGAAGCCCCGCCGGAATATCCATCCTTTTTCTCGGCCAAACTGAAGTCTGAGGTCATTCAGGCCACAAGAGGCCTCAAAGTCCTGACAGCGGCAGATCCTAATCATCCCCTCTTGAAGGACTATACGCAGAGACGATGCGAATGGGTATGGCATGAAGACAGAATCGAGGAGATATGCACTGGCTCAAAGCCCGAAGCCCTTATTAATGCGACTTTACACCTTGAATCTCGCTCTCATACGGAGCCAGATGAGGAAGGGGACGTAGAAGGCGTACAGTATAAGCCTGAACTGGCCAACTTTCGCATCTTCGACATGGAACCTGGTTCTCAGTGGAGTCGAGTTGACCAAGACGTGACATCTTTACCAATCGACACCACGCCATTCCAGTCATTCCTCGCCACGTTCCCAGATGAACTCCCTCTTTCAACACCTTCCATATCGCTCCTCGCGGATGTCGTCCTGATGCCTTTGAAGGTCCAGAGCGATCGTCTTCTCAATGCATTACTAGAGCGGTTCCTCACACCCCCGCTCAGCCTACCATCTCATTTCCTCCTCTTGCACTCCTTTATGCTCCTTGGTTCACAGAACTTTACCATGCGACTGCGTGGCGCCTTGTTTTCCGATTCGGATGCATATCAGCCAGTGGGGCGTGGAACCCGTGCAAGAACGAGGGCAAGGCTTGGAATCATGGATGACCGTGACATTGCCGCGGAACAGGAAGATCTCAATCGTGGACAGGATGGCATTAATGCACCCGCGAAGTGGGGAATCGGTCTGGGCGTTGGATTAAGCGAGAGGGGAATCTGGCCCCCTGGTGGGACAGAACTTGGGTTCGCCCTAAGGCGGGTCATCGTGGACACCCTCGATGAGATGAAGGCCGAGAAGCACTCGGGCCACGATGCGGACTCGGGCGATGAGGAGGAAGCTCCGAAAGAAGAGGTAGATGTCATCAAAGAAGCAGAGTGGAGACTGGGGTTCGCTATTCGTGATTTACCGATTGACGAAGCAAGGCAGGACTGGCTGAACCCTTCATCTCTTGCGTATGTGTCGAAGCTTTTGCCACCGAATTCTTACTCTGGATAGCGCTCTTGACTTTCTCTACCTCGACTACAAACCACCATTGCCTGTCGCCGCACTTATCACTCCTGTACTCTTGAGCAAGTACCAGCGCTTGTTCAACTTTCTCCTCCGACTCTTACGAGGTGCGTCCAAGTACCATTATTCTATGTCGTATCTTACACCAGCAGCTGATACCGTCTCCCGCGGTCTCTTCTGGAGCATTCAAAAAGGCGGAGCAGGCTTCAATTCCGCGGCGGCGACAGCACTTTTGCGACGGTTCCGTTTCCATACTCACACATTTGTCTCTGTACTGACCAGCTATGTCTTCGACACCGTCGTCAGGACGAATTTCGATGCGTTCAATCTCAAACTACGCACTATCGAAGAATTGCATTACATGAGACAACGCGAGTGGAATCAATTGAACACTGCCCGCCCAGGTTCGAGCCACCAGCAAGAACCTCCCAAGCCTGCGGCAGATATATTTGAAGTGATGGGGGATCATTCAAAGATGCTCGACAAGATCCTTGGCGGGTGTATGCTTAGGACGCAGCAAAGGGCGATATCAGACGTGGTAGAGGACATTCTCAGCATCATTCTCTTGTTGGGAAGCCTCGTGAGAGATTTCAAGAGACATGCTCTGAGCGAGGAAGATGCGACAGCGCAGCTACAAAAGTTGCACACCACGTTTGAGAGGAAGATGATGACACTGGTCCGTACTCTAGGTTATAGATCCGTAATATGGGCTAACGTTGAGTAGACAAAGGTACTTCGAGCCATGGACGACAAGAGCGAACTACGCTCTCTCCTTTCTGCCTTGGCTACAAGCGATCGGGACTACGAAGTCCTGACTCGCAATACTGGTACGAAGAGGGATATCGGCCTCAGTGATCTACTCGTACGGATGGATCCTGGCGAATGGTGGAAAAGAGAATTGGAACGCCGAACACGTGCTAAAAGGGCAAAAGATGCTACTCAGATCCCAGACATTGGCTGATGTCTATGTGAAAGTTTACTCTCTGATTATCGTAATCTATTTAATTAATAACTCGGACCAATGAGATCCCCTTCACAGTTCGTCAAGCGGATACCCGCAGCGCGCAGCAATGAGCTCCATTCTTTCCACGTTCTGAACTCGCGCGAGAGTTTCTTTCTACGAGGTACTTCCCAGCCTGACGTACCATAGCCTTCTGCGTTCCTGCCGCTTATAAGAAGAAATTCGTCGTCCAGCATCCGAATACAGCGCAATGTTGCGTGCCTACTTGCTAATGCTGTCAAATGTTCGGACAGTTGCTCCCTGCGATCGCTTTCGGGTCGATCGTACTCGTTCATCGCCCGGAAATCGGGTGGACATCCTTCCAAACTGACCTGTGAAAGATTTGGGAGGTCGATGTCTGGTGGAAGGGCAGGCATGACAGAGACGTTGAAGGTGAGCGCCTGCAGCACTGAGCATCCCTGTCGTCCGAGAAGGTCGTGCCAGGTCTGCGGTGGCATTGAACTGTATTCCAGCACCCGCAAGTGCAATTCGCGTAATGGAGGAAGGCATTCGAGAAGTCCGTAGACATCGGATTGCCACGGTGCTGAACCAATGAGAACCTCGAGCGTTTGTAAAGCTGGGATGGACCAACGGCGGGTATAGCGAATATATGCTCGGTGTAAGGTCGTGAGGTCGACACGGAGGGAAGTCAGATGCAAGAGGGGTATCTGTAGATCGGAAAGGGTATCGGAGAGACGCGTGGAGCATAAGAAAGCTTGGCCTAGGACAAGTTTTCGCAAGTATGGTGCATGTCGAAGAAGAAAGGTGAGGTCGCCTACGATGATGCCTTCTTTGCCAGACCATTCGAGTCGTTCGAGCGACGTATCTCCCTCTCCTGCTGCAACATTGCGTTGCGTCGGGTGTGGTAAGTAGTCGCCTATCTTCGGTCTAAGACCTTCGATGCTGCTGAGTGCATTGATGATAGGTGAAGGCGTTGGAATGCCAGCCTGAGGGTTCTTGTTGACATAGATAAGTAGGTTCGGACAGCACTTGAGCAAGTCGGACATGATATCGGCATAGATGATATGATCCGACGGATCTTTGCCCACTGCGCTGCTTCTCAGTAACCCATACCGGCGTTGCCGAACTACTCACAGTCAATCTTGGTTTCAATCCTTCTAATTAATGCGCCATATCCCACCCCTTCGCCTTGCAACAATAAACGAATATTATGTGGTCCTGGCACGTATCGATATCGTGAGGCTCGGACGAGCCCGGTGAGGAGTTGGAGTTGGTGCAGCGACATGAACGTCACGTTTCTGAATAAATACGGTAGCCCAACCTTTCGCCATTGTGAGGATGTTGCGGAGATGGCGAGCTTGACCTGTAGACTCGTTGAAAGTGGCGCGCCGCCGTTGGTCCCTGACGAAGGTGAGGTTGGTGAAAGTCTGAGGTTCGCTGAGAATGATGGAGAGTATCTCGACGCTGAGCCCCTTCGTGCAGGACCCATCGCAGAATCTGGCGTTGCGCCCATCGGCGACGACGAGGAATGGGGTCCAGAGTGATGCATGCCGTCCATTTCACTCGAATGATTGCGCTTCATACCATTTTCATTATGAAGAAATTGGTGGAGACGTAGGCGTTGGTTCTGCGGCTCATACAGGGGATCCAACAGGTTGGATTCTCCGATCGCAAACTCGAAAATCTCTCGCCATAGTTCGACTGGGAGGTCATTTACTGTGCTCATGGTGAAAACAAGGTTCCAGAGTGGAAACGCAGAACGCTTGTGGTGATGGTTAGGTCCAAGTTCGACCAGGTAATGCAATGCTATCCTACGTGATTCACGCCGGAGAATATAAACACATTAAAATGTAGTAAGAGCGTCCGAATCATCATCGTCAATGAGCGTCGCACTCGGAAGGGCGGATCTGGTCTAGTCATTCGCGCCCTTCCATTTCCAGGTCATTGTTCCCGGAGACATTGCTTGTATCGATTCCATATATAGTCCTTGATCAAGGAGTCAGAAGATCCTCTACAATGACGGTGGCATACCTGGAAAGTGACTGAACATCCATCCAGCAAGCGGTATGTATTGCACAAAAATCATCCACTTTGGAACTTGCATGCCCTCAGGAACCTTCCCGGCTCTATTCGGCGGAATTCCTGTGACGGCTGTAGCGACGGTACCAGCCGGTGCATAGTTGTTCGCCGCAATGCTTGGCTTGCCATTTCGGCGCATCTTGACTTCTGTTCCCATATGCGCAAATGCGAACAGCGAGTCTGGGTACGCGTAGTTTGGATCGTCACCAAACGCTGGGAAGAGCGTCGCCACCGCATCGTGGTGCTATTCAGACGGTCAGCGGATACCCACTTCTCCGTGTATACACTTCACATTGACAATGCGCCATGGCGTGCGAGGAGGACAAGCACCCTTGAGAAGACTGTTGTTGAAGACTGCGTGCGATTAGACGTGCTGAGCCCTTGTCAAAGATGTGGAACTCACGCTTGGCAGACGGCATATCGCACGCGATAGGTGAGCTGAAGAGATAGGCATCGCAAATCCTCACTCGACTGTCCAGACCGTCGATATACATCATGGCGCGGGCGTATGCCAGACTGGCGATTCCACTGCCCAGAGAATGGCCTATCACAGCATCACTCAGTATTTCTCCGACAAGGAAGGTGTGCTTACCGGTGAAGTATACATTCGCAATCTCGGCCCCATTGCGCAGGAGCAGGTCGTCCGTAATAACTTTAATACCAGCCATGATCGTTTCTTTAAAATGTCAGGCATTTGACATATTAGGATTGATACTCATACCATATGGAGTGCGGTTGAGTGTCGGCTCATCCGGAAACAGTCGGTTTTTGAACCCATGATGAGCTAAAACCATCAGGCGAAGCAGGGCAAGAGATAGGAGTCTTACCAGTTCCATAACCGGGAATGTATTCTCCAATAGGAACACGCGTATAATCAAAGTCTACCAGCCACTCTATCAAGGCGTCAGCAGAATCGCGAGAAGAGACGGATAACTGGCCATCGAACTCTGGTGGTGAAGTCCCTACGATACATCAGTATCATTATCACTAGGAAAGCCGACTCCTACCCTTGAATGCCACGACTACCCAATTGCTCATCTTGTCCCAAAAGGCAGCGCAATAAGCCGAGCTCGCACTATCAAGCTCGCTCAGTGGCTCATATTCAAACCCCCATTTTTGCATTGCATCGTAAATCACACCACCGTCTTTTGTAGCCGCTACCTCTGTCTCCCCTGTTGATCCATTTGCGTTGGTGCTTGCGGTAGAGAGCGTGCTTGATAGGGTTTTTGTTGTGTGGGCCGCACTGGTTGAGTATAAATACGATACGGAGACTGAGATATGTACTGCCGCTGCCAGTCTGCAAAGGCTGGAGGGAACGTCCCGTAGCGTGGGTGTCCTTGCGTTAGTATACTTTGGTTGGGTTGAAGGGGTGCCTCCGGAGCGGCTTCTATGCGCGTGGGTGAAGCCACAATTTGCGTTGCCGATTCTTCGTCTCCTGCCAGTCGCTGAGGTGGGACGGTGCTGAGCGTGGATGCTCTGGATGACTGAGAGGTCATGGTGGAACTTCGAGTTCGCAAATGTCGGCGATAGAATTCACGTTCGTGGTTGGGTCGGAGCGCTAAGCGGACTTCTTCTGGGATGATATGGCCCCAATCAAGGGAGCTACACTGGCGGATGGCTTCCTGCTTCGCCTCGGTGGAACGCTCGTAAACGAGTCCGGTAAACAGAAGCCTAAAATGGGAATAAATAACAAAGAATAGGCAGAAACGCTGACGCACATCATCTTGGCAACGTCAATATCCATGACATGGTCCTGCTGCGGCTTGGTGCTGGACATGGCGTCCTTGGCCAACCCTAGTTCTTCCTCACTAAAGTTTTTGAACATGCCGCTGTTCACTAACAATCGTCAGAACTCGCAATACAAGACGAGGACTACAAACCAATATTGATAAAGCTGACGCCATCATGTTCGCTATTTGCATAAGCATCGAATGCCTTTCCAACAAAGGAATCTTTGCTATGATGCAGATAATGACTCCAGCCGTGAGGATGATGGTGATGCATGTCGAGAATACGAGGGACATTAGAAAGTCGATGGGTGCTACAGACGACGATGAAAGACTGATCAGACCTCCGGGTTCTATCACTTAGAGCATGTGATACTCACAAACCCCACCGACCAGCATCTTGCCAAAGGAATAGACGACCCCCCACCACGTCTTCCAAGTCGCCTTGAAATAATTCTTCATAGTTCTAGCTGTCAACTGGAGGTACTGTCCAGTAGCGCTGCTCCTCCGAGGTCCCTTCTTTGCAATGTCTGGAAACTCGTCTGAAAGCAACGCTCGAATAGCATAATGCACTTGTTTCGTTGCTTCTTCTGCTGATATACCATTTAGTTGCGGTTCCTTATTGAGAGAAGGCTCTGTCGGCGCGCTTGTTGGGTCTATTGGGAGCGTTGCAGCCCTGTGTGCGTCTTGAAGTGCTGCATCGTCGTCCATTTTCCTTTCTTCGGACTCAGCGACTTGTTTAAATCAGGTTTTCTTCCAACTTGAGCGATTTGAACAATTCGGCAAGGAGCAAGTTTACTATGACGCCAAGCCGAGCGGCACCGACAAACATGGAATACAACCAAATTCCACGTATAATTCATATCTTGGAAATATATTGAAAATAATCTCGGGGAAATATTTGCAACTCCGCTTTTATGCGCCGGCCACTGCGACAACTTTGAATTCCCACCACGTCTACCGGGGCTCCTCTACATCTCGCAGTTTGTACATCTGCACACTTATTCAGACTGTAGAACTCGGATACATCCCTTTTAATTTCCTTGCTATGGACCTCTTACGAAACTTGGGCTCCGCTGCGGCGACTTCTCTCCTCCAAAAGTCTGGAATATCGCTACCATACTCACTAGGAGAAAAGGTTCATGACTATGATGGTAAATCCATATGGACCCTATACGATGCCACGAAGAAGGTTGGACCCTGCCCTTATCAAAGCGGCGATTCTGATATATAACCAGGACGACTCCTCTCCCGTATCCGTATTTCATTTCGATGCATCAGGGAACAGAAGAACCCATCTTCCGTTTGCAAGAAATGCACTCAAGAAGCTCAGAACTACACGACATCCCGACATTCTCAAATTCATTGACGTTGTTGAACAAGGGGAGAGTATGTGGATAATGACAGAACGCGTACGCCCTCTGCGGCCAGTCCTTTTTTCGTGGGTCAGCTCGACCGGGAGCGCGAAAGGGAAAGATAAGGAGCGAGAGGGCTGGACAATATGGGGATTACACCGAATAGCCATTGCATTGGCCTTTCTCAACTCGACTGGTGCGTCGACACATGGTAATGTTTCAATCGACTCGATATTTCTTTCACCGTCTGGCGAATGGAGACTTGGAGGCTTGGAGCTGCTATCATCGACCAAGGACGAAAACCCAGTCTTATTCGTAAGCGATATGGGTCATTTAGATCATCTTACTCACCCAGTGCCCAGACGCTCGGCAGCCAGTTTCCGCGAAATCAAGACATCTCGTCTCCCGAGGTGAAGAAAAACGGGTGGAATGCCATCAAGGAGTTGGATCCAGGAATATCCGACGCGTATGCACTAGGCCTCCTCCTCAACAGTGCCTTCAATCAGACGAACGAGCTTCCTGCTACGGCACACCCTCCACATCCAGCCCCTACAGGAGCATCACGTGGGCAGATACCACCGGGTATCTTTCCTCTGTACAAAAGATTGCTCAACCCCGGGACCAAGCAACGCCTTACATGCCAGGCTTTCTTGGAAATTGGCATGGGAGAAAAGGCGGGTGTCGATGGAGCCCCGGGGCGATTCTTTGCGGATAACCATCTCGTACGCGTCTGCAGTCAACTAGAAGGATATCCTCTCGCATCGGATGGCGAAAAGGCTGAATTCATTCGGTACGACCCTCCATGTCTTTGAATGAAATTTCCCTAACGTGGCACAAAAAGAGATCTCAGGGACTCTGCGGGGTCGTTTCCTCCCGAGTTTGCCATCAACCGCCTTATTCCTGCCATGTTTTCGGGCCTATCTCACGGGGGTGCCAACGCAGAGATGGTCATCTCCCTCGTTCTCGAGTTTGGAAAATTAGCCGACCCAAACGAAGTCGGTACTACGACTAGTAAGTTGCAGAAATCTAGCCTAGCGAAAGCCTAAAATCCTAAGCTTCAGCGTCGCGGAGCACCTACAAACTCGACCAGAATCAGTATAACCAGATCATTTTGACGCCATTAGTCAAGCTTTTCACGAGTACTGACCGTGCTACACGGATGGCGTTGCTAAAGAATATGCCACAGTTTGCACCAAAGCTGGAGGCGAAGGTTGTGCAAGATGGCGTATGGCCGCACCTGGTACGTATCTCTGGTTACATGTAGCAATTCAATGGCTGAACCATATTCAGCAAACTGGCTTATCAGACACAGTTGCCGCTATTCGAGAGGCAACCCTGATTGCTATCAACGAGATACCTAACAAGGTAAACCGTGTCATGATCAGTGTCTACTCTGATACTCAACATCTTTCAGCTATCGAGCAGGGTACTGAACAATGATCTCCTCCGGCACCTGGCCCGGCTACAATCCGATCCGGAGCCATCTATCCGAACAAACACATGTATCATGATCGCCAAACTCGCCCCTTTGCTATCAGAGAGTACGCAAAAGGTACCTTCTCCTCTGTCAGATGGGAGCTGTGTTCATTCGCCTCTAGAAAGTCCTTGTCCCGGCATTCTCAAAGGCACTTAAAGACCCATTCGTTCACGCGCGTATCGCGGCTCTCCAAGGATTTACCTCTTGCGTCGACTGTTTCGACATGGAAGATGCCGCGACAAAGGTCATCGGTGTTATTGCATCCGGTTTGGTTGACAAGGAGAAGTAAGGCTTTCGCAGAACACGAACACACTGTGTTGACGCTTCATAGAGTGGTCAGAGATCCAGCGTTCAAGTGCTTTGATACGTATCGACAACGGATCGAAAAGTATGCCGCATCTCTGGTACGTTCTTGCTCTCGTAGTACTCTGTACCTAATGTCGTTTGCAGCCAGAGACTGCTATTCCACAGGGAGGCGTTCCACCAGGTGCCCTGCCCGCCACTGGAATATCCTCTGGTGATATCTTGTCCACTGCGACAGGTATGGCAGGCGGCGTGGCTGGATGGGCTTTTGAGTCACTTAGTAGTCGGGTATGTATTCAACCTTGGAGACAAGCAAACGCTCATATTCAATTAGCTGGTACCGAAGGATCTCAACAGTAAAATGGCCACACCTCCTCCACCATCCACTGGCTCTGTACCAACTACGTCTATGTCCACCCCTGCTACCCCGAGTTCTTCCGTAGCGCCCAGCGTTAAACCTACACCTAATCGCGCTCCTCCAGTTCGACAGACTGCCAAGCCCAAAGGAATGGCACTCGGTTCCAAATTGGGAGCAAAAGGTGGCCATGCAGCACTCATGGCAGAACTGGAGAAGGAGATGAACGAGGACGCGGCCGATATCGCAGAGGCCTGGGATGACAACGACGAGCAAGTCGCGCCAAATGGAGATTTGATGGATGTACATGCCGATCAAGATGATTGGAGTAAGACCAGCGAGTTGAAAGAGCTATCTACTGATCAAATGTCCATAGGCGCATTCGAATCCGCACCGACTCCCGTTGTGACGGTGTCCACGTCGGGCGTGAGCGGACTAGCGTCCTCGAACCCTTGGAAGGATTCAGTAGAAGACGTCACGTCTGCATTTAGCAAACCACCGACATACCCATCACTCTCCACGCAGAGTGTATTGCAGCCAAAGTCGGTGACGTCCCCAACAGCAGCCTCTGGGAGGTCGACACCTTCTGCGGTTATGTCTACGGTGCCTTCTACATGGCAGTCCCCTGTCACCTCACCAAAACCGACAGCAGTCAAGGACGACTGGGGTAACGACGACATGGTACCCGTGGCAGCTCAAGTACAAGCATCAACGGCTTCGGATATTGGAAAGGCCTCTCCGGCGGCGAGTCTGAGTGGAATGAGTAAAGAAGAAAAGGCGGCGGAGATGGCTAGAAGGAGAGAGGAGCGCAAGGCCAGGATTGCACAGCTCAAAGAGCAGAAGAAGGGTGCTGCGTAGAGCATGTTCCAGTTTGTTTGGGTGTAATTATATATCGATGACATTCCCTCTGGACTTCCTTATATCGGGCCGGATATCGGTAAATCTGTGAATAAACATAATAATGAATATGCTGATTGATTATTCTGGGTCTTCTGAGGATAATCCGAGAATTTCCATCTTTGAGCTGAATACCAAAAGTTGTGCTGGCCAACCTTGCCGCTGTCCATGTCCAAGGGCTGCTGCCGTCTTGCCTTATGGACGTCCAAACAGCGCCAATCGACATAAAACCAACGATTCACTCCCTCAATGGCTTCAAAGACGCGCCTCTAACCGTTCCAAATGGCCAACCGAGGCTGACAGACGGCTTACCACCAAATGGAATCGCACATGAAATGGGAAACGATGTCAAGCATTTACAAGACGATGCGGAATGGCCGTCGCTGCAGGATTTGGAAAAGGAGCTCCCTCAAATTTACGACGGGCAAGTGTCTGTAGCACACGTGATGCACCAGCTCGTACACGATCTGTATTCTCAGCTAACAAACATTGCCGAAACGTATGTGCCCCATTTCTGTCTGTTCATGGCCTCTTTGTCCTTTCCGTGCTCTGTAGTCACCCAATTCTTCGTTCCAAGACAATGTTTTGGACCAGATGTCAGGGTATTTTCGAATGAACGATAAGCTGATGGCATTTTATGTAGTCTAGGACGCGCGTCGGATACCGTCAAAAAGGCAAGACTGCAGCAATGGCTCTCGCTAGCCCACAAACAGGCATCCAAGGTCTACGTTCTTGCCAAATGGAGTCGAAACGCCGAGGACATCCAAAAAGCGATGAACATTGCAGCCTTTTTGCGGACTCAAGGAGAGCAGATCATTTGGGCCACAAAGGCCCTACATTCAGTGCAAGATGAAGCCCACCGACTTCGTGTGCGGAATCCGGATCTGTTGACGGCTCTGGATGTCCTAACTACTGGTACCTACACGCGCCTCGCCTCGATTCACCAGGAGACGTTTGTAAAGAAGAAACCTCTAAGCAATAAGGAAGTGGCGCAGGTCTTCAGTCAAGTAGAAGATGTCATGAGAATGAGGCTACTGTGTCGCGATGTCATCCCCGTCGAGATGCGTCGTTGGCGGATAGAAGACGGAAGGACGTTCTTCACCGTACCTCAGCAGTTCGAAGCCTCGATGATTATGACTGGTGCGCAAAAGGACGACGTTTGGGCATTTGTTCATGTCGAGTTTTTGTTCGGTGTCCCGGAGGGTGAGCGAAAGGGGAGCAGAGGTGATCCACTCTCTATGTAGCACAAAACGACACTGAACTAGCCCAGAGTTCCCAAGGCGACCGCCAAAGGTGTTCACAGACGATCTCTCATTCCAGATACGCGACATCATCATGTCACCACCGCTTCCTGTCCTTAACTACCCTATACCTGATGCGCCACTTGCAAGTGCTGTAGTGGATGCACCCCTTGTTCGAGTCTACAACTTTCTTCGTGAGTGTTTAGACCGTTCCAAGACAAGTCTAAAGTTGCTTCCTAGAACTCTTATCGTTAACTTATCAACTGGAAATCTTGATATATCAAGCAACTCAACTTTTAGACTGCGGTTGGAAAGAAACGCTCAAAGTCAGGGTATCCGCCAACCGACGGAGTTTGACCGTCCAATACTGGGTGTACGTGGTAAAGATATGGTTTCTTCCGTCCTCTTACCACTATGCAGGCGAGAACCACCTCAGGTCAGCCGAAACCCCCAAATTCCCATGCCGAAGCCCGTCCCACTGAGCGGTGGAGAGGTTACCATCTCAATAGTCAGCTCAACGGACCCTATCGACCCGCAACCTCAGGGGCCATTCCCTCCTTTCGGTTACCCGACTGCCATGACTTCGGCCACATCCTCATCTGCGCAGGCCACCCGAAAGCGATCCAACTTTCGAACGCCAGTGGACCAGTTCAAGGCCGAGATGGAGAATCGCCTCAAGCTCAAAGGTGCCAAAGCGTCCGACGAAGTCGAGCATTACAAGTTTGAAGTCCGATGGAAACCTCAACAAGGAGCTTTGGGGGTCGTTATCAATTTGCTCGCTCTCGACCACGAGGGACTCGAGATTGTACGTCTAGGAAATCGCCGTAGGACGTTATCTAATACCGTGTTGCTAGGATTCCAATTGCCTCGACTTTGAAGATCTCTTGCGGAAGATCCTTCGCCGACATGCAAATGCCATCATGGCCAGGCATGTTGAGACGGTTGAAGGCATCATTACGTCGGAGGGTTTACGTCTCTTCCCGCATCCGGGAGACGTCGTGTTTATGCAACGAGGTGCGTACTCCTCGTATTGTAGCATTTTGCATATTAATTCTTGTAGGCGAGGACATGGTTCTCCGAGTTCAACTCGCTGGTGATCAACACATGATGGTCGCCATGGATATTCAACACGGCCGATATGTCATCTATGAGTCTGGAGATCTAGGCGCAGTCGTTCGTGGAGGACGTTGGCGCATCTGCCAACTGCGAGTCAATCTCGACCCAGCTTGCGTCCTTGAGATGTGCTCTCGAATACGTGGTACGGCTGTCATTGAAATGCTAGAGACGCGCGCAAATCTTCTCGGTCTCACCACCTTTCGACACCGGTATCTCATCAGTACGTCCCTCGCGCAACTAGGGCAAAACACTGGTATACTCTTCATCCAACTTGCCAAATTTCCTCAGCATTATGCCGTCATACTCCTTGCGGAAGTTGGTCTGAGGTTTGCGCTCATCGAGGTGCATGAAATGATGAGTGAATATGGAACGGGCACGGGCGAGTATTCCATTACCGACATCGCCTGGGTACAAGCGGAGCGATTCCTTGGACTTGTCACTCCAGATAACCAGCCTGTTCTACGAGCGCAGCCCTCTCACGACGGGACCGCGGATGTGTTGATGGGGGACAAACAAAAGGAAGATCTGGACGTAGGAATCAGACCCACCGGTCCCATTCAATACGACCCGTTGGATATGTCGATTCAACAAATTCGCGATCTTCATGCGTATTGCCGTGCTCGCGTCGCGCATCTGCTCATCGAGTCGCAGCTCAAAGCCCGCAACATTCCCTGTGTACAAGTCCATCCTTGTCGCTCCAATCATTCTCGTCCTTTGCAAGCGACGTCGTCTACGAACCAACGTGGTGGTGTCGAAAAGCGCGCACCGCTTAGGTCACCGCTGGAACCTCATCTTCCGATTTTGAGCGTGCGAGCGACGGATATGCTTGCTGGGGCAAGTGCCGCAGAAGCAGCGATGCCCAATATCCGCATCGAACCTACAGAGTGGTGGTCGTTGGACAACGAGTGCATGGTACATACCAGTGTACAGCTCAAGTACGTGCAGCCGTTGGAGGGCGCAAAGGGGAATGCGAGCACCAACGATGGCAAGCTGATCCGACCGTCGGAGAACATCTCATATGATACAAAGACGAGCGTGATCACTTTCCTCTCTAAGCGCGTTGGTGACTGCGTGGATGAATTCCTCAAAGAGTGGGCCAGGGTGTCAAAGGTTGTCATCATTGCGCGACAGAGTATGTACGATTGTCGACCATTTATAACCGACTGACACCTATCTACAGTCTCATTGATGCCGGACCGCAAAGGATGGAAAGATGTTCGCATATTATCCTTCGACCTTCAAACGGTCGAATTCGCTTATTATCAGGATTACTCGTTGTCAATCACCTCCGTCGAAGGTCTCTATCGCCTCTCATTCTCCCGTGTTCCCTCGGCTGTGATACAGTCGTTGAGTCGAACGAACACTATTGACGCGATGGACATCTCGCAAGAGGACACTGAACGACCCATTGTCCGCAACGCGCATGAGGACTCTTCGCGTTTCGCTCAAGATTTGCTCAAGGATGACCGACTCGGGAGCTCGGTCTTTGAGCTCGTTGGATTCCTTCGGCTCACCATTGGCATCGTGGAAATGCTCGACACGCTCGTTTTCGAAAATGGGGAAACCACCTCGGCGCCTTCCACTACGCCGACAAAACGCGTCAATCCACGATTTGACATTGTGGTCAAAGCCGCTGGATGGTGGCGATTGCGGTACTCGCAAGGGAAATTATTTGGACCTCCAGAGGAGAGCAAGGTGTACGCGATGGACGTTCGACTTGTCAACGGTAGGATCTTGATCGTGGATGGAAGTGTCGACCTGAGGAATGGCAAGCTGGGGTCCACCGCGCCAAGCTCTGAAGCTACGTCTGCCGCTCCTGCTAGGGAGCGTCATGGACTCAGTGCACTACTTCCGGTTCCAAAGATGGAGGAACATGTCACAGCTGTGCTGAATGACGTGAAAGCATTGGGAGTTCCGAGCGATGGTGTGCTCCCGGTCAGCTATGGTCACGCCATCATCTGTGGGTGTATTGGCGCACCAGAGCTAATTAAGCGCCTCCACGAGAAGCTCCTCTCGAGTCTCTAGGTTTTAACTAATGGTTTTTACCAAGTAGATGTATTATCTGTTCTTGTTCTAGTCGTGCATAAATTCGTTTGCTCTTGAAAATTCATTCATTTCAGTCATCTACCCGTTTACATGACAATGATTCGTTCCGTTTGTCTATCCCTACGACCACTTGAGCGTAAAGGTGTTTTTTCAGGGGTTGCGTAACGTTGACGGAGACACTCTTGCTCGTGTCATTGTACTGCACCATATTGCTAGCGACATTCTGTCCATTGAGGCTGATGTTATTCGGGCGACCCGACAGCCCCAGAATGCGAACATTGCGATACTTGAGCGATCCGACATTGTAATTTCCCTGAGACTTGACGGTCAACTTTCTGTCCTTGTACGTATACTGTGCTGTATAGGTACTCGACTGCTCGAGCGACTCGCCATCGTCAATGTACAATGTCCCCGATGCCTGGCCAGACTTGCTCGGCGCAACGACGAGCTCAAAGTCCTTTTGACGGAGCTGCTTTGTTGTATATGCGCTCGAGACGCGGAGAGGAAGGACAGCGCCACCGCGGATGTAGACGGGGATGTCGGTGTAGGCGACATTGGTCAACTGCGTCGTCGAGCCTGTACCGTTGATGAACGTGTACGACTTGAAGTCGTAGAAGTAGTCGTTGGGGAGATAAATGGATACGTCGGTAACGTTTTCTTGTGTGACAGGCGAGACGAGGACGGATTCGCCAAAGAGGAATTGCAAGTCGATGCCAAACGTATTCGAGTCGGTCGGGTATTGGTACCATAGAGGCTGGAGGACGGGCGTTCCGTCGACGTGCGCTTGGTGGAGGGCAGTGTAGAAGTAATCGAGCAAGCGGTAGCGCATGTCAATGGCGTTGCGCGCAGCTTGTGCGACCGTTGGCCAGCGGTAAAATTCTTGAGAGATGGACGTGTCGCCGTTGTGGTTGCGATAAAAGGGGTTGAATGCACCAAGAGTTGCCCATCGTGCACAGAGCGTCTCTGTCGTGTTGCCTCCGAATCCACTACAGGTTGTCAGACAGTGCACGTCAAGAGAAGACAAAGACTGACCAGCTGTCGCTTCCAACCTCGGGAACTTGATAGATGGAAGCAAAGCCGAGCATACCCGCAATCGAGTTGCGGTAGTGATCCCAAGTGCTGCCGTGAATGAGCATACTGACTCTACCAAAGCAAAAACCTACTCACGAAAGATTGTCACCGAGCCACTTGCCAACCTTGGCACCAGCACCAGCAAAGGTCGAGCGAGTGATGACAAACGGACGTTTTCCAGGTCTTCGAGTAAGGAGAGCCTCACGAGTGGCCGTCGACATCATCGTGCCGTACAAATTGTCTACCAAATGATCAGTCAATTGATCCGGTAGCACTCGGTGTACTTACGCGTATCGTATTCAATCAAACCATTGGCATGGACGACGTTTGTAAAGGCAGTTCGATCACTGAGGTGAGGCAAGACGTTTCCAATGGCGTATGGTGGGTTGAGAACGTCGGTATAGTTGCTTCCACGCTTGAGGAGACTAGCGGTAAGACTAGGAATGGTGGTACCGATGGGGAGCGAGGCAGTCTTGTCTGGGGGTGGGCTCGTCCTGCTTGGTGGCAAGTTCTGAGAGCTGGCTTCGGCGGATGGATTAGCACAAGGGTACTCGCAGAAAGAAGCGGGTTCCTATGAAACTAGTAAGAAGTTGTATCTTTCAACCAAGCCGGTTGACGTACGTTCATATCTAGTAAGCGGTCAGCTTTCGATCTCCATTGTTAGAAGAGCCACATACCAATCCAGATGCCATCGACGTTGAGTCCAGTCTCGGGATTGAAGAAAAGTGCAAACTCGTTTGTCCAATATGCTTGGGTCTTTGGATTGAACCAATCTGGCCAGACAGTCACACCGGGCCAGACCACTGTACGCAGCTAAGTTTGCATCTTTTCTGAGCAAGGTCAACCTACAGCCTTCGAAGTTGGTCCCGTTGGGATTCTTCATCCAGATTCCCAGAGCTTGGCCACGATCATATGCCGTAGATACACCTGGCTTGACTCCGACGGCGGGATCAACCATGACGACTGATAGACGATGAGAGGATGATATAGGCTGTTTCGGTTACTCACTATACTGTTGTCCTCTGGCGTGAAGGTCGCTGACAATCTCCCGCATGCGAGCCATTGGGAAGTAGTTTGGATCGTTGGTGAACACTAGGCGCTCGTACATGTAGTCAACTGTATAGAGGTTAGTCAAGTTTGACGATAAGTCTATACTTACTGTCCGTCCACATCGTCTCCAACGGAATGTTCGCAGCAGAATAGTTGGCGACGACTTGTGCGACTTCAAGATAGTTCTGGTATCCGTATCTGCACTGGTGTAGCCCGAGACCCCAATAGGGAATCTCTGCTGGAAGACCGACGAGCTTGGCGTACTGCTTTGACAGTTCGATGGGAGAAGGACCAGCGAGGAAGTAAAAGTCGAGAATTCCACCAATGACATTGTACTCGAGTGAACCACCATTATCATCACCTCGAAGCTTGACGTCCATTCCATTCGAATTGAGAAGAAAGACGCCATGAGTTCCCGTTGTACGATGTTCAAAGTAGATGGGGTGGTCGCCGTACAGGTTAGTCTCATTCGCCACACCGTACGCGTCGCGGTTCCACATTGTCCTCTGCCGAACTGTGAGATTTCGATACGTTAGGGATCAGAAAAAGTACACCCACCGTGGTATTCCCCGGAGGAAGTCGGAAGGAATTGGTGTGTTCTCCGAGACCATAGATGTTTGCACGAGCCGGGAGCGACGTCTTTACGCGGAGGTATTGTGGCTCAAAGACGAGTGGGAAGCCCGTGGTGTTGAAGAGGGTTTCGTTGGTGGTAGACCTGGTAATGGTAAAACTAAACGGTGCTTTGACATAGTTGAACTTGATGTTCGGCGACGTTCGGGTGCCGCCCCAAGAAGACGGTCGCGGGAAGACGCTCTCGGGGACTTCGTACCGTGAGTTTGCAGGGTCAATGATCTTCATGTGAATTCTGTTGTCTGTTTGACTCTGTGATCAGGCCTTTCCAATGTTTGTGGACCGTTTTACTTACCAGTCTCGTACGTCACTGTCAACGAGAGCTTTGGAATGTCGGTGCCATAGACGTTGCAAGCGTTTCCAGCAAGGACAAGATCAGCCTTGAAGCCGTTGCGGATGTTGGAGACGTTGGTGGCGTTATAACCGGGACATTGAGTGTCAATGTTTTGCTGAGCAGCAGCGAGAAGAGCCGAGGAAAGGATTAGAGCGACGTTCTTTAGAGTCATTAGACGGGTCATGGCAGTCTCAGAAAGGACAGCGAGGTAAAACGAAGGACGAGGGTCAGCGTAAAGCTTTATAGCCACTTTTGGGCAGCGAATCGGAAGAAAGCCAGCTGACCACACGGCATCATGGGGCGAATTGGGGGGGTCAGTGGTGCTTCTACCACACGAGCGCCATATGAATCTGCTGTCCGGTGGGGTCCCATTGACGGGTAAAGTCGGAAATTGGCTGAGAAATATGCGATCTTCACCGATTCTACACATGCATTTAGCAGCCTAGGGGCTTTGACCCGAGGGTCCCTTCTCCACTTCTCTATTCACAAGCCGTCGGCAGGATGACGCAGGCCCTGCTCCAATGAGGGCCTCACGCAGAATGCCGGGTCGAAAGAAGACCGGAAGACCTCCATCGTCGACTAGTTTGGCCGGCAGAGTGCCTCGATAAATGGATACCGCTTGAAATGGTCAGATTGTTCAACTCTTGGCGAGAACATCCATACGCACGTTTCCCGTCTTTTCCGACTTTACGAGCTCGCCTCTTCTAAGCCCCTCGAACTCACAGTCTACCTTGATGCTCCTCATAGATCACTCGACTTCTCATCCACAGCTCGTGGAAAGCAAATGAACCGAACTTTGTATAGTTTCGGAGAATGGCCTGTAACTCTTAGAAAAGTCACGTTCTACATTTATTACCAGGGTAGATACCTTGTCTACGCCAGGCAATCGTATAATGTATTTACCATAGATAGTGTACAGGAAAGCTGACCAGAGAGTGGGCATCCAGTCTGCGCGTATCAAGGTACTAAATAGGCTCAAGAGCAAGCCGGCCGCGTGAACCATCTTGGTAAAGGTCATAGAAACTTCAAGTTGCGCAAGATACAACTCAACTATGTCAACGGGCAACTTATACCAGTAAACTTGCTTCTCAATGGTGGGCCAGCACGCTTGATTCTGATTATGCGACCAAGCACCCTAGCTCTGGCTCCACGTCAAAATGATTTGTTCCCACCTAGACCCTGCTTCAGGTTTTTCCACCATCTTGGGAGCAGATTGGAAGAACGGGCTCTTGGCCGAGGTACGTCCGTATCCCAAGCTCCTCCAACGGCTAGAGTGACCTATGAAGTCGGCTATCTGGAAACGATGAGGGCATGCATCGCGACAGGACGTCCTACCATGACCATCAACTTTTCCAGGAGCTGGCATGCTATTCTCAATCAGTATGAGATATAAGTGTAGAATTGAATGCAATTTACACGTTTCTTTGGCCTTCTATAGTTTACGACAAGAGAAAGTCGCGTCCAAATATTTATCTGCTTGTTGGCATCTGCACTTGACGAACAACATCCATAGCGCCTGTTCCAAAGCAAACGAAGCGCTCTTGGAAATTCATTTTACGTATTGCTTCGCAGACAGAACCCCCTGCTGAATTGCGGGGAACCGCCGCGCCGTCGTCGGCATGACCAGAAGGGCCTTGTATGGTATTTCGAGTTACAACACATGCAAACATTCATTCTAGAAACTTTCACACAGCCACCGAAAGGTTCAAGCCGTGCCGACTCGACAGCTGTACTCTTGCTCCGACCGAAATCGTGTGCCGCGACGCGTCGTCGGCGATGAACACGTAATATAGTGGCCGGAGAACTTGGAGGGCTTAGATAAGGAAGCCCGTCGAGTTTACAACTCGAGCCAGGCCACTCACAAACTACGCCCGACGTCCGGTTTCCTGCAGGTAATCACCGTCCATGCAATCGACCATGCTGTTCGAAGCGCTCGTTCTCGTCATTCCACCCGCACTACTATACAGCTGGTACACTTCAGCGTCAACTAATGCCTCATCAGGCGAGGCTGAAGAACACGAGGTCAAAGTGGAATCAGTAGTCTCTGATGCGTTCGGAATATCTATCCTGAACCAGATTCGCGGGCTTATTTGGAATGACTCGATCATGCAAAAAGGATACGATCAAGTGCGAGCGCCCTCTCAGCTCCGTTTGTTCATGTCCATTCTGATATCTATGACCACAGCACAAGAATGGAATGTTCAGGATGCCATTCCTTGGACAGTGGCCCACCGTCGTCTCTGGAGAATATATCAGGGAGCTTGCACGCGCTCCGGATGACCATCTCAACTTCCAGGCGACACTCAATGACGTCCGTCCTTTATTCTAAATACTCATCTACATCTTTGAACAATTCGAATAGTTTATGCAACTCGAAATCCTCGTCGGCAAGAGCGTATCCCAGGACATGATACATCTACCCGTCATACGCGCCCTTACACGCCAGTTACCAACCTTTTATCCGGAGGTCGTAGACGAAACGCAATATGCATTTACTACATACTTTGAGAAACACGGCAAACTCCAAAAAGATGGTGCGTAGATTGGCTTCCCAGCAATGTTTCTTCAGAGTACGACTGATGATGCCGTAGGATGGACCAGCGTCAAAGCATTTGACACATTTATGGCTATTATAAAACAGCTCAACGCGCGCACGTTCATCGGACTACCGCTATGTAGAGAGGAGAAATGGGAAAAGGCGATTGACAAGGGTGGTGCAAACCTAACGTGGCGCGCTCTTTTTCTCCGAATGTTTCCTGAAGACCGACGAGCGTGAGTATTCCGATCCGCGTAAGATATTGTGGCTCATCGATCTACCAACAGAGGCGTCAACGAATATGTCAAGCGGTTCAGCCACGTTCTAGAAGACTGTATCGAGCTGTTGACATCCGTCCTTGAACAACGACGTGCTATGAGAGAGGAGGAGAGACCGGTTCGTCATTCTTACTCATAGCAAGGCTCGTACTAACTGATTCGTAGAATGATCTACTGACGCTAATAATGTCGCGAGTGACAGATGAAGAGCCAGATCCACGGACGATTGTGGGGACGTACTTGGTACTCGACCAAGTTGCGCAGGCGACGACATCGATCGTATGTCCCCTCTCATTGACCAAAATAGCAGATATTGAGGACAGTAGACCTTTGTGCATGCGCTGTACTACCTCGTTGCGTATCCAGAGTACGCAGATGTCCTGCGGGAAGAGATTCAGGAAGTGAATGGGGATAGTACAATCTCGTTCACTTCGTTGGGAGAATTGCGAAAGCTCGATAGCTTCTTACGCGAGACACAACGGTTGTCTGGGTTCTCCGACTGTACGTCTTTGTCTCTCCCCCTCGCAAATACTGACCGTGGTCTTATAGTTTCGATGAACCGCCTCGCGCTTCAAGATTTTACCTTTTCCAACGGAGTCACTATCCACAAAGGCGAATTCGTCACCGCGGTTGGGAATTCCGTCCACCATGACCCGGAAGTGTACCAAGATGCGAAGGAATTCAAGCCTTGGCGGTCCTATGACCAGACAAATGCCGAGGGTCTGGGAAAGGACTCGAAGAAGTATGCAGCGGTCACACCATCGGAGACCTTCCTCGCGTGGGGACTGGGTAAACATGCGTGGTAAGTCTCTTACCAATCCACTGCTAAACTCTGCCTAATGGCGTCTATAGCCCAGGACGATGGTACGCATCGATGCTGGTCAAGCATCTCGTAGTGTACATTCTTCTCCAGTACGATATCAAGCTACCAGACTCGGCAAAAGGAAAGAGACCGGCTGACCTTAGAATGGTGGGAACCATATTACCAAACACGCGTGCCTCGGTGCTGTTCAAGCGGCGTCAGGGGATAGATTGGGACTAATTCAAGGACCTCCCGTTTCGGTACATGTGTAGCATATCACCACTCGAAAAAAAACCTCAACTTGACTCTAAGAAAAGTCTCGCGCCATTGCCGTGCCGCATTTTGAATCGATCCCATCGTATATTGAGGAGTGAGCCAAAACGGCGAGGATATTAGATATCTATATAGTGTCCAGATGGTCGGATATGGATAACCTGGGACGGTTTCTTGTCTTTGCAGTATCGCGACCTGCTCCGGGGCAAAGTGGTCTGCCACGCCACATACCAACTCCATTCCAGTTCGCGACTTGACCACGTAGAGACTATATCGTTGTTTCCAGTTGGATAAGCAGACATTGGCGGGGCCTTTGATTCCTTGGCCTCTGAACTGAGGACCAAAGGCGTTTTGCAATGCAAGAGTGATTTGTGGCATTGTATGCACCCAGGACTGTACGGGGAAAAGACGTTAGAACTTGGGCATGTCATCCAGTAGCGTGCTCACAGGCTCATATCTTGAATGATCTCCATGCTCCCCATCCACGAAAACTCATACTTGGAAAGAGAATCAACCTCGTCTTTGGTCCCTCGCAGTAGCCTTGACGTCAACTCGGCAAATTCTGCTGGTATTCTCGAAGTAAACACCACCGACTTGAGACGAGAGCTGGTTGCAGTCTTTCTGAGCGAGTTTCTCGACTCTAGCATGATAAAGAAGATGTCCCACTCTATATATGGTTTGAGTTTGAGTTTCTTGAGAAGAGGAAATGCATCTGGATGTGCAGCAAGATGGTAGATCAAGCGCGACCCCTCGTATCGTGCGAACTTGGCTGGGGCATGACCAAGATCGATTTTCCTAAGAAACTCGAATCGAATTGTATGCCATTGAACTGGATGGCTCAGGTGATTGATACTTAGTGCCATAAGATTTGGCCAGTTCGACAATTCGATTGGAGGAGAGTTCCGAGTTGAGCCGTCCTCGTAGTTGATATACAGACCGGTAACATTGGTTGATCTACACTGATTGATATCACCCCCTCCCACATTTATTGTCAATGTCTGTATCGAAGATGACAGACAGAAGGTAGGGCCTGGATTTTGAGTAGGGAGGCTGAGGAAAACGGTCTTCAACTGTGACAGGGTGCCTTCGATGAGCAGATCCAGGAGATATTCCGTGCGCGAACCTTCCAATGTAAGTTGCTTCACGTGAGGAAACGAGGACTTGAACATATCCACCACGGTTTCACTCCATCCACCGTTCCATTGTTGGCTCCCGGTAGATATCCGTACCACAAGATCATGAGCTGACGAAGGAGACATAAGCACCGGGGGGTGAAAGCTTCCCTGAGTGGGCACAATGTCTAATGTGACGCGCTGTAGGCAACAAAGCTGAGCTAAGAGTGGCAAGAATAAGGGTAAAACTTCGATATCTAGTCGGGTCCTCAGCGTTTCGAGGCTGTCTGAAACCGCCGATAGAAGCATATCCATGTCCTGCTGTGGTTGCAAGCTATCCTCTACCATTTTCAAGTTCCATGTCTGTAGTCGGGTACAAGACGATAATGATGATGACTCTCCCCGACCAAGGGGATAGCTTCTCTGAGATTTTGGATGGAAGAAGATCGTCCTTAGTGCGGGAAACTTGCTAGGAACAGCTATCAAGTCATGGACTCGAACATCAGCACTCGTTGTGACTGTAGCGAGACGGCAAGACCATCTTGATTTGAGGATAGTTGGAGTCAGCATGACATTCTGAATCTCTTTGAGTCCCGAGTGACAATTTATAAAGTTGACTGTGGGTTCGTGGATTGGTTCCCAAGAGTGCACTGCACGGCACCGTAAGACTGTAAGATTCCGGAGAGGTCCGAGAACTTCGTAAAAGGTGGACAATATAAACTCGGAATTCACATATAGTGATTGTATGCGATCACCATGGCTCTTCAGCTGATCTAACGCGACCCGTAGGAGCGCTTGATCCTCAGTAGTGTGCTTGAAAATGATAATAGAGATAGGAGAGAACCTTGAGAGGGTGATATGAACCCTAAGTGTGGCCAACGCGTCCTCGGCGGAATGCAAATCCAAGACGATGTCCGTCCATAAGACTGGGGTGGAGATGATCAGGTTCATCCAGCGCGAGGAAATGCACATGAGCTCAAGCAGATGTTTACTTGAGACTTTAAAATTCTTGTCAGAAAACAAGAGGTTTGAGGCTGCGTACGCTAGAACTTTGGTGCCAATTTCTGGCGGAAAACGACGCATCGGGTCACTTTCCATAATTTCGCTTTATTTAAAATACGTAAATGAGATCAGGGGAGCCAGATCCAGCCGTGGAGGGAGGGGACGTGAGGCGCCGACCGAGAAGAGGAAGTGTCCAAATTGTATTCGTGCAGTTTATATACAGTTCAGCAAATTAGTCCCAAGTATTCGTCCAGGTGTATCTTTCTTTGTTTCCTTAAGCCGTATAGTTCGGTTATTGGGAATGAAATGAACTTATTTATCGATACTCATATCATCAATTTGTGACCTGTTTCCACTTCTAAACACAAGTAGAGGTGTGTTTTAATCTTGCCGTAAAAGGCGTTCCTGGAGACACCATTCGACAGGCTCATGGCTCGAGACAGTTATCCTTGAAACTAGCAGGAGGACTACTCGGTCCACTACTGAAGGGCCCTCCGGGCGGACCCCTGACCTTTATCTCCTTTTGGGCTCGACGATTTATCGCGAAATATACGTTATACACACAGCTCGTATGGGACCCCTTAGACGCTCGCAATGAACAGGGAGGAGGGGTGTGAACGAAATAGGAGATTTCATCAGAGACCTAAATGACAAACAAAAGCAATCACGCCATCTGGATCCATGAGGAGACAGAGCACGCAGGCGGAGATTGTGAGGGGCACTGAGACTATGCGCCTGAGCCTTCATTCCTCTTTCCCTTGATCTGCTGGGGCTCGCGCTCAGGTGCATAGGAGTAAGCTGTTCGACAAAAGAACGTAAAGTTTCAGCTGGTAATGCACTCACAATACTCAAGGGAGCAACGTCTCTCCTGGGAACAACAGATGCATGCAAATTCAATGGATAACAAGTGACATAAACGTCTCTGACGGGTGAAACGGAGCGCAGAGGCTCGTGTGAAACGACATTGGAATCCTCACGTGGTATCCAGGCAGCGCCGGCAACACCTACAGGCATTCAGAGTAAATCCAGGGGTATCAAGAGGTCCGACGCACCTTGAGGTGGCAAATTAGATAGCTCTACAGGAAAAAAGGTCAGCAGTGAGTAGACTTCGAAGCCAAACTGAACGTGTTCAGGCGGGAGGGTGTTGTCTCGGGAGTGTCAGTACAATCCATAGTGATAGGGAGAACGTACTGTGAGAGTCTGTCGCGTGTAACAAAACTCAATGAATTGGGTAAGGTGGCCCAGACGTTTGTCGATATTTCCAGTCAGATGAATGTGGCGAGCCAGAGTGTCGGATGCCAGAGAAGCTAATGGCAGCATTGCTGCTTCCTTAGTATGTAGAAGGATTGAGCGATGCCGATAGAACCCCGAATTGTTGAGCGAAGGGTGGGCAAGCTTGACTCGGCTTTCGGCATCGGTGCTGAAGTCAAGAAACCGGGGAGGATAGGCCAAGAAGCTGCGGTCAGCCTGTACAATTAGCTGACAAAGTTCACTAATATACATTGGAACGCAAGGTCGGAGGGAAGGCAAGTGAGCTCGAGCCAGAAGAACAAAGGCTTTAGGACAAAGGCTCGAGCGGGGCTTTGAGGTGGCCGCCGCAGTATAACAAGAAGCCAAATACTAGTCGAAAATCATGCATACATTTCAATTACTGTGCCTGGTGAGGGCCTGTAAGACCCTTCCCTCCACTTCGTTACGGTCAGGGGATAGTTGCTGTACCATGACTGGTAGCCTATAACCGACAATCTAGGGGTGTCAAGAACGTAATATAACTACATTTCACTATGTATCCACATAATAGCCAAGTGGACCAATCCGAACAATTTGATGGGCTTTATCATCGTCACAATATTGCGACCTGCTCAATGGCATAGTTATTTGCCATGCGACATATCTCCTCCACTCCAAATCACGACTTGGCCATGTCGAAATTATAGTGCTATTGCCCATCGGATATGGAGAGATCGGCGGGCATGTTGATCCTTCTGCTTCCGGATTCGAATCAAGGTCCGAATTGCAATGCTGAAGCGACTTGTGACATTGCATACACCCTGGGCTAAATATATGCGTCAGTATGCGCGCTCATGGTTAATTTCTCCTCACGTATCAAGATTCTGAATGATATCCATGCTCCCTATCCATGAGAGCTCGAATTTGGACGGGTAATGCACCTCTTCTCCGCGTAGTAGCTTCGAAGTCAGCTGCGCAAATCCAGCTGGGATTGGGGATGTGAATGTTATCGACTCTAAGCAAGAGAAAGAGGCAGTCTTCCTGTACGAGTTTCGCAATTCCAGCATAATGAAGAACATATCCCACTCTATATATGGTCGAAGCGTCAGCTCCTGGAGGACAGGAAACATATCCGGATATACCGCAAGGTAGTATATCAGTTTTGCTCCTTCGTAATGCGTAAGGCCCATCGGCGAATGGTCGATCGCGATCTTCTCAAGATGCTCGAACTGGAGCCCTTGCCACTGAACGGCACCTTCGAGTCCGTTGATGCGTAAAATTGCAATGTTTGGCCAATGGACAAGCTCTAGAGGTGCTGAGGATGGAGTGCTTGAGGCGTAGTCAAAGTTAAATTCCAGGCGGGAGACATTGGCAGATTTGTACTGATAGACAAATTCCTGTTCTGAAGTTATTTCTATGGCCTTTATTGTGGGAGATAGGGTAAATGAAGGGTCATCTACGCGCGTTGGACCATTCAAGGACACACTCCTGAGGCGCGGGAGAGCGCCATTGGCAAGCAGACCGAGCAACTTGCCAGTAGTGCGACCACTCAGCCCAAGCCACTCAACGTAGGGAAATGCGAGTTTGAGCATGTTTGTCACCTCTGGGCCCCATTGGTGGGTCCATCTGGTTCCAATGGACATAGTAATTGCAAGCTCCTTGGTTGACGAAGGAAGGATGAATGCCATGCCGTCCATCTTTGCAATTATAGGGAAAATCTCCAATGTGACGCGGTACAGACGGCGACATCGAGCCAGGTGCTGAAGGAAGAATGGCATGAGCCGGATTTCTATACGACTTGCCAGTGTTGTGAGATTATCGGAAACTGCTGTGATGAGCAAATCGAAATCTTGCCGCGGTTCCAAACTGTCTTCTACAGAGTTCAGGTTCCATGTCTCGATATGGGTCCAGGTCAATCGAGGAAGCAACTTTTGCTTATAGGGTGCACGCTTCTCAAGTGGCCACTGACGAAAACGGATATGTTGAAGCAAATTAAACTCGCGAATAAGCGGCAACAGGTCACGAAATCGCACCTCGGAGACAACCGAGGGAAGATATTGCAACCAATTTGATTGTAAGACAGTTGGAGTGATTGTCATTCCTCGAATGACTCTGAGACTTTGGTGTCGGTTAATAAAGTCGATGGTTGCATTGTCAGGCGACTGGACGGCAAATGTCGAGCGGAATTGTAGAACCGCAAGATTGTGAAAAGGTCCTAAATATTTGTCGATAACAGGTAAAAGAGTCTCTTGATTCATGTGTAGTGCTTGTATGCGATCGACATGGTGCTTCAATTGCTCAATTACCTGCTGTAAGAGCCCTCGATCCTTCGTGGGCTGCAAATGAACGATGATGGAAAGAGGATGGGATCTTGAGAGGACAATATTAACGGACAACTTGGCCAATACGTCCTCCTTATAGGGATCCAGGACGATATCTGCCCATAGCGCTGGAGTGAACATGATCAACTGCTTCCACAATGAAGAGACGCCCATTAACTCGAGCAGGCACTCAGTTGATACTGAAGAAATCTCGAGAGAACGAATGTCTTTCGCAGCGGCATACATTACAATCTTGGTGGCGATTTCGAGCGGGAAGCGCTGTACTGGATCGGATCCACTTAATTCGCCCATCTTTCCAAAGATGAGGGGCCAAGGTATAGAGTCGAGATATCGAACAGCGGTAGAAGCTCAGCGCTACGAGGACAAGGCAGAGTCCAATGAGCACCTCGGTTTGGAGGTCTATTGTTCGGATTTAAGTCCTAATGAATCATTTCCTCTATATTTGTTTGCCCCTTTTTTATATTATAATCATCTGAGCTGTGATTACACGTGCCAAGTGGACATATTCAGTCTCACTCTCCGACGCTTTGCCATCCGGTCGGGGTCGTACGTCTCGCACTCTGATGGCTTAGATAAGTACTAGTCGCAGCAACTTGCCCGCCACCACAACGCCAACATTCTCTTCCATCCCCCAAGTACAAGAGCATTACCCGTAGGAGAATCCGTATAACCAAGTATGCTCTTCGAGGCGCTTGCCGTCCTCACCCCGCCGGTTCTGCTTTACAAATGGTACACCTCGGCCTCACGGCAAGCAACCGGAGGGAATCATGATGAACAAACGCACAGAGTCGACGTGGAACCCATCGTCTCTGACGCATTTGGAATGTCGATCCTCAGCCAAATCCGCGGAGCCATCTGGGCCCACTCAATCATACAGAAAGGATATGAACAGGTACGTCTCTTTGCACATCAGCACGTTCTCTTGTGGATAGTCATCTGATAACCAACGAAACCACAGCACAAGAACGGAATGTTCAAGATACCTTTTTTCGGACAGTGGCCCACTATCGTCTCTGGGGAATACATTAAAGAGCTCGCACATGCTCCAGAAAGTCACCTCAGTTTTCAAGCAATGCTCAACGAAGTGCGCCTTGTCTCTTCTCGTTCTCAACCTACTGATACTCGGTAGTTTATGCAACTCGAGCTCCTCGTTGGCACTGGTATCTCCCACGACGCGATTTACCTCTCCGTCATTCGTGCTCTCACTCGGCGATTATCGGCCTTTCACCCTGAAATCGCGGACGAGACTCGGGCCGCTCTCGCCACGCAGTTTGAGAAACATGGAAAAAAAGAGAAAGATGGTAGATCCATTACATAAAAACATCTCTTCATGTGGAAACGTACTCATAAATGAAACAGGATGGATAAGCGTCAAGGCCTTCAAGGCGTTTTCAGAGATTACCACCCAGCTCAATGCACGCGCTTTTATCGGTCTCCCATTGTGTAGAGACCAGAAATGGATGACGTCCATCCAAAAGGGCGGCGCCGACATGTCCTGGCGGGCAGTTCTGTTGCGCATGTTTCCCGAACACCGACGCTCGTGAGTAACTTCGAAGCCCTTGTCTTCATAACGACTGAAATATGATGGGAAGAGATGCCAACGAGTATATGAAGCGCTACAGTCATGTCCTCGAGGACTGTATTGCGCTCCTCAATCCTGTTCTTGAACAGCGACGTGCAATGAGGGAAGACGAGAGGCCTGTACGTCTTGCCTCACTTGTTCTTGTTCGGTCACTTAAGGATCTAGAACGATGTTCTGACTCTCATCATGTCACAAGTGACAGAGGAAGAGCCAGATCCACGAACGATTGTCGGGACATATCTATTTCTAGAGCGAGTGGCACAGGGAACAACGCACATGGTACGTATCCGCCGCATTATCAGGCCTGCATAATTTTCCTCGCGATAGACATTCGTTCACGTGCTGTACTTCTTGGTCGCATATCCAGAGTACACAGAAGTCTTGCGTGAAGAAATTCGACAAGTACACGGGGACGGTCCGATCTCGTTTGCGTCCTTGGGCGAGTTGCGCAAGTTGGATAGTTACCTCCGCGAAGCAATACGATGCTCTGGTTTCTCTAGTGGTGCGTCTCCTTGCCGTGATTCCCCTTCTCTTGACGAGGAATGAATGTAGCTACGATGAACCGGTTTGCGGTCCAAGAGTACACATTCTCGAATGGCGTCAAAATTCCAAAGGGCAAGCTGGTGGCCGCGGTGGCGAATCCGATTCACATGGACCCTGACATCTACGAAGATGCAAAAGAGTTTAAACCGTGGAGGTTCCTTGAGCGGACGGGTGCCGAGGGGTTGGGCAAGGATTCGAAAAAGTATGCCCTGGTCACGCCTGCAGAGGACTTTTTGGCGTGGGGTTTGGGCAAACATGCGTGGTATGTCCCTTTGACGACTCTTTTTGTTATGGGAAGCTGATGGCGTGTATTAGCCCCGGGAGATGGTATGCGGCGATGGTGGTGAAGCACCTGGTGGTGTATATTCTTCTCCAGTACGACATTAAACTGCCCGACTCTGCCAAAGGGAAGCGACCGGCCAACTTGCACGTAATGGGGTCGAGTCTGCCCAACTTGAGTGCCAAAGTCTTGTTCAAACGACGCGAGGGATTAGATTGGGAATAGTTGTATTATCACCACTTGAATACCAGTACGATTTTGATGCGAGGTGAAGTCCCCGACCTGAACCGAAAGTGAAGGAAGAGCTTTGTTGACACAAACTTGGTGCCACTCGCTATGCTCTACTCAGGTAGCCAGCCGCTGACAGCTCAAACGTCAACCGGAATGAGACTTTTGTTACCCCCTTACCGTGAAGTGTTATGTACCTAGACATTAAGTAATACACAATCAAACGGATGCAGATAGGAAACGGGTCTCGTCAGCACCGTCGTAACAGAGCGCACCATTCTAAAGGAGTCGCTGTCTGGTCGCTCTGTTCGTTCCTATCTAATCTTTGCCTCTACAGTTGCTGCCTCGTCCGTTACATGGCACCTCGAGAATGATTGTCGCTGAAAGGAGTAGAGCTTGACGACTCCCAATCCGTGATATCGAGCTCCTGCCCCGACTCTTCGCAAGCCCCACCCGTAGCACTGACGCTGTACATATCATCGCACCAAATCATAATACTTCTGAAAACCTTCGGGTCACTTGTTCCGACGCCCTCAACAGCACCTTCCACTGTGTATCTAATTCGTTGCCACCACGATATCGACTTGCAAGCCATGCGCTGCTTGTGGGAAATATTTAATTTCTAGCGAGCTTATTGATCTATTTTAATGCTGATTCGACGCATCTTCACTCTTAGTCGATCATCCTCTTCGTCTATTGCGGGTGGACGAGGTTCTATAATCGCACTTCACATCCCCTCTCGTCATGCGCCTCTCAATGTTCGACAACTGATGATATATCATGATTATATTTCAGTTGATTCACACTCTTGGACAATAGTCATTCGACTATGTCGAGACTGTAACTCATCTCGATCTCTTCGTCCACATCGGATCACTCGCTTCTTGCCGAAAATAATCTCCGGTGTGGTTATCTACATAGTGGCCTGAACTATATTACTTACCTTGAGAAGGTTTGCGCACTGTATCAAGTCACGGCGGGTCTCGCTTGTGACTTTCGACCTCTGAACCTCATCCAGACTTCAAATTCAACGTTGTCTAGTTAGCATCTCACATTCTAATTTCCTTCTCTCGAGGAGATATTACCCTTCACCTGATTTCACACACTATCCCATTTTCGAGATGCCATTTACCAGCTGCTTTGGCGTCTCATCTTTATCGCGTTGTTCCATCGTTTCGAGATAATTTCTTGCCCGTCTGTGTCCTCATCCTAGGCTTACTCTTATTTAGGGGGTCGATAGGCGAGGCAGGCTCGTGGGACTGGCCTTGGGCGGGATGGCGGGCCCAATACTCCTACCTTCACCTGTCGAGCATTGCCTAGTGTGCGGTGAGCAGGTAGAGGAAGTTCTCAGTCTTTCCTTTGACGCACTGGCTCTAGCGCACAATGCTCGTTCGTCGTCGCGGTGGCGGAGCGTTTCGTTTGGCTTGCCATCTGCTCTTTACTCGTCTCCTGTACGTAGACCCTTTAGCTCAGTAAGCCGTTGTATTTTTTATCGTATATAAGGCTATCCGTCCTTCACCTGAATGCCTTTCGCAGCACGGAGAGACTTTCGGTCTCCAACCATGACGCATCGGTGTGCGAACTCTCAAGCCCGTGCTGAGCTTACTGCAACACACGCCCCAGTGATTAAAAACTATGGAGGGCTTTTAGAGCCCTAGATGAAAGACTCTGAGAAATTTCAGACTATTTCCCCCTTCCTCTTTATTATATATCCTATTCAGGTCCTTTGAAGGCCATCATGCGTTTCTTTACCGTCATTCCCTTAGTCCTTGCCACCTCCAGTGTGTTCGCAGCTTGAATTCCACCGGGACGAAATGATTTATCTGTTGTTACAATTGAAAAGAAAACTGAGTATCTCCACCGAGGCTCTACTGGACCAAGGACCATTGTACGACCATCCAGATAACATATCTATCACGCAAGTGATCCTGGATTATTTGTACCTATGACATTTTCGCATATCATTCAAGGCAACATAGGCTGCTTATCGACTATAATGGAGTGGTACCATACCCCCCGCCCACCGTATCGTATTAAAGAGGGTACCAGCTACTGGCCATTTCGATTTCGTCTGCGTCAATTCATGATCACGCGTGCCAAGTGGTGTCAATCTCCGACGCTTTGCCATGCGGACGGCGTCATACGTGTCGAACACGTATGGATGCCGGAGCTCTGGCAGCTTAGATAAGTAGTCGCAGCAACTCGTCCGCCGCCACAACGCCCACATTCTCTTCTATCCCCCAGATACAAGAGAATCATCTCTGGGAGAATCCTTATAATCAAGTATGCTCTTCGAGGCACTCGCCGTCCTCACCCCGCCGGCTCTGCTCTACAAATGGTACACCTCGGCCTCGCCGCAAGCAGCCGAAGGGGCCGAAGAGGAGCAAACGCACAGAATAGACGTGGAACCCATCGTCTCTGACGCATTTGGAATGTCGATCCTCAGCCAAATCCGCGGATTCATCTGGGCCGACTCAATAATGCAGAAAGGATACGAACAAGTACGTCTTTTACCCATAAACACATTACTTTATGATCAATTTTTCTGATAATCCACAAAACTACAGCACAAGAACGGAATGTTCAAGATGCCCTTTTTCGGACAGTGGCCCACTATCGTCTCGGGGGAATACATTAAAGAACTCGCCCGTGCCCCAGAAAGTCACCTCAGTTTTCAAGCAATGCTCAACGAAGTGCGCCTTGTCTCTTCTTCGTTCTCGGCGTACTGACACCCAATAGTTTATGCAACTCGAACTCCTCGTCGGCACTGGCATCTCCCACGACGCAATTCACCTCCCCGTCATTCGTGCACTCACTCGTCAATTACCGGCCTTTTACCCTGAAATCGCGGACGAGACTCGGGCCGCATTCGCCACGCATTTTGAGAAACATGGAAAGCAAGATAAAGATGGTACGTGCATGACATAGAACATCTCTTCATTTGGAAATGTGCTGATAAATAAAACAGGATGGATAAGCGTCAAGGCCTTCAAGGCGTTTTCAGAGATCACCACTCAGCTCAATACACGCGCTTTTATCGGACTCCCACTGTGTAGAGACCAGAAATGGATGACGGCAATCCAAAAGGGTGGCGCCGACATGTCCTGGCGGGCAGTTCTGTTGCGGATGTTTCCCGAACAACGACGCTCGTGAGCAAGTTCGAGAGCCTTGGCCTCGTAACGACTGAAATGTGATGAAAAGGGATGCCAACGAGTATATCAAGCGATTCAGCCATGTCCTCGAGGACTGTATCGCCCTCCTCAACCCTGTTCTTGAACAGCGACGTGCAATGAGGGAAGACGAGAGGCCTGTACGTCTTACTTCGTTTGTTCTTGTTCAGTTACTCAAGGATCTAGAACGATGTTCTGACTCTCATTATGTCACAAGTGACAGAGGAGGAACCAGATCCACGAACGATTGTCGGGACATATCTGTTGCTAGAGCAAGTGGCACAGGGAACAACGTCCATGGTATGTATCCCTGGCATCATTCGGCCTGGAGAATCTTACTGGCGATAGACATTTGTTCACGTGCTGTACTACTTGGTCGCATATCCAGAGTACACAGAAGTCTTGCGGGAGGAAATTCGACAAGTGCATGGCGACGGTCCGATCTCATTTGCGTCCTTGGGCGAGTTGCGCAAGTTGGATAGTTACCTCCGCGAAACACAGCGGTACTCTGGGTTCTCCAATGGTGCGTCTCCTTGCCTTGATTAGCTCTCTCTTGACGATGATTGAATGCAGCTACGATGAACCGATTTGCGGTCCAAGATTACACGTTTTCAAATGGTGTCAAGATTCCAAAGGGCGAACTAGTCGCCGCAGTGGCGAATCCAATTCACATGGACCCTAATGTGTATGAAGATGCGAAAGAGTTTAAGCCGTGGAGGTTCCTTGAGCGGACGAATGCCGAAGGGTTGGGCAAGGATTCGAAAAAGTATGCCATGGTCACGCCTGCAGAGGACTTTTTGGCGTGGGGGTTGGGTAAACATGCGTGGTATGTCCCCTTGACGATATTATGTGTTATGGAAAGCTGATGGTGTGTATCAGCCCTGGGAGATGGTACGCGGCGATGCTGGTTAAGCATCTGGTCGTGTATATTCTTCTCCAGTACGACATTAAACTGCCCGACTCTGCCAAAGGGAAGCGACCGCCCAACTTGTCCATAATGGGGTCGAGTCTGCCCAACTTGAGTGCCAAAGTCTTGTTCAGGCGACGCGAAGGATTAGATTGGGAATAGTTGTATTATCGCCACTGGAATGCCATTACGACTTTTGATGCGAGGTGGAGTTGAGACCGGCTATGACCGGAGCAAACCATGGCCTCTACCACAACCTACCGCCTACCAAAGGGCGTCGCTGCAAAGACACCAGCAGCACCCACAGACCACCGAAACCTGTCTCTTTCGCTGCTATGCGTTGCTCTCTCGCTCGGGACCGCCTACAGCGTCGTGTTCAACACGTACTTGGACACTTCAGACCCACTCCTCGCTCACCTTCCGCACCCAGCCCACGCACACTCATATTTTGCACGTAAATCCAACGTATTCAACCAAATCTTCGTCAAAAAGGCGTGGGCGTGGACAACGGCGGCGTTTTTGGGTGTGTACGCGACGAGTCCGGCTGAGCGACGCACATGGACGCGCGTATGGCGTTGGGCAGTAGCGACGGGCGTGTGGATCGTGTTCACGACGTGGTTTTTTGGACCGGCATTGATGGAACGCGTCATGGCGTACAGCGGCGGCGAGTGCGTCATTGCCGTTCCTTCGTCGCCGTTTATTTCCCAAGGAGGAGCGCCGACGATCATGTCTGTGCCTCTTGAGTATTGTCACACTAAGACGACGATTACAACCACAGAACATGCTCACCTCTTTGCGTCCTCGCTTGTCCCTCCACCGGCAGACTTTGCAGGACGGCCGAGGTTGTACAAGGGGCACGACGTATCCGGTCACATATTCCTCCTCACGCTCGCCATTTGTTTCCTCACGGACCAGCTCACATCTGCGCTCAATCCAAAGCCACGCATCATCAGCAAAGCACATGCGCTCGCAATCAACTCGACATTGGCACTATTGGCAATATGGTGGTGGATGGCAATCATGACCAGCGTGTATTTCCACACTCCCGTCGAAAAGCTCAGCGGTTTCGGTAAGTCTAAATTCGTTGAACAGGGATGGGTGCTAATAGACGACTAGTTCTCGGTGTGATAGGTTACTTCCTCACCCTCATTCCACTCCCAACGAGCGAACCTCCAAAAGTTGGGGCGCCCATTCCAAACGACAAGCTACGACCAGACGCGATGCGTTTAGACTAATCTCTGTGGATATACTCTTTCTGATTCACTCATCTAAACACCCAAACTCGACCCGAATAAACTTGATTCACAAACTAATCATCATAGCACGTTACTCAAGCCCCGATTTCCAACCAGCACTGACAATCGGTGTGCCCCGCAGTGCTGTATCCTCCCTTGACGACACCCTTGTCCCCAGTGCATCTACGAGTCCGCCCGTGAGCGTACCCGGAACGAGCGTCCACTCGCCGACAGCGCGCATCTGCCCGTCTTTACCCCACGTCCCGCTCGACGTAAACGTTGCTTCGCCCTCTTTACTCCCCTGGACGATTCCCTTGAAGAACATGATGCCGGTATAGCTCGCCATTGGCATCTCAGAGCTCTCTGTTGATGAGCATGTGAGTACGTGTAAAAGGAGGAAGGAGAAAGGGAACGTAACTGCTTGGATCGTTATGGTAGACCATGGTGTACAACGCCAGTGCGCTTCCTTGCATACCACCCTTGAACGTGCGCTCCGTGTTGACGGTCGTGATGCGGAGTACGGGGTCGAGACAGGAGAGTTTTTGCTTTTCGCCTTCAGGAGCGGGTGCGGTTCCAGAAGGCACGACGTCGGATTCTTTCCATGAACCCGTGTCATCAAACGTAGCATCGATGCCTATAATTTCTTTAGTACTCGTTCTTGAGGCTAAGAGGGGACGTACGGTTGACCATGTTGGTGTCGAAGTGAAATCAGATGATTGCGTGGAGAGTCTTGCTTTACTTGAGGTGAGATCTGTAGTGATGATAGTAGCTTGAGCATGCGTGGTTTATATACGCAGGAGAGATGTGGCGAATGCGTGAATGGAAAACGTCCGACGAGGTGTGGCGAGTCGTTTGATTGGGCCACCACGCGACTAGCACAGGGCGGTGGATTACTCAGCACCCGTCGTGATTTGTAATCTACCGACGTTCTCGACCCCAGAAATACACACTACATGTCATTCAGTTTGGGCTAGTGCGAGCGGAAGAACAATCAGAGTGATTATAAATAGACATGTACATGCTCACGTGTGAAGGATTCTTGAATGACGTCTTTTCTCCTTTTATAATTCGCCAGGATCTACATCACGTCGAGTAGCTCGCCGAGCCCAATTCCCGTTCGCGCCAGTTTGCACGCCAGGACCATGGTTAAGACCCCAATTAGAACTCTTAAACTTCCTGTTCCTATACACTCTTCGACTGTGGTAAGAAACAAACATGACGCGGGACACAAAAGCTGGCGCAAATCCCACAAAGTAGGAAGGAAATGATATCGCACTTCTTGAGGATTTAGAAGTTCATATTAGTCATTCTGAATGGTGTGCTGCCATTCCATACACTGATAAGACGTCTGCGTAGTCAGACAATTCCACGTATCACGTCGCATAATTGTTCAAAAGCTTCCAACCTCTCCTTATACTGGCAAGATTGAAGAGTGACTAATACTTGCTCCTGCGAGTCGCTCCCCGAGGGCTGGGATAGCCATAATGAATAAGGACCCGTTGTCGAACCCACTGCGTGAGTGTATCCAATCGCTCCTATGAGATATTACGAGAGAACGTTGCGCAAGCTTAGTACTAGTAGATTGTCTCAAGGGTTTGACATACATTTACTTAGTTTTCCTGTGAGGCCATAGGCAATAATAACCGCTTATTCTTTCGACTGACATAAACTCTCCTTCGAGGAGTTCCTGTCATATAGCCACAGTGAATGGCTAGTCAGATTCCGCCGGTATTGCTAAGTGGCTTTGGGAGAGTCTTGATTTGGAAGATTCGGTACCATATCTATCAATCCTTATCCTACAGATCCGATTGATATACTTTCGACATGGCCAAGGAAGTCACGAGCTGGAGTGGAAACAGCATTGCAAGTGACAGGTAACGTCGGTGATGAATAGGCAAAATGGAACAAGCCGGATTCGCACCGACTTAGCTGTCAGACCACTAGACTATAGTGTCCCTCTCTTCCCTCTAAAGCGTCACAGTACCTATGACCCCCGTTACTCAGGTATTCCAAACCTGGTCGGCTGGGCTCTGACCTGTAAGGTGAGCTAATCCTTACACACGCCCTCCGGTTCACAATCCGAAGTATGGCCGTGACTTTTCCCCGAAAAGTGGTCGGCTGGAGCCGGGTTTGAACCCAATGTTCCACCAATGTCTCTCTCTGACATGGAATATGCCACGTCTGACGTTATGGCTGAGTACCCTGAATACCCTCCTAATGGTACTGAAGCCCACTTCGTCAACCCGTCCGAATTGTCTTCAGATGATTCTGTGACCTTCTCGTCGGTTGCCAACCACCCTCCAACGCCCATGCCCACAATGGACACTTTGGCTATCAAGTCGCTTCAAGAACGTTGTGCTCAATTGAAAGCGTTCATATCGACAATGAGCGCACAATTTATCGAGCGTAGTCTCTCTGCAACAGTGTGTAATCATGTACAGGCTGATCCTATGGTACCTACGGCGTCCTCAGACCCTCCGGTCACACAAACCTCTTCCACTAAGAGCTCGGACCCACGGAAGCACCTGAATAGGCTCACCCGAGTCGTGCCTGTGCCTGTTACAGCGTTCGCGACGATTATTGCCGCGTTTAGGCTTGGGTATAGACTCGTAGGGGTGATCGCCATGACGATTGGAATCCTCGTCACGACGGTTGTTCCTATTCAGGCGCTTCCATGGGTCCGAGCTCTTATTGGAAGAGGTTTGTGTGACCGGAGGGTCCAAGGACGCCGTAGGTACCATAGGATCAGCCTGTACATGATTAAAGACTGTTGCAGAGAGACTACGCTCGATAAGTTGTGCGCTCATTGTCGATATGAACGCTTTCAATTGAGCACAACGTTCTTGAAGCGACTTGATAGCCAAAGTGTCCATTGTGGGCATGGGCGTTGGAGGGTGGTTGGCAACCGACGAGAAGGTCACAGAATCATCTGAAGACAATTCGGACGGGTTGACGAAGTGGGCTTCAGTACCATTAGGAGGGTATTCAGGGTACTCAGCCATAACGTCAGACGTGGCATATTCCATGTCAGAGAGAGACATTGTGGACTCGAGATGAGTAGAGCAAAGTGAACGGCGAGTGTAAGAGCTGGGGAGCAAGTTTGCTTGAGCATGAGTCGTCAAAAGTTCGTCGACTTTTATAGACGCGGCTGTATATCGAGTCTGCGGGTCGTTCGGTACATTTCCAGTTCCTTTTCTCAGGTTTGACACCGAACCTATGCCTTGCGCCTCGCAGTATGCTTCAAGCGCTGTCAAGTCTTTGACGGTGGAGTACATCTCCCAGGACTTATCGCCAGATTTCCACAGGACCTCGAATATTGCTCGTTTTCCAGTACCGTAATGAGATACTATGCGATCTACAGGCCAATGCGACGGCTTCCCAAAGCCTGTCACATGCTGCAGCGAGCGTCCTGGGAACTTTCGGTCGTCGTTAGGCACATGAAAGCGCAGGAGCGATGCATGGAAAGAGTTATGTATGCCCCTTTGCCGTAACTCATCAGGTAGTTCCAACCTATAGGTGGCGCCAGGTTCGATCACTTTACTGATTCGGAATGGGCCAATGAACTTCGGAACTAGCTTCCTGGCACGCTTTTTGGGTAGTGACAGGTTCTGAGTAGAGAGATACACGAGGTCTCCTTCAGCAAATGGAGCCGGTTTCCGATGTTTGTTCGCTTCGGTGGTGTGCTTTACACGAGCGGCCAGAATAGAATCATGTGCGCTCATAATTGCATCTCTGATAGCTTCCGCATGCTTCTGTACACCTGGATAGTCCGACTCGGCAGTCCAGATCATAGGACGAGGCATCTGTCCTGAATTAAGGAAGAAGGGTGCATAGCCAGTTGCCGCTGATCTTGCCGAATTCATTGCGAACTCAATGGATGGTAATTTCGACACCCAATCCTTTTGATGGGGCTCGACCGCTTGTCTCAGCATGGTAATCATGGTTCTATTCGCCCGCTCGGTCGCCCCATCAGTCTGAGGATGATATGATGTGCTCAGACGTAACTCTACACCCACTATTCGGTGCAATTCTGACCAAAATGTGCTCGTAAAATACGAGTCTCGGTCCGAAATGATCCGTTCAGGCAAATCATGTAGCTTATAGACATTCTCAAAGACCATTTCGGCGATATTCTTGGCTGTGTAGTTCTGTCTCATGGGCACGAGGTGCACCATTGATGTGAGGTGATCAATTACAACACAGATCATGTCAAATACGCTGCTCCTGTTCGAGGAACTCGGGAGCGGCCCAACAAAGTCAATTCCAATTGCCTGCCATGTGTTGATACTAGGACGCGTGAGGTGAGAGGCAAGACCAGTAAGGTCTGGCTGTGTCATCCCGCGTCCTTAAATACATTGAGTTACGACGTGAGCTATTACTATTGGCTAAGTCTATTTAGTGAGCGCTAAGAGTCAAAGGGTGAACCTTTAACACCATGGTCTCGAGGGGACCTCAAGTGATTTGAGTAGGTCAAATGGTCGAGTTGTTCGTGATTTAGACGAAGCGCATGTGGAGCAGGATTGGCAATATTCGGCCACATCTCGCTGGATTTCCTTCCACCATACGTTATCACGAAGGTACGCAAGTGTCTTCTTCAACCCCAGGTGCGCAAGTAGTGAATGAGCGTGGGTAATGAATATTTCCCTGACGCTCCTCTCGCCGATCTTAATATCCGGCACACAGAGAATTCGCCGTCCATCGTCCTTCAGATACAATAAGCCATTCTCAAGGATGAAATGCTTATGACCAGCTAGAGATTTGACTATGGGAGCGAAAAAATTATCCTCATCATCGCGTCCTTTCAGACAGTCTGGCAGCTGGATACCTGGTTCGCCTTCATTCACTATGTAAGTGAGAGTGGGCGAATACTCAGGATAGTTTAGACTCGGACTAAGCGAATCCCCATTGGGACTAGGCTCTTTGCTTGGTGCGTTGAGTTTGGCATTAGCCGTGGTAGGTTCATTGTCTATGGTCGCCTTCGGATTATTAGTCACGCTGATCTCTGGCTCGGCATTGGGCTTGTCAACCTCGTCGTTAGGCAAATCCGAGCCCTTCTGTGGCTTGTCTGTCTCAGAGGATGAATCAGACGTGACTTCTTCGGATTCAGGGCTTAGTTCGGCTTCGATCACACGAGCATATGGCTTCATTCTCGCAAGGGGTGACTTTACCGGAGTATCCTCGTCGGAGGAGTCAGTGCCCCTGGCCTGAACGCTTGTTTCCAGGCGCGCGTTTTTAGCCTTTTGGGCTCTAGTGACCGCGTGGAGCTCTAGCACCGCTTTCACTTCGGTGCCAGTGTAGAGTGGCTTCGATCGTGTCATGCGACACCGGATCATCTTCTCTAGAACATGCTCATTTTCCTCAGGCAGTGGCTTGGTTACAAACTCGCTGTCGGCACGGACAATCCCTTTGGGTTCATTGGAGTATACTCGCAACAATGCGTCTGCAATGTAATTTTCTTCTCCAGGGATGTATTCGATATTGAAATCGAAGTGAGATAGCGCTTCAAGCCACCGTTTCTGACGTTCATTGAGGGACTTTTGCCTGAGGAGGCCCTCAAACGGCTCATGATCCGGTAGACAGTGAATCTCGTGCCATAAGGAATGTGAGAATGACGCTTTAGCGTAGCCACTATGCCAAGTAGCTCTCGGTCGTGTGTAGGGTAGTTCTGTTCGGCAGAGTTGAACTTCCCAGACCAGAATGCGATTTTACGACCAGTTTGGAACGATTTTCCTTGCCAAATGATGCCACCAGCACCAGTAAGGCTGGCGTCGACATGAACGCCAATCGGGTCAGCATTTTCTGAACGATCGATAGTATGACGATGATTATGCTGCCACTGTGACACAATGCGCTTGACTTCCTCAAATGCGCGCTGCTGAGTTGGGCCCCACTTCCATTCTCGCACTCTTTGTAGTTTGGAGAGTACAGCGAGAGGAATAGCTATAGCATGACAGTCTCTGGCGACGTACTGAACCATACCAGTGAGCATCGACACTTGTTCAGCATTGGTGGGAACTTTCCAGTTCTCAATCCGGTCGACTTTATGAGGGTCCGTCATAATCCCTTGACCGTTTATCACGTGGCCAAGAACTATCAGTGGATTTGCGAAGAATTGAAGCTTATCAGGTGAAGTCAAGTAAAGCTTCTCGCGTCGTAGGGTGTTCAGCACTATGCGGATATGCTCGACATGACTCTCAACATCATCTGAGAAGATAATGATGTCGTCTAAATAGACGTACATAAACTTGCCAATGTATGGCGCAAAAACGTAGTTCATGAGAGTTTGGTAGGTCGCAGTCGCATTGCAGTCACCTTGCTGCATGACCTTACTGATCATCGTGCCGTCGGGGGTGTTGAATAGAGTCTTGTGTACATCCTTAGACTCAACACGGATCTGTTCGTAAGCATCTCGACCATCAATGAGGGATTTGTGCCGGTGAGGCGCAATGGTCTCGAGAATAGACTGTATATCCGGTAGAGGTGACGATAGCTTAATCGTATTCTCATTCAGTCTTTGCTTTGCAAACACAGTACGCGGTCGCTTCTCGCCGTTTGGGCCTGGTTTCTTTGGGATAAAGAGCATGGGCACGCCGCTGTGACCTGTGGCGTATTCCCAGCGACCAGTCCTAATATATGTGTCACGCTTTCGAGCCCATTGCTCCTGAAATGCTTGCGGACATCGTGATGGAATGTAAGGGATCTGAAGCGACTCATTCTTGAGCGGAATGCGATGGTTAATCGCGCGAAATGGCGGTAGAGGGGTCTCCTCAGCGGGTCTACAGAGATCTGCGGCCTCCTTTCGGAGCATTTCTCGGACTTCCTCTAGGCTATTATTCAGAACTGAGGCTGCGAGCGATGCAATCGTGGCGACTTCTTTCCCTTCTATGGGTAGAGCCTCAATACTTTCGAAAGCCAGGCGTGTCGGATTGAATCCAATAACACCTTTGTGCTGATAGAGAAATGGTGTGCCTAGAATGACATCGTATCCATCAATGTTCATCACGTCAAATCGACGTTTTTCGCAGATATCGCCATATCGAAACTTGACAGTGGTAGATGCATTGATCTTTCCACGAGAACCCGTCACAGCGAGCTGGACTGTGAGGGGTTTAGCCAGGCTCTCGTACTTGAGCCTAAGCTGGTCAACGAGGGTTGTCGATACAAAATCAGACATTGAACCAGTGTCCACGAGCGCTTGTGCAGCCTCTCCATTCACAAATGCGTCGATTATGCATGTCTTCGGTACGCGTCTCTCAAGGTCTTTCGTTTTGGCAGCATTTCCCTGGAGCAGCGTACGTGGTTCTCGACGTTTAGAGGACTTCTTTGGGCGCTGTGGTTCGTCGATTATGGTCACCCGAACATTCTCCTGCTCGTATTGGGTGCCTTCTCGAGTGTAATTCTCGCGTGACTCGTCGGATATCACTGTATACCATGAAAATTCCGATTCCAGGTCGTCTTCGCTTGAATCGTAACCATTTGAGGCGGTCCCCTCTCGTCCTTCTTGCGATTCATGCGGCATGATCGGCACTGTTAATTCGCCTAAGCCTTTCTCAGGGGGACACTGCACGCTTTGTAAGGCTGTCCAATCATAGTCTCTGGACATTTCCGCCTTCAAACACTCGACATCTGGTAACCAGAATGACTCCTGCGAATCCATGAACTCTAAGTATGCGCTGGCGAGATTAAACTCGCCATCGAAGAGATCCATGGATGTGAAACTCCAACTCATATTGAGAAGCAGGTCGTGTACCTGAAAAATCCCAGGGCAGTCAGGCAATCGTGCAACGCTGAAGCGAATGCCTTCCAAAATATCGCTGCAGTCTCGCTCGGGAATGTGACGAAGCTTTGTTTCTAGCTCGTTCTCAGCCCATTCTTGCACCCCTAGCTCGCGAATGCATAAGGTGTCGTCATTGGGCTCTTCGAAAGGGAATAGCGTCATGGAACACGAGCTCAGATCAGACACATCTTTGACTTGAGCGTCAATAGTGGCAAAATTAATGCTATGCGCGCCCAGCTTTGGCGCCTTGAGTTGCGTCTTTGAGGGGCAATCTCGAGCCTGATGGCCTACCTCGCGGCATCTATAGCATTTACCGGCCGCACGAAGCTCTTATTGTTCTTCCTTAGATAAGTCCTTGTAATGATAAGACTTAGAGCTGTTCGTGGTACGCTGCCTGTGGCCTCCAGACGATCTGTGTGGCCCACCGGAGTTCTGATGCTTATTATCACGATTGAGCCTTCGTTCGTCTCTACTGTCGCGCTTCCGGTCTTTCTTGTGCGCGTGATGCGAATTAGAGTGTGAGATAGACGAACTTCGCAGGTTGCTTGAGCGGTTTGAGACAGCGGCCTTTTCGGCTTTCTCTTGCTTCTCTTTACGCTCAATAAGCTCTCCGGCGGCAAGCAGGTCCTCCAAGGAAGAGAACTCTTGGGAGTAGCCTTGCCCGGCCCATTCAATGCGGATGTATGGCCGTGCGCCCTTCCAGAACTGACGAGCTTTGTCCTTTTCGGACACATCATCAATGCGAGCTGACAAGTTGCGGATTCGATGCAGCCATGCTCGGATACTCATCGAGCCTTGCCTGGAGCTGTCGAAACGCTCTCGCAGTATCTCTCGGATATTTGACGGGAATAATTCGTCCAAAAACATGCGAATGACTTCGTCTAGAGTCCATTTCTCAATTGTAGACGAAACTATGGACATGAAGGTGCGACGAGCATTGCCTTCCAAGAAGTGTGAGAGTGACGATACGCGCATCTTAGCGGGCACATCGTAGTTGTCATACCACTGATTAATCTCATAGAGCCACTCTTCGAGCTTTTCGATCGATGGCTCACCATTCCACTTCTTCGGTGCATCAAGCTTCATGTGTGCGGCAATTTTAGCGCGGTTAGCCTTTGCGTCACGCGACTTCATCCGACGCTCGCGCTTCTTCTTTGACGACTTCTTCTTATGGCTACGGGTGCTCGCACTATCCGAGGATGATTCTTCGGAGCTATCCGAAGGGTCTGGAGATTCTGACTCGTCGTCTGACGACGAAATGGAGGGTGAAGGGGGGTCAACTCCGGAAACTCCTGCCGCTGCGGGCATTGGAGTTGTGCTTAGTAACTTCGTGACATTGGGAACATGGTTCTTGGACACTGGCTTGGATGGCGTTTTCAGCTGCCGAGCCAAGTACGTGCCGGAGGGAATCTGCAGCGACGCAGGTACGCTTCTAGGCGTGTGACTGATCGGAACAGTGCCTGGTTGCTCTGAGCTTTGCCTAATAACGTTCACTAGCGTCGATCGGGAGCTTTTCTCAGCCTGTGGAGTCTTTTGAGGCTGATTCTCGGCCAAATTTACTGGCGCAGGGACCGGATTCATCGGAGTAGATACGAGCCTGTCTTTAGATTTAGGCAATTTCGGTTGGTCCTTGGCAGTGTTAAGCTCCGCTGCAATTCTCCGGGCCGATTCCAAATCCTCTTTCTCCTGCAGTCTCATGGCGGTTTGTCGGTCATACTCGATTAAGGCTGCCTCTGCGCCTTCCCGACTGTCAGGATCAGGTCTGATCACAATGCCACCGCTCGTTGACGCGACTGGTGGTCGAGTAGCCGGGAATTTCCCTTTCTCGGCTGTTGAGTAACGAGGTGCTTCAGATTCGCTGTACTCAGACGAAATTCTGAGGGCTACATTGAGCCTGATTGGAGTGCGAGGCGTCGAATCATCATTGTCGGACTCGCCTATCCTATTGAACCTTACCTGAGAGCTAGATTGTCGTGCTAAATCTGCCGACTTCGGATAATTCAATGCTCTCATACTTGAATTTGCACTGATCGGTGCAAATTCGCGATATTTAGCCATTCCTGAGGCTACATCACGATGGCTGGGTTGGCCACCCACTATGCTCGATGCTTGGCTGTGCGGCCTGGACATTGCCGCCCTGTATCGCTCTAAGAACGCGTCTCTGATCTCTTCAGGCAAATCGTTTATTGCCTCATTGAATGCCGTAGGGCCTAGAATCACAGGCATCATGGCCACGTCTACTGCGACGTTTTCCAGCTCCCTCTCAGGGAACTCTCCACGGTCCGGGCTCTCTGGCCTCACCGTTCGACCGGCATCCTCCGCAAACATCGCGTGGAAGTGTTTCGGACCGGAGTAATATGCAGGGGTTGGCCGTTGCGCAACACGGCCTTCGTCTCCACTGCTATCAACATTGTAACTGTCTCCCGCAAGTCTGTGTGCACCATGACGGCGTCTCTGCGCCCTAATCGTCGTGAATCCATCGTCTCTTGCACCCCCAAGATGCTCAGGCTCATTCTCTTGAGCGGACGAAGGTACTGGTGACACTGTCTGGCCCAACTCGGGGCGATCCACGGATCCCTCTCGGGGACTCCGGATCATCATTGCAATTTCCTGAGCATCCTCGTGCTCATTGCCCTCATTACGTCGGGACAAATTTCGGCCGTTTTGGTGCATTACCGCACCGGTTTGCGACGAATTGGAATATACAGATCCGCTTCTGGTCGCCATGCTAGCTAGTCTTTGTACAACGCGTTTAATATTTAAGAGAAATAGACAGGAAGTCTTTTTATGGGGTTTTGTGATTTTATCAAGTCACTGAGAACGCAAATAGGCAGACGAAACAGGTTTGGGGTAGTCGGTGATCAGGCGACGCCCAGGTATCAAGAAACGGATAATCTAGGTGAAAAAATGTGAGGTTCACAGGGAGAACTCACCAGTACGAGGGCTATACGAGGCCAAGTGAGTAATACTTAGCTGGGGCGAGCGTGTTCACCAGTCTAAGCCCGTTTATTGACGGAGGGTATCGACGTGGGAGGGTACAGGAAAGACTCTGCTAGTTAAGACATGTACATAGAGTCTTATATAGCAAGGTTAAACATTGGAACGAGTAAAGAGCGATGGGAAGCTAAGCATGTGCTAAGGCCGTCGCTATGAGGGTATATGCAATAGAGGCTATGAAGAGAAGGGTGAGGAATGTGATGTGGAAGGGGTAACGAGTGTCACGGGTGCGGTTATGACGTGTGTGACGAGGAGAAATTCTCGAAACCTTACACCAAACCACTGCGATGACCACAAAGCCCTCCAGTCCGTTCGGATTGGTCCATTTGGCTATTATGTGGATATACAGTGTAATGTACTTATAGTACATTCTTGGCACTGCGAGTTACAATACAGCAGCTATAGTGTACTCGAGTAGCCCTTTTCCTTTTGAGAAAGGGAACTCGAACGAAGCCAGAGAACTTGGGTAAGATGCCCCTGTCTACTTTGTACTTGAGTTTAGATGTGGAAAGGGACCATAAATGAATGATATGAGTATAGGTTCGTTCAGTTAGAATCCCAATAGCCGAATATGCGGCCTAATTAGCCGGAGAAAAATGCATCCAGACACCAATTTGCTGAGCTGTATATATACACTACACAAGTACAATTTGAACTCTTCCTCGACCTCGTCAGCGCCTGTTGTCCTCTCACTCCGCCTCTAGATCTAGCATTCGTGATCTGATTTCATATTCTAGACAAGAAGAAATATGGAAAACGACCCTATGCATCGATTTCCACCAGAAATATCTGCCACGATCCTGCTATACGCTTCCTCGGGGCCTTTTTTCTCCGAAAAAATCTATACAATCTCAAGCAAATGCTTGCTTGAGCTCACGTGCATCTCTTCATCCTGGATGAACCTAATTATCTCCACCCCAGTATTATGGACAGACATCGTCTTGGATGTGTGTTCCACCGAAGACGCACTGGCCATAGTTGCGGTTCATCTCACACTCTCGAGGTCCAGTCCTCTTTTTATCATCTTCCCTAAGCAGACTAGCGGAGACCAATCATTCCAAAGGGTATTTGATCAGCTAAGCGGCCACACCGATCGCATACAATCACTATATGTGGATTCTGAGTTTACATTATCCACATTCTACCAAGTTCTTGGGCCTCTTCGGAATCTTACGTTCTTACGATGCCGTCGAGGAAATTCTTATAAGCCCATTCGCGAATCCACGGTCAACTTTATAAATTGTCACTCGGGGCTCAAAGAGATTCAAAATGTTACGCTGACTCCAACTATCCTCAAATCAAGATGGTCCTGCCGTCTCTCCATGGTCACAACGAGCGCTGATGTTCGAGTCCGTGACTTGATAGCTGTTCCTGGCAAGTTTTCGGCACTAAAGACAATTGTCTTCCATCCAAAATCTCAGAGAAATTGCCCCCCTGGTCGGGTAGAGCCATTATCTTTACCATCTTGTACTCAAGTACGCACATGGAACCTGAAAATGTCGGGGGATGACTTGCAACTACAGCAAGATATGGATATATTCCTATCGGCGGTCTCAGACAGCCTCGAAACATTGAAGACTAGACTAGATATTGAGGTTTTACCTTTACTCCTGCCGCGGTTAGCTCAACTTCAATGCCTACAGCGCGTCGTGCTAGATATTGTACCCACTCTGAAAGGCTTCGAACCACCCGTGCTTATGCCTCCCTCATTAGCTCAAGTTCTAGTGATAAATATATCTGGCGGAAGGAGCAGTGGATGGAGTCAAAACTTGGTGGCTATGGTCAAGTCCTCATTTCCTCATGTGAAACAACTTACATTGGGTGGTTGGCGCACGGAAATTCTACTAGAACTTCTCTCCCAAGACACCTTGTCGCAGTTGACGACTGTTTCCCTCGGCTTCCCCACTCAGCCTCTGGGCCCTTCTTTCTCCCTGTCGTCTACAATACAGAAACTGACGTTAGACGTACAAGGCGGCGATATCAATCAATGCAGGTCAACCAATGTTACCACCTTGAACATTCACTACAAGCATAGCTCAAGCCAGGACTCCCCCCCAGTCGACCTCTCAAACTGGCCAAATCTTAAAGCACTGCAAATTAATAGACTCAGTTACGCTGTTCAATGGCATATACGTCGATTCGAATTCCTTAGGAAGATTGATCTTGGGCATTCTACGGCTGACCTCGCACAATACGAAGGGTCACGCTTGATCTACCATCTTGCTGCATATCCGGAAGCGTTTCCTTCTCTGAGGAAACTCAAGCTTCAACCCTATATAGAGTGGGACATTTTCTTTATCATGCTAGAGTCGAGAAACTCGTCCAGAAAGACCAGCGCGGCTTCTCGAATCAAATCAGTAACTTTTACCTCTAGAATACCAGGAGACTTCGCAGATTTAATCTCGAAACTGCTGCAAGGGACTGGAGAGGACGTTGATTCCCTTTCCAAGTTTTCGTTTTCGTGGATGGGTAACATGGACATTATTCAAGATATGAGCCTGTGAGTGTGTTACTGAACTGAACTTCATGCCCGATTTCTAACATTTTCTCATGCAGCCCTGGGTGTAGGCAATGCCATAAATCACTTTTATATTGCAAGACACCTTGGGTTCGTGGATTAGGAGCCGAAGACTCAAAGCCTCCCCCAATGTCTGCCTATGAGACGGAGAACGATAAGATAATCTCGACCTGGCCAAGTCGCGAAGAGGAATGGGCTTCCTATGTTGCTTGGCAGATCACTTTGCCACGCAGCAGGTCGCGATACTGCCAAGACATTAAACCGTCCCAGGTTATCCGTATCCGCTCATTTGGTCACCATATAGAAACCTAGTGCATTCTGCTTTCGCTCACCGCTTAATACACGGCGGAATCGATTCCAATGCAATGTGGCTAGTAGCAATAGGATATACCGTGGAGTCAAGTTGTAATTGTTTTCGAGTAATGATACGCTACAAATGTGCCAAAACGAAAGGTCCTTGAATCAGTCCCAATCTATTCCCGAATGCCACTTGAACAGCACCGCGACAGTGCTCGGTACTATGGCCCCCATCATCATCCCGGGGTCAGTCAGTCACTTTCCTGTTTCTGTCACCTTCAACTCGATTTTCGGAATTGCCGGATGAGTCCATGAACGAGCAACATTTCAAAGACACACGATACAAAGATGATAAGGAGTGAGTTAAGTTAAAGACAGTAAGGAGAGATGGCCGTAGCTGTCATCTGGCGGTCTGGCTGGCCATTTTGACCAAGAGGTTTGCACGCAAACAAGAAGCCGCACGGTAGCAGAAAGGGATCTATTTAGTTGAGATATCAGTGTAGCGTACAATAGGGCTCATCCGTGGCGAAAGACGCGCATAGCGCAGTCTAAATACAAGAGGCCAATACCCTCGGGTCCGCAAAGAGAGAAAGATACCATGAGAAATCTAATCGTGAGGACAATCCGGAATGTTGATAGCCTTAAGAGTCTTGTTCTCGTAAAATAATCCCCAATGTTGTTCGACGCCGCCATACATCTTCTTCCACGATTCGTCAAACGCCTCGAAGAAGAAATATTTGGTGCCGTTCCGATTCGAGGCGCAGACCCAGTCACTACACACAGGTCAGCATAACACTCGAGAGCATGGCCCGGGAAACTCACTCGAGCACTCGTTGCAGCTCCGTCAATCCGGCTCGACTACCAGCGGGGTTAATCCCAAGCGCAGCGTCGTCCGTATCCGTAGGCCAACCAAATTCTCCCTGGAATAGCCTCGGATTTTGGGCAGTCGAGTTGACCGGCATCGGCCACGTCGCATTTACCAACGGCTGAACGATGTTATTCATATAGCTCCAACTGAACCACGCCGCTTGTTCGTACGTGTTTTGGCTGAACCAAGGATGGATGTTGACTTGAAAGTAGTCGACGGCGCTCACGAGGCTTGAATCGCCGATAAACGTGCCCGCTGCATCCGAGGTTCCGACTGGGATGGAGGAATAGTTGTGATGTTGGTCTGGCGAGGATGCTGTTGCTTGGCGGAGGTGCGTCTTGAAGTCGTTGATTCGTGATATCAGCCATGTGGTCGCGTTGGCAATGGTGTCGCCACGAGAGGGAGCGTTCAAAAGATACTCGTTACCAACGGTAACGCCATCTACCCTGTCTACTCCGTACGACTTCAGAGCAAAGTCGAGCTGGGCGACCTGCGAGTTGTAGGATTCGACGTCGGGGTGGATATCTACGAGGTGTTAGAATGTGAGAACTTATGAGGACGATACTGACATATTCCTGCATAGATGCTCATGTTTACGTTGAGATCCTGTATCGCTTGTAGCTGGACAAAGGTGAGGATGGCTGTAGCTGACGGCCGATAGAACTCACGACGAGTGCTGTAACATTACTGGAACGCAATTAGTGTATTTTATGGAAACATGTAATTAGACCGTACCAATCGGAAGCATACAACCGGAGACGCGTTGTGAGCTGGCTCAACAATTGCATATCCTTGGTAACATTCGCTTGCGTCGCAGTGCAATCAATAGCTCCATACGGCGTGTACGCCAAACTACCATGGTTCAATCTTAGTCCCCAGTTCCGCCAAGAATAGACAAACGAAGAGACGTACCCCCAAAACGAATTATGAAGTCTTGAATCGAGTGGAAATCCCTGTCCAGAGTTTCCCCCATTCGACCCGCCGTTCGACCCGCCACCTCCGCTAGACGAGCCGCGCTTCTGCGTACCGACAACAGCACCGACGATAATCACTATTGAAGTGTAACATGCAAGGGTAGACAGGAAGAGCACATCAGCACTATGTCACACAAACGACTCCTGGCCTTGACATCAACGTACCGACAACAATGAGCACACCAACGACGGCATATACAATAATCCTGCGCATATTATTCGGCTTTCCATCTCCTGGCTTGTTAAACACGTTTTGAGCCTTTTGGTACGACGCAGCGACGCGTCCACGCAGCGTCGTCGAAGGCGGCGGTGGAAGTGCCTTTTCTGTCGTTGCCATGATAAAGACAAACGACGAAGAATGCCCAGCGAGCGACCCGCTTCACGCTAGGATATTAAATACGAATTTTGAAACGAGCGTCGTAAACAAACGACGAGGACGGCGGAGGATCAACAATCGTGAGAAGTGCTCGGCACGCCCCTGTCGGATAACAAGAGAATCCAAGGAAATACCGTCTATATCCATCGTACAACGTACAAAGTGACATAGTATGAAACAATAAAGCTCGGGGAAAACGACAAGCTGATTAGATGTGTAGAGTACCGCCTATAGGTCAAACTGTTACAAACTCTCCGCACTCCAGTTGTGGGTGTACAAAATCCAAACCCGAATTGCTCATCTATGCATTGGTGCCCCACCGAGCTCCCCACGAACGCCAACTCCTACCCGTGTTGGGAGTCGACGACGCAGTCGTCGGTGTCTCCGCACTCTCTATCGGACTCGACGCAAGCTTCACCTCCAGCTTTGTAGTCTCCTGCGCACCATGACCCTGCTCCGAATCTGCCGTGGACGAGCCATAGCCAGAGTCGGATGTACCCGAGGCCGATGTATTGGCAGTATTCGAACGAGAGAAGAATGAGCTAAAGCTCCGTGAAGGTGCAATAGGAGCCGTAGATGGTGGAGCCAACGGAGATGTTGCTTGTGCAGAGAGGCTCGATGGATCCGATGCAGATTGAGCTATCGATGGTGTCGCTGGAGTAGACGAATTGGCTGCTTTAGCCGCATAATATCCATGAGCACGCGCACGGAGTGCACTAAACCCAGACGACCACGTCGCCGTTTGCGGTACGCCCTCTTCTCCATTCGAGTCTCCCGACTTGCGAGGCGCGGTCGTGGTCATACTGATTTGGGATGCGCCACTCGATCGCTTTGACGATTCCGCATTTCTGGAATTCCACATACCCTCGGGCCATCTGGGGCTCAGCGCAGAGGCGCCAAAGCCTGGGGTCCTTGGAGTGGTAGGCAAGCCACTTTCTCCGACAAGAGTCGAAGCAGTGTTGATTGGAGCGCTTGCCCATGGCGCCAAAACCTCTTCCTGGACATACTCCAACTCTGGCGGTGGTACTGGACCGATGTATTCTCGCGGCACGGCGTACACCAGAAGCTTGGCGGATTGAAGCGCATTCTTCTGGACGCGCGTAAGATGTGGAAGTGGAAGCTGGTACGCCTGTGCTGGAAGAGAGTGGATGGGCAAATGCCCTGATCCGGACGTAGCGGATACGGAGGAGACTGGCCGGCTGAACGTCCGCGACAGCGGAGATGCTGGCAAAGGTGGCGGCCACATCATGCAAGCAACCGGTAAGTCGTATTGACTGGCGACGATCTCCGTCATGTAGACTGTCGGAGTATACAAAGAGGTTCCGCTTTCGGCCACTTCCTCTGCCAGTTCATCATCCTCTATCTGGATGACGGGCATGATACCCTTGACATCGTCTCGAGGCAAAGAATTGAGATAACTCTCCATCTTATCGTTGTCCAGGGGAGGAAGTGTAATCAGACGAATGTATTTGCCCTTGGGCAACTTTCGTAGAGTCGTGCTTCGTAACCGAGATCTCGAAGTACGTCAGTATTGACCTAAATGATAAAAAAAGTTTCATACCGGTCAATCTTCTTCCATCCTGTTTCGACTTTGCGGCCAGCGCCGAGCACACGGATTCGCTCTTCACCAAGTAGGTCAAGCAAATCTTCATCTGACAGAATTTTAAACGGAGGGAGTCCTTTAGTCGGAGGCGGGGGTGGTCGATCAGACGTTGGATCGTATTTTTCTTCTGCGTGTCTTTTCGTTTCGGGCGGTGATGAGAGGACGGAGGATGGAGCGTAGAATGCGTAGATGGGGGATGGTGTGAAACTGGAGTAAGCATCTTGGAGGTTGGTCGTGACGGAGATCGGGATTGGGATGTAGATGTAGGTCGTGACACCGAGGCGCGAGTGGAAAGAAACGAGAAGCGAGACGGAGTTGGAGTCGATGACGGGTCAACCGTCTCGGCGGAGGGTGAGGTGACCAAAAGATGTTGGATCCTCTCGTTGACGGCTTGCCGAGCGGTTCCTTCGCTCCGAGGATCGGCACTGGACTCGGACTCGGACTCGGCAGGCAAGTCGGCATGTTCATACCGCGACTCTGTCCGCCTGTATCTGACGCCGCTTCCCACTCTTGGCATCGACGTGTTGATCTTGAGCAATGGACGACCGCGCTCATCCTTTTGCATCGTAGTAGTCGTCAAGTTTAGAAATAGCGTTGGCGGAACGACGGATTTCCCTCTGCTAGGCCCCACATACTCTGCGTCCCGGGTGTAGATGCTTCCTGACGGCGTATGTGCATAGTTTGCCGATCCACTGGCCGAAGAAGTCGTTGGAGAAGGAGACAGTGGAGGACTTGGGGTGTGGTCGGTACCAGCACGCGAAGACCCAGAAGTTGAGGGAAGCGTTAGCGTCGTCTGGTACGTTTGATTCGAGTCGCGATTATCTCGCTCGGTACGAGACGGGGACGATGGAAGCGGCTTGGAACTGTGACAGAATTAGCTTTTTGTCGGACGGAAGAGCGAGGGAATAGGAGATAGGAGTCAGCGCCAGCCGGAAGCGGCAGTTGGCCACGTCCGACACAAAGAGCAGACGTACGATAGATTCCATATTCCAGAGCCTACAGGACTGGGATAGCTTTGCTCAGCACCATTGTTCTCTTGGCCTTCACTCAGAGTAGAATGACGGTTCGGTGAAGTCTTGCTCGGAGACGCTAGATCGAGCGGAGAGATGACTCTAGGCTTTCCGTTATCCTTCTTTTGTCGAAATTTTGAAAATTTGGATGTCTGCGTAGGCGTCGTGGTCGGTTGCTCGCCCGACGGCAGCAAAAGCAGCGCCCGCAAGGGCATCTAGGGCGCCCTCTGCGAGAATGGAGACGTTGGGATAGTCGTTTTGTTAGCGTTCAGCGTTGTATTCTTCCTTGTACCGAGTGGATTTGTCGAGGTTTGCGTGCCGGATTGTCACAAGAACTCGACGGTGAAAAGGAACGTGACTGAGTAACGATTGATATGAATTTTGAGGGCAATTTAGGAGACTGCAGTGGGCTGTCTGGCCGTCGCGGACGCAGTGGGTAGAGGACAAGAACGAATCAACAATTGGCTAACACCAACAGCTTTTGGATTCGTCCCGTTCCCTTGATTATTGCTGGAAATTGAGAAATAAGAAGAAATGAGACATTCTTTACGAATAGCATCACGTCATGTGCCACGTCTGGCCAGCAAACAGACGACAAGGGCATTGGCAACAGCAGAAACACGCCTCCACAGACCGTCAACGGATGGAAAACCGTATGTTACTTCTACTAGGCACTCTATGTTATTGACCCATCGATAGGCCAACCGGTACGTCAACTTCCCCAAGACTTGCAATCATATTTTCATTTCCTTCAAGCCGTCGTTCTTCTAAACATGGGAGGACCCTCGACTCTGTCAGAGGTCAATTCGTTTCTCACCAATCTCTTCTCGGACAAGGACCTCATTCCCCTCCCGTTCCAATCCCTTTTGGCACCTTGGATCGCCCGAAGACGAACTCCCAAGATCGAACAACAATATGCCGACATTGGAGGTGGCAGTCCGATTCTCAGGTACACCCAAGAGCAAGGTCGACTGATGTGCCAACTGCTGGACGAGCTCAGTCCCGAGACAGCTCCGCACAAGCCCTACGTGGCGTTCAGGTATGGTCTCTAGATATCAGCAGACACCTATCTGATATAAGTCCAGATATGCGAACCCTTTGACTTCTCAGACACTGGCCGAGCTCAAGGCAGATGGCGTCAAGCGAGCAATCGCATTCACTCAGTATCCTCAGTATAGCTGTAGTACCACAGGGAGCAGCTTGAATGAGCTTTATAGGTATGTTCTAACACATGGTCTCGGCCCGACTTATCATTCCTCTAGAAAAGCGAACCGCGGAGAGGCGGGAAAGATCAAGTGGAGTGTGATTGACAGATGGGCCATGCATGATGGCCTTGTCGACGTACGTTCATTCGATCCACTCTCTTCTAACTAACATCTTCGCCAAGGCATTCACCAACCTCATTTACAAAGCGCTCCTCAAATTCCCCGTCGAACGAAGATCAAAAGCAGTGCTTCTCTTCTCCGCTCACTCACTGCCAATGAGCGTCGTGAACCGAGGGGATCCTTACGTGATGGAGGTAGCGACCACCGTTGGAAGCGTAATGAAGCGACTGGCGTCAGGTATGCATTGGATATATCCTGCGTCCAAACGCGCTGATGGGGATGCAGTCGACGGTTTCCAGAATCCGTATCGACTCGTCTGGCAATCTCAAGTCGGTCCGTCAGCCTGGATGGGTCAACAGACTATCGAGGCGCTCAAAGGACTCGCCAGACTCGGACCTATCGAAGAGAAGCGAGCTGAGAAATCAGGTCAGATTGCAACCATTTATGCTTCTATGTCCTTATATGTTTTGTAACAGCGAAAAACAAGCTCTCCGAGCTCGTTTCCGTCGGATACACAGACGTGGTGCTGGTGCCGATCGCTTTTACGAGCGATCATATCGAAACATTATACGAGCTGGACCTTGAATATGTCAAGGAGGGTAAAGAGGTACGTACACTTCATGTATCTGGAGCCGCCAAACTCATGCCCGTGTAAGCTCGGATTGAACGTTCAACGCGCCGAGTCTCTCAATGTATCGCCTACCTTTATTCGTGCCATGGCAGACTTGGTGCATGAACACTTGAAGAGCACCGAAGGTACGTCTTGGTGTTTCGCGCCGTCGATGGTTGTTGATCGCTGGACAGCGGAGGGTGGTCAACCTGTAAGCACACAGATGATGCTTAGATGCCCCGGGTGTACAAATGAGACGTGTGGAGAACAAAAGAGGTGGTTTGCTGGTTGGGGTAGCTAATACTATACGCAGACTCTGGTATATACGCCACTTTAGACGTAGATAACAAGGAAATGCTATTATTTGGGACATCCCCGCGAGTATAGGCGAGGGCCGTGACCCTGGCACTTCCTTTTGGGTGACAACTAGAGGAAGGCAAATCCCGCTCCTCTCCTCGACTTTTGCAATATTGCGCCCATCGCATGACTAGGCTCACAGGTAATTTCTCCTTCTCTCTAGCTATGGCGTCTAATAACGGGTGTAGGCATCCGATCCGGCCCCCGCCATATCCTGCTGCCTGAGCAAACTCATGTTGGCCAACCACCAAAAGGTCCGTTGGATATTGAGCCGGAAAATACAGGGTCAAATAGCCGAAAGGAAATCGAATACGACCCTCAAGCAACCTCATGGGAGATTTATAATGAGAAAGTTGCGCAAGAGGGCGAGTTTGTGAGATCGATCCATACTTCCATGGACGGACTTCTGATATTTGTGAGCATTCGGCCACTTGTTATTCCATGAAAGCCTTACCCCAATCAGGCGGGTCTCTTCTCCGCTACGGCCTCGGCCTTTCTGCAGTTTACATGGCCACTTCTACAGGAAGACAAGGCCGAGAGGTCGAACGATCTTCTACTCGCGCTCTTCCACAAGATGGAGAACTCGTCCAATACACTGCCCGAGCGTAAACCATTCGTCGTGCCTGCAGGAGCATGGGCTATCAACTGCCTTGTCTTCGCCAGTATCGCTGGCACTCTGATTTCTGCCTTCTTCGCAATCTTGGTGAAGCAATGGGCCGCTGATATTATACGTGGACTCACGAGAATCTCAACACCTCAACTTCGTGCTCGAACGCATCAATTTAGAATACAAGGCGTATATCGATTCCAGTTCGCTCGCATAGCCGCCTTCGTCCCCGTCATCGTTCATTTATCATTAGCATGTTTCAGCATCGGAATCGTTGAATTTCTTATCTACTCAGAACAGCGGCCACTTGCGGCGGTGGTGATTGCCTGCTCGCTATTAGGCGTAGGTGCTTACTTCCTCCTCTCGCTCTTGCCACTGGTTTATCTCGAAGCCCCTTTTCAGTCTCCCTTGACAGCCATTTTCCGCTCCCTTGGCTCAAGCATTCGAAGGCTATTCTCACTGTGTTTTCCTCGACTGCTATCATCCACCGATCTATTACTCAACGAGATCGTTGGTGAGCAAGATCCGGTTTCGAGGCACATACATCTCTCGTGGGCGCTCGACGTTGACGTCCTGGTCTCACTTGTTGGCATGGCAGACAAGCGTACGGAGCGCCGGGTTCTCGAGCAGGCATTAATCGATTTACAAAGGCTCATCGTAGTTCGGAAACGTGCGCCTCAGCTCCTCTTAAGTCCAGTCCTCATGAATACATACTTGTACCTTGTGTCTACCATGATACAACCGGGTGGGACAGTTTCACTTGCTCACGATCGAGAGCCAAGAGCCCGTTCGCTGTGTCACTTTTTGATATGGTTGGGCTCTATTAGTGCAGAGAACAACCTTATGCAACACCTTCGTCAACTCCTTGAATATAATCCATCGTTTGTGGATCATTCTGTACTCCCAATCGCATTACGCGCATACGGTCTGAAATACAGACACACAGAGGATGTGGTATCGGGGGATATGGCAGTCCGAGAGCTTGGACATATAAACCAAAATGCCGAAAGAGAGTGTACGGCGTGTGTTGACTTTGTTGTTCACACCAATGGTATTCGGACAAGTACGAACCCTCACAGCCTGACATACAACTATCTCATGACCCTCCAACCAGATATGTGGGACATACAGCGCGGGAGGGCGGAAAGGGAACGGATCATTGGGTACATTGCCGCGCAGACCCGCTGTCTCGCCAGATTTGCGCCCCTAACCGCGCCTTCGAATCTAGCATATGCTCGGATGCGAAATTTGATCATCAAATTCCGCCTCGGTGATCCAGCGCTTGCCTATATATGGAGTGAGACGGTTCCCGGCTCGACTATTGAATTCACGAACCCACATCTTAGTGCGTGGATATCGGAGATTGAAGCACAGCGAGCTCTCCAAGCCTGACAGTGCTTCAAGCATCCAAGGCAACGCTCTGCTAAACGAATTTTATCACCACTTGGGGGGAGTGTATGGAGTGCGGAAATGGTTCAAAAGCTAGAAATCTTGACAGCTGTACATACGACTCGTATATATAAGCGAATTTGGAATATCGGTGACATAGAAGCTACTAGTATCTCGAACGCCTGTATGAGTATACTGGCCTGTAGCGGGGCAAGGGTTTGACCTTTGGCTTTGAAGTGCCGTCCTTGGTATTCGAAGACGAACCGGATGGACTAGAGTTCGTATAGACGGGTGTTCGCGTCCGGGCTCCCGACGGAGGGGTGAGATTAGGGACGCTGTATCCCATAGATCGCCAACCGTCACGCGTTGGGCTCTCTGGATAGGCGGTCAGATACTCCTTGACGCGCTTTTCTGCCATGGTTAGAAATGATTGGGGTAGACTCGTGTCTGTTGGTGGTTTGATGCCCTTTTGTGCGGCTATCGGTACAAGTGCATCCAAATCCATGCTATCCTTGTATTGCTCGCGATAGTAGTAACTCTGAAGTGCCGCTCGGTGCTGCGACCACGCTTGAAGCTTGAGCAGCAACACTAGTGCGAGTGGTGCGGCTGGTAAGTAGCGCGAGTTGCTGCGTTGAATATCACTAGCTGGGAAGGATGGAATGTCCATCACCCCTGGTAGGAGAATATCGACCTTGATGGCGTCGAAGGTACTGGGCGTCATTCCGTATGATCCATAACTCAAGTACCCATACGCCGTCTGCTGCTTTTTATACCAGAGTACCTTGTACGTAGCGCCTACCTTCTTTGACGGGACGAGGAAGAAAGATGAGTCGGCATTGGTGAGACGGCGCTTGATGTGCTCTTGATCGTGATGCGTATTAAGAACAAGAATGTCAAGGTCCTACAATAGCGTGAGCAAGAGCCAATACCAAGGCAGGGAGAAGCATACGTGAGGCTGACGGCTGTTTCCATAGAGTGCACAAGCTACACCGCCCACAAAGCAAGCATCTTCGTACCCTAAACTCTTGAGGGCACTTATAGCAGCGTATGCTGCGTTCCAGAGTGGGCTGTTCATGGAGAAAGCAGGCAGGGGACGCTGAGTCGTTGAAAACTCGTGGCCTTTATGGCCTGATAGCAGAGAATATAATCAGGCTCAGAAGCGTCGGGTTGGATGAATGTAGCGATTCCATCCCTGGACTCCGGATGAGACGAGAGCGCACGCGGTGTAAATAGTGGACAGGGTCTATGAATGGCCTCAACTTGGTGCCGACCATTGAGGCAAACTCCGTGGTTTATTTCATTGTCTTTCGGTGATAACACGTACGTACGCAATGTAGCGACAGATTACTTTCTTTGTCAGAGTGACATGCTCTTTCGGAGATACCGTCTCCCGTCAAGGAGGCTGCAGTCATCGCTCGGGCACCTGCTCAAATGGCGCAAACCGAGTAGGAAGATAAAACTCCGGCCAGGCTGAACCACTCTCTACGTATTGGTCCGCCGAGCTCGTCACCCTTTGCAACTCTGACAACCCGACAGCCGTTATACCCCATTATGACCCAGATCAAAGACTATAACGCACCACTTCCCTTTGACATATGGCATCGAATCCTCTTCCATCTCTCGGCGTTGCTCGGTCCATTCTCCAACCTCGACCACGTCAAGACTTTGCCAGCACAGCGCCGGCTCCTCTCGTGGGAGACGGGGCGCCCTTACATGAAGCAGTGGCTAGACCTTCGTCTCGTCTGCCGCGAATGGGCCGACTGGAATTGGATCCCGCTCAGATCATTTCGTGACCAAGACCAAGACCATACCCGCGCCAGAGGTCCAGTCTCGTGGATACACATCGACGCCACGGATACAACGCTCACGCGCTTTTGCGAATTCATTAGACCAACCCTGGTAGCGAGCCAGATTGTCACTCTGTCCATCTCAACCAAATCCACAGAGTGCGCTAAAAAAGCACTAGAATCCGGTAAACTTCTCCCCAATGTTCGCAACCTTTCAGTGGATGCAAGTTGCTGGATACCCCTCTTCTGGACACGCCTTTACTCGTCGTTCCCAGATGTTACCACTCTACGCCTGCGTAACATTGGAGGCGGGGACGATTCCCTCCAGAATATTCCAGAGGAGATGATTCTACTCAGCCTACAGTATCTAGAACTGGACAATGTCATTGGTGGAATTGTCGCCGTATTCAAATTACCCTCCCTGAAGCATATCGTATTAACGGGGTTCAGCATGTATAGACCCCTCGTCTTCAGTCTTGGGGAGCAGCTCGAGTACGTGTCTTTAAACCACACATTTGGTCACGTTCTCTCACCTTGGTTCTGGACAGAGATGTCCAAGCTCCAGGTGCTCGAGTTGCAGGCCCCCACGGCCCTCAGAACATCACCACCGCCTCTTGATCACCCATTCCAGTATTTGATCATACAAACATCCCAGGTACGGGGGGCGCACGGCGTCTTAATGGTTCCAGCTATCATTTACAAGCTATCAACCTACTCGAGGATACAAAATTTCTCAATCAGCACTCGTGGGTGGACATTCTGGGAGAGAATGTGGCTGCAAAACGCCTGCCACCGCCAAGGGATCAAGTTTGTCGAGTTACCGGCCATGTTGGGCTCGAGTAATGACTCTTTCATCGGTGTTCTCAGTAACGAAATTACGAGGACACTCAACTCCACGTTACAAAGACTAACAGGCGTTGCCCTTGGATGGGACCCTTGTCTCCCTCCTGGAATTTAACGCCTAGGTACAGAGGTAATTACAAAAATATACGATGAATTCCCATGATTCTGTTTTTCAGATCATCTCGTCTCCCTTGCGAGGGGCGACTCCGTGACCGACTGCATCTGGCGCTCCGTGGTGACGTTTGGCCCCGCTTTTAGCTTCATCGTCTCGAACCCCTCTCTCCACTTCGTTGATGGGATCCTCTGGCGAGTACTTGTGCTGCGTCTCCATCTGATTTGGATTGATTGTCCAATATCTCGTGCTACTCCATGTTAGACAGTGTACTCAGAACGGAATTAGACGTACTGTTTGAGCCAAGCGTAAAATGCTACACTGAGGCAGCTTCCAAGGAGCGGGCCAATCCAATATATCCAGTGCTCCTTGCCAAATCCCGCAACGACCGATGGCCCAAATGACCGGGCAGGGTTAAGCGATGCACCAGTGAACGTAACTGCGAACATATGGCAAGCAAACAGCGTCATGGAGATACCGACGGGGCAAAAGGCGTTGCTTGACTCTTCTCCGCTGCGAGCATGAGGATGGAGAGCAAGAGAATGGCGGTGCATATGACCTCGATGAAGAGACCTTGAACCATGTTGACGCCTTCTCCCAACTTGTTCTTTACGAGCAGTGGTCCGGGGGTGAGGCCGAGTATGAGGGCAGAGGCGACGACTGCGCCAATGAGCTACGATTTGTGAGGATTATTAGATGCGAAAAACGACCAATATACCTGCGCTACCACGTAGAAGACGAATCTCCGAGTGCTGATCTGGCCGATGAGTCGCAGCGCGAGACTGACGGACGGATTAAACAGCCCGCCAGTCGTTCGATAGAACATCCACGCACTCCCAAGAAGTGCAACACCGGCAGCCGCGGAGATGTATACATTATGGTCGATAGAGTGCGGTCCATATTCTGCGACTTGGAGACCCTGGGTGGCGACGACGGAGAGCTTTGCAGATTGGATGGCGCCCAAGGCGAGAAGTAGAAATACCGTCTATCAAAGGTTACTATCGTTAAGATAAATTGTAGGAGAGTACTCACTGTTCCAATGAGCTCGATGGATGCAGCCCGTAGGTCTTCGTTTAACCTTGGGTGCGATGCCCAGTGTCGTAGGAGAGCCATAGTAAAGCTCAGGTGCGAAATCTTCGCGCGTTTCTTCGGCACACGACCAGCATTTATGGCATTACCTCAACTATGACGAGCAATTTGTGACGTCAAGCCGGGGAACCGAAAGGGTGAACCCAGATATTATTGTAAGAGTTTCGTAATAGGACACCTGACGTTTGGACGCTGTGGAGTAGAGAGGATCATTGAAGGTAACGGAAATGAACTTCAGTGTTTGGACTCCAGGAGTTTCCGGCCCAACTCCGAATTGATTTTGAGCTTCATCCTGAGCGTCCGTTTCATCCGAGTCCTAAGCAAACCTTGGCCGGTGTTCCCTTTCACCGCTGCAGTTCTGGTCAAAAGTCGATAACAACCTGGACCCGTCCACATTTGCATTTGGAAGGAAGTCGTGTCAGCATATATATACATACAATTCGAGTACCAGATGTTGGCTCTCGTCGTCGACTGCAGAGTATTAGAATATACTATCATGTTCATTATGGCCGAAGTCCCTCCGAGGGCGCTACGATCCTACATTTGCTATTTTTGGTGGTCCAAATTCATCGGTGCTCTTGTATGTGGGACGTTAGCCTGGAGGAGGAACTAGGCGCCAATCAGCCGTCACCCAACCTTGCGCCGCTTTCTCCCCTTCGCAATATGCAGTTTTTCTCTAGTAATAATGTACAAATGGCAGATCTTACAGGTAATCTTTCATTTCCTTTGGTTGTAAGATTATCTTACTTTGGTAGGGATCCTATCTACTGCACAGTATATTCTGCCGTCGGGCCAACCTTACCTCAATCCATCACCAGTCGCACCACCACCTTATCAGCATACTACAGGTAGACATATTCTGGTGAAGGTATTTGTTATGGCACCAACTCCCCCTTCTAGGCCTAGACGCTGGAGTCGCGGCAGGGATTCCCGTGAATATGGAGCCGCAGGTGACAGAAAATACAGAGTCCAACTTGGAGAAGAAGATGGAAGACAGTTCTCAGAAAACCTCGTGGCACGTTTATAATGAAAAGACAGCTCAGGAAGACGGCGAGTTTGTGAGATCTGTCAACGCTTCTATGGATGTACTCCTGATATTTGTGAGTGTTAGACTGTTTGTAGACGAAAGTCTTACTCCCATTAGGCGGGTCTCTTCTCGGCCACAGCGACTGCTTTCTTGCAGTTTACGCGCCCACTGCTCCAGGAAGACGAAGTCGAGAAGTCGAATGACCTCCTACTCGCGCTCTTCCACAAGATGGATAACTCATCGTATTCACTACCCGAGCGTAAACCATTCGTCGTCCCTGCGGGAGCATGGGCTATCAACTGCCTTGTCTTCGCCAGTATTGCCGGAAGTTTAATCTCTGCCTTTTTTGCCATTTTGGTCAAGCAGTGGGCCGCTGGTATTATCAGCGGACTCAAAGGCATACCAACCCCTCAACTTCGCGCTCGAACGCGTCATTTTAGAGCAGAGGGTGTCCGGAGATTCTACTTCGCGCATATTGCCTCATTTGTTCCTGTTGTCGTACATTTCTCGCTGGTGCTTTTTGGAGTCGGGATCGTCGAATTTCTCATCTACTCAGACGAGCGACCACTCGCGGCAGTGGTGATCACCTGCTTGCTATTAGGTGCAGGGGCTTACTTCCTCCTCTCGCTTCTGCCGCTATTTTATCTCAATGCTCCATTCCAGTCTCCCATGACAACGATTTTCCGCTTCTTCGCCTCAAGCATTCGACGGATATTCTCCTTGTATTCTCCTCAACGGCCACCAAAGTCCTCGGAGCACAACGAAACTCTCGATGAGCTCATTGGTAAACAGGACCAAGTCTCGAGGCATATACATCTCTCATGGAAACTGGACATTGACGTCCTAGTTTCCCTCATGGCGATGGCAGACAAGCACACGGAGCGCTGGGTTCTCGAGCAAACACTGCGCGATATGCGAGGTCTCATCAAAGTTCAGAAATCGGCGCCTCGGCTCTTTTGTCACCCGGCTATACTGCGCACATACTCGTACCTTGTGTCGACCTCAATATTCGAGGGCCAAAACGAGACGGTCACTCTCGCCCGGGGTCGAGAACCGAGAGCCCGGGGATTATGTCGCTTCTTGATATGGCTGGGTTCAGTTGGTGCGGAGAGCAGCTCCATGCAAGACCTGTGCCGCTTCCTTGAGGATCAGACATTGGTCAGAAAGCAATCGGCACTGCCAACAGCATTACGTGCATATGGCTTGAAACACAAGCGAACAGAAGACGTACTCTTGGGGGAGATGGCGGTTCAAGAGCTTGGACATATGAGTCAAAAGGCTGGGAGACAATGTACAACGTGTGTTGACTTTATCCTTCACGCTAATGGTGGCTGGGCAACCACGAATCCTCATAGTCAGATTTACGAATATCTCATCTCTCTCAGACCGGAGACCTGGGTAAACGATATCAAGCGTGGGAGAGCAGAGAAAGAGCAGATGATTCGGTACATTGCCGCGCAGACTCGTTGTCTTGCCAGTTTCGCTCCCATTATTCCACCTTCAAATCTGGCATACACGAGAATGCGAAGTCTGATCACCAAGTTCCACCTTGGCGACCCTGCACTTGCAAATATATGGAATGAGACGGTTCCCAGCTCGACTATCGAGTTCACAAACCCGCATCTCTCTGCTTGGTTGAGGGATATGGAAACACAGCGGAGTTATCAATCTTCCTAACGTTTCACCCGGACATTACCTCTGTGTAGACGGTCGAATGTATAATAAAATCTTCAAGAATACAGTTATCCTCCTCCTAGTCCCCTTTCATTGCCTTCTCACAGTCTAAGATGATCATACGCCCGTCGAATGCTCCAAGGGCGATTGTTGTTCCAAGTCCACGGTGAGCGTTGATGTCGAATTCACCAGGAATGGCAATGGACATACGTACTGGCCTTCCTAAGTCAACCCAATCTAGTTTGTGCTCCTGGTCCCACCGATATAGGATTGGAAAGGTTTCGGAGATGACACGAGCAAGATCCACTGGCTCGACAGGCCGGGCTGGAAGTGGGCGAATTACCCATGCGATTTGATCCATAGCAAGAAAGTCGTCACTCGGGTGAAATGCAACGACGTCGGAAGACTGATAACCAGCTTGATCTAGTTCCTTGCCTTGAACCGTGGCCAGAAGGGTTGGATCCGAAGCGAGGATATCTTTAATATCCCAGATATCGAAAGAAGCCATTTTCCATAGTGCTAGAGTGCAACCATCGTGAGATATGGACATTTGGAGAATCTCTTCCTCTCCAAAGTTTACAGTCTTCAGTTTGGTACCATCGATGGTACTCCAAACACCGGCTTCGTCATGCCAATGATATACTACATGATCTCCGCCTGGCAGTATGGCAACTTGAGAAGTGTAGTATCCGTCTGTCTCCACTTCCAGTTGGAACGGTCCGCGAAGGAGTTCGCCCGTCGTCCCGTCCCAAACCTTCATCCTGCATAAACGATCGACGGAGACTACGAGTGATGCATCCTGAGAGATTGATATCGTACGGATCTCGGCAGGCACTGAGTCTTTGTGACTGTCAGTCGGCTCGGTACCGACGCGATGGACGCGGAGAGTGCGGTCTGTTGATCCCGTGACGTAGGTAGTACCGTCAGGAGAGTAAGCCAGGCAACTGGTTGCAGAGTTGTGACCGTGAAGTGGCACACTCAAAAGCTTCCCACTCTTCGTATCCCATATGCGAGTTACTAGCGATGAACCTACGGCAAGGATTGTTTCACCATTTGATGATACCACAATGTGCTTTTGGCGCTCGTCTTCGGTGCGATATATCTCCTTTCCGCTTTCGATATCCCATAAACATAGGTATTGAGCGGCGATACAGACTCTTGATGTATTGGGCACAAAAGTAAGATCGTAGATGTTGTTGTCGAGAGTGAGAGTGCGAATGCTGGAGGGAGGTGATGATACTTTCCAAAGAGTGACCGTCTTCCCATATGAAGCAGAGACTAGGAGCTCCTCGTCTGAAGACAGGGCAACTGCAGTCACTGGCATCTGATCTGCATCACTGCAAGTCCATAATATCTCTCCGCTTTCTGGATGCACTCCACAGGTCCCCTCATTAGTGCCGCACACGACCATGCATCGTTTTGCTGCAACCTTTATGGACCAGATCCACCCAGAGCGAAGATCCATGCCCTTTCCGACGGAGTGACCTGTGTGTGGATCCCACTTAATCATCGTTCCGTCCATCGACCCGGAAAGTAAATGCTTGTCGTCGTTAGCGAAAGCTAAGCTCTTGACTTCTTGTTGATGTCCCTCCAGTGTATATAAGAGCGCTCCTGTCTGCGCATCCCAGACCTTTACGGTTTTATCCCTGGAGCCAGAGGCAAGCAAGGCGGCTTTAGATGAATACGCAACGCAGTTCACGACGCTGTTGTGGCCACGCAAGACCAAGGTGCGGTCGTTGGATGCGAATGATTGGCCTTTGGCGATTGGAAGTTTGACGGGAGCGCGTTCATAGTAGTGACTGAAGATGAGACCGTTCCGAGGAGAGAAGGTGAGGACCGAAAAGTGGATCTGAATAAAGGAAATTCGGAGTAGGTGTTGATAAGACTTGACAAGCTCCACAGTTTCTGAGCACCATTTACGCAATGTGCCTGCCTAAGTAATTTCAGTTGACAATGATGAAGTATAAAGCGCCCTCACCTGCTTGTCGTGAATATCACCTAGTACGCGTTGTAATTCCATCAAGCTTGCCATCACCGGCGAGAAGGCTGAGCAGAAGAACACGGCCTCCAACCACTCAAGCAGTTTCTGATCAAAGATGGAAGACAATCTTGAGACGATCCCATCGTACTCTGGGACAAACACAGCGTGCTCGATCATATGCGCCACCGCGTAGCGGAGCGAGGAGCTGGTGGACCGAACGACGCGTTCGGGGAGATCAATAATCTCCTTGTTGAGGGGAGTCAAAGAAGCACCCGAAGTCACACCGCACATGTCAAACTTGAGCTCGTTGGAGAGCGTTCTGCAGGAGGCCAAGACGAGTCTTCCGTGCCCATCCATTACGTCCACCATGAACTCGGCTGCGCGATTGGTTTGGAAAAGGAATTCACGAAAGGTTGGGTGAATGATGTATACCGGGTCGTCCATGCCGCCACTGTAGAGGACACTTGCGAGTCCATGCGTCACGCCCTCGACATCCTCCACCTCGTCGAGAAAGTTGAGCAGGATCCGCGACGTCAACGTCTCCCGAGCTGCAAGCACTACTCCGAGTAAATGAATAATCACCCGCAGGGAGGGCTTGTCAGGAGCGCTTCGTTTGAGAATCTCGAGGTAGAGACCATCTAGACCACTAAACGCCTCGGAAGTTGTAATCTCCTTGAGAAGAGCTTTTCGAGCTTTCGAACGGCGCAGGAGACCACACGCTGTGCTCGCAAAGATGAAAAGCCCGTCCGATCGAGAGACAAGTTCTTGTACGTCTTGCGTCGTGAATCCAACGAAGCTCATATGCGTGAACTGGAATGATACAAAGCGTTCTAGATCCTGCGTGTTGAGATGCTCCTGCCCAGGTGCCGTCTGAACACCCGTGGAGTAAACTGACGGTGCATCTCGAAGCGCCAGTTCAATGTCCTCTTCTCGACGACTAGCGATGAGGATCCGCACTGGGAGGGTTGCGGTGAACGTGCCGAGAATCGCTTCCAGCAGATTCTCTCGCGTGTCCGTGCGGTTATCTGCGGGCCCTTCCTGACTACATTCATCAAGTCCGTCGACGACGATGGTGTACGAGCCTTGGAGCTGTCGAAGCGGCTCCTCAATCAGAGTTTTCCACCTCGTTGCGAATGGCTTCGTAAGGATGGCATGATCTTGTAATGCGGAGTGGATTTGGCGGCGAATAGGTTTGAACGTTCTGCTAAGATCCGCTGCGACATGTCGAATAAAGTCTCCAGCAGTCGATCCTCCGGACTGACCACGGGAGAAGAAGAAGCGGGCCGCAAGCATACCTTGCTCCTCCCAACGGCAGACCATCTCCTTTGCGACTGTCGATTTCCCCTTGCCGGCAACGTCGCCGAGGAAGAATATTCTGTGCTGGGAGTCGAGGTCACGTCCCCACTGTTCTAGCTGACTGAGAATCGCTACTCGTGTTCCTTCCAAACATCTGTCGTGCTGATTACCGTGGCGAAGGTTCACAGTGACCACTATAATCGCTCAGCGAGATCATGATCAAACAAAGATACGCACCGGTTGAGTTCATCAGGAGACTTTGGACATTCCCAAGCATCTCCTTGGTTTCTGTGGTCTCGCTAGCCACATAGAGTTGCAATGCCGTCTTAGCTAGATCAGCTTCCGGGCTTATCACGCGGAATTCGACAGTACCATTAGGTGTGAATTGGCTTCTTTTAGCTGTTCATATAGTGAGGCTATTGCTCCTGCTTCCAATTCGACGGTCCCGATACGTGTCATCAAGCGTCGGAGCCCAAGTTTAGTCCCGTGAATGTCTTCTTCTGTGACAGAGCTCTCCTTGAAGACTTCTCCTAATATCTGGGCGAGGACTCTGAATAGGGCGTCAGATACGTCACCTCGCGAAGAATCTACTCGCCTTTGGTAGTCTTCTATGAGCTGCATCAGTTGAGAAGCATTTCCCAGAGTCGCCTTATCCATCTCTAGACGCCCTAGCTGTTGAATTAAGGCGCGTTGATGCCGTTTGATCGAAGTAACGAGGTGACTCCATGCGTCCTGATTGGCGGTCGATGACTGTAAGAGTAAGTAAAGGTGGTAGTTCAAGAGAAGTTTCGTACATTAATCGACTCGAGCAGTGTAATAGTAGCACCGCAAGCTGCCTTGAGAGGAGCCAAGAGATCAGAGCTCTCGGAGATGCCTTGCGCAACATTGAGAAAGAGAATCCCTCGATCTATCCACTTAGAATTTTCCTCAACTACAGGTGATCTGGATCCATCGCTTTGTTTGTTTATAATTTCCTTGTCTGATTGAAGCGCGACATTGGGCGCGGTCGCGTCTGGCAGCGTGGTTGTAGCCGGTGGCTCGAGTGAGGATTCGGATCCATCTTGTGCTTCTCTTGCTCTGAACTTTTGTTTCAGTCGTGACTTGAGTCCTCTTGCGACATCCATTGAGGCGCGCCCAAGAAGGAAGGTGTGGGTGGAGTTACAGTAATGACCTGTCATCACAACTGAGGTTTCCGACCAATTCGGACGCGTAGTGACTCTGAATCGGCTTCATAAACTAGAATTTCGAGGTCTGACCACCAGTAAACTGAGTCAAAGATTGTGTTTGAGCAATAATTGTAGATGTTGAGCACTTTTACTATGTGTTTCCGTGTTCTGCGTCTGAGGTGCGGACGCGGTGGTGTCAGAGTCTTGACCTCGACTGCGTGTGTTTCCGCGGACGACTTGCGCACATTGGTCACGCGTCCCTTGTATGTTGTATTTCAACTTATCAACGACTCGCAAGGGCCCCGAATCTCCGCCATTCAGACTATATTTGCATCATTCTCTCTCTGCACGGCCTTTAATCAATATGGAGGGAGGTATCCAAGTAAGCTGCCATTCACGACCACAGAGACTCTACTCACGTACTGCCTTCTTTGGTCTCGGATCCGCCTGTTGTCCGCGGATCGGTTTGGCAGACTCCACAGCCCGGATAGACACATCCTCAATTTGAGATTTATTGATTTAAGCACGTTGTTTCAATGCACATAGTATGACTCTAAGCACTGCTCCGACGTGCTCGTTTCTGGCATTGGATTTTCAAAGAAGGCCAAATCCACCACATTGTACGGCCCATATCGCATTTCTTACTATTTGGATCCTATCATACCGGCAAGAAAGACATCGGCTCAGCATACAGTCACTCCCCCATTAATATGAACTGATATTTCGTGCCCCGTTCCGCAAGCAACCAGCTCTTGCCTCCCCATAATTCTGGACGAAGATGCCGAGTATATGCTCACGCATCAAGAGCCTTCTTTGTACCTCCAAGTCGTACTCACGACCGGCCGACAAAGCAACGACCATATCAGGTCCTGACGGACCATCAACTTCGGAAGCCGGCTCGAAGACGGGTAGCTTTGGTTTTCACCCTCTCGTTTCTTGAACTGACCCTGTCGTCGAATACGTTGCCTTGTGGTATAGGCAATGGTCCTCGAGCTGATTATGTCAGTATTATCGCGATCCATGACTTGAATGGCCACAGAGAAAAGACATGGACAGCAGAAAATGGCGTCTTGTGGCTTCAAGTCCTTCTGCCGGCTACCATACCCAATGCCCGGATCCTTGTGTATGGCTGGGACGCTGATACTCACAGTAAAGAACATGTCTCGTCGCAGACAATACCTCGACATGCGGAAAAGTTTGTTCAATCCTTCTCACGGCAACGTAGTGGCAATCCACGCGTACGTAGAGGAATGCTCTCTGTCGGACTTTATCTCAAATTTTTGCAGCGCCCGATCATTTTCATAGCGCATAGAGTGGGAGGAATCGTGCTCAAACAAGTAAGCCATTCCACGTTTTCATTTGCTTATTCTAAATGTCAACTAGGCGCTTGTCCTTTGCCATGTCAAGACTTTGGGCGTGAATAATCAGCTGCGGGATATATTGGTATCCACTCATGCGATTTTGTTCTTTGGAACACCTCATTTCGGCGTCAAAGGCGTTGAGCTTCACTTGACCCTAACGAGCCTTTGTCAGCCAACCAGGAGACAACAGATACTATCCTCCGAATTCTCGGAGAACACTCATCGGATCTAGAGGACATAAAATCCATATATACTCCAGCAAGCGCGGAGATTGAAGCGGTTCAGTTTTACGAAGAGTATCCAACACAAATCGTCGATGATTTCTACCAACAAGTGAGTATGGCAGAGTTCAGCTTTTGGTACTAACGTGGACAGATTGCGCCGCATTATTCGGCTATAGTTGCCGGAGATCGTCAGGCAGCTCAAGAGGTGTTGCACGCCGATCACTTTGAGATGGTCAAATTTCAGCATTCGGGTGATGTGAATTATGTAGCAGTTCTATCCTACCTCCAGCTGCACGTCGAAGGAGCGAACGAGGCTGTGACAAAGAAATGGCGCGCGGAGGACGCATTTCGAGGTTTGTCGGGTTTATCACGATGTTTAATTACTAAAATGAGATCAGACTTGACAAAAGGAGCAAAGTCATCATCGCAGGAGCTTGGCCTGCCGAAACCTTTTCCAGAATTGTCAAGGAACTACGTCGACAGACCAGAAGCTCAATCCCTTATAACACATAATCTCCTTCAAATTGGTCCTACAATAAACCAGTCACGCTGTGTCCTATACGGGATGGCAGGTGGAGGCAAAACTCAGCTCGCTACCAAATGGATACAAGAGAACAAAAGCAGGTATGATGTGTTTAGTGATTTGGAAGATCTCTGATCATTGGTTAAATTCACTCGGGTGATTTACGTCGACGCTTCCAGTAACATCCAATTGGAGAAGGATTTGGAGTTGCCGATTCGCTGTTTAGGTTCAGAGTATGGCAAGGCGATGTGGAAGGATGCTGTTGCATATCTTGGCAGCAAGGAGTGGGGCTGATTGCTGTTCCTCGACAAAGTCGGCACGAAGATCGATCTCAAACTGTACCTCGGCACATCAGCGCATGGGTCGGTCCTACTCACGACAAGGAACATTGACTACTTGGGTTACGCCGCACGAGACTCAATTAAAGTCGGTAATTTCGAGGAGAGTGAGGCGTTGACTTTGCTTCATACAACTGCCACCTTTATCCCTTCATCCAAAATCGATTCTCCCAAGATCGTCAGGGAGCTCGGCATGCTAGCACTCGCAATCACTCAAGCAGGAGTGTTCATCCGGAACGAACGACGTTTCGATACGTACCTGGACATTCTTCAAAAACATCATGAACAGGTTCTGGGAAAGGTGCCAGGTGACGGTAGCGAGTACTCCACGTCTACATATACTGCGTTCGAAGTATCGCTCAAAGAACTCCCTGTGGTGACACTGGAGTTCCTGAAGCTCTGTTACTTTCTTCATCATTCGGTCATTCCGATCACTCTCTTCGAACGGTCGATTGGATTCGGCTTCATGACATGCACCGTCCGGGAGAGCTCTCCTTCTCCAAAGAGTGACGCGAAATTCATCTCCATGCTTGAACAGATCCTAGGCTCAATGTGGGATCGGTTCGCATTCGGTAACCTTGTCGCACCGGGCACCCAGGCATCATTGCTTAATCTTTCGAGCGATGGATTATTCTACTCTATACACCCTTCCTTCAAGGCTATATCAAGAACCGCCTTGGTGATGTGAAGGATGAATACCAGCGCATGGCGAGACAACTCCTGCTCGGCGCAATCCAACCAGCCGAAGGTAGCAATGCGCAGCGTTGGCAGCTGCTCCCTCACGCCAACGTCATACCGCAGTCCATGCAATCGGAGCATGTGGTTTACACGCTGGCGTTTCACAGACTCTACGAGTCGCTAGGTGACTGGATCTCGTGCCGGTCAGTAATACCAAGCAAAGGAGATGCAACAAATGGTACTCACGCTGCTGCTGCGTGAAATATCGACAGAGCATATGTGCATCATTGGGACAAGGCATCATCTTGCCGACGTCTTGCATGGTCTTGGTCAATTCCAAGAAGCAGAAAACATTCAACGCGAAGTACTCGATCTACGTGTTGCGAACTACACAGAATCACATCGCCATACGATATCAGCAATGAATAACCTCGCTGCATCGTCGCATCGCTGTGGTCGATTGGACGATGCAGAACGGATGCGACGAAAGGTGGTTGATCTGGGATGGGAGGTGCTAGGCACAGAACATCCTCAAACCCTTGATGACTCGTATAACCTATCCCTCATGTTGTCCGAGCGCAAGCATCTCGAGGAGGCGACGACGCGTCTGAAGGATACCATGGAGTTCCGCCGTGCGGTGTTTGGTGAGGGCCATGCTCACACTCAACATCCGCTCGAACTTCTCAACGATATTGTATCCAAGCAGTCTTGTGGTATTCTTTACTCCAAGCCCATTCATTCCTCCTCTCGTCCTCCACTGCTTAAACTACAGGTATCATACAGACTCTCGTCCGATAGCAGTCGATTGCGTTCTCTCCCCATCTTGTATACTAAATATTGCTTTGATAAACCCAGAAAACTTCAATTATTAGGAGAGGCTCAGGCGGTCCCGGAGAAGATGGTTTCGTTTACTGTAAACTTTCCATTTCGTCCGTGCTTAGATTCCAACAATAGACCAGACGCGACGGTGTCAGGAATCCACAAAACCTTGGCCTCAACTGCGTGCGTCGCCGTGGATGACCTGCACTCATGCACCGTGCATCTCTCGTATCTTCCATGTCAAGCTATCAGCAACGCACTATATTGCCAGATATTCACCAGTTAGACACTACTTTTCGATGCCTCAGCCCGCACTGAAGAACTTGGTCGGCTTTTACTGAACTGGGTCGGTGGCACTTGTTTGGCACACATAGTAGCCTCCCCTGTCAGGTTGTTCTTTTCGGACGCCTTTTTGCTCGTAGCATGAGTTCACGAAACTCTCACGCGAGCTCACGTGAGACGGTGGCCAAACTTGACCTCTTTCGCTAAAAAATATACACTGCCTGGACCCGTCCAGGTTTCGACACGGTTAGGTATTCGGTAGATCTTTGACATGTGTAAGTATAGTCTAAACAGATTTCCGACCGCTCTCATCTGCGTCTGTGAGTCAGGCAGACAAAGGAAGCAGACCGAGGGCCTCGATGAAGCAATAAAAACTGGTTTCTATCTTCACTTGGCCGCAATAGTGCCACGAGAGGCCTTAGCTCACTATGCCAGCCTCGCGCGCCACCAAACAGCCGAATTGACGCCGGCCGTTCAGCAACAACCTGCCCTTGTTCCCCACCGTCTCGGACAAGACCGATGTCAGGTCTTCGCTCACGGTTGAAAAGCATTATACGCAGCTCTAAACCTTCCTCGCAAACGGTGACCGACAAAGAAGCAGCCGTTCCTGGTTTAGATCTCAGCAAGCCGTCACCGTCGAGGACCAAATCCAAGAAGGACGATCTTGGTTTCCTCGAACTCGCATCGGGAACAGATCCTATCGTCGAGTGAGTGAGCAGTTTACTTACGCGCCAGACCTTGAGCTCACTATGGCAGCATTATCGCCATCCATGGGTTAGATGGTCACAGAGAGAAGACTTGGACGGCGGAAAATGGCATCTTGTGGCTTCGAGATCTCCTCAAAGCCGATATACCCAACGCACGAATTCTCGCATATGGCTACGACGCCGACACTCGGAGCCAAGAGTGTGTCTCGACGCGGACTATATACCAAAACGCCGACAAGTTTCTCAAATCCCTCTCGAGACAACGCAGTGATCATCCACGAGTGAGTAAACGATCGCTCTTTCGTCCTCGTCTCAACGACCACAGCGACCGATCATCTTCATTGCGCATAGCTTGGGAGGCATAGTGCTCAAACAGGTAATGCATCTCTCTACGCACTTACTTGCTCTGATAGTCAACCAAGGCACTTGGCCTTTGTCATAGCGAGACTGTGGACTCGAAAAATGACTTTCGGGACATCTTGGTGTCAACTCACGCCGTTCTCTTCTTCGGGACGCCTCACTTTGGCGTCAAAGGCGTTGAGCTTTTGCAGACCATGAACAGGCTATTGTCGGTGTACTTGAAGACTACAAAGGTTATCGTCCGAAACCTCAAGGAGAATTCCTCGGCATTGGAGAATATACAGAGATTGTACGCGTCGGCTAGCAAAGAGATTGAAACCGTTCTGTTCTACGAAGTGTATCCAACCCCGATCATCGGTGGCAAAAGACAAATGGTATGTGCGACTGATCTTGCTTATTCGAGGCTGAAGTGTGTAGATTGTACCGTATAACTCTGCCACCATCGCTGGGGATCGTCAGGCAATTGAAGAAGGACTGGACGCCGACCATTGTGAGATGGTCAAATTTCCCAACTCAGGTCACGCGAATTATGCAACTGTTCTTTCCTACCTCAAGCAGCACGTTGAAGGAGCCACCGCTGGGGTGGCAAAGAAGTGGTGTACCGAGGACGCATATCGAGGTTCGTGGATTGCTGGTATTGCTTCAAACCAATAAATGTCTCCAGATCTAGCAAATAGAGAAGATCTATCGCCGAATGAGGTTGTCCTACCAAAGCCGAGTTTGACTGTGCCAAGAAACTACATTGATAGGCCACGGATTCAATCCCTTATCACACAGCATCTCCTCCCAAGTAGTCCTGTGCGACGACAACCCCGGTGTATCTTACACGGGATTGGAGGTGCCGGTAAAACTCAGCTCGCTACAAAGTGGATTCGTGACAACGAAAACAAGTACGGACTCTCCGGTTATTTGGATATCTCTCATCGGTAGCTAGGTTCACTCGTGTGATTTTCGTCGACGCCTCAAGTCAGACCCAGTTGGAGAAAGACTTGGGACTATCGGTTCACTGTTTAGGCCCAGAATATAGCAAGATGACCTGGAAGGAGGCGGTCGCGTACCTTGACGGCAAGGAGACAGGATGGCTGTTGTTCTTCGACAATGCCGACTCGCCGGATCTAAACCTTCGCCCCTATCTTCCCAATTCCATCCACGGTACGATTCTAATTACGACAAGGAATAGCGAATGCAGTGGATATGCTCCGGATGGCGCAATTCCTGTTGGTAATCTCGAGGAGAGCGAGGCAGTGGAGCTCCTTCATGTCATCGCCAACGTTACACCTCCATCAAACGTCAGGTCGCTCGAGATCGTCAGGGAGCTAGGGATGCTGGCGCTCGCCATTACTCAGGCAGGAACGTATATTCGCAAGACGAGACGGCTCGATACGTACCTCGACACGTTTCGTAAGCATCACAATCGGCTTCTGCGAAAGAAGCCGGATATCGGCAGCGAGTACACCTCGTCGACATACGCCGCGTTCGACCTGTCGTTCGAATATCTCCCCCCAAAGGCACAAGAGCTACTTAAGCTGTGCGCATTTCTTCATCACTCGGCCATTCCAATCTCTCTATTCGAACAATCAGTAAAGAATGGTTTCATTACATACACCGTTCTGAATAGCTGCCCTCCTCCGGCAAGTGACAAGGCCTTGATCTCAAACCTTGAAGAGATCCTAGGCTCGATATGGGACGAGGTTGGATTCCATGAGATCCTTGAATCGGCATCTCGTGCGTCATTCATCGACATTTCGAGTGACGGTTTAGTCTACGGCGTGCACCCCCTCCTTCAGGTGTATATTAAGGACAGTCTTGATGAAGAGGAGAATCAGCGCTATGGTTGTATGACAAGACAACTCATACTTGGAGCCATCCGACGAGCCGAAGGTAGCAATGCGCATCTTTGGCTGTTGTCTCCCCATGCCAATAATATACCTCGGCTCATGAAATCAGAGCATGCAGCTCACGCATTGGCATTTCACCTACTTTACGAGTCCTTAGGTGACTGGAGATTGTGTCAAGAGCTGTTGGAGACTACCCTTTGCCAGCTTCAGCAGGCCAATAGGGAAAGACAGGATGATTCCCTCTGGGTTATGTACAAGCTTGCCATTGCACTAAATAGGTGCGGTCGGTTAGACGAGGCGGAGAAGATTGGACGAGAGGTACTCGCTCTGCGGCTGGAGATCCATGGAGGACGCCACCCAGACACAATCTTGGCAATGAATAATCTCGCATTGACCTTGGCTGACCGCGGTCAGTGGGCCGAGGCGGAGAAGATTGGACGAGAGGTACTCGCTCTGTGGCGGGAGATCCTTGGAGGACGACATCCAGACACAATTTCGGCAATGAATAACCTCGCATCGACCTTGGCTGACCGTGGTAAGTGGGTCGAGGCGGAGAAGATTCGACGAGAAGTACTCGCTCTGCGGCTGGAGATCCTTGGAGAACGGCATCCACACACAATTTCGGCAATGGGTAACCTCGCATCGACCTTGGGTGACCGCGGTCAGTCGGCCGAGGCGGAGAAGATTCGACGAAAGGTACTCGCTCTGCAGCTGGAGATCCATGGAGGACGGCACCCAGACACAATTGTGGCAATGGGTAACCTCGCATCGACCTTGGGTGACCACGGTCAGTGGGCCGAGGCAGAGAAGATTGGACGAGAGGTACTTGCTCTGCGGCTGGAGATCCTTGGAAGATGGCATCCAGACACAGTCTCGGCAATGGGTAACCTCGCATCGACCTTGGCTGACCGCGGTCAGTGGGTCGATGCGGAGAAGATTGGACGAGAGGTACTTGCTCTGCGGCTGGAGATCCTTGGAGAACAACACCCAGACACAATTTTGGCAATGCATAATCTCGCATCGACATTGGCTGGCCGCGGTCAGTGGGCCGAGGCGGAGAAGATTCGACGAGAGGTACTCGCTCTGTGGCGGGAGATCCTTGGAGGACGACATCCACGCACAATTTTGGCAATGGGTAACCTCGCATCGACCTTAGCTGACCGCGGTCAGTGGGCCAAAGCGGAGGAGATTGGACGAGAGGTACTTGCTCTGCGGCTGGAGATCCTTGGAGAACGGCATCCACACACAATTTCGGCAATGGGTAACCTCGCATTGACCTTGGCTGACCGCGGTCAGTGGGCCGAGGCAGAGAAGATTCAACGAAAGGTACTCGCTCTGTGGCGGGATGACCTTGGAGGACGACATCCACACACAATTTTGGCAATGAGTGACCTCGCATCGACCTTGGCTGACCGTGGTCAGTGGGCCGAGGCGGAGAAGATTGGACGAGAGGTACTTGCTCTACAACTGGAGATCCTTGGAGAACGGCATCCACACACAATTTTGGCGATGAGTAACCTTGCATCGACCTTGAATGACCGCGGTCAGTCAGTCGAGGCGGAGAAGATTGGACGAGAGGTACTCGCTCTGCAGCTGGAGATCCATGGAGGACGGCACCCAGACGCAATTGTGGCAATGGGTAACCTCGCATCGACATTGGCCGATCGCGGTCAGTGGGTCGAGGCAGAGAAGATTGGACGAGAGGTACTCGCTCTGTGGCGGGAGATCCTTGGAGGACGGCATCCATACACACTCTCGGCAATGATCAGTCTTACCCGCATCCTGCGTGATCTCAGTCGGTTGGATGAGGCTGAAAAGCTCGGGCGGGAGGTACTCAACCTTCGGACTGAGATCCTTGGACAACGACATCCCAAGACCATCAATGCCATGAGCGAGCTTGCGAGCATCTTGCGAATCTGTGGCCAGTGGGATGAGGCAGAAAACATGGGACGAGAGGTACTCGGTCTACGGCGAGAGATCCTTGGACAACGCCATCCGTATACCATCCGGGCAATGAATGATGTCGCAAATATCATGCATGATTGTGGTCAATTTGAAGAAGCGGAAAACCTTCAACATGAGGCGCTCAGTCTGCGGCTTGAGATCCTTGGAGGGCGGCATCCTGACACCATATCAGCCATAAGCAACCTCGCTTCTACTTCACACCGTCGTGGTCTACTGGAGGGTGCCGAGAAGCTGCAACGAGAGGCAGTTGCCCTCCGACTCGAGATATTGGGCCGAGAGCATCCTCGCACCCTCGACGCCTCCTATAACCTATCCCTCATGTTACACGAGTGCAATCATTTCGAAGAAGCGACCAAGCTTCTACAGGAGACCATGGGGCTACGTGTCGCGGTGTTTGGTGCTGACCACGCCCACACTCGACGTGCCCAGCAACTTCTCGGTGACCTTGTGTCTGGGCAGCCACCTCGTCTTCAAACGCATACATTCTTACTTTCGTGAATACATTATTTGTACTTCGATCACTTGTACTATGAGATCATGATTCCGAGGACCAGACGCGGTGGTGACACAACCTCGGCCTCCGCCGCGTGTGTCACCGCAGACAACTTGTGTTTATTCGTCGTGCATCTGTTGTATCTTTCATTTCAAGGTATGGACGACGCGCTAAACGCCAAATCTCCACAGACTAGCCGTCATTGTTCACTTCGCAGTCCCCACGGTGGCCGCTCTACTTGTATATGGGTAGATGTTTGCGTAATGCTTCAGCCACATTTAATACAAAGTTTATCCGGCTTTGCCGCTTCGACTGACTTTGGGTTGGCAACATTTATCTAGCGCAGGCTCGTTTTCTCGAACATCTTATAGTTTAAATCATGATTTCACGAGACTCCTATCTGATGTAAGAAGGCATTGCTCGACCATGACCTCCACTACCTGACCGACGACTACCACTACATGAACTTGCCCAGGTATCGCCACGTTTATCTATCTGATAGATTTGTTTCAACATATAAACATACTGCCTAAGACATACTGTCTAGAACATACATCCGACCATTCACTCTTATCTGGTCTGTCAGTCTTATAGAAAGAAGAGCATCAGGGTCCCGGATAAAGCGATGAAAAGTAGGAATCTATCATCAACTAGCTGTAACAGTGCCATGAAAGACGCTAGCTCACCATGCCAGTCTCGCGCGCCACCAACCAGCCGATTGACCCAGGCTGTTCAGCAAACAACCCGCTCTTGTTTCCCACCGTCTCGGACAAGAACGATGTCAAGTCTTCGCTCACGGTTGAAAGGCATTTTACGCAGCTCTAAACCGACAAAGAAGCAGCCGTTCCTGGTTTAGATCTCAGCAAGCCGTCACCCTCGAGAACAAAATCCAAGAAGGATGATCTTGGTTTCCTCGAACTCGCATCGGGGACTGATCCTATCGTCGAGTGAGTGAACAACTTACTCGCGGGCTGGAGCTTGAGCTCATTATGTCAGTATTATCGCCATCCATGGATTAGATGGTCACAGAGAGAGGACATGGACGGCGGAAAATGGCATCTTGTGGCTTCGAGATCTCCTCAAAGCCGACATACCCAACGCACGAATACTCGCATATGGCTACGACGCCGACACTCGCAGTCGAGAGTGTATCTCGACGCAGAAAATATACCAACACGCGGACAAGCTTCTCAAATCTCTCTCGACAACGCCGTGATCATCCACGAGTAAGTAAAGGTCCGCTCCTAGTCCTCGTAGTCTCAACAACCGCAGCGACCGATCATCTTCATTGCGCATAGCTTGGGAGGCATAGTGCTCAAACAGGTAATACATCTCATTGCGCACGTACTTGCTCTAATAGTCAACTAAGGCACTTGGCCTTTGTCATAGCGAGACTGTGGGCTCGAAAAATGACTTTCGGGACATATTGGTGTCAACTCACGCCGTTCTCTTCTTCGGGACGCCTCACTTTGGCGTCAAAGGCGTTGAGCTTTTGCAGACCATGAACAGGCTATTGTCGGTGCACTTAAAGACTACAAAGGTTATCGTCCGAAACCTCAAGGAGAACTCCTCGGCATTGGACAACATACAGAGATTGTACACTTCGGCTAGTAAAGAGATCGAAACCGTTCTGTTCTACGAAGTGTATCCAACCCCGATCATCGGTGGCAAAGACAAATAGTATTTGCGATGGATCTCGCTTCTTCGAGGCTGAAGTGTGTAGATTGTGCCGTATAACTCTGCCACCATCGCTGGGGATCGTCAGGCAATTGAGAGAGGACTGGACGCCGACCATTGTGAGATGGTCAAGTTTCCCAACTCAGGTCACGCAAATTATGCAACTGTTCTTTCCTACCTCAAGCAGCACGTTGAAGGAGCCACCGCTGGGGTGGCAAAGAAGTGGTGTACCGAGGACGCATATCGAGGTTCGTGGACCACTGGCATTGCTTCAAACCAATAAATGTCTCCAGATCTGGCAAATAGAGAAGATCGATCGCCGAATGAGGTTGTCCTACCAAAGCCGAGTTTGACTGTGTCAAGAAACTACATCGATAGGCCACGGATTCAATCCCTTATCACACAGCATCTCTTCCCAAGTAGTCTTGTGCGACGACAACCCTGGTGTATCTTACACGGGATTGGAGGTGCCGGTAAAACTCAGCTCGCTACAAAGTGGATTCGTGACAACGAAAACAAGTACGGACTCTCCGGTTATTTGGATATCTCTCATCGGTAGCTAGGTTCACTCGTGTGATTTTCGTCGACGCCTCAAGTCAGACCCAGCTGGAGAAAGACTTGGGACTATCGGTTCACTGTTTAGGCCCAGAATATAGCAAGATGACCTGGAAGGAGGCGGTCGCGTACCTTGACGGCAAGGAGACAGGATGGCTGTTGTTCTTCGACAATGCCGACTCGCCGGATCTAAACCTTCGCCCCTATCTTCCCAATTCCATCCACGGTACGATTCTAATTACGACAAGGAATAGCGAATGCAGTGGATATGCTCCGGATGGCGCAATTCCTGTTGGTAATCTCGAGGAGAGCGAGGCAGTGGAGCTCCTTCATGTCATCGCCAACGTTGCACCTCAATCAAACGTCCAGTCGCTCGAGATCGTCAGGGAGCTAGGGATGTTGGCGCTCGCCATTACTCAGGCAGGAACGTATATTCGCAAGACGAGACGGCTCGATACGTACCTCGACACGTTTCGTAAGCATCACGATCGACCTCTGCGGAAGAAGCTAGAAATCGGCAGCGAGTACACCTCGTCGACATATACCGCGTTCGACCTATCCTTCGACTGCTTGCACACAAAGGCACAAAGCTCCTGAAGCTCAGTGCATTCCTTCATCACTCGAACATTCCGGTTTCCCTCTTTGAAGACTCAACGAAGACTGGATTCACTACATACACTGCCCGGGAAGGCTGTCCTCCTCCGGAGAGCGACGAGACCGTGATATCAAATCTTCAAGAAATCCCAGGCTCAACACGGGATGAAATAGGGCTCTAAGAGATCTTTGAATCGGCGTCTCGCGCGTCGTTCATCAACGTTTCGAGAAACGGTTTAGTCTACTGCGTACACCCCCTCCTTCAGGTGTATATCAAAGACCGTCTCAACGCAGAGGAGAACCAACTTTATGCGCGAATGACGGAGCAGCTCCTACTCGGTGCGATCCGGCCAGTTGTGGGTAGCAATGCCCGGCTTTGGCAGTTGCTTCCTCACGCCAATAACACGCCTCGGTCTCTGCAATCGGAACATATACCTCGTGCGTTGGCATTTTACGAGCTCTACGACTCGGTAGGTGACTGGGGCTCGTGTCGAGAGCTCTTAGAGTCTGCCCTCCTCCAGCTTCACCAGGCCAAAGGCGAGAAGCATCGAGACTCGATATGGGCTCTGTGGAGACTTGCCACTGCTTTACATTCCTGTGCTCAATTTGACGCCGCTGGGAATATGCGACGAGAGATACTCACTTGGGAGATTGAGAACCATGGATCGCGGGATCCCGAAACCATATCTGCAATGAATAACCTCACAAACACCGTTGAAGATCGTGGCCAGTGGGCCGAGGCGGAGAGGATGAGACGAGAGGTGCTTTCTTTACGATTAGGCGTCCTTGGAAGGCAACATCCAGCCACCGCCATGGCAATGAACAACCTTGCATGTAGCTTGGCGCATCGTGGTCAGTGGCCCGAGGCAGAAAGGATGAGACGAGAGGTGCTTGCTTTGCGACTAGAGGTCCTTGGAGGGCGACATCCAGACACATTCATGGCAATTAAGAACCTTGCATATAGCTTGGCTGATCGTGGTCAGTATGTTGAAGCAGAAAGGATGACACGAGAGGTGCTCACTCTGCAGATGGAGATCCTTGGAAGGCGCCATCCAGACACCATAACTGCAATTGACTCTCTTGCATACATATTGACTAAGCGCTCTCAGTGGGTCGAGGAAGAAAAGATGAGGCGAAAAGTACTCGCTGCGCGGCTGGAAATCTTTGGGGACGGCATCCGGACACAATCCGTGCTATGCACGGCCTTGCATACACCTTTTCACATCGTGGTCAGTGGATTAAGGCAGAAAAGATACAACGGAACGTACTCGCTCTGCGGCTGGAGATCCTTGGAGGACGGCATCCAAATACAGTTTCGGCAATGGATAGCCTTGCAAACACATTGGTCAATCGTGCCCAGTGGATTGAGGCAGAAAAAATACGACGGGAAGTGCTTGCTCTGCGGCTGGAGATCTTTGGAGGGGGGCATCCGGACACCACCATGGCAATGGGCAACCTCGCAGATACGTTGCGTCTCTGTGGTCGACTCGTCGAGGCAGAAGAAATGGAACGAGAGGTTTTCTCTCTAAATCTAGGGATCCTTGGAGGAGAACATCCAAATACCGTCCTTGCAATATCCAATCTTGCTGATACACTGTACACGTGGTCAAATGGACCAGGCAGAAGGCATGCAACAAAAAGTACTTGCTCTACACCTGAAAATCTTCGGGCGATGGCATCCGTACACCGTCTCTGCTGCGCAATGTCTTGCTGCTACATTACACGACCGTGGTCAGTTGGAAGATGCTGAAAGAATGCAACGAGATGCCCTTGCTCTGCAGCTTGAGATCCAGGGTCAACGGCACCCCGAGCCCTTGATACTTCATACAACCTATGTATTATGCTTTACAGGCGCTCTCGATTTGAGGAAGCCGCAAAGCTCCTGGGAGAGACCACTGAACTACGCGTCGCAGTCTTTGGGAAAGACCACTCTCACACTCGAGCTCCACAGGAACTTCTCAAAGATATCATCTCTATACAATCTCATGGCTCTGTTGGTGAACCACAAATCCATAGATTCTTACTCCGTGACTAGAATTATTCCTATGACCCCTCCAAGTAATGTAGATCTGGTTGTCTTCCGAGCATGGATCGTACCTGCTATCTGTTCTGCTGAAATAGGCGTACTCAGGGCTGTTGGAATGTATTTACATTACCGAGCGCCCTGCTAGTTTGTATGTGGAGATGGAATTGAAATTACCAGAGAAACTATCTCCTCCAAGAAATGATGGAGGATCTCCTTTTATATCTATCAGGTCTTCAAGAGAGTCAGTTTGATCTTTCCAAATGAACTGGGAGAGCTAAGGCTGACGGATGTCCAACAGCCAGACACTGACAAGAGCAAGTTAGGGAAAGCGACTGTGATTACGCGATACACGTTTTTGGTGCTGGCATTTCTCTGGTACTAGACATTGATTGTTCCATCCAAAAATTTAACGTGACTATCATTGATTGGGTATACGTAGATATCTGTGCTCTGATTCTGTTCCCCTATTGCCGAGACCGAAGCCTGTATTCATTTAACAAGTAACCTGCTCGATTAGGGGATGGGTTGATGATTTCTCGCAACTACGTGATGAATATATCTGGGTGGCCTCATGTAGAGTGACTGCGTCGAGAATGTGTTTGAGTTCTACTTACAGAGCTTAAATATCTTTATTATCCTTGTCTGTATTCTGAGTCTGAGGCGCACACGCGGTGGTGTCAGGAGTCCACACAACCTTGGCCTCCGCCGCGTGTGTCGCCGAGGATAACTTGAGTTTATTCGTCGTGCGTCTCTTGTCTCTTGTATTTCAGTTCATCAACGACGCGCAAGACCGCCGAATTTTCGCCATTTACACACCATTTGCCACTCCTTAGCCGAACGATGGCCGCTCAAGAGGCGACGTTGCAGAAAACTTCGTCATCGGGGAGAAACCTATTCGCTGATCTCCGCTACTTTGTAGCATCGTCTATACCTATTCCAGATCGTACCGGCCTTTGTAAACTTCTGAACAGGGAGGGAGGTATCCAGGTAAGGCGTCAGTCACAGCCTACAGGAAGCCTAGTTGACTCAGTTTCTTTGACTAACTCCAGGTTGACGACATTCGCCTGGCACACATCGTGTTTAGCAAAACTGAAGAATTTGAAGGGTCCAACCGGTGTCCGAAAGAAACTCCCATAGTCCTAGTGAGTCATATAGCCGCTATTGTACATACATTGTGGCTGAATAAGCTCCCCCGAAAGCCGGAATGGATTCAAAGGAGCCTGCTGAACGGACAGCGGCAAGAGTACGTTGTTCCCTAGAGGCCACTATCCAAAGTACTTATGTATCTCTTGCAGTCCTCAGTATTTTTCGCCAGACCCACGAGCCATCTTCTCCACATTGGTCATCGCCTCTGACCATCTTCCGCCCGGAGACCTCGAAGCCGTCATTGCGGGCACGCACGCCAGAGGGGGTCTATATAGAGATGGATTCACGCGTGATGTTACGCATCTACTTGTACTCGCCCCAGCTGGTAATTGTATTGACAAAATCGGACTTCGGCATTGACGCTTGATAAAGGAGACAAGTATCATACAGCCCGCAAGTTTGCGGACAAGACTGGCGTCAAAATTGTCATGGCCAACTGGTTCGACGACTGCTTCAAGACTGAACATAGAGTGCCAGAAGAACCGTATGAGCAGGCAATCATACAAGCTGCAAACGAGTACCAACATGCGTTGTCCTCCGCAGTGAATAGTGCAAACCTCAAAAGAAGGATGTCACGCTCTGCAAGGAACTTCTACGATGCCCTGGAGAAAGCCTCGCCTGGTAAACTCGTTGACGAGGAACCCTCCGGTTCTGGTGTCAAATCAGTTTCGAAGACCAAGACGTACAAGGTCTGGAGTGGCCACCGCATCTTACTCAGTCACTCCCTCTTACTCTCCGATGAAAGACGGGAAACGGTCGAACTCGAGCTCAAGCGCCTCGGAGCACAAGTTGTGCATGCGCTACCACGGGTCGACCAGGATGGCGACTCTGTGATGGGGGAAGAGAACGAGGTACAGATGGAGATTGACGAGTGCGAAAGGTTTGAGTTGGCGTATGCCGATCAGCAACATCTTGGGACGGCACCAACCATCAGCGAACGATATCGAGAAAGAGATCGCATCGAGGCGGCGAGGATTGTCAGTGGCGATGTAGACGTCCTCATTACCAAGTACCGGAGTGGCCTCCCCTATATTGCCGCCGTCCGGACGATGCTCAAGTCGAATAACTCTACCCTCAACCAGCCATATATGGACAGTATGATGGTTGGGACACTTGCTTGGCTATTTTATGTCCATATCAACGGTGCGATCACACCCCCTACCGAACAGTTGCTTCATTTTCCGGCACGACTGGGCGCAGTGCAAGGCATACGCGGCAAGGTAAACTCACAAAACCTCGTCTTCATTGCTGGTTCTGACATGTTTGCCAAGAAAATCACAATTACTAATTACCAAGGGCCCGCGAGGGAGTATCTCAAGAAGCTGATTTCTATCATGGCTGGGCCCCGTGGAGATGGTCCAGATGTGTTCACCACGACACTTTCTAGCAGTCATGATTTAGTCATTGCTAGCAAGTAAGTCGAGTACATGGTGGACTTTTGGCCTTGCTCACGCAGCACGTAGACTCGAAGGAGAGAAGGTTAAGCATGCTCAAGTCTGGCAAATCCCAATAGTCAACCATCTTTGGCTGGAATCCACCTTTCGTGAATGGAAGTATGCAAACCTGAGCAATACCACGTAAGTAAGCCGGTCCAACTTGTGAATCGGACACTTAGGCGTTGGACAGGTATGTACATTGGACACAAAAGGTCGACTATGCGAATATGTTGCCAGGGTCCAGGATTGCCGACGATCCAATCCCCATGCTGCGTTCAGAATTGAAGCTCGTCACAAAGGAAATGCGGAAGATTGGATACACCGACGAGGAAATTGCAGCAGTACGCGATTTCAATGCCTATCCACTTATTCGTGATAGCCACCCCGATGGCGATTTATGAATAGCGACCCCTGGGCCGACGACGCGGTGTTGGATCGTCGCTCTCCGTCACGTGGAGCCCCGGTGCGACCGGTTGGCAACGTGGTTATTCCCGAGACTTCTTCACCCGTGAAACCTCAACCGTCACGAGAGTCGCCAGAGATTCAACCACCAGTACCTCCAACCAAACCACCCACTGTGCCCAAATTTGCCGAATTCGCGCGACAACCTGTTCCTAGCAAGGCGCTTCGGAGCCCCTGGGATCCATCGCCGACCAAGCGGCCGTCTGGAAGAGTCGTAAATGATACGCCCCCAGAAAGGCTAGTCAACCTAGTTTGGCTGCCGCGGTGCTCAGTGCGTCAAAAAAGGAGAGGGTGGAGATGGCGAGGAAACTCGATGTTGATTATGGGCTTCCGGAAGAGCTTGAGCCCGAGGAACCTGATTCACCGATTCCGAAGAAGGCGAAAGGAAAAGAGAGAGCCCAGCCTCTGAGTCGATCAGATTCTCCAGAACCAGTGCCTGGGATGGACAAAGCAGAAGACGTCGATATAAACTATCGACATCCCGAGGCGACCAACAAAGGGAAGAAGCGGGTGATGCAAACCCAGAGCTCGGATTCGGACGTGAAGATTGAGAGCCAGAATAATCTACTGACGAGGCGGAAGAAGACGATTGTCGCTGGCGCTGCGAGGCCGTCCAAGACGTTAAAAGAAGTCGATGAGGCGCCTCATGAGGAAAGACCTGATTCAGGAGAGAGCGACGCCAACGCGGCTGGGCATAAACAAAGCCGAGTCGCACATTTGGCGCAGTCGGGGGCCGTTAGGAGGTTGCGTGATAGCATTTCGGGCAAGACGGAGCCGCCTCGAAGGAGACCACAGAAGCAGATGGACATGGACGATACCGACGAGCCAATGGCGGCCAAATCCAAGGCGCAAGCTAAAGGCAAAGGTCGGAAGCAACCAAAGACCAAGCAAGAGTCTTCTGACTCAGAAAGAAACGAGGAAGAAGAGAGTGGGGACGCGAAAGAAATTGATCCAGCGGGTCGACATCCGGGCAAGCCGAAGCGAAATTCGGGTCCACCGCCATCCAACTCTGAGCCTGGTTCTGAGTCTGACGTACCAAACGAACCGGAAACGTCGGCTGGAGGACGGCGCAAAGCAGCCGCACAGGCGGCTCAACGCCTTCACCAAATCATGCCAGACGCCAATCGATTCGACGAGGAGCTGCGGCGAGGAAGTGTTCGGGGTGATTGGGAAGATCCGAAGAAACGAAGGCGTGACGAGCACTCAGAGGGTGAACGACACGTCAAGCGGCGTAGTGTTGGTGGAGATGCGCGAGGGTCTGCATTGTCAGTATTCACTCTATTTTCTTGATTGGAGGCTAAACTCTTCTCAGCTCTCACAAAGCAGCTGCGGCGTCAAACAAAGCCGTACGGTATCTCGCTACCAAGTCTACACTTAGTGATTCCGACGTCTTGGTATGTATGGTCTCGGTATTCGAAGGGTTGATCTGACTCGTCGCTAGCGACTCAAACAACTCGGAATACAACAGGCGGATAAACATCAGAACTGTACGCACCTCGTCAGTAACACAATCCTCCGGACCGAAAAGTTTCTCTCTGCGATTTCCTATGGTCCCAAGTTTGTGACCGAGGCCTGGCTGAAAGAGTGTCTCGCTCAGAAACGCGTCGTCGGTAAGATTACTCTCTACATGTGGGAAGGTATCAAACCAACTTTGTTCATAGACGAGACTCCGTTCCTTCTACGCGATGAAGAAGGTGAAAAGAAGTTTGGCTGCAACTTGCAAGAAACACTGGTTCGCGCCGCCCAAAACCCCGGAAAACTGTTCCATGGTCACGTCTTTTACCTCAACCCATCGCTAGATCCCGTATTAATCCACACTATATCGAGTACGATACGGTCAGCTGGAGGGGTGGTGCGTTATCCGACACTGCTGGGAGTGACGTATCTGACATTGCCTTGCAGTGCATGCGACAGGTCCCGCAAGTACGAGCAATGGAAGATCACTTGCATGATCGACATTTTATTGGTGCCGAGGGTGAACACGTCAAACCCAAGATCAAAGAATTGCACCAACATGGTATTCCTGTCTACACAAAGGAGGTCGTTTTGGTGGCGGTCTTGCGACAGGAGCTTCCGGATTGGGAGGAAGCGGCTCGACTCGCGTTGGAGGGCAGCGAGTCGTGAGTTTGTTGCTCGGCTCTAGGGGGGATGTCTGATAGTCAGTTACGATATCATGTTTCATCTCACGCATTTGGCAATCAGAAGGTGCTATAAACTACGCCCACAAATAACTCTGATTTTGATTGAGCGGATCTCGGTGGTACAACAAATGTATATCTGAGCTATATCGAACAAAAACTGCCGTAAGATGCGTGGAATCTCCATTCTTAGTGACCGCCATGGGCATTATGAGGATGCGGGGCAGGATGTGAGGCAGGATGTGAGGCAGGATGTGAGGCAGGATGCGGGGCAGGATGCGAGGCTGCAGTGGGTGAGCCTGGAGGCGAGCCACTCGAGTGCGCGGCAGCAGGGTGCGGGTGTGGATGAGTTTCACCAGTGTGGGAGCCACTAGTTGAGTGATGCTGCTGCTGTTGTTGGTGAGAGCCTTGGGCGTGATGTTGGGACTGTTGTCCCGACTTTGCCGCTTTTGCCTCCTTCTCCGCCTGTTTTCTTGCTTCATCATTCTTTGCCTTTTCATAGTTGGATACAGCCTTTGGATGAGCACCTTCCTTTTGGGCATGTTGGAGTCGCTCATGATCTGGCGGGGTTTGGAGATTAGTTGAACGAGCGTTGGGATAAAGCAAGGGAATCAACGTACCTGGAACACGTTCCCACCCCCTGAAGTGCTCTTTGATCTCGGCATGAGTGAGTTGTTGCCCCTCATGGACGTGTAGTGAATGGTGGTTTGTGTCGTGGTAACCAGTGGCGGGGTCATGACCATGCTCGGGAGTATGCGTGACCTTGAACCTCTCTTTGACGTCTTCTTCCTTCTTTCTATACAAGTGTCAACGAAAGGTTATGTCTTCCTACTGCTCGCAATACCTCCAGAGATACGGTTGAGAAAGTGCAGATGGGTCTGTGCTCACTGAGATGCCACTTCCGCCACTATGCGATCGATTAGACCCAGAACTGGCAAAACAAGAATTACTCACTGGACATAGTGATCCCCATGATCGGCCTTTGTGAGCTCAGGCTCTCTCCCAATGGCCGGATTGCCTGCCAACCTGGTCTTTGTAGGTGCAAGGTCCTTGACGTCGTCTTTATTGGTACCCCGATAGAGGTACCCGTCCCTCCTTTGGATGGCGACGAGCGAAGGAAGGGACTCTCCAGACGGAATGGGAGCGGCGAAGACGCCGGAGACGGTAGCGACGAGTAGGGGGATGACAGAGAAGAAACGCATAATGTCCTTTCAAAGGACTAGAAGAAAAAAAAAGGAAAAGAGAAGAAGAAGAAGAAGAAGAAGAAAAAGGTGCGAAAGAAAAAGGCGAGAGCCAGTCTGAGGATTGTTCAGAGTGTTTTCTCGAGGGTTTTATAGATTGACAGTGTCCGAACCCTTTGGCGCTGAGCCAAGCCAGGGACCCAGAATTAACGCGGAGATGCATCGCCATTCAGAGTGCGTGCGGTGATGACACAGCCAGCGGCGTCTGCCACATTGCCAAAGACTTGACCTCGACCGCTGTCGCTTTTAACTCTGAGCGCACTCCCAGTGACTCTATATCGTATCGAGGTCATATATTTAGATTCCATATCCAAATTGTCGAGCTATCCTGGCAAAAAGACTGACAAGCGGCACCTCCAAGCGGTCCCTCCCGGCGAAACATTCACGGCGTCGGCGTGGAACCAACCAATTAAATGATAACATCGGTCTCGTCGCTCGCCTCATCGCTCTCTGGCAGTGGCCGTCGTTTCCCACGTCCGTCTTCGACTGTACATATATCCGGCCATTTTCCCACTTCCTCCACTTGTCACTGCTAAATAATTCTTTCAACGTTTCATGTCCGTCAACACTACTCGTAGCACGCTGGCCGAGTCCAAGATCCCTGGCCTGGAAGAGTCGTTGGACAAACTGGCATTGTCTCCAAAGGAAACTCTCGAATCCACATCCACCAGTACCATCGATAATGATGGATATATATTGCAAAACCGCGACATACCGACCGAAATTTGGCTTAGCGTCTTTCGGTACGCCGTCGACGCCGCAATCCACGATTACATCTCCGAGCCATTAAGAATGCAACAGTCGCTTGTTCATCCTCCTATCACTCTTTCTCACGTTTGCCGCCGCTGGCGCTCCATCGTCCACGACTTTCCGGACCTCTGGTTGACAATCCCGACCTGTCCAAGACAATGGTGGACGAGGGGTGAAGCAAGCTCCATGGAACTATCTCGGAAAGGCGCAGAAGGCGCGTTAGCGCACTCAGACGCTACTACGAGCACGAGCACAAGGAAGCCAGTGACGCTCCTTCTTGACGTCTCGGAGCGCTTCGATAGCAAAGAATCCATATCGCGGGATCACAAGTCGCGGGATATGATCCCTGTATTGGAGCCCAAGAGGACACTCGAAGGACGCAAGTCACTCCTGTTCCCGAAAGATGACCACAATGTCTACATCTTCCTCCGTGCGGTAAATCCAGACCTGGAGAGAGCAGGAGGCAAAGTTCACCCAAGAGCACCGGTCGAGATTCGACATCTTGTCCGTATTGGAGGTGCATACGCCCCTAAACCGACTTCACTGACCTTCATTGGCCACAAAGAAGCGATTTTAGCAACGAAATCAACTCTCTCTTCTATTCCTACCAACCGAAAAATGTCACTCTCATCGACAATTTCCCAACAGATCCTTGGGAAGCGGGACCAAGGACGATCAAGACATTGCGGCTAAAGACGACGGAGAGGCAGCGATTGGTATCGCTCAACGGGATGCTTCGACCATGGATCGAAGAGCTATTCCTTCACTCTTGTCAGATTGACGTCGATAAATATGGTCCTTATCTGTCAAACGCCAATCAAATCATGTCCAACCTTCGTGTACTAGGCATCACACCTGTACATGTCGCATTCTTCACCGAGATCAAGGTGCCCTCGCTAGAAACGGTCATCTTCTACCCAATATCCAACCTCGCTCACGCAAGCTTGGCGAGGAATGGCTTGCGACGGTGGGTGGCGCAATCAAGTCGATTACCCAACTCGAATTTGAAGGGTGGCCAGAGAAGTATCGGAGAAATATACCCTATTATTCGATCGTACCGCTTTTGCTCGGTCTCCTTCATCACCTTCCCGCTCTGTCAAAGGTTGTTTGCCGGCAGAGTTTTGTATGGGGAGACGGGCTCGCGGAACAGCTACCTCTTGCATTGGCAGATACAAATGATAAGCGACTTGAGGCAATTAGCTTTGAAGAATGTACTGGACTTACGCAGGCTCATTGTGATCGACTTGCCATGGTCGCTAACGCAGTCAAAGTTTTGTAAATATTTTAGTTTGGGTATATTCAAGAGTTTGAAATCGACTTCACACGAGCATCCGGCAAACTGGTGAGATGTTGTGTGATTCGTAATGCAAAGTCGATATATATCAAAGCGTGCCGCCGACGAGAAGCTGATGTTGCTTTGTCGCCAAACTTGGTCTCCATCTTCCACTGACAGCCGTTGACAGGAATGACGATTGCTGAACCCTTTTGAGGGATTTCAAGTCGCAGAGCCACCCAATTCAAAGAGGATGTCGACGGCATGGCCGTTTGCAAATCGTCCGGCAACTCTGCTTTTGGACAAACATGCCTTGCGTCTTGGTCCCCTCTCTTTCCTGCGCTTTCCTGCTCTCTTTTCTTCCCCTTTGCGCACGGAATTTGTGCAGAATTTTTTCCTAATTGCGGGCCATAATGGCAGATACGAAGAGCTCGGGTTCGCAGAGTTCGACAACGATGGACAATGCAGTCATCGACGTTGCCACTGCTCATGTTCATGAAGCTATTCGTGCACTCCTTGCAGATGAAGTGCCCGACCTTGCGCAGCGAAAGGGCCTCGCTATCTTTAATGATCCATATCTCCACCTCAGTTATGAATCGTTTAAGAGCTATATCCATTTCATCGTCATGACTTGGTCCGGTGTGGCCATCAGCTTTCGTCACTTGTTGGGTCGCCAGATCCGTTGGTATACACTCCTTCTTCAGTCCGAAGATGCTAATCTATGACCGTAGAAATCGTCGACTTTGTCGCTCTTGTCTTTTTCTCGACCCTCGTCAGCGCCGTGTTGACGATGGGCGTGTTCATGTGTCTGGTTTGCAAGCTCCCATTCGTCGAGAGCGTGTTTGGTATCTACTCGCGTCTCAATGGTGGGTTCAGCGCGACCAATAGTCGTAAGTGTGCCATCCCTCCTTTCGACAATCACGCTCAGACAACCGTAACAGTCAACACTCGAATGTTCAGCTCTCTCACCAAGCGTGAAGTCAGATTCTCCAAAGCTGCGCTTGCATCGACATCTCCAGGCTCCCCCGACGGCAAAGACTTTAACCTCGAGATTGCCAAGATGCTCCTTCTCCTCGCATCCGTCGTGTACGAGCGCACCAGCGACGGCATCCGCGAGTCACTCAAGCACACCCACTCAGTGCCCAAGGTCACGCATCACAAGCGCAAGGGGAGCAACGGAAGTCCCAAGTATCGCACATCTCCAAGTGCGACGCCACTGTCGCCCATCTCTCCACTCGCCTCTGTCCACGTCTTCGGTGGCCGAGCTCCGGGTGCCTTTTCACAATTTCAATCTCAAATGTCTCATCACATCCACCACCATCGACCATCACACCTCTTGAAGACGTTTGGCCACAAGTCTGCACAGCAGATTCGAGCGCTTTTGCACGGATCCGAGGGGGACAACGTTATCACTTCGTTGGTCGAGCGACTTGGATTGGAGTATGAGCCTTGCTCCGAGTTGAACAGTGCTAGCTCTAGCTATGCCGCGCTGTTCTGGGACAAGAAGATGAATTGGGTCGTCGTTGCCTTCAAAGGGACCAGTCCAGCCGAGTTTGACGAGTGGTTGACCGACTTTGATATCACTCGTGTCGATGCAGGGCATAGGCTGCCTGGTTATCAGCAGGGTGCGTACTCCTTGTGTGCCCCAGTCTCTTTCTAATCTATGACAGTTCACCGTGGGTTTAAGAATCGCTTGTTCCCGGATCAAGGAACCTCTCATCGTACACCATACGGTATGTTGTGCATTCAAAAGAGCTTCATTGGCTAAAGTGTCTTTAGAGACAATCATTGCTGCTCTCAAGGTGGTCACCAACGACCTCATGTCGCGCACAGACAAGGATATCAACGTCTGGTTCACTGGTAATTTGATCTCTCGGCCCGTCTTCCTTTCTCCTGACGGTCATCAGGTCACTCGCTTGGATGCGCAATGGCAACGTTTACTTATACTCGTGCATTACTCAACTTGGACGGCCTTCATCCTCGCGTACAGTTGTGCGATGCCTATCTCTACGGTGCACCCGTTGTCTGTGACATGGCCTCCGCCAAGGTCTTTAACGAGTTTATGGAACACCGAAGGAGTATTACCGGACGGGTACGCAACGTCTGGCGCGTGACAAATGTAAGGTCCCTCTACCATGCTTAGTCCATCTAACACGATCCGTAGCGCTCCGATGCCGTCTCGACTTTGCTTCCCATGCTCGGTGATGATCCGCTCTATCCTCACACCAGTAAGCTGGTAATTTTCCCTCTGGGGGTGGATACTCATGTACTCCAGCGAGTCTCTTTGCGTACGCACATCTCGGAAGCGAGGTCAAGATGCGTCCAGGCTCTGGAAAGTCCATCATTGTCGACAACTATTGTACACCCGCCCCGCTCGCAAGTTCGACTACCTCTGGATCACGTTATGGGGGCTTCAAAGCTCAAGTTGTCTCGCTCGCAGACGGCAGTGCACGCCACTGGCTACAAGAAGACGACGAGACGCTCTTCGCACCTAGCTCGGACTCGGATTCGGATGGAGAAAGGAAGCTAGGTGGACGTCATCGTGGACGCGCAAGGGGTGGGAGTGGAGGTGACGAGTTTATTGGATATGCCATGACCGACGAAGCGCGCTCGACGTACCGTGCCGCCATGAACGCACTCGCTTCTGCTCGCACAGGTGAATCAGGCAGTAAAAAGATGAGCGAGCGCGAAAGGAAGTTGCGAAAGAGACGTGAAGAGGCCAAGTATGGCGTCGGCGTGCCGTGGTGGATCGCAGCGCTCGAGTATGTCCCGCTTTTTGGAAGAATCGTCTCACACTTCCCTGGTACGTCTTCTTGACGTCTTTATACTGGACGCTAATATGGTTTGGTAGGCCTATACTTTCGTTCATTGCAAGAGATGGCCCCAGGGGACTTTGTGTGGCGACGCAGCTAGATGATAAACGAATAGACACCGCAAACGTCTCTTCACTATGTCCAACATGAATACAATGTTTCTCAGTATTTCTGTGGCTTTGAAAGCACGTTGATTGTCCAGTCTACACTACCAACACAAAAGAGTGACAAAAATGAATGGAAACAAACGAGAGCAGTTGATTCAACGAGAACATAGCGACAACCTTAAGAGACGGTGAAAGAACCCGTCTGGCCTGTGAACGCGCTAATCTTGCCCGTCCAGCCATTCTTGTAATCGCCATAGTAGGTGATACGATAGGTACCCGAGGGCGCATCGCGCTCAATGTCCCAGGTGATCGTAACCTCGCTATAGCCGAGCGCACCATTTGTTCGCTTCCAGTTGTACTTTGTCGACGGGTGCGAATCGGTGCGGTACGTCTGCCATTGTCCGTTGACTTGGCGGTCAATGGTCAAAAAGGTCTCTTCGAGTCGGAGGTTGTTCTGGGAATAAGTCAGAGGACATTCGAGAGAATCAAAAAGAGGTTTGATCTAAGAACATGACTTACACGAGGCGTGGCTCCCTGGAACTTGACTGTTACCGTGGAACCTTTCGAGTAGGAACCCGAAGGTGCGGTAAGGACTTTGCCAAACGAGGATCCAATCGGGACATTGTCGAGAACGACACCAGTCTAGTGACAGGTGAGAAACGATGGTTAAGAATAGAAGAGTACGTACTCGAAGAGAAAGAGGGTTCTTCGTCAAATCCGGTGGTGCACCCGCTTGCGATGGGGGCGCTCTTGGTGCATCACTAATGTATCCCAACATATCCCCATAGATGTTGATATACGCATCGAGGGTGTTAGGACCATAGATCGTCGAGCCACCTTCATAACGCTGCACACTATCGACCCTTGTCAGCCAGGCAACCCTATTGAATCAGATTTACATACCCATATTCCTCCTTGGTGGTGACATAGTGGCCGTACGTGTTTGAAGGACCAGCAATGACGACTGTGACGTCTGTACCCATGATGGACGGATTTGCGACGAGCTTGGCTTTGACAGCCTCACGCAATCGGCGCCCAGCCATTGTCGTAAACTCTCCAGGAACGAGTAGAATGACCATTTGTCCCACACGGAACAGCTGGACATTGACAATCTTGGGCTGCCAATCATACGGCTGCGTTGCCTCACCCTAGAGATGTGCCATCCCATATTAGTACGCTGTCAAACTATTTCCAAGAGACGGAGTGAACTCACAGTGTTGAGTAGGATTGGCTTGGGCGCATGGCATGCGACCTGATCCGCGCTTGGCTGAGGGGTCACGAATCCCTTGACGATATCCCAAAACGGATTTCCAGAGGTGGTACCTTGTTTGAAATCAAATGCGCCAGGACCATCGGTCGTTCCTCCTGCAAATGCATATCCCATAGCAGGCTTGCACGTTCGTTTCGTCTGTCCGTCTGCGCCTTTAAACGTATAGGTCGACATGTCGACGTAGATGTGCGCCGCGCGTACGGAGCCGTTCAAGGATTTAAGCGAGTTGGATTCCATAATCGTCTTGGCACCTTCAAATTGGTAGCTGCCGATGAGGTAGTTGGACTCAAAGTCGGAGACTCGGAATCCTGGACCGCGTCCGTGACATTCCTATGCATACGTGAGTGAAATATTCAAGGGTTTCCGTCACTACGTACTTGAGTGACACCTCCGCACGTTGATTGGTAAAACTCGCAAGGCTGTCCGTCGTATGGCTTGCCTGGACTTTGACAAAACGCTCCAAGACTAGTATATGTCAGTAGTCATCTCTAATCGGTATATGAACGCACGTGTTGGGGCTAGTATCACCAACGTTGGCTAGTGGAGGTCAGCAATGTTCCGCCTAGCTCGAGGTATATACCTTGAACAAAGCCAGCGACAAAAGAAGTCTTTCCAGGTGCAGTATTCGGCTCGGCATAATCTAGAGACTGTCAACCGACGCTCGATTCGAAGCCAAGTTGCTCACTTTCGTACAAATAGGCTGCCATGCCCTTGTTGTCAGTGCTAACGAGCGTATTGTTTTGATAAAGAGAGGTTCCATGGACCTGTACGACTAGTCAACACCCAACACTTTAAGAATTGCAAGAGGTCATACCGGGAAGAAGCTAAGGAAGCCCCTATCGCCACTTGAGCCCGTAAATTTGATGAGTGTCATCGTCTTGTCCTGGTCGTATGCATATTTTGCTCGTTCCTCTGCAGGGTTTGCAAGATACGCAGACGGCGAGCGATTGATATTTCCCTGGAGAATCTAAACGAAACTCCCATCAGCACCTCGGTATTCCAAAACAGTGGATGCGGGGGGTCCGAGATGCCCAGATGGAGCACATGGACACGTCGCGCGAGAAGGCAAGCAGCATACGACAAATTCCCACTCTCACACAGGCCCCCCGAGTTTGGTGCGTATGGGAAAATATGGGGGAATAGAGTTCGGCAAACTTACGTCGGTGGTCCCAAAGGATAGTGACCCTGCCGCCAGACTATTGTGCGCGTCGACGGCAGCCTTGACGGAGCCAGTGACAATTGCATCAAACGTCTCGCGCACAAAGCCCAACGAAGTGAGTTGTGGAAGCAAGTTCTAGATGGGGGACACGTCAGTACTGATGTACTTCTCCATCATGATGGATCGCCCAATCGAAGGGGAAGGGGAGTGCGGCGAGAATCCGGGAGGATAGACCCGGGTATACGGACCTCGAGGTAGCCACCTACACCTGCATGCTGATGCGTTCCAACGAGCCCAATGTTGTTGTCGTCGTACACGCCAGGGTAAAGCGCAGAAAGCTTGGCCACAATTGCACGGCGGACGCCCGAGTCACCCATGGCGATATCTATAGACTGTTTCAGTATCATTGCTCTTGTTTTTCTCGAGTATGTTATAGAGAATGGGGAGCATATGCTGACCTGAATTGATGAGCAGGAACCGATTGGTCGCATTGGCGGCTTCGGCAACAATGTACGCACGGCTGCGTTGTCTGCATCAGATAATGAGGATCCGAGGGTCAGGTGCTGCTGTTACGTCGAGATGGGCGGGGACGAACCGCATATGGAGGCCTGTGTCGGTCTGGCTGAGGTCGGCGTAGCCCATCATGTTTGTCTGCGAGGAGAATGAGCATGTATATCGACAATTTGTAGCATGTAGACGCATACCTCTGTCACTGGACCCGTTACATCTCCAATGCCTATTCGACGTCAGAGGCAATGAGCAAACGAGGTATAGCAAGACGCACCAACGCCCAAGAGATACTGTCCGAGTGCGCTCGACGGGTAAAGAGCGAGGAGAGTCGCCGCATACAACGCTGGCAAGAACATCTTTGATCAAAACTTCAACGAGCGTGTGCGCGTCGTCTTGTTGGAAATATAGAAACAGGCGTCTTTGAACTCTGGAAAAAGGAATGACAGTTGTCGACAATAACGCCGAGGACGACGTTTGTCAGACGAGGAAGAGTCCAAGTGTTCTGTCCGCTTTGTTTCGGCGTAGAATTGCGGCCACTGGGACTAGGGTATTCAATACAGCATGGCTCCAATACAAACCCGCTGTCCGCGGTTTGACTTTGTTGGCTTCCAACCCGACCGGTCGAAGCGGCCACCCATCCACCGGTCACCACCGGCATGCGCCATATCTCCGATTAACCATCCAATAAAACGTCAAAACCAAAATTTCTACATCCATATTGTCTACAAATACACATTCCGAGCAAAATTGAACAGATGCATTAGGTGCGTAACAAAAATGTGGGTGGAGGGTTGAAACAATATCTTGTGGTTCTTTAAACCGTAATGGGAGGTTGAATTTTAGTCGCGATAAATGCGCGGAGAATGCGCGAGGGTAATTCCTCTGGTCCCTCGGGCTCTCCACTCGTTGCCGTCCTAGCTTCGCGCTGGGACATGGACCGTTTGCGTTGTTTGCCACTCCGTGCGCGTTCACGAGAAAGCGATGCTGCAACGACGGCAGATGGATTGATCATGGGCGTTCCATCTGGATTCAACCGTCCAGTCGTCCCAAGCGAGGCAGGTGAGATGGTTGGCAGAGGCGGACTGATTCCGGAACCCCCACTACTACTACTACTACTCCCACCGCTTGCAGTTGTAGGGAGAGTTACACGTAGATTATGCGATGGTGATTCACTCGTGGGAGAGAGACGGGATGCCAGACTCGGTCGACCGGCTGTCGAGGTCGAGCGTCGTGGTGAGTTGGGCTCTGCAAGCGTGACTTCATCCGAACTCGATAGTTCTTCCTCTGCAATGAGCTCGCGGTGTCCACCACCCACCTGGCCCCTATCAGAGGGGGCCGAGTCGACGGGCGAAGATATGCCGACGTTGGGCAAGGGAGGTGTACTTTGGCTGCTCGGTTCAGCTTCATCGTCGAGCAGCTCTTCATCCGAAGAATCCAACCCGCTTCAACGTTGGCCCATCCTTTACGATCCCGCGCCACCAAGCAAGGTATCCCGCTATTCTCGTAAGCATGCGCACAGTGCCGTCGAATTCGCCTGTTTATCCATTAGCATTCTTCACCAAAGCAAGCCAGAGAGTCACTCACATCTCGTAGCGGTCCAGCAAAATGTCAAACCTCTCTCGCTCGCTCCTTCGCATATCTGAATCGGCCCACTCGAGTTCATCGAGTAGCGTAGGCACACGCCTCGCCACTACAAACGGCGCCACGGGGAGCGCCATACTCGCGGTGAGTCCTCCCATACCACCAATCGCCGCCATGCCACCCATGCCACCAAGCGAGCCCATAGCACCAACCAGACTCCCTCCGCCAGCCATAGCCATTCCCATTCCCATTCCAAGAGAGGACGAAGATGGAAACGCGTTGGAAGACGAAGTATTGGCCTCTTTTTCTCGCATTGCAGAGTCGTGCAAAAACTCTTCCCACATGGCCTCTTTGCACGCCACGACGTCTATACGATATCAACTTGGTAAGCTTGATCAATATGGAGTCACTCACTCTCCCATGCCCGTTGTAGATGCACCGCCCGAGTGACCTCGTTGTCTAGATTCGGGAACATGGTATGAAGAGACGCATTGAGTGCCAACGTCGGGTGCTTTTTGAAATCAACAGTGGGGACTTCCTGTGTTGCAGTCGACTTTGCACGCGAGCGGGTCTTGCCACTCAAACTCTTCTTGCGCACCAATGAATCTCCAGTCATGGGTGCATCAATGGATTTAGGTGGAAACGCAACGGTACCACTACCACTCTTGCCACCCTTTTTTCGTCGCATGTTTGGTGGGTACGCACCCGTACGCGCCGCACGGGGTTCACCCGTCGGCGTCAAGGGAGGGGAAAGTGGTACATCTCCAGCATCTTCCTCTGTATCCCCATCTTCTTCATCTTCTTCTTTCTCCAACAGTGTCTGGCTTCCACCAGACCCACGCCGTCGCGCAGACAAAGTCTCCTCCAAGCCTTCTTCCTCTTCCAAGCTCTCCCCGACAGTAGCAACACGTCCGCGTGGTTTATGAATCTCGAGACAATCGCTATAGACGACTCCACCGAGTTCGACCTGCCTGCCCAACGAACCCGCGAGGATATTCGTGGGCGTGATGTTAATCCACCTCCGTGAATACACGCTCGTGTACAATTTCTCCAACACGGCATGATCCTGCGCAAAAGGCGTGACGTCTCCACCCTTTTTGGACCCCATGATCGTACCATCATGCACGAAATGCGCCTGATGCTGATGTAAAAATGGATTCACGAGTGCCAATGGTGGTAATGAGCGCGCGAGTGCTGGGACGGTTTGGACATATTGCATGTACGAAGCGGGGATACCATAGTATCCAGATGATCCTGCACCACCAGCATTGCCTGCCGCGCTCCCCAACGAATCGTAAAATGACGAAGAGTATGTGCTAGACTCGGTAGGCGTAAGAGGTGAATACCCACCACCACTCATCATCCCTCCAGGCGACGTTCCTCCCGAAGGCGACACACCACCTCCCAACGCAGACGGACGATGTTCCTCCGAGTAGAACAACGTCTGACGATTGAGTTCGTTGAGACTGGAGAGCGCGTTTTGGTGTGCGGATTTGAGTGACTGTTGGTGTTCTTTCCCTGCTTGTCGTGCTGCGAGTGCGGCGTTGAGCGGTTGTCCATTTGGACCGACGCGTGCGAGGCCAAAGGTGATTTTTGGTGCTAATACGACTGGGAAAAGAATGTCTTCTTCGATAATCTCGAGTGAACCACCGAGGGCGAGGACGCGGGTCAACTCGGCAAGCAAATGGTCCCACTGTGGAACAAAAGGTCAATATGGTTAAGCGGATGAAGAGCCATAGATGGGAAGAACTGGGAGTAGGGATAAAACTCGGGCTGGATGCGTCTAGGCATAGAGTGGATCAAGCTCGGATGAGTGATTTGACACTCGCAAAAGGCAGAAGTATGAAGAGGGTGTCGGACTACAAGGGCCCCGTTGGGTCGTAGAGGATGACGCCAAGGCACAAAAAAGGTAAAGGCAGCCGAACCGACGTGACAAGATTGCCGAATAACAGCGAACATCCCTTGGGAAGAGAACATCATGGGACATGTCCCGACTCGGAAAGGGCGCCCAAATACAAAAAACTCTGGATGCGATAGTGGACCCAGAGGTCGGTTGTAATGGCTAACCGAGGTTGGCCTCGACGGTAAACTCCTGGTGCTAGTTTGGGTGGCTGAAACGTGGTTGGTGGCACTTTGAGGGTACTGATCCCGTCATCGATTACGGCTCGCGAGGGAAACGCTACTCCAGAGTAGGTCGAGCCAGGGAGGGCAAAGAAAGGAAGAGAAGAGGTAAAAAAAAGACTTACACGATCCTCTGGAACACCCTGCGCGACACCGTTTACGCGTACGAGATCAAATTCGCCAGTGCCAAACGGCAAGCCCCGTCTGGATAAAAAATTATGGTGGACCCACTTGATGCGCGCATGAGCCGGGAGCGTTGGTTGTGGCTGAGAAGAAGAATGGGCTTGGGATAGAGGAGACGGCGTCGAGCATTGGTGCAAAAGGACCGAACTTGCACTCGCAGCATTTCCATTCGAATCTTCTTCGGCTGTACTCAAACTTGTCGTCCTCAAACTCGTACTGCTTTCAATAGCGACGTTTGCCGAGGCGCGTACAGAGAACAAGGGCTGGGATGTTTCTTGCGTGGGTGAATATGGTCCCCTGGCAGTCTTGTATGGATGCGCGATGGTGGGAGTCTGCATCTGACTCGCACTCCCACCGCTCCCACTACTCCCATTACTCCCAATACTAGCCGTACTCGTCATACTCGCATTCGTCATTGTCGTCGTAAGCGGGTGCAGAGCATGTAATCCTCCAGAACCCGACCGTAAACTCGAGCTGCTGCTCGTCGAAGGCCGAGAAGGTGTGAGGAGCGTCGGGACGCCGCTGGTGCCCCGCGGGGCGCCTGGTGAGACTTTTGCCACAGATTTGCCCTCTTTGACTCTCCTCACGACTTCTTCAATTCTCTCTACACCCACTGAAGACGGGACGGATTGGATCGCGACCATGTCGAGACCGGTGAACTGCGTATAGGGCCATACTTGGGCAGCCGCTACACACCATGCGCCCGTTCCGCATCCGAGATCAAGGACACGTTTTGGGTGAGTGGATGGGTCCGAGGTGTGGATGGTGGGTACGAGGGATGGCTTCCACCCAGAGGTCGCCATGAGAGGAGAGCTATTGCTCGCAGAGTGAGATTGGATCGGTGTCGAGTCGAGAATGAAGCTTGTGAACCATGTTAGCGCCGATTCAAGTACGAAGACTCCCAGGGCAAACGGCAGAAATGAATTACTACTCACGCGTCGAGAATCCGATTATCATAGTTGAGTGGATAAGGTATAATGTCGGTTGGGAACGCGTGATGTTTCTTGCCATTTTTGAGGACGGTATATGGATATCGCACCTTGACGGTACTGCTTGTCGCTGTCGAGGCTACCGAGGGCGCATAGTCTTTGTGACCTGATGCATGACTCGTGCTGGGCCGCTTCTTGGATGAGACGAAAGAGGTGGAAGAAGCGACGAGGGGCGACGACGAATGCGACTCTGAGCGTCGTTTGAGATGACTGGGGGTGACACCAGGAAACATGTACGGATTGCTCATCCACTTGTCGTCTTTGCTCATCCTGGAAAACTTGTACGCAACCTCCCAGGTGCTATTAGCGTAATGAGCTCAGAACGGTTAGCGAGAGAGAGGCGTAGACGGCGTTGGCGGGTCGCTATAGCCAACTGTCCCCTGGAAATAAGAAGAGTGCGTTCGTGGTCGTTGTCGGGATCAAGAATCGTTTGCTGTTTGCGGGGTGCCAGGATTACTTCGGAGATACCCAGCCAGGCCAGGGGAACCGCTCGGTGAGCTTCTTTCCAAGGCACCGTCCTCGGCCAATCCGACATCATCGGCTCTTTTACCGTACTCCTCGCTGTTATTGGTTGCCGGACATTCGACTTTTTGCAAAAACGGGTCTCTCAACTTTAAAGGCTACTCGCTAGCTATCTTCCTTTTTTCAGGAGGCAAATCATGTTAAGGGCTAGCTTCCAAGATTAATCCCATTGATTGGTTGCCACCAACCTCGACAGCCCCATCCACGACTTTGGATCAACCAGGCCACTTATCAGTCCTTTTACAGCTTCTGGACATGGCCGCTGCTCGTCTCGCCGTCCTCCGCGCCCTCTGGTCTCCGACGAAAACGGTTCCAAATCTCACCGTTCGAGGTAATTTCGCCATCCACACCGCTTAAATTTGTCTCTGACCTTTTTAGACATTCGATTCATCGACTTTGCGGCCCTCCGGCATGCTGGTTTCGACGGCGTCGTCTTTGACAAGGACAACTGTCTCGTGTGTCTCGCCATTACAGGTTGTCTGGTAACTCACAGCCATAATAGACACATCCACGCGAAGATGCACCCGTTCCTCACCTCGTCAACACGCTACGCGAGGTCACAACCGTATTTCCAAAGCACCATGTGCTCGTCGTGTCAAACTCTGCGGGCTCATACGGCGACGACGTAGAGTGGATTGAAGCAGACGCCGTCGAAAGAGCATTTTCACGCGCTCTCAAGGCAGAAACGACGACAGAGGACGCTCCTGTTCATGTCCTACGCCACCGACGCAAGAAGCCGAGCAAAAAATGCGCAAAGGAGATTTACAACTACTTTGAGCAAGTCAAAGCTTGGCGAAACCCACCTCTGCTCTCCCAACCGCCGACGACCTCGGATGCGCAGGTTCGCATAACGCAGGAACAAGACGCTGTACCGAGGCTATCGACAGCTTTTACACCGTTTGAAGCGAGTCTGACACTCAATTCGTCTTCAAGTTCGACTGTCCTCGACTCGGTCTTGCCCGTCAAGCCCCTCCGACTACCTGTGGATCCTGCCACTCTCCCCTCCGCTTCGTCCACCAAACCACGCCTTGTCTTTGTAGGTGACCGAATCATGACCGATGTTCTCCTCGCAAATGAGATGGGAGCCTATAGCGTCTTGACCACGCACCTATGGAAACCAAACGACGTTGTCTTCTTACGTATCATCGAGAGCACGTTTTTGCGAATGGTAAGAGGGTGGGTATGGTTGCGTACGAGAGAGTGGAGACGCATGGCCACACAGTCGTGGTCGATGGTAAAGGGCGTCGGGAGGGGTATGAGAGGCATTTGGGCCATGTCGCAACGGCTAAGGAGACGAATCACGCAAGGCCCACAAGCGAAGGACGACACAAACACCGGCGACGTGCTGCGAGTAGAACGCGCGAGCGTTCATCCACGTTCAATTACGCCACAGATCGACGGCAAAAAGACACGTACGGACACCTAGCACTCTACCAGACCACTTTACGTTAGGCGGAGCGATCTCCCATCCTCTAGTCAGAACCGGCGACTTGATGGATGATGCGCAATATACGTCGTGTCATGTCGCGTACGCCATGGACTATCAATAGACGGCAGGGTCGATTGGGCCCCGCATTTGGATGCATTTTTACCTCGGCCGACACGGACTCTATTTACAACTCTGTTCTATTCCGCGTAGAGGTAGACTCGATATGTTATTTGCAGGCCACTCGTTCGGCACCGAATCGTTTTTATTGTCACGTACGCTTAAATTTATGGGCTTTGCCTAGTATAGGATGTGTCGAAATATATACACATTTGGAGGTGTTTTGTCGAAATCCGTACGAGATACTAGTCTAGCTTCATCCCTCCGAGCCGTATAACAGGGCCGGATGATGTACGTAATCAGCACGGGGAACTAGTAAACGAGCAGGGTCAATCCATCACGCGAGCGCGAAGAACAGGGGTGACCTCGTGCGCGGAAGCGAACACGGCAGCGAAACTACGTACATTTTTCAGGTACACAAGAACTACGGACCCCCGACTGCCGAAAGTTGGTACACGGCGCACAACTCACTTGCACCTGACCAGCGCCATAGTTTGGTCCTACAGACTTGATCGCCCACATCAGACGCCTTTACGAATTCGGGATGGACCTGCTGGAACTATACCCACCAGAAGTCTCCTCGGAGATCATCGCGTACGCGTGTCTTACAAAACATCACCAAGATTGGGAAGAGGTTATCTCTGTCGATCTACTACTCGATCTAACACTTGTGTCGTCTACCTGGCAAGCATTTATTATCGGCACGCCGGGCTTGTGGGCCGACATCTTCCTCGATTCGCGTCAGGAAGAATTAGCCCTTAAGCTTGCACTACAATGCGAACTATCTAGAGATCACGCATTGTCAATCTCAGTTGGCCTATTAAATTCCACCGTGTCAGGAGATTTCTTGCCTTTACTCGACAACCATCGGCACCGAATACAAGAACTCACCGTCCTCGATGAGATACAATTATCAATATTTTTCAACACCGTTAGCTCACTTCCGTGCTTGAAGTCACTACTATGTCAAAAATGTCGTATTGGCGAAGCCACCACCAGATGTATCGACCAGCACCCATCACTACAGGTTGTCAAAGGGATATACGTCAATCAGCAGGTTCTCACATCCAACTGGCTACATTGTCTCAGGGAGGTTGACGTGGGTGTTCCGCTACATGAACTAGTGCCACACCTCGATGCTCTCTCCAACATCCGTCATATACGATTTAAATCCATCAACCGGCCCCAGGGTGCGTCTCTGAAGCCATATAAGGTGCACATTCTACCCACCCTACCGTGGACTCGACTCACTATAGATGAATGGGAGGCCAATATATCTGTACATTTCTGGCAAAATCTAGACGTACTCGTCCCCGCACTGGCACAAAGCCTCACAGAACTTGACTGTAGAGTCAATTTTGGGCTCTTGAGCAGGCTGCTGTCGCGTCTAGCAGAATTTACCTCTATTTTTCAACTTAGGCTACGTTTGATTGCACATGGAACCCTGGATACAAGTGCAAAGATCACTCAGCCAAGCCTTGTACAGAAACTGTATATTGAAACAAGGCTCGACTTCGATTCTCGCATGCCTCTGCCGGAAATCTTACCCGTATTGGTTCAAATGATGGCGAAATGTTTTCATAATGTGACTCATCTTCTGCTACATGGATTCACAAATAGTGGTTTGGTACCCCTTCTCAGCCGGGAATTCTTACCGAAATTACGTGATGTTGTCCTGAATGAGTGTGACTATTACTACAAAACAGATATTATTCTGTCTTCGACAGTGCAAACACTCAAATTCCATAGTGGGGGCGGGCCCCCCGATCTGATGATGTACCGTTCAGAGGGGATTAGAGAGGTGGCACTGGACTACCCTTTTACTTCTTTGATGGGTATCGGGGAGCAGCAAGGGTTGAATTTGCACCTTTGGCCACATCTCAAGAAGCTCCATGCCCATGGAGGCCTGAAAATCGATTGGATCGGATCAGGACTTAAAAACCTTCGCTCAATAACTCTGGCACAAGGCAGCTCTGCAAAAGATCCGTATCAAGGCACTAGACTCCTGTACATCCTCTCCCTTTACCCCCATCAATTCCCTGTTCTCACCGACCTCAATCTTGTACCACGCATAGAATGGGATATCCTCTTTTGTTGTCTCGAAGCACGCAACGCCCAGAAGGTCGAGTCAAATGTGCGTATAGAGGCCATCACATTCAATGGAGAAATACCATTTGGATTTCCAGAACTCATTTCGAGACTTCTACGCGGAGAGGAAGTCAGAAGACCATCTAATCTCAACCTCTCATGGATTGGCAATCTTGATCTCCTCCAAGACAGCAATCTGTAAGCAAAATGATTTTCTTTATACATCTCTTGACATTTAGATAGGCCCGGCTGTTTAGAGTGCTTTAAATCGCTTCGCTATTGCCAAATGACTGTGATGACACAGCCGAATTCAGTGAATTTGGACCTACCAACGTTTGATTATCCGACTAGCAGTCGCGATGTACTCTTGGGCTGGCCCACACGCGAAGTAGAGTGGACTCAATATGTCGAATGGCAGCAAAGAGCCCGCATGCTTGTGGGCGAGTACTGCATTGTGGAGGATATTCTCTAGTGACTGTGACGATCAGAGTTAATGGGTACTACGTGAGTCAGCCTTCAGCGCTCTCATTCTTGTATAACAGGAATTTTTGAGCTGGCACTAGGTGCCAGGGCGCATATTCCTCGACCAGCAACAGGTAAAGATTTGGCAAACGGGCTTAGGTCAGATCTTGTGATAGCCTATAACTATTAGTAAACGTGCAGGCCCGGTATAAAGAGTGAAAATCGAGTGCGTCACTGTGAATTACGTCTCGTCAGATTGCTTACTTGTGGAGCTGTAAATGAACCGGCGCTTCTTGACATAAGCCTTGACCACCGTTCATACAGACAAGTTGGAAGTGTATAGCGTCTTACGCGAGGTAGAGTGGGATCAATGTTTCGGCTGGGAGCGAAGGTCCTCAGATGCTTGTAACCAGGTACTGCGTTGTAGAGGATATTTTCAAGTGATTATAACGATGAGAGCTAATGGTTACTAGATTCACTCGCGTTGATAGTTGAAAGTGTACACAGGCTCTATTTTAGATATCTGTTGAATATTGATGCACAATGCGTGTATGATCCGTTGCTTTAGTGTCTGCTTCAGCTTATTTCAACATAGTGGAGCTGGCAAAACGGCTCGGCGCTTTTTGACCTCTACCCTGACCATTAAGCGCATCACCCGAAGTCAGCAGTGAGGTTTCAGCTTCCATTGCGCTCTATCAAAGCAAGCCGGACGTTGGATGTGTGCAGACTCGGATCCTGTCACCAGATTTCCGCCAGAGATCTCGTCAAAAGTCCTTGCGTTTGCCGCTTCTCGGCTGATTTCTGCTAAATCGCTTGATCCAAGTATCCTGGTTATCTCAAGCGACTATCTTTTAGAGCTGACGCACGTCTCTACATCATGGCGGGACTTGATCCTCTACAGCCCGGAGTTATGGGCCGATATTGTGATAGATGAAGACGCTTACGATATGCGTACTCGAGTACATGTTCATTGTAGTCTTTCAAAATCTCATCCTGTCTCCCTCTCCATCTTGATACACCCAAGTGGTAATCTGGCACTCGCATTGCACCTGCTGCGGGAACATACGTCGCGTATACAAAGTTTATTTGTGATTGAGCAGCCATTTTTGCCACTCATCAGTACCGCGCTTGGCCCCCTCCCACATCTCAGGACCCTCCTCTTTCCTCCGCGCCACAAGTTGGAAGCCTGCGCAATATCGTTCATCGAACAAAATCCACAGATTCAATATATTTACGGGGTGACATTGAAGCATGATCTCCTCAACTCAAAATGGTTGCATTGCCTCTTTGAAGTAGCATCAGAAATCCCACTACGAGAGCTGGTACCCCATCTTGGCAGTCTCAAGAATCTCCACACTATCAAATTTGGATTCTTTTTACCAAACCAGCTCACTGCATATGCTCTCGATTTCGTTCCTACTATACCATGGATCCACGTGCGCACTTGGGATTTTCACGCTTTCTTGGGCACTTTTAATCGAGTAAGAGATGCAGATATTCTCATACCAGCTGTCTCCAAAACCCTAACGACGCTGGAAACGACTCTTCATGTTTCATTATTGCCAGCACTCTTGGGCCAGTTGGCGCATTGCTATAGAATACGACACGTCGACATGAATCTGATTCCCCATCTAGATCGTATCGATGCCAACGTTCGAATTCCGCCCTCTGCTACTACACATTTGACGATCCGTGCACCAATGGCAACGAGAGGAAGTGAAAAGTGGCTCCCTTCGACCATAAAGCTTCTTAGAACCTGCTTCGTCAACGTACTCGAACTCAAGCTGATAGGAAAGTCAGCCGGAGGACTTCTGAATCTTCTTAGTTACGGCAATCTTCCCAAACTCACCCGAGTGACCCTCGACAAGACGATAGATAGATACATTCAAGCATTCTCATTGTCCCGTTCCATCCAGCACCTCCATATCTTCGCACGGGGTGCGAATATATATCAGTATAGGTCAAATACATTATCAACCTTGGAAATCGATCACTATGAAAGTCGCGAGAACACACCACTTGACTTGAATTCCTGGCCAGCCTTGAAAACGTTGCAATTGAGTTCGAAGCACGGAGCTCGATGGAGCGGGGCAGCATTCAAAGACTTGACGACAATCGATCTTCACCATCGACCAACTGAGACAGTAGAATACGATGGCACAAACCTACTTTACCATCTTGGCATCAACCCATATGCCCTCCCCGCCCTTCGAGAACTCAACCTCATGCCTTATATAGAATGGGATATACTCTTCATCACTCTTGAACAGCGAAATATTCATACCAACTCTGTGGCATCTCCTTTGGAAACCCTCTCCTTCTTCTCGACAATTCCTGCCGGGTTTGCCAACAAAATATCCAAACTCCTGGCCGGCGAACAGGTCGACCGACCATCAAACCTTCACCTCTCATGGGTGGGGAACCTAAACATTATACAGGACACGGACCTGTGAGTAAAACGTTGGTTATGACATTCCTAACCTTTGTGTAGGTCAGGATGCATACAATGTCATAAATCGCTGCAACACTGTTATCTGGACTCAGTCTTTACTGACAGCGAAATGCGAACAGAGCGACCCTCTATATCACCATATCCTAGCGACAGCCGACATGTGCTCTCGATGTGGCCACAGCGCGAGCAGGAATGGAAAAGATTCGTCCAATGGCAAAGTCGATTGCCGCAAAGTCGGCCTTTGTACTGTGACGGCTGCAAACTCTACCAGGAAGTGAGAATCAGTGCGCATGGATTCTACGTGGAAGATCATTAATAGCTTGTTTGAACCCAATCTTTTGCAACTATCTGTTTCCTTATAAATGCTCGAGATCACGCCTCTGCAGGGTAAGCCCAACATTTTGTGCCTGGATGACAAAGGAGACCTTTCCGATATCTGTCAGACGTGCTTGCCTTTCTTTTTCTGTCTCATGAACAAACTCGGGTTTGTGAGCTGGTGTAATCTCGTATCGCTGAACGATGAGAGCCAGCACTGCGAGCATTTCCACTTCCGCAAACCTAGAGAGCATTGAGTAGTGTGTCATCATCTTCCTTTATGATGGCAAGGAGGAGACGTACCGACGCCCTATGCACGCTCTGGGACAAGCCGAAAAAGGCAGCCAGGCATATCTGTTATAGTCCCCGAGGAATCGCTCTGGTCGGAATGTATACGGGTCATCCCAGTACTTAGCTAGCAATATGCATGAGACAAATATCTGGAGAAGGAGACGTACATACGATTGTTATGAAGGGCGACAACATTGAGCAAGATGTCCGTCCCAGTGGGCACAGGAACCGGGGTTTCTTGCCCGTTAGCGTCGAATGTAATGATTTGAGTATCGCGAGCGAATTCTTTTGGTATCATCAGGGCCTTTATCTGGAGCTTAGTGGATAGTTGATGTTGAGAGAGTACATGCAATAGGAACCAGCCTGAGGACTTCCTGGATGTTTTCCATTCCATATGTGAAGTGTGGTATATCGGTGTATGCCTATTCGCATGGTCATCAGTCGACTTGACTCTGCAGAGGAGAGAAAACCGCACTGGGAGGTCGCCAGTTCTGACATGTTCCTTTATTTGCTCGTACCACTTCTCTGGACCTGAGGATAGACGGAAAGAAAGCTCAAGGTTATTGCGAGGGTGTTCGCACTCGTTTCGTATCCAGCCATGAGAAGAGTGAAAATATTACCTAAACCCAAGAGTAAGGTTCATACGGACAGCTGTGAAGCAATACCTACCCATGAGATCTGAGTCTGAAAGTGCTATCGAAGAGTCTTTTCCTCCTCTCTTGCCTGGAGAAGGTTTGAGAACAAATCGTTGTGTTCGCCTGGTGAGGCGAGCCGATTCTCTATCATCTAGCGCATGTACATCTAAGACAATTGAGAAAAGGATACGAGAAAACTAGAAAGTTACCTCTAATTCTTGGTAAGCAGTCTTGGTATCTCGTCCAAACTTGTAGAGACTAAGAATCCAATCTGGGAGCGCCAGCCGATGAAAGATCCCTTCGTTGACAAAGTTCATTGTCGTCTTAAAGGTCTAGTACTTTTGATTAGATGTTACATTCAAAACCTGTGACGAACTACTAACCACGGTATGTCCTATAGGAGGGGCCCATCATTCTTCCACGGTAATTTCATACCAAATCCTTTGGTAATTCAGTCGAATCATCAGTGACGAGCGAAACGCTTACCAGTGGCACTAATCACCATGAGAGTCAAGCTTCTCGTGAGGTCGGCAACACCAGGTACGAAAACTTGATTTGCTGTCATTTCTTCGTCCCATATAGTGAACAGTTCTAGGATAGTATTGACAGTTTCTCGCCAAACCAGCTTGTTGTTCTGCTCCGAAAAGGACCTTTGTATGGCTTTGCGGTGACGCCACCATTCTTCGCCCTCTGTGGAGAGAATATTAAGCCCGAGGTAATTTGCGATTTTGTATGGAGCGACCGGCTTCGGGAACGCCGCCCTGTGGGAAGTAACCTCCTGAGAGCAAGCTTAGAGCGTGAGATATACAGATCATGGTGAACAAACCTTGGCTACCTCTGAATCTGCGACGTGAATCAAGACGCGGGCGGACGGCCAAAAGACGAGCCCAGCGAGCAGATCTCTTCCATACTTCTCGAAAGCTAAGCGAGGTTATTGATGACTAATGTATGCAAATATCACTGACCCGTGTATTTGAAAACCCACGGCCAGTCGTGTTTCTGCACGATTCCCGGAATGCGGGGCAATAATGTGGAAATCAACGATGGCTCCGAGAAATGTGTCTTTGGACCTGGAGTATAATTGACTGCCCTCAAGAGTCGCTTGTAATTGATAAATGCCTTGATAGCCCAGAGGGTAGAGAAACCGCTCAAGGCAAACAACAGATTTGCAGTCGACAATTGGGGCTCGAGCATGATCAGGTGCAAGAATAGGGACCTTGTTTCTCGATATCCCTTATCCTCTTGGCCCCTGAGACACGAGACGGCGGAGGAATCAGCTCGGGTGATTCTGTCAACCACGAGGCGATGATTAGTAAAATGCCAAGCGCTTTTTGTCAATGGAAAGTATCAGTAACATTCAAAGGGCGATAGTCGACGGCTGACTCTGCCGTGGTCGTAGCTAAGCCTTGTCATGGTACACAGCATCACTCCGGCTCAATATCTCATTTGTATAGGATGAGCCAGTACGTAAGGAGCAATATATATCCGTAATCATCCGAGGTGAGTCTTATCCATTGTAAAAAGTGCCCTCAGTAGCGACGACGAAGGGTCAAGCCAACACTCTTCGCCTGGACGACAAAGGTGACCCGCTCGACGCTCATGAATCGCGCACGACACGCTTCCATTGTCTCATTAGGTAGCATCGTTGGCTCGATCTTGTATCGCTGAATGATAAGCGCGAGACAGGCCAACATCTCGACCTCTGCAAATCTGCACAATTCATTAGAAGAATGTCATCAGATACAGCCAGAAATGCCTACCTTCTGCCGATGCAGGAACGGGGTCCTGCAGAGAATGCCAACCATGCATTCTTGTTGTAAGTGTGTTCTTTGAGGAACCGTTCTGGTCTGAATTCCATTGGATCCTCCCAATATTTGGCTGCACAGTAGGATTCAGCAAATTGTCAAAGTGATGAAGTCTACTGACGGTTGTAGTGCAGACCAACGACATTGATCAGCAGGTTCGACCCCTCTGGAACTGGGATGTTCTTGATACCTCCCTCAGTAGTACGGGTTGTAAAGTGAGTCTTGAATGCAGATTGTTTTGGGATTGTTGGTGCCTATGAACCGTGAGTTGGGGGCTTTGGAAGTATGGATGGACGTACCACAGGCACGAGTCGAAGCACCTCTTGGATAATCGCCATCCCGTACGTCAGTTTTGGTATATCGGCATAGTCCTGAGTGAATTTGAGCTCAGTAGAAGGATTTATCATCCAGCACATACAGGCAAATGCCCCGGTTTCGTATACTCAATGACCTGCTGATGCCATTTCTCTTGTACCTCGGGATACATGGCCAAATAGTTGAGGGTAAGAGCGAGTGTATTTGCTGTCGTCTCGTGTCCAGCCATAAGAAGGATGAATATGTTTCCTACGAAAGGATGAACTTGGGTATTACGTGTCATGGAACACAAACCGGCTAGCTCTTCATCTGACAGTGTTACGCCCGACTCTTTTTCAGCCTCTCGTGCTCTCAGAAGATTGGAGAAGAGATCGTCGTGTTCGCCTGGAGATGTGAGACGCGTGTCAATCATGTCTCGGATATAGATCTAATCGAGTTTAGGTTGGATGGTCAAGGAGGTTGCGCGACGTACGCCAAACTCTTTGTACGCCGTCTTGGTATCACGACCTAATTGATAGCAGTCGAGAATCCAGTCAGGTAGAGCGAGACGATGGATGAAGCCTTTGAGGATATAGTGTATGCACTTCTTGAACGTCTATTGATAGCTTAGCCTTAGTCACCGCTCAACTGCTTACGCACCATAGAATGGCCTGGGGGAGGAACACCATTATCTTTCCAAGGAAACCTCATCCCATATCCTATATATAATTATCACTCGATTCTATACCCCTCTCATAGAACTCACCAGTTGCGCTAATGACCATCAAGGCCAATGTCCTCGTGAGTTCAGCACCATCCTGAACTTTGACGACCCCTTCAATGGCCTCTTCAGCATCCCAAACATTCTCCATGAGCTCCAAAACCAATTCCTGAGTCGTACGCCACACAAGTTTGTTGTTCCGCTCGTTGAACGATGTCTGGACGACTTTCCTATGTCGACGCCACTCGTCTCCCTCTGTCGAAAGAACATTACGACCAAAATAGTTCAAAGGCTCATACGCGATGACAGGTTTAGGGAACGAGGAATGGTGTGTCATTATCTCCTACATGCGCATTTAATCAGCACCACTGTGTGACAAGCGCGACGAGCGTGTGGAAAGTATCGAACCTTGACTATATTTGCATCCCCAATGTGGAACCCGAGACGTGCAGAGGGCCAAAACGTAAAGGAAGCTAATACATCCATCCCATACGGCTTAAACGCTACGAGAAGGACAAAATCAGTAATAGAGAGATAAGGAAGGATACGAGGCATATACCATTATACTTGAGCTTCCACGACCAATCCGACGTCCGGTTCACAGGCGGCATATCAGGCAGCAGCCGTGCAAGAGGCGTGGTACCAGGGAAAAACGTCTTTGGACCAGGTGTATACGCGACGGAAGCGAGCATTCGACGGTATTGCCAATATGTTTTGAGTGCCCAGAGAGATACGGCGCCGCTGAGAATGAACAGCGCATTCTGCGCGGTGATTACAAGGACATATTCCATAGTTTGACGAGAGATGATCTGTTTTGTGTCCTAGGCGTTGGCAGCGACGAAATGTGGTCGGAATCTATCGAGTCGAAGAGGCCTAGACATCGATAATAAAGCATCTTTCACAGGAACAAAGGCATACGTGGCCAATCTGGGCCCAATGAGTCCAAGGCGAAGATTACAATTCACAAAACCTCCGACCACGTATACCGCTTCACATCTCAGTTCATCCTCTAGTTACTTGGCGTAAAATTCGCTTTGAATTCAGATCGTCAATTATGCAGAGATTGCACACTCGGTACAACGACGGCTGAGAATAAGGAAAAATGGGGATACGCTCTCTAGGATGCTTCGACGCGAGACGAGACAACACGGGAGATGCAAGATTAACAAGGGAATAACGGCGACAACCAGAGTAAAAGAGCCGACCAGAGACGTGAACAACTGGAGGACATGAGGAATAAGGGAGACATAGAACAAACGCCACGAGTGGTTGGCGTTTGGTGGTTTGCATGAGGGCATAGCATAGATGAGAGGGAATCCGATGAGAGATGAAGGACGAGACGATGCACGATGACGATGAAGACGAGACAGACTAGTGTGGATATAGATTGGAGTGGCCTTGACAAAGACCTGGGGACGTTCGTGATTGATTGATTGATTGGTGAGCCATTTCGGAGAGATTTGGATAAAAATGAGGATACTCGAGGGCTTTACGGCGTCGGGGTACCCGACGACGTCCCTTCAGATCCGCTCAAGCCAGCAGGAGACGAGATCTTGACCGAGGGTTTGTCGACTGTAAAGCCCTTTTCCTTGAGCAGTCGTTCGATACTGGCAATCTGCTTGCCATTTGCTCCATTACCACTCGCATTCGGCGAAGGTCGTCGCATCGTCGCAAGCTGGGTAATCACCACACTTACGAGCGCCTGCAGTAGCTCCGGCTCGGAAAGGCTTATGGCCTTTTGCAGGACATAGTTTGCATACTGGTCCTTCATCATGATCGAAACAGGGCTGGTGCCGTTGGACATTGGAGCCAGCATCTCCTCGATGAGTGCCCGTCTTTGGACGTCGTTTGAAACGAGGAGTGCCTTTTCGCATACATTGGAAGCAAACTTGTGTCGCGCCATCGAGAGGACGTTTCCACGAAGCGAGTCAATCATCCGGTCGCGATGCGCAGGTGCGCCGTGTTCGAGGATGTACTGCACGACATAGTTCTATTTCGGGGTTAGCGAGCGGTTTGAGAATGTGAGTCGTAGTGAAACATGCGAGAGGGAAAGGGGTAAAGTGACGACGTGAGAGTCCGCGGCGACGTACCCCAAACTGATCCTGCATCAGCAACGAAGAGTTTTGGTGCAATTCCTCTAGAAGCGACGCGGTTTCTTCCGGCGCGGCGTGTTCAATAGAGCGTTGAAGCACTCGGCAGCCATATGGATGCGATGCCAAATTGCGGACGTTGCCTGAGAAGGCATCGAGGAGGACATTGCGTTGGGATGGGACGAGTTCCATAATCTTTTGAATGACCTGCGTAGAGAATGAGAACCATGATCTGGATTGAAACAAGAACGTACATGGTTACCGTTTGCATCCTTGACGCATTGCAAGACGTGTCCGTTGAGTTCGCTCACAACGGCCGCTTGCTGCTGAGGTGTGCCGCAGTCCAAGGCCTTTTGGACGACGCGGCATCCGTACATGTCGAGCGATAGTTGCAACACATGACCTTCCATGGCGCTACAAAGCAGTCTCCTGTGGAGCGGCGACCCGTATTCGAACAGTTTCTGAATGACCTATACCGTTGTTTAGTTCATTCGACTCTAAGAAACGAATGACGACGCACATAGTTGCCAAATACGTCAAACGCGAGCACGCTAAAGTTGCCCGCAGGAATGACTTCATCAAACACGGCCTGTCGCTCGTCCGAACTAGCTGTATCGAGCTTTTGCTGGATGAATCTCGAACCGTGCTGATCGGTGCTAAACTCGACGCAATGTCCGAATACATCCTAGACCGCCGGACGAGGATTGGGTGAGATGACCAATTAGAGCCTGTCTATGTCGCCGGCATGATCGGCACGCACCTTTAGCTCGAATCGTTTAAATTTGTGGTTTTTGAAATCGGCCAAGAGTCCGCTTTGTCCATTTGGATGAAGGGACGGATGTGGGTGCGGATCGCGGGGGTCCCTGCGCGGATTGCGCTGCATTTGGTGACCATATGTCGACGCACTTGCGTAGAGCGTGACAGGGCGTCTTCGCTTGTCATTCGTGTTGACCGTCGCGGATTTCGTCAATGTGGGTGGCATTGGTTGGCTCGAAGACAGAGCACGGCTCTGGAAGATTAGCGTCAGGCTCCATTCGTATCTACTTGAATGAACCATACCTGTCTGACTGTATGCATCTGAACGGGTGGAGGAGAGGGCATGGGGGGCGGCGATCGCAAAACGGGAGGTTGTGGGGGGAACTGGGGCGGAGAAGCCGGGGTTGCATGCACAAATGCAGGGTAGTGGTATGCATAGGGACTGACGGGGGACTGCATCCCAGAATAGTCATAGTTGTAGTACATGCTGATCGAGTCGCGGCGGGCGGCAGGATGGTAAGCCATGGCCTGCATCGGAGCTTGCGTATAAACTCTGTGCTGTTGTTGTTGCTGATGATGTTGCTGTTGATGCTGATGCTGTTGATATTGTTGTTGAGGTGCGGTTGCTGCGTGAATGGACGGGTACTGGTACTGGATGGGGTGCTCGCGCAAGACGGGGCTGGTGGCGGCAGGCGCGGGGACGGCATAATAATGTGGATATGTCGTGTAATTGCTATAGGGCGCGTGAACAGCATCGAGGCCTGTCAGTGGAGGGGACATTGTCGAGGGGAGTATCAGGTGGGGGACATGAGGCCGTTGGGTGGGCATTCTTCGCTGCTCGGACAATTCATCCAACAAGGAATCCGTCTGGCTGAGTCGTGAAGACGATGTCGTCGTCGTTGTCGTCGTCGAATGCGCCATCAACGGCGACTCGGCCTCGGACGCAGACGTCTTCGAGGGGCTATACTTTGCGTTGTCGAGGTCGTGCCGGGCGAACAGAGGTAAGCGTGTATCGCTCATCGGGGGCGCGGGGGGGAAGTCGACGTTGGGTAAATGTCGAGGGACGAGCGGTAACAAGATAAATATAAGGACAGAGGCAGAAAGGCGTCTGAAGAAGATCAAGCGTGTGTATTGGACTGATCGTCAGACAAGTCATGGATCCCAATTCGGTTTAGCCCCGACCCGAGCCATCAAGCGACCCTGCACGCCGCGACGTTTAGAGTTCGACATAGACAATCAGGTTCCTCGGAGCCTATTGAGTAAAAGATAGTGCCGTCGGCGACTAGTTGTATCCCAAGCTTCAAACGGCTCCAAACTGCTCTCAGTCCCACGCGACTGCCGCTGAGCAAGGCAGAAAACGTGTAACAGCGACCGACAAGGGGCCCAAAACGTGACCCCCCTCCCCCCCGATGCCGTCAAGCACAAGACGGGTGTAAAACGCGTGTGGGTTGCTGTAAAGCGAGCGTACGGAATGATCGAGTAATCTGATCGAAGGTCCCACATCTCTTGGGTGTATACTACAATGGTTTCATAATAGCTAGCGTCACATATGGCGCACGACGTCCGGGAGTATACATAAGCTTAGTGGCCTTTAAGAGTCGTCTAGCATTGACCCAGCGCATTTTCACTCCGATGATATCGGCGACACTTGCGCCCTGTTCCATCTCCGTGGTATTACAGGCACTATTGCGAAGACTATTAGTTGCGGCGCCGCTCGTCGACTCCGCTCCGTCACGACTACGACCAAAATCCAAAACAAATTCAGAGGCGAGGCGGGATTTCAACGCGTTTGAACAATGTCATGGATCAAAGCTTCTCCGTCTGCACCGTCGTCAAAGGACTCGCTGCTTTCCAAGTCGGCCCACAGCTCGTCCACCAACCTGGCCTCTCCATCTACACGAAATGGCTCCCAGCAGCCACAGATTACACGATTCTTGGCATCAGGAACTGTTTACGTGACCCATACGATCTCTGTCCCCGGTTCCGTCGTTCAGCCCCCATCCGCGCCGTTAATTACATCCAGTGAGGCCCCAGAGAGTTTCCCTGTCGTCACAAATGTCCGTGCAAACAAAGTATATTCTCAGCGAGGCGGTGCAGCCATCAATGTGCTCTCCATTTTGGCCCAGTTTGGGTCCAGTGGCAGAACGCCATCAACCGTCTATCGTAAACCCGCTCTCGAGTGTGCTCTCATCTCTCCCATGGGAACAGACGCCACAGGCCGCGCACTCCTTCACGAACTCGAGGCAGAGGGCATCCGGACGCGCTTTTGCAAGTTGCATCCTGCTGGGATCCCCGTCGCGTTTGTACTACGAAGCGGTAAGACATACTGCTTCTGACCGCGCGTGTCTTCTGATCGCCCATGTGTACAGACGAGTCGTCCTCGCGAACAGTCATCAATCATAATCCACTCCCGGAACTCAGCCATGAGGATTTTATCTCGATACTGGGCCCTATCCTCGTGCCCGAGCATTACCAGGGTCTCCAACTCTCCCATCACTGGCACCCTCACCCCAGCCTTCCGCAGACGCCGCCGGTTCACGCCGTGTACGGTCCTGGTCCCGGTGTACCTCCTGTCATCGCACCAGCAAACCCCGCCGGCGGTGTGAGCGGTGCAATGGCCCCTCAACCAGTCGCCCTCCCAAATCAACCGCTCCCGCCAACGACACCCGGCCTCCCCTTTAACCCCCCATTCACCGTCTTTCATATCACCGGTCGATCCCATCAGGCAGATGCCATTTCCCTCCTCAACCTCACTGGTGTCGATGGCCTCGCACGGGACCGTTTCTGGCGCGACAAGGCGACATTTAGTCTAGACTGCACGGCGCCTGTGCCTAATGAACAGGCGAGAATCGCGAGGGAACAGCTATTCAAACATGTGGACGTCATCTTCTTCTCGTGAGTGAGTTTGCCACTTTCCGACGACCAGCAATCATCGTTGACGCCCTCTGAAGTAAATCCTATGCTCTCGTTCGTCCTCTTTTTTTGCTACTACAGGGACCACAGGCTCACAACGTGACAGTCGGTCAACCCGACCACACCTGCCCACAAGCTGACGCCTCGGGCGTTTTTGCTCTCCCAAGCCCAGCTCGTCGCTCCACATGCCCTTTTACTCGTACACTGGGATCACGACGGCGGAGCGCTGCTGAGTGTACCCACGCGTGAGTACCTGCAGAGCAGCGTTTGGACAGATGGTCGCCCAGTACAGCATACCCAGCCGACGGTGCCACCCAGCAATTGCATCAGCGCCAGTAACTGTATCTTCTATGCCGGCTCAAGCGGCGCCTCCCGTGCACCCACCCACCGATGTGCGACCGGAAACCCAGCTCTCGCTTGGATCCGAGGATCCGCGGTACAAAGAGTTTAGTACCATGTCCACCGTCACTGGCGCCCGCGCACTAGGAAACCACCATTCGAACACGCGCTCGTTACCAGACTGGTCTAACGCCGCTCCTCTCTCGCCTACGACGACTGACGACCACCACCGCGCGACTCCTCAGAGTGTGATCGATATACGAAATGATCCCATTGCGCCAAACGTTGGAGAGGGGAACATGTTTGATTACGGCTTTACAGCAGACGCGTTTGAAAATGTGACGCCCGATTCGAGCTGGGACTATCGCGCGAATCGGACGGCGGTCATTTATGATTCTGGAGACGAGTCCGAGTCGGACCCAGCCATCTTACGAGGTGGAGCCGGTCGTGGATTGGGACTGCAGACGGACATGCGCATGGGTGTCGGGCCAAGTGCTGTTCTCATCAGCGAGGGGATTGCGCTTTCTCCTTCGGATATCGATTCGGACCTGGATGTCGCGATTGCTGCGGGTGCGAGTCGGTTTGTGATGGAGGAACGTATGCGGAGGGTGTATGGGCCGATGGAACATGATCCTGTCGAATCTGACATTCTTGATCTTGATTCTCTCGAGCAGCATGCGCCTGTGCATGGTGAGGATGACCTTGAAGAGGATTCGGACGCGACGGAGAGCGGCCAGGGACACATCGCGCGCCCTCCGGGACCGACGAGGATAGGCAAGTTGAAAAAGGAAAAGATGCGTCTCAAGGAGGAGCAAGCGTTGGAGCTTGTGAGGAACGAGTTGGAGGAGGAAGAGCGTGCGTTTGGGCAATTGGAGGAGATGGACAAAGAAGATTCAAAGAGTGTTGTGAGCGAGGCTCCAAAAGTTTCCAAGCCTCTTCCTCCACTTCCCCTCGGCGTCGTCGAAGCGTGGCAGGCTGGGCTCCTCTTTGCGTTGACAAGGTATGTGTGCACTTGAACATATCAAGTAAACGCTGATCAATTGCAGGCACGTCCTTCCTGGCAAACCATATTGTCCCAATATCCCACCGCCGCGAAACGCCAGCAAGGCTGAGCAATCGAAGGCCAAAAAGCCCGACATTCTAGACTCTGATTGGGCCTGGAAATGGAGACTGGATGAATGCCTCCGGTGCGTCTGCTGGCTGCCTCAATATGCACCCGCTCACCCCTCTCGTAGGTTTGCAGCCGAAGTTGCTGGCCGTCGTGCGCTCAAAGGTACTCCAGAAGGACTTGCACGTGACATGGAGGAGAGTGGATGGTTTTCATAATTATACGGGTTGTAACATTGAACTTGAACTTGAACCTTGAACTCTGCCACCAACCATGGATAAAGGCTCTACGTCGCGTACGCGTCTGCCTGCGCGTACAAAACTCCCAGCAGCATCGAGTTCAATCCCAAAACCCTCGACGAGCGCGCAAACGACCAAGAGAACGGCCACGACGGCGCAGCTCGACAATGGCGAGGTCGAACACGCGTTGACGCGGCGTAAAGAAAAAGTAGAAGCATTTTCAGCGACAATGACAAAGAATGCGCTCGAACGACGCGTCGCAGATGCCGAACAGGCCAAAAAGACGCTCGAGGCCGAGCTCACAAAGCTCAAGCACGACAAGGAAAAGGTCGAGCGAGATCGAAGATGGTTTGCAGAGCGTGAGCAATCACTCGCAGACGAAAAAGAGGAACAGCGGCGCGAGTTTGACAAGGAAAAGGTGTGCACCTTTAGGTCCAAGTTGGTCCCGAAATAAGAGGCTGAGTTGAAAACGCTTAGAGCGAGCTCACTACAGAATTGAGAGATTCAAGAGCACTCGCACTTAGGCTGCAGCGCGAACTCGACGCGCTGAGCGAGGCCCACGATGCGCTGCAGCAGACGGCCATGAAAGCAAATCGAATCTCCGAAGAGGCTCAAACGCAACTCTCTGCTTTGCAAACTGATAGCGAGCGACACTATGCAGAGGCTGCCAAATACCGCAAACTCTATCAGGAAAAGGTCGACGAACTTGAACATGTACAACAGAATGCAAGGGCGACGAGTGCGAGTAGTCGTGACTCAAAGGAATGGGAACTTCTCAGGTCGCAGATTCTGCAACAAACAGAAGAGATTCGTCGACTGGAGGATGCAAATGCAAAGGCAAATGCGGAACTGTTGGTATTGCGGGAGAGAAATGCCAATATCGAACTATTAACAGAGGAGAAGAGAGTATTGGAGCGTCGAGCACGGGACAACGACTCTCTCCGAGAGCAATTGGGTATGATGGAAGCCGAAATGGACGCACTGCGAGAAGAACGAGAAAACTCGTAAGATCAGCTTTTGAGTCCTTTCTGTTCTTACACTCTTAAAGGATCGCTCATGCTCAGCGTTTGTCCGATGTCCCAGTCTCCATCACACAGGAATTGGCTGCCTTGCGCGTCGAACATGCAGCGACCGTGGGACAACAACAATCGCTCACGGCTACTTTACATGAACGAGAAGAAGAGCTCAAGCGAGTAGAATCGTCGTTGAATCAGGCAAGGGACGAAACCGCGCATCTCAAGCTTCGTTTACAAGCAACCGAAGCCGCCGCTACACGCGCAGAGACAAAGGCCAAAGTGGCCCAGCAAGAGGTGGAGACGTTGAATTCTCTTCTGGTATGTACTAGAATTCAGCTATACAGTGTACTCATGTTGCAATGTAGCAAAAATTTACCGAAGAAGCGACGTCGGAGGAGCACGACGAGTTGGATGAAGTGACCGAACGAAGCCAGATGCGCATCGTGGCTCTGGAACAAATGCTCGAGGAACTCAAAGAAGCCAACGAGGCGCTTATCAACGAGATGAACGAGATGGGTGGCGACGCAGCGGAAGTCGTTGGCAACGTCGGACGTGGATCCATCTCCGCCATGAAAGAAGCCCTTCTCCATGAACGCGACGCGCACGCAGAGGCTCTCAAGGAACTCCAAGTTGCCAAAAGTCGATTACGCGAACTAGAGCAGCAAGTCGAAAAGCTGGACGAGGATCTGTTCCGGCTCAAGGGGGATATTGGAACGGGTCGGTTTGTGCCTCCGGGCGTGCGTGTGCTCGAGATGGCGGATAATCCTGCCTCGCGGTGGTTCGGCAAACGCGACGAAGACATGCAGCGGCTCAAAAGCGAAAACGACGCGCTGCGAACCATGGTCGGCAGTGGCACAGGCGCGTCCGCTACGAGCTCTGTAGTCCCAGCTGGGATGGTTCCAAAGGAGACTGTGGATGTGTTGATGCAGGAAAAGTCGGAGCTAGAGGCCATAATCAAAGAAAAGGAGAAGCGGCTTCTGCGATTACAACAGGTTCGTCTCTTCTCTATCATTGCGTGAATGAAACTGATAGATAACAGATCTTTTCTGCCAAAGCCGAAGAGTTCAAGACGACAGTGACTTCACTCGTAGGCTGGAAGTTTAAATTCCAACAAAACGGCGCGGTTCAATTGACGTCCATCTACAATCCCAACGCCCTAATCGTGTTCTCGCAACCGACCAAAAAGTCGAAACGCGAACGTGGACCACTTGAAGGCGAGGATATCAAGGTTCAGCTCATCGCTGATACTGCACCTCCAGAGGTCATGGAGCTGTACAGGACATGGGTTATTGGATATGGCTGTGTCCCCGGCTTCCTTGGGAGCTTGTCTGTACAGTTGTTCGAAGCGTCGCCCGAGGGTGTAGCCAAGCTCAAGGGAACATGAGGGTTCGTTTACTGCATATGTATTATCCTATGTACTGTGTATTATATAAAGCTTCCAAATCTGACTGCAACCGATGACCTAATAACCCAGAGAAATATGCTAGTGCTCGGAAGGCAATTCTGGATCGTATTCAATCGCAACCTCTGCAATCTGCGACTCTTGCTCGTCGTCACGTCTCGCATACCGTCGCGTCATCCTAGATTCAAACTCGGCACAATCGACCACTTTGAGCTCCTTCCTTGCCTCTTCAATAGCAAACCCTGTCATGAACACTCGGAGTTGATCCCTCACAGAGGCACCGACACCTAAGGGGCTTGGTCCTTCGGGGCCGGGGCCCTCTGGAGTGCCACTCTCGCGCAGCTCAATCGCTCGCAACCACGCTTCCATCAGAGCCCAATCACCACCGCCATGACCTCCACCAAGTCCAGGTGGTGGAATAACACGCCGGGCATGTCGTCCAAAGTCCCGGAAATCGGTAACGGTATACGTCGACATATCCCCAATCACCTCTCCGTGCTCAAAGTACAGTGTCGTCTTGCGCATACATATCGAATCCGTATGCGCCGCAATGGTAAACGAAATCGTCGGATTTGTCGGCGGCAAGTCTTCTGTTCTACGTGGTCGAGGAGGCTCGCTTTCTAGGTTTGTCCTACGGACTTGGCTGTGACTCTGCGAGCGATAATGTGGGGTGGCCGCACGATTATGTGGTGGGTGCTGTAGTGATGTCGACGATTGACGGTGCGGTTGGCGCGCATGAGAACGTTCACGACTTTGACTGGCTGAACGCTCGGGCGACTCTGCATATAGCCTTCGAAAGTTGCTCCTACTCCTATCCTTTTGCACAAGGTCATTGTCGTCTGTAGGTGCGGTGAATTGAATTGAAATGGTTTGATGGTCTGGTACGTCGTTGTCCGACTCGTACACGCAAAGTCCGTATGGTGTTTCCTCTAGAGCTCGAGTCATCTTTTCGACCGTCGGTCGTCCGTCGACGATGGTGTTTCCAGGCCAGCCGACAGACCCGCCTTGGATTGGGGATAGATAGACTAAAAGGTATTAAGCGTTGGTAAGAGTTGAAAATTAGATACTGACTTCTCTTTGCGCTGTATTCGCACCGCTGCTCGACACTGGATGGACACTCGAGACATCGCATCACACCCCGAGCAGCTGATGGTTTTCGCTCGCGTCGAAAGTGGCTGAGACCGCCGAAACTGGAGACATGTTTGGGCACCAATGGATAGAACCATCGACAGAATATATCGAGATCGTGTGAGGATTTCGTGAGAACAATAGGTGCAGACGTATGCTCTGATTGCCAGTTTCCTCGTACATACGAGTGCGCAAAGTGATAGTATCCCACTGGTTCAATGTGCACGATATGTAAAAGCCGTCCAAGTGCTCCAGAATGAATTAATTCTGTCAGAGAGGCGGCGTATGGTGAGTAGGGAAAGTCTAGACAGGTCAGACACCCATTTTTACTCCATGAAAATGACATACTATGGCCAAGTGCAAAGACAACGTTGGCTTTCTCGACTTCTTCCGTGACTTGTAGGCATTCATTGATATTGACGCCTAACGGCTTCTCACAAAGCACGTGGAATCCCCGTCGCGCAAACTGAATGCTCAGTTCGGCATGCATCTTGTCTTGGACACAAATGATCACCGCCTGAGCTATTCGGGGTTTGCCGTCCGCCACCAGCACGTCAGATACAGCCAGAAGCTCGCTATGTGATGTGAATGCGTGCTTGTCCGGAATTTGATGTTTTATAGCAAACTCTGTCCTTGTTTCCAGTCTAGGCTCTAACCAATCATTTGTCAACGGCCAGAACGCCTGGAAACGAACGAACCAGCTACGGCGACAACTTTACATTTCTTGGGGTGCGTTCTTGCGTAGTATCCAAATGTCTATATCATGTGAGAAAAGGTTATGAATCAGAGCTGACGCGCAGACCTGTCCCCGCTGTCCCGCCCCAATGACCGCAATCGTTATGGGCTCCTTTGACTGTTCCTCTTCCTCTGGACGCTCGCTTTCGAAGCCTCCTGGCGCAACTGCGGAGATGTTGGTACGCCTTGGGCCGTTGCTGTTTTGACCGAGGTCATTGGGAACTTCCGGTGCGGATAGCGGATAAACAGGGCCATTCTCAACGCTGCCTAGCATGGAGACACGCTTCCATGTCTTTTTGAGAAGCTTTGACATCCCAAAGCGAGGCCAGACGAATACGCGCGCAGACTTGGAAGAGGACAGGAGACGCCAGAAACAAATTGCCGCCGCGTTTGAGAGGCCGTAACTGTCGATCACCGAGGTGATAGTTATGGAGAATATTCAAGCTTGTTTCGGTGCATCGTGTGCAAACCGTTCGACGACGTCTGATCCAACCGCCTCGCTTGGGATACGCGGCAAGCAAGCGACCGTCAACGCCAAGCGTGAAACCAGAGATTAGGATTAGATGTCAATCTCGCAATTTCATGCCTATTTGACAATCGTTATTGATAATCGGTCAATCCCTCCGAGCTCATGGTTCGGCCTAGCTCGCTTACGAGGTACGTACAGGACTCTATCCAGAAGAAATTCCCTAGATTACCGGACATATTCTACAACATACTTTCAGGCAGATTGGAGGACGGTAGAACAGTCCAGAATCATCACCCGTCCATCTTTTGCTCCGACAGCGATTTTCAGACCCGTGGCCGTATCTACCGCAATCTCAAACTCGTTTGGGATGGCAAACGACTCACGACATGGCGTCCCGACTTCCACGCAGAACCAGTCGTTTTCATAGTCCCTATTGAGTCGCACTTGAAATGTCTCGGATGCGACCTTTTCGAATTCGGCTCCATCCACTGGACGAGGCGGTGATTCTGTGACGTCCCATGCGCCGTCAGGCAGAACCATGTATTTGCCGCTTGGGTGATAGGCCAATTGTCGATAGGTGGTCGTTTTAATTCCGTGAGCAGGAGTGAGTGTTGGTTGTAGGATATCTTCGATTTTGTGAATGGATATCTCACGATAATGAAGAAGCGCGAGGTATTTCCCATCCGGAGAAAAGGCTAGTGCGTTGATGAGACTACGCGACTCACGGTGCAGTTTCCCAACTAGTTTCCCTTCGGTCGAATCCCAGAGGAATAAATCTGCACGTGACGCTATGGCGATGTGGATATTGTCTTCATGAAAGGCTAGAGCGGGAAGAATAGCGTTATGCGCTGCCTTCCATGGCCCACCGAGCAATCTGCCGCTCGCTGCATCCCATGTGCATAGCATCCCATCTCGATCAATGGAAGCAAGCCGCGTTCCATCTGGCGAAAAGGACAGTCCGCTCATGTACGCACTATGTCCCTTTGATGCTCGTTGTCGAGGAGATGTAGCTTCCGCATGCCATACACGTAGCGTCCTGTCGATAGAGGGAGAGACAAAGTACGTCCCATCGGGCGAGTATGCAACACGGGTGACCCAATCGGTGTGTCCGTGGAGAGCCTCTCTCGACATTTGTCCCGTCCTCGCGTCCCAGAGAAGAACCGTATTGAAACCGGTCCCAGTTACGATTGTCTCACCACCCGGAGAGACGGCCATGCCTTTGATCCATTCGTCGGTGGTATGGTATAGTTCTTTACCAGTCTCGAGGTCCCACATATGGACACTTCGCGCTGCAGTAGCGAGGCGTGTGCAGTCGGGTAGAAACGCTGCCGTGATGACCTCGTTGGTATGTGTGAAGTCGTGAAGAAGAGTAGGTGGATCGGAATTAGATGAATTATCCCAGACGCGTGCAGTCTTGTCATTGGAGGTCGTAGCGAACAATTGGCCATCTGAAGAGAAAACCGTCCGTAGAGTTGGTTGCTTATGTGCATTGTGCAAAGTCCAGAGAGATTGGCCACTCTCTGTCCATGCGTACACAGCTCCAGAATCTGTCCCACAGAGTACCATTTGTTTGGGGGATGAATGTGATAGGCTAAGCGCCTTGCCTTGAACAGTAGCCCAGCATTTCCCGGCAAAGTTCCCGTTCTCCCAATCCCAGTGCAAGATGGCATCACCCGCCGAAACCGACAAAAGGCCATGACCTTTGGGCAAGAACATCACCGACCTAACTATATCGTCATGGCCGGTCAGCGTATGTATCAGTGCGCCTGTTCGAGCGTCCCAAATTCGGACTGTTTTGTCAAATGATCCAGAAGCAATATAGTTCCCGTCTGGAGAACAAGTGCAGCACCAGATACCTCCCGTATGTGCTCGGAGAACGAGCGAATTTTGAGCGTTCTCTTTGAATTCACGACGAACGACTGGGAGCGGTTTGTAAGACGGGTAATAGTGATGACGAATAAGCCCATTTTCTGGAGAGAATAAAATTGCAGATGTGTAGAGGTGCATAAAGGAATGGCCGAAGAGGGCCTGATTGTCGAGCAGGAATTGGACTACTTCTGCGCACCATTGTGATCCCCGTGACCCCTAGGAGGGTTCAATGTCACTTCAAGGAGAGAAGTTTTCATTCGTACCTCGTGTCCAATCGCTTCTTCGAGGGAAGTAAAATGCTCGCGCAAAGATGTGATTGCGGCTATTGCTCGCGCAGTGACGGAGAGCAGATAGATGCCCTCCATCCAATACAGGAGTTGCTTTTCCATCAAACTCATTATGCCGTCTGGCATGCCACCTTTGTATGTCCGTTGACAACGTGCTCAGCCCAATAAGCAATAGAATATCGTAGCGGGGGTGAAACATTGTCAACCAAGCGCTCTGAGATGTTCGGCAGATGCTTGTTGAGCGGCATTGGGGAGCCATTTGATGTCAACTTGCACATGTCGAACCGGAGCTCCGCACCGAGAACTCGAAGCGATGCGAATGCAAGAGTATCATGTCCATGAAGCAAATCTACCATGAACTCGGCTGCGCGGTTGGTTTGGAGGAGGAATTCGCGAAAGGTTGGGTGAATGATGTAGACCGGGTCGTCCATGCCGCCGCTGTAGAGGACACTTGCGAGCCCATGTGTGACGCCTTCAACATCCTCCACCTCGTCGAGAAAGTTGAGCAAAATTCTCGATGTCAGCGTCTCGCGAGCGGCCAGCACAACGGCGAGCAAGTGAATGATCACTCGTAGGGACGGCTTGTCAGGTGCGCTGCGTTTGAGAATTTCGAGGTAGAGACCATCGAGGCCACTAAACGCCTCGGAAGTTGTAATCTCTTTGAGAAGAGCTTTTCGAGCTTGCGAACGGCGCAGAAGACCACATGCCGTGCTCGCAAAGATGAAAAGCCCGTCGGATCGAGAGACTAGATCTTGTACTTCTTGCGTCGTGAAGCCAACGAATCTCATCTGCGTGAACTGGAACGAGACAAAGCGTTCTAGATCCTGCGTGTTGAGATGTTCCTGCCCAGGTGCCGTCTGAACACCTGTGGAGTAAACTGACGGTGCATCTCGAAGCGCCAGTTCGATGTCCTCTTCTCGACGACTAGTGATGAGGAGTCGTACTGGGAGAGCTGCAATGAACGTGTTGAGAATCGCTTCCAAAAGATTCTCCCGCGTATCTGTACGATTATCAGGGGGTCCTTCCTGACTACATTCATCCAGTCCGTCGATGACGATGATGTATGAGCCCTGAAGTTGTCGAAGCGGCTCCTCAATCAGCGTTTTCCACCGCGTTGCAAATGGCTTCGTAAGGATGGCATAGTCTCGCAATGCAGAGTGAATTTGGCGGCGAATAGGTTTGAACGTTCGGCTGAGATCCGCTGCGACGTGCCGAATAAAGTCGCCAGCAGTTGATCCTCCAGACTGACCACGGGAGAAGAAGAAGCGAGCTGCGAGCATGCCTTCTTCCTCCCAGCGACAGACCATTTCCTTTGCGACCGTCGATTTCCCTTGCCGGCAACGTCGCCGAGGAAGAATATTCGTTGCTGAGAGTCATAGTCGCGTCCCCATTGCTCTAGCTGGCTGAGAATTGCTACTCGCGTTCCTTCCAAGCATCTATCGTGTTGATTGCCGTGGCGAAGGTTCACAGTGACGACTAGGGTCGCTTAGCGAGATTACGGTCGAGAGAAAGAGCTCACCTGCTGAGTTCACGAGCAGATTTTGGACATTTCCGAGTATCTCCTTCGTCTCTGTGGTCTCGCTGGACACGTATAGTTGCAGAGCAATCTGCATCGTGTCAGTCTGGGTCGAGGTCGAGTCTTTGAAATCACCATGAGATGAGATTTAGCCTCGTTGAGCTCTTCATATAGCGAAGTGATCGCGCCTGACTCCAACTCAGCTGTGCCAATGCGAGCTGCCAAACTTCGGAGGCTGTTCTTTGCACCACGAATATCTTCCTCTGTAATCGAACTCTGTTCGAAAACATCGCCTAGGACCTTGGCTAACACTCTATATAGGGCGTTAGATGCGCCACTGTGCAAGGAATCCTCTTACCCTTGGTAGTCGCTTATGGCCTTGACGAGCTCGGGATTACCACCTGGGGCTGTCAGATCAATTTCGAGGCGCCCTAGTTGCTGGATAAACGCGCGTTGATGTCGTTTGATTGAGCCAACGAGCTGGCGCCACGCGTCTTGATTTGCGGCTGATGCCTTGGACAGTCAGTGCACATTTTTAAGTTGGAGTCGAGTCTTACATTGATGGATTCGAGTAGAGTAATGGTCGCGCCGCACGCTGTCTTGAGCGGGCCAAGGAGGTCAGAGCCTTCGGCAACGCTTTGCGTGATTGAGAGGAAGAGAATAGCCCTATCTATCCACCGAGCCTTTTCCTCTGCTGCAGAAGGTCCGAATCCGGTCGCTTGTTGGTCTAAAATCCCTTCCTCTGAACGAGGCGCGACGCTAGGCGGAGTGCTGTCCGGCGCTGAAGGGGAGATGGATGGTGTAGACTCGCTAATGGAGCTACTTCGACTTGAGCTTCCGTGGAAAGCACGTTCGAGTTTGGATTTGAGCTTCCTCGCGACATTCATGTTCTGGACGCCTGACGAGGATAGAAACAGACGAGCTGACTATGGTCTTGTCTGTTTGTTGAATTGAAAATCTCTAGCAGTCGAGTTTCAAATCCAAAAATAGGCATCTCAGGAGACAACGTTGGATGGTAGGGGCCAAGCTGGTCCTCTGTTACCAAGTCTTCCCATGGTTTCGTCTTGCTATGGATTTGATGTTATAATCAAGCTTTGATCATGAGATAATGGTACAAGATCTATCTATCAGATACAGCTTCCTTCGTGCGTCCGCGAATGTCATTACCTATCGAGGATTGCCGCAAGCGTTGCTGGATCGAGCTTATTGAACTCGCTTTCAAATTCATCGACCTCTCCTGATGGCAAGTGTCCTAGGGTTTGTGACCGACGGTCAATTCCTAGGTCTCCCGTCTGAGCGACCACCTGCGCTTGCAAATCTGCGAGGTATGCTTCATATTCTGCCGCAGGATCATATTCGTCAAGGTTTGCGTCTTCTATTTCTCCAGTAAATTGTCGCTCGACTTGCTCAATGTCCTCCATGTGGATATCATCTGATTCCCCAAACGTAGTTTCGTATGCAACATTGGATTGATGTGCGAGCTTTCTTCGCTCTTCAACCATAATGCGACGATACAACTAAACGTCGTGAGTATCTCAAAGAGCCAAGTAAAAGGGAACTCACTTCGTCGTCCAGATCGTCCAAATCTTCTTCCATTTCCAAGTCTCCGTCGCTGCTTCCACCGTCGCTACTCGCTTCTTCACTGCGTGCACGCTCGTACATGCGTTGTCGATCCCTTTTCGCGCGCCGTTCGACCTGCTGGCGAAGCTTATCTCTCCATAATGCCTTCTGAGGTGGTTCTGCGACAGGAAAATTGAATCCGTGTTGCTTTTGGAAATCTTTCGCCGACGGCTCGCCGCTTGTGAATGAAGGCGCACGCACATGGGAGTGTATGGGGGTTGTGGAAGATCCACTAAATCGTGGTTTATATTGTGAGAACCTTCTCGTGGACGTCGTGGGCGATTCCATGGGCGGTGAGGATGAAGGTGCGTGGTATGAACTCGATGTGCGTGGAGGAGTACTCGTACTAGTAAAACTAAAGCTCATGGTGCCAATGTAATTTTATTTGGAATTTTCAAGGCAAGTCAGAGGTCACCGTCGGAGCTCGAAAGGGTCGCAACCTTGGACCCTGACATAATCGTGGCAACTGAAGTTGAAATCAGCCATTGGCAAAGAAGAATTGACAAAGTTCCAACACACCGCATGTCGTTCAGGTTTCAGACTTTTCGGACAAACTGAAGCGGGAATTGCTAGGCGGACTGGTGCCGACTCCCAAGAGTAAACCACAACGAATAGGACTCAACTGATCATCGGAAGAAACGTGGCAAGATAGTCGCGAACTCCAGGGCGTCGCAAGCTGTCACAACTGCCCGACGCCGACAATCCGCCTCGACATCCCTCTGGACAAAGGCAACTTCTCCAAGGTCATTGCCATAATGAAACACCTTCTAATGAATATTCTTCATCTCCAGAGGCTGTAAATACTCCTCGCCAGTGACTAGAACAAAGTGTTGTGGGGTATAGTTAATTACGCACGGCAGATCAGACAAAATGCGGAGAGTACACAGTGCCTGGAGACATACCTCGCCGGCATAAGCTCATCCAACGGCGTATCTAGGCGTATGCGCCCCGTTCTTCTGCACACGCTCATTGGCCAGACCGCATTCTGGCAGTCGAGGTATCCCACACCGTGCGCTTTGGAGGCTGCCCAAGTACCTGGTATCCATCTTCTTCCCTTCTTGGCCCTGCGGAGTGTACTCATCGGCGCATTCGCCACGCTCGACTCTCACCGATCCGTTCGCGTGGAAGCACTCTGGCCTCGGCTTTAAAGCTTAGCTCTTATCTCTAATTAACCTCATCCCCGACCCCGACACCACGTTTTGCCTCTTAGCCTCCTCCCCTTTCGTCCTTCGTTCACCACCCCCTTTCCTCCCCCTCCTTCCTCCCGGTCCTACACCAGCACTGCGACCAGAGATGGCTCCTGTCGACCTCATTGCTCGAGCAGCTACAGAGCCAAACGTACAACCCAGCGTTCGTGGTAGGCACCACCATTTGTGTCGCTCTGCAATATGCTTACCTGAGTGCTCGTCGCTTCCTAGGTGCTGTGATTGCCATCTGTGTCCTCAGCTCGCTTGCTGGTCTGTGTGCTCTCGTCGTTTGCACGCATTACATCTGGACGAGGGAGGCCAGCTTCCTGCGCACTCAACGATCTGCAAAAGCGCTCCTCGATAATGCTCTTCAGCGGGTACAGAAAACGTTTTCTCTAATGAGTGGGAACTAATGTTGTTCCAACAGAGCAACTCGACCTTCAATGCACGACCGAGCACCACCGCAGACGAGCACGACAAACCCCCACCGTACTCGTACCATCAACGACCTGTATCCAACATCTTTGAGCCATCAAGACCAATGGCTGCGCATATAGCATGACCTCCTTCACGTTTCCTTTTCCCTCCTGGCCCCTCGTGATTTCGTCAGCTGTCATGACGTTGGGCGTCTGACATACGTCTACAATGTCTCGACCGTGGACACCGTGCCTCTCACGTGTGTCTCCGAGGATGAGACGACACGGTTTGAGCGGCGATTCAATATCTTTATTGGTCATCTGTACGACTACCACCGCCCATTTCCCAGTTTAGAGCGCCTTTTGATCTTTGGACATTACCACGCACTCGTTGCTCTGTGCTTCACCGTCCCCTCTCGATGTTATACGATCCCCTCGCTCCTTTCTCCTTGATAACCCATGTCATCTGCGCATGTAGATGTTGTAGATCATCCGAATACCATCCTTGTCGCTTCATCTATCTCTCCCTGAGCTCTAGTTCGTTAGGTTACCTTTATCGGGCGCTGGTCATGTTGTTATTCCTTGATCCATGTTCGAATCCTGGAATGATGGCATACGACTCGACGTGCATAGATGGAAGCGAGGCGCCACTAGAGGCCCTTCACACTTGGACCCTGCTCTCTAATCTTCAACACAAATTCGAGCCCTCAAGTATCATAAACCGAATAATTCTGACTGGAAGTGTGATTTCATCTCCAAGACATCTCCGTTATCATCGCTAGAGAGCCGCGGTAGCCTAAGCGAATGAATATTGGGACTTGATATGGACGAAATATGTACATGATCCGACTACGGAGCTCAATCGGTCATCTCCGACCCGATGCAATGCGGTGCCGGTGATAATGAATGCTCGTCCGACCATTCTGTTCGCCCCTTTAGCACCAGACCGCGTATCAACGACGTGCTTACTCTTCTTCCAACTCATCAGGAATGAGAGAAAGGCATTTAGGCGTTCCATGGATCAAATTTACATGTATCAAATGGCAGTCATGTCCGCCTTTTCTTCACACGGTATGTCCGTCTGGCGGAGACAACGGCAGCTATAACCGTCGATATGCTGCTGTTAGGTCCGGTGTAATGAACGGTCGGAGCCCCGTGCACTGCTTGGCGCTTATGTCAAGTTGTTTATGGGTGTTATAAGCATTGTCGTGTTGTAGGTTTTCCCCTCCACCAAAACCCGCACTTGTATTGGCGATGAGCGGTACGTCCATACTTCGAACAATCAGTGAACAACGCGACTCACGCTGATTGATTGAAAGGTAACGAATACAACGCGCCATACTACCCAGTGCCCAACAACGGTAACTCGTATCCAGTACAGTATTCGCCTCCTAGACCGAATCCTGTTCCAGTCCAACCGCGGTCGGCAAACACCAATACTGCGAATATCCCTGTATCCAACACGGAACTTTTTGCTACGCCTAACCATCAGACACAACTTCCTATGTCCTCGGCTCCGAGTACCACGCCCTATCAATATGACGACGCAACAGTTATAGGGTATGGAGGGGCAACAGATTCACCCAAGCCATTGGCTGGCGAACCCTATCACAATACTAATCCAAAGATCTACACTGACCCTTACAACACGAGTAAGGTCGACCTTACACACGACTTTACACCAGACGTACAAAATGCAGACGGACGACATGACGATCCAAATAGGTGGTCGTTTGATAGCGGTTATGCACGTCCACCTGGATTAAAACGGTTCACGGTTGCATGGTTCAAGTGGCACTGGAACCGGCAAGTCTGTGGACGGAGGATGCCAAGGCTGTTATACATCCTGACGGGTCTGCTCCTCATGATAGGGTGGCTAACCATCACCTTGAGCTTTACAAATACGTTAAAATACAACGAAGCGAAGAATTCGGGCGCGTACGCTATCAATTCTAATGTACCACCCGCTCCTGGAAACGAGAGCAAGACCTTTGTGAGCGGGCGCTTCATGTAACCTGTGAAAATACTGACCCGAGACAGATATTCATGAGCGGTCAACTGAATCGCTTTGATTCCAGCACGCGCACACTTAGTACGTTTCTCTCTGTCATCCAAACCGTGTAGTCGGTTCTGACGGAGGATAGACATCGATTGGACGATGTTCGGCGCCACAGGTCCACTCGAGGACAAAAATCTGAGAGCTACAGAGATTTCTATTGACCGATGGGGTCGTCGACCGTATGCTCTCTTCCGAGACACAGTGGCTCGTCCCGACCGGGATACCAACATCACAAGTTACCAACCGTTCCGTGTCATCAACCCAAACATGAAGCCAACTGGGTTTCTTGGGTTGACTGAATACGACACAATTACTACCGATATTGGTCTAGGGCAAAAGAGCACTAGCGCTTGGAAGATGCCAGAGTTTGGATACCCGTTCGATGTGTTCCAAGGCACAATTACATGGGTCGCTGCGAATAACGCTACGATCACGCGAACAGGACGAGCTGGTTCAGGCGTATTTGCATTGAGAGGTTCAATCCTGACAGATAGTCTTTTGTGAGTGCATACGACGAATAAGCACCCCGGAGTATTGACGAGTGCAGGAACGTCAAGGTCCACTCAAATGTGACGGCATCTTGCTATATTCGGAGAAGTGGTGGATGCGAGCTCATCATCCAGCTTCAGGTTGAACGAACGGGACTGGTCAAGTTTTGCGTTCTCGCCGTCTTCCTCGTCAATTGTAAGCCGGTTTCGATGTAAAAACTGTCATGCTGATTAGATATAGGGATCGTGACCATTGCTATTTTCCTTGTGACAGGCGAGGCGCTCCTTCTGAACCGGACGAATATCCTCAGTGGCACGGATATCCTCGCAATCTGCTTCTCTGCCTTGGTAAGTATTACGATTTGATCTTGATAGATCAATAACGTTACATAGTTCGCTTTACCCAGCGTCCGCTCCTTGTTGCCCGGCGTACCGGGATATGGTTGCTTGCTCGACATGATCGGCATTCTACCAAATGTCATCATCGTCGCTCTTTGTACTACCTTCTTTGCCAACTCGCGATTACGGATGCGCGTGCATCAACAGCGGGAGCGTGAAGTCAAGGCCGAGTAGACTATAGGCATGGTTATATTCGCGCAGTATTTATCTCCACTCATATGTACATAGACAATAGATCGTAATCATCCACTTCAAACGCTGTATATTATCACTATTAATCGTTCAGGTGCATTCCACTAGCGAACCTGAGGCATGCCGTCGTTATCCGAGTCACATCCAGGCATTTATGTGAGTCGCCGCCGTAACTTACCGATCAACGATACACTAGCCTCAGCAAATGAGCATCGAAGCTGAATAAGAGGGAAACTCGATTCATACAACTTGACTATGGTTCAGTTGGTTGCCTCCGATGTCGGGCCAGTGGCCAAGCGCCTGTACATTCCGGGTGAAGCGGCGGTACGCTTCGCAAGTACTCCTTTCAGCCCTTTACTGTGTCACGGCAGTGATTCAAAGATCTCACACTAGCCCAGAATGTGCATGGTCGAGCAGTAAGGAATGCAATACGCGCTTCATTCGTCAAGACCGTAGATCCATATCATGACAACGGTAATCGGAGGCATTAGCTCTAATTTTTCTCACACGGGTTACCTATGCTACCAGGGAGAACGGTAGGTATAACTGTTTTGCTGGATTCTGACATATTGAAGAGCCCGAATACGGCGCACTGCCAAGCGCTTATGCTAGTTTCCCGAGTATAAATCTTGTGGTCATGAAACATGATCCCAACTGTCACAAAATCTGCAAAATTCTGAATCTACAATGAGCGGTACGCCCTGGAATGGAGCTGGCGAAGCATGCTGATCGATTTTTAGGCAATGGATACGGGGCACCATACCAATCGGTACCTGATAACGATAGCGCATACCCATTGTATCCACCTACGAGACCGTACCCTATTCCCGTCCAACCACGCCCGGCTGGCACCAATTCAACCGCGACACCTTCCGTCACCCTATATAATCAGACTCAGATTCCTATAATGACGCCTCGCTACGATGATACGGCAGTTATTGGAGAGGGTGGAGCGTCACATACGTTGGCTAGCACGCCTCTTCCCAATGCCAACGCCACCATATATACCGACCCTTATAATCCAAACAAGTCTGACCTCGCACACGACTTTACACCAGCTGCCCAGCACGCCCACGGACAGCACGACGATCTGAATCGGTGGTCATTCAATAGCGCATATGAGCGTCCACCTGGACTGAGAAGATTTTCGGGGGCATGGTTTAAATGGCACTGGAACCTGCAAGTCAGTCGACGGAGGCTACCGAGACTTATGTATATTCTCACCGGTCTGCTGCTCATGGTAGGGTGGCTGAGTATCACCATGAGCTTTATCAATACTTTGAAACACCACGAGGCCAAGAATTCGGCTGCCTCCGCGATCAATGCCAATGCGCCGCCCGCACCTGGACACGAGAATCAGACTTTTGTGAGTGGACTCGGCGAATGAGTTGTGGAGATGATAACCTAGTACAGGTGTTCATGAGTGGCCAATTGAATCGCTTTGATCCTAGCCTGCGAACGCTTAGTAAGTCCCTCCCTTGGTCCATCATTCGTTACCTCTGATCAAAGCTAGATATTGACTGGACAATGTTCGGTGCCAAAGGGCCGCTAGGCGACGGCAACCTCAGAGCTAGGGAGATTCCAATCGACCAATGGGGTCGTCAAGTTTTCGCACTCTTCCGTGACACGGTTGCCCGCCCCGACCGTGGAACTAACATCACAGACTACCAGCCATTTCGTGTCATCAATCCGAACATTAAGCCCGCTGGATTTCTTGGTGTGACCGAATACGACACAATCAATACAGATATTGGACTAGGCCAGGAGAGTACGAGCCCATGGAAAATACCGGAATTTGGATACCCATTCGACGTCTTCCAAGGAACAATTACATGGGTCGTCGCGAGCAATGCTACGATCACGCGGACAGGCAGACCTGGTTCGGGCGTGTTTGGAATGAGGGGAGCAATCCTCACGGATAGTCTTTTGTAAGAGGCGATTGAACGATGGGTCTGACGAAATACTAACAAGTGTAGGAACCTTAGAGTCCGGTCGAATGTGACAGCGACATGCTTTATCAGGAAGTACGGTGGATGCGAGCTCATCATCCAGCTTCAGGTCGAGCGCACCGGACTTGTCAAGTTTTGTGTCCTCGCTGTCTTCCTCGTCAACTGTGCGCCACCTCCACAACGTCATAGTGCATGGTCTGACGTAACATAGGGATTGTCACAATCGCCATTTTCCTCGTAACTGGAGAGGCTCTTCTCCTCAACCGGACAAACATCCTCAGCGGCACAGATATTCTAGCCATCTGTTTCTCTGCTTTGGTAAGCACTCATAACTGATATTTGTATAGTACTAATTTTATATAGTTTGCTTTACCCAGCGTTCGCTCCTTGTTGCCCGGGGTACCCGGATACGGCTGCTTGCTCGATATGTTGGGTATTCTGCCAAATGTCATCATCGTCGCACTTTGTACTACATTCTTTGCCAACTCGCGATTACGGATGCGCGTGCATCAACAGAGGGAGCGAGAAGTCAAGGCCGAGTAGACTCTTTCTTCACAAATAGGCATGATTAAGTTCGCAGGCCTATCTATCCCCACTCACATATGCACAGATTATTAGTAATAGCCACCTACTGCAAACCTTGTATATCCTTATTGAACAACATTTCAACGGTCCCAGTCACGACGTCGTATGTTGCACCTTGCCATGTCTTGGTCAAGTCAAGGTAGTCCGTGTCAGCCGGCAACATGATCAAGCTCTTATGCAAGGTTCTGGCTTCATATCCGGAATATCAGCCTGATCGTCGTTTTGTGACTTTGCTTAACAACAAGCAATTCTAGGCTGGATGACATCGAAAGTGCAAACTAACACGGAAAGTTTGCAAGTATGACTCTATTACGAGCCAAACGACTAGCTCCGATGTGCGGAGATAACTAGGGATTACGCGTTGCCTTGGATGCAAACTCCGTCAGAAACCGGAATACCAGACTATCGGAAATCCGGTTTTTTCACTGACCAGTCATCCTCTACTCAGTCTTGGTGACGATATGGCCATGAGGACCTCGTCTCTCTCCAAAAGACCGTTCGACAGATACACGAGGAGGATGCATCAAGGCATCTCATCTGTCAAATATGTAAGCAGACGACATACAGCAACTGAGGACCGTTGGTTCGGCGCCTCTTCCCACGGCCCGCCCTGCATTCATGCCGGTGCCAATTGCAGATGGCCGGCAGCAATCTGTAATAAGTGTCTCCGAGTAGTTGCTGCTGGGCTCAGAGAGACTGAAGAGAGCCCATCAAAATTGCACTGCCAGGCGCTTACACAGGGTTCATCATGTCCCTCAATTTCCTGCGAGCTATAAATCTTGCGGGCGCGGAGAATCCTTAAAGTCAACTCTTCCCCTTCAAATCCCCAGTATTAGCACTTTCGATGAGTGGTACGTCCTCTTTGCCGAAAAGTGAAGACGGTGAGCCATGCTGACTGATTGAAAGGTAACGGATACAACGCGCCATACTACTCGGTGCCCAACAACGACAACTCGTACCCATTACAGTATCCACCCCCAAGACCAGGCCCTGTTCCAGTCCAACCGCGCTCGGCAAACCCCAATGTTGCGAGCGTCCCTGGATCCAACACGACACCTTCTGCGACGCCTAACCATCAAACCCAATTTTCTGTATCCTCAGCTTCGAATACGACTCACTACCGGTATGACGAGGCGACAGTGATAGGAAGTGGAGGAGCAACAGATTCACCCAAGCCGTGGCCTGGCGCGCTCCATCCCGATGCTAGCGCTAACGTATACGAGGATCCGTATGGCACAAGCAAGACAGAAGCCGCGCATGACTTTACACCAAATGTCCAAAATGCGCATGGACGATACAATGACCCAAATCGATGGTCATTCGATAGCGCTTATGCGCGACCACCTGGCCTCAGACGGTTTACTGGTCCGTGGTTCAAATGGCATTGGAACCTGCAAGTCAGTCGACGGAGAATGCCGAGGCTGCTGTACATCATGACCGGTGTGCTGCTCATGGCTGGGTGGTTGGCCGTCACGCTGAGTTTTGCGAATAACCTCAAATCGAACGAGGCAAAGAACTCGGCCGGTTCATCCATCAATTCTAATGCACCACCGGCGCCTGGGGACAAGAATGAAACCTTCGTGAGTGAATGCTAAATGCGAGTCATCGAGGCGTTAATATCATTCAGATATTCCTGAGTGGCCAACTCAATCGTTTTGATACCAGCTTGCGCTCAATCAGTACGTTTCTCTTGTTTGCTTGCACTTCACTGTGGCCGACCCATGTCAGATATCGACTGGTCAATGTTCGGCGCCGAAGGTCCACTCGTATATGACGACCTTCGATCTACAGAGATTCCAATCGACAGCTGGGGTCGTCAAGTATTCGCCCTCTTCCGTGACACAGTTGCTCGTGCAGATCGTGGTACCAACATAACAGATTTTCAACCTTTCCGTGTCATCAATCCGAACATTAAGCCCGTCGGGTTTCTTGGTATGACGGAATTCGACACGATCAATACGGATGTCGGGCTGGGCCAGAAGAGCAGCAGTCCGTGGATGATCCCAGAGTTTGGGTACCCATTCGATGTCTTCCAGGGCACAATTACTTGGGTGGTCGCGAGCAATGCCACAATCACCTCTACAGGAAGACCGGGCTCCGGCGTATTTGGAATGAGGGGCGCAATCTTGACGGATAGTCTACTGTGAGGACGCGATTTCGAATGACTGGCACGGTATGCTAATTTGTGCAGGAACATCAAGGTCCGGTCAAACGTGACGGCGACTTGCTACATTCCGACAGACCCTGGGTGTGAGCTCATCATTCAGATATGGGTTGAGCGGACAGGACTCGTCAAGTTTTGCGTCTTTGCCGTCTTCCTCGTCAATTGTAAGCCGCCTTTCGATTTCACAACGTGTATGCTGATCAAATATAGGGATCGTTACGATTGCTATCTTCCTCGTGACTGGAGAGGCTCTCCTTCTGAACCGGACGAATATTCTCAGTGGCACAGATATCCTAGCGATATGTTTCTCTGCCCTGGTATGTATCCTGGACTGACCCTTAACAACTACTGACGGTGTACAGTTTGCTTTGCCCAGTGTCCGCTCCTTGTTGCCCGGAGTACCTGGATACGGCTGCTTGCTCGACATGGTTGGTATTCTGCCAAATGTCATCATTGTCGCTCTTTGCACTACCTTCTTCGCCAACTCGCGACTACGCATGCGCGCACATCAACAGCGAGAACGCGAGCGAGAGGGCAAGAGCGAGTAGATTTGCTAATCGGATATGGCCATGCATAACTCATCACCTACACACACACACAATATTCGTTTGAATCATCCTAGCGGCTCTGTATGTATTCACATTGCCAAATATTTGAGATTGTATTCCCGCAGCGGCGCGCCGCCGCATCGAAAGCGCGTTATGTGGCGCGAAACAGACGCGTCGAGAGAATATCTGGAAAGCACCGCGTTGACTTGTTGACCTTTGCCCAGTGGCCGAGGTCCGCAAGTCTGCCATTCAGCTACCACGGGGCCGTAAGATGGCTGGTGATTATAGCGCACAATTACTCGAAAGCAGCGCTGACGTTTGAAGCAAGAGTGCTAGCTTGTGCGCGAGGACGGGCTGCGACCTCGAGGCAAAAGCATGGCGCACAATTTAGCCTTATTCCTGGCGAAAAACACGCGTTTAAGTCGTCTGGAAAGCCGTAGTAGAACTCGCTATAAGAATCTGCGCCCGCGATTGCTTGTCGACGCCGCTGTCGTTTGTGCGTCCTTGGAGCCGACCGCGTCCGCCACTTTCGACAAACCCTACTTTTCCCTTGTGCCATAGTCTTTTCTTCTTCACAATCTACAACTCGCAACTCGACATATACCACCTACAACAACCGACGAGCAGTTAACCAGCGGTCGTCAACATGCAAGGATTCCGCACACGTGTCAAGGACACTATTCTGCGCCGCTCGAGCTTTAGCAGCACCAAAGAGGCAGACCAATCCGGTACAGAGTCGGAGAATGTCAACGTCTCGGGACAGTCGCCCAACCGCGCAAGCACCGACAAAGACAAGGACTCCATTCGTCAGGGGACCTACGATAGTGGCTCTATCAAGGCCCGTGCACGCAAGAGGCTCTCGCTGAGCTTCCGTGGACGAAGAGGCACGTCGGATGCCTCTGAACATTCGCAGCTCGCGCAACAGGTTGTTGCAGAGATCAATGGAGATGAGGTGAAGAAGATGCTACACGTTCGTGACGATGACGATCTCAAGCCTGCCGCTGCAGTTGTCGCGGCCACGAGTGCCCCTGGCGCAGAACAAGGCGACAGCACAGAGGGCACCAAGGTCGATAGCAGCCCAGTCGATTCGGATGTCAAAGATGACAAGAAGCCTCAGGAAGTAAACCCTCCTGTCGAAGCTCAAGAACCAACCCCAGAAGCAAAAGCGGAAGAGCCTGTTGCTGAGGAGCCAAAGGTCCAGGTCCCCGTTGCTACTGAGCCGGCGGAGGAGCCAATCACGACTCATGAGGTGGATGAAACCGTCCCGTCGACAAATGGATGGCCCACCCAATCTAGGTTCGTTGTTTCTTCCTTTGAAGAGCAGAACACTTACGACCATTATAGAGTGGATGGTCTCGGAGAGTCATATCATGTCATTATGCACGGCTCGCCGGCTCGCGCTCCAGTCTCGATCGCAGTCGAAGAACCAACTCCTTCGTAAGTCCTAAGTGTTTGTTCGAAACGCTAATGATGATATAGATTCCCGGAGCCTGTACCATACGACGCATCGTTTGCTTCTTCGACTAGTGGGACTGACAACTACTCTGCGCCTACCCCGCTTTCCATGTCGATGCCCGTACCTCGACCGATGAACGAGCCACTCAGTGCAATTGACGAGTTGCACGCAAAGACGCATCCGTTGGCCCAGCCAGACACGCCTAATCAAGTTAAAGACGACGAGACCCAGCCCTCAAGGAGGATCCCAACTATGACGCTGACGAGTACGTACGCGTGATGAGTCTCTTCTTTCTCCTTCCTGCTTTCCTCTTCCTCGGTATACCCTACTTCTTTCCGCAACGCCTCGTCGAGTTTGCCGCGCTATAACTTCATATAGCCAAAACCCACGTGTCCCCATCCCGATTTCCCGACTATGTCGCCATGAAATATGTTGTGGTTGTAGTCTTGTTATTCCTTGGCCTGTTGTATCGTTATCCTTTCCTCTGCTTTATGTGACACCATGCTGAGCACATCTTTCTCCTCTTTTCAGGGAGGAGTCTAAGCCACTATTGGATAGCTCGATTCTGACTGGAATGGAAGCCTCAATGACGCTACCGCAGTAAGAGAATTCTAAGTTCGCCTGGTTCCATCTCATCCACACCCTACACTAGGCGTCCAATCGACTCCACTTTGAGCTTACATACCGACGTCAAGGGCAAAGGTCGCGATACAACTCCAGTCTATGAAGCACTTGGATGGACAGAGTACATTCTCCCCGACACGACATATTATTTTGCTTTGCACGTCTCCTCACCTTCCTCACCGCAACAACTCAAGATGCCGACGCCCCTTGCTGCGTTTCCAGCAGCGACGGTCACTGTTGTCGCTGACTATGATCTCCGCAACGATGGGATTCTTAAACGTGTGTGCGAGGAGATGCGCGCTCTCATACGCATGGAGCTCCCGCTCGCCGCGCCGAACAACTATAATTCCTCTGCGATGCTCAACTCTTCGATTCCCGGAGACAGTGATACTAGCGGGTGGGAGCTGTGGTTGCACCGCCCACTAGGCTACATTCCACCCAAGGTTGATGCTATTCGACCGCCTATTGTGCATACGTGGGTCAATCATGCTCGTCGTCTACTCGCACCTCGTCCTCATGGTGCAGTTGGACTCCCTCCAAGGGAGGACGGTGATGCGGTGACTCTTGTCAATGGGTACTCGAACAAAACCACTGGCAATACGGTTGAGATGCAGCCTGTCGAGCGTGACAAATTGGCCAAAGAATTGGCCTATTGGGCGTTTGTTGAACGGCACCCTGCACATGGACACCTTGGAGAAACCCCGAAACGTGAAGCGCTGGAGAGTTTGACCTGGTCTTTCGCGGGTAAGTTCTCAGCTCGTTTTCCCTCAGCTTGATATTGAGGGCTTGCAGATCGGTTGGTTCAGGGAACGAGTCCTATTCCCCCTCCTTTCTCTCAAGAAGAGTGTCAGTCTTTGCTTAGACTGCTTGACACGCAAAGCGGTAAGTCGATATTAGATACATCTGCATCACGAATCGCTGAAGCAGAGCAGCGCTTTCCGTCGGCCAAGATCGCATGGTCGTCAACCGGGTAATCGCAACTGTTCACAGTAGACTTAGTAAGTCGCTTTCTCCTAAGCCGAGCGCTCCTGACCATTGTTTCAGTCAAACACAAGATTGCAGTCCTCGATGCAAAAGCCACTGTCGCAGCATTTTCCGATGACCTAGGAGACAGGAAGAAGAGGAACAATATTGCATTCCCTATCCGTCGAGCTGCACTAGGATTCCTCAGTGCAATTGTGTGCTGGGGTATCCCATACCTATTCCTTGAGAATCCATCGACCGAACACGACCCACTTGCACGATTCCGACCGTTTGACGGTAACCATATTCGTCCAGTCTACGGACAGAACGGGCTGCAAATGTATTATTCTTTGGATACCCACGACCGCTCTGCGGAAAGGAAAACAGGTGCCATGCTTTATGGAGCCGGAGTTGGACTCACAGTATGTGCCTCTTTTGGTTTTGTACAAGTTTTCCGTTGCTGATGAACGCAGGCGGCGGTCGTAATTGGATCCGCCACGACTGTCCTCACCATGCGTCCTGCACTCGATACACCGGCACGCACCGCTAGCTTTGTCGCGCTCATCTGCGCAGGAGCATCACTCGCAGCAAGTCTAATCTCTCTCGCGCGCATGACGCGCATCTCTCAAACCAGTTCAAACATGTACGATACAAACCCACCGTCCTCCCAACTCTTCTATCCAGGCGTTCAACGCGACGCTGAGTCGCTCGTCGTCCTAAACGTTCGTGCTACATTTTCCCCATCTTCATCCTCTTCCTCTTTCACCCGCGCGGCGGCTGCGCCGTCGACTGTTACAGGTCGTTCGTCGTCGTTGTACGTCGTTCCTCTCTTGACCAACGCTCCTAACTTGATCCACTTCTAGGTTAAGTCACTTTGGCGCGCGTTTCCGCTGGTTCTCTTAGCCTACGCCATCGTTGCACTCTTTGTGGCGGTTTTGCTGCATAATTTCGGGCATTTCAGGGCACACTCTTAGTTTACAGGTCTTTATGGACTTAACACGGACATTTGAGCGCTCGTTGATCGAGTGGACCTTGTGGATTGGACCATTTTCGCCATTGTTGTCTTATTAGTGTGTGTATGCGCTATGTGTATGAACTATGTGTGCTCGTTTTGACTAAACGGAGCCAACCAAGACATTTTATCGGTATTCATGGTATGGAATAATATCGTTTTATGGCTTTCCTACACACACAACTGAGTCGCCGGCGGTGAGTGAGAAAGGCAAGTTTGTAGCCAGCAGCTCAGAGTCGACCACGACTGGGCCATGTCGCCAGGACCTGCATCACGCAGGATATCCTATGTAATCCCACCACCAGTTCAGGATGTTCAACGTCTTGTCCTTCCAAAGTTTGGCACAGACCGTCATGGCCAGACTACGCCAATTATCTGGCCACTTTCCGGCGATGGACAAGCTCTCGGTAGCTCCAGAGCATCTTTAGGGTCTCTAAGTAACCTACAAACGTCGAATGAAGCGACGACGGTGTCATTCAATGGCGCATCACATCCACAGCATAGGCTGGGAATTTCGTCGTTTGCACTCGATACTTCAACGCGTCTGACTGGGAGGACAACTCCAGAAGGCATTCTATACTCTGGAGGGCGAGATGGACAGATTTTGGCCCATGAATTGGGCATCAGCTTGAAGCACAGGTCATCTCCTTATGGCGTACACGCCTCTGCGAACGGGAATGTTAGCAATTGGGAAGCTCTGACAGGCTGGAGCACTGGAGGTGACGATGACGAGCACGAAAAACCCGCGATTCCCACCGAGATACCGTTTGAGAATGCGTACGAGATTGACTCGACAAACGAGATAGAACTGGTTAGTGAATCTTATTGAATTCTCGTCTCTCTCCTCCATTGACTATTAAGACAGAAGTTTTCGTTTCGGCAATCCGTACAAAGCCATTCCGACTGGGTCAATGACATTCTTCTGTGCAACCATAACCGAACATGTCAGTTCACCCATCTCCTCAAAGAGTAAAATTTGACTATTCTAGTGGTTTCATGTTCAAACGATGGCACTGTCAAGGCGTGGAATCCTCACGATCCTTCAGGAGCGATGGACCCCCACGTCCTGGGGCGACATGCTGACTATGCACGCTGCCTGACGACCTCGAGTCATCAGAATTGGATTGCTTCCGGTGGCTTTGACAGAACAATTAATTTGTGGGATTTGTCCAGCAATAAGCAAGAGCCTTTTCGGATTCTCGTCCCTCCAGAAGCCTCAAATTCCAAGTCTTCTGTTTATGCGATCGCTACGGATGGATCTGGCTCCTTTATAGCAGCCGGAAGTCCCGAAAAGGTCATTCGACTTTGGGACGCTCGCTCCGCATCACGTATAGGAAAATTGGTAGGCCACACGGACAACATACGGAGCATTTTGGTTTCCCAAGATGGTAGATACGTAGGTGCTATTCTCTAAGCGTAGCTGTAGTCTCATTCTTGGCAGTTGCTATCTGCTTCTGCAGATGCGTCGATCAAACTCTGGTCGTTGGCGTCAGCCAATCGATGCATCCACACATTTGCTCACCACACCGACTCTGTATGGTCGATGTTCTCCAATCATCCTGCGCTCTCCGTTTTTTACTCTGGAGATCGTGCTGGGAACGTCTGTCGCGTTGATATGGATGGTCGCGCTTCTTTGTCCGAGGGAGAATGTGTCCTGCTCTGTAAAGAGCTTCCGTCCAATGATAGCATTGGGAACGAGGGCATCAATAGGATCCAAGTATTGGATGACCAACTCGTCTGGACAGCGACGGCAAGCTCGTCCATAAACTGTTGGAAGGTTCCAGGAATACGCTCGAACCGTATCGATGGAATGACAGCATCCCCCGGAGATATTGAAAGCGAGACCTCGCCAATGGCGCCTCAGGCTGAGTCGGTATCTCCCTTTGGCTTTTCCATGGACTCAATTCAGCCATCTCTCCTACGTGCGCGACAAAGAGAGTCCTTTAGCACTGATCGAGAGGGCTGGGTACGGTCAGAATCGCCAGCGTCAACCTCCGATGCACCCATACGACGTGTCGAGTCTCCTCCATTTGGGAGTTCCCCACGCAATATACCGAAATCAGCCACAAATCCTGTGGCGATGGAGCAGTCCTCCAGCGTTGAGCCATCAGACTCTTCTATCCACACGGCCACCGGTCAGAACCCTCAATCTTTACCAGGTCCTCTCCCTTCCATGTTCGGCATACCGTACCAAAGTCTCATTAAGCTCGCTTCTCCTTCAAACGGCTTCACAGCTCCCCTTATTGGCCGGGCTAAGGATGCAGACGTATCGACTCTCTACTCTGCAGCATCGATCAAATCGGTACCGATTCCGATGCGACAGCTCACTATCCGAACGCAACAACAGGCCGACAACTCTGTCAAGACGCACACTCCGCATGCATCTCTTGCGATGCGATCCGTCATCCGTCGCTCCATGAACTCGATGGACGGGGCTCTCTATGGTGCCGCTATATCTGCCAGCCAATTTAGCCAACGAAACCCGGCTATACCGTTGGAAGAAACCGAGGATGCAGCAAGACTCGCATATGAGAGCAGAGACGTTGCTGCAGATGCCATCTCAGTCCGAAGTCGACCGGATTTCACCATTCAAGGCACCCAAGGCATTGTGCGCTCTGTGGTTCTCAATGATCGATGGCATGCGCTCACAGTCAACACTGCTGGACACGTTGGTGTATGGGACATTGTCAGAGGAGCCTGCGTCGGTGTCTTTGAGAAAGGCGACGTCGAAGAGGCTACCAGGTCTGACCATGCTAACAAGTGTACCGACGGGCAAGAATGGAAATGGAGCCCACGTGAAGCGTTGGAGGTCGTCAGGGAGAGGATTGAAGGCGAGGCGGTCGTGCAAGCTTGGTGCACCGTCGATAGCAGTATTGGCAACCTCATGGTTCACGTTGAGAGTCCAAAGGCCTTTGACGCGGAGATATTTGCTGATGAGGCTGGTTACAGCGGTGAAATCGCCTTTGAAGAAGACCATAGACGTGAGTTCTCAACCTTGTTTTCAAACAAAACCTGACGATTGGTAGTGAATATTGGCAAATGGGTGATAGGAAACCTCTTTGCACCGTTCGTGGCGCACCAGAAGCTGATCCAATCCGAAATGGACAACTCGACTGGAGAGACATTAGGTTCACTGCAATCACCGCCTGGATTGACGCGAACATCCATCACTCGTCCTGGTGGACCAAAGCAACTTGGCTTGGAGGCGCGGCGTATCCGCTCTATATCAGAGATGGCAGCCTCCCAGCGCACACCAGGTATCATGGCCACATCGACGATGCCAAAGACACCTGCGCTGTTACCAGACCTGCCGAGTGACGCGCTGACAAAAGTCGCCGCTGCTTTATCCGACAATGAGCAAGGAACAAGGACCTCGCCCAAGGACTATGGTGCATTGAAGGCATCTCCATCTGCCGGTACGCCAGTGGGAAGTCCGACTCCCAAGGGCCGATCGCGCTCGCAGACAGTGGACGACTCCACATCCAGTCACAACCATGACTACTTCTCTGTCAGGCGCCGCGGTAGTGTGAGCGGTGACGCCTCGACTGTACTCAGTCCGCTCTCGAGCGTCGACGCGGTATCGACGGCAGTAGAGGGCGACAATGCAAGTACGCCTGGAGCCTCCCTCCCCTCGTCGACGCCTGCAACCTCTCCCGCTCCCATCACTCCTGGTGGAGGATTAGGTGCGGCTTCGACTCGTTTCATGGGCAAATTCAAATCCTTCGGTAAACCCAAGAAGCCTGGAGCAACCGAAGCTCAAGACACAACGGCAGCCCCTTCGACAGCCGAGGCTGAAACGGAAAAGGTGAATATGATTGTCATTGCCACCATTTTCTTATACATCCGCAGACAAAGGCACTAAAGCCTCCCTCCCCAACCGTCTTGCAAACGATACTATCACGACCATTGGATCTTCCTTTGTTTACGGACGTCCCTCCTATCGAGGTTAATCCTATGACAGGCATTCTCATATCCGAAGCCTCTCCAAAGGCAGCGAGTGGATGGGCCCCAGTATACCGTGGTCTCTATGCCACTCAGCCTCAGAACGAGGACCTTGGTGCACTTGAGATGGAGCTCCCCGCCTGGATACTTGAGTTCTTGCTCAACAACAAGGTGGGAGGCGTTGTTGGTGGAGGTAGCCCGGCTGCCGCGCAGAAACTGGGCTTCATGATTGTTCCATGGAAAGGATCAAAGTCAACACAGGACTTGCCTGACTTATTGGGGAAAGAAACAAAGCTGACAGCGAGTCGGTTCCTCCGAGTACGCAAGATTCTTTCCTATGTGAGTACTCGACGAGAGATGAACGCTGGGCTAATGAGTTTTCTAGGTCAAGGAAAAAGTAGAAACAATTGAGAGGTCGGAAAGGCGCCCTGACCATGAACGATTCGAGGGTGATGAGTCCAATCCGTCGGCACCGCGTTCACCGCATTCCAAACCTCCGCCATTGGGGGGTCCAGGGTCCTCGCCTCAACTACCACGACAGCGTCCGATATCTTCCTCATCATCGCGAAGTGGAGCATCGGGTCAGCATCATGCCAGTGGCTCTAGCCGACATCGACGTCCATCGAAAGCCACCATTGAAGAAGAAGGAACAGGGAGGCGAGCTCAGGATCTCTATGAGCTCTTATGTCATGAGGCGGTTCTCCCGAACAACATGACACTTGCGGCAGTGAAGCAGTTCAAGTTCAAGGGCGGCCCCGAGCTGGTGATGGAGTACCGAAGGAAGAAATAGGTGCATGTACTGATATCTATTGAATTTATGTGCTGTGTAAAGGAATGATAACTTGGACCTCTCCTCATCGTGGCTACACGATTTTCTCTTCAGTTTCCACCAAGACTCAGTCTTCGAATTCTTGCTCGTACTTCTGTATTCCACGGCACTTTACGTTCTCCCTACTTTCGATCGCGACAGCTGCAAACCATGGCCGAAACCACTGCAAAGACGGGTTACGACATTAAAATTGGGACGCACAACGGTACATTCCACTGCGATGAAGCTCTCGCAGTATGGCTCCTCAAACGTACCGGGGCCTACAAAGATGCGAGTACGTTTGAGGTTGTAGTTGTCAGGCGCCTCCAGCATCCTGACGCCTGCCTTTACAGAGGTTATCAGGACACGAGATGAAAGTGTACTCGCCACTTGTGACATCGTAGTCGATGTCGGCGCCAAATATGAGCCCGAAAACCATCGGTACGACCATCACCAACGCGGCTTCACCGAAATCTTTGGTCATGGTTTCTCGACCAAGCTCAGCAGTGCTGGTCTCGTCTACAAGTGACGGATTTTCTCCTTTATTGATTATGGGTCTGCTAATCATGTTCTTAGGCACTTTGGTCGAGAAATCATTTCAAATCTCTTGCAATGGCAGGTACAAGACTCGCGGACAGAAATTCTCTGGCTGAAGATGTACAAGGTTTGCTACATATTCCAAAACTGACGCGTTGAGTAATAATTGTCGTTCCAGGAGTTTATCGAAGCGATCGACGCAATCGACAACGGCATCTCTGCCTATCCTTCGGATATCAAACCATCTTACAGGATGCGTACAGACGTCTCTGCCCGAGTTGGGTTCCTGAACCCGCGATGGAACGTCCACGCGACACCCGACGAGGTGGACAGCCTCTTTGTCAAGGCCTCTAACTTGGTCGGAGGAGAATTCCATGAGAGACTCGACTACTATGGCACTGCGTGGCTCCCTGCGCGTGAGATTGTGATGTCCGCGCTGCAGAAGGGGTCTGGTATTGACGAGCGGGTGCTCGTTTTTGAAGATTTTGCACCTTGGAAGGTGATATTCTTTAATGATGAAACCGCCTAGGCACTCACAGGCCACTACAGGAGCATTTGTTCGACCTGGAAAAGGAGCTCGGGATTGAGGGGAGGTCAATTTATGTGCTTTATCCAGATGAGAGTGGAAAATGGAGGATACAAGCGGTACCTGTCTCTTCAGAGAGCTTCGAAAGTCGCAAAGCCCTGCCAGATGAGTGGCGAGGGCTACGTGACGATGCGCTCTCACAAGCTACTGGTGTCCCAGGATGCGTATTCGTTCACGCATCTGGGTTTATTGGAGGCGAGTCATTTTCTATTACCAGAATCCTGAAATATGCTGATGTTTGACGGTGACAGGAGCCCAAACACGGGAAGGAGTGGAAGCTCTCGCACGACTAGCCCTGAAGTAGTCTGTATACTTGAAGCACTGCATTTTCAATCCCAAGATCTCTAGCAGCTTTACCCTTGCGACTCGGAGGTGGTAACGGTGTGATTATGTAGCACATCCTTCGGTGGCGTGTCTTTGTTATTCAGTTGCATAGGTAAGTGAAACTTGGCAGAACAGTCGTATTCCCCACGCCCGCCTCTTTGTGATCTGTGTGTCATGAGGCAAAGCCATCGCTTCACGCCTATTATATCCCGGTTAAAATTGTTCTGATCCGATGTCTGTGTGGATATCCACACAAGGCGAGTTTGGTTGCTTGTGATTTAAGAGCGATGGCTTGTAGGCGTTGAAGGCAATGAATGTGGAGGCCGCCTTGTTACAGCCTGACTGTATTCGCTGTACCCTTGCGATGTCGATTGCCGACATAAGAAAATGGTAACAGACGCTTCCAATTCTCAAGAGAGGCGGAGTGGCAGGTTACTCCATCTGGACAAAGGGCCACCTGGCCAAGAGCGTTCCTCGCTGGATCACATAAAGCGACAGAAGATGGCCCTCACTGAACTTTGAGACCGGATCTCTCTCTTTTCCTTTCGCTTTTTGTTCTGGGAACACCCTTTTCTTTTCTTTACCATGCGTCTTCTTACTTTGACTCCCTTGCTCCTTTCAACGGTAGCCTCCGTTTGGGCTGCTCCTGTCCCAGTATCTATTGGAGAAGATGGCTCTCTCTCGGTCAACTTGCTCCGGAGAACTGGTGACAAGATTTATCGAGGAGGCGTCCAGCCAATCATGCCCAAAGAGGGCGAAATGAGGCAGGATAGCCACGGTAACTATATTCAGCAAGTAGAATTCTTCGCATAATTCACATTTGACTAACCTTTTGGTACAGTGGCGGCAGTGGCGTCTCCGTCACGACAAATCCTGGATTGCTGCCTCATAAGAAAGTCCGAGAGTGCGTTGTCTTATGAGATACTTTCCTTAACACGCTGACGTAAGGCTAGAATGAGCAAAGCGGATGCAGCAGAAAAGTTTAACCTCAAACACACTCCGACCAAGGATGACGATGGCCATCATTCTTTGACCCTAAAGAAAGGTCAGAAGATGGACTCGGAACAGCTCCAGAAGCATCTCAATGATGGCTGGACTCAAACACCTGGTATGTATCCAGAAGTCGAATAGTTGGAAGTATCTGACATTAAGACCATAGCTCATGAGCGGGCCCAGCAACTTGCAGCAGCTAAACAAGGTATGTAGCATAACTTATAAAATATAGCTGATACTAAAGGACACCCAGGTCAAAACTCGGGTCAAGCACACGGTGGAACACACCCACCATCGGATTCGCCTCACGGCCAAGCATCTCACACACCATCAAACTCGCAACAGCATCACTCGACTCCACCTCCTGCCTCTCCAAAGACTGGTGGTACGACACGGTCTTGGGCTGATGTCGTTGCCGGTAATCACCCAGCCACCCAGCAGCATTCTCAGCCAGCTAATAAAAACCATGGCGGCCCTCACGCAGCTTCCCAGGGGCACACTACTCCTCCATCGTCCCACCGAGGCTCCCCGCCACCGTCGCCCCATCATGCGGCACCTCACCAGGCTCCTGCAACCCATCAGGGAACGTCTCACGCGTCACCTGGCCCTGCCCCCGCGCGCTCGTGGGCTCAAGTTGTGGCGGGTTCTCCACCAGCTCACAAGACCACCCCGAACACGCAGTCGAAGACACACGGTAAGAAGCCGTGATTTACTCTCGAGAATGACGATTCTTCACGTCGACTTGTATGTTCATTCTGCATCACCGAATAAAATCACATTTCCCGCATTACTACTTCAGACTACGGCTGTGATTTCGAGCGCCTCACGTCAAGATACGTGAAACATAAGAAGTGAAATCAAAACGATGATAACTTTGGCAAGTTCGAGAAGCACATATGCAGAGTGGTGCATAACTTAGGCAAATGAGCATCTCAATCAATCGCCATGTAGCCGAGGCAGGCAACTATCATTATCATCTATTGAGCGCCGATTACAGCCCACTATACTGTCCAACCGTCTCATTTTGCTCTGTATACAAATAAAACGGCTACTCCGGTTGATGAATACTATACTCCGTGTCCTTCAGGAGGAGTCTAGGCTGTGGGATAACTATGCTACCATCTGAGCATATGTTAAGCCAATAGGTGCCGCTATTCCTGTGCTTTATTTGACGCAGATGCCCCTGCGAAATCTAGGCCATACCAAGCGCCATTCTGTTGGCTTATCATCGAGGGCCCAATGCGTGGCTGTACCAAACAATCGGCAGCGCTAAAAGGGAATGTTTGCTACCGGAATTCGGACATTAGTCCAATGAAAACACCCGATTCGAATTGACTCAAGGACAGAACGACCCACAGGTTACTCTCGGACATATCTCTAGAGAAGGTACAGGGGATCAGCGCCAAGACTATTCATCGCCGGATAATTCACGATTATTCAGAATGTACCCTCGATATATTTTATATAGACGATTCCGGGAATAAAGACAGAGACTATATGGCCGTACTCTCTCCTTACTGCCCAAATCTAGACACTCTTGCGTTGTGCCAACCAGTGAAGACACTTTCCCCTCAGCACTTCCCAAATCTCAAGACTCTGGACCTCAGGTACTCCACTCATTTCAGTGGAACCGCCTACGAGTCGTTTGTTCGAGCACGATGGCTCCCAAAAATGCATCCTTTATCAACTATGGTCCCTTCGTATTCACTGGTTCCACTAGAGCTGATATTGCATCATGAAGACCGGCCACAAATCGATGAAGCGGTTCGGAGTCTTGAGTGCTTTCAATGTGCCTTTGTGGAGAAACAAAATTGGGCGGACTCTTTTCGTGGATTAGAGGAGACAGGCATAATCATGAATTGGATGTAGGCTTTTGTATTCAGCCGCGAGAATACGCTGTAAATAGTGTTCCATAACACTTTATCGGAACTTGTCGCATACGTATAAGGGAGCGGCAAGGCAGAGACTTAGACCGCTCGATCAAGTGCTACGACACATGGTGTTTCACAGGGCACCTGAAACTCTTTACCTTGCCACAACTGGACACCGTGGAACCCCGAGTAACATTCGAATGGCTGCAATCTCCACAACCTCGCTAGGCTTTGCCCAGGGCTCGAAATTCTCTCGCTGTCCGAGTCGATTCGCGACACTTTAGAAGAGGCTTTGCCTAATTCGAAGTTTTGTATCTCAGGTACTCGGCAGAATTCAGAGTGGGAACAATAAGAGCCCTTGGTTCGCATACGATGCCTCCTGAATTTCATCCTCTATCAACAGCAGACGCATCCAAAGCGCTGGATCCTCTCAAGCTGGTAATTAGTTATTCCGAACGCGAATATATTGAATACGGGATTCAAAATGTCAGGTGTTTCCAAAATGTCATTCGGGAGGCCTGCACTTGGGTGGATATCCTTGGTGAGGAGCAGACAGGTTTAGTTTTGACGTGGACGTAACGAATCCGCTCGTTTATCTCTATGTTTAATGCAATACCAGTTACGATGGTTAGCTCGTGGACGTTTCGTCTCATCTAAATAAATTGAACAATTCACAGCCAGCTGGGCGTCTGAAGTGCACCTCTCCATTCACTCATTCGTATTCTTTCTGAATCCACAGGGACCTGACTCGACAGCACAACGACAATCCTTGCGACTCGACAACAGCAACGCAAGACTATCAAGCGTCTCAAACAGTATACATGTGCTACTCCGCTTGTACAGAGTGCTCCCTTGTAAGCGACATCTGTGCACTCTCCATCCATGGCCTGTCCTGCCAATCATCCGGCAATGGTGGCAACAGGTTCTCCTGCCGCAAAATATCCTCTTCCCACTCTGCTCCAATGAGCTGATCGTTCTTCCGTTCGCATCTACACCCTTCAAAGGACCAAGCACTCAACGTCCGCCAAGATGGGGTCTCCATCACCTGAAGAATCAAATCACGAACAGCGTGACCCAAACCAAGTCCAAACCACGAACAGTTTGAACACGATCTCATATCATTATGTCGTCGTGTAATCTTCTCGCAGATGAATCTTGTGCGCTCTTGACGCAGTTGGAGGAGATGGATGAAGAGTGGTGGGTACAGGGGATATTCTTGTTTAGAGAGCTCCGTGAGTAACTGCGTATATGGCTCGAGGATGAGAACCCGCAAGCAGGTTCGAGCGAATACCGGAGATGCTTGGAACCGCGAGGCGAGGATGAGTGCCATTTCAGGCGAGAAGCTATTGTATCTATAGCCTATACGATACTTTTCCAACGTTTCGTTTGCCTTTTTCTCCCACCATCCCAGTACCCGCTCTATCTTCCATCTGTGACCAGCCTCGAGAAAGGCAGATTGCGATGGCATGGAATCGAAGGAAGGCTCTTCTTTTTTTGGATCACAAAGGCGTAATATTGCCTCGATGACGTCTGAAGGGTATGCCGTGTTCAGGCTGACCGTCGGGTCTCCTGGGACAGATGAGTGACCAGGAGGTCTGATATCATTAAGCGAGTCCCGTAATACCGGCGACATGTGCATAAGGAGGAAGGATGGGAAGTAAAAGGTGACACCATCGCTCGCAATGATCTTCATGTCGCCGTATCCACTCGGAAAAGAGCCTGATATAGGGATAGATGCCATCTTAAACTTGATCTATCAGCATCGATTTATATACGCCCGGTTTGTGAGACTATGAGATCTGGTAGAGTCTCAAGCTGTGGCGCTGAGTCTGGCGATAGCGTTGTCGAGTTTCGAGGCCCATTCTTACTTTTTACAAATTTGCGTAAGAGTTTGTACAAAAGAGAGTACAATTTGATACAAAAGGTCAAGAAATTACATGCTGCAACGGCAATGAACGGTCAATACCCAATATCCCAAGCGAGCTCTGGCCTGAGGAACGATGCAGACGCAAACGAGAGGTCGACTTCATCCTGTTCCTCTTCATCGTCTTCGTCGCAATAGTGCATCAACCACGACGCCACCCTCCACCTCACCTCCCAATCCGTCTCCCACTCTCGATTTCTTCCAAACGACGCCAAAATCTCTTGCTCCTCTTCAACCCACAGATCGTGACCTGTGCGCATGCGGAGATCAAACGCAAAGAGCGTTTTGTGGATAAAGGCCAAGTTGATGTATCCGAGCGACCAGTCTTCCATCCACGTATTGGTGTCCGTTGAGCGCAGGTGATGTAAACTTCCTGCACGGGGAAACGTGTACGGATTGATCGCGCGTTCCGTCGATCGGTCACACTCACCCCGTGAGCGGCTAGGTAAGACGAAACCAAAACGTACGAGTCGAGAGCGTTCGATGGAGGACTTTCTTAGTGCACTTACGTCCGGAGACGGGTTGCGTGTCTTGAAAAGACGATCTGGATGGAAACGTAGACGCTGCGCGGGAGTCGTATCTTCTGTAAAGGAGAGGAGGGATGGTGTATACGGTTTTGTTGCAATGTACCTTGAGAGGATGCGTTCGCGGGAGATTTCGCTCAAGGTACGGACGGGCGCTGGTTTCCGTTTGACAGACGCGATTCGTACTGGATCAATGTGGTCGGATACACCATCTGTAGTTGATGCTGACGAGATAGAGAGATGGCTATTTGGCGTAGGTGCCTGGATGAACACTGGGGGAGAAATGTTGCGGACAGGTGAGACGTCTACGGCACGTGGAGAGGATTTAGCCTCCTTGTATGCTCGTCCTTCTGGGATCACCACGTCTTTTGCCTGAGCTGGATCTGGAATGGAAGAGTCTTTCAGATCCAACAGGCTGGAGCGGCGGTTTCGAGGAGGAGCACAGCGAGGAGTTTCGTAGATAATGCTCTCGTTCTGATCCGTAGAAGCAGCCTTGTTCCCTTTCGTGGTCGTGCCTCGAGCTGTCGACGGATGTTTGCTCAACGCCTCTTCGAGGAGCGTGATGACACTGGTAATCTGGGGAGAATCAGCAGCTTCTGCATTCGATTCTGCGACGACTGGGAGCCTTTTGATGCCCCGAGCTGCTGTCGTGTTGGCTCGGCGTTTGGGTGGCATTGTCTCGTCTGCGTGGCGTTGAGCAGTTTGATGGGTCCACGTTCGACTCTTCATATCCTTTGAGGCATTCGAGGTGACGGCATTACCCGTGCGGTTCTTGTCAGTCTCGATGAATCCCAGCAGAGTCTTTGAATGGGCGTCGAGGGACATTGCGCAGCACGTAAGTTGAAACAAGAAATATAAAGTAGAATTAGAGTAGTAAAATAAAGAAAGGAGAGCAGGCGGCGAAGAAAAAAGGCAAAGATGTGGTCGAGAGCAAGAGGCGTTATGAATATGGCGCGAGTCGGTGCATATTCTTTGGCAAGAATGGCAAATTTACTGCAATTCTTGTTTTTGAGAGCGTCGTGAGATGGCGAACTATGGCGAATCCTCGATGGGAAATGGCGTTCAAATGACAGAGACGTTTCTCAGAAATTTGAAGAAATTACTAGATATGCTAATTATGAAATGATCTGATTGTAAAGAAGAACTGGCAAGTCGCTACCATGGCGGTTCTTCTTCGCGCCCCCCGTTCCCTCAAATTGCCCCCGTGAGTTTGTTTACTCGCTCCTTGCTCCTCTTCTCCTCCATCTATTTCGCCATGAAGCCATCTTCGCAGTCCTTTCAACCTCCAAAATGCGTCATAGACACCGTCCTACGCCTGCTCGTCTCGCTCATCGTCGGCATTGTCCTCGAAAGACCGACAAGGGCTCATCTCGACAAAATCTACGATTATTTCCTCGGAGATGCATTCAGAGAAGACTATGACGAATGCCACCGTCTCACCGCATCTTTGCTCACCGATCTCGACCGCACCGGGTTTGATGTGATCCAACTCTCCCGAAGGCTTGCGAGCCACAAGTCAGAGGCACTCTGCCAACTAGTGACACAATGTGGATTCGACTGGAAACCCGAAAGGTCCGTCCGCCTCCCCCTCCTTTCAAACGTTCGTCGCCCCTCTTTTTGACGCGCTCTCGACAGGAGTCTATTCTTCATCCCAAGAACAGAAGAAACGTTGGAAATGGACGTGTTTGATCTCGAGTTTGACGACGCGTCCATTTCCTTGCCGGCCCCAACACGAACAAACTTTTTCGACGGCCGACATGCATTTTTACACCGTCAGCGACGCGCAAAGCCACGGGAACGTGTACGCAGCACAGACTACTTCCCGCGTACGCCTGCCGTCTCATTTAGCCACCTCGCCTGGAACCAAGCCTCACTCCTAATGGCAAATGACCCGTCATCGCACGTTCTCCTCCTTGGCTCACTGTACATGCGTTCCATAATAGGCATCCTCGCAGCAAAAGTTGGAGCAGTCGAACACTGCTCGACAAACGAGATTGTACGTCCTCTCTTTTCCGTGTCTCGAAGTCCCTACTGAGCATGCGCCTCAGCTACGCGTCGTCCAAATTGCCTCACAGAGACGAATGGCTGCGGCACTCGGTCGAAAGTTTGCCGCAATCATGACGGCCGGACGACCACCACGAACAGAATCAGAACTCGTGCGCCTCACGCACGCCGTCTACGGTCTCTTGATCCAATTGGGCGACGATAATGCGCATGTGTGGGCCATAGACCACTGGATCGATGCCGTCGTCTTCTCCTTTGCCGACCTGGATGCTTCGACGGCAGACCTGTCCCGCCTCTCAGATGAAGAAGACGAAGAAGCGTACGTAATCATCCTCCCCTCGTGACATCCTGTATTGAATTTGATTCCCAGTGTCAGTGACCACGGATCGTCACATGCCAGCAGTAGTGTTGGTCGACTTGCCTCACCCCTGGTCTTTCCACTATCCCTCAGAGCCTAAAATAAAGTAACCGTGTACTCAAGGACAGTGCCTCTGTAACAGTAGACCAAAAACACTTGCCGAATTAGAGCGGCTTCACGATCACGTCGTCCGATGAATCGTAAGAGCTGTTTGTAACAATACTTAGTATACACATAGTTTAGTCTTCGACATCCTTGTAGTTGTACATCGGGTCCTCTGTGCCCGCCAACCGGTTTATCCGGTACGCCTCTGCAAAATAATCTAAGCATTCCAGACAAAACAAGCAATAAAGACACATACCGAGATCTTCCTCTGTGACATCGACATCCATGCCGCCACCATATTTTCGTCGCTTATCCCGCATCCACTCTTCCTCATCCCCCGCTTTACGTTTGCGTTCCTCTTTGATAGCGCGCGCCAGGCGCTCGGGGTCGAGTTGAGGGTTTGCCTCCCCCAGCCGCTTCGAGCCAGGGACTTCTTGCTTAGCCGCCTCTTCTTGCTTCTTCTGCGCCTCAATTTTGGCTCGTTCGACTTTGAGCATCATTGTATGAGATGAAGCTTCGGCAGCGGCTATTCCAGCTTCTCCAGTACAGTACGAAGCGTGGACGGTCGAGTGACAGCAGGCATAGCCCCATTGCCGATTCGAAACATCGTACCAGGAACCCCAAATCTGAGTATGATTGTTGATGTATACTGAGAGATTCATCAGGCGTGGTTCAAACTGTAGAAGAAGCCACTTACAGTCTTCTTGATATTTGCTCCTGGCCTTTGCGCGTTCCTTGCCCTTAATGACCTGACCTGTTCGCGAGTATTCGACGTATGCCTCTGTCTGCCCCATGAGCAGTTCCTTGGGTGCCTTTTGTAGATATTGCTCGCCACCATACTTGTCGAGAATGGAGACTTGAGTCGCTTTCTTATTCTTCTCCTTCTTCTCCGTAAACTCTTGGTGATAGATTTCACCAGCTGTGGGATTCGCGTGCAAGTCGACGTCGTTGCCTCGTTGAGAGGCTTGCCAGGCAAAGACTTGGAGTTGGGCGGCTGCGAGTGCATCACCAGTGTGACGCAAAAAGTTGTCTCCAGCGAATTTGGCCTGCTCAAGGTCAGTACAGTCGTAGATGAAATGCTCGGTACATACATCCTCGGGAGGAACGCTTTTATCTGGTGCATCTCTCATCGAACGTGTCTTTGGATCATAGTATGCACTGTCTGGATCGAGGTTGATGAGATACTTCGCCGTATCTTCTCGAATACGTAGATTTCGAACGGTGATTCGCGTCTTGGTATCGAGCTTCTGACCAACCGCATCGGCGGCATCGGCATACTTGTCCTCGTCTGCATCATCCTCATCACTAGACCCAAAATCGGGATCCTTTTCTCCTCCACCAGCCTTTGCGAGCTTCTTGACTGCGGCAAGGTCGGTCGTAGTCTGATTGTCAATTTCCTCCTCCCTCTTCTTCTGCCTCGCGGCTTCCAGTGCCGCATACTCTTCGTAGACTTTCTTGTGTTCTGAAGGATCGTAGCCGTTCCATCGATCCCGCTTGGCGTCGTATCCGACTTGAATGTCTTGAATAATCTCGTCGGCGGCAATGTCTTTGCCTGTAAACTTTGCACCCTTCTTTCGCGGTCGTTCCATGCAATCGGCTCGTTTGTGTGTCATTGCACCACAGTTTTCGCAGGCACCTTTTCGATACTTTGTCGCAGCCGGTCCGGCACGTTGTCCACGAGCGTACCATTGGTTGATATCGGGCTTGACTTCGGCATCTTCTGCTCGTCGACGTTGATGTGCTAGAGACGGAGCTCCAGTGTCTAGATACCAGGGAGCTTGCGAAATATATTCTGGATATTTGTTGTCAGCAAGCATGCTAGGGTTGTAGAAGTCTGCGTACGTGGGATATGTGGATTGATGGCTCGCCCTTCGGCATCCACCTCTGCTGGTGCAGTTCCTGCTTTGCGTGCCGCGTCCAAGTCCTTTTGGCGGCGGAATTCCTCCCTCGAAAGCTTCCCAACAGCTAAATAACAAAACAATGAGGATTCAGCGTGCATGATTGTTGTAGAATACGTGCCGGAACCCGAAGCCATGTCGTGGTTGGAGGTCAAGAGGATCTCTGACCAAACTGTTTGTGACTTGGACCTCGCCGTCTCTGGCTCTCGATGGAAAACGCGAGCCATCTGAGTGTAATTCTCGACTTATCTCCTTCTCAATGGTACCAGTCCTCGCAGACATCTGGAGACAAGCATCCGCTCAGCCTCGCCCACTTTTTGCCTCAGCTGTTCGTGTTTCTCAACGCGCATCTGGCGTCACAGCATGAAAATACATTGACTGTGTTTGGGCATTTCCTGGCAAAAGGTTGATGCGCGTTTGACGCTCATTGAATCTGCTTACCCCTCATTAGCTCCATGCTGTATTCATCAAATGAGACATATATCCAAGCAGACGCAGATTCAAATACATTCCAGCCGTTCAAGACGATGAACTCGGTCATAGCCCAGAGGCTCAACGAGGAACTGGAGTCATTGCCCGAAGATGCCGAAGGTATGCGCTTTCTTGTAAGAAAAAGTAGGATTCTGGTTCATTGGAGCTGTAAATTAGCACCAATCGCCCTGGTCGGCGCCTTGACTAAGAGTCTTTGCAGTGAGTCTCATAAATTCTGGTGACAGTATTTGCTAATCGTCACAGCTATTAATCGAAGAAGTCACCCATCGGACACGTTGAATGCAACATCTCCCAACCCGTCCAAGCTTCCGACGCCAAGACTACTCGTAATATCTGTTTCGCCAGACCTCTCTGCATCCTATATCCCAATCATGAACTCGATATTCTGCGCACAAAAGCTGGTATTACGCTTTATAGTGCCAAGACTACATACTAACGAGATAGTTCAGAAACTATCAATAGACGTTTGCAAAATCTTTGGCCCCGATAATGTATTTCTCCAACAAGCCGCTCATTTGACTGGTGGATCATATATTTCGATCGACAGACGGGATTCTATTCTGCAATATCTCATGGCAAGCCTTCGTACAGGCGGCTAAACTTGCAAACTAAGTTCCGAGCAGACTACCTTTTTGTCACCTCCAGCAGTTCGTCGTTTGATGGCAGTTCCGACTGAAGACAGGATCGACCTACGAGCTGCGTGTTTCTGCCACAAGCAAATTGTGGACATTGGCTTCATTTGCTCGATCTGCCTATCGAGTACGTGCCCTATCCTGGTCCAACTCACTACTAACGAGCAAAAGTATTTTGCAAACCCACTCCCGTTTGCTCGACATGCCGGTACGGTACTCCAATTGATACAAGGACCCCTTATTCACGCTCTTGCAGAGTCAAATTCCCGATCAAAACACTCCAACGGCTAAAGGAAGCGGTCAACCCGGTATTACCTCCCAATATTCCAGCACCAAAGCTTCCAGCAGAAGCCCCGCCCGCCACCCCTCGCGTAATGCCGCCATTCTCCATGCCGCACCCAGGCTTTATGCCAGCAGGCCTGTTTACTCCCAAAAAGATGAGCAAGATCCCCAAGCCCGCTCCGCGTGTGCCACCTAGTATGAAATAACCAGGAAACGTAGTCGAGCCAAAAAGATAAAGTCTCGTCGGACTTTTTGTTACTTATTCCTAGAATATACGCATGTAGGTAATCAAAGTTGTCAAGTTGTACATTTTATCACATCTCTGGGTCTTTGAGGGTGTGTATTCATCGTGACAGGTCGTTACAGTCATCGGAACTTGTTCAAGAACCGGGTGCGGAATGAGTCGTCGTCTACGGAGAGATCCAGGATAGAAGGGAGTTGAGAGTCGAAATCTGCGTTTGCCTGCTATAGAGAGGATTTAGTTCCTGGGTCGAATATGTTTGGTAAGGATACGTACCGACTTGGTGGGCCGCGACTTGCCGCTAGACGAAGGACCCACACCTCGAGGCGTATGATCTTTGCGCTTTTGACTAGCTAAACCGCTCTGGGTGGCCATGGCCAACGGTTGAATATTTGCTGACGATCTTCGACGAGCCAAGTTGGATCCCATCGGACTCCGAGGGATATTCCCTGTTTCCATCCTCGCCGATGCGTCCCATCGAATAGTCGTGCTCACTGCCGTTGGAGGTATGACTGGTGGGCGCGAGGATGAGGGAGGCGCAGTAGAGATTGGTGCTGGCAAGGGCGGTGGGACATGAGTGATCGACGACGACGTATCTTCGTCTCGCTCAGCTTTTGGTTCACCTGTCGAGAAACTCTCGTCTGCAGATGGTTCCCGTTGGATCTTTTCTGGCTTTCGAAAGCTGACGCGAACAGATGTGCTAGCTTCTGCGGGATCATCCTGCAAAAAGGATCCCTTGCGCGCGTTGAGCATGGCGAGGAGGGTATTGCTGTAGAGTTTGGCAAGGGGAATGCAGCTATGACACTCCATTCAGTGATCTCGTCGAGTCGAATGAACGCTCTACTCACAAGATGAGATGAAGGTTGTTATTTGGATACAACAAGAAGAGAACCAAGTCGGCAGAGGCAAAGCTGGTAGTCAGCAAACTGGTCGTAACCGTCATTTGGATAACTCTGGATACTACGGTATCCTTTGGTTTGAAAGCTGCGAGCTGGATCATGAGCTGGGGGCCTTTGTGAGTAAGTTGGAGAATGTTCAAACTTGCACTCACATATGCAACGATGGTAGTCGAGATCATCAAGTCGCAAAGTGCCGTGCCTCCGAGCCATGTCGTCGTGACCGCCGCAATTGTATATTGGGCTTTACGGAACGAGCCGATGGCATAGTAGATTCCAGAAAAGATGCCACAGAAGCCTTGAGCGATGGAGACCAGGACGATGACGGATACTATGTACTTGGTATAGCGCGATTCAACTAGCTTTGAGATGCGAAATGCGTAGAAGCCCTGGACGAGAAAAGAGACTGTTCGAATGGATCAGCGCGAGCGCAGTAGACTTGTTGAAACAAAGAGGCTTACCGATCCCTGTAAACAGAGGAACACTCCCCCACGTCCATTCGGGATGGAGTATCTCATCTTCTCTGCCCCATCCTGAGCCCAACGCCATCCATGCATTATGGAGAGAGAACCCGGTCTGTAATGTATCCAAAATGACGATTGTGAGGACGAGCCTGCGATTCCAAGCCTTGTCGTCTCGGAAAGCGGTCCGGTAGCGATCTAGATATGCATTAGATGAGCCCTCGTGGCAGAGCCTATGACATACAAAATTGAATTAGCTCAATGCCATAGAGAAAAGAATTGAGAATATGGCCAAGAAGCTAGAGGATGCGGTTAGAGCCCTTGGTCAGAATGGATCCCAACGGCTTACCAAAGGGCCTGTTCTAAATCTCTGTCAGATAATGAAAACATGAAGAATCGAAAACTCACAGAAGAGTAGGATCAAATGTAGACATGGCGAATCAAGGGAGTGGTCGGGGGCGGAGTCGAGAGTTGGGTTGGGGTCAGTGGAGGGAGACGGGTGAGAGAGGAAAAGGTGGACGGAACGGAACAACGAGGCAGTGATACTTATATATCCCCCCCCCCTTGTGAATTGCGAACGTCGACGCGTTTGCCTCTCTCTGCCAACACCTTCCGTTTTGGGACGGCGAGAACAAGCAGGGCGCGCGGTTGTGTGGATTAACTTGTGAGCGAGACATGCCTCCTAGCTATTCGAATAAGCTGTTTATATAACAAAGGGTTGTTGGCCTGATCGGGATCGCCGCCGACTACTCCGGAAATCTCGAGATGAAGGGCAGTTTGTATGGAGCCATACAAATACTTGTTGGGTACCTTGTCACTAGTGTCTAATTCACCTCATGCACCTTCCTCCTCCACGCCTTGACTCCATCCCAGAAGACACGCCTATTGGTCCCATTTTTGACAAGAATAAACGTAACACCTAACCCCGCATATAATTATAACCAAGAATGTGACGATTTGAGACGGCTTACCCAACGATTCCACCTCCCGGTTTCTACTCTCATCATCAAAGAACAGCTGGGTGATATATTAGTCCTGGTTCAGAGTATGGTCGTAGTGAGTACCATCTCTGAATAGGGTATGCCCGTCTTCTTGTGAAGAGCTCGGAAATGTTGTATCTTGGATCCTGAAACTTGGTCGGTATCGTCCACAAGGTAGCTTTGACGGAGATACCTGGATAAATCTCTTTCTGAGTAAAGAATTCGGTTGCAGGCGTCGGCGAGGCATTAGAGCCACCAGTACTAGCAGGCGGGATCATCAAAAGTCGCAACGCTTCTCGGGCACTATCTCCGTCAGATTCTGCCCAAATACTCTTGGACTACGCACAGATCAGGCGCAGATGTTCGCGAACATAGTGCAAGAGTTGTCTTGCCATGAACTTCATGGAGGATGCCGGGTACGTCTGGATAAAAGAATATGGGTTCGCCGAATCTAAAAATACCAATCAGAGCTGGAAATGGAAAGCGTGATTTACCCACCGGTCGAGAATAAGATTCGGCGAGCCAGAAGCCTTGAGCGGTCCTTGAATGCCGTTTTGAGTACGACCGTAAACATTCTCAAGAGACGCAAACCTGTGACGTGTGTATCAATCCATAGGTCCCAAAGTGTGTAGCTGATAGTGTGACGTTAGTAAACGGATTATCATAAGGAGAAGGATTTCAAACTCCAAATCGAATGCAATCAAAGCTGGTAATCCCTTATCCGCATCCATTTTCACCTATATATAACTAGCAGCCTTACTTCTAATGGGCAAAAGTCAAGGAGGAACAGTCTCCACAGCTTGGTCACCACTTTGTTTCCGTGTACCATTCGTATGGCTACTCCAGACGAAGAAAATCCTCAAACCATTGGGAATATCTTCTTGCAAGAATCTGGACGATCGAACACTTCAACTGCAGGGCAAGCGGACAATGACAACTGCGTTATTTGTCTCCAGAGCATTATAGACAGGTACGGACAAAGGTTTCTTACCAAATAATCTGGCTTACTAGGTTGCTAGGACGATACTGCCTCAGTGCTCTCATGATTGCCATTGCTTTGCCTGCATTCTCGAATGGATAAGTGCGTGTGACCTCTTTTGATTACTTGGTACTAAGGGGACTCTTAGAGCACTCGAACAAGGTTTCTTCCTTGGACTTATCCCAACGCTCACTAATTCGATCACAGTGCCCACTCTGTGTCGCAGACATCGGACCATATATCATACATAATGTGAGGAGTAAACACGACTACAAAAGGCACTTCATATCGCCCACTCTTTCTCCTAGAAACTCTGACCGTGCATACTTGGTTGCGTCCAATGTCACTCGAGAGCGAAGAGCAAGTATGGCTGCCTTTCAGCGAAGCCAACACCGGAGAAGGGAAGAAGCGCGCCGAAAGCAAGAGGAAGATGCTGCCTTGGCGATGCGCCGATATGTTTACCAGAACGTCTTATATGCCAAGGTTTGTAGCTCTTTTCTTACTGCCTGAATTGAAGGTGCTGACAGTGAAATATAGCACGTTGCGTCTAACAGATATACACGATATACGCCGCATCCATCTCCAGCACAGGTATCCGCATCTGCAGAGTTGCAGAGCCGAGCTACCGCGTTCCTTCGACGGGAACTACGCGTCTGGTCTAACCTTGACGTAGAGTTTTTGACGAGCTATATCGTGATGATGATCAAAACACTCGACTTGAGATCGGAAGGTGGTATCAAGATCCTCTCAGAATTACTGGATCCGAATATTCCGTACACAGAGGAGGGGAGGCATCCAAACACAGAACATCTAGCTCATGGTAAGTCAAAGCTTTTGGTCATTCCTTCCGCTCACAGCTTTCCAGAGCTGTATAGTTTCCTTCGCTCCCCGTACAAATCTGTCGAGATGTACGACAAACATGTCCAGGTATTAGAATTCGGTACCCAACTTTTCTCGCTCATTTATATGTAGTATGAGACGGTCGTCGGGCGGCCATCAAGACCTCTGGAAACAACATCCCAAAGTCTTGAAACTAGAGGGAGTCAATCCTCACCTCGTCTGGCAGAGAATAGCATTAAACAACGTCCTTCACGATGGGACCAAAAACATCCAACGGCGAAGCGACCACCTCCAACCATCGAATTGCCAGAAACCCGTATTGATCAGCAAAGCGAAGAGCAAGCGCAGTTTGAAATGGGACGTGGCAACCTCAGAAGGGATGAAATGTCTGTACCGGCCTCTCAGCCGTCCGAAGAGCTGCGTCACGAGCCATCTGAAACTCAAGGTCCAACCACACAGATCAGTATGGCAAAGAAACAGCACTTTTTATCACGCCTTCAGGAAGAGAAGTCGCTAATTGTCTCAAACCAAATGGACGGGGAAGAGGGCTCGCCAGATACTGCAGGTGCTGCACGGTCCTCTGGTATTCAGATACGTGGTGCGGCGGCGAAAGCCAGAGAAGGTGCACTGCAAAAGCTCGAGGAACGGCTCCGGTCACAAGCTCTTTTGCGGGTTCGTCTTACAAGGGAGAAAGCCGTGATGCTCTCTCGAGCCCATTCAGACACAAAGCCGGCTCCTAACAATGCCAGACTGGATAACGGCGAACAATTTTCTTCTTCCCCAGTCGAAAAAGCGGATTTACTAAAGGAGAGACTTCTTCGCGAGCGGCTTTTACTCAGTAGGCAAACGAGAGCATAGGGATAGAGTTCGCCCAGTGCTCATACTCTATGGTCATACATTTATTCAAATAGACGGGAAACACATCCCTATCTTTATGACCAAGGCAGACCCATTTCTTCCCCAATGAGTTTGAGGCAACTGTTGGCGAGTGTTCTCGAGTCGTAATGAATATACTGAGGCGACTCGATTTCGGGCATTGTTGGGTTCATTGAGGTGAAGAACGAAGGGGGCAGCCAAGCCGTTGCTGATTTTGGCGCGGACACAATTTGCAGTAGCAGATTATAGCAGTAGAAGAGATGTGCTCTTGGAGATTTGTACGCCAAGTCTCGAGAACGGTTGATGACTTCATCCGAAACCGACTCTGCGATGTCGATCAGACTCTTTTAGTCACATAGTCTCGAGGGACTCACCAGGTAGTTCGTTTGCAAACCTAGTTGGATCCTCAGATTGGCTTGCCCACAGCGACCCGGACCAGAGGCTAAGATTAAGCATCTTGTTCAGAACGTAGAGCACTTCTTCTTCTCGAGCTCTGGAATCCTGGTCAATGACAGTTTACAGTCAAAAAGTTGTACCAGCCTTGAGAGCGGCATCTCTCCATGGAGTTGAATATCTAGACAATAACTTAATAGTACCTGACTGATGCGATCCAGTAGCTGAGGGAGGCACAATGCCGCAACTCTTCTACGGTTCCATTCATAGTCTGATATGCGAGTTCAGATACTGCGCTGATCGTAAATGAGTGCTCACCATCATCGATCGAAGAGCATAAATGAAAGATGAGGTCGAAACACCAGTAGGAAAAGCGTTCGCGAGGAAGAATGCTAATAGAAAGGGTGGTCCCAACGACTTCATACTCGCCCCCGAGATCGTTTGAAGCCCTTTGGTTCGTCGAGGAAACCTCTTCAGATGGCTCTTCTTCATCGTGTTCGTGCGGGATAGGGATAGGGATAGGCGTGATACCAGGCTCATGTATCTTGCTTGCGTGTTGAAGAACCTTTCCAAAATTGATGATTATATCGTTTGGAACGCGCTTGTGACCGAGATGAGCGGAGACATGGGTTTCAATGGCGGATATGAAGACGTGATCAAAGACCTCGTCGATGAGGTCCTCGGCGGCAGATGAACTATGCACAAATGGTCAGTCGAATTCAAGGGTTGGTATTCTGCTTACCAATCTGCCATGAGGGCACCCTCGAAAACTTCCAGCAAACTTTGCCATATTCCTGCTATCCGCTCATCGGAAAGTTCTGCATTTTGGTCAACCAGGTATCCGTTGTGCCAAATAGTCACATACCTGGGAATTCAGTGATCCGCGGTATACAGTCTTTCGCGACGGAGACGAATGTCGTTGTGGCGGTTTTCCACAGGGGAGGATCCGACCCAAACTTTGAAGGTGATGGGCAGTCATACTTCAGCTTGATGGGGATTGCATAAGCCTATCAGCGTGGTCAATCATGTTCCTTCTGGGATTTGCGCGTAGACCTTGAGTATGGCCTCTACTGTGCCGTCGCAATACAGCTCCAGGCTCCCTTTGAAACGGCTGTATAGATGCGACAAAACCGGCATTATGCGCTTGCATATGGCAATGTAGGTAGCCTTCTTGGCCTGTGACACTGCGTCTTGCTTGCTTGTCGGCGTGATTTGATCCTGAGCCTCCAAGAAGGCCAGTGTGACGAAGTAGGCGTAGTCAGATAAAACCAAAGAGGCTGAGCCAGAGACACTAAGGTCCACACTCTCATAGACAACAAGGATGTTGTTCTGTTTGGCAGTAAGAGACCACGATCCTTTGCAACAAGGAGCTCACCTGGAGTGGGGTCATGGCATCAACATCTGGACGGAAATCGGCCAGTTTGTATATCTGGATGGACCTGAGGATGGCCAAAAGCTCTCCAAGTCGTTGCAGCGTCCATTCTTGCCCCTTCACGCTTTTGGAAAGACTTCTCAACGACCTGACCACGTCCACGAAGGCGACAAAGTTGTCATGGGTGAGGTTTTCCGGGTGATATACGCCACTGGGTCGGGTCGTGAGTTGCCGACCCATCGTCTCCCAGGATGACCAGAGCGTTTCACAGCTACGGTCTGCAATGGTCTTATTGATCCCAACCGGGTCCTTGAAGGATTTAAGAGCCTTTTCGATCGATCTGAGGGCGACTGTGATGATGGGTTTGCTTTCTTCGAGCACAGACGATTGAATCTGCTGAACAAACGTGCTCCAGACTTGTTCAAAGTCGATGAGCTGCACAAGCTTGCTCATCAAAAAGTCGTTGAAGATGCCACCGATGGACTGCAGGGCAAGTATTTTGGACTCATCCCAAGCATTTCCGGCAGAGAGGGAGCCCTCACCGTCAGGCGAGATCATCGCTGCCGCAGCTCGAAGCGAATCCAGAAGTGGAAATATAATCTTCCAGATGCACTCGTGCCACATGTCGAGGCTTAATGTAAGACCATAGAGCTGCATTGTGCGGAAGAGTGTCTGAATGGAGCCTCCCCGAACTTCTGGTCTCGCATCCGTACAAAGCACGAGAAGTTCGGATAGAAGAAACATCCAAAGTTCGTTATATTGCTGTTCCGCGTCTGGATCCTTTCTCCGCATCTGAATCGAATCCGACACACCCCAGAGAAGACTTTCGGCAGCCGTCAGAGCAATGTTTGTGTCCATCTGGCGTCCGAAGAGGCCAAGGGTGGAAATACACAGCTTAAGCTGATCGCTAGAAAGCGACAAGAGATTGTCGCAAACTAGCGTTAGCGACTGGAATGCGGACCGAATCAGGGGATGTTTGGTTTGTCTAAGAAGCCAGTATTTAATGAGGGTGTCCCTCGCGTATGTGGAGTGGTGGGTACTATAGGGGTCTCCGGAATGGAGTCTTCAGGTACCATTGGTATCGACGTCGGGGCGGTAGTTGGTCTGCATACGCTTGCAAGCATTTCGAGAATGATTTCCCATCCTACGAGAAGTGTATGTGAGCCAGTCTGAAGAATCTGGTGCAAGGTTTCTAGCCCCATGCGCCGGATGTCCACAACGGTGGAGGAGCCGCCTTCAGTGGTAACTTGCGATGCAAGGACGGTTAGTGTCCGTTGCTGAACTGTTTTAATCGTCTCTTTATCTAGGTTCTGCAGGGCACGGGGAATAACGACAAGAACGCCGTCTAAGTTCTGTGCAGCCTGAATTCGTAGTGACGCAGGGGCTAAAGGGTGACGTAGAATGGTCATCAGATGTGAAGTGATGGGTTGCCACGCAATTGACTCGTCCAGATACAATAGACGGCTGATGTTGAGCTGCGAAATGGTACCGAGCTTGTTAACACTGAAGTCACCGGAACGCTGTAAATCGAATGAGGCAGGTAGACAATGGAAGTATTGAACGTACAGGGGTCCTCGTCAGCTGAATTCCACTGACTCGTCGACGGTGCGCATATGCTGCAGTTGGAGACATTGGAGGGCCATTCGCATCCTCCTGTAGGCTCTCATCTAGGTCTGCTGACACCTGCATCCCAATCATCTCTGCGGAAAGCTTGCAGAGAGCGACGGTGAAATGATTGAACGCTTCGTCGCTCATGTCCTTTGTAGATTCGAAGAGACCTTGGATCGCCATGAGGACGTGTTCCGGTTCGACGTCAGTGAGAAGCAATGGACGATCCAAGTGATAACCATTGGCTGCTGGTTCTACTGCAGTAGTGGACGTCCCCGAAGCGGCTTTCCCTATCGACGCGTTGAGGAGCGCTGACGGGAGCTTCCTAGAGCTGATTATCCGAGTACCCTTGTTCGTTAGGACATAGTCCGCGTTTTGAAGAGTTTCCAGGACATTGAACCACGAGGGTCCCAGGCTTCCACCTAGATAAGAGGCACTGAAGATGAGAACCTTCAGGCATGCCACGTTACGATCCGAGAGTCCTGGCGTTTGTATTGGTACAGAGGCGCCTGCCAATGCAGCGATACCATCCACAACACCAGCCGCGCCTCTTGGGGTAGAAGGCTCAACATGAGAATCAAGCCGACTGACTACTCGAGCGGGAATAGCAAGCTTGGATAAGCTGGTTAGGAACGCATCTCGAGGTGTTTGGAGGCCAAGCACCCCAGAAACGTTGGTGAGAGCCTGGAGTGCTGCCAAAACCTCCGAAAAGAGCTCGTCAGAGAGATTGGTGCCAATCAAGAAGGACAACGCAGCAAGAAGAGCTGGCCAACCATCCTCGATCATCCGCTTTTCGACACGCAAATGCTTGACGGTCGCATCGTCACCGTCGAGCGCATCCAAATCAAGAGCTGGCGGTAGCCGCATTGGCGCAGAGTCGGTGCCCTTGGGAGATAACAAGGCGAAGGCGGGAAGGGTACTGGCTGCGAATCCTTCAGCGATGGAGACGAGACATTGTAGCCCTAACACGTATATGTATCCTTCCGGTATCGCTGGGGCCTCTGCCTTGTCGAGTTGGTCGATACTACATTAATGTGAGATAGGGGATGAGCAATCCAAGGTCTACTAACCATTGGAGTCTCATAGAACATGTTTCCATGTTCAGCCCGGTCGCATTATTAGGGATCCCTAAGGCACCATGTACAGTGCTCGATGCTGCATTCGCGACAATGCCAGCCACATGTTCCAGTGTAGTCCCTTCGTGGACCCCGAGTCCTTGCATCTGGTGGCTAACCCCGAGCAATGCCGGTCTTTCGGTCACGAGCCTTTTGAGTGCGGTAATAAGGGCGGCAAAGACATGGGAACCTTCTGTTCCTGCGTCGTACAGCTGCCAATACCGTCTCATGAGATCGGCGTCATTGCATATCCTGTCAAAATGAGTATCATTAAAACTAAATTGGTTGCGACGTACCCTCGTATCACCTCTGTAGCAAGAACCCGCATCCAATGCGGCCTCCGAGAGCCATCGGATGCATTGGAATCTTCCCCAGATATTATTCTTATGAGCATCATGGCAAAAACTTCGGCTTCGGTCGCAAGCTCGTCAGAGAATTGCTTTAGGAGGAGGAAAACTACTCGTGTCGATCGTAGTGCCAATGGAAACAGGGGCCTCTCTGAAAGCCCCTTGAGAAGGAGTGGACTGAGATGATGATGAAGAAGTAGGAGTATTTCGGGGCGCTTTAACTTTGTTAGCTTATATTAAAATTGAAGATTTGAGTATTCACCTTGTGGAACAAGCCATGATAGTTTGTGAGCACGCTCTCAATAAGCTCTAGCGCAAAGGTTTTGGGCAAAGATTCCAGTCGCAGAAATTGTGGTGCTTCGGCATTGGCGAGTAGACACAGGTCCTCGAAGACGCGATACGCATCGAGCTCAGCACTACTTAGTTGTGTTGATGTCCCGTCAGGAAGACGAATGGCTAGATACTGGCGTCAGTCAGCTCTCTATTCCAAGGAGTTACGCACTGTGTATTTCGACCGCTGCCTTTTGCATGACCACCTTTTCAAAGATGAACATGACAAGTTGGCGTAGAGTCGCAGCCGCAGTGGAAGAAACGACCGCAATCCGCGAGTCTTGAAGATGGAAACAGAGTAGTAACGCCTGTGAGATCTTAATATACAGAGTGGGACCCTTGGACTTCACATACATCTCCTAAGACAGCTCCATGAAGGTCTGGAAATGTCGTAACAAGCGATAGTAACGCTTGGAGAATCCTGAGTTGAATGTCGACGCCTTGTGAGATGATTTCGCCCATGGTGGAGATGATATGCGGCAGAGCGCGAAAAGAGACCGCTTTCAGAGCAATAAGGCGTTGAAGCACACTTAAAGCTAGAGTAATCTTCGATCAATGTATCAGCAAACATCCGTTCATCTATCATACGTCGAGGCGCGCCTACCACTTTCGCATTCTTGCTGGCGCATCCCAGGAATACAGGCTTCATGAGATCATCTCCATGCGCTCCATCTGTTGTAGTTGCTTAGTTGTCTTTCCGCCACGTTGAGAAATCACACAGACCAATAAGTGAAGTCAGGCCTTCTGCACCTGGGTTCGCGCGTAATAACGCGACAGCTTTATCCGAAGCCTATAAAATAGTATTTATCAGCTTATAAAGGCAACGAAGAGGCTCTTACCTCCCGAACATCGGGATAACGTCGTCGTGTCTCTGTCGCTAGAGCCTGGATAACACGTCGGCAATAGTCATCGAGCAGTCTCCACGAGGCATACTTGAAGTTCTGATATCAGAAAAGACAGAGAGCTCATCGCAAGCGTGTTGTCAAATTTTGGTGTCGGTCGTGGCTGCAAGCAGCCTTGGGGACGCCCCAATCTTACGCTCATACACCGCAAACATATTTCAGAAAAACTGTATTTAGGCGAGCACTACATACATCCGGGAAACATTGTAGAAAGAGAAACTGTCTGTACATTGCATTGATCGCCTCAAGCCGGGATATCGTGATGGAGCCGGCCTTCCCATAGTTTCTGCTTGCCTTTGATCTGAATATCACCAAATTCTTGAGATTGTTTCAGTTTCACACAATCACGTGTACCGAGGACGAGGAGCTCGAAGAAGAATGAAGAGGCAGCCCGTCGAGAACCCTGCGAGACACGATTAAAACGTGGATAAAGGATGAAGTCAGACGTACCTTGTCGGTGAGCTCTGTAAAGCTGAGAGAACCATTTGTACCTTGGGTATGCCCTTTGAGCTCGTGACGGAGCAAACCGATAGCTTTAACGGTATTCCGACTGTACCCATCCTTATTCTCCACCTCCTCTTTCTCCTCAGCAGAGCGCTGTGATGCAGAGACATTAGGCCCCATATCCTGGGTCTGCGGCTGGGTATCGAACATTGCGACGGGGCAGTCCTCGTCTGCATAGGATCGGAAATTGTCATCATAGGCATCTGCAGCCGGAGTAGCGTGTCGAGAAGAGGGTTGCTGGTCGAGATGGAGTGAATCGTCGACTTGGAACTGAAAGTCGTCAAGAGGTAGAGATTCATCCGCCGGGATGATTCCCGACTCGTCTCCAAAGTCGATGTGGCCCTGATCAAACGAAGGAGGCTCCGTGCCAGCACGACCCCGCAGGACTTCTGGGTCTTCCACAGGCTCACTCTCCAAGCGTGGGCGCTTCGATGAACGGTCGTTCCGACCACCTCCTTTGCGCTTATGACCGGCCGCTTGACCCGCTGGAAAGAGGAACAGATCCGAAATCTCAGGTGCGAGACCAGGGGGTGCCATACAATAAAATGATCCGGCATCCGTGACCTTAATGGGGAAGAAGTGTGCCAAAGGGTCAGCCCTGATCTCCATGAGACCCATCACAACCTCTGAGTCCGGCAAGTAGCCATAATTTGTCGTGATTGCACTGACATCGGCCTTGGAGAAGGTGAGACCATTTCGTCGACCGGCGCGGTCGTTGAGCTCCGTGATTGGATCAATGACCTGTTTTTTCTCCTTGATTTTGCGTTTCTTTGGAGACTTCTTTTTGGGTGTCTCTTCTTGCACCTCATCATCCTTTGGCGTCGTCGGCTCAGGAGGTTCGGAGATAGGCGACGCTACAAGTTGGTCAGCATTCTTATGTTTGGAGTTTAGACGATACGTACACCGTCGAGACTCTTCGAGTGTGAGGTCGCCCAGCGCTGGTTGGTCGTCCAGATTTCCAGCGTCGCCGAAATCAAGCCCAAGGTCACCTACGTCTCCAAAGTTGTCGGCAGGATCTCCAAAGTCGCCATTATCGCGTGAAAGCTCGTCTGGCCGAATATGATCTTCGCGGAGCTGCAAAGCGGATGCAAGAGACTCGCGAGCGGATCGAGCGGGAGCAGCATCTCGAAGTACTTCCACCGCCATACTGTCATCGGCATCTCCTTGGAACATGTCGTCGAATCCGAGATCCAGGTCTCCGAAACCACCTTCTTCCATGCCCCAATCTCCCGGACCGTCAATCATCATAGTGAAGTCCTCTTGCATTGGTAGATTGATGTCTGCTTCGCGAGCCAGATGCTTCCCGCTAGTCTTTTGCGTGACTTCAAAGTCCCTGAGCCTCGTGAGCGAGCGAGTTGCATGATTCGAGACACTTACCAGGTGTCGCCAAAGAGGTCCAGGTTGAAGCCGTCCCCTTGCAGAGTAATCGCGTTGGTTGGCACTGCAAGTTGTTCTTCCGTCATGTCTACAACTCCTGGACGAAACGCCTAAAGAAATATGAGCACTCGCGTGGTTCCATTCAGAAAGTAGTGAACCATTTTAATCTTGACCAAGGCTTCATTGCAGTCATCCAGGAGATATTTGGCCTTTCGACTATAAATCCTGCAGACACCAAGAAGAAGTTGTCCACTAATGCGTAAGGCCAAAGGGCGCGACTCAATCGCTTCTGCAACATGGATGAGCTCAGTTGCCACCAAGGCTACACGCGCCGGTACACGTACTTGCCGACTGTCCAATATCTGTCTGCAATGTCTGAGTTTTGGACAGCTTGCGTTCGTAGTGCGCAGCCAGCCAGACACGGGCAAGCGGGCCTTTCTTTGAGAGGATGGCGTCGGCGAAAAACTAGAGCCAGATCGACGCGTTAGCAAGGCGAGAATGGCGAATCCGATAATTCTACGCTACCATGGCCATGGCGGACAAGAGTCGAGGGTATCGCACGGGGTCGAGGAAGAGTTTAGGAGACGCGAAGGGCGATAGAACACTTTGGTCCCCAACTTCAACAGCCGGCTGCCAATGCTGGCTCCAAAAACATGCACGAGGATTACAGAAATATCCAGTAGATGTAGCAAAATATCGTTGGGAACTACAGAAGCTCGTAAGCTCTCATGTCCACGAACAAGTCAAGTCCTCTGACGTCTGCCAGCTTGCGCACTTGCAAAACGCTCATCTAAACGCTCCATCAACCACTATTCATCCACGAGTGCGTTTGTCAAGCCGACCGTCAAGAAGCCCGCACAGGTTACTCGTGCCCTGGATCGAAAATCACCATTAACAAAGGCATTAATGAGCTTAGAGAGAGCCGTAGAAGCAAAAGATGCATCACTGGCTCTACGCATCTCTACTACCCTCAAGATTCACGGCATAAGGCCTACAACTCAGTTCTATCGTCTGCTTATGCAAGTCCTGACCGAAAAGGGGATGAATAGAGAAGCCTCGGCCATCTTTGACGATGCAAAGGCTATAGGAATCGAACCGGACCGCGAAATGTGGAACTACTTGTTGGAGGTGTGCGCACTCTAATTCATCGACGAGCATCTAAGCGTTTTCCATAGGCACGTGCACACGATACGATTGAATTGTCCAATGCCGTGGCGTCAATGGTGATGGCAAGGCACGAGCTCAATGCCACCAGCTATCGAGTACTGATTCAGCACTACGCCAACACGCGTAACCTCCTCATGTGTCTCCGCATTCTCCAAGAAATGAAGGAGAAGGACATTACTCCTGACATCATAGCTGTCGATGCCACCGTCGTACTCGCCTGTTCAAGCAACCTTACGCGGCTCGGGCACGGGTTGGCCATCGACTATGAGCAAAAGGCCACTAGACAGTTGCCCATTTCAACATGGACGCGAATATTAGCGTCTAGTGCCCATACATTCTATGTACGTGTGAAGATATCGTGGGAGCATTCCCAGCCGTTTACTGTCTGACAGACCGCGGGTATACTCGAAGGGTGGCAACGAGTCGCAGGGGATAATAAAGTTACACCAGATGAAGGGATTTGTACCATGGTGATCAACGCCGCGGGTCTCGCTGGACACAGCGAGCTCTCGGAGAAGGCAGTCAAGGCATTACAAACCCTCAATGTCACCCTCCGGGAGCATCACATTGCACCATGGATGCTGGCTCTAGCGACCGAGGGAGACGTTTCAAAGGCACTCGACCTCTTCGACTTTATGGAAAAGCACGGCGTCCAACCTACTCGCTTCACAACGCGGCCCCTGAACAAGCTCCTAACAATTCCCGAGAACTTGGAATCCTCACTTCACCACCTAAGGACCAGAGTGAAAAATGGGGGCAACAATCTCGCTGCGGCATTCAATTGTGTCTTAGGAGCGACGTTGCGGGATCGTTCAAATCGTACCATTGCCTTGGGCAAGGAGATGGATGAGCTTAAGGTTGTACCGACAATCGATACATTTAATATCCTCATTCATTCGGCTTGCCTCAGGCATAATGTGCCAGCGACCCACGCCTATTTCGAGGAGATTCTCTTACGTGGCCTAGTGCCTAACCAGGAAACGTATGAGCGCATCATCGTCTTGCTCACCAGTGAGGTCGTGTACGATGATGCATTCCTTTACCTCTACAAGATGACTTCTGCGCACTTGGTTCCCTCCTTCGAAGTCTTGATGGGATTGGCAAAGAAATGCTCTCTCAAACACGACGCACGATGGAAGGATCTTGTCAAGCAGATGGAGAGGTACAACTATGTGGTCAGCGACGAGCTCATGAATTATCTTGCGGCTAATGGAAATGTCCGTCTTACGGAAAATACGACAAGCGGAGACGAGGACCCGCCGAGCGGCTCGACATATTCTCCACTTCCCATAGATATGAACGACGTCGACGAGGAGCTGGACAAGCATTCAACTCGTATAGACTTTGCATGACTCGGTTTATTAGCTTCTTGTACTCTCCCAGATAATTCTATGATACTCCCAAATCAACGCACCTTGCTTTCACCCTCCTTCGACCGCCTTGTCAGCCTACCTCAGGACGATGCCACTGGAACCCAGGAAAATCCTTATCGTATTTGATTTTGACTGGCATGCAATACCGTTCGTTTTCTATGCCCCCTTTTTGATGGCTAGGACAGGTCTTTTGTCGATCAGGATACAGATCGCTATGTATTCGAGGTAAACTCGATTCATCTGAGAAGAAAGATGGAAAGCTTGGAGGATTCGGTTCAATGGACAGATATCGTCGCGATGATGTGCAGAGAAGGGCATGCGGAGGGGATTACCCGCGAACAGATTGAACACGCTCTTAAAATCCTCCCGGTGGTTAGTACATCTAGACTCTTAGTCTTCTGGGTGATCTAATTAGCTATCAGCATCCGGCGATGATCAGAGCGGTCAAACGTTTGAAAGCGTCAGAGGATCCCAAGGCAACGTTTTTCTGCCTCTCAAATGCAAACCAAGTCTTTATAGACACTATTCTCAAGGTGACGTACCGATTTTTATGGACCTGCGTATCTTATTTTGCTCCAGGACAAGAAGCTTGACACCCTCTTCGATCGTATTACGACCAATCCTGCTGAATGGACTGACGATGGTCTCCTCGTCGTTCGTAGAAAGGTTGATCCGAATGGACCCCAGCACTCCTGCAAAGTGGGATGCAGCCCGAATATGTGCAAGGGTGAGGAACTTACAGCATTTCTGGCTGAGCATGAGGAGTATGACAAAGTCGTTTACATTGGAGATGGATCAAACGACTTCTGCCCTGTCGTCCGTCTGAGAAAGTGAGTGGCTTCTTTCGAGATGTCACATGCCCATCTCATTGTTTCAAGGCAAGATATGGTACTGGCTAGAAGGGACCGAGGTCTTCAACGTCGCATTGATAGGGATGGGGAAAAGGCCGGTCTCCAGTGCGAGGTTGTCTGGTGGGAGGGTGCCTGGGAAGTGGAGGAACAATTTGCAAAGCTGTAGAGTTTCATCCGTATAAAGCCACTATACCTTGCGCTGTGACGGAGTTGTTTATCGCCCGGTGCCACCTTTGTTGCTCACCTCTCCCTCTACCATGAGTTTGTTCAAAGATCTGACCTCTCTGCACGCTCGCTTCAGTCAGGGTATCGAAAAGGTTGCTGGAGGTACCCTCAAGGAGATCAAAGGTCTGTAGATCTGTATCAGTTGCGTTATTGCTCGGCAACTGAGGCTGTCCGCAGGGCTTTTCGACTCGGATCGTAAGCACGCGATCATACATACCCATCACAGTTTACAGATCTCAACCGATCATAGACCGTCATGACGATCCCGAGGAAAAGGCTCGCGACGAGGCCAGGGCCAGGATTCTCGAGGGCCACCGCTTCAAGAGCTTTGCACAAGAGCGGGATGGGAATATCTGCAAGTGGCATGTCGATGGGCATGACTTCATGTGGGCACTTGCCGAGATCATGTACGTTCGGTGGCTCTACTCGTGGCACGCCTTGAACAAGCCACAGAGACTCTGCTAAAGAGCACATTTGCATCTTGGATTGGTGGTATGTCCCATTTACTTCTCAGAAGCGGTTATCTCACGTCCGACGGAACAGGCTCTCTCCAGAGCTCTATCTCAAGCGGCCACCTGCGCACTTTCCTGAATGGCGTCTTGATCGTCTTCTACAGAAGAAGGCTCAACAGGGAGTCAAGGTTCATGTCATCGTTTACAAAGAAGTTACACAGACGATGTCCATGAGCTCTAACCATACAAAGGTCTGTGCCACTTTCAGTCCCAGGTTCCGTCCTCAATACCCGTAGAAAGCGTTGGAGGCCCTTCACCCAAACATTGCTGTCATGGTACGAGCGACTCTGTCTCTCGGGGCTTCGTCTCATTGTCTTAGCGTCATCCAGACCATATTGGCTCCAAAGATAGCATCCAATTCTGGAGCCACCACGAGGTGAGACTGAGATCCTCCTACAACGGCCATAGTTAATACCTGTTTAGAAAGTAACAGTACCTCCTTGAGGTCCATGGCTGTCGCTCATTCGTCCTAGGTCGTTATCGTCGATTATCATTACGCTTCCGTAAGGTGGATCACTATGTGAGATTCTGCTGATTCGCAATAGATTGGCGGCCTTGATTTGTGCTTCGGTCGTTGGGACACGCACTCCCAGTATGTGTGGCAGTTTCGTTCGTTGTGAGGAATTTGACCTATTTTAGCCCTTTGGCGGACGCTCATGTCACTGAGCATGACCGTACTTTATTCCCTGGGCAGGTATGTGCTGCCTTGATTATCTGGTTTATGGACCAATAACCAACAGGATTACAATAATGCTCGAGTGTTGGATTTCCAAAAGGTTGATCATTACGTATCTAACCAGATCTCCACACTTGAGACTGGTGAGTGTTTTGCCAGTTATTGGTGCACGATTAACCCCTTATTCAGGTCGCATGGTATGGAGACCATCATTACGGAAACTAGCCACCTTTAACCACCTTTAAAGCCATGGCACGATGTGCATATGACTATCGTCGGTCCTAGCGTGTTGGATATTGCTCAGCATTTCATTGAGCGATGGGTACGTCTTTACAAATGATGACAGCAACCAAGATGATTCATCTAAACCACGTAAAGAACGAAGTTAAGAAGCGCAAGTATCAAGAGATGGAGCGCTATCCTTGGCTCGCATTCCCTCATGATATTTCGGCTTCTCCAAACGAGCCGATTGCCAGTATGTCCCCTTACTTTCTGTGAATCATTCTCATGCTAATTTCAGGCCATCCCGACTTTCACGCGGTTGCCCGGCGTGGCGTGCACTACAAGGAGAGGTTCCTTCGTCGTATGAACGATCATGATGCTGAAGAGGATCCCGATGATCATTCTCACGACTTTAACAAAGCGACTTGTCGTGTTCAAGTCGTTCGTAGTATCTCGGATTGGTCGCATGGATACTTGACAGAGCATTCTATTCAAAATGCTTGTAAGTGAGCCACTTACAGGATGTCAGGGGATCCCCTAATCTCCATGATAGATATCCAACTTATTAACGAAGCGAAACATTTCATCTATATGTAAGTCGATGCACTGGATTTGGAGACGCGATTGACCTTACTTTAGTGAGAACCAATTCTTGTGAGCAATATAAACGGGAAATTTCACCCTCTCATAGTTATCAGCATCTCCAACACCGTTGAGAACGCGGCCGTTGTGAACCAGATTGCTGGCGCTTTGGTCAATCGTATCCTCACTGCCGCTAAGGCCGGTGAGAAGTTCAAGGTAGGATTATGCTTCTGACGTGCTCATTTCTGATGAGAAATTTCCAGGTCATTATTGTCATTCCCGAAGTGCCCGCTTTTGCTGGTGACATTAAGGACGCGAGCGCCGTTCAGATCATATTGGGTGCTCAGTACCGAACTATTAATCGTGGTGGAGATTCAATCATGGTATGTATTCTTCGGGCCTAGGACTGGTGAATAATGGTGAATTTCAGGAGAAAATCCGCGCCGCTGGTTATAATCCGTGGGTAGGCAATGCGAGGCTTGATGATATACTCAAATGATCTAGTGAGGACTATGTTCGCTGGTATCACCTCCGTGCCTATGATCGCATCAACGGCCCGTATTCCACGTTCATCAAGCAGATGGAGGAGAAAACTGGTGTTACCTTCCACCAAGCCCAAGTAGCTCTCGCAAGGAAATGGATTGGAAAGATTGACGAGGCGGAAATATGGGTTCAGGACACCGGTATGTGGCTCTCTGTCGTAATTGATGTTTTTCAACGATTCTCCCAGTTGCTATCAAAGCTCCAGTTCCCACAAAGGACGGTATTGTCGAAGAGGGAGACGCAAGCAAGACTGAGGACATAAAGTATCCCGAGACGGAAGAAGAAGCCGATCGCATCCTCAAAACATTTGAAGCCGGTGCTGGGCGCAAGGACGACGAAGTCAGTGACTCTGTCGGTCACCATGCCATGCAGGACATCACGACCCTCCACGATGAGAGATGGCTTGGTGATGAAGCCGAGGAGAGGGACTGCTACATCACTGAACTCCTTTACATTCATTCGAAGGTGATAAATTACTCGCAAATTTTCCATCCACACTCATAGTGATCAGGTCATGATCGTCGACGACAGGCGTGTTATTATGGGGAGCGCCAATTTGAACGACCGAAGTCAGAAGGGTGATGGTGACTCTGAAATTGCTCTGGTCGTCGAAGATTCCGATATGATCAACAGCAGGATGAACGGTCAACCTGTAAGGATATTCTTTACATAATCGGATCAAGGCTGACAGATCTAAAGTACAAAGCAGCTCGTTTCGCAGCCACACTCCGTCGCGCGCTTTTCAAAGAGCATCTTGGTCTCATCAAGCCTCAGCACTGCGAACCCGAGACGGTTGGACAGGTTACGTCTTACATGACCCCCGTCCCTCATCCTCACAAGGACACTACAATGTCTCGTGAAGATCAAATGGTTGCAGACCCGCTGTCGGACGAGTTCGAACAGCTGTGGAATAACACTGCCCACAAGAATACGCAAGTGTTCTCGGAAATCTTCAAAACGGTGCCTTCGAACAACGTTAGAAACTGGAATCAATAGTCAGTCTGGTCAAAGTCCACGCAGCTTGTTCTAATGGTGATTTGTGTAGCGAGGCCTATGTGCCCAAGGTCAAGGCTGGTCACATTGCCGCGACAGAGATGCCGCTGCAGACGATCAAGGACAAGCTCAACTCGGTGCAAGGGCATCTTGTCGAGGGAGCGGTCGACTTTTTGATCGAAGAGCCAGGATTGACCACTGGCGTCAGATGGGCAAAATACGACCCCACCTTGCCAATCTACATCTGAGGCGGCGTCGATTCTAAAGGATTGAATGGTTTGGGAAAGAATGTATGGAATAATCGAATACGAAAGTTGTTTTCACGTGCTGTAAATCTTGAACTCCGCCATCTTAGCCATGTCCTCGAGCCGCCATGTCCTACGTATCAAACGAATCACCTCCTTGGGTATACGGCGGGGGATATCGAGTTCGCCCATGGGATTACGCAGCAGCACAACACCGTCAAATCCATTTATTGCGCGACCAGGGCCACACCCATTACCTTTAGAGGATCAAAAAGAGTTTGAAGAACTTGTTAGAAAAGCTCAAGCGCCGCTTTCAACCTCTCCAAAGACTCACGTCACGTCGAGCAATGGCGACGAGTTGCTCGAGGCGGCTGTGGAGCGACATCCTGATGCGAGGAAACCGATACCCGCAGAATTCGAGGGCGATGTGAATCCTGTCACTGGTGAAAGGGGAGGTCCAAAGCGGGAGCCGGTCAAACATAATGATTGGAGCTATGGTGGAAAAGTGACGGATTTCTAAAGTGTACGTGGATATTCTTTGATTTGAAGCAGTATACTGAATAATATGAAGAAAGCTGTCATAACCAATCTCGAGTTACTATACATGTAGCAACATCTGCAAACTATTCTACGTCATTTCGCGTTTTCTCGGGTTGCTTGAGAGAATTGCTCCGATTTATCGCTCAGACACGTTGTTGAGAACGCGGAGGATAGAAAGGAAGAGGTTGATAAAGTCGAGGTAGAGGCTAATGGCGCCCATGATGTATTCGTCGGGACTGAGTTTCTTGTTGATGACATATGTATCGTAAACAATGTAGCCGGAGAAAATGACGCAGCCTCCTGCGGCATAGACGAGGTCCACTGTGCGGGAGAAAGGGATGAAGATGCCGACGAGGCCAGTGGCGACGAGTGCCATCAATCCACCAAAGAGGAAAGGTGCCATTCCAGAGAAATCGTACTGTTGTTTGTCAATACCAGCCAGTGGAACGTGAGTAGACGACTCACTTTCGATTGGAATGTAAACAGCGTCAAACCGAGGAAGACGCCAACGGTAATGAGGAGCGCTTGCATCACAATGATGTTATCGTAGAACGCCACTGCGACACCCAGCGTGACTGCCTCCATCAAGGTGAAGACTCCCAAGAGGACAAAGTTCATGGGAGAGGAGTGGCGCTTCCAGTAGAGCAAACCAAGGAAGATGAGAGATCCAAAAAGAGGGATATAGAATGCCCAGACACTACAGCTAGTGAGCTCAACGTCGTTGGATGGTGCCGTGGGACTTACTGGTTCTGGATCCAGCTAATGGCCGAGACGCTCTGAGAGAGCGCTCCTCCAACGATGGTAGTTGCTACAATTTGAGCGAAGAGGATGCTATACACCTTGCGAACAAACGCCTGACGGACTTCAATGGCGCTGGATGCTACATTTACACCATACTGGGACACTAAGTCAGCACGCTTCGCCATATTGTAGTGACAAGTTGGCAATATTGACGCACCTTAAAGTCGTCTGGAAGATCCTCAGCTTGGTTGTAGATGGCATTCGCGTTGCTTGGGCCAGCGCCTTGGTCATGGAACAGCAACGGCTCATGCTGCTCTGCTTCTTCGTCGCGATATGGTTTTCCGGGAACAGTACCATAGGATGGCGGGTTGTTTGCTGGGTATGCAGACGACATTCTCCGTTGATGGTGTGGTGGTCAGGGATCAAGCTTGTGGTCTACCATAGTTTTGTATATTTTTGGACGGCGAGAATGTCGAGCTCCAAGTCGCAGCTAGACACATAAAAGCTAGAAAGATTCACGCGTACGATTCAGATCAATGGCGTGACGTCCAGCGTAGGCATTTCCCAAGGACAAAAGCCGCGACAGGACATTGACGAGCTCAGCGCGACGTAGAAGTGGACGATACCTGTTTTTTGAAGAAATATTCGGACCGTGTAGCCCGTCTCTGGCCTGTACAAGTCAACACTCCCCGGCAATCTTGCAGAGGAAGCATAGATCGATCCCTGCGTCGAATAGACATCCCAATGTTCCTTATGAGGCCACATCAGGGCCGTTATGCGTCCCCTCGTCGGTCAAACATGTCACCATTGATTGCCCACGCCTTCTTTCCCGCCTGATTGTCGCTCATTCCTGGAACGGGGCTCTGGAGCATTCCTGAAGGAGTAGATGATAAGAGGAACCTCCGATATACTAGATATGACGCGATTCCGGAAATCACGGTTCATCGCAGCCAATGTCGGCGGGATGCATCCATCAAAATGTGAGTAGAGGACACGACCGTATTCAAAGCACCTTTTGACACCATTCATAAGAATTTTCATCATACTAGGCGCACAAGGCGCCATTCTTGGGTCTTCGGATCGCTGCACAAAGGCACTTGCAAGGTACGACGCAGCCTCAATATCCTGCTCGTGTGACCCGTAAATTCTATACAACAGGCCTGGATCCATCCCTGTACTTGGACACGAGAGAAGAGGGTCTGATCCTCTCCGACGGCCCATCCCATCACGGGGTGACAGAATGGGAGCATTGCCAAATATTGTGCCTGGAGGGATGATGCCGATTTGGATGTTCATGTCCATGATAATGGCCGAACCTGGTCAGCTCGCAGAACAACTCATCTACCCCATTCCTCTGGCACTTTTTGACATTTCGCTACTTAGGAGTCCCCTGGCTGATCTCAGGTCCGATATGCTTGCCCACTTTTCTCCGCCAAGAGATTGCGCCTCGGATCCGGCGTGAACCGCCCTTCCCCTTGGCACCGCGATATTTTTGCTCTCCTTTCCAGAGCAGATAGAGACTTTGAGGACTATTTGACGTATGTAATGGCGCCTACAGCCAGAAATGAAACCGATGGATGACGTTTGATCCATCATTCTACCGCGGACGGACCGTCCGGATAGTGAATGAATGATTTGGCGTACCCCTACTGACCAGAGGTCAACAAACGTTCCAACAGGAACCATATACTCGAGTATAAAAAAGACATCGACTCTCACCTCTCGACGTGATCAAAGCCACTCCTTTTCACTGATGAGGCTATTGCAAGCGTTCCTTGTAGTTGGGCTCACCCTTCGGGGATCACTAACTGTTCAAGCTGCAACCACGTTCGCTCTCCCAAATACCTCGGCGACGTTTCAAACTGCCCAGCCAACACTCACGCTCGCTACATGGGATGCGACAGATACCTTTGCAACCGCCACCGATTCTCAGACGACGACAGCTACTGCGTCTAACTTCTCGGAGCAGGATCCAATCCTCGACTCCCGCCGAACAGTGAATATGCTGGCTGGTGCGCCACACCTTCTCCTTGTTGTTTTACTTAGTTTCGGTCGTGCAGACATCAAGGGCATTTACAGCCTCCCTCAACAGGGTGAAGTTGTACAAAATAAGACTTTGAATGTTACCGACATCCAAGGCGACATACTGTGAGTATCTCATCAGCAGACGATACCGTACTAAACAGTGGTCTAGTATAGGCATGAAGAAAAAGCTAGAACTATTCTACTTTTTCAGTATCAACGAACCGAAGGCGTTTAAGAAGAAACTTCATACCTACGTCGTGCCTCGCATCACCAGTACCTTTCAACTGCTCAGCACTTCCACTCAGCCTATCGTGTGTCTCAACCTTGCATTCACGCGTACTGGACTCGTCAGCCTCGGCATCACCGCCAACCTTGGTGACACCCCATTCAACAGAGGCCAGTTTGCTGACGCTTCAAATCTGGGAGATGTACTCAGCAATTGGATATCAGCTTTTGCTGGCACGAAAGTTCACGGCGTATTTCTGATTGCATCTGACTCGTCATCCAATCTTGTTGCGATGGTCAAATGGCTCGAGACCCTATTTGGGACCGACATGACAAAGCTATATACCCTCCAAGGCAACATTAGACCACCTCCTAATGATGGTCACGAAAGTGTGTAACCGTTGGTCTTCCCGCTTGTCCCTCATTCCTCTGCAGTGTTCGGGTTCCTTGATGGAATCGGTCAGCCCGCAGTTGCTGGTTTCAACCTCGTTCCGGCCCCAGGACAGCAAGTTGTGTCACCTGGTGTCATTCTGACTGGCGAACCTGGCGATTCTCGGCTTGGTTCGCGACCGAAATGGGCTAAAGACGGTTCTTTCCTCGTTTTCCGTCAACTCAAACAGCTTGTACCCGAATTCAACAAGTTTTTGCTTGATAATGCCCCTCCTGCACCCACGGCTTCGCCTTCAATGACCCTTGCTGAACGTGCCGAACTTCTTGGTGCACGAATCGTCGGTCGCTGGAAGAGTGTGAGTTTGCCACAGGGGCGAGTGATTCGATGCTTACCTGCTCTCTTCAGGGTGCTCCTGTCGACTTGACCCCTCTTGTTGACAACCCTACGATGGGAGCGAATCCACTCATAAATAACAAGTTTGACTTCTCTCACACTGGATTCAATATCAACACGGATCAGACCCATTGCCCATTTGCGGCGCACATCAGGTATCACTATTGAACACTTGCCTCGCCAACACACTTACTGATGATCACTAGGAAAACTCGCCCACGCGCTGATCTCAGCACCCCGTTGTACGTAGTTTGCTTACCTCTTGAGATCGGATATTGAAAGCTCATAACCAGGAATGCTATTATGCGAGCTGGTATGCAGTACCTACATACAAATACGATGATCAACTGACGTGTTTACTTCAGGCATCCCCTACGGCCCAGAATGTGGGGTCTTTTCTCCTATCTATTGTTCACGCTAACGATCTGATAGTGAGCCGGGCAGAGGCTTTCAGTAACCAATCAAGCGTCCTTTCATCAAGTGAAAGAGGCCTCGCCTTCGTGTCCTACCAATCCAATATCGACTTGGGGTTCCAGTTTATCCAAACACAGTGGGCAAATGCAATCAATTTTGCTCCTGGAAAGAATCCCGTGGTAAGTCCACTAACCCGAAAGCTTGAATTCTCTGAGAACAATTCATTCAGCCTGGTTTTGACCTGATTTTTGGTCAAAATGCGGGCGCAACTCGTTGGATGTCAGGAGCAGATATTGATAACCCGACCTGGAAGCTCAAGATGCTCTTCGACCATGTGATATCTCGTGGCGGAGAGTATTTCTTCAGTCCGAGTATATCTGCCATTCGCGACGTAATCTCAGTATAGGCATCCCCAACGGCGACTCATTCCTTTGATTACACCCAATGATGCCCTTACCGTATGAGGGCTATCTATATGCGACAGAATCCATCCCTTTTTTTTCCAGGTACCAATGAGCCTCACCGCTCAGCACGTTTACTATCCCCCGAATCCCATGCTACGACGTCGCAACTCATGCCGCCGATGACCCAATCTGCCAGTGGCGATTGGGCCGGGTGCTCTATACTCAGATGCCAACGGCGGCGACTTTGCGGAGGTGCCTATTCAATTTCTAGGATCATCCCGTGAGAGCCCAACTCAGTCAGGAGGACAATTCCGACGCTCCTGCCAAGCTTCTGATCTCATTCATCAGCCCTGAGCGATCCCCCAGAATTCCAGACTCTAGATTTTCTGATAACAATGCAGGACAAGGTATCACATCCTTCTATACTGTTTACGGATTCTTCATTTCATCTACTACTCCTGTCATGCATTCTGGATGCCGGGATCTTTGAGTGCAGGACGCATACCTCGCAAATGACCGACTCGCTGTTCTGACACGATACTGGACAGGCCTCAAAGTGACATATGCGGAAATCATACCCGTCAGGCGACCTTTGACCACCTCATTCGGATCTATCATTCATGATCCCTCGTTTCGCCGTGAACGGGCCGCGTCTGGCAGCCATAGGGAAACGGCGTTTTACAGACATGACAGGCTCATTTGTGTACTACCTTGAGCCATCAACTAACTAGAAACTTGACAGGGGGCTCGGCGGAGCAAGAGACGAAGCAAGGGTGGCTTGCCTATATCTACCCCCAAACAGAGGTATGTGGACAGCCCACAGCTTCGCTCTTTCCCCCTTCCAGTCCTTCCATGAATCTCAAGCTGTTCCAGGCTCTCGCCTTTGCGGGCCTCTGCGTCCAAGGGGCCGTGGCGGCAGTCGCACCTACCTTTGTCGTAACGAACATTGATACTCTCCCGGCGACCCGTGTCACGGTCACCAGGATTGCAACGCCCGTTTCCTCGATAGTCCTTCAGACAACGACCACAAAGACCTCAACTAAATCGACTAGCACTGTCGTTCAATCCTCGTCTTCGTCAACCAAGACTACGTCGACTAAGACTACGTCGACTACATCGAGTACTACTAGTACCTCGATAAACCCTACGTTTACGGCGAAGGATCCCATCCTCGATGGCATCCGTAACCAAAGCATGCTCGCAGGTGAGCTAAGCCACCGCCATGGAGGGCGCGCTGATGATAATCTTGTTAGACATCAGAGGCATCTACGATCTTCCAACTAAAGATCAAGTCATCAGGAATGCCACGTTGAATGCTACCGACATTCAGGGCGATATCTTGTAAGTAGTCTTCCTAGTGTGGAGCTGATATGAGCTGATATGATATAGGGTCGGAATGAAGAAGAAGCTCGAATTGTTCTACTTCTTCCACATTAACGAACCTAAGTCATTCAAGAAGAAGTTCCATACCTATGTGGTTCCTCGTGTCACCAGCACCCTCGATCTCCTCAGCGTCAGCAGTCAGCCCGTCGTTTGCCTCAACGTCGCTTTTAGCCAGACTGGCCTCTACACACTTGGTATCAACGATAATCTCTTCGACAGCCCATTCTCAAACGGTCAGGCTGCCGATGCCAACAATCTTGGTGACCCCGGCTTCAAGTATTGGCTCAACGCTTTCATTGGCACCAAAATTCATGGTGTATTCCTCATCGCCTCTGATGACATGATTAACATCAATGCGATGGTGAACTGGCTCGAAGCCTTGTTTGGTTCGGATATAACCAAGATGCATGAGCTTCAAGGCAACATTCGTCCACCACCATATGATGGTCACGAAAGTAGGTCATTGCCACTGCAGGAGAGTTGAAGCTTACGACTGTAGTGTTTGGATATCTCGACGGTGTCAGCCAGCCTGCCGTCGCTGGCTTTAACATCAACCCGGTCCCAGGTCAACAACTTATTAATGCTGGTGTTATTCTCGTCGGTGAGGTGGGCGATACCTTGCAGTCTGTCCGACCGGCGTGGGCAAAAGACGGGTCTTTCCTCGTTTTCAGGCAACTTCAGCAATTTGTTCCGGAATTCGATCAGTTCTTGCGCGATTGGGCACCACCTGCGCCTGCATCTATGCCAGGGATGACTCTCGCCCAGCGTGCAGACTTGCTGGGAGCTCGTATGATGGGTCGCTGGAAGAGTGTAAGTATATTTTATAAAACTGTGCATGTTTTCATTGCAATAGGGTGCACCTGTCGATCTGACGCCGCTTGTTGACAATCCGGCCCTTGGAGCTAACCCCAATGCCAACAACAACTTTGACTACTCCCACACTGGCTTCAATCTGGCCACCGACCAGAGCCACTGTCCTTTCGCCGCACATACAAGGCGAGTTTGAGACTCCAACTGGACTATTGGATAACATTCTTGCATAGGAAAACCCGACCTCGAGCAGACCAGAATACTCCTCTGTAAGCCAACTTCCTGCTTGACAGTAACAAGCTAACGAGCAATCAGGAATGCAATCATGCGAGCTGGTATGGGTCACAGCGAAAGCTTATCCTGGGTACTAATGTCTTCAGGTATCCCATATGGACCAGAACCGACACAACAGGAATATGCCACCAATACTTCGTCCCAGGATCCTGACATGGAGCGCGGTCTTGCATTTGTCTCCTATCAGTCCCAGATCGATCGGGGCTATCGCTTTATCCAGATGAAGTGGGCCAACGATGTCAACTTTGCGCCTGGCAAGACCCCCCAGGTACAGTGTCTGCTCAACTGTGTGGATTCTCTTCCCTCTGACATGATGATATAGCCCGGGTTCGACATGATCTTTGGCAACAGTAACGGCGGAACCATCTGGATGTCGGGCGCAGACGTCGACCACCCTAACGATATTATAAAAGCTTGGCAGTTCTGGGTACGTCTGACATTGGTCTATGAACTCCAGGAATTGACGATTAATCGAACCAGGTTCTCGCCAGAGGCGGAGAATACTTCTTCAGTCCTTCCATCTCTGCGCTCAAGAATGTCATCTCAGTTTAGGCTCGCATCGACCGAAATCTCGTCGGTAGTCAGACTTCACTGGCTGTAAATCGATGTCCTCTGAATAAACCTTTCTGTGGTCGAAACTACGCAATGCTCTCGGTTGATTAGCCTATTCATGAGTAATTATACAATTAAAAGTGCAACCTTCAGTCATATAGAAAAGGTTCATAAAAGGCCGACGTGACGGTGGCTGGTGCGAAGTGGCATAATCACTAAGTCTAACCGGCGTCACTGCCTGATTGATAACTATGGCACCCTATGACACTTATAATAACTATTTTCACCGGTGTCAGCATGAATGAACGCAAAAATAATGAAATAGAGGTCATGCGGAACAGAGTTCTCAGCTAAATCAGTGATGTCGTCCATAGATACTCTTAATGCAGTAATGCGCTATATAACTACAGGAAGCGCAACAAAGAAAAGCACGCGCATCTAATTGCACCCCCTCTTGTATAGATGCTGTAACCCGTCAATAAATACCACCAGGCGCCATGAACCGCCCGCCAATATTCACGAGAAATGACTTATCGTGGCTTAACCACTGGACCTCGCAGCTCGCCGTGACATATTACCAACGGCGGCCGATGTAAAGAGGAGATGCCCTGATCATGTCCAACATAACCAGGAGGTGCACCAATGAGTCGCGATGTTGAGTGCTTCTCCGAGTATTCGCTGCCATCGATGCGGCACATGGCATCTGGAGAGTCGAACAGGCTTTGGGCCAACTTTACCACAATATGTCAGCACTCACATCAAAATAGGTTGAAATATTCACATACCGTCTTTGATAACAGAGTCTTTCCGGTTTCACTGGGTCCAGCAAAGAGGAAACTGGCCAGCGGACGATTCTTGTTTCGCAAGCCAGAACGTGAAAGCCGTATAAGGTTAGGGGTGCGAGGCAAATTCCAACAAGCTCCTGACGCGTGGATCACTACAATGCCGTGACAGACATTTGAAAAGTTGTCTCTATCTTGAAATATGTATGCTCTGCGCTAAAATACCCCCCGACCCTGAGTATCCGCATCGTGCATGAGGATCCGGGGGGTTCGGTATGTCGGCTGATTGAACCTCCAGAATCCAGAAGGCGCTATTTCTGCCGTACGTGTATTCTCTCTGTGGCCGTCCGAGCCATGGATGGCGATAATGCTGACATTGGAGATCAATGGCGTGTGCAGACAAGATCCCCTATTCGACGATAAGATCCGTCCCAGGCATAACTTTGAAAAACCGAGTTCATTCTTTTGACTTGGTCCTCGAGGTCGAGGGTTTGTTGAGATCCGTCGGATGATGAGCAGTGGGTGCTTGGTCGGTCATATACAGCGACAACTTAGAGCGGTGAAGAATGCTTTGAAGCGCGAGCGAAGAGTCGACATTGTTTTCGTTCGAAACGTTCGGGATCAAGAGCTAGCTGGTGGCAAACACCAGTTTGACGGCAAGGAGACTGGGAGAACACTACAACGTCTTTTGTAGCATTTTAAGATTAAAATATGTATTTCCGCGGCTATATTTAAAGTCTTCTTGGAATATTCCGGGATGGCGTATCACTGCTTGGGTGGCGGGTGGGTAGCATTGTCGGAAGTGGATGACCATGTCATTCTTGACGGTTCTTGGTCCCTCTGTATTCTCATGACATAAGCAAGTCAAACGTCGAGACGTAGCTCGTCCTGGCCCAATTTTTCGAGAATATTCTAGGCGTCGGTGGAGGGGTCTGGAATGACGCATGGGTCTTATAAAAAGAAGCCGGGTCGCCAGCAGCTGACCAACTCTACCAATAAACAACTTGAACAGCTACCATGAACTACGACTTTACCGAAAAATCAGAGCAGACCCTTGCGGCTGCGATTCAACTGGCAAAAGACCATGCCCACTCCCAAGTCCAGCCCGTTCACTTCGCATCAGCAATGCTGAACGAAGATGCTGGACTCTCTCCACCAGGCGCGCTCCCAAAGCCTGCCGGTCAAGGAGGATCCCTGTTCGTTCAGGCCATCCAGAAAGCCGGTGGTGATCAGGTAAGTTGTATTTGTGCATCACATTTGTACGGGACTAACATTTGAATATAGACTCTCGTAGCCCGAGCTATCCAGCGACAATTAGTTCGCCTACCTTCCCAAGATCCACCCCCGGAAGAGATTTCACTGAGTCAAGCATCTCGAAAGGTGCTCCATGAGGCTCAGAGTCTTCAAAAGACGATGGTGAGTTGTTTGTCCACTCCGCCATTCGGAGTGGGCGCCAAAGCCCGTCACAAATGCTGACTTTTCTGTAGCACGACTCCTACATCGCGCAAGATCATCTCCTCCTCGCATTGATCAAGGATCCAACAATCGTTCAAGCGCTCAAGGAAGCCTCTATAACCGAAGGCGTTATCAAGACCGTTATACAACAACTACGAGGCAACCGCCGTGTAGAAAGCAAAAGTGCTGAACAAGGCTTTGACGCCCTTTCCAAATACGCCACCGACTTGACGGCACTCGCTGAAGAGGGCAAGCTCGACCCGTCATTGGACGCGACAACGAGATTCGACGTGTAATTCGAATCCTTTGCCGTCGTACGAAGAATAACCCAGTTCTCATTGGAGAACCGGGAACAGGGAAGACCGCCATTGCCGAAGGTCTCGCCCAACGTATTGCACGTCGAGATGTGCCTGCTTCCTTGATGGGTCGCCTCTTCAGCCTGGACATGGGTGCCCTGATGGCTGGTGCAAAATACAAGGGAGAATATGAAGAACGAGTAAAATCTGTGCTCAATGGTGAGTACTTCTCGGCTGCTATTCTTGATTGGTTACTTACACAGTTACAGAGGTTGAAAAGGCCTCAGAAGAAGGCGCGGGTGTCATCTTGTTCATTGACGAGCTTCACTTGATTATGGCCGGCAAAGGTGCCGAAGGCGGGGGCATGGACGCGGCAAATCTGCTCAAGCCTCAGCTTGCCAGAGGCAAGATTCGTGTCATTGGTGCGACGACTCTCGCAGAATACAGCAAATATATCGAAAAGGACGCCGCATTTGAACGTCGGTTTGCCCAAGTACTCGTCAATGAGCCAAGCGTCCCAGATACAAGTGAGTACATACGTAACAAGAAAGGGTATCTTCTAACAAAATCTAGTCAGCATTCTTCGTGGTATCAGGGAAAAGTATGAAGTTCACCACGGTGTGCGCATCCTAGACAGCGCACTCGTCGCGGCGGCAACCTTGGCGCATCGCTACCTCACGTCAAGGCGACTCCCAGATAGTGCAATTGATCTGGTCGACGAATGCTGCGCAAGCGTTCGTGTCACCCGAGAAACGGCTCCTGAAGCAATTGATCAACTGGAACGCAAGCGACTCGAGCTAGAAGTCGAAATCCATGCACTTGAGGTAAGATTCAACTCTTCCCTCCGTTGGGATTTTACTGACAATAAACTAGCGCGAGAAAGACTCTTCCTCAAAAGAGCGCTTGGCGGCTGCTCGAAAGGAGGTTGCCAACATCGACGACAAACTCCAACCCCTCAAGGCTCAGTACGAAACAGAAAAGAAACGTAGCGACGAAATTAACGAGATTCGTAAACGCATCGACGAACTCAAAGCAAAGGCAGACGACGCTGAACGGCGTTACGATCTGGCGACTGCTTCCGATTTGCGCTATTATGCCATCCCAGAACTCCAGGGTCGCCTCGAAAAAGCCATGGCAGAGGAAGCCGCTCATGGTGGATCTCTTGCCGACACAGTAGCGCCTGAAGCTATTGCAGAAGTCGTCGCTCGATGGACCGGTATCCCAGTCACCCGCTTGATGTCAACAGAAAGGGAAAAGCTCTTGCGATTGGAAAAGACGCTTGCAGAGAGTGTGGTAGGGCAGCCAGAAGCCGTCAAAGCGGTCGCCAACGCTATACGGCTTTCACGTTCTGGCTTACGAAACGAGAATCGTCCGCTGGCCAGTTTCCTCTTTGCTGGACCCAGTGGAACCGGAAAGACTCTGTTATCAAAGACGGTATGTGAATATTTCAATCTATTTTGATGTGAGTGCTGACATACTGTGGCAAAGCTCGCCCAAAGCCTGTTCGACTCTCCAGATGCCATGTGCCGCATCGATGGCAGCGAATACTCGGAGAAGCACTCAATATCGCGACTTATTGGAGCACCTCCTGGTTATGTTGGACATGATCAGGGAGGCCAACTTACCGAGTATATTCGTCGCAAACCCTACAGTGTTATTCTGGTTGATGAGTAAGTGCTTCCTGTCTTCCTGTCTTCACATTGGATCTTATCTAACATTCCTTTTCTAGACTCGAAAAGGCCTCTCGCGAGTTTGTCACCGTATTTTTGCAGGTGCTGGACGACGGTCGCCTGACGGATGGACAAGGCCGAGTCGTCGACTTTAGAAACACCGTCATCATTTTTACATCCAATGTCGGTAGCACGTTCTTGACGGATATGGGTGAAGGTCCAGTGCCCAGTCCGATCCGCAAAGCTGTCATGGATGCCATCCGCACGACCTGGCCACCTGAATTCTTGAACCGTATCGACAATATTATCATCTATGTAAGTCTCATACTATTCTTCAATATTCAGATGACTGACGATTGATATAGCGTGCTCTCTCACACTCCAACATTCGCAAGATTGTCGACATTCGTCTGGGCGAAGTTCAACAACGTATCGAAGGCCGCAAGATGAAGTTGTCGGTCAGCGACGAAGCAAAACATTACCTGGCGTCGATCGGCTACTCTGCGACCTATGGTGCCCGTCCACTTCAGCGCGCAATCATGACCGAGCTCCTCAATCCGCTGTCCGTATACATCTTGGACGATCGCGTACGGGATGGCGAGACGGTCCGCGTCGACTTTGACAAGCACCACAACCGACTTATGATTATTCCAAACCATGAAGGTTCTGGCGCGGCAGATGATATGGACTTGGACGACGATGACGAGTTGATCGTCGAAGAGGTGGATTAAACGAGTCCCTAGAATGTAGAACTGATTATGTAGCCTTGTGTCTTGTCCGATAAAGTTTTGTATATGTATTGTGAAGCACTGTTTTACAAAGAGAATACCTCGTACCGAAATAAGTAAGACATTTTCAAAAGCAGCGTTGTCGGAGTTCATCATTCTCCCTCTTGAGTGCCTCATTCTGCTTCCGCAAGTCTTGGACTTCTGCTTCGAGTTTTCTGATGGTTTCGATTTTGTAACTTAGCGCACGCTTATCTGCAAAAGCTTTTCTTTCTGCCGTTTCGATGGCTCCTTTGAGTCTGATTTGTACTTCGAGCATTTCATCGAATATTTCGCCCACTTTGGACCTCTCAATGATAGATCCTCCAGGTGTTCGGTGTACGCTGTCCAGCCTTGCATTAGCTCGCCCTGGAGTGGAGTCAACCAAAAACGGATTATCCTATAGACCACTGTTAGTGAAATTTGCAGTAGCCTGGTTTGTGCCTACTGGGTCGTTCTTGATCGTCGAGTAAGGCTCAGGGTGCTCATTATTTGCGCCCATCAAGTTATATTGGCCTGGTGCTTGGCGTTTGACTGGAGGAAAGTGAACACTCTTTACGGGAGACGCGTCCATCTTCTCTTCTCCGGAATCGGGATCCTGATCAGGTTCGTCGGGTTCGGCCTTTGTCGACCAATAGTCCCGACGTTCTAAAAGACTATTCAGAAAGTCCAGGTGAATCCGGGGGAAGATGTGTACGAACTATTCGAAGTAGATGCTAGGAGCGCCGTTCCTGGTATCTGGGGTGAAGAGGTACGCTTTCGCTTCGTGGTTGAGGACATTTCTTTTTTGGGGGACGAGAATGAATCTTCAGCAGCCTTGAATCCTGGTGCAGAGAGTCGAAACTGATCCGCCCAGGCTGGGTGAAATCAGACAATGAGAGTATGATGAATATGACAACGGCGTACTCCAGAAATTGCAGCCACCAGTCGCGCAGGTATAAAATGGCCTAATAAATGTTGTTTAGACGTGGCAACAGAGCCAAGTGGTGGACATTTACCGATCTGGATTTTCTTTTGTGTGCGAGATGCGTTGGACTATGGGCTGACCACAAGAGCAGGTTGTATTTGCAATGTGTGATTCTAGAATTGTCCTTGAGTTTGAATTTTGTTGACCAGAGCTCATTCGGCCGCGAAGCGGTAAATGGGCGTTGGGGAGCAAGTGCCGCGTGAATCATGGCCAGCCTCTTGTCAACCCATACACGATATTTTGAGCCAGATAATGCCCAGGATATTCCAGGAATCATCGTGCAGATTACGAGAGGCGTCGATACGTATATAATATGGGCCGGGACCACGACACAGGCAATCTCCGGCGGTGATGAAGCTCAGAAGAGTCTCGCTGTTCAATCTGGACGATTAGGAGTCGATTGGGCATGTTCTATGCCGAGTCCAAAGGTATCGACAGGATAAATGTGACCGTTTTAGACTTATCCTTTTCAGCCTTCTATGCCCGTCGCTGGGACGACTCTCCTTAGGACGAGCCAGGATCCAGTCGCACTTCCTCTATCTCAACGACTCGGTACGTTTAGCGACAACGAGGACCCTGGATTGTAACTGACTCCCAAGTAGCACAGCGCTTCAAAAAGCAGATGTTTGTCTCTATCGACATTTCTGCATCACAAAAGATAGGTGGCAAGGGCCCAATGGTCGCCCTCGCTGTCGAAAAGGCGGTAATAGTCTCACTCAAGGCACTCGAGAATCCCTAGCGCAGGATAAAGGGTGTTTCCATATAGATATAAAATACTATCGCTTGACCCATGTGTACGCCTTTCTTGCCTTTGCAAGATTGGTCTTCTTCCTTTCCACCATACGTGGATCGCGTCGCATGAGCTTGGCTGCAAGCGGCGTGAGAGATGAATTGAGCCATCAATAAGAACACACCTTGCTTTATTATTGGTTTTACGTTTGGCTGCAAGACTTCGAGTGCCTTTGCCATACCAACAGCAATGGCCTCTGCCTGGCCCGTGGTTCCACCGCCTCTGACAAGCGCAAACACGTTGTAAGAAGACAAGAGACCTGTCAATTTTAACGGTCTGAAAAGGCGCTCTCGGTCGACTACATGCGTAAAGTACTGTGCGGCTGGGATGCCATTGACAATACAGGACGCTACGGGGACAGAACCACGGTCCGAAGCATCTCTGAATTCTTGATCCTTGACTTTGATTACCCATACCCGTGCAGAGCTCGTCTTTCGTCGGCCAACGGCATAGACACGGCCAAACTCGTCTGGCTCGGGTCGCTTTCGTCCCGTGCTCAGGGACTCCAGTACGGCCTTGTTGGATTTTTCGTATGGTGTTATGATTTTTTCAATGCTCTGCGCGATATCCTCTCTCCCGCATAGCAATGCGACTCGACGCAGTTTGTTGAGTTGGGTGAGGACAGAGATGAGTCGTCGATACTGCGTGCCCTTGATAGCCTTTCCGAGGATTTGATACATTTCATTGACATCTCTCCAATATGATGGCACATGGCCAATGTGATGTTCTGCAACTTTTGGCAGAGGCGTGATGTGGGCGCGGTGCATGAGCGATGTGAATTCGTTTAGCTGCTTTTCGAGATTGTAGACTCTGTCGAGATAGGCAGAATGCCCGGAAAAGAAGGTAGGCGACTCTGGCATGGGCTGCACGGGTCCTCGTCCTCGAATCATGCGTTTTGTGGATTCCGGAGGGATAAATGGGATGCTATCCGTCGCCATTGCTCGTCGTGGAACGCGTTTAAACGCGACACGCAGTGCTGGACGGACGCGCAGCATTTTGGTCGTGTCCAAGCTTCGACTTGCACAAACTTGGAGCCGACTAGAACTGGCGACTATGGCAGAGAACAACTTCTCAGCCGCTCTTTCAGCATGGAAAGGTCGTTTATATCAGAGTAGACGTCTATAATAATGCTGATATCCACGGAAATTATGCACACGCAGACATCAATCTCACAGAACTCCAAAAAGCACTCGACGCGCAAGGTGTTGAACTTGTAGAGAACCAGAAGGAATCAGTGGTTGGAAGAAAAGCACTTGCAGACAAGACGAGAGGTAGATCCTGTCCACCCATGACACACTGCTGGCGGAGGCTCACATCGGCAGAGTTTAAACGATTACCGGACGAGGAGAAATTAGTCGAAATCAAAGTTCTGCTCAAAGGTGGGCTACAGTACGAGTCTGAATGCACTCTCATGTCCTTGTAGCGTATCAAACGGAAATAGACAATCTCACCAAGAGGACAAAGAGTGCAGAAACAGCATTCTTGAATGCGTACAAAATTCTTGCAGAGGCTCCTGATCCATACCCATTACTGGACGCCGCGGTGGTTTGTGATAAACCATATTCAGCTCGGTGGTACGCTGACGTCTTAGTAGGATCAGATGGTCAAAGTCGGCGAAACAAAAGAGCTGGAAGAGGAGATTCAGCGGTTGAAGAACGATAATGCGGAACTGCGGCGAAAAGTGGCAGAATCTGCAAGCCTCGAGACTGCGAGAAAACGAGCGGAGGACAAGCTGGAAGCGCTTCAAAGCAAGGTGTGTGTGTGTTGTAAACTGTGCTATCATGTAGCTCATCTTTACAGATGGAAGACGCGATTCGCGAAAAGGTTGCCCAAAAGGAAATCGAACTCAACGCGACTTACGATGAACGCATTCTCAACTATGAAGAGAGAGAACGAGATCTTCAAAGACAAGTTACCCTAGTCAAGGATCAGCTCCGTGACCTAAGATCATCAAATGAGTCGAATCAAGCAAAACTCTTGAATCAGACCCAACGGCAGGATACCGAAGTCATCTCCAAACTGGCGGAAATGGACATGATCATCTCAGATTTGGAACGCGCAAACAGTCGAGTAGCTGCCGTCGAGCGCCGAAATGAACTTCTTCGTGCAGAGATTGAGGCTGTAAGGACCGGCCAGGAGACTGAGGAAAAGTGCGTACCGTTCGCCCTTTTTACCCGATTCTGAAGGGGCATAGGACGCAACAGTTGGAATCAAAAGTCGCCGAGCTAGAGGCAGAAGTAGCTGGTCTCGTGCGGGCACTAGAATCACAAAAAGCTGCCTCTGAAGATGCCCAAGCTAGCTCTAAGAGGAGGCTCGCCGAATTAAGTAAGGAACTGGCCCAAAGAGTGAGCCATATTTTCAGTTGGAGAATTCTCTCTGACCCTCGATTAGTCAGGCGAGGTCGAAAACCTGAAGAACAAGATGAAGCAGTACGTTGACTATGATGAGATCAAAAGAGAACTCGAGATTATGAAGGTACGTTTGTCTTGGTGATCTGATGAGTGCCGAACATTTCCCTAGTACGTCGAATTTGCGGGAGGAGAAGAAGATCAAGACGTTCAACTCCCGGACCCAAACGCCTCCAAAGCAAATCAACAACAAGCCAAATCACTCGAAACGCTATTGGCAGCGAAGAACCGCAAAATGTTAGAAGAGCTCACGAGGTTTAGGGCAAGTAAACTATATCTTTCAGAATGCTTCCTCAACTTCTCACAGGTGCTACACGCAGAACTGGAAGAGTCTTATCGAACCACGACTGGCGAACTAGCTACATGTCGTGCGGAATTAGAGAAACAAAAGATCCTCACGGAGAGACTAGAAAACGACATCATGCATGTCGATCGACACATGGGTCAAGCCAATGGAGAGCGACCGTCTGGGAGATCGACGCCTTCTGCGTCTGCAGACGGTCTTTCTGGACTCAACCTGGGATCGAATCCTGTACGTACGGAAACGGGGCAGCTTGGATCCTCTAACGCGTTGAAAGGATCGGCCCGTTCGATATACGCCCATTCCATTTTCATCTGCGGCGGACAGCTCAATACTGCCCATTGTCACCAGTCAGCGAGATCGTTTCCGCCAGCGCAATGCAGAGCTCGAAGAGGTACTGCATTCCTTTTCTGCCCTACCCTCTTACTCAAGGATTGTAGGAACTTCGCAAGCAATTCGAAACCATCTCGGAACTGAGAACGGATATTAAGACATTACAGAGTGATAATCTCAAACTATACGAAAAGATCCGTTATATGCAGAGCTACCAGGGTGAAAGTTCCATACTGCCCGGCCCGACTGGCGCTCCTGGAACTTCATATTCACGAGCAGAACCAACTCTTGCGAGGAATGATGGGCTCCACAAGTATAAGAGTCTTTACGAGCAAAATATGAATCCATTTGAAGCGTTCCGCGGGCGGGTGGGTCTTGTTTCTCTCATTCTTAGAACGTTACTTATGTGTATATGCACTCTATAGGAAGCGGCTCGAGCTGTTCAGGCGTTGAATCCTTTGGAACGCGGCGTGTTGACGTTGACGCAGGCGATCTTGGGCAACCGCCGCACGCGGCTGTGAGTAGCATTCCCTCGTTCAATCAGCGCCCTGATCCTTGTAGATTTTTTATTGTCTATGCTATGGCACTACATGGGCTCGTCTTGTTTACCAGCTATGAATGCACCTCTGTCGGGTCGAGCAACCCCACCGCCAGAGTTCCTCACTAGCCTTCTCCTGCATCATCTCTCATTTTTGCACTTCATGTTTGCTTCTTGCACGTGTACCTATTTATCTCCAATGTTATATTCGCTTATTCCTTTCTTGGCCACTCCCACCTCCGATGGCGGAAAAGCAAACCGTTCGACTACACAGGTGTAGATTTATTGATTGGTCGCCGTCTCCTATCACCTCTCTCGCTTTTCCTCCTACCATCCTTCCGCCTCGAAAATTTCCGCCAAATGTGATACCACTCCTCGCCGTCGGTCGAGCCAATGGAAACGTTGAAATATGGAAATGGGCGGGTTCATGTCCTCCAAATAAGATGCACCAAGGCTGGGTGATTTGGCAGGTCAGTTCTTTTGATCAATGCCTCCCTGTGGAAAACCTTTGCGTTGTCCTAAAACGAGCTGCTTCATACTGAATATTGATATTTCAGACTATATTTGCACCCAGACCATCAAAAGTAGACTCCCTCGCCTTTGCATGGCGAGATCCTAGCGGAGAATGTGCGCCAGACAATCTCGACAGTCTGCGACTTTTCAGTGCAGGTGGTGGAAGTGAATTGACAGAATGGGATTTAGTTCGTTGCTCCGCCCGACGGTCGCTGCCTTCTCAAGGCGGTTCGATATGGTCCATCGCTGTCAATCCGACTTCCACCGCATTGGCGTTGGGCTGCGAAGACGGTTGTGTCCGTATGGTGTCTTTGGAGGACGATTCTTTCGTACTACATCGTAAATTTGATCGCGTCAAAGCCAAAATTCTTAGTATTGCCTGGGGACCACCGACGAGGCGTGCTAAGACTTCTATGGCTGGAAGCGATGTAGAAAGTGACGACGAAGATGCTTGGGTGGATCAGTGGCTTGTGACAGGCTGTTCTGATAGCAGTCTACGCAAGTGGGACGTTCGATCAGGGCGCATGGTGGACCGAATGAGCACTGACAAGACACGAAGTGAAAAGACGCTTGTATGGGCTGTTGGAGTGCTCGGGTGAGTACCACTTAGCAGTTATTTCCTCTGGCCCCTAAAACCGTACAGTGACGGTAAAATCATTTCTGGCGACTCGATGGGCATGGTCAAGTTTTGGGATTCCCGCACATGTACTCAATTGCACTCATACACATCTCACGGAGCAGACGTACTATGCATGGCAATCAATCATTGGAGCAACGCTGTTTACACGTCTGGTGTTGACCAAAAGGTGGCTGAATTCCTGCCCGTCGAGATTTCCGCTGGCAAGCCATCTATTCTCTCCAGTGGCAAACAAAACCGTTGGATTCAATCGAAAGCACGGCGACTGCATTCTCACGATGTGCGTGCACTCGCAATATGGCCCCCACAGTCTCTCTTCCCTGCCGCTGCTAGCGCAAAATCCAACGCTGTAACTGGTGATATACCGCCGCTACTTGTCTCTGCGGGCCTCGACATGTCCCCAGTCACCATTCCCTGCGCGCCACCAAATCAGAATCCGTCCAAATACGCCAATCCTTTTGGGAAAAGCAATCTTGCGACATTTGAAGAAGCATACTGCTCTAGAGCGCCATTCACGCGCTCTGTTATAGCCGTTGCGGGACATGCACGTTTAGTAGCGTGTCGGAACGACTCGAGAGTGTCTGTGTGGCGAATTAAAGAGCCCCCGAACGAAGTTGACGAGGAGGTGATGAAAGAAATCCCGGATGGCTGGGTAAAGCTCTTGGACTTGCAACTCAATACGGCGACGACATTGTCTGCTCTTGCATTATCGGCAGATGGCCGATGGTTGGCGGTGGCTGACGCGAACGAGGTGAAACTTTTCCTACTTCGCAAGGTATGTCTTATTGTCTCAACGGAATCACGCTCACGAGCACCAGGATGGCAGTACCCTTCAGCCCAAACGTATCAAAACCATTGCAACCATTATCAAGGACTCATTGCCATCATCCTGTTCAGGAGGCGCGACCTCGCTCATCTTTTCGCCCGACTCGAGCAAACTCATCGTTGGCCTTGCCCAGAGTGGCTACGTCGTCGTTCTCTCCCTCGACACGAGATCGAATCCTCTCGTTTTGCGCGTATTTGATCAGCACCGACATCTCGACTCGCGCACTCGTCTGCTCAAGCCTCTGAGCACGTCCTCCAGCATGGACATTGATGATGCGGACGAGCAGAATCTGATCGTGACGCACATTAGCAACTTAGCCACCAGCCTGGATGGACAATGGCTCGCATCGAGCGATGTGCTAGGGAGAATAAACGTGTTCAATCTCGATGCGTTGCACTTCCACTGCGCACTACCCACCTTCCCCTATCCAATATCCGCATTGGCGTTTGACGCATTCTCGTCGAGATATCTAGTGGTTGCGACGCCGGACAACGCCATAAGGGTATATGATGTCGAGAGGCGGCTGTTCCCTGAGTGGCAGCGAGAAATGTCACGGCTCGTCTCCAAAAAGCTCGGGACTCAGCGCATATCTATCATGGGCCTCCAGTTTTTGCCAATCGCCACGAATTCAGACAGAGCCCAGTCGCCAACGAAGCGAAGTCCGTTGGAGTATCAGACCATTGTTATGTGGGGGCCGACGTGGATCTGTCGGTTCAGGATGCATACAAGTTCGCTCGGGGTCTCGGGCGGGACGCACGGGTCGTCGAAGCGCAAGCGAGACGAGGATCATCCAGATTCGCAAGATGAGAACGAACAAGGAGACAGCGACGAAGAAAATGTGATGGGAGAAGACGAGGATGAAGGCAAAAAGGACAATGAGAAAAAGGGCAGGCCATTCGAGAACAAGACGCTATCTCGCATGGCACTCACAATGACGGACAAGTATCGCAATCTACTTGGCGTTCAGTTTCTGAACGCGGAGGAGATGATCGTGGTAGAAAGGCCGTTGCTTGACGTGCTGAGTACGCTCCCGCCTGCGTACTTCAAGCCCAAGTATGGCTCGTAACAGATGAAAACAAATTTTGATTCATTGTGTACAAGTGCACATGTGGGGACCCAATCTATAAGAGATGCAACGACCGCCTCTGCTCTAAAAAGTCGACTGGATGTTATACAGAAAATAAACGAAGTAAATGCTGGACTGGGAGCCCACCCCTAGACCTTGCCACTTTTCGAGTTTATCGTGCAGACCTGAAATTCAAAGCTGAAAGACGAAGAAGATGCCTCGCAGTCTATAGGCGTCGAAGGGAATGTGGATATCGTACTTTCCTCATGCTCGCGGCGACGACGGAGGGGATGAAGGCTTGAGAAACAGAGACTGGGATGTGGTGGGTCGATAAAGTCGCCAAAATCTGCAATATGTCGATGAAGGACGTTGTAATCGCTCATAATATCGCAGTCACAGTGCGCGACAAAGGCGTGCTGCTTCTCACGATTTTCGATGTGCCACTCGTCGCAGCCATGCATCTATAGAGAAATAAATTGACATCCTCGGAGATAATGAAATCCTTACGAAGCATGTACGACCATATTCTTCGAGCGGGAAGAGTGGTCCAGGATTGGATGCCTCGAATTCGATAATATGCTGACGAATATAGGCTTTGAGGCTCTCCATCGAGTCGCGCCGCTTTCGCCAGCGTTTCGCCCGAGTTAGCTCTGGACCACGACCTATGTCGATCTGTGGGTTTACACTCTTCGTGGTATTTGGAGTGATAGACGGGAAAGGGTATGGATAGTCTGAGGTAATGCCTGCTCCAGATGATGCGGGTCGTCTCAGCTGAGTCGGCTTCAACGCATGCTGTAGAAGCCACTGGCGATTCAGTTCTGAACAAGTAAGCGCTGTCAGCTGTTGTAGGACGCAAGCCGAGGAAACGCACTGATTAGCAAAGTCATCAGCCTTTGTGTCTCCAGCCTGGGGTGTCCCGGGCTTTATAATCCATCTGGAGATTGTTCGTTTGAGCGTGGTGACTTTCTGGTTCTCTTGTCAACCGTCAATTCACTATGTACTCGTGTAGCGTGCTTACCTTGACAGACATTGTCGAGACGAGCACTGGACGAGGAAGAGTGCAAGATGTGTGACGCTGTTGGAGCTCTCAAAGCTGACAAGAGCAAGTGCCCACGGCGGACGAAACGAATTGGCAATGGCGGAACGCGTCGACCACAAGTGGCAGCGAAGCCGACGTGACGCACCGACAATGTCAAACCGAATCCAATTTTGCGTTTCGAGTGTCGCCATAGAAGTATAGGAGACATAATGGGGAGCAATACAGACCAGCTAGAAGTAAGCGTCTGCTAGTCGACCTGCATCTGACCTGTGCAAATAATAGGGGCCCAGAGCCTGGCCGGCTGAATTGCGTGGGTTTACCGTTGGCTCGGGCAGCGCTTGACTCGTACCCGACAAGCCTTTGACACAAAGGCACCACGTTACCATCTCCCATCTTCGCTGACAAGTATTTTTGGCCTCTACCTCGACTTTCATATATTACCCAACCTTCGCCGGGATCAACAGGCTCATCACATTCACACGATATTCCCACAACCATGGCCGATCTCGCCCTCATGGCCCTCTCCGAGAACAAACCAGGTGAGGTTCTCTTCCATAGCGTTGCCTGGAAATGCTCGCCTCTGATCACCCGTTTGGAATGTAGTCGATGCCGTAGAGCTCTCGCAGGCACAAGTCATGGTTGTCGAAGCCGAAAAGTGGATTATCGAAGAGGCACAGGGTACGCTATGCAATCTCCTAGTCCCTCTAATTGCATCTAACATGTTCCCATCTTCTGATTCTTGCTTCTCCGTTCTTTCAACTCGTCGCCGACGCTAGCTACACCCGACAAGAAAAAGAGCAAAGCTCGCGCTCGCACGGTCCTCAACACCATGAACCGCGTCCTCGTCGTCATTGAGGGCACCTCTGTCTTTTTTCCGCCTGCAAAGGTCAGCGCTTCTCTTCTTGGGCGTCAATTCATGTTCGGCCATCTGATAGAGCTTGACATAGTTAGCTGTCGAAGTCCTCAAGGTGATTGGTGCCCCGCTTCAATTGCTGGCTGGATTAAAGGCGATTCACAGGGCCTCCTCAAGCTGGAGCTTGACAGACGAGATAATAGCGAGCAAATCGTCGCCATGTTTCATTCCATGGTCGGTTGATGTCTTTTAAAGAGGCAAGTATTGACGTTGAGTAGACTACAATGCTCTTCGTTCTCCGACACCTTGACGGTTTAGCGCTCGGGGAAGACGAGCTCAGTTGGCGTCTCGAACACTTATTGGACGCCATGCGCAAGAGCATGGAAGAATTCGGTAGGTGTTTCTATTTTGTGTTGCTTCTCTGTCTAAGTGCATACGAGGTGACCTTGCCGACCTATATTACAACAAATGCAAACAACCCGTCGGTATGTATAACTCCTTCAGACCTTTCACTTCTTATCGAGTGCCACAGTTCGCTTTTTCAAATCTTCCGACTTTAAACTCCGGATGCAGCTCTTCAATGACCAATTCAATCAGTACCGACGCGACCTCCAAGATGTGCTCCTCGTCCGTGCAGATGGTCGCGGCCAAACGATGCAGGCCGATGTCGAACGCATCAAAGCCAACACAGAGCTCATACTCGCACGACTCGGGCAGCCCGTCAACGAACAAGAAGCACAAGCCGTCAGACTCGTCGAAGCTTGTGGTCGCGAGGTTGTGCTCCACGACAAAGCTAAGCTCGAGGAAGTTTCCGTCTTGATTGGTGGCGGACGTGTCACAGGAAACACGCAAGCACTCTTGGACACGAGTCTGGATGACCTCTTGGTGTCGAATATGTCAGTCCCAAGGTCATTCTTGATGTGCTGATCCTAATGCCACGCAGGAAGCAGTTTCACTTCAAACTCGAGGCTTCGATGGCACAGATGCATGAGAGTGTCAATAAAGCAAAGGAGGCCATTCTCAAAAAGGTGTGCCGTCCCACCCCAACGAATCACGCGACTGACCTTGAATAGCTCGACTCTGGACCTCATGAACTGATTGAAGATCCAGACGTCAAAGCGGTTTGGCAAGCAAACGTACGTGGCAATCCTTTGTCAAGCTCCGTCACCTGATTGTCTTCTAGGCGTGGAGATTGAGCGTCAAGTGTCGCCACTTTGTTGATGGTGCGTCACTCGGTGCTATTTAGTTTAGTTGCTAAACAACATACAGAACTAAGCAACCACTACGAGGAGAAGTTTCGCAACGAGATTATCAAAAACGATGGGCAGACCCCAAAAGATAACTGGACGTTGGCAATCATTTCCAAAGTCATGCGTGAGTACCAAATTGACTGCCTAATCCTCAACTCACGATGTGATAGACCATCCTGCTATTGGTGACGCGATCGACGAGGATGGTAGTGGCTTCATCTCGCTCTACGAGGTCAATTCTTTCCTGACACAGCGACCCGAGTCATGGTCTACCCCCGAGTGGCTAGCATAGTGAGTTTATAACAGTCGACCGAGGTGTCATTAACCTGTATTAGCTGGGCGATTGGGTGGAGGATGAGCAACATCAAGTATGCAATTCTTCCTGACAATCCTTCATTTCTCACCACGCATTAGATATACCAACCAAATTGCTGAACACCTTGACGACCTGAGCAAATTGTGCAGGCAAGTAGTGGACAAACACAAAGGCAATGGCGACGAAGGCTACGCGGGACTAGTCACGAAGTACACCCAGAAGCTCCGTATCATGAGAAATATGAACTCGTGGGCGCACACTGTACAAGCCGACGACAGTGCCATGCAAGACTTGTCCATGGAAGGCGAGACGCGCTTACAGGAACTACTCGACCAAGCATCAAAGGACCAAATCAAGATCATTTCAGAACGCCTCGACGTACTCAAATGGTTGCTGGACGATCCCGCAGACTTGCCTGTCCTCCTTGGCGGTACGGATACCCGAATCGAGCTCGTGTTCTTGTGCATCGCATCGTTGATCCTAGGGAGACATGTCGAGGATATGGAACAGGCGCTCTCCGGAGGCAGTGTATCAGATGGCGCTTTGGCAATCATGACGGAGACCTTGGACATGCTCACAGACATGTTTCACGATCGCATGCAAGCGCTTATTAGAGGGTGGCGTGCGCAAAAACTGCATGTCGAGTTGCACATTACGTGCTTCGCCGGCGGAATCTATGCTGGATGGTACAATGCTGTGAGTGCAATACGAGACTGCCTAGAATTCTATTCTAAAGACCATCCTAGTACAACCACCCAAGTGGTGAGATGAAGCGGCTCGTCGACAAAGCTTCTACAGCAGACGAGTCAGACGAGCTCGAAAATCACTCCAATGCCGCAATTATGAATGAGGTTTGTGTTTCGAGCCCATTGTGACAAAGGTTCTGACCAGCTCTGGTAGGTCAAAAGTCTCAATGCCTCAATAGTTCAAGTCAATGACAAGATTGGCCGGCTCGACGAGCGCATGGATAGCATCGTATCCATGTTGCAGACGCTCATTGCCGCTGCGCAAAAGAGTGGCCATCCAGCTCCAGCAAAGAAAGTCGCAACAACTGAGGTGAAACTCGGGCTTGAGTCAGATCCTCAGATCGAGATTCCACTTGATTTGCAGTCTGAGTCCCTCGGTTCTGCTCTTGGATCCATCATCTCGCCGTTCTCTACTGTGACTGATGTCGCAGTGTCCGAAGGAGCAGCGCCCGTCGCGGCCATCACTGATGCACTATCTGGGGGATTGCTCACAGGTGCCCTCGAATACCGGGAAACTATTGGGGGTATGGCGAGCAGCCTGAGAGTGGGGGTATCCGGTTTCAAGCGGGGAATCAAGGGCTCGACCAAACCCGGGAAGGGAGATTCTAGGGACAAGAACATTCCGGTGGAAGTCAAGGTTCCTATCAAATCGGATGATCTCGACGATATCGTTCAAGGATACGGATACGACCATGAGCCTCCCACCAAACACCCGGAAACCCAGGGTACCAACGCGGTCTCATTCCCTCGTCTGCCAGACATGCGTGAAGGATCCAATTTCCAATCTTCAAATGGCTCTCACGACGACCCGGGCCCAAAATCACCTGAAGCTCAGGTGGACCGCGGAGGAATTGTGATCGCTAGCGGACATGAGCTCTCGAAAGAGTTTTACCCTCGTGATATTTATTCGCCTGACTCTCAGAATGCATTATCCGAGGGTGGCTCTACGACGTGGATGACAGACGGCAGGAGTGCGGGCACACCAGTCGATCTGAGCAAGTCGCCAAGCGTGCAGACGTTTGGAACACCGGGCTACGAAGATTACTCGGTACCTAGTCCCCGCATTCCAATGAGTGAACTAGGCAATGCGACGGCGAATACGCTGAGGAAGATGCGCAAGCAAAGCAGGTCGAATCTCAGAGATGGCCACTTTGGCTCGGGGCATGACACTCGTCCGAGTACCGATGAAAGCGTCAAGAGCTCTGGTAGCGCCTTTGGAGGATTCGGGAAGAGCATGCGCAAGCGGCTCAATTCGCTCAAGGGCAGCAAAGAGACGCCGTCAAAGGAGTGGGAGCGACCCCCTGCTACGCCCGATCATTATCCACTGAGCTCTCGAGGCCAGATTACGACGTCGAAGGAATGGGAAGGCGCCTCTCCCAAGCTCGGGCATCCTCCCTCATCGAGCTCTCGAGACAACCCTCCTGGTCATGTCCGTCCAGCCCCTCCGCAACAATATAATTCTGCATCTCCAGTCGACTATAGAGACGTTCCATTCCATACGAGGGGAGAAGATGGATATAGGTCCGACCCTCACACGCCAAACTCTGCGCCGCCCTTGAATGGGAGGCGACCGATACAGCAGAACATGAATGGATATGAACGAGGGTACCCTCCTCCTAATATGGAGCAGCAATGGAACCCAGGCCAACAATGGCGTGAACCCCCGCACTGGTCACCACCCAACGAAGGCAGGGTCGACAGAGGCGCAGAGAGCGATGGAGGTGCCTCGTCTCTGCCGTGGCCAAATGATCCACCATCTGCAAGACCATTTAGGCACCAGACTGGGCATCCTGGAGTCTCAAGTCCTCGGCCGCAAGGACCACGCACTCGTGGCCTTAGCTCGCCAGCAAACCAGCCACACCAACACTTGATCGGTGATCCTAGGGGTAGAGGAAACGTTTTCTAGTTGTTCTATTTGCCTCTAGATCTTTATTCTTATGGAGCGGCGCTCATAACCTGGTCCTGGCGTGAATGGTACAATGACTGTATTTGCTTTCTATTCACAACATGTTTTAATCTAGACTATGCTTGAAAGTTGTCCTTGCTCGCCATAAAGGCGATCAAGTCGACAACACGCTTCGAGTATCCCCACTCGTTATCGTACCAGGACACGAGCTTGACAAAGTTGTTGTTGAGAGAGATACCAGCCTTGGCATCAAAGATGGACGAGTGCGGGTCGCCAACAAAGTCGGTCGAGACAACTTCGTCCTCGGTGTAGCCGAGAATGCCCTATGACCATCAGGACCTATACACAAAGGGTATAAAAGGGTGGACTAACCTTGAGCTCGCCCTCCGAAGCAGCCTTGATGGCTTGCTTAATCTCATCATACGAGGCACCCTTCTCGAGGCGGACGACCAAGTCGACGACGGAAACGTCCGAGGTGGGAACACGGAAGGCCATACCGGTGAGCTTGCCGTTGAGGCTTGGGATAACCTTTCCGACGGCCTTGGCGGCACCAGTCGAGCTGGGGATGATATTGGCTGCGGCGCCACGGCCACCACGCCAGTCCTTGGACGAAGGACCGTCGACTGTCTTTTGTGTGGCAGTCGTGGCGTGGACGGTGGTCATGAGACCCTCGACGATGCCAAACTTGTCGTGGATGACCTTTGCGAGTGGGGCGAGGCAGTTTGTGGTGCACGAAGCGTTGGAGACGACGGTGCATTGTGGGTCGTACTTGTCGAGGTTGACACCACAGACGTACATGGGCGCGTCTGCAGAGGGGGCGGAGATGATAACCTTCTTAGCACCTCCCTTCAAATGGGCCGAAGCCTTTTCGATGGTGGTGAAGACACCCTGTGCGAGTGGTTAGATAAAGGTGTGTGTGAGAGGGGAATTGAAGGTGGCGTACGGTGGACTCGATAACATAGTCGACACCTTGGCTGCCCCAGGGAATGTTGGCAGGGTCGCGCTCGGCATAAACGGTGACGGCATGACCATCAATGACAAGCTTGCCGTCCTTTACTTCGACGGATCCCTTGAAGCGTCCGTGGGTCGAGTCGTACTTGAACATGTAGGCCTAGCCACCGACGAACGTGCTTAGTCCCGTCGCAAATCCAACCGAGAAGCGATATTTTCTCACCATGTAGTTGAGATCAATAAAGGGACTATCCGAAAACGTCAGCAATGTGCTGCCGACGGCGTCTGAGGCACTCACTCGTTGACGGCCAAGATTTCAATCTTGGGGTCGAGGATTGCATTCCTGAAGACGATACGGCCAATACGACCTGTAAAATGTAGAATGTTGAGCCCAGAGGGTTACATCGAGTGCCATCGAAGGCGACTGACCGAATCTGTGGGGGATCGCATGTCACCGCGTCGTCAGCGCCGTCTGTAGAGGAGACGAGGATGACTGTAACAAGTACATACCCGTTGATTCCGACTTTGACAGTCATTATTTTTCAGCTGTGAGATGGGAGGGGATGTGGTGGAAGGAGTCAAGGTTTCTCGAGTTGGGCGTAATGGGCTCCATTGGCTTTTATCTTTTTGGACCCGCCCGTGTCGCTTACCAAACGTCTGGCTCTCGTTGATAATCCAACCGTGCACATTCTTCGAACAGAACATGCTCAGCGCCAGACTTGGTCAGCTTCCTCGGCAACGGCGTCGGGCGTCCTTGTTCGTCGTAGCGGCATGAAAATCAATCCGTTGCCACTTTCAGACGCATCTACTCGGACTTTTGGGCTCCAATCCGATGTCGCCCGACGAATCCCGTTCTCGTCTCAGAGCCTAGCCGCTGCTCTCGCCTTTGCCGCGATTAGAAATATCCGGACAGAAAATACCCAAGACGTGGCGTTCATTAGTACGATCAAAACTATGCACATTAAAATTTCAATAAACCAAATCAGTCCATCGTACATTCCTCCAGATATGCCAAGATGCCATGCAAAAAAAAAAGTCACTCGGAAAAAGGGATCCAGGGGGGGAAGAACGGGGCGGAGTGGTCGGTACGGAGACTATCCTCCATGAGACACGGATGGCACAGAAATAGGAGCTAGCGCTTGCGCTAGCCTCATGAGATTGCAGCTAGCCAGCGTTGCTGCTGGGCCCAACCATGGATCGGGCGTGAGAGCATCCGGGCTCTTGGAGAGGGATAGACGGTGAGTAGAGAGAAGTAAAGAGTGAGAGTGAGCCCACTAGTCGTAGGCAATGAGGTCGTGAAAGAGGGAGATGAGATGAGATGAGAATAATATACTATGGGATCGGGGCTGGCACTCGGGAGACGCGTCGTACTTGGCTACTCGTCCCTATTCGAGTGCGGTCGTCTATAATCGGTCTCCCGATCATATTCTTCGGGGAAGAGGCTACTCCGTCCAACGTCCATACGCGGTCTTCCGATGGTCGTCCTAACCCCTGATTCCTATCACCTGGAACGGCCATGATACGATCAGGCGTGTAGCTTCGCACATTGTGTTCTGGTTGAAGCGTACGTTTGGGCGCAGACAGCGTTGTTGACCCGGAGCCCATCGCAGAATTATTGCGAACATGTTGTGGTTGAGAGTAGCTTGAATAACCATGTTGAGCGGCGTTGCTATGGCTCGTATTTCCAACATAGGCGTGTGAGTGACTCTCCTGACTCTCGCTCTCGAATTCAGCACCAAAGCCTCCTTCAATCGTAATCGGAATGTCGCCATGCCGTGTCCCTTGTCGCTGCAAAGACGCGCCCTGAGAGCTACCCCACTCTTGATGCTGCTTTTGTGCTATTGGAGAAGCATATTCTGGCGGCGGGCGCGAGTATCGCGATTCAGAACGGTTTTTACGATCCCGAGCCGCCTCTTGCTCCTTTTCCGCCCTTTCCCGCTCCCTTTGACTGCGTTCGCGTTCACGATCCTCGTTGGGAGTTCGGATTGGTGGTGGTCGTAGCGCAGTCGAAGCAGTTCCGCCGCTGTGTGTGCTCGAATTGGAGCTCACAAGCATCGAGTTTCCACGTCCATACGGATGGCGAACACGTGTAGCCAGGGTCAACGCGGAGTACGCGTCCGAGGCAGAATATATGCTCGCGTTGTCAGTCTGCGGTGGCGGAGACGCACTGCGCATCCCTCGACTCGAGTTGTTGTTGGAAGACATGTAGCTGCCCTGTGCAGATAGCGGCGGGAGCTCTGGTACCGCAGGTGGTGGGCTAGAGGTAATCCTGTCCAAGATACCGGATGAGGCAACAGATGCGCTTCTCCGTAGGTCCGCCGCTCGTCGTTCTGCGTCGTTGCGCATGTTGGACGAGTAAATATCTAGCCCCATCCCCTCATCCGCATATTCTTCGTCTCGTTCTGGCCGGTGAGCCAGAGCAGACGATCGCATCGGCTGCGAGCGGTTGTTATAATTTGGCACTAGATGCGTTCCGCTCGATGCTTGGTCCGAATCGCTCGTTACGCTCTCGTTTCGTGCGCGCCCTTTGAACCGCACTTCCGAGTCTCGCCTGGAGGCCGCGCCTAGCCATGTCTGGCCAGCGGAACCCAGCGTCCTCAACGAAGTCGGCGTTTCTCTACCGTCTGAGCCCCCTGGGAGGTTCTTGTATCCAGGTCGTTTGCCCATGTTATTGAGGGCGATGAGCGTTTCGCGGGCAGCACCGCTTACAATGCTTCCACTACCGACGCTCCTGACTTCGTTGTGGTGCTGATCTACAGGGTATCCCGACCCTGTTGTTGGCGTTTGCATATAGGATGCATCTTCCTTGGCACCGATGTTGACCCGCCCAATTCCTAAGACTTTGTCCGCGTTGCCTTCAGTTCCATCGGTCAGAGTTCCTGGTCCTCCCTTCATCGAATACCGTAGGTCCTCTTGCTCTGATCCGGCGTTCCGTGATTGACTCCGTTGCCGCCTTCCACGGAGGAACCATATCAATGCGCCGAGGAGTAGGACACCAAGTAAACCCGCAAGCGCAAAGGTGATAATTTTGAAGACGGAAGAGTCTGAAGAGGTCGCGCCGTTGTCACCATTCAGTGTCGAGCCCGCGGATGAGGACGGCAGAGCGGTTGCCGGAGTAACAGTCGACTCAAACGCGCCAATGTCTGTCGTCGACGTTTCCGTAGTCGCACTAGGGGGTACAAATATTGGTTAGATCAGTATGTCTTGTCTTAAGCGGAAGCAGGCACACGAAGCAGGGGCAGAGTGTCTACGCACGCAAGAGTAAGAACCATAAAGTCCAAATCAAGCCAGAAGTCTTCTTCATTTTGTAAGACGACTGTATGACGCTCGGCCTCGGTGCCAAATATGTTGGAGAAGAGGAGCTGCTGGTACCGGGCCTGCTCAGCGAAGCCGGTGGTGTATTTGATGGTGCCGTCGTATGTGACAGAATACTTGCCATGGTTAGGCCCTGCGTCGCGTGAGTATATAGCCATGGGTGAGGCGCGGGAACTGATACGGCCTCGAATGGACGGAAATGGTTATACATACCAGTGGATCCGTATATCTGAAATGCAGAGCCTATCCTCGGGCGTCATTAGCACAGGATTACTGGGGGGGGCGCGGCAAGCACTCACCGACAAATGTGATGCTGACTTTAGCCCCCTTTGTCTGGGCGGCATGGTACGTCTTGAGGAAAAAGTTGTCGTTGATGCTGACCTGGTTTGTCGCCTGACGTCGCCATTCGCCCGACCAGCTAAAGTTTGGGCTTGTATCGTCCGCGGTGAGGTTCATATGTTATATATATGCAGTAAAGACCGTGATGGAGTGTTGTCCGTGGGGGATCCGCCGCCAAATGCGGACCAAAATTTAAAATGTACGACCAGACGGCAGAGACGAGTGAAAGCGCACGTCGGAGGCTGCGACAGGCAGCTATCAAACGCGGTACCAGACGATGCTGAAGGAAACAGCGGACGTGGTCGAGAACAAACTGGGAGGGATACCCAGGGCGGGTCTTGCCATAGCCATCATTTGTAGCCGGCTCAATGGGTGAGAACCAGTCGAGGCCGCCCACACAAAAGCCAGCACAAAAGTACTTGGGAAATCTTGTCTCATTCGTCGATCGATCTTGTCCTCGGAAGCTCAAGGCTTCGGTCTTTGAGTCCAACAATTTTCCCCACATGCATAGGATTCCCTTGTGTATCCGTTCCTCTTCAGAGAGTGTATGTAGATTTTCGAGTATTTTTGGGAATTTCTTCTGGCTACGCCCAGGCACACGCCCCACATAAAGACCTTGTCCAAGTTAGCCGATCTGTCCAAAAGCTGCCCATCTGTCTCGGTAACTCGCAAAAACCGTGCGCACAATCTCGAAACTACTCCAGACACATCAGAACCTCCCTGCTACTCACGTTTCGTCGGCCCGACTCGAGGTACCATCTACCTTCATTTTACGAGACGGCACGATAGCCAGAACAAGTTTCAATTGTAAAGGGTCGATTAATCATTCATACTTCTGCCATCCTCGATGTGAGACAAGTTACCTGTCATCCAGTGGCTGACAACGGATCGGTACGAAAGACGACGTCGGACAGACAGACAGACAGACGGACAGCGAACCGCGTGATTCCTACTCGAGATCTTCAAAGTCGCTTTTAATTCCAAAGTGCTGAGAGACTTCTTCCGCGTTCAAGCTGTACTGGCGTACAACGTAGTCTCTAGCGAGAACGACATTCTCTGGGAACAATTTTAGTGCATAGAAAACACCATGGTTTACCGGTCTTACCGGTCCATCGAAAAGCCGCCTCCTTTGCGAGACGCATAGCCGTGCGTCGCTGCGCAAGCTGCTCGGGATCACATGCTCCATACTGCGCCAGTTCACTCCTGAGTTTCGAAATCTCGTCTTGGAGAGACTGAAATTCGGCCAATGCCGCTTCACGTTCGACCTATCGACGACGGCTAAGAGAGTAAAGATCTTCCGAGCTTTACGCACTGTAGGAACTCGCATAACTTGCTCCGAACGTATGCTGTCCTCGGCCTCTTTGATACGGAGAAGAACAGAGCTATTCTCCTCTTGGGCGGATCTGAATTGGTTTCGAAGCTGTATGCACCGCGTTGAGTGAAATAAGGACCCCGTGTATAGGATCGAGTCACCGTAGCTCCCTGAGCAGAAGGGAAACTCCAAAAGACTGCAAGATACCAGTCAATGGATTAAAGTAGGAATGACATGAACCAGCGCCCGTACAGTTTGAAGAACCAATCTTATCGGACTGAACGAGCCCATCAGCCACCAGGCTTTGGACAATGTCCTTGACCGTCTTTTCGACTATGATGCAAAGTCAGTGCAGGGCAACGACGCTTCTGCAGACGTCGTAGCGAACCAACGCCTTGCTTGGAAGCTAGCTTTTCGATCTCTTTGAGCTAGGGATGCGTCAGGAGATGTGGCCACTTGGGAACGCAAACGAGTCATGCCTGGAAAAAGTCCTTCTATTGGCGTGAATAGCGCGTCAATTGTCTATTTGAATCATTTCAAAGGACTTGTTGACCGTTTCATGAAAGATGCTAAGCACTTTGACGCGCTTTTCGTCGACGGACATGCGGATGGCAGGCTGTGATATGTTGCAGACGATGACAGTAAGCTATATGCATTTGTAGATTGTGATAAGAGTGTACCATGATGACTATTCTGTATAGCCCTGGACGTAGTGGATTCCAAGCTGAGTGGCGGAGTTTGAAACCCTTCCCCTTTGATCTATTCACTCTTTTCTTATCTCCCGTTCACAGCTTAGCCGTCCTTTGGCTTCGGCGCCACGCCGGGCCTAACGGGTTCCGTAGCCTTAGCTGACATCGCCAAGCGCCCCTGCCGTCCTCTCGTCCCCTTCTTTCTTCCTTCCACCACATCCTTTTCTCTTTTTATCATGGATTTGGGCGATAATCGGTACCAGGATTCGCCTCGTGCTCGTCCAGAAAGCTTGGTTTCGAGCAGCGATAGCGAGAATGACAGCGATTCACAGTCTGGGACGAGCGCTGTGCTTCAGAGTCGCGGGTCTCTTGCATCTCCTCCTTATTTTACACCTGCAAACCCCGATGTAGAGTCCCTGGCTCGGACGAATTCAACAATGAGCAGTCCCCCCCGTACGGACATTCATCCCCATCTTCATCTAGAGAGTCGTGCGAGCTCTTTGGGCTCGACATCTTCTCTGAGGAATGACCTCCAATGGCTTCACGCTGACGAACTCGTCGCCCTCGCACAAAAGCAAAGACCTCTTGTCGCTCCGACCGACTCGTACGTAGTCCTCGTAACGAAAATGTTGAATCGCTATCTGCGCTATCTCGCAACGACATGGGCTCGCTGCCTTTATTCGCTCGTATTTTTGCCGTCGTGTGAGTTAGTTTGCTTCATGCATTCCACTCATAAATTGACATCTATTGATAGCTCTATTCGACAAATTTTCCATGGTTGCATTTGCATTCTTCTCATCCCTCATCCTCTTTTGCCTCATGCTCTCTTGCATGTTTCTTAATCTCCCATACATCGTTCGTCGTTTCAACGCATGGAGTGCCAAGCATGGTGGAGGTCTCACAATGACCAATGCGGCCTATCCTTCCATATTCCGCAACACGACCGCCAACGAGCCGAGTGTCATTGCCGCTCGCGAGGCGTTGGCCCGACCAATGCCCCCAAGAGGAAACATTCACGACCAAGAGTCACCGCGTATTTTCAATCTAGACGTTGCCAAGTTTATGTTTCAGTGCGCCGCTCTCATGTACGAACGATCATCAAGTCCCCTCCTCGATGCTCTCGAAACCACGCGCAACAACTTTGATGCTGCAGCCGTAAAGAGCCCCGAAAATAGCAGTGTCGTGCCTGATATTGCCGATCCAGGAAGAGTGCTAAAGGAGGTCGTTGGCACAGAGGCCGCTCGCGCCGTCTCAGAGTGCCTCCATTTATGTAATGAAGAGGAGAACGAGATGACACGCTTTGCTGCCAAGTTGGGCATGAAGTATAGCACAGTCTCCGAGCTCAACTCGCAGACGAGCGCATGTGCGGGCTTATTCTGGGACCCTAGCTCAACGTACATTATCCTTGCATTCAAGGGTACTGAGCCGGGAGAGTTTATTGAATGGACGGACGATTTCACGTACGAGGTGAGCAAACGAGTATATCCAGAGGGAAATCACATTGAACATTCGACAGCCACGGGATGCAGGCGATTGGATAAGAGGGTTTGGAAAAGTTCATGGGGGCTTTATGAATAGGATATTCCCCCGAAAGCTGGGTGTCGGCTCTCGGGTCCCATACTGTATGTCGGCTCCTCGAGGGGTTTCGTATTGTTAACCACGCGTGTTTAGATACGATACGCGATGCCGTACGACATACCGCAGCACACCTTCTCGAAAAGAATCCACCAGGCACAAAGATCAACCTCTGGTTGACTGGCCACTCGCTGGGAACGGCGGTAGCATCGCTCGTCTATGCACGCGCACTCAACGAGCCACGCGACTTTGGGCCGCGTGTGGTCCTCCGTGATGCCTTCATGTTTGGCACCCCCATCATCTGCGACGTCCCTTCCGCACATGCGTTCCATAACCGACTTTACCACGACGAACGACGCACGTTGTGGCGTATAACCAATGCCTACGATTGTGTGGCGACAGCATTGCCAGACTGGGGGGACGACCTCCGTATGACGCTCAGCCCGTCAAACCTGTTCTCGTTTGCTCATCTGGGTGTCGAGTTGCAGATGCACCCCGCACCACGGAACAAGGTCATCATCTCAGGCAATGCAATGCCTCATGGAAGTCCAGTATTCATCGAAACGGCCGTAAGACAGCTTGATGGAGGGGCAGCGACGAGTGCAAGCCAGGAAATCGAGCAAGCAAGACAAAATATTGCATTTCTTCTCAAGGTTCCTCTTCTCGGACGTTTGGTCGCACATGGTACCGCACCATATTGGGACGAACTTCAACGCGTACAGACGGGTCGTGTCGAATGGGAGGATCAATAATCGTGTTGGTTAATCGCATATTATGTTGTTTCTCTATGTCATTTGTTTCTTTATGGTAATACGATCTTGTAGTCCAACATCCCACGCTTCTTAGTCCCACCCACGTTTGCCGCTTTGAGAGGATGAAACGTTTTCCTAGAGTTTATTCCATCAGATGATGCCGGAATGCACAGATAGACACCCTAACAGGGTCTCGTTGCTCCTCCTGAACGATAACGAGAGGCGACATATGCTTAGCCCCAGCCAATTCAGTTCGTAGTCGAATGAGGAAGTAGACTACGTTGGAATCTTCGTTTGGAAATAGGCTCCAGCTTGGCAAAGGACGAGAAGCCGTTGGGACCGTATGGCGCATTGGCGTCGCTGGCCACCGCGCGCCTCTGTTTCCGGTTGCCTGCAAAGCCCATCGGTTGCGGTATCACATTAGACTGCGCGTTTCTGGCTATAAGAACTGCGTTTGGGCGGGACCGTCGAACCAGGAGTCTCCTCTCCCCCTTCGCGGCCAACTTTCTCTCCGTCGTTCTCCGACAACCGAGTTTGAGCTCTTTCAGTCCCCTTGTTTGTCCAGGATGATACCTACTTTCTCTTTTGCCGCCCTCATACTCGGCATGCTTGCAACCGTGAGCGCTGCTCCGCTCAACCTCATGGAGAGTCGTGCACTCCCGACCCCTGTTTCCGTGGCCACAGCAAAGACCTACCTCGCTGCTTGTACGTTTCAGCCTTGCTCATGCTTCTAACTACTCGACGTGTTTATGACTGGACTGACGGTACTGGACAGTGACAATCAAGGCCGAGGCAAATGCGGACACGTACGTACTGGTATTGCTGGCGCGCAGTACAGCGCTGAATGCTACCTCGTGAGCAGTTATGATCGCGATTTATTCCCTCATTGGATCACCATTTCTGGCGCTTGTAACACGCGTGAGACGGTACTCAAGCGTGACGGAACGGTACGCACACTTTCGTTCAGTGCTTTTTGACTGACGCTTTAGTAGAATGTCGTGACGAGCAGCTCTTGCGCGGCTACCTCCGGCTCTTGGTATTCTGTCTATGAAGGTGAGATTCAACATATTATTGATGCCAGTTATTGACTTGAGTAGGTGCTACCCAGACATCTGCCGGCAATATTCAAATCGACCATCTTGTTCCATTAGCCGTGGGTTGAATCATGTTCGAGTCGCATGATACCTACTGATATCATTCTAGGAGGCGTGGAGGTCTGGTGCATCTGGATGGACAACAGCTAGGAGACAAGCGTTTGCAAACGATCTCACTCGTCCTCAACTCATCGCCGTAACCGGTGCGTTTTATACCTGCCTGAGATATTGATCTGAATTGGTGCTTGCAGGTAGCGTCAACCAGGCTAAGAGTGACAGTGATCCGGCTGAATGGATGCCACCCCTCAAGTCTTACTGTATGCCTCGAGACTTAGCGAGTGAGATATACTGACAGACCGACAGATTGCACTTATGTGCGCGCGTGGATTCAGGTCAAGTACTACTACTCGTTGTCGGTGGATCAGGCCGAGTACAATGCATTGTACAAGTATTTGTACGCATGCTAGGAAGAGGCAGAATTTCGATAGCAAGATACCCGGTTCTAACGCAATACAATCGTTCTTGGTCTGTTTATACATGCAGAAAGCTGAGTGAAAGCTCTGGCAGCAATCAAGCGGTCACATGAATGCGGCGTACACGACGAGAACGTATGTAGACGGCACTTTCGATAAGGAAAATAAGGAAACCACCGAATCCTAAAATTCCAAGAAAGACAACGAGGCTTGTTGAAGTTGGATAATAAGGGAAATGATGTGCGTGGCGGATGTGCTCTGCTCTGCGCAAGATGAGCGACTTGCCAAAGGATCAAGATGACAACATACTCTGTCCAGCCGAATCCGCCAATGAAAAGGAGTGAAAAGAGGAGGAGTAGGAAGAGCATGGCGGGTCTCCCGAGGCCAGGACTAGTTGTATAAGTCGTTCAAATAGCGAGATTTTGGTGGAGATACGTACATGCACATTATCATACCAGCAACCACGGCGATGATAGACACAATTAGGTCGTACAGATACGCGTCGCGGAGTGGTCGAAAGTAGTTCATGGTCCCCCAGCGAAATCTATGATACAGATACGCACTGATGGAGAGCGAGACGAGGCTTAAAATTGCGTAAAAGGCGCCATACATGGGCGCCATCCACATGTCGAGAGGATCCATTGGGTGATCAAGGTCGCCTGCAAGTGATGCCGATGGGGATTCAGATGCTGTTGGTGCTTAAGTAGAGATATGTGTGTGGCATGGGGATGGGCCTCGTCACCGGAACCCCCTTCTCGACTTCTTGTCCTCAAAACGAGCACCTGGAGTTAAATGTCGGAAGCAGTATTGGTCGTTTGTAGTTTAAGGTTACATTTGTTAATTATCTTAAACGGTAGCAGGTCTGGTGGCACGGCGACGACGGAAGATGGAGATTTCGCCAATAAACGCGATGAGTCCGAGGAAGGCGGCAATGCCCAAGAACACAACGAGTGCAGTCGCCACTCCATGGTGTGGGAAGAAGCGTGCATGCTTATGGTGTTCGTACCTGGGAAGAGATAAGTCAAGAGCCTATACAAGGTTCGAGGGAGCAGCGTACTCTGTCCACCCAAAGCCTCCAATGTACAACAGGGGGATTAGAAGGGCAATGGCGAGCACGATTGGTCGACCAATGATCGGTCTGAAATATGGTCAGCGACAGCCACGCCGATTTTGGTAAGAGAAACGCACAAGCAGATTAAAAGACCACCTCCAATAGCTAATACAGATACTATAAGATCATAGAGGTATACATTGCGCAGTGGGCGGAAATAGTCATCGCCGCCTTCCTTGTAGTGGTGGAAAAGGAATGCCGACAAGCCGAGGATGATGATGCTGAGGATTGTATGGAACACTCCGTGGAAAGGGGCATTTCCGAGGCCTTCTGAACGCGTTGCGCGGTCCATGCTGAGTTTGGCTAAGGAGGTGACGACCTGTACTGGAAGGACGAGTCTTGCCCGAACCAAAGAGGCGTCTTGAGCTAGTTTTATGCACTTTAGGAATCCATTAGGCAACCTGCTTCCACATCCTTACGTCGGTCAGTTACTAACATGATGACGCCAACAAAAGGGTGGAGTGTGGCCAAAAAAAAAGACTTGTGACGCGAGAGATGACAAAAATACTTCATTTGGTCACGTTTTGTTCATCGTGATCCGGTCATTTGTCGTCATTCGGTTGCACCACACGTTCCCGTACGGGTCTTGACTACGACCTGTCCGCCCTGCGCCCTCTTGCCCACCCCCGCTCACGTCGTCACCTTCCTTGTCGATGAACCCAACGCCATAGCTGCGTTCAGCGGTGATACCCTTGCGAGGACACCGCCAGTTGAGAGTCGGCGGGCAGGCCCTGTCCACAGCATGACATGTTTCCAAACATGGCAACAGCTCCGAATAGCTGCCAACCGCGGAAGAGCCCAGAACAGTCTGGTCGACGCGAGCAGAGGTAGCTGTAGTATTTGTCGAGCCCACAACCCGGGGGACTATTGCCGCAGGCGGTAAGAGAGACTCGTCCACCTCCCCACATCTTGGGACCAACGTCGAGCACAACCACGTCCTGTATGCACGCTCGCAGCTCGCACATGATTGCACGATCGAGTACAAGTCCCGTCCGCACGCAAATGTCTTGAGTGACGACGTAAAGTTGCCAAGCGAATTGAATAGCGTCTCTTGAAGCTGAGAGGGGAAATTGCTGGCGTCATAGGTGCTTGGAGTGCCGGTGAGGGGAGGAAAGGGTACTGAATATGCGACACTCGGACAAAATGGCAATGAGTGTGCCAGAGTGCACGGAAAGCCATCTCGCTTAGTCTTGAAAAATGCTGGCTGTGAGAGCAGCACCTGGTTTCCAAACGTCGACATTACATAAAATGTATAATTTGTCGACGGGTTGAGCCCCTGAACGATATGCTGTGTCCGCCAGCCTTCCTCCTGGTTCCTTAGGACCAGCCTAGTGGCGATATTGAGGCTACCCGTAGTATTCGTTGACGCTTCCAGAGACTGTAAGTAGCATGCGGAGCTTGTCAATTCCGTTTTGAATTGGCCGTCGTCATTGATGAGCAAAGACGTCGGAAATACGACAAGCGTATTGTTTGTCGACGTTGCTTCTGTCGGAGCAGATGGCGATGACAAGTTCTTATCGGGCAACTCGTACTTTGGAAATGTCGGCTCGACAAAGTCTGATGCCGTGTTAGGTATCGGGGGTGAAAAGAGGAGGGCCGATGTGCTCGTCGAGTCGCCAAATAATGGCGTCCTTTCCGATCGCCAATGGAGTGGCTCGTTTGCTGGACCTTGTTAGAAAAGATAGACCATCCGATCGTGAATGACTCACTCGAAAGGCCGACGCTAAACCTCCAGGGTCCACCTGTGGCGCCTGGAGGAAGAATGACTTGCAGAATGCCACCATTGTCCAGTGACTTAACACTGTTCCAATAGCCTACGCCGCCGCTTACGTCCAGCTCTTGACTGTTGGCAACCGGAGTGATGCTAGGTGTGCTTGCGGTGGTGGTTGACGTCTGTGAGCTCGTTTGACGGGTTGTTGATGATGCTGTATTTGCTAGAGCGAAGAACCGCGGTGGATTCTGACCGTCGACTTGTGTGCAGAGTTCCACGCTCAGCACGACCGGTCGCGGCGTCGAGGGAAGCGAGAGAAGTAACGATTGTGTATTTGTGCTAATAGAGTGTGCAGTGATCTTGTCCAATTCAACTGGCGTTGTGAATACTTGTGCGCGCGTCCGTGGCTCGTGCTGGACAAGGCCAAGTAGGAGGAGCAGCAACGCTATAGGAACTCTATCAAACAGCATTCTCGTCTGAGACCGAGTTTGCCACCACTGGCGCTGCTTGAAGTAGCTTCGGCGAGGTTGGACGAGGGCAAAGTTTCTTGACCTCGACGACAACCACACAAGTCCATCCAGCTCGTGTAATCATGGCGAGTAACAGATATAGCGTTCTAAAAGGTGGAAATGCTGACGATAAACGCGTTCTACAGTCAAAATCTACCGCGATAGAAACCTCGCATGAGGACATGATCGTCAGTTGCTACGCAGTCATCTCGTATGAACATCAAATTGATTCTATTTCTATCATTCTATGAATTCTCGACACTTGGGTTTGGTCGCTGCACCTCGGACGTGGCGAACGTGGCGTGCCCCAATAACAGCATGATGCACAACTCGACTATTACGGAAAACGACTCGCAACTTGCTCTTCAGATAGAACTATCAAAGTCTTTGACCTCTCGTCGCCTATTGCCTCGACGGGCACGGGAGCAGCGGGCCAAAAAAGCGTCGCGCAGATCAAGAACAACGCGCCTAGTACGTACATTTAGCAATAGTGCGCTCGAATCTTAGTACCTTAGCCCATACACTTACGGGGCATACGGGACCTGTTTGGCAAGTCGCTTGGGCACACCCAAAATATGGCAGCATTCTCGCCAGCTGTAGCTATGACGGCAAGGTGTGGCAATTCTTCATTCATTATAAATTGCACTCAAGACTCTAGGTGCTCATTTGGAAAGAGTCGACGACTGGGACCGGAGCGGGCTCTGGAAAATGGACGACCATCAAGGAGCATAGTTTACACAGCGCCAGTGGTAAGGTATCGTCGGTAAAAAGAAACATAGCTGACTCTTCTTAGTAAATTCGGTTGCCTGGGCACCCCACGAATTGGGTGCAATACTCGCCTGTGCATCGAGTGATGGACGGGTTTCTGTTTTGACGTTCAAGAGTGCGTATAAATATCGAGGCATTGAAGCTCGTAACTTATCGCTTCAGACGATGGCACTTGGGATGCCTCGTTGTTCACCGCGCACGCGACTGGATGCAATGCCATTTCCTGGTCACCCTCTGTCCTCCCTGGTTCCCTAATCTCCCCGCAAAACCTGGCTGGATCCAGCTCAAATGCGCAACCGACTCCTGTCCAGAGGTTCATTACCGCGGGCTCTGACAATCTGCTCAAGGTCTGGACACTCAATACGAATCCGGCGACGTCACCGTCTGGCAGCTTTTCAACACCAGGCTATGACCTCGCGTCGACTCCTGGTGCAAATTCGAATGCAAATGCGACGTGGATTCTAGAGGAAACGCTCGAGGGACATTCCGACTGGGTGCGCGATGTGGCATGGGCGCCAAACGTTGGTCTGCCGCGGAGCTACGTGGCGAGCTGTGGCCAAGATAGAAGGGTGTTCATCTGGACCAAGGATGGCGAGCAGAAGAAGTGGGAAAAGGTTGCACTGGACGCGGGTGGGCTCGAGGGCAATGCGAACAGCGAAGGTCGGTTGGAGTCGCCTTTGTGAATGGTTGTGCTGACGCCTCGTAGATGGCAAGTTTCCGTCTGTAGTATGGCGCGTCTCGTGGTCGCTTGCGGGTAATATCCTGGCCGTGAGCTGTGCAGATGGCAAAGTGAGTCTGTGGAAGGAGAATCTACGCGGCAAGTGGGAGTGCATCAGTGAAATGGACAGCTAGACACAATATCGGAACCGTAATACAACGAGACGTCGGGTACGGTTGCAATAGTGGGTGCTGTGCGTTTGATGAGAACGAGGCTCAGCTGTGGATGGTGCTTGCGGTGCCTTTGAGAAAAGGAGAGCGAACCTCGTTTGGAAAGATATACCCGAAACAGACATACATCACCTGATCGACTGAGAAGTGAAGAGTATCATGGCAAGCTTCTTAGTAGAGTTGGAAAATCTGTAGACGGCGTTTACGCATGTCTGCAGCAAGTTTGAACGGAGAAGAGGGCTCAATGACCTCGACCGAGAATAGGCGGAGCGATGCACGGCAGGGATGCGGCTTGAGAAGAGGGAAGGCGTCCAACAATCGCACGAAGCAAGCGTTTAATCTCCAAGATCAGCGGATTTCTTGAAAAGCCGTGCCAGACATTTGCAGCATTGGGTGCTTCTCGTCTGCGCTTCTCCTGCTTTCTTTATTCAGCCCTCAAACGGTTCGCTTCTTCTTCGCTTTGCATCTAGGCTATCCAATTTACTCCATGTTACATATCAGTCCCAGTCTTCGGAGCAGCGCCTGCCTCTTCTTGCTCCCTCCCGCTCCCGCACTGGCTCCTGTCGAGGATTTCGTGTGGTAATGTCAAACCAGACGCTCTACGAACCAATTCAGGCGACCCCAAAGCCAGCAGACAGACTCGTCTTTAGCGATCCCGCCCTCATTGACACAATTTACACCAGCAGACATAAGAAAAAGCCAACTTGGCTCACCTCTACTATTGGTCCCGTGACAACCTTGTTTTCTATTTCATCCAATGGCACATTGAGATCGTTTGCTGTGATTCACTGGGACACTAATGCGCCTTCCAAATCGGATATCCAGGTGGAAGTAAACGGCCAGACGGTGACTGCAGAACGTTTTGGAGTGAAAGCTCAAGGATTTCTCAATAAGAACGCTAAGTAAGCCTCTTTTCTCCCCGGGGAGCGGTTATTCACCTTGTTTCCGAGGTCGAGTACTTTCTATCTCGGCGACCTGCTATGCTATTGGACGTTTGAGCGCTATGATCTGGGTATAGGCGGTACGAGCATCCTTTCAGATGCCCCAGTCTGGAATTGCTATGCGTGTACAAGTACGCACCCTCTTTCGCCCCTATTTCCGGCAACCTGAACCCAGAGTTTTTTGCAGCCCCAGTGTCTCCACCACCCACTCAATCCAAATGGAAGCATCTTCTCAAACCCAAGGCTGTGGAGACTAGACAGCCGTTGGCCACCTACCGGCCGACCTATGGCACCGTGAAATCTGCAGAACGCATGTCAATCTACCCGGACGGAATGCCTTTTATTGGTCTCCTCCTCACCTCTCTTATTCTTCTCGATGTCAAGAGGGAAGACTGGAAAAAGGTTCAAAGTGCAACTCAGCCCGCAGATGTCGAGGCCGTTTTGCGGCAAGACGCGACGGGGAACTTGCCCATGTACACACCAGAACGAACCGATGAGCCCTCTACACGCTCAGAACTACATCCGACGCTTCCGACCACGAGCCCGTGGAGGTGGACGCCTCCATCGACCTCTCAACCTCAGGCTCAGAATGCGACCCCTAGGCTGAAAAGATCAACATCGGCAGTAGCAACAGAGCTTTCTACACATTCTTAATGATCCTGTATTAACGTTTTTGTTCGTCTCGTATAATTGTAATGGGATTGCTCTCTTGAGTGAATCCTTCTTAGTCTCGACCTCGACCTCGGACTCGACCGACGCAAGCCCCTGGTTGACATTTATTTTTTCAAACTCTTTCACTTCAATCCCACCAAATGTCGGAAAGCCCAAAGGATGCCGTAGAGACGCTCGTTTTCAAAAACAACTCACTCATCGATGCAACGTTTACGAGCAGAAAGCAACGACGTATCGTATGGGCAACTTTGACCTCTGGGACTAGCACGACGCTGTATTCGGTCTCCCCACACGGCAAACTGGAGGCGGCTGCCTCGATCCACTGGCATAGGGCTGGATCTCATCTATCTTTGAGGAACAGTGCTCAGTCCACAGTAGAACTAGAGGGAAACGAGTTTACGATTGAGCAATTTGGGTGGAGGGTGCGAAGAGGCGCCTTTCTTTCAGGCATCAAGTGGGTGTATTCATTAGGCACTGTCGATGTTAGATTCACAAAGCTTAGATCCAACTACTTCACACTGGGCAGCCATAGATGCCGCTGGAAGCCCGATAGTAGCGGTAGACTGTTTGACCAGACGCAGTATATGAGCGATGCCATGACATGGGTATGCGAGGCCGAAGATGGTGATTAATCTTTGCCTTGTATCAACGCTAACTAACCGTCTCATTTTAAGTTGTTGGACCGCCGCCACACGACTCGCATGGATTGTCAAAGCTGAATTCGGTCCTCAAAAAGCAATCCATATCCAAGTCAACATTGGCCACGTTTTGTCCATCCTACAATTTCAGCCGACATGGGGGTGATTTGGCCATTTACCCAGAAGGAGAGCCGTGGACAGTCTGGCTGCTGCTCTCGCTCATTCTGATGCATGTCAAGAGACAGGAATGGGAAAAGGTCCAAAGCCAGGCATCACCAGAAGCATTGGAGGCGACCCTTGGACAACGGGCGGCTCCTACTCGGCCAGTGCCATGATGTATCCAGGTTGTTGACACAGATTATGAGCTCCGTCTCCGCGTACAAATCTCTTGCACGCCCGTCGATCACGCCCGCTTTGATGGTGATAGTAATGAATTGACAACCTTGAGCCGCTACTCGTCTTGAAACCCCACTGGGTTTACAATCAGACGAGCTAGCAAACAGCTTGGACGACTGTAAACGACTCGATGAGCTCTGTTGCGGCTGCTCCAGCTGCTCCAGCTGCGTGGACGGCGCCAACCATCTCCGTCCAGCGAAGTAGCATCGACGCGGGACAGCTGCAGCAGCAACAGGCGCTGCGTGCATCGACAGAAACCGCACAAGTAGATCCGCAATGGAATAATACGTTCTGGGTCACGCTCTCGGATCCTCAGGTTGGCTGCCCGTTTTCTGCTGCACGCGTGCTGGCAACATTATGCTGATTGCGTCCGATATGCTCTCTATCTAGACGGGTGCTCAGTTTTACGCGTGTCCCGCCACGGGCGAGTGCTCCTGGGAGCCGCCAGTAGGCAATTTTGTGTACGTCCTCGGCCAGCACCCTGGTCACGTGTTCACCATCTTGAACAGTCTTCCTCCAAACGATCAAGGACAGTGGTGGGAGCTCAGCGACGAGACCCGCGGGGGTCTCCCCTACTATTATCACACCGTGACTGGCGAGACGAGATGGGAAAAACCAGAGAATGAATTCGTAATTCCTCTCCAAGTCATCCAGGTAATGTGTACAAACTGCCCCTTGATCTATATTTGACATGTTCCAGACAACCACACTTGGCAGGCGACTATCGGTAACAGCAATGAACAAGCGCAACAGTCAGGCTAGAAATGATCCATCTATTCCAGAGACTGTGACAGAAACGACTGAGCGACTTTCCCATGAGCATCCGCGTGTACACCAGCGCGGAGATGACGCGCCCAACACACGTCGCACAGTCAAACCAACGTCAGCTACCGGTGTGCTGAATTCGACAAACGAAATGCCAGCCACAGGTGGGAGCACCCATTCATCACCTCCATCCCCTACCCGCCCAAACCGGGCTGCAGGAACACCGTACCACGTCTCTTCGCGCCAACAAAATCTCAACGCTGCCGCCGAGATTGTCGTTCGGTCTACTCGCTCGGGCAGCGTCGGTGGTCCTGGCAGCCGACCGATCGAGGCTTCAAAGAGCGCCCCAAACTTCCGAGACCAATATTCTACTTCTGCCAACCAGTTTCCTCAGGATCTCCAGGATGCCGCTAGCCGACGTGCTGGTCCCTCGGGACAGCTCAGAATACAAACCGACAACAACCTGCGCCAAGTCGCGTCTCACAGTGCCGTGAATGATCGACATGGTGGATTACCGTCCCCGCGTCGACTAGCAGCCTCGGTCCCACAGAAACTTCGCCCCAGACGAAACACGACTACAACCGTGGATCAAATCAGCGGCCCCATGACTGGACCGAGTATGTCATACTTCCAAGCTGTGACATCCATGTTCTAATCAACGTCCTAGGCCATCATCAAATGCCCTTAGCCGATATCGGTGGCGGTCCCATCCTCGTCAATTATAATCAGCCATCGACGAAGCGCTTGAGCACTGGGTAGGCATGCGATTTATTTGTTCATCGTTACTCATCTCGTTTCTAGTGACCACCGAACACTACCTCGAAATCTAGCCCAAGAAATTCAGCAATTTCAGGTGGCAGATTTTGCAAAACGGTACTTTACCACGCATCGAACCGGATTGCTCTTCCGAAGGCGGATACCAGTCGAGCAATTGATGGTCTGGCAAAAAGTATGCCCCTGACTAGTGCCTAAAATCTGAACTCTGACGGACTTTCAGGGTCCACTCTCAAGTCCATTGCTCGTCCTCAACCGATCTCTACACAAGGATGCAGTCAAAATCTTCAAGATTATACAACGCATCATGGGCGATCGTCAATCTGATCGGCCGACGACCAGCCTGCGTATGCATAGCGAAACAGGCTACACCAGTGGGAGAGAAAGCGGTCGGGAAAGCGAGCATAGTCACTACAAGGGCTCGAGCGGCTCGGTCATCGAGGAAGAGCGGTGGCTCCTTCAAGAAGGTTTACTGCACGGCGAGCTACGCGACGAAATTTACTGCCAAGTCGTCAAACAGCTTTCGGGTAACCCATCACCGTGAGTAACGCGTCAGATCACTCTCCTTTTTGGCCACTTAGACCATTCGTAGTGACAGTGTTTTCCGAGGTTGGCAGTTGCTATGCGTCCTGGTCATCACGTTTCCTCCGTCAAAGAACTTTGAGGATTACCTCAGGAGCTTTATGCGGGAGCGAGCGAACCATACAGAAGGTCGAATCGACGTAATGTCAAAGTATTGTATCGGCAAGCTGCGCGTTATCACCAAAAAGGGTCCTCGAGGGAAAGCTCCGTCGCTCCAGGAGATTGAGATTGCACAAGATGCGGCGTTCAACCCGTCGACGTTTGGCGAATCCCTGTCATCTATTTTCCAACTCCAGCAGCGAACGTATCCAAACGCCAAGATTCCCATCATTCTCCCCTTTCTCGCTGACGGCATTCTCGCTCTGGGTGGCATGAAAGCCGAAGGAATTTTTCGTGTCCCAGGCGAAAATGACGTCGTGTCCGACCTTCGCCTCCGGATTGATAGAGGCTTCTACAATCTGGACAACATTGACGATCCACACGTTCCGGCCTCGTTGCTCAAACTGTGGCTCCGAGAACTTCAGGACCCCCTGATTCCGGACGAAATGTACAACGATTGTATATCGTGTGCAGAAGACCCAGAAAAGGTCACTCAGATGATTGCCTCTCTTCCGTCCATCAACCGCCGCGTCATCCTCTTTGTGATCAGCTTTCTGCAAAAGTTCCTCGACGAACGGGTTATGAAGCTAACCAAGATGACGGCCGTCAACCTTGCTGTCGTTTTCGCACCCAACCTTCTTAGATGTGCATCAGACTCGATGGCCGTAGTCTTTACAAACGCTAAGTACGTTCCAAATGTGTGACTCTCAACAACGGCTTATTCATTTCTTAGATTCGAGCAGACCTTTGTGCACAACCTTCTTTTGCACTGTAATTGCGCGAAGATGGATCCCGATTACGTGCCCACCCACGGACTCGGGCCTCAGTAGCCCATCCATTAACTACTAGTTCTGGCTTTGCATCTTGGTTCGTCTCACTTCTTGTATGTATCTTTGCCGGGATATTCCTCTTAGATCTTGATGGTCTCGCTATCTAATACTGTGTTTACTCCGTGGACAATCTAGGGTTTAAACTAGCTCAATCTATATCCCTAATACGAACCCCGAATGCTATCGGAGGCCGAGCGTCTAGCTGCATTAAAAATTCGTATCGAGGGAGCATTCCTGCCAAGTCGGTGGCAAATGTCGTTTCGATGTGATGCCGCGAGATGGTAGTCTGAGAATCCTTGTAATCGTCTATATCTGACACCAAAAAGATCGTGGATATAATGAGGCCAGCCGTGTGTTCTGCAAAGCTTGGATCAATGGCAAGCTCTCTTACCAACCAAGGCTGGGGAGGAACGAATCGAGCCACAACCTGGGATGATGCTGATTTGTTTGATTTGGTAAAGAGCCCTTTGATGCGCTTTTTACTCCCTTATAGGGGCAGGGTGCTCGTGATTGAACTGAGACCGTTGGTGTATTCATATCTTGATGGGCTGATTGAGGCGAGGGATATACACTCCCATCCCTCCGAGAGGCACACTGATGGTCGAGCAATACATGAGGAACCAGGGCCAGGCCTTCAGACCAGCGCATTTCCGCCTAAAATGAGTAGGGAGTATCTGTGTATTCTAAGCCTGTAATGGCTGCACATTGAGTGTCATACGTCTTTCCAATCCATGTCGTAGATTGTCGCCCATACCTTTCCGCAGATTCATCCACACCATTTCGTCGGACGACGATATTCTTCCATGGATCGAAAGATGTCGGTTGATCCATCGTCCAAGATATATCTGCTATCCTCTACAAGGCGCCTGTACTGTAGGATATGTGCCATAGTGTCGTGCAATCGGCCTGGGTCTGGTCATGTACTCGGGGGTCATTACTCCCTGGACGTGAAGTCTTCTGCTGATAATCGCATTGAGGATTGATTTGCCTTTAATGACATAGATATTCTTGGCCACTGGATCAAAGTTGGCTTGGATGGGATATTGGAAGGCGTGCCCGAGATGGAAAAGCCATGAAATCAAGGGGAGTGGGTTTTACTTGGATGATATGCTCTCTTTTTCGCTTACGCATGGCGCATAGATGATCTCTCCACTCCGCAGAAGCCGTGTTCCAATCGGCTTATTTATCAGTATGGCATGTTCCATCTGTGTCGATTTCGTCCCTCTGGAGCCTAATTAGTACCTTCTTGTGACCAGTAGGGTCACAAGAAGCTCAGACTTCTCTCATCACCCAGCACCAGTCCTATAGTCACTTGAAACCGCGAATCGACGAAGCACTTAACAACTTTGACTATATTTTCCCTCCCAAATCGTTTTTGAGTTACACCTTTTCCTGCAATTCTTGGGATCCCTTGTAATCGGGTTCCGGATGTTCCTGCCTGGCCGTCAGCTTGAGGTGCAGCAAAACGAGTTTTCCTTACTGCATGATGCATGCCATGAGCTCCCTTTACATCTTGCAGCGTCTTCTTCCCTACATCCCTCTTGATCTTCCAAGCTGTGAACACATGTCCTTGCGAGAACACTTCTTCAATCTCCTCCAAACTTCTTCCACATGTCTCTGGAAACATGAACAGCACGTGAATAAATGCCGCGAAGTTGAATCCTCCAAAAATGTAATACTATCACCAGTTATTAGGGATCAAGGACACCAATGTCACCCCGGTAGCGCTCACCGTCTTATAGGAAATAGAAGACAGTGCTGGAGGAACGGCCCATGCTGCAGAAAAAGCTTCTTGAGAAGTGGACAAATAAAATAAAAGATGCGTACCCAGTACACAGTTCATGATCCAGTTCGAGGCAGTCGCCAAAGATACTGCTTTAGCTCTCACGCGTAGAGGGTGAATCTCTGAAGCATATGTCCAACTGCAAGGACCCATCTGCGAGGCGTCAGTGCCTGAGAATGGTGGAATGAAGGTTCTGACCGTGATCGCAAAACTGCATACAAAGAAGTACGAGCATACGATGACACCTTTGGTGATGCTTTGATTTCCCGTGATTACCCAGACACGATCTCCATCCACGGTGCCCCACTGGCCATACATGCCTTGAAGGCCTCCGACAAGGAACAGCCAGAAACCCACTGAAAAGCGGTCAACCATAACAGATATATGAGCGTACGAATGCTCACTAAGAAGGAGGCCGCTGTGAACGTATTGTCAGTAGTACTTATGACCCATAGAGCCCTACATACGCAAGTAGCATGGGACGACGGCCCCATTTATCGATGTCTAAAAGCGATAAGCAGCAATTTTGTCGGTTGGGACCCACGTACAGATAATTGCTGGAAGAGTCATTGCAACATTGAGAACGTATCTACAAAGGGTCAGGAAATGGCCGCCTGGCACGAATAGCCTTACTGGACACTAGACGCAATAAGATTTCCTCGACGACCTGCCAAATTTCAACCTTGAGTCAGATCCTTCTCAAAGACCACTAACCAGTAAGACCGGCCCCAATGAACACTATCAAGCATGATTAGAGAGATACCAAATGACTATGAGACGTACCATAAGTGATGTAGTACATCATAATGTTCATCCCTGTAAGCTGAGACCAAGCCTGAAGGGACGTTGCAAGCGTCAATCTGCGTAGTACATTTGGTTCCAGGAGATCTTTATAGGACTTGGCGCCATATTTCTTCTCGAACTCTACTTGATCCTTGATTTCTGTGAATTCAAGTTGCACGAGCTCGGCGTCGGGGTTTCCTTTTCCATGAACCTCTGCTAAGATCTCCAGGGCTTCGTCTTCGTGGCCATGATCGATCTATGGCTTATTCAGCCGCTACCCAGTCCCAAAATGGGCGTACACACGAGCCATCTAGGGGATTCCGGAAACCACGCTAAACAAATAGAATGTCAGACTCCAGCAGGCTGAAAGTGCGACCGTACTCATTCCGATAGAAAGCACAATCGCAGGGATCATCTGTGAGATAATGAGACTTTTAGTTCCCAGAGAAAAATTGGAACCTTCCTGCAAACCCCAGGGAATGCGAAAGGACGCCTTTCCATTAATGTATGAGCAGCCAAATTGGACAAAGTACTGCAGAAGACTTGGAGGGTTGAGCTGCTGACATCAATGCGTGATAAACCTACATTCCCCACGTAATTGACCACTACGACGCTGTTAAGTAAACGAATCTGGCTTATAAAAGCACGTGCCTGTTGAAGACTGATCATCCGTCCACGGATATGCGCAGCAGTGATCTCCGCCTAGAGAGAGTCAACCGGACCCGTGACTGAAAAGTCAATCCTTACCTGGTACAAAGGCACAGTGGCGGATGCTACATAACGTCAACTTCACGCAACCTGCCGAATAGAGACTTACCAATCCCGACGGAGCTTCCAGAAATCAGGCGACCAGCAACGAGCATCCCCCTGTTCACGGCAGCACATTGGAGGATGCTTCCGATGACCCAGATGATACCTGAAAGCTGGATCGTCTTCTTCCGACCCAGGATATCCGCAAGCCTTCCAACCGCGAGAGCGCCTACCAAACTACCCGCTGAACGAGATCAGTGGTGTTAAAGTCACCAATTAGACCGTACCAGGCATTGAGGCGACGATACCCTATCGAGTTTAGCAGGAAGCCGTATCTCTTGGTTCACTTACACCTTGGGCATTTGGTCCGGGCTACAGGAGAGTCATCTCAGAAGATTTCATTCATAAGTAAAGGCTTACGTATCCAAACTGGCTCTTATATGAATCATTCTACATCCTTGTTGAGCGTTGAAGAAGTGAGATGGAATGTACCTGCCGTCAAGACACCGGACATCTGTGAATGAGTCAATACTATGTCATCAATCCTTGCGGCACTTACCGAGGAGATGTCGAGTCCGAACAACCCCCCTCCGATACATGCGAAAGATCCGACCTGGAGACATCAATACATTCTTCATATATAAAGACGGTAACTAACGATGTATGGATTCCTTAAGATCGTCTTGCTATACTGCACATAGAGTCGGTGATTTGCGAGGTAGAAGGTATCGAGGCTTGCCTTTGGCATGAGCAACAGGTAAAGAACTATTCCCTCTAGGCTATGAGCAAGGTAGGAGAGAAGTCGGGGTCGAACTGGGGCTGTATTTATAGCCCTTTACGCCATCTCCTCATTCTCGAGCAATGATGAGTCGAAGAACCGTCGTCTATTGAGAAGGCGGCCGTCCCGGCTTCCATTATTGCCCTCCGGCATGAGGCAGGATTGGTTAATTCTCAGATATGGTGGTATTGGGAAGTTGTGGAGGTGGGGTATCTCTGAATGTCCTGATGTGGCCAACAGACAAGATTCCGAGTCGTTCCGAGAGCACGAAACGTTACATTCTCTGTGTCGTAAGCTGTGAGAGGCAATTTGCGACGGATACAGGTCATTGAAGTGTTATGCCGGCTTCTTGGGCTTCTGAAAGCCCGCAGAAGGGGAGCTTTGATATCTTCATCGAGTTCCATATGCATCCGGCTGGTGAGGACTACTTGCCGTTAGCTTGAGAAGGGAAGAGAAGAGGGTACCGTACCGCCGCCGCCTTCCCGTGATAGAGAAGTAACCATGCTGCACTCCTGAGAATAGCTACATCGATCAAATGCGGGCCGTAGTATGAATGGCAGCATACTCCCTCGGGCATTTCAATTCCAGCGAGCTCCAAGTCACGGACTTGATGATGTTTGGGCGGGGGTCGCGTCAAAATCGAAGATTCGCGATCGAAATAGGGCAGCTATTTCTCAAGAGTACGCATTTAGGGAATATCTGGATGGGAGCGCTCTATGATTGACTCATCGATAACAAGATTCCAAAGGTTGAACCCCACGACGCTGCCTACGAATCTTGAACTCGCCTCGAGCAGAGCCTTACAGTGATTTCCACCTTACACAATGCATTGATTGGGCGAGGACTAGTACGACACGAGCCAAAGCCTCTGTTTGAGATGAAGCTGTGACATGTTGATGCGCAAATCGTAGAAAATCGACAAAATTTGCTCTTCGCTTGATCTACTTTCGTATGTTAGAGGAAATTGACAATGGCGACGCGGCTCGGAGCTTGGACGGACCCAAGAATGCGGCACGTGAGGGACAGGGTTTGGACCCCGCCATTGCTTTCCTGGTCTCATCCCGAAACTAGTCATCACTCTCAGTTGTCTACATGCGTCTCATATACTCCTCTTCTCTTTCGCGGCATTCCCGCCATGCATCTCGTCGACATTTGAGGCGATACGCGACAAGCAAGCCATCAAACCCCCTTATTCTGGGTATAAGACGAGAGGACCCGTCACGGATTTGGGAGCGCAGAGCGCCTCTGACACCACAGGCGGTAAAATCCCTTATCACTGAGGATGGGATCGACGTGGTTGTACAACCCTGCGCAAGACGAATCTTCCCCATGGAGGAGTATATACAGGTAAGCCCTCATGTGTCAATGATTCGGCAGCTACTGACAAATTTTGACAGGCTGGGGCACGTCCGTCAGAAGGTCTCGACGCAGCGAACATCCTCGTCGGCATCAAAGAAACCCCCCTTGATGAGCTCTTGACCAATGAAATAGATGGGAAGCCACGTACCCATATCATGTTTTCACACACGGCCAAAGGCCAACACTATAATATGCCTCTGCTCGCCAAATTCACTCAATCCTCGGCACGGCTCATAGATTACGAGCTCCTAACCGATAGCCAGGGGAAGCGTGTAGTTGCTTTTGGTTGGTATGCCGGAGCTGCCGGAGTTCCAGAAGCATTAAATGCTCTGGGGTTAGACTATCTGTCGATGGGTGTCTCTTCTCCTTTTTTGGTACGCTCTCCAGGATTTTTTTTTCATCCTAACGCTTCATAGCTGCTACCGCGTCCCTACCATCACAGTAGTCTCGAAGAACTACGCAACTCTATGCGAAGAATCGGCTCCATCATTTCCGAGCGAGGAATGCCTGAAGCCACTGGTCCATGCATTATTGCCCTTACTGGGAATGGTAATGTATCTCAAGGCGCTCTAAGCCTTCTTCAGGAGCTACCGATCAAGCAAATAGAGGCTCGCGATCTTGCAAAGGTTGCAACATCCCCTAGTGCGCTTTCTCCAATCTTTTTGCTTCCGTGATTGATTCAGAGACTCCCAGACACCCCTCGCAATTTCGTTTATCTGATTCATGTTAAACCTGAGGACTACTTGGTGGATATAAGGGGTGATCCTTACAACCGGTCAACTTACTATTCTCGACCCGAACTATATGTCAGCTTGTTTTATCAAAGAGTAAGCAAATCACTTTCAAGTAATTGTAACTAACATGGTCCCAGATTGCACCATACATCAGCCTTCTAATCAACGGAACCGGCTGGAAACCCGGATTTCCTCGGCTTCTTAACAACCAGCAACTCGCAGCAGCTCAGAGGCACGCCAAACGAGGGGGAAAACTTCGCTTTAGAAGTATTGCCGATATTAGCTGTGACATTGAGGTTGGTCCACATTCTAGACTTGATCCAGGCTCATTTTTGATAAGGGAGGTCTCGAGTTTGTTTCAAGAGCCGCTACTATCAGCGAGCCGTTCTTTAGTGCTCGACCGAGCAACCATCCCGACGACCTGTCCGGAATACAGGTCATGTCTGTAGACATACTACCTTCAGAGCTTCCTCTCGACTCCTCGCGCCACTTCAGCAACAAATTCTTACCGTACCTACAAAGTCTTATCAAGGCGGAGAAAGGAAGGCCCCTAGAGCAGAAAGACCTGTCAAATTTGGATGTGCTCCGACGGGGAACAATTGTCCAAGACGGGAAGCTCCTTGAACCCCATAACTGGCTCACTGAGCGTATGATGCCGATACCGATTCCAACCAGCACCCACACGGCCACATCGTCGACTTCAAATGATAGTACCAGGGCCAAGAAACGTGTTCTTCTATTGGGCTCTGGCATGGTTGCGAAGCCCGCTGTAGACCATATTGCAGCACGACCCGACGTGGAGATTATAGTGGGTATGTAATTTTAACCGCATCATCTCCCTTTTCTGAGTTCTTGCAGCAAGCAACAATATAAGAGAAGCTCGTCAGCTAGCCGCACCGCACCAGAACGCCAAGGCCCTACTACTCGATGTTTCCGATCAAATTAAGCTGGGATCACTCGTTCAACAGTCTGACATTGTCATTAGGTAAGCACTTAAGTCTCACCTCCTGTCTAGGCGTCTTATTCACTTTCAGTCTGCTCCCAATGCCGCTACATGCGACAATAGCGGAACATTGCGTCACGCATCAAACGCATATGGTAACTGCCTCTTACATCTCGCCAGACATGCGCAAGTTGGATGAACGGTAGGCGATCCGAACACGCGTACCTGGAAGCTGATTATGGACAGTGCCAAAGAATCTGGTGTTCTACTTCTCAACGAAATAGGACTAGACCCAGGTATTGACCACTGCTCCGCGGTGGAGCTGTGTGAGGATATTCGCAAGATGGGACGGAAACCTGTCTCCTTTCTTTCTGTCTGCGGTGGCCTACCGGTACCCGAAGATAGTAATGTCCCACTGGGGTACAAATTTTCATGGAGCCCACGAGGCGTACTCACGGCTGCTCTCAATGGCGCCAAATTTCGTTTGAACAGCCGGGTATGTACTGCAGTAGAAGTTTCTTTGATTTCCTCAACCCGATTGTACAGAATCACGAGATTAAACCTGGACACTTGCTCAAGGCTGTTATCAAAGATATCCCTCTACGAACCGGTCTGGCACTCGAATGTCTTCCGAATCGCGATAGCTTTTCGTACAGCGGAACTTATGGTCTTGAAGATCCTGACAAGCTCGAATCAATGTTCCGTGGTACGTTGAGGTAAGTACGGCCCCCTGTGGTATCCGTCATGTTCAGGCAGGCCCCAGGTACAAGGGATTCTCCTGGCTCATGGATGGATTTGCGACTTCGGGCGTGCTCGACCTGACAGACCCTATGAACCTCAATGAGCGTGGCGGCTGGTATAGTTTTCTCGCTCAGACGTTGTCTCGCGTGACGGGAATCCGCGTGAAGAATGACAAGAGCGAGATTTCTTCAGCTCTGAAATCCCTCATGACAGAGCACCAAGCGGAAGCACTACTCGAAGCAGCAGAATGGTGAAGTTATCTCAACAATGCACCTCTCCTGGCTTATATGACTTCCCAGGCTGTCCATTGTGCCGCCATCAAGTCCGGCGAGTTTGGATCTACCCCTGGTTCAATCGCATCCAACCCTTCCTTTGGATCTTTTTGCACGACTCTTGGCCCACAAGCTTCGCTATCTTCCTGGGGAACAGGACTCGGTGATTCTCTCGCACGAGGTCATATCCAGACCAGCTATGCTCCAAACCGATTCGCGCCACGACGATGATCTCGTCCACACCTCGACTCTGATCCTCAGACAACCTGACGCTGAAAGAACAGCCATGGCCGTTACTGTATCAGTTCCTTTGGCAATCGCCGCCTTGCGTGTCCTCGACGGCCATGTCCAGACTCGTGGGGTTGTAGGGCCAACCGCCGATGCTGCAATTTACCGATCTATACTGCAGGATATGGAAAGTTCTGGTATCACTATGAAGAAGGAGACGCATCCGCGAAGCAAAGGCGGCAGCCTCACGTCTCGACTGATGGTGCCATAGTGAATGGAGATATTCGTGTGTTTATCATACATTTAACACGAATGTGATCATTTCTAGCACGTATCACCATTCAATCACGATGTTTTCATTTCTGTATCTTCCTTCTTGCCCAGATCGTGCTTTTGCAAGAGCGCGTCGACCTCTGCCGGTCTGTAAATCTTCGCCTTGGGCTTTTTCGTAGTCGGGTCGAGCGTCAAGGTCGCAAATTCGACTGTTAGGTTAATTAGATGATATACCCAAACTCTACAGCCAGTTACGTACGTTTCTCACTGCCCAGAGTTGTACTATCCATTGTCTTGCTCATGACTTTCATGACCAGCCCGATTGCATCCTCCACTTTGATGTCTTCCTTGTATTCTTGCTTCAGCAATGATTGAGCGGTTCCGTTATTTGCTCCGATGCAAGTCGCCTTCCAGCCAGAATAGTTGCCCGAGGGATCCGAGAGATACAGTTGAAACTGATAGTAGGGATCCCAGCCTGCGTACAGCAACGAAACCCCGAAAGGACGAAGGCCTGGTCACGCTTGGTCAACAAATAGCCAGGAGATCGACTTAGACAGACCTCCGTATTGTGTATAACCCTGCTTCAGATCGCATAGTCTCTGAGCAAGCTGCTCTACCGGAATGTCTTCGTTGAATGTAAAAAGGTGACGTTGAGCCGCGGTGCGTGCATAATTGACAAGCGAATTGGCATCTGCAGTCAGGCCAGCGACGCCGACAACCACGTTACTATTGTGACACGTTAATAACTGATTTCATCGCAAGTGTACCCTACTCTGTCAGAAGGTAGATTTTCTCGCCGCTGCCACCGTAACCACCATCTTTGGTCACACTGAGATCGAGTAGCTTGCCAGTTACTTTCTTTTCGGCAGCGAGTACGACACCGTCTGATGCAAGTACTCCCAGAACCGTGCCTGCGTGGGAGATTGCCTCCATGGCATATTCGACTGATTCGGACGCGTCAGCCATCCGCGCGTCGGACGCGTATTAGCACCATAAAACATACTCTGGTAGAGCCTCCCTGTCTCAGAGTAAGCATGAGTGAGATAATAACCATGTAAATGTACCTTCGGGCGAGAAGATTGTAGTGCGGCCTGGGAGATGTATGAGTAGGCGCAAGTGGCAAGACAGAAGCACCAACTATCATATCTTCGAGCCTGTGGGTCTCATTTTCAGTGATCATTCAAGTCTACAGAGGAGCCTGGCTTGCCATTGTAGCAAAAAGGGTCGATGAGGTTCTATCCAAAGAGCTTGAGAGGGGCAGTATTAACTATCTCTCGATAGCAGAATATTACATTGAACCGAGAAATAATTGAAAATGCGTTTAGTTCTTACTCGCGGGATATCAACGCTCTAGCCTTTGCGTAGTAAGGCGAGCAGGGTGGCAAGCGATTGTGGGATTGCAGTTGAGACGATATGAGCTAGGAAGATGGGAGTACATGCAGATTAGAATTACGATCTACTGTCGAGGTTGAGTGTAAAGATTGAGGCCTTGGTCCTGATGTAGTTGAGCTAGCTTTATTGGTATCTCTCTTAGCGTCTACCGGGCCATATTCTTAGATACAATGCCCGTATAATGTGGGCCTGTACAATAGGCGTTGTACTAGCGCGTGTATATCTCCAGACTATCTTTTCGTGAAAGGGATGTTTGTCAGAAGATACTGATGTTTATAGAACTCAGCACCGCATATGCTGGTCAAGCATATCATGGTGATAGGAGCCTAAACTGCACTTGAACCCGACCTCGACGAGGCGTTTTGCATGAGTGGTACGGAAACCCTTTTCTTCAAGTGTCACAAGTCAGCACCGTATGTATACATGCCTTCTTTCTCTCTTGACATTAATATTGATGTACCGTGCAGGCGGCATCAGAGCAGAGCTCAGAACTCGTACGGCCAGTTCGTTGGCGGGCGTTTCCTTGCAGAATGACAAATCTAATATTTATATTCAGCTATTACTACAAGTGCTACTACGGAAGTCGTCCAGGAAGTTGCCAGTTTTTTTGTACGTCGTTCATATTCCCCGCGTAGATGCGAGCCTGACATGATAAATCAACGGGGGCTCAGAGTGGGATAAAGCATCTCCAAACCCCCGGCTACGCCTCCAATGACCCCCAACCGCGAGCGTCACCTGTCAATGCCCTCAACTCCTGCCAGGAAGCAGGCTCATGATCCCCCACCCGGGATGACCCCTCAATTGAGAGAAACCATAAGCGATTCCTTCGAACACTCAGATTCCGATGAAGATTCCCGTTTTCCTAGGCAAGATGCTCGTCGTCCCGTGGCAAGCCCTCTCCAAGCCTCGCCCACTCGAGGGAGCTACTCACAGCCGATTTTGACGAGCAGAGAGCAATATACAGGCCGAAATCTAAAGAGGGCTACTACTGATGGGGACTTGTCCACAACCAATGATCTCCGTCGACTTTTGGAGGAAAAGGACGAGCACCTTGCGGCTAAAGAAGACCAAATCAAGGCGCTTTCCCGAGAGATAGACAGCCTCAAACGGCAGTTGGCCCTCAGCTCTGGGAACGCCGGGTCGTCTTTTCGACCCTCCTACTCTACGGGCTTGTCGCTACCCACTCCTTCGAGGCAGCCGACGACGTCTGCTGCTGCTGCTGCTGCTGCTGCCCTGCTCTTCATCGTGCAACGAGTACAGCACACGATTCGTCTCATGGTTTCTCGTTCAGGGGCCTGGAAGACACGTCGATGCAGCCTCCTACAATGTGGAATTGAATGTTCAACATTTTATTTGATGTACTATATTACGGTATCATCTTGTTGATATTTCTTGGAACAGACTCGTTGCATGGCCTGCAGGCCAATGAAGTAAAGCCCCAGTTTCGTGGAGATTGATGTCATGCAATCCCCAAAATTAGCCTCTGGACCAGCCCGTTGTAGCGAGATAGAAGACAACCTCTGTTCCGACCAGCCCCACATTCGACGGTTAGCGGAGACCATCGGGTCGAGATCCGGGCGTAAGTAATGGTATGTATGCCAGCTGACGTACCTTTTAGCGCGGTTGGGTGGCAGTCGAGACGTGAGGTGATACCACGACGTATCCTCGTGTTCCTCACCTGACACTGAGTCGGCTCTCGATTCTGTATCGATAATTCGCCTGCGTATTCCATCATCGACATGCTAGAGGTTTGGGGTACACGAGTATTCGAGATGGCGAATAAAGTAGTCGGCATAAAGCTAAAGTGGGAAAAACTGTGCAAAGGAGGGAGAGGACGTGGTATGACAGGACAAGGAAGCGTATCATTAGGAAGAAAGTAGTGTCGTGATAATGATGATTTGTCCCTTCTATCATCAAACAAGACCAAAGGGACTCAGGCCCAATAGATGTGTCCATGCCTCGCAGGCTCTCGCCATTGGGCCAGGGTCGCATGTTTTAAACCGGTCGTTGTCCAGTTTGTTATGGTTGTGAATCATTGTTGGGTCGTCGGGTGCTCGTATGGATACAGTCGGGGAGGTTAGATTCCGGGTGGCTAATGAGCATATGTGGGATACCGCGTCGAATACGGGTCGTATCCCGCAGCAGCACCCGATCCGCCAGGCTGGACGCGAACGTAGGGTGCTTGTCCAGAGTGCGTCACAGAGACGTAGGGAGAGGGGTGGGCTGGACTGGCAGGTTGGGAGCGACTGGCATTGCTCAGCATCGTCCGACTCGTATTTAATCTGGTGAGGACATTTGGTCTGACGACGGGCTGTGGGGGGATTGGCGTTGGGGCTGGGGGGATCGGTTGAGGATGTGAATGCGTTCTATGAGGCGTACGCGAACCCTGTGACCGTGAGCGGACGTGTGACGAGTGACGAGCTTGGTGGGACGAGTCGTATCGAGAGGAATCGAGTGACGCGCGGGTCGAATTGGAGTCAAACGAGCCCTGTCGAAGCGTCTGAATAGTGGAGCTGGAAGGAAAAAAAAATGTCAGTATCATTCTGCGTTTCGTTTCGGCGATGTCAAGGCCGATGACGAAGGAGAAGCGCCAGGCAAGCGCACAGACGCAAAGCAGGAAGTTTCCATCCCCGTGCACCCGAAAAGGAAGCCCGGTGGGCAGAAAGGGGGAGATATGTCGGGGCGAGTAAAAACGATACGAACCGGTGCTGGGGATCATGTTTAGAGAGTACTTTGAGGGAGATCATGCCCGGCTTGACGATTACGGGGTCTTCCTTGTGGCGAAGGAGATTTACTATTCGTCGGTCAGAGGCGGTGCCACCCGTTTCGAGGGATGAATCCACGTACAGTACGCCTTTTGAATGGCTGCACGAACTGCTTCGGAGTTGCAAGTAGCACGGCGCCATGAATCGTAAGGGACATGGACCTGGACACATTGACCGGTGTGAAGCGTCTGACAAGTGCGATGTCAGCTTGATGCCGCCCAAAGGCTGAGAGGACCGAGCTCTGGGCGAGCCAAATGGAAGACATGAGGCAGGGTACGGGAGGACGGACAGGGTTTCCTGGAAGAAGGACGAGGGAAGGCTTGGGGGTTAGAAAGAGGCGCTTGACTGACCACTTCGAATACGGCGGCGCTTTTTGTCTCGTTGAGTCGGACCTAGAGGAGGGGGGGTCTGGTGAGCATGAACGACGACGACGAGAAGAATGGAGAAAGAGTACAAAGGGGGGCAATAGGACAATAAGAATGAAAGCTTACCCAGATCATAGGTCGAATTCCCTTTTGTGTCCTGCGTACCGACTGGTCCTTGAGTTCCCCATACGGGGTCAGGGCGACCGGGTCGAGGGCACGGATAGAGCGGAAAGCAAGGTCCTGCTGGTCATCCGAGGGGACGATGGCATGGTGTGCGGGGTCAATCTCTGCCGCTGTGAGCTCGTAGCCAGACGCAGCGGGCTCTTGGTAGGACATGTCGATCTGTTGATAAATGCAGCTGACAGCGAGCAGCAACGGGGAAAATTGAGCTCAGCGGCCTGGCTCGCGGGTATGGTCAGGTTCAAGAGGCGTGATAGCGAGCCGGTGCCAGAATGGCGCACTGACGTCTACAAATATGGGCTCGCTTGTCGCATGAGAATGCAGAATAAATGCAGATTAACATTTTCCAGTGGAAAATACGGGCCACCTGGGATCAGCCCTAGCCGTGGGCTCGTCGCATGACCTCGTTCCAGAGAGATCGGCTAGCCGCATGCCATTGCTCGCCAGCATATCCTCGGTTTCTGAATTTGTTTACATTTTTATTCATCCCGTCCTCCAAGAGCACCCGCCAGACTTGCGCCAGTTACCCTCCTAAAACTTGGACTACGACTGTGACGGGGGTTTGTCTCCAAATCTCGTCAACGAACCAAAAGATCATAAATTCATATATGCTCTATAACAAATGTACGTTGCTACGCTACTCGTCGTCCCCGACACTGCTGTGCCCTTTGTCCACGCATCTGTGATGGGCAGTAATCTGCCAAGAATCAATCAGATGAACCAGAACAATCTGTTCAAACCCATTTGCACGCACCTCGAGCGGCACCCCTCTCAAAAATTTCCGTTGCTGACAATCCACTCGCCGCCTTTTCTACAGGAGTTATATGTTTGATGGATCAAATAACTTAAACCAAGGGCAGCAAGAGCAGCCTCAGTATCCTCGACATGCCCAATATCCTCCCATGAACGTGATGCATCAGCCGTACACGCCTGGCTACCAACCAAACGTTGGCTATAATCATTTTGCACATTATCCTCAGGCCCTTGCACCTCCACATCACATGCATTTACCGCCTCCTCACCCCCAGCAACTCTATTACCAAAATCCATATCAACATTTTCATCCTCCACCGCCGCATCACTATTACAACTCGTATCAACCTCCACAACTTCATCCCCCCATCTATGGTCAGCGGCAAATCAATGAATTCACTCCCCAGGCTGGCTTTTCTTCACCTGCCCAGGTGGCGACGCCTGTCGAGGCACCAGAACCTCCAAGAGTTTTCAATCAAGAACTTGAGCCCCCTAAGGAGGTACATGTAACAAAGGAATCATCTCCAGAACCTGTTCCGGATGCTTCCCCTCGTCCCTCTCTATCTCCGCCCTTGGACCCACAAACCGAGTCAACGCAGCCAAAGAACACTATTCTGGAACTCGATCACGATACAGGAAAGGAGCCTACCGACTTTGATCCCACCACGGCTTCCTCGTCGCGCTTCCACCTCGTCTCCTTCCATCCTTCCCGTGCTATCGTCGCCGATGGACAGTCATCCGTCTTTATTTGGTTTCGCGTCCCTCTTCCGCCATCTCTCGTCGAGATGGCACTGCCTCCTCCTTCCTACAAGGAACAAAGGCACCCGAGACGGACGAGCCGCATCCGAAAAAAGATGCCCAGCGCCTCTCCAACTGGTAGATTTATTGGCTCTGCTTTACAGGCGCCAACCGTTCTGTCCAAAGAAGGCAAGCTAGCCCCACCCGAGCAAGAATCTTCTTCTGGCGTTAGTGAGGTAGATGGGGAAAAGGATCACCAAGTCGCCTCTCCGGCACCAAACGGCCCCGCAAAGCCGTCTGGAAAACCCGCGACGCTTGTCAAGTCATTCGCCTCGCTCCTGCGAGGGCCCCAAAACGACCACTCCACAAACGGAGACTCTCGTGGAATGCATACTACTACTAATACTACCACTACCACTATGGCGCCGCAGGTCCCTCTTACAGCATCAGCTCAGATTGGCTTTTCGATCCCCGCTCTTTCGTCCGCTCATATGGATCAAGGTGTAGCGACATCCCTTACCCCACATCAGCATGCAAATCTTCTTCACCTTCTCAAGACTGGCTCTGGACTTCAAACAACAAGATTTGGCACTGTGGTCCCAGGGATCCCACCACAGATTGTTCCGCGCGGATTGGTTAACACTGGGAATCTTTGCTTCGCCAATGCTATACTCCAGGCACTTGTCTACACTCCTCCTTTTTGGAAACTTTTTAATGACATTGCTGCTACTGGCCTGACGGCTCAGCGGACAGGCCGAGCCGCAACGCCAATGGTCGATGCGACGTATGTCCATGGCTACACATATAAGATGTTTACTAAAGTGTTTTAGCATCGCGTTTCTCAACGAATTCAAGCCGGCGTTCACTCCAATACCTGTAGATCTTTCGGCGTTCCCAACCGCCCAGGCAGCCGCATCAATGTCCACCCCCAAGCCAGCAATCAATAAACCGACATCATCACGCGATTCCAACATCCTTCCCCGGAATTCGTTCACCGCCTCTGAGCTCTACAACTCTCTCAAATCCAAGCCCACATTCGATGGCATGAGACTTGGGCACCAAGAAGACGCCGAGGAATTCCTAGGCTTCTTCTTAGACGCGCTACACGAGGAGTTGTGCGGACTGCTCAACGCTCTAGGGGATTCCGCTCAAGCGGATGCTGTCAAAGACAGTGACCGTGACATCGATAAACTTGAGCCAGCGATCGATGTTGTACAAGATGGTGATGAATGGCAAGAAGTGGGAAGGAGGAATAGAGCCACTGTGACTCGCACAGTCAGTATTCAAGCTTTATTGAAGGTCCTTGACTAATGAGATAATGCTAGACTCAAGGCACCGAGTCGGCGATCACTGCAATCTTTGGTGGCAAATTTCGCTCCCTCTTACGTGCATCGGGACGACCCGATTCTGCAAGTGTGGAAGAATGGCGCTGTTTACAACTTGACATCCAGGTATGGTTGCCCCTATATTATTGACTGCTGTGGACTCACCACTCCATAGCCCCCTCATATTCGTTCAATTGAGGACGCACTCTATGCCTTGTCAGCTGTTGAGACTGTGACGATTCAAAGCCATCAAGGATATCCTTCCGAAGCGACGAAGCAGATGTTTGTCGAGCACCTCCCCCCAATATTGATCCTGCATCTCAAGCGCTTCATCTATGATCCACAGACTGGCATCGGTAAGTATGGAAAACAAATTCGGTTTGCACCTGAGCTGGATGTACGAAGCGGTTAGCCAACCTTTAGTCCAACATTCACATGTCTGACTCGACCATAGAAATGCTTTCAGCTGCTTCCAAGCATCGTCCATTTTCTCGCAAGTACCAATTGTACGGCGTCGTCTATCACCACGGTCTTGCTGCTACAGGAGGACATTACACACTCGAGGTACTGCATCCCACCGCAAATGCGTATATGCCAGCTCGCGATCATTCATCCAATTCGACCGAAGGGTGGATGCGATTCGATGATGAGACCGTCAGACTACTTACGCCTGACGATGTCTTTGGGTCACAGGCACAGCCCACACACCATGGATGGGCAGGTCACGACGAGCGAGTTGCCTATATTCTCTTCTATCGACGAGTTGGGAAATAGGCACGACATTCAGATGCTGGCACACTATTCTGTTATTGTCTATTATAACCTGTATATATTACGACGCACAATGTATCCTTGTCATTGCTAACAGCACAATGATTCTCATGAGCATCTCAAACACCAGCTATTCCTGTTCAGCCTCTTTGGATCTGAGAAATAACTTGAAGTGAAGCTTCTAGTTACTGGAGGCAGAGAAGTAGTGAGCAAACCAGCGAGGGTCAACACCACCTGCCACCAGTCTGATACCCAAAACATGCAGAAAATGGAGGGAAAATTGAAGAATGGCTGGGCTCCTTACTTTATTACATCATTAGCTGTATTCTGCGTCATTTAACAAGCTCTTAAGACGCATCGTAACCCTTCAATAGCTCACGGCTTAGCAATCACTCACTTTACCAACAGCTCTATTGCGCACCAGCGAACCAACTTTCCCAGCTTTCACCCAGTATGATACAAAGACGATACTGACAAGTTATCAGTAGCCAAAAAATATTATTTGTACAGCAATAACACAGTACTGAGATACGTATTAGACTGGAGCCAGAGAACAAGTAAAAAAAAATTTTACCAAAAGTAAACTTAAACCCGCAGCTGAGCCATCTACTTTCTGTACACCACTGAGCGGCCTAATGAAATCATAAACGTTAAACTCGAAACTAATGAAGTATTCGGGGTTTACTATAACTAGAGTGAACAGCGAACAGCAAAGTGGGCCACAAGCGTCGAACTCGAGGCAAATAAACTGCTTCAGGGGATATACTATAACAAAGGGTGGGCAGGGTGAGTGCCTGGCTACCAACAGAGTGTTGCAGTGATGCTGACAGAAGTTTAAAGTAGTCATGAATCAAAGAAACAAACATGTACAAACATATCGACGTAGCTAGAACACTGAGGCAACAGTTCCAACACAGAAATTCTGGTGGTGCTATGCTGCCAAGTGAGTGTACTAAAACACACGACGAACTACGAAGACAGACGATAGCCCTTCAATATTTTTGGAAATATTGTTTCACTGCTCTAGCTAGGTTGACACACTTGTACTAAACAGCAAAGGGTGGCCGCAAGCATCGAACTCGAGGCTGATGAGCGATTCTGGATAATACTCTTAACTACAAGTGAGCGAGCAATTTCCCTGACTATCAATTGAAGTGCTGATCACGTTGTGGTGACGAGCAACTATCCTAGAATGCACGACTGACCACAAAGGCACATAGTAGTCCTTCGGTAGCTTGTGACTTAACGATCACTCCTCATACGCAGTAAAAATATCAACGATTCAATTGCATCCCACGTGCTATTCTCCCACGTGCTCACTCAATGCCATAGGATTCGAAAATGTCGAAACTGACACAAACTCGTAGGTGTCAGTAGCCAAGATGTTTCTATTTGTGCAGTAAAGCCAGAGGACGAGTAAAGAAAACAATATCAAAAGTAGACAGCTTGCATTTTCACCTGAGCCGCCTAATTTCCATACAGCACATATTCGTTTCTTCGAGTTATGATCTCGCCCACTACCTTTTGTCACTATCAATGCAGCAAATAGCTTGTTCTTTAGCCATCACCTCTCACACACAGTAGCCTTCTGACACTTATTGCGTACTGGCGAACGAATACTGACGACTTGGACGTAGTACTCTGTTCCCAAAGAGGGACGACATGGATTCGTATCTGAGCCGCCTAATATCCACGCTACAATTTAGTTGTTAATCAATGAAGTATGTGCATTGGTTGTCCTGACTACATGAACAACAAGATTTTTAGGACTTACTGTCAGTACTGACCAGTTGGCAGCATGCGAAAAGATAAATGCATACCCTAGCGATGCTGGCCCTGCAATGTACTCTGATTACTGCTGGCAGCATTGTTGACCTGTAGCTTCAATACATTGGCGTTGAGAAAGATATACGACCTCTCAAGGCAATTTTGTTACTTTATATTGGTGAAGCAAAGTTGAGGGGCTCCATGTAAAAAGACTGTAGCATTGCTCGGGCATCCTCTCAACTTGCTCACGTCTTTTGCCTAGCGCCGAGCAAGAACAATGTCACACTCTGGTTACTCGATCTAGAACCTCTTTACCTGCAAATTGTACTACCTATCACTCGTCATTGCTTTACTGTTTGGCATAGATTATATATTGCTCACTGCTTTTGCATATGTGTGCGCTTTGAGAATGAAAGTTTGCCTGCGAAATGGTGGCATTCCTGGTTTCCTTGATGAACACACGCCAAGTAGAGTGTTTTCTGAAAGTTGACGCCAAGTGCATGCTATCAGCATATGATTTTATCTGATACAATGTAGAAAAGCCTATAATATTACATTTCAGGTCAATATCGGTTGAACAGGCGAAAGGGCCTGCAAGCATGGAACTCGAGACTAATGAGAGATTTGAAGTACAGTAACGGGTGAGCAGAGCGATTACCTGGCCACTGATAGAAATGCTGGTGAAGCTATGTTACCAAGCGAGTATCCTAAAGCAGGTGAGAGACCAAGGTACACAGTAGCACTTCAATAGTTCGAGATTTAACGATCACTCTTCGCATACAGTAGCCTTCCCACAAATTCTATTGTGTACCGCAGAGCTCATTCTTCTCCAGCTTTCACTCAATACTGCTAAGACGTTGATACTGATATCGCACGTTGTCAGCAAGCAGAATCATATTATTTGCACAGTGATGCGCACTGTCGCAGTCAAGGCTTGAACTATAGTGAGGTCATGACTCAAAGAAACAACTATGCACAAATGTATCGACTTAGCTAGAGCACTGAGGCAACAATTCCAACATCTAGAGCACACAGCCGACTGATGCACAGTAGCCCTTTGATAGCTCGTGACTTAGTGATCACTCCTTACATGCAGTAAAATATCAACGATTCAACTGTGTGCCACGAAACCAAGATCATTAAAATTGGTCAAGAGACACCGATTGTACGCGGCAACTTATTACAGGTGCGGATTCACATCGTCTACTTTTGGTAATCATCGCTTACTCATCCTTTGCTTTACTGTGTATGGTATTGCATTATATACTGTACCTTGAATAGCAGTTCTTTCGGCTACTGAACACTGGGATCTCTTGGCACTATCGACATCTTTGTATCGTATTATATTGGGTAAGAGCTAGGCGGAAGTTAGCTCGCTGGTACGCAATAAAATTATTTGGGAAGGCTGTTGTGTGTGAGGAGTGATCGCTAAACCACAAGCTATTGAAGAGCTACTTTGTGCCTTCATAGTCTGTCGTGCGCTCTCGAATACTCACTTGGCGGCATAGCTTCATCAAACCTGTTGGTAGCCAGAGACTCGCTCTGCTCACTATCTGTTACAGTATTCCCCCGAATTCATTATTGGCCTCCAGTTTGACGCTTGCAGCTCTTCACGCTGTTCAGTGGATAAATGAGTTTCAGTGAGGACCGCAAAGAGAGTACAAACTAGCACCGGAAGAATAATTGTAGGCACTGACTTGCTGTTGGGAGTAGCTATATCTGACATGAGAAATAACTCTCATTTGACTAGCGAATGAGAATTCGCTTTATCGTAGCAGGCTTGTTTGTTGGTGGCAGGTGGTGATTGCTGGGCGGTGGCAGGCTGATGTCAGATGCTATGTACCTTAGCTCCATGAGATGAAGCTTGTTCAACCAGTAAGAGATTATGCATATATTGACAATGGGTTATTGACTATCTAGCGATTACGAGCTCCGGGTGGTCGATATGCCCCTGTAGATGGCCGTGGCTTAACCTGTTGGAACCCGTCGTCATCCTGTGGCGCTGGAGATTGTCTACCTGGTGTCCCAGGTCGGCCAGATTCCTCTCGCAGGCGTTCCCGTTCTCGCCACCCTCCGCCACCAGGTCGCCCAACACTCGATCCCCCCTCGCTGCCTCGGGCTCCTGGTGGCACATATCTCGATTGAGGCTGTTGTGAAGGACGCGTCCCAGGTGATCCTTCAGCGGGCCTTTGCGAGCGACGCCAGACATCACCTCCACCTGCGCCACCAGATGCAGGGCCAGTGCCCGATGAGCGAGCTTGTCGCCTTCGTTCGGCTTCTTCCTCTCTTTCTCGCTGCCTTCTTGCGACTTCCGCAGCTTCGGCGCGCTCAGCTTCTCGTTGCTTGCGAAGTTGTTTGACCCGTTCTTCCTCCTCCCTCTGCTTGGTTTCCGCAGCTAACCTCGCAGCGTCTTCTGCCTCACGCCTTCGTCTCTCTTCTGCTTCTCGTTCTAAAAGAGAAATGTTAACCCTTGCGTCACGTTGATACCCAACGAATATACCTTCACGAGCACGAGCCTCCGCCTCCTCCTTTTCTCTTCGTATGCGTTCCTCTTCTGCCCTTTGTTCTGCCTCTCGTTCTCTTTGCTTCAATATCTCGTTGCGACGGCGCGTTTTTTCTTCCAGGATCTTGGATGTCGCGGTGTTGAAACGACGATTGTAGTCATCTCGGCGGTCTTGTCCAAGAGACTGCATATAGGCACGGTAGTCCGGGAGAATACGTGACAGGCGGCGCTTTGTATCGATCTTCTCTTGGTGCATGGCCCTCGCACTATCAATAGTGCCTTGGCGGCTTGCTTCAAATGCAGCCCTGTCTTCGGCTTGTTGCCGAGCGTAGTCGTCGACAAGGAGGGGTATCTCTGCCTTGCGAAACGCTCTTTCGATATGATCCATGCGCTTGGCAATGACACGTAGCCGCTCGTTGAGCTCACGGCGTTCCTTGTCCATATGTTCCACTTGTAGTTGCACAAGTTGTTCCGTATCAAGTGCTGTAATATCCTGAGAGTGGATAAGAGATGCGTGTGATGTAGGCGTGCAATACTTACCGCATCTATTGAAACACCGCGGTCCAGGAGCGATGATACAATCTTGACATTTTCCTCCTTGCGTTTGCGTTCCATCTCTGCTTTTGCTCTTTCTTGTGCCTCCTTGAGTGCTTCCGCCCGCTTCTTTCGTTGAGCGTCTTCTTGGGCACGTAGTGTCATCTCAGCCTGCTGACTGCGCTCCTCGTTTTGTCGACGAGCAACCAACTCGGCTTGGAGTTCACGACGTCGCGCAACAATCGATCGTCGGGTCTGCAATGCTTGCTGCTCGGCTTTGAAGGCTGAATGGGCAGCTTGAAGTTGCCCTCGAGCGGTATCTGGGGCGTCATCTATGTACCGAACGACGTTGTGTAGACATTCCGCAAGGTGGCTGAGGCGAGACCTAACGAGTTTACCGGGCGACGGTTGTACTTTGGAGGAGCCGCTACCTGATCCAATCGAGAAAGCATCGTCCACGAAGAGGATGCTTCCTGAGGAATGATTGAGACGGATGAAAAGTTCCCCGCGTTTTGCTGCGCTCATGATGAAAGCTTCAAGATTCTCCTGGTCGAAACGATCGCCGTCAGCAGATAGATGGCGGTTCAGAGGGGAAACGAGGTCGAGGAGATAGGAGATGGACAAGGAAGAGTAGACCTGTGACAATTGAGAGAGTAAGCGGGAGAGAATAACCCTTCTTAGATGCGGAAGGTACGGAGTAAACTCCTCGCTGACACTCAATCGGTCCAAGATCGCGGTAGCATGGTCACAGAGACCCAGCGGATCAAATTGGACTTCTAAGAGATCATAGAGGTCGAGAAGCGGTCGAGGTGACAGCTTGAGCACATTCCGGGCAAACTAAGGTTGAAGTGAGCAACAAATGTCTTAAAAAAAACAATGTGGACTTACAGCGTCGCTGAGGAGGCTCGCACGGGTTGGAATCTTTGAGAGACCAAGAAGAGTGGTTAGACGCGCATGTTTGCCTTTGGTATCTTCGCCGTCCTCGCCGCTGTCGGACATGACTGGCACGGCAAGCGCGCTAATCAGGACAAAGCCTGCTACCCGTTCCATTTCTTCGTCCTGTTTCCCAGATGTTCGGAGAATCGCGAAATACTTTGACCATGCGGCCGCATGATAAAGGATGCTCCCACTAGTCATAAAAATCTTGTAGAGCTTCTCGTAGTAGTTGATCATCATACTCGGTTTTGGAGGCTTCTTCGACATTGTGAGGAGGTTGTGAATATCTTCGATGGATCGAAAGGCCTCTTGCCACAGTTCGAGCTCGACTGATGTATTGAGCTGTGCAAAACGCGTGTCGAGGAAGCGCTGTAGTGTATCCGGATCAGAAAGATTGACAGAGTGGGTCTGGTGAGAGTATTTCGCGACCGTAGCGAGATGTAGTCGGAGCGTCTCACAAAGACGGCGAAACTCGACCTTGCGACGGTGCGAGAGACAGAAGTTAAACGCTTGGAGGGCAATAGACTGTTGAATTGATCAATAGTGTATGATTCTTGAGTGTATATCAACCTACTTGATATATTGCCTCGAGACGCGCGTTGTTTTTCAGCGTTTCGAGCGCAGAGCGATAGCTCTCCCAGAGAAATTTGAGCCAAGGTGTAACAAGTGCACGATCTGTACGGTCCTTGTTCTGATCGCCGCTCACGGCGCCAAGGAGGACGTCTTCTGGCGACTCTGAGGCCTCGAGATCGTCGACATCGAGCACCTCGATGGCCTTGTCTGCTTTCACCTGTGCGTCGACGACTTTTGCATTAGCGAGCTGGATGAACGCGTTGATGACATTCTCAATCGACTGGACTGAAGTGTTTTGGGTAATATTCTTGTACTGCATCAAGCCCTCCTTGGCCGTTCTCCCTTTTCTGAGTTCAACACAGAGCTCGATAAAACGCATCATAATGGGCTCCAGTGACGCCACGGGCGTTGAGCGGAAGCGCTTCGAGTTGAACATTTCCGTAAGGGATTGCAAGGCTGCAGGCGTCTGTCCGACCGAGACAAGTCCCTCAGCCTGCTTGAGCACTGTTTCTGGCTTTGAAAATGGCGGCATCGTGCACGACGACGTCGGGGTGCAAGAGCTTTTTCACACCCAAACAGAACCAAACATAGCCACTGTATTTTCAGAGGAAGTCCTAGTTCGAACACATCGAGCACAATCCGAGTGGAAACACTGGAGAATAGGGAATGATGATTCGTGAAAAGAGCAATGGCGAAAAGAGCAGATCCAGAGTTCTACAGCCAGGAAACGGGTGTGGTTCGGTAGCTCAAGCCACAATTTCAGCCTACTCGCGCTAATGCACTCACGGGATGCCATAAAGTTGCTATGGACGACCCCGGGCAATCGGTAACGCGCTGTAGGCACGCGCCACGTCGCGGTTTGACCTATTCGTCAGATACGTTTGCAACGATGAAGGATATCCACTAGGGTGCGAGCATCTCACCCCTTGCCAATAGTCGCACCCCGCTCTGAGGAAATATGTGCTCTACTGGCTTCTCGACAAGGGGAGTAGTGCTAGGACCAGTGCTTGATCCGTAATGCCTGGTGTATACAGCTCTGGGCTTGGAATCTGATTTCTTTCTTCCTTCTTTTCGCTCTTGCGAATACCAGGCTTGCCGCCTGCCTTCCGCGATGGAAAGTACTGGCACTCGGGCACACCTGGCCCACTCATAGATGACATGCCCTTGCAGACGATCGGCAATCTTGGCTTCTTCACCTCCCAAAGCACCAGCCTCGACGACGGATATCGCCACAGATTGGTCCCCTTTTGCCATTTCCCATAGGGCACACGCGAGCGTGTTTTTCACCCATTGAGGCACCGTGATAGTGCTTTCGTCCGTCTCGACAGGCCATTCGCCAATGGCCTTGTCATCTTGCAGTACAATTTTCGGATTTGCGCCTATCTGCTCTTCAAGAAACCGAGAAGCGGCACGCGCTTGTGCTGATAATGGAGATTCACCCCTCTTTGACAAGTCGAGAGTGTTGAGTACTGCAAATGTCGTGCACGACGTCAGACAATCTTTCCGTGAAACAAGGTTGATGCCATCAGACCTTCCAGTGGAACGACGAGTCGTTCAGGTCTCTCACCAGAGAGCCATTTCTTAATCTGATCGAGGCTATGGACAAAAATGCTCGTGTCCAGGACGATGATAGCCGGAATGGCATGATTGGTCGTCAGGCGCCCTCCTGGGGTTTGTTGCGTGTGAATAGATTGGTTATTGCTCCTCCCTACGACGTCCTGAGGTCTCCGTGGACCTCCTCTACGGTGAGGCTTGCCCCTAGAAGCGGCGCCTGATTCCAATTGACGGACCTGGTGAGCTAGAAAGGCTTGACCAAGTGCCTTGGACATTGCATCCTTTCCTATTGGCGTTGGAAGGTCCTTGGGTTCTACCTGCGATGTTGTCTGCTTCGAGGTCATTCTCCCCAGTCGCTGTGGTACAGTTCAGATTTCGCCGCCACTGGCCACCACCAAAGATAACATATATAGATAGCAGGGATTAAGCCAAAAAATTCTAAGTACTAGACAGAGAAGAACGGTTGGTCGTTGCCCGTCTGTGCTTGTGTCCCGTATGGATTACCCGTGCCCGTATTAGCCATCAGCATTTTACCGGCATTCGTGTTACCAAATCTGGAGTGGCCATTTTAGCGTCATCCACGAGATTGTACATTGAACTTACCTGAGATTGCCGTAGTTCCCAAATGTGTCGATGCCTCCATCCCGGTTGGCAAACAAGGCGGCTAGCGCCGGATTCTCGTCTTGTCGTGTCCTGACATTCAGCCCTGGTTGACTGCTTGACGAAGGAGATGGGGATGGAGCGGGCGCCTGCGATTGCGAGAGTCCAGCGTGACCATTGAGACTGGTGAAGTTGGGCTGCGTTTGTGGTGGCGGCGATAGAGTAGGGACCGGAGGGGCGGGTGATGCACCAGGACCAGGACCAAGCGCAAACGGATTCCTGCTTCCAAATCCAGTCGGTTGGGCTATCAGAGGCTGAGCGGTTGCCTGTTGCTGGATCCATGCATTTTGCATTGCCGCTTGTTGCTGTTGTTGTTGGAAGGCCAGTTCATTCTGCTGCTGGACATAGAGTGCATACTCTTGCTGCTGCTGCTGCTGTTGTTGTTGTAGCTGTTGTTGTTGCAGCGCGAATTGTTGGGCCTGCCAATCAGCATTGGCCTGGGCCCATTGAGCCTGCATCATTGACTGCTGCTGTTCTTGGAGATAGGGATTAAACGAAGTAAACTGGGGCTGCATTTGGGTGTACTGGGGTTGAAGGCTTGCATCCACCAAAGGGAACGGGTTTGATTGAGCCTGGGCGGCTGGCGCGCTACTCGGTGTGAGCCATAGAATGAGAAACAGATAAAAGCCTTACGTTTGAAGGCTGTCGTCGAACAACGCGCGGGAGTTGGCATCTTCGACTGCCTTTGCCCTGTCACGTTCTTCTTGTTCGGACAGTTTCAGGGCTCGTTCGAGGTCCGCATCCCTATGGGTCTAATTAGCATCAAAGGTTTGCAAGATACAAGCTACTTGCTCTGCACTCTTTCCGACTTCTTGCGCATAACTCTGCTTGCTCGCCTCCATCGCTCGTTTCAGCTCTTCATCGTCACGATTGCGGCGAGAAGAGGATGCGGGCTGAGATTGCTGGCGTTTTCTGGCCACATTTTCATCGGGTTGATCGTCTGCCCCTACGTCTCCACCTCGGGTCATCCGGTCGCGCATGCTTGCCCGGCTTCTTCTTTCCTGACGAAGTCTCGCCTCATCCTGAAGGAGATTTGTGATGTCTTTTGCCTTTTGGCGTACATTGGCACCCTGATCTTTTCCGAATTCGTCAATGTATTGAAACTCCTTGAGCGTCTTGACGAGATAGACATTATCTCGGAAGTAGATCACGACGTTCTCAGATCCAGCATGAAGACAATAGTCGAGAAGCGTTAATGCCTGCAGCCCGGTGTCAGCAAAATGGAGCGCTGCGATTGCCACGGCGGCTCGCACCTTGAAGACATGACGCCAATTTTTGCCCTTGTCGTTTAGCCGCTTGTCCAGCATTTCCATAATCTCTACAAAGTCGTTTCTAGAGCCGTATCAGATGCGTGTGTGAGCGATAGGGAGCTACGGTTACTGATTGTATGTGAGCTGCGCAATCTCGTTCATTTGCGTTCCGGACGGTCCCCAGGGATCGTTGGACGTTGCATCCCTGACTTTTGCTTGTACATCCGAATAGCCTGTGCGACAAAGTCAGCAGACTGCGCACACAACGAGCCAAGGAGCAAGGACCTTTGGTATAATTCTTTGCGACGCTGGCAGTTTTTTCAGCACATAAACTCGTTATGAGGATTCCTTCAAAGATGACTGACCGTAGGGCGCCCTTTCCTATGCTTTGGATTGACATTGCTGGAAGTGGCCTTGGTTCAAGTCACGTTTCGGAATTTGGTCCCAGCCCTGTCGACGCCCGCGGGAACAATGGACGCCAGAGACGCAATATACCTGTTATTCGAATCAAATGGAACACTTGGCGACCAGAATTCGCCAACTTTGGATCAAGTCGCCGATGCCTTGGCCAGCATCCACCCACTCCTCTCCAAGATCTTGAAATCTTGCCCTACAGAAACAGAGATAGCGCAGTTTTGTCGAGTGACCAGTCTCGATATGATTCTACATTTACTCGAGCGACGCCAGCATCTCGCCTACCGCACCGTCGACTCTTGGCCAAATCGTCTGTTACTCGAGTTGTGTGACTTTTCACATGCAAGGATGAGCCCAGAAGTTACGATCCAGGGTGTTCATGAAGACTGCTCGGATACCGCTCGCGCTCTGAAAGAGGTCCGGCTGGCTGCTCGTTCGCAGCTTCCTGGTGCTCGTGTCTGATCCTCAAAAATACCAATACTGACCCCGTTAAAGTCTCAAGGGACTCGCTCATACCCTTCCTCTTACGGCCCGACGTCTCACCCCTGACTCGCACTATAGCTTTGCGTCTGCTGAGCCTCTCAATTGTGGTTGCTCCATTCATCAACCCCTCACAGACAGGCGCTCACCGGAATATGTGATGTATCAACATTTGTAACGGTATTATATTGACGCACACCTCAGAGAGTTTCTACAGACACTGTGGTTGTCATTCCCGAGAATCATCGAATGTCTTACGAGCAGCGATTAACAAGTCGGGAGACAAGAGTAACAAACCCACGTCCTCGGTCTTATATCCGCTGTCAGCTGGATCGAGACGGAATTCGTCGAGCTTCATCCATTCATCACCCAGCAAGTTCAAATTAGATCGCTCGAGTTGATGGAAGATGTAGCACACCAGAACAATTGCGCCATCGAGGTGCTAGATGCCACGCTCGTGAATTCTCCACTCATCGTATGGCTTCTCCACTGTGACAGCCAACTCGAAGATAAACCTCTGTCCTTGCCTCTTTTCTACTTGGTATGTTCTTTTATCAATGGTGATAGGATGCTAATGCAACGTGTAGATTGGCAAGTGGCTCATCCTTTGCGCACGTTCAGATACTAGGTGGCAGGCACTAGTATTACCCGTGGTGAATCATCACGCTTATAAACTCCCTCTATGCGTCCGTGTAAGACCGGTATGGCTCGAGGTTAACATAGTAATCTCCCTACCCTAGATTCTATTAGATTCGATCAATACCTCCTGCCTTCTTCCGGCTCCTGCACTCGTATCAGCAGCCACTAGATGCGTTGGTCACATCCTTGAAGACTCATCTCCTGATTCATGCACATATGACATCGGATGCGATCTTCTGGACACCTTATTGCAACTGTATTTTGCGTTTGGTGCTAGCGAGATCCGTGGTGAGTAGGAACTGGGAAGACGATAAAGCACTTATAGGTCAAAGGAGATGTTTTCGTATGCATCTTCCGACTGCCGCGGCAACTTGATCGAAACCCATCTCTGAGACATGGTAATTCGATTTGGCGAGAGACTGCGATACGTCGTCTGCTTTCCCGAAGTGAACGTGGTACAATCATAAGACCAGCAGTGTCGAGTATAGGTCCAAATCTGACAGTGGATATCACAAGCATTTGCCTTCTAGCTTGTGCAGTTCATGAAGCAACTCTTGGCAGTGATCTAACAGACGAACTCCACGCACTCGTCGCGAATCTTCAAACACGACCATGCTCACGCAACGGGGATATGGACGATCTGACCTCTGATCAAAACCTATTTGTCTTACACACTCTTTTGGAACCCAGTCGAAGGAATTCTTCGGCACAGACGTTGACTGCACAAGTCCGTCTGCCGAGTTTATCGACGGGCCGTGCCTCAGAGCTTCTTCAGATGTACGACCGCTGTGAGTATATTCATACAACCAACGACATGTGTGACCATAAACCCAGTTCTTTTTGTGCAGAGAGTTCTACTACTTACGGAACCGTCACTTCTACCCACAATGGCCGCAGAGCAGCTGGTGACCATGTATCACTCGCTAATGAACATTATGGTTCTAAGTAGCGGGGCTGAAAGGTCTCATTGCTTCAAGGGGGTCAAACAAGACGTTGTGGAGGCTATTCTTGCTGTACTCAACGTCTGTGCCGACTCCACGAGTAGGTCGCGTCACTGAAACGAGCACTGTACTAAAACTAAACCAGTCCACTATATAGCATCGTCACCATGGACTCTTTTGCTGCGTCAGGCGTTGTTAGAGATACCGCAAGCGGAGATGGGCGGTAGGCAGCAAGATTTGTCGAGGATGGTACGCTTCGTATCGCCACGGATATTGGTGGCGTTCTTAACTGGTATATGTCTAGTTTGCGCTCATCCTAGCTGGAAAGCCAAGGGGAGAACGGGAGCAGACGAATGGACGGCCACTGAAACTAATGCGAACAGCGTCTGGGCATCTGTTACTTTTTGTCTAGAATATGATTGCTGGTTCCGGCGTTGGGCGCGTGCGTGAGGCTCGGTTTGCCATCGACCACAAGAAAGTTTAGGTTGAGCGTAGGTCTATCAGGCTTGATCCACACCATGAAAGCGCTAACAAGCCCGACATTGACCTTGTGCCTCGCGCGTGCAGGACGTCGCTGACGAGAATCTGGCCGCTGTCCGTGTTTTCAAACGAGGATTCGTGTCATGGCCAGCCCCGCAGAGGACCAGGTAGCTTCGCCGGCAGAAAACGAGAGTCCCGCATGGCCTGAGCCTCCCTGGAGTGGATGGATCGAGACGACGGGCGACGCTCTCCTCATTCTCGAAGCTGCTCGTCGCGGACTCATTCCTCGTGTTACCCGCAGGCTCGTCGACTCGGAACGCAAGATGATCACGTCCGGTTCTGTATTCGTCTTTGACGAGGACGAATCAGGCATCAAGCGCTGGACAGACGGCTTCATCTGGTCGCCCTCGCGCATCTTAGGCAACTTTCTCGTTCGTCGCTCTATCCAACTTTGTCCCGTGCGCTGACATGGCGGTCCTATAGCTGTACAGAGAAACAGAAAAACGCGGAAACAACCGTTCAAAGGCTGAGCAGGACGCTGGCGACTCCGAGGGCGTCCCGAAACAGGCAAAGGTCAATACGGCACAAGCGCTCACACAAGGACTAGACAAGCATAGGGAAAGACTGTTGTTAGGTAGCCTGACCAACAGTCACAAGTTCAAGGTGGATGGCATGATTAAAAAGGTCTGTTGCTGCCGCGATTCTATATCACTATTCACTCCTGCCTCTAGACCTTTTCCCTGACAATCGGTGGTGTCTCTCAGCATCTCATCTCGTATTATCGAGTTGCAGATGTCGAAAATGGCCGTCTACGATCCCCTTCTTCCCTTCCAGAGCTAGCGACCCTCGAGATTAGTCCCGAATACCTCGACAAGACGCACTTCAGGCAGCCTCCCCGCGTGGAAGTAGGTCCAGACGGAATACCTCGCTACAGAGGGGAAGCAGACGACCCAGAGCTTTCGGGTGTCTTACGAGGAACAGAAAAGACCGGACGCCGATTTGACCCCTACTCGTCCACCTCCGCACCCAAAAAGCCCAAAAAGCCTCGCTCACAGCGGGCGGCTTCTCAATCCGAATCTGACGTGTCTCAATACCCAGCGGATGCGTATGGCTACCCGTCTTATCCTGGTTATCCATATGGTGGACATGCATACCCATACATGCAGTATCCTGTAGGATCCGGCTCTGAGGACGCTGCTCAGGATGGATCAAACTACGGGGCATATATGGGTGGCTATTACTGGCCAGGGTATGGGAGCTCTGGACACGCCGCGGTAGAAAACGGTGAAGAAGAGGATACAGAGAAGCAAACCGACGGAGAGCAGAATAACACATCTGACGTGACCTAATTTGTTCGGACATTACTAAAGTAGCTTTACCTGTATGACCTGTACTGCTCTTGAACGCGTCTTGGCTCCAACTTCATTATGGCCAGCTCTCAAACGACAATTATTCCTCATTCGCAAAAACCCTTCGTGACGAGAGAATATCCGTCGGAGGATGAACTTAATGCCATAATCGCTGCAGCAGCTGATGCACAAAACTCGTGGAGCAAAACAGCGTTGTCAGAGCGCCTGGCGATCTGCAAGAAATTTCTGGACGAGATGAAGAAGATGGAGGATGTGATCGCAAAGGAACTGACTATCCAAATGGGAAGGTAGCTGTAGCACAGTGCTTTGTACGATCTAGGCTGATGGATGCATAGACCACTTTCACAAACCCCTGGAGAACTCAGAGGCTTCGTAGATCGAGCGAATTACCTGCTATCCATCGCAGAATCCTGCCTGCAAGACATTCCTCTGACTGAATCTGATAAGCCTGGGTTTCGTCGATACATTCGCCGTGTTCCTTACGGAGTCGCGTTTCTGATTGTACCCTGGAAGTACGTATCTTGATTGCCATCTGGCTGGGACTCACAGTCTTGCAGCTATCCCTATCTGACTACTGTCAACTCTTTGATACCCGCTTTGCTTGCAGGTAAGTTCTGTATCATGAAGAATGGCGCAGGAGCTCATAATCCCAGGCAATACCGCTCTTTTGAAGCCATCACCTCAGACACCCGTCAGTCCCAAATCCTGTGGAAGCATCCTCTGATTACGGATCCAGCTTACTGCAGAACGAATCTCAGAGGCATTTCAAAGAGCAGGACTGCCCGAAAACGTGTTGCAAGTGGTTCACCTCTCACCTGAACTCGTAAAGTACGCTTGCCGGCATCCTTCGGTTAAGTACATCAGCTTTACCGGAAGCGTGCGTCGCGTTTGATTACCTACCTCGGTACTGACTACTCACAAGGTATCTGGGGGAAGAGATATTGACCAGGCGGCTGCCGCATCAGGCGACTTTAAGACTGTTGGGCTAGAGGTCAGAATGCTGAGACAAGAGTCATATCCGCTAAACCAATTTTGTAGCTTGGTGGAAAGGATCCTGCATACGTTCGTGCAGACGCCAATGTGGATTATGCAGTGGCAGAATTGGTGGATGGCGCTCTCTTCAACTCGGGTCAAAGGTAAGTTGCCCTCTTCACTAAGGATTTGAATTTTTGACAGGTTGATAGTTGCTGTGCTGTCGAGGTCGGTGAGATTGCGGAGATTCAACGATATTAAACTGACTCTTGTCTCCGTCGACTAGCGCATCTATGTTCACGAGGCAATATTTGACGAGTTCACCCGCAAGTTTGTAGACCTTGTCAAGGTACTTGGATAGAGTTGACTCTGACGTTGTGGCTGACTTGTCAAAGACGTACAAACTTGGCGACCCCACGGAGAGCGGTATCAGTCTAGGTCCGGTCGTGAGTGTAGCCAGTGCAAAACGAATCAGGGATCAGGTGCAGCGTGCCGGTGAGCGAAACGGTAGAATATCCAAGGTTGGACTGACTTACGCAGTGGCTGCTGGGGCCAAACCCCTGATACCCGAGGAGTTGTTCCCGGTAGCGAAGAGCGAGCAAGTAAAGTCACTCGTTATAGTTCATGGCCTCAATTCTCTTGCAGGGACTCGGCCTATGTTGCGCCTCAGGTGCTGATTGATGTCGACCATAGCAAGTAATTCCATCCTACTGTTGTTCATTACTCACAGTTCCTAGCAATGGATGTTGTCACTGAAGAAACCTTCGGGCCCATTGCACCGATCATGAAGGTAAACATCTCACCTACCGGGGTGCGCTTGAGTCTTAGCCAGAACAGGTATCTGGGGACGAAGAAGCTGTCCAGTTGATGAATGACTCCAAGTACGGTCTTACCGCCTCTGTCTGGACGACGGATGAAGCCGCATTCGAATCGCTCGTTGACAAGATTGATGCGGGCACCGTGTTTAGCAATCGCTGTGACTACCTTGATCCGGCGCTTGCGTGGACTGGAGTCAAGCATAGTGGCAGAGGGATCAGTCTCAGCAAGTATGGTACGTAGCCGTATTCGACTGGTAACACGTTTATACCTCGAATATAGGCTTTGATCAAGTCACTAGGGCGAAGAGCGTCCATATTAAAACCAGTCCTCCCCCATGACAAGTGTGGAGCAACGCATTCACAGGAGACGGCATCGAGTAGTGAACGTATCGTACAAGTGCAAATACATACAAGGAATCTGAGCAAACATCCTAACTCATCGCTAGGGCTGTGTAAGTTACTGCCACTCCTGCGAGGACCATTGCGACAGTGCCTAGGGTCGAAGAGGTTGATGCTGCTGCCTTGGGGGCGACAGCCGGTTCATCATCGTCGGTTTCCTCTCCATCGTCTGATTGCTTGTGTTTTCGACGACGTTCAGATGTAATCGAGCCGTTATCCTGATCAGGTGTTCGCAAGCCTGTTTGCAAGTGTCAGCGACGAAGATTCGGTTGCATGTGCGTACTCTGTTCGATGTTTGTCAGTTTCTCCAAAAGGCTCTCGTAATGTCGCTCTAGAGCGCGCAACCGGACATCGACATCTTGTGGAGATGCCTTGTCCATGGCCGACTGATCGAGAATGAGCAAAAAAAGAAAATCTCAGAGGAAATTAATAGACCTTTTCAAGATATTCTAGTCGGGCAGACACGTCGTGTAATTGGCGTTTATGTCTTGACGCTGCCTCTCTTCGTCGTCCGAGGCGTTGAACCTCAGTCTAGACAGTGTTAATGTGGTGTAAATAATTAAAGGAATCAAGTACCCTGATTCTCTCGGCCTGTCTATCTGTGACCTCACTTTGAGGAGATCCTATGCTGGACAAGCGAGTCGGGTCAGCTCTTGATGTAAGACCATATGTACCGCTATGAAAGTAAATGGCCTTGCCTTAAACAGAAAGGCGGCTAATCTCACCTGCGGCTCTTTGTAGGAGAGCTCGGCGGCGCGTTGAAGCGAACGAGAACCGTATGCGGCGGGTGAAAGTTGCCATCCTTGAAGATTCCTTTGCCAAAGGAGATGATATCATCATCTTGAAGCTTGTATGCTTGACCGGGGGTCAACCTCGCGAGGGAATCGTTGATATAGGTGCCATGATGGCTCTCCGAGTCCGCGATAACGACCTCGAGGCGAGAATTAGCATAAAGAGAGGAATAATGAACCTATAGAGAGTAGACCACTCACATCTCCTGTATGGAGCCATCGAATCGTAGCATGTGTCCGAGATACGACGGGACACGTTGTCACTGTAGAAGGCTCAATGACATGGGAATCCGGCATGAGTTGAAGAGCGCTTACAGTAGGTACTCTGGGCGGCAGCGCTGTCTGTCTTTCCATCGACGGTGTACCGGCCAATGGTGATCGTGTTGACTGACGAGGAGAACACACGAGGAGGTTCATCCGAATCCTTTGGAATCAACGAGATAGAGGCAGTGGAGTGCGCAGCTACAAGGGCCAATTGGCTGTGAGCGTCTCTCGTCGTCGTAGATGGCGGCGGACAAACGGTTTATTCCACGATAACTGTCTTTATCACCGGTAGCAGAGCTGTTCGAGTTTCTAGTCGCCATCGTGTCCAAAGAATGTCGACGTTCGAGTTCAACAAGTTGGCTCAACCTGACGCATGCCCAAGCACGAGAACAGAGGACTGGCAAGCTCTTCATTAGCAATATCCATAATTTATAAAATATTTAGGGCGATTATTTAAGCTAGTGTAATAGTTCAAACGTGTTCGGTGACGACCCCTCAACTCCTGGTAGTCGGATGGACGACTCCCAGTGACATGTCGCCGAGTTTGTAGCGATCTTGTGTGACATGAAACGTAATATAGCCTGTCTGATAAGACACTTTAGTAACCTGGCACTTACTCCAGTAAGAGCAGCCGTACCTTGAACGTAAGCCAGGCGTTGAGGGCATTACCGCTGAGTGTGGATTCAATATTAGCAGACGCCTTTAGAGCCTCTTGCACAAGGTCGCGATGGATCTGGGCTGGTGCCTTGCGTTCCACCGCAGCCCGAAGGTGGACATAATTGCCCACTTCCTGCGCCAGCTCTTCCTTGTGAAAGGACAGAATGTCGTTGGTGATGTCTATCCAAAAGCTGATTGATGGTGCAGCTTGGATATACTCGAGCAGAGATAGCCGAGCAGACAAGGGGAAGATCATCATAGCGTATGCCTGGGCGACTCCAGTCTTGCTGCGCAGAAAGTAAGGGTACCTCTCTGCGTTCGGATTGACCTTCATGTCAACGGTAAGGCTCTCCAAGTAGCATCCGTTGACAAACTCGAGTGCAGACGAAACAATCGCATTGGCGGTAAAGGTGTCATAAAAGGCCCACATTGCTCGAAGACAAGAGGCAAAGTGGTCGAGTACTGGGTCCAGCTGGGCTCTGGACGTCGCATAGTATTGTTGAAAGACGGCAAAGGGAGCCGGGTTTCGACCCGAGAGATCGTCAATGTAAATCATGAAGAATGTGAAGAGCGATATGAGAAACTTTGTGCTATAGTCGTGACCGTGATACGACATGTCTCCCATGGCCACAGAGGGCGTGATCATGGCAGCTGTACGACGAGGATCCAGATGCTGTGGGTCCAGTTGCCACGCGCTGATGTAAGCATGGAGGTCTTGCTCGAGAGCGGTGCGAGATGGGTAAGAAGGTCTTCGATACCTCATCTCCGCCAGGAAGAAGGAAATGACCGAACGTGGAGTTGTGGGTGAATTCGAGGAAGACATTTGGACTTGTAAGGGGATGGACTGTAGATGAAATGTCAGATAGTGATACCACAGCCGTCGAGCCAAAAGGTCACGAACTGGGATTGCGATTCTGAGGGTCTTGTGTTCTTGAGATGACATGGAGAGGGTGGATGTCATGTCGCTGTTGAGAAGCAATCCCCTTTTATGGAGACCCAAGGACCGGAAGCACTGCGAGTGGTCCCGGAGATGACAAACGCACAGGCGACAACAAAAGGACCTAACGATGCAGCCCAAAAGTCATGAATCTCACCCTCTCGTGGCATAGAGCGATGGGCTGTTTGCCGATTCCCGGTTGCACCAAGTACTCTAAAACGTCTTGAATACAGGCTGCCATGTGTCTACACAGCACCAGTCAGCAGCCTGAGCCCCTATAACCGGTAAGAATCGCTGAGATAGCCGATGGTGGATTCACTTTGAGGCTCCAAGTTAGCCGTTGCGGGTTAAGCCTAGCGCAGGCGGCTGTTGTTGATCTACACGAGGTTGCAAGCCTGGAGACTTCGAACAGAGCCACGGGCCATGTACGCCACTTCATCGGAGCTGGGAAATAGTCCCAAGTCAGTGACGGCAGCAACCTCACCAATCCGCCACAGCCTCTGATCAGCCCACGCCCGACGGATTTTAGACACCAAAGTCGTTAGAAGCAGCGCTAAAAAAGTATATAGAGCCAAGATCATGGGAATTATTCACATTGCTCCGGTCCAGCGAGAGCAGTCTCGGACCGTGACGCGGCTTAGAGCGGTACTTCAGTGATCGCGGGACTTTCTAGCAATAGCAATAAGAAAATGACCAGGAAAAGGATCTGGACTAATACCTATATTCGCCTTCAGCGGCAATGCTCAGCTCCTCTACATCCGCTTGGACCGTGGACAATGCCTCTGCCGCAGCTGCAAAGAAAACAAGCTAGGAGAGGACAATGAGCATAGTTAAACTGAACGATGGGCTAATAGCGAACCTGAGTCTTAATCAACTCATTGAGATTTTTGAGAGGTTCGGGCTATGGTGGGCGCCATGAGTGGAAGCGCTGGTGCAGAACAAAAGATTAATAACCCACGTTATCGAGGACAGTTTTCATGAGCGTGATTGCAACTTCCGTTTTTTGGACAAGGTCATCTTCTGCATTCTCAACTTCGAGCCTAAACCATCCGGTCAGTCGGGAACACGTGGTTCCATGCTTGATATATACCGTGCTTGTTCCTGTCTGGCTGGCCCGGCACTCTTCAAACTGCGGACAGGATCAGTGAGAAGTGGGGTTTCCTATGACACATACGTCTGCTTAGCGGAGTCCAACTCCAAACGAGAGGCCCTGACGGCAGCCCTCGCTTTCATGGCGACAGTGATGGACGAAGACAGGGTGACTTGCCATGGCTGCACGAACCGTTCGATGATGGCGCTGTCCTGGTCGATACGAGCTTCTCCCACCTGAAACATAAATTATAAGAGAGGGGGTGTATTTTCGTACACCGGTATGACTCGCCTTTGCCATCGCATTGCCATAGAGATCCAGTGCTTTTCCTAGTCGCAGATCCGGACCCAGGTCGGCCGCCCCAGAGAGTGCAGCTCGGCTCAGCGCATGTGGAAGCGTCTTTGGTTGAGGTTTGACGGCAGGCGTCACGGATGGGACAGGAATGTTGGTTCCCTTGAGGTTTGCGGCTGCGAATGAGGTCACATTATGGGCAACGTTGGACGACATTTCGACGAGCGATTCTTGGATCTACGTCGTTGGATTAGCTAGGTACATGGGGCGGCGTAATTAACACCGACTTCACTGGGGTAGTCGTAGTTGGTCTTGTACACGCCTGCGATCCTGAAGCAAGAGGAGCGACGTAAGCTAGATGATGAATACGCTTGGTAGAATGACTGCACCTAAGAAGCCTGAGATGCGTGTTTCGCAGAGCGTCAACCCGAGCCTCCAGGTCTTTGTATTCTGTGATAATGGTCAGCCATGTATTTGCAAAGGCTGCATATAGACCTTGTGGAAGCTCTGTGATATCATCTGCGGGAATTTGACCAAGCCGCTCCCTAATCTGCGCGTGAGTCGTCTCTGGCGCGTATCCAAACACCTGATTTACCGCGTCGCCTGCAGAGAAGAGTTGAAGACTTTGGTGGCAGAGTTAAAGTTGATGCCAGAGAGGCTCGTAGAGATCTTGTGCCATCCGTCCATCGTTGTGGTCGGGTTCAAGGCGTCTGGCCACTCATCTCGTGCTCCGTCTAGTTGACACAACCTTGAGGATAGTAATCGTCTTTTAACTCATCGGACGTCTTACACTCTTCCAGGATAAAGGTGGTATACACACGCCTCAAGGCAGACGACTCATCGCATAAAAGCAAGGAATAAGAGTGTCATATGCAACAAGACTGTACGACATATTCCAGGGGGAAAATAATGGGGAGCAACCAACTATCATGTAACGATCGCGCGGGCTGCACACTCCCATCAAAGGGGGAGGTACAGGTTAGAGAGTTAAGGTGAATATCGGGGGGTCGGAATGGGTATCTCACACTGAGTAGGAAACTGGATGTACGGATAGAACAAAATATAGTCGCTCGAACCAGAGTCAATTGGCACTCGAGCAATCCGGCAAACGTTTGGGAGCCTAGTCTTCTTCTTCTTCTTCCATTACGTTGTGTAATGGTGCTCCGTGAACATACCGACCTGGACTAATCCGTCCGACCGGAAGATCTAGAGCAGCGGGCACCACCTCTGGTTCTGGTTCGGGAGCGACTGGGGTAGGTTGTGGCTGGGCCGAAGCGGTTTTTGGATTGTCCAAGCTTGCCGTCCTGACAGGCAGTCGCGACGGTGCGGGGGATGTCTTCTGCTGGTACATGTCGACGAGAGCGCCGACATTCCCCTTTCTACCAGGGCTCGACTCTGGGAGACCCTGCTGGTTATGGGAGGGCGAAGGAGGGAGTGTAGCAGAGGTTGGCTGTGGTGGTATAAGCTCTTGACTATAGTTGCGCTCTGCATCGATGAAAGAAGGTATTTCAACTTCTTGTGAGAGTGTCTGTGGCATCGGCTCAAAGTCGTGTGAGTCGACAGAATCCCGAACATGCTGAGGCCACCTCTGATCGTGGCGAGGAGAGGCGAGGGTGGAAGGTGATTGGACTCGAATGACCGGTCCGTCGTTGGTGTACTCATCCGAGTCCAAGGACCGACGTCCTTGCAGCTGGTTGGAGTATGGATAGGGTTCAGGATCAAGTATAGGCTCCTCTGTCGGCTCTCGAACGTGGCTATAGCCTTGATGGTGACCGTTGAAGGGATAATCATCATCTGGAGGAGGAACACCAGCGAGAACTGAGGTTATTTCCTCGCGGGCGAGTTCTGGATCACTCCTATTGTTATTAATAGCCCGCCTCCTGGGTCCTCCTGGCTCAACCTCTTGGCCTGGCATACGGCGTCGCCCAGTGTCAGCGACCAAGATGTCGATCCAGGCATCGTCCCTGGACAGGCGCTTATTATTCCCTGCACCGTTCGAACGACCAAGGGGAGAACCATCCGAGTCCGAATCAGAGGCCTCCCTCGTCTCAAAATCCATCTCATCATATTCTGCTGGTTGCATACCACTGCGTTTTTTGATCTTGAATCTGTTCTTCGGCTTCGTGGGCGAGTTGGCTGGGAGAGATGGAACGGGCGGGACCGGTGGAATATCGTTGTCAGGTAGAGGAGTATGACTAGTCAGAGGCGTCGGAATCGGGTGGTCACGAGTGCTGACGCCTCGAGTGAGTGATACCTTGGTGGTGGCATGGGAGCTCTTAAGCATATTTTCAAACTCCGCCTCTCTGTTCGATGTGTTCTTCGGAATAGTCGGTGTGTTCCCTACCACGTATGGTTTCCCGTTTAGTGTGGGTGCTGGCTTCCATTGCTTGGATTTTGGATTCAGAGTGGCCACAAGCAGCGAAGTCGGCGCAAAGATGCCCTTCTTCTTGGGTGCTGCCAATTGATCGCGGTACTCTTGTGGCACAAACTCCTCGAATAGAAAGAGGATAGTGGAAGTACGTGGGTCACCACTTGGTGGGGTCGAAGGACGCTGGGTTGGCATAGCCTTGAACTCGACCTATTTCAAGCTTGAGAGACGGTCCTTTGTTTCTGCAGCGGCTAATTTACGCACCAGTGCCCAATTGCATTCTCTGAAAGTATGCTCCGTTCTGTCCATCCAGCCACTCCCGTAGACGAGCGAAGCGAAAACCTCCAGGAAACCCTCTTCAACCATTTCCTCGCGACCAAGCACAGGTGCGGTGTCCCAACCAAAGGGTGGTAGAGACTTTTGTGCCTTCTTGAGCTTGCGGTGAATCTCGGCTGATTGAGAAGCCCACGAGTTGATACTCGATGAGACGGGTGTAGAAAACTGAAGGGTTGCAGATAACGGCTCATCGGTGCGTGAGAATCCGGCGCTAGAAAAGTCATTCCAAGAGAGCGTCTCTCGCTTCTCTGCTCGCGCCTATTGATGCAGTGAGCGTAGGTCCCCGCGGCTTTGCCTCTACGGACCTTGCGCGCGCTCTCAGTCAGATCGAAAGCGAGTTTGTTCTGATCGGTTTCAGAGAAACCAAAGCTCTCGAAGGTCCCCCATCGCATGTCCGTCAGACTCCGGAACCGGTCGTCCTCTTGGGTGTCTAATCCTAGGAGGCCCAACTCTTTCCCCTCTTCATCCGGCGTTCGGTTGAGCTCCAAGGCATTGGTCCCGAGTCCCAAGTCCGGGGCAAAGCCCGGCGGGACGTTGATATACTTTCTATAGTTGTCCGAATATTTCGGTTGGAGTTTGAGAAACTGAGGAGCGACACGAGACCACTCCTTGGAAGACTGGAAATCTCCCTTTGCCGATGCCCAGGATGCAGCGTTCTTGACAAGGTCTGGCGAGTAAAGACGGACATTGCGTCTCACAGGCGCAAGCCGAGTCAATTTCGCACCACGACGCGGTTTTTCTATACGAGTCATGTCAGGGATCATGGACGGATAGCCTCTGACCCAGTCCTTGAGTCGAACAGGCATGGCACCCTTTAACTGGGTTTGGGCCTCTTGCCAGCGAATAAAGGCAAGCAGCAAGTGTTCCGTGGCATGTGATGCTCTCAGATATGCGGCATAGGTGTGATTGAAAGGAAGGGAAGGGTTGCCGAGGCCAAAGATGACGGGACCAAAGAAAGAAGCCAGTTGGATGGGCGTTAAGCCAGACGAGGTTGCGTGTGCGGCGAGACGACTCAGGAGATTAAAGAGTGAGTTGCACAATGCGCGGACCGGCTTTTCGAGACTCTGAACGAAGCGCGCGAAATGGGAGGGATCATAACCGTGTGCTGCCCAAGCAACATCAGAGGAGTCTGGCATCGGGGTGAAGATGAAATCAACTGTACCGTGTTCTTCCTGTCTCCAGATCACGTATTCTTCCCACTTGACAAAGCCTCGGACCTCTACGCCGCGTTCGAGCCGAACGATGCGTGCCAATCCCCAACGGAGGAACATGGCAAGCTCGTGGGGACCAGCAAAGGTCGCCTCTTCACGCCACCGTTGCTCGGTGGAAGAGAGCGCAAGGTGATGAGGGCAGGTCGCGAGAAAGGCGGCGATGAGCTTTTTGATGACATTCGGTCGAATGTCAATGGCCAAAGGAGAGAACAAAAGAGGCGTCGTCAGTCCTGGGGATTATGTAGATTAATTAGCTGCAAGCTGGGTTCCAGACTACGGACCTCGCTGGCCGAGTTCCTCAGCGACGACATCCACGAGTCGCACAACCTCATCCAGACCGAGGATTACGTGTCTCTCACTTGCGAGGTAACCATATTCCTGCTTCGTATCGCCGCCTCGAAGCTCATGGAGGTCGTCTGCGATTTCGGGGGGTGCGGTGAGACTGGTCGGGAGGAAGTAGCCATCTGGAAGTGAAGGAAGATCCTTTGCAGACTCTGATCTGTCGATATACGTGCTGTAAGAGGCGTTTTGGCCGTTTAACGAACCGTGAACGAGGTTTGGATTCGAGAGCGTCCGCTGGCGAGACCGCTCGAGCTGACTGTCCGTCTTTCCACGCTTGAATGTTGTCGCTCTTATTCTCCCAAAGTCGTCAGTGTCGCTGTACGCACCAGCGGAGCCTCCGCTGGGCCCGTTCCTGCCCATGCTCGTCGCCGACTTAGTTCTGGAGAAGAGCTTGGACATTGTAACGAGGATCCACCACCGAGTTTGACCAAGTTAAAGCTAAGAAAGATCACTGGCCAGCGTGAAGACGTCCAGGTCTTAAGGCTGCCGCTGGCTGCAACGGAACGGCGAAGGTCAAGTATGCTACAAGCTAAGGACTTTGTACACGCTCCTGTCAACTGGGCCCTCCGCTCGTCTCTGCAGCCTCCATCCATGCACTGTTCCGCGTATTTTTTCATCTCCCGCATCCTCTTTGAACATTGCCTGCAGGCCGTCTGGTCAGTTTTGCGGCGCGAGGGGGGTTTGCCAAGTGCCCTGACCCCTGTATACTCTGTGACGATCCTTTCACATATCCAGCCTTCATCCGCTGCCTTTTGGAAGAATTCCATGTCTTTGGACGCGAGCCATGGCCGGTGGTGCGTGTAAAACACCAAGACGCACGGTGTCATCGCCGCCGGTGTATCAGATGAGCGGAGCACTTGGTTGCATGTCCGAATCAGTGCCTCGTGCTGTCTCGTATATCAGGAAAGATGCGTAGCGTATGTCCAAAGATGATGACCGCACCTGTGAATGATTGAAGACGAGGTCCGCCAAAATGACGACGTCGAACGGACCGCGTGCGACAAGATCCGTCGGATCGGCCCCCCAGATAAACCCCTGGCACCCATCTGTTAGATTTTTGAGTTTCGGTCTCCATGAGAGAAGCTCGCCTTGACGGTCGTCTTCTGTTTCGTCTCTTCGGTGAGATTGGCTTGGACGTTGAGGCGCAAGTTGTCGACGAGAGCGGGATCAGGATAGTCTGTGATGATGACCTGTCTTTGTTTCAATGCAGCCACTGGCCCACGATTGTCTACGCACCTCGCTGGCCTGATTGGATGCAGCGACGAGACTGGGGAGGCCTCCTCCGGCACCAAGCTCGAGGATACGTTTATCCTTGCAGATTTGGTCACAATGAGTGTCTAAATAGGCAGCGAGCGTCTTTCCAGCGTTCCATCTGGAGACACTGTCAGGGATCGCTGCCACTCGGTCCCAAGCGCAGAAGAATACAAATGATGACCCCAGAGAGGATGCTGACCAACCAAACGGATCTCCAGCGTGCGATTTCCGCGCGATTGACCGCTGCCTGGGGGAATGTCACGTTCGTAGCGTTGGACGGTGGGTGGGGGAGATTTGGGACGCTCAGGCTCCTAAGAGGAGCATCTCAGAGTAAATACGCGAAAAGAGAATTAAAAGGACGAGACTCACGGGGAACATGAGCTCCAGACTGTCCAAGGCAGCGTCGTCGAGCGGAGCGGGATCCATAGACTGCTGGATAGACAAGAATAATGGCTGTAAATAGGTTTAGAATGCTCGTGCTGGCTATGGGCGGCTGGTGACGGTGGTGATTGAGACGAACTTGTTTTGCACCCAAGTCGTCGTCGTCGTTCCCGCCAGCGAGCATGCAAACCATCAAATGCGTCGTTATTGGAGACGGAGCAGTGGGCAAAGTACGTGTATTTATTCTTTTCCGTATCCGCGACCCGTTTCGGTCAGAAATCTGCCGCGTTGGAGGCGCGCTGGGCAAATCATACGCTCAGAGGCCGTCCAGCGGGCTCTCTCAGTGCACAGGAAATGCTCTGGATGCTCTAGATCCCGTTGCGTGTTGTGGGATGCCGCTGGCGACGCTGGCGACAGTGGGAGCTTGACCCGAGATGAACAAGGCTCGCTGACGACTGAGCTCCCGCTCCGCTTTCTAGACCTGTTTGCTGATATCGTACACGACAAACAAATTTCCCAGTGAATATGTGCCCACTGTGAGTCTCGCTTCCCGCCCGAGGTCCAATGTCTGAGCCCACCTTGCAACTAGGTGTTTGATAACTATGCTGTCACGGTCATGATCGGAGACGACCCGTACACACTTGGATTGTTCGATACTGCCGGTAAGCATATCCGCTCCGTGCCCGGCCTCTGCACACCTGACACACCGCCAGGCCAGGAGGATTATGATAGACTTCGCCCTCTCTCGTATCCACAGACGGACGTTTTCCTAGTCTGCTTCAGCGTCACATCCCCCGCATCCTTTGAAAACGTAAAGGAGAAATGGTTCCCCGAAGTTCACCACCATTGTCCGGGCGTGCCTTGCCTAATCGTCGGCACCCAAATAGATCTTAGGGACGATCCGCAGGTCGTTGAGAAGCTTGCAAGGCAGAAGCAGCGCCCAGTCGCTGCAGAGCAAGGCGAGCGACTTGCAAAGGAGCTTGGTGCCGTCAAGTATGTCGAGTGCTCGGCATTGACGCAGAAGGGACTCAAGAACGTGTTTGACGAGGCGAGTTTTTCAGACCGTAGCACTCTTTGCTCCATCTAACATACCTCGTAAAGGCTATCGTGGCTGCCCTCGAGCCTCCCGTGGTCAAGGTCAAGGGACGCAAGTGCGTAGTCGTCTGAAGCGACCGTGGGGACGACGACGACGACGACGACGACAGCACGGATTTATTGCGCGCTCGTAATCACATCATCTGCCAGGTCGTCTATCATCTGTTGGTCTCTGACTATAGTCTCCGTCTTCTTCTCCCCTTTTCCGCTCTGCATCCAATGCTTCACTACGAACTTATATCCTCTTACATTCTTCTCGTTTATAAACCTTTTGTTTCCTGCGTCCCCTTTTTGTTGCGAGCACCTGAATCCAAGAGGCGATGACCGGGTCGCGGGAGGTTATTACGCTTGTACTCAAACCCCGTCGGGCTCGCCGTCTCTGCTCGTCCAGCAGTAGCCAGCGATCAATCTCGTCCATTAAATCTTCGTCTTTATTGCTATAAGCTCACCTCGACAAGGCCCCCCTCGGCCGTCCCGCTCCTTGTTTCAAGCCCGAACCAACTTTCGGTCATAATCCCCCTCTGATAACCGCACGGAATTATCTTCTGTACACTCTTTAACCCAATGCCGAAGCACTCTTTCAATTTTCGGTCTGCCTTCGACGCTTTCCGCGAGCGCAGGGCGTCTCCCGCCGTCGTCAAGCGCGCCCCTGGTCAGTCCTTGGCAAGCTCCGACAACAAACGGATGAGCTGACGAGATAATTTTAAAGGAGATTGCGGTGTGGATAGTATCTACAAGTCCCCGAAGAGCGGTAGCACTGTCAATCTCAACGACAAGTTTACCATCGAATGGAACCCTTCTTGTCTCCCAAACTCTGTCATCCGGATCAAGCTCACCTCCCCGTCATTACAGTCGAGTAATGGAAGTGTTGGAGTTTGGGCCAACGTCGACGGTACCACAGGCTCTAAGGAGGTCAGTCCCTCTCACGCGCTGTACAGCCGCAAAACCTCAACGCTTCCAGGTCGCTCTCGTCCCCGAACAATTCAACAACCTTGCAAAATTGGAACTACAGGTCAGCATCTCGGCAAACTCTGAGGAAAACACTCCAGAGTTTCTCGTGGAGACTCTCCCTAGCGGACCTTCATGGACAGGCATATATAACAAGACGCAGCCTTCTGTAGCCACAGGCTCTGGTTCAAATGGGAACCTTTTGAGCGGGCACTCGTCCAGCAGTGTTACCTCGACCTCGAATGGCTCTCACGGTGGCATGACAAAGGGACAGGTTGCCGCCGCCGTTCTTGTGCCGATTCTCTTCATCGCCGCGTGTATTGGCGCCTACGTCTTCTGGTCCAGAAAGAAAGAGGCTGCTAGACGCAAGGAGTATAGAGAAAACCTCGACCAGCGCATGTCCATTGCCCCAGGTGCAGACTGGGCTCCCATCTCCGCGGCCGGTGCTGCCGCTGCTATTCGCCATTCGATGGCTTTCAGCGGCGCCGGAGATCGTAACACGCGCTCCAGCAGTTTCTTTGGCCGACAGTCCACGTACCAAGTTGATCCACCCCAGGAGATGCGCCAGACTCGCACCAGGAACACATCAACGGAACAGTCGCGCACCTCGCGAGTCTCGTTTGCCGACAGCACCTTTGATAAGTCGTTTGATCGACCAGCTGTTCCTCCCCTTCCCGCAGCCTACCGCAAATCCCAGTTTGCAGAGGAGAAGGATGGCGAGACGTTGAGCCCTACCCAACGCACAGGCGCTTTTGCTTTGGACGATGCCGCCATTCAGGATCGTCTGAGTGCTGGTGAAGCCAATCATGGTCGGGCTAGTGTTGCTATCGGTCAGGATGTGGACACTTTACCTGCCCTTGCCAGTGCGTGCATCTACGTCTCAGCCTATCCTACCAATACTGATATGAAAAATTTCCAGTGATGCGTGCGAATGAAACGTCGCCAGCTGCCCCTGCCGTCGCTATGACCCGAGAGTCAACGTACTCCATCGGCGCATACTCTGGAAATACGGATAGCATCGTCACAGATTCCAACGCTCCTTCATTCTTCAACCCTCCGTCAAATAATGCTGATCCGGACGAGGCTCTCCGCAATTATGCGTCTCGTACTCCACAGTTCGTTCCTGTCACGACAACTGCCTCGCCGTTCTCTGGGTTTGCTGCTGGCCCTGGCATTGCAGCCGCCGCCGGTTTCGACATGTCACCAGATGCCGCCTTCCGTGCCTATGCTGCTACTCGTCCCGCCGCACCACCGACTGCCGTTGCACCTGGCGCTCCTTCAACCATGCGGACGCTCTATGGACCTACGATGACTCAAGGTCTCGGCCTTCGTCAGCGATCGGACACGATGAGTACGAGCAACAACCCTTACCGGGACTCGATGGCCCCGAATCACACTGGTGAAGACATTGGCAAGGCACAGTAGAAAAATGTGCGAATCGTCCACTCCTCGGCGAACGCTGCGCCACTGTCCACTTCTTATATCGACCTTGATTTGCATTTTCCCCGCTTGCATCTCTTTGAACTGCTTTGGCTGGGTTGTGTAGCATGCGTGCTAACGTGGGGATACGATCTAGACACACGGCCCGCTTCTTTCTCCGTGTCTTGCATTTACCCATATTTTCTACACGCTAGCTATTACTCGTCTGTGTATGGTACGGTAAATTTGTGATTATTTGAGCCAACCTCTCGTCAAGTGTGTTGTTTACGTCCTGCATTTTCTCTCTCCGATACCATGTCTGGTCTACAAAAGTCAGCAATGCAAGCTCGCATAGCCAAGCTTCCGTACTTGCCAACTGTGGCACCTCCATACGATGATGAACAGGACGTGGAAGAGCGTGAAGAGGCCATGTCCACAATTGCGTCGCTGCCAAAGATGCTCCCACCCGGTCCGCGGTATGTTCACAGGAGATATACTGTCCTAAAAATCTAAAAAATAGATCTTCTACAGCTCTGTCGCGCCCAAGAGAGGTCTGCGCAGCGTCCATGGCCCAGATCTTTCGCAGTTTAGTCCAATCTCTGCCTCTGGATACTTTGTACAGGCAGTCAATATCAAATTGGAGGCACGGGGAATAGATATCAGAGCATATTATTCCCCTCCAATTGTTCCTGCAGGAAAAACAATCGACGAGCCTACAACCGTCATGGTGTGCCACCACGGTGCTGGGTATGTATATCGATGTACCGTTTGCTTCTTCACTTTATATGTAATAACCGCCCTTCAGGTACTCAGGCCTCAGCTTTGCTTGTTTTGCTAAAGAAGTGGTCAAATTCTCGGGTGGCGAATGTGGCGTGCTTGCGTTTGACGCAAGGAGACATGGTAAAATGCTCTCCAGGATCAGATCTGTGCCTCATCATTGTTCCTGAATCAGGAAAGACGATGCCACTTGAGGGACAGTCGGACGAGGATCTCGACATTGATACGCTCACAAGGGACTTTATTGCATTATTGAGCTCCCTCTTTCCGAATCCACAGGAAGCTTCAACATTTCTGGTGAGTGGCGAGTCGAGTAGTCTACTCCATTCAAGTTTCAATACTCCCTAGTTGGTCGGTCACAGTATGGGAGGCGCTGTATGTGTCAAAGCGTGTCCTATCCTTCAAGAGAGTGGCTACAAGGTTGGTGGTACCGCCGTCCTCGACGTCGTGGAAGGTGTGCTCACACTAATTGGATGTATAGTTGGCCTCCGTTCTGACATTTATATAGGCTCCGCTCTCGAGGCATTGCCCATCATGACGAGCTTACTTGACTCTCGGCCTGCTGGATTCTCTTCAGTAGAGGAAGCAATACAGTGGCAGTAAGTAGGTGTAGTGCTGTCACTGTCACCATTGATTCCCTTGAAGCATTACTTCTCATACCATTCGTAACGCCTTTTCTGCTCGTATATCTATCCCCGCCATCTTTGTCAAATCAGAGGACGGCGAATCGGACCACCCCTGGGTTTGGAGAACGCCTTTGAGATCTACGGCTCCATATTGGACCAGTGAGCTTTCAAAGCAGATCTTGAGTCGCAGCGCTGACCGTTTAGGCTGGTTCAAATCACTTTCATCCCGATTTCTCGCTTGCCGATCCGCACGACTCTTGGTCCTGGCCGGCACGGATCGACTGGACAAGGAGCTCATGATTGGTCAAATGCAAGGAAAATTTCAGATGGAGGTCATTCCCGACGTAGGGCATATGTTACATGAGGTAGCTATGCACCAATACACATTTCTGTGTTCTGAAGAGTGGCCTAGGATGATCCAAGTCGCACTGCTGAGATCCTGGTAGACTTTTGGAGGAGGAATGAAAGAGTAGTCATCGGCGTAAAGAAAGTTGGGGACTTGTAGATAAAGAGTTGAAGCTAATTAACAACTCCGTCTTCTGGAACTTTGACAGTGGGTACTGCACCCGCGAACTTTGAGCGAAGTGCCTCGTACTTTCTTCGCTGAGCCGCTGAGACGCTAGGCCCAATCTTCTTTGCAGCGTTATCAAAGTCATCGTACGATACGATGACTTTTAAACCTGATTCTTCCGCTCCCTGGAAGACGGGGACGGATTCCCAGGCAGTGATTGTCCTCCTAAGAGAAGTGACGCCAGCTTCACGTACAAGGGCGGCGAGATCGGCACCACTGAATCCCTCGAATCTCTCTCCATGCACAAAGTCAAGGATAGCCGCTTGAACTAACTCATCTTCTTGGATGGGAAGTCTGCGAGCAAGCGCCTTGAATATCTCTACGCGTTCGTCTGGTGTGGGGAGGTCGACATAAAGTAACTTGTCAAGTCTTCCAGGACGGCACATGGCAGGGTCAATCATATCGGGCCTGTTGGTTGCAGCAATGACATGCACTCCCTTTCTCGAATCCAAGCCATCCAGTTCGGTGAGGAGCGTGTTGACGACGCGGGCTGAGGATTCAGACTTTTGAAGCATGAGTCAAGCTTCATCTTTTGTTTACAACGTACCAGCGAGTCGTCTCGACGGGGTACCAATGCATCGAGCTCATCAAAGAAGATGATACATGGAGATGATGCCCTGGCTCGACTAAATACCTGACGAAGGGCTCGTTCGCTCTCGCCAACGTACTGGTGCAAGAATTTAATGAGAGCGAAAGCAGAATAGGACACTTCGACGACGTACCTTGTTCAACAATTCAGGTCCTTTTACACTGATAAAATTGGCCCTGCTTTCGTTCGCCACCGCCTTGGCAAGCAGAGTCTTGCCGCAGCCCGGAGGTCCCCACAGGAGCACGCCACCGGGGGCATCAATACCAATTGAGCGGAACAGCTCGGGTCTGAGGATTGGCTGCACAATGGTCATGTGTAGTTCCTCACGAACCCCGTGAAGAGCTCCAACGTCTGCCCAAGTTACGTCGGGTATTGTCGCAAATCCTTCTCGCTTGGAAGAGGGTTGGATGGTTGGGAGAGCAGTCTCAAAGTCTGCAAACGTGATATGGAGTGGCTCGAGTTGCTCAGGAGTCAGTGGAAGTGGATACGCCATTAGAAAATTAGCCAGTGAGCTCGAAGTCGGAGAAGAGGTGGGAAGCATGGTACCAAGTTGTGCGACTGAAAACGTCGATGGAGCAACATTGTCGAGTTTTTCTGTTGGGTCATCAACCCCATCAAGCAGCATAGTTTCATCTGGTTGTGCTACTTCTAGTGCAGTCGGTATCTGAAGTTTTCCGTCGGCGATTTCTTGAAAGATGCGTTTGACCGCGATCACTCCTGCCGCGCCCGTAAGTGCTGCCAAATCAGCTCCGACATAACCTGGAGTTTGTCTCGCCAATGATTTAAAGTCGAAATCACCATCAAGTCTGAGTTTCGCGCATAAGACTTTTAATATTCTGAGAGCGTTAAGTGAAGGACTGCTTCTGGATAAAATGCGCTCACTGTACCCTCCCTTCTTCATCTGGAACGTTCATTCCAATCTCGTGGTCAAACCGACCGGCCCGTCGCAAAGCAGCATCCAGCGAATCCGGTCGATTAGTGGCGCCGATAATCATGACAGCTTTATCGTCCGTTTTATCCCAGGATAAATCTGCATACAATGGGTGCACGCGTTGGACGTCGGATCAGAGAACGTACCATCCATGCAAGTGAGAAATTGGGCGACTATGCGCCGCTCCATTTCCCTCTGAGCACTCTCACGTTTGGGAGTTATAGCGTCAATTTCGTCTATGAAGAGAATGCAGGGGGCATTTTTCTAATGGCGAATGCGTCAATTTCGTGATCGAGCCGCTGCTAGTCGCCAACCTTTGCCTCTTCAAATGTCTCTCGAAGAGTTTTCTCCGATTCACCAGACATTCCGGAGACGATAGAGGGCGCGGATATACTGATGAATGGCACCTGGAGCTCCTGCATCAAATGTCAAGATCAATGTCACTGCCTGTACCGGTGAAACTCACATACACCAGCGATTGCATTTGCGAGCAGTGTTTTACCGCAACCCGGAGGTCCATGGAGGAGAACACCTCTGGGAGGCTGCACCCCAGTGTGGAGATAAATTTCGGGATGGCGTAGTGGCATCGCGACGAGCTCGAGAAGTTTCTCGACGCAGTTTTGCACTCCTCCGAGGTCTGAAAGACGTATACTTGGTGGTGGATATGTTTTTGCGGTCGCAGCTGAGCCTTTGGGCTTTTTGGAGGGAAACTCGTCTCTTGTAAAGGTAGGCTTCCTTTTACGAGCTGTACTCGTTGAAGTTTCGACTGGTGTCTCATTGGTGCTCTTTGATTCTGGTATATTCTTACTTTGGTCGCCTACTTTGAGCTCGGCTCCTCCGTCCGTCTCCGATATCACTACGGGGGGCGTCGCATTTAGATTGATTTTGCGAGAACTGGCCCATTGAGCCATCATTTTCTGATTAAGAGACATAATTTATGCGGGGCCCAAGATTACAATGGTTGGGGTCGCGAGATGGTTGGGTTCAGAATCGTATCAATGATTTATTTAGGAACCATGAACTCGTTTATGATGTATCCATCGCATCAGTACCTCCAGCTCCAATTGGTCTAACCTCTTCGTGGAAGACGACAATCTCCCGGTCTTTCTTCCAGTCGGTCGTGCCACGCCTAAACTTGTAGTGCTTTTCCTTCTCCACCTTCTCATTGGGTGTCAAGTAGTTGCGCAACATGTCTGTGCGGTCTTTGGTGATGATGCATACGTCGACATTGGATCCTGAGCCGAGGTCGTTGAAGATACCGGCTTGAATGGCCTTCGAGACGAGAGCTACGGCGGCATCGCGCTATAATCATCGCGTCAGGTCGTTGAAACACATTTTGGTAGAGATGGACACACGTCAAGACCGGCTTGCCACTCCGTTTCGAATATCGACATTGCCGCGAGACTTCCTGATCCCATCGTTACGTACGGCAATTTGTCTGTCGAACCGTGCGGGGCGACAGTGAAAAGGTTTGGACCAGTCTCGTCTACACCTCCGAGCACCAGGGCAGCACCAATGTTTCCCTGATACCTTTCAAGGTGTCAGTATGTCCAGGGGGAAGGATAGCAGTAAGAAACAGACCTGAAGAGCATTTGCTTGAGCATGGTCATTGCCGTGACCACTCTTGGGATGCGACCAGTGGATAGGGCATGCAGCTCGATATTAGACGATATCAATGCGGTTGTAAACTCTGTATCTGCAGCAGTTCCCGCACCACAGCATCTGATGTTCTGGGCGATGTAGTGAATCTGGACGAGTACGCGCAATCAGCCACTTCGACGCTGGCCGGCGCAGAAAGCCCTACCTTTTCGCAATTCTTGTCTGCAACAATTGGACCATTTGTCGCTCGTGTGTCTGCACCGAGAACGACGCCGTCTTTGAACAAGCATCCTACAATTGTGGTGCCCGTGCTCGTTGCCTTTGGGAGATGGATTCCCTTCGTCTCGAGAAATGAATTGCGGACGACGTTTGTAAAGTCAAAGCCAGGCTTGTTGTAGATGCTAGCCATGGGCGGCGACGAGGTGCGCGACAAAACGCGTCTACTATTTGGGCCAAACACGCTGGTTGATCTTGGACAATGGCCAAATTTTACATCCCCGAAGATAATCTTACAAGCACACAGAATCACATCTTTGTACAGGGCTTGCCAGTTCGCTACATGAGTCCCGTCCAGCAGACGTCCTCGTCCTGCCACAGCGAGCATCCTGCCGATGTCGTTCCTCCTAGAATGTCTCCGCAGCAAGCTGAAATCTTTGGGCGCATTCTAAGTATCGATCCTGTCGCTCTCAACCCGTTTGGAAGACTCTCGTGGCTCAGGGAACCAAACGGCCCATCCTATCGGTGGCAGAGGCGCACAAGCAGGGAAGGTACTCCCTGTGTTCATGTTTGTAATCAATCCTTCTATAGCCACCACTCAGACCTAGTTCCCAACAGATTAGACCCAACTGCACCCATGCCGACATTACGATGCGGGTGGTAGGTCCTCCTCTCGTCTGATTCGCAGCGCTCAAGTCTTTCAGCGCCTCGGTGAGGACGTTGTCGTCTACCTACATGTCCCCCGCGAGTCATGGGAAACCGCGACTTGCGACTCTCGAGCCGTCAGGGCGGCAATCCAGAAAGGCTACCGTAAGTCTCATAGAATCTAGATGGATACAACAACTGGATCTATATGTACAGTTTCCCTCCTCAGTGGTAACCCACGTGCAATCATTGTGCGCGCTGGAATGTACCCTACAGCCGTTCCAGAAGTCACACCGTCTCGAAATTCGGGTCCATTGCAGCCCACTACACCTTTAAATGCTCGCGTGCCGGCACCAGATAAGGAAAATATCCCACCGATGGATGCACCATTTGAAAGTATTCCAGTCCTAGACCAACGATCAACAGGGACTACATCATCCAGTCTTCGCTTGCTTGTCGAAAAGGTTCAAATGAGCCAGCAAAAGGATGAACCTCTTCTCAAAAGTTACTTCTCTCCCCCAACGATAGAGACTGATTCCAGCGTGGCACGTTCGAGTCGACTTTCCCCGGTAGCAAAGGAACAATTTAGTCACCATCTGCACGAGAGGCTCGAATCCATACTCGCGCCCGATGACTTTCCTCCCGAAGATGGCGATCAACGAACAGCGTCGCCCCTTCCGCCCTCGGACATGTACTCGAAAGAACACCTAGACCCTCTTGCACATCAAATACCGATACTGAAGCGAATCAAGGGTACAATCACCAACGCTTCAATTGTCCTATCACAGCTTGACCTGTTTGGACGGGCTATCATTTCATGCATTGCCTTTTCCCTCGGAGCACCATCCAAGACAGGGATCACTCATTTTGAACACTTCACGTCCATGTACCAATCCGCTTCCTCGAAGACTGTCCACTGGATTCGTATGGCAACTTCCAACGCCTTGCGCTCTCAAGACGATCCTGACTCGCCGTTATACCCTTCATGGTTTGTACCTCTTGTCGTCCTCCATCTCTATGTAGCGCTCTTCTGCACAGTCTTCCTCCTCGTCGCTCGGCTGGTCACTCCATGGGACCAACCTATCATTATTCTCGTAAGTAATCAGGCAGACAGCTAGAATTCATTTGCAATCTACATTTCATTGAGTCAATCAAGATGTCACATTGAGCATATCGATGCGTTTCTGCGTAATTTTGCCCTTTTGGCGGCCAATTCTGATCTGTTCTTCGAGAATGTCGATATTCCTGATGTCAATCTCGTCATCATACTTGATTCGTTCTTTGAGGAGTGGCTTAAACTCCTCCCATCGATCTTCGACCAACAGCTGCGGGAGATCACGTCAGAAGCGCGATATCAAGACACACGTGGGATCTTACGATTTCAATGATAGTACGCAGCGCGCTGTTAAGCGCACCAACGACCCAAGCATGGTGAACACTTGTCGCCTCTCCGGCAAAATGCAGCCTGCCGCCCATCGGTTGTGTGACCTCGGGGTAGAGCGTAGAGAATTGTCCCGGCCCAAAGAGAGCAAATGCACCTCGGAGGCGTCAGCCTCTCATAGAATACATTTGGGAAAGTAGGTTACCTGCCGAGTACGGATTGTCGTCCCAGTTCCAAGGGAAATAATCGACAAACTCTGCCCGTAGGTCCTCTATTTTTATCCCGTGAATCACTGCGAGATCATCGAGGAGTATATCGACAAGGGTCTCCTCAGCTGGGGTGCCTTTGCCGCGACACAGAGAACCAAGGCGTGTTGCGTCCTGCGCCCATGTGTAGCTGACAATCATCGTTGCATCTTCCCCGTCAATCCCGTACGAGGGATAGACGATGCAACGAGTGGGTCTGTTGGTCTGTCAATGGCGACTCAGCGTGTTTGCATCCCACTGACCCATCAGTCTTTGAAACACCACCGCGCTGACCGTGTTTCTCCCACCAGCGTGATTTAAACTTCATACCGACTTTGGTAGAGTTGGAGTACTTTAGACAACGAATAGCGACTTCGAGGTCCCATGTCAAGTGGCATTCCGAGGTGTCAATATTGCGGAAGCACCCGAACGGCATTGTCGAGATTACGTGGTCATATCTCCTCTTGGAGGTCGGATCGTGGTTGACCTCGACGTCGACACTCTCCCACTCGTGGTGGCCAGAGACCAGGTTGGCGGAGATTTTCGTTACTTCTTTGCCCATTTCGATATTCTTCACTTTGGCTTTCATCCTCTCTGCAATGACACCAGAGCCACCTCTAGCAAGGGGAATCAGCCGTCGAACGTAAATAGGACGTGACACACTGTACACAATACCACTTGACCTCCTCGCCTGGCGGGACTGGCCATTCGAAATCCATTGACTCCATCAACATCTCGAGCATAGCAGAGTCATAGAACGTTGTTCCAGAATCAAAGGTCTCGATGGTTGTAATCAGCTACACCAAGGTTAGTCGTAGCAAGTTGTCGAAGAGGCATTACAGACCTTTTGAGAATAAGCGGGGCTGGAAGTGGCCAAGAATGTGCGCATACTAAGCGCGTCGTATAGTCCGACAAGTTTGTTCCATTCGTCTTGAAAGTTGTTGGCGAGTTGCTCCTTCATGCCGCTAAACTTGTTATTGAGCAACTGCTCAACAGTCTCGTCAAGAAGGCCTGTGTCAAAGGGATCGGGACCTCCGTTCTTGACTTGCTCGTTTGTGAGCGTTTTGCCGTTGTACCGATTGAGATTCTTGTCGATGGACATGAAATATTTGATGAGTTCCCCTTCGCGCGGGTTCATTGGGTCCTCGGCCTCCGTCATGCCGAGGTCATGTTCTAAAAGGTAGAACGTGTGATACATGAAGGGTATGTAGGGATATCGCATGGCGCCAACGTCCTAGAGAGTATTAGGGAGTCAGAGCTGATTAGAATGTGTCGACATACGAAATAATCATTTGGACCATCTGAGAAGTGATGCGTGTAAAGACGCCCTCCGACACGTTCTGGGTTCGCTTCCAAAATTTCGTAGGTAAAGTCGGGGCTTTTGAGGGAATCGATGATCATTGCAGCGTACATTCCAGCAGCACCGGCTCCAAGGATACCAATCTTGATTGGGCGTCTTACCTTCTCGGCTGGGGCAGCCGCTTTCATAGCACTAGGAGGATATCCATGACCTTTGTGCCAGGCGGCTTGGGAGTTTTCGATAAGTTGCCTCGCATATTGAATACGCCATGTGTTATGGAGCTGTTCTGAGATGTCGTCGATGCGATCCATGGCGAGTATGCTTGGGTTCTCCCCCAGGACAGGGTCCTTTTATGTGGCCTGCATCATCCTCTATATCCAGGCCCTTTTGGGAGTGGAGGAGGACATAGTGGGCTCGTTATGTGGCCAGGTGTTGCGGGGATTGCACGTCTCCGTGGTGGGGGAAGCCCGTCAAGGCTGTTCTGAAGTGGAGAATCAAAGACATTTGAATTAATTCCTGCCGGCCAAGGCTTGTGATGGATGCCAATCGACCAATTATGACAGATTAGATGACCTGTAGCAGCCAGAGCATGACCAATGTCATATATAGACCCCCAGGAGATTCTCTGGCCCCGAGTGTTGATGTATCGATAGCCTTTGAAATGTGGGCAAATCGACGTCGTGTCCAAGTGGTTAACAATGGTCAGGTGAACCGCCACGCCGTCACGATTCCCCCACGTCCATCTTGGCCCACTTCACGCCCAACTTGTGGAGAAATGATTGCTGGATGGAAAGGGGTATTGCCTAAGTTCAGACTCAAGATCCATTCTAGAATAAAACTCATGGATTTCTCTCGAAATATTTCCCACGGCGCCACCTATCCAAACTTTGCTCTTGACCACTTTGGTATTCGCCATGTCCGCTCCGCCAATTAGCACTTGGTGCATCCAGCTCGTCCCAAGAAAGGAATACATCTTCAGTATTCCGCCCTTTGCTGACCTCCGAATCACAAATGCGGCGTTTGACGCACAACTCGAGGATGAAAATTCGCGCTGCACCGTAATGCTCGACATACAAGACATGTTCGATTCGGACGATGAGTCGAGTGAAGCCGGCGGAGAGAAAGAAGACATTCAAAGCGGCCACAGAAAGTTTGCTCTGACCTCGTTGACGCCGGGAAAAGTGAGTAGGATGCCGCGCTTTGATCCTCTATACTTTCTTATACTGGAAAGATTGAGTCTAGTATGCATGACATTGTGATCACTAGTCCCGCTCGCGTCAAGGCAGAGGTCATCGGCAGAAAGTAGGTTTCTTACCCACCTCTGAGCCCTAGATCTGACGACCATTTACAGTACAATTCATCTTTCTGGATATTACTGCCGTTCGTCTTATAACCTCTCAACAACTGCCTCTAACTTGATGATAGGTACCTACAATGGTGAAAGCGAGGAGGACGATAGTGAATACATGATGGACGAAGACGAAGAAGGGATTGACTATGATGACGATGACGATGAAGGATATCCGCTTCAGGATATCTCATCCGACGTCGAAATTGAGGTTGACGACCTAATGAGTGGTGACGAACTCCCAGACGATTCCCAGTAAGTCTCTATCCTTCCTCCGGCATAATAAACATCTCACAAAAGCTCCTAGTCGTTTCGAAGAGGTAATCGAAGAGGAGGAAGAAGCCGTCCCCGCCACCAAAAAGCGACCTCGTGAGGAAGAAGACGTACCTGATAAACCCGCACCAGAGGCCAACTTGTCAAAGAAGCAAAAGAAGAAGCTCAAGGCTCAACAGGCTGCTGCTGCTGCCTCTGGCAACACCAACGTCCAAGCAAAGTCTGCCATTGAGGGCCCACCACAAAAAAAGGTCAAAGCAGAGAACGGCACCGCGGTTCCAGTTGAGAAAAAGGAGGAAAAGGAGAAGAAGCCAAAGGAAAAGCAAAAAGAAAAGCCAAAAGAGGACAAGAAAGACAAGCCGACTCAGGCAAAGACTGTCGAGCATCCCAATGGGCTCAAGACGACTGACACTAAGATTGGAGATGGAGAATTGGCAAAGAAGGGTAGCAGGGTGTCGGTTAGGTACATAGGAAAGCTCACCAACGGCAAGACCTTTGACTCGAACACCAAGGGCTCTCCGGTACGTGCTTCGAGAAGCAAGGAGTCGGCCTCGCTCACGGTTGGACAGTTCCAGTTCAAACTAGGTGCGGGCGACGTTATTCAAGGTGAGTAACCTCTGCAACGACGGGCGAAATCTTTTCTCAAACCAGTACAGGCTGGGACCAGGGTCTTGTTGGAATGAAAGTCGGTGGCGAGCGACGCATAATCGTGCCTCCCAAACTTGGCTACGGACAAAAGAAGATGGGTAGCATTCCCCCAAACTCTGTCCTCGAGTTTGAAGTCAAGCTTCTCAGCGTCAAATAATCCAGTGCACTTCAAAATAAGCTCTCAGAGCTGTGGCATTTCTGAGCAATTGCTGCTTTCTGATATTGTTCCCTTCCCCCCCCCCAAAAAAAAGAAAGCGCCACTATATTGCATGTCGATAACTCTTGCATAACAATGTTTTCACTACGTCTGGTCGGATTTCTCAGGAGACGATGCCTGTCCTTGGACATCTTTGAGCAAAAGGAAAGCCTTTGGCTCATAGGCACTTACCCTTCTGTTCGTTAGATTCAGGAGCTTTAGTTGATTCTGGGAGACGCAACCCAGTCGAAGGAACGTTTCGTGAGCCAGGAAAATCCTCTTTGAGCTGTTTCGCTCGGGCCGCTCGCTCCTCGGCAATATCGTCAATGATCACGCCTTCGTGTTTTGGAGGAGCTGCAAAGCATCAGGGAATTTTTCAATTCAACTGTATCTTTGCGTACGTCTATGGCTCATTTCGTGGAGGAGACTAACTTGTCGTCATGGGCGCTAAGGATAGAGGGAAACATGATACATGGCACAAGGATTTATGATACACCTAGATCATCATTAGACATTAAAGCTGGCTGAGAGCACTCTTTCGCTTCGTTGCCGCTGGCCTCACTCGAGACGATGCACGCTGTGAGGCCGGGATTCGCGAGTCAAACTCCTCATCACTACTCGAACTACTTGAGCTGCTGGTGTATGCCATTTCCACCTTCTCTTTGGTTTGGGTCGGGGGTACAGAGATCGGTTGCGCCTTGGCGGCGAGGGGGGTGGAGCTCGATCCTCGCCATAGGGTGGACGCCAAACGCACACCTGATATCGACATTTGGGAGAGACGAGGAAGGAAAGTGGACCTTGGAGTTGCTTGTACCGTAACCTGTTCCCTATTGTCAACGTGGCAAGTGCCTTGGTTACCAACGGCTCACCTCTGAGCGTTCAGGCACCGGTAGCTCCATTTCATCATCACTTCCAAGCTCCTTGTCGTCAATATCCATCCCGTTCGTGTCCATATGGATCTCAGGCAAGTCAATGGCCGTCGCTGACGCAGGGGCTTGCTCGTCGTTCGAGTCGTCATTCTCTGACGCAGAGCTGTCTATCGCCAGTAATCTGGGATTCTGCGTAGGTTGTGGGCCATCTGCCAAATCATTGGCACGTCGGTTGGCAGACCTCGAGGATGAAGTCTTATAATTTCCGAGGGGTTGCGTTTTTCCACTAGATTCCCCAGGGCGGGAGGGAGCAGGTGATGGGGATACGGCCGGTTGAGCAACCTTTCTAGCGCCTCGCAGGATAGAAGAGGCTACAGATGGTGAAGTCGGAGGAGGAACTGGGGACATATCTACCCTGGGAGTGCCTTCATTATCATTGATTTCATCGTCCAGTGATGATATCGGCAGTACGTTTTGCGCGAGGGTTTGACTCGGAGAGCGGACTGGTCCAGCGAGGGATGGGGGGACAGACTGGTTTGACTGTCCGTCCTCACTATCAGAGCTCTCTGCAATGCCTGTTCTTTCGTTATCACTGGAGAGAGGATGGGGCGGAGGCGGGGGGATTGGTAGCATGCTCTTTCTGGACTTTGGGCCAAGGCGTTTGAGACGGGTTTCGTTTTCAATGTGCCGCTCAATATCTCGAACAAGTTCTTCCTGCTTCGCCTTCTTGAACTGTTTCAGTCGAGCTTGAAGTGCATCTCCTGCCTCTTGAAAGACTGGGCAGTCTTGACGATCATGGAATGTTCCATCACATATCGGACATAATGGTACGTCGAGTCCTTTTTTGGGCCTTTTGGGTTTTGCCGGGTCGAGCGACATGTCTGGGTCGACTGCAGGGTTCGTTGTATTCGCCATTGGAGGAACATATTTAGTGATAATCACAACAGGGCGCCTCGTCGAAGAACCGAGCAATTTCGTATCCGCATCCGTCGAGTCGTGGTGCTCCTCCGACGGCCTATCTTTTGCAAAGGTAAGTGGCCGCTCATGGTCAGTCAACTATTCACAGACGTGTGCGCTTCAGCCCTTTCTCCTGCATGAATTTGCCGCTCTGGCTCTTTGGTCTTGCTTTTACGTTTTATGACCTTATCATCCAGGGGAGGATGCGTGTTAGCCACTGAAGCAGCGTCTATCACTTCTGCAAGACCTTCCGGCCCGTTTACAGTGACATTTGCTTTGCTTCCTTTCTTCTTGATTTTTTCGCGTTCAGCTACTAATTTGATACTGAGATAGGTGCATAATGGCATGGATGAGTACTCACTGTTTGCTCGGTGTCGTTGAAGAATTAAGGAAGCTTTCTCCCGTGCTGCCAACAGCTCAACAAGATTGAACAAAAACGAAAGGTCCTCTTACAAGCTGGGGACATCGGGGTCACCGATACAGGCGCACTCTTTCTCTTTGTTGCTTTAGTCTTTGGTAAATCTTCTTTTGGATTCTGTCGTGGCTCAGATTCTGAACGTGCGGAATGATTTTGCTCTTGAGGTGCCTCCTCTTGCCTTGCATTGGATTCAACCTCTGGTTTCCGTTTCGCAGAGGGTGTAGTCGGTGGGTTCACGACACCGATTTCTGTATTGTGAAGAGTGGGCGTTCCCGGAGACGTCTTCTGTTTGGTCTTCTTCGACTTGGGCGGCGCCGGAGCAACAACGGCTTTGGCAGGTTGAACGGTCGGCGTCAGCACGATGGGTGTGCTCTCATTTACCTCCTTGGACACGGTGGGAGATTTTAAAGAGTCGACCAATGTTGACGTCGAAGTGGTTGATTCATTGGCTCCGTGTGTAGCATCTGCTTTGGAATCCAGTGCGTTTGCGGTTTCTAGATGTTGCTTCCGCTTCTCTGCCTTGCTCTTTTTCCGCTTCTTCGGTATAGGAGACTGAATCGAGGGTATGAGGAACCCGAAATGGATGAGATCCATACTCACAGCGGCGTCGTTGGGACCTGTTGACTCAGTCACCGAGACTTGGAGTTCTACCCATGGATTCGTCTTGAGCATAAACCGGAATGCCTTAAAGTCATCCTCTAAACATGAGATGAGCCGAAGAAGTGTCGTACGTAAAGATGCACACCATCTTCAAGAACAATGACCTTATTCCCTCTGATTTGTGATAGAGTGATATCTGCGTTGTCGTCCAACTTGAGCTTTGTTCGTACAATGTGCTTTGTCTCCTCCAGAGAAGACTCTACTCGCAAGGATCAGCACTTGTTCGGATATGCTTATGGGAAAGCCAGAATATCAGAAATGGATTCGGTTTTGGGGTCCTTTCTGGTAGACTGACCATTGAACAGCCTTTCAAAGGATTTGAGGGGCGTATGATACGTTATACGTGCTTCAGCATCGGCATCCCGCTTTCTCTTTTTCTTCTCTGCGCCGTCTGCCATGGCGCGCTGTCGTCGTCGAGTCTGAGTTCAACAAACTTGAACTCCAACTTCGACAGACTATGGGCGGTGGTCACTATACCGGTAACGAGAAATACTCATAGATTCAGGTTTTATTCTAATTGTGACCTCGAATCCTTCAAGGCTTCCACCCTCATCCGCCCGCGATGCGGTTTAGAGTACTCTCGCAGGTCCTCGGCGCATCAATGTGGTTCTTCATCTTCTACCGAGCAAAGTGAGCTTCTTTCACTGGTCTTCTCTTTCAATAAATGCCGTCGGTAGCTCATGCTGACCCGTCGAAACAGACACGACGGTGCAAAGCTTTTGGTAGGATTTGGCATTTGAGCTTACGATATTTTATTTCTGACATACGGTCGTTCTATCCTTCAGGGAGCTCATCCCTGGGACGCTCATGGGGCGCATGGTCATCACGACAAGGCTGCACATCATTAGAGCATTACTTTTTCCCGTACTCAATGCAGTATATTTCCGCGCAAATTCACATGATTGCACCAAGGAACTTGTTCAATATTCCTCTGTCAAAGATCTTCAACACAGCGCGAGGTTCACTCAGAACAGATGCAAGCTGAAAGTGTCAGATGTTTTCGATACCTTTGGACAGAGAAGGAACTCTAAGTGGTCTACTAGTGTCTTTGTCGGATTACGATCATAGGCCGGGAACAAGATGTCGATTGCAGACTAAAAGGAAATGAACGTTGTTCTCTAATTACATTTCCCATAAAGATATCATCCCATCGGAGCTAGCAGTCAAGAGTGCATCGTTCAATGGATGATATTCCGTCCACAGTATCGCCTTTTCGTGGACACGCTCCGGATCCGGAGGAAGGGGCGCTGCCTGGAGACATTGTGAGAAAAATTGGTCTCACTTTTAAGATGGACCGACCGTTACGAGATCCCATGCCCAAATGCGCCCTTCCTCATCGCCAAATATTACACACTCCTCCTTAACGTCGAAAACGGCACGGCAGCGATATGAGTCGTGTTTGTGGCCAGAGAAAGTGTTAAGAACTTGACCTGTTTTGCGATCTAGGAGCCGTATCTTGGCATCCAATGTTGTTACGAGCAATGTTTGTTGATCTTTGGTGGGAACAATGCTCGTGATTGGGTCTTGATAACTAAGCATCGAGATTCCGAAACAAGGTGAAGACTTACGGCCCATGTAATCGCTTGTTAGCTGGCCTTTTCTCAGATCATACGTTCGGACGTGCCCATCAACAGACCCAGTGATGATTTCCTGCGGTCCGACATAGAGTGTTTGAATCGCATCCCGCGACTCTTCAAGTGATTGTATGGGAGACCTTGCTTGAGCCCTTAACTAGCCGATCGGGAATGAGCACATTGGCCGAGGGTGTAGAAGGACCCACTTTAGATCCCAAATTTTGACTGTGGCATCAAAGGATCCTGATCAATGTCAATACATAATTGAGATGGTATCTAGTCATCTTACCACTCGCAACTACAGAAGCGTCCTCGTTGAACGAAACAGCATTGATTCTGGCTGCGTGCCCCGGAATGCGCCGTATCGTTTGACCAGTAGCGACATCCCAATAGAATACACTCTTGTCACCACCACCAGATACCAGTTTTGCGTTGTCGTGTGCGCTGTAATTGGTCATTCAAATCAGGCCAACCAGAAGGATTGCGCACATACCAGGAAATGCTTAAGACTTCGTATCCATGGGCAATATATCTTTTTATTTCTGCACCAGTTTTCGGATTCCAAAGCCGTATAGACCTATCTTGACCACCAGACAAGCAATATGACGCCGCACCGCGGGAATATGACACAACATGCACAGGTCCCGTGTGTCCTTTCAAACTTTGAACAGCTTTCCTTGGACAAGGCATTTCGGCGCCGTCTTTGAAGGGCAAGGTAGAGGTCAAGTTTGGTTTGAATGTTTGAATCGGAATCCCCAAATGAGAGTGATATCGAAGTAGTGCGGCTAACATTCCCTCATCTCAGTGGCAAGGTGAATTCTTATATTTCAAGACCATTGAGCGCTGCTGACGCTAATGTCTTATAGTGCTTTTTAGGCAGACGACGAGTGGAAAGAACGCTTCCTTTGCTGCTCTCAATACAGGGTCTTCGCACACAAAATTGGCCGATTGGACTCGAAGATTGTAATAATATTTTCGTTTGTCGACAGCTTGCATCAACCAAACTATAAAGCCCAGTCCAAGTGAAATGGAAAGGAAGCAATGAGTCAAGTACAGTAACAAAGAAGGGGAAACTTACGGTGGCGAGGTAAGACTCGGCAACTATACGAGCGCGAGCGTTGAGACTCAAGCGGGTTTCACTGATTTCCTTATCGACTTCTTCCATGAACCTGAGGTATAGGCCATGAGAAATCTGTCGCGTACGGCTACCGTCTACTTACTGGATGATAAAGTCGACTAGCTTGTGCTTGAGCATGGTCTCGGCATGAAAGTTGGTGATAAGGAACGAGATATCATAACCCTAACGAAGTCATTAATCTTCTTTCGCTGAAGCTAAGATCTACCGACTGTTACTGGCTTCCGTCTGAGAATCACAAAGTTCTCTGCGCGCATCATCATGAACCGAGTAAACTTGTGGCAGAGAATCCTTTCGATGTCATCCTGCTGCTTGATGCGAATCGACATGCGAACGGAATTGATGGAGGGTTCGATGAGGACTTGCTCCTTTTCGTTGCGCGAGATGACGAGAGGATTTAATAGCGCTTCTATTGATGTGCTGGATAGTATAATCGCATATTGAGTATTCCAGTACCGCAATCCTCGTGGCGAACACCCACCCAGCTTCGACTTCTGGCTTATTGTGTCTTTCCACGACCTGAAACGATGCTTTCAGTTGTATTGATCTAAATCTGACTGTAATAGCAAACCTGAGACGCGAAATTCTCGAGCGCCATTGCCGCAGTCAACGTGGATCGGACTGCAACGAGATATGGTCTGAGCGACGACTGAGGAGACTTTGATTAGCAGAATATACGTCAATCTCATAGGATGTGGGATTGAAATGCCTCACCATGGCAAACTCGATGTCGCGGTCGGAGGCAGCCTTTGCTCACACTTTGTTCGCCACCGCAACCCAAAACGAACGGCGCAAACGATGAGACAAGGGGGAGATGGCGCCGAAGAGGAGATGGAAGATGTGCACGAAAGCCAAGAAAACAGAGAAGGGATGATTTACGATCCGGACCAGACGACGGAGGAGAAACGAAAGCTCAGAGCAAAATATCGACAGATCTTGAACCACCAAGAAGGTACGCTCTTGGGACGCGTTATGCGCGTAAAATACGCGGTTTAGAGCTTACAAAACATCTTCCAGAGCAGCGCACGGACATGGCCAATATTCGGATCGGGGACTTGTTGGATAGTCAGCGTAGAGCAGACGCGTATTTCAAAGACGGTATGACATGTTAGTGGTATTTGGAGCTAAACTTCAGCTATACAGTCAAGGCACCGCAAGAGGCAACCCTCGATTCAAAGGTCATGCTTCAAAACGCAGAAATGGGAGCAGCGATGGCTCGTGCAATGAAGCATGATGCATCCTCCTTTGACGTGGACGAATATATAGCCGAGCTTGTATCCTATATGGGCGGCTCAGCAGGGGATGAACGGGAGGATGCCGACGAGCTCATAGACGACACACAACAGCTCAACTGGAGGAAGATTGGTACACGAGCGTACTTGTATTCGCACAAGGCTCCTGCTATGGATTTTATGTAAGTAATACCATAAGGTTTACGCATGTACTAACAGATTGCCAGGCTCGGCCCATTGGCAATAGAAGCCAAAGAGCGAAAGAAGACGACCCGTGCACGATTACAAAAGAATAAGAGGGATGAGGTACAACCACAGGAATTGCGTCCAGAGGATGTCCAGCGTTCGGAGAACGAAACGACTAAGATGGTACGGCTTGTCAGCCAGAAGCTCCATGAAGTTGACGAGAACGGCGTCAACTTTTTCGAGTTCGTGATCGATCCGGAGAGTTATGCTCAGAGCATCGAGAACATCTTCTATGTCAGTTTTCTTGTCCGAGACGGTCGTGCGGCCGTCTTTCCAAACGAGGAGACGGGCCTCCTCACTCTCTGTAGGTGCCTAGTCGCCACTCTTACTATGTGCTAATCTTTATGGAGATGCCAGCGAGGCGCCAACCGAGGAAGAACGGGGCGACGAACAGAAAAAGCAAACAGTCTTCAAATTGACAGCAGACGTATGGCGGGTACGCAGATCTAGGTCCTCCTTCAGACCCGATCTGACTGCTTCTAGGAAGCACGCGATTTATTCAATCTGAAGAAATCCAAATACATTCCCCACAGGACCCGCCCGGACGATTTCGATCAAGAGATCAAGGACGACAGGTTCTTGGTATGAACAGAATTGCTACAACGTTGAGGGTGCGCAGTTTTGGCTATCCATATGTATTACAAGACCAGAACTGTCTGGCTAATGTGTATCATACTCGTACGCTAGAACACTTTATTTGACTTTCTGTCCTGATGGAAGCCCAATCATGGTAGATTTGGCCTGTTCAGAGTCTGCAAGCTAGCGCTGTCCGCTGGCAATAGTCATCTCGCGGTGCACAGCTAATTCGATTCGATAGAAATTTCTGATCGCATTAGCAAACAACAAAGATAATCCAACAGAGACAATTAAAGCGATATGAAGTCGTCGGTACAAGTCATCTTGATTAAATTAGCACAAGGGTGGCTCTGGGTGATTTTGGACCTCATCCTCGACGCCAACTAAAGCTCCCCATCCTCGAAATACGTGACTTTGCGGCTGCAGAAATAGTGCTCGCGACATCTCTCGCTGTTGCTTGTACCGACGCTCTCGACGATCCGACGAGACCCGGCCCGTTACCGACGTTGATCATTGACCCTTGCTGGCTAGTTGCGTCGGCGTCACTCGCAAGATTACGGTCCGGCATGGGTGGTCGATCTCCTGGACCAGACGTGATGGACGACATGCCATACCGCGTCAATCTCGCCAAGTTGCGTTGGAGTGGCGTCTGCTGTCGAGTATTCTCTGCCAAGAAACGACTACCACCCGGGGTAGGTGGAGGCCCTGTGATGCCTGCACCAGGGACTTGTCCAAAGGCGAGGGGTGGGATCATGAACGACCCCTGGCCCACAAGCGTTGTCATTCCTTGAGGACCAGTTGTACCATTTGCACTCAAAGCGATCGAGTTAGCTCGCTCACGAGATTCTCCCCATTCGCCGATCCCTCCGCCCTCATATCCACCTCGTGAGATGCCGTCTTGTTTGGAAACAATGTCAGGGTCTAAGTTGGTAGAAGAATCTGCTGGTAAGCGTTGAATCTCGTCGTGGAAGTTTGTGCGGAAAAAGCGCATAAGCGTGTCGTGGAAGGACATCATCTCTGGGGCACACAAGGCACCATGGAGCTTGAGGCATCGATCTACCACACGAGCCTATTATCAGGATGATCAGAAAAGCATTTGATAAGAGCGATAGCAGCCCATACCTGCTCATCAATCGCAGAACGCAGTTTCTGCAACAATGGCTCCTGCGATGGGTTGCGAGCAAGGTATTCCGTCTTCAGGAACGAGTCGCGGTAGACGGGCACCCCACTCTCCGATGGAGGATCAACAACTGTATTCAAAGCCATCGTCAATGCCGTGGCATTGATAGACGATGATGTTTTTGCGAGTGCAGAAAACTTGGCTTCCAGTATCTGCAGCTCCTTTGTCTTTTGCTCGACATCCAGCAACGCATTATCCAGAGGAGAAATCTCGACCACTTGGATTTCGATGACTTCAGAACGCCTGAGTACAGTCGGAAAAGATTCTTCAGTAGTGAAGTAAGTCTTCTCGGTCCAAACGTCTCTGAAACGAGGCTTCTCGTCAGTTACCGGGTCCTTGGTGAACGGTCGCGTGCAGCTGAAGACGTTGATAGCGCTAGTGGTGTCATGAGCGCCCGAATTTATGAGTTACAAATTGCGCATACCTATGCTCATAGTATGTTCTAACCGCCGCTGGTACATCAGGGTTGGTAAATATCGGTAACGAGCGATCCGGCTCTGGTGTGACTTGTGTGCATTGAATATACAGGGCCGTCCCAAACCGAATCTCGTCTGAAGGTTCGCTGGCAGTCTTAATCAACTGAGCCCCAGGATACTTGCTGATCATCCGTTCGCAGAACGCTGGGTATTTCTCCCATACGTCCCCTCGATACTAGAATGGAGTGAGCTGGAAATTGTGCAAGGACAGAAATAACCCACGATGAACTGCTTGTTCCTTAAAGCCACTGGAAAACTCCCGTGGAAGGATACACGGAAGTACTCAGAATAGTACCGTTGGTCGGTCACAATGTGCTCGAGGAGAGTCGCTTGATGTAAGAGTATTTCGGACAAACGATGACTATGGCAGGTTAGAACAATTAACAGTCGAGCAAAACTCACTAGTTGAATGTGACCTCCATATGCTGGTATGCCAATTCCTTGCAAACCTCAACAGCACTCTCCCATGCTTTGCCTTTGCCTAGCTAAAGGTGAGCTAAAGTATCTAAGGTCTATCTGCAACGCACCCAAATAGTCCAGGATGAGGAGGCATAGAGTCTCCTTCCGTACGAAGTGGGATTGTTGAGGAAGATCCAGATCTGCCATTGGCGGAACGAATGCGTTCAGGTCCCACTCGTATAAATCGGCGTGCAGTTTGAGTGTTAGTGCAGCTTCGACGTAGTTTTGGCTCTGAAGATGCATCTACAAGCAATTAGTCACGGGGTTTCCGGATCGGATTTAAACTCACATTGACAAGTTGATGTACATACTTGATGTAAATCTCATCACGCCCTATACGACGAATGAAATTCATCAAACGAAGGGTGGCAATCACTCGGTCATCCTGATATTCCTCCCCATCGGGTAGTTCCCGTACGTTCATCAGTAGTTCGAGGAATAGGTCGACAGAGTCCAAGAAGTCGGACACACGTTGTCTTAATTGTTCTTCGACGTTTGAAGACTCGAAAAGGAGACGAAGCTGGTTGATAAAGAAAGCTCGGGAGATGTCGTCGCTCTTCGATTCGGACATGAAGAGTGAATCGAGCTTGTTGACCAATTCCGTTTCAATGTCGTTGAAGTGCTCGGATAGGTGATACTCCGACACAATCATACTATAGAGGATGCTGACTGCGTTGTTTCGAAGTTGATCGTGGTGACTGAGACACAAGTCGAGCACATTGCCAACCAAGGTGTTCAAAGCAACCTGGTAACCCTATTTCGCTATGAGTACGCTTTATTAGAGCAAAGGTGGGCCACGTACCCCGTAGCGGGTCACGGCACCAGCATCTTGGGAGACAGATTCGGGCCATCCGAGAGCCTCCCAGAGTCGAAGTAAGATCGTTGCACCTTCGCCACGGATGTCACCTGCCAGTCTCCAGACAGCTCGACGTTTCTACAAGGTCGTAAGTGCCATCAGAGTGCAGTTGAGGTTTCTGTACCTGGGGACTAAACTCTTCAATGACAAGCTGATCACTTGATAGCAATTTGAGTATCAATGCGAATCCGTCCCTCCATAGATTTGAGTTGAACTGGTAAGCCTCCTTTTGATCCGGGATGAAATGCTTCATCAGGAGTATCGATATCGGGTCGCTAATCTTGAGCAGAACTTTGTGTGCCAGGATATTGACATTCAACCAGGACTTTGGGAAGGCCTCGTTGCTCAGAATTGAGAGACCGGTCCTGAATATCTTGGTGAGAAGGTTAGCAAAGTTGTCCTGTCCTTCAATCTCGAGAATGCCCTCGAGGAAGCCGATCAAATGCTTGCGGGGAGACGACAGAATGAGCACCAGGAATACAATAGCAGCCTCTCCTAATGAACAGTTGAACACTTGAATGGGGGCTCCAGGGGAGGCGTCGCTACCGTTGTTGACTGGTAGGCTGGATATCAGCGAGAAGGGATAGGATGATGGAAATACAGTAGGCACTGGTGTGACCAGAGTGGCGGGTGATCGCGTTCGCTCCAACGATCGTGCATTGGCTGGACTTTGGAACTCCTTATACGTATCGAGCAATCTAGCCGGGATGGTGAGTAATTAAAGTTGGTGGCATATTGTGATTTACCTCGGCATCAAGGAGAGGACATATTCAACATTGTCGTGCTCCTGTCGGAGAGCCTTACGATCAGCTACTATGGTCGGGTTGATGAGGCTTTGCTGTAGATGAGCCAGCATCACGGCGATGATCGTCACGCAGAGGCGGGAGCTCTCTAGCCAGGCGATCCTGGAAGCGTCTCTCGCCGCCTCGAGCTCGGATTGGCCGACGTGAGACATCTCGTCGTAGCTTCCAAAGTATGGCTTGATCCAGCTGACAACTGACTCGACCAGCAACGCCCTTGACTGCGCATTCTCGAATAAGAAGCCCTTGACCAATTGCAAGAACATGATTAGCTTCCATATCACCAGCTTGCCCTTAGGCATCGGCATTGCATTGGAAAACTTGGTCGCAATAGTGACAATTTCGACATTCGTGAACACTTTGGCGAGATCCGGCAGAATGGAAGCAAAATGCTGGATGGCAAGGGTTTGTGCGCCAATGATCGATTCAGGTCGGGTCGTCGACATCAACTTGTTGACCTCGTTCAAGTGCACCGTGAGCTCCTTTTTGAAAGTTTGTTCAAAATGCTCGCTCGTTGCACCGCTGCCGACGTTTGCTTCTTTGATCCTCTGAAGCTCTCGCGCACGGATGACGAAGCGGAATACATAGTGCCACACTTTGAGCGCGTTCCGAAGGGGACTGGCAGAGGCGGTGCTAGTCGGGTCGCTGAGGAGACGGTTCATGGACCGAAGAATCTTGGATGCCGCTGGTGCACACGTGAAATGCTTATCAATATAAACATCTAGCACGGGTTGGAAGTTCATGAATCGTCGGTCTTGGACAATGCCGAGGACTGTGACGAGTGCGTTGAAGATGAGATCATCCATATCCGCCGTTTCGTTGACCTTGGAGATGAGGATGGCGAAGAGCGAGTCGAAGATATCCCGCAGGAACTTGACAATCTCGACCTCGCTTACAAAGGTAAACTTTGTCAGGATCGTGCAAAGCTCGTTTTTGTCCGAGAGTTGCTCCCAGTGAAGCAGTCCTAGGAGTTCAGGGGTTCTGGGTGATCTTTGTCGAACACAGGAATGAACGGATGATGAGTGAATCCTGTGTTGGTATAGCCGTCTTGATCAAATGCGATGGGACGAGGATGGACTCTGCACGATTCCCTGGCTGAACATACGGTGGTGCGCCATAGTACATATCCGGTGGGATGGCGTGTAGCTTATCCGCCTTGTAGAGGACAAGATTATGTGGACCATCTTGCAGGAACGCTCTCCCATCTGGGAACAACGGCAGGTATGCAAATGCGAATGGCCTTTCGCTACCACCATCCGAGTTGTGGTGCTTCGAGCTATTGCTGCTGTTCCCTCCAGGCGTTCTGCTCCCTTCTTTCGATGTCCTATGCCTGAACACGAAGAACAGGTGACAATCCGCCATGACGTCGACAGAGATGAGCAATTTGATAAGCTCTCCAAAGGTCGGATTGTTGTTTCGATAGAAAACCATAGAGTGGAAAACGGTCATTGGTGGTTCCCCACTCCCTGGGCTAATCACGTTTTCCAGGACCTTGCCACTGCGATGTCGAACTTCGATAGAGACTTGGACATTGCGGGCGGTGGAGAGAGCTCCGGCAAACGATGGGACGCGGCCAATTAGTCCTCGAGGTGTGGTGCTTCCCTGGCTGGTGCCAGAGAAGAATTCACCGCTCCATAGTTTAATATAGACTTCATTCCTGGTGTCTCCTGGGAAGACGACATCGGGAAAGCCGAGTCGCGATGTGATGGGCACGTCTTGAAGGAGTGATGGATTCTCGCGGATAATGGTTGGTGCATCTCCATGGAACATCTTGACGGTCACGGCAATCATTTCTGCCCTAGATTCGAGTGAACTTCTTCTCTTTTAGAAATAAGGGACAATCATACCTCGGACTCTTCTCAAATTCTGACGTTTCACTGGCAATGATCGCCTGGTGCAATGTGCTAAACGTGACCTCGCGCGTAGGAACAAAGATGGGCAACGTGTGCTCTCGTGCTTGACTGGCCTCTGCTTTGTCCACAGTCCATTTCGACAACTGCGTGAGCTCGAGAACTGCACATCCAAACGGTCGTCTGAAGGACTGAGACGAGGATTCAAAGGTCTGTGTAAATGGTCCCGCTGTCGAAGGAGCGACAAGTGCCTCATTCTCCGAGAGTGTATTCAACAGTGGCTCGGATCCTCTTCTCATCGAGCCCGATGGGAGAGCACCCGGATAGCCGCTGGAGCTCGGCATCCCACTAATCTTCATGCTCCCGTTTCGTACTATCCTGCAGACGAGGTAGATGCTCTCCTGGATATCTTGAGAGCCGAGGTCGGTGAAAAGGGTGCGGATTTTGCCAAGACCACCCAGAGAGGCAATATCATTCATCGACTGCACTGGGGGGGGTCTCGCAAGAGCACCTTGGTGATTGAGTACAACGCAAAACTCCTCGGTGAGGAATCGTGCGTCGGGCTTATTATACAGTGAAAAGTAGAGTTCCGCCGTCTCTCCTGGAGAGCAGGGAGATGCAACGAAGGCTTGCAAGTCTAGGAAGACGTGGAAGAATTTGGCCGACTTGCTTGTACCGCTGGAAGAGGGAGTCGGTCCAGTGTCGAATCCAGAGTTAGAGAGCAAAGGGTTGAGTTGAGATGCGGTTGCAGAGTTGGGGAACTGTGAAAAGTCGGGGGTAAAGGTTGCGGTTAGGGGGGTTGCTCCATTGGGAGAGGCTTGAATACGGGGCACGACCGCATTGGTAATGTCTCCCATTGCGCTTCCCCGGCTTGCACTGAGAATATCTGCACGACTGGCATCGATATAGGCCAATGCCACTTGCATGGCGTACATGGGGATTGCACCAACCCAACTTCGGGCGTCGAGTTCGCTTTCGACGTCGACGGTGACGAGGGCACCCCAGGTTGGATGACGAACGATTACATCAAGATTCTGCGCGACATTTCCTCGAACGAGGCGATTGACGCACTCTCGCCGCAAGTTCATCGTCTCCTCTACGCTTAGAGTCTGGGCAAGGAGCTGGCGCCTGCCAAGATGTAGCTCTTCAATATGATCCCGAACAGTTTGGAACAGTTTGTAGTCCCGTCGGGAGAGATATGTGAACAAGAGGTTGTGCCACTCTCTCAAAGCGCTAGAGATTTCGTCGATCAATGGCTGCTCTGCACCTGCGGCCGTGTCATCACCAGATTTGAGTGAAGGTCGGGGAGGAAGTGGTTTTTGAATGGGAGAGGTACTCCGCATGGATGAAACGGGTCGTACGGGTTGGCTCACAGGAACCGGCGCTCGTAGGGCATTCCCTTGCTCGGGTCTCGGTCCAAGCTTGATAGATTTTCTTGTCAAGATTTCGGGAATCTCTGGTATGGACGGGGGTTCCTCTTCTTCCTGAACGGTCTCCATGGGCCCGTCACGGTCCCTGGAGGAAAAGGAGATGTATGGGTCCAATCCAGCATTGATGCGGCTGAACACTTCTTGTAAACGTCCCTCGGCGTCTGCAAGCTCGTCACGGACGTGAATATGAGAGGCGGGAAAGATTCCAATAAAGACTTGAGGCTCCTCCATGGCCGCATGTAGATTGGTCGGAGGTGCAACAGGGAGACCTTCTGCAGCGGCTGCAGCGGCTGTTACGAGTGGATGACGAGGCGAGCAGACCACATAGCTACACAAAGCCCACACGGGGATGAGCGTACGTATCGTCAAGCTAGGAGCAAAGAAACGCGTACCCTCGATACCATAAGCTCTTCTCGTCGTTGTTAGGAACAGCACCGACGTATTCTTCAAACGCGTAGACTTCGTCGCCGACCTCGAGAGCGACCACGTACGGATTCGCGTCCTCTTCTTCGTGCTCGAGCTCCATTACGGTTGAAAGACGGCCATTTTGAGGTTTATTTGGATCGTTTGAGCCCGATGAAGACGACGAGAGTGGATGGATGGCGAATCCATAGACGATCACTGGGAGCGGCTTCCAGACCATCCCATGAACCAGATTGGCGAGGATTAAAGCTCGAATCCAACGACTGTTTACTGTTTCTTATCTTGTTTGTCTAATCCCGCTGTCTGAGCGAGGCAAGAGCGTGAGTCGAGTCCAAGATGGAATGCGTCTGAAGCGCGCGAACCTTCGACCTGACTGTCCCGCGCGCCAGGATAAATAGGATAAATGAACGTTGTGAGACGCTTTGCAACAAAAACAAGCACAAATGTTGTATCAGAACTAAAACGACGTGGAATGGTCGCCCAGCTAACAAGGTAAGACTCCTCCCGGGTTGCCCAAGAGTCAAGTCAACATTGGCAGCCAGAACCTACAAGAAGTCGTAGAAAAACGGAAAATAGCCGTGTATGCGGGCGTAGACCCTTCCGCAGCGTCGCTCCATGTCGGAAACTTGGCTGTTTTGATTACACTTCTCCATTTCCATCTCAATGGCCACAAGGTCATCTCTCTGGTATGTTTAGCGACCTGCACCTCCCAAAACTCATCTGGCTAGATCGGAGGAGCCACGGGCCAAGTAGGAGACCCAGGTGGACGAACCACCGAACGAGACTTGATGGCACAGGAGCTTGTGCGCACAAATACAGAATCCATCACCAGACAAGTCGAGAACTTCTTTGCTAGTGCGCGCGAATATGCCGCACGGAGACGAAAAGACCAAGAGTCGTCTCCTCCAACCATCCTTAACAATGCATCCTGGCATTCCCAACTATCATTCCTATCCTTTCTACGCTTTCCTGGAAAGCTTGTTCGGGTCAACTCGCTGCTCAGTCGCGAGAGCATCAAAGCAAGACTGGATTCGACCCAAGGTTTGTCATTCTTTCTAGGCACTTGTCCATCTTGAATTGATCCTCTAGGCATATCTTTTGCTGAATTTACGTACCAGCTCTTGCAGGCATATGACTTTTGGATCCTTCACAAGGAGCACGACGTCTCCCTTCAAATCGGCGGGAGTGACCAGTGGGGTAACATTGTTAGCGGCGTAGAGCTCATTAGAAGAGAAAAGGCCCTCTCCTCTCCACAAGTAGAAACAAGCGACACCCCAGATCAAGACTCGGCATATGGTCTCACTATCCCACTGCTCACGACGTCGAGTGGAGAAAAGTTTGGCAAAAGCGCCGGAAATGCTATATGGCTTGACTCGAAGATGACTAGTATCTTTGACTTTTACCAAGTACGTCTTGACTACCAGTCGAATGGGCTGACCTATGCACAGTTTTTCGTCCGGGTGGCTGATGCAGACGTGCCCTTATATCTGCAAAGCCTGACGCTACTTTCCGTCGAAGAGATTGAGTCAATTTGTAAAGAGCATGCTGTAAGCTTGTCCTCCTCCATCACGACACTACCTCACGTCCCAAGCTTCATCCAGAGAAGCGCATCGCTCAACGAAAGCTCGCCGCAGAAGTCACCGAGCTGATTCACGGGGGTACGAATCCTGTCATCATGACCATTTGATTTGTCCTCACTGGTGCTAGATTCCGCTGCCAAAGGCGCCCAAATGGCCTCGACAATCCTTTTCGAGCCTACGTCGCACACCGCTCTCGGAGATGATCTTACCCAAATATCACTATTATTGGGTGCAATTGGCGAAAACCATCCACGGGTGCGCAAGATTGCCTCCGAGCAACTTGGCGCACCCCTCACAAAAATCGCATCGTCGCTTGGCCTGGTGGCATCACACGGGAAAGCTCGTGCACTCCTGCAAGCGGGCGGACTCTATCTCAATAACGTCAGAGTAACCCAGTTGGACAAGCAACTCGAGGCCAGTGACTTTATGGGCAACAAGATTGCCATCTTACGGGCTGGCAAAGAGGAACATCTGATACTCGAGCTTGTCTCGCGATGAGTCTGAAAGACGGTGGCTCATATTATGTAGGGTATACCCGATAGATACTTTTAATCGATCCGCACTGCGGCATACAGGCGACGAACGGCCCATGTCGCGGCCAAGAAGCCAATCGTACCTGAACTTTATGAGCAAAGTTAATGCGAGCGAATATGACGTACCAGTGACAATAAAATTAAGAGTCGCAAGGATAATGAGGTACCCAAAGTAGAGGATGACGCTCGCCATCGAATCCAAAGAAAGTCGTGAGAGCCAGTAATAGGTTCCATAGATCAAAAGCCAAATAGCACTGCCGCCTCCGGCCACGAATGAGCGCCAGTGCCATCTATCGTGTCGTGAATACCATGTAACCAGACGTAACAACATACTGGACTGACCGGTAGTCTTCTGCGCATAGAAGGAAGTAAACGAAAAGTATCGTGACAGTGGCCGTCGTGAGAGCCACGACTCCGCTAGTCAGGGCAAGGAAACCAAAGGCGTAGTATGCTCGTGCGGCAAAGATGCTCGAGAACAAAAAGTACCCTTCGATGAACGCAGCCCCAAACGGCAGGATCCCAGTAGCTAGAACGGAGGGCTGCACGAGAATAAGCCCGAAGCGGACAAACGAAGAGGATGCGTACAATCGGTCGTAGGTATCGAGGTGGCGGAGGAATCTGACGAGGGATTTGATTGACTCGGAGCAGAGATGGGAGGGGCTAGAGTAAGGTGAGTATCCATTTAGTCTCGACGATGAAGCGCGTACCCCGTGCTTTCCACCGAACCATGCACCGACCGAGGTCAATGGCACCGAGATGGCAAACCACAGGAGAACTATGACGAGCATGGTCCCTTGGATATGTGAGATAAGGAGGTACATGAGAAAGGGATAACTCACCAAAAGGTACTGCTCCCGAGGATTCCTTGAATACCAAGATCGTATTCAGTATGAAAACGACGGCGAATACGAATCTAACTCAGTGTCAGCTTCATGCTGGAAATCTGGAGTATACCTACGTCGGAAGGAGGAATGCGGTGAGAAAGACGAGCTTTCGTTTATCAGTCCCGCCCAAAGTAAGATAGGTTCTTGTAGCAACATAACCACCAATACTAAGGGTCGTCAGTACCACCATATACTCATTCGGTAGATAACCCACATCGAAAAGAAAGTCCAGCACATCAGCATCACGGTAGCAAGTGCTCCACGATTCGAGGGAGACAAAAATCCAAACGTGGCAAATACAAGAGTGACCCCAATCATTGCACACAGATGGGCACCATTTCCAACAAGTACAGAGAGTAGGACTGGAGACTTGGGTGTCCTGAATACCTCGCCGTGGATCAATTTCCACCCATAGTCTTCTTGGACGTCTTCCTCGAGGTCAATAGCATTGTAGCGAGAGAGCTTATAACGATGAGGACACGTTGTACGTGATGTAGGATTTACTCACATCACCCTTGACACTTCGCAATAGCAAACTCGAAACCAACGCACAGAGGAAGACGACCATGACAAGGGAGTTGATCAGACTCAGGAAATGAATCTTGGGATCATATATCCGGAGGTAGTTATCCCAACGGGTGGCCCACACTGTAGACGATTCCTCCCAAGTGACGCTATGGCCGGTTGTCATTCACAGGCAGCCGTGGAAGTATGTCTGTACCTATAAGTGTAATAGAATTTATTCTTGGCATTCTTGTCCGTCTTAAGGTGCAAGGGCTTGCTTGTACTCGGGCAGCGAGGTGACGAGACGTCGTCGGATGAGCGGTCGATGCTCTGTTGCACAAATCTTAGATTGTAAATATCGAGAAGGGTCACGACGCACACTAGGCCAGACGGTGACACCAACGACACGAGAGTATCCGTTTCCACGAGGGTGATACTGGATCTTGATGTCGTAATGATTGTTCAAACTGCCATCTTCATTCCCCAAGTCAAATCTGACTAGAGTCAGAGAGTATTTGAAATGTTCAACGCGGAGCACACCCTAGATCATAGAAAACCTCTCTCGTCTTGACATCTTCCTTGACTTCTGCGGCCGGAAGACCGTCGACGAGCCAGTTGATACTATAGTCTTCCCGTATCCGTGCGTTGATGAACTCTGCGTTTTCCGCATTTACGGTAACGCCACACAGAGACTGACAAGTTTGGTTTACTAAGAACTTGTTTAGTGGGCGGCCGCATTCAAGGGTGGGGATGTACCTCGCATCTTGAGCTGTCAAGGCAGGTTAGCAAAACCCTTCCGTTGAAGTACGAGCAGTTTGTAACATACCTGAATTGGACCGTTGAATATTCTGTCCCCAAATAGAATGGCACCGAGACTGCTTCGCATGCTCTACGTGTAAAGGATTATTGCTACGTTTCTCCTGGGCGGCGATTCACGTACATGGACGCCACCCACTGGTCGACAAAATTCAAATCTTGGATCATAGTAATCGTCTGCAAATGGACAGCTGCGTCAAGCGTCTGCCGTGGCAAGGCTTTGGAAAAGAGGGCCTACAGTTTATCAAAGATCGCTACATTCGCTACATTTAGCTACTCATGTGAGTCGTAATTGCTATATAACGCACCAGATTCTCCGCCTCGTAGCCCAATCCAGGCTTGAGCACATTGACATCAAGCTCGACGGCTTCCCCATCCTTGTAATCCTTCGGAGCAGCACCTGGAAGATAAAATGCAGACACCAAGGATTGTGGGAGCGCTATGGCCAACGCGACTACCTGCGGCCAACGCATTTGGACGGGTTCAAAGTTGGAATTTGGTCTCCACCGCGTCGCTGTACGCGTTCAAGGGCGTACACTTGCCAATCTACCTCGGTTAATATTCACTCATTGACATTCGACTCTACTATCTTTTCCACTGGGAGCTGCTCGTAGAAAGGCCTTGTCCAAATAAGCTCGCACTTGACCATCACCAGTTTCCTGCAAGACTTAGGTCTCCCTAGGGAACTCGACGTAATCTCCTTGGATAATCTCTAGTTTCGTGTTTAAAGGTCAACAAGATGCTAAAATTTGAAGTTGTTGCCAAATGCTCAACGACGAGAGCACGGGTCTCTAAAATGGTACTTGGTCGTAAGTTGTCCATGTTTCCTATATATCGCTTCTAAAATCGCCTTGCGAACTTACCGGCGATCTGATTCTGGCAGACGGGACGACGGTTCTCCCAACGTTCATGCCAGTGGCGACACAAGCTGCTCTCAAGGGCCTTACACCTCAGCAAGTCGAACAATTAGGTGCGTAGCTGGTGTTTCTATTGGATTCATTCTCTGAGATGCCAAACCCAGGGGTCTCTCTCATGCTCAACAACACGTATCATCTCAATCTCAGACCAGGGACAGAAGTACTTAGACAAGCAGGCGGAGCGCACGCCTTTCAAGGATGGCGACGGAATCTCTTGACGGTATATGTCCCTTCCATCTTCTACCAGCCCGACACGGCGATATATGGGGATGATATCAACCTCCCAGTACAGGACAGTGGTGGATTCCAGCTTGTGTCCCTCAGCTCGTTTACGGAGATCACAGAAGAAGGCGCCTTGTTCGCTAGCCCGTTCACTGGCGAGCCTACGATGCTCACGGTAAGCAAGTTGCCAATACTAGAGCATAATACTCTGACCGTGTTTCAGCCAGAGGAATCAATCAACATTCAGGTTTGTAGATAGATGGTCTTCAACAATCCTAACCGTCGGTCCAGCACGCAATTGGGGCTGATATCATAATGCAACTAGACGACGTTGGTCAGTACTGTCACTAGTAACCTTTGTTCCTTGACACGATCTACCGACCAAAGTGTCGAGCTTGACCACTGGTCCCCGAGTAGAAGAGGCAATGGAGCGCTCGGTTCGATGGTTAGATCGATGTATAGCATTTCACAAGGCGTCGGGGAACGACAAAACGCAGAACCTGTTCGCTATTATTCAAGGCGGCTTGGACGAGGGACTGCGCAAACGGTGTCTGGAAGAAATGATAAAAAGGAAAGACGACATTCCCGGATATGCAATCGGTGGACTGAGCGGTGGCGAGGAGAAAGGTACGCACCAAGCAATTGTGATATTTGAGTACTAAATAACCTACTTAGACATCTTTTGGCGGATGTAAGGTTTGTTTCGCTCATATAATTGTCTCTCAATGGGTTTAGAGTACATTTGTGCACTGATTATCTTCCCGAGGATCGTAAGCCGTTTGTAATATGCGCGATCAGCTCATTAACTTTTCTAGGACCAAGATACTCCATGGGTGTCGGATTCGCCGAGGGCATGTTATCCTGTATGATTCATTATCTTCTCCTCTAACGTTTACTGGCAGATTTGGTCGTCTGTGTGGCTCTTGGAATCGACATGGCATGTGCGGTAAAATTTGCCAAAATCTCACTAAATGTCCGATAGGCGGACTGTGTATTCCCCACCCGAACAGCCCGCTTTGGCGTTGCGCTGACCTTCAAGGGCCCACTGAATCTTCGTGCGTTTCCCACTTGGCCGCACTGATACTTTTTTACGCTTAGATCCAGGGCTGAGCCATCATTCTTCCGACTTTGGACCAATAGATGAAGAATGTCCATGCCCAACCTGCTCAAGCGGAACATCCCGCTCCCTCCTACACGTCCTCATTACGCACGAAACTGTAGCAGCACATGGTGCGTATATGATTTACCCAATCGACGTGCACGCTTACCAGTTGGGCAGCCATTACGCAGCACAATGTTGTCTTCCAAGCCCGTCTCATGGGGCGAATACGCGACGCAATTCTCGAGGACCGATTCCCGGCATTTGCAAAAGCATTCTTCAAAGATTACTTTGGTTCATCCGGGTATCCGAGATGGTGTGTGGACGCGCTATGGAGCGTTGGGGTTGATCTACTGGATAAAGACATTGAGACTCTATCCGAAGAAATCAAGGTCCTCGAAGGTGATGGGGCCAAATGGGAGTATAGCAAGTCATGATCGACTTAGCGATATCCCTTTGGTGAAGTACAACTCCTGGAATAGATTCCGTTTACGCATACAGACCAATGAAAGCAAACGAGTGCATTGAGAAAAGATTGAAAGACAGCAGCAACGGAATCTGAGCCCTGAATAAGGGCTGCGTTGAGACAAGCTCGGAGAGCCGCAATGCTCAGCAGGTTCCAACCTCGTGTGGCTCGGCACCAGTGTTGTTGCTGTCATAAACAATACAAGGTTTCTTCGTGTCGTAGCACGAGTTGGTAATTTTGGCTGTGTCGCCGTAGTTTTTGTTGATGCCGGCAATAATCTTTCTAATGCCAAATAAGCCTTTTCGAGCCAATGAAGAGAGAAAACTTACCCATCACGCGCTTCGACGCCATCAATGACCACCTTGCGTTGACACTGAGTCTTGCACTGCACGGTAGATTAAGTATAAGCTCGAGGATCACAGAGAAGACGGACGTTTCCGCAGGAGCGATAAAGCTTTCCGAATGTACGGGCGTAAAAGTTTTGTATCTTGACGATCCCACAGCCATTATGTTGGACAACCTTGTCAGACGCCTTAAGGGCGCCACCTCCGATGATCTGTGATGTTTCACCAGCCTCTGTGGAGAGAAATGTGTCAGGTTGCCAGTATTTCCGGGCGGGCACTATACTTACTGTCCCCCTTGATAGTGATAGCATCCTCGCACACATCCTCGAACCAAACATTCTGGAGGGTGCAGTCTGAAGACGCTGTGAGTGATGCAAAACTACAACCATAGAAATAGTATTACGGCCGACGCAGTGGATTCCCTCGGCTTGGTTGGCTCCTATAATCACATACATTCAGAATACTGTAGGGGAAGATTGGGAAAAAATACGCGCCTATGATCACGTTCTTCAATGTGGCACCGGCTTGAACAAGGAAGACGGCGTCCGAATCGCCACCTTCCTTCTGGCCTTGGCAAGCGCCGGAGCCTCTATCGAATCGCTTCATGCGACCTATTCAGTTGTTAAGGTAAGCAAACGCATGGCCATAGTACGTACCATCATAGGTCGAACCAGCAGAAACGGTAATGGGCGACTTTCCTGTGACGGTACCCTTGGCAGTCGGAAAGGTCGAGCTTGCAGAGCAGCGTTTGTATAGTTCCGAGCGTTGCTCAAGAACGGCACCAAAACTGGTGGCAGAGAGAGCAAGAACAACGAGAAGTTTCCACATTGTGGTATCAAACGAGCGAACAACGGACTGGGTAAGGAATTGGACTCTGAGAAGAGGATAGCAGTCGTCTGCTTTCTTGGACAAGCTTAGTGCAGGAAATATTTATAGCCCAAGCGGATAATCTCCACTTCCCAACGAACGAGCCGCAAGGGTCAACAGACCACGTTCTCCGTACCCGACAGCCAGAGGAGTGCATCATAAACCGGAGAAAACTGAACCATCGTTGACGGTTTCATCCGAACAAGGGTCTAAGTCCAATTGGATATTGGCGATGAAGCCGTCCACCGCCTTCTGCTTACGCCTTGCCATTTCCTTGGCTTCCTCAGCTTCCAATAGGTAGCGTTTAGTAATTCAATAGCGAGAATTTGCCGGTAATTGCCAAGAACATTGGGAAGAGAGGTGTTGTCGGACCGTTGCCTTGTTCGCAGGCGGTCCCTGGGAAGCCTTGAATTGGAAAACGGTTGATCGGAACTCCTGGCTATTTATAGCCTTTATTCAGTGTTGAAATCCCCCGCCACACTGGTTGACGACAATAGGTGCCACGACGGCCCGCGTCTTCTTGTTCAAGCCGTTCTACAAAGCGAAGAGGAACAATCTTTCCACAGGAGCTGCGGAGGATTTATTTGAACGGCAAGTTGGCCGACAGTTGGCAAAGACCGTGGAAGAGGTGGAAACAAAGTCCTCAATATGCTCAACAGCAAACGTCAAGTCTGGAAATCTTCATCACAGATAAATAGCATTGTATTCGTTTCAAACTAATAAAAATCGATAGGAGTTCCTCAAACCATTCCAGCCTTGGCACACATTCCGTAGAAGATTCCGTCAGTATTGCTCATGAGCTCTGCAGGCGAGCCATTCTCCACAATCTTGCCATTCTCCATGACAATCTGGATAGAAATTTAGTCGGATACGAGATATGTAAACGGCGACGCACCACCCGGTCATAGTCAATAATGGTCTGGAGACGGTGCGCAATCGTGATCACACAGCTCGACGCAAACTCTTCACGTAGTGCGAGTTGAATCTTGTTGTCCGTCTCAAAGTCAATGCTCGAGGTCGCTTCATCCATGATAATCACGGTCGTCTTTCGCAACAATGCACGAGCGAGCGCGATGAGCTGCCTCTGTCCGTGGCTAAAGTTGGACCCGCTTGAAGTCACGACACTGTCCAATTTGATCGCACCCGTCTTGTTCGTCTCCGTGCCCGTTACAGACGAAGCGGAAGATGCAACGGCGAAGGTCGTAGACTCGTCGCTGTTACGAATTGAAGCTGGACGTGTAGAGCTTGGAGAAGGATCGATGAGGTGTACTCGACGGAGCACGTCCAAACATGCTTCGTCCGAATACTCATTGAACGGATCTAGATTCTCTCGGATTGTTCCTGAGAATAAGACACTGTCTTGTTGAATAAAGGTCTAAACCTCGATTAGATTCTCATTCAAGACATATTATGTGTAATTACGCACCACGCGTGAACGCAAGTCGTAGAGACCAATTGTGCTGATGTCGATACCATCAATAACGATATGGCCCTCGACAGGCTCTACGAAACGAAGAAGCGCAGTTGCCAGCGTCGATTTACCTGGATTTCCATCAGTGGCTGCATACTTTCTTCCCTTGTGTTTACACACCGCTACCGGTTCGTCCCACGAGACCAACTCTTTCTCGCGGTTTGATGTCAAAGGAAACACCTTGAAGAACTGATGGAAGATCCGGCGCATACTTGATCACAAGGTTCTCAACAGAGATCAGCTTCGAATCGGCTGGACCACCACTAGACGGCCAATACGCTGGAGGCCTGGCAGACTCGATGATTGAAGGCGGCTCTTGTGGCAGGTTTAAATACTCCGTTACTCGCTCCACGGCGCTGAAAAGTTCAATTGGAATTCAGATGCAATGTTGGAAGACTCACTTTAGATCCAACTCGAGCTGTGAGATGAACCGACAAAGCCAATAAATCGCCATAGTTAGTCCCATAGCGCTCACGATCAAAAGGCCTTCAAATCCGTTACTGGCTTTGGCACGTAATGCGGTAACGTCTGCTCCAAGGATACTGACAACCTGTTGATGGGTGTTGCCACCGAAGAGTGCAACAATAGCCATCACACAGAACACCGCTATACCACCCAGAACATCAAATCTGAAGAGGAGCCACCTGTTCACCATCCAGAGCGCCCAATAGCATTTCGTGGTGACATCAAGGTTGTCGTTCATCTTGTCGAGGAAGCGCCGCTCAGCAGAGAAGGCACGAATTGTAGCGAGGCCCTCGAGGCTAGTGCGGAAAGATGCAAAGACGGGGGATAATGTTGTCGAATCGAGTCGCTTTAGAGGTCGTGTGATTTCGAGATAAAGCTTGCTGTACGAGACGTACTGAGGAGTGTAAGAGTAAGTAAAAGGAAGATTAGAGGACATACGGCGGCGCAGATGACTATTCCCGGAATGAGGAAAAGTGGCGAGAGGAGTACAATCGTAAGAACCGAGAGGATGACAGTGAAAAAGCATTGGATCGTAAAGGAGAACGAGAAACCGATTGTCGTGTCAATGGTTTCGAAATCTTTAGAGAGACGATTGAGGATGCGACCTGAACGGACAACGTCAACCCCTACCGCTTCATAAAAAGCTAGAAACTAACCAGTAGGCGTTACGTCGTACCAGCGCATTGTTGCGCGACAAATGGTGTCCAACAGCTGACCAAAGAGGAGCCTCGAAGCTCGGTACCCTCCAAATACAAGTATCGAACTTCCAAGCATCTCAAATGTCAGGGATGCCAGACCAATAAGGACGTAAATCCAGACATAGAACATGGGATTCTCGTCTGCTGTTGGAAGCGTCTGGCTGTTCGCCGCCTGGTTGGCAATGAACGCAGTGACGGGGAAGATCTGGTTCCCATGTGTTTGAATGTGCATCGAGAGATTCGAGATAGCCTTGGCCGGCGTCTCGTATGCTTCTCCCCAGACTTGCATCCAAGCCTACAATCAACTGTTGGCACAGTTCTTTGCAACATATCACGCACAAACCTTTTGAACAATGGCCATGAACACGCCGAGAAGGGTGAACAAAAACAAGCCGACCCAAGTGATATATGCTCTAAGCAAGGTCAGCTACAATCAGAAAAACTTGTGAATCACTCACGATGCCTTGATGTACGAAAGGTACACTGAAAACTTGACTCGGCCTTGTTGCATTTCCTCTTCATCTACTAGCTTTTTAGCTAGTGCTTTGTCGCCTTTGGCTGTATCCTTCTTCTGGTCTTGTTTATCTTCTTGAGCTTCTGTCTTTGCCTCTTCCTTCTTGGCTTTGGCGGTAATCTCACTGAGCAAGCCCCGCTTCTGTAGCTCGTTGATAGACCCTTGAGTATCTATTCGCCCGTCGAGCATTCGCACAAGATATCCGGCTCCGGGGAGTACAAGCTCCACATGATGAGTGACCAGGACCTACAAAACGTGAGATAATTCAGAGGCGTGGGCACCAAACTCACTACTGTACGCTTCGCAAGTAAAGGACCGGATAGGAGTCTCTCAAAGAGGAATCGCGCCGTGTGGCTATCCTGAAAAGGTTTAGGCACTGATTATAGCACAAGGAATCACATACCACAGCGCTCAATGGATCATCGAGAAGCACAAATTGCGTAGGAGCATAGATCGCGCGAGCCAATGCAACACTATGATAGGGTTATAGGCTAAAGTGAAGATGTGGGAGATTACTCACCGAGCCTTTTGACCACCAGACAAGCTAACACCGCGTTCGCCGATTTCTGTCTCGTCACCGTCCTCAAACGTCTCGAGATCCGGCCTCAAAGCGCAGCAATCGACGACCTGATTGTATCTCTCCTCGTCATATTCGCTGCCAAAAAGGATGTTCTGTTTAATAGTTAGGTGCTCCAACCACGGTGTTTGCGCAGCGTATGAGATGTATTCGCGCAAGCCAGTCTTTGGATCGACAATGGTAGGGAGCTTTGGGAGGAGAAGTTGAGTAGATGGCTTGAGCTCTGAAGGTGGCGGGATGATGTACATTTCGCCCAAGAGTGCTCGAAGGAGGGCCGTTTTCCCAGAGGCCGTAGGGCCAGTGACGAGAGACAGTTGTCCAGAAGGGAAAATTACATTGATATCCCGGAGCTCGAAGCGTCTGTCAGCAGTGGGACTCGCAGCAGCTGGAGTAACAGCCCCACTGGCCAACGTGGAGTGGTCTACGGTTTCTGCTTCTTCGATGGGATTAACTGGCGGTACAAGTGGATTTGTCAATTGACCAGTCTCTGTTGAAGGCAGGGGTTCTTCAGGAGCAGCCTTGACCCAAAACCGTCGCTTCCACCAAGGTTTCTTGGGTGCAGCTGGCTTTGCATCGAGTTTAGGCTCCTCTGGCTTGCTCCAGAGGAAGTAACCATTCTGAATGCCGAGTCGACTCTCTCCTACTAGAGTTTGATCTGTGCCTTCGCGTCTGCCACTGGCGTCTTCCTGCTTGAACGAGGAGACTTCTGGATCGACCTCGGGTTCACTGAGGTACGTTGCAATGCGTCCAACTGAAACTTTGACTTTGAGATAGCGGACAATGACCATAGGGAGTACGCCAAGGGGTCTAGTAAAGATCAGACAACGCATAGCAGCATCTAACATACTCACTGTGACAGCATGGAGAATAGTTGGACGGCGGTAAATGCAGTTGATACGGATAGGCGATGTCCACTCCAGATGTATGCCCAGAAGGCGAGAATAGACACGCCGATAGGAGCGATACCCCAGATGAAATTAAACCCGATATCCACATAGCCGCCTACAGAACTTAGAAATGATCTCCAGAGCAGATAGAACGTACTTTGCAAGACAAGCCTCAGCTCCTTGGCACGGGCATCCAATGCACGTTTCATCCAGCGATCCTCATTTGCTAGGAACTTGATGAATTTGATCTCTGAAATCATTTCGTTGAGAACAGACATCTTCTTGTCCCTTGCCTGCAAAGCACCGTGAGTTTTAACAATCTTCCGTGCAATGAATTCACTGACTGTCTGAATATCGCCGTAAATCTTCACTGCTCGACCCGAAAGAAGATGGTTCACGGGGGCTATCAGAATGAATATCCCCACGCCTGCAAAAGCGGACCATCCAAGGAGCCTACATGCCGTTAGCAAAGACAGCCTTTGCACCGGTGAGCACTCACTTGTAGAGGAATAGAGTGGCTAGAACCAATTGAAAAGGTGCATTCTGTCGTGGTTTAGCTTTGATCTCGCCTCTGGAAGAGTTACTCACATAGAACCAATAACACATGTAGATCATCGACTCCACTGTTCTGGTGTCCGTACTCATTAGGTTGACAATCTTGCCAAGATCTGCTGCCTCTGCCGCAGCCTTTTTCTTTTCCTCTTCTTCCTGTTCGGCCTTTTGCTTCTTCTTATCCTCTTCACTGAGGGATGTCTGTGCCGTGCCGTTGGCAGAAGCTGGTGTCCTTGTTCCACTAGCCCTGTCGGCGCCGTCGCCATCTGACTGCTTAGTGGCAGTGGTCGGTGTGGCCATGACCTCCCTCCTACGAAGCGCTTTCTCATAAATGGCCATCATGATCTGGTTTCTCGCACGATTGGCACCACGACGGCCGTAGAAAAGATGGTGCATGTCCGTTCCAGCTTTGAGTACGTTGCACGCTAGGAGACTGAACGCATATAGGAGCGCCTCTGCACGGAGCTTGCGGGTCTCAACTTCAGTGACGGCCGTAGGAAGCTTGCTAATGCTGTCAAGGATGAGTTTGAGGAAGAGGGGACCAGCAAACTCTAGGGTGAGGGACACAAAGGAGAGTCCAAATTCGAGGATAAAGTCGAGAGAGTTGCACGCCCAGTAGTGCCAAAAGAAGGCGCCAGGGGTAATCTTGCCGTCTGGAAGGACGAAAAGCCTGCCTGTCTCCACATATTTTGAGTAGATAGCTCGGGTGGCCATGAGCGGAGAGAGCTTCCACACGTCTTCCTCCTTTTGGATGTTCCTTTGAGTGATTGGTGTCACCCAAGCGAATGTTATCCAGTTCCAAAGAGTAGTGTAGTCCTCGGGGGAGATATTCGTACCAATATCAGCCGGGGAGATGACGCTTCCTTCGACCGGCACTGCCAACCTCGTTCTCAGAGTGATGACAAGGACGGTGAAAAGGACGAGGATATTGAGAGAGGAAAAGGTGATAAAGGCCATGTCGCGGAAGAATGGAAGCTGGTAGACATAGGATAGGTAGACATATCCACCAGCTTCGAGCAACGCGACTACCAAGGAGATAAGGTAGATGGTGAAAAGGTCGTAGTGGGGTTTGACCTTTGGTCGGATTGCTGGCTTGAGAGTCGCATAGAGCCACGTAAGACTGAAGATTGCGGCATTCCAAAACTCTGTGTTTGGTGACGATGGGTGATCGTCTACGGTGTTGGATACGAGCTTGTATGCACAAATAGAGAACCATGAAAGCGTTTCGAGGAGGCCTAACGCCGCTAGGGCAAAGTTTCGACCCGGCGCTTTAGACGCTGGTTTCGACACTACAACAATTGGTGGAGTAGACGATGTTTTGTCTTTTCTCAGACGCTCTTCTGCTTCATAAGGTTTTAAAAATGGTTTGAATGGCCTGACAAAGCGTTTTAATGGCTCCGGAAGCCCGGGGACTCTCTTGCGAACGGTAAAGATAACGACGAGGGCAAGCAGGGGGGCACGCAGCCAGATAGAGTCTACAACCAGTGACTGTCAAGGTGTCGTTAGAGTGCGTCCATTGCCTCAACATGACAATACTGACCTCGTCGGCGACGCCACTCGCAGTCGGCTCGAACATGGCGGTCGTGTTTAGCACGAGAGACGTGCCAGACGCTCTTTTTAGATGATATTAAAAGGTCTTGCTTATGCCGGAGGAACAGGAGACCGCGGCAAGGTCCAAGTTGTAACTTGGACTTTCGGCATTCAGGGACTGCACAAGATTGTGCACAGCTTTCAATGAGGATCATGCTGAGGACCTTGTGGGACAGTCGGCGCCAGAACTCCGTATCAATTCGAGGGTGCACATGGTGACTGGGATTTGAATGCTGAACCCACACGATCACAGACCCACCGAAATTGTCGTGGAGGTCTAAAGGAACGAACAGATTCTTCGTGGAGAATCCATAAAAGGTGTATTTTGGGCAACGGAGATCAGCTGCCTATTTATTAATGGCCATTGTCCATTAATGAGCCCACTTCGACATTCTAACGGACATAATCAGGAATCTTTAGGGTCAAGGGAATTCGCTCACGCGTACGTGGCTGCTCAGGTAACCCTTCTGATTCGAAGCAACAGAGCCCTCTGGGATGCTAGCCCAGTTTTCGCTTACTGCGATCAATGTTACCGCGTATCAAAGTCAATACAGCAACTATGTCAAGAGTCAGTCGATAAGATACTTGGAGACGCCTGGCACCACTTGGAAAGCCCTAACCACCGAATGCTCAATTTCAGCCGACTCCCTTACATCAAGAGTTCCAAATCTTCATTTCATACTCTTACTGTTGGCAAACAACAGAGCTCAACTTCTCCTCACGACTTGTATCCGAATCTAGGATTTCCTCTTTAGCACCTTTCTATCACGGTAAGGCGAGTCTCGTTCTCACCCACGTTTCGCATAAGCAAATTCTGATCTACAGTTACCCAGGTAGCAAAGAAAGTCTGCTGCAGATATCTCCAGAATGCTTCGACCCTTTATACCCCGGTTATTCATGGAAGAATCAAATGTACGGTCGACTCATTCATCTTCCTTATCAGCTTATTCAGAGTGGCACGGCAGACACGTTGTCTCGGCCTGTTATTCTCCTCTTCACCAGGATAGCACCGTGTCGTTGAAAAAAAAAAACAAGCCTTGTGACATACTATTTTGCTCGTCCTGAGACATGTTAGGTCTCTGGTCGCGCTTGAAGAGCACCTTGGGACTCTTCCAATCGTCTTCGGGGTACATAGACACATCTACATCACCGACCAATCCAGAGAGAAACAAGCAATCGGGTCAAAAGCCTTATTCGAAGATAGATGACCTTGGGTTTCTGGAAATTGTCTCTGGAACCGATCCTGTTGTTGAGTATGTCGCTCATTTCCGACACGCATTCGCAGCTAAACGCGTCTGGGCAGTATTGTAGCCATTCATGGTATAAATGGACATAGGGAGAAGACATGGATGACAGATCAAGGGGTGCTGTGGTTGCGTGACCTCTTGCCGTCGGACTTACCCAACGCCCGAGTTCTGACATACGGTTACGACGCGGAAACTCATAGTCAAGAATTTGTTTCCACCCAGACAATACATCGGCACGCCGAGAGCTTTGTCAAGGCTCTTTCGCGAGAGCGCCAGCGTGTTCCTCGAGTGAGTGAATAGTTTAGGACTTGGTCCACGCTGAATAATAACGAGCGTCCAATCATCTTTACCGCGCATAACTTGGGAGGCATTATTCTCAAATTGGTTTGTCGCTTGATTAGATAAGAAACCGGATAGTAATACTCGCATAGGCCCTGGTTCTGTGCAACAACCAACGTTTGGAAGCAACCAACGGTCTCAGGGACATCCTGGTATCCACTCATGGAGTCTTATTCTTTGGGACACCACACTCTGGCGTTGAAATCACCCCCCTCATCGACATCAACCGCTGGGTATCAGGGCATATGGAAACGACGGAAGTTATCCTCAAAGATATTGCGTCTCACTCCCCCGAACTCGAGAATATACAGAGACTCTATGTCGCCGCAGGCGAGAAAATTAATACCATATTCTTCTACGAAGAATATACGACACTCGACCTATGGAATCAAGGAGGACTGGTGAGTGTATTTCTACTCACGGGTGTCTATCTAAACCAACGGAAAGAACGTTCCATATCATTCAGCCATGATAGCTGGCGACCGCGAGGCGACGACAATTGTTCTCCATGCTAATCATGACGACCTGGTCAAATTTCCGGATAAAGAAAGTGATAACTATCGAACGGTTCTCTACCATCTCAAGGATCACGTTGACAGTGCCCTTGACGCTATCCGCGAGAAATGGGGAAGAGAAGATGACTCTCGCAGTTTGTAATCTATTTATCTTCTCTACATGGCTAACCAATACTCAGGAGCTGCGAAAGGGAACTTCACCCAGCGAGGCGTCGTGCAACAGAAACCGCTGCCACCAGCGTCAACAAGCTACATCGAAAGAATAAAAATCCAATCCCTTATCACACTGAGGCTCCTCCCAAAAGATCGTAAACAGCGCCAACCACGGTGCATCCTTCACGGACTTGGAGGAGCGGGGAAGACTCAGCTGGCAACAAACTGGATAAGGCAGAATGAGGGCAGGTACGAAGCGTGTGCAAAAAGGAAATATCTGAGGTTTCTGCTAGGTTTAGTCGAGTGATTGTCGTTGACGCTTCCAATCAAGCCCAATTAGAGGCAGACATGGAGTGGTCGATTCGTTCCTTGGGCCCGGAGTACAGTAAAATGTCGTGGAAGGACGCTGTTGCCCACCTCGACCGCAACGAGAAAGGATGGCTACTCTTCCTCGACAACGCCGATTCACCAGACCTTAATCTCGCTCCCTACCTTCCTAGTTCCCTTGATGGGGCGATTATAATCACTACTCGGAATCAGGAATGTGTGGGCTACGCTCCAGACGGTGCAGTTCCTGTGGGTGATCTTGAGGAAAGTGAGGCCGTGAACCTTCTTCATACACTTGCCCACGTCGCACCTATACCCAGTACCAAATCTCTCGAGATTGTGAAGGAGCTAGGAATGCTGGCACTCACAATTACTCAAGCCGGAACGTATATTCGCAAGACGCGGCGCCTTGATACGTACCTAGACACGTTCCGAGATCATCGAGCCCGACTTCTGCGGAAGAACCCAGAAAGTGGCACTGAATACACATCATCGACATACGCCGCTTTCGACCTATCCTTTCATCAATTACCGGCAAGGACGCAGGAATTTATGAAATTATTGGCCTTCCTTCACCATTCCCTCATCCCAGTCGCTCTGTTCGAGCGGTCGATAGCATCTAGCTTCACTGCGTACACAGTGTTGGACGAAATATCTCCGCCGGGAAGTGACAAAAGATTCATTTCAGGCCTCAGAAAAATCCTGGGTTGGACCTGGGATGAAATTACCTTCCAGGAGATCGTCGGCCCAGCCTCACGCGCGTCGTTTATCGACGTTTCGGCTGATGGCTTATTCTACAACATCCACCCCCTGCTCCAGATGTATATCAAGGATCGACTTGATAAAGCACAAAATCGCTACTTCGAACGCATGGCCACACAACTCATACTTGGAGCAATCTGGCCATCGGAGGGTGGCAACGCCCTGAATTGGCAAATACACGCGCACGCAAACAAAGTCCCTCGATCTGTGCAAACGGAGTACCTCACCCACGCGTTGGCGTTCCGTTCATTCTATGACTCATTGGGTGATTGGAAGGCGTGTCATGACCTATTGGAGTCTGCACGCTCCCAGCTGCAATCCGCTCAAAGGCGATCGCCGGGATCGTTGCCATGGCTGCTGCGCGAAATGGCCTGGAACCTGCGAAGCATGGGTCACCTGGAGGAGGCAGAAGGAGTAGGAAGAAGTGCACTCGAGCTGACGCGCAAAATCTTCAGACGGTCGGATCCAGCCACTACGTGGGCAATGAGCAACCTTGGTTCAATCCTTCGTGACCGTGGTCAGATGGAGGAGGCGGAAAGATTGCTGCGAGAGTCGTATGCTCTGACCCTGGAGAACTTTGGACGACAACACCCAGACACCATATCGGCAATGCATAGCCTCGCTCTCACCTTGTATGACCGCGGTCAGTTGGACGAGGCAGAAAAAATGCAGAAGGATGTCCTCGCTCTGCGGCTGGAGATCCTTGGAGAGCGACACCTGGATACCATATGGGCAATGAACAACTTCGCTCTCACCTTATATGACCGTGGTCAGTTGAACGAGGCTGAAAAGATGCAGAGAGATATTCTCGCTCTGCGGCTCGAGATTATGGGACAACAGCACCCAGACACAATGTTGGCGAAGTCCAATCTTGCACGCACTCTCAGTAAACGTGGGCATCTGGATGAGGCGGAGAAGATGCAGCGAGATATACTTTCACTGTCGTTTAAGATCCTTGGACAACGGCATCCGGACGTCATTCTGGAAATGCACAACCTTGCTCTCACCTTATCTGACCGTGGCCAGTCGGACGAGTCTGAAAGATTGCAGAGGGATGTCCTCGCTCTGCAGCTCGAGATTCTTGGAGAGCGACACCTGGATACTATATGGGCGATGAACAACTTGGCTCTTACCTTATATGACCGTGGTCAATTGGACGAGGCTGAAAAACTGCAGAGAAAGGTCATGACTCTGCGACTTGATATCCTTGGACCACGACATACTCACACCATTTCGGCAATGCGCAACCTAGCAGGCATCCTACACGATCATGGTCAGTTGGAGGAGGCAGAGAAGATAAAGCGAAAAATCCTTGCTCTAACGCTCGAGATCGTCGGGGGCCAACACATTGACACGATCAAGGCAATGGAAAGCCTCGCACGTACTCTACACAATCGTGGTCAGTTGGACGAGGCGGAGAGGATATGGAGAGAAACACTCGGACTGCGGCTCGAAATCCTCGGGAAAATGCATATCGATACCATTGCTACAATGGACAGCCTCGCTCTGACAATTTATAGCTACGGTCAGTGGGATGAGGCGGAGAAGATATGGAAGGAGGTACTTGCGCTGCGGCTCGAAATCCTCGGAGGACAGCATCGAGCTACAATAAGGGTAATGAGCAGGATCGCAAGCACTCTACACAAGCGTGGTCAGTTGGACGAGGCGGGAAAGATATGGAGAGAAATACTCGCGCTGCGGCTCGAAAGCCTTGGTCCAAGACATATTGACACCATTGATACAATGGATAGCCTCGCTCTGACACTTTATGGCCTCGGCCGGTGGGATGAGGCAGAAAAGATGTGGAGAGAGGTACTCACTCTGCGACTCGAAATCCTCGGCCAGACGCATAGTGACACCGTTAGGGCAATGAAAAACCTCGCCGTAATGCTCTATAATAGCCGTCAGTGGGTCGAAGCGGAAAAAATGTGGAGAGAAGTATTTTTACTGCAGCTTGAGATTCAGGGACAACAGCACCCAGAAACTCTTAATGCGTCATACGACCTCGCCTTGGCATTGTATGCGTGCGGTCAGTTTGAGGAAGCTGCAAAGCTTTTGCAAGAGACAGTAGAACTACGGGTTCAGGTATTTGGGGAAGACCACACTCATACTCTCATGGCAAAAAAGCTTCTCAAGTATGTTATAGCTAGCTCTAAGCCGCCCTGGTTGTTTTCTCTCCTATTTTGGTGACTGATCACCACACTTATTTGGAGATTATTTTAGTTATCACTGGAGTATGTTGACTACTTTCATTCAGCTTTCATATACACCAACAGTTCGCTCTCGTAGCCTTGAGTGTATTCTGTTAAACTTGCTGCTAAGAGATTGTTGAGGCATTGAACCAATTTAGACTACGCCCTCGATTCTTATATATCCTAGGTAGAACGCCCTCACATGTCAATGGATCGGCTGTCCGACTAATCGCATTGTAACCTTTAACTAGTCCAAACGAAATCATCGTTTGCCCTTGCCCTTGCGAGACGCTCGCGCATTCTTCTCCTTGCGTCTCTGTATCAGATTTCGCTGCTTTCGGATTTGGTCCACCGTTTTGAGCTCATTTTTGACCTTTTGGGAACTCTTGCCCTTCCACCTCCCTCCCAACTGGCCCTTGCCGGGCTTGCCTTTTGCTTTGCCCTTTGCATCCCCTCTATCTTGAGCATCAGAGGTTTGCGCCTGTTTCTTCATAACGCGCATCTTTCGCTCATAATTGATAGCCAACTTGTCGAGTGGCTTCGCATCCGATACTTTGGAATGCTTCCAGCGCTTTCCCCCCATCGACGAGCGAGTAGCACTAGGGTTCTCCGTCTCCCCGATACGTATCTCGCGACCTCTCCCCTTTCCTTTGATCCACTCGTCGTATCGGCCGCTTTTGTACGTGACAGGAAGCTTGGTGCCCCCTTCGGTTTTGATCATCTTGACGTTATCCGCACCCGCACCATCACCTTTGACAAATTTCTTCTTCTTCCTGTCCCACTTGAGTTGAGATTGCCGCCTCGCAGCTTCTTGAGCACCGACGTCTGTCGTCAGATCAAAGGTGGCCTGGGCAGCCTGCTCTGCAAACGATGCGCCGTCGCGTAGCGAATAACCACGCTCCGTGTCTGCATCCTTTTGGTAATGTGACATGTAAAAATCTTCGTCTTTGAACGACGTTCGCTTGGATGCTTTGCTTTTTGACATCGTCGTGCTCGGACCAAAAGCACTCTGAATACGGTTTAGCCACTACGATGATTCTTTATCGACAGTCTCACCTCTATATCCCTCTCGTCCGCCATCTCAACATCTTGGACGCCCTCACCTTCGTCCCCACTAGATTCAGCCGCGGCTTGGTGACTATTGACCAACGGCAGTGGCACACGACTTGCAGCTTTCGATAATGCTCGTCGTCTCTCTTTCATAAGGAGCGCACCAGCAGTCTTGCCTCTAGTTCCAATCTCGAATACTGTCTCCGAGGGCTTGAAGCGAGCGAGGCTTTCTAATAGCGATTCGCGCGTCTTGGTTGGTTCGACCAATGTTGACCCAGACTTTTGCTCTGGCGTTCCCCTCTCTCGTATAGACCGCAATTTCCATGCCGGATGTACGGCGTCGCTGTTGACGAATCCCCATTTGCCATTGGAGATAAACTCCTTTGCCCGCGAGTAGCTGACAGGGGATGCTTTCCCCTTTGTCCGATTATACATCTTCGTACCACGCTGCATGACGCCTCGCATCGTGGTCAGTTCGTAGTTGGTGTCGTCCAACCCACGGATATACTCCATTTCCTGGTCCAGCGCATCACGCGGAAACGGTCCAAGAACAAGCGAATCCACAAAGGCAGATTCGGTAAGAGAAGACACCTTGTCGACCAACGGCCGACCTAGGAAAAGTTGAAGATCGAGGACATAAGGAACCTCGTCGCGTGCGACAAAGCTCCAGGCCCAGCCTTTTCGACCCATCCTCGCCGTTCGTCCGACACGGTGCACAAAGACTCGATTGCCGACGGGAAAGTCATAATTGACGACATTCTCCAAGATTGGAATATCGATTCCTCGTGCAGCAACATCTGTCGTGACAAGCACAGACGTTTTATGGTCGAGGAACTGGCCGAGGGCAGATGTACGCGCCGCTTGGGTGAGCGTACCGTGGATGCTGGACACCGCGTAACCGGCTAGAGTGAGGAGGGCGGAGATGTATGCGACGTGATGCTGTGTGCTCACGAACACAATGGTTTGGTGAGGTGCGAGGATGGCGGCTCCTGCACCTGCCGTCGAGTTTTTGGCCCTTTTCCCTGTGGACTTGTCCCTTTCGGCTCCTCTTTGCTCGAGATCCTTTTTCAGGGGCACTCCAATGACTTCTCGTAGGAGACAGAGAAGAGCTGCGTCCTTTTCACCTTCCCTTACGCTCCAAAAAGCCATTCGCAGGTCGGCACTAATCTTCGTCTCGCTGTCCAGTCGAACGAGCTTTGGCTCTCGAAGACCGGCTTTAGCAAACTCGACGAGAGATTTGGGAAGGGTGGCAGAAAAGAGTAGAGTCTGTCGTGAGGAGGGCAGTTTCTCGAGGATGCTTGTCAAGTGGGTGGAGAAACCGAGCTCAAAGAGCCGATCAGCCTCGTCAAAGACGAGGTATTGTATCGTGCTGAGATTGAGTGACATTTCAACCAAGAGGTGGAGAAGACGTCCTGGAGTGGCGATTATCCTTGAAGTCGGTCAGTTTAGAGAGAGAATCGGAAAAGGCTCGACGTACACATCGGGATTGTTCGCCATGGTTTCAAATTGTTCATCCAATCCTTCTCCACCAACTACCAGGGCCCAACGCAGCGCATTGGCACTTGTAGAGGGACCAGATTCGTCACGTTCGCCCGCGTGCTCCTGGTCGCCGGCTTCGCGCCATCCTCGACTAAGTTCTCGTCCCACTTTGAGTACCTGAACGGCGAGTTCCCTGCTAGGAACCAGTATCAGCGCACGAGCGCCATAGACACCGCTATGTCGACCTCCGAGTCGCTGTAGAAGTGGGATCATGTATGCTAGGGTCTTGCCTGAACCGGTACGCGCCATTCCAACTAAATCACGAGGAGGATTTGAGAGCAATGTTGGGATGGACGAGCGTTGGATAGGTGTTGGTGTTCGGTAGCCTCGCAATGTGAGAGCGCGTAATAACGACGGATGTAGCCCTAAAAACATTACTTTGAGCCGTGAAATTATTACGATTACTTACCCATGCTCTGAAAGCTGCCTCCTCCGAGTTCATTTTTTGCCTTGCCTTTGCCTTTGACTGTCGACGTCTTTTTCAAAAGCTCTGCACCGTCTTTGATGTTTCTCTTTGCGATAGATTGTTGAATAAACTCGTTTTCGTCGTCGTCGTCGTCTTCACTCGCGAGCACCAATTCTCCCTCGTCGCTGTTTGTTTCTGCCTCTGAAGCGGATGATGCAGACTCCATCTCGACGTCTTTTTGTTCTTCGTCACGCTTTCGCTTTGTGGGGGCCATTGCTAAGAAGCGCTCAGCGGAGTGGCGGGGTCGAAGGATCGGACTTTGGACTCGTCCACACTGTTCCATCTCTGAGCCATCCACAGCTGCCATAATCAACAATGAGCACACGCGCAATGAACGACGATGAAGTTGTGTCGGAGATGAACAAGATGGTGCGCATTGCCTTATCTGTCGCACAGACGTCGAGGGCTACGTGGTGGCTCACCGGCGATGTGCACGCTCTAGGTCGCGTTCATCAAGCAGGAGGCAATGGAAAAGGCTCGTGAGATCAAAGTCAAGGCAGACGAAGAGTTTGCGATTGAAAAGGTTTGTCTTTTGGTCCATTCCATGACGGCTGATCCCATCAATACGCGATGTCTAGGCAAAGATTGTCCGTCAAGAGTCACAGGCTATCGACGCTGCATTTGACAAGAAGCTCAAAGGCGCAGAAACGGCGCTCAAGATGTACGTCGTGGTTCATCGCTAGACTCAACACTGACGTCTCTCTTACAGTGCGCAATCCACTCAGACGAACAAATCGAGACTTCGACTCTTACAGGCGCGCGAGCAGTATCTCAATGGACTCTTTGAAGCGGCCCGTGAGGAGCTGTTGACTCTATCGCAAGACGAAGCACGATATTGTCAACTGCTAGAAGGAACAATCACACAGGTGCGGATTCTTATCCTTTATCAGCATAAAGTCTCTAAGCTCCTGTGCAGTCACTCCTCCAATTGATGGAGCCAAACGTGACAGTGTATTCACGACCAGGAGATGTACAGATTGTCGAACAGGCCGTCTCTTCTGCAAAGACAACATACAAGGACATTAGTGGCCGTGACATTGAAGTCCAGGTCGAAGGCTCGTTGCCAAAGGACTGTGCTGGTGGCGTGAGATTGATGGCCGCTGGTTCAAGAATTACGGTGGATAATACTTTGGACCAACGCCTGAAACTACTAGAAGAAAAGGTGCGCGCACTCTCCTTCAGTCACCACCTCTTCCCTCAATTTCCCTAGATGCTCCCAGAGATTCGACATGAACTATTTGGTATCAACGAAAACCGCAAGTTTTACACGTAGATTATGAATGCACGCCACCTTGTTCTCGCAACCTGCTTGGCGCACCTGCCTTTCTTAATGAGATTACTGAATTCGGATAAATCGCGAATCATATCTTCATCTCAGTTGCACTGACCCCAGCTCCCGTCGGGAGCGAGCCGGCGTCTGAGTCGTATGATGACCATTGGCTTTTATCACAGACCCCTTTGCAGGCCTCGAACGATTCCCCACTGACTCGTCCTCACCTCATTCTCAGTTTTTTATCCTCCTACTCCCCTATTCCTTTGCCCTTCTCCACCGCGACTCGGATCTCTGGGTGCCATTACGCCCATCGCAATTTTCTGATGAATAATCTGCACCCTTCGGCACGGCTTGCGTATTCTTCTCCCTCTTGGACTCGACCGCACCTGAGAGCGTCACGAGTATTCACAAAAGTCAGATTTTATCACTCGAATTTTGCACCACCAATGTCGGCCAGTCCACGCCGCAGAGAACCAGCAAATCCAGTGGCGACGGGTGCGGGTGCCGAACAGATCAGGTCCTTCTCCGACACCGACAAGACGTCTAAATACGAGGTGATTATCATCGGAGCAGGCGTAGCTGGACTCTCGGCGGCGTATCGAATCCTTACGAAGCGTCCTGGGACAAAACTGCTCATGTTGGAAGCCCGAGAAAGGGTGGGTGGGAGAGTACATAGCGTAGACGTAGGAAACGGATCTGTAGATTTAGGAGCTAGGTATGTCGTCTAATCTTGGAGGATAGGCACATGCTGAAAGTTTCCGTAGCTTTATCCACGGCGTCAATGGGAATCCTATTATGGAGTTATCCAAGAAGCTGGGATTCGAGGTCACTCCGAGCAGGATGTCCATGCGCGCATTCATGCCCGATGGCTCGTTGGTGCCCCAGGAGGACATTATCCGAGTTGGCCCACGCATTTTTGGCACAGTATTCGAATGGCTCCCTGAGATCTCTCAGGGCGCGTCGACTGAGAAGGATATCCCATCCGACGTGGAGAGCCTTGCCGACCGGGTATTCAGCAAAGATTCGCCAATATACGCTGACACCTCCGAAGACGCCAATACGGAGAAGAAGGACGAAGTTTTCATAGCGGAGAGTACTATTCGCAACTTTCAAGGATGGACTGGAGCACCCTTGGACTATGTGAGTCTGAAATGGTGGGGGTTCAATAAAGACACCGAAGGTGGCGATGGCCTGCTGGTGAAAGGCTACGGTCCTCTTATCCAGTGGATGAAGGAAGAGATAGAGAGGTTGGGAGCCGTAATACGACTTGGCGAGGTTGTGGAAATGATCTCGACTGACGAGGAATCTGGCGTCGTCGTTCAGTCTCGTCACGATAACGACACGACGAGATATGAAGCAGATTACTCAGTCATCACGCTTCCTTTGGGCGTTCTAAAGCACGACCCGCCAACTTTCGATCCTCCTCTTCCCATCCGAAGACAGCAGTCGATCCAAAGACTAGGATCTGGGTTGCTCGACAAGGTTGTACTCATATACGACAAGCCCTGGTGGTCGGCAGAGGAGTTGAAGGCAGGCCAGAGTCCGGCCCCGGCGGCGGACGAGGACGAGGACGATGAAATGGGAGACCCGATGATAAATCTCCTTTTACCCTCCAAGGATAACCCAACCCGGTTAATGGGCCCATCCGGTGGTGCCCCACCCAACCACAAACCGAACCTCCATCCCGGAGCCTTTCCACCTCGCAGTGCCGAATATCTCCAACAGAATCCCAACGCATTGATGATTTTCGATGTCCATGCTCAGAATGGAGTTTCGGCTCTGAGCATCTTTGTCGCTGGAGAATGGGGGGACGTAATGGAATGCTGCTCCGAAGAGGAAACGCGTGCATGGGCGGAAAGCGTAGTCAAGGATTATTTCAAGGAACTCGTCTCGGGAGAAGTTCCTTCTCCAAGCAAAGTTCTGCGGACAACGTGGAGGGAGGACAAGTTTGCATATGGCAGCTACTCGTACATCCCAGCCGGTTCGACAGCTAACAAGAACCTTGGACCAGCTTCCCCAGTAGATCAGTTAGAGGTGTCGAGGACGTTGTGGGGTCGGCTGTATTGGGCTGGCGAGCACACGGAGCTCAACCAATATGCGAGTGTTCATGGTGCTTGGTCGAGCGGCGTCCGCGAAGGTGACAAAGTCCTTGTTCAGTTAGAGAATAGGGAGTAGTAGCTACAAGATGGTCAGGATGCGACGAAAATACGACTAGGCCCTCACCTTCAACCCTGACTGTCGTCGAACTGCATGCGAATCCGCAAAGCTTCTTCCATGATCTGTAGATTAATATCCGCAGCATCTCGTAATAAGATGGCTTCAAGGATCAGACCGGGCTGAGTATTGATCCCCAAAGAGGCGTTGCGCTTGAGCCATTTTCGTATCTCGCGCTGCGGCTTCTGGATGTGGTTTTAGTCCGTGTATAAAATAATTGGGAATTTCGTCACCTCGCACGACTCGAGAGTGCCCATGACCATCACTAGACTTCGAACTTCCCGAGGGATAACGCCTTCTGTATTCAAACAGAGCCTCAGGTCGACTAGAACAGCGGGTCTTTGAGCAGAGCGCTGCTTTTCCTCATCGTTTGTTGACGCCGGTTTATGCGGCAGGGAGTGAAGTAGTGCCAAAGTCGAGTTTGGTACATCCGCAAACACCAAGTGTCCAAAAAGACGGACTTTCTGTCCACTCAAGGACTCGCTTACAGCCGCAATGGATAGAAGCTGAGCGAGTCCGGGAGCGACATTTATCTTCCAAACAAACTTGGTCTCTGCCTCGTCCGCCAATGGAATCTCTAGTGGGCTCAGCGGGTCAAACTCAATAGCGGCACCTGTCTTGTCATCCACCTTGCATGCTCACGCCCTTCTGTTGACTAGTCTTTATTGGCAGGGCGCATGGCGGCAAATCTGGACAGACTTTATCAGATAGGTATCTAATAGGACCTCGTTAAATATATAAAATAGGTGTAAGTTGCATAAAATTGTGTTTCCTTGACTGTCAGACCAGCCGTCAAGCCGTGCACAACGCGACCGCGAGTTAGAATCTTCCGTTGCATCTCTTGCTGCCTCCCAATGATCAGGATCACAAATTGCATCTATTTCTTCCAACTGTTCACGTAGTGAGGAACCGGGGAAACAAATCCTCGGCCAAAACTCTCTGCTGCGGACGCCTAAACTATTGAGCCAAGCAAGGCTGCGCAATGTCATATCCATGGTATATCAAGAGTATCCAAGTCGACTAGGTGAGACGTATATGAAGCTGCCCTTCGCCAATTCTACTCAACGACGAACAAGGAGCTCACCACAATCGCTCCTTGTGCACCAATGAGACTGTTCTCTGTGGATTCAATCACAGATCTCGGGTCCTCAGCGGTCGAAGACTTTGCTTGTCGATACGCAGACCATGCGCTCTACATCCCTTGGGTCTCCCAACTGGACACTTCACTGTATTCCAGCCAAGTTTGCAACAGTCTCGTCACCTGTTTGCGCGCAGATAATGCAGGTCCGTCGGATCCGTCAACAAATGCGCACGACTCACGCAGTTCTTCAGCAGGAGAACTTGCCTCTATGGCTCCTGGTCATTTAGGAGGCACGTACGCACCTAGGTTTTATGTGGAAGCCTTGAATGAACCACACGCTGTGCCCATTGTCTTCGAACTGAATGTCCTTCTCAACGAGGACGATGACATGGATGTAGAGGACGCATATCCGCTCGACGCGATGACAGATTACGGGATAAAGTGGGATCAAATTAAGCGAGGATTCGACGAGTTTATTTCAGAGCCCACGATCATTCACGCCCAAGTCGAGATCGTATGCCCTCGACCCGTGCACCTTCTACCATCCTGGATCTCCGAATGAAGACACGACACGCCATCGGACATGGGCCAGCAAGAATGATTCGCTGGCCGTGACGGACTCTGTGGAGGCTCCCTGACCGCTTTCTACTTTCATTTTTCGGCCTATAGTTAATTCCCCATCCTGTTTCTTGTACCCCGATAGAATTTTGAGTGCGCAAAAATATTCATGAAGTTCGGGATTCTTCATCTCTCCCAAGATGTCTATATTCACGATTGAGCACTGCAGTTTTGATGTACCTGAGTTTCACACCCGAGCACGCCGTGGAGGTGAACGCGATCCAAACCCGTTGTGGAGGCGGTGACCGGCAATGGAGTAGATGGCTAATGGTAAACGTAAGCTCGAGTATAGTAAATGTGATTTGGTATTTCGGAAGAGATGTACAAAGAGATATCTGCGCTAGATTTGTCCCAAAGGTCCGTATGGAAAAGTTGCGAGCAGACGAAGGCGGCGAGGTCCAGCTACGCCGACAACTGCCCCCTTGCAATGTATGATACAACAATGTTGGGTTATCAAGTCCGTGAGTGTCCTCGTGTAATGTCCAAGAGAGAAAAAAAGAGAAATGTCCAAGAAACGAGAGTCATTTACCGCCATCACTCGACGGTCGAAAAGGAATGTACATCTCTATGTGAGCCTTTAGAGATGGATGTAGAGAAGATGACAAGAAGACACGCACCATGCTCGGCGATGAGCGACTCGAGTCGTCGCACTTCGCCCTCATCGACACGGGTACCTGTGAGGTACTTTACACTCTCGATGGGCACCCATTCACCTCCGTCGCCGACCCAAATGTAACCGGCTCTATTCGAAGGTGGGCATGTCTGAAGTCCCAGACGACCAAACGCGTCCTGATGACCCTCATCCTCTCTTGCGAGCCAATGTCTCAGTTTTGCACCGACAACCCTTACCTGATCTTCCGTCAAGTTGACATGACTCGTCATCTGCAGTACCCGAACATGCGTTTGGGTGGGCGAGACTTCGAGAATGAGGCAAGGATGACGGGCGGTGAGACGGCTCGTCGAGGATGTCTTCATCAGTCGCCTTGTGGTACGGGTCATGACAATTTCTCCCCGCGTAAAGGCATGTCGATGCGGGATGGGAATCAGTCCGGATTCCGTCCGCGCTAAGCCAGCATACATTTCATGTACAGGTGTGAGTGATCCAAAACCGCCTCCGTTCCCACTTGCACTCGTGTTACCGCTGCTACTGGCACTGCTGGGGATCTCGGTATCCGGGAAAGGTGAGTTCGGTGGCGAGGAGAATCCAAACCCAGCTGAAGAGGAGCGAGAGTGTGTCGAGGACGATGGACTTCTCGCTGGGGACGTACGACCGTTGAGAGGAGAGGGTGAACCAGAGCCAGAACCTGACGAGTACACCTGATTAGAAGAGCTGCGTTTGTGAGCTTTCCATTCACTCGAAGATGAGCGAGTGTGGCTTTTCGAACCCACCGCACCCTGCCAACCATGCACCTGATTTGAGGGTTGGGGATAGTGGTGCTGCGGTGCAGGCCAGGATTTTGTTCGCGACGCTGCGGTCGGGTGAGCGTTGTAGAGATCTGGATATGCGTAATGACCAGAGTGGATATTTGACTGCGGAATCCAAAGAGGGTGAGGGGCTGTAGTCGCAGTATTGTGCATCATCGACGGACCAGCCAGAGGCAGAGGGAGCGACGACGAACGCGTTTGCCAGCCGTGGTTTAGTTGGTCAGAGCTACTGGAGAGGAGGTGGTTCGCCCTGTGGTTAAGCGGCTGGAGCGTCTGAGGGTGTGCGAAGACGGGTCGAAGTGTGCTGGTTGAGCTGTTTGACGAAGAACCACCAAAGGATTGCGTGGGTTCCATGTAAGCGGTTTCTTGCTGAAAGTATGATTTTGAGGCGACCCGGTCGTTGTAGGGAAGCTGGGTAGCCTGGTGTGCGTAAAGGAATGAAACTGCCATGATCAAGCGCAAATATGGGTTGCCAAATAGGTCTTATGTTGATCTAAGTCTATATGGCCAAAGCGAGCTGGGTGGCCGGCGGTGAGTTGACAGAGGACGGAGGTGTTGTTAGGTGCGCCGCTGGGACAGGTAATAGTGGGCAAGTCGGGGACAATGAAGGTGCAGGAGACAAAAGGAGAAGCGCTATCTGATGGTCAAGGCCGAGGTGGGGACGGATGCTTATATATCCTAATTCTGTCGCGTGTCTAAAGCGCGGGTATGATAAAGTTGTCCGAGAAGTCGCATGAAAGCCAGCATTGCCACTACTGCGTTATACTTGCTCCTAGTGAGATACCGCTCGCAGGATACGGGTTCGGCTAGGTGCGGGACTTGCACGGAGGGAGGCATCGCTTCCCACTGCTTTTCTCGTCAGGCAACGAAGATCGTTAGAGCTCTCTTAGAAAACATCTGAAATCTATTGCTGACCTCATCGTGCATCCCATTTCGAGTAGCGGAGTTGCAATGACTGGCCATCTGTCAAACACTCCCATCAATCGCTGGCTCCTCGAATATTCTCATGGTTGACGCCGCACCAAACGCAAGAATTGACTCGGAGGTTTTGTATCTTCGTTCCGTATGTGCAGAATCGTTGTCGAAACCGGACGGGACCGTCCCCATGGGATCGCCGGAGGTGCTTCGTCAAGTGCTATTTTAATTTTAATTTAGTCTTCAGCTTCCTAGTGCAGCTATGGTGGCCTCGGAGATGCACAGGAAACCTGTAGACGTCAGAAAGCCGGCGCCTGGGTCCTTGTTGTGTTTGACGGGTGACGGAAAGGGACCGGTGAGTCAATCTCCATTCAACGGGTCTCCTTTCCTGACTACGTACCTCTTCAATCGGCAACCCTCTTTGGCAGGAGCGCAAGTAACGGTGAAACGGTGACTTTGTCGGTGCCTATGTTGGTCCAAACGTCGGGTATCCGTGTGAACTTTTGACAAAAGAGCGCCTTTGCTACATTTTTGAAACTCCGTTCTTTGCTCTCGTGTCTTGTTCTCAGGCTCGGCGGTTGTTGTGGGCGCTCTCGAGGCTATGGAGACGGGCCCGAAGAAACGAGTACGGCCGAAGTTCCTTGTGCACATTCGGAGATGCCATTTACCTGGCATTACTCGACCGTCTAGAAGCGCGCCGGGGCTGCGAGACAAAGGTCGACTAGAGAGCCGCCCATTCTCGCGTGTCACCACCGTACGAATCCCTAATCAAATCGTTCAAAACATTTTCTGGTAGCTGATCCCTTGTATTTGTTCTCAATTCGTGGGCGGCTTGTGGCTTGCAGTTTGCTGGGGGGCGGCTAGGTTAGGAGCTGCCTGCTTCCGGTTCACAATCTATGTACTCTTTCTTTCTGAAGGTATCCGTCCCTTTGGATCTATTTATGTAAGACGAATAGACCATATGACTACATATTTATTAACTGATTGTCTACTGTGATTTGAGACCATATCCGACCCTCACCAGAGGCTTCCTGTTGTGACAGGATGACCGAGACCTGCCCCTAGACGTTGAACCCGATATCCATAAAGCACTTGCGCGGGAGGGTCCCAGGGTAATACTCGCAGAAATATCTGGCACGGAATTCGAACATCTCCAAGTAGAATCTTCCCATGTGGGATTTGGATCGTGGCAAGATTTTGTGCTCCCAGACGAGTTCACAGAGCTCCAATATGTCGTGGTAGTCCACTTGATCCGCTTTTTGGCATTCCCAGGCTTGAAGCGAATGAATGCGTTTCTCCCAGCCCAACAATTTGTGGTAGAGCACGAGATAAAGGGGAGCGACTGGAAGATTGTTCAAATGGATGAAGTGGTTGCGATGAAAGCCACTTGGAATTTCGACATCGGAAGTGGTGGACAATAAGAGGTCGACCTTGAGAACGATTGACGTGCGGGGAATCTGGAGATAAAGCGTCCTCCATGAAGCTCCTGGTGTCCGAGGAGTCCTTAGGAAAAACTTGTCTGGGTACCTCTCACATAGCCAGCGCTTCAATGTCTCAGCGTCGACAGCCGGGCATAGCACGATAACATCGATATCCTCGAGTAGTGTCAGCGGATAGCTTATGCCGTCCTGTCACGCTACCTTGACGATTCGCTCAACACCCCAGAGTCGTGCTGCCATGCCGCCGACGAGACAACACCATGGCTCTCCAACCCCTTCCAAGGCGTCAATCACCATTCGTGACGCATAGAGACAGTCGTCGTAGTTTTCTTGCAACATTCAGCTCGAGCGAGTAGGCAAACCGGACAAAGAGTAAAGTCGAGGTGGTGGTGACGGCCAACGTGCCTTTGTGCCTTTGTAGCAAGCATAATGCGAGGGAGAGAAAAAATCTTAGTAGCATGTAAGACGAAGAGAAAATGCACGAAATATTATATGAATACATGTTTCGTGACAAAATAGATACTTGTGTCCTAAGACTTTGAGATAAATGCACGACTGTTCGTTGTAAACGTATGAACTAGACGTCAAGTCCCATCTTTTTAAATCGTTTAACGACGTAATTAGTCCCGAGTTCTGCGCAAAACTCATCCGCTAGGTCTCTAAACCTCTCCAAATAGGACCTCCCCACATGGGATTTGGATAGCGGAAATGGTCCGTATTGCCGGTTCAGTTCACAAACGTCTATGACGTCGTACTGATCAATATCACGCGCCTTTTCATTATCGCTAGATTTTGCTGAGCGGACGCATTTATGCCAGCCCAGCAACTTGTGGAATAGAACGAGATAGAGTGGCGCGACTGGTAGTTTATTGACGTAGACGAAACGTTTGCGATAGAATCCATCTGGAATCCCGATATCTGCTTCATCTGACAGCAGGTCTACTTTGATCGTATAATATGGCCAACGAGGAAGTCGAAGATATAACATCTTCCAGGGAGCTCCAGTTGAGGAAGGTCGCCAATAAAATTCGTCAGGGAATCTCTGGCAGAGCTGAAGTTTCAATGTATTAGGATCGACATCTGGTCATAGTACGATGACATCGTCCTCGATTCGAGTGAGCTGAGTGGGCTGGAATGTCATCCATCATACTACATTACCTTGACATCTCGCCAAACTCCCAAAGTCGTGCCGCCATTCCACCAATGAGACAGCAACATGTTTCTCCAACTTCTTCAAGGGCATTTATTACTACTCGTGATTTATATAAGCAGTCGGCGTAGGTGGGGCCCGACATTCAGCTAACTAGTACACAGATAGTGTTGTCCAAGGCGAAGGATGGTGGCGGTGCTTTGCTCGTGGGTTCTTGTCACTTTGTATCGAGTACATGAGAGGATCTTCAGCAACTACTGTCCGAGCTGCTTACGGCAGCATCGAACTCTGGCGTCGAGTCTTCGGGTGTACTGGGATAGGGTGCGGGTCCAATGCGAGTAGCCAAGAGGAATAGACGAAAGCGAGCAAAATCTGAGTGCCTGTAGAGCGAAGATGGGCGCAAGGGAGACCCATGAGGCGAGGCGAAATCCAGTGGTCGACTGCAGAGCATGGCGTTGTTACGAGAGAATGCGGGACAAGCTCATCAACCGCGATATCATCCAGCCTCTTCTGAGGTATCAAAAAACAGCTAGTAGGTAGTCACCTGTATATTCCGAATTGCGGGTCCTATCCGAACATACAGGCTGAGACTCTGTAACACAGTAATAAGTATATTGGACATATAGAGAGCCTACCAGGAGCTGGATGGAGAATCAAACCTCCGATGAACGTATGCACCAACTAAGTAGAAATCCATTCCATGGATTAGAATCCGCCTAGGTGAAAAAGTAAATGCCCTCACCTAAACATTGAACCCAATGGCTTCGAGTCTCATCCTAGGTAAGTCTTTGTCGTAACGTTCACAAAAGTATTCCGCCCGCCTCTGAAAGTTCTCTTTGTAAAGTCTTCCCATATGCGTTTTGCTAAGGGGGTATATGCCGTGTTGCCGAAGTATTTCGCAAAGTCGAATGATATCAGGGTAATCCACATCATCCGCTTTCTCCTTTTTCCATCGCTCCCTCGAAGCCACTCGGTCTTCCCATCCGAGTAGCTTGTGATAGAGCACAAAATAAAGCGGCGCAACAGGAAGACCATTTATATGGACGAAATGATTACGGTGAAAGCCATCCGGTACCTCGAGATTCTTTTCAGTGGAGAGCAAGATGTCGACCTTGACTTTATGCTGTGTACGCGGAATGTGCAGGTAAAGCTTCCTCCACGTATGGTGTCGGTTTCTCGGGCGCTTCAAGTAAAAAAGGTGGGGGTATCGCTGGCAGATCGAACGCTTCAGCGTTTCCGGATCAACATCAGGCTGTAGGACAATCACGTCGAGATCCTTGACTAGAGTCAGTGGATAGAAGAACTTTTATCAAGCCTCCGTGCCTTGATGGTTCGCCGAACTCCCCACAACCGTGCCGCCATTCCTCCAACGAAACAACACCAAGGCTCTCCGACGTCTTCCAGAGCTTTGATCACTAGACGTGCCGCATAGAGCCAGTTGTCGTAACTTGGAGCTGTCATTTAGCTCAGAATGTAGGCAAACTTGGCTAAAAGTTGAAATTGCCGGGTGCAAGTTCTTAACCGAACGGCCCCTTTCTACAATTCGTCTGACTAACTAAATTACACATCATTGCAAGCTTGGGAACTTAGAGGATTGTCTGGAATGTCCAATCCGGGATTTGACACGAGTGACAATGATGTAAGAAGGGAGTTGGATGTAAAAGATATCTTAATAACAGAAAGAATTGCCATCCTCGGAGGCAAAATCGACTCATGCCACCCAGCCTCAGCATTGTGCGAATTCATTTAATTAGTGGAAAGTATATGTCGCATCCAAGAAACAATCGCATCACTCCTTGCTATGAGTGGTGAGAGCCGGGCCAGCGTTTAGAAATCGAGAAGGAGGAATGAACCTGGTCTACCTTGTGAAGTATATTGTTGAACCGCCTTCTCGCTGGCCCATTGGTCATCAACCTCCAAGCTACGCAGAGACAGATACTCAGAGTCGTCTTCTGAGATATCCTCGATGTCCTCCAAGCGGGCAAGCAAGTGAATTAGCGACTCTGAGAGCAGAGAGCTACAATCAGATTCTCCCTCTACGGAACTTGAGTATATCTTCAGATAGGTCGATGAGGCGGCATCTGTACGAGTGATGGATGAATGGTCATGTTGAATCTCCATCTCGTCCTCACTGGGTAGTAGTGACTGCATGAAGGGTGTGGATGGGATAGACCCAAAGGACTCGTCGGATTCGTGAAGAATGTCATCTAGCTCTTCAATGAGTTGGTCCCAGGTCATCTATGTGCCTATTTAGTTCAAATCTCCCTCGCTGGGTGTCCATACCTCCAAGTATTTTCGCCAATATTCGGTCTCGTATTCGTTTACAATTTCCTCGAGACATTCGTCCACTACTATAGCCAAAATAGATTAGAATACACCTTCTTCTCTTACACATGTCTGGTAAATTGCTTGCCATTGTATGGCCACGGTATGCCGCGAACGTCGGACGGGGCGAGGTCGTAGGTGGTCATGGAGGAGAGCTATAAAGTAGCACCGGTTATGAAAAAGCTAATAGAAAGATGAAAAAGACTCTTAGTTTTCTTCAGCCATCATTCGCGCTGGTTTTATAGTATTTGGCGCTGGCTCTGGCTGATGGTTGGTCTGTCTGACAGCGCCACTGGGCAGAAAGACAATGACCATGCATTGTTTCCCGAGGTGCACCACCTGCTCTAGGGTGTGAGGAGCGTCTGGCGAGCGGCCCGCCTTGGTCATTGGATAAGCCTGATCGATCATTAGCGACAGTACCTGTAGACGACACATCTTACATAGATGAAGGTATAAAGAAGACAGGAAGTGGCTGACCTTGCTGACTGGGAAGCCAGGCCCAGACTTCCGAATCTCTATAGAGTAATGTCAGAGTGAATTTATGCTATTTGTTGGGATTCTCTTCACGTAATAAAGCTATGTGGTGATGTGGTTGGCTGGGCCTCGTCCATCTTGACCTCCTCTCTTATAATGTCCACTAGCCAGCCGGTCATCTTTAAGCCTAAACCGATGATATTCACGCCAAAATCAGTACAAAGATCGACAACAAGTGAAGAATGCTCCGCTGAGCTAGGCCAACGACGACCAGTGCCGAGAGGAGTGCAGATCTTTACACGTCTCCCAGCCGAAAAGATCTCCAGCGCAACCATCGTCAAAGACTTGAGTGCGAAGCAGTCCTATCCTGCCTTGCAGAGTGTGGAGGCCAGTTCCTCGATTCCGACTTGTGCCAGCCCAAAGGTGGCATCGCAGGGGTCCGAGAGTCGTAGTTCAGCCGAACACTCGATAGTGAGTTGCAAGGTATGCTGTTGATGTCGTTGCTTGAATACATCTCCCTGACTTGTCATATTGCCAGCCAACCAATGATAAACATCAGGAGGTGTTGAGGAAAGAAAGTCAACCGAAGAAGTGGAAGAATATGATTCGAGAGCCCTATCCATTAGAAGGCTACAGCGGTGATCTCGCCTCTTATGCCAACAACTTTCCAGCGCCCCCCTCGAGGTATAGTGAAGGTCGCCCCCAGAAATGCCTCGAGAGAATATCCTTGAATAGCAGTGATTCCTCGAATGGAAGCTTGAACGACTCGCTTGGATATCGCTCCGATGGATGGCAGGAGTTGGCATCCAACCCATTCGATTCGGATAGGGAGCGCGGGGAAGACGAGGACAAGAGTGATGAAGGAGGTTACGAGAGTGATGATGAGAGGGAGATTTCGAGGCAGAAAGTATCAATCATTTCCCCTCTCCCAGTCCGTCCTAAGGAGCTGCTTCCTTCTTGGGTAAGAGATTAGACGAGCGGAATAGCCAGCTAGTCCAAATGGAATAGAATGGTTATGCCTTGGGCGCGGCATGGATTTACTGCTGCTCGTTCAACTCCACTCGGAGTAGGATACGCTTGTGAGCTTCTGGGTCATCCGACGTAGTATCGGTGGGTTGCTCCGCATTGATCAGATCCTCCCGCGCGGCGACCTCTTTTGCTATCGAGAATGGTCAGCACCCGATGCTATGTTTGAGATACCATGCTCACAGTACATGCCAATGGTGCGCATGATCACAAGCCAATTGCCCATGGCTTTGGAAAGTGCTGCTCTCTTGTGAGATTCGGTATCTTCGAGAAGCTCACCACCTACCAGCGCCTCCATCGGTCATCAGAGCTTGCTGTTGCGCAGTTGCTTTGAGATTATTTTCCAAATGTGCGGCGTATTCGGCAATCGCGCACAACGCGAGGTATTCACGGCGCTTTGCCAGGACGGCTTCTCTAGACGTTGGAGGAGCGTTTGAAATGCGCATTGGGATCACAGAAGCTCTTGAATTTGAGGCCATTTTGTTGGTCGACGTCTGCGCGGGGTCGTGGTCAGGAGCTAAGGAAGGACAAACAGGTGTGACGCCTCATGGGTCCGTCCGCTCCCAAGACAGGCCAGGAGCCATCAAAGCCGTATGAAGCGAAACCTCCAGAATGGGTTACTGGAGCCACTAGAGACGGGGATTTAGGTGTGCGAGCATCCAAAGGCGGCTTACGAGCTCGGCATTTGACACAAACTTGCTAGGATATCATGGATATTTTCCGCCACGACCAGGACAGGACGAAGATATTCTTTCGGATAATAACATCCTGTATGGATACACAGAACCTCAGTTTGTGACGGTCAGTAATCCGCTATAGCAGAAAAACATTCCCAGATCCTGAATGGGATATAGGGCGAGTTATGGCAGGGAACAGATACCTTTAGGGGTGTCTTTAAAGAGAATGGCAAGAACGGTCTCGAGTCGTTGCAAGAAATCATGGAGAAAGTGATGGCCAGACGGGCAGAGCTACACGCTGGCGTCGAGTAAGCCTCTCCTTTCGCTCATTTTCTCCTGCTCTAATCCTATTTAGTGCGAATTCGTTCAAGTTGCCATCGCGCGTGACGCTCACTGGTGACAAGCGGACTGCTTGGTTCAAAGATCTGGCCGACCCGAACGTCTCGTTGCAGAAAATAGCAAAAAGCGCCGTGATCACCTCAAAGAGTCAAGAAACACTTGAGATGCTTTACGTTAACAATACTCCGCCCGACCGAACGGTCTGGTATATTCGGGCTCTGGCTGTCATCGAAGTGGTAAGCACTCAGGGTACAGCATGACCATCCATAGGCTCACTCCAGATAGTACGGAAGGAACAAGACGAGCACTCAACCGAGCACTGCGACCGACTGGACGAATGTCATTACTGGATATCTGAAGAAGCAACTCGTGGAAATTGGTATCACAACCGTACGAACAGGCTCCAATATCAAGCAATCATTCAGGAAGTCGAAGTTGAGCGAGGCTGATAGCAGAGAGAACTGGGTTTCCCGATTCGCGTTCTCGTGAGTCCATGTTTTGTACAGGGATAAGGTTATTCATCTCGTTGGAGACTCGATATTCTCCGACTTTTGTTCGATGGTGACCTTCTCGATCAGCCTACCTTTCTGGGTTGGATTGCGGCTATGGCAAGTCCTTCCGAGGGTCTGGGGCCACATCAATTTGTTTTCCTCTCTCGTATCATCGACGAATACTTTGATGTGGTCGCCTCTAATCGAGCGTTTGCAACTCCGGTTGTCGAAGGATGCCTTGCTCAGTGGGCCGAGGTTGGCGATTCCGGTAAATCTCTAAAGGATGTTCGCTAAAATGAGATTAGATCGAACCTTCACCTCTGCGGCAGCATGGGGCATTCGTTCTCAATGAAATCGCGCGTCTGGTCCTGGTGGGTAAAGCGTCAACTCGATTTCTAGTCTGATTTGCTTTAGCGCTTCCTCTGTGTTGATACGGACTGCTTCTTGAGTAGGCATATCCTCTCGAATCATTCCGCGGCGTTGTCTGCAATGGTCGGTCACGCCCTGCAACTCCTTGATCCCGACAGCCGGCTTGCAATGCAAGATATCTCCATGCGAAGACTAAAGTTGCTTACGGAGCGAGGCAATGCCATTCTTCAAATGCAAATCCCGCCCGATGAAGAAGCTCAAGACGTCGAAATATGCTTGGAAGACATCAGTGTAGGTCTGATCCTTTGTTGAGATCTCCCTTCTGACTGTCGCGAAGACCTTGAACACGATAGACACTACCACTAACCTGATAGAGCTATCCTTTCTGCCGATACCTACGCAAACTCCGACCGGAGGCTTCGACTTCAAATTATTTTCACGACGGCTCAGTACGCTGCTATCGTGGTCCATACATCCAGATCAATCAGGCGATTCGGAAATACGACCGTATCTGGCCAGTGCCTTGATCCTACTGTGGCGACAAAGCGTTGCCACTGTTGTGCCTAACGTCGGGCAAACGTTGCAGCGCCATCTTTTGACCTGGCTCGAAGGGAGAGGATTGGTCCGCCCACTGGCTGAAATTGCCGACTCGAGCTTGGGAGACAGTCCAGAGGAAGTCGAGAAGATGAATGCTACCCTAACATTGTTCGGAGAACTCGTTCATCGACGTTTATTCTCGTTCTCAGATTATCTCACACGGATGGCATCTTTTGGTCAAATATCCTCATCCCCACCTCGAGGTGTTTCCTCATCACCTGCGGCAATGACCACTCCTGGAGCCTGCACCGCGAATGCTCTATCGCGGCATCTGGAACTTTTACGGTGCATCCCTCTGTGGGACAAGGTCTCTGAGCAGGTACTCAATCAAAGAAAGATCGTGCTCTATGGCATCCGGGCCCGCAAGACCGCAGACGATGCGACGGAAAAGGAAATCCGAGCCGAAATTCGGCGTGTCTTGCCGATATTCTTCAATGGTACGGGATGAGCTCATGAAATACATTATTTACCAATGTATAGGTCCTCCGACCGAGATCCCTTTCTCAATGGATCAACTCCCAACAAGTCTTTCGGCGTCCAAATTCGTACGGGTTCGCGTGCTTCACCATTGGCTCTTCGACTTGGTCAAAGACTACATCGCTCGGTACATTTATGCTATATCGACTGCGATCTACTGACACTCGTCAAGTGTATCCCCAATGGCGGACGTTCAACAAGCACCTTTACTCTCGCTCCCTATCTATACGACTTTGGTGCAGATATTCATCAACACAGGGTGCTACCGGACTGTCTGGGAGGTACGACCACCCAAGAGTTATATACAACCTTTACTGAGGCTTGTCTCCAGCTCAATCAAGCCTTACTCCTTCATGTGACGGATAGGGAGCTCTTGGTAGCTATCCTGAGCTGTCTGCGGTGCTATCTGGATCTCTGGGTCGGCATGCTACTTGTTGACAAGATTTCAAATGCGCTTCTCGACGCACATGCTCGACTCAAGGAGCAAGTACGGCAGCCACCTAGAAGACTCCTCTTGCTTCTTTCAGAATTGAAGTCGTCGTGTGTACTCTCCGAGCCTGTAAAAGGAAGGATAGACTTTGAACTAGAACAGTTCGAGGAGTCGCAAAAGGTAAGTCAGCCAGCGCAAGTGACAGCCTCTGATTTTCTTCTAGCTCTTGTTCACCGACTCTTCGTCGTCATCTCCTGCACCTCCACTCCTCCCACCCATCAAAGCGGTCATTGAAGAGAACTCTTTGGCCAAGCCGGTGGATCTTGCATCAATACTATGGCACAAAAACAAGACACATGCAGACTGGGGACTCGCAGCATGGCAGGCGACGATCATGGCCATTTGTACCTGTAAATGGGATCCATCGTTGACAGATGCAGAAATGGCCGATCGCTTCGCAACATTTGTCTGGCATATTGATGCTCATCTACCGCATGGGATTGGCGACACTGTCGCAACGTGGTTCGAGACCACCGGCGCCACGTCCCTGCTGTCAATTACCGACAATTGTTGGGATATCATCAAAATCATGTGTTACAAGATGCTCCTCGACTACATTGTCACACCCAAGACCGTTCTTTCCGGGCTCATCTACCCAGCCGTCAAGGCTGCTGTGGCCAACCAACTAGAACATCCTTCCGACACGATGGCGCCATATCTGCAACGAGCTCTGGATCTATTCAATCTCGTTACGAGATGTGATTCCCCAGTGATGAACCTGTACTCGGAGCAGTCCCCGATATTCATGCTCGACGCTCTCTGTTGTCGTGCTCGTTGCTTGCACGCGTCAAACACTGGGGCTCTGTTGGACGTCCTATCAGACTTGACGTTGATCGAAGTCATGTCTTCTGATGGAAGTGATCAGCGGATGCGATTAGAGCAGCTGAGATATGGTGTCCAAAGCGACCCCTATCTCAAGGCTCAGTTGCTATCTCGAGCTGATCTCGTCTACAACGCGTTCGAAAGGAATCTTCGTGGTCATCAAGCCTATAGTTCGCGGTTGATTGTGCGGCTTCGGTCACTACTTGACAGCCGAGTGAGCAGTGCGATTACACCAGGTGAGGTTTGCTCCTTTTCAAATCACATGCTTCTAAGCACAGCACAGAGAATGCAACTATAGAAACATGGGCAACCGCATTGAACGCCGTCAGTGTCTGGACATTCCCAACCCTCTCAGTGGATATAAGACTTCTTCGGGCGCTTGTCAACGATCCAAAACCAAATATACAGGACAATCCGTCGGTTACGGAGATCGACCGGGACCGAATCCGAGAAAACCTTGCTACAGCTTTGCTAGATCAGAAGCTCTCGCCAGCAGAGACAGCGCTTCTGCAGGCTCTGCTAAAGGATGCGATACCAGCGTTATGCTGCAAGGTGACTTGCCTCCTTCTTGCCATCTAGCTATTGACGATGCCTAGATCGTCACCCATGGCTTCAAACGCCTCGCAAGTCTGCTCGAAGTTCCGCATGAGGGTGGTAGCCTGGAGCAATTATTGGCTTTCTCCCGTCCCCTAAACCAAACACTTCGACTCATGCTGACGTTTGGACGCCTGAGGGGCCCTATATCTCCAACCCAAGACTTGACATCCCTCCAAGACACGTTCCTCTCGAGCTGGATGGCAAGAACTTTACGCCTGCGGTCCACAATAAATTCTGAAGAACGAAAATTGGGTGGGCGTGATGTACACAAGGTGCTAGACGCCATCTGCCTGATGCTTCGAGCCCTCCACTTTTTCGACGAGGTAGCAGGGCCAGATCTTGGACCCAAGACGATGGAACTTGTCACCGAACTCATGGAGCTGGCAATCGTACGTTCATTCTTTCGAGTATTCTTTTGCTCACATAAACTTTAGACTGTTGGAGGAGCGGCTGTCTACGACGAAATGACATTCAACATTACAGTAGACACACTGTGTATCCTCTACGATGGTAAGATGGTTGCCTAGTGGGGAGTGTCTGCTCAATGTTTCGCAGACTGCAAGAAGGAAACAAGGCCACAGATTCTTCGAGCACTCAACGAGCGTTTCTCGCTCACTTCTCTCCCACCCCAACTACCCGCGCAATCTCGAATACGTCTCGGACGACTAGTTCCATTTGTGCCTCGGGACAAATATGGCGCCAATCTTGCCTTTGCCCAGCGCGTCGATGGCGTACTCGAACTCAAATCCCAAGCTCGCGGGCGACCATGGGAATGGACGGACAACATTGACCCCGTCGAACCTCCGGGCATCCTCAACACTCGTATAAAAAATACGTCCGCCGTGCCCCTCGAGCTCTTTGAAGTGGTGTCTAAAGGCGAATCCATCCTGCCTGAATCGTTTGCTCACGAGGTGACCGGCAAGTCGGGCGATATCTGGTCATTTAGAGACACGCTCGCATCCGAGGGGCTGATGAGCCGCGCGTGGCGCGAGTCCCGTGGGGCATGGGACGCACGAAGCCTAGATGGTACGGGAAGCGACCGAGATCGTGTAGCGGGGAGTGGAGGCGCAGGAGGCGGTACGTCGTCTTCGATGCGTGGGCACTCGCCTGCAGCGGCGTCGTCGTCGGCACACCTGTCTACGTCGTCGAGAATGGCGAGTCCGTCCGTGGCGATGAACCCTATGGCGGTTCCTCCTAGTCGTATGCAGCCGCTTTCGATGCCTACGGTGGAGACGATCATTGCCGAGCCCGTTGTCGAATCGTCCAACGAGGCTGGGAGGGGATTGAAACGCAAAGCCAGGCTAGATGAAGAAGAAGGGGAAGATGATGATATCATTATGCTCACTGAACGGCCGGCTGTTGGTGGCAAAACGACGCAGAAGAAGCCCAAGGCGAAAACAAAGAGCAAGAAGTGATCGAGTAACTTATTTGTACTCTCGGGTTGAAGAAAAAAACATGTTGGTAATCATGAATTACACGGCGAAAGAGTGATAAAATCAGAATCGACTATTCATCGTCGTCGTCGCTATCTTGCTCCTGCAGGAACTAGGAAAGTGTTAACAGCGGGGAGTAGTCGAAAGTGATGGCGTACCTTGACGAGCGGCTGCGTCACGGTCAAAAAGTGTTGACGGCCCTGCGGTTTGCTCCCCTTGGAATGCCAATAAAGAATGGCCTGGTCGGAAATACAGTCCTTGTTATACAACACCTTGAGCATTTGTGGGAATGTCTTCATAACTTTACTCTCCTCGTAGCAATACAGTTGGACAGTGTTGATGAGAGACACTTCGGTCTTGGGTCCGTTACAAAACGGCTCCAGCACCTCTGCATACTTGGTAACTTCACTAGACGGGCGTGAGTCCATCCTTTTATACCGTTGGAAAAAGTAGGCTTACCGAATGGCAAGTGCGTCCACCTGATCTGGACGTGTTCCCCAATCGACATTACCGATGAGAGCCGTCCAGATGTAGCCGACCAAGTCCGCTTCGGGGACGGGTGTCTCCGCCTGCGTGTCTTTGAGAAAGGAGATGAGCGAATCGATGCTCTCGTCCTTTTCGACGAGCTCTTTGAGGCCCGAAATGACTGCGTCGCGAATCTTGACGAGTCGCTTCTTCTTGTACCACTCTGCCACATTCTCCATACCCTCCTTTTTGAACCAGTCGTCAAGCTCGGTCGGGTTGCGCTTGTTGAGCGGGAAGAAATCGAGCATTTCCTTGATACCACCTTTTTTGAGCGTGCTCGAGAGGTGGTCCATGGGTTGTTCGGTGAGGTATGCGCGGAAGATGAGCGTGATGAGCGAGATGGACAGGTAGTCTTTGACCAAGTGATCCTTTGTCAGAATCTGCAGGCACGACGCGTTGGCGAGACCCTGTGCGAGTAGCAGACCGAGCATAATGGAAAACTTTTCGCGCTGTGGTTGTGGCCAGCGGTGGGCATATTGAAGGAGCGCAGGGAGCGATTGCTCTTCGAGCGGTCGTTGGAGGTACTTGTACCTAACGGATGCTCGATACGAGTCGATATACTTACAGAGAAAGCTTACCTCCTGAGAAGCTTGTTAAACACCTCGGCATACTTCTTTATCTCTGCAGTCTCCACTGGTTCGGGGGCATTGAGAATGGTAAAGGGGCTGCGAGGTGCATTGTCCTCGACATATGTTCCCCCTGGCTGGAGAAGACCACCGACGAGAAGGATTTCAAAGAGTGCATCCGAGTACTTGAGAAATTCGAGCTGAGAGCCTGCTAGGTTGAGTTTGTTGGCGTATCCCTCAAAATCGTCTGGAGAGACTGTCTCGAGGTGTTTGTAGAGTTGATCACGGAAGACTGTTGGGGTGTGTCAGCACCAAGCGTCGAGAAGTGTTCTATCCGAACGTCGAGTGTGGCTAAGCGCGGCGGGTCATACGAGCAGTCGCGGGTCGACTACAGCGATGCAAAAGCAGGATCAACGACATGAACCAAGCATTAGAGACTGCGTGGAATTGCGGTCGAATGACGACTTTTGTGCGCGCGCCAACACACAGCCACCTTCTGGACGTTGAACGGACAAAAGCGGTGGATCAGCGAGCGGGGAACAGAATCCAGACGTACTCGATGGTTCGTGTTTAGCTTGAGCCTTGACGGCGCCCTTTCTGGCTTTGATCCTGACCCCCGTGAGCGACGGTTTGGGCGTTTGTTGCGACGTAGACATAAAACTGGGAACGCGTTTGTTTTTGCTACTCTCTCTCGATCTCCGGGATCTGAATGCGGTGCTGCTGTGGTACGCTAGGGAAAAGGCGGGGAAGTGGAAGGGAGCAAGAGTCAGCTGTGTCAAGGTGAGCGTCTTTTTGCAGGAATTGTAGAATATGGCTAGTGCTAGTTTGTAATGATATAAGCTTCGCTGTTGCTTGTGTATGCTATTGCAGCCGTGCCAGAGCTTGATTGTACTGCAGGTCTAGACTTGATCTCCGCGTTGCTGTGAATTCACACGTAATGGCAGTAGCATAGGCTGTCAACTGTAGCCTGGTATACTCAGAATGCGGCCGTGGGGCCACCGGACACGCGCAATATATCCATCAAAGTATTGCTCTCTGGGATTTGGAAAGAATGTTGAGGATATTATACAAATGTTGTCGAATGTAGTCCTCCTTGTTACAATCTGGTTATAGACTGTATGGGTGCTCGACGTCGAGGCGAGAGCTCAAGCTTGGTTCCTTCCGTCGCCGCCTTTCTCTCTCTCCTGTGTGTATAAATCTCCAGAAATCAGAAAAAAGGAGGAAACAACGACCAGAATGCGGGAAACAACGGAAACAATGCAGGATAAGGAGGAAACAAAAACCAAGATCCCCGCACCGCGTTGACTCTTGATCCTCGTGTAACTCATGCCTGGTCCCGCAAAGGACGGTCAATACACGCCCGTTGCTGGTCAATTCGAGTCGTTGACGAGCACGAACAGTTTCACCAACTTTTGCCTGACTCAAAAGTACGCAGCTAGCTCCAGGTATCTGTTTACACTGACCACTTTTGTAGCGTTCCATCCGACAGCACACAAATTCGTGACGGCTCGTGCAATGTCGTTCTGCCTATGGGGCGTATCATGGACAAGTTCCCCTTTGCCAAATTCTTCTCGCCGTTCACCGTCAAGTTCAAGATTCGCAACGTGAAAGTGGGTGTGTTTACGAATGCGCTGGCCAACTATTACGCTGCGCTGGCCGAAGAGAACAACCAGGGCCTCTTGATTCGACACTCGCACTTGGTCATTGAGCCGGTCAAGTCGCTCGACGAAACCGACCCGAAGGATCCGCTGAACCAAGTTTGCGTTTTTCAAGGGATTGAACGCGCTGCTCCATGGCGAAAGCACACTCTCGACTACGTTGGACAAGGCTCTCTCTCCGGGTGTTCAGCATCAACACGGGCGCCAGGCATCAGCCTGCGTTCGGCTCGATTGCGCAGCACGGTAGCTTTGGTAATGGTGTCTAATTTACATGCGAATAAACGCGTTTACGACTTTGTTTCCGCAATCCTTCTCTCCTCCACGCTACCACGTTTATTAGTGAATTCATGTACGAGTTATCGAATGCCGTACACCGTCCCCCACCTTCTTTATTCCTATCGTCTATCTTGCGCTCTTATTTGGTCTTGTATGCTCCGTGGCAATATATTCGACACTTCCTTGAATCAAGCAGGCTTCACAAATGCGTTTGAGCGGCGGCGAGATTTCTAAACAACTTAAACTTTTCAAAGAGAAGTCTGCACAGTCATTGAACGATGTCGAGGAAGAAATGCTCAAATAATGTTGACAGAAGTCTAGACGTTTCAGCGACCATATTGACGCTCAACTCTGAACCAGCCTTGTACCTGACCCTTATCATCTTCAACGATGTCGGATATTTCATCGCATTTGCAGAAGATTGTGCGACCCTCCCAATCGCGAAGTAAAGACGATAAATCTGCCCCTGTCGCCGATTCAGATTGCAACAAACAGTTGGCTCCCAAACCTGAACCGGAGGCAGAAGCAAATAACGTTGGTTTTCTAGAACTTGTTCCTGTTGTCTCCTCTCACCGTCCTCAGGCCCACTGCTCAACAGTGCCGTGCACTGTCCCCCACCCTTTTTATTCCTATCTTCTATCGCACTCCCTTTTGGTCTTGTATACCCCGTGGCAATATATTCGTCACTTGAATCAAACGGGCTTCACAAATGCATTCGAACGGCGTATGGGACTTTCAACACGAATCCTGCAATCTACGCAGCGAAGTGTCGTTTTTACATAAAGGCAAGACCTCTATCTACGCGATGAGTGGACTTGCCCCGAATGACCCAGGCGGTGAATCGGAACTTGGAACGACTAGAGTAGTTCTCGAATGCATAATGCGCGACGTTAAAGCTATATATATGCACGACCAGGAAAGATTTTGACGGCTCAGCTCAGGGTACGGGGAACTTCACATAAAACTCTCTGCTTTCGTAGTATAATCATCAGCAGAAAAATACCGAAATAAAAGCGTTATACATGTTTAGCGCGGGTCGCCAGTCTCTGTCAGTTTCCATTGACGCTGAACTCTTACCATACCAACGACACTTGTTCCCAGCTCTCGCTATCGTAGACGATGTCAAATGTCCTGCAGAATATCCCAGCTCGCTCCCTATCGCCTTCACGACCTACGGACCAACCTATACATCGTGCCAATGAAGAAGGCCGTGAACCATCGAATTCTCAGCCAGAATCGAAAACAAAATACTTCGGAATGTTGCAACTCTTTGCTGGGACTAATTCTGACGTCGAGTACGTTGTTCACATCTGACACGTGCTCGCTGCTGGACGAATTTGTACAGTATTGTGGCAATCCATGGTTTAAATGGTCATAGAAAGAAGACATGGATGGTAGACAAAGACTTTTTGTGGCTGAGCGACCTCCTGCCGTTCGACTTGCCCAATACCCGAATACTGACCTACGGCTACGATGCGGATACCTGCAGTCGGGAGTATGCATCAACTCAGACGATAAGTCGACATGGCATTGGGCTCGCCCAGGCGATCTCACGGGAACGTAGTCATGCACGTCGAGTGAGTGAATATTATGTGCTGATCGGTCTCCTCTGAAACATAACCAGCGTCCAATCATCTTTCTTGTGCACGGTTTGGGAGGTATCCTTCTCAAATCCGTTCGTCATTCCCCCCTAATCAGAAGCGCTTGATGGTGACCCTCTTGTAGGCTCTAAATATCTGCCACGCTCAAAGTTTGAAATCAACTGATGGCCTCAGAGACGTTCTAATTTCAACGCATGGAATCCTTTACTTCGGAACCCCTCATTTTGGGATGGAAATAAAGCCCATAGTTCGATTCAACCGCCTAGCATCACTATGGATGGAAACTGCAAACAATGTTGTCAAGGACCTTGAAACTCACTCGCCATACTTGGAGGATGTACAGCGCCTGTATGTTCACACCAGCGAAGGGATTAGTACGATCTTCTTTCGTGAAGTCTATCCTTCTTCCAACGCTTTAGATCCACAGAAATCAGTAAGCGTATCGCTACTCATGGATCTATCGCTAACAGGCCATAGAATGTTCCGAGTGAATCAGCTACTATTCCGGGGACCGTGATGCCACAACAATCGACCTGCCTTGCAATCACGAAGGTCTGGTCAAATTCTCGAAAGGGGATAACAACTACGGGATCGTCCTCCACTATCTCAAGGACTATGTCGCCCGTGCACCTGCTGCGGTGGAGCAGAAGTGGGCTAAAGAAGACAAACATCGTAGTTCGTAGTCCCATATGTCTTCCTGCTTGGCTTAATAACGCCCCATAGGTATTGAAAAGGAAACATTTTCGCCAGAAAAGGAGCTAAAGTCAAAGGATCTTCCCGTGACAATAAACTACATTGAGAGAAAGGAGATTCAATCCCTTATGACACAAAAACTCTTTCCAGGGCGTCATACACCGCACCAACCACGATGCATATTACACGGGATCGGAGGGGCTGGGAAAACCCAGCTTGCAGCGAACTGGATTAGGGAATATGGTCACAGGTGTGAACTCTGTGATTTTGAAGTCCTCTAACAGCTTTCCAGGTTCAGTTGGGTGATCTTGGTCGATGCCTCGAGTCCTGTGCATCTGCAGGCAGGCTTGGAACAATGGATCTATTCCCTAGGCCCTGAGTACAGAGAAAAGACATGGGAGGATGCCATTGACCATCTGAACCGCAAGGAAAAAGGATGGTTACTTGTGTTTGATAACGCCGACTCGAAAGACCTCAATCTCAGTCGTTATCTTCCTTGCTCTATTCATGGAGCCATTATGATCACAACACGAAACCAAGAGCTTGTTGGCTATGCACCAAACGGTGGAGTCCGTGTTGGTGATCTTGAAGAGGACGAGGCAGTGAAGCTTCTTCACACGGTCGCTGGTACCAAACCCTTGTCAAATGCCACCTCTCTCAAAATCATCAGAGAGCTAGGAAGATTAGCGGTGGCGGTCGTTCAAGCGGGGACATTCATTCGTGGTACGCAGAGCTTCGAGGGGTTCCTCGATACATTCCGTACACATCGAGACGAGATTATGTCCAGGCCACAGGGTATTGGCACAGAATACACATATTCGACATACACCGCTTTTGACCTATCATACCGCGACCTACCGCCAGAGGCACAGGAACTTGTAAAGCTATGTGCCTTTCTTCACCACTCCTATATCCCAGTCACTCTATTCAAGAAGTCGGCTGAGTTTGGATTTGTTGCATATACAGTCAGGAACACGCAACCTCCACCTCCAACTGATCAAGCATCAATTTTGGGCCTTAAAAAGATGATGGGAAACAATTGGAACGATGTAGAGTTTCAGAAGGTCGTTGAATCTGCTTCATGCGCATCATTCATCAATGTGTCAAGAGGTGGATCATTCTACTATGTCCATCCACTCCTTCAGACATATATTAAGGCTCAGCTCACCGAAGAGGGGCGTCAACACTATATGAACATGACAGCACAACTCCTACTTGGTGCCATATGGCCATTCGAGGGTGATAACACCTGGTACTGGCTATTACTTCCTCATGTCAACGCCATCCCTCTGTCTGTCCGATCAGAAAATGTCAATCATGCATTGGCATTTTACAAACTCTACGACTCTTTAGGGGACTGGGATACAAGTCGAGAGCTATTAGAGTTGGCAAGCTCCCAACTTCGGAAGAGCCAAGGCGAGGAGCATCGAGACTCAATATGGGTGAGCAGCCAACTTGCCAATGCACTTCATAATTGTGGTCAGCTGCACGAGGCAGAACGGATAGAGAAAAATGTACTTTCTCTGCGGCAAAAAAATTTTGGACGACGACATCCGGACACAATCTCGGCAATGAGCAACCTTGCCATTACGCTACACGACCGCGGTCAGTTGGAAAAAGCAGAAAATATGAAACGAGAGGTGCTTGCTCTAAGGCAAGAAATCCTTGGACAGCGGCATATAGACACAATTTCAGCAATGGGCGACCTTGCCATCACACTGCACAAACGAGGCCAGTTGGACAACGCGGAAAAAATGAAGCGGGAGGTACTGGCTTTGTGCGAAGCAGTTCTTGGACCTCGGCATCCAAAATCCATCGAAGCTTCGCACCATCTCTCCCTGACATTGTATAAGCTCAACCGGCTTGATGAAGCTGCGCAGCTGCTACGAGTTGTCATTGCGCTACGCGTTGAGCTTTTGGGTGAAAACCATCCTTTTACTCAATCCTCCAAGGAGCTTCTCCGGCTTGTTGTCTCTATGCAGTCTCTTGACTTTTGGTTGTGGGGAACAATTCATACTTCCTTTTTGGTTTTAATTTTCCTCTTCTGGTGGTACAGAGGTAATGCCTCAGGTTGACGATAGCATACATGTACTAAATGACAGAAAATAAATGTAGCACCCTGTATGGGACTTTCTTATTGGTTTGGTTGAACTCTCCTTCTTGTTGGTTTCCCTCCTGGCTAGCACATGGAGTCACCCATTTTTCTCATGACAGGTTCGACAATAAGCCCTGTCTTCAAGGCTGGATGTTGTTCTAATTTAAGATAAGCTTTGCACCTAGGCCGATAATTAACCAAGCATTGCGAGCGATTAGTCAATCATCTTCATTATCCTTCTAATAATTTCTTGAGAAGTTGGAATTTTGGTTCTATATACATGCTTGTAGTCATTGCCACATATATACGCACGCCTTTTTTGGGGTACCACACCCCTGAAGGTGTATTTGTGCATGCGTGGGTTTCTAAGCATGTTATAGATATTTGTATGCCAAGTTACATTGTAGCACAGGTTGATGCACGACAGGCGCATTCTCCTTGATAAGCCACCAAAATATCCAACAAACACGATATGAGGCTCACGGTGGAGGCTCACCTATATGTGGATATGCGATACTAAGTAAGTAATGATTATCAGGAGCGAGCGAGTTCACCAGTCTAAACCCGTTTATTGACGGAGGGTATCGACGTGGGGGGGTTACAGGAAGCCCTGCTAGTTAAGTCATGTACATATCGTCTTATATGGCATGTTTAAACGTTGGAACGAGGAAAGAGCGATGGGAAAGCTAGGTATGTGCTAACGCCGTCGCTACGAGGGTAGATACAACAGAGGCCGTGAAGAGAAGGATGGAGAGAGTGGCATAGAATAAATAATGAGTGTCACGGGTGCGGTTACGAAGTGCGTGGCGAGGAGAAATCCTTGAAACCTTACACACGGGGGCTGTACCCTTGCCCTCACATTTCCCTCTATTCGCGCGATGATTCACTTATTCCGATGATTTTGGGGCCACATCTGTGTATTTATCTTCAGAAAAATGACGTCTGGAGTGCTACTGTACTACTATATCACACACGTGCTTTCCCTCCGCTTTTGGGCGCATTTCTCCGGAATAAAGTCCATCTATTCGTCATTTTATTCATCTTTTGCACGTCGATGTTTTCTTGTCATGCTTCGCTCGCTTTAGATTTCCAGTCCGTGCAGTTTTGCTGACCTCATCTCGTTTGCCACTATTCTCTCACAAAACCATTACCTTCCAGCCTTGTTTGTCCGTGACTGAAGACCTGCTTGGAGAATTGAGATGGCCGTAATCAACGGTTGACTGGGTCTAGTTGGTGATCGTTCCAATGTCCCCATTGACTCGACTGGGCAGCCTCTATGTGAGTTCCAAAACGAATTGGCCTGTTCTCTTAACCATGTTGGTTGGTCCTGTGGTCCGGCTGGTGGCTTCGAATGGCCGCTGAAGCCACAGTGGTCGGGTGCGAGTGGGGCCGCCAGTTTGACGCTACGGGAACCAGCTCTTGCTTGTGCCCAACTGTTTCCACCGCGTAAATGTCGGATTATTCAACACGCTTAAGGAGCATCCTTGGAATCTCCCGGTCGACCCCGGCCGCACCACTCAGTGCCTCAGAAAGGCGTGGACCGCCGATTCGGACGGCCAAATCGACGCTAGAAGACCTTGGATTTTTAGTACTCGCTCCTGGAATTCACCCTATTGTCGAGTAAGTCGCACATTCCCGCCACGTGCTGGCCGCTGAATGCGTTTTGGACAGTATCATAGCAATTCATGGTTTGGAGGGTCACAGAGAGCACACATGGGTCGCAGATAATGGGGTCCTGTGGCTGCGTGACTTCCTGCCCGGCGACTTGCCCAATGCGCGGGTCCTCACATATGGTTATGATGCCGACACCCGCAGCAGTGAATGCGTATCAATCCAAACGATGGGTCGGCACGCTGAGGCCTTTCTCCATGCCCTTTCAAGGCACCGCAAAGACTGCTCTCGAGTGAGTGGACATATCTAAACACGAATTCATCTGAAATTGGACTAGCGGCCTATCATCTTTATTGCTCATGATCTAGGGGGAATCATTCTCAAGTGGGTCCGTTGCACCAGCTTCTGATAGAGGTCGGTTGTTGACACCTCGTAGGCACTAGTCATCTGCCACAATCAGAGTTTGGAAACACGAGGCAATCTTCGAGACATTATAGTGTCTACCCATGCAATCCTCTTCTTCGGCGTCCCGCATCATGGCATGGAATACGATCTTCTAGAGGCAATCAATCGCCTCGTGTCGCCGTATATAAAGACTGGAGATGTGATTCTCAAAAACCTTCAATCCCATTCCTCGGAGCTAGAGAACATACAAAGTCTCTACGTCGAAGCCAGCAAAACGATCGGCACTATATTCTTTTGTCCGGAATATGCGGAAAGCCAGAACGTGGTTGGTGTAAGTATCTACAGGCCAAATCGCTACTAATCACACTATAGAATACATACGTCGTCCACTCTGTTGACGCTACCAGTTTGACAGACTTCCTTCATGCCAATCATCGTGATGTGGTCCGTTTTTCTACTACAAGCAGCGGTAACTATCAAACTGTACTGTTTCATCTCCGAAGCTCCTCGGAAAGTGCACCCAAGGCCGTGTATAAGCAGTGGCTCCTCGAAGATAAACTTCGCGGTTTGTAGGCAGTCTTTCTTCTTTTCTCGGCTAATCGGCTGTCAGATGTAGCAAACGAAAAGATCGCGATCCTCCTACCAAAGCCCCTTCCACCTGTGTCAAGAGGCTATGTCGACCGGACAAAAATTCAGTCCCAGATCACGCAGATGTTGATTCCTAGCACGTGTATACACCAACCACGGTGTATATTACACGGAATTGGCGGGGGTGGGAAAACTCAGCTGGCGGTGAACTGGATTCGCGAGCACAAAACCAGGTACGAACTATATAGGGTACCTCACATTGTTTAATTTGTGAGTAGGTTCACTCGAGTAATTTTCGTCGATGCTTCTAGTCAGTCGCAGCTAGAAGCAGATATGGAGCGATCAATTCGCTGTTTAGGCCCAGAGTACAGCAATATGACGTGGAGAGACGCAGTTAGGTATCTGGACGGCGAAGAGAGAGGCTGGTTGCTGTTAGTCGATGGAGCCGACTCGCCAGACCTCGACCTCCATCCATACCTCCCAGTCTCTACTCACGGTACACTCATTATCACCACGAGAAATGGCGGTTCTGTCAATTACGCTCCAGGTAGCGCCATTCACGTCGGAGGTCTTGAGGAGAGCGAAGCAGTGAACCTGCTTCATACAGTCGCAAACATTTACCCCACGTCTGATACTAATTCTCTCGAGATTGTCCGAGAACTAGGGATGCTGGCGGTGGCAATCACTCAGGCGGGAGCGTTTATTCACCAGACGCAGCGGATAGATACTTACCTCGAGATCCTTCATCAACATCGGTCACAACTGCCTAGCGAACCCGATAGTGGAGATGGACCTTTGACATACGCTGCATTCGACCTGTCTTTTCGCCAATTGCCAGCAAAAGCACAGAATTTCCTGAAGTTGTGCGCATTCCTTCACAAATCGCAGATTCCGGTTCGCTTATTTGAGGACTCGGCAAAGTCAGACTTCATTACATATACAGTCCACGACTATTTTCCTCCACCAAAGAGCGAAAAAGTCTTCACTTCAAGTATTCAGGAGATTTTAGGCTCGACCCATGACGAGCTCCCGTTCCACGACGTTGTTGACGCCGCTTCTCGCGCGTCACTCATTGATATTTCGGCGGATGGATTATTTTACACCATCCAGTCCCCTTTCCAGATGTATATCAAAGATCATCTCGCCGAAAATGAGGCTCATCACTATACGCACATGATGGTACAACTCTTGCTTGGTGCGATCTGGCCATTAGATGAAAGCAATGCGCGATTTTGGCGCCTGCTCCCTCATGCAGATGCCATTCCTAGAGCTGTTCAAGCGAACGACATTGCCCATGCTTTGGCATTTTGCCAACTCTATGACTCGTTGGGTAAGTGGGAAGCGTGTCGAGAGCTGTTGGAAATTGCCCTTTCGCAGCTTCAGAAAACTCGGGAAGAGACGCATGCAGAATCGATATGGTTGATGAGCAGGCTTGCCACTATGCTCCTGCATTGCAATCGATCCGAGGAAGCGGAACGAATGCAACAAAGGATACTTGCTTTGCAAGTCGATATTCTTGGACAACAGCACCCAGACACGATCACTACAATGAACGACCTTGCCAACACATTGTACGTACGTGGTCGATTACAGGACGCTGAAGAGCTGCAACGAGGGGTGCTCGCACTGCGCCTCAAGATCCTTGGACAACGACATGCGGACACAATCCTGACAATGAGCCACCTCGCCGCCACCCTACATGCCCGCGGTCAATGGGATAAAGCAGAGACAATGCAGCGCGAGGTACTCGATCTTCGGCTCCAAATCCTTGGAGAGCGGAATCTCGACACTGTCAAGGCCATGAGCGACCTCGCTGCTACACTCTCTGACAGCGATCAACTTGACGAGGCGGTCGAAATGGAACGGCGTGTCGTCGGTCTGCAAGGCGATATTGCCGGAAAACAACATCCAAATACTATCAAGGCTATGGGCGAATTTGCAAAAATCCTGCGCAAGCATGGTCAACTCGACGAGGCCGAAGCGGTGCAACGAGATATATCTGCACTGTCATCGGGGCCTTCTGGACGAAATCCTGCAATGTAATCTCGATAATTGGAGTATTTCTATCATACCGCACGAATAAAGTAAGATTGTGCCGGAGACGTGAGAGATATTGCTCCTACGACTGAGTTTAACAAAGAAACATCATGACGTCGCATCCTAAATTCAAGCTAATTTTACGGCCACGCGCGAGTCATGCGTCAGAGACCTATATTCAAGTAACGGTGCGCTCTTTCGCTCAACAAGAAAATCGCGAAAGTAACCCAAGCGACACCTCCAGATACTTGCGCATTGAAGAAGAAGAGAATATGGCACCCATCATAGCGTCTATACCCAACTCAGCATCACTCGCAGTTGAACGTAAAGTCCGCCGCAGTTTGGAGCGTGACTTTGTGAGTGTGATGAATTTCGGGTCGGTTGACCTTGGCTGGTCCGAATGCAGTCAGGAGCAAGCACGCGAGCGAGCGCGCGACGCCACAGACGTAAACATGACAAACTTGGCCTCGACCATCTCCGTCGCGGGAAAAAGGTCGGGCATCCTCTCGCATCTGAAGAACATTCTGCACCCGTTCAGATCATCGGAGCGGAGCGGAGTCAGATCTCCAAAGGTGGATTCAAAGAGTGGCAGGCTATCGGCGTCGAAAATTGCATTGAAAATAAAGGATCTGAAGTTTCTGGAACTTGTTGCTGGAATCGATCCTGTTGTCGAGTAAGCCGCTGTCTCTTCCATGTCCTCCTGCTGACCGTGTTTTGTCAGCATTATAGCGATTCATGGCTTTGATGGTCACAGAGTGAATACGTGGGTGGCAGATAACGGGACATTGTGGCTACGCGACCTCTTGCCTTCGGAATTTCCCAATGCTCGAATCCTCGCATACGGATATGATGCCGACTCTCGCAGCGGGCAATGGGCATCAACTCAGGCAGTGCAGCAGCATGCCTTAGGCCTCGCTGGGGCACTTTTGCACAGACGCAAGGACGTTCCTTATGTGAGTGAGACGATTCTAAACTTCGAACACATCTGATTCACTGGCAGCGTCCGATTATCTTCCTTGTGCACGGCTTGGGTGGTATTATTCTCAAACGGGTTCGTCACGATCGATATCATAGAGCCTTACACCAACTTTCTAGCAGGCACTGGCTATCTATCTCTGTAGGGGCCTGCCGTTGGTACTGGACCTCCAGGATCCTCTAGTCTCAACTCATGCGATATTGTTCTTTGGGACGCCAACTACCGTCGCGGAAGGCGCGACTCTCCTCCAAGTAATGAAGCAGTTGGGTTTGGCATACAGGGAAACGACAAACATTATCCCGAAAGATATACAGGTCTATTCTTCCGACCCGGAAGACATAGAAGGTCTGTATTATATTTCCCGCGAGAAGATCAATAGCGTATACTTCTGCGAAGGCTACGTGACGACCGACATGCAGAATGACAAGCGAGTGGTAAGACTTATCCCTTCTCGATGACGTACGGCTCAATACATCATAGATTGTTCCATATCATCCAGCCAATATCTCCGGTGGTTGTTGTGCGACGACAGTCACCCTCCGTGCAGATCACCGCAACCTGGTCAGATTCCCTTATGCAGCCAGTAATAGCTACCAAACGGTATGAGCTTTAATTGGTACGATATGGAGAATGGCTTATCATTGATTAGCTTCGGTCGGGTAATCTTTGTCGATGCTTTCAGTCAGGCGCAACTAGAGGCAGACCTGGAGAGGTCCATTCGCTCATTGGCCCCTCAATATAGCAAAATGACATGGAAGGATGCAGTCGCATATCTTGACGGGAAAGAGCAGAGGTGGCTCCTTTTCCTCGATGGAGCCGACTCGCCAGACCTTGATCTCCACCCCTATCTTCCCACCTCTACCTCTGGCACAATTCTGATCACGACGGGGAATAGTAAATGCACCAGATACGCCCCAGGCAGTGCAATCTACGTTGGCGGTCTCGAGGAGAACAAGGCCGTCGGTCTTCTTCACACCACAGCTGGTATCTCACCCACAACCAGCGCCAATTCTCTCGAAATTGTGAGGGAGCTAGGTGCACTGGCTCTTGCTATTATTCAAGCAGGAGCGTATATTCGCGAGACTGGGCATCTCGATACGTATCTCGACACGTTTCAAAAGCACCGAGATTATCTTCTTCGCAATCGACCAAACATGAGCACAGAGTGCACCTCCTCGACGTATATCGCTTTCGACTTGTCGTTCCATCAATTACCTGTCAGGGCACAAAGATTCATGAAGTTGTGTGCCTTTCTTCACCCCTCGCCGATTCCGATCACTTTATTCAAGCAATCAAGCACCTCTGGTTTCGCTACACATACCTTTCAAGACACTTCTATTCCTCCAGAGATTGAGGGGACTCGATTTCAATGCTCCAGGAGATCTTTGGCGCGAAATGGGATAACGTTGCATTCCAGCAAATCGTCGAATCGGTCGTACGCGTATCATTCATCGGCTTTTCGAGATATTCCTTTTTCTACATTGTTCACCCCCTGCTTTGCAGATATATCAAAGATTCCCTCGGTGCGGAAGAGGCTCGAGACTATATGAATATGGCGAGCCAACTCTTACTCGGTGCGATCCGACCATTGGAACAGTGTAATTTTTTTTTGGGTAGGTATTATTGTGCAGTGGCCTCGCCAATATAGCACATCGGTCTATCGATAGTCCGCTTACTGGGTTATCCCTAGTGTCCTTGGGCAAGTCGACTCCCCGCAGGCAGATAGTCGTGCTCGTCCTCGCTAGGTTCCCCCTCTGGGCATGACATTGTCCAGCGCTCCTTCGTCACTCGTGTTCTTTTCCATTAGTTTCTGCTGTTTTTAGCGCGTTGTATCGTATCCCGCTATTTGCCTCCATCTATCCTTCTTTGCCCGTCCTCCTTGTTCTTAGTCTCCCGGTTTTGCGTAGGAACTTGAGCGTTTCTGCAATTCCTTCCTCCGATCCTAGGACCTCCTTAAGGTCTTTGGTTTTCTCCTGTAGACTTCTTTCCCATTCTCTCCTGGCTTCTCTGTACTTGGGACATATGTATAGTATGTGCGTTAGGTTCTCGAAGTTCCTTTCCCCGCAGTGCGGACACCATGGTGAATCTGCCCTGTTAATGCGATTCAGGTGACCATTCAGGCCAATGTGCCCTGTACGTAGCTGGATTAATAGCGCTGCATCTCTTCTCGGCAACTTGTCTGTGAGCTTCAGGTATCTCCCCGATGGCATTGTCTCGTCGATTTTGGACATCCGGTTGAACTGCTTGGAGTTGCTCCATAGCTCCCTTGCCTCTTCCTTTGCAAGTCTCTTGCACTCCTGCTTTGCTGCTGAGAGATTCGATGGGAGAGGTTTGCGCAGCCACTTTGGGTGTTCGCTGAGTCCACTTGCGCCCTCTGTGATTGCCTTTTTTGCCTCTTCATCCGCCGCTTCGTTTCCCTGCACACCTTCGTGACCTGGTACCCATGTGAATTCTATTCGTAACGCCCTTTGAACACTTAGCTGGTCTTTGCTTGACTTTGTTGCATTCCTTCAATTTCTCCCTGCTCTTAGGGACTCCAACTCCTTTACTATTCTTGCTACGACATGTTGGCCTGCGTTGGCTCCAAGGTGGGTGATACTCTGGATTGCCGCTTGGTTGTCTAGGCTGATGTTGACCTTTGCGACTTTTGCTGGTATTGACTTGGCTAGGTGGATGCCTAGCGCAATGCCTACCAGCTCTCCTTCGTGTACCGTGTGTTGAGTATTGGTTCCAAGTAGGCAACGTACTGTTTTGACCCTTCGACCATTCCGGTATAGTACCGCTGCTGCACTGATCATTCCCTCCATTCCTGACCCATCTGTGTAGATAGCGACATCCTGGGTACTGATCTCCTTGTCTCTCTCTATTGCTAGCTCTCTTGATTTGTCGATGGTCAGCTTGAACGGGTAGGCGAGGTTCGGGTTCTTGAGGCTGGGGTCGATCTTCTCCATGCTTGCTACGTCTATACCAGCTGTATGGAATAGATAGTGCAACGGTGTGTTATGTCTTTGCACTTTCCCCTTCCACATTTGTTTGACGAACTTGCTCAGCGGGTGAGTGTTGGGCAGACTTGCAAGTCTTGCTGCTGCTTTCCGGCATGCTAGCCCTAGGGACACTTCGATTGGGAGTAAATTGATGTGTATGTCTAGTGCATCGCCCGCGGTTGTCCTCAGTGCTCCGGTGATACCAATTGTTGCTCTGCGTTGTATGCCTTGCAGTTTGTTGGTTACTGCAACTGATCCCGCCCTCTTTGTCTCGTTGGTACTTGCGTGCAGTGGAGTGTACCAGAGGTCGGCTGCGTATTGGATGCGCGGAATGGCAACTGCTTTGTAGAGCTGGCGTCCCATTCTGATGGGGAGGCCATGTAGGGTTCTATGGATGCGTGAGAACAGCGCTGTCCATTTTACAGCCCTTGCATGCACCAGCTCCTCATGCTTGTTCCATCGGAGCTGGTTGTCGAGGATGACTCCTAGGAGCTTGTAGCTCTTGCTGGGGGAGATGATGGCTGGAGTTGAGACGCCATGGACATTATGGGTATTCAGGGTGAGTGCCGTTGACTCAGTCCACTTGTTGGTGGATCTTGTGAAGTCGATCAGGGCGAGCTTGCTGATTTCGAGCGGCGAGTTGTGTCGATATGACCAGTCGAGTACGCCTCCTGGTCTCTCCATCATCTCTTTGAGCGTGCTGTGTGTTTCTGTGAAGGAGCTGCCGATTGCGATGATGGTGGTGTCATCCACAAAGCCGATTGTGCGTTGGTCTTCCCTGTTGGCGATCTCGAGGAGGGGTGCAATGTAGAATAGGTAGAGAATCATCGAGAGTGGACATCCCTGGCTGTTTCCGTTTGCGATAGGTCTGAGCTCCGAGTGGGTTCCGTCAAATTTGAGTCGAGAGGTCCTGCCTGTCAGCATGTCTTCAATTGTCTGGACATACGTTTCAGGTATACCCTTTTCCCTCATGTTCTCCACTAGAATTGGCTTGACAACGTTTGGGAATGCTGCTTGGATGTCGAGGAATAGCGCACTGACTACCTTACCTTTTCTCCACGCGTTCTTGATCTCGCACGTGGGAAGGTGTAGCGCATCTGTGGTGGTACGACCAGGTCTACCGCCAAACTGCGATTTGGGTAGTAACTGGTGTTGTTCGCAGAGGTATGAGATATCCTCTGCCATGAGCGCTGATAGGAGCTTTCCAAGCGTGTTCAATAGTGCTATGGGCCTGTATGCTTTAGCTACATTGTACGCGGGTTTACCTGGCTTCCTCAGCACTACAGTTGTTGATACTTTCCATTGCTTTGGGATATGCCGTAGCCGCATGGCTGCATTGTAGATGTTTGTTAGCACGGTTTTGATCGACGGAAGGGCTTCTTGAATTGCTGCGTTGGGTATACCATCAGGCCCTGGGGCCTTGTCGCGTTTGAGGTGGCTCGCTGCTCTTCTTATCCTTTCCACTGTGTAGGGTCTCCATTCTGGTAGCTGGTGGGGACGTCTGGTGGGCTGGACTGGTCCTAGGGATGGTGGCGGGGGGAAGAATGCCTCGGCTAGAACTGCCGCTTTCTCCTCCTCGGACTGGGTGAGCATGCCGTTGGTCTTGAGAGGTGGGATCCGTTCTCTGCTGCCGTCGCTATTGCCTCGCTTCTGGAATCTGTTGATGTTCCATAGGTCGCTGTCGTTAGCATTCTCTATCCAGCTCCACCAGTGTTCTTCCTTGCTCTTCCTTACTACTTGTTTCATATCCTCTTGCGCTGCTCGGTATGTCTGGTGTGAGGGGTGCTCCGGTGTTGCTCTCCATCTCCTAGATTCGGTGTATGCTCTACACTTGCGTCGGTGTGCTTCTTTGCATTTGTTGGTCCACCAAGGCTTTTGGAAGGTGTTCGTTCTACTGGTTGGGGTTGTTGCTTGCAGGTGATTCTGGATATGTCCTGTGAGCGCATCAACTGCCGCTTCCAGCTCCTCGACAGTTTTTGGTTCTAGACTTAGCGTTCTGTCCTCTTTAATGGCTGTCTCTATCCCCTCTTGGAACTTCTCCCAGTTTGTTCGCTTGTAGTTTGGCCGCCTCTTCGCTGCTTCTCTCTATTTCTGTGTCGATGATAGTGACGATAGGTACGTGGTCTGTTGTGTTAGGTTTCCACTCGGGCCATGTGTTGCACTCTATTGTTCATTGTACGATACCTTCGGTTGCCCATACATTGTCTGGGCGGGTTTCGCTTTTGTTCTCTATCCGCGTTGGTATGCCTGCTGGGAGGAGTTGCTGCATTCCATGCTCGACTATCAGATCTAGGAGCGGGGTGATCTTTTCGGCTGAGCTGCGTAGGTTGCTGTTGGCCTCGCTTTCCCATATCTGGTGGTGTCTGTTGAAGTCACCGAGCCAGATGGATTGCGGTCGTTGTCCTCTTGGTCGTTGGCCATCGAGGTGCGCTGCAAGTATATCACTGGATGCGACATTGATTTGTACACAGTGGCTGATCCTTGCGTTGACTAGTGTGGTCGCGCGAAGTTTTGGATGGTTGTCGTTGGGTTTGGTACATGGATAAAAGACTTGCCAGTGTCGAGTGACTTGTATATTCTCGACCTTGTTGAGGGCTGGCTCCTGAATAGCAACGATGTCCCAGTCATCTGGGGAGAGGTTATTGATCAACTCATCCCGCGCACCCACCGATTTCCTGGTGTTTATCTGGAATATCCTGAGTTTGTCTGTCTTGCCTCTATATTCGCTTCTGCTCATGTTGACGAGTTGCTGGGGTGGTTGTTTCCGCTGCTGGGTTGTTGCTTCTTCTTATTTGTTGCTGCTGGTCCAGTTGATTCTTTTTGGTGCTGGGATCGCTGTACGCCTTGGCTGAAGCTGAGGAAGGATTGGCGCAGGTTTCCCATACTTGCCGTTTTGACCAACAGTGTAATGTCGCGCATCTGCATCTGTTATCTCTTGTCAACTGTATTCCTCGATCAATTCAAGCGCGGAATGTCGGCCACGCTTTGGCTTTCGAAATCGTCTACACCTCGTTAGGAGAATGGGAGGCATCTCAAGAGTTGCTGACGTTTGCACTCTCTCAACTGGTGGAGACTCACGGGGCTACGTGTGAAGACTCGATATGGATTATGAGCAAACTTGCGCGTGCACTGCAACTCTGTGGTCAACTAGACAAGGCGGAAGAGATCCAGCGGCAGGTATTCTCTCTGCGGGAAGAGAACCTTGGATATCGACATCTCAAAACCATCACGGCTATGGGCGACCTGGCTGCAACCCTGTCCAGCCGTGGTCAGCTCGAGGAGGCGGAGATCATGCAAAGAGACGTGCTATATCTGTGCTTTGAATGTCTTGGGGAAAGACACCCGAACACGATCGAGGCAAAGAGCGACCTCGCCCTCACCCTTTACAATCAAGGCCAGCTAGAGGAGGCGGGGGCAGAGGGACAAGAGGTACTAACTCTACGGTTAAAGACCGTTGGACAGCGGAATCCAGATACGATCAAGGCGATGCGAAACCTCGCGGCTACCCTGTTCAACCGTGGTAAGATGGAAGAGGCCGAAAAGATTCAGAGTCAGGAACTTGCTTTGTGGCAAGGGATCTTTGGACCGTATCATCCGGGCATAATCAATGCAAGAAGTAGATTTGCTGTGACGCTGTCGAAGATTGGCTACCTGGACGTGACTGAAGATATTCAGAGAGACATACTTCGTCTACAGACGGATATTCTGGGACAACGACATCCAGACATGATCAGAGCCATGGGTGCCATCGCACTCACACTTTGCGAACGGGGTAAACTGGAGGAGGCAAAAGCAATGCAGAGAGAGGTACTTGGTCTACTATAGGAGGTCCTTGGGAACCGACATCCAGCCACGACGGCAGCAATGGGCGACCTCGCAGTTATTCTACTTCAAGATCGTCAATGGAAGGAAGCTGAGAAGATTGAGCAAGAGTTACTTGCTCTCCGGCTGGAACAATAATGCTATCTACACAATTCACGCAGCTCTCATGGTCTCGCAGTGACCTTGTACGAAACGCAAATCCTCAGCAAGTCATTATAGTGCTCTCTTAAACTCTTCAAGTTTTCAAGCAACATCAGTCAATGATATATAGTCTGCACACACAGTCATTAGTGTTCTGCTATGTCACCATTTTTACATCTATTCGTATAAACTCGTGGATCTCAGTTCGACCATTAATGTTGACTGTAAATGATGCGTCATTTATGTATATTCGGAGGGTACTTCGTCCTGCCATTCGACAGAAAGTCGAAAGGTACGACGCTTTAAAACTCCTGTCATCGCGAGCCAAAAGTATGCTAAATTGGCCGTGAGTTTAGTATTAGAGTTGGCGCAAAAAACATACTATGAGAGCTATATACTTTTCATCCTTGGAATAGGGAGGATTAATGCGACAGACACGGCAAAGGGGAGACACCCGACCTCTGGGGCGACACAGAAAACAACCTAGAAAGAGGAATCATATGACAACCTAGACTAGATCCAGGTCACGGCCAGGGCATCTGTCGTGGGTTCCCGGACGGATGATGTAGCAGTCTGGAATAAGGAGTTTGTAGCCATTGAGTATGCGAGACCTCCCGAGATGGTAAGGCGCTCCAGAGGTTCGAGTCCTGCAACCATTTGCGAGTCTTGATGGGCCTGCGGTAGACATCGTGCTCGAACCAGTTCCTCAATGGCCATTGTAACACACGAGCAGGTACTCTTGATACCAAGTATCCTCAGTTTTGGAAACCACAGATTCGAGCGAGTCTCAGAGACCCATCGTGGCAATTGGTGACAATCGCCACTGAGCGTGAGCTGCTTGATACCCGGCGCGGAGACCGCGAGCTGGCGGATGTGATCGCAATCCATGCTTCCAAAGGTCAAATCCTCTATGGTTTGTGACTTTCGTATAAAGTCGAAATCGTCGTCACTTCCGGGGTCGTGACCGCTCAGACAGAGCTCCGTAAGGTATTCGCAGTGGATGTATACGAGCCAGTCTCGTATACAGTCTTGGACCAACAATGTTTGTAGACGACATTCGACGACAGAATGGTTGTCTGGGACTTCAAAGATGCAGTTGTCCAGCACCAGTCTTGTGAGCGAAGGAGTGGCGGAAAGGAGTGCAAGGATAGGAACGTATCTTAGATTGCGTAACTCGACATCCGTCAGGTTGTGAAGGCACGAAGTACTTTCCCGGGTGAGTTCAATGCCCTTCACGTCCCGAAGTCGGAGCTGCTTTACCCCTTGGAAGCGGGTTAAAAGGTCGGAAAGGTTGAGTCTTTTGATGTCATAGACACCTAACAGATAACCTTCTAGCCACAACGTGCTACAGCGGCAATCCAAATTGGTATACTGTGGATCACAGAGTGCCCCTAATGATATCGAGTTGCAAGCGTCCTCTTCATCCTCTCCCGGGATGAAAAATGCCAGAGATTCGAAGGGAGATAACGCATTGAGGGGCAGCAGTCGCAGATTGTCCTCGCTATCTTGTTCGGGAACGATAAGGACGAGCTCTGAGGGCGAGCGGTGGAGAGTTTGAGTGAGAAACTCCCCGATACTGATCAACTGTCTCTTGGGTCGGTCGAGAGAGTATTCGAACTGTGACCACACCCGATGCATGGAGAGGACAATGAAGCGCCAGGACCGACATGTTTGCAAGAGACTGGTAGCTAGCCTCTGTGATAACAAGTCGGTGCCCCCAATGACATAGGAGAAGATCTCGCGTAGTAGCTCGACCGGAAGTCGATGGATGCGACATTTACTGGCAACAAGCTCGGCTTCGAGAATTCGAAGGTGACTCGAGCCTGTTAGGAGGGCCTCGTAACTTCCTTTCAGAGTATTTTCGATGGAAGAGAGGCACTCCTCAAGTTGCTGGCCAGCAAGATGTTCCCCAGATTCGACAAGTCTCTTTTCGAGTGATGTGCCAAGTGCGTGATGTAGTTCGATGATCCTCTGAACCTCTATTATTCTTCTTCCCAGTTGCTCGCTGAAAAGATGTCAGAAACCCACGTCTTCCATTCCTGACAACGCGTACCTCATAGCGTGACTTGTTTTCGTACAAATAACCAGCCACTATAGTATACCGTAGCTTCTACCTAAAATCCGCGATATCTTGATGTGGGTTGAGGGCACGCCGCGGCGTCGAGGCGAGCAGCAACTTGGAGACTCTCTATTCTCCACCGCTACCATGGCCAGTCGATGATTCATCACTAAACTGGTTCCAATCAGGTAATTTGTGTACCGGCACCAAGTTAGCCCGCACACGAGGTCGGAAGGGCGCTTGACGCGAGAGCCAAAGTCGAGGTAAAGTCGAAAGAGCTTTGGTGTATGTCTGCGAGTGTCAGCAAGATTTCTGCTTATACTTACAAACATATCAACTGTAGAAACACGGGTCATCCACCATTCTCGTCGTCCACTACATCTGTTGACACAGCGATGTAGCTCAAGGACTATATCGGATCATCTATATTCTCTGACGCTCATCTAGTATCTGATTTATACCCCGCCAAGCGCAATGCTAGTTTCCACAGGTCTGGACGGTGTCTCAATAGCGAGTATTTCAGCGCTCTCAACACCATAAATAGTCCCTTTTGTGTGGATTGTACAACGGGAATCCATCCCATTGGACCAGCCCTTCACTCCGATACCCAATCAAGACTGATGGTATCGATATATCACCGCAGGTACGATGACTTCTACTCACATGAACCAAAACAGCCGCCGACCTCCTTCAGCGGTCGTTTGCTCGGTGAAATCCTGGCCCGATGGTCCGGGTCGAATGGGGAAGAGCTGAAAACCGCATCACGGCCCGCTGCTTTTCCCCGTCTGTCTTGCTCCATTCCCTCTTTTCAACGCAACTGGAGCAACATAGTGAACTTAACGAATAATGTATGCGTGCGTGTCTTGTGTGCGCAGACTTAGAGCTTCGCTGATCCGACTTCCTCGTGTCCACTAGTGAGTGAGCTATGCGACTGTCATGCGCTTAATATTAGGCCTCGATCAAAGAACTATACTCCGGCGGTTATAGGAAAGCAATGGTTCCGGGCTCTTCCTTGCTGATGCTTCGTCACTCAATTTTGCTCCAGTACGGCCTCTTTCCCGTTACGCGATTGAATTGAGACGACCATTCCCCTACAGAGTCTTCCCCAAGGCATATGAAAGTGTGGTTCAGACCGGACCGTCCTCATGGAGTCGACCTATTCAGCTGTCACAAGGTATTCTGGAGAGCTGCCTTTGGCGACCCCGTGCGCGCGGAGAGGCTCCCTATTCGCGAGCTGGGATGTGTTCTGTTCACTTCATCTCAGGGAGATGACCCGTCGGATACTGCTTCTTGCATCACTCGGATTCAAAGGAGGCTTCGCAGCTTCACAGATACGAGGATGAGGAAGGCATTGCAGGACGCTGCATGGAGAAATCAGACGACTAGAGAAGAAACGAAGACCCGATAATTGGTGGTTGCTCTGATTCGCAATACTTTGACGACGCGACAGAACATAGACTTAAAAGGACTGAGGATGGGGAGAAGCAGGATCTCGTCCATCTGGAGCATAGGGCATCTCGTCTCTTGTCCTCCCTCCCCAAGCTCGGCGTGCGGACATCCTCAGGCGGGGCACCAACCAATCGTCATAATCCCCGTGAGGCTCTTAGTGATTGTGCAAGGAAGTGGTAATAGATTTGATATACCCGTCTAGCACCCGCTGACGCGCAAAAGCAACTTAGAATGGGCTTCTTCTTCAACTTCGTCGTAGCACTCTTCGCGGCGCTTGGCTCGTAAGTACAGATCGCAACTTTGGTCACCCCTTCTGAATATTGGTTCTCTAGCTTCTTGTTCGGTATGTGCTTATGTTAAATAGCCTTGATCGGGAACGTCGCTGATCCGCTTCTGTGAACACATAGGATAGTGAGTAGAGCTATATCATGCTCGCATATATTCAACCTTGATCACAGTGACTCTGGCATTATCGGCTCAGTTGTCTCTGCCGAGTTTGACCAATTCCACTCCTACTTCAAGCAGCCGAACGACGATATAATCGGTGCTATCGTCTCAACTGTGAGTGGATATCCTCAGTTATGACTCGACTCTTATGCGATAACCCCTAGTTCGCTGGTGGATGTAAGTCCCAGAAGTCTGAGCGCCCAATTCGCCAACATTTCCTATCAGGTTTCTTCGGCGCCGCTGCAGCTGGTTGGCTTGCGACTCATATTGGCCGAAAACGTACTATCCAGGTGACTATCTTATTGGAGTATTTAGTCGAATCTCATCAGCTTCCTCTAGACGGGCGCTCTGATCGGTATATTTGGCTGTTCTCTTCAGACTGGAGCACGTAATGTCGGCTTCCTCATCGCTGGTCGCTTTATTGCCGGCTTAGCCATTGGATGGTGAGTGTCAACAGACCGAAGAGACGAACAGTCCTGACACCATCTTAGCTTGAGCATGAGTGAGAGGCTATATAACCTCTTTGATATGTGCTGAACTCGTGCAGTTGTACCTCTCTACCAGAGCGAGATCTCTCCGCCACATATGCGAGGACTTCTCACAGGTCTAACGCAATGGTGAGTTCTCTCGTCGCGTTCGGGGTGATTCATTAGTGCTCACCTTCTGTAGGATGATCGGTTCGTTTTGATGAAGCCATGCCCTTCCAGATGCTCACTCATCAATCCAGGTCTCGGCTTCCTTGTAGCAAACTGTCTGTCGTTTTTCTGGTCTCGATCCCCAACTGATATGCCACATAGGGGTTGGATATGGCTGCCAGTTCCTCAAGAACGATGGTCAATGGCGAATTCCCTTGGCCATTCAGATTGTCCCAGCTGTCATGCTCCTCCTAGGGTATGTGGATATGATACCTGATGACTTTTTCTGAGTTACATGAACAGAATGTTCGTCCTACCATTCTCCCCTCGTTGGCTCATCGCCCAGGGCCGCGAAGAAGAGGCATACGCTGTCGTTCAGAAGCTTCATAGTAATATCAAGAATGAAGAATTCACAAAACTTGAATTCGCGGAGATGTGCGTCCTCCCTGACCTGAGCGATCACCATCTCATTATGCTTCAGGGTTGAACAATCAAGTATGAGAAGGAACACTACCAGACCAGAGTGGGCACCTTTGATTTCTAAGTTCTGGGCGGTAGCTCAACTTCATCAGTTCTCAGACCTTTGGGCAACGAAGGCCATGGCACGTCGTACGGCAACTGGAATGCTGGTACAAATCTGCTGCCAGTTCACCGGAATCAACGTTTCCGCGTATTTCCAACCAGCTTGTGCGCCTATGCGTCCATTGTCCACTATACGCTGACCTCTCCTCAGTGTACCGCGCTCTTGGTCTCAGTGGTCCCAAAGTCCTTCTCATTACCGGTATCAACGGCGCCTTGGGCACCATTGTCACTGGACTCTTCATCGCAGTCATACTCGACCGCGTAGGCCGCAAGCCGCCGCTCATCGTTGGTGGCATCGGAATGGCCATCTGTTTAGCAATCGAAGCAGCTATCAACGCCAAGTGGGGTGGCGAAAACGCGAATAACCGCGCAGCGCAACAGGCCGGAATCGCCTTTATCATCGTCAGTTCTACTGTCATCCACAATTTCGACATCTCACGCTGTCTAGATCTTTGGTTCGCTGTTCTTCAGCACTTCTTTCGGACCAGTCTCTGGGTATACCAGAGTGAAATGTAGGTCATTTGCGTGACCTAAGAAGCTATCTTACCTTCTTTCAGCTTCCCCATGAGGATACGGGCTCTTGGAACCGCCGTCTGTACTTGTGCCAATTGTACGTGATACTTGTCCTGCGGCGGGATATTAGACTAAACGCTCCCTAGGGGCCACCAATGTTCTCATCTCGCAGGTTTCTCCTATCGGTATGAGTAAACTTCAGTACAGTGGGTAACCTTTCACTGGGTCGTCGGCTGTGCGCTGAAGCAACAACAGAGTTCTATATTCTTTTCGTTGTGACGAATATATGCAACGTGATCATCGTTGCTGTCCTGTATGTTGCTACAAATCCAGATGCTCTGGCGACTGACGATCATATAGATTCCCCGAGACCAAGGGCAAGTCTCTTGAGGAGATGGATGCAGTCTTCGGTGACCAGGAGATTCCGCATGCGCTTGAAACAAACAAGGCCCATAATCTCAAAGAATCCTCTTCAAGCCAGGAGGAAAAGGGCGAATACAAGCAAGAGGAACGCGCTTGATCATCTGTAATCCGGTCCACCTTGACCCTTTCCTGGTAGTCTCTGGAATAAATCTGTGCTGTGATTGATAGAATGCTAGCGCTATGGCTGAAGTCAAGTTGTTAGGAGACGCGTGATTGGCTGGAGTTACTATCTTTATATCGACTTGATGCCCTCTTGTAATTTGATTTACCACCGACGTGGGCATAATGTATCCAATTCTCTAAATGCCGTTGACGCTGTATGCTACTTTCTTAAAGTCCCGTGAGTATGAGACGTTATAGGGCATCGAAATCTTGTCTTCGATATCAGTCAAATTCAGTTCCAGCTCCTCTTCAAGCACCAAGTTTCGTATTATTATAGATGTTCCCCTCAAGATATCCTCAGCTATTTTCAAAGAATATATAGAAATCATGTGAAATCGAGGATTGAGTTGGATTTGGTAGGCTTCGTCGTGCTGGTGCGGCGACATCTAACTTTCTCTGTTTGGAAGCTATCTCGACCGTATGATCGTGGCAAGCTCGAAATTGAGTCCAGAGAAATGACTATGTAGTCAAGTTTCAGAAAAGCCAGAAGTATTTTCGTAGACTGCTATTTGACGCTGGTGAAAGGTCCGGGATATAAAGTAAGCGCGTTTCTCTTTGCCAATGGTAGTGAGTAGCTTGCACGGAGGCAACATTGCCGACTGCCGGTGGGAGAGAAACGCCTTGCGCTCGACCATTCCCAAATATTCGAGCAAATCTCCATTCTGGTGTTCATTTTCGACTCTAACGCGTGAACCATCACATCTAGTGCTCAATGTCACAGTCCAAGGGAAATGCGCAGCCGAAATCCTTGGATGGTTTGAAGTTGAAGACGCCCACTCTCACCTACGAGCAGACACTGCGGCGTCTTGAAAAGATACAGAATCACCTATCACGTCCAAGGGGTCAGCGCCTCCAAGGCAAGGTTTGCGTCGTCACCGGCGTCGGTTCTCTGAAAGGGATCGGGTTCGTATCTTTCCCAAACCGATCTCAGTCGTCTAATTTGACTGATGGCTTGCAAATAGAAGGGCGACATCTCTTCTGTTTGCGCACGAAGGTCCCGTTCTGGGTCCTGGCTTCTGTGTTCTTACGCCTTACTTCCTATCTAGGTGCACGTGCCTTGTACCTTCTTGACTTTGACGGGACAAACTTGCCGAATCTAAAGGAGACGATCAACGCAGCCTACCCAGATGTTCAGGTTTGTCTGCCTCTGGATTCTGTGTGAAAGTCGAATTCAATAAATCCCCTAGGTTGAAGTTACAGAAGGAGATGCAGCAGATGAAACAACCATCTCCACCATTGTGAGCAATGCGGTGCAATCACATGGGGGTATCGACGTCTTCTTTGCAAATGCAAGTCATTACCCTGGACGATTCCCGGGTGCCCTTGTTTACGACTGTTGACAGGCTGGAGTTGCATCAGGTCAACCCTCGATTCTCGATCTGTCGGCTGAGGAATGGGAGGAAATGATGCGCATAAACACGACTTCGTGCTTCCTCGCTGTCAAATATGCCGCTCCTGCAATGATGAAACCCAAAGGCACCGGTGCGGATACTGGCGGGAGCATTATCATGACTGCTTCTGTCGCGGGTCTGCGATCCGGTGCGGGACCAGCGCACTGTATGTGGTATTTCACCGCTCGATTCTATTCACTGACTTCTTCCGGCTTGGAAATATACCTCTACGGTGGTTTATACACCTTGCGATGATGGTTTTCTCGCAAGGCAGACAGCGCCAGTAAAGCTGCGTACGTCCTTCGTCTCTTCTAGCCCTTCATGTTCGGTGCGTTCCCCGTCTGGCGGAAGAATCATCAGCTAGGACATCGGAGCTCAGCAATCGAAATGCTGTGATCAAAGGTACCTGTTGTACCGGATGGGCAAGGCGCCAACTCCGAGCCACTCGCTGCTCTTTCCGACCAATATGGACGGGTTTTTGCCCACTGCACTAACTTCATCGGAAGAATACCAATCAGTTACTGACAAAGTTGATGCAGTGTCAACAATCTTGCGCAGTCTGCTTCGTGGCAACTACGCCATTCAAACATTCGCGTTAACAGTATCTGCCCTGGGCTCATAGAGGTGCGTATTCTTTCCCCAAAATACCCAAGCGTGGCTTCTATTATGCTACTTTTCATTATGCCTTCATTGCCTCCGCCCCCATCCCCCCTCCTCCGAAGGGGTTCATTTATGTGCTCCAAGTATATCCCGTACTATCATAGGCGTTCGGCGATGATGGCCCTGTGCCATCACTTCTGGAGCGGGCCGGTGGTGCTGTAGCAACCGCAGAGATTTCGGAGCCGCCCTAGTAGAGATTCGGGAGGGGGCCTCGTTGGTCACGTATGCACCCACAGACCGGATCGCGCCACTCCGGCCAGTTTCTACATCCTGGAACAATGCTATAGGCATTCAAGTGTTTAAGAGACCCATGGTCAGCCTGGTCTACACGTTTTGCTCGATGGAGTTTGGGTTGGCATCCCTTTATCCCATGTTCTGCCGTCCCTAATCGCCGTTCCACGTTTTTGTGACGTGTGGATTACTTGCCATTTCCATCTACGCAATCTCACACACCCAGTTCACAGTCGCAAGACGATTTACATTTCTATTTCTTTTCATTTTTGATACACGCTTGGCTCCGGTCGACTTTCCCACGCAAACCATTCACGATTGATTTTGTTGCAGACTGGGATGACCGCGGCCGTCTTCGAGATGGCACGGCAACGAGGAACCGCGAATAAGATTGGGCAGTTGAATCCTATGGGGCGGAACGGAGTTGCAGAGGGTGAGTGACATTCTTCAGTCGTCCTTTATTGCCGTCGTCGTAGCAGCCGGAGTTGGTTGGCTGAGAAAGAAAGAGGGCGTCTGCTGATGCGCAAGTTGCCGAATCGAGGCACTATGCCAACGGGGGGCTCAAGGCCGGAGCTTGAGCGATCTTCTCGGCAACCTTGCTTGAAGCGACCGGATGCAATCCGCCTGAGCGCATGCAAAAGGAAGCGAGCGGTTACTGATCCTGTTTCATTATATGCACACTTTTGTCTATAATCATACCGGCGAACACGCGCATGTGTATGGTCTTGTACGCCGCGATTTGGGCGCGACTTGCTACTGGGCGGGGGATCATCGCGGCATCGTGGGACCCATGGTACTGGAAGGTAGAAGTGAGTTTGTTGACCTCTTTGTGACGGATCAGAGTACGGGATTATCCGAGAAACAGACTGACCCGGGATTATAGGTGGCCAACGTTGCGCTGTTTCTCGCTTCGGGTACGTTTCTTTGTCGATTGCGCAGTCGAGACTTGTAGAGACGACCCTGTGGTCCGGATTGCTTCGTGGTTGCATGCTTACTGACCCGCGCTGTTTCAGACGAGAGTAGCTATGTGAACGGGCAAAATATTGCGGTGGATGGGGGCTTAAGCGCGTCACTGCCGGTGATGCCTGGGAAAATAGCATGAGGATACCCTCTCGCCGAGGTCGTCAAGGTGTTGTCGGACAAGGCGGGGGGGAGAGGGGAGGGGACGAGGCTCATTCCATCGGCGACGCAGGGACGGGGTGGCATGGCTGGTCGGCGATACTGTGGCATGTCTGATGGAAGGCAAGCAGTGTCCAGGGGTGCTTCTCTTCTTCTTCTTGTTCAACATCACCCGACCCGGGGTCTGAAGAGTGATCTGTAGCGGTTAGGTTATGGCAGGGGCGTTGTGTATAAGCATACGTTTGTTCGACTTGTGGCTACCCATTTCGCCGACGTAAACTTTCGCATACTTATATAACTGCCGCACTCTCCCGGCAAGGGGGGATCGTCCTTAGTTTTTTTTTTTCGTTCTACAAATGCATCCATACCACAGCGACGATCAAGGACGGCGTCGGTCACATTCTCCTGGGCCAGATATTGCCCTCAACAGTATGACGCGCGGATTGCGACGAATGCGGGCCCAGAGTTTTGCGTCCCCGCCCTCGTCGTCTACCAACATTGGGCTATCCCAACATCATTTACAACAGCATCAGCAACAGTTTGGTGGCCATTCCCCGCACAGCGTCCCCGGGAGCATGCACCACCACCAAAACCTAGGCTGGTACACGACCATGTCCACCAGTCCACCGTCGTCTGCAGAATATCCGCCTACCAAGCGGCGCAGAATGTCCTCGAGTGCCTCGTATCCAGATCCTGCAGCTTCCAACGGTGCTCAGCACGTCCAGCACGTCCAGCAGCCCCCACCGCCAGTGCCCGTAACGACGACGGGAGGAAACAACGCACCGGTGATGCAGCAGGCGAGCATTCCAAAGAGAGGAGCGCGTGCGTGTACTGCGTGTCGTAAAGGAAAGAATCGGTGTGAAGGAGAGGTTAGTGGTTAGCACCCATAGACGGCCTCTGTCGCTCAACCCCGCAAATCCAAACGCGGTCCGCCGCTCCCTCGCTCGGTCCGCACGCGAGCCCCGCCATATTGACCTCTGTAGACGCTCGAGGCGTCTTTACTTATTTTTCATACTCTCTCCCGCATACGCTTTATCTGAGCACTTCATTCAGGCTCCCTGCCGACGTTGCCAGTTGAGCGGCACTCAGTGTATTTTCGAAAAGCCAGAGAAGAAAAATGTCCAAGTCGCAAACGGATCTATCGAGTAAGCAGCTTTTCCCCCCCCAGATTGATATATTGGGACTCTGACTACATGCTCAAGGCGCGTCAGCCGTCTCGAAGGCCAATACTTGGTACATATCCGACACTTTTGGCAATTTATTCCATATTTATGACGCTTTTCATAGGTTATGCAATCTCAGATGATCGGTCTCCAATCCTCGCTCGACCGCATCCTCAACGCACTCCAGAACACTCAACCCGTCTACCCGCCCACGCCATCCTCGAGCGCATTCCCCCAGTCTGCCACTGGCCCACGTTTTCCACAAGGAGGTAACCCCGCAGGAGGTCAGCAAGGCGGCCATCTTTCCCCGGACAATTTTTTCCCCTCAACGCCAGGAGGTACATCTGGATCAGGGACTGCACAAGCTACAGGCATAAATGTCGCTCACGGTGCCGCCGTAGGTCGCCCTGCCTCGGCTGGGGCTGCAGGAGGTGGACAATCTCCCGCCAACAAACGTCGCTTCCCCCCGCTCCCGGGCTTCGCTCCACCGCCTCACAAGTATGCCACGTACGGAATTGTCCCGAGTACCGCTCCTTCGTCGGATGATGAGAGTGAGGACACGCTTCCTCGCGCGACCTTAAACGCTCCCATCGAAGCGCTTCAGGGACTTGCAAACGCGGCTGCGGAAGCGGCTGCTGGTACTGGTGCACCAATCGGTAGCCCGCCGTAAGTACTCCTTTTTTCTATTCCTTATTTATTTTTTGTGTGTGTCTCCGGAGCCCCATTCCCCTCTATCGGTTTCATTGCCGCACTCCTTGTGATTTACTCCTATGCTGTGTTCTGCCCTCCGGTTCTTCTTGATGACGCTCCCACAATTGTCGAACGAGAGGAGCCTCTCCCCTGGCCGGCACGATGGTGGATACCGGCCCTGAGGAGCACATCTAGTTCAAACCGGAGAAAACTCAATCGTCACTTCCTTGCTGTCGGCTAAATTCCATCACAACAATTCGGCAATTCTCGCCAGTGATCCGCACTCCGTTGCGAAAGAGGATCAACATACCCCGTCTCCTTCCCAGAAACCCCATTCATGTTCATTATGAACCATCTACCGAGCATCCCACAAAGCCCACGAATTGCCGGTTGCAGGGTTTATCCTGATAAACTCCTGTTTGATGTCCAGAATACAACCCCCTATTCCCGTTCCCCTTTTCTCTTCTAAATGCTCGCTCCATTGGGGCTGTACGCCTGTGTACGTTAACAAACACTGATCACTCTTTCCCCTTTTTCGTCTCCGCAGTCATCAACGCCGTCGCAAGCGCAAGCGAGTTGAACCGATTCCACCCAACCCTTTCCCGCACGTTGTCGAAAAGGGGCTCGTATCTGATGCAGAAGCGCGATCACTCTACAACATCTTCTTTTCCGGATGTCATCTCTTCATTCCGCTCTTCGATCCAAGCTACGACACATACGAGAGCCTCAAAGAACGTACGCCCTTTTGCTTTGACGCCATCTTGGCTGTGGCCGCAAAGATCCGTGCAGGATGTGGTCCACCCGGCGCAACCTTCTATCGATGTCTTGAAGAGGCACAAGGTATCGCCCGCAGCACGCTCTTCGGACCGGTGGTCAGAAAGGAGGCGGTCCAAGGTAAAGCCTCATTTTCTCCATTCTGTGTTCTCTTTCCCATCCCAATATCTATTCTATGCATCCCCATTCCTCGTGATACTCTCTCTTTGCGCTTCTGTTCGCTCCCAACAAGCCCGAGCTTCTCGTTTCGGGCTGTTTCGTTTGGGTCCTCTTTGCTCAGGATGCTGACTGACTCGGGTAGCGATGCTCTTGTTGGCCGCATGGTCCACGTCTGGATGGCTCCCGTCTGGTCATGCAATGCGCATGGCGCTCGACCTTGGTCTTCACCGTGCACTCGAAAAGCTCGCAGATACCAACCCGGCTAGACGTAGGAGTCCAGAGGAGGAGCGTGACCTCGTCGTGTCGGCGCGGATCTGGCTGTGCCTCTACTGGTTTGACCATCAGTACGTATCACAGGTTTCCTGTCCTGTTTCGTTTGTGTTGACAAGTGTGTGATTTCGCAGGATGAGTTTGGGTACTGGACGTCCCATTGTACTCCGAGATGAGACGTCGGTGCGCCATTGTAGGATCCTCCTCAATCATCAATACTCGTCCCCTAGCGACTTGCGTCTAGTTGCACAGGTCGAGCTCATTGCGCAAAAGAGTGAGTCACTCGGTGTTGCTGCTCGGAAATGACCTGTTGACCCGCTTGGTTCAGCCCAGATCTACGAGACGCTCACTCCGCTCGACGGACATGTCAACCACGGCACCTTGTCGTTTATTCGTCGCGCCAATGTTGCACTCGACCAGTGGTGGGCAGACTGCGATGCGTTGCACAGTGAGTGCTTACCCTCAGGCGTGCGCGAGTAACGTGTCTGAACTTTGTCATAGGGGAGACGATGGACGAAGACGCCTTGCTCCGCAAGATTCTCATCGGAGAGCTCTACTATGCCAAACTCTGGCTCGTTTGCGTTGCGCTCCGTGGGGCTGCTTGGGACAAGATGCCCTTTGAACAGCGCGAGCTCGCTTTCCAGGCAAAGGAAGCGGCATCCAACTGTCTTGCCACCTTTCTCAACTCGCAGGCGTATCGGTACGTGTAAACAATTCCAAGGGAACGGCTGGCTAACCCGTCTACCCTCCAGCGCTGCACTTCGATACGCTGTACACGACTCGCTCGTGACGTGTGCATTCTCTGGTCTGTTCCTCCTCAAGATTGCCAACCTGTTCCCGGGTGAAGTCGAGCTCCCGTCCATCATCTCTCAAGTCGAGCAATTGGCCCAATTGCTCTCCGAAGTCGCCGCAGAGCGCTACGCGCTCACGCTCCGACTCATGCTCGCCAATTTGCGGAGGAAACTTGGACTAGGGACGGCTGTCCCCACGCCTGGAATGACGGTGTCAAACAGTGGTGGGATGGTCGGCACCGATGAGAATGCGCTGGCAACTGGTGCAGTCGATGCACTGCTCCAGCACCAGCAACAACAACAGCAACAGCAACAGGCGGCAGGCGGCGCATTGGACAATGGCGCCGGTGCCGTATATGGAGCTGGAAGCGGAGACGGGTTTGGCAATCAGCTCAATATGGAAGAGTTTGGGTTCACTTGGCCCGTCGAGAGTGCGGGATCATGGAATCCCAACGCGATCCCGGCGTGGTTGCAAGAGGCGAGCTTTACCGACTTGGGCTTGCCGATCAATGGGAGCGACGACATTTTCCTCAATGCGCCCTGGACGATGGACCTTGGTGGTCCACTCCCGGAAGCATGGTAATCTTTTGATTCAAAAGGTGCCTCGCCGCGATTTGCACATGTGTGCGCGTGGTGGGAAGAAATGTTCATACTTACTGGTATTATACCTCGATTTATGTACGTGTAGTGTATATTGATATCTGAATGAAATCGAATACCGAATGTCTCACCTTGTGCAGGGGACGTTTCTCTGAAACTGAGCCGTTTATACGAGTAGCACAAAGGTCATTCATATCCATTTCTAGACCACAAAAGTCTATTGAAAACGCGATATCTACGCTCCAAGACCATTTCATGATGCTGACGAGCCGTTCGTCGCCAAATGCATCCTCCCAACTGCGTATCTCGCATGTAGCACCGGCCATGAACTTGCTGCCAAGGACTTCGGTAAAATAAGATTGATCATGTGGCGCGACGAGCAGATTGACTGGCTGCAAGCCCGGCGGAATGTTCGAACGAGGGTGTGTTTTGGGAAGACATCTTCGAGAAATAATGCCGCTCCATATGAGCGAATCGATATCATGGATCCATGTAGCATCTACTGTTTTCAGATTCGGGAACGGCGTTTGTGATCCCGTGCTTTGCCAGGCGCCGGTAAAGAAATCGGTTTCAGATAATCCAAGATATTCAACTTGTTGGCAGTGAGGCACCAACAAGGCGAAATCAACCGCGAGGTCGCTCCTTACAATTGTCAACGATTTTAGCATTGGCGCCTCGGATATAAAGGCCACCAAACTGGGACCGACGTCATCGAGAGCCCCATCCAGCGTTAAGGACGTCAAGTTGGGACATTGAAGAGAGCGCAGCCAGCCTGTCCGCACCTCTAGAAGGGCAAATGAGGAGATAGTGCTAACAAGAGCTATTTCGTTTCCCTCTAGCTCGCAAGAGATGAAGCAAATGTTTTCTAGGCGAAGAATGTCCAGGGATGGCATCATTTTGAGAATATGGGAAAATGGTAGTCCCCTTAATCCAGAGAGAGTGACCTCCTTTAGGCTTGTAAAAGTTGCTGGATAGCCAAGCTCGAGGTTGGTGTCCCTTTGAGTGATGAATTGAAGCCTTTGAACGTTATGAAAGATTCCCAGAACCTGGAAAAAAGGAAAGCCGCGAAGTCTGTACGAGAGAGTGTCATGGAGTCGGAGATCAAGGCAGCTGCACCTGAGGGAGCTTTCAATTTCGTTCGTAAGATCTTCCAATTCAAGGATGATGTCTAGCTTGTGCAGTGTCGAGAGGGAGGCGAGTGAGATGTCGGCCAGAAGGTGAGAGGTCGACCGGTTCAACCCCGAGATTTGAAGGTGCTGCGGTGGGCACCTAAGACCTCGCGAGATAAACTCCCAATTTCGATTGATTGTCTCACGATCGCGATAGAACGAGACGCAGAACCATGGCCAACGAATAGTGAGTACAAGCTCCCGCCATAGCCTGCAAACCCGTGAAAGGCGGAACGGGATGTCATATTTGTCAACCTCGTGATGGATAGCGAGGGCCAGGGCCTCCCTCAGTAGCTCGTTGGGTAAAAGGGAGATTTGGGATTTGCGAGATGTCACGCTACGCGCTATAATGTCGAAATGAGCTGCATGATGCCCTAGAAGGGGTACGCTATCCACAAGGGCGTTTTCAATGGCTGTGAGGTGGTCGCCGAGTTGGCTTTCGTCTTCCAAGAGATCTCCAGACTCGTCCAATCTCTTCTTGAAGTACGCGCAGGCGTTTATCTGCGCTGCGAGTAGGTTTTGAGCGTTTTGAATCCTGCAACGGGGTTCCAGGCTACAACAACCTTGTGAGATTGGAAGAGAATTGAATTATCAAGGCGTACTTTGTCATAGTAGATGTATTCTTCGGTATTACTCGCTTGTGCTCCTTGAAGAGTGATATATATAGGGATGAAAGTGGTCCAAGTTTGAGCTAAGCCATCCAGTCGGCGAGGCGAGAGCTGTGTTCAGCCACCGAACTTATTCAGAAGGAGATGAATTTATTGTTTCCCACAAGGAGTTGTCCGAGCATGTGAAGCCGAGCGGCAAGGTCTTAGCTATTATCCTGGTCAAGCTAGTTAATCAATCTGACTACTAGTGTCCTCCATCAGTATATCAAGTTATAGTGGAGTCGACAAATCAGTGGTTCCATTTAATAGTTAGTTCGGTATACGTCCTATTGAACCTCCTGATCGAACTTCTCTCCTGGCTAGCATCCTGCAAGAGAAGATTCCCTTCTAGATCCAAGGCATCTACGCTCTTGTTATTGTCCCTCCAGCAAAACTTGAGCGTATCTATCGGTTGGACACCCTTGTCCATCTCAGAGAGCGGATGTCCCTGGGGCAGACAGCGCTTCTTGATCAAATCCCCCAGAGTCTCCGTTGTCAACGTGAGATCCCAAATCTCCAAGGAGTGCAGGTGAGGAAAGGGCGGGTGTAGGAGATGATGGGTGGTCCAGTCGTATAATGGCGCTATCTCGTCGTAAAGCGCGACGTGCTCGATATTTGGAGCACGCTTGATGAGCTCTAGGAGCTCTGAAATCTCGCGCACGTCGCAGTCGACCCTCTTCAAACCAGTACACGACTCGATGAATCGGAATATGGGCTCTGTCGGACGCGGTTCGAGGTCGATTGTTTCGAGGTTTGGACACCGAAGGTGCTGAATCCACTCGCAGTCGCCAACACCAGCCGCGTATAGCGCTTCGAGCTGGCTCTCCAGGGGAGACTTGGGAGTGGTGACAGTAGGGGTGCTGTCAAAGAAACGAAGTACTCGCAACTGTGTAGTCGCTGCGAGGATATCTAGAATATGTACTCTGCTCAGGTCTTTGAGAGCGAGTTTGGTGAGTTGGGAAACTTTGGGTGAGTCTCCGACGGTGAATGAGCTCATTCCGGATACTGTGAGTTCTTCTACCTCGTCAAAAAGATGGAGGATATCCGCAAGAGAGCCATCTCCTCCTCGTGTAGCCTCAACGGAGAGGCTGCGGCACTTGCAGGCGAGATTGCTATAGTCAACATTGAGGATATCTTTGGACGATGAACGGTCTTCGATACAAAAAGCGAGCTCGTCAATGGCCTCCAACGCGCTCAGATTGCACAATGCAAGACGAGGCGCAGTTTGATCGTAGATACCTCGTATCCTGATGGAAATCGGCGTCTCTCGTACTCTTTCCTTGAGAAATGTCCAGAAATGGCACAATGCGTCATCTTTGCTCTTCTCGATGGAAAAGTCAAAGTTCGACCACATTGTCGGCGTCGAAGCGGTGATCATTCTCCAGTGACGAGAGATATGGGATAGCTTGATCGAATCCTTGAACCACGTCTTTTCGTTGGTCCCTAGAACCATATGGAAGATATCTTGCATCAGTTCCACTGGGAGGCGGTCTATAAAGCACCGAGGTCCGAGTATGCGGGACGCATGGGCTTGGATCTTGCAAAGGTCTTGTTCTAAAGAGACTTTGGACTGAGAGAGGTTGCCATCCAGTGATTGGAGAGCTTGTTCGAGGCGGACATCCGGCTCGTCGAGATTGGCTATGACCGCGAGGTGACTCCTGAGGTACTGAAGAATGTCTATTGTTTCGTCTAGTAAACGCGTCGTCGACTCTGCTCGTGCATTCAGGTGCGACATCTGGAGCTTGTGTGGTCAGTTTGGATTCTCGACGAAGGAAGAAATATCCACTTACTCAGTGAAATTTGGCGTCGAAAAGAGCTAGATATAACGGTATCAAGGAGAGCCTGGTCGTGCTTGGGACTGAGCAGCGACTAACCACTTGGCGCCTTTCTCTTCTATTTGGACGCCTATTTCGGGTATCAGCCGGATACCTATTCATTGAACGCGCTGGAATAACACTGACAGAGACATTGGCTAACTTTGCCATTCTCCTACGTAAATCAGTCGAGAGTCGTTGCCCTGAAATCTGTTGGTTTAATTTGCGACCCGACTACCTCGAAAGTCAGTGGACCATTCACAAAGAGAAAATGGGACCAAGAAAATCATTGCAATAGATAGCTAGACCCAACAATGTCGAGTTTGGGAATGATAATACACGGTGATATGTGGGTGTGTTACACCTCGTCTCAAGTCAAAATAGCACTCCTTCATTCTCGTTTATCGCTCTTCGACTCGTCTCGTCGCTAGCGGCGGTGGTATACCTGCAAACTACGACGACCCAGAAACGGGCTTGAAGCGCACGACCATGACGGTCACATTATCCGACGAAAACCGGACGAGCGCATGCTCGAGCAAAAGCTTGGCCATTTGCTGCGCATCTGATTTATCCCGGACGAGGTTGACGGCTTCTTGATCTTCTGTCACGTCCCACAGCTGCAGAGATTGAGCACATCGCCAGACGAGTCATCAGCGAGATGTTGAAAAGAGGAAAGACAAACGCACCCCATCGCACGCAATGATGATAAACTCGTCTGCTGGCCCAACCTCCGTCTCGGTCGTATAGGGCGCACCAACAACAAAGTCTTTCATTGCTGAATCACCCAAGGACCTCGTGACAGCAAGGACACCTACATTCACAAACGCATCAGCGACGACAATATTCCGCAAACAGAGTCCACTCACCATTCACACGATTGTTCATCACGAATCCACCCGCATCAGTGATCCGTTTCGACTCTTGCGCATCACTCCCCTTGTGATCATACGTCAACCGAAGCGCCTCTCCATTCCGACAAAGCACGGCCCGCGCGTCTCCAGCATTAGCAGCGTAGAGGACTCTCCTCAATCGTTTTGAAGGAGGTCCAGAAGATTGCAGAGACGTCGAGTCTGAGGCAGAGCTCTTGCTCCTTTTGCTGCTAGGGACATCAAACCCCCAGCCATCATGACACGGTTCAAACGGCGCTTGTATGCTTCCCTTGACGACGGGGACACCCGTGCTGCCATCTTCCGACTTGATGGTACCCCCACTACCATTTCCACTGAGCTTGGAGGTGAAATTCTTGACGGCGCTTCGCAACTTTGAACTCGAGTTGGATCTCTCAGGTGACTGGTGGCCAGATTTCGAGTCGAAATTGGATGGTGTCGACCGTCCAGAGGCCGAGGGTTTCGAGGTGGGTGTTGTCGGACGCTTGTCGTCATCGGTGGTCAAGCTTGTTGGTTCGTCTGTCATTGTTGTATCTGTATTGGATTGTTCCTGTTAGTAAAAGGTGAGTGACGATGGGCGTAATTGGGTGCGGAAATGACGCGCCTCTCGGAATGCCTGGCCACCGAGTTCGTCTTCGATCCGGAGGAATGCTGCAACAGCTGTACATCCAGAGTGTGTCTTATTCTCTGCTGCCATTTGGGAGAGTTGCGAGTCTACGGCATGAAAGGTCTTGTTCAAGACGGATGGAATCTTGGAGTTTGGATGTAATTCGAGATTCTTGAGTAGATACTAGATGGTATAATGGTATCAGCTGGCGGCTTTACTATGAAAAGAAAGGGAGCGCGCCTCGTGAAAGTGCTGGCCACACCACTCTGCGGCGTGCTTTCCGGCGTGACCATCAAAGAGGCCAAAGTAACCCTGTCCACGGACATTGTCAAAGTCGACGACGAATGAATGGGCGTCCTCCATCGTGCGGCGGGTTCCCTTGTCCTCTGCGACGCCAATCTGAAATGCGTGCGAATGCGAAGGATGTTGGTTTAGTGCCTAGATGGCCATCGATGGACGCGATGGACAGAATATCCGCGTCGACGAGTGGCAAACGCGTGAGCATCAGCGACTGTACGCTTTACAGATTCACAAAACAAGACGTACACCACCAGTATTTGGACCATCTGCGACTGTAATTGTCTTTGAGCGTGCGTTGGGAGATTCAAACGGCATGGGGGCAATTCCTGGCCTGGCGAGGTCGGGAGGCAACGTCGGATGGGACTTGTTTGACTTTCTAAACGGCGAGAGCGGTTGATACGCCATTCCAGGAAACATGTTAGCTAAAGTGGTTCAGAAAGCCCGGGAACAAGAGAGAGACTGCACAATAAAAACAGGCGCGGTTCCGACAGTCGAATGACTAACCTGTTCTCGGCACCTGCACTCGCGTCGTCGGCGCCATTAGCAGTGTGTACATTCATCAGTAGTAAATACGCAGCTCACAGTTCTTATTACGCCCTTACAGCTTGTCTACGCCCCTTTTATTCACATTCTACGCTCCCAGTACGTCATTTGGAGCCCCCTCCGATCCCCCCACGTGACGCCGACGGGTGGTACTTGACCGTTTGGGAAATACACCGCAAATACATAGTCCACCTTGTTCCCGATCACGGCTGGCCGCAAACTACGTATAGCAAAGATGACCACTGTAAGCAAATACTGTGCTCAGTCTGTTTGTAACAGAAAGAGACGCTTTGCAAGCTCATTGTGCGCAACATTCACACTTTGGAACTGTTGGAGAGACAGTTTACAAGTTCTGCAAAGGACTCGAGCGACTCTGAAACGAGCACATCCAATGACCAGTCAACCAATTCCAGCGACGCGGAAACGAGCGCATCCAGTGACCAATCAACCGATTCCAGCGATGCGGAAATCAGGCTGTTCGTGGATCCATCAGCTGAACACTTGATGGCCAAACTCGAAGAAGAAGACCAATCCTTTTAGAAGCTCCTCGAGGTGGTAGAAAGCACTCTGATCTCTCAAGAGACTGCCCTATCCAAGTCACTCGCCGATGTTCAAGAGGCTCGAGCTCGGATTGCCACACGTCTCTGCTTCGTCAACCGGATTCCAAACGAGGTTCTGTATGAAATTTTTCTCAGAGTCATCCAACTTGAAGATTACTCCTACTTCAACGGCAAGACTGCCAGCTATGCTCCGCACCGCCCCTTCTTCCTCTCCCAAGTCTGCCGTCACTGGCGAGGAGTCGCCACGTCCATACCAGCTCTGTGGACAAGGGTCAACTCTTTCCAGGGGTGGATCAAGCTGCACAATACCCTATCTTCTAGCAAGAAGTTGCCGAGTACGCACAGAGTCATCCCTTTACAATAATGATCAGCGATTCCAGCACTGGCGATGGAATAGAATACCCAGATAAATTTTGGGAAAACGCGACAGACGAAGACATCGTGGATGCGACGGCTTTTGCTATTGGCAACATGCGTTTCTACGACCTTTCTCGCCTCCAAAACATCGAATTGATCGAGCTCTTGATCGAGCGCGAGGAGAATCTCTCAAGAATCCTGACACCCCGCTACAAGAATCTGGATTGTCGATGCCATCGGCTCAGGCTGGGGGTGCGCTATGGATCAGAGGACTTTGTTACGAACCTTGGTGACTTGCTTTATCATTTCGATGCGGAAATAGTCGAATGCCATGGTGCCGGCACCTTGGTTCCAGATCACTTCATAGAAGGAAGGACGTTGTCGGAGATTCGTCTCTCTAATATGGAAGAAATTCCTCTGTATAAACTTCTTCAAACGTTTACGCAGATCGAAATCCTTGCGTGCGAAGACTCTTGCGTCTGCTGGAATTTGCGCCAACCGGTGGTTCACTCGAAACTCAAGGCATTAACCTTTGACTGCGAATGGGATGCGAAGGATTTGGGCTGGCTAAAATATCTTTGCTGTTCGGTGTTGGAGAAACTCGATGCCCCATGGCCGGCAACGCACAAGTCATTCACAACATTTCTCGCTCACGCGCCCAGTATTCGACGACTCAATCTGGCACAGTATATGAACGAAGAAAATATCTCGGGGCTCGTGAGGTATCCTCGCGTCGAGTCTCTGGTACTCCCAGGTAGTAGTATCGACTTGGTCTACAATTGATCATCGCACAATCTGGTCAAGCCACCCTTCCCCGCGCTCAAAAACTTGGAAATCCAACAATTTTATGGCGATAAGCATACTCTACTTCCCCTCATTCGCTCCCAATGTCTTGCACGTCAGCGGTCTCAGAAGGACGGTCACCCGCGACTTGATACGATCCGGGTTGATATCTTCCGAGGAAAGGATGTCTTCGACACTTCCTTACGCAACCCCGATGTTTCTGACTTGATAAATGTCGAGTGGGGTGACAAGGAATTGACCGTTACCGTAAGGGATGTATGACGGACGTGTATCGGACTTGCGATCTGACGGAAGCGCTCTTCGTATCATAAATCCTGTAGTAAACACATGCACATGGCTAGCTATCTTGAAAATATCCCATGTACCCCCAAAGTGTTGTGTATGAGATTTGATCTACCAGTCAGGTCAATGTGAACTGATCATCCTATCAGCTTTGTAACCTCACTTCTCGATGACTTTACACCAGCTGCCCATCTCTTGTCCAAGAGCGGAGAGAGCTCATTAGTTGTGTATTACTCACTTGGCGGGTTCCGTCTCGCGATCAGGCTGAAGTCCTTCTCTGATCTAGAATTCGTACGGAGACAGTTAATCATACGAGGAGACTCGTTATAACGCTTTTGAATTTTCTCTGTCCGCTGATATGTTCGTGCTGATTTTTCGCAAGATAGACGCGCAATGCGCATATCCTCTAGCTTCTGTTGTAAGAAGATAACCAGTTACGTAGTCTGTCAGAGAAGAAACACTCAGAGAACTAATATTGAGGCGCTTGTTTTATTTCATGAATACAAAGGCTACGTCGTCCTTTACAGTCTGAGAACTTGCTTTGGGAGACGAGTATTGGGATTATCACCACCAAGGACTTCGTGGCGTATACCCATGGTCTCCTCCACGAGCTTTGCAGCTTCATCATGTTTACCGCTTTTGTACAATTTCATAGAGAGATTGTACGAAGCTTTGAGAGTTTCGGCGTTCCGTCCAAATACCTCGAGCATCAGAGCGACTATCTCTCTATCCATCTTTTCCGCTTCTTCCAACTTGCCAAGGTCGCGTAATGTATTTGCGAGGGTCCTCATGGCCTCGATCGTGTCTGGATGCCGCCGTCCAGGATCCTTGAGTCGCAGAGCAAATACCTCTCTCTGAATTTTCTCTGCCCTGCTCAACTGACCGCGTTCGTGTACAGTATTCGCGAGCTGTTCCATTGCCGAGATGGTGCTCAGGTCCGATCGTCCGAGCATCTCGATCCGCAGAGCGAGTGTTTGTTCTTGCAGCTCCTCCACCTTGTCCAATCGACCGATACGGCCTAAAGTTTTTGAGAGGTTGCTCATTGCTACTATCGTATCCGAATGCTTTCGTCCAAGCGTCTCCAGCCGTAGAGCCAAAATTTCTCGCTGAATCTTTTCTGTCTCATCGAACCGACCACTCTTGAAACACATGCTAGCGAGGTTATTCATTGCCTTGATGGTATCTGGATGTTGCCGTCCAAGGACATCTTGGCGGAGAACGAGTACATCCCTCTGCATCCTTTCCGCCTCGTCCAATCGACCATGGTGGCTCAAGGTGTTTGCGAGGTTGTTCATCGCTTTCACGGTATCTGGATGCCGTTGACCAAGGATTTCCAGTCGCAAGGCAAGGACCCCTCGCAGCATCTTTTCCGCCTCCTCCCCTTGACCACAGTGGCTCAAGGTTGTCGCTAGACTGTTCATTACCGAGATGGTGTCTCGGTGACGTCGTCCAAGGATATCAGTTCGTAGAGCGAGTACCTGGCGCATCATCGTCTCCGCCTTGTCCCATTGACGACGGTGACTCAAGGTATTCGCAAGGTCATTGGTTACAGATATTGTATCGAGGTGTCGTTCTCCAAGGACCTTGAGACGAAGAGCGAGCACCTCTCGCAACATCGTCTCAGCCTCGTCCCATTGCGAGCGGTGGCTCAAGGTGTTTCCAAGGTTATTCATGGCGATCATAGTATCTAAGTGGCGTCTTCCGAGGGTGTCGAGGCGTAGAGTGAGTACTTCTCGCTGCAACTTTTCTCCTGCATCGAATTGACCACAGTTGTGTAACGAAATGGCGAGTTTCTCCGCCACCCAGACCGAGTCTTCATGCCGCCTGCCCTTTGTTTGGTGAAGTTGGGAGAGAGCCGCCTCTAACAACTCCCGGCACGCCTTCCAATCACCTAAAGAGTGATAGAACTCGTGGAAGGCCAATGCGCTGGACACACTGTTTGATTGCACGGATCGGGATATGTTGTTTACGTGAGGAAGTAGTTGCCAAAGTTCTGCGTTACTGTCCTCTATCGGCCGGATCGTACCTAGTAAGAGCAGTGCAGCCATACGTGCATATTGCTGACTTCCAGTTTCATCAAGGCGATCCCTGATGTACATCTGAAGTAACGGATGGACGGTATAGAATAGCCCGTCACTAGAGATGTCAATGAACGACGCGCTTGCGGCCGAGTCGACGAGTGCCTGGAACTTGGGCTGGTTCCATATTACACCAAAGATATCCTGAAGCCTAGATATGAGATCCATGTCACTCTTTGGCGGCGGACAGCTATCCCGGACCCTGTAAAGGCTAAATTTAGATAGCGTCGACTGCTCAAACAGTCTGGTTGGAATGGGTGAATGGTGAAGGAGAGCACAGAGTTTCATGAAACTCTTTGTCCGATCCGGTAAACGATGGAAGGACAGATCGAAGACTGCATATGTCGAAGATGTGTACTCTATGCCGACGCCCAACTTGTTACGAAGGAGTTCATTCCTATGTCTACGCAACGTGTCGAGGTACGTATCCAGACGCCGCGTCTTGCGAATATACGCTCCGGCTTGTATAATGGCAAGCGCCAGCATTCCCAGCTCCTTGACGATTTCGATAGAATTTTCATCGGACGCAGGTGCGACATTGGCAATTGTGTGCAGGAGTTCAACTGCCTCGTTCTCCTCAAGACCGCCGACAGGAACTGCGCCGCCCGGAGCGTAGCCGATGCACTCGCTGTTCCTTGTGGTGATCAGAATGGCGCCATGACTAGATTTGGGGATGTATGGGAGAAGATTGAGGTTTCGTGAGTCGGCGTTGTCGAGGAATAACAGCCATCCCTTTTCTTTTCCTTCAAGGTAAATCATTGCATCCTTCCATGTCATATTGCTATATTCCGGCCCCAAGGAGCGAATCGACAGCTCCAAATCTTTCTCCAACTGCTCTTGATTCGAAGCGTCGACGACAATGACACGAGTGAAACTATGCAGCGATTAAAACATTTAAAATAGCCAAAAATTTCCTTACCTGGTTTCATGCTCCCGAATCCAGTTCGTTGCGAGCTGAGTTTTGCCAGACCCTCCAAGTCCGTGCAATACACACCACCTTTGCTTCTGTACCTCTCTACTAGGAAGCAAATTCTGCGTGATGAGAGATTGGACTGATTTACGCTCGATGTAATTCCGGGACACGGGCGGACGAGGCTTTGGCAGCATGACCTTCTGGGAGGGAAGCCCTCCTTTCGCAGCAACTGTTTCGCAATCAGTCAAGCAGAGGTGGCTGATTGACTACGCACTACGACAATTATCTTCTGTAACCCACTTCTCCTTTATCCTTACAGCCGCAGTATCATAATGCTCTCTGAGGTAGTCCAGAACCGTTTGATAGTTGTTACTCTCCTTGGTTGAGAACTTCACTAGATCACGGTGGTTGGCATGGAGGACAATCGTCGTTGCATTGTAATCGCCTGCGATCGTAGCGGAGTGATACGGGACACTCTGACGCTCAGTTGGATCATTCTCTCCGAATACCGATATGCTCACCGGTTCTACGTATTCTCCTATTTTGGTATCTGGATATTCTTCGCATAAGAAGATGACGTTGATATTCTGACTTGCCGCAACATACAGACTCTGTATGTCCTCAAGCTCGAAAGAGTGAGCCCGAAGCTCCTTGAGGATTAGGTCTGTTGTTTCCATGTATACTGCTGCCAAGCGGTTGATTGCTTCAAGGAGAGTGGTGTTTTCGACGCCAGAGTGTGGGGTACCGAAGAAAAAGATAGCATGCGTGGATACTAGAACGTCTCGAAGATCTGCCTTTGAATCTAATCTCTGGTTGTGACAGATAACTAAGGCCTATAAGAGCGTCAAGGGTTGCTTTTCAATGAGTGTTGCGACGGACCCACTTGAGGATAATCCCTCCTAAATCATGCGTGATAAAGATTATGGGTCGCTAGTGACGTTTTAGGGAAGCAGATAAGCTAGTTTCACTCCACTCACCCGGGGGACGTCCTTTCGGCTCATTGAAAGCGCCTTGGCCAACTGATCGGCGTGTCTACGCATAGTATGCGTTGATACACATTCCGGGCTGTGAGTATCGGCATCGTATCCGTAACTGAGAATTCGAGCGTTGGGCAAGTCGGAGGGCAAGAGGTGCTGGAGCCAAAGAATTCCGTTATCTGTCGTCCACGTCTTCTCTCTGTGCCCTTGCAGGCCGTGTATAGCGACAATACTAAAGACAAGAGCTCAGCGGCGAGCCTAATAAACGAGCGACTTACTCAACAATAGGGTCGGTTCCAGAGGCAATTTCCAGAAATCCAAAGTCTTTTGTCTTCGATATCGGCTTAGAAATTGTCCGTTTGTCCCCTTTCGAATCAGGGGGAGGGACGGTCTGGACCGTGTTTGGCGGGAGCGGTTTGGGGAGGCCCCAGATATGCTTCAAACGAGAACGAAGGCCTGACATTGCTTAAGCTTAGGTATTTGGAGCCAAGCAAGGCTCGACCTTGCCCTCTGCCTCTTTTATACACCAGCGAAACCTAGACTCAAATTCCAGACCCATCTAGTCACTAACTCCGAGAGGGAAGTATACAACGTGAATTGAAACAAAATTTCTCGCTTCATCGTTTCGCGATGTGTAATGGAACCTGGAGGAGAGCTGTGAATGGCTTGACGATACAATCGACGACGCAAAGGAGCAGCCCTACGAACATTGAGAAACTATCGTTGAGGCTTATCTGTAGAGATATTTTTCACAGTTACCTGGTAGCCAGTCAAACTCGACGTAAACAAGAAGGCGTATTCGCATTCTGGGGATTCAATACGTGACCTGGTGGCCCTTCAATGTCCACAAAACATTCGACAAGCAAGACTCGAAATTGATACAAGATTGCGATAATTCCTATTCTATCCTCGTAGCTTTACGACGATGCTGTGTGACCTTACGTGCCTTTGTTCCCAACCACAACTTTGCCACAACCATCCCAGGGCACACCATGACCACTGTATGTTTATCAATGAGGAACATCCTGTACTAACGGTATCTTTGCATTTGACCATCAGGTACAGGCGCTTCGAAAGCTCGTTGCAACCAATATTCGCACTTTAGAGACATTGAAGGAATAGTTCATCGATCTTTGTTATGGTACGACTCGTAACCTGGATGACTAGAGTCAGTGCTTTTCTCATCTACAGCCTAACCTCTATGCCAAACCTATGACTCATCTTCATCCTATATCAGACTCATGTATTTCTGCTAGTTAACGGACACTCGCTTTGCTATCACAACTACTACTTTTTACACTCTCAGACAACTCGCACTCTTCTCGACGGCCGAGAAGCTACTCAGACTCAGACATTAGACATGTTACTCCGCTTGAGTAACGACTACTTAGATTAATAGATGCACGTTCCTCCGCTTAATAAGCAACTCCTTGACCGTCATACCCGCTATAAGAGTTCCGATTGTCCAACCCCAGACGAAGTCCGCGTACGCCTGAACGACGCCCGCGCACATTGCTACCGGTTATTATTGTCAACCATCAACTTGCACCGTGACAATCTTGCCAGTGACTCCAAAAACACAGATAATGGTCACTCAAACGACAAAGACCTGACTAACGGTCGTGAGGGGGAGGAACAATCCTTTCAAGCGTTTTTGAAGGTGATAGAGAACAGCCTCATGTCTCAAGATATCACCCTGCGCAATTTACTTGCTGAAGTTCAAGAAGCAAGAGTTCGGGTGGCCAAATCTCGCTCCTTTATCAACCATATGCCAAACGAGACTCTTGGGGAAATATTTCTCAATGCGATCAGATTCCCAAGCTATATCAGCTTGAATGGCAGAATGCCAACCATGCTCAGTATCACCCCTTCGTGCTCTCCCACATTTGCCACCGCTGGCAAGCAGTCGCCACTTCCATACCAGCTCTGTGGACACACCTTGATCTCTATACAGGGATGAATCAAGGTACACAGTACCGCATCTTCTGGCGCAAAGTTGTAAAGTACACGCAGAATCAACCCTTTACGAGCACGATCACCGCTTCCCACATTTGCGATTCCCAAGGAGGTGCCGTACGTAAATTCTGGGAAATAATTCTGGGAGATTGTTTCGTACGAAGATGTTGCGGATGCCGACGAGACGGTTTCCGCAATCGACAACACGCGCTTCTACAACCTTTGCCATCTCCAAACCATCGACTCAATCGAGCCAAGAGTCTATTCTGACTGTGATGTTTCAAGAGTTCTGGTACCGAATTACTAGAACCTGGATTGTTGATACCGTCGGTCGGGGTTCAAGGTGGGCCACCAGTCGAGCACCTTTGAAACGAATCTTGGAGACCTACTCTATCACTTTTGATGCGGACATGGTCCAATGCTGCAATGTCAGTGCCTTGGTTCCAGGCCACTCTATGGAAGGAAGTGCGTTAATGGATATTCGTCTCTTCAGAATGGAAAAGGTTCCCCTAGATGAAATTCTCTAAACGTTTACGTAGATTGGAGTCCTCATATACAAACGCTCCCTCGTCCGCTGGAATTCGCCTCGGACCGTGGTACACTCGAAGCTCAAGATATCGAAAATTGAATACGAATGGCGACAGGAGGATTGTGGCTGGCCACAGTGTCTTCGCTGTCCAATTCTGGAAAACTCGACGCGACAGAGTGGGCAACGCAAGAGTCATTCTCGACCTTCCTCACTCATTCACCTCGCTTTCGATGGCTCAATTTACAGAATTGTCAAGACCAGGGCGGTATTACGCCAATTGTGAGACATGTCTCACAGGTTGACTGCCTGGTACTCTCAGCCAGCATGGTCGACTTGCTCTGCTCGTGGTCGCCACTTAAACTTGCGGCGGTACCTTTCCCAGCAATCGAAAGCTTAGAGATCAAGGGTTCGATTGCGAAAAGCATCCACTTCTTCCGCTAATTCGTTCCCTAAGCCGTGCACGGCCAAACTCCCAGAACGAGGATTATGTACGGCTTAGTACGATCCAGGTTGACGTTTCCGATGGAATGATATCATCGATACATCCCTCCGAGCATCCGACGTTTTTGACATGAGACGTCGAATGGAAGGCCAATCTACTTACCATCACCACAAAGGATTAATGATGCTCATTATATGGCTAGAGCATTTGCCATACGTTGAAGAAAGTAATCCCACATTTTACACGACGTTTTGCAGCTGGAAGTAAGTGGGCTTTGGTACAAGGCTAGTCACTATCATCCAATGCAAACTGGTCATCATCCTGTTGCATTCTGTCGGCCCCCAACTTTCGTTTCTTGACGACTTTACGCCAGTTGTCCGTCTGTCGGAGAAGCTCGAGCTCTCTGCTCAAGTTGATCATCTTGGCGGTCATTGCCTTGAGTGCCGAGGAAAAGTCTTCTATCTCTTGAATAGGATGCGATACATCTGCGTGAGACTTGGGAGCCGCAACGGATGGTGCCCTTGACCTGCTTGCCACACTCCGAACGTGTAGGCGAGTTCCGTCTTGTGGGCAGGCTTGTTTGCGTTTACGACATGCTCCACATGCATGGTTGCTGGCACGGTCGCAGTCTCTGGCGTCGACGTTTCCTTGGCCATGTTTGAGTACACAATTGTCGCAGATTGTCTCAGCTCGCTTCTTGTTGATGACCCTGGGGATTATTAGTACGTGAATTCACGCAAAATGAAAATAATGACCCTTTGTACACCAACTCGTCGCGCATGCGCCTGACCTCTTTTGCGGTTTCGTTTGCATTGGAGTCTGAGATGTCCATCTCAGACCCATAATTAGTGGGTGGAACAGAGAGATTTCTCATACGAGGAGGCTCGCTATTTTGCCTTTTGCGCTTCTCTGGCCTCTGGTACGCTCGGCGCTCTTCGTCCTGTCGCAGACGCGCGAGGCGTTCTCTCTCCTGCTGCTGCTGCAGTCTCTCTCTTTCTATTCTTTCACATTCCAGGCGTTGGAGCTCTTGCTCTCGCTTTCGCTGATCGAGCAGGATCCTGATTCGCTCGTTACGCAAATCTCGACGATCTTGTTCGCGTCGTACCGCCTCTGCATCTTCCTTTGATTCGCGTAGAAGTCGGCGCAGCTCAGCCTCAATTCCTTCGCTGCTGTTCCTTGCCTGGTTGCGATTGCTGGACATGATGGTGGAAGGCAGACTTGTGGCGCGTGTGTTCGCTTCGCTTGTAGGTAGTCTGGGCCTCCTGAGGTACTCGCCAACAGTGATGAACTGGCATTATAACTATGGTTCAACTCAATAAATCCCTACTATTTTGTGATCCAGACCACTCCAGCTAGCCGATGCCCTACAACACAGCCACCATATTTCTTGTTCCCGGCCGCAACTACGTGTTCCGCAGTCGCCAAAGAAGATTGGAAAGATGATGATAGGAGCTAGTGACGGGTCATCCAAACTCGACAATCCATATGATTACGGCTCGGTACAAGCCACCACTAGCAGCGTATTACGAACCGAGGAGTTGCCGCCGCCGTTCGAATCAAACCCCAGGCAACGTCCAGTCGTAATTGATCTGCTCCAAGACGAAGATAACTGGGTTCAATCTGGTGGGGAGCAGCCACCGGAATTTACGCCGTACGAGGCCCAACATTGGGTCAACAGCGACGGAAATGTCATTTCACACGATCCTCATCTAAATGAAGACGGTAAGTTTTATCATTGTATTCAGAACTCCGTTAAATCCGTCCAATAGGCGAGGCGCTTTATCGCTTCCTCCTGTCTCAAACGACAGAGCCTCCCAGATTTGCTGTTCGGTGTCGTGGGACTCATAGAGAGACGAGGACAAGAGTCGTAACCCATACGGGACATGGTCATTCGGATAATGGTGGTCATCACCATTCGGGATCGCACACAAAGGTCGAAACCTATACCGAGACAGTCGTCGACTTTGACTTTCGCATCGACTTGACGCAACATCTCCACCCTCCCGTCAATTGGACCGCGTCGGATGAGGAGCCAACCTATCGGGGCAAGATGGTATGGGAGAAGGATGTTCAAGATGGGATTGCGCTTCAGCGTCAACGAACTACGCGAGCGGAGAATAAAGCCGCGGGAAAATGGCGAAAGTTCAGGGATCAGGCGGGATTGCCTCCATGGATCCGTTCGCCTAGTATGCCTGGTGAAGAACGGCCACGTCAAGCGCACGCTGCAAACGCCGTTGCACAGTCGTCTAGAACTGTCAGAAACTGGGCAGATGACTACTGCGCAAGCGACAAGCTCCTCAAGGAGTTTGTGTTTGAGAAAGTCGTCCACGGGTGGAACCTGGGCGCTCTAGAAAAGGCCATCGAGACCCTCATACGATCTACCTACTACACTGGAGACCTTCACATTAGCTTCCCCATGAGCGCCAACAAGGTGTACATTCGACCGACGAACCAACTCTCCCGCGCCTTGAGCCACTGGTGGGTCAAGCTGCTCCTCTGGATCACCCTCATCTATCCATTTATCTGGCTTTTCAAACGCTTCTCCAAGCGAGGTGGCGGAATTTGGCAAGTCGCGGGTGCAGCCTATTCACTCAAGGAATGGGTCCATCTCGAGGACTCGGTGGCAGGCGAAGACGTGGCACGGTACTTGATCCGCAAAGAGGAGGCCAGAGCGCAACTGCCAAATCGAAGTCTGACCGCTCTTCCTGCATATTCCAGCGATCTCAAGTCACCTCTTCCCATTACCTCATCGACCGGTGACGCATGGACAGAGCAGCGGCCTACCACTCTCGCCCAATTTGGATTGTCGTCGCAACCGCAGGCGTCGAGCTCCTCGGCTGCTCCTCTTCCGACAATCTCAAAATTGCGTCAAACACCAAAGGGCGTCAGCGAGCTTGTCGGGCTCAGGGAAGGAGAATGGTTCAAGCAGTGGGAGGGAACCATCACCAGATCAGTACTCCTGCGAGTGGATCGCTCCGACCCTCTGGCGCTCCCCGGAGAAATCCTTGCGGAGAGTGCTGGTGCTATGCTTGACGGATACAATGACTAAGACTTCTCGGCAGGTGCATGCATTATTGCCTCATTCAGTACTAACATCCGAAGTAGAATCTATATAGCCCCTGTTATTTAGAGTCTAATCGCCCCTCGCGGCGGGCATATACTATCTTTCACACACTAGTGGATAACACCGAGACTTTTAGTAGTAGAACCGCCCTCTATCTCTCACTTCTACGTCAACGGCCCGCGTTGACCTCCGGAAGAACCCTCGGTCAAGCCGGAGCTTCTCGTGGAAGAAGCGGTGTCAACACCTCTCACAGTCGCGGCGTGTTTACTGGGGCCCGTGATTACTACTTGGTTACCCCGCATATCAAAACACCAAGCATAGAAGTAACAGGCACCATCGTTATTATGCGACTCGCGCAGCGCCTCTTGTGGACTAGGCATCGACCCCCACGGGGATGCGTCGGTAATTGTCGACGACGAGTTTTTTGCGATCTATAGTCGAAGACTCGAAGTTCGCCGTCGTTGGCGTCACGCGAGGCCGTGCTCGTCGCTTTTGTGGACTATAAAACGCGCATGTGGCTTCGGGAATAGGTTCCCCCCTCCAGATCGCGCCCAACGCTCCTCTCCTTTTACCATGAAATCATTCGTTTCTCTCCTCGCGTTTGCGCTCGTCGCCACGACGCAAGTCTCAGCTCATTGTTCGCTAGAAAAGTCTTGTGCTCTTCTCACACGCTAATGACGATTTAGACACATTCACCAAGCTCATCGCCAATGGCGCTGTCACGAATCCGTTCCAATACGTCCGACAGAACAACAACAGCAATTCTCCAATCACCAACGTCATGAGCAATGACATGAGGTATTTTTACTTCCCACCTCTCTCGCATAGTACTCACGTGTGGGTAGATGCAATTCCGGTGCCAGCAGTGGGGCGGGAACAAGCACCGCAACGGTTGCCGCTGGGTCTACCGTCGGTTTCGCTCGACCAGGCCATCTTCCATGCTGGCTCCCTCAACGTATACTTGTCCAAGGTTTCCAACGCCGCCACTGCCGACGGTTCCGCCCCTTGGTTCAAGATTTACCAAATTGGCCCTGTCACCAACGGTGGAAGCTCAATCAGTTGGCCCACTGATAGTACGTAGCAGATCTCTTATGCGAAAGGGCTGGTACGACCTTTGTGCAGATGCTACGCAGTTCACCTTCAAACTCCCAAGCACCATCCAGTCTGGCCAGTACTTGATGAGAAGTGAGTCCAAATTGGGGGCGCATCGCTGCAGCATTCTTACGCTGAATAAGTCGAGCACATTGCTCTTCACAGCGCATCGTCTAGCGGCGGTGCTCAGTTCTACATTTCGTACGTTAGCTCTTTGTGCCTGGCTGGGTGGTTCTTTCGAGTTTTCTAATCATTGGTTTGTAGATGCGCCCAGCTCAATATCACCGGAGGCGGAAGTGCTAGCCCCTCTGGCGTCTCTATCCCCGGTGTCTACTCGGCCAGCGATCCAGGCAGGTTCATTTCTCACTCAAATACTTCATCTTTGGCTCATCCAGATTATTCTAGGCATTTTGATCAATATTTACTTCCCAGTGAGCTTGTACACTCTACGACCTGAAGGAGATCTAACGAGAAACTGCAGATTCCCAGGTCGTACCAGCAGCCTGGCCCGGCTCCCTTTGTTGATGGAAGCAATGGAAATGGCAATGGAAATAGCTCTACCGCACAGTCCAGTAGCGCACAGCCAACTAGCACCAGCACGAGGCAAAGCAGCAGCAGCAGCAGCAGCGTTGTTACTAGCACGAGTCGCAGCTCGAGCTCCAGTAACGGTGGAAACGTGAGTATATCATTGAATGTACGAAATTCTGAGGTTGACCGTGGCAATAGTGCTCCGATCTCTACGGACAGTGAGTTTATCCTTGTTTCGTAACCATCCATTTGCTCATAGCGTTGCAGGTGTGGTGGCCAAGGCTGGTCAGGACCAACGTGCTGCAAGACCGGAACGTGCGTCTCCTCCAACCAATTCTATTCGCAGTGTCTCAACAGGTAGTGTGATCCCAATATGTTTCACAGTAGACCCATTATGGGTGCTGTATTCGTTTCTTCGTGTGCACATTCCTTACATAGTATCTTTTCTGGAATATCGGTCAAGTGTCGTGAGTTGTCAGGTGTGTCCCAGACGGTTATCAGTATTCGCTCCCGAAAGGATCTACACGCTCTAAGCCCTGAACTACATTCAACGATAAGTTGGAGGTTCTAGTTCATATCAACGGCCCGGTTCAGCCACTCCGACTAGAACCGCCCTCTGAAATTCATCGTTGTCTACTTGACATTCATGGGAAGAGAAATTAAGTCGTTGGGGCCTACGTAACTAGAGGTTTCTTCTTCTTCCTTGCCGTTAGTATTGTCACCGGAGCCGCTGCCGGAGGCTCGGTCTTGGGAGCAAGCTCCGGATTGTCAACCTCAACCTCTCGCGTGATGTACGTAGAAAGAATATCTACTTCCTCTTCATCAGCAGCAGCGGCCTCTTCTACATGCTGCGAGATTCCGGGGATTTTGGAGGTGACGTTGACCAAGCCGCCCGTGAGAGCCTTGATCATGCCTTGGAGGGCACTCGTCGAGCGCACCGACTTTTCGATTGAACCGAAATCGGCGCTGTCAAGCGCAGTTGTAATTTTGAGGATCATCCCCGGAGTGATCTCTGCTCTGCGTAGGGGCGCATGTGTCGTCGCCGAGTCGACCAAGCACGTCTCGTCAAGTTCGGGTTTAATGTGAACCGTAAAGAATGCTACCGTTCCCAGGCGACATTCTTGTCGGCCGTCCATTCGCTCCCAAAATTCTTCGGCTGAGACGAGACGGACAAAGTCCATGTCGACCTTGTCTTCCTCTTTTCCCTCTTGTGCTTCCGACTCGTTTTCACCGATGGCTTGTTCGCCGTCGTTGAGCTTTCGTCGCTTTCGCTTTGGGGATGAGACGACGGTGGCGGATGCTTTCGAGGTGCTGTTTGCTATCTCGTCGATGAGACGGGCTTTGGGGTCGTCGGGGAAATAGGGAATGAGCTGGGAGATGGAACATGGTGGTCGAACTCCGAGTGGGAAGCGAATGTCTTGTTTGGAGTAGGGGTGACCTATCGACCAGTCTGATGGGGTGAGATTACTGAGGGGTATTTTGAGGGCGTGCGAGATCTCCAACGGAGTGAGGCCGGGTACGATGACATATTTGGATACCTCTTTCCGTCTAGTGGATGGGTGAGGAGATGTGATGGCGACTGCGAAATCATCCACCACGCCTTTCCACCACTTTACGAGCGCAATGTCTGGCAATAGTCGCTTTCCAGGGTACTCTATAGACGCGGGGAAAAGATATTGGTTTTGCGAACGCGCAAAGAGATGAACCCAGGTGCTCCAGGCAGAGAGATGTGGCCTTCCGTCCTGGGCTGATGTAGTATACGTCCCAAACCACTTTCTAGTGACATATTCAAGGAACGCAACAACAAGGGTGCGTGTGGGGGATGGTTTGCGACCTTGGCCTGTCGAGTCAACCTTGGAGACGTAGATGATCACCGAATGAGTGGCGGGAAAGATGTAAAGAATAGCTTCTAGGGCGGATACGTAAGTGTATGACTCCGATGTATCTTCCTTTTCTCCGTTGGGCTGGTCCGTGGGCGTTGCTGAAGGGGATTTGTCTTCTTTTGACGCTTTATTAACATCTTCTGCAACCAGAACGGCGACATCTTGTAGATACACTTCTTGATCGTGGATTCCTGGCGCATATGGAAATAATGATGCTGGAGACTTGCGGGTCTGTGAGACGACGACGCTGGCAGCAAACCTTCGACGCCCTGGAAGCTTGGAGAGTGCCTTTATTATGTCATTCAGCAGACTCTCCTGTCGGTTCATAGTCGCCACTTTGTGGTCGAAGTCTGACCAACACTTAACATCGACCAACATACCAGGCTGCCACCAATGCCGATTCGTACGGAGGTTTACCGATACTTTCCGGAGAGATTGTGCTGAAATCATGGGTAAGAAACGACAAGGCGTCGGTGAAAACCTTTTGATCAGTTCAGTCGTGTTACTTCATCCATAGCTCAAGTCATGGCCACCGTCTCGAATCCTGCCTGTGCGAACGGCTTTCCGCACGAGATTACAGATGACTAGAGTACCCACAACCGCCCCTCCGCGCAGCATACATTGAAGGCACTCAAGCCGACATAACCATATCTATTTCCAACTTTCTCCGAGCACTAGTCGACATCACATCATCCACTCGGAGGAATACGATCTGGTGAACAACTTTGGGTGTGAACACGGCAAACCTCGCAGTTGGCTTGGTACCAATCTCGCGCAATTTGTGTGCCTCGTCACACCATTCTGGAATCTCGCATCAGTGAAGAAAAATGGTGGCGATTTGGATAACGTATCATTGTCTCCTCCGGCTCCACTCGTGGCTGATCCAACCAGTGGTCCAAGTCCGGGCTCAACGCAAGCCGAAGCGTCCGTCTTTTCCAACCCGACCAATATCAAATAGGTGATAAGGCGGAGGGTATTGTTCAGAGTCTGCCTCATTCGTCCCGATCCTTGTCCTCAACGAGCTGTGCCCCACCCTCGAATTATTTGTCCCAATTATCGAGTGTATGGAGCCCTATAAATATAAGCCTATCTAGGGAGAATGCGCAAACGGGACGTTCATTGGCTCCAGATTACCCTACTCGGCGCCTGGATTGAGCCGGCGATCGACCAGTTAACGGGTAGCACCAGCATACGAAATTCACCTGTTCCGACTACAGAAGAGGATGCTGAGGACTGATACCAAGCCTCGTGGGAGCTAAAGCAGACGACAGCATGGAACCTCGTCCATGAATGCTAGGTGGCTGACCCGCCATACACGCAGACTTGCCAAAGGAAAACATGGTTTCGGAGATAGCTTCCTTTCGAAGAGCCCAAGGTTCAACTTGGGGAAACGATGGATAGGTATGGAAGCCGGGGAGCCGCATGAATCTTAAGATTGACGCAGCGCTCGCGATTCGTACTCACATACTCGACTCTATCCAAGTCCTGATCCATACTCCGAGGTATCGCTGATGAAGCGCTCAACTTGACGCTTTCACCAATCATGGAGCTCCAATAGCCGGCCAATTATGCTGCCGGATTTGTCAGGGCCGGTGTTTCAAGGTGAATGTTTGTGCTGATCTGTTTGATAGCGATGCTCTGGCCCTCAGATGGGTCATCCCCCGATAATCGGTTGGTTTTCCGCTCGTCGGAGGTGGGGCTGGACTGAGCGTACCTGAAATCACCAACTAACACGACTGACAATCGGGCATCCAGACCTCTGAAGTCTCTTAGATGGTCAAACATCACTCCAAATCTATTCTGTATTTTGAGAAACCTCCTATCCAACTGTGGTATTCCCACTTGGTGTGCTGGCAGGGCTGGCAACCAGGTGAGCATTTACGACACCAAGGTGCCCCGATTTGGTTCATTCAGCTCCAGAACATGTCTTAACTCATCCCACCAGGCGTCTTTACCATTTTCTGGCCTTCTAGAACTGTGTCTACGCCACTCTGGCCCTATGAGGAGCATGACGGCGAGAAAGTGCCACCAAATTGTATAAAAACAGGTTCTAGCGTCCCTTTCAGCCTCCATTCGTTCATGCGCCCGCCCATCATGGCCCCAATATCAATGGTTCTCACCAAGAGGGCGCCTGACACCACCACGAAATCTTTCTACATTGCCGTCATAGCGCTTTGCATGGGAACCTTTATGTCGTTTCTCCACCTGGTGTTCTCGTACATAACTTCGTCTCCTGTTCGAATGAAGACGGAGGCTGCCGTTCTCGGCGAATGGGCAAGACATAGGAAATGGGGGCTTCATTTTTGGAAATTTAAGCTCATTGTGTACTATCCTGTTATGGAGCTCAAAATTGACAACCTTTGGGAGCATCGGCAACAGCAAGAGAAAGAACACCTCCAGACACTTCAGAAATACATTGTGAATAGACGAAATCAAAGTAATGTATACAAAATTGGATGATTTCTTAATTATTTACCACCTGACAGCATCTGCAAATAGGGACGGCGTAGTCTGTACCACGACTACAATAGATCTGCACTATAGGGACAAGGATGGTTCTCCGCAGATGAGAGAACTCACTCGTCAAGAGAAAAGGGCTGTTAAAGCCCTAGAGGGGGTTGGCAGACGCTTGAGTGGGCCGAGAGCACTTGTCCTATCCTCGGCATCCATGCTTGCTGCAGATCTTGGGTTTGATCTTACAAAAATGGTACCCAATAGGTGGGAACTGGCTAGCAAAATTCCATCCGCCTGCAGTAGCCCACTATTTCCCATCCGTGCAAGCGACCTTATTAAATTTGGTCTGCTCTGTGGGCTCAGATGCGAGGAATTCGATATTCCGCGGCGTAAACTGTGTAAGTCATACACCGGAGGTCCATTCTTGCGACTCATATTTGTGTTATAGCGATGAACGGACACCAAGTAGGTTTATCTAAGAGGCTCCTCTCCTGATGTCGAATCAGAGTTATATCGTCACCGAAAATATACCTAGCGTCGGCCCTGTTTGTCGCTATGTTGGTATGCTGACAGCTCGCCTAATTTCCCCTCTCTGATAATTGATAGAGGTCTCCGGTAACAATGTCACACCTGCCGCAATGATGCCAATTGCCTCAAGTCATACAATGGTGAACCTGGCTAGTGGCAATATTTGCCTCGCGCAATTGTAGGTCAATAGCGATTATGAAACTGAACAACTCAGTCTTTTTTCAGCACGCTTTCCTATCGAGTCGTCGGCTTCAACTTTATCTACCTTTGCTGCAAGTTTGTCCTCGGCGAGACCGATGAAAAGATTGGGCACCTTCCAGTCGGACACATTCCTGCGAGGACTGACGATAGCCCCATGGTTATTGACGATGGGATTGTTCGGGATGATTTGGACAATATTCTATATAAACCCATGCTACGCGGTCACGCCCCGCATGCACCCCACAGGAGTGTATCACTAGGTGATGGATATGTCGAACAAGTCCCCACTGGACCGTGGAGGGAGTTTAACGTAGAGCCGCTCAAGAAGTTTGAGCAAGGTGATGATGAAATTTTGTGGGATGGAAGATGGGCAGATCCTGCAACCCCACCAATGGCCCTCGTCTTGGCTACTATCTCGAACCCTGCATCTGCAAATGGATTTCCGCACAACGTTCTCAAGGATTGGGACATATACAATCGCAATTCTGCTCAGGAAGCGATGAAAGTACTCGCGCCCAACTTGACGAATTCTCCTCCGAAATTCCTACTGGACCTTGCGAGTAGGCGTATCATCCATTCAGAAGAATACAATTTGGTCAACAATTTCGGATGCGAGCACGGTGGACTTCGCAGTTGGCTCGGGACCAACCTAGCAAAGTTTGTACAACTTGTCACGCCGTATTGGGCTCTCCCATCGGGCGGGGAACGACATACTTCACCTAGTATCCCGATCCTCAACGAGCTTCGGTCCGTCCTCGTATCACCCGATCGAATGAACTCCTGGATTCAATCCTATAACCGCAAGCCGATCTACGGATCCAATGCAACAATCCGTGCACGGGGTGTTCTATGGGTGCAGATCACTCTTCTCGACACCTGGATTGGGCCGGCAATCGACCACATGATGGGTGGCACCGACATGCGGGAGGTGCCTGTCCCTGCGACGAGGGAAGATGCCGAGGAGTGCTACAGATTCTCGACCGAGCTCTACCAGAGTACCGCATGGAATCTCGTCCGTGCTAAGTGGCTGACCTACTATACGCGTCGACTTGCCGAAGGAAGAGACAGGTACGGAGATAGCTTCCTCTCAAAGAAGCCACAACCCGACTTGGAGAAACGGTGGATAGGTATGGAAGTCGGCGACCCACACGAATGGCTTAAAATTGATGCTGCGCTCACGATTCGCGCTCATTTGCTATATTCAATGCTAATTAGCATGACTGATACGTCTGTACTTCAAGATCTCGCACAAAACGACCCTTTACTCTTCATCTCATAATTTTCGATCCGGTTCTCGTTCCTCCTATGCCCAGTATATGCCAATTTTTTTTGCTCTGTATATTACGAGAAATTGACTTAATTGTGCCTCTTCACCAATTGATGCCAAATATTTACAAAGTGGTGAATGCGCCTTGACTCTGTTCCTCTTGATCGACGCGATGTCATCTGCTATAGAACTAATCAATCCGAAAGCGGAGAGCGTGAGAAGGGCTCAAGCACTGCAGGTATGACGACGATCATTGACCGTGTTGGGAAACGTCTCGGTGGCTAAATCAAGTTTTGGTCATAGGTAAACACGACAGGTGCCATGGGTCTCGCTGGCGTCGTAAAAGGAAATCTAGGTCTGATAAAAACTATGGGACATGTGCGCGTGCTGAGACGGCGGATAACAGGTCCAAGAGGAACGCTCAAGATGTTGGTGGATGGCGCTGGTCAGATCAAGATGACAAAAGCAAGTACACGCAATTCTTGAATACCTTCCATGGCTAATCTCTATGGATCACGGTGCAGGATGGCAAAGTACTCCTGTCAGAGATGCAAATACAGGTTAGTCACCCAAACCCAACGATTGAATAAGGTGGAATGCTGACTAGAACTACCTTGGACTATGTTTGAAACCAGAACCCAACGGCTGCGATGATTGCACGGACGGCAGTTGCACAGGATGATCAAGTCGGCGATGGAACCACCTCGGTCGTGCTACTGGTCGGAGAGCTATTGAAACAGGCTGATAGATACATCTCTGAGGGTGTACATCCGACCGTCATCGCTGAAGGATTCGATTTGGCGAAAAAGGATGCATTAGAAGTACGTGTACCATCTCTGCGTTGGCATCGGATCTAAACTCCCTTGTGATAGTTTCTCGAATCTTATAAGCGCCAAATCAACCTGGACAGAGAGACTCTCATCTCAGTGGCGTATACCTCATTGAGCACCAAACTCCACCAAAAACTTGCCAAGCAACTCGCACCTGACGTTGTTGATGCTGTACTCACAATACGACCTCCACCTCCGCCAGAAGGTGCAACGGGGGACGCCATCCGAGCACCAATCGATCTTTTCATGGTGGAGATCATGAAGATGCAACACCGCAACGATCTTGATACAAAACTCATCAAAGGATTGGTATTGGATCATGGTGCTCGACACCCGGATATGCCGAAACGCGTTGAGAACGCGTTTATCCTCATCTTGAACGTCTCATTAGAGTACGAGAAGACGTACGTACAGCACTATATCATCTGCCTTCAATCTAATGTCCTATAATAGCGAGGTCAACTCGAGCTTCTTCTATTCCTCGACCGAGCAGCGAGAGAAGCTCGTCGAGTCCGAGCGACGGTTTACCGACGCCAAGGTCAAGAAGATTATCGAGTTGAAGAACCTCGTCTGCGACCAGGCAACGGATGCAAAGACACCACCCAAAAACTTTGTCGTGATCAACCAAAAGGGCATCGATCCCATGTCCCTCGATTCGTTTGCGAAAGCGGGCATCATTGCTCTCCGTCGCGCAAAGAGGAGGAATATGGAGAGATTACAGCTGCTCTGTGGTGGAGTTGCGCAAAACTCTGTTGATAATCTCGATGAGAGTGTTCTCGGATGGGCGGGTCTCGTTTACGAGCAGGTTCTCGGCGAGGAAAAGTATACGTTTGTGGAGAATGTTAGGGAACCGAAGAGTGTCACACTTCTCATTAAAGGTGAGATTCTGCTTGGCTACAGTTTATCTAATCGTAATGTCGAATTCAGGTCCGAACCAACACACGATTGGTCAGATCAACGACGCATTGCGAGACGGACTACGTTCTGTCAAAAACTCACTCGAGGACAACGCTCTTATTCCCGGAGGAGGCGCGTTTGAAGTCGCGCTCTCGCATCATCTCTCGACAAAGACGAAGAAGAATGCAAAGGGACGAGTGAAACTAGGAGTACAAGCCTTTGCGGATGCAGTTCTCGTCATCCCCAAGACGCTCGCTGCCAACGCAGGTTTCGACGTCCAAGACTCGATTGTGGCGCTGCAAGAAGAGTATGCGGATATGGAAGGCAATGAAGGTGGAGCAGCAGTGGGTCTGAATATCCAATCTGGTCAACCCATGGACCCGACGGTGGAGGGCATCTGGGACCAATATCGAGTGAAGCGACAGATGCTGCATTCCTGGTTCGTATCTCTATTCTCATCGTTTCATTGTCTGACAGTCTGGTAGCTCTGTTATCGCTGTCAACCTTTTGTCGACGGATGAAATTCTGCGTGCGGGGAGAAGTTCGTTGAAGCCCGAAGGGCAGCAGTAGATAGCGCAAAATAGATAAACATCTGAATCAATCAGGCGCTCTCAAAATCTCGGTATGAAACATGGCATTTAATTAAACTGCTCAGGGAAGCTATTCCTGCCGAGCGTTATGGACTTTGATTACCACCATCTTATTATCATTCTTCCGCCGTCAAGACAGCGGTAGTGAAGTCCCTGAGGGTGACTCGACAATGTTTCGTCCTCCAACTATATCAAACTGAGACGGTTCCAAGTCGAGTGCCAATGACCCGCGGCGAAAGACGAGGCGCAAACTGCTCTCGGACGAGTAATCAGGGGGTATAGGGTACCACTTGGGGGGAGGGGGAGGTACCTTCATTTGACGATACAGCCTCCAGTCGTGAACTGCGTGGTTGATCCGCGTAATACGACCCGCAAGCCCCCAGAGAGATTTTTCGTCACGCCCAGACAAAGTTAATGTTCTAATACGAGGGGAACGAGCGATAAAGTTGATGAAGGCTCCTTCATTTGCCCACTCGGATGCATGTAGCTCCTCCAACGCAGGGCATTGAAGATAATTCATCCAGCGGCATTGCATAGAGCCCGTAGATCGCTCTAGTTCCAGTCTCCTGAGCTTGGCATGGACCGTTATGTCCGTCCTCTGCCACTCCAGATTACAGTCAGTGCAGCATAAAGCAGTAATCTCCGGAAAGGCCATCAAAAGCTGATCTAGAGGGACGGCCTTTACCTCGGTGAAGCGAATCTCTGTAACGCCCCGACCGTAGCTACCCTCGCTTGGGACCAAAATGCGCGTTTTTATGCATTCAACCACCTCGGCGTCGAAGTGGTAGAGCAGAACGCTCAAATCGACCTCTAAAATGTCGACTCCGCGGCTGCGATAAGTGGGCGCGACTCGCAGTGTGTGGCAGCGACAATCCAAGTTTTGATACTCCGAGTTCAAGAGAGATACAAGGTCGGGTTCGAAATGGAAGTCGAGTGTGATGGAGTTGATTGTCTTGAACGTTCGCAGATCGTAGCTTTGCATGTGCGAAATAGCGCCATCTGGATAGCACTTGACTACAACGTCACTATAAGACATCTCATCGTCCCAGTGATACCCCCGAGCCAGCACCAATTCGGTACAAATCTCGCTGTCGGTGATTGAGATGTTCATTGGTGCGTCGCGGACGTAGGTGGAGAGGCTTTGCCAAAACTCTCCCTGTAATAGAATCTGATAGGACCCGGGACAGAGTTTAATCTCCGTCCAAAGAGATGGCGAGGAGATGGCTACGGCTCGCCAACGCCGACAGACATGGGAAAGCCGGAGTGAAAAGTGAGGGGCAAAGTTGACATTTAAATCGAACTTGTTGTAGATGGAGCCATCATATCTACTTGCTTTGCATAGAATTTCCGTCAAGATTTCGTTGGGAAGCCTGTTTATGAAGCAGCAGGACGTGGAGACTCTGGTTCGAACTTGTTTTACATCATCCAAGGTCTTGCAGAGAGCAGATTCTTGGGACTTTAGAGTTGTTTCTAGGGCTCCTAGCATTTCTTGAAGGACCGAGTTTTCTGCCTCGAGACTGCGTAGCACGCTCGGGTTCTGTCGCTTGTAATAAGAGCTATTCGATTCCTCGTGGGTAATGAACTGTTTCTTCAAAAGTCCCAAGATGCGCACGTTGGCATCAATGAGTTCGCAGAGAGCTCCCATCCTTTGCTCGTAATCCGCCTGCGATATCAATTAGGACCTTTGGCTGGTAGATGAGTCTCCTACCATGTTTATACGGTAGTTTACGTGGAAACTGGGTTGTGGCAAAGTTGTGGTAGAGAGTAGATGCTGGGAGGCACCTGTGTCCCGTTGTCACTTTCAATCACAGAGAAACCACTCATAATCCGAGACGTAATATCAGGGTCCCATAGCTACCATACAATTCGTACAGCCAAGGTAGCCGATAGGTACATACCCACCGTGGGTACTCAAACCCGTTTGCCGGCCGGCCCGATAGCCCATGGCTATCCGTGTAGACAGCAGTACTGAATTCAATTGTGCAAAAGGAACATATATCGGAATATACCAGATTCCGAAATCTGTCGGGAAGCTGTGACAACAAAGCCAGTATTCAAGTAGACCGGAAAGTGAAATATTTCCTATGTAGCATTTTGGGCTTTGATTATGATCTCCTGTCGTTCTCCCACCAGAACTCGATCGATTCGGCAATCTCAGAGCCCCTGAGTGGTGACTCGACAATGTCCCGTCCTCCAACGATCCCAACTGAGATTGTTCCAACCAGGGCACTAATTTCCTGTGAAGAAGAAAAACGAGGCGAGAGGTATCGTTGTCGAATGAGAGGAAGGAGTGAGTGCTGCTCACCATCATACTCGTCAACACTCAAACTTGCGAGCATAGGAAATGGTGCCTTTGAGAGGCCATACGGTCTCGAACTGTGGAGCAGGCTGAGTGCATTAGACGAGATGGTCAAGTTGTTGCTCTGCGGGAGGCGCTGCGCAAGCTGCAGGAGCTGCTTGTGATCACAACCGGACAATGCGATTTTTTCGAGGTGAGACGAACGAACGATGGAGTCGATGAATTGATCCTTTTCTGGCCATCCGGGGGCTGTTAACTCGTTCAACGATGGGCAATGCAGGTATTCTAGCCAGTCGCAGGTTTTTGAGTATTTAGTCCTATCCAACTCCAGTTTCTTGAGTTTGGAGTGAACCAAGATCTGCATCTCATTCCACTCGAAGCCAGATTTCGGGCAGCAAAGTGTGGTGATCTCCCTGAAGACAACCCGAAGGGCGTCAAGGGTGATTTTCTATGCCATGTAGGCTAATTTCGGCAAGTCTGCGAGTGTAGAGAGTCTCGCCAGGAACCAAGAGGTGACCGCCTACGCATTCAACAATCTCGGCATCGAAGTGGTAGAGTAGATGGCCCAGATCAACGATAGTCTGCACATATCTGCCTCGTTTGCTGGTGAGACGCAGATTGCGGCAGCGACAGGCCAGGTTGGCGTACTCTGGTTCCAATAATCTTTGGATGTTGCCCTCGTACTCGAGCTTTATGTCTATGCTGTCGATTACGCTCAGGTCTTGCAGCGGGTACAAGTGCATTTGTTCAATGGCATCGCATACATAGCCAACATCTTCATAATCTTCCCATTCCTTGCCGTTCTCCCAGAGCTTTCCTTTGTGATTCGCCAAGTCATCGCAAATGGCGCTGTCGTAGATCGAGATATTGACTGGTGCATTTTGTATGTATGGGCGAATGGTTTCCCAGAAATCCCTTCGCCGTGCACTTTGGTGAGATCCAGGGGCTAGGCAAATCGTTGTCCAAAGGGTATGGAGATGGCTACTGCTCGCCAACGGCGGCAGACATGACTGAGCTGAATCGAAAGATACGGATCATAGTTGACCTCCTTGTCTGCACTGTTGCAAATTCTACCGCGATATTTGCTCGCTCTACGCAGTATGTTCCGCAGGAGCTCGTTTGGAAGCCTGCTGATGAAGCAACATGAGGCAGATATTCGAATTCTAGCTCCCTTGACCTCTTCCCAGATTCTTCGGAGAGAAATATCCTGAGTTTTTAGAGTCGTCTCTGCGGTGCTCAGGATTCTTTGAAGAACTATTAGGTCCTTCTCCTCGGGTTCGTATAACTTATTCGCGACCCAAATATCGGCGTATTGCGCAAAGGACCGACGTTTCTCCCCTTTGGAGGTAGTAAAATGCCTTCGCAATGTCCCCAAAGTCCGTATATTGACGTCGATGAGCTCCCGATGAGCTTCCTGTTTCTATTCGTAGTCCATCTGCGACATTAGCGAGCGCACGTTCCTGAATCGCAGCCTTACCATTGTTCTATTGTGCTTTGGAGATGAAATGAATTGTGGCAAAGTCGAGGGAGTAGACGGTTGGAGCACCATCGTTGCCCCATCACAGAGAGCAGTGGAGAACGCATATATTCACGCCATGAACAAAATGCGATTCAATGATACAACAAACGTGCTCCGTGACTCTGAGCAACAGTCCCACGTCCGTCAATTCATTATTGAGCGGGGTCCGCTTGTTTCTGGAAGAGTTCGACGAGCTATAGTCTAGAGGCTGCCCGTAGTATGCGGCTGAGGCCCTTCGATATCAGCAAGAAATCGAAATGAAGCGGGCTGACTATTATCAGGGAACATACGGCAGGAACTATCTATATCTATCAATCACATGCGACTAGTGTACACCCAGACGTTCATCTAGGCCACTGGAACGCGGCGTTACGCAGAGGAAACATTTGGACCGGACCATGTCCACACTGATGGATCAGACAGATCTTGCTCTCCATTCATCGTCCGTCCTGGCTTATGCAACGTCTTATAACCTCTAAAACATTACAGGAATCCTCACTTTGATGTCAACTCGAACCAAAATCGGGTCCCTACGGAGACAGAAGCACGAGGACTCCGTTCGCTCCGAGAGACGCAACAACGTATCGTCAATTTCCTGGAATCCGAGGTCACCAAACTCTCCGCTACCTGTACTTCAATCTCCGAGAGGAACGCACGCCTGCTTCTCGAAGTTGAGGCAGGGAAATCCGAGCTCCATCATACTCACCAGCTCTTAAAGAGCTTGGAGACTCAGCGTACAAGTAGACTGGAGGATATTGCGCGAATTGATGCTCTATTTCATCCAGTTCGACGTATGCCTCCGGAGCTTCTCCAGCTCATCTTTAAAGAATGCGTTTACAGCAGCTCTGTTCCATTTTACCAGGCCATTCTTCTTGCTCTGGTATGCCGGAGATGGAGAGCGGTCGCCCTCGACACCCCAGTTCTTTGGGCTCGTATTTCCATCCGGCTCAAGCCCAACACCGTGTCGAGGTGGACCGATGTAGGACGTGTTCTTGGCCCGCGACTTAAATCGGCGCCAGCAATAATCCGCATTCATCTTCGCAAGGATACGGTTGCCGCAGATTTTGAGAAACTACACCTGCGACATATTCCCGTAATCAAGGAACTAACACTTAGACTAGATGATGACGGCTCGTTAGCACGATATATCCCGTCTGCTGTGCCCCTTCCGCAAGTGCGTTCAGCAGTGCTCGAATTGCCGTCCACTAGTCAGCTACAATTAGCGATGAACAGGGTACATCGTTGGTTCCCGAATGTGGAAATCCTGGAGACGGTCTGCCTCCAAGAATTTCAATACCATGCTCACACCACATATCCAAACATTCGGCAGCTGCGCTTCGCTTTCAGTGATTCTATCGACCTTTTCGACATCTCTCAATCGTTCCCTCACCTCAAGCAGCTTGTCTTGGCGTCGGTGCAAATCTTCGAAGTCCCCATCGCTCTCGACCTGACGTTCTTGGAGCACCTTCAAATTAGCGGTTCGACGACAGGTATCGACCTATGGATCGACAGGATTAAATGCCAATCTCTCAAGACACTTATCGTCCTTCAACAACCAGAAGATGCTGTTCTGGACTTTGTCACCCGGCACAGGAGCGTGGAGACCTTGGAAGTCGATGGAACCCCGGGATTCCTGACGCAACTACATCACTTCCTTCCGAATCTCAAGGGATTATATCTAAATGGAGCGTATGACGAGCTCTTCGCTCGCCCGGGGGATACTGAGCCGTTGTTCAGGTCACTCGAGGTCCTTGTAGTCGAGGGAGAGGACTTGACACATGCAGAGTTTGAGAGCATTGTCCGCGCTCGAGCACTCCCTCGTGATCACCCGTTGAGTCTGTTGCCGACTCAGTGCGTGCCACTGGCGTTCAAGGTGTGCATACTACCCAGTATGTTGAAAGTCATGTTGGATAAGCCCCATGCCTGGCCTTCCAGCGAGCTTTATCGCACTTCTCGCCGCCAAATTGAGGACATAGAGCGCTGGACCGGCTACGTCGAGGTTTCATTCACTTGGGAGTAACTTTTTGGTTAACGCTTCATCTTATGTACCACAGATGTACCACAGACTTCATAATATTTTACCCTTTACACCTGATTTGCATTCAGGTTGCTTCGGACCTCTTCCCAAGCGGTGAATGGCGGCAAGTATTCTCCGCTTCCGGACCATGTTCTTGGACCTACATGCTTACCTGGAGAGCCGCTGAAATGTACGAGGTGCCCTGTTTCGATTATGGCCGACATTCAACGGCGCGCTCGAAGGTCATCTGCTTCTATTCCAACGGCATAGACATGACGTTTCTAGCTTAGTTATTATCTCTTACAATGAAACCATTTGCCTGGAGCGGGCCGTAAAGTGGCAGCGGCCCGCCTGAGGTCCTGGAGCGGTCGCCGTCTTCTTTTCGCAGCATTCATCCCGCATGCTTCGACGCTGTCCTACGTGGGGTTCGGAGAATGCCAAGGAGGCACCGGTCATTCTGCGGGGATGTTATTTCCACACATAAAAGGACGGGACGAACATGGCTTGCCGGACGGTCGACATTTTCCGTCCAAATCTCTCCGAAATCTGCCAGTAAAGGGGCTATAAACCACCATGCTCAAGTCTACATTTGTCACTCTCGCTCTTTCACTATTGGTGGTTGACTCTGTTGCCGCCGACCAGAGCTGGCAGAGCTCGCTTTGGAAGGGTAGCTATGGAGGATATCCATACTACTCCAAAACATGCGTCGTTCCACACAAGGATGGCCAGGATGACTCTCCCGAGATTGTCAAGGTCTTCCAGCAGTGCAACAAGAACGCGCAAATCGTCTTCAAGGAGGGCGTCGATTACAACATGTGGAGCCCTATGTCTTGGGTAAACTTGAGTAAGTTATAACGATATATCTTGTTTCTTTGTCTCAACCTCGCTCCAGGCGGCGTCACCATCAGCCTCAACGGCAACCTGCACTTGCCCAACAATATCACAGCCGTTCAGCAAAAGGTTGCCACCAACCCCAATCCACCAAGCGTGAGTACCAAACAGATCTAGTTGCGTTCGCTTATGTCCGTCAGAACTACGCCATTCCTTGGATCTACATCCAAGGCAGCAATGTCTATCTCAAGGGTTCATCCTCCAAGAAAGGAGGCGCCTTCCATGGCTACGGACAGCAGTGGTGGGACATTGGAAACCGCGTAAGCCCACACTTCTCATCCTCGCGAGACTTATCATTCTCCAGACACTCCGACCGCAGCTCGCCACCTTCAACGTGACAAAAGGGTGGATTTCCAAGATTAAGGTCATCAAGCCAGTAGCTTGGGGTTTCAATATTCCAGGCGTCAATATCACGATTACGGATCACTTTGTGGACGCCGCACCAGGAAACAGCACGCGTGATAGTACTATTTCTTTCCCTTTCGTGCGTCGTTTTCTCGTCTCGATTCGCTATTTCTGATGCATATTCTCTAGAACACTGATGGATTCAATATGGCCGGTCAAAATATCGTCCTCGACGGCTACTATGGACACAACGGCGATGATTGCGTCTCCGTCGTCAACGGTGCCCGTAACATTCTTGCTAAGAACGGATACTGTGGATTCTCGAGTCACGGTCTCTCGATTGGATCCTTGGGCCGCAATGGTGCTAATCACACTGTCAAGAATGTCTTGTTCAAAGACTGGACGATGGAAGGTGCTGTCTACGGTGCACGGGTAAGCATCACCCTCCCTATGTCGACTTTTATAGGCTCAAACATTGTCTATAGTTCAAATCCTGGACCGGAGGCAGAGGTTTGGCCGAGAATGTTACATGGCAGAACATCAAGGTCGTAAACGTCTCGACACCCATCTTCGTCACTCAAAAGTAGGATGTTCTTCAAATCTTCTCTTCGGTGCTCACCCGTTACTCCATAGTTACTATGACCAGGACAAAGGTCCTCGTCCAAACAATACCGAGGGTACCAGCACCCACCTCAACAACATTTTGTTCGACAACTTTTCGGGAACCATTGGTCCCAACCCGAGTACGTGTCTGTAGAGAATCTCTGCCATCGACTAACCACTTCTCCAGCCGACGGAACTTGCATCTCGAACCCATGCTGGAACTATGTCCAGGGTGCAGACGGAACGCAGGCGATTATCTTTGATCTGTTCAACAATACCGCTCTCAACTTGCAGGCGACAAGGGTCAAGACGAAGCCGATCAAGGGAAGCTACAGCGATACCACAGTCATTTGCGACCCGTCCACGCTTGCACCAGGAGAGCAGAATACTCTTGGTTTCCAATGCCAGCGCGGGCCATTTGTCACCACGCCCATCACCGCATGAGCTATTACATGGTTCCCTACTTGCACTGCTCATCCCCTTTCCTGCATTTGGCCTCTTTTCTGCATTTGTACCTCATCGAATCTATTGCTTTCTATCCAGAATGACTTGTCATTCTCGTAAGGAGCTGAGCCGAATAGCTTCTCCAAACTTGAACTACACCATCACAAATCCATCATTGCCAGGAGGGATGGCTTTCCCCGAGGCTCATGCCATTCCCTCGAGCTCTCGAAAAGTAGGATTTCGAGCTACTACAATAGCTTCAGCACCCACTCCGAGTCCGCTTCCAGGACAAACTGCTTGGGAATTGTGCGACAAGATAGCATCAAGACAGGATAACGAGCAAATAAAAGATTGGAATGATTCATTGAACACACTTCTCATCTTTGTACGTCGGCACATTCCTTGGTCTCCTGAGCTTGACAAAGGATATTAGGCCGCTCTTTACTCTGCTGTTCTCACGGCTTTTATAGTCGAAAGCATGAAGCTCTTGAGAGAAGATGCAACCGAGACCACGCGAGATATTCTCCTTGCGATCACACGACAACTCGCGAACAACTCGGCACCAGCGTACACGCCAGAACCCTTTGTCGCTCCCGCATGGGCAGTCAGGGTCAACCAGTGCCTATTTCTCAGTATATCCTGCAGTTTAGCTTCCGCTATGGGATCTGTATTGGCTCTTCAATGGGTCAGCCGGTATGACCATCGACTGAACCCATCGTCTCCGGAACAGCGCGCCCTACAGAGACACTTCCGTCGATTGGGCGCGAGGAAATGGAACCTTGGGGGAATTATAGCGTCTTTACCGGCGATTATCTTCGTTGCCTTGCTCCTTTTCTTCGTCGGGATGGCGGAGTGGTTGTGGCATCTGGATAGAGGAATAGCGGGCATCCTTCTTGCCGGTCTCACGGCTTCGTCTCTCTTCTTCTTCACTACCATGATTATCAACACGTTCAGCGTCTCTGCACCATTTCGCACCCCAGTATCGCGGTTCTTGCCTTGGTTTATCCCCTACCTCGTACGCAAATCGCATCATGTGGTGGACTTTCTAGTCCACTCAATCAAACACCATGGATCAGAAGATTCAATGCGCGGTTCGACGCATTGGAAGCACTCCCGTTCCTCACCCTCAAAGATAGATGACAACAGTCCATGGACATTTCATCAATCATCGGTCGATAGGGAGAAGAAAGCTGTTGAAGATAGGGACTATCTCCGGCTAAACTGCCTCCTCTGGCTTGTTCGACATACGAGCGTGATTCCTCATCAACGAACGGCGTTTAGGGTCGCTCTGGAGGAGATTCTAAAATGCCCAATCCAACAGGTCAGGGCTATCACTATGGAAGATGCGCCTTGGGATGCCATATTTGGATTATTGGTCGAGCCTTATGCCGACCAGACTCACCCCTTATCAGACCACTCTTCTGATGCAATACGCGAGATATCCATCGTGGTCCAAAGTTTAGCCATGCTAGGATCATATTCCAGCTTACGTGGCAATCTTCCGCGGTCAGTCTTGAGCTGGCTGCAAGGACTTGCCGTCGACCGGTCGTATGACCCATTCATCCCCTGCTATGCGGCGCATGCCTACTGGCGTCTGTCCGCTCGCTCTCTTGAAGGAAGGGTGAATAAATTGACAGCAGAATACAGCGCCAAATCTGTTTTCTTGCTATGGACGCAACTACCCTCTCCGTTCACCCGCATAGCACTACACAACTTTGAGGATTACCAGAAACACTGTGTTCCCCGAGGAGCAATCACGGGTCTTGTCGACACTCTCAGTCCATCAGATCCGACCCAATCGATTACGCACGACAGTCCTCGTTCGTCGGAAGAGTGGGATGGATTGTTGCGCATCTCAGCTCTTGGTCTGTCTCAAGATCTTCCCATTCGAGATGGTCTCGAGATGTGGATGGAAGCCGTAGAGACGATTTCAGCTGATCCAATGGCTAGGAGAAGAGGTCAAGTAGCGAAACTTCATCGGGCGGTTGGGCGACAGGTCTTTGTACGATTTGCTCAACTCATCGAGACGGAAGCAGACCTGGTGTACCGTCATGCAATTCGATTTGTTCAATCGCCATTGTGGGCTCAAAAACCATACTCAGTCGAAGATTATGCGCTAGAAGCTTTCGCAAACAATAAGTTGAACATATGGGATCCAAAGTATCGAAGGGGGAGCGCCAAATTGCTATCTTTCATCCTGCCAATACCGGCCGAACACCATGGTGGACTGTGGGGACCTTGGCTGGTTGGAGTAATCATCGGCCTCGACAATCTGCTCAATAGCACGGAGGTTATTCACAAACCGAGCCCTCAAACTCTTGTGACCCTATGTGAAGGCCTAATCAGAAACGAGATTCATCATCTACTAATACTTTCGGATGAACATCTGCGGGTCATGAGACGCCTCACCCACCCTATTTCACAATTATTTGCAAGCGTTGTATCCCGTGTATGCCTCATCCCATTGGCGGCAGCTCCCGAGCGAAGGCTCCTTTGGGAGGGCGACGAGGCTTGGAGATCCGCTGTCCGTATATGGCTTCAGGACTGGCGTTTCTACCCACGTTCTGATGCGATCCAATTTGTACGGGAGCTAATAATCGAGGAGGCTCGGCTCGACAAACCATTTGTCCAAGCATTGCAATTGTTTGGGACACTTACGGAGATGGATGGTAGACCCATCGTGAGTTCTCCTTCTTGCATAGAGCATCATTTTAATCGTCTACAGACATCCTCGTTACTCCATGCACTCTATCGCCCACCTGTAATGACATTCCTCTTGCAAGACCCTGACCCTACGAGGTTCATGGGGCCACTGACATATGCGTCGCAATATCCATGGTTTCACGAGGAGTTCGAGGCCGCCAAAGGGTTCGAGGTATATCCTTTGGCCCCAGTCAAGGTTCCAATGTCTTTTGATCGTGGACTTGCTCTCCCGAAGAGTGTGCTTTCCCGTACAGTCACCCAAGATGCCCTCTTGAAATGGCTACGATGCGCATATAGCTGCTTGCTAGCCGTGTCGGGAACATCGGGCGCTGTCAAGGAAGAGATTCAAAGATGGAGCGAGCGTCGTTTGCGTATCCTTGCAGGATTCTACTATGCCATACTCGAGCATGTAGTAAAGGAACGAGGTGATTTCCTTCCTTTCACAGATTGCTCTTCGCTGATTGATTCTTCAGGTGAAGAAATGCCGAGAGACTGGCGCCTTGAGAAGCTACAAGCGAGCTGGGATGGAGACCCTCTAGCATACGGATTCATCAAGAATCTGTCAGAAGAGGAATGGTTGAAACTCAGGAATCTGCTCGTCGAAATTATCACCGGGCTATTGCGAGGGTTTATTGCCGTGAACCCAACCACGCTCCCGCAGGCGGAACGCGATCCGCAAGGCGTATGCCATTTCTACGCATCGGATTCGATGATATAAGCCCGTTGACTAGTATACCAAGAATGTACTTGATAATTAACGTATAATTCAGGATAGATCAAATGAATACCTGATCTGGAACTTTATTCATTTTGTGTTGTAAGCTGCATCTAATCTACTCCTCGGAGGTAACCTTAGTCTTCATCCCAATTGCCGCTTTGCTGCGGTATTTTCGGGCCACCCGCGGGTTTTGACATAATGATGCTATCAACGCGAAGAACGCTCACGGCTGCCTCGGTCGCCTGACGGATAGCCCACGACTTGGCTGCGAGAGAGTCGAGAATGAGGTGAGCGGGTGAAGTGGTGAGAAGAGTATTGTCTCCCTCGCCCTAGCAAAACAATTAGTGTGCCTTCTCATGGTGGTGGTCAATCCTACGTACTTCGATATCGACACCCCAAGCACGAGCCTTCCAGTTTTCTTTCGCCGCTGCTGCCTTCTTCTCCTTATCTGACTGACCATGGTGCCCATGATGTCGTCCTTCAGCATGACCATGTCCCTCTCCTTCCTCCAATTTCCTGAACAAGGTGCCCACAACTTCATGCGCGCCACCTTCTCCTTTGCCTAGACCTGCATTCTCTGCGAGCATCAACGGTACAACCTCGAGTGCCTCGGCAAAGCGCTTGACGCTATGTTGCTGCAAGCCTTTCAGCGCACTTCCATACTTCTCCACTCGTCGACTGAGCTCAATCTCCGTCGAGCCCGCACCAGGCACCAATCGTCCATCCTTGAGCAATGCCTTTAGAACCGCGACACCGTCATCGACGGCACGCTGTAGATCATCGAGGAAGTTTTGCGTTGCACCGCGCAGAACAATAGTCGCCATCTTGCTCTTCTCACCAGCGACACCCTCTGCGCTGTGTTCTTGTCGTAATACGGTGACTCTGTCACCACCAATCTCACGAGTCTCCATCACATCTACCCAGCCCATCTCCTCTGGAGTTGGCGCACCGAGTCGAGCAAGAGGGGTGGCATTCACGACACGACATAACCTTCGGAGGTCAAACTTGGAGAGGACTTTGAGGACGGCGATTCCCATGCGGTCGAGATAGTGCAATGCGAGCTCTCCGACTTGAGCTCCAGCAATGACGACTTTGACTCCAGCATCTGCTAGTTCTTTGATGATCTGCCACTGCGTTTAGCAATGTCAAAGTTGATGGCGTTGTAATAGCCAAACCTTTTCGAGGTGCTTCTCCTCACCAGTGGTAAAGTTGAGCATCTCTTCTGCGCTTTTGAGAAGAACGGTTCCTTTTGTCTCTGTCTGAGCGATGTCGACTCCAGACGTGAAGACGGCGACTTTGCCCTTGAGGACCTTTTTCACCACACCTGATGCCAAAGTGAGAGAAGGAAAGCTTATGAGTAGAACCGTACCTTCTGGTTCACGATTGAATACCATCCCGTGGACGACGGTGCTCCCAGCAAAGCTGCCACCCAGGATCTTGACCACCCGGACGTTGTCGACATTAAAGCTGGAGGACCTGTATTCACATTAGTGGTGTCAGAGGAACTGACAGGCAAGCTTACTGTGACGGCATTACAATCGTCGCTGCCTCGGCGACAAGTTTGCTGAGGGCGTCCTCATTACCGTACTGCTTTGACGAGATTACAGGTCTGATGGCACGTTGAAGAGCAGAAGTTGTGGGTGGTGATGGTAATGAAGAAGTGGACAGATCTGTGAAATGGCTCAGATGATAGACGACTGAAACAGAACATACGTACGTTCGAGTTCAGCCAGAGCCTTGGCACATGCCATCTCATATCCTTGAATCACGTCGTTTGGATGGAGTCCCATTACGATGAGATTCTCAGCCTTTTTTAGTAGCTCGCCACCGAAGATGAGCACAAGATTGGTCGCGTCTCCCATCTAAATGAGCGACAGGTATACATTAGTAGCGATGCAACTGATATAATTAAGCTAAAATACCTCATTTTCCTGTGCTTGACTTGCCATGACCAATAATTTTGCAGCCGGATGAACCACTTCAATCTCGCGAATAATGATAGCAGCATCCGAGGTCACGAATAGATTCCCAAGGTGATTGATGATCAGCTTGTTTCGGCCTATTTATCGCATCGGGATTCGCAGTATGATACATATCCAGAGTGGCGATGGAGAGACGCCGTGAAGCGTACGCGTCGATGGACAAAGATCGAAAAGCGAGATCACAAGGAGTTCATTGAGCAGTCGTCAGCATACCATCACGTCTTATAACACGCTCGAGAGAGTTTTATGACTTGCCATTTGGACCAAAGCTCGTGCGCACGAGATCAGAGAGCTCAGCTACAGCCTGAATGTTCCGTAGCACAGCATCTTCGATGCCTTGGAGATGTTTGTAGCCCTCCTTGAACAGCTGCAGATTGTTCGCCTTTGGGACCTTGAGCGACATGATGAGTTGCGATTATTCCGAGCAATATGAAGGTATGTTGCTCTTGATATGCGCGTGAATGTCGTTCAGACGCGCTTGAAGATTCAAGCAAAGATGGTGGCAGTCAGAGTTCAGAACTCGACCCGACGCATTTCATAACCGCAAGCGACGGCCTCTATGGGAAAGAAACGAAAGCCAGACGAAATTTCAGACGACGAAAGGATCCAAACAGTCCTTGTCCGGCAGCCGTATGGATGGAATGATCCGAGCGTGTGGGATGCGGAAGAGTAAACGCATTTGTTATCCAGATACTTGCACGCCCATCTCACCTTTGACCAGTCGGAAGCGAAACGACAATGGGTTATACGTGCTCGTCGAATGGCTCACATTCATCTTTGGCGGGGCAGGAGAACCAGGAACGCTACAGAATCTTAGGCGCCTAGGTTATGTTGTCGAAGATGTATGGTGGTGGAGCTCAGTGTGTACTCTCTCCTTTGGGAATGCGCCGTTGAATGTACTGACATGCATTGCAGAGAAACGAGATCCTCGTGTCTATTCATCCGGATATAAACGTTACAAAGCAGTTGGGTCCTCATTATCATGCGCAATTTCTGAAAAGCCCTCGTGTGGATCCCGGTGCAAAGCACACTATCCTCAGCAAGGCTCGTTATGAAGGAGCGGTTCAGATTGTGGGTAAAGGAGAAGGATGGAAGTCTGGTGAGCCGCATTGGCTATATGGTATTCACTAAACGCTTTGACAGTTCCCAATATTCCGGTCATCCAACCTACCTCGATTCGCACTGACAAATTTGTCATCCCATATCCAGCTCCAGGTCCTTTTGGTTCTTCTACCACTTCATCCGGACCTTCCGATCAAAAACCCACAATCAAACCAGAACCAGGTGTCCGAATCAAACCAGAGCAAAGTTTAGATGCAGAGTCTCGAGCCCAAACAGAGGAATTTGAATTCACTCATGTACCGGAGGTCGATGAGAAACCAGATATAAGAGCCGAATCCGAGATTCGTGAAGCATATACGCTGACTGACACGAAAGTCAAAGCGGGTGAGGCTTCAACATTCCAATGAGTTATGCTCAATACCTCCAGATCCTAGGAATTACGAGCACACGCCGAGTGAATCAAGAGTCGAAGCGGGCAGGTGTCCAACTTTCTAGTCTTAGTCGTGCTCATTCCCTCTCAGAGCTCGAGACTCAGACCCCCTTTATTGAAGTAAAGGAAGAAGTCGACTCGAAAGACGGTATGCTTCCTGGTGACGGCTTGATCAAGCTAATCCTGGCCGCAGCACTCGCAGACGAGCTTGCAGCACAGAGAGCTCATCAGCGTCTCCTCGACCTTGCTGCGAGGGAAGATAATGACAGGATTGGTCTGTCCAGCCGTTTTACAATAAGCTTACTGACATGCGTCCAGCCGATAGACCAACGAAAAGAGTCAAAGTCGAGCAACCATAAGCGCACTTTCTTGAAAGCATTTTATTCGTATCCCCTAAATGAATTATATCTTTTTGCCAGATTCTGCAACCGCGAAGTGAGCATCAAATGTATACGCTGAAAGATAAGACCTACCTCGTCGTGTAGCATCCTCTAGCAGTTGAATATCCATCGCAGACGCAGGTAGCTGCACATATCGAATCACAGAGCCGCGAATGAAACAGTTTTTGACCGCCATCTAGCAAACGAGTGATTCAGTGACAAGGCTAAAGACGCGTGAAGCACAGACCATGTGCGGGTGTTGCTCTGCGTTCTCGACTTTGATCGCATCGAGTCGAATGTTGAGGTACCTTAGGCTCGTATGAGTCGCCAAACAGACGATGAGTGGAAATGGACAGACTGGTCGACACTCTTCAAAACTCCAGTTATACATAGATCATTTTTGAGTTCGACGGTGACAGTGTGGTCTGTAAGTGTTTTGAAGACGGAAAAGATGAGCTGCAAGTGGGAAGATGCGTCAGTCTAGTCCTAATACACGGAGCTCCGATGATTCAAACGAAATAAAGGACGGAGAATTGGTGTAAAGAATGATTCTTGGGCCAGTAGATGATGGTCGCGGGGGGCTCACCATCTTTCCCGGATGTGGTTGGGTCGAGCTTTAGTTCGAGGTGGTCATGATGATTCCATAGTGTACACTAGTTTACAGGTGGTGATTATGCGCTAAGAGTAAGTAGTAGCGTCCTTGACCCTCCATCTACGAAGTGGGCCCATCAGACTCCAAGTCGACTTGGGTGTCTCCAAAGAGCGCAAAGGTGGTCTCCGAGAGCGCAGTGCATTATCATCAACACGGTCGACAACTTCATCCCCCCACATATTTCGTCCATCCGCGGAGCCGTCACGATTGCGCATAGTTTGCATCTCCACAGCAGCTGTATCGTGATCAGGTATCCGACCACCTCGGGCAACGTCTCTCTCGTTTTCGCGATTCCGAGCTTCGGTGCTTCGAAAGGCAAAACTTCCAAGTCCCCAACCGCTACCCGGTACGCCCCTTGCACGCTCATCTCCGTAAACGTTGAATCGCCGTTGCTCGTTTTCTGCCTGCTGTTGCTGTGCCGCATTTCTGTGCTCTTGCCTTAGTTTGAATAAAAGGGTGAGCACGGGCTCGGGAAGTCGATTGAGGGGCCAAGGCACTTTTGGAGCAGTAGATCCTTCCGATGTCGAATTACTTTGATGGGAGACGGTGCCCTCATCCTCGCCAGCAGATGCATTTTGATCAACTTGTGCTGCTCGGTTCCTTCTCCGAACAGCGGAGCCCGTGACCGAAGTGGAATCTGCGCCACCTCTGTTCAGCTTCGTCCTCACACGAGACAACCTTGCATTATCGTCTTCAGTCCGTTTCTTGTTGGCGCCCTTTGCTCGCTTTTTCTTTCGGTGTCGCGACCTGGGCTCCGCGGCTGCTGAACCAACGTACCACCACCAGCCTAGGAAACTCTGCCACAGGACTACGGTCCAGACGAGGGGAGGTATCCAGACAGGTGGTAATTTGGCTATCTAAGCTTCTCAGACGGCGCAAAAACAGACAGCTAGGGACCAACCTGATACAAGTTGAGTCCCATAGAAAATAGGCTCAACGCAACAGCGCCTGCGCCAAAAATAGCAGTTCCTCCGTCAGTTCTCCATGCCTCCTTGTAATTGATAAAAAAGCTGTAATTATAAAAGTTAATGATGGCTTGACCGTCAACGAATCGCTCACCCCCATATGCACAAAGCGACGCTAAATAAGATTGCAAGAGCCGAATTGCAGATATTCTTGACCGACTCTGCGATGGATCGAGTCCTATCAGAGTCCGAGAGGGATAGAAAGGAGGAAAGTGACGATAGGAGGACAAGCGGACCTGCAAAATGATGAGTGCGGCCCACAGCTCGACGAACAGACCCACCGAGCAGCCCGAGGATAAGACGCTCTTCAACAAGGGATGGATATAAAAAGGTCAGGAATTGCATGTGTGTTGCCTGGGAGCGATCGTCAGGTTGCTTCTTTTGCTCGACAGCGCCTACGCACATGAGCGAGGCCACTTGTAACGGCGTCCAAGGTGTACCACAAGCCAATATTGGCATTCGTCCAGTTTGAGAGTGGAAGTTGCACAGCTACATAGTTGAACATGTAAGGCCATTCTCTACTGGTCGCGTGGACGTCGGACAGAATCACACTGATAGTTATAGCTAGCGAGAGAAGGAGAGAGAAGACTCCTGATAGTTGCAGACTATAGTTTATTTTTGCCAATGGCCAGTGGTATGGAGCTGTGAAGACGAGGTGGATGAGGAGGACGGTGCTAAGGGCGAGAATGACGCCAGTGAGGAGAACCTGGATAGGTAGACTGTAGGCGAATGCGGGCTGCCAAGGAAGATATGGGTCTTGGTCATAGACGGCTCTTGTCGTTGTCGCCGTTGGTGTTGTGGCCGTAGATGTTAGCAGAGAAGTTATTGTAGACGACATAGATGTCGTCTGCGAAGCCATAGTATCAAACTAGGGCCCGCTTGAGATAACTGCTGGATGGAGTAGAGACCAAGTGGCGATACACTTCTTGGCCCGCGACTACGACTTTGTTCATTATTGTCATCTGCGGCCATGGTCAAGAAGAAGAAGACTAAACATGCAAGTTGCCTATAATGTCGCTCAGAACACTCGCTGACACAACGCGCGTCTGTTAGGTCCTCCGTCCGTGGTGCTGGTACTGCGAGCGTGACTTTGAGGATGAAAAAGGTATGTGAAGAACTATAGAACATTATGAATGCGCTAACAACCGCGTTTTCTCATTCAATGTACTGCAACCATCCCCTTGCCTTGCGTCGACGCGCCTCTAGTCCTGATGCAGCACCAGAAAGCAAAGCACTTCAAGTGTGGTCACTGTCCTCGCAAATTGAACACGGCTGGAGGTCTCGCAGTGCACATCCAACAGGTCCACAAGCTTGACCCAGAACCGTACGGGATATTTATACCGTTCAATCCATCGCTGATGTTCGTATACAGGATCGAAAATGCGCTTCAAGGACGAAATGGCTACGACATTGAAATCTTTGGAATGGAAGGTATCCCCGCAGCAGACGTCGCAGCGTACAAGCGGAAAAAGGAGCTCGAGCTAGGACTCCCTGTCGGATACTTTGGTAACAAGGCCGGAGAACAAAATAAGCCGACCACGAAGCGCAACTACGAGAACCGCGTGTACACATTTGAAGAACTTCGCGGGATGCTCGAAACGCATCGACAACTGATGGGACGAGAAGACGACAAAATGGACACGACGGCAGATGCTTCTGGGCCTGTATTACACGCTGCGCCACAGACCTATGTCCTCCCGACGGGTCTTCCAGGTCTGCCTCCTCCAATTCCTCCCGTGGGCGTCCCCGGTATACCACCGCTCTCTATGACAGGTCCACCGGGTGTACCACCAGTTCCCGTTCTCCCCTTTCCTCCGCCACTTCCAGGCATGCCACCGTTCCCTCCTGGCGCAGCACCTCCCGGAATGCCACCATTCCCGCCGTGAGTGTTCCGTCAAATCCATTTCCCTCTCAATCCTAATTTATTATACAGTGCTCCTGGAATGATGCCCCCACCTGGTTTCGCAGGTCTTCCACCACCAGAGGCGCTCGGAGGCCCACCACCAGGAGGCCCCTCGATTACTCCTGCACCACCTAGGAAGGATCCTGGTCCGTGGTTGAGCAAGCCACCGTCGAACACGACGCCTCAATCTGTACCAAGCTCCCCAATGAAACGAATGGTGCTCGCGTCAAAGACACCAAGCGGACCATTTGATCCCGTCGCGGCAGGGCTCAAGGAAAATACTGTGCTACAATGGACGGATATGGACTTTAGTCCAGTGCGTATTAGTTTCTCAGCGGTGCGCTGAAACTGACAATCTTTCAGTTGGAAAGGCGTGCAGAGGATCCAAAGTACAGTCAATTCGACGCCTCGGAGGACATCGAGATGAACGAGGCAGGTGGAAGAAGTGCCAGATCACGAGCAAAAGCCCGCGACTTTTTAGACTGATGCTCCAAGTCTTACCTGGCTTAGACGGCTTTACTGCAAGTTCGTATTTGTCCTTGTGCTACCGGATTAGGTGAGAGTTACATGTATCGACACAGCTTGGTCTATCACGTCAATGGGATCTAAGCCTATACATTATCACGAGCTCAGAACCTCCAATCCTCCTTTGTGTCCATCGCCCAAGGGACTGTAAGAGCGTGAATTGAGTGTAAAGTGAGTCAGGAAGAAGACGTACACTTGTTGCGGAGAGTCTTCGTGAAGAACAGAGAGATAGAAGACCATGCCGGTCGCAATAGGCTGCGGTGATTCTAAGTCGTTATCAGTGACTGTCCAAAACCGAAGTTATAGATGCCCACCTCGGGTCGAGATAGTTGATTTTACTAAAGAACATCCATTAGAGCTTGGAAGTGGAGAACCAATCAAACTTACCTCGTCGTCAAACTGATTGTCTTCAAGCTCTCCTTGTCGCTCTGCTTGAGCTTGTTCTTGCTAATAATATCGCTCTGCTTCTCAATCATCTTGACAAGCTGTTCGGGAGTATACTCCTTCGTCTCGTCCGCATCCTTTCCTCGGAACGAATACCCAGGCTTCTTGCGATGTTTGACCCAAAGCTTATAGTCGGTTTCCAGCTCTTCAAGCTTCTTGTCGACCTTTTCCTTGCGAGTCTGAATATCCTCTGCAGTACCACCAGTCTCCTCCAACGTCTTCTTCGTGCGCTCCCATCCCTCAGTGAGCTCCTTTTTCTTCTCGGCATAGTACTCGTCCTCAAACTTGGCAATAGCCTCGTCGTCTTCCATGTCGGATTCAGGTTCTGCCCACTCTGGATACTTCTTCTTGAGCTTAGGCTCCTGGTGGAAAAGCTCACGACACATTCCCATGCGCTGATGTTTCAAGTAGCTAATCTATTAAGAGGTGTGAGTTCTCTATATTATAAGGGTTATAGCGAGCTCACCTGGAGCGACATCTTGGCCATTCCAGCTGCATGGTTCTTGGACGCTGCACGTTGATGGTTGCACAACTCTGCAGCCGTCTTGTTGGCGGCATTATACGCATTGACCTTTTCCTGTTGCAAAGTGTTGGGTCCAAACTCGAAGCTGAGCAGCTCCTTCTCAAACGTCGTTGATGCGTTGTAGGTACGGAACACCTTGGCGGTCAGGCCCTTCATGTAAGAGCGAAGATGATTGTTGAGACCAGCCGTCTGAGCACACCGTTAGAATGAGCTCAGTAGAAAGAAACGAGCGCACCGTGACGCGATCAAAGAGCAAGTCAGAATCCTTCTTGCCGCTGCCCTTGAAAATGCGAAGATTCTTGAAGACTTGTGGATCGATGTCGTCAATCTCCTTATAGTACCGAATCGAGTCTTTGCCCAAAAAGTCCAAGATGACGACGCCTGACTTGTCCAACGTCACGTGCTCGAGTCGCAAAGAGCAGCAGCCCACAGTATCCGCCTCGTCTTCACCCTTTTCGTTGCCCGCTCGAAGAGCATACTTGTCGATCAAATACATCGCAGTCGCGCGTTGACGATCCGCTGTGACCTTCGACTTGAGATCGTTTTGATAGTCTGAGCGAATGCGGTCGATGTGATTCTACAACATAGGTGAGTTTGGTCGCTTTCGAGCATCGTTCCTTGTACCTTGAGCTCACGAGCACGTTCAAACTTGTCGCGGTCGCTTTTACCCTTGATAGAGCTCGTCGCGGCTAAGAAGACGTACTTGCAGTTGCCGTTGATATTCTCCTTCCAATGAGCGAGCCACGTGACTGTATTATCGTGCTGCACGGCTTTCCATTTGCCAGGGACACCAGGAACTGGCACCTTTTCACCCTCTCCGATATTGATGACAATGTCCTCAGGACGAACTCGTTTCTGGTAGAGGATTAGAAGGAGACTTTCGGATTTGGTGAAGCGTACCTTGACGCATCCTTTCTTTGGATGCTCACCACGACCTCGGAACAAGCCTGGTGGCTCGACGCGGAAGTTGCCCACCTTTTCTGGGCGGCCATTGAACATGCAGGTTGCATACGGTGCCTCCTCTTTCTGCTTCTTCTCTTTGATCTCCTGCTTTTCAGCCTTGGAAAGACGCTTAATTCTAGCCTTTTCGGCCTCGATGTATTCAGCCATCGGACGGAAATCGCACTTGTCCATCGACTTGATCACGATACCATTGCGCTGATAGACATGAGTCAAAGGAGAACAATTTGATGCGAATCAAATACCGGAGGGAACTCCTTCAAAACCTCTTTCCAATCATCGAAGAAGTTTTTGCGGAAGACGTCATTCTGCGCATGTTCCGTGTCCAGCATGGCAGCGAAGAAGCCTGCAACTTCTTCTGATTCCGGCGGAAGATCGACAGGCTTGCCTACAAGATCCATGAGTACGACGTATGAGGATGAAATCCTGCGTACCATCGTAGAGCATCTTGACAGTGCTGGGCAGAGGAGTGTATGCAGGCGGGAATAGGACACCAGCATGCGAGAGCGAGTCCCACTTCTTCGTGCCGTCGCCTTCGATGCCCTCGGGGGCTTCATTCTCCCACCACTTGTACACTTCTTCCTCCTCTTCCTCCTTTTTGACCTTTCCTTTGCCCTTTGCTTCCTTGGCCGGCTTCTTGTTCCCAGAGAGGACCTGATCCACGTCCATATCGTCTTCCTCTTTGATCTCCTTTTTGACGCGCTTCTTTGGAGGGGCTTTGGCTTTCTTTGCAGGTTTCTCTGTTTCTGTGTCTGACATGGAGGCATCACTGCTCTCTTCTGATTTCTTTCTCTTTTTTGGCGCAGGTCTGGCCCTTGGCTTGGACGGCTTTGTCGACTTCTTGACGAGCGGCTCATCGTCCGAGTCGGACGCATCCTTGTCGTCTTCCTCGTCCTGACTGACTTTGGAAGAAATTGGCGGGAGCCCACCATCGTCGTCTGATTCCTCCTTGTACGTTTTCGTGACCGATTTGCGTGCTGACCGAGAGGATGCGGCACCGACGACAGCCTTGTGCGAGCCAGGCATGGGGACCTTTGTAGTCATGACAGCAAGAGGAGCATCGTCGTCCGAGTCGTCTGTCTCTTCCGAGTTGCGGCCCCGACCAGCAGGACGCCCGTTGGATTTACCTGGCGCGGATGTTGTCGTGGATTTGGCGCGTTTAGCCTGAAAACGGGCATTTTGTTAGCGTATGATTTGTTGAGAATGAACCAAAGAATTACCAGAGGGCGTTCATCCTCCGAAAGGTCGCTGGCGTCGTCCAGCGTGCGCTTGCCATTGGCGTTGCGGTGGGCGGCCTGGCCGTTTGGGGTTCTCTGAGAGTTTATTCCGTTTGAAACGGCTGCGAGGGGGGTGTCATCGTCGCTGGAAGTGCTCATCGCGGCCTGGCAAAGGACGTGTCCAAGGGCAAGTTGCCTCTGCCAAATTTCCACAAAACCCTTGAGCCAGCAACGAGAATGGCCACACCATCAGACGTCAGAGAAAATCTGAGAAATATTCTGAGTGCGATTCAGGCGACTAGAAATGCATTTCCGACTGTCAACGCCAGCCAGGCGAGACCGCTGCAACCCCGGGCTCAGCCTCAAGCACCCATCTCGCTTCCAACAAAATTTAACGCGGCTTTTGCTGCTGTGAATTCTCTAGAGGAGCTCATTTCTCGCCCTTCGACCCAAGAAGCATTCATCGCCGCCCAGAAACTACCTCCCGCACCTCCCAAAGTTGCAATGAAACGCAAGTACGTATTCAAATACATTCCTAGTAGACTTTAACAACTTGTCCAGACGCTCTCCTGTTGAAAATACCGCAAGCCTTTCGACAAAGAGACCGAGCATCCATCGTGCAGAAATTTCCAATGTCAACGCCTTTCCAACGACCACATCTTCTGGCATCACGATTGAAGACCAAGAGACACTGGAAAAGTTTGTTCGTCACGTGAACGCTCAAGGAGTCGTCCGTCTTCATTTCTGGTCACGCTCAAAGATTAACCACCAACACACCGACGGGCCTCAAATCGCCAAACCACGATATCTACGACTCACCATACCAGACCTGCTCGTTGCATATCTGGACATTGCAGAGCGACAAGGCGGCAAGAAGGGATATCAGGTACTCCTTGTCACCATCTTTGGTGCTCGTGAAAGAGTAAGACAACTGATAGTATGTGGGCAAAGACTCATATCGAGCAGAAATTGCCGCATTGCGCCACAGACTTTTCCGTTTTCGTCAAGATATCTCAGTATCTGACTTCAGTCCTTCAAAACCATCCCGACGCAGACATTCCGACCATGGTGGTGAGTCTTTCTTGTATCATTTGATCACATTCTCTAACACTAGCTAGGACCTGCTTTCGTCTTACCGAGAGCTCTACACGGAACCTTGTATGGTGTGTGGATCGTGTTGGTCAATGGAAGGTGAAAAGCCATCTCTATGCTCTCGAATCCAATCTCACATTGTATTTCAGGTGACCTACCACCCGTTCAACGGCTTTGGGTGCCCTCTCAAGAATCTGGAGAGCAAGGCCACTGGATGCCTCGTCATTATCTCTGTGCTCGTACCTAACTTATCACAGATAATACTTGTACAATTTGGAATTGCATTTTGAGTAGCAAAAGTACAGAATTGATAGACGATAATGCTCTCGCAGGGTACCACAGGAGTTACTACGTCGAGATACGTCGTTGTACACTCATCCTCCGTGTCGAACGAGACGGACGGCGAGGTGTAGAAGTTTGCCACATTTGTTCATCAGCCTTCTCCCTCGGATGAGGATTCCCAAAACCCTCAGATGTCAGAGAGTTCCTATGCGCGAGTGTCGAGTTGGTTGGTGGGGAAATGATGATAGATGGCGGACGCCACGTTCCGAATAAGACGTCTATGTGAGATTTGTTCGACGCATTAATGTCCAGAACCATGTCTTCTGTAGCGTCAATGTTCTTTGATGAAAATGACAAAGTCGAGGATACCGACCTGATCATACGCAGGAAGGACGGGTTTGAAGACATCGGCGTGGAAGTATGTGTAGTCGTAGAGGAAGATGAAGCTTGCCGCGCCATTTTTGTTGCCGAGAGCCGTCTGGATGATACACCGTGTTTGTCCATCGCTGACTTCTTTGGGCTGTGAATTGGCCTTTTTACTATGGTTCCTTCGTACTCAGTAGGAGTTCTAGGGCAGGTGGAGGAGTCGATGGACGGGCGTCCAGCCATCCAACCTTGGATTGACTCTTCCGACAGTGGCTGGGCGTCGGCAGAGGAAGCCCGGTCCAGAGAGCCTCTGGAGAATGCAGAGTGATCCAAAGAGCTACGAGCCATAGAGTTGTCTGGCTGTCGCGGTATGGTACTGATAGAACACTCGGTAGGGTCCAAGGCTATCGAGGGGATACGGTAACGAGGTGGTGTTCGTGGCAGTTGTGCTTCGAGACCCTCAGGGAGCTCCTTCGATTCATTGCTAGTCGAAGTAGGCTCCAGGAGAATGCTCTTGAGGTCAGCCGGGGTGGCGTTCGGCAGTGGATGGTGCCTCCTTCTCCTTGGTGAATGACATACTGTGGATCGACTTGTTGAGTTGTCCTTGCACCCAAACGATGCAGCCAGCGAGACTTGGTGGCGTTCGCAGGAGTGAGACACCTGGTGGTGTGCGTGCACGTTCCGCCAATGACTCGCCTGTATCGAATGAGCAGTATTGAGCTTCCAATCACAAGAATTGCGACAAGGGACGCCAGTGCAATCAGCACCACGATGAGGGGTCCACTATGATTGTCACTGCCAGATCCAGCAGCACGAGCAGTGATGGAATGCCGATCGATTTGCCCTTGAGATGCTTGAAATGCGTGATTCGCAAGGCGAATACGCGCGATTTGCTCTTGAGCGACGTCCAAACCAGGATCCGTGTTGAAGACGACACTGGGCGGCATGTTGTTGAGCGTATTTGTGTTTGCTGAGCGAAAGAGTGAGAATTAGGAGAGATTGAATGGGACTACGGGGTGGTGATGCGGATACAACGAGAGAAAAGACAGCGTGGTCGAGTCGAAGATACAGAACGTAAGGGGGGTTACAACAATGCCAACATACACTCCAAAGAAGACAAAAGAAAGGGAGACAATCCGTAGTCTTCATGTACAAGCCGCTTCACCGGGAAGGTATCGTGATACAAGAAGCGGTAGCGAGCTCGAACGCCCGCATCTCCAGTCCGCTTCCACATATGGTTTGGAGAAGGTTCTTGCACTGGGTGAGTAAAATTGCGATGAAATGAGATGATCACTCACGACGTGCCCTTTATGATGGAAAGATTCTCGACGGCCCTGAAACTCAAACAGGAGACGATTTGGTGGAGCACGACCTTCATCTCCATGTGAGCAAATTTCATACCGATGCAACCCTGTTCAACCAACGTCAGCCAAGATATTGGACACGACTAGCTACATACCCTTGGACCAGCGCCGAAGGACATTAGGTGATGGTATGCACCAGGGAGTTGAGAGACTGCTTCAGGAAGACAATTCCAACGTTCCGGTCTAGGGACAAATTAGAAGGTGAAACAAAGCGGGTGGATGTACGCACTTGAACTCCCAAGCATCATCTCCCCAAATTTCTCGATCCACGTTGCACGCCTCGTAGGGTAAATGTATCCACTGACCCCTCTTGACCTTGAGCGTAGAGGATGTGGTTCCGTCTCGCATCACCATAGGCTTCACGAGTGGTATTTCGTCGTCCACCATGGCAACGCGGATAGACGAGTGCACCGAGGGAGACAGGCGTAGTGTTTCTTTGATGATAGCATCCAACCAAGGAAGCGAGTCGATGGCTTTGTAGAGCTCAACCATCTCTTCTTCACCGCATACTTGCGATGGGGAATAGGTCGGTACGGTGAGGAGCTCTTCCTGCAGGCGATCCTGCACCTCTGGATGAAGCGAAAGGTAATGAAGGGTCCACAAAATTGCCAGGGCGGTAGTCTCCGACCTGAAAAGGAGTCAATTGTCGTTGTGAACTGGTAGCCTCGACATACCCTGCGCTCAGCATCGTATTGACAATATCCAATAACTCCTTATCAGACATCCGTTGTTCATAAGGGACATCAGGGTGGGTATTCGCTTTCACTGAAACCTAGTCAGCGCTACCTTTATGCAGAATAGAAAACTCACAGAATAGGGTCAAGAAATCTCGATGTGGGCATTTCTCTGCAGAGTCGAGTATACGTCGTTTCTCCTGGATCAGTTTCATTCCAAAGTCATGAACGATAGCCTTGCATCGTGTAAGTGTGGCGAAGACTTCGGTGGGCTGCAGCAGCGTAAGTAAGAGATGAGCGGGGTGTTGCTACGTACTATGTACGGTTGGAGCCGTGGGACTTGAATTCCGAAGAAGGTGAGGAGAGGGTGTTGTCGTTTCAGCAGCTATATCAAAGTCAGTCACAAGGAGTCGACCTAATGAGTAAAATACATACCACGTTGAAGAGTTCCGTATATGTTTCGTGAAGCTAGAGGCAACGTTATACTCGGGCCCCCAGGAAGAAGCCTAGCACGCACCAGATTGTTTTTCTCGCGTAAAGAGTTAATTTCCACACCTAGACTGACTTCTCCAATAATGTCCTAGCAAACGACGCGTAAACACGCGTCCAAACGCGAGGTAGGCAAAGCAGCTTACCAATCCCAGGCGGACCACCCACTCGGCGACATCAAACTTTGCCTGACCATCTTCCGACTTTTCTACGATGGATATCCATTTTTCCGTCATTTGTGACGCTCTTGCAAAGATGGTAGGCAGGAAAGATTGCAGGTTCCGCTCGCCAAACGCGTGGTCGGCGATCCGGCGTTGGCACTTGTGCTTCAGGCCTTCTGATGAGAATAGCGAGTCTCCGATAATTGAAGAAATAAACGCTTTTGTCGGCCATGGTCGCTGATATATCGACGTCTTGCGGAGTATATACCCAATGGCTACGGGATCCAGCGTCAAAAGTCGTTGGTCAAACTATAAAAAGTCAGGATACACGCCCTAGACACGCCTAACGAACGGCCAACGCACTTTTGCGACGCCGAATACGCGAAACGTGCGACCAAACTTTTGCATAAATTCTTCGTGAAGTTTCCATGATATCTTGGAGCTAGATGGGTGTATTTAGATTTTATTTTCGCTGGAAAGACGCGCGACCGACTTGAACAACCCGTATAAATTTGAGCCCCAGAAGCCAGGGGCGCTCGGGCCCGGGATGTTGGCCACAGGGGACCAAAAGATGGGCAATGCGACATTGACGACGAGGTACCGAGCGACGAGACCTCCAGCAATCAGTGGGATTGCCAAAGCGTAGGAAATAGTCGGCATCGCGGGTCCAAAGTCAAGTGCACCACTTTCACCCATGAGCGCCTAGCGTTTCTGGCGGGCAACTATCTTCTACAGCTCTTTTCCTCCTGTCAGTATGATTGGAATCATTTTTGTGCTGCTTTCATGCAAATTGGTATTTTTGTGGGTTTATTTGGTGCATTGCGCCACTGCCTCCCGTATTTGGTTACCAATTCAATTATCCTACGCCCACCGCGAAATTTTTGGCAACTTCAGCATAGCGATAGGCTTTGCTACGCCTGGAATCAGAGGCCATCTATCATCCGTAGGGGCTACTGCCAGGCTCTCATTCAGTTTACTCATTTCCGAACTCCGCGTGCCTGGAGTAAACTCCGAAGCGAGGCAAGCGCAAGCTTTAGTTGCAAAGGATACCGCCTGAATACCATCGGTGTACCTTGATATAACGGGCGCATATTCAGAACATCGATTAGGAAGAGCCATCTTCGTAACGATCGTGGTGTATTGATAAAGTCTCTTGTTTAAATGACAGAACGGGCAGGATGGGAGAAAGGAATCGGCGCGAGGCAGTGACACCTCTTGGACGCCGAATTAGCACCTTACAGTCTCCGTGGAGTCGTGCGTGTCGATCGAGGAATGCCTGATGGCCCACTCCTCATCCGAGGAAGTGTCACCGAATTGTCGATAGTCGACGCCGACAGGACTGATTACTTGCGCTTGACCTGGAACACTTCTACAAACGAGGCATCAAAGTCTGCCTGGGTGAGCGGGCGTAGAATGGACGAGCTTGAAGGAAGAGCACGGCATCGAGATAAGGCAAACATCGGCTGTTCTTGCAAGGCGGGACCAAAAGTCGGTTTATCGAGGTAGTCCCACTACTTAGAGTCAGCGATGAAGTCTTTGTAGATAGCGCAGCGACTCACCCTCCGACCCTTGAACTCTATACTCTCCGTCTGCTGAATGCGACTACCCATTGGAGACGCCATCAGGAAGACATCCAAATCGGCTGTAATGTCCCTTATGAGGTCCGACTCGGAGGCCGACGGCATCTCACGACTGATTTCGGCGTCGTGATCATTGCGAGCCCTGACTTCTTCCTTGACACTAGTAGACTCGACACTCGTCTCTGCGTCTGTAGCCAAAACCTGATCCACCGAATTACGTGTAGAAGGGTGTGAAAAAAAGCTAGGAGAGGGTGTCGAAACGGCGACACTCGGCTGTGTACTTTCGTAGGCCAAGGGGGAGGTTGCTGGCGTAAAGAACTGCGTAATGATTGATCCATCGTTCAGTGCATCACTTGTTGCGTCAGGAATCAGCTGCAATATTCGTAGAGGCGAAAGGTTTGGCATGATCGAGGCCGAAATCTGTGGACTTTCGTGAACAGGCAGAGTCCGGTGGCTGATCGGTTCGGCCCCTTGAATAGAAAGGTACAAAGAGGCATAGTGCAGAGAAAGTTGCTTGTGTCCTGTCTGAAGAGATGCGCCGACCAGCGTGGGTGAAGGTGCGACTGGTGTTCCGTCAATATTCTGGCCTACCTCCCGTGACCCGACGAGGTTGATCACTTTATGTCCAAGGGGCATGTTCTCTGGAGCGACTATCAAGATTGGCGAGGCATTGTGTGTCAATGGACCGGATAAGGACTTCAGGTTGTCAGTCGACACGTGAAGACTAGGGATCTATTAGTAAATATTGTTTGAATGAGCCAAAATCCTTACGTTTTCCTTGGCCGCTGCTCCTTCTGAGCATGTCTGAGATTCGGTACGCTCTTTGGCCGGAGGAGGTTGAGAGATCGCGTCGCCAAGGCTTTCTTAGGATTTACACGACACAGGGATTCAAATTCTTGATCCTCGTTCTCTGCGGGGGGAGTTGTGTCTGGTGGAGTCAGAACCAAAAAGGCGATGGTGCTGGAAACAAGTTGAGAGATGGCTGATCCTGAATGCTTTGCATCATATTTTGCTGTTGGTTCTTCAGCTTGCGTACGCCTTTTCCAAGGTGGTGCTGTGAACGACAGGGATCTGGCCAGTCGCGGAATCTGGAGTCGTGCTGATAATGTATCACGATGAGAATCCATGGTTTTAGTCATATGAGTACGAGTTGAGGGTGCCTCTATGCTTGATGGATGTTGACGGATTAGCAAACGCGACGGGTGGCAATAGATGGAAAGAAGGTGGATAGAAGAGTTGATAGCAGAAATAGATAAAGGCTTGTAGAATAATAGTATAGCTGACTAGAATTTGCCAAAGTGTGGCCTGGTCGAGGAGAGCTCCAAGGTGTGTCTGAGGGACAAACACGACTTCCGCTCTTACAGGTGGACAATATTCGTTTCATACTTTCAATGCGACTGTGTCATTTCTTCTGCTTTGTTTGCGGCTTCCCCAACTTGGACCCAACATCCACTTAACCTTTCCGAACGATCCACAAACTATTCTACTCTCGGCTAATATACATCTACACTCACTTCTAGTCTCTCATTCCACGCACTGCTTATTGACAGTCAGTACGACTTAGCTCCCTACTACACCGAAGTGACTGGCCGTGCTCTAGCCATGCCGCTCTCGCTTTTATTTAGCTCTACGGTCCTCAACTCTACTTACGAAACGTATGATCAAAACAATGTCAATCACCAAGGGGAGGAGCCCGTTCTCGAGCGTGTCGAAGGAGACGTCTCTACGAACAGCGAAATTCAGGGGCCAGGGGAACACTATTTCGATCACTACGGAAACTTGATCCTTCCTGAAGTTGCATATGGCACTCCTGCAGCACGGCGAGAAGCACTCCTCAAGCGCATCATTGACAAGCGCCTTTGGGTCCACTTCATTCGACCAGCCGTCGTGGACACCTCTCGTCGGCAGTCCAAACTCCCAGCTGCCAAGGCTCCCAAGACCGCATCAGCAATGCTACCCATTGGCGTTGTCGTGGTATTCAAAATTCCTGGAGACGACAACGACAGTCTGGCACGGCTCCTCGACAAGTACGACGAATTTGACAACGAGAAGCTGGCGTCTACTCTCGAGATGACTGCCAAGGTCGTCGAGGGACTCATGCCGAGCATCTTTCAGGTAAGGAGGATCGTCATTGTCTCTTATAGTCTCCTAAAGTTCCCTCAGATGTCAAGGATTGAAGCCCTTATTGCGCCCTTTGACGAGAAGCATGGTCCCATCCAGCTTACGGCTCCAAGTTTGCCATCTTCCCGTGGCTCCAGTGCACAAACATCCAACTCTGGATCCGAGGGCACAACCACTCCAGTGGACGCGCAGATAGCGAGTGCATCCTTGGAGCATGCTTTGACCCTGAAACTTACTCGCCTCTGATCACTTACAACTAGCAGACCCTGTACGCTAGTGACGGACAATTATATTCGCCATTCCCTTGACCACTCGGAGGGTTCATGCTAGACGACGTGGAGAACACTTTACATTTGCTTCCTAAGCTTCGGATTACGAAAGTTGCTGACCAAGGACCGCCTCGTGGCGCTTTCCAACAGCGGCCATATGGCCCAGCGCCTTATCGGCACTTGAACTCTCCTACTTCCAAGTCCCGGCGCTGTTCAACCCCTACTCTTTCAGGTTCCAAATAACCTAGTTCATCTACTTACAGACCTTCTTTGACGCAATATGGGTGCCACGCCATCACAACCCGTGCCCGACTTTAGCGAGAAACGCAAAGTTCAAGCGGCAATGGCTGCTCAGGCGAAGGAGCTAGCAGATAATCTTGCATCTTTGGACTTGAATGCAGTCGCAACTAGCAGAAATGGAGCCTTGGAAGGTGCGTTGTTGGATGACTGGGAATATGCAGCCTCCAAGGTTAGTAGTTACCGTTTAGCTTGAGATTGAATAACACTTCTCTAAGGATCCTGTGACATCCATCTCGAGGACTGTATTGTCTCATACAGATATCAATGCATCGCTCCTCCGACGCCCACCAGTCGTTGCAGATACATTCATCTTCAACGTCTCCCTGCCATATATCCCAAGACCTATCACAAACCAACGTTCAAGCGGGCGCTGCTGGCTCTTCTCCTCGACCAATGTCCTCCGGTACACCATCGCGCAACACCCGTCCGTCGGCTTGGCGGAGGATGCGGAATTCCAGCTCAGTCAGAGCTATCTCTTCTTCTACGACAAGCTAGAGAAGTCGAACTACTACTTGGAGAACAGCATTGAGCTCGCTGACAAGCCACTCGACGACCGGCTTGTGCAGTATCTCAGCATGGCTCCACTCAACGATGGAGGACAATGGGACATGGTGGTGAACCTATTCGAGAGATACGGTGTCGTACCGCAGCCTATCTACCCGGAGTCATTCTCCTCGTCCAATTCTGGCAGAATGGACTCGCTCCTTACAACCAAGGTGCGAGAGCACGCCTTGCGTCTACGAAAGCTCGACCAAGCGCTGCGAAACTCGGAATGGCATGTCGACCTCATCAACAAGGGCCAAGAGGAGAGAGCGGCAGAGGCGCGCGTCGGCATCTTGAGGAAGAAGAAGGAAGACTTTTTGCGCGAGATTTACAATATCCTCGCCATCTGCCTCGGTGTTCCACCATCCCCCAAAGAAAAGTTTACGTGGGAGTACTATGATAAAGACAAGAAGGCTCGCAGCTGGACGGGCACGCCAATCGAGTTTTACAAGACATTCGCGGAAACGCCGAAGAATAAGCACACTGAAGCGTTCAGCTTGATCAACGACCCAAGGAACGAGTATGATACACTCTACACGGTGGACCGACTCGGTAATGTTTGGGGCGGAAAGCCAATCCGGTACGTCAACACGACGAGCAAACGCATGAAGGAAGTGGTGGTACAGGTAATTTATGACCACGCATATTAGGAGTAATCTGACGATAGGATAGTGCATCAAAGCTAACCACCCCGTGTTCTTCGGATGTGATGTCGGCAAGTTCTCCAACTCTCAGCTCGGTATCATGGATGCGGAGATGTACGACTACGAGAGGGCCTTTGGCATCACATTAGGTCAGCTCGACACTTGGTTTATCGAACTCCACTTTCTCACGCATCGCCAGGCATGTCGAAGGCCGAACGTCTTCAATCTTCCGAGTCGTCTATGACACATGCAATGGTCATAACAGCCGTGCATGTTGACGACGAAGGGAATACAGTGCGCTTCAAGGTGGAGAATAGCTGGGGAGACGCGCTGGGTGACCATGGCTTCTTCGTCATGACCGACAAGTGGTTCGACGAATTTGTTTACCAAGTTGTTGTTCCACGCAATATTGCGCCGAAGGATCTAGTCGCCATTTTGGAGAAGGGGAATGCAAGGGTACTCCCCGCATGGGATCCCATGGTCAGTTTCACCTTCTCGCAGCTGTTTACCTTATTAACTATCCTACAGGGCACACTCGCATGACCATGGTGCTTCAGTGCTTACAGAGGTTTGAACTCGTTTCAGAAGGGTGTATATATGGATTATATCAGGACCAGAGTTGCGCGATATTCCTCCTGTCATGGTACTCTAAAGTTCGTCGTGTGCCGGATGAGAGCCATGTTTCCCTCCTTCGGCTGCCGTATCCCATTCCAATGTAATGTAAAAGCTCTCAACGAGCGAGATGCCCACACCCACGGTGAATGTTTCCAGTGCTCCGTCCCACTTGGCATCCTCAACCTTGATCGTCTTTCCGCTCTTCACGGAGAGCTTGACTCCGACGGGGGCCTCGTACACGCCAAGGAATGTAATCTTCGTATATCGTAGTCGACCAACGTCGTACCGGCCACTCGTCGTGACGAGCAGATTTGCTCCATCAAATTCGTAAACAACATCGAGCGTCGCTTCCTGCTCGATGCTGACACCATCATCCATGTAAAGGCTTCCCTTCGCAGTCCATTCTGAGCCAGGGGCGACGAAGAGCTCAAAGTCCTTCTCCCGTAATGCTTTTGTCGTCATGGCGCTTTCCACACGGAGAGGAAGGATTGAGCCACCCTTGATGAGTAGCGGAATCTCGTCCATGGCGACTTGTCGCACCCACGCCTTTTCAGCCGAGCCATATATAGCCCGCTTGGATCCAAAGTCGTAGAAAATGTCGTCGGGAAGGTAAATCTCCACGTCGTTCCCCTCGTCGAGAACCGGAGATACGAGGACGCTTTCTCCAAAGAGGAACTGATGCTCGATACCATAAGTTGCACTGTCCTGCGGATAGGCGAAGAAGAGGGGCTGGACAACGGGGGTCCCGTCAAGATGCGCACGGTGGAACGCGGTGTAGAGATAGTCGAGGAGCCGATACCGGATGTCGATTGCCATCTTTGCGGCTCGTGCGACAATGGGCCAGCGATAGAATTCTTGCGGAATCGATGCGATGTCGTTGTGGTTTCGATAGAATGGTGAGAATGCGCCAAGCATTGCCCAACGAGCACAGAGAGTTTCAGTGGTGTTGTCAACGAATCCACATACTGACCAGAGTCAATTTTCTGCACAACCAGTACTTAGATTCCGCTCACCATCCGATCCAACCATCGGTACTTGATAAATACTGGAAAAGGCGAGCATACCAGCGATCGAGAAACGATATTGCACCCAATCACTAGCAAGGTTAGTCATAATTCTATCCAAGTATGGACGTGCAATACCTGACATTATCCCCTAGCCATTTACCGACCTTGGCTCCGATACCGGCAAACGTCGAACGAGTAATGATAAATGGTCGGACTCCTGGACGCCTCGCGAGCATAGCTTCTCTAGTGGCCATTGACATCATGCTTCCGTACAAATTGTCTGCTCCTCGTTCAGGATAACGAAAAAGTCGAGAAGAAAGACGTACGAGTATCATATTCCAGTAGACCGTTGTGGTGAACAGCATCAACTGGTGCCGTACGGTCACTGAGTCTCGGAAGGTCGTTGTTGATTGCATAAGGCGGACGCTGTAGATTGATTCCCTCGTAGTCTGATTCTTCATCCTCCAACGGCGGAACATCTCCTAGGGTGAGCATAAGCTGATTGACGTCCACCGTATTTGGCGTTACGGTGCATGGTTGATAACAGAACGAAGCAGGTTCGTTCATATCAATCCATGCCGCGTCTATGTCAATTCCATCATTTGGATTGAAGAAGCGCTTGAACTCGTCCGTCCAAAACGGTTGCGCACTAGGATGGAACCAGTCTGGAAAGACGACAGTGCCTGGCCAAACGACTATGTAACAATGAGATTGTGTAGTAAGAGGACAATAAATGCCTACTTCCGATGTGAGGCTGCCCATCTGGTCCTTTGAGCCATACATCTGCGATCGACCCTCGCTCGTATGCTCCAGAGACTCCGGCACGGGTGCCAATTGCGGGGTCGACCATCATGACTTATAAATTGTTAGTGAAATTTCGCACTGAAGAGATTCCTTACCTAGCTGTTGGTTTTTCGAGTGCAGATCTTTGACCAATTTCTGGACCTCTGCCTTTGGATACGCGACTGGATCGGTCGTGAAAACCAAGCGGTCGTCCATGTAATCGACTGACGGCATTAGTTCGAGTAGATGGACGAGTAAAAACATACTATCAATCCACATTGTCTCCAGAGGAATCCCTGCTTCACTGTAGTTGGCAACGACTTGTCTGACTTCTTCGACATCTTTATAGCCAAAACGGCATTGATGCAGCCCAAAGCTCCAGTACGGAAACTCGACAGGCAGTCCAGCTACTTGTGCATATTGCCGAGCCACGTCCACTGGTGTTGGTCCGGCAAAGAAGTATAGATCCAGAATGCCGCCGATGATATTGTACTCCAGGGATCCGTGGCTACCCTCGTTCTTGATCTTGACGTCCATCCCATTCGAATTGAGAAGGAATACCCCATGAGCCCCCGTATGTCGCTGCTCAACATAGATCGGATGTGCACCGTAGAGGTTTGTGCCCGTTGGAATACGGATGGCATCTCGTGCCCAAAGGGTACGCGTAACACCCTGCTCTATGGGTAATCGAAAAGATTCCGTATGTTCTCCTAGTCCATATATGTTCGCGTTCAGAGGCAATGTCGTCTTCAAGCGCAAATACTGCGGCGCGAAGATCAGCGGTGCAGCGGAGGTATCAAAGAGAACCTCATTCGTATCCACCCGAACGATTGAGAAGCTAAATGGACTCGCTGCAAACCGAAACTTGATCTTCGGCGTGATAGCTCCGGTGGATGATGATGGTCGCGGGAAGATGCTTTCAGGTACTTCGTAGCGTGTCTGCTCTGGATCCGTCACCTGAACACGTATTCTAGAATCTAAAGTGAAGAGGGTCATTGCTTGCCAGCCTCGTGTGATAACAACCAACCTGTTTGGTATTGCACTCGCAAGGACAGCTTTTCCAGCTCGTCTCCGTAGATTCCACAGGGCTTTCCTGCAAGCACCAAGTCTGCTGTGAGTTCTCTGTCGGATACCTGAACATTCTGCGCATTGTATCCTGGACATTCATCCAAATTCTGCTGTTTTTGTGTTGCGAATCCGGACGGAGCAACGAGAACCAGGATCAACAACAAAGTGAGAATGTTTGAGTGTCGTATTGATGGGATCATCGTGCGCAGCCGGTGAAGGAGGAGACTGAGCCAGAGTTCGAGTTTGACAAGCGGAAGCCGCCACGAGCGAGTCGTAACTGCCGGGCGAAGATTCTGAAACAGAACAACCATTGAAGTTGGACCGATGAGTGGTCTGGATCTTCACTCAGTCTAGTGGCAACCACGGGTCGACAGGAAAGAAGTCTGTATTCGGGATATATTAAGAAAGCAAGTCACAGGATACTGATCCATATGACCTCGTCTAAGAGAATTCTTCGTTTGAGAGTAAGATGTCTACAAGTGACATCTAAAATTCTGGCTATCCGAAACAGGCGCATACAAAGGCACTACGGAATTATCCTACTAGTCAATAGTCAAGACTTGAACTCTCATGCTCGATGTAAAGATACATCCGACCAAGTTGATTTACGAGGTCGAGCGCAGTGCCAAGAATATTGTTGTATTACGGTCCAAGGATCTCCAGCCGCAAGGCGAATGCATCCCGCCGCATTATTTCTGCTTCCTCTAACTGGTTACATCCATGCAGAGTGGCTGCAAGGTTTTCCATTGCCCGAACCGTGTCTAGGTGCCGTCGTCCGAGGATGTCTAGCCGCAGAGCAAGTACTTCTCGCTGAATTGGTTCCGCTTGCTCCAACTGACCACTTTCATGCAGAGTGATTGCAAGGTTGTCCATTGCGTCGACCGTGTCCTGGTGCCCTCGTCCGAGGATGTCTAGCCGCAGAGCAAGTACCTCTCGCTTCATCGTTTCCGCTTCCTCCAACTGACCACGTCCATGCAGAGTGATTGCAAGGTTGTCCATTGCGTTGACCGTGACCTGGTGCCCTCGTCCGAGGATGTCTAGCCGCAGAGCAAGTACCTCTCGCTGAATTGTTTCCGCTTCCTCTAACTGACCACACTCATGCAGAGTGATTGCAAGGTTGTCCATTGTGTGGACCGTGGCTAGGTGCCGTCGTCCGAGGATGTCTAGCCGCAGAGCGAGTACTTCTCGCTGAATTGTTTCCGCTTCCTCCAACTGACCACACTCATGCAGAGTGATTGCAAGGTTGTCCATTGCGTCGACCGTGTCCTGGTGTCCTCGCCCGAGGATGTCTAGCCGCAGAGCAAGTACCTCTCGCTGAATCGTTTCCGCTTCCTCCAACTGACCACGTCCATGCAGAGTGGCTGCAAGGCTGTCCATTGCCCAGACCGTGTCCAGGTGCCGTCGTCCAAGGATGTCTAGCCGCAGAGCAAGTACTTCTCGCTGAATCGTTTCAGCTTCCTCCAACTGACCACGTTCATGCAGAGTGACTGCAAGGGTGTGCAGTGCCCGGACCGTGTCCAGGTGCCGTCGTCCGAGGATGTCTAGCCGCAGAGCGAGTACCTCTCGCTGAATCGTTTCCGCTTCCTCCAACTGACCACGTCCATGCAGAGTGGTTGCAAGGTTGTCCATTGCCCAGACTGTATCTAGGTGCCGTCGTCCGAGAATGTCTAGCCGCAGAGCGAGTACTTCTCGCTGAATCGTTTCCGTTTCCTCCAACTGACCACGTCCATGCAGAGTGATTGCAAGGTTGTGCATTGCCCGGACCGTGTCCTGGTGCCGTCGTCCGAGGATTTCTAGCCGCAGAGCGAGCACCTCTCGCTTCATCGTTTCCGCTTCCTCCAACTGACCACGTCCATGCAGAGTGACTGCAAGGTTGTGTATTGCGTGGACTGTGTCTAGGTGCCGTCGTCCGAGGATGTCTAGCTGCAGAGCGAGTGCCTCTCGCTGAATCGTTTCCGCTTCCTCCCACTGACCACGTCCATGCAGAGTGGTTGCAAGGTTGTGCATTGCTCGGACCGTGTCCAGGTGCCGTCGTCCGAGGATGTCTAGCCGCAGAGCGAGTACCTCTCGCTTCATCGTTTCTGCTTCCTCCAACTGACCACGTTCATTCAGTGTGACTGCAAGGTCGTGCATTGCAGTGACCGTGTCTAAATTTCGCGGCCCAAGGATGTCTAGGTGCAGAGAAAGTATTTCTCGCTGCATTGTTTCTGCCTTTTCCAGTTGACTAAGCACCCGTAATGTCCCCGCGAGAAGAGACATCAGCCATAGTGAGTCTTTATGCCTTTGGCCAAGAGCGGCCATAACATTCGGAAGAGCAACTTCCAATAAATCTTGGCATGCATTCCAATCTGCCAAAGACTCATAGAATTTGCCGAAAGCCAATGCGCTAGCGACGTGCTGTGACTGAACAGATCGAGGGATGCTGTTGACATGCGCGAGGAGTTGCCATCGGTGTCCATTGCTACTCTCAAATGGCTGGGTTGCGCCAAGCAATAGCTGTGCTGTCATACGTATATAGGTGAAATTCTCTTCTTCGTTCAGTCCATCCTTGATATATGTTTGAAGGAGTGGGTGAACAGTGTAGAATAGCCCGTCAGTTGAAACACTGATCAGAGACGCGTGCAAAGCCGAATCTACAGTTTCTTGGAACGTAATCTCATCCCATTCCAACCCAAAAATTCCCTCTAGCTTTGTAGTAAATACTTTATCACTCTCTGGTGGGGCCCAGCTCGCCCTGATCACGGGTGTGATAAATTTTGACTCGGTCGATTGCTGGAATAGCGCGTATGGAATGAGGGAGTGGTGAAGAAATGCGCATATTCTCATAAAATCCTGTGTTTTAGTCGGTAGACGGCGAAAAGACAGGTCGAATGCGGTGTATGTCGAGGACGGATAATGTGTTCCCTCACCCGGAACTTTGCTCATCAATCGCTTTCTATGCTTGCGAAAACTTTCGAGGTATGTATCCGGACGCTGTGTAGTGCGGATGTAAGCCCCCGCTTGAGTGACCGCAAGTGCCAGCATTCCAAGCTCCCTTACAATCTCCACAGACTTGATTCCAGATGTACGTGGGATATTGGAAACTGTATGAAGGAGGTTTATGGCCTCGCTCTCCTCCAGCTCGCCGACAGGAATTGCGCCGTTGGGAGCGTGGCCAATGCAGCCTCTATTCCGTGTCGTGATGATGATTGCTCCATGGATAGACCCCGGGAGATATGGATCAAGATTCAGTTCAGATGAATCTGCGTTGTCCATGAACAGTAGCCATCCCTTTTCATTGTAGTCCAGGTGGGAGACTGCATCCTCCCACGTCATCTTGCTGTATTCGGTTCCCAAGGTGCGAATCGACCGCTCCAAGTCCGCTTCCAGCTGGGCCTGACTCGTTGCATCGATAACAATCACTCGAGTGAACCTTGTAGAATATTAGAGACGTCCGATGCATATGTAATCGCATACTTGTTCTTATTTTTCCTGATCCATCTCGTTGCAAGCTGAGTTTTCCCAGCCCCTCCGAGCCCGTATAGAATACATCGCGGTTGGCGGCCCACATCGCCGCCTGGGAGAAGCTTTTGTGTAATGAGAGATTGGAGCTCTGGTCGCTCGATGTAGCTTATTGACGCTGGTGGAAGTGACTTCGGTCGTGCCACTTCCTGGGAACCAGACTCTCCTCTTGCAGCGCCTGCGAATCAATTGGCTAACTAGTGATGTTTACACGGTGCTACTCACTGCGATAGATGTCTTCTCTTGTCCACTTCTCACTCACAGCTGTGGTTGCGCCGCTGGAGTAGTCTTTGAGATGATGAAGAACGGTGCGATAATTGTCTCTATCTGCTGCATGGAACCTGACCAGATCTTCGTGGCTGGCATGCAGGACGATAGTCGTGGCGTTTCGATCACCAGCGATGACCGCCGCGTGATGAGGAACATTCTATGACATAGTCAGCATCGGATCAACCTGTCTAAATTCGAAACGAACCAACTTCCTCCTCTTTCTCTCTGCAGGTGTCTTGTATGCTTCACAGAAGAATATACTGTTGAACTTCTCGCTCGCAGCGACATACAGACTCTGGACGTTTTCGAGTTCAGACGAGTGATTCTCAAGATCTTTGAGGAGAACATTGGTCGTTTTCGTATACATTGATGCGAAGCGGTCGATCGCGGTCAGGAGAGTCGTGCCCTCGAAGCCAGAGTGAGGAGTTCCGAAGAAGAGGATCGCATGAGTAGAAACCAAAATATCTCGTAGATCGCACTTTGACTCCGGGTTCTGATTGTGACAGATCACGAGCGCCTACACGAGCGTCAACACAAGAGGTTTCAGCTTGACTGTGACGAACCCATTTGAGGATGATACCTCCTATATTGTGCGCAACGAAGATTATAGGACGCTAGGTGTTGTTCAGAGTATGCCCCTTCGCAGTAGGTGTTTACTTACTCGAGGTGCGTGCGTCCGTTGCCTTGAAAGAGCCTGAGCCAGTCCTTCGGCATGACGACGCATTGTTTGAGTGGATACGCATTCTTTACTTTGCGTATCGGCATCGTAGCCATAACTGAGGATTCGTGCGTTGGGCAAGTTGGAAGGCAAGAGATCCCGTAGCCATAGGATCCCATCGTCTGTTGTCCATGTCTTTTCTCTGTGACCATCTAGACCATGAATAGCGACAATACTAACATAGCAAGCTCAGCAACGACTATGCGCTTTGCGTATGCAACTCACTCGACGACAGGATCAGTCCCTGGTGATAGTTCCAGAAATCCAAGGTCATCAATCTTCGATCTGGGCATGGTGTGGTTCACTGTCTGTTCCTCAACTCCTTGTTGATGCCGTTCAGCCGGCGGCCAATCTGGTGAGTAGTGGTTTGTGAGGAGTGTCCGAAGGCGTTAAGAGGCCCCTTGAAGTACGCGTAGTTGCCCAGCTCGATGTTGGTGTTGGTCGGGAACAAGAGCAGTTCTCTTTGGACTGTGGGTGCGGCGCTAAACAGCTGGCAAGGAGAATGGCAGGGCGAACGAGGTCCTAATTGGTGGTAGAAATGAAGTTGTTTCAAGATCATGCACCAACAACTAATCTGAGTAAGGGTTGTGCCGACTAATTTCGGGTTGTTGGCGGTTGAGAGCAAACACAGTCAGGGCCTCTATCCAACGATCCAAATCTCTGGGACACTCCAAGCATGAGACACTGAATTCATCCAAACTAATATCCTCACCTCTATTGGTGGGTGGATGCGTCTACGAGGATTCCACCTCCTGCTCGACTTGACTTTGAAGGTATCATTTGAGCACTGTGACGAGCCCGAATATGACTGTGCAGGTCGCCGTAAACATGACCTAGGGCGTGCCTTCTTTGGACCCGATCTCGACATTCACGACGCACAAAATACAAGCCATGCCATCAAACCACCCTCAACTTGACTCATCATCATCGAAATTGGTAACTGAAAGCTCCTATTTGTGTCTTTCTCGTGACTAATCGGCTGCAGACAGCATCATCCCACCCCTGTTCTGGCCTTTTGCACGACACCTTGGGCAAGAAGCAGCACGATGCCATAAACAAGCAGAGGGACCTTGCAGAGACCCTCGAATTGTGGCTCTTATTTGCCCGTGCGTGCCTACAGGAGATGGAACGAAAGCACAATATCCGCTGCTTCAGTACCTCGCGTCTCCCGATCAAAAAGTGCCCACAGGAGCTTCTCCTGAAGATATTTAGGTACTATCTTGGTGAATCTAGTCACCAGGCCATCGCCAATCTGCTACTGGTTTGCAAGCACTGGTATCGACTCGTGATGGACAGTCCCGAGATTTGGGCATGTGTAGAGGTTGACTTCCGAATCGGAGACGATGAAGCACACCTGAATGCCCTTTGCACGTACGCGGTGACTTGCATGCGACGGAGCAAAGGCCTTTTACTCGACGTCATCATTCGTTTCGAGACTTTGGAGGATGCAATGAGCAGAATCGAGTGGCTGGCATATACAGATGCCGGCTTTCTTGAGGAACAGGGACTAGCTGTGCGGGATATCGTCGATTACGAAAAGCCCGAGAATAGTTTACTCGACAGTAACAATATAGAATCGAATTCTCGCCTTCTTTCGGAAATCACAGGGCCCCAGGGACTCGGGCTTGCCCGTTGGAGGAGTTTCACAGTGGTGATGCCAGACTATTCACTAAATGACAGTATCCACGATCTATTTCGCTACCCAGCGCCAAATATAACACACATGTCCATTCGAAACCGATTCGGAAATACTGATTTTGGATTGTCTCTCCCTGCAGTGACATTACTCGTGGCCACGGACTGCAAGACTTGTCTGGCCAACAGGTCAAACTGGAACTAGTTCTGCACCTCGAGTTATACCACCAGCAAGATACCCCCGGCCTAAGCATTCTTTCCGCATGTCGAGCACGCCGGAAGTTGGAGATACAAACTCATTGTGAGGATGAACAAGACCCGTCTGAGCTTCTACGCTCCTCACAAGATATTCACCTCCCCACCCTTCGTTTTCTGATATTGTGGGGAGCTTTTGACCCTTTCAGCCATTACACAGTCAAGTTCTCGACGTTGGAGAAAGTGATAGCGCATTTAGGAGATGGATGGGACGTTCGCGCAGGTGCACGTCCTCGTATATTCCACCAGTATCTCCCGCGCTCGTCCCACCATCGTTTGTCGCTTCTCCAACGGCTATTCCGTAGGGGAAATGTGATCGAGGCGCTCATAATCTCATCGTGCAGTCCGGATGATCCCGACATCATCACTGTGATCCGGTCTGCAAAGATGGCAAACACTTCACCCCCTTCGCTTCGCTACGTGACTGTTATTGCTAAGGATGGAACAGCGACACCCATAGACTTCCTAAACGTATGAGTCTGTATAGAGCACGACGATTCACTCAAATTTCGGATTGATACCTTGTTCGATGGATCACGCATCGGGCAGAGCTTAATTATCTTTGATAACTCACTATGTAGGACATCGTTTATGGATGAAACTTCTTCACATTTTGCGCCTAACTGATCAAGGACATGGCAATTGGTAGCTCGAATAAGTCGCCAATCTCAGAGGACGTGAGTATGTTTCAATAGATCTCCATATTGGTAGTCGTGCCACCGTTTGCGGACATGGCCTGACGCTTGCGTTCCTATTTTACGAAGTGAGTTGGAATATGTATTCAAGCCATCGAAACACGTACTTCAAATTCGAGGAATATCTTGTACTCCTCAATTTCAACCTTGCCAAGGTCAAATGGACAAGCCCGTGCTCGTAGTAATTCCTCAACCAGGCTTGTACTGTACCTACCGACTCCTCGCACAAGTTGTACAAGATCGCTTGGAGCTCGACTCCCAATCTGTTATGTTCCTATGCTCGATGGTTACGCACTTTCAGCTCGGACAAGAAGTATGCTCTTAGCTCCGAGTCTGCAGCGATGTCTTCGTCGTACCCGAGTGGCCCGTCCCATTGGGGACCCTCCATCGTGAAGCGGTTGATGTCGTCGTTGAACCAATTGGAAGGCGTCACGCCTAACCAGGGTGGTCGAAAGCCAGCCATTCACAGTTAATAACACCAGTTATGGTACCGGTCTTCGGATTGATCAGGATATTGGCGTTGCTAAGATCGCCATGAGCGAAACGGAATGACTTGGGATCATCTTTAAGAGGGTATAGTGGCCGATCTGTATCGTATACAGCCAGTTTCTCGGATGTCCTCCATCTCGCTTTGTGAGGGTAAGTAACGAGCCAGGCGGTGAGCCCAGGTAGGCAAACACCTCGAGAAATTTGCGCTCGGTGCGGTATGAACCACAAAAGCTGGCAGCCACGAGGTACTTATAGGCGACAAGCGTAGTGTCGTTCACTGGGCCAATCACGAAATCGCCATCTACCGCTTGGGCCCCGTCAGTAGCTATCTCTTCGATGTTATTAGAGCGAGGGGACCCACTTACCGACCTTGGTCCGACACCAGCAAACGTCGAACGGGGAATGATCAACGGTCGGACTCCTGGACGCCTCGCGAGCATAGCTTCTCTAGTGGCCATTGACATCATGCTTCCGTACAACTTGTCTCCTCGTCGTTCGGGATAACGAAAGATTCGAGGAGGAGACGTACGAATATCATATTCCATCAGTAGACCGTTGTGGTGCACAGCATCAACTGGTGCCGTACGGTCACTGAGTCTCGGCATGTCGTTTTGATTGCATAAGGTGGACGCTGGAGGTTGATTCCCTCGTAGTCTGGTTATTCATCCCCCAACGGCGGAACATCTCCTAGGGTGAGCATAAATGATTGACGTCCACCGTATTCGGCGTTACGGGGCATGGGTGATAACAGAACGAAGCAGGTTCGTTCATATCAATCCATGCCGCGTCTATGTCAATTCCATCATTTGGATTGAAGAAGCGCTTGAACTCGTCCGTCCAAAACGGTTGCGCACTAGGATGGAACCAGTCTGGAAAGACGAAAGTGCCTGGCCAGACGATTATATAACAGTGAGATTGTGTAGGAAGAGGATAACAGATTCCTACTTCTGATGTGAGACTGCCCATCTGGTCCTTTGAGCCAGACATCTGCGATCGACCCTCGCTCGTATGCGCCAGAAACTCCGGCACGGGTGCCAATTGCGGGGTCGACCATCATGACTTATAAATTGTTAGTGACATTTCGCATTAAGGGTTTCCTTACCTAGCTGTTGGTTCTTCGAGTGCAGATCTTTGACCAATTTCTAGACCTCTGCCTTTGGATACGCGACTGGATCGGTCGTGAAAACCAAGCGGTCGTCCATGTAATCGACTGACGGGCATTAGTTCGAGTAGATGGACGAGTAAAAACATACTATCAATCCACATTGTCTCCAGAGGAATCCCTGCTTCACTGTAGTTGGCAACGACTTGTCTGACTTCTTCGATATCTTTATAGCCAAAACGGCATTGATGCAGCCCAAAGCTCCAGTACGGAAACTCGACAGGGAGTCCGGCTACTTGTACAGATTGCCGAGCCACGTCCACTGGTGTTGGTCCGGCAAAGAAGTATAGATCCAGAGTGCCCCCGATGACATTGTACTCCAGCGATCCGTGGCTACAGTCGTTCTTGATCTTGACGTCCATCCCATTCGAATTGAGAAGGAATACCCCATGAGCCCCCGTATGTCGCTGCTCAACATAGATCGGATGTGCACCGTAGAGGTTTGTGCCCGTTGGAATACGGATGGCATCTCGTGCCCAAAGGGTACGCGTAACACCCTGCTCTATGGGTAATCGAAAAGATTCCGTATGTTCTCCTAGTCCATATATGTTCGCGTTCAGAGGCAGTGTCGTCTTCAAGCGCAAATACTGTGGCGCGAAGATCAACGGTGCAGCCGAGGTATCAAAGAGAACCTCATTCGTATCCACCCGAACGATTGAGAAGCTAAATGGACTCGCTGCAAACCGAAACTTGACCTTCGGCCTGAGAGCTTCGGTGGATGGTGGTCGCGGGAAGACCCTTTCAGGTACTTCGTAGTGTGTCTGCTCTGGATCCGTCACCTGAACACGTACCCTAGAATCTAAAGTGAAGAGGGTCATTGCTTGCCAGCCTCGTGTGATAACAACCAACCTGTTTGGTATTGCACTCGCAAGGACAGCTTACCGAGTTTGACAAGTGGAAGCCGCCACGAGAGAGTCATAACTGCAGAGGGAAGATTCTGAAACAAAACAACCATTGAAGTTGGACCAATGAGTGATCTGTATCTTCGCTGGCTGGCGCCCCGTCAAAACAAGACGTCTGCATTCGGGACATACTAAGAAAGCAAGTCACAGTATACTGATCTATATGACATTGTCTAAGAGAGTTCTTCATTTGAGAGTAAGATGTCTACAAGTGACGTCCAAAATTCTGGCTATACAAATCAGACACATAGAGGCACTGCGAAAGTATCCTAGTAGTCAATATTCTAGACGTGAACTCTCATGCTCAATGTGAAGATACATCCGACCTCGAACCGACCAATTTGGTCTACGAGGTCGGGCACAGCGCCAAGAATAATTTTCTATTACGGTCCAAGGATCTCCAGCCGCAAGGCGAATGCATCCCGCCGCAGTGTTTCTGCTTCCTCCAACTGACCACGTCCACGTAGAGTGATTGCAAGGCTGCCCATTGCCCGGACCGTGTCGAGGTGCCGTCGTCCAAGGATGTCTAGCCGCAGAGCGAGTACCTCTCGCTTCATCGTTTCCGCTTCCTCCAGCTGACCACGTCCACGTAGACTGATTGCAAGGTTGTCCATTGCCCACACTGTATCTAGGTGCCGTCGTCCAAGGATTTCTAGCCGCAGAGCGAGTACCTCTCGCTGAATCGTTTCCGCTTCCTCCAGCTGACCACGTCCATGCAGAGTGGTTGCAAGGTTGTGCATTGCCCAGACTGTATCTAGGTGCCGTCGTCCGAGGATGTCTAGCCGCAGAGCGAGTACCTCTCGCTGAATCGTTTCCGCTTCCTCCCACTGACCACGTCCATGCAGAGTGGTTGCAAGGTTGTGCATTGCCCAGACTGTATCTAGGTGCCGTCGTCCGAGGATGTCTAGCCGCAGAGCGAGTACCTCTCGCTGAATCGTTTCCGCTTCCTCCAACTGACCACGTCCGTGCAGAGTGATTGCAAGGTTGTCCATTGCGTGGACCGTGTCGAGGTGCCGTCGTCCGAGGATGTCTAGCCGCAGAGCGAGTACCTCTCGCTGAATCGTTTCCGCTTCCTCCAACTGACCACGTCCATGCAGAGTGATTGCAAGGTTGTCCATTGCCCAGACCGTGTCTAGGTGCCGTCGTCCGAGGATGTCTAGCCGCAGAGCGAGTACCTCTCGCTGAATCGTTTCCGCTTCCTCCAACTGACCACGTCCACGTAGAGTGATTGCAAGGTTGTCCATTGCCCAGACTGTATCTAGGTGCCGTCGTCCGAGGATGTCTAGCCGCAGAGCGAGTACCTCTCGCTGAATCGTTTCCGCTTCCTCCAACTGACCACGTCCATGCAGAGTGATTGCAAGGTTGTCCATTGCCCAGACTGTATCTAGGTGCCGTCGTCCGAGGATGTCTAGCCGCAGAGCGAGTACCTCTCGCTGAATCGTTTCCGCTTCCTCCAACTGACCACGTCCATGCAGAGTGACTGCAAGGTGGTCCATTGCGTGGACAGTGTCGAGGTGCCGTCGTCCAAGGATGTCTAGCCGCAGAGCGAGTACCTCTCGCTTCATCGTTTCCGCTTCCTCCAACTGACCACGTCCATGCAGAGTGATTGCAAGGTTGTCCATTGCCCGGACCGTGTCTAGGTGCCGTCGTCCGAGGATGTCTAGCCGCAGAGCGAGTACCTCTCGCTGAATCGTTTCCGCTTCCTCCAACTGACCACGTCCATGCAGAGTGACTGCAAGGTTGTGCATTGCGTGGACCGTGTCGAGGTGCCGTCGTCCAAGGATGTCTAGCCGCAGAGCGAGTACCTCTCGCTTCATCGTTTCCGCTTCCTCCAACTGACCACGTTCATCCAGTGTGGCTGCAAGGTCGTGCATTGCAGTGACCGTGTCTAAATTTCGTGGCCCAAGGATGTCTAGGTGCAGAGAAAGTATTTCTCGCTGCATTGTTTCTGCCTTTTCCAGTTGACTAAGCACCCGTAATGTCCCCGCGAGAAGAGACATCAGCCATAGTGAGTCTTTATGCCTTTGGCCAAGAGCGGCCACGACATTCTGAAGAGCAACTTCAAATAAATCTTGGCATGCATTCCAATCTGCCAAAGACTGATAGAATTTGCCGAAAGCCAATGCGCTAGCGACGTGCTGCGACTGAACAGATCGAGGGATGCTGTTGACATGCGCGAGGAGTTGCCATCGGTGTCCATTGCTACTCTCAAATGGCTGGGTTGCGCCAAGCAATAGCTGTGCTGTCATACGTATATAGGTAAAATTCTCTTCTTCGTTCAGTCCATCCTTGATATATGTTTGAAGGAGTGGGTGAACAGTGTAGAATAGCCCGTCAGTTGAAACACTGATCAGAGACGCGTGCAAAGCCGAATCTACAGTTTCTTGGAACGTAATCTCATCCCATTCCAACCCAAAAATTCCCTCTAGCTTTGTGATAAATACTTTATCACTCTCTGGTGGGGCCCAGCTCGCCCTGAACACGGGTGTGATAAATTTTGACTCGGTCGATTGCTGGAATAGCGCGTATGGAATGAGGGAGTGGTGAAGAAATGCGCATATTCTCATAAAATCCTGTGTTTTAGTCGGTAGACGGCGAAAAGACAGGTCGAACGCAGTGTATGTCGAGGACGGATAATGTGTTCCCTCACCCGGAGCCTTGCTCATCAATCGCTTTCTATGCTTGCGGAAACTTTCGAGGTATGTATCCGGACGCTGTGTAGTGCGGATGTAAGCCCCCGCCTGAGTGACCGCCAGTGCCAGCATTCCAAGCTCCCTTACAATCTCCACAGACTTGATTCCAGATGTACGTGGGATATTGGAGACTGTATGAAGGAGGTTTATGGCCTCATTCTCCTCCAGCTCGCCGACAGGAATCGCGCCGTTGGGAGCGTGGCCAATGCAGCCTCTATTCCGTGTCGTGATGATGATTGCTCCATGGATAGACCCCGGGAGATACGGATCAAGATTCAGTTCAGATGAATCTGCGTTGTCCATGAACAGTAGCCATCCCTTTTCATTGTCGTCCAGGTGGGAGACTGCATCTTCCCACGTCATCTTGCTGTATTCGGTTCCCAAGGTGCGAATCGACCGCTCCAAGTCCGCTTCCAGCTGGGCCTGACTCGTTGCATCGATAACAATCACTCGAGTGAACCTTGTAGAATATTAGAGACGTCCGATGCATATGTAATCGCATACTTGTTCTTATTTTTCCTGATCCATCTCGTTGCAAGCTGAGTTTTCCCAGCCCCTCCGAGCCCGTATAGAATACATCGCGGTTGGCGGCCCACATCGCCGTCTGGAAGAAGCTTTTGTGTGATAAGGGTTTGAAGTTCTGGTCGCTCGATGTAGCTTATTGACACTGGTGGGAGTGACTTCGGTCGTGCTACTTCCTGGGAATCAGACTCTCCTCTTGCAGCGCCTGCGAATCCATTGGCTAACTATTGACGTTTACACGGTCCTACTCACTACGACAGGTGTCTTCTCTTGTCCACTTCTCACTCACAGCTGTTGTTGCGCTGCTGGAGTAGTCTTTGAGATGATGAAGAACGGTGCGATAATTGTCGCTATCTGCTGCATGGAACCTGACCAGATCTTCGTGGCTGGCATGCAGGACGATAGTCGTGGCGTTTCGATCACCAGAGATGACCGCCGCGTGATGAGGAACATTCTATGACATAGTCAGCATCGGATCAACCTGTCTAAATTCGCAACGAACCAACTTCCTCCTCTTTCTCTCTGCAGGTGTCTTGTATGCTTCACAGAAGAATATACTGTTGAACTTCTCGCTCACAGCGACATACAGACTCTGGACGTTTTCGAGTTCAGACGAGTGATTCTCAAGATCTTTGAGGAGAACATTTGTCGTTTTCGTATACATTGATGCGAAGCGGTTGATCGTGGTCAGGAGAGTTGTGCCCTCGAGGCCAGAGTGGGGAGTTCCGAAGAAGAGGATCGCATGAGTAGAAACCAAGATGTCTCGTAGATCGCACTTTGACTCCGGGTTCTGATTGTGACAGATCACGAGCGCCTAGACGAGCGTCAACACAGGAGGCTTCAGCTTGACTGTGACGAACCCATTTGAGGATGATACCTCCTATATTGTGCGCAACGAATATTATAGGACGCTAGGTGTTGTTCAGAGTATGTCCGTTCGCACTAGATGTTTACTTACTCGAGGTGCGTGCGTGCGTTGCCTTGAAAGAGCTTGAGCCAGTCCTTCGGCATGACGACGCATTGTTTGAGTGGATACGCATTCTTTACTTTGCGTATCGGCGTCGTAACCATAACTGAGGATTCGTGCGTTGGGTAAGTCGGGAGGCAAGAACTTGCGTAGCCATAGGATCCCATCGTCTGTTGTCCATGTCTCTTCTCTGTGACCATCTAGACCATGAATGGCGACAATACTGATAAAGCACGCTCAGCAGCGACCACGTGCCTTGCGCATGCCACTCACTCGACGACAGGATCAGTCCCTGGTGATAGTTCCAGAAATCCAAGGTCATCAATCTTCGATTTGGACATGGTCTGCTTCACTGTCAGTTCTTCAAGTCCTTGGTTATGCCGTTTAACTGGCGTCCAATCCCCTGAGCAGTGGTTTGTGAGGAGTGTCCGAAGGCGTTAGGAGACTCGTTGAAGTACAAGTAGTTGGCCAGCTCGATGTCGCTGGCGTTGGTCGGGAACAAGAGCAGTTCTCTTTGGACTGTGGGTGCGGCGCTAAATGGCTGGCAAGGAGAATGGCAGGGCGAACGAGGTCATAATTAGTGGTAGAAATGAAATTTTTTCAAGATCACATGCCAACCAATAGTCTGAGTAAGGATTGGGCCGACTGATTTCGGGTTGTTGGCGGTTGGGAGCAAATGCGGTCAGTGCCCCTATCCAACGAGCCAAATCTCCTGGACACTGTAAGTGTGCGACACCGAATTCACTCAAACGAAGATCTTCACCTTTATTGCTGGGTGGATGCGTTTACGAGGATTCCACCTCCTGCTCGACTTGACTTTGAAGGTACCATTCGCGCAGTGTGACGAGCCCGAATATGACTGACCGTATAGGTCGCCACAATCATCGCCTCCTTTGGACCCGACCTCGACATTCACGACACACAAACTACAAACCATGTTATCAAACCACCCTCAACTTGAACTATCATCAAAACTGGTAAACAAAAGTTCCTAATTGTGCCTTTTGCGTGACTAAATAGCCGCATTCCACCCTTGTTCTTGCCACCTGACTGTTATTGCTAAGGATGGGACGGCGACACCTATAGAATTTCTAAACGTATGAGTCTATATAGAGCACGGCGATTCACTCCAATTTCGGATTGATACCTCGTTCTGTGGATCACGCATCCGGCAGAGCTTCATTACCTTTGATACCTGACTACATCGGTTATGGACGAGGCTTCTCCACATTTGGCACCTTATTTATCAAGAGACATAGCAATTGGTAGCTTGAATTAGTCGCTAATCTCAGAGGACGTGCAGTATGTTTCAATACCTGTCCATATTGATAGTCGTATCACCACCATCTCATTCCCGTTTACTAGACACACACTCGCATGTCTAAGCGTATCCATTAGCTGTGTAATCAACATTGACATCTACGTCCATCTATCTAACACCCGCTCCAATCATAGCTGAGGTCCCGCCGCACGAACCTTTTCGCTCACATCCTTCATATAGAGCGCAAACGCCTTTGTGAACATGGCACCCAACTTGCGTACCTCGCGCGTAAACGCATTCTTATCTTGCCAAGCCAAACTCGGGTTCAAAATCTCGCGAGGCACACCTTCAATGTGCGTCGGGATCGTCAAGTTGAACACGTCAAAGTTTTCATACTCGGCATTCAAGAGTTCACCAGAGTGAATCGCGTCGACGATTCGGCGTGTGTATTTGAGTGGGCACCGGCGACCTGTGCCGTATTTGCCGCCTGTCCAGCCCGTGTTGACGAGCCAGCAGCTGGCATTGGTGGCTTCCATGCGATCGGCGAGCATTTCAGCGTAGCGGGATGGCTAAGGGAATGTGAGGATGTGACGTATGCGAGTAAGGGTCAACGTACGTGGAGGACGATGAACGGAGCACTATAGCAGGTGGAGAACGTTGGGACGGGCTCTAGCACACCGTCTTCGGTTCCAGGTGTCTTCCTATACAAGAGTGAACAAACGCAGTGAAAAGGAGAGAGGGACGCACGAGGTGTAACCAGCAAGGAAGTGGTAGCTCGCCTGCTCAGGCGAGAGTTTGCTGACAGGCGGGAGGACACCATAGGCATCACACGTGAGCATGATGATATTCTTGGGCTGCGAATTGACTGCGCAAGGGATACGCGCATTCGGGATAAAGTCGATAGGATACGCACAGCGCGTATTCTCCGTAATGGACACGTCGTCATAGTCGGCCTTGCGGCTATTGATATCGAACACGACGTTTTCGAGAATCGAGCCAAAGCGAATGGCGTTAAAGATTTCGGGCTCCTTTTCCGCAGAGAGGTTGATCGTCTTGGCGTAGCAGCCACCCTCAATGTTAAACACACCCTCGTCGGACCACACATGCTCGTCGTCGCCAATGAGCTGACGTGCTGGGTCTGCAGAGAGCGTCGTCTTGCCGGTGCCGGAGAGACCGAAGAAGAGGGTGACGTCGCCGTTTTCCATGCCGACATTGGCCGACGAGTGCAAGGACAGTTGGCCAAATTTGACGGGCATGAGGTAGTGCATGACGGAGAAGACGCCCTTTTTCATTTCGCCAGCGTATTCGGTACCGAGGATGACCATTTCCATGCGCTTAAAGTTGATCTCGACAGAGGTCGTCGAGGTCATACCCGTCGTGAAACGATTGGCTGGGAATTGACCAGCGTTGTAAATGATGAAATCGGGCTCGCCAAAGTCCTTGAGCTCCTCTTCGGTCGGGCGGATGAGCATGTTGTTCATGAAGAGGGCATGATAAGCACGGGCGCAGATGACTCGGACTTTGATGCGGTATTTGGGATCCCACTAAGGAGAATGAGATGGCTAGAAGCGCCTAATGAACGAGTACATACCCCAGCAAAGCCGTCAAAGACGTAGACGAGGTCGCGTGTATTGAGATAGTCGATGGCACGCTCACGGTTAATCTCAAACGTGTGCCCGTCCATCTTGATGTTGACTGGGCCCCACCAAATGTCATCCTTGGACGTTTCCTCGTAGACGATACGCTTGTCCTTGGGACTACGGCCCGTCTTTTTGCCTGAAAAGTTGATGAGGGCACCGGTCGAGGAGAGAACGGCACCCTCGTTGCGGATCGCGTCTTCGTAGAGCTGAGCGACGGGCGCGTTGCGCTTGAGATGAATCTTGGACATGTCGAAGCCAGCCTGGGAGAAGTATTCTATATCCTGACCGATGACTTTCCAAGAGAATAGTCAGAATACAAGCCATGATGAAACGGGAAAACGACGACAAGCGCGGCACTTGCAGAAAGGGGGACCCCGTGATGCATTTCGTGTAGCGCGTTTTGGCGAAGGCGTTCACGTGTGCGGGGGCGAATGACCGCTCGGATCCAAATCAAGAGCATGCAAGGAGATGATTTTGGTCATTCGATGCGTGTAGATTGCCTCTGGCAGCGTCGCCACCCCCCAACGACCAAGATCGGTCTGGAACGGCAACAAAATTTTGAAGAAAAGGGACTCACAGGTGTTGCCCTCGTCGACACCGTGGTGGGGTGCGTGGACGATGTAGGGGGTGATATACGGAGTCTGGTAATGCGGGGTGTGCACCATCTGCGGCAGCAAGCACGAAACAGATTAGCAAAGGGAGTCGTGGACGGGTCCAAGACGAAAAGTGACGCACAGCTCGTGTAGAATACAGACGAGGGAGAGCCCTTTGAGAAAGAGGAACTGCTTGGTTGGGAGCAAAGTGCGAGATTAGCGGGTGGATGGCCAGAGATGGTTAATCTAGTAGTAAAAGAGCTGTAAAATACGCACAATAATCAATACGTGCAAGGATTGGTGGGTGCCATCGTCGCAGGCAGACTCGCATTCTTATATGTGCATAGGGAGCGGAATCAACATTGCCGCCAAACGGAAGCCCGTCTGGGAATTGCACATGCGACGCTCACATGATTATTACAGCATTCGGACCGGATATAATACACTATACACCATCGCGGAGGTCCAGGAGTTTCCACGCAGAACGCGGGCGCACTTGCAGTATATAGTCGAAGCTCACCTACCGCGGTCAAACCTCTCGCTAGCCCAGTTCTAATCATAGTTATCCTGTACTATTACCCGTATTCTAAGCGCTCCAGAATATCGCTGACATTTTCCAAAATGGTGGTAGTTATCGAGCCACTCCACTTGACGTCGTACTCTACGCCGTCGAGTCCTGGCCACTCGTCCAATATTCTCCATTTCACGACAATTAATTGCTAACATTCTCCTACATCTTTTCTAGTAATGCCCCGAATTCCCACAACATCTCCTGCAACCGGCGCACCGCTGCCAGCCCACTACATCCACACACTCGACTCCAATTTCGTCGACCAAAACTCCAGAGTGCGCATCTTGCGTGGTGTAAACTTGTGCGGGTCCAGCAAAGCTCCCGTCGGCCAACCGAGCTGGATGCTCGACGGGTTCTGGGAAGCCGTCGAAGCAGGCGACGGTCAGAGTTTTATCGGAAGGCCGCTCGAATTGACAAAGGACGAGATTCGGCGCATGAACATTCCGCATCATGGCCCAGACGGCCAGCAGCAGCAACAGCCCCTCCGGTTTGACCTAGGCTCACTTGGCGACATGGGCGAGGCCGATATCCACCTTGCAAGACTCCGTGGCTGGGGGTTTACTCTCCTCAGGTTTGTTTTTACCTGGGAGGCCCTCGAACATGCTGGACCGTAAGTCGGACTTTTCCCGCAACTATGCACATGGCTAACACTCGGCTTGGTCGTGTGCAGGAAACAATACGACGAAGAGTTTATTCAACATCTTGTACGCATTTTACAACGCTGTAAAGCCCATGGCTTTCTCGTCTTTCTCGACCCACATCAGGACGTCTGGTCCCGCTTTACTGGAGGCTCTGGAGCACCATATTGGACTCTTATCGCATGTGGAATGAATCCTAGGTCCCTAACAGCCACACAAGCTGCGCTCCTACACAACGAATATCCAGCACCAGCCCAGCCCACCCCGGAATCCTTTCCCGCCATGATCTGGGGCACAAACTATTCACGCCTCGCATCTCAAACCCTCTTCACCCTCTTCTTCGCCGGGCGACACTTTGCGCCCAAATGTATCATCGACGGCATGAACATTCAAGACTATCTCCAGTCGCATTTCATCAACGCTGTCGCCCATCTCGGGAGACGGTTGCGCGAAGCAGGAGGGTTATTGGATGAGTGTGTGATCGGATGGGATTCTATAAACGAGCCATTCGAGGGGATGATCGGGTACGAAGACCTAAGGCGGATCGCTCCGCAGCAGGCACTCAAAAAGGGCAGTACGCCTTCGCCCGCGCAGTCCTTCCGACTCGGAATGGGGATAAAGCAAGAGGATATCGAGTGGTGGGACTTTGGTAGCTTTGGTCCACGGCGGAACGGGAGCGTCGATATTGATCCCAATGGCGTCAAGTTGTGGGTCGAACCAGAGCTGGCGGATGAAGTCGATGGTGTGAATGGAAGATGGGGGTGGACGCGCTCAGCAGAGTGGAAACTTGGTCAGTGTATCTGGGCACTCCATGGTGTTTGGGACCCGTCCCAATCGACCCCCGACGGACGCTCTCCACCACCTGCTCCTGGCTCGACACGCGCACCTCAGGCTCCCAAAGATGCCGACATTCTCATCCCCGACTATTTCCTCTACAAGCTAACAGACGATCCTACCGACGAAAAGTTCAAGGTCGACTTTGCAGAAGAGTATTTCCGACCGCATATCAAAGACTATTTCGCGGCGTTGCGCGTGCATCATCCAGAGCTTATTCCCTTTGTCCAGCCACCCGTCTTTCACCCGCCACCGCTTCTCGAGGAGATTGATGACGACGATCCGTCGAGTGACATCTTACTTGGACGTGGATGCTTTTCGACACACTACTATGATGGTCTCACGCTCATGACGAGACATTGGAACTGGTTCAACGCCGATGCACTCGGTGTCCTTCGAGGTGAGTTTGGGCCGGGAATCTTAAGAATATGGCTCATTTGTTGCTAGGCAAGTACAGTAGTCCAGTTTTTGCGGTTAAAGTTGGAGAAAAGGCGATTCGAAAGTCGATTCGAGAGCAGCTTGGTGTGCTCAAGGGAGATGCTCTGCGCATGGGCGCATTCCCGACTGTCATTGGAGAGATTGGTATTCCGATGGAGTTGGATGACAAGTATAGCTACGGTGGACGTGACGGAAAAGGAAAGGGCAGAGGCGACTATCGAGAACAGGTATGCGCGGCCTTAGCTTGGGGATGAAGCTAATATTGCCTAGGTCAAAGCTCTCGATGCCTCGTTATCTGCTGCAGACGGAGATAATCTGCTCTCGTATACGACCTGGACGTATTGTCCCGACAGCTCTCACAAATGGGGCGACGGCTGGAATCTCGAAGATCTTTCTCTCTGGAGTGCAGACGACGAGCGCAAGACTGGTTCGATCTCCGGCCTCAAGAAGGACGTTGGGCTTGTACGGAGCAACCATGCCGCGACGGCACCACGCGACGAGAAGCACCGAGTTTCCGCGATTGTTCAAGCGGTCGAAGATGACGATACCAACACTGAAGACGAGCAAATCCGAATCGACTTGCCGACTCTCTCGAGTAAAGGAACCGAGCTAGTGGGATTCCAAGTCTCGAGTAAGACTCTTACTCTGTCGGACCTAGTCAAGCCATACTCGAGTCCGCCTGTATCCTTGAGTACTTCGCTAACCCTCACTGATCCAACATCCTCTCGAGCGACCCTACCACCTTCCTACGCAGTCGCAACTGTACACACCGAAAGCGCACACTCGCTCTCCTTCCCCAACTTTACATCCGCGCCTCGCGCATTCGCCTTCCTCACCAACGGCGCACGCGCATGGAAGGCATTCGTACGCTGTTATCCGCTCGCCGTCGTTGGTACGCCAAGTGGATGGGAATGGGACTGCACGACCGCGACGTTTGAAATGAAAGTCCGCGTAGGCGCGGACGATCGTGCTGGGTTCACGGACGAAGACGCTATTGCCGCTGCGGAGACAATCGTAGGCGAGATGGTGGAACAAGAGGTGCCCACGGAGATTTTCGTGCCGTTGTTGCACTTTGCGAGGGATGATATTGTCCAGCGCGCGTTTGGGATTCCTGTTGCGGAGAAGAGGGAGGTTCGTGCGGGACAAGCCGCCAACACTGCCAATGGCAATCCTAATGCGGCGACTGCGGTTCCACTGTTGGATGATGCGAGCACGACGTCATTACCGGGTCCGGCTGTGACGGCAGACGCGTATACTACTGGTGGCGTACCGAAGAACTCAATCTCGTCCAATGGTGATGACTCGGCTTCTCGCGCAAAAGTCCAACATGCGCCAGAAGATGGAGAGGAGGATATGCTCGACTTGGACGTGAGCATCAATGGGGGAAGAGTTAGCGTTGACGGCCAAGTCTTGCGATGGTGGTATCCTATCCCGACGACGTTTACGGCTCCACCCCAGTCTGAAACTACAACGACGACAGATAAAACCAAGGAACCTCAAATGGGACCAGACGGCAAGGTCGAATACACGATTACGATCAAGCGACGTGGAGGCGCGATTGACTTTAAGAAACTGCATGTACCCGAGAACTGGGTCGGCATGGGACCTCGGACGGATTTCAAAAAGTCGCAGGCGGGTGATAACGGGAGAAAGGCGGAGTGCTGTGATGGATGTGTCGTTCAGTGACTTGCGCAGAGCGGTGTCGTGCTCGCTGCAGCATCTTGGCCGTTTGCCAGTGGTGTGGTCTACAGGAAGCTACATTAACTGCAAGACATCGCTCGGTGTTACAGTATGACGAAGAAGCATAGGCGGATACGGACGGTAGCGGCTGTTTATGTACGATAGAGACACTGGTGGTCATGATTCTCAGACATGTATCTCACAAAATGGATGGTTACAAACAAACAACAACGTATATTTTGTTAAAGCTGGTATCCTGGTGTAAGCACAGCTAATCCGAACAGTAAAAACCAATCTGAGAGCGTGACCGCAATAGTATGACATGGGTGTCAACCCAAAAAAGTGGGCATTTATTTTTGCTTCTTGGTGAAAATACTTCGCTTCTTTGTCGACGTTTGGTCGAGTGGCGTATCGGGCGCGGCCTTGCGGTGCTTGTCAATATCCGAGAGAGACCTCTGGTGCTCGGGGGCTCCAAAGGACGCGGCTTTCATCGTATTGATGATTCCACTGAGAGGAACAAATTAGTTTTTCGAGACGACCGAATTCGAAATTCAACACGCACCGTTGAGTCGCATCGAGATAGTCCTCTCTGGAAATGTTTTTATTCGTCTTGACGGACATTCCGCTTGCAGAAATGTCGACTCCTCTGTCGTTGAGCGACGCCTTTGTGCTCCTATTCGGGGGATATAGATCAGCATGACGTCGATTAGAGTCGGAAGGGGGACGTACTTGACTGCTCCTTGCACTTTTTCAGAAATCGTGATAATGGCGAACACGACCCCGATGAGAATGCTCAGAATGATTCCGACAAAGAGGTAGTCAACCCTGTTGGCGCGCCCGACGGTCGCAGAGAGTGTTCATTGACCATGTACGTCGAAAAGGCGTCGAGGAGACGAAACGGCGAAGAGGACCGGCACGAGGCAACGAGCGAAATCCGGCGATGGTTAGCTAATGAGCGGCGCAGCACGGACATCGGCAGGCTCACCAGTTGGCCATGGCGTATTCTCTGGTTTATAAGGTTTCACAATTCAAGCGTATGTGCGCGATTCGCAAGTCGGACGAGCGGCTGGCTGCGTGTTGAATGGATAAACCCGCCGCCAACGACGAGGACGACGAGCTTGTGATAGACTTTTTGCGCGAGTTCTGAGCGTGACCTCGGGGAGATTTGGGAGAGGAGAGCGTACAGAGGTCGAGGACAGGTCCAAGATTTACACCCAGCGCTATTCGTTGCCCCGGCGTCGGACAGGCCAGTTACGAGCGGTGGCTGCGTTTTCGACAGTCACCTTGTTCCGCACTGAGTCTACTACATGTCGTCTAGCCTTTGATATACAAGTATACGGATGTCGGAAATTTCCAACGGCTTTGGTCGGGATCAAGTTGCAACTGATTCATCGAGTAGGCCAAGAGTTCTTGTCGGCGAGGAATTGAATGTAAACATCTACCACCCTACTATACAAGGACTTATATATTCAAAAAGTCTATAGGCTTTGCTGTCCCATCATCAGCTATTACCGTCAGCTGGCGTAGAGCAGGAGAAAGCGTCTTTCGCTTGTTTACAAACTGGATGACTCTGATGAGGATGGGGCCATCTGGAATGCACGGTGACATAATGGGCACTTCAACTCCGTCCCCCTTGCGGAACAGTCTCTCGAGGACACCGGATCGACCGGAAGAAGGGTGCGGGAGATATACGAGGTCGTCCACCCTGTCGTGCGTCCCATCCACCGCTGAGATGTGAAGTCACCTTCTCCAGCATAGGAAAATTGACAGTGTATCGGCTGAAAGGATCCTGGTACCCTGACAATGTTAGATCGCGAAGGTTGGGTAGCGAAATCTCTTGCGAGGAGCTCGAAAGCTCAGATCCCCAGACTCCACCTCAATATTCGGTGTATATTTCCAATGTTCGGAGAGCCTGATCCTCAGAAAGAATGTCAAACTTATCGGTAGGCTGCTCGTAGAACAACTTCAGTTCTTGAAGTAGGCCCAGGTTGGCTTGTACGCAGGAGAGAGTATCACAGTCGCGGGCATTGAGTGATATGACAGCAGGGAGAGTCAAGGAGAGTTCTTTGCCTCCATAGAGACCAAGAACCGAGAGGCGTGTCATTCTCGGTGCAGTGAATAGAAACAAGTCTTGCACAACGTTGCATAGCGGACGGTCGGGCATTGCCACCATAATACTCCCCAACGAGTAATATTCAGTCGCTGGGGACCTGTTATCACCGACAGAAGAATCTTGGAATTAGTATCCCTTCTCTTCGCTGAATAATTTCCGAGTCCTCCGTAATCGACCTTCTATACGAAAAGACCTTGCTTCTCGAGATGTGTGCGAAGCTTGCCAAGTAGCCACTGCAATCTGTCCGCTGCCTCAGACTCGGACTCAAAGCAGAGCCTGACCCTGAGCAGCAGCCACTTGCTACTGCTTATGCAAGCCGCCAGGTATGCACTCATCGCCTTCAGGTAGGATTTATTGTTCCCTGTCTGGATAGTGACCTCGATACGTGCCTAGATCTGGGGACTGTCCATCATGAGTTGGCACCAGTTCTTGCAGATGAATAGTAGATTGGCGATAGCTTGATGACCAGCTTCCTCGAGATAATAGCTAAATATCTCCAGCAAAAGCTCTGGTGGACACTTTTTGATCGGTAGATCCGAGAGAGTGAAACAATGCGCGTTGTGCTCTCGTTCCAGCGCCTGCAAGTAAGCACGAGCAAAGGTCAGTTGTGACTCGAGTGATCCAATCAGAATTTGTTGCTCTTGGATTGCATCGTGATGTTTTTCATGCAAAAGGGCAGAACATGGGTGGGATGATGCCGTCTGCGGTTGATTAGCCATGCAAAAAGTACAGTTAGGGATGTATATTGACCAGTTTCGATGATAGTTCAAGTTGAGGGTGATTTGATGGCATGGCCTGTACTTTGCGCCTCGTGAATGTCGAGGTCGGGTCCAAAGAGGGCAGACCCTAGGTGATGGCGACCTGCACGATCATATTCGGGCTCGTCACAGTGCTCAAATGGATCCTTCAAAGTCAAGTCGAGCAGGGGGTGGAATCCTCGTAAACGCATCCACCCAGCAATAAAGGTGAAGATCTTCGTTTGAATGAATTCGGTATCGCACACTTACAGTGTCCAGGAGATTTGGCTCGTTGGATAGGGGCACTGACTGTGTTTGCGCTCAACCGCCAACAACCCGAAATCAGTCAGCCCAATCCTTACTCAGATTAGTGGTTGGCGCATAATCTTGAAACAACTTCATTTTATCACCAATCAGGACCTCGTTCGCCCTGCCATTCTCCTTGCCAGCTGTTTAGCGCCGCACCCGCAGTCCAAAGAGAACTGCTCTTGTTCCCGACCAACACCAGCGACATCGAGCTGGGCAACTACGCGTACTTCAAGGGGCCTCCTCACGCCTTCGGACACTCCTCACAAACCACTGCTCAGGAGATTGGACGCCAGTTAAACGGCATAACCAAGGACTTGAAGAACGGACAGTGAAGCAGACCATGTCCAAATCGAAGATTGATGACCTTGGATTTCTGGAACTATCACCAGGGACTGATCCTGTCGTCGAGTGAGTGGCATGCGCAAGGCACGTGGTCGCTGCTGAGCGTGCTTTATCAGTATTGTCGCCATTCATGGTCTAGATGGTCACAGAGAAGAGACATGGACAACAGACGACGGGATCCTATGGCTACGGGATCTCTTGCCTTCCAACTTGCCCAACGCACGAATCCTCAGTTATGGTTACGACGCCGATACACAGAGTAAAGAATGCGTATCCACTCAAACAATGCGTCGTCATGCCGAAGGACTGGCTCAAGCTCTTTCAAGGCAACGCACGCACGCACCTCGAGTAAGTAAACACCTACTGCGAAGGGGCATACTCTGAACAACACCTAGCGTCCTATAATCTTCGTTGCGCACAATATAGGAGGTATCGTCCTCAAATGGGTTCGTCACAGTCAAGCTGAAGCCTCCTGTGTTGACGCTCGTCTAGGCGCTCGTGATCTGTCACAATCAGAACCCGGAGTCAAAGTGCGATCTACGAGACATCTTGGTTTCTACTCATGCGATCCTTTTCTTCGGAACTCCCCACTCTGGCCTCGAGGGCACAACTCTCCTGACCATGATCAACCGCTTCGCATCAATGTATACGAAAACGACAAATGTTCTCCTCAAAGATCTTGAGAATCACTCGTCTGAACTCGAAAACGTCCAGAGTCTGTATGTCGCTGCGAGCGAGAAGTTCAACAGTATATTCTTCTGTGAAGCATACAAGACACCTGCAGAGAGAAAGAGGAGGAAGTTGGTTCGTTGCGAATTTAGACAGGTTGATCCGATGCTGACTATGTCATAGAATGTTCCTCATCACGCGGCGGTCATCTCTGGTGATCGAAACGCCACGACTATCGTCCTGCATGCCAGCCACGAAGATCTGGTCAGGTTCCATGCAGCAGATAGCGACAATTATCGCACCGTTCTTCATCATCTCAAAGACTACTCCAGCAGCGCAACCTGCTGTGGTGAGAAGTGGACAAGAGAAGACACCTGTCGTAGTGAGTAGCACCGTGTAAACGTCAATCCCACTTAGCTTATTGATCAATTCATAGGTGCCGCAAGAGGAGAGTCGGCTGCACGGGAAGTATTGCGACCGAAGCTGCTCCCACCATTATCGATAAGCTACATCGAGCGACCAAAACTTCAGTCCCTTATCACACAGAAACTTCTTCACCATGGCAATGTGTGGCGCCAACCGCGATGCATTCTTCATGGTCTTGGAGGCTCTGGGAAAACTCAACTTGCCACGAGATGGATCAGGGAGAATAGGAGCAGGTGCGATGTTACATGCATATTACAGAATTTCTAATGCTCCCCAAGTTTCACTCAGGTAATTGTCGTCGACGCATCCAGTCAGGCCCAGCTAGAAGTGGACTTGGAGCGGTCAATTCGCTCCTTGGGCACTGAATACCACAGTATGACATGGAAGGACGCAGTATCGTACCTGGATAGCAAGGAGGAAAGATGGCTGCTATTTATCGACAACGCAGATTCACCTGGGCTCAATCTCCATTCATACCTCCCAAGTTCTACTCATGGAGCAATCATCATCACGACACGGAATAGAGGCTGCATTGGCCACGCTCCCAACGGCGCGATTCCTGTCGGCGAGCTGGAGGAGAATGAGGCCATAAACCTCCTTCATACAGTCTCCAATATCCCACGTACATCTGGAATCAAGTCTGTGGAGATTGTAAGGGAGCTTGGAATGCTGGCACTGGCGGTCACTCAGGCGGGGCTTACATCCGCACTACACAGCGTCCGGATACATACCTCGAAAGTTTCCGCAAGCATAGAAAGCGATTGATGAGCAAGGCTCCGGGTGAGGGAACACATTATCCGTCCTCGACATACACTGCGTTCGACCTGTCTTTTCGCCGTCTACCGACTAAAACACAGGATTTTATGAGAATATGCGCATTTCTTCACCACTCCCTCATTCCATACGCGCTATTCCAGCAATCGACCGAGTCAAAATTTATCACACCCGTGTTCAGGGCGAGCTGGGCCCCACCAGAGAGTGATAAAGTATTTATTACAAAGCTAGAAGGAATTTTTGGGTTGGAATGGGATGAGATTACGTTCCAAGATACTGTAGATTCGGCTTTGCACGCGTCTCTGATCAGTGTTTCAACTGACGGGCTATTCTACACTGTTCACCCACTCCTTCAAACATATATCAAGGATGGACTGAACGAAGAAGAGAATTTTACCTATATACGTATGACAGCACAGCTATTGCTTGGCGCAACCCAGCCATTTGAGAGTAGCAATGGACACCGATGGCAACTCCTCGCGCATGTCAACAGCATCCCTCGATCTGTTCAGTCGCAGCACGTCGCTAGCGCATTGGCTTTCGACAAATTCTATCAGTCTTTGGCAGATTGGAATGCATGCCAAGATTTATTGGAAGTTGCTCTTCCGAATGTTATGGCCGCTCTTGGCCAAAGGCATAAAGACTCACTATGGCTGATGTCTCTTCTCGCGGGGACATTACGGGTGCTTAGTCAACTGGAAAAGGCAGAAACAATGCAGCGAGAAATACTTTCTCTGCACCTAGACATCCTTGGGCCACGAAATTTAGACACGGTCACTGCAATGCACGAACTTGCAGCCACACTGGATGAACGTGGTCAGTTGGAGGAAGCAGAAACGATTCAGCGAGAGGTACTCGCTCTGCGGCTAGACATCCTCGGACGACGGCACCTCGACACGGTCGACGCAATGCACAACCTTGCAATCACTCTGCATGAACGTGGTCAATTGGAGGAAGCGGAAACGATTCAGCGAGAGGTACTCGCTCTGCGGCTAGACATCCTCGGACGACGGCACCTAGACACGGTGCGGGCAATGGACAACCTTGCAATCACTCTGCATGGACGTGGTCAGTTGGAGGAAGCGGAAACGATGAAGCGAGAGGTACTCGCTCTGCGGCTAGACATCCTCGGACGACGGCACCTCGACACGGTCGACGCAATGGACAACCTTGCAATCACTCTGCATGGACGTGGTCAGTTGGAGGAAGCGGAAACGATTCAGCGAGAGGTACTCGCTCTGCGGCTAGACATCCTCGGACGACGGCACCTAGACACGGTCCGGGCAATGGACAACCTTGCAATCACTCTGCATGGACGTGGTCAGTTGGAGGAAGCGGAAACGATTCAGCGAGAGGTACTCGCTCTGCGGCTAGACATCCTCGGACGACGGCACCTAGACACGGTCCGGGCAATGCACAACCTTGCAGTCACTCTGCATGGACGTGGTCAGTTGGAGGAAGCGGAAACGATTCAGCGAGAGGTACTCGCTCTGCGGCTAGACATCCTCGGACGACGGCACCTCGACACGGTCTGGGCAATGGACAACCTTGCAGTCACTCTGCATGGACGTGGTCAGTTGGAGGAAGCGGAAACGATTCAGCGAGAGGTACTCGCTCTGCGGCTAGACATCCTCGGACGACGGCACCTAGACACGGTCCGGGCAATGGACAACCTTGCAATCACTCTACATGGACGTGGTCAGTTGGAGGAAGCGGAAACGATGCAATGAGAAGTGCTTGCTCTGCTGCGGGAGACCCCCGGAGCACGTACTCGCCATACTGTTGATGCCTCTCGCAATCTGTGCGTTACCCTATACCAACGTGGTCAATTTGAAGAAGTCATACAGCTTCTTCAATCTACCATGAATTTGCAAGTCCAGCTCTTTGGTAAAGATCATCCTTATACTCAGAGTTTGGTGCAATTTTATAGGGAAGCTCTGCTTATGCAATCTCATCACACCCAATAGGGTACCTCTCGTATGTATATCGTTGAATAGGACTTGAAATGTGTAGCTCAGTTCGACCATATTTGGTGGGTGCAAGCATCTACGGATCGACTATTTCGGAATCTCAAGCCGCTTACCGCACAGCCATTTCAACTCGTTGAATTGGTGGTGGGCATCTGTTTTTTGTCCTAATATGGACCAAAGACTCTCCCCTCTGATTGCATATGCATATTGCTCGTATACTAACACTTCTCACACTCGAATCGCATAATTTACCCCATCACTGCTATTAGAATAACGTGTATCCAGGAGCTACCTTGGTTCACCTGATCCGTATATACCCATATGCATTACTATTCAGACCGAGAGAGTTGTCAGAGAGAAACTCAATTCAAACATGCACCATTCTACCACGATACAAATGGCTATATGTTCAAAAAATCTACCGGGGTTGCAGTCCCATCGTAAGCAATGACCGTCAACTGGCGTAGCGAAGGGCAAAATCCATTTGTCATCTTTGCAGACCGGATCGCAGCGAAAAGAACGGGATCATCTGGAGCGCATCTAGAAATTATGATTGTTTCGGTCCCATTCCCTTTGTGTAGCAGTTTCTCGAAAATGAGTCGACGTGACGCATAGTTGCAGCATCATTGATAGAATACACGAGGACGTGCACCTGATCAAACATCCCATCCATCGACCAGATACGAGGTCACCTTCTCCAACGCGGGAAATTTGATCGTGTGCGTGCTGAAAGGATCAAAAGCGCCACCTAATGTCAAGTTACGAAGGTTAGGGAGGAAAATCTCTTGCGAAGAGCCCATCGACTCGGAATCATCATGGCTATCACCGCGATTTGTATCTATCTCCAAAATTTGGAGAGCTCGACATGCGGAAAGAATACCCAGGGTGTGGAGGGCTTGCTCGTAGAATAGCAAGAGGCGTTGAGTAGGTTCAGGTTGACTTGAAGACAGGAAAGGCCGTCGCAGTCTTTTACTTCGAGTGATACACCTGCAGGGAAAGACGATGGGAGTTCGCTGTATCCATGTATACTCTGAACTGAAAGGTTTGTAATGTTTGGTGCGGGGAATCGAAATTGGTCGTGTACGACGTCGTCAAGTGGATGATCAGGTAGGATCACTGTGAAGTCCCTCCACCGAGCAATGCCGAGTCCATGAGGGCCCATCATATCTGAAAGGGGGACGGAGGATGATTTGGATTTAGTGGCTCGACATGAAATATTCATGAGCTTCCGCAAATAGAACATGTCCCGTACGTGTAGATCCTGCTTCTCGAAATGCGTGGTGGACTTGTTCACCAATTGGTGAATCCTGTTCACCGCTTTATCTACCGTCTCAAACTCGAGGGCGACGGGGAGGGGGAGGCCTCTGCTCCACTTCATGCAAGCCGCCACGTAAGCGCGAAGTGGATCCAGGTAATCTTCGTCCCTTCCGATGTGAAGTTCGACCTCGATACGTGCCTAGATTTGGGGACTGTTCATCACGAGTTGGGCCCAGCGTTTGCAAACAAGTAACAAGTTGGCAATTGCCTGATGACCAGACGTGCAGAGATAATGAGCGAATATCTCCAAAAGAAGCTCTGAGGGTAACATGGTGAATGGAAGAGGCGAGATACTGGAGCAGTGGATGATGTGCTTTCGTTCCATCTCCTGGAGGCACGCACAGGCAGATGTCAGCCATGATTCGAGGGTCCCTACAAGATCTCGTTGCTTCTTGATGGCATCGTGCTGCTTGTCGCCGAATTTGTCGTGCAAGAGGCCAGAGCAAGGGAATGCCTGCGTTTGATTAGCCATGTGAAGGGTATATTTGGAGATTTATGTTGATCATTTGTGACGATAGTTCAACGTTGAGGTGATTCAAAGACAATGCCTTTGCGTTGTGGTCGAGGTCGGGCCAAAGAAGGCATGGGTCCGTCAAAATTGTCAGGGGCATCGACTGCCGATGCTGCCATCTTGTCTGGTGAAGTGAGAAAGCGTGTATATTCTTATGTAAAACTCTGATGGACTCGGCAACTGGCTGCACCATGCACACTCGTCTCATCGTCCAGTCCACGCTTGGAGCTGACTGCGCTGCCGAGGCGACCACATTGTCTCGTTCCAAAAGGAAGATTCCACAGCGACCTCGTCTTGGATATAAGAATCTCGTTCATTCTCATTCAATCTCTTCTCAACGATGGAAACGGAACCACATCCATTCGAGGCCACGATTGCCGCCATCCGTGCCCAAGTCCCAGCAGATCTAGCGGCTCCAAAGATCGGTATCGTCTGCGGTTCTGGCTTATCGACGCTCGCTAGTCACTTTAGAGACAAGGTCGAGGTGGCCTACGATAGTCTACCAGGTTTCGTCAAGGTGCGTCCTCTGGTGCTTTCATATACATTCCTGACCACCGATTCAGAGTACCGTCGCAGGTCACAAGAGTGCATTCGCATTCGGAAGGCTCGGGGAGGGCCAAGGTATTCCCGTCGTCGCGATGCTCGGCAGATTCCATCCATACGAAGGATATCCCATGGCCAAAGCTACCTATCCAATTCGCGTCATGAAACGACTCGGTGTTCAATCGCTTCTCAGTACGTCTCTTATCTCCCGTTGATCTTGACTGACAATCTCCAGTCACAAACGCCACTGGATCTCTCAATCCAGCAATCCCCGTCGGCACCATAGTCATCATCCAAGATCATCTCTCCCTCCCATCACTAACCGGGATGAACCCTCTCCTCGGACCAAACTATCCGCCCTACCCGCGTTTCCTCCCAATGTCCAACGCCTACTCGCGACGACTACGAAAACTCGTCTTTCACGGGTTCTACAAGTTGCAATCAAAACTCAACATGTCATCAGCCAATGCAAACGGCAAGATTGACGAGCAAGCGATTCAAGAGGGCACATATGCCTACGTTTCGGGGCCAACGTATGAGACACCCGCCGAGGGTCGATTCTTGAGGGCTGCTGGAGCTGACGTAGTCGGTATGAGCACTATCCCAGAGGTCATCGTCGCGCGGGAGGAAGACATGGAGGTGTGCGTGCTTAGTCTCGTCACCAACTTTGTCGTTATCCCTGCCGGCTATCGTAGTATCCGCGAAGAAGTTGAGGCAGAGGTACGTACCCTTGTATTTTGCGACCTGTATCCGCTGATGATATACTAGCTCGCTGGTAAACCGCTCGAAGCCGTCCAGGATGCCATCGTCAGCCACGAAGAGGTCCTCGAGGTTGGGCGACGCAAGGCAGAGCTGATGCGTGAACTCATCGAAATTGTTGTTCCAACAATATAAATACGCGCTCACTACGAGTCGGTTTACCGGACCCGTCTATTGATCACGGTGATGTAAGGCCGGGCGGCACGGTCTTTGCTCGAACGTCGCAATCATTATGGCTGATGTGAGCTATACGCTGCCATGCGATGATAAATACAAGACGATTATCCTATGAACAGTTCTGAGATTGCATTGACAAAGCGTCCATATAAAGTTTCTCCAACTTAGAAATGCCGGGATGATCTTTGTCAAGGATCTGATCTTGCAGATCCATGGTGGGTCGAACAAGCTGTATGACGTCTTCAAACTGGCCACGAGTATACAAGGTAAAGGCACGGTTGTGCATTGCCCTAATCGAGTCTGGGTGTCGTCTTCCAAGGATATCGAGTCGTAGAGCGAGCACCTCTTGCTCCATCTTCTCCGCTTCGTCCAATTGACCACAATCAAAGAGAGTACATGCGAGGCTGCTCATAGCTGAGAGTGTATCTGGATGTTGACGTCCGAAGATCTCGAGCCGCAGAGCGAGTACCTCGCGCTCTATCTTCTCCGCTTCCTCCAGCTGACCACGCTCACCCAGAGTATGTGCGAGGTTGCTCATTGCCTTGATTGTATCCAGATGCCGCTCGCCGACGACCTTGAGCCGCAGAGCGAGCACCTCTCGTTGTATTCTCTCCGCTTCCTCCAACTGACCACGCTCACCCAGAGTGCCTGCGAGGCTGCTCATTGCCCAGATTGTATCCAGATGCCGCTCGCCGACGACCTCGAGCCGCAGAGCGAGCACCTCTCGCTGTATTTTCTCCGCTTCCTTCAGCTGACCACGCTCACCCAGAGTGATTGCGAGGTTGTTCATTGCCCAGATTGTATCCAGATGCCGCTCGCCGACGACCTCGAGCCGCAGAGCGAGCACCTCTCGCTGTATCTTCTCCGCTTCCTCCAGCTGACCACGCTCACCCAGAGTAAGTGCGAGGTTGCTCATTGCCATGATTGTATCCAGATGCCGCTCGCCGACGACTTCGAGCCGCAGAGCGAGCACCTCTCGCTGTATCTTCTCCGCTTCCTCCAGCTGGCCGCGCTCATACAGAGTGCTTGCGAGGTTATTCATTGCCCAGATTGTATCCAGATGCCGCTCGCCGACGACCTCGAGCCGCAGAGCGAGCACCTCTCGCTCTATCTTCTCCGCTTCCTCCAGCTGACCATGCTCACCCAGAGTAAGTGCGAGACTGCTCATTGCCCAGATTGTATCCAGATGCCGCTCGCCGACGACCTCGAGCCGCAGAGCGAGCACCTCTCGCTGTATCTTCTCCGCTTCCTCCAGCTGACCACGCTCATACAGAGTGATTGCGAGGTTATTCATTGCCTTGACTGTATCCAGATGCCGCTCGCCGACGACCTCGAGCCGCAGAGCGAGCACCTCTCGCTGTATCTTCTCCGCTTCCTCCAGCTGACCCCGACTCTCCAGCGTGAGTGCAAGAGTTTCCTTCGAATCAATTGCCTCTGGATGCCGTTTTCCAAAGATTTCAAGTGACAGAGAGACTATCTCTCGCTCTATCTCCTCCGCCTCCTCCAACTGACCACGCCTAAACAATGTGGCTGCGAGGTTAAAAAGTATCTCCATGGTGCTTGGATGCTTTCGCCCCAGTATCTCGAGCCGCAGAGCCAGAACCTCTCTCTCTATCTTCTCCGCCTCCTCCAATTGTCCACGTGTATACAATGTGCTTGCGAGACTGTCCATTGTCTGAAGCGTGTCAAGGTGCCGTCCTCCGAGGATTCCTACTCGCAACGAGAGTGCCTCTCGTTGCATCTTCTCCGCCTCCTCCAATTGGCCACACTCATACAGTGTAGTTGCGAGGCTTTCCATTCCCCAGATCGTGTCAAGGTGACCCCTTCCGAAAGTTTCGACCAACAAATCAAGTATTTCTCGCTGCATTCTTTCCGCCATCTCCAATTGACCAAGCCTGCATAGTGTCCGAGCGAGAATTTGGGTCAGCCATAGCGAATCTGCATCTCTTTGGCCTCGAGTAGCCACAACCTTGGAAAGTGCCGGCTCCAGTAGCTCTCGACATGCCGCCCAATCTGTTAAAGACCGATAGAAGTCGTGGAAGGCCAATGCGTGGGAGATATCCTCCGACTGAACAGATCGAGGGATGCTATTGATATGCGGTAGTAGTTGCCAAAGTTGCAACTTGCCGCTTTTCATTGCACCGAGCAGGAATTGTGACGTCATTCGCATATATGTATGGTTCTCCTCCTCATTGAGCCCATCCTTGATATAAGTCTGAAGAAGGGGATGGACGGTGTAGGATAAGCCATCGGTCGAAACGCTGATCAACGACGCGCGGGATGCCGCGTCTATGGTTTCCTGGAATGTAATCTCATCCCATTCTAACCCGAATATCTCCGCCAATTGTGAAATAAAGGCTTTATCGTTCTCCGGAGGAGGGAGACTCTCCCGAACGATCTGTGTAGCGAATCCTGATGCAATTGATTGCTCGAATAGTTTAGATGGTATCATTGAGTGGTGAAGAAAAGCGCATAACTTCATGAATTCCTGAGTCTTCGTCGGTAGGCGGCGAAAGGACAGGTCGAACGCGCTGTATGTCGATGATTTGTAGTGTATTCCTGTTCCTGGCTCCTTGCGCATCAGTTGCATCCTATGCTTGCGGAATGTGGAGAGGTACGAGTCCAGCCGGCGTGTACGGCGGATGTATGCTCCCGCCTGCGTGATCGCCAGCGCCAACATTCCTAGCTCCTTTACAATCTCGACAGATTGGGTGCTAAATGTAGGTTTCATGTTGGCAGTTGTATGAAGGAGCTCCACTGCCTCGTCTTCCTCAAGTTTACCAACAGAAATCGCTCCATTAGGAGCGTGACCTGCGACATCTTCATTTCTCGTTGTGATGATGATCGATCCGTGAGGAGAACAGGGTAGATATGGGTCAAGGTTGAGGTCGGGTAAGTCTGCGTTGTCGATATATAGTAACCATCCCTTTTCGTTGCCATCGAGGTGGGATACTGCATCCTTCCATGACATCTTGCCGTATTCGGAACCCAATGAGCGAATCGATTGCTCCAAATCCGCTTTCAGTCGGATTTCATCAGATGCATCGACGAAAATTACCCGACTGAAACTGGCAGAGCATTAGGAAATTTCTGATGTGCACGTAGCCTCGCACCTGGTATGATTCTCCCGAATCCACATCGTCGCAAGCTGAGTTTTCCCAGCCCCTCCGAGTCCGTGTAGAACACATCGTCGTTGGTGGCGCACATCACTGCCTGGAAGCAGCTTTTGTGTGATGAGAGACTGGAGCACTGGCCGCTCGACGTAGCTTATCGACACTGGTGGCAAGGACTTTGGCTGCACGACCTCTTGGGCGACAGACTCTGCCTTCGCCGCGCCTGCGGATTGATCAGCTTGTCAATAGCGATAGAGAAATACTACGAACTTCGACAATTGTCCTCTATAACCCACTTCTCCATGACAGCGGTAGCCGCACCGTCAAAAAAGTCCTTGAGATAGTGGAGAACAGTGCGATAGTTCTCGCTATCTGCCGCATGGAACCTGACCAGGGCTTCATGGTTAGCATGCAGGACGATTTTCGTCGCGTTCCGATCACCAGCGATGACGGCAGCGTGATGAGGAACATTCTGTGACAAGTTGGCATCAGCTCATCCAGTGTAAACTCGCAACGAACCAATTTCCTCCTCTTTCTTTCCGCAGGTGTCTCGTATTCTTCACAAAGAATATACTGTTGATCTTCTCGCTCGCAGCGACATACAGACTCTGGACGGTCTCGAGTTCAGACGAGTGATTCTCAAGATCCTTGAGGAGAACATTCGTCGTTTTCGTATACATTGACGCGAAGCGGCTGATCGCTGTCATGAGCGTTGTGCCCTCGAGGCCAGAGTGAGGGGTCCCAAAGAAAAGGATTGCATGTGTGGAGACCAAGATGTCTCGTAGATCGCCCTTTGACTCCAGGTTTTGGTTGTGACAGATCACGAGGGCCTACACGAGCGTCAATATAAAAGTTTTCTACTCGACTGATGACAAACCCATTTAAGGATGATGCCTCCTAAGTTGTGCGCAACGAAGATGATAGGACGCTAGGTGTCGTTCAGAGTATGCTCCTTCGCACTGGATGTTTACTTACTCGAGGTGCGTGCGTCCGTTGCCTCGAAAGGGCTTGAGCCAGTCCTTCGGCATGTCGACGCATTGTCTGAGTGGATACGCATTCCTTACTCTGAGTATCGGCGTCGTAGCCATAGCTGAGGATTCGGGCGTTGGGCAAGTTGGAAGGCAAGAGATCCCGCAGCCACAGGATCCCGTCGTCTGTTGTCCATGTCTCTTCTCTGTGACCATCTAGACCATGAATAGCGACAATACTAAGATAGCAAGCTCAGCGACGACCATGCACTTTCCGCATGCCACTCACTCGACAACAGGATCAATGCCCGGTGATAGTTCCAGAAATCCAAGGTCATCAATCTTTGATTTGAACATAACCTGGTAGTCTCCTAGTTTCCTCTTTGATCCCGATTCTACTTGTTCGCCCGGCGTCCTAATCCGCGAGTGGTCGTACACAAGGGTCGTTTGAAGGGACTAGAAGCAGCCTTGGGCGCAAAAGATGCTCTCAGCTCGTTCCCACTGGTATTGGTCGGGAACAAGTTCTGTTTCTGTGCATGCGGCGCCTATCTGCTGGCAAGGAGAATGGCATAGCGAACGAAAGGTATGGTCGATATTATTTCATAGGTTGCTATGGTATATTGATTGTCTGAAGCCTTAGTTGAGATTGGTTCCGTCCATACGAGAGGCGTAGACCTCCTCGGCCGTCGATACTTACTGTAACGCGTTGATGCCCCGCGGTCACGAGAGGGCCAAGACGTCTCTTACACTCTCTTAGCAGTGCAGCAGTCCGTGGCAGCTCTGTTCTGTCTCATCCCGACCTGAACCGAAGGTAAAGGAAGGGCTTTGTCGACACAAACTTGGTGCACTCGCTATGCTCTACTCAGGCGGCCGGCCTTTGAAATCTCAAACCTTGTTACGTCCTGGCCGTAAATCATTAAGTACCCAAACATTAAGTAAGAGATTATCAGGCGTCGTCGACCGCTCCGCCTGCTCCTCTCTAATCTTTTATTACCTCTACCGCTGGCAATCCGCTCCTCCATGGCTGCTCAAGAATGCTCGCCACTGAGAGGAGTAGAGCTCGACAACTCTCAATCTGAGACATCGAGCTCTGCCTCCGGCTCTTCGCGAGCCCCATCCGTCGCACCGACAGTACTGCACATAATCGCACTAAATCATAAAAATATACATGTTCCGTGCTCATTTCAGGGCTCCGTCGGAATTGATACTTCTTACGAAGCTGAGACCCTTCGGGCCACTTCTTCCGATGCCCTCGACGGCGTCGGAAACCACGTATCTAATTCGTTCCAGATGTTAGATTCATTACAAAGAAATAATATTCCCGATTTGTTTACTCCTGAAGTCGTCTCTTGCAGAACTTCGTCAGTCGTCCATTGACGCATCGGTGCCGCCTGTTGGCCCGACAAATCACAAAATATCGTATGCAAACGCCTTATTAGGATCTTTTTGGAGTAAAATTTCTCATTACTCACAACTTGATACTCAACAGTTGCGCATGATGACACGGAAGGCGGGCTCGCGGCGGGATGGTCTATGAGCGCTTGCAAAGCCACTTTCCACAAGTTTACCTTTGTAAATTAATGAAAGTTCGGGCTCTTCACCGTAATTCGAGGCGTTCCCAGGCAAACACGAAAGCATTTGAGGACCAAAAGCGCGCCAATGACTCAAATTTGGAAGATATCGTATATTCATGGCCCAAAACCCCCGAAGAAGGTTTCATTTTTGGGCGATGCTCTGACTATGTAGTCGCCACCACGATCTCAACTCGCAAGCCATACGATATTTGCGGGAAAGATTTTATTTCTAGCGATCTCATTGATTTTTTTGAACTCCCATTCGATTCTTCTTCACTTCCACTTGATCATCCTCTTCGTCTATTGCAGGCAGACAACGTCCTACAACCGTACTTTACACCCCCTCTCGCCATGCGCCTATCAATGCTTGACGACTTGATGCTATATCATGAGTATATCTCAGTTGATACACAGTCTCAGAACATAGTCATTCGACTATGTCGGGACTGCAACTCATTTCTTCGTGCGCATCGAATCCCTCGCTTCTCGCTGAGAAATAATCTATGGCACGGCTATCTACCTAACGACCTGAAAGATATCACTTTGCTTGAAGAGAAGGTTTGCACGCTGCATCGAGTCACGGCGGATGTCGCTCGTTTACATTATGCCGAAAGCGACGAGACAGCCTCGTTTTGCCTCATCGGTAATATATGCGCTCATCCCGCGAATGTAGCTTCAACTGCAAATATACTTCCTCGTATTCCTGCTGATATCAATGGTCACTTGACTATTGTCTTTGTCCGTCACAAGCTCGATAAGAAGAAGCCACTGGATATAGGTCGAGGAGGTTTCCCGGATGGACCCCACCCGAAGCAACGCGACCTCTCCACGAAAGCGGGGAGGCAATTCCAGCGAGGAGATCCTCTCATCTCAGCCACTACAAGACCAGTCGTTGGGTTTGACACCCTCCCTTCGTAAACTCGGAGCCGCTATGTCTAGTACCCCCCAAGACAGTTTTTGAGAGACATGCCACCGGGCACTTTGGATGACGAAAACGCTGTTCAAGTCATATTACAGTCTATTCCGACCCAAGCAGGTTATTTCGTCCTTATTTCCACCCAGTGTGTCCTCAACAACGTATGTAGGTGCTACCGGAATCCTATATCCCGCATCGATGGTTCCTGAATGGGACAGCACTCCCTTTGCTTCGGCTCACCGAGTTTGCGCCAGCCAGCCAGCCATCTTTGATAGTGACGGGCACCCTGTCCTTCCATCGCATGTCCCAAGCATTCTCACTGTGGGTACCGCCGTGAGAGTTGTACTCTCCTTTGGTGCACGGAAACCAAATCCCGACGCTAAATTAGTGAGCTGCCTCATGTTAAAATATCTTTACCTAACCTTTTACAGTGACCCTTCCTTCGCGCCAAGGAGGTCTACATCCTTAGCCCACAAGATGCCGCTAAGGACGAAAATGCAGACGACAATTGTGAAGTCACCTCCACAGGTCCCACCGCAGCCAACGCGATGGGGAGCGAGCCATACATTGGTGAAGACATCGCCAGTGATGCGCTCAGCAATACAAATCCGACATCCGAGGCTGATCGCCAGACTGTCGAAACAGAGATTGCTGCTCACGCTTCCACCCCAACACCAACGACAATATTGGGACCAAGCACCATCGAGGTCAAACATGAGCCAGAGGGTAAAGTGAACAGTGGCGATGGCTTGACAGAGTCCCATGCTCGTAAACTCAAAGGCAAAGGATGTGAGTTCTGTTTGAACTTCTCATGGACATTTAGCGAGACTAATTCTCAACCTAAAGGAGTGGAGATTGTGGAATTATCCGACGACGCAACTAGCATCGTAGATGCGAGCCACAGTGAGTGGACATTTCCTTACGCGACTGCAACGCGTATTGATACAAGTCTCCTCTATTAGATGCGCAGTCTCATCGCGGGGCACAGAATAGAAGCGCAAGGCCAAGGCAGACACGCACTTAGGAAATCGCAATAAACGTCGTAAGACAGAAAGATTTTAGACAGAATATTCGTTCGATAATAAATTTGTGTGATTTCAATATTTTGCACTTTTATACACTTACTCTAATGTATAAAGGTCGGGGACCGAGGCCTTGCGCCTCGCTATGAATGACCCCCTTCACTTTAGATTCTAGGATACGTGTCCAGGCGACGGATCCAGAGCAGACACGCTACGAAGTACCTGAAAGTGTTTTCCCGCGACCATCATCATCCACCGGAGCTATCACGCCGAAGATCAGGTTTCGGTTTGCAGCGAGTCCATTGAGCTTCTCAATCGTTCGTATGGATACGAATACGGTTCTCTCTGATACCTCCGCTGCGCGGTTGATCTTCGCGCCGCAGTATTTGCGCTTGAAGACGACATTGCCTCTGAACGCGAACATATATGGACTAGGAGAACATACGGAATTTTCGATTACCCATAGAGCAGGGTGTTACGCGTACCCTTTGGGCCCGAGATGCCATCCGTATTCCAACCGGCACAAACCTCTACGGCACGCATCCGATCTATGTCGAACAGCGACCTATGGGGGCTCATGGCGCATTTCTGCTCAATTCGAATGAGATGGACGTCAAGATCAAGAACGAAGGCAGCCACGGATCCCTGGAGTACAATGTTCTCGGCGGCATCCTGGACCTATACTTCTTTGCCGGACCGACACCAGTGGACGTGGCTCGGAAATATGCACTAGTAGCCGGACTGCCTGTCGAGTTTCCGCACTGGAGCTTTGGGCTGCATCAATGCCGCTTTGGCTACAAAGATATCGAAGAAGTGAGGCAAGTCGTTGCCAACTACAGTGAAGCAGAGATCCCTCTGGAGACAATGTGAATTGATAGTAGGTTCTCACTCGTCCATCTATTTGAACTAATATCCGTCAGTCGACTATATGGACGGTCGCTTGGTTTTCACGACCTATCCAGCCGCGTATCCAAAGGCAGAGGTCCAGAAATTGGTCGAAGATCTGCACTCGAAGAACCAACAACTAGGTAAAGAATCCCCTCAGCGCGAGATGTCACCAACAATTTATAAGTCATGATGGTCGACCCCGCAATTGGCACCAGTGCCGGAGTTTCTGGCGCATACGAGCGAGGGTCGATCGGAGATGCCTGGCTCAAAGGACCAGATGGGCAGTCTCACATCAGAAGTAGGAATCTGTTATCCTCTTCCTACACAATACCACTGTTACATAGTCGTCTGGCCAGGCACCGTCGTCTTTCCAGACTGGCTCCATCCAAACGCGCAACCGTTTTGGACGGACGAGTTCAAGCGCCTCTTCAACCCAAATGATGGGATCGACATAGATGCGGCATGGATTGGTATGAACGAACCTGCTTCGTTCTGTTATCACCCATGCACCGTAACGCCGAATACGGTGGACGTCAATCAACTTATCCTCACCCTGGGAGATGCTCCACCGTTGGGGGATGAAGAACCAGACTACGAGGGAATCAACCTCCAGCATCCACCTTATGCAATCAAAAACGACATGCCGAGACTCAGTGACCGTACGGCACCAGTTGATGCCGTGCACCACAACGGTCTACAGGAATATGATACTCGTACGTCTCCTCCTCGAATCTTTCGTTATCCTGAACGACGAGGAGACGATTTGTACGGAAGCATTCGGATGTAGTCGGTATGAGCACTATCTCAGAGGTCATCATCGCGCGGGAGGAAGACATGGAGGTGTGCGTGCTTAGTCTCGTCACCAACTTTGTCGTTATCCTGCCGGCTATCGTAGTATCCGCGAAGAAGTTGAGGCAGAGGTACATACCCTTGTATTTTGCGGCCTGTATCCGCTGATGATATACTAGCTCGCTGGTAAACCGCTCGAAGCCGTCCAGGATGCCATCGTCAGCCACAAAGAGGTCCTCGAGGTTGGGCGACGCAAGGCACAACTGATGCGTGAACTCATCGAAATTGTTGTTCTAACAATATAAATACGCGCTCACTACGAGTCGGCTTACCGGACCCGTCTATTGATCACGGTGATGTAAGGCTGGGTGGCATGGTCTTTGCTACAACGTCGCAATCATTATGGCCGATGTGAGCTATACGCTGCCATGCGATGATAAATACAAGACGATTATCCTATGAACAGTTACGAGATTGCATGGACATAGCGTCCATATAAAGTTTCTCCAACTTAGAAATGTCGGGATGATCTTTGTCAAGAATCTGGTCTTGCAGATCCATGGTGGGTCGAACAAGCTGTATGACGTCTTCAAACTGGCCACGAGCATACAAGGTAACGGCGCGGTTGTACATTGCCCTAATCGAGTCTGGGTGTCGTCTTCCAAGGATATCGAGTCGTAGAGCGAGCACCTCTTGCTCCATCTTCTCCGCTTCGTCCAATTGACCACAATCAAAGAGAGTACATGCGAGGCTGCTCATAGCTGAGAGTGTATCTGGATGTTGACGTCCGAGGATCTCGAGCCGCAGAGCGAGTACCTCGCGCTGTATCTTCTCCGCCTCCTTCAGCTGACCATGCTCACCCTGAGTGATTGCGAGGTTGTTCATTGCCATGATTGTATCCAGATGCCGCTCGCCGACGACCTCGAGCCGCAGAGCGAGTACCTCTCGCTCTATGTTCTCCGCTTCCTCCAGCTGGCTACGCTTATGCAGAGTGCCCGCGAGGCTGCTCATTGCCCAGATTGTATCCAGATGCCGCTCGCCGACGACCTCAAGCCGCAGAGCGAGCACCTCTCGCTGTATCTTCTCCGCCTCCTTCAGCTGACCACGGTTACGCAGAGTGCCTGCGAGGCTGCCCATTGCCCAGATTGTATCCAGATGCCGCTCGCCGACGACCTCGAGCCGCAGAGCGAGCACCTCTCGCTGTATCTTCTCCGCTTCCTCCAGCTGACCACGCTCACCCAGAGTAAGTGCGAGGTTGCTCATTGCCATGATTGTATCCAGATGTCGCTCGCCGACGACCTCGAGCCGCAGAGCGAGCACCTCTCGCTGTATCTTCTCCGCTTCCTCCAGCTGACCACGCTCACCCAGAGTGATTGCGAGGTCGTTCATTGCCTTGATTGTATCCAGATGCCGCTCGCCGACGACCTCGAGCCGCAGAGCGAGCACCTCTCGCTGTATCTTCTCCGCTTCCTCCAGCTGACCACGGTTACGCAGAGTGATTGCGAGTTCGTTCATTGCCCAGATTGTATCCAGATGCCGCTCGCCGACGACCTCGAGCCGCAGAGCGAGCACCTCTTGTATCTTCTCCGCTTCCTCCAGCTGACCACGCTCACCCAGAGTAAGTGCGAGGTTGCTCATTGCCATGATTGTATCCAGATGCCGCTCGCCGACGACCTCGAGCCGCAGAGCGAGCACCTCTCGCTGTATCTTCTCCGCTTCCTCCAGCTGGCCACGCTTACGCAGAGTGCCTGCGAGGCTGCCCATTGCCATGATTGTATCCAGATGCCGCTCGCCGACGACCTCGAGCCGCAGAGCGAGCACCTCTCGCTGTATCTTCTCCGCTTCCTCCAGCTGACCACGCTCACCCAGAGTGATTGCGAGGTCGTTCATTGCCTTGATTGTATCCAGATGCCGCTCGCCGACGACCTCGAGCCGCAGAGCGAGCACCTCTCGCTGTATCTTCTCCGCTTCCTCCAGCTGACCCCGACTCTCCAGCGTGAGTGCAAGAGTTTCCTTCGAATCAATTGCCTCTGGATGCCGTTTTCCAAAGATTTCAAGTGACAGAGAGACTATCTCTCGCTCTATCTCCTCCGCCTCCTCCAACTGACCACGCCTAAACAATGTGGCTGCAAGGTTAAAAAGTATCTCCATGGTGCTTGGATGCTTTCGCCCCAGTATCTCGAGCCGCAGAGCCAGAACCTCTCTCTCTATCTTCTCCGCCTCCTCCAATTGTCCACGTGTATACAATGTGCTTGCGAGAGCATCCATTGTCTGAAGCGTGTCTAGGTGTCGTCCTCCGAGGATCCCTACTCGCAAAGAGAGTGCCTCTCGTTGCATCTTCTCCGCCTCCTCCAATTGGCCACACTCATGCAGTGTGGTTGCGAGGCTTTCCATTCCCCAGATCGTGTCAAGGTGACCCCTTCCGAAAGTTTCGACCAACGAGTCAAGTATTTCTCGCTGCATTCTTTCCGCCATCTCCAATTGACCAAGCCTGCATAGTGTCTGAGCGAGAATTTGGGTCAGCCATAGCGAATCTGCATCTCTTTGGCCTCGAGTAGCCACAACCTTGGAAAGTGCCGGCTCTAGTAGCTCTCGACATGCCGCCCAGTCTGTTAAAGACTTATAGAAGCGGTGGAAGGCCAATGCGTGGGAGATATCCTCCGACTGAACAGATCGGGGGATGCTATTGATATGGGGAAGTAGTTGCCAAAGTTGCAACTTGCCGCTTTTCATTGCACCGAGTAAGAATTGTGCTGTTATACTTATATATGTATGGTTCTCCTGTTCGTTCAGTCCATCTTTAATATACGTCTGAAGGAGAGGATGGACAGTGTAAGATAAGCCATCGGTCGAAACGCTGATCAACGACGCGCGGGATGCTGAATCTATGATTTCCTGGAACGAAATCTCATTCCATTCCAAGCCTAATAATCCTTCCAATCTTGAAATACAAGCTTTGTCACTCTCCGGAGGAGGGAAGCTCTTCCGAATGATAGGTGTGGCAAAACCTGATATAATCGATTGCTCAAATAGTTTGGATGGAATGAATGAGTGGTGAAGAAATGCGCATAACTTCATGAATTCCTGAGTCTTCGTCGGTAGGCGGCGAAAGGACAGGTCGAACGCGCTGTATGTCGATGATTTGTAGTGTATTCCTGTTCCTGGCTCCTTGCGCATCAATTCCGTTCTATGCTTGCGGAATGTGGAGAGATAAGCTTCCAGCCGGCGTGTACGGCGGATATATGCTCCCGCCTGCGTGATTGCCAGTGCCAACATTCCTAGTTCCTTTACAATCTCGACAGATTGGGTGCTAGATGTAGGTTTCATGTTGGCAGTTGTATGAAGGAGCTCCACTGCCTCGTCTTCCTCAAGTTTACCAACAGAAATCGCTCCATTAGGAGCGTGACCTGCGATATCTTCATTTCTCGTTGTGATGATGATCGATCCGTGAGGAGAACAGGGTAGATATGGGTCAAGGTTGAGGTCGGGTAAGTCTGCGTTGTCGATATATAGTAACCATCCCTTTTCGTTGCCATCGAGGTGGGACACTGCATCCTTCCATGACATCTTGCCGTATTCGGAACCCAATGAGCGAATCGATTGCTCCAAATCCGCTTTCAGTCGGATTTCATCAGATGCATCGACAAAAATTACCCGACTGAAACTGGCAGAGCATTAGGAAATTTCTGATGTATACGTAGCCTCGCACCTGGTATGATTCTCCCGAATCCACATCGTCGCAAGCTGAGTTTTCCCAGCCCCTCCGAGTCCGTGTAGAACACATCGTCGTTGGTGGCGCACATCACTGCCTGGAAGCAGCTTTTGTGTGATGAGAGACTGGAGCACTGGCCGCTCGACGTAGCTTATCGACACTGGTGGCAAGGACTTTGGCTGCACGACCTCTTGGGCGACAGACTCTGCCTTCGCCGCGCCTGCGGATTGATCAGCTTGTCAGTAGCGATAGAGAAATACTACGAACTTCGACAATTGTCCTCTCTAACCGACTTCTCGTTGACAGCGGTAGCCGCACCGTCAAAAAAGTCCTTGAGATAGTGGAGAACAGTGCGATAGTTCTCGCTATCTGCTGCATGGAACCTGACCAGGGCTTCATGGTTAGCATGCAGGACGATTATCGTCGCGTTCCGATCACCAGCGATGACGGCAGCGTGATGAGGAACATTCTGTGACAAGTTGGCATCAGCTCATCCAGTGTAAACTCGCAACGAACCAATTTCCTCCTCTTTCTTTCCGCAGGTGTCTCGTATTCTTCACAAAAGAATATACTGTTGATCTTCTCGCTCGCAGCGACATACAGACTCTGGACGGTCTCGAGTTCAGACGAGTGATTCTCAAGATCCTTGAGGAGAACATTTGTCGTTTTCCTGTACATTGAAGCGAAGCGGCTGATCGCTGTCATGAGCGTTGTGCCCTCGAGGCCAGAGTGAGGGGTCCCAAAGAAAAGGATTGCATGTGTAGAGACCAAGATGTCTCGTAGATCGCCCTTTGACTCCAGGTTTTGGTTGTGACAGATCACGAGGGCCTACACGAGCGTCAATATAAAAGTTTTCTACTCGACTGATGACAAACCCATTTAAGGATGATGCCTCCTAAGTTGTGCGCAACGAAGATGATAGGACGCTAGGTGTCGTTCAGAGTATGCTCTTCGCACTGGATGTTTACTTACTCGAGGTGCGTGCTTCCGTTGCCTCGAAAGGGCTTGAGCCAGTCCTTCGGCATGTCGACGCATTGTCTGAGTGGATACGCATTCCTTACTCTGAGTATCGGCGTCGTAGCCATAGCTGAGGATTCGGGAGTTGGGCAAGTTGGAAGGCAAGAGATCCCGCAGCCACAGGATCCCGTCGTCTGTTGTCCATGTCTTTTCTCTGTGACCATCTAGACCATGAATAGCGACAATACTAAGATAGCAAGCTCAGCGACGACCATGCACTTTCCGCATGCCACTCACTCGACAACAGGATCAATGCCCGGTGATAGTTCCAGAAATCCAAGGTCATCAATCTTTGATTTGGACATAGCCTGGTAGTTTCCTAGTTTCCTCTTTGATCCCGATTCTACTTGTTCGCGCGGCGTCCTAATCCGCGAGTGGTCGTACACAAGGGTCGTTTGAAGGGACTAGAAGCAGCCTTGGGCGCAAAAGATGCTCTCAGCTCGTTCCCACTGGTGTTGGCCAGGAGCAAGTTCTGTTTCTGTGCATGCGGCGCCTATCTGCTGGTAAGGAGAATGGCGTGGCGAACGAAAGGTATGGTCGATATTATTTCGTAAGTTTATATGGTATATTGATTGTCTGAGGCCTTAATTGAGATTGGCTCCGTCCATACGAGAGGCGTAGACCTCCTCGGCCGTCGATACTTACTGTAACGCGTTGACGTCTGCGGTCACGAGAGGGCCAAGACGTCTCTTACACTCTCTTATCGTTGCATTAGCTCATGGCAGCTCTGTTTTGTCTCATCTGGTATTCTTACACACCTTTCCGGGTTTCATCCTGGGCTCTCGTGTGTATATAAAGCCTTGAATGATCACAAATCATGTACATCAGAAGAGCTCCATAGTTATTCGTCCTACGCTTTCCGCATTTCCTTCTTCCAATCTCAAGCTACTCTGCCGCAGCAAGTGCTGGCGCATCTCTCTACGAAGTATATCTGAGCAGTCCAAACCAAGAAAGGGGAACAAGTGGTATTCCATCCCTCTTACTGTCAGAAGCATCTGGGTTTAAAACCAATCTTGCTTGGAAATCACCATGCATCAAGGTTGACCTCCTCTCCTCTACAGAACGCAACCTTGAGATTCCTCGTGGTTTATGTGCAAGACATTTCCATTGCGCCCATGGCGTCGCTTCCGCGCCACTTGATTACCTCCTTTATCACAAGCTCTTAGGGTGGTCCATAAGGGTCGATGCGGACGAAGACTATAAAAGGAAGAAAGCATTGGAGATTGACTGCCCTGATATAATGAGGCTTTGCCGTGATTGTTATGAACAAAAGATATACCCCCCTGGACAGGTTTCACTTTGGACTCGACTATCGAAGGAAGATTCAACTCCGTGCAGCCAAGTTCTGTGCCACTTATGGGGAGGCGGCAGTATTATTTAGACGAATTGGGTTTAATATCGACGATGATAATTGAAACAGCAGTTTTGGAATTTCCAACGTCGCACTATACAGTGAGCGTGAATGCCATAGATACGAAATGAAGAGCGTCCAAGCTGCATGCATTGTTACACCTGATTCACACGCAAGCGGACGCATAGGTGACGCAGCTAACCATTACGCTTTTCCTCCACGCGCTTTCTTGAGTCGCCGCTTTCGACCTATCATGCTGCCCAGAGGATTAACCGACTTTGATTTCGGTTCCGGAGACTGTTCCTCGGACGCTTCTTTCTTCCTGCGCTTGGCCGACCGAGTCGTCTCTGATGCGTGATCCTCTTCCATTTTGACTGTCTTCTTCTTGTCCCGCCCTTTCGGATGGCTTGAACGTTTTGATGTTTGTTCGTCTGCCGCGTCTTCGCCTTTTACCTAAGAGATGGTGAGAAAGATCTAATGAAGACAAAAGCGACCGACCTGCCGAGGTGTCCCCCGCTCTTCTCTCTTCTTCACAATGACCATGTTCTCAATTGAAAACTCGACTACCAGAGTCCTTGTTGACGCCTTCGTCACACCCATCTTGATCTCTTCCAGGGCATCTTTCAACCTTTTGTACCTCGCCTTTTCCTCTTCAGTGCGCTTGTCACCCTTTTTCTCCAACGTATCGAACAAATCCTTGAGTTCCTCCGCCCACCACGACTTGAGTAGGGGTCCAACATCTGGATTGTTATTCGCCCATCGCAAGACTTTGAGCGCGTCGGAGTGTCGTTCCATCTCGATAAAGCCGTACCCTTTGCTACGACCCTTGCCGGTAAACGGATCAACTCTCTCAGAGATACGAACAATCTTGGCTTGCTTGACACTCCCACTCCCTCGTTTACCGCCTTTTTTTGCAGGTTTGTCTTTTGTGGGTTTCTCGGGCAACGCGACTTTATCCCCCATGAGCTCGTCGGTGATCGTTCGTTGACCATCGTCTATCTCATCTTCCGCAAGACCATCCCTGTCGCCATTCTTTACCTCGTTGTCAAATTCGCGAATTGAGTGGTGTGCAAGTCGCTTGAGTGAGCGTTCGGAGACAAAAGTTGGAAGTTGCCGAATACTCAAGCGTGTTTTGGAGACGTAGAGGGATGGGTTTGTTCTGAGGAGTGTACGCCTCTGATTAAAGGCGTTGACGCGCTTTTCAAGTTCGGTTGGTGTTATAGTCGACGCAGCTGGCGAGTTGGGGAAGATGACTAAAAGGAGTAAGAAACCATGCAATTTGTACAAACAGAGTTACCTTACCTCCTTCTCGCATGAGATAAAGATTTCGCTTGTCGGCTTTTCCCTCATCTTGACGCCTGCATCGCGCAACTTGTCTGCAGTCTCGCGAGTGACGGCGCGTACGACATCAAGCGTACGTCCATGAACGACAAGATTCCGTGCGAGTGATGATGAAGGATCCGGAGTGAGTAGTGATGGAGCACTGAACGGATTTTTTATTGGTGATGCATTCTAGGCTGAATGAGTGATGAGTATGAGATGCTGGCAGCAAAACGTACCACGCCTGATTCTTTGTTGAGTGTCTCTGATGCAGTAATGACCTTGTCGGCGTCTTCCTTGTTCCAATAGCACGCAAAAGCCGTGCCTTTTGAGCGACCAGATTCTTGGTCAATAACAATGCGAACATATCTCAATGGTCCAAATCCTCTGAGACTATGTTGAAAGTAAGAAGGATGCCGAAGGTCAGGATGCACACTCACAGCTGACGCATTTCATCCTCTGTAGCTTCCCAGGGTACATTGCGAATAAAGAGAGTCGTCCCTGCTTCTGGTGCTGGTAGCTCGGGCTTTGTTGGCGCCTCCTCTTCCTCGTCCTCATGAGCCGAGTGCATGGATACGTCCCCATCCGAGTGAACTCCCAGCGCAGAGTTGGAGTCCTCGTCACTTTCTTCCTCTTCATGCCCAGGTTCCGCATCGACCTCCATCTTCTCCTTGACATCTTCCCATTTAGCTTTGCTGAGCGCCCAGTCGACAGCCAGAGGCCTTTCCTTGAGTGACTTTCCATTGACCCCTTCGATAGCTTTCTCCGCATCCGCTCGGGACAGCATCCATACAAATGCAAATCCTTTTGCTTTCGGCTTTCTGCCTTCATGTTGTCCGTCCACCTTGTCCGTCGGTATCTCGATGGAATATACGGCACCATGAGGGAGAAAGAGCGCTCGGAGATCCGAGTCTGTGGTATCCCAAGGCAAGTTTCGGACGATGAGTCGACTAGACCGATTCGGCTTCTTCTCCAATCTCTTTTTCAACGTGACACCAAGAAGCGAACCTTTGTAGACGTGCGCATTCAACTTTTCGACGGCGTGGAGTGCTTGTGTGGGAGAGGTGAAGACGACATTTGCCTTTGTCGGGTCCTCGGATCCATCCACGTTCTTGAACGGGAACTCGAGCGTCTCTGCGCCTTCTTGTTTTCGTACTTTCTTCCAAAGTACTTTTGAATCAATGCCGGTGGGTAGGCCGGTGATGATAATGGTGCGCACGGCGGTGGCATCATGAGCCTTGTCCTTTACTGGGGAACGGACTACTTTTGAGGGTCTTTGACCTTTGGGCTGTGCGTTTTCACCCTGCTCACCCTTAGACAGGGTTAATAATGGCGTCCTCTTTTTCCTGACTCCTCACCTTGGCCGCTGCCCAACTAACACGCAGCATTCTCCCATTCATCTCGACTGAACCCTTTTCCACGCACTGTTCTGCATCTTCGCGCAATGAAAATGTGACATATCCGACGCCTTTAGAGACTTTTGTCTCCTTTTCGAGGACGACGAATGCATTCTTGATGGGCGCAATGTCTGAAAAATGCGTTTTCAAGTCTGTGGAGGTTGCAGTGTATGGTAAATTTGAGATGAAAACTGTTGATCTGGGGCGTTTTAGTCAATCACCATTTGATGATTAGATTATTTACCCGTGAGAATGCTCTTTTACATCTCCAGAGGTCATTTCGACATCTTCTTCATCTCTTTTTCGTTTTCCAGGCATGGCGGTCGAAACAGAGTGGCGGCTTACCACAGTGTCGCAGTGTAGACTGCCATTTCGTTGAAGTAGAGATAGACTATTGAACCCATTGTTCTATTGAGATGGCTGACGCACTCTGCCGAGAGAGACTCTTGGGAAATCTCTTTTTGTGTGAGATGCGCGTGTTTATTGTCCAAACATGAAAAATCCAAGACGAAAGACGTGCCGAGCAATTCGGAGGCAGCTGACGAGTAGAGGCCTCTGTGGATATCATGCCGGACAGTGTTATAGCCGGAGGGCCCTATAAGAACGTTGGACCCCGCCTTTGCCATCCCGCACTCCTCATTCTCCTCCCACAACTTTTACATTTATCAAACCACAATGAGCGGAAAGGCTGCAGTCCTTGCTAAGCACGACGACGACGTCGTGGTCGTCTCGGCTTACCGAACAGCCATTACAAAGGTTAGTCTATCAGTTGTAAGACGAAGAAGAGACGCTAATCTCTCGTTTACGTTCAAATAGGCGCGAAAGGGAGGCTTCAAGGACACTCATCCAGAGGAGATGCTCGCAGCAGTGTTGCGCGCCGTCTACACCAAGGTCAACTTGGACCCAAAGCTCATTCAAGACGTCTCTGTTGGCAACGTTCTTCCCCCTGGTGGAGGGGCCACTGTTGCGCGAATGGCTCAGCTCTACGCCGGCATCCCGCACTCGGTGCCACTCAGCACTGTCAACCGACAATGTTCGTCTGGTTTAACTGCCGTACATCAGATTGCAAATGCTATCAAGTCGGGAGACATTGAAATCGGCATCGGTATGTGGCCTGAGCTCACTTTTCTGGTTATGACAGAGTTACTGACCGCTTTGAATAGGTGCTGGTGTCGAGTCGATGACAATGGGCTATGGACCTAGTGCTCAGCCCGCGTCCATGTCCGAGGAGGTCATGTCGAATCAAGAGTCGGCAGACTGCCTCATCCCCATGGGCATCACCTCTGAAAACGTCGCAGCAGAGTACAAAGTCACTCGCGACGAACAAGACGCCTTTGCCGCCGAGTCGTTCCGACGCGCCGCCCAAGCTCAAAAGGAGGGCAAATTCAAGTCTGAAATCGTCCCCGTCAAGACAAAGATTACCGACCCCAAGACGGAAAAGGAGAGTGAGATTGTCGTCGACTCGGACGATGGTGTCCGAGAGGGCGTGACAAAGGAGAGCTTGGCCAAGCTCAAGCCCGCGTTTTCTAAGACGGGGAGCACGCATGCGGGTAACGCCAGTCAGGTCTCTGATGGTGCCGCTGCTGTCCTCCTTGCCCGACGCTCGACGGCCAAGAAGCTCGGTCTGCCCATCTTGGGCAAGTTTGTCACCGCGTCCGTCGTTGGTGTTCCACCGAGAATCATGGGTATCGGTCCGGCTGTTGCCATCCCTGCCGTGCTCAAGAAGACTGGTCTCCGAAAGGAAGACGTTGATTTCTATGAGATTAACGAGGCCTTTGCGAGCCAGGCAGTCATGAGCGTCAAGACGATTGGCATTCCATTTGAAAAGGTCAACATCAAGTACGTGCTTCCTTGCTAGTGCATAATATCCAGACTAACGGTTTCTCAAAGTGGTGGTGCGATTGCCATAGGTCATCCTCTCGGCGCGACCGGTGCGCGTCAAGTCGCGACTGGATACGCCATCTCTCGTCAAACTGGTGGCAAGATCTTTGTGACGAGCATGTGCATTGGTTCCGGCATGGGCATGGCCGCAGTGTTCACGAGCGAGCAGTAATCTTATAGGATCCTTTGATATCTTTTTCCTGTACCTTTAATTGCGTCATGAATGGAACCTAGTTACTGGCGCATATATACTGGTAGAAACTTATAGTTGGATCCACAGGTCGCTGCAGATAATCTCGGAGTATCCATTCTTCGGACCTCGACAGCCACAAGTCGAACGCGCAAACTGACGTTTTCAAACTGCCGTGAATCTGTATCATTGTTGAAATGGTCATCGAGAATCTCCAATTTTATCTTTCCTGTGACTGATCAGCCGTAGGCACCGTCGTCTTACCCTTGTTCTGGCCTTTTGCACGACACATTGGGAGAGACGCAGCACGATACCATAAAGAAGCAACGATATCTTGTAGAGACACTCGAAACATGGCTAATCTCTGCCCGTGCGTGCTTACACGAGATGGAACGGAAGCACAATGTCCACTGCTTCAGCATCTCGCGCCTGCCGATCAAAAAGTGCCCACCAGAACTTCTACTGGAGATATTCAAGCTTTATCTCGGCGGCTCTCTCTATCCATTTGGCCATCCGCGAATCAAGAGCCTACTCCTGGTTTGCAGGGACTGGTATCAACTGGTGATGGACAGCCCCCAGCTCTGGGCACGCATAGAGCTCGCACTCGAGATTAGGCACGACGAGGCTCAACTGAATACGCTCAGGCCATATGTGATGGCTTGCCTGAACAGGAGCAAAGGCCTGTTGCTAGATGTCGTGCTTCGATTTGAGTCCGTGGATGATGCAGCAGCCAGAATTGAGCGGTTGGCTAGCAAGAATGCCAACTACTTCGACGAGCAGGGTATATGCGTGCGAAACATCGATTACCAGAAACTCCAGAGACTTTCGTCAGAAATAAGTCGTACGGACTTCAGGTTTCACCTTCTTTCGGAGATTGTAGGGCCTCAGGGACTCGGCGTCGCTCGTTGGAGGAGCCTTGAAGTGGATATGCCAGATTACCACTAACTCACATCGTGCACGACCTATTCCGACTCCCGGCACCCAATATGACACAGCTATCAGTTCAAACCTTTTCTGAAGCCATTACCCTCCCGTTGGCTCTCCCGGCGGTAATATCGCTCGTAGTCTCCGACTGTCACATCCTTTCCGGTATTCAAGTCAAGTTGGAGTTGCTTCAACACCTCGAGCTCTTCTTTGAGCAAAACCTCCCGAATCTTAGTATCCTTTCCGCATGTCGAGCTCTCCGGACGTTGAGCATATCAACAGACTCGGAGGAAGAGAGAGAGGAATCTGAATTATGCCTTCCCAACCTCCGTGTGCTGACAATTTGGAATTCTGAAGATCCCTTCTCCACATACAAGATCAAATTTCCAATGTTGGAAAAGGTGGTTTCGTACCGAAGCAGCGGATGGGATGTTCGGTCGGGTGCACGACCATCCATATTCCATCAATATCTCTTGACCTCCGCTTCGTCCGGACATCTGTCTCTTCTCCAGAAGCTGCTTCAGAAGGGCGATGGGATCGAAACGCTCATTATTTCACGGTGTACCCCGGACAACCCCGACCTTGTGGCTGCGATCCAATCTGCAAAGAAGGCAAAGGCCATTTGCTCTTCGCTGCGCCAGCTGACGGTCATAGCTGAGGATGGGACGGCGACGCCCATCGACTTTTTGAACATGTAACTGTTTTGTACTCTACTATATCGGCTTGATAGTTCCTACTACAGCATTTATTCCACTGCAACGCAGTTGTCGCTTTCCCAAGTCTGGCTAGACGTCTCATCCGAAGTGTTGGTACTGACATCGTATTTTCTTCCTATGTGACCTGTACATAACATCTCTCGTCAAACTGGTAGTGAGGTCCTTGTGAATGCTTGCGACTAGGATCGTGCGTGCCTCTGCCGGTATGGGCATGGTTGCAGTCTTTAAGAGCGAGCACTGTTTAGTCTCACAAATATTTCTTGATATCATCTTCTGTAATCTCATTCTATCGTGAATGGAAGCCTACTTGCTGGCGCAAACACAGATTAAACTCGAACTTGACCGCAATCCATGGCCACCGAAAACATGAAGCATTCGCCAGAATTTCCGGTTGGCTACGGAGAATTTATACTCATCAGTAGTGATAATGTTGTATTTCACTTTCCACACTTCCTTCTAGGCCATGTCTCGCCCGTCTTCCGTGACATGTTCAGCCTCTCAAGCTCCGAAGCAGTGACTGGGCCTCCAGAGGTCAAGCTCACGGAAGATTCTGCCACAATAGATCATCTATTGCGGTTCTTTGACCCCAACAAGAAGATCTTGCCCACCGAATCATTGGATCAGATGGTCAGACTCTATGAGGCCGCTCACAAGTACCAAGTACAGCAGGTATCGGATTGGTTGGAAAGGGAAATACAGATTATCGCTTTATCGAAAAGGTCGAAAGAGTTCAGTAACCCGATGCAAGTTCTTGCTGTAGCATCCCGATATCGCTTGCCAGAGGTGGCAAGGGTGGCACTTCGGCAGCTTATTTCCGCCCCATCAAGTGCAATGCAAGGGGATATAACTGTTGGTAGCAATCTATTTGGGCACCTCCTTCATCTAAGGGAGCAACGACTGCGTTGGTATATCCAGCATTTGGATAATTGGTTGAAGGATCGACGTCAAAATTTTAACGAATTCTTTAATAGCTGCCATGACTGCGAAAGGACTCTGTTCAACGTCCAAGCACAGTTCTTTCCCATCATCGCTTTATTAAGCTCGCATCCATCCCACCATACCCTCCGGCAATACTTACCTCCTCGTGGCAGGGACGTCTGTTCTCGTCACAACACAGACTTCCTGTTTTACCCCTTGATGAAATTGGTCAACGCAGCTGTGGAGTTGGAGAAAGAATTACCAAATCTTCCAGCTGGATACCACTGATACGTCCAGGTTATGAACACCATATCTAGGTACTGTTTGATATCTAGGATCTTTCTCCAGTTTTATATAATGCCTTTAGTCTTATTCTAACGATAATTTTCAACCAAGACGCCGCAACGAGATTTGTGTTGACCGTGGTAAGATGAAACGGGGCGCCTCTTTCCGATTCATCACTTCGTGGTCTTGTTCCTACCCTTCCCACAATAGGAAGGCGCCCGCCTCTCAGCGCCTTTCGAAATCCGACGAGGTATTGATAAGCGGGGCTCAATTTGGACCTCAACCTTCATCGCCGATCCAATGGCTAACACCTCGAAAACGTTTCCAGCTGGCTACGGCGACCTCGAACTTGTGTCGAGCGACAGTGTAGTCTTTCACTTTCCTCGGTTCCTCCTTTCGCACATGTCTCCCATCTTCAACGACATGTTCTCCATTGCACAAGAGGATAATTCGACCTCGAGCGCTTCTCGTCTTACCGTGACCGAGGACTCGAAGACGTTGGAAGCGTTTCTTGGCTTTCTTGACCCCAAGCAAAGGTCGCCCAGCCTCGATTTTGCCATTTTACCTCAGCTGTTGGAAGCCGGACGAAAGTACGAGGTACCGCAAATAAGCGAATGGTGGGAGAGCCAAATCTCCTTGGAAGAAAAGTCGACGTTGGCCATGAGCTTTGTACTCACACAACCAATGACCTCGCTTATCCTCGCATTTCGATACGGACTCAAAGACACGGCTCGCCTCGCCCTCCGAGAGCTGGTCAGAGCACCCCTGAGTGACTTGTATACAACCATGGCGCTCGAAACTACACTCCTCTCGCGTCTATTACAACTACGTCAACAGCGCGTTCAATGGTTGCAGTCAAAGATATCCGGCTGGTACCGCGGCATCCTCCAATGCACGAGCTGTTACCAGTCTCAGCTTCACCTCGGACAACAAGTCTTCACACTGTCGACTAGTATTGCATCCGAGCCCTCGCTTCGTGGTCTTAGGAAATCTGGTGTGCACTGGGCTAAACCACCGTGTGGCCACCATCTTGACTCGGCTGCACTGTTCCAGAGCTGGGAGGCGGAGATTATAAAATTGGAGAAGGAGATACCAGACTTTAACCTGTAAACTGTACGACGTAATCGGTAGAAGGTCGGAGTGCTGAACAGTTCGTCAAATTTATGAAAGATATGTATACAGAGTTATAACGTGACATCTACTTGTTACCCTTGTTCTTGTAGAGAGACACTTTTTGCGCCGCTCGCCAGACTCCTGCTCAAAGGGCGTAATCCAACCTGCCTTCCATCTCCACCATGACCGAGGACCATGCCACTTACTCAAAGGACTTTCCCGAAGGATATGGAGACTTTAAGCTCATCGCCAGTGATGGAGTGATATTTTGCTTTCCAAAGGCCTTTCTTTCCTGGATGTCGCCCGTTTTCGCCGACATGCTCTCCGTTGGTGGCGACACTTCAGACGCTGGGGACATACAAAAGCAGGTATCCGTTACAGAGGATTCTACGACGCTAGATCTTTTGTTGCGGTTCTTCGATCCAAAGAAGAAAGTGCGCCCCTTGGAAGAGCAGACGCTCCCTGCACTCTTGGAGGCTGCGAGGAAATACCAAGTACCAGAGGTCATGGATTGGTGGGAAGAACAGGTCAAACTGGAGAAGCAAGGTCCATCTAACGAAGTGACTACGGTGATTAAGTACCCTATGCTCTCCCTCGCCCTGGCTGTTCGACATGGCCTCGACAATACCGCACAGTTGGCTCTTAGGGAGCTGATCAAAGCACCCTCTTCAGAAATTCAGACAAAATTACACTTTGACAGCACACTTCTCACGCATCTCATTCAACTACGACAAGCACGCTACAAGATACTTTCCTCAAAGATGCTTGACTATTATATGAGTCGCGATAGATGCGTAGATTGCATATGGCACTATGCAGAGCTGTCTCATCACATGGCTAGGCTTATCGCCGCATTAACTGACGAGCCTTCACTCCGGATCTGTCAAACGGCAGTATCGTGGCCAGTCTCTCCTTGTCGATGGGTACATTGGGCCAGCTCTCAAGAAATGCTCGAGAAATGGTGGATCTCCGAGATAACCACACTAGAAGACGAGCTTCCTTCCCTACCCGCAAAGCCATGTGAGCACTACTTACAGATATGCTTTCGCCTTTGACCTTCACTAGGGTGAAACGCCTTCAAATTGTATATCGTACACGTCGCGCGTGCTACCTTGATACTCCATCCCCGTCCTCGGTGGTATCGTACAAGCGAAAATACTGTTAGGTCGTAGTTGATCCAATCCATTCGTAAACAATACTGGCATAAATAGACCGCAAATTCGTGATAAGATGGGCTACATCTCGATGAGCCGGGATCACCAAGAGTAAATTGAAGCCCATACCATGAACGTTCGTCAGTTTGATGGATTCTCCTTCTCTTCGACATCCTCGGGCTTATGTCGACGCCATCGTATGCCTCTTGGCCTCGCATGACGCCAAAAGTGGAACTTTCGCCAGAATTGCGTCTTCCCTTCTTTGTTGAGCTGCTCCGCATCAACATCATCCCATTCAATGTAGCCTATACAAGAGCAGACGATGATGCTCCCTGCAATGACGGCCGCCCAAAGCGCAACGACTGCGACGACGGACATCCAGACTGTATTTCCAAAGGACAGAGAGAAGCGCATGCCGAGACTTGAGATGGTGCTGGCCTCTGGGAAAAGTGCTTGGAGCTTGTTGCGTGCAATCATTACAATGGCAAAATCAACGGCGACGACGAGAGTGCTGAGGACAGCTGAGATGATGTTGAGAATCAATGATAGGATTTGTGCAAAGCGGGAGAATGGGAAAAAGGTTGGGAAGAGACTGAGTAGTGTCAATGTTGCGCTAGAGAGGACGGTCAGGTGATGGTGTATAGGAGATTGGCAGACGTACACTACGGGATGGATGACGAGAAAAGAGACGAGGACTTGTGTGATAATGTCGTACAAGTACGGCGATAATCCGAGTGTGGAGATGATGGCTGGGTCGACTGTGTAACCGACGCGCGGGGTACTACAAGTGCCATAATCCCACCAACCCTCGTCGAGCTCGCTACCAAAACGAGTTAGAATAGCGTGAAATGAACAGAGGAAGAGTTTCTCACGTGAGAAAACAGAAACCCCAGAGGCCAAAGCGGAGTTCGCCCTTGTTGACCTCGACGGCGCTCGTCTGGATGTGCAGAGAGAAGAGATATAGCGGCTGGAGACAGAATATAGTCAGCTAGACATGAAAACCAAGCCATTATGGCTCGAAATTGGTGACGCCGGCGACGTACTTTGATGATTGGGAGCGAGAGCGAGACAAACAACTGAAGAAGCAACGCGAGGATGAGAAAAACTGGTGCAAAATAAAAGAGATAGCGGCGATCTGTCTTTGCCCGGAGTGCCATTATGGCCAGAGCACGTCGGCAGAGAACAAGATGGCCACTGAATAGTCTGCCACTTTGACCACTCGAATCCTGGAAATTATTTAGAAAAATAAGAAATGGCATTCGAAGCACAGAGACACGCCTTCAAAGCACTCCAGCAGACATTCGTCGTCGACCAGGACTATGTCTTTCACAAGGAACTCGGCCAAGGCGCATACGGCTTGGTCGTTGCGGCAAAGAACAGAAGAACAGGCGAGGGATGTGCAATCAAGAAGATTACAAACATCGGAACAAAGGTGCGCTCCCTCCATCTCTCCAGGCGCCCTCGATCTATGGTGGCTGACGGGCATTTTGCAGAAAATCTTGACAAAGCGTTGTCTTAGAGAGATCAGGTAGTGCACTAGACTCAAATACACATCTAGGATAAGCCCTGATGAGTCGTACAGGCTGCTTCACCATTTCCGTGGACACAAGAATGTACGCCCTTGCTCCATCTTGCCATCTCAGCTGATCTATTCCTCGTTTAGATTACTTGCTTGTATGATATGGATATTGTCTTTGAGCCAAACGGCGTGTTCAACGAGGTTTACCTCTACGTGCGTGGACGAGACTCGCAATCGATCTACGACGTATCTGATGACCTATCTAGGAAGAGCTCATGGAGGCAGACTTGCATGCCATTGTAAGTCGGCGCGTTATGCAGCGCTTAGTCGGAGGCTACGGCGCTTCCCCAAAACGTGTAACTCACGCCTTTTCGACTAGATTCGATCAGGTCAACCCCTTTCGGATGCACATTTCCAGGTGGGAGCGCTTGGTGCCAAGGGCGTAATCAGCTCACTTTGATCGTTTAGAGCTTCATGTACCAGACCCTATGTGGCTTGAAGGTCGGGATCATTGTCCTTCTTCTCATTCCACTCATTTCTTTATAGTATATCCACTCCGCCAATGTCCTCCACCGTGATCTCAAGCCCGGAAACATCTTGCTGAACGCGGGTAAGCACAATCTTATGAATGCTCTTTATCTAACGATTACAGACTGCGAGCTCAAGATTTGCGACTTTGGTCTCGCTCGTGGCTACACTCCTCCAGGCCAGAATCCTGGTACCGCATCGTCCAAGGCCGCGGGTAGCGCAGGCTTCATGACCGAATACGTCGCCACGAGGTGGTACCGTGCTCCGGAGATTATGTTGAGCTTTGCCAACTATGTGAGTTTATTGCTGCCCTTGCCTCGTTGTAACTGACAATAAATTTCAGAGCACGTCCAGTGAGTACGCAATTAAAGAAATAAACCCAGTCATTGATTTGGTCCCTAGTCGATATCTGGTCTGTGGGCTGCATTCTCGCCGAGTGCCTAGGTGGCAAACCCATTTTCCGTGGACGAGAGTAGGTACTCAGGAGACGATAAGTCAACTCTAATGTCGCAAAAACAGCTACGTCGATCAACTCTCCCAAATTCTCAACTGCCTCGGCACACCAAAGGAGGACGCGTTGAGACGTGTCGGATCTCCTCGTGTAAGCAATCTTCTTCCACAAAGGTCATGAAGTAACACTCAATTATCTTCAGGCACAAGATTACATTCGCTCGCTGCCAATCAAGCCCCGTGTTCCGTTCCAGCAGCTCTACCCACACGCCAACCCTCTGGCAATCGATCTCCTCGGCCAAATGCTCTGCTTCGACCCCGCACAGCGCATTTCCTGCGAAGACGCACTCAACCATCCGTACCTCAGCGTCTGGCACGACCCCATGGACGAACCCGTTTGCGAAAAGGTAGAGCCTTCCTTTATCAACCTGAGAACCGAAATGGGTACTAAGGGAGAGATAGAAATTCGACTTTGGGTTCGAAGAAGAGGACACGATTGAGGGCATGAAGAAGCTCATCGTCGAAGAAGTGATGCAGTTCCGTCAAGAAGTTCGCGCACAGAGTCGCGGTGGTGCAGGTGCGAGGAGGCAGGATACGTGCGTCTTAATTTTCTATTTATATTCATACAACTCATGCACCCCCGATAGGCTTCCAATTCCCTCTCGCGAGGAGATTATCAACTCGCCAGTCCACGAAAATGCTCCTGCTGACGGTGGAACGTCTGCCTTTACTCGTTCGGCAGAGATGAGGAGTGCGAGTCCTATGATGGAGGACCCCGCATCTGAATTGGACAAGGAACTCGCAAAGGCAGGCAAATAAACATAGACATCGACTCTGGACCGGAAATGATGAAAAACAGATCGTGTATCAACTTTTAGTGGCAATAAGACTCTTACTCGCCGTAGTTTTCGTTATATGAGTGGTGTCTGTTTACGCTGCGCTAGCTACAGAGGTGGATTATGCTTCGTGAGACGAAGCGGATTAAAATAGGCTATCTGGTGAAGAGAGTAGAGCTGTGATGAGACTGTGACGCCTCTACGGCGCAGTTTTTGACGAAAAGAAAAATCCGTCCTCGAAATCGTCGTCCTCGGAGAATTTGAGAGGCGTTCCCTTGCCCGAAGACTTTCCAGGAATAGTCGTAGGTGGGTGGTTGTCCTGAATCGTAAGTTCTGCGTCCCCCGGAACATGGTGAACATTGACAACGTCGCCATCCCTAAGCTCATATAAGTCTTAGTCAATTAGCAATGAAAAACTACTTACCGGATCGTTCCCGCAAGCAATTTCTTCGCCAATGGGAACATGAGCTTTGTCCGGACGACTCGAGCGACAGCACGCGCGCCGTAGATATCAGACCACCCTTCGTCGGCGAGCCACTCGCGTGCAGAGTCGGATACCTCGAGGGTGATGCGACGGTCCTTAACACGCTCTGCGACGTCATTGAGACGCAAGGACACAATCTTCAGAATTGATTCCCGTGAGAGTTTATTGAAGACAACTTGCGAGTCGAGCCGGTTGATCAGCTCTGGGGGGAATACCTCTGCTACGCGGTCCAGAACAGCCTTTTGTGCATCGGGAGTTACCTTTCCGCTTGAATCCGATGCAGAAGGGTCGGCGAGTACATCACTGCCGAGGTTTGAGGTTAGGCATATGATCGTATTCTATGATATGCGTCAGGACTGGCAATATAAGTATGAATAAAGAAATACCCTAAAGTCAACACGTCGCCCTTGGCTATCTGTGAGCTGGCCCTCATCCAGAATTTGCAAGAGAATCATAATGACATCCTGGTCGTCACGTGAGTCGAAGATACTGGCTGAAGACATCACCTACTCTATGTGCCTTTTCGATCTCATCCAGCAATAGCACCGCTACGCTCATGTTAGGACAAACTCAACCACAAATTTGGTGGACTCACCATATGGACGGCGACGAATGGCCTCCGTAAGTTGCCCTGGCAAATCTCAGTACGAGCTAAATAACTATTCGAGAGGGTGTACCTCCTTCCTCGTATCCAACGAGACCTGGTGCTGCACCGATGAGCCGAGACACGGTGTACCGATCGTGATATTCGCTCATGTTGATGGTAACCCTGTTCAAAGGTGAGGTTGTACACATGAAACCCAGATAATATGCTCACAGTCCTCGCTGCTCGTCACTGAACAGGAAACTGGCCAGCGCCTTACACAGTTCGGTCTAGCCAAGTCTCAGCGACGTTCTGAAACAAGAAAATTTAACACACCTTGCCGACCCCAGTAGGCCCGAGGAAGAGGAACGACGCCACAGGTCGAGTTGGCGTTTGCAAGTTGGCTCGGGAGATACGCACAGCGTCACTGACTGCGGCCAATACGTGATCTTGCCCGACGACTCTCATTCTAAGAGAGTCCTCCATTTGAATAAGTTTCTCTTTTTCTCCTTTGAGGAGATTCTGAACCGGAATACCTATCGGGTGTCAGAGCTTTGATTGGATGGACCATGATATTACTCACCGGTCGCTTTTGCGACCACTCGAGCAATATCGCTGCTCGTTACTCTCTCATGAACCATCGGTCCGGACATGGAGTCATCTTGACCCAAGGTCGCACCATCGCTTTCTTCGTGCGGAAGCTTGGCCTCCAATTCAGGAATGGTCTGGAAACGAAGCTGGGAAGCACGCTCATAATTTCCTTCACGCTGAGCAACTTCTAGAGCATATTTCGCTTCTTCGAGCTGTTGTTTAGTGCGCTTGTTGGATTCCATTCGCTGACGCTCTATGGGAGATTTGAGAGAATGCTATAGCCGCATGAGTGTAGCTCACCAGCATGCCACAATGCACTTAGACGATCAGCCTTTTTCTTCTTTCGATTCAGAGATGCTTCTACTTTGGCTCTTCGTTCAACGCTCATTACGTCTGATTCGTTCTTGAGACTCTCAAGTTCGATCTGATCAATTGGAATCAGAAGTGAACGCATAAAGAAAGAATTATATACCTGCAGCGTGATCATATCACGGTCGAGTGCCTCGAGTTCGTCGGGCTTCGATTCTTGAGCGATCCTAAGAGCGGAAGCCGCCTCGTCGACCAAGTCTAATAGAATGGTCAGCACAGTGCAATCAAGGAGAAGGTATCCAACCTATTGCTTTGTCTGGCAGGAAGCGGTCGCTGATATAACGAGCACTGTACACTGCTGCAGTCACTAGTGCCGCATCTGATATCTCGACACCGTGATGAACCTGGAGAGAATGAGATACACATTTAAGACTGGTGCAGTGTCCCAACCTCGTAGCGAGTCTTCAGACCTCTAAGAATACTGATGGTGCTTTCTACTGTTGGCTCTTCAATTGTGACGGGTTGGAAGCGTCTATCCAGAGCAGGGTCCTTTGCAATAGTCTTACGATATTCGTCCGCTGGCACACTTTTAGTATCCAGAGTCTGGAATTCTCTCCTTACTCACGTGTCGTAGCGCCAACCAGTTGCAATCCTCGCGCAAGAGCTGGCTTGATCATTTGGCCCGCATCCACGCTGCCCTCAGCTTTGCCGAGATTGAGAAGTGTGTCTGCAAGGTGTGGTTAGAATGCACATCATATAATTCTAGTGCGTAAACTCACGAAGCTCGTCAATAAAGCAAATTACACCTCCTTGTTCCGCCTCAATGTCTCGAAGAAGAGCCTTGAACTTTTCCTCGAACTGGCCTCGGATTCCTGTACCCGCAAGTAACGCTGCGAGGTCCAGTGAGAGAACGCGCTTTGATTGAAGAGACTGCGAGACATTTTAGGGAAACCTAGACCGACCACGGATACGCACCTCTGGAACCTCTTTGGCGATGATTCTAGAAGCGAGACCTTCCAAAATAGCCGTTTTACCGACACCTGGGGGACCGAGCAGCTGATGTAATAGTGAACAAACAAATCTTTTCCTTGTCAGATCAGACTCACCACGGGATTGGACTTGGTTCGCCTTGACAGAACTAACGAAACCCCTTCAGTTACGCGACTTTGCTAAAGGAGCATATCTTACTTTGGATAGTTCTTCGTATTTCTAAGCAATTGCGTAAGCTTGCTTTTGCAAGTGGGCGGCTTCTACGCACCTTCGTCGCGTCCAATTGTTGGGTCTAGCTTTCCTTGGCGAGCGAGGTCTGTCAAATCAACACTCTGGTAGATACAAAATGTGAGCAAGCGTTGCATTGAGCCTATTTTGATGTGAACAACGCACGAATTCTTTCAAAGCCTGGCCCTTTTCCATCTTGTCCATGCCAAACTGCAGACCTCCAGGGAATCCTCCACCAGGAGGACCTTGTGCATACCGCCTGATACTACCTTCAGCCCGCATTCGGACAGCCGAGACGCGTAAGCTTGAAGTCGTAATGTATTTCGTACATTGTCGACGTGCCAATGAGCTCAGAAGTCGCACACGATTTGGAAACATTCCTCAGTAAAGAGATGTTGCCCTTGACGGTTTTCTGTCGCAGGTTTCCTGAAAACACACAGGCGGTCGGGAGCAAAGTCTAAAAACTGAAGGTTGCAGCTGACCCTAACTATTGCCGCCGTTATGGGCAGAAACAGTGCGCCTACAGACGCGTTTCTACGTTTTTAAAATGTTAATAAGGTGTTTTAGAAACTCATAAAGCTGTCCCCCAACCAAAAAGTTGTCTCTGATCAGCAAAGAATACTACAGACAGCTAACAGGATATATAGAGATACACAAGGATCCTGGAATTCCAAAGCTTATTGCTCTCAAAGCAAAAGCAGAGATAGCCGCCTATAGCACAAGGTACTTCGCCACCGTTGAACTTTCGAGCGGCTAACATCCGAAGAAACCGCAAAATCCCAGTCAACAAAATGCGTCAAATGGAATGGATGTCGTTCCTTCTATCTCGACGCTAGCTGCGACAGCCGCTGCTGCAGAGGTTGAAGAACTGCAAGCCGACGAAAACGAGAGTCCAGAGCTGCGGGCCATACGCATTCAACGGAGGCAGTATCTCCGTACTCTGAGCAGAGTGGTCGAGCAAAGTGATATCGTGATCATGGTGCTGGATGCAAGAGATCCAGAAGGGTGTCGCAGTCGGATGGTGGAAGACGAAGTCAGACGGAGAGAAGCCGATGGTAAACGTCTCATCTTTGTTCTGAACAAGATTGGTATGGAGACTCTGTCTTGTTTTCATGTCTTTGACTGACAAGTATGTATTTGTAGATCTCGTGCCCCAGGAGAGTGCACAGGCATGGCTAAAGTATCTCCGCCATTCGGCGCCAACCCTCCCTTTCCGATCTTCTACGCAAATACAGCGACAAAATCTGTCATCTCGTACATCGCCTGCGCTGCTCAAGCTACTCAAGAGTTACAAGCCTCCTAACAAGAGTATTACTGTCGGTGTGGTCGGTTTTCCAAATGTTGGCAAGTCGAGTCTTATCAATAGTCTTAAACGAGCAAAGGTATGCAACCTGTAAGCCCGAGCTGTCGATTTATACCTAATCTAGGTTTGCCCTGTCGCGTCAGAACCTGGCTGGACGAAAGAGTTGCAATCCGTCTCAGTTGAACGTGGTCTCAAAATAATCGACTCTCCAGGTGTAATCTTCGATGAGGACTACTCGGATAGCGGTCCAACAAGCATATCACAGGCATCCCGAATCCTTCTGCTCAACGTGCTATCAGCGTCTACTGTCGACCCTCTCCCTGTTGTAAACGCCATACTCTCTCGCACCCCACATGAGAAACTGCGGGAGCTATATGCGCTACCAGACTTCAGTGATTCAAGTGGCGACCACGACATGACAGAAAACGCAATGCCAACTGCCACCAAATTCCTTACGATGCTTGCCCTGACCAGCGGGCGTCTCCTACCTGGTGGCACGCCCAACCTCGAGGCTGCCGCAACCCAGGTTCTCAGGGACTGGAATTCTGGCAAGATTCCGTACTTTACCCCAGTACCAGAAATACACCCGAGTGTACGGCCTAGTGACGCACCAGGCGCGGAGAATGTGGGCGAGACCAAAGTCGTCGACGCTTGGAAACCTGCATTCGACCTTGGTGGCTTGTGGGATGAAGCCGACAAGGGAGCATGGGAAGAGGACTATGAAGCGATGGAGGAAGCAGGGTGAGTGTGCCGCTCTGGCTAAAACTATCGCTGATATTGCTTGGTCAGAAACGAAATGGACGAAGATGACAAGCTTCCAAATATTCCCTTCAAACGATTGCACTCTGCTCAGGAGGCCGAGGAAGAGGAATCAGTTCTTGCTGGATCACTACCTCCAACATCAATAAACGACGCCCAGTCTTCTATCAGTGAAACGGCACGGAAGCAGGTGTTCAAACGCGTGAAGAAGAATTTCACATATGAAATGGAGCTGGATGAACATGAAGCCTCGACCATGGCTTCAGCAAACCCAATGAGCCGCAAGAAGCTACGGCAGGGATCTAAAAAAGGGAGAAAGTTGATGCATCGCGAGGCCCGGGAGCTCAACCCAACACTACATTTTGACGAAGCCACTGTTTGATACAGTCGTGAGCCATAACTTTAAACGCGTGTTCACTGATTAGATATACTCACAGGTACCCCTTGCCCGAACGTGCCCTCTTGGCAGTCTTTCACGATCGCTCCTATGTATCCTGACTTTCTATCACAATCTGAAAGCATTCAAATTGAACCGAATAAGGTGGAGCCTCCTCTCCGCCGAGAAAGCCATTGGTTACCGCTGGGTGGCTTTGGGCCCCTTGTTCCTAGAGGGCGAATAGTAATCCACGTGGCAGCCGCTCATCTATTCTTGTTATCTATATCTCATTTTTAGGCGACCAAGGTAAGCCTTCTGAAGGGGATGCGAGTATCCACCCAGAATGCATAGAAACCGCAACTCGAGACATGTCAACAGAACAGTGTTTGGCATTGACCATCTCCGCGCAACCTTGGACACCCCGTGTTTACGACCCTTGACACTCGCAAAGAACTCGGTGATTCCCAGCAAATGGGAAATACAAGGGCAGACTGCTGTGACAAGCTTCTGACTTCATTCTTTACGGGTCAAATTAGGTACTCGATATCCTCCCTCTATGTTATCTGGGAACTCCGACCTCTAGAGCCGATTCGACTGCATACTGAAGCAAGGGTCGCTCTGGATTTTACTTCCAAAGTATGTCTATCTGAAACGAACCTCTCAATTTCACCGTTTTCAGTTGATGTGTGGCCTCACCGTGCTTCTTTTGTCGTTGTCGGGCAGCGCCGTTGGTTCCCTCTTCTCGGTTTCAAATTGGTTTGTTCATATAAAGGCACTCTATCCTGTGGTTCCGCTAATATTGGGCTCTGCATACTCTGCCCCGCTCTTCCCCACACCCTCGCGCTCCCGAGTACCCTAACCCGCAATGCCATATTTCGCCCTACGAACAGAGGAAACTCAACCCAGTGACCCAGGAAGTACACAGACTAGCCTCCACGGAATAGGAAGTGAGTTGCAAGATTTGTCGCTTGCATCCCTCTTTGCTTATCAGCGCAGAGAATGGTATCATCATAATTGCTGCGCTCAGTGGTGCTGTCGGAATAGCTTCTATAGCCCTGTGCGCTTTCTATATCCGTTCAAAGCGTGGAAGGGCACGATAGTTCGCACCAAACTCTTTAGACCAGTGAGCACGCTGTTCGGCCTTGCCTCTTATTTCCAAGCTAATGGCTCTAAGTCTCAGTTTCTCTAGGATTACTGTACTACTTCTATAGGACGCCCTGGCACCCAGTTACACTCCTTGTATTCGAGTCGCGTCTTCCTTGCTATCAATACCAACAGCCTCGTAATCATATCTAAGGTGGGAATGCACCCCGAAGATAAAACAGCGTCCTCTGTTCTCTCGGGGTCCACGCGGCTGAGTGTGAGCTGCGAAATCATCCGCTGGCTGGTCCTTCAACTTCCATAGAGAAAACTTCTTCCAACTATTTCCCCCGCTTATCTTTGCGACAGGAACTCGGCCATCCATCTCGAGGAGGACCTGTTCCAATTCTTCGGGTGATTGGATATACATCTGCTGCAACGAGCCTCCTCCAGTGGGTGGCAACGGGTTCCGCATGAGCATTCCAAGCGGTAGTTGAGTTTCGGTACCGCTCTGTGCGACAACAGTGAGAGTGTTCGATGAGGAACTGCTTTCGATCTAGCCTGGGTAGTATCTTCGGTACAAAACGTTAAGACTTAACTCACCAAAACGTCCTTTTCGACCTTGATTCCGGTTTCCGGGAACACGCGACGGTAGCTCAAGACATCTCCGATAGAAAGTATTCCGCGAGAAAGCATTTTCCCAAGGGTGTGGCTCGTGCCTCTAATGTCTATGAGCCTGTCCTCGGCACGACCATATGATCCTACTCACCGAGGCCTTGCCTCTGATTCTACACGCTCTGCTGTTTGCGCTTCTTCCCAGGCCTCGTCCTTCCACGTAGCACGGATTGTCCCGGTTTGTATACCAGATTGATAACGCTCGACATTCTCGACATGCTTTTTGGTGTACCATCCAGAATAAAGGTGATCCTGATTTGAATGTCATAATCTTTCATCGCAAGCCGGTGATCCACAAACTTGAAATGTCGTAAGAGCAGTTGCGAGAGCTGACGAAGTGAGGAACGGCAGAACATCTACATCTTGCACATCGAGTTCCATGCTTTCTTCTCCATCGACGCCTTTACCAGTCTCTTGTGTACCAACTATGGAGGGATGATAGTGTGGCAAAGTTGCATTATACGACGGAGATGCAGTAGGAGGGAGAAGATTGAACAACGCTTGACGATCTTCTGAGGAAAGGCAGAACCAAGTGTCTCCGTTGATAACTTTCTGTCCGCATTTCAGTGATACATCCTCCACACAGGTAATTCGCGAACATTGAGGCCAAGATTACACAAAGGACTCTTGTCACTACTGAGATACCATTCCAGTGAGCCCTGTTTTCCTTGCGCTGTCAATTTCGTTTTGGTTCCAGCTTCGGGTTCGAGTTGCTGAGGAGTTTTACGCTTCCGACCAGAAGAGACATACTCTGCTTCGTCAACACCCTCGAACTTTTCGGATTTTCGAGTGCTTCGCCTCGGCTTTGAAGACATGGAGAAGGGCAAGGTTCTGAGCCGCTCGAGTGGAACGAACTCGGCTAGCATATCTCTATCTTACACAGATTAATCAACATGAACTTGTGCAACTCTTGGCCCCAAATGCCCGCCTCGGCCCTTCCCGCGAGTACCACCACGACCGCGCTTCCCTTCACCGCTTTTTCCTCTACGACTGACATTCTCTCTCTGACCGTTTCCTTGCAATGTTTTTGCATCGACTTGAGCATTCTGCTGTTGAACTCGAGCACTCTCCGCTTCAAACCACGATAGAAAGGCGGCTTCACGAGCTGCTTCCTGCTCTTCTTCTTGAATTTGCTTGAGGCTCTTTGGCGGTCCTTTAGGTAGAGGCATGCTCGCTTGTTGCTCTTGGATCTCCAGGAAAGATGGATTTTTTCTACCCTCTCTCTTGTCCATTCGAGGTTGTGGAGGTGATGCCCAAGCACTCCCATCACTGAAAAATGGGTCAAAAATGGCTAACAAGAAAGGAATACGGCTTACGCTGACGCCTTCTTCCGCATGGGTGCAGCCAGACCTGGCGCCTTTGAGGGAATGATTAGTGGCCCTGACTGGGATGTACTTGGGGCAGCTTTCGAGAGCTGTTGGGTAGGAGGAGCAGTATTAGCGCTGATCTGCTTCGTAATTGGCGAAGGGCGGCCTTTTGAAGGTGTCGCATCGGGAGTTGCCCAAGGGGAGCCAGTTGATCGAGGGGGCGTGCTCGAAGGAGCGGCACCAGGGAGCGACCATGGTTTCTCATTCGAGCTGTGGGGAGTGAAACCACCAACGCTCGATTTGGAGGTCGATTGTAATGCGGTTGGCGCGACCCGGGGGCCAGGGCTAGGGATGTCTTTGGACATCGTGCCCGCAGAAATGGATGAACTAGGCCTTAGGGCCGGCGGTTGGTACTTCTTATTCGCTTGAGCAGTACGGCGACTATCGGCTGCTTGCTGTTCCGCCTCCATGATACTCTTCATGTCCACCTTTTCCGTCTTTGACTCTTTCCACCAACGAGGCGCTTCTGAAGCTAGACACGACTTCGTAAGAGAACTCGACGCTACGAAGTCGGTATCCATGGCAAATAGATCGGCCGTCTCTTGGGAAACAGTGGATCGATTTGCCAGCAGCCTTGCAGTATATGGTGCCTCGGTTGTTGGGCTGTGTACTGGAGGAGGGATGACCGTAGTCGAAGTCGACCTCAAAGGAGCGATACGATGAGTAGGGATGATGATGGAAGGGAAATCTTGAAGCGCCAGCCACGACTCCCATCGCTTCTCGAGTTTTGCTAGGTTTCCGCCACTACGCATAAACGGTTGTAGGGCAGTCTGCCGGAGGCGCAAATTGTGAGCAAAGCCTCCAATGGCATAGTCAGGCAGCGAGTCGAGTGCATTCTGATCAAGTAGAGTTTCCAGATTACCGGCCATGTATCCGTGTATTCGCTGGACGAGCCGTTGGGCATTGAAATGCATCGCGTCAACGAGTATAGATGCTACATTTTGCGAGTCGATATAGCGTAGGATGTATGAGGAGCATATGTCGGTATAGCGATCCATCAGCAAGAAATTCTTTATGGGAAGTGAGCCATCTTTCGCGATGATCAGAGTCGGAGCGTACACTACATGAGATAAGTTCGAACATAAATTGAGTCAATTGCTCTGTAGATTGGATGAAATCTATAGAGGGATCAACAAAGGCCTTATACGATGTGTAAGACCCACCTAAGTGACTGAAGGCCTCAACCCCGACGTCCTGATACAAATATCTTAATAAATAGGACATGGGTCGATAGTTGAACTCTTTGAGATCAACTGTTATAATCCCATGATTACTTGAGGCTCGCTCGCTCGTCCAGCAATCGCGGTCGAAGAATGTAGCAAAATAGGACGACCGAGCTCTGAGGACAATAGAATGCGCGTGAACCTGTCGGTCTTGAAGCAATAATACCACATCATGTGTAGTATCGGTGTTTGACACCATCAGTCGCGCGCAATCGATAACCAGAGTTGGATGTGGAGCGACGAGGCCCACCCTCTGTGCCGAAGCTTCCAGATTGGTCAAGTTGAGCATATCCTGACTGGCAAGAGTTATCAACTCTTGCTGGATAGTGGCGACGTTCAGCTTGAGAGATATGTAGTGAACGGAGATGGTCAAAGAGATACGACGCTCCCAGAGAGCTACTACCCTGTCGCAGTAGAGATAATAGCACAAAAGGAGGATCACCGCAGGCTGGCATCCACGAACCATGACAGTTGATACTTTGGAGCCTCTCTTCGTAGAAGTGCCATCGAAGGTGATTGTCGAGCCATATCTGCTATTGTGTAGTTGCAATTTGCCGCCGCGAAGGGCCTCGATTAGTTTGGGTGCGCGAGTCTGGACAATGGTCTTGTGTGCTGGTATCGTCAGCTTTCCAACCTTGAAGAACACATCGGCACCGAGCTTTGAAGCAAGGTTAGGAAGTGTCCCAAGAGCTTCTGGAGGCTCGGGTGCGTTTGTGCCAAGTTGCAGATAGTCGCATATATCCATTGCAGCCCGTAGGTCGTGTGCGATATCGACGTCAGGTCCCTCTTCGTCATCCACATTTTGGTTGGAAATGAGAGGGACCGACTGTCGAATTGCCTCTTCTTTCTGTGTCTGCAATCCGATAGATGTCGTGGGCAGTTTCCAGCGGAAGGGAAGCGCATCTTCGAGATCATCTGCTAGCGTGTGCCTTGCCAATAGGATCGACTCGGGAATGGAATTGAGACGTAGTGCAGCAAAGTCTCCTGCGCCGTTGGTAAAGACCCTGATGACGCGTTGCAAACTGCTGACGCGATGAAATTTGAAAGCAGATGCTCCTTTTGCTGCACTGGAGCTGTTCCGTGGGCCGTGTAAAAGACTGGTTTTCATCGCTCGACTTCTGATAAAGACGTGTCCTGACTTTGTACACAAAATCATGGACCCATCCGTCGCGAGCGCAACGTCCTGTGAGAAAAGCGCACATTAGAAGATTGCCATCCATGATTCTGACGACGTGCCTTAACGGCCGTGAACTGCCGTCTGACTGCCCACACGAGCTGAGGGATGGGTCGAATGGGCTTTCCATCCCTCTTCGAAATAAAGTAGTCTTCTGTGCTGAAAAGGAAGACATCGCCCATATTGGAAATGAGGGCAAACTGTGAGGTATTGCCACCGCTGGTGGTGACCTTTCTGATTCCCGACTTTAGGGAGAGGAAATGGCGCTGTGTTTTCGGCAAGGCGAATCTAGGTTTTGATGAGACGATGCATGATCCCAGTGATGAAAACGTACGGCAGTTTCCAATAGGATTCGTCTAGGAAGCATAGGACGTCTCCATTTTTCAGCAGAACCAACATCGCAGAGTCTGTCATTGCAACGCCAGCGACGGGTTCTGTCACTGTCGCGACAGGTCGAGGAAGGACTTGTGGTTGCGCGACCTTTTCCTTATCAACATAAAGGTGCGAAATGTCATATCCTACCGCGATAAGAACCTGTATATTGAATTCGATCATGACTCACCTAGTTGGCCTCCATTCGTACCCCAGGTGAATAGTTGGGTAGCAGTCCAGCATGCGGAGGCAGTCTTGCAACAGGCCACCCCAAGGACACGCTGGTTGCGCAGTGGTCCCGTGACCTTTCGCGGAGTGGCTTGTACTTGATTGTCTACAGCTTTACCTGTACCCTCAATTGCATACCCCAATTGCGCAAAGCGGTTGAAACCCCAACTGAGCACCTCTCCCGCCGAGGTCACGGCGAGAGTGTGGTCTTGTCCAAGAGCCAGTGAGATGAGCTTGTGAGGAAAGGTTTCTTGAGGGTTAATGAAAGAATACTGCATCTGTGAGTGGGCAGATTGACCGCGCGCTACATGTCCGCCGCTGAGGAAGCCACAGGTCCGGATGTTGCTCTTAGACTCTGCTGTAAGAATAGTTGTATGCGTCTTGGACATGTAGACGTCGGTGATCGGCACCGGCTTCAGGCGGTCGAAAAGTTGTCCGGCGGTATAGTCGTTGCGGCGAACGATGACCTGTTCTGGATACATTCTGTCATCGCCGTCCCCAAGACCAAGAGTAGCATTCCGGTTCGAGCCCCACGTATATAGTTCTGCATGTGGCTCGGAATCGCCTATATCAGGAGGATTCGTTCCATCGACCGTCGAGTTGTAGACATCAAAGGGAGTATAGCCTTCAGTATCTTTCAGATATCTCTCTGTGTCATTACGCTGAAGTAGGAGCACTCTGAATCACATGGCCTGTCAGCAATGCATATCGTCACTGACGAAAGACATACGCAGCGGGCACATTGCCAGCGTATAACGCTCGATGAAGCGCGCTCCAGCTACTCTCCGCATCCTGTAGATTGACATTGATCTGAGGGTGAGCGAGCAAGAGCCGGATAAACTCCAACGCCATAGGATCGACCGCGGAACAAGCAAGGTGCAGTACTGTGCGTCCTAGCGAATCACGGGCATTCACGTCGACACTCTTGGGTCCCAGCACCGGAATCTTGGTCAAAGAACGCGATGGGCCACTGTTACTCCCAACGTTGATTCCCTGGCCGCTGCTCGAGGAGGTCGAGCATGCAGCTTTGGAATGTTCCAGGCATTTCTGAAACTCTTCCTGTTTTCTGAGATGAAAATAAGCATGTAGAGCGCTCATGCAGCTGTGGAAGATGCTCTAGACGGCCTCGGAATACGCTCTGTAATCGCGTACTCCGCCGTCAGAGTTTATGGGACCTCGAGCGCGTCGAAAGAGGCGTTCAAGAGTTCGTTGGACGGTATCTTTTTGCCCTCCTCTAAGGTTTGAGGATTATGGTTGGCGCAAGTCAAGTCCAAAGTTTAGAGTCAGCAACGTGCGGCGGATGCGAACTAGCCGCTGCCGATAAACAAATGAGTCACCAAACGTTGCTCAAAGAATCAAACTACAACATCTTGAACAATTTGATTTCGACCTTTTGGCCTTTCGACTCGTACATTTGCTATTCGTACAACTGCCCTCAAGAGAGGCCACAAAGACCCATAAGAATACCATTGTAAGGACCGAGGTGCTGGAGCACATTGGAGATAAGAACGTTGCCCACATCGGCGACAGTACAGCCAGGGGCGGTATTGTCATTTCCTGAGAGGCGTGAATAAGCCTCGACTCAACGAGTTACTGCAACATAGTACATACCAGGGCAATTGACCCAGGCGTTGTCGTCACGGATATGAATCTCACCGTGAGAGTGAGCATATCCCATAAAACGCCCAGGAAGGATAGGAACCGGGTCATCCTTGTTGTTAATGTGCACCAGATCCGAAAGATTCTGGTCGACCCAGCTGACCCATGCGGGATTCCCAACACGCGGAGATCCATAGCCAACAATCTTGAAAGAAAAAGTCGAACCAAGATTCAGCTTAAGACTCGCTGCTGTCAAAACACCAGTTGCAGCACCCATAGAGTGACCGATGATGGTGACCTTTGTTGTTCCATACGTCGAAGAGGCTTTCCGGACCGCTGCGATGACAGGAGCAGCGGATCTACCGACGCTTAGTCCTGGGGCGCGGTGATCATAGAAAAGCTTACAATTTGAAGGACGATAGGAAGCCGGAATGCACCTTTGCGTCCGCGGGCAGTCCCGGGAAAAGGGAAGCGTCAGGCCGAGTGAGGATGAAGTTGGCGTCTGTGAGCAATGGAACAAATTTGAATGGATCGGTTCCTTGGAAGACGGCGACGACAGAGTTCCATGCGGGATAGTAGCCGACAAACCCTGGACAACGCGTGAGATGACGAAGGAATGCAGTCGATCTACGCACAGTATTGAACAAAGGCACCATCTCCGCCGCTATCGACAGTCACGAAGCCCCCGAGTTTCTTACAAGCAGCTTGGAACGCATGAGACAGAGTGACACACCGATAGGAGAAAACTTACGACCACACTCCCATCCCTTTGTCAGGACTGGCGGACAGTAGGATGCAGATGCAAAAAGAGTGTATTGGTTGTAGGCATCAACCTCATCTTGTTGTCAATGGAAGCTTCAAACACTGGCGAAGTGAGGACACACCTGTGCGGACGATAAGATGCTCAAGCTATCCCCTCTTTCAACCAAAGGAGTGGGAGCTGCAGCGACACCACGAAACGACGCCGCGAGCAACGAGAAAAGAGCGACAGAGGCCTTGAACAGCATCGTGTGGGGGAGTGTGGGGATGCGGGGATGGAGAATCCTGGGTTAGTAGAAGGAGGAGGATATCGTCCTTTTATCCGCCGCTGGGCTCTCTCGGCGAGCGGTCATGCCGCCCTCGATTCGACACTGTGCTGATGCCACGGAGAAGCTCGTCACCCCGCAATCCATTGATGAGACCCGCAGAAGTGTGAGACCAAGTTGATAGAATCATGGTGTGAAAACCGATGAAGCACTGTGGCAAACCGGCTATGGAGGGTGCCGCGCGTGCAGCACTTGCCAGACTCGGGCAAACCCCCGATGTGCGTTCAAACGAATATAGATGGTTCGACAACGAGAAAGAGCCGTGTACCTCGTCACTGTATTGATCGCGGGATACGCGTCGGGATTCTGACGCTTCTGGCGCTGCCAATCGTACCAGAAAGTGTGACCATGTGCTCCGCAAATCCACGATTGGACGAGAAACCCCGCGATGATGGAGATGTACAGGTGGTATGTCGGGGATCAATTACAGAGGACGCATCAATCATTCAAGCCGTGAGTATCTGCTTAGAGATGCTGGTCATAGGATCAGAATGCTCGGTACCGCTGCCCAGAAGGCTACACAGAAGGGAACGCCCAGTCCGGCAATGGACGAGCCCGCCCCGACCCCGACGTGGGTTAGTCAAGAAGCGATTGGCCACCCGCCTCCCTAAGATGCTGCCCTCAAAGCCACTGACATGTCAATAAAGGAGTCCCTCGAAACGCATTTAGGGTAGTTCCTGTGCTCAGGGGTAAGCATACCCCTTGGATACACCATAGGCACTGACAGCAGCATCGGTAGCGGTCGAATGCAAATCAGATCAGAACAACAGCTTGAAATTGGAATTATTGTAATTCAATGAGCGGTACACCGGCTCAATTCATCATTTACCGTGCGGAAGGCCTCTAACTCAGTCTTGATTCCTTGAAATACATGTGAACAAACGGAAGACATTGGTGTTGCATGCATCATTCATAGCCATTAAACCTGATTTCAAGTCTCAGGATGTTGGGGTGCTCGGGTCTACCTTGACCGAGTGAGATGCTGTGGACTTCTGAGAGTTGGACATACTCAGTCTGGATTGGGTCGTTTGATATACATCTGAGATATTTATGGACATCAGACATTGCACCTTTTGAACACGAGGATCCTGGTGATTCCTCGCTACCTCAAATATATCTGAATGCATGGAATCGTGAATAGTCCTTTATATACAGCGATATTACGTATTATGAAAAGCAATTCTGATGACATATAGCACCGGCACCCCCTCCAGAGGTACCTATATAGCAACGCCAATGCTGCTCCACCGTGTCTGAGAATTGATAGTCTGTGGAGAATCGGGCTGCTGGAGATATCCATTCGATGGCGTCTCTCGCGGTCTCGGCTGTGTGGTCACCGGCAACATGCGATACGCTTGACCCTTGTCATCGGCCCCCCGCGCATCGCTTGGGTATGTCTCAGATTCACTCGCGGGTGTCCTGATGCGCACGAGGCCCAAATTCGCTTGATTTTTGCTCCTCGACGGCTTGACCAATTTGCGCCGTGGCGAATCCTCTTCGAGCCCAAACGCCGTACCGAAAGTGACCCTATCCTTCTTCCCTCCACTTGAACGCGCGTGTGGTTTGCCCGTAGCATAGTCCCAGAAGAACACCCAGGAGCCATAGACCTCCAGAGCCATGTCCGCATAGTTGATGCTGTCCCACAGCGGTCTCCAGATGCTCGTGGTACTATGTCGTCGGCGCTCCATCTCGTCGTCGGTCATCATAGTTGGCACATAGCCTCCTTCCTTGGTGTTTGGGTCACTCTTGTTGAGATACTCAGACACTGGGTACGCCCACCACATGAATAGGGCAAAGATGACCATTTCGATGCAGGTCGCGAGGGCGTTGAGGCCATCGGCAATGTTTGTCGACGTCCAAAACTCTGTCGCTTTGATGATCCCCTTGTTTTGTAGAATGGAGAAGACAAAGCCTTGGTACCAAGTAACCATCACGATCAACTTGATGCACAAAAACTTGGCCAATGGTCTTCTTCCATTGAGCTCGTGCTTTGTAAGGTCGTAAAAGATAATGAGACCCATGAGAGCGACGCTAACAGAACGTGTAAGCACAGAAATATTCCTAGCCATTTCGGTTCCTCACGAGATGGACACAAAATCGATAGCCTCAATGTACACTGCGGCATAGTGAGGAGTGAGCTCGTTTTCGCACAAGACTCCATAATATTGTGTGATGATGCCGGCAATAGAGCACGCTGGGTTGGAGTTTAGAAATAGGATCGAGCGTGTCTTCAAACTTGCCTGGTCGAATGATGGTATACTGCATGACCGACCATTTGAGGGTATACATAAAGTAGGGCTTTGTCGGTCTGTATCGTAAACAGCAGCACTAGAAACGTTTAGATTTGATGCAGCGACAAGTAAACGGTCGCACCGGGATTGGTAGTTTGGTCTTGTCTTTTCGCGCTAAGGCATCCTCGGCTGTTCGCGAAGCTGCAGTCGCTGCGACATATTGGATGATAAGAAGGAGGAAAGCGGAGATGACAAAGGCTTCGTAGATGATTTCGACCAGGGAATAATAACTGGAAACGAGATGAGCCAACGGTTTCGACGTTCGGCTATTCACGTACACGTAGTCCCTAAAGAATCTGTACGAAAAGAAGGAAATGATAGCGAAGACTATTAACAGTCAGCATTTATGCCTCCAAACGACGAGCACAGTCTCGCACCTGCGGGCATGTAGAGAATTCGTATACTAAAGCCGGTTAGCAGACGTCTTAGATTACATAAAACCCCTCACATTTGTCGTTGTTCCGCCCGAACATAGTAATGCCTATATATGCCGGTCAGTTCTTGGTTCCCGGGCTACAGAAGCGGCATAGCAACCTTGCGTGTCCGAGTACGCTGAATATTGTGATGATCACCGTCTTTGAGTCGAATAGATAGTATTAGGATCCTCTTTGACATGCGATGACAAGGAAAACGCACGAGTATAGCACATCCGCCGGCTATGGCCCAGCCAATTCGATGATAAGTCCAGTGAATACCATTCTACAAGTTCAAAATTCTCGTCAGCGATCAAATCCAGGGCTTCAGACCGCAGCGTGCGTCCTACGGACCTCGTCCCAGAACGACGACTGGTCAATCGCCGCGGTATTGTCTTCTGCACAGCGTGCGACCATTCTTACTGCGACCGATAAACAAGAATACGCCCGTCTACGTGCCGCGACTGCGTCTCTCCCGCCGTCAGGGTGGTTGGAATCCAAGAGTTGTGTGCGACCCGATTCAAATTCGGCGGGCGGCCAATTCTGCCGCCCAACCAGTGCTAGGCGCAGCTAATGTTCGCTGGTCGATATAATCTACGCTTGATCAACGGGATACCATTGCACGAATAAGAATATGCACAGAGACCGACGGATATGGGTCCGCAGCAGGACAATACATGTATACACAGTAGAACAGCAACCCAGCAGCCTAGGAGCAGAATCCATAGATGCGACCAAATAGCGCATTGTACTTAGGATACCCGTGCATCTTTGTGGCCGACTTGTTTCGTAATGGCGTTGAGCAAATCTGCCCGTCGAAGCGGCTCTGTCCAAAGAGGTCAGCGATGAAGCCCTGTAAACGGATGTACATACTTGTAATGTGATCGTCCATGCCTGCCTGCAGACAGCGCTCACGATCACCGATCACTACCACCCGTCAATATTATCCGGACCCAGGGCTCAGACAACTCACTAGCATGCGCCGTCAAGGCAATAATGGGGGTCCTCTCTAGATGATGTTCGGCTTCGTACGCTCTAATAAGTTCGGTAGCTTCCATTCCACCCATGAACGGCATCGAGACATCCATCTTGGCAACGATCAGCGGCGAACCCAACTCAAGCCTTTCGACTCACCAAAATGACATCGAAGCGATTTCCAGCACGTTGCCATCGCTCCTTGAATTTGTTGAGAGCCACACTACCGTTTTCTGCAATCTCCACCGTATGGCCATACTTTTCTAGAATCCTAACGGCCAACCGTTGATTGACTAAATTGTCCTCTGCAAGCAGAATATCAAATGATGTATCGGTGCTGGTGACCGGTGGGTTGACGCTGTTCGCTTCCAAAGCTGCGACGAGAGCGGCAGCGAGGTCGGGCAGTGACACTGGTGTCGTAAGGTGCGACGAAATGGAGTTATCCAGACACCATTTGACTATAATGATAGCGTTAGATGTTAGGATAGCCAGCGAGTATCCAACGTACGGTTCAGGCGGGGTATCGATGGTGCGATGAGCACAACTGGAATATATCGTAGGTGTTCCATTTCCCTCAGCACCTCTGTCACATGCAGACTGTCGACCAAATGGTATCAATGTGCGGCAACCGTGACCTCTCCAAGAGCTTCTGGACGTCGTGTACGACATAGGGCACGAGACCGAGTTTTGTGATTTGTTCGCTGACATTCGTCATGTCCCCAAGAGTGTCGACGAAGAGGACGTGACGGCCAGTGTACGGCTGAACCTTGAGGAGAATTTGCTCCATTGGCGAGTCGGAGAGCTGAGATGTGACAGTGAAGAAGAACTTGGATCCTCTTCCGAGCTCCGACTCGACCCACATATTGCCTTGCATAAGCGATACCAGTCGCTTCGAGATTGACAGTCCAAGCCCAGTGCCACCATATTCCTAAACACCCAATGTCAGTTCTGTTGACTTCAAACACCAGCAAACGCACTCGAGTAGTCGATCCATCGGCTTGACAGAAGGTGTCAAAGATGAGGTTCAACTTGTCCTTGGCAATGCCAATGCCGGTATCGGATACGCAAAACTCGAGGGTCACACACGTCTCATCAATTGCAATGAGACGACAGCTGAGACTGACGTGCCCCTTGCAATGATGTTTGGAAGGCTATCCACTAGATTAAAACCAACCCAAAGGAAAGGAAGACGCCACGAACCGAAAACTTGATGGCATTGCCCAACAGATTGGTGATAACTTGGCGAAGACGGAGCGAGTCACCAATAAGCTGATCGGGGATATCCGGATCCATATCGTACGTCAAGTCGAGGTTATTCTGCGATGCGCGCACGACAAGCGTCTTGAGGATGCCAAGACGGTATGCCGCACCGAATACGAAACTTGCTCCATCGTCATGCGGCCGGCTTCAATCTTTGAAATATCAAGAATGTCATCGATAATGAGAAGCAGGGACCGCGCAAGGCTGTGGACGAGGAGGAGAGACTCTCGCTGGCTTCGAGTAAGATCCGAGTCCAGGGTGAGCTCCGTCATGCCGATAATACCGTTCATCGGAGTTCTTTCAGTGTGTCAGCAACCATAATTATGTAAAAAGTATCACCCATACCTGATTTCATGACTCATATTGGCCAAGAACTCGCTCTTGCTCCTATTGGCAAGCTCAGCCGCCTCACGAGCCGCCGTATTCTTTTGAATCGATTCACGGAGGTTGAATACCATCTGATTGATCTGCGTCTTGAGCGAATCCATCTCTCCCGACGCCTCGACGGTAATGAATCGAGTAAAGTCACCATCTGTAGCAGCAGCAGAGATTTGAGCGAAACCGCGCACTTGCGACGTCAAATTGGCCGCCATCGTATTCACCGACATCCTGAATAGCGTTCAACAAAGGTCATCATGAAAAGAGTCTGAAAGAACGCACGTGATGGATTGCCAGGTACCGCGCAAGTTTGCCACCTCGGCTTGAACACCCAACTTACCTTCTGTTCCAACCTCGCGAGCGACACGCGTTACTTCTGCAGCAAAGATGCCGAGTTGGAAGATCATGGTGTTAATGGTGTTGACAAGGTCGAGCATCTCTCCAGACACTTGAAGGCCCTCAACCTTGCGGGTGAGATCACCAGCGGCGACAGCTCGCGTTGAAAGCGCAATAGCTCGGACTTGTTGCGTAAGCTAGACCAAAAATGTCAGCCGACATCCCTACGAGTCTCAAAAAGGACGCACATTGGATGCCATGGTATTGACATTGTCCGTCAAATCCTTCCACGTTCCAGCAACGTTTTCGACACTTGCTTGACCTCCAAGGATACCATCCGTTCCGACTTCTTTCGCAACACGCGTTACCTCTGCGGCAAAGACGCTCAAACTCTCCGTCATCGAATTGACAGTTTCCTTGAGAGCGAGAATCTCGCCCTTGACGTCGACGGTAATCTTCTTCGTCAAGTCTCCTCGTGCGACGGCAGTCGTCACCGCAGCAATCGAGCGCACTTGCGTCGTGAGATTGGAGGCCATCAGATTGACATTGTCGGTGAGCACCTTCCACATTCCTTCGACGCCGGGAACCTTGGCTTGACCGCCAAGAATACCTTCTGTACCGACTTCGAGCGATACACGTGTGACTTCGTTTGCAAGGATATGAAGCCGAGTAACCTAAATTAGGGTAAGCGCCTTCCCCATCGCACCACAACAAGGGATACTTACCATGCTATTGACCGTATTCTTCAAATCCAGCATCTCACCACGGACGTCGACCATGACCTTCTTGCTCAAATCACCATCTGCCACAGCAGTGGTGACTTCTGCAATCGAACGGACTTGGTTGGTCAAGTTTCGGGCCATGTTCTGACAGGTGTTAGCTTCTCTAGACAGAAAAGGAAGCACTAATTACGTACGTTTACGTTGGTCGTCAAATCGGCCCAAACTCCCTGTACACCTTCGACTGTGGCTTGACCGCCGAGAATGCCCTCTGTGCCGACTTCGAGCGCCACTCTGGTCACCTCGGCCGCAAAAGTTCGAAGCTGGGAAACCATAGAGTTGACGGTGTCCTATGAAATCACCGAGTCAGTTCTATGTTCATTCGAAATTTGGATTCTGTACTTTGAGGGTCGCAAGTTCACCTTCAACCTCGATCTCTACACTCTTTCTCAAATCACCCTTGGCGACAGCGGTCGTGACTTCGGCGATGGATCGCACTTGATTTGTGAGGTTATAGCACATGCGATTGACCTGAAAATCATTAGAGAGGGCCCTTGGCCAAGGAAATAATCCAACTCACATTCGTTGTAAGATCCAACCAAACACCCTCGACATCGTTGACCTGAGCACTTCCTCCCAATTTGCCTTGAGAACCGACTTCGAGTGTGACACGAGTAACTTCGGCCGCGAGATTACGCAACCGCAATACCATTGAATTGACCGTATTCTGATGACAAATTAGAAAGCACATAGGAATTCAGTAAACGAACCTTGAGAGCAAGAATTTCACCCTTTGCGTCGACTTCAATCATCTGACTCAAGTCTCCCCGAGCGACGGCCGTCGTGACAATGGCGATACTCCTCACTTGGGTACTAAGATTGGCCGCCAAACGATTGACGACATCTGTCAACTCTTGCCAAGTGCCTTCAACGCCAGTGACATGAGCTTGTCCTCCGAGAATACCTTCCGTGCCGACTTCCAAGCTAACACGCGTCACTTCTTGTGCAAATTGACCAAGCTTGTCGACCATGGTATTGATAACATCCTTGAGCTGAACCATAACGGGTCCCTGGACGCCGACCTCTATCTTTTGCGTGAGGTCACCGTCCGCGACGGCTTTACACACCCGGGCGACATCCTGAACCTGCGCCTTGAGCAAACGCAATTCCTCGACGGCGCTCAATCCAGATTCAAATGCGGCGGTGCTGAGGGGACCAGGTGGAACGACGAGTGGGGATCCGTTGGGGGAGGGCAATATCGTATGCGCGCTCGAAGTCGATGCTGAGATGCCACGGGCCAGGGGCCGACGGCACATAGGGCATGGATACGGTGAATGCGGAGAACGGTGTTCGGTGGTGGGGCTTTGAATGCCGCCTTGGGGTGGCTGATTTCGGGCATTGTTGTTGATCCCCTGAAGTGAAATTTGCATGGGCGACGGAGCTCGCGACTGTTTAGAGGTTGGGGAGATCACAGAGACTGGCGTAGGCGCTTGTAAAGCCACTGTAAAGGGGTTTATTTCCTGAGAAGGCTCGTTGACTGCAGAGTTTGTAGACGCTGTACTTGCGGTCGTGGTGGGCGTTGTATCGTCCTCACTCGCTTGTACACTCTTCATGTACTGGTCCATGAGCGGAGGCGCGAGCCAAGGGTGTGTCCATCCGAGCGTCTCTTCTGCACTTCTCATCCTGCTCGCGATGAGGTTTACGCTGCGTTCAATCGCGTCGGTCTGTGCCGTGCGCGGGCCATCGTATCGTGGGGTGGGGATACCGGGAGTGCGTCCAACGGGTGCTGTAGACGAGTTTAGATGGTTGGTTGAGACTGTCTGAGTTGCTTGTTCATTGGAAGATGTAGCCGCGGGGGGAAGTGTATGCATTGTCGGCGGCAGTTCATAGACGGAGAGCAGAGCGACGAGATGAGAGAGAAAAGGGTGATCATCTAGCATTGCTGAAGACATCAAAGGCGACGCAAGGGCCTGGTGGTCAAGGCCTTGAGGCGCGAGGGCCATGATATCAGCGGACATTGTGCTAGACAATCTTCACCTGGTCGTACTGTCGTCGATAATCTGCTATCTAGACGATTGCAGAGTATTTGGGAACGACGGAGATGCGCTGGACAAAGGCGGAAGACGAAGAAGAGGTCAAGAACTGTGGCCGACAATCCGTCGCTGCCACCACGTCTCTCAGCAACATCCGGGCGGCATTTATCACGTTTTAAATGAGTTTTTAAATATATTCCATACTGAAATTTGCATCCCAGGCGTTCTAGACGACGTTCCAAGCCGGCTTGGGGCGGTGGTCGCGCCGTTTTCCATTCAGCGTCGGCAACTGGCGACAAGTGGAGCTTGAGAACTGCCATCTCCATTCGGAAGAGTCTCAGGGTCGATCAGTGCTCTGTTTTATACGGCCGGTATTAACCAGCAGAAATATCAGCTGATGCATAATGATCTTCCGCCAACTCTGATCTGAGTTCTGATTATCGTCTTGTCCTCGTGTTGGCCATACTCCTCGCACTTTCTGATTTGACGGCGCCTCTTCTTTTTCAGGGTTCACTCTAGCAAGCTTATTCGTGTCCGGCTTCAATCTTAATCTGGCACCCAGCCGTCCGCGTCTAAATGCGACCGATGTATAGCCTTGATAGGGTAATCCATATCCATTAGCATCATGACTTAGGCGTCGAGTGGTTAGCCACAACTCGAGCCCCGACCTCGACTAGAGCACACACTCGTTTGTCATTATTCAACCCAGGGAGAAACTCATGGCACCTAAAAGTTGGATCGTGCCGCTTTTGTTCTCACTTCTCTCTGCGTCCGCCTTGGTTATAGTTCGTAGTCCGACTGGAATCATCCAAGCAACCCAGAGGGAATCCAAGTCGATTGGACCCAGTATGCGCACCTTGGTGATACAGTACTCGGCCCCAGACACTCTACTCAAATCCAACGAGTTCTCGTGGCCGACTTTATCTAATCCAGTGGCAGTCGACCATCAGACGACTCCAGGCCTCAACATCCTATTCGACCTTATCCACTCCTTATCAACGTCTCTTGGCGCAATCATAGCAAACACCTGAATCAATTCCGTCTCTTCTTCCATCCGTCCAAATCAACGACCCATGTCTCAGTCCCACATATCCGCCTCGCTATACAACCAGTGGCTCTACACGAAGCACTCCAGGATGATGGCGACTACGCGCAAGAAATCCTCCAAAACATGTCCCAGTTCGATCAAATCATCAACGCTTTTATGCACACAAACCTCTCCCGGTAGAGCGGAGCGACGGTGTTTCTTGGTTTCTTGGTTTGCGCGATACTGGTGACCGTGACGAATCGACCTCGTCATCTTGCAAGGGCGTACTTTGTAGGTTAGCTGATGTAGCATACGCATCCGGTACTTCTCAATTTCAGCGCCAGTCTTAGTGAGAGATTACACATTCAGAAATTCAATGAGGAGTGCAAGAATCATACAACAAGAAGCTAATCTGAAGAGAGCTTTGAGAACAAGTTTTTGAAGCTTCCGTCACAGCGTTTGGTTTGCACGACGTGGAGAGTTTGGGGAATATCTCTGCCTTCGAGGTAGGAAGAAAGGTCCTGCTCAGACACCCCATAGACGACCAATCCACGGGCCTGACCAAGCCACACAAACGCCGAATCCAACGTCCTCCAAACTCCTTTGGCATCTCTGGCATCTTTGGCATCTGGCAACGCTTCACCTTTGTCGTCTGGTCGATTCTTAGTGTATTCCCATATGAGTAACTGAGTTGGGATGAGGAGCAGAGGCATTTCACTCGATGTCCGCACATATACCTCGTCCAAATTTGGATATTGGATGCGAAGTGAGTCCATCAAGTGTCCAACGTGAAAGAGAGCCAGTTTCTTGAGACGAGGGAACGAGAGAGTGCAGACGGTGGCAGAGTCGGGTTGATTGTAGCAAGTGAACGAGCTGAGAGTTAGCTCTTTGAGATGCCTGAGGCGCCCAAGTTGCATCAAATCAAAAGTATAGTTGATCTCGCGAACGTAAAGTCGCTCCAGGGTATCCAAGAGGTTTTTGGTCGGGATCATCTCAAGATAGTCGGTCTGAATATCTAGCTCCTCCAGTTGCATCTCTTCATCTTCATCTTCATCTTCATAATCATTGAGAAATGGAAGCTCCACTTCCCCATCGAGATGAAGTTTGACCAAGCGAGGCGTTGGCCACCAGAGAGGTTCAAACAGTTGACTTTCGGAGTCAATACACTCACACCACATATATCCGCACTCGTATTCTGGGACCAAGGCAGCAACACAGCTAACCTCTACCCATCGTTTCATATGTTCACCACGATCAGCTGCGAGCTCCTTGGCAAGTGCTCGTGCACGGTCGAACAGCTTAGAGTAAGCGAGAGACGTGATCGTGGGATAATATTCCTCTTCATCGAAATAATCGTCGTGCAATCGCCTCTTTTCCCAGAGCTCTGTCACGAGCGACACGTCTGCATCTTCTGCGCGAAGTAACCGAAGCAATCGATCCATTTGTTGCTCCACTGACAAATATGGATTCGGAAACTTGCGGTAATCAAGAAAGATACGAAGAGGAGCGTTTGCTGAGCGAATGTGACAGGCTTGGACGTAGCTCTCGTCCGGCAAGGTGATTTCGCCGTCTACTCCCTCTCGCGTGATCAGTTCGATGCGTGCCCAAAGGAAAGGGGTGTCGAGAATGAGATTATACCAGCGACGCGAGACTCGAAGGAGTCGACTGATGTCGGGGTGACAGCCTTTCAAGGCGAGTTCAAAGATAAAAATGAGAATCTCTGCAGGGAGTCGGTTGATCTTTGCGACGCACTGTGGCAAGGTTTGGTTCCGAGCAAAGTCGGCATTCGCGACTCGTATCTGTGCTTCTAGTTCGATGATGGTTTTCTGCAGTTGAATGATCCGATTTTCGTGAGCACTCAGCTCCTTAATATTGCTTCTGATGCTTCTCGGAACGTCGGTGCGATACAAGCGATGAACAGGGTTTGCTGAGGTGGCCAGCATGCTTAAATGATCAAGTTAGCATTGTTGCGAGTTGTTCTAGGAGGTAATCTCACCTTTCTGCTCACTTGCCTGAGCCACCCAAGTCGTGGCCGGGTTCAAGACATAAACGATACGACTTGGGTGTGGTGTACAATCTCGTGCATTGCATAACTATGAAAGGCGAAATGGGATATTTAAAGGGTCAAGAAAATTTTATAACAGTGCACCAAGAAATGTATAACGAGCAGACTATTCTGAGACCCTTGAGAACAAGTTTTGGAATCTTCCGTCACGGCATTGGGTTTGCACGACGTCAAGAGTCTCAGGAATCTCTTCGTCTTCCAGGTACGCAGAAATAACCTTCTCTGACACTCCATAGATGACCAATCCGTGGGCCTGACCTAGCCACTCAAAAGCCGAGTTCAGGGTCTTCCAAACTGCTTCGGGAGCTTTCACTCCTGATAACGTTTCGATTTTTTGCTCGGATGAATCCCTGGCGTATTCCCATATGAGCAATTGAGTCGGGATGAGGAGAGCAGGCATTTCACTCGTCGTCCGCACGTACAACTCCTCCAAGGTCGGAGATATGAAACGAATCAAATGTGCCATGTGCCCAACATCAAGAAATGTCAATCTCTTGAGATGAGGGAACAAGAAAGTGAGGATGGAGCCTGGCTCGTCGTGATAATAGAGAGTACAAGAATTGATAGTGAGTTCTTCAAGAAATTCGAGGTACCTAAGTGGCATCAAACCGCATCGACAGTTGACATTACGGAGGTGAAGCCGCTGTAGGGTTTCCCAGAGGGTGCCTGTCAATAAGTTCACCTCCCTGAAATGTTCGTCCGTTATATCTAACTCTTCGAGTTGTAGCTCCTGCTCTGCGTCTTCGTCAAGGAGTGGAAGCGGCACTCCACCACTTAGATGAAGTTTGACCAAGTTGGGAGTTGGCCACTCGAGAGAACTCAGCAGTTCACGTGTGGGATGGAGCTCATCTGAATCATGAGACCATGCGTCCTCAGACTCGTGATCCACGTTCAAGGGGCCAAAAAAGCTGGCTTCGATCCATCGTTCCATATGCTCCCCGTCGTCGGTCGCGAGTTCCTCGACAAGTGCTTGTGCACGATGGAATAGTGTCGAGTGAGCAGGAGACCTGGTTGTGGAGTACCAGGCAGGTTCATCGAAATCGTCGTCATGCATTCGCCTCTTTTCCCAGAGCTCTGTCAACAGTGACACGTCTGCACCTTCTGCACGAAGTAAATGAAGGAGTCGATTCATTTGCTGCTGCTCTGAGATATATCGACTCGGGAGATTACGGTAATCAAGGAAGATACGGAGAGGTGCGTTTGCTGAGCGAACATGGCATGCCTGGACGTAGCTCTCGTCAGGAAGGGTTATTTTCCCATGCTCTTCTTTTCGCGTGATCAGTTCGATGCGCGCCCAGAGTGAGGGTGTGTCGAGGATAAGGTCATGCCAGCGACGCGACACTCGAAGGAGTCGATTGATGTCGGGATGACAGCCTCTCAGGGCAAGTTCGAAGATGATAATGAGAATATCCGAGGGGAGCTGGTTGATGTTTGTAATGCAGTTTGGCAAGATTTGGTACAGTGGAAACTTGGTGTTTACGATTCCATGTTGCGTTTCGAGCCCGATGATGGTGTTCTGCAGTTCAATGATTCGCTTCTCGTGAGCATTCAACTTCTTGATCTTGTTTCTGATGCCCTTCGGAAGGTCGGTGCGATAGGAGCGCCGGACGGGCTTTCCCGTTGAGCTGACCTGCATGCCTGAGAGGTGAAAAGAATCAGCATCGTTATGAAATGTGTCCCAATGAACAATCTCACTCTGTCTGGTTACTTGCCTGAACCACCCAAGTCGTGGTCAAGGGCCAAGGTGCAAGTGACTATGCGGCTCGAGCGTCGTGGGAATTCATGTTTGCACAATTATATGTTATGAAGAGGAGAGGGTGACGATGCAGAGATTGTGTCTAACAAATACAACAAGTACGTATACGCTAGTCTTTACACCTATATCAGATCTAGAGATGCTCAATGGGGGAGAACTAATCAACGCCCTGAGACGGCCATGGGCGCCAATGGATCTCCTGACCCACTAGCCAAGGGGTTGAGCATGAAGGTGGACGGGAAGCGACCAACATTCACACCTTCCGGCTGTATATACCTGTGCAAGCCAAAATCACTTCCGATGGACGTCCTCCTTCGACCATGCTTCTCCTCCTGTCGCCTTACCCACCAGGGGACCATGTATGTCCGCATGATAAATCCAAAGGCGTCAACCAGGCCCACGCATCCAGTGATAAGCGGAATAATTTGACCAGGATCGGCGAGACGATTGTTCGGCGAGAGATTGTTGACTTGGATCATTCGCTCGGTAAAGGCGACCAAGAGGGGGAAGATGAGACACGTCACAAGGGCGATGAGCACCCTCAAACGAATGTCAGTGAATGGCTCGCCTTTAAACCATCCCTTTGCTTTCAACCATCCAAAGGCTGTGGAGAGTCTTTTGGGACTTCACCTATGAGCACTTGGATGGCAATGCGTTGCCATCTCCAACCGTTGGGAATGATAAAAATGGTGAAGATGAGGATGAAGGAGATGATCACGGCCGTCAATGCTAAAGCACGGATGGATCCATTGATAGGAGTAGGTTGGTAGAGAAGATTGAGGGTGAAATTACTCGCTTCTATCTTTGGGAGTACGCTGTAACCGAATCCCCAGAACCAGAGCGAATTAACGCCACCGAGACGGTGCAGAGGAGGAGAGCAACTCCATCGTCGCCCAAGGAACTTAATGCAGCAACTAGAGCTCCAGGGAACAGGGAGTTGAGCACCTGTAGGGTGATGACAATCGACTCTGCGGGGGCGATGGATCGCTCGTTGTGCAGGAGGGCTTGGCTGCAGAGCAATGCGAAAACCATGACGGAAGCCGGTATCACTTGCGAAGCTCGCTCCGAGCGCGAATAAAACATCGCATTGAGGATGAATGCGAATGCCTGTAGGTAGAGGCCGAGGCGGATCTCAAGGCCGTACAAGTCGCTAGACGCAACCTCGCTGCCTGCTCTCTTGAAGAGATGTTGAACAAAATGTATGATTGGATTCATGATCACTAGCTACGATCAGTTGGGGCGCCTAGCACGTTCAACGTCGTCAGCGGCCCCATGGCTTCAACGAGCGCCTCCAAGATTTACAAGAAAGAGCGTGGTTGAGTGAGTAACAACGATAAAAGCCGTAAAGAAGGAGTGGAGTGCAAAGCTCGTGCTGGATGGCTACGCAATGGCCATCTCCGATGTTGGCGGCGGTGCCAAACTGTCTCCGCCTGGCCACCTGCACCTAGAGACCAATCGTGAATCAAAGTATCAACATTTGACAAGAAGTATCTATCTACAAGAAACGCGATCAAACTATTTTGCAACGTATACTGCACGGGGAACTCCCTTTAGCTCGTCGACGTAGATAACGCGGAGAGTTGAAGGATGTTCGCGGTCTTTCAGGTATTCCAGCACAAAATCTTCAGGAAAGTTGCGCAAGATCAGCGTATGAGCTAAGCCAAGCCATACAAATGCCGAGTCAAGGATCTTTCTGCATGTCTCTCTGGAGACATTTTCGTTCCAGTACCACGGCTCCCAAACCAGAGTACTAGTTGAGATGCCCATATCCGGCGTATCATCAAGCGTTTTGACATGGACCTCTTCGAGATGCGGTGTTTCAAAACGGATGTAACGATCGAGATGAGATTGATACCGGAAAGAAAGTTTCTTCAGCCCCTTCAGACGAATTATGGTCTGAGGAGCCAGCCTGAGTTGCTGGCTGTAATACGAATACGGACTTGAGAAGTTGAGCAATTTGAGCTCCTGCAACGAAGGAAGTGTCGCCAGCGGAGCCAGCTGGTTGTAGTTGCGGACGTGGCCAATGCTCAAGTAGTGCAGTGCATCTGACTGAAGGCATGATGGGAAGTACTCGAGAGCATCTAATGTCAACGAGTGGACATTAGCCATTCTTGATGTCTTATCCAACCGCTTCAGGAAAGGTAAGACGTGAATATTGCGAATCTGCAAAGTAAGGAGGCTGGGAGTGTCTCCTACGAGTGGCGCTAGTACCAATTTCTTCAACTTGGCGAACTCCTTCTCATCGTATCGAGTTCCTGTGGTAGCAACACTACTTGGAATAAGAATATTGGCAGATTTCCAGCGTCCCATCAGCTTCCCGTTGTCGGTCCCAAGCTCCAACCCCAACGCCTCGACTCTGTTCAGCAACCTTTTGCGAGCTTCGGTTGACTCATCGACTAGTTTGCGCGGGTTCTTGTAGCCGTACTCGTATTCATAGCCGTACGCTTCATCCCATCTGCTGGCGCTACAATCATCGCAATCGCATTCTTCATCAAACACGCTATCTTTATTCTCCCAAAGGTCCTTGATGAGAAAGGAACTCTCGCCCTTGCTTTCTACTATGCTGGTAAGATGTTCGATGTTTTCCTTTCGGGAGTTGTAGTCCGTCGGAAAGCTAGTGTAATCGATCACAACATCGAGTAGCCTCTCCATCGAGCGAGTGTAGCACGCTTTAACGTACGAGACGTGAGGAAGAGAGGTAGGCCGATTATTTATGCGACGGCAGACGAGTTCGATCCGGGCCCACAAAGAGGACGTTTTCATGACGAGGTTATGCCAGCGCTTTGAAACAAGAAGAAGGCAGCAAATGTCAGGGTGGCAGTCTTGGATCGCGTAGTCGAAGATTTGAATCAAGTTTTCGTTTGGGATTTTTTCGATGGGGACAAGTGATGGCGATGGAGCCAACTCGAAGGGCTGAAGCTCCTTAATGAGCGCATTACGAATAGCGGTTACATCGCTGAGCGTCTTTCGCAATTTCTGAAGTTGAGACATCTGCCTGTCAAGCTGGCGTGCTTTGTTTCTCGACATACCAGCTCGAGTCAAGGGCCCGAGGTTCGCATCCGCGGACATTCTATGCAAGCAGCATACGATTAGCAGCAGATTCTAGCTAGAAGACCCGTTACCTACCGGCCTTGGCGCAAATGTGGCTGGGATCAAGAGTTTGTCACCACTCTCTGTCACACTTCGACCTGGCTTGATCCTCGCCGATTAGCTGGAGTGTGGCATATGATCTGTTGCTCACAATGCTCTTAGCTTTGCGGAGTGGCGAAAAAGCGGGTTTCGATTTGGGCACCAGGCCATTGGTATCTCAATTATTCTATTCGGTATCTCGTATTTAGTCACTCACTCGGGCCACCAAATCCCACGCGGTCCCTAAGACCATGCAATCCATTCTGACATCCATCTCGAGAGCTTGAACGGATTGAAAACTGAGAGTAATGGTTATACGAAGTTTATGACGGACGAGTCGTTATTGTATTTGCTATGTCCAAGTATTATCACGGTATTCCATATCTTTCTCGAGTAACCTGGTCACATATACTTCAATGTTTGTAACAACACGAGCACCTCGAGGTTGCCACCCAGGCTCACGCCTCTTCACCGGGGATATTTATGGTGCTGCTTTAGATAGGTTGTAAGTACGCCCCCTCTGCCCCGCTCTCCACACGGCTCGATCTCTCTCCGGTTCTAAATCAATGGAATCAGCTTCGCATCTACGTCCCAACGTTAAATGAGCTAATCACAAAGCACGTTATTTAAACCGGGTTCAGCGAGAAATAGTAGGCGTTGGGTGAAGAGGAGAAAACGCCATTGGACGCCTATTTGATATTATGGAAGGAAAGCCTTGCATCAAGTGATTCATCTCCGCCGAGGCTTTCGAGAATCCTCCGTCCTACTGTGATGCTAGGCGGGCGAATTGACGTGACGGCTACTTGGTCGAGCGTTGAAGGATTCATTAGCAACTGTTGAAACTATACTGAGTCTCCGCGGCAGTACTTGTATACTGATGAACCCATTTATGCGTCGGTGGACATATATGCTGCCGAAGTCAACAGTGACAACGCGATTTATGTGCGTTATTTTCATGAATAATCGCAGTCTGATCGTACGAGCTAGCCAAGACCAAAGTGGATGATAACAATGGTCGAATGAGCAATCACATCTTTCAATACAACGCAATAAGTTGAACAATTTCTTACAGAGCGCGGATCAACGTCGTCAATATGCACCCTTGGATTAGACACCTCATACCGGAGTAGTACCGCGAAAGCATATAAATAAGGTGGGTTTTGATGAACGTGATATACAACACCCCGAACAGGCATGATTTCTTGGAAGACGGTAGTCGTTGGCTACCTTGCTGCTGCTTGTCTCTACACTGTAGTCGCCTTGGAAAGGCACGCGCTTAGAGGAGAACCGCCCATAGAGCGCGCTCTTCCACCCAGTGTGTCACTCCCAGTCCCAGGGCCCAACTACTACTTGTGGGCTGACAACTCGGCTGGTGTAACGTTCTATAATCTGGCTGGCGGTGCCTACAGGATCATAGCGTCTTCGTCTGCGGGCCACTGGATTGGTGGGAAGGGGTGGAATCCTGGATCTCCTCGGTGAGCTAGCTGTCTCGTGATATTTGAACGTCACTCACCCATTTCGAGCTCAATTGTATTCACGTCAAACCTCGGTACCAACGACGGCGCCAACCTCGGCGTCTATGGATGGACCACAAACCCACTTGTCGAATATTATGTCGTCGAAAGATACTGGATGTACAACCCATCCACCGGCGGTAGACTTCTTGGCACGTTTACCTCGGACGGGTCAACTTACACCGTGCTCACATCCACTCGTGTGAATCAGCCCTCTATTCAAGGTACCACCTCCTACACGACGGTCTGGTCTATCCGTTCCTCACGCCGTACAAGTGGCACCGTGACGTTAGCCAACCACTTCAATGCCTGGAGGTCATTTGGAGTTCAACTCGGATCGCATAACTTGCAGATTGTCGCTACTGAGGGTAACTTCATCGCTCTTAATGTGACTGTCACAGTTGCAGAAGGCCCGGCCGTGTCGAGCACACGCAGTACAAGCCTTAGCACAAGTGTGTCGTCGACTGCAAGCGCCAGTTCGATCTCATCAGACCCAAACGTGAGTACAACTGCAGCAGGCGTTAAGATTTACACGCTCAATTCTGGAATAGTGCGCGAAACTATGGGAAATGTGCGGCGGGGAGGGATGGAATGGTCCCTTTTGCTGCCAAAACAGCCGATGCGTAGTGGTGACAAAGTGGTACTCGCAATGTTTAGCATAGCTCTTGTCGTAAGGGGTATCCAGCCTTACAGTATACTACTGGCGAAGAAAGGATCTATTCTGAAGACATAACTCCTTCATCATTCATATCATGCGCCTTTGGATTGGGTGCTAATCTGTGGCAGTTAACCCTGAATTGTCGCACTTGATTGCTGGATGTCCTAATAGTCTGTTGTACAATTTAACGAGTTTAACCATCCCACTTTCTTTCTATTTTTAGAGCTTTCGGGTCCGGAATATTAGCTCTAAATGACATGCATACCTAGTTAATCTCATCCGATATGACTTTTGTACACCTTATTCACATCAACCCCGAACAGGTCTGGCTGGACGTTGCATCACGTGACACTGATCATCGACTGCAGGGATCTCCATTTATGGTTCACGTTTCGTTTGAAAATGATACCGAGAAGGAAATAGTCAAATGCCTGGGTGATTTTATTAGATACCGAGCCATAGGCGCCTTAGGGGCCAATCCTCGGAAGCTATGCTACTGCATCTCGCATTGGCTGTTTGCTGAAATGTCTCAGGGACGCCCAATACTCATCTAAACACGCAACTTAGACCAGACACATGATCAGGCAAAGTTGAAATCAAATCACCGTCTTCGCATCTGTGAACAATTCCCATCAGAACCCTTCTCTACAGTCCACGGATCAACGTGGCGGCGATAGTGTATGCACATCCGTGAGCTATTGACGCCTCATACCGGGGTGGTGCCGCAAAAGGTATAAGTATAATGGGCTTGGGATACATACAACGCTGTTATTGCCAGATATGGTGCCTTGGAAATCACTCGTCGTCGACTATCTCTTTGCTACTGGTGTCTGCGTGGCAGTTGCTGTCGAGAGGCAGGGGTTCGAAGGAGGGCCGCTCATGGCCCGTGCTCCTCCGCCCTCCGCTTCAGCTCCTTTTGTCGGGTATTATAACTACTTTTGGACCGACGGCAGTGGAAATGTCACCTACACGAATGGTGGTGGTGGGACCTACAAAATTTCGGCGTCTGCAGACGCAGCTCACTGGATTGGGGGGAAAGGCTGGAATACTGGGATTTCCTAGTAAGTCAGATGCGTCATGCGGCTTCCGCTATCGCTCACCGACGTCGAGTTCGATATCCTTCTCGGCGGACTTTCGCGTCAATAACAAGGGTATCCTCGGTGTCTATGGATGGACAGTAAACCCACTCATAGAATATTATGTCGTCGAAAAATACGTCGGATTCTACCCAGTCAGCGGAGGCAGGCTTGTTGGCCAGGTTGTATCCGACGGCTCCGTATACGACGTGGTCACTCTCACTCGAGTCAATCAGCCCTCTATTCGAGGTACTGCTACCTATATGCAAGTCCGATCCATTCGTTCCTCGCACCGCACAAGCGGGGCCGTGACGCTGGCCAACCATTTCAATGCTTGGAAGTCGCTTGGAATTCTCCTCGGGTCGTTTGAATATCAAATTTTTGCTGCCGAGGGCTTCTATAGTGTCAGCAATGTGGCTGTCACAATCGCAGACGGCCCGGGCGCGACCACCACCAACCCAGTCAGTACGACTAGTACAATTTCCTCGCAAAGGACGACCACCAGTCTAATTTAGATGACCGAGGGGTGAGTTCTGCCGTAGTTCCTGCGCGTGGCTCTTGCGCGTGGCCAGCTTTTGACTTTCGGCCACAGAGTGCAATTTCACTAACACCTTGGACAGTGTGCCAATCTATATGGACAGTGCGGCGGTGAGGGTTGAACCGGGGGCACCTGCTGTTGGTCGGTGACTTGCATTTCTGTTAATAAGTGGTGGTCACAGTGTCAGTAAAATGTTCTATTAACTACCCTTTCCGGATTCATACGATCTTTTTTTGTGATGTATACATGTTGGTAGTATCAAATGAAGTCGAGGAAACTTTCCAGAGGCTCGCCAAAATGTGAATGAACAGTTTTTAGCATAGAGGGGGAATTGAAGATATCATTTTACATGATTTGAACACCCTTCATCCCTTTTACTATCAACGCAGTAGCGGACACCAGAATTTAGTCACCTGCCACGGCACTTGACCCCTCCATCCCCGCTCTTTCTCCTTTAGCCGCGTCCATATATTCACATTGACCAACTAGAGTCTCAAAAATGGCTAGTCACACAGCAGATATTGTCGCAGTCGACAAGATGACCAGTAGAGACTAGTGAGTGACGCCTGATCGCGGCTAGAAAATGCAGTTTTGAATTATATCACTGATCAATGGTCCAGTTATGCCGATTCATATGCACACTTTGGTTCGTGTTCTTTTTTGCATCTGCAAAAGACCTTGGTGGTCTCGAAAAACTGAAATCACTTTGCTCGGTTTATCGTCTCGTCCTTTGGGACACCATTATCACACACTTACCAATTGACATATCAAAATATGCAATTGGATGAACATGTATCGACCGGAAATGGCGCTGGATGGCTTCGGATGCTTTGGCGATTTGGGTCGTGTGGCTAGGCATCCACGAGGAGATGCTCAAGGACAAAGTGCGGACCATGACGTATAAAAATGCAATGGTGAACAGTCCACACATTTTCCGTGGCAAAACGGTGCTCGACGTCGGATGCGGGACCGGTATCCTCAGCATGTTCGCCGTCAAGGCGGGCGCAAAGCACGTCGTTGGTATCGACATGTCGAATATCATTGATCAGGCCCAAAAGATTATCGAGGCGAACGGCTTCAAGGATAGTACGTTTCTCCTCTTATCTGGATTTGTATACAGAAGACTGATATTTGACTCTACTAGCTATCACTCTTGTCAAGGGAAAGCTGGAAGAGGCAGAGCTTCCTATCCAGCAGTTTGATATCATCGTGTCGGAGTGGATGGGATACTTCCTGTAAGTTGTGCATCTCAATCTAAAGGGCAGCGTCTCAATTGATTCTGTATAGACTTTACGAGTCCATGCTCGACACGGTACTCCTTGCTCGCGACAAGTATCTAGCACCCGGCGGTAAACTCTTCCCTGACAAGGCAACAATATACATGGCCGCTATCGAAGATCAGGAATACAAGGAAGAGAAGATCAATTGTGGGTCACCATCCGAGATCGCCTCTTGAATTCACGCTCATACTGTATAGTCTGGGACAACGTCTATGGATTCGACTACTCTTGCATCAAAGAGGTTGCACTACGGGAACCACTAGTCGACACTGTCGACATGAAGGCCGTCGTAACGGAGCCTTTCAAGCTCAAGGCCAGCTCCCTCCGAAAGAGTTGGTCGCATCCTCTGATACACTATTGTAGGAGTTTGATCTTCAAACTGTCAAGAAGGAGGACTTGAGCTTTACCGCGCCGTTCCGACTTCAAGTCTCTAGAGATGATTGTAGGTCTTATTCGAGGATATATCCGCCACATTCTCACTTATTCGCTTCTCCAAAAGATATTCACGCTTTTCTCGCTTGGTTCGACATTAATTTCTCGGCGTGCCACAAGCCGGTCGGTTTCAGTACCGGTCCACATGCCACGTATACTCACTGGAAGTAAGTAACGTCTCGATTTCACGTTGATGCACTCATATATCACCACTAGACAAACCGTGTTCTATACCATTGACCCCATTTCGGTGGTCAAAGGTGACCTTGTAGAAGGAGTACTGTCTTGCGCACCCAATGAGCGAAACAACCGCGACCTTGACATTGTGATCGAGTACGAGCTCAACGGAGAGGCCACAGGGGGGACCCATGGTCGCGAAGCAAAGGACCGCATAGAATACAAAATGTCAGTCCATCCTCCGTACATCGTTCACCCCCGGTTGTTCGCTTCTTCTCTGACTCTGAGGTTGATTGGTGTTGACAGGGCATGAACAGGTACTGAACGACTCGTGAGGACCACACAATTTCGCCTCTACCTGCGCCATGCGCAAGTTATAGATGTAGAATGAAACGTGATATTGCAAACACAGAAAGCGTTCTACTACCATGCATGGTCGTGTGATGTGAAAGAAGTGAAAGAGATGAAAGAAGAAAGAGACGTGGCATAATCATGACAAATCAAACGCCCGAAATCATTGAAATAGAGTAGAGAGGTGATTATTTAGGGCGTGTCGTTAATCGTCTTCTTACACCGCGAGCACACTGTCTTCTTGTCAATGAGCAGACACGCGGCTCCGAGTGGGAACCAGAAGATGGTAGCGAGAATGCCCGCAAGTCCGAAACGTGTATGTGGTACGTGGCCGAACTGGAGGCACTGCATCTCTGGATGATCCGGAGGGAGGAGAGAGTCGATTCGGTGCTGGGTGACTGGATGGACATAGTGATATACGGTCACGGCTCCTGCACGTGTTGCGGGTACTGAAGACGTGCCCACGTATGGCTCAGCGCTCGGAGTCTGCTGTGGCTTTGGCTGCTCCTTCTTGTCTACGGGGTACGAAGACGGACCGCTGTTCGAGCCTTGATTGAGACTCGTGTCAGCAAGGAGTTTTAGTCTACGATGTTGAGAGTAGCGTACCATCGAACACGTAGGCATTTGCTTCAGCGTAGGTCGGTGGGTTATAGCCGACTGCGCTCATTGCTGGTTGTTGTTGGTTCTCTGGACCGTTGGTCATTTTGTAGGAGATGATCGAGTAGAAAAACGAAAGGTGGTCTGAAGGGCAAAGGACGTGGTGAGAGGCAAGCCTTATAAGTGGCGCTGAGCCAAGGAACCCCTGGACTACGCACGGCTGCGCGCGCGGGTTCGGAATCAATTCGAGCCGAGATCGCGGAAGCGAAAGATACATTAAATAATAGTATAGTGCATACAATAATCTAAACATTCGTCCATACGTGTACACTTAGCAGTAGTCTCCGCATCGCCGCCCAGCCCGACGGGCCAGTCTGCGCTCCCGACGCTCAGCCCAGTGAAGATCCTTTTCTTCCCTCTTCTCTGCCCATTGAGCAATACGGGCCTCCTTCTTCTCCCTCCAATGCTTGACGCGCTCTTGCTTTCTAGCAATCTTGGCAGCCTTGCGCTCCAGCTTGCGCTCAAAGTGGCTTTTCCGATCCTCAAAGTCCTTCCAGCCCCATTTGCCTTTACTGCATCCGCCATTGGCGTGGTAGTGAGCACGCATCACGGCCTTGCGCTCCCTGTGTGCGATCACCTGATTGACGGCGTAGGTTATTAGCATCCCCAGACCACCAGCGATGCAAAACTTGTGACCCCTGTTGGGTCTAGCGGGCTGGACCTGGCGGTTGGCGGCGGAATAGAACTCGTCGTCGGCCTGAGCTGGAGGAGGCGGGAGATCGTTGTCATCAGGGGTAGATCCGTAGTTTCTGGGGATGGGGATAGGATATGGGACTGATTTCCCTGCGACGGATGGGGCTCTGTCCTTGTACGAAGGGGCGACAGACTCTAGCTCGTCCATCGTCTCGTACTTTGCATCCCCGTGAGTCGAGGGTGCTGTAAGGTGTAAGCTTAATGATCCAATAGATGGAGAATCGACGTACCTTGGTCTTGGGTGGCCGCGTAGTAGCTTGGGGGTTCGTTGGTGTCAAGAAGCATGGTGAAGTGTGTTGGATATCTCAACCTCTGAGGAGTAGGAGACTTTATGATGAGCTGGGGTGCGTCCAGACCCCCCGGGTTTATAGAGTTGAACAGCGACTGCGGGTTGTCCGCGTTCGCGGGCTTGCCTTCCACCGATCACGGAGGCTGTGAAATCAATAGATTTCAGATGTTGGAGCCTCTGAAAGCCCGAATTATCGCAGTTTGTTCTGCGGACAGTGTCGCCGAACGTCTTCTTCGCTGCGGGACGGCATTGCCCCATGTCACTCGGCATAAGTATAGGAATTGTCGTAAGAGTGCATTTGGATGTGTTTAGATGGTGGAAGCTTGTCAACAAGATTCGAGTGCAGGGTTCAAGTTGTGAGTCAGAACCAACCTTGATCCCCGCCAGCCTTCGACTCACTAGAAAGAGTCCCCGCCGTACGCTTTTGAGAATGAAATTCTTAAATATGCATGCTAATTGACTTCAGGGCTGGACAGAGAACGCTAATGGCTCAACGGTATCGAGAAAACATTTCCTCGGACATCAAGCAGAAAATACAGTCACTTCAAGAACTCTACAAGCGCGAACGAGAACTCAAGGAAGAGCTCGAGGCCACACGCCAACATTGTCAGCTCCTCGAACAAGAGCTTAGACCGTACGAAGCCACTGCATCCATCAACCATCTCCCTCCAGAACTTCTCACGTGCATATTTCAACTCGCTCTACTCGAAGACCACACACGTATCGGTCGCCTCTTGTTTGTGTGCCGCCATTGGACACAATTGGTCCTTCACACGCCGATATTATGGACGAATATTCATGTTCGAGTCCAAGGATCTGACAAGGCTCCAGTGAAGCCCTCATACGTGCGTGCATGCTACGCACGTTCAGGCGAGCTCCCACTCGAGGTTCTTTTGGACTTTGCGCTCCTCTCTTCGCCCGAAGACTGTCTATCTGACATGCGTCGATATATCAACAAAGCCTGCGAGTCGCACTGTGTATATTCCGGTCTCCCGCTGTCGCTTGCCTATGGCCTTAAGCCTGCATGCTCAATAGCGACCAAGGTTGGCGAGCATCTACGACATAATGTCATCACTTGCCAAGCAGCTAGCATTGGCGCTCGCATCGGGCCATGGGCGGCATATGCGGCGCTGGAGTTGTGCGACATTACTACTACCCAGGGGAACCAATGACTATGAAACTAGCATCTTCATAAGCTTTTCGAAGGAACTAGTTCAAAAACTACGATGGAAGACACCAAACCTTCAGACACTCCGGATCGCAAGCTTCTCAGACCTCCACCCATTACGCTTTCCCAAATTCGCTGGTCTGATTGACCTGACCGTGGATGATCTCGAATACGTCTCTCGACATCCACTCTCCTCCTCCCTACTCCGGCTTTCCGTCCTCAGACCCACCAAAATCGGCTCATTGACACGAATATCTGGGCTTAGTCGTCTCGAGGAGCTGGAGCTCACCCTTTGGTGCTGCCCGTTCAATGATCGACTCCGAGCCCCGCTCCAGTTTGAATGTCTCAAGCGGCTGACTCTAATCGGATACTCTACATTTGGAGGCCCAATTGACTTTCGAATCCCGAAATTGGACCTGCTACGAATCAAGGACTTGTGTCTTATCGACTTTGACATTGACATTCCGACGAGCACGCTGGATTGGTGGTATACTGGGATGAAGGAGTTTGATACAAACATCCTGACCCAAATTTTCACGACTGTAGGCTCAGCTAAACACCTCACTACTCACGGAATCAACGCTTCCGAGGTCGACAATTATCTCAAGCACAGGATGACTCCACCAACTCTCGAAGTGGTCGCGGTGATAGAGAACGACGGTACCCTCCATACCAGGAAACTTCATGGCTCTCTAGTCTGAATCGATGGAGGTACTGGTCTCATTGTTCAACCCTTGTACGTAGGTCACTATCGAGATTCTCGTCACTTGCAGTTCTATATAGCGTAAAGTTGTGATCCCAACTCGCAAAGGTATGTAGTTTGACTGGTACTAAAGGTGACGACCCGTTCTATACATAACCAGTCGTCATGCGTTCTCGTTCTAGCCCCCCTCTTACTGTGTGTACAAGGGCAAGCGATATTTTTATCACCATATAGTTACAGGACTCGAAGTGGATACTCACCTCCCCCCATTTTCTCTTCCTCCTTCCATCCCTTCTTGGACGCCAGTCGAGTAAGTCGACACAATGCTCCAAATACCTTATTATCGACTAAATGTTATATACAGTCTCTTTACTATCTTCTTTACTTCATAATTTCACTCACTTTCGATCAGCATTCCTTCCAACAGGACTATACATCGTCAATGCATTTCCCAATCACCTCTCTTTTGGCCTTGGCATCTCTCGTCGCTGCGGAGACATTCAAGGTAATGGTGGGCATGAATCCAACAGGGAGACCGCATTTTATTCATTTTCCGTGGAAAGAATCACACAGTTACCCAGTCCTCGTTTGCAGAGGTACCCGTGCAGTTTCGGTCGCTGGTCGGTACTTATTACGCGCAGCCATGTACACTTCAATTCAATACGGCTACTGGACTTGCTGGAGCAGACTCTGGCTTCATGCCCGTCGCGCCCAATTCCACGGAGCTTCCAACGTTTGAGATCCAAATCAACGACGCGACTTCCCCTCAATGGTTCTTCTGCAACCAAGCAAAGTAAGCACCTAAAGCCTTCTTACGATACACTCTAACACAGATATTCCCTCATCAGCCACTCTAACTCTGAGATGGTATTTGCAGTCAATGCCCCCAGCTCTGGGGCAAAGTCGTTCGATGCATGGGTCGCAAAGCTAAGATAGCAAGCCACCCTGATCCAGCGTTGAATCAAACCGCGCCGTTCACTCCTCCGAGCGCAGGTTCTTCGAGCTCGAGTGATAACGGGAATGCCTCCACGGATGCTCCAGTAAACGCGGCGCCGTTGCCAACTTCTGCAGCTTCTTCTGGTGACGCAGCTTCTCCAACCACCACCGGGAATCCACTTTCGCTCTCGCGAGGGATAATTGGTACGAGTGCAGTCAACGGAACGGGTGGTAGTACCACCTCTGCGCAAGCCACAACTTCTTCTTCCAGGAGTGCTGCACTCCGTGCGCAAATTGGAGCTCGCCATTCCTTGAGCATGCTATTTGTCTTGTGCATTGGTACGCTCATTCTGTAAGTAGAGTGAAATTGTGCACCATGTAGAATCAATGCGGTTCTGATAACCTGAGCCGAGTTGTACTCTGCACCTTGGACCTGGCCTCGGCCATGCCGCTCTCCCAGATCCCCGAAGACGTTCTCCTCGAGCTTTTTTCCTATCTCGTTGCAATTGAGGATGATGTGCAATGTACACTGAGTCTCGTTTGCCGATACTGGAGGCAGCTGCTGCTTACCTCGTCCCGGCTCTGGATTTGGCTCACCTTCCCGCGCTATTCCGAGCATTGTGAGGCGAGGCTAGATATATATATACAGCGAAACAAAACTCTACCATTTATCCTGTACCTGCAGTTTCCACTGCCTGTGCTTTCCGCCTCATCGCTCAGGTTATTGGGTGAACATGGTATAGAAGCTCTATGGATAGATATATCCCCATCTTGGATGCTCAAATATGTTCAAGAAGATATGCTGGTCGAGGTAAGAGCATGGTTAAACTCTGTTCCTGGGCTTGCCATGCCCCGCGACGTCTATTGGACTGACAGTGGTGGACCAATAGTCTAGCCTAGAATCTCCGACCCTTCATTCCATGCTTCGTTCAGCCACGGGTACCGCAAGTTACCAGGACGGCGGGGCATTGGTGACGAGTGCGACTATACATGATTCCAGAGACAATTTAAGTCGCTCCTGGAGTCGTATAATGTTACTCCCACACCTTAAGCGACTGGAAATTGAGCTGGGCACTTTCCTTGAGAAGGATGTCGTGACATCCTCTCAGATTCCGGGAGTGGAAGAGTTGCACATTTGGGGTATTACGGAGGATATAACCATAGGCTCATCACACAGTCTAGTAAATTGGCATATCAAGAGGCTAAAGCTGTCCGGCGATTCTGCTCGCGTTCTTCGCTTACTGAGCTGCTTAAACAATCTCTACAAACCACGGGCACTTGCGCTCACATTGAGCTCCAGCAGGACTCGCAAATCGGCTTTCGAGGACGCCTTTCCGGACAACTTGCTTTGCAATGTCGAGTCGCTCGAAATCTCCTTCGACTCTAGGGCATGTCGCGATCAAGAACTAGCTTTACATCTCACAAATATTATCTGCAGAATGGCTCGTGATTCGAGCTGCCTGCTTAAGATACACCAATCCCCATCGAATCACATCTTTTTACCTGTCAAGCCTATCTCATGTCATCTTTCTATTGAATGCGAAGAGACTGCATTCCAGGGACAGGCCGGGTTTTCACAACTGCCTCCTCACTGGCCCACATTCGAACAGGTTCAGATGGCGGTCCAGCATACTCACCAACATATTGCCTTGCAGCTCTTGTCCCATAGCAGGACATTCACATTCACTACCTCATCCGAGTTCGAAGAGTGCGTTGGTCCAACAAATTGGCCGCCTTCCATCACGTCTATCGACCTCAATAACTCGTGCTTTCGGTTTGATGATTCTACTCATGGGCTGTCTCCTGGGAGGAACTCGCGAAATAGCCTCGGACGAACTATATTTCACTCCCTCGCAAAGATACGATGCACAGTCTCCGCGGTGGTTACACTTATGGCGCGCCAGGCCCTCCCGGTCATCGAGGATATCACCATCGTTGCTGAGACGGATGCCGATATACTCTCGTTCTACTCGGATTATTGACCGTAGGAGTGTATATGTCGAAGACATAACCACGGATGATAATTGCTCAACTCCCGAAAAGGTTGTCTCAGAGATTTTTTCTCACCTTGCAACAATCGAGGCCGATGTACAATATACACTCAGCTTCCTGCAGACAGTAGAGAAGACTGATGTCTGGCGACCGGCTCTCGTCCCTGGGTTAGGGTGACCTTTGCGCGTTATTCCAAAAGACGCGACGCAGGAGTAGATATTGCTTTACATACAATAAGCGTTGCCTTTTTATCTTCCGTCCGCCGGTGCTTTCGCACTTACTTCAGACTGGAAAGGAACGAATAGTGTGATTCTGGAGACATCTCTGAAATCAGTATGCCTCCTCTCCAGTTCCGTTGCACTCAGGTTGCAGCATCTGTGACGTACGTGGACTCCAAAGCAGCCTGAGAGATGCTCGAAAGGACCAGCCTATCCGATTGTTATGCCGCTAAAACGCGACGTCAGTCACGAGTGCCACCATTCCTTGTGAGCACGGCAAGGCCGCAACCAGTCGTTGGAGATGTAATAGCAGATTGTTTCCACATCTCCAGAGGTTGGATATAGGGCTGGGTTCTTCCCTCAGCGAGGCAGTTACCACGTCTCCCCGGAGTCCTAGCCTGGAGGATGTTGCATTCGGAATATACGGGAAACCAGTATTAAGCTCGCGTCGCATACTAGGTCTAGCTGTGTCTGCCGGGGTCTCCATTTGAGATCATTCGACGGCTGAAAGATATCCCAAATTAAGGCTTGGGCAAGGTATATGAAGTGCTCTTCAAGCAGAGTACGGAACAGCTAGGTAGTCGAATATTTATTTGGGTCAATGTGAGAAACTCCAAACGACTAGCAAGCTGTCTATATTACTAGAAAAGGTATTAGCAAATCCAAAACACATGTTAAAGGAGAAGGAAACGTACAGGAACTCAGTGATGGGCGTCCTTCTTTGCCAAAGCCGCGGCGTATGGATTCTTAGGGTCCTTCAAAGCCTCGGGTGCTGAGAAGAATTGAGCTGGGTATTCTATAGCTAATGAATATAAAAGACCTACTCGAGACGGCCACTCCTTGGACTTTGTTGACACCGTAGAGGACGATAGCACCGCCAATGAAGAAGGGCCACAGCGGTCGAGCAATCTGATAAAGTCCGAGAAAATGATATCATGGCATAAAGAGAGTCGTCGAGGCAGCAAACGTCAGCCATCGTCGCCTGCGCATATATTTCGTCGACCTCGTTGAAAGACTCACAGGAGTAGGCCAAGCGCGAAGTCCAAACATTTTGCGTTCAGGAATCTAATAATCAAGTTGCTGGTGCTAGTAGTTGGTCGGATGGGGAGCACCCGTGGTTATGGTCGAGAGTCAAGCTGCACGCTCGCTTTGTCGGCAAATACGGTAGCATTCACAAGGGCAAGCAAAGGCAAACTGGGTACGGGAATCATGGTAGAATTTACACCAAGTATATGATATCAAAGTTAGATAAAAAAACAAAAGAAACAAGATCAGCCTCGCTGCGAGAGCTTCAGAGCACCGAGCAAAAGATTATCAATCTCCTACAGGATGGTCAAAAGTTGGTCCAGTAGCTATTTAGATATACATACCTTGTCGAGTGCGTCCAAACGCTTGGCCATTGGCTCATAAATCTCCCTTACTCGAGGATGCAACTCCTCCATATCGACTGTCGGGCCAAAGAGAACTTCATCGACAACATTGTCGCTTGAAAGCATGCTCTGCTGTCGGCGCAGCCTGTGCCGACTCGGTGTGCGATCTTGCTTCTGCCACGGCGCCGGCGGTCTCATCGAAGCATTCATCTCGATGACCGCGAGCATTCTGGATAATCCGAGGTCGTGATCCTTGAGAACGAGGAGAGGTCGCTTGCGGTTGGACTCTGGCGGGAGGTAAACGTCTTCCTCGGTGCCCTCATCAAGGACACTTCGATTGGGCGAGCCACGAGGTTTCTGCGACGTTGCGAAGGCAGTATCAGGCTTGTTGGGAGTGCTGGCGGTGGACTCATATGCACTTGCTTCCGACTCTAAAGACTGCACAGATGCCTGCTTCGCCTTGTGCTCCTGTCCTACCGCCCTAGATGCGACAATCTTCGCACCTGGACCACCACTTGGCGTATTGCTTCGTGATGGTGCTCTCTCGGCGGCTCTTTCGGGTCGCGACGGAGGAGTCACGACTTGGTTATCCGTATACACAGCGGAGATGCGCCTGCCGTCTGGAGTGCTGACTTTGGGATTATCCTTGATCTTGTGGAGAACCCTGTCGATCTTTTCGCCAATCGCATGCTGTCCAATTTCGCCGACCCCATCACGGCCAAGAGCACCCTGCAAAAGGTCCTTTCGTCCTCCATGACCGGATGAGGAGCCATCACGATGAGATGGTGAGGGATGGCCGCGTAGCTCCTCTTCCACAATCTCGGAAATGTCATAAGTTGCCCCCTCTGGGTCCACATATGAGTACCGGTACATCTCGTCGGAGCCAATGAACGAGCTGCGTATCCTCGCCTTGTCAGGTAAGTGGATATCTACGCCTTGCTCCGAGTTTGCTTGCGCTGAGAGAATAGCCTTTTGACTTGCTCGAGTTCTCTCGCGCTGAGCCGCGATGATCTCCTGGCGAGATAGTTGAGCAGGCGGAAGCCGGACAGCGGTTGGTGGATTGGCGCCCGGACGAGGTGTTGCACCATTGGAGTTGGTATCGTCGTCTCTCGTACTTGCTTCGGATGCCGTGATCGACTCTCGTTGAGCATGCATGCGGGAGAGTGCCAATTCGTCGAGGGGTGCCGAGAGGCGAGATCGTGGGGTATTATTCATCTTGTACGCGACCGCGCGACGGAGGATGAATTCTGGATCGCCTGCGCGCACATCCTCTGCAGTTCCAAGGAGCATGGTTGCATCTGCAGATCGACGTTTTCCGTCCAAAGAGCGCCGCTGGTCGGCCATTCGGAAGGACGGTGGTCGACCGAAAGCATCAACAACTTTGCTAGAGGGTAGGAGCTCCTTTTCTAGAAATAAGTTAGAGAGGCACATGAACCAGGTGTGAAAGGTATTTACCTTGGCCGTCACTAAGACAGCTAAGGCCATAACGAACCCGGTTTGCACTGCGACGCTTGACGTTTTTATCCTCCACCTCGTCGCCTCCATCCACAACGCCCTCGCTAATGCCAAACCGTTCCAAACTGACCTCGATCACTTCGGCGACAGTAGTGTTCTTTGGGAAAACAAAGACTTTACGTCTGAATGTCTGCGAGATACCTGGACTCGCCGTCGAGCTGAGAGGGGTGCGGTCCTTGAGCGTCGCCTTTGGAACGATCGCTCCGTGTGCGGGTCGAAGACCATTCCTTCAGGAAGATCGTCTGGATAGATGAGCACTTGCATGGCAAAGCGAGCAGTTGGTGCAGTGAGGCGCTCATGGGCAACATTGTTGGAACTCGTCGACGCTGCGATTGAGACGCCGTCACTGAAAGGATCCTCGTCCGTGGTGCTACCCATAGACATGTGGCTCTCAATCCTTGCATTGGCGAGACGGTTCTCCTCATGGAGTCTTCCGTGATGCGCCGAATGATCCTTGTCGGTATCAAAGCGGTTGAGATAAAACTTGACGGCGCTGTCGTCGGTGAAGTCGTTCATGGGAAGTCGTCGGATGGCCGGATGCATTGATAAATTAGAGCTCAGACTGGAGATACTGGCAATAGAGCTCCTCTTGATGGTGGGCAGAATTTCGTCACGGGCATTTGCATCGACCATCTCTTCAAAGACCTGCAGTGGCTTCTCATTGTTTTGTAGAGTGGTGAAGGACCCTTCGAACTGCGTTTTGACAGTCAGATAGTAATCCGCAGCGTCCTCTCCCGCCGCGACACGGAAGCGTTGCATGGCCTGTTTGACGAGATCGCCGGCTGTCGTAGACGAGTTCAGGAGAACGGTCTTGAAAGTCGCCTCGGTGGAGAGGTTTGCTCCCGCAAAGACTCGCATGACACTGAGCTCCGGAACATTGGCTCCTCCTTGGAAGCCGAGTCCTGCGGCAGTGAGGATAAGGGAACCAGGTCGCTGATGTCCGCTGGAAGATCCGGGACTTCCCATGAGCATGTCGCTTCCGGACTTGGGCGACGTGGCCAAAGTACGTTCGCCAAACTGTGTGACCCCACTTGGACTGGTGTTGGTACCAGGCTTCATCGCACCAGGTCGCAAGTTTCCGGAGGATGAATTGTTGGGTAGGTATGCACTAGCCGACTGGAGACCATAGGACGGTTGTGGGCCTGGCTCGTTTGCGGTGGATTTCATCCATTGCTGGTACGCCGCTTGCTGCTTCATATCCTGTTGCTGCACTCGGAGCCCATGGCCTTGCTCCTGGCTTTGACCGGGTCGTTCGTTAGACTGTCCGCTCCTGATACTGCCATTCGCACCCTCGTCACTCGTGCTGATAGATCCGCCACGAGCATATTCTTCTTCACGACGAGCTGTGGTGGACGTCTTCTCTGACTTGTCCTTGCGTTTGAACAAGCCCCCGAAAACGCCTCTCTTCCTGCCACTCTCATCCTCCTTTTCGCGTTCTCGTTCATTCTTCTCCTTCTCCTTGTTCGACTGTGCTTCTTTTCCTCCAGGAGCCTTGGTGAGCTTGCCGCTGCCCTTGCCTCCGTCTGTTCGATTGGATTGTTGGCTTGGGCTACGTTCCTGGTTGTCGCGAAGCTTTCGCTTACGAGCGTCCTCTTCGAGCTCCTCTCGTATACGCTTGCGTTCATCGTCCTGAGCAGCGAGAATGGCACTTGGGAGCAATGGTCCAGAGGTACCACTCGAAGCTGGTGCTTGGTTCCCTCTGCTGTACTGCTGATCACGCGCGACCGAAGGAGTAACACTGATTTTCCTGGTCTCGTTGCTGTCCAGTGCTTCTGGGTCGAATACCTTGCTACCACCAGGGGTACCATTGGGACTTCCACCAGCGGCACCGGGAGAAACTGAGCCAGAGGATGGGTTAGATCTAGCTTCTGGGGAGAGCGGTTCCCTCGATCCTTGTTGGCGAAGGGACGAATTTGAAGTTTCTTGACGAAGAGAGTTGGTAGATCCCTGGTGCTGCACGGTATGCTCGCCCTGTGCTGCTGCTGCTGCTTCATACGAGGGTCTTGAGCTCCATATTGACCGCCACCTTGCTGCCCTTGTTGCATGCCGCGCTGTTGCTGTTGCTGTTGCTGCGGGTCCTGCATATATTGTGGGTTTTGTTGACCACGCATTTGTTGGCCTTGCTGTGGCTGCGATCTCTGTTGTTGCAACGCCAGAGGGGGAGTGCCTTGGGGAGGCGTTTCCTGCTGATGTGCGAAGGACGGTCCATTTTCATTATTCCCCAGATCATCCCACTGATCATCATCATTGTCTTCGTCCCATTCCTCCTCGTCGTTGAGGGGATGTTCGAGGCCCGTATCGTAGCTCTCGTAATTGTCTTCCTCCCACCCTTCCTGCTCCTCTTCATTCCAGACAGCTGGGGGGAATGAAACATCCGAGATCCTTGGAAAAAAACGCTGCGACGGTTCGATGGGTGTGCTGGGTGAGATGGGCCCTGTCTTTGAGCAATGACGGCAATTTGCGCACGAACGGCCACGGGATCATGCGTGCGTTCTTCAGGTGATGCTGCTGCGAGCTTTCATCAGGTTAGTAAAGTGTCCGAAAAAGTAGAGGACTGCACACTCACATCGACGTTTCGGTGCTTGTTCAGCCTTGCCAACCGTTCAAACGGCGTCTCAATATTCTCTGCTGGGATATACCCTACTTCTTGCGTCTTCAGAACCCTCACGAGCCACCAATAGCTATTACTGTCGTCCATCAAGAACAGGCTGTCTCCCTTGACTACGTTGGCCTGGCCTTCGACGGTGGCGACAAATGTATGGAGTGAATAAACGAGATCAAAATCGATGGATTCGTTTGGTATCGAGAGCGACGACGAGTCATCTTCGTCCATGAATTCGTCCTGCTCGTCGCCGTCTTCGTTTTCCGAATCATCTTCGAGTATACTATGGTCCTCGTCTTCGTATTGCCCTCCGTGTTGTTGATGACCCCCGCCTTGAGGATGGTGCTGATACGCGTTGGATGCGTCGGTCATGATTTGGTCGCGAAGGTCGAAAGTGTCCTGACGATGAGGACGACGCGGGTCGTGAGCCATGTCAATGAGGGATCACTGATAAAAGAAGGATATTAGCAAATAGAAGAGGCGTGTGAGAGTAGATCGAATCTTTGTGAATCGGTGTCTTGCGATGGGTGTATCAAGCACTGCCAAGAGCAGAGATACAGGAAATATCAAGAGCGTATCCCAAATTGTGGGGAGCATATCCTAGGGACATCTGCGACCACGTTTTCCTAACCCTGGTCGTCTACCCGTGGAGACGCCGACAAGAAGTGTATGTGAAATGTCGTGATAGAGTCCCCAGGATACTTAAAGTTGGATTGGGACGTTCTGTGAGCGTCCAGAGCCCCGCAAATGCGGGCTTTGCACAGGCTGAAGGGACGGGCGGGCACGTACAATATAAGAGAAATATGTCGAGCTGCTCTCTAAGCAATCTAATTTGGCTATATCCGAGCACTGGTGGGCTTTGCGCGATCCGCCAGCGCGCCAAAGAATTCGAGGAACAGGCGAACAAGTTGCTCGTAACACCGGGTGATGCCGTTTCAAGTGTAAGAGATGTGTAAATTCTGCCTTGAGTGTTTGATACTCGTCAGGAGCGAGTATGCGCAGATGCGACAGAGGTATAAGGTCAAGGTCGGGTGAGAAGTCGCTGCTTTATTGCCGATTCCGGCCCTTGCAACGCCTATCCTTCATGGAAATGCACAATATATTCTGTTCAACTTATATATACGTTAAAGCTTTGCCACGGTTGGTGGTTTAGAAACATCAATATCTCGAATCAGCTGGATGGTCGCAATCCTCTGAAGCAGCTGTCAGCACAAGAAATGGCGCTGTGAAGGCACTTACTCCTTCCCGGAATGTCACCAAGCTTCGATGCCAACGCCTCGAGCTCTCCGTGGCAGATGGTGGATCATTGTACGCCTCGTCTCCTTCGTACATGAGGACCGAACGCTTTACACCATCTTTCCCTTCTACCGTTCCACCAAACCGAGGATTGAACACTCGGGCTCCAAATGCCTGTCCAGCGATATCGCGGAACCGACTTCGAGAGGACTGTAGACTCGACTCTGCGCTGCCCTCCAAAAGCTCCTTGAGCGTCGTCAAGAGGTAGAATTGAGGTGGCATCAAGCTTATGTCTCCTCGTTCAAATGTCTCGAGTATCTTCGCAGGATGCTGGAAATAGGTCTCGAGGACTTCGACTTTGCCGTCGTCCGTTGGCAATACGTCGCGGTGGGGCTCCGTAGTCGGGAGAGTGGCAGTAGGAGACGAGGGATCGATTTCCTGTTGAGCTGCTGCAGATACATCGCTGATGGCGGGTACAGTATTTGGCAACTCGTCAAGGAAAGCCACGAAAAAGTGGGTGTGAAAACGTGCTTTTGCACTAGCTGGTGTAATCCATTGTGAGAATGGAATCAGTTTCTCGAGTACTTCTTGGACCACCAGGTTGTGTTCTTGCAGAAAGGCGGGAAAGGTGTAGGGGTCGTTCCTCGAGTGGATAGCCTTGCGGGCGTTGAGGAGCACAGTTGTATCAGGAATGGGCCCTGATTGCCCTGGACTGGCCAACAGAATCCCAGTCTCTTCAAATGTTTCCCTCACGGCCGTCATTCGTATAGAGCCAGCTTCCGTCGCGGGCCCGTCCTGAGATCCGTCAAAATTCCCTCCCGGAAACGCCTGTGTTATGAGTTAGTTCTAACAAAACCTTTAATGAGTGAACCATGGACCTACATGCATTCCAGCAAATGTCCGGGACTCCTTTGTCCTCTGTATCATAAGAACCTCGTTATTTGCATTTATAAGTAGTAAACTAGCCGATAATCGTGGCTCCGGAATCGCATTAGAGGCCGCATTTGTGGACGAAGAACGTCGCCTAGTAGACATCGTTCGCTGAGACAAGCTAGTGTTGGCGAGAAATGAAGAAGAATGCTGTAAACTTCGAAATACCAGTGAGGGAGGGTTCAAGTTTCTCCATTGCAATACACGGACGGCGGCAAGAGTCATTGCCGGTGGTAACAACAATCCCACTGGATTGACAAGAAAGGGTATACGTCCTGCAAACCGAAAGAAAAATTGAAACACATAGCTTCCTCCTAACGCCGCACCAACTTTAGGCCATCCCTCCGGCTTCTCTCATCTTTCCATTACGAATCGAACTTTTGCTTGGGACTGGAGGTGGAGTCGATTCGTCCTCGCGCCTCCAAGTACCCGCTCCCTTGAGACTGCCTTCAAACTTGCGGTGGCCCCAGGTATCAAAGCACTCTTCAGCCCAATGTCCACGAGAGAAGACGAGGAAGGTAGTAGGGAATAGAAGGAGCGTGAGCGTGATCCATCCCAGCCATGCCCAAGCCATCAAGACCTGTAGGACAACACACGGCTGATACTGAACACACCAGCTGAGATCTGGCCAAACAGTCTAAGGGATCGATATAGAATTAATATGGATGCAGTCCAAGTATATCGACCTGGACGCACCGATGCAGCAGCGGCGCCGCCAAGCCAGAGCAACCAAAGCACGGCAAGGCCGACAATCTCAAAAGTGTTGGTCGAGAGGAAGGAATGGGATTTGCGGAACCAGAGATTGCGTAGCCTAGACCAAGTCAGTCGACCACAGTCGCTAGGCTGGGGGAACTGACATTATGCCTCCAAAGGCCATTCCCAACATGGAGCACACCAATAGTTCGACTACGGATGGATCTATACAGACTATGGTGAGACATATTCACATCTTTGACGGTGAATGTACCATAAAACGGCGCGCCACCATTCAAGGACGGCTCGTTTCTGCGATGGTCGGTATAATTTATGCGCGCAATGCATAGAAAGAAGAGGAGAATTGACCATAGAATGAAAGCGAGATAGAGACCGAGTCGAGTGACTGCGCCGAACCGCTCAAACGTGGATTCCATGTGGGTGATTCCGATTCCGAGGCGTAGGTGTGAGACGTCAAGTCGTCAGAAGTTGAATGTGAATTCGAGACTATCTAAACGAGTGAAAAGACGAGCACGGTGTTACCGAAAAGGTCGTATCAACTATTGCGGTCGTGGGCGAGACTGCGCAGCGTTGCCTGCTTGAACCGCCGAAGATGTCCCCTCTGCAAAGTCTACGCATTTCCTCTGGATCTTCAGAGGAGATTCGAATTGATGAGGAGAAAAACAAATGTTGAAACCTCAAACAGCATATTACGCGACAAATCTGCCTGAAAATCTCAGCACACGATCAGTTGCCAGGCAGAACCGCGCGACTTGAACTTGACCACGTCGGCAAAATCCTCATTAATCGTCTAGCAGCTCGTTTCACTTCTAGTGGTCACAAATTGCGGGAGATTTGACATATTTGGCGACGGCAAGGCTCGGTTGCGCTCGCCATATGGGCGCAGGTGACCACACGGTGCTATAGCATGCGGATGCAAGATGAATTACACGACATCCTAGAACATTGGGGCGTGAAATGAACGGCACAAGGCTCCCACAGTGCCTCTCAGCGTTCTAGATTTGACCGTCCAAAGACCCCTCTTTACGGTCCGTCTCGCGAAACTCAAGTCAGCCAGTATCAATCAAAAAAGAGAATAGCATCTATTTCGGACAATCTGCGAATGAATCCTGACCGTCTGCTTTCGGGCACCCTATCGTATCACAGCCGGTATTTCTGATACAAGGGGGGAAACACCAAGGTCCCTGTACCTTTGAAATGCATTTTAGGTACATATGGTGCCAATTAGGGGGGCTCATGCGTTATCTCTAAAGGACCAGATGGAAGAGAAGCACCATCCGGGAATACTTTTCCGTCATCTGCCCTGCAATCATGAGATGGGCAGGTACACTCCATTCATACACACTTGTGGGTCTAGCGGATCTAAGAGGCCCACTATTACGTGCCTCGCTTGGATTCTCAAGCTCCACGCTGTTAGCGTCATAACCGGCGCCGTATAGTCGTGTGAGTACTGTCCGAATTGACAAGTGTACAAGTTCTGAGGCGTGTGATCCTTCAGATTTCAGGGAGAAGGGATCGGGACCGTGAAGGCCGCCCATAGGTCTCGCCGGCCATCCAGCGAGGGCTCTGTGCGAATTACGCCCGTCCGGTATCGCAAGAAGCCGCCAAGTGTGGGTTCCACATGTCTTCTTCGCACTGTGTTCAGTACCGAAGGACGCACCATGCGGGCCACCGGAGGCAGGTGCTACCGGCCGCCGACAGACTGGCTCAATCAACGCCAACGCCAACTGTTCTTAACGGCCACCCTTCGCCAGGATGAAAGAATCTCACTCCTTCGCTCTCCCCCCACTTTACTTTTTCTTCTCTTTCCTCTCAAGACCTCCCGCCACGCGCAGGTTGAGGCACCTTTCCCCCTGACTGTTATAGTCCTCCTGCTACGAGCAACCTACTGCACGTAACACTCCCAATGGCGTCCCATATGGATGAAATGCGCCCTGCGCAGCTGTCTGAAAAGACGAGCGATATCGACGAGAAGGCGTCGACTCACAGCGAGTCGCACCACGCAAAGGCAGCAGCCCTGAACGAGTTTGACGCAGAGAGCAACTCCTATCACGAGGTTCTCGTCAACGATGGCAACCCATTCCCGCCTATGCCCAACGAGGTCGATGAGCCAATCCAGCTCACCGTCCGCGCTGTGGTTGTCGGCAGCTTGCTCGGCCTCATCGTCGGCGCTAGCAACGTCTATCTCGGCCTCAAGACTGGTGGGTTTCCTTGTACAATCCCCTTCTTCCCAGGCTCATCATGCCCCTAATAGGATTCACCTTCGGTGCCTCTCTCTTTGGTGCTATTTTTGGCTTCGCCATCCTCAAGCCCCTTTCGCATGCTCTCCCTGAGCGCTGGGGTGGTGGATACTTTGGGCCTCGTGAAAACTGTGAGATAAACTCGTTGTTTTGCGACAGTCAAGCTTATACGTATACCTAGGCACGGTCCAAACGTCTGCTACTGCTGCTGGAGGCTTGACGTCGTTGTTTGTCGCTGCTGTCCCCGCCATGTACCAACTCGGCCTCTTGAAGACACCCAAGCAGGATATCGGTCGTCTTTTCTTGCTCACGGCCATCACTGCGTTCTATGGTGTCTTCTTCGCCATTCCTTTGAGGCGCTACTACATCCGTGAGTTGCTTTTTATCAGGCCATTCATGATCACTGATATTCTACAGTCAAGGAAAAGCTCGTCTTCCCTAGTCCAACGGCGACTGCCTTCACCATCCGCTCCCTTCACAGCACGACCTCTGCTGCTGCTCGCTTGGCTGCAAAGCAAAAGGTCCGTGTTCTCGGGTGGTCTTTTGTCGGCGCCTTTGTCTTCAAGTCCCTCTGCGGCTATGCTCCTGGACTTCTTCTCGACTGGCACGTCTTCTACTGGCTCTACTCCTGGGGATGGAAGGGTGCCATTGCCGGAGAAGCCTGGGGATGGATCTTTGAGTTGACTCCCGCATTCTGGGGTGCTGGTATGCTCTCTGGTACGCTCCTTTGTCACAAACACTGCAATTTCTGACGTAATACGTAGGTCTCAATGCTTCCTGGAGCTTCTTGGCAGGCGCTATCCTCGCCTGGGGTATCCTTGGACCCATCACCATCGCCAAGGGATGGACAATCAGCAAGCCCAACCCTTATGGCGTCGAAGACCCACTTTGGCGTTCGTATAGCAGCATGAGCGCAAAGGACTTTGTGCACGGTGCTAGCCCGCGGTACTGGCTTCTTTGGCCCGGCATCCTCATCATGTTGACCTACGTGAGTGGACCCATCCCTGGCTCAAATATTCTTCCTAACCGATTGGTAGTCGTTTGCCGAGCTCTGCGTCAACGGTCCCATCTTCTGGCGTGCCCTCAAGTCCGCTGGGCGCTCGTGGAAGTACGACTACAACGCCTGGAGTGCGCGTCGCAAGGGACTTTCCTTCACCGACATCCGCCCAGAGGAGGACCGTATGTTGGACGACCCGGCCCCTGATCACGAACAAGTACCCATGTGGATGTGGGGAGGCGGTCTCCTCGTGTCCATTGCCGCGACCCTCCTCGTCGGCAAGCTCTCGTTTGACATGGACGTTGGAATTGGCATCCTTGCCCTCCTTTTGGCCTTCATGTTCTCCTTCATCGGTGTACAAGCCTCTGGAACAACCGATGTCAACCCAGTCGGCACGATTGCCAAGGCCAGTCAGCTCATTATTGGAGGTGCTACTCGTGCCCAAGGTATCGCGATCGAGAAGGCGCAATTAACCAACTTGATCGCCGGTTCCATTGCTGGACAGGCTGCTTCGCACGGTGTCGACATGACTGGAGACCTGAAGACGGGTCACTTGCTCCGCGCAAGCCCTCGTGCGCAGTTCCTCTCGCAGGTCCTCGGTAGCGTCATCGGAATCTGGCTCAGCGTCGGCCTTTTCGTCCTGTTTGCCTCTGCCTATCCATGCATCACCGACCTCGAAATCGAGTGCACGGCGTTTGGTCTCCCTGCCGTCTCTGCCTGGCGTGTCGTCGCTACGGCCGTCACCTCACCCACACTTCCTATCCCGCCCACCTCGGGATACTTTGCCATCGGTCTCTCCGTCCTTGCCGTCATTACTGTCGTCATCAAGCACACCCTCGTTCCAGCCCAGTACCGTGTCTGGGTCCCCAACTGGAACGCCATCGGTCTCGGACTGGTCGTCCCACAGACGTACTATCCGATTGCCATGGTCATTGGCGCTCACGTCGCGTACACTTGGGGTCGCAGATGGCCAAAGAGCTGGGAGATTTGGGGTTTTGCCCTCAGCGCTGGTCTCGTTGCCGGCGAGGGAATGGGTGGTGTCCTCACTGCCCTGTTCACGATTGTCAAGATCGATGGCAGCTACTATGGAAGTGCTGTCGCATGCCCTGCCAAGCAATATTGTGGTTAGAGAATGTTCCTAGACATTGTAGGTTGCTAGCGATACGATATAATGCAGCATGGGCTTTACTCATTAACCTTTGCGTGAGCTCTGAGAAAAACGAGTGTTGAAGCCAAATAACCTCCCTACGACTGCGATGCACTAACACTCTCGACACGAGAGTTGCTCAGTCTATCTACTGAACGTGACAAGGGCACCGGGTGGTCGCAAACCTTGGTACCAATCCACATTATGAGCAGCTCACCAAAACCTCGCAGATGAGTGAATGAAGATTGAAAATTACAGTGCTGACATGACATCTAGTTGTAAATAATACATATTCAAAGTCCTAAGCGTACAGTGTAGATGTTTGAGCAATCATTTTATACATCTCCGACCCATGAGGGTAACACCGGGAACTCAGCTTCGAGCTGAGTTATCCGCGTCTCGGAGACTTTGAACGCAGCCTTCTCCATAAAACGTTGCCACTCGATTGGCTCGTCACCGTCGAAAGCTCGTGACACGACCTCCCAGTTGGGCTCCTTGGAGACGGCCATAGTCAGGTTGATTGTCCACGATGTCAACTTAAGCAAGACGGTCTGGAGTTCGAGGCTTGTCGTCGAATTTGCCAGCGTTTTGGAGCCGTGTCCGTGATGAGCACTGTCGGTGCTCTTTCGTGTTTTCGGAGGCGTCGAGTGAACGTTTCCTGCATTTAACGCGGATGCGGTGGCGGATGTATTTGATGACTTTGACAGTGCCTTTGTGATAAACGCCTTGATTGCTTGCGTGACCAGCTTGTCGACGATTTGGGTCAGCTGTGTGATTCGTTCGCGTCGAAGGGTGTCCAATAAGACCAAAAGCCGACTTTCAAATGGTAAATCGACTTGGAGCTCATCAGCCGGAGCCTTTATGAGCTCCCGTGCTGCTACCCTCGCGACGTTCCTTACTCCATATCGGTCCGCGAGGACTAGGCAGAGCATCGGGTGCTGCAGTTTGGCCTTTTGAGTCGCGACGAGATCTATTTGCATCTCTCTCTCCCACCACTTCATCACTCGTGGAACTTGGTACTTTCGAGCAGCCTCCAGAAGGCCCACGATCGTCTCATTGTTCATTGGGAGTGGTTCCTTCTCCGGGTCGAAGAAGCGGAGAAGTGCATCGAGAGTTGCGGAATCTTCGGAAAGTATAACGTACGGTATGCTGTCGTTAGTAGGCGATTTCGAGGTGCCGACGACGAACATGTCCTTGAAGATGGGGGAGCAATGGCATAGTAAGTATCGATGGAAACTGAAGATGACTTTATCCGAGCTGATGAGCTCGACGTCTCCATATCCCTGTGGAAATTCGTCCGAGCGTCGAGTCTGTTCGACATCAGGCGCCGATTCGTTGGTGACGGACATGATGGGGTGAGTTCCAAGTCGTTGTGGTTCATAGTCATTCGAGCAATGTATTTGTACTTGTCTTGATCCCATTCAACGACATTAAGCCATTTCATTTGCCACAGCCGAACTGCCATGGCGCTAATAAAATGATTGAAACAATGTCACCCAGCACCCTTTGATGTACCACATTTCCGGAAAACCGAAAGATTGATATGGCTCGAGTCACGAGGAAAGACGCTGGCTGACTAGGATTATGGACCATAATCGCAATAGCCAAGTCGAGGCATTTGTATCATCCCTCTGGCTAGTGCTTCAATCTAGGTACCTGAAATGCTGCGCCAGTCCTTCACCCAACAACCCAGATCCCCCGACCACTCGAACCGACGGCTGAGCTGAAGTGTGATACCCCTCACCTTCTAAAGACATTCTAATACTTCTATTAAACATTCTCTAACTTGGCTACACGGTTTGCGAGCTGGCGCACCGTCGTTCGACTGAGGTGTTTGTCAAGACTATATGCCTCCAAGAGACAAATCTCTCGCAGGATCGCCTTCCAACTCGGTTCCACAGAGATTGATGCCATCAAATTTGTCGTCCACTGTGTCAGGTTCGTCAACGAACCCTGCAGGTAGAGGTGCTCCTTGAGCGCCTTGTCCTCTTGTCGACCAGAAGCAGATTGGGAGAAGCGCTTGGAAACAATGCTCCCGGCTCTCGCCAACATCGAGACTTCTGGCGCCGACTTTTTCTGCTCCGGAATATTAAAGGTCGACGCCAGGAGTGAGTGGACGATGGTCGTCGCAAGCTCGTTGGCCACTTCATGCAGTTTGGCAATTCTTTCTGATCTGAGCTTTATAAGCTCGCTGAACGATTTGCCGAGAAATGAGAGGTTGATCTCCAACTCCGCCACTGGTGCGATTACGAGAGCTCGTAATGCGAGCTTTGCTACACCCCTAATCCCATACAGCTCTGCGAGTGCAAGGCACTGCATTGGGTTCTCTAGCTCCGGTCCTGCTGTGACCTCTTGCGCCCACCACTTCATAATCCGAGGTAGTTGATATTTGTGAGCAGCCTCGAGAATCTTGGGTGCAGAATGTGGGTTGAGAGGAAGAATGTCCTTTTCTGGATCCAGGAAACGTAGAACTGCATCCATTGTGGTGGAGTCCTCAGTCACGGTGACCTCCGGATTCTCCTGGTCCGATTCCCCGAGGGCAAGCATGTCCATGAACACCGAGGAGCAATGTGAAAGGAGATAGCGAGGGAAGCTAAAGACGATGTCGTCGCTCGTAATGAGCTTGATGTCGCCGTAGCCTGGGGGAAATAGCTTCGAAGGGCGTCGCTTGGGGGCCGTAACGCTGGACATGGAAATCCGAGAACGATCACGAGAGAGGATTGGAGCTATATATAAGCATATTTTCGGTTGGTGATCCACTCGAGAAGCTTCCACTCGTTTAAAGGGCTGCGAGAGAGGCCAAAAGAATGCATGGTGTGGATTATCTGGATTACAATATACTCATTGGTAATTAGAAAACCTTCGCCAAGCGGACACGAGGCACATCATGCTGCTATTATGCCTCAATCCACAAGCAGCGCAAATCATCCTCAAATACGGGATTGGATGTGTCAGTGTCGACAAATTGAATAGACTCGCGGTATCTGAACTAAATTTACTAAGACAGGGTGTCGTGTCTGAGCGGTTTTGGTTGCAGCTCGATCAAGCGACCTTTGGCCTCTTTGGGCAGTCAGCTATGACTACTTTTCATCCCTCGTGATAGTCGAAGACAACTAGGACGCAATTTTGATCGATGGCACTCGTTGAACAAGTTTGACATGCCGTGAGTAGAATCCAGAACGGCTCAGCTCAGACCTCCACCTCAACCACGTCTCGTGCAAAGATACGATGAGAAAGTCAAATAGACTAGCAAAGAGACGCAAGAAAGATGGAAACAGCCAAAACCTACCCTCAACGCCTATGGGGCCTTCGACAGACGCCCAGCAAGGCGGCTCGGCACCTGTGGAGTCGTCACGAGGATCTAGAATGGATAGATGGCTCGCTCGAGCATCCCTAATGCTCAGTGTGACCAAAAGTATTGCAGACGCTGTTGAGTTTGCGCCGCTCAAAGGCGCCTGCGAGGCCGTGGTTACCCTCCTCGATTCGATCCAGGTAGGGGTTCTAAGACAAACTCCCATTAGTATGCTGAATTGTTCGAGGCTGTGAAATCCAACGAATACGCCTGGTCCGAGCTGTTGAGGACTGTCCAAGAGCATACAACGACGTTTCGACGGCAGTTGGCGCAACTAGGTATCAATGACATTCTTGAAGAGTACGAAGATTCTATAAAAGGTCCAATTAGTGACTACTTTGAGTATGTTTATCAACCTCAAATCGATGCAAACTCATCTTGAACAGCATTCTCAAAGAGCTGATTGCCAGCATTTGCATCGATTCGGGCCTCGAAGAGTCCGAATTTGACAAAGGCCTTACTTTCAAGCGATTGGCTCAGCAGATAGCTACCACAAAGCTAGAGGCTGGCGTTATTGCAGGCTACGAGAAACGCTTGAAAGACGCAGAATCGAGAATAATGGTCAATATGAGACATATGCTCCGGCAACCCTATTTGACGTTTAATACAGGGTTCTCTCATTGTCTATGTCACCATATCTGTCAACGCATCGGCAGATGCAGACGTATTGAGCCAACTCAAATGCAAAGAGTACACACGTCCGCGAGAATGTCAAGTAGGGACACGTACGGAGATACTCGAGCAATGTACATCTTGGGTCTGCAGCCCCAATGCACCGAACATCTTGTGGATCAAAGCCGCACCGGGAGCGGGAAAATCAGCCATCGCGTCTAGTCTAGTCCGCCTTCTCGGAATCCACAAACAGCGCCTTGGATCAAGCTTCTTCTTTCGTCGTCAGGAAAGCACTGTCACAACGACGAGAGCGTTATGGCGGAACGTCGCGCATGATCTTGCGAGGCACCCTACCATCCGAAAGCACCTGGCTGCAAAGATCAAGAAAGGCCATATTGACTTGACGACCCCGAACATCGGCGAATTCTTTCATCAGTTGATCGAAGAGCCATTATTGAGGGTTGGCAGCATTTCTAGCGACCAGTCACCTGTGATTGTGGTCGACGCATTGGATGAGTGTGGAGGCCTGGAAGGTGCGAATTCCGAGGAGCGTCGGGATTTGATCGAGACTCTGGCGCTATGGTCTCAGCTTTCCCATTGCAAGCTGATTGTCACCAGTCGTGAGGAAGATGACATAGCGAGAAATTTCGCTCTGAACCCTCCATACACGATCGACCTTCTCGTTGGAGACGAGACAGCCATTCAATCCACGCGAGACATTCAGGCATACCTGAGTGAGGAGCTGGGGAAATTGCCGGCAGATACTCTACACCCTCTGCTGAATGGCCGGGGGAAGCGACCATCAGGACGTTGGCGATCAAGGCCAACGGATTGTTCATCTGGGCATCGACGGTGGTGGAATATATCCGCCGTGGTAATCCAAAGAAGCTTTTAGAGGAAATAGTACGAGGGGAGGGCACCGCCGGGATGAAGGCACTCTACACTACTGTACTTCATGCTGCCTTTCCAGACGCGCGAAGCGATCTGTTACGGGAAGTGCGTACGATCCTCGCTGCCATCATCGTCTCTTATGAGCCGTTTCATCTGCCGATGCTTGCGGAACTCCTTGGGATGGATGAATGGACGGTCGAGCATGTGTGCAATGCACTACGACCTGTGTTAGAAATCGAGGGGACCCTTCGTTTTCGCCACCAGTCTTTTGTGGATCATCTTTTAGATCCGGATACAACATATTTGGCACCATGCCTGACGACAAGCAACTGCCACCAAATCCTCGCGGATCGATCCCTATGCATCATGAAGGAAAAACTACAATTCAACATCTGTGGAATTCCCTCATCTCATATACTCAACGAAGACGTCTTAGAATCAACTATCGACGCGTGCATTCCCTCCCATTTAGTGTATGCGTCGTCCTATTGGGTAGATCATCTAGAACATACACCGGCAAGTGAGGAGACCCTGTCTCTTGTTCGATATATTCTCAAGGTTCAGTTTCTTGCCTGGCTCGAAGTCGCAAGTTTATGCCACTTTGTGTACGACGTGCCACCTCTAATATTTGTACTAAATATATGGCTGAAAGTAAGCATACCTTTTATCTCATTATCTACTCGATGACCCATTTGTAGGCTAACAACGGCGACGATTTGATACCACTTGCAACTGATATGCAGCAGTTTGTTGCTCATTTCCTCGATATCATAGCAGAGAGCGCTTCCCACATTTACATCTCTGCGCTACCACTCTCCCCACCATCTTCAGCAGTTAGGAGGCTCTACGAATCTCAGTATCCAAAGACACTACTAGTCACGGCAGGAGGTTATCAAAGGTGGTCCCCACTCCGTAACACTGTCAGCGGGCATAATAGTGGTGTAAGTACTGTGGCCTTTTCTCCGGATGGCCATTACGTTGTTTCTGGCTCTCATGACGGAACTGTGCGCCGATGGGATGTAAAGACGGGCATACAGATAGAAACCCCGCTTGAAGGACACACCAGTTTCGTCAGTTCTGTCGCATTCTCCCCAGGTGGTGATCGAGTTGTTTCTGGCTCGGACGACAAGACTATAAGAGTATGGGACATGAAGATGGGTACACAGATAGGAATTCCATTTGAAGGACATGCCGACCGTGTCAAATCGGTCGCATTCTCGCCAGATGGCCGCCAAATTATTTCTGGCTCCGGAGACAGGACAATACGGTTGTGGGATGCAGATACGGGTGGCCAGATCGGATTACCGCTTCAAGGTCATACTGACGCGGTCAATTCGGTAGCATTCTTTCCAGATGGTCATCGAATCATTTCTGGCTCAAATGACAAAACGTTGCGGATATGGAATGTAGAAACGGGTATGCAGATAGGAGAGCCGATTGTAGGGCATACCGACTACGTCCACTCGGTCGCGATCTCGCCAGATGGTCGCCGAATTGCCTCTGGCTCAGATGACAAGACCATACAGATATGGGATGCGAACACAGGGATGCAGATAGGAATTCCGCTTGAAGGATACGCCGGTGCCGTTCTCTCAGTCGGATTCTCGCCAGATGGTCACCGGATCGTTTCTGGTTCATTCAGCCAGATGGTACAAGTTTGGGATGTGGAAACAGGCAGGCAAATAGGACAGCCGCTTGAAGGACACAGCGGTTGCATCACCTCGGTTGCATTCTCACCAGACGGTCGCCAAATTGTTTCTGGTTCGGATGATGCCACACTGAAGCTATGGTCAGTTGAGACAGATATACAAATCGGAGGGCCACTTGAAGGCCATACTAGTGGCGTCAGCTCCATCGCAATCTTGCCAAATCATTGCCAAATTGTTTCTGGCTCGGACGACAAGACCGTGCGGATCTGGGACATGAACACGGGCATGCAGATAGGAATTCCATTTCATGGACATACCGGCGGTGTCAACTCGGTCGCATGCTCGCCAGATGGTTACTTGATCGCTTCTGGCTCGGACGATTGCACGGTGCGAATATGGAGTGTTGATACGGGTAGAGGGATAGGAACACCGCTTGAGGGACACACCGACCCAGTCATCGCGGTTGCATTCTCACCAGATGGGCACCGAATTGTGTCTGGCTCGGATGACCAAACCGTGCGGATATGGGACGTGAAGATGGGTACTCAGATAGGAGTTGCAATTGAAGGGCATATTGAACGCGTCACCTCAGTCGTTTTCTCGCCAGATGGTTGCCGAATTGTTTCCGGGTCACAGGACAAGACGGTACGATTTTGGGACGCGGAAACGGGGACACGGATAGGTGTGCCACTCGAAGGACACACTAAAAGGGTCAAATCAGTCGCGTTCTCGCCAGACGGCCATCGAATCGTTTCTTGTTCAGATGATAAGACTCTGCGATTTTGGGATGTGAACGGGGGCATACAAATAGGAACTCCTCTTGAAGGACACGCCTTTGGTGTTACCTCGGTTGCATTCTCGCCGGATGGTCGTCGGATTGTTTCTGGCTCGGAGGACGATACAATACGGCTTTGGGATGTAGAGACAGGTTTACAGATAGGAATGCCACTACAAGGACATAACGCCTCGGTCTGCTCGGTCACATTCTCGCCAGATGGTCACCAAATCATCTCTGGCTCGTCTGACCAGACAGTACGGCTATGGAACGTAACTGACGAACACTTGGTGAGTACCTATACACATCCAATCCGTTGTAATGCTGATTTGCATAGACGGATGTTGTCCCTAGTTGCTACTGTGGGATTGACGAAGATGGATGGCTGTTTGGATCCGAAGGAGAGATACTTTTCTGGGTTCCGCCTCATTGTCGTTCTGGCCTTGAACGACCAGGTGTTCGGATCATTGGCCCATGTCACCGAATGACGGTGGACACGTCTGCCTTTGTCCATGGAGCGTACTGGACGCGTGTGAGAGAGGGTGGAATGATAAAGAATAACCTTTAGAGAGCATGAAGTGTACTAGGAAATCCATCAGACTCGTACTAACTCTCACTCCTTGGCGTAGTGACCACATCCAATCCCGAAGCGCAATTCTCATATCTTCCAGGCTACAGGCCATAGGTCTGCGCTCGTGTTTGTATATAATACAATCAATTCGTGGTAGAACTCGGTTGAAAAACAAATCTATTCTCTCCAATGCCTCTTCTTTATTCGAGATGAGACTATTAGGATCGAATAACTCAGTTTCGGGTAAAGTAGATGAAGTACCGTACCCTCTATACTTTATTGTTAGTACAGTGCTTCTCTTTGATGTCTTTGACTCTTGGACGATCAGCCATGAAGATAATGGTCGAAAATCCAAAGTCCAATCCACCACCCTCAATTCGACGGGGATACTTGCCTCTCCTTTTTGTTGTGCGTAAGTTTAATACTATCATATACAATAGTTAATTCTCACAGCTTTCCACAATCTATTGGTAAGAAATCGCAGTCGGAACAAGGTACAGATCGGGCGTGAGTGGTTCAAATAGTAACATCGTAGGAATAGGCTGGATACGGGCACCAGCGAGAAGTTAATGCATTCAATATTATCCACCGTCGAGGGAACCAGTCTGGCAACTCACTGACGAAATCCTCGATTCCTCTGGACTCGCCGTCGCCAGCAGTAGGCTGTCTGAAAAAAGCAGGAGCTATGGCCAGAGAAGACTTTGGGGGTCCTGCGATATTCTCCATTTCTGCATAGGAACGCTAACTAGGTTCATTATCGATCTTATCCATGGCTTGGAGGATCTTATCACGCTGCCAAAAACGGGGATCATTACCTGAGGATAGTAATCGTTCTAGAAACAACTTTTGAAGCTCTCTAACGCCCATGCCTCGACGCTCAAGGACAAGTGTGAAGAGTCGGTCGTCAATCATAATATCGGGGTCGGGCTGGCTATAAGGGGCAGCGGTCAAAGCTCGTAGTGCCACTTTGGCAACTGCCGGAAGCTTGAGGTGGTAGCTAAGAACTATTAATTGTAACGGGTTGCGGACTATGGCATCCGGGGGTATTTTCACCGCTTCCTCCTCCACCCAGTCTAATATCCTCTCTACGTCGTACTTCCTGGCCGCTTCGAGCAATCGAGAGACAGTATTAAGATCAATAGTGGGGACCCTTTTCTTTGGGTCGAAGAAATACAGGGGCGGGTTAATTGTGGCCGCGTCTTCCGTGAGGGTGATACGTGGTGCTCAATGCTCTCCTCGTGTTCGACCTCGCGATGTCCCTCCGTTGTGTCCCTACAATGGTCTTGGTTACTCCAGAAATACTAACCATTAAGGCTTTACATTTGCATTTCCGTGTCAGACATTTTTCTTTCCGAGTGAATGTGGTGGTCAAGAATTGAACTCGACCGTGTCCTCGACCACTAGACGGCCTATTGTATGTGCCTTGTTAGTTCAAATTCATAAAACATGCCATTCTCACGTCATTGCGTCCGCAAGAACTCAGGTGCCTCAATGTAGCCCATGGTCTCGGATACTATACCACTCTTATTTACTCGAGGGAATCAATGATCTGCTGTTTTGAAATGTAATGGCATTGTGGAGATATTAGCTCACATCGTTGCCATTTTTGACTATCCTCACCGCTGGCTCATTGGGGTCTCTGTGCCAGTCTCGCCGGCTGTTTAGCGCCACGCCTCTGAGCAAATAACGAGCCTTGCTTGCTCCTCGCCATCTCCATCGTGAACAATGTCGGATGCTCGCTTGTCCTCGTTGGACACCCTACGTCTCTCCCAATCATTGTCGCACAGCGACGCCCAATCCACACCTCTGGATTCCCAGAGTAGCAGGCCTTCGGCTTCGAAGACCGAATCGAAGACGGATCATTTCGGATTCCTAGAAGTCCTGTCTGGAACTGACCCTGTCGTCGAGCAAGTACCCCAGCTATTACACGTGCTCGCCGCTCACCTAGCTTTCCCGCCAGTATCGTCGCTATTCATGGTCTGCAAGGACATAGAGAGAAGACATGGACGACAGAAGACGGAGACTTGTGGCTACGTGACCTCTTGCGTACCGACATACCCAACGCTCGAGTCCTTCTCTATGGATACGACGCCGACACTCGCAGTCGAGAATGCGTATCAACCCAGACGATGCGTCGACATGCCGAGAAGCTAGCCCAGGCACTCTCACGGATACGCAAGGACGCTCGAGTAAGGGAAACAATTCTTGCCGATTGGCCTCCTTTGAACAAGTGATTAGCGTCCGATCATTTTCGTTGCCCATGATCTAGGAGGTATCATTCTCAAATGGGTTCGTAATACGGGAGCCACCAAAACCCAGCTGCTGACCCTTTCGTAGGCTCTCGTCATTTGCCATAATGAGAGTTTGACATCCAAGAGTAGCCTTCGTGACGTGGCCGTATCCACGCATGGAATCTTATTCTTTGGAACCCCGCACTCCGGCCTCGAAAATACAAACATTCTTGAAGGAATCAACCTCTTGGCGTCGGTATACATGGAGACTACCGACAATATCATCAAGGATCTTCGATCCAACTCGGCTGAACTCGAGAACATTCAGAGTCTGTACGTCGCGGTGAGCGAGAAGATCAACAGCATCTTCTTTTGTGCGGAGTATGCGACATCAGGTATTGGAAATCGTGGAGAACTGGTGAGTGGATTCCCAATCACGAATCCAATACTAAACGAAAAATAGAATGTTCCATATCACTCAGCCACTATCTCCGGTGACCGCAACGGGACGCCGATCGTGCTTCATGCGAATCACCGCAACATGGTTCGATTTTCATCCAAAGATGACGAAAACTATAAAACGGTTCATCATCGCCTCAAGGGGTACGTCGACAATGCCCCCCTGGCAGTGCAGGAGAAGTGGGCAATAGAGGACAAGCTTCGCAGTTTGTAACCAGTCTACCCCGCTGTCTTTAGCTGATCAAAGCATAGCTGTAGCAAATGAAGAATATGCTCCTCCAGAGGACATACTGCCTAAACCTCGTCCATCCGTATCAAGGAGCTACATCAAGCGAGAGGCAGTCCAGTCCCTCATCACGCAGAAGTTGCTCTCGGGTGGTCAGGTGCAACGTCAACCAAGGTGTATATTACATGGAATCGGAGGGTCAGGTAAGACTCAACTAGCAACGAACTGGATTGGAGAGAACGAAGCCAGGTACGAACGATAGAAATGCTTGGAATTGTCTCATCTTTACTAGGTTTACTCGAGTGATTTTTGTCGACGCCTCCAGTCAGACGCAAATTGAAGCAGACTTGGAGCAATTTATTCGCTCCTTGGGCCCGGAGTACAGAGCGATGGGGTGGAAGGATGCAATTGCCTACCTCGACGGCAAGGAAAGAGGCTGGTTACTATTCATCGACAATGCCGACTCTCCAAACCTCGACCTTGGCCCATATCTTCCCGCTTCCATTCACGGGTTTATTTTGATCACCACGAGGAATAGCGAGTGCATAAGCTACGCTCCAGATGGGGCTGTTGCTGTTGGTGATCTCGAGGAAAACGAGGCGGTCAATCTGCTTCACAAACTCGCCAATGCCTCGCCTACATCCAACACCAAGTCTATCGAGATCGTTCAGGAGTTGGGGATGCTGGCGCTCGCGATCACTCAAGCAGGAGTGTACATTCGCAAGACACGGCGACTCGAAACGTATGTGAACACGTTTCGAAAGCACCGAGACGAACTCCTGCGCAAGCAGCCAGATTTCGGCAACGAGTATACATCGTCGACATACACCGCATTCGACCTGTCGTTCCACAATTTGCCGGCGAAGACACAAGACTTCCTGAAGATTTGCGCGTTTCTTCACCATTCGCTCATCCCGATTTCATTGTTTGAGCACTCGATAGAGTCCAGCTTTACTACATACACTGTTTTGAATGACTTTCCTCCCCGAGAGTCTGACAAAACATTTATCTCAACGCTCCAGGAGATTCTAGGCACGGCGTGGAACGAGGTCGCATTCCAGGAGATCATTGACTCGGCATCTCAAGCGTCATTTATCAATGTTTCGAACGATGGGTTATTCTACACCGTGCATCCACTCCTTCAGATGTACATCAAGGATTATCTTAACGATGAAGATAATCGACACTATGCGCGCACGGCGACCCAACTCGTACTGGGGGCAATCCGGCCGTTGGAGGGTAGCAATGGGCGGCTTTGGCAATTGCTTCCACATGCTAACAATATTCCTCGGTCAGTGCAATCGGAGGATGTGGCACATGCATTAGCCTTCTGCAAGCTTTACAACTCGTTGGGTGGCTGGAGGGCTTGCCAAGAACTGCTAAAATGTGCACTCTCCAAAGTCCAGCAGCGTCACGGTCAACGGCACAAAAGCTCAATATGGGTGATGGTCGCGCTTGGGGACATGTTAGAGAAGTGTGGTCAGTCGGAAGAAGCAGAAAAGATTGAGCGAGAGGTACTCGCTCTGCAGCTCGACATTCTTGGACAGCGCCATCCAGATACCATTTTGGCAATGGGCAACCTTGCCATCACCTTGAACCAGCGTGGTCAGTTGGACGAAGCAGAGAAGATGAGGCGAGAGGTACTCACTCTGCGGCTCGACATCCTTGGACAGTGCCATCCACATACCATTTCGGCAATGGGCAACCTTGCCGTCACCTTGAACCAGCGTGGTCAGTTGGACGAGGCAGAGAAGATGAGGCGAGAGGTACTCGCTCTGCAGCTTGACATCCTTGGACAGCGCCATCCAGATACCATTTCGGCAATGGCCAACCTTGCCATCACCTTGAACCAGCGTGGTCAGTTGGACGAAGCAGAGAAGATGATGCGAGAGGTATTCGCTCTGCAGCTCGACATCCTTGGACAGCGCCATCCACATACCATTTCGTCAATGGGCAGCCTTGCCATCACCTTGAACCAGCGTGGTCAGTTGGACGAAGCAGAGAAGATGATGCGAGAGGTACTCGCTCTGCAGCTTGACATCCTTGGACAGCGCCATCCACATACCATTTTGGCAATGGCCAACCTTGCTGTCACCTTGAACCAGCGTGGTCAGTTGGACGAAACAGAGAAGATTCAGCGAGAGGTACTCGCTCTGCGGCTCGACATCCTTGGACAGCGCCATCCAGATACCATTTCGGCAATGGCCAACCTTGCTGTCACCTTGAACCAGCGTGGTCAGTTGGACGAAGCAGAGAAAATGAGGCGAGAGGTACTCGCTCTGCAGCTCGACATCCTTGGACAGCGCCATCCACATACCATTTCGGCAATGGGCAACCTTGCCATCACCTTGAACCAGCGTGGTCAGTTGGACGAAGCAGAGAAGATTCAGCGAGAGGTACTCGCTCTGCGGCTCGACATCCTTGGACAGCGCCATCCAGATACCATTTCGGCAATGGCCAACCTTGCCGTCACCTTGAACCAGCGTGGTCAGTTGGACGAAGCAGAGAAGATTCAGCGAGAGGTACTCGCTCTGCAGCTTGACATCCTTGGACAGCGCCATCCACATACCATTTCGGCAATGGCCAACCTTGCTGTCACCTTGAACCAGCGTGGTCAGTTGGACAAAGCAGAGAAGATTCAGCGAGAGGTACTCGCTCTGCAGCTCGACATCCTTGGACAGCGCCATCCACATACCATTTCAGCAATGGGCAACCTTGCCAACACCTTGAACCAGCGTGGTCAGTTGGACGAAGCAGAGAAGATGAGGCGAGAGGTACTCGCTCTGCAGCTTGACATCCTTGGACAGCGCCATCCAGATACCATTCGGGCAATGGCCAACCTTGCTGTCACCTTGAACCAGCGTGGTCAGTTGGACGAAGCAGAGAAGATGAGGCGAGAGGTACTTGCTCTGCAGCTCGACATCCTTGGACAGCGCCATCCAGATACCATTCGGGCAATGAGCAACCTTGCCATCACCTTGAACCAGCGTGGTCAGTTGGACGAAGCAGAGAAGATGAGGCGAGAGGTACTCGCTCTGCGGCTCGACATCCTTGGACAGCGCCATCCAGATACCATTTTGGCAATGGCCAACCTTGCTGTCACCTTGAACCAGCGTGGTCAGTTGGACGAAGCAGAGAAGATGAGGCGAGAGGTACTCGCTCTGCAGCTCGACATCCTTGGACAGCGTCATCCGGATACCATTTCGGCAATGGCCAACCTTGCTGTCACCTTGAGCCAGCGTGGCCAGTTGGACGAAGCAGAGAAAATGAGGCAAGAGGTACTCGCTCTGCAGCTTGACATCCTTGGACAGCGCCATCCACATACCATTTTGGCAATGGCCAACCTTGCCAACACCTTGAACCAGCGTGGTCAGTTGGACGAAGCAGAGAAGATGAGGCGAGAGGTACTCGCTCTGCAGCTCGACATCCTTGGACAGCGCCATCCGGATACCATTTCGGCAATGGCCAACCTTGCCGTCACCTTGAACCAGCGTGGTCAGTTGGACGAAACAGAGAAGATGATGCGAGAGGTACTCACTCTGCGGCTCGACATCCTTGGACAGCGCCATCCAGATACCATTTCGGCAATGGCCAACCTTGCCGTCACCTTGAACCAGCGTGGTCAGTTGGACGAAGCAGAGAAGATGAGGCGAGAGGTACTTGCTCTGCAGCTCGACATCCTTGGACAGCGCCATCCGGATACCATTTCGGCAATGGCCAACCTTGCCGTCACCTTGAACCAGCGTGGTCAGTTGGACGAAACAGAGAAGATTGAGCGAGAGGTACTCGCTCTGCGGCTCGACATCCTCGGTCAGCGCCATCCAGATACCATTTCGGCAATGGGCAACCTTGCCTTCACCTTGTCTGATCGTGGTCAGTTGGACGAGGCAGGAAGGATTGAGCAGGACGTCCTTGCTCTGCGGCTGGAGACTCTCGGTCCGCGGCATCCAACAACTCTCAATGCCTCATACAACCTCTCTATCATATTATGCATGAATAATCAACTCAACGAAGCTGCAAGGCTCCTTCAAGACACCATGGAACTACGCGTTGAAGTCTTGGGTGCGGATCATCGTTGTACTGTGGACTCAAAAGAGCTGCTGGAGTCCATTATTTCACAATAAGCTCGTCCCTCTCGTGGTAGATTTCAACGACTCCTCTCCCTCTGCTGTATATGCACTGAACACTCTACATAGTCCTGTCTTGCTCTACCAGATCATTCCAACTGTATTCGAGTGTTGATTCTCTCTCTCTTACATATATAATCAGTCAGTATCAGATCCTATGTCAGTCTCGAGTATGATCTGGATTGGGATCATCTTATCCGAATGCCGATTGAGTCAAGTACCCAGGAAGTGTTAGACATTTCCAGAGTTCTGTCAGCGACCATGTAGTGAGGACATCCTTTGACCCGGCGACATGGCTTCAAGCACGAGACAGCCTGTCGAATATGTTCTTTTCGATATGGATGGCCTACTCATATACCCTAAATTCATCTGCACGAGTGCCTTCTGATCATTGTCTAGCGACAGCGAGCGCGTTTACACCGAAGTAACCAGTACGGCCTCCGATCAAGTATTAAGTCTCTGAAAAGATTCTATTCTGGCGCGTTATGGACGTGAAATGACATGGGAGATTAAGTCCCAGGTGATGGGCAAACGCAGGTAGCTTGTTCTCTTCTAAAGTACTTGGCTGATGTTCCCTCCCAACCGAACGTGTCAGAGCAGAACTTGTGTGGGAACTCCTTCCTGGGATCGAATACGAGCTCAGCATTGACAACTACCTCGCTGAGCGACGACGCCTCCAAGATCTTGAGTGGCCACTCACCCGTCTCATGCCCGGTGCAGCCAAACTCGTCCGACAGTTACATAAGCACAGCATCCCCATGGCCATCGCAATTGGTTCCATCAGACGTAATTCGGATCTAAAGACCCACCACGAAAAGTGCGATCCCGAAAAGGTCGAAATCTTTCGGTTATTCGGCGACAAGATTATGTGTGGTGATGACTCGGAGCATGGAAAGGCTGTTTGGAGTACCGAAAAGGTTGTACGAGGCAATCCATTTCCGGATATTTTTCTCTGTGCAGCAGAGTTGATTGGCAGAAATGTTGGAAGGGAGGAGCACGATATCAGCAAACAAGAGAAGCTTGAGAGGAGCAAAGGTTTGGTATGTAGTGGATCATCTGTGCTCACTGCTTCTCATGAACCTCCAGGTCTTCGAAGACGGAATCCCGGGTGTTTTGGCTGGCAAAGCAGCTGGGATGCAAAGTCAGTGAACCCTTCGTCGATATCGTGCATTCTCACCCTTCCTTAGTCGTTTGGGTACCGGATCCAAATCTACTCGCCGTCGACTCGTCCTTGGACGTGACCATGCTTTCCTCCCTAGAGCAGTTTCAACCTGAGGAATGGGGCCTTCCTGCGTACGATTCGGACCCAAAAGCATCTTAATTCATGAGATTCAATGGACCCCTTAGAGCATGTCAAGACAGATGGCTTTTCCAGGCAAATCGATACGACATACACCAATATACAAGAGAACAAGGTAAATCGTCGCGTAGAGACGGTGTGGCGATGAACAGGCATCGATAAGTATCCTATATTGAAATGGGTGATCGTTGCTTGAGGCGTAAAGGTGTTGCGTGCGACTGGAAGAAGGAAATGGGGGCGAGCGGGAAACCGAGACGCTGACGGGCGTCGAACTTGTGGGAATGAGGAAACGGCTAGAATTCAGACTCTGGTAGTTCGCTATCTACAGGATAGGTAGATTATGGGGGTTTATATATGCGCGAGAGCGCCAGACGAAACGCGGAGGGATGGGGATGGAAAATACGAGAAGGAGATGAGACAGAGCGGAGCTGCTGCGCCGCTTAGAGAGTGTAAGAGACTAGTGAGAGTGTAAGAGACTAACTGGTTATTCCAGAAAGTCCCAGCCGCGCCTGTGCCACAGGGCGCGAGGCTCGAGGGCGTTACAATATGTCAGCGAATGCCACAACGTATGCAGTCCAGGCGCTTGCATCCTCTTCGGATACCAACAATAACTTAGGTATTATTGAACGCAGTTGGAGTGAGATGCTGGTCAGCCCCGTTTAGACAGATTCAGTCGGTCGAGTTCTCGACTGAATAACAGACTCCACGCCATGAAAAAGTAGCACACCCCCGCGGGGAATGCACACTTCCACACGACTTCGTTCCAGTCCCATTTTCGGCTATTGTTCTTGATGTGACGGCCGTTGGAGCGCTTGCCACTCCTGCCTTCACTTTCCGCCTCGATCCCTCCCAGAACCTTTTTTCCGCCAAACCCGAGCGCAATCGAGGCGACGGTATGTGCAGAGTACTGAGTCGAGACCGAGTCGCGGTGCCAGTCGTCAATGTTCGAGGTCACCCAAAGTTGTATAGAGCGCGTTATATGTACACGACGTCAATCATGTCCCCTTTCTGTGAGAAAGCTACTCACGCATGTTGTGGTACCTATCACAGCCCAGCAAGCTAAAGGGCGTTCGACCCAGTCGTACTGAAGGAAGCGAAGGGTGTAAAACGTCGCGGGCCAACATATCGCTTGGAGGGCGAGGAGACGGATAAGGGTGGAAGCGATTGGATAGTAATGGCGCCACGTATTTAGCAGACCTGTGGTAAATGCAAGCACCTGATAGGCGGTAAGGAGGGACTTGTAATCGGTCAATCGAGGGAATACGCTTGAAATTGGACGGGTCTCACCCAAGCAGCAGCTGCCATGTAATCTAGCCTAGTGTTTCCATCTGGACTTGGTTGAGAGGTGCACATACGCGCGAGAAGGTGCAGCGTCTCGACACCTGCAGGGATCACAGCAAGCGTGCGGAGACATTGGAATATTAACGGCATGAGTTGTTCGAAATTTACGCTCCAGTTGATCGAACTACCGCTGATTCCGACGACAATGGCGTGCTTTTCTAGCGGCAAAGATTTGTGGCCATTGATCGACGGCGGTTTGGTATTGTTACTGTGTGTTTTTGACCGTGAATGATGCAACGATGCACGCTGTAGAGGAGATATTCAAGTCTTATGTGAATGTGGTGGCGAAGACTGGATTCACTTGGCCTCGGCTACCTCAGTATACGCCCTACTCGGCCTTGTGTGCCCTGATAATTGCTAAGACGCTAGTGTATCCCATTGTTAGTTCGGGCGATCCACTCCGCACTCGGAAGTCGCCTCGAGGTAGCTCGGCTGTTAGCGCATGTATTCAGCGGAAGACACGTGTAAACCAGTGAGCTATTAATTCCTACCGCATTCCTGTCATGGCGTAGAGAAATGCTTATAGCATTCTTGACTCTCAACGAGACGCGCGAATCTGTGTGTAACACTTGTTCTACAAGTACACCATCAGAGTCAAATCTCTATCAAATGTACCGAGTTGTTGGCTCAAGTGGACAGTCTCCTCACCATTTGCCGCTGTGCCATCCTCACCCAGACGTTTACCGTGCGGGGCAAAGAAACGAGGCTTGCTTGCTCCCGACCACATCCAATCGTGAATGATGCTTCTTCAGGCCCGTTTGCGCTTGACGAATCTCCTACGTCCCTCCCAGTCCTCGTTGCAGAATACGGAACAGTCCACACAGGCAAACCCCAAGAATCACGGAGCTGTAATCAAAACACCCCAATCAAAGAAATGTAATCTCGGGCTCCTGGAAATCTACTCTGGAACTGATCCTGTTGCCGAGTAAGCACCCTGCCCGTTGCATGTGCTCACCACTCACCCACCCCGGATTTGCCAGTATCGTTGCCATCCACGGCCTGCAAGGACATAGAGAGAAGACGTGGACATCAGATGACGCAATCTCGTGGCTACGTGACCTCTTGCCTACCGATATACCAAACGCCCGAATCCTCACGTACGGTTATGACGCCGACACCCGCAGTAAAGAATGCGTATCAACCCTGACAATGCGTCGGCATGCCAAAGCGCTAGCACAGGCACTCTCACGTGAACGGAAAGACGCTCCTCGCGTAAGTAACTCTCCTTGGTGGTTGGTCTCTCCCTAAACGTGACTAGCGTCCCATCGTTTTTGTTGCGCACGACCTAGGAGGTATCATTCTCAAATGGGTTCGTACCATTGAAAGCACGACTAGAACCAACTGCTGATGCTCGCATAGGCTCTCGTTATCTGCCACAATCAGAGTTTGACGTCCAAGGGGGACCTCCGTGACGTTCTCGTTTCCACACATGCAATCCTATTCTTTGGGACACCGCACTCTGGTCTCGATAGCACGAGCGTCCTTGAAGCAATCAATCGTCTGGCATCGGCGTACATGGAAACGACAGACATCGTCCTCAAGGATCTTCAACCCAACTCAGCTGAGCTCGAGAACATACAAAGTCTGTACCTCGCGGCGAGCGAAAATATCAGTAGTATCTTCTTCTGCGCGGAATATGCGACATCTGGTATTGGGAATCGAGAAGACTTGGTGAGTGGATCTTCAATCCGGAATTGTATATTGAATGAGTGATAGAATGTCTCATATCACTCGGCCACTATACCTGGCGACCGCAACGCGACGACAATCACCCTTCATGCGAATCACCGCGATTTAGTTCGCTTTGCATCCAAGGAGGACGACAACTATAAGACGGTTCATCATCACCTCAAGGACTATGTCGACAGCGCGTCTGCTGCGGTGCAGGAAAAGTGGATCACAGAGGACAGCTGTCGTAGTTAGTAGTCACTTCATTTCCTATGCTCGGCTGATAAGATATAGGCGCGGCGAAGCGAGAGCCTGTTTCTCTGAAGCTCATAATGCCAAAGCCATGCCCACCAGTGTCAAGAAGCTACATTGAGCGAAAGAAGATTCACTCGTTCATCACACAGAAGCTGCGTCCAGACGGTTCCGTGAAACACCAAGCACGGTGTGTGTTATATGGGATCGGGGGGTCCGGCAAAACTCAACTGGCAACGAACTGGATTCGGGAGCATGAATCTAGGTATGAACTATGTAAACGTCAGAATAGCTCTGACCCTCGCTAGCTTTACTCGGGTGATTTTTGTCGATGCCTCTAGCCAACCGCAAATCGAAGCAGACCTGGAACAATTCGCTCGCTCCTTGGGCCGAGAGTATAGCAAGATGACTTGGCAGGATACAGTCGCCTACCTTGATTGCAAGGAAAAAGGCTGGTTGCTGTTCATCGACAATGCCGACTCATCAGACCTCAACCTCCATCCATACCTACCCACTACTGCTCATGGGTCTATTTTGATTACAACAAGGAATACCGAATGCGTCGGCTACGCTCCGGATGGCGCAATTCCTGTTGGCGGTCTTGAGGAGAAAGAAGCAGTGGATCTTCTTCATAAAATTGCCAATGTCTCGCCTACGTCCGACGCCGGATCTATCGAGATCGTCCGCGAGTTGGGGTTGCTAGCACTCGCGATCACCCAAGCGGGAGTATACATTCGCAAGACGCGGCGGGTCGACACGTATCTTGAGTCGCTCCAGAAGCACCGAGATCAGCTTCTGCGCAAACAGCCCGATATCGGCAACGAGTACACATACTCGATATATACCGCCTTCGATCTGTCATTCCACGGCTTGCCAGCAAAGTCACAAGATTTTCTCAAGATTTGCGCATTCCTCCACTATTCCCTTATACCGATTGCTTTATTTAGGCAGTCAATGAAGTCCGGATACAGGACGGAGAAAAATATGGAGAATAGTCTTCCTCCAGAGTGTGACCAACCGGTTATCTCAGCCCTTCAGAAGATTCTAGGCAGAGCTTGGGATGAGGTTGAATTCCAAGAGATCGTCGACCCTGCATCCCGTGCGTCATTCGTAGACGTTTCGATTGATGGACTATTCTACACCGTCCATCCTCTTCTTCAGATGTACATCAAGGACTGCATTGGTAAAGAGGAGAGTCAACGCTATGCACGCATGACGATCCAACTAATACTCGGTGCTATTCGACCGCCGTCGGATGGTAGTAATGTGCTGCATTGGCAATTGCTTCCGCACGCCAACAAAATCCCTCGCTCGGTTCAGTTGGAGATTAGCTCACATGCATTGAACTTCTACTGGCTTTACCATAGTGTGGGTGACTGGGCGGCCTGCCAAGAGCTCTTAGAGCCTCTCCTTTCCCAAAGTCAGCAGAGCTATGGTAAAACGGACCCACTCTCAATGTGGTTGATTGGCCAACTTGGCAACGTGTTACGGAGCTCTGGTCAGTTGGACAAGGCAGAAGAGGTAAAGCAAGAAGTTGTCGCTCTACGGCAATATATCAATCGCAACAGGGGCCAATACGCTACTGTGATAACGAGCGACATCGAGAGTATTTGGTACAAGTGTCTTCAGTTGCAGGAGGCTGAACAGAGTGAGCGAGCGCTACTTGCCTTGCGGCGGGATATCTTTGGACAGCGGCACCCAAAAACTCTCGAAGCTTCATACAATCTCTCCTTGACATTGTATGAATTTCAAAAAATTGACGAAGCCGCAAAGCTGCTGCAGGAGACTATGGAATTACGCGCTCAGGTCTTTGGTAAAGACCATCCTCATACCCTGAAGTCGAAGCAACTTCTCAAACGCATCGTTTTAAAGCAATATCTCCGATACCTCGATTCCCCAATCGCGTATTTCGTCTGTGCTCTTCCGTTTATCCCCATTATCAGATGGTGGTGGCGATTTCAGGCCAGTAACTGGGAAAGGTGTGGGCGTGCAAGCATGTTCCCTATCACCTGTCTACTATGCGTAGCATGGAAATCCAGCCGCTTCGGAGATGGATCGTAGTATTGCGTGTAGTGACCATAAACGTACCAGTTGCTATATATTTATTGTCATATCACTCAGTGAGATTCGGAGTTTAGCGTGACTACATGAGGTACGATTATTTCCCACTATACGCTTTTAATATGGCCAGTTGTTTGGGTACTCGAATAATCGATTACAACTTATGACCTTGTGAATAAGCACGCTTAGTCTTCCTATTCTTTGTGAGTTTCGTCTCCTTCGTGTTCAGACTAATCCATCGACTGGGGCAGTCGATGAGATTGAGTCCGTGCCATCCGCGACGACGAACAGACCGCGAAAGACACTCGAGATCCAGGGGAGCAAACTACGAGGAAAGCTGAAGATGACATTATTGCTCCTTATTAGCTCAGTGTCACCATATCCTTCAGGAAAGGAGGCGGAGCGAGTGGAGGGTGCCAGAGGGCTTGTGGCTGGGGTGGCGGAAGCCATGTTGCAAAACATATGGACCCGATACAGCAGTCTACTATATAAGCTGCAGGTAACCATTAAGATGTTGCGATTCAACCACTTGGATAAACAATTGCTAGTGATAAGTAAGAACGACGAGGGGATATCATTTCTACCAAAAATACAATAGTTAGCATGGTCTCGGATAATTCAAGCTGCAACGCTGCGCACTAAGCAGTTTACCGAGCCAGGTCCACCGTTTCAATCCGTTCAATGACAGCAGCGATGTTTGGTTGAAATGCATCCTCGCCGAGAAGCTTGCTAATACCAGCCTTGGTGAACATCTTGAGTGGCTGATTTCGGAGATGTGCAAAGTACAGGCTAACTCCACGGTTCTATAGCATGTGATTAGCGGCATCCAAGGGGAAATACGATAGACGTACTCTGTAGGTCTGGACGATCTCCATAAAGATTTGGGTTGCCCTGCTGCCCGTTAGACGATGGCAAGGATAGGCTAGAGAAACTTACGAAGCGTCGCATGTCTCCACATCAGCCATGTGAAATGCCAAGACGGTCGCTTGCTGACGGCGAGGAGCATCTCCGGGATGATGAACGGAGGCACCATACAGTTCGAGTCGGCGAAGGCGTTCTAGAGCCGAATGAGAACATTTCCATGATTAATGAGATATTAATACCTTTCAGCTGTGAAGTATTCGCTAGGTACCAAGTCAGCATCTATTGGACATCGCGTTGGTTGACTGACCAAAGTCAAGACTTTCCCGAATGCGAATGATCAGAATGCCAGGAACCGGCTCTTGAGCATCCGGGTTCTCAATGACCGGTTTCCATTTGTCAGTTCCAGGCACGCGACCCTGATCTTTGGTGAGCCTAAGTCTTGCGGTTCCAACAAGTACCTACTAGAATAGACATTCGAGCCCTCGAAGAGCGATGGACAACCATGAGAAGAGAAACTGTGACGGAAATTGCAACGCCGACTTCCACACTCCAGAGCACGGTCAAAAGGAATGTCAAGGCCATCAGTGCAAGGTCGGTCCATGACCCAAGACTGAGCAAACACTATAAGCAGATAGAAATGATGATGACTGGGACTTACCTCCAGAAGAAGTGGATGTCTTCAGGAGCCTCGCTTACGAGACCGACGACTACAAGGCAAATACTGGATGAAATATTAGCACACGATACTAAATCAGAGAGAGCTTACATTGCAGCAAGAACACACTTCGGTAGGAAGTGCAATGCAGGCAACAGGAAGAAGATGGCCAAGAGCACCAAAGAGGAGCAGACCAACGAAGACATCTGCGACCGGCATCCCAACTCGGCGTTGAGCTTTGATCTAACGACATTAGATGGGGCTATAAAGCTTCGCTCAAAAGACAAACCTAGTGATGGCCCCAAAAGCAGGGACCGTACCAGGAATAAAAGACCCCGCGAGATTTGCAGATCCAAGAGCAACGAGCTCGCGGTTCAAGCTAATTGAGTAGCCAAAGCGTCCACTGTTCTGCTTCGCTGCAACAAGAGAGTCGAGGAAGCCGATTACGGATATCAGACTATGAGGATGTGAGCGTTGAAAGTCAGCAAGAAGCAGAAACGTACATAGCAGTAGGCGTAGTAGCTTTGAACCAGTCTAGATTCTCTTGCCGGAGAGGAAAATCGAAATATGAATCGTCCTTTGACAGCGCGACGTCGCCGAGAATGGCAATTCCTCGCTTATCCCAGCGATAGACGCTCGAGAGGAAAGTAGAAATGACGACCACAAGGAAGATCTCGGGGATGATTCTGACCCATCCATGAGCAGCTGCAAAGTGACGTTTCAGGTATCGGATGGTGACGAGTATGAATAGGGTCGTAAACGACAAGAGTGTGGTAGAGCGGTTGATGGAACCTATGTTGTCGATAATAAAAGCCACCTTGTCTGGTGTCGTGGTCGGGTTGACCTCGCGTTCGAGGCCGGCGAGGCCCACCATCGGAATGAGTTGTTCACTATAACACCGTGAGATTTGAGCATTGTCAAGAAATCCAACTTACATAGCAATGACAACTGCTACGGCAGTCACAAATCCTCGAAGAAGCGCACGAGAAAGAATAACGTCAATGAAACCCAGGCGAACAAAGCCGAGGAGGAACGTGAAGACGCCAACTTGGAACGTGATTATAGTCGAGATTGCTATAGCCACCAGATGGGCATCATCCGGTGGGCCATGTGGGTCAGAGTGAATAAGTTTGGTCAAGGTCTGGCCGACGATGAGTGACAAAGATGCTTCCGGCCCCACATTAAGCTGCCGGCACGAGCCAAGAAGGGCGTAAATAAACCCAGGAATTGCAGCAGCAAACTATACGAGACTTCAATAACGGTCAAATGTTCGTCGCGAGAGGCTCACCAATCCCGTCAAAGGAGGCAATTTTGCTAGAGATGTGGCATAACTGATTGATTGGGGGATAAGGATTGATGCGACCGTCACTCCAGCAATGCAGTCGCCCAGAAGTCTACCCAAATTGAGGTCCAGAGTGATCCTGACAGCATTTTGTACTCACAAAGACATTGAGTAATTTGGTATCCATGATGTGCCGGGCACGTAGTAGTGCGTTCGTGTCTTGACCTTTTTCCAGGCGGCCTGTGCAGGAGTATTCGGATCGTCTCGCGCTGGATCTAGAAACAGAATAAGGCCTCGATTGTTTCAAACGAGCCCTGACTTGCCATAGTCGTCTGGAACTTGGGTTTGCACCCATCCTTCCTCCAGGTCGTCGATTGTGTCCACTCGAGTAGGTGTAGAATCTGTATTTCTTCCTTCTGGAATTGTTACATCCTTTATTGAGCCTGCTCTTGACGTTGTTGCGCTTAGAAACGGCGTTTCGAGCCGACGCGATGTCATGGTGTAGGGAAAAGGCGTGGCCAATCACCAATTCTGAATATTCCGGAGATGCTCCAAAGATTAGAAAATACAATGTTTTAGCTCGAAATTTCCACGGTCTGGCTTCAGGGTCTCGAGGATCTGCAAACTCGTGCTGGCCGCATGAATGGCTATTGTGTGGCCGGACAGATGCAGGCAATCGCATGGATACCCCATTGTACATTATAAACTGGTCTACGCTATTTCTTGGGCTCACAAGTGGCCGCTGGAGCACGCTAAAGTCAGCCGCCTCTTTTGAACCTGACCACGACCATCTGGAGACTCGGAGAGCCCAGAATTCGTGCAAGATGGATCCCTCCTCTTCACGTCATGGCCATAGGACACGACACCATCGATCAGAAAATTCAAGTGGCAGCAAAAAGGGGTCTGGAGGTTCGCAGGATATCCACAACATGGTCATCTCGAGACCAATGCCTTTGGGGTCGCAAGCAAGGATGTCCGACTTGCATCCAAATGCTGCACTTGCTCCTCCAAGACCGTCGTTGTCGTTAGAACCAGGCGCCATCCGTGCCGTCAAGACTTCGACAAGTCGAAGCGCGAGGCCATCACTGGAAAGGGAAAAGGGCAAAGCCATCAGTGTGGAGCCCCAAAAGCCACGAGACCCACGACGACAACATATAAATTTTCGACGACAGCAATCAGACTCGCCGCCTTTGGCCACGCAACCTGCGCCGCCCGCCACATATGATGCGGATGGAGGAGAGGGCTCGACACGAGTATCCCACGAGAATAACTATGAAAAGCTTCCATCATTTATTCCTCTCCAATCGCCCAAGGAGAAACTTCTATCCCCAGAGGAGCAGGAGTTTGAGCGCGCGTTGCGTCGCCGACGAATACGGGTAATGGCAATATGCGCTATCATTCTTCTTCTTGTTATTGCGACTATTATTCTCCTCGTCCGAATTGTACGACCAAAGCTCGTTGGTGCCATTGATGGCATCGGCCACAACTCCACCACAACCCTCAACGACGATCAGTCTAGATGCTTAAACGACTTTCGAGACAATGCGCCATCCAACCCAACTGCGTATCAATGCTCGAACTGTTTACCGACCTTGCAGAGCGTCTCATCGGATTTTCTCAACAGCGCGTCAAACGCTCGAGATGCCGATTTGATCGCAGCCGCGAAGCAATTCTGCGGCGCGAGTTCGATATTTACTTCTGCAAACACCGGAGGACAAAATGCATTTTCTAGTGCAGGGTGGATGAAAGATGTAAAGATATGTACTTGGGGAGGAGTGACATGCGACGGCTCGGGTTCAATTACTGCCCTGTACGTGGATGCACTTATTCTTTGCCCCCTACTGACACTTTGCTCGATAGTTCGTTGCAACATCCGGCAATTCCTCAAGTCATACCAGGAGCCCTTTCTGCCCTGACCTCTCTGGTTTCACTTTCTATCACTGGTGATAAAAATGATCCTACCGGTCCCCTCAATGGCAGTTTACCGTCATCGTTGCGTGACCTTCAACTGTACAACACGTCATTCCAGGGCTTTGAGAGTGATGCCATCTTCAAGCAAGACGGTGCCCTGGCGAAACTCAAGTCGTTGACGATGGATGGAAACTGGGCAATGGGAGGAAGCCTCCCAGACTCGATTCTAAATGTACCACTTCAGAATCTGTAAGCATCTCCTATTGGGATTTTTCCTCTACTGACGAAAATCTATAGCACCGTCAGGAATCAGAATCTTTATCCAAACCTTCTTGGTATTGGCTCCAGCACCGTCTTCGCGGAGACGCTTGAATTATTGTACGTCTTCGGATACTTGAAAGCTTGTGCTCACTATATCTCAGAGACCTCTCATACAACGGATTCACTCAAAACTTGACAAGCTTATCTCTTCCACGACTCCTTACGCTGGACCTCTCGAACAATAACCTCGTCTTTGTCTCTCCAGGGTTCGCCTTTCCATCGTTGCTCCGAGTCGTTCACATGCAGAACAATCCCGCATTACATGGCGGGCTGAGTTCAGCACTCTGCCAGAGCACATGGCTCACGGACTGCAATTTTCAGCTCACTGGCTTTTCGTCGACTCCAAATATTACGTGCGGTATTTGCCGCTTCAACTAGAACGCTACTGAGACGACCCACTCCCGTGGTCGCCTCAGAGCGTAACGCAAACATGACACGCCATCTTCCACCCTAATCACTCCTCTTCACGCTGTATTCACCGTTGGAGATCTGGCTGGCTGCTCTCAGACGGCTTCGCCTTGTAGTCTCTTTGTTATGACTTGTACGACTTTATTGGAAGGAAAGGAATATTTGAAATCTCCTATAATTATGCCGATTGGCATTTGTAAAGACGTGGACCAGAGAGGTACTTGGACCCGACCTCTCTGCCGTTGCAACCCCTATGAGCAGTGGATCGAGTTACACAAATTCGCGCGATTTCCCACCGGGATATGGAGACTTTAAGCTCATTTCCAGCGACAAAGTCGCCTTCCACATTCCTCGTTCGCTTCTGACCCATGTCTCCCCCGTCTTTCGAGACATGTTCGCAATGGGAGATGGACCTTCAGAGCTCCAGGTGACAGAGGACGCTAGTACGCTCCGTCTTCTTCTTCTCTTCTTCGACCCAGTTCAAGATATCGACGTCCCTATGGACTTGGCACGCTTACTGCGCTTCTCGAAGCCGCCCAAAAGTATCAAGCTCCTCAAGTCGTCAAATGGTGGGAGAGAGAGGTCAGAAAGCCATCACGGAAGAAGCTCAACGACCCAATGCTCTGCCTGGCCATCGCTGCACGTTTCAGTCTACACGAGACCGTGCGTGCGGCTTTGCGAGACCTAGTCAAGGCCCCTCTCAAAGAGCTCCAGACGCCCATTCTCTTTGAGAGCAAGTTATTCTCACATTTACTCGAACTACGCGCCGACCGAAGCGCATGGTTCAGAGCGAAGCTAACACAGGTAATGGCTCCGGTATGGGCAATGGGCTCTTGGCGATTTGCAGGACCAAACTTTCAGCGAGTCGCCACTTGGTTCATGGAGGTCGCGGCCGGTCTAGACGAGGAGCCAAGTTGGAGAATCTTGATGGTGTATTGGGACAAGGTAGAGATTGAGCCTCTTCGTCGATATGTTGAGCAGGGCGCTTTCGAGCAGTGGAGGAGCGAGGCAGCCGAGCTCGAAGACAGTCTCCCAGAGCTACCCAAGTAGTTTAGGATTGTGTTAGCGTATGCTTACGAATACTTTGCGTGTCTGTATGGCCATGTACTCTTGGTGGCAGCGCTACTCGGACTTGGAATCCAAATGGCGCAGAACGTCAGAGACTCGGATGAGTTTCCAGCTGGATACGGTGACTTTGCTCTCGTATCTAGTGATGGCGTTCGCTTTTATATCCAACGCCTCTTCCTCTTCTATGTCTCACCCGTCTTCAAAGACATGTTTGGGACCGGGGAGGACCCATCCGAGCTTGTACTCACAGAAGATGCAGACACTTTGGACCGACTTCTGCGCTTTATCGATCCTATTAAAGATCCTCTCCCAGTAGACTCGAAATCCATCGTCAGGCTCCTCGAGGCAGCTACAAAATACCGGGTTTCAAAGGCGTTGAGATGGTGGGAGAACGAGGTTTTACGTGAGGGATCTAAAATGGAGCAACCAATAATCGCTTTTTCCCTAGCGACTCGTTACAATCTTCCCAATGCTGCTCGAAAGGCTCTTCAGCTACTAGTAACCGCTGATGATAGCATCTTCACCAATGATCATCAGCTTGATCCCAGACTGATTGCTTACTTAACCCGCTTGCGCACAGAGCGCAGTCACTGGTTGCGTGATGGACTATGGACACTCTACGTAGCGGCAGGCAAATCATATACCAAGTGGGATCGCACTGAAGTTACGGCAACGGTGAAGTGGGCTATGGATGCAGCAGGTGCTCTGCATCGTCACCCCTGCTGGAGGATTCTGGATAATTATTTAGACAAGGAACCGAACTGGGGCCTCAGAGGAGATATACCGGAGCCTGACTATGAACGTCTTCAACGAGACGCCTTGGAATTGGAAGCATCACTGCCAGAATTACCAGAATGGTGGAACCTGAGTCGCCTATTACATCCCGAACGGTTCGCTCATTACAGATGCATAGGACCAACAACCTCAATCAGTCTAAGTTTGGAGGGATATGATTCGGAGAAGAGCTTGTTGTTGCTAGAGATGGTAATACAGGATCGTAGAGATCACCACGCGCGTATCCACTGCACGAAAATGAAGACGCATAAAGCGAGAGGATGTAAAGAAAAGCGTAAAGACCAGAGATGATGCGGTGCTAGTGGACGTGAAAGAATGATAGGGATATCCAGCCAGGGATGTGCGAATAAAGCCAAAGGGTTGGATCGCCCAGCTAGTCAAACTCTGTGAACAGCTCCGCGAACGGATCAGGTCCAGTCTGGCCATACGACGCGACGTCGTTCTCGGCATATCTCTCATATCTAACGCAACATGAGTACTAGGGCGTATCATTTTACTGAGTACTTACTGGCTAGAGTCGCCATCTCCGTCTATGCGAGGCACATAGGGCGCGGGAATCTCTCGTCGGCGGAGCTTTTCCCAAACAACCTCTGCGAACCACGCATGCGAGAAAATGTCTTTGCTTCCATACTTTAGGTTACCGTAGCGTTCTGTGACGTCCTTGCTGAGGAACTTGCCGAGAATGTCGATGGCCAGTGGATCAAAGAAGACGGGGTAGGACACCTGTGCCGTAAGGATCTTCTCGTACAGGTGTACGGGGTGAGCCGATTCGGTGTAGAATGGTGGGTACCCTGCCAACATTTCGAAGATGAGGACACCGAGGGCGTACCAATCCACCGACTTGTTGTAGGCTTTGCCCTGGATGATCTCTGGGGCAAGGTAATCTGGCGTCCCACAGAGTGTCCATGTTACGTCTGGCACCAACTTTGCAAAGCCAAAGTCTGTAATCTTGACGTGACCGTCAGCAGCGATCAAGATGTTCTCCGGTTTGAGATCCCGGTAGATGATATCCTGACTGTGGAGATAGTCGAGGGCAAGTGCAACCTCTGCAGCATAGAACTTGGCGACTGGATTTGGGAATCGTTGGGATTTTCGTAAGAGGGTGAAGAGTTCACCTCCGGGCACAAAGTCCATGATCATGTACAGGTTTTGCGAGTCCTGAAAGGTACCCCAGAGGTTGACGATGAATGGATGTTGGACTCGTGCGAGCATTGCACGCTCAGAGTTGGTGTGTTCGACCTGTTTCATCCTATAGACCTTTTCCTTTGCGAGTACCTTGATGGCGTAGTATCGCATATTGTGCTTTGAACGCGCAAGATGTACACGTCCAAAGCTACCAGTTCCAAGTGTTCGATGAATAGTGAAATCGGTCATCCCGTACCTTCCTCGCTTTTGGGGGACCTGGCGTGGCTGCGCGGGCTGTTGCTGTTGATAACCTTGTGCACGCTGTGGGAGATCTGTTCGCTGGGTGGCATTGACGACGCCTTGTAAATGCTGCTGAGGCTGCTGCATCGGGCGGGTGTTTGGGAGGTGGCTGGGAAGCTGAGCGAGAGATTTAGCGGGCTTATCCTGCTTTACTGGTTGCTGCTGCTGCTGCCATGTATTAGGGTTCGAGTGGATCGACGACGAAAAGGAAGAGCGTGCCGTCGATCCTGCATAGTCGCTCGACGGGAGATACGACGACGGCGATGAAGGTGTAGACGTCACCATTGGCTGTTGTTGCTGCTGTTGTTGCTGATAACGCGCTGGACTTGCATGCTGCGTAAACTTGTCGCTGATGCGCGACATCATGCTCGGTTTGTTGGCTAAAATTGCACAGAAAATGAGAAAATGAGCTCTGGACGCGCCATGTCGTGTCTAGAACGTACACATGGCTGAAGACGAAGAGGATATGGTGACAGGCGGGCAGTCGAGGGAGACGGGCGGGAACAAGAGTGGACCAGAATCGGGCATCTTTGAAATAGGCAGGCACGTCGGTGTTGTCTGGGACTGTCAAGAATAGTTATAAATATTGTTAAGAAACATTGTTAATCGGCGTTGCTTGGTTGCTTATGTCCCACTCGGTTCGCCGACTTCGCACCCACCCATCAAACTTGGCTTCCACTCTTCCCGGCGTTTCGGTACGCTCATCTCACTCTGGCCAGAAAACGACTATAAACCGCCAACTAACATCTATCTTGTCTCTTAGATATCTCTCCAGGGTCCGTGGCTGGTCCCGTTCGCTCGTTTATAGGCCCCCTTCCAAAATTGGACTGTCCCAATAACACCACTCGTGCTCGCTGCTTGATGCATCGAGCTTCAAGTGGCTCAACATCACGCTCTTTACCATATTCTACCCTTGTCCTCGCCGTCGCACTCGCCGTCACCAACGCCGGACCCGTTGCTGCCACTAGGCTGAGGTTGAGCAGCCGGCAGCTGGGTGCGACGCCGGTCAACAATGGTCTACCCGCCAACTCTCCCTCCTTGGGACAAGCAAGCTTTACAGACGGTGGAGGCTCTGGCTTGAACGTCCCAGCCGTCCTGTGGATAGCCTTTGCCAGTGTTCTCGGGCTTCCCCTCGCGACGGCTGGCGTACGAGGCTGGCGTGTGACCTCTGGAATCGGTGGAGGACTCGCTCTTTCGCTCCTCATCTGGTCTGCATTCGTCAACACGACGCCCGGAGGTTCACTGGCCGCAAACCCGACGACGTCTGATCTATACTTGACGCTGTTCATTTGGGGTTCTTTTCTCCTTGGTGCCGCCCTCGGGTCCCTACGAGTCGGCATTCATGCCGGAGTCTGTTTTCTTGGAGCGAGCGCGGGAGTGTCCTTGGCAATTCTCATCGTCCTCATGCGCGAAGGTCTTCTCATTCCGATATACGCGCTCAACGCAGTACTCGTCGGAGCTTTTGCGCTGGCAGGTGCCATTTGGCCCATTTGGCATCAGCGATTGGCAGTGGTGAGGTTTCTTCGGCGACTCGCGTGAGATTCACCCCTGACCGTTTGATAGATCGTTTCCAGCTCTACATGTGGAAGCTTTTTGATAGCTCTCGCGGTCGATTTGGTTCTAAACAAGCAATCGGGAATGAGCCTCGGTCTACGCTATCTCCTAGACAGGAACAAGGTACACATCGTGGCCACGTTACGGGTTGGCTACAAGCCCCCGTTATCCACGGTTATCATACTCGCATCGGCAATTGGATTGATGTATGAACCATCCTCTTTCTCCCAGGCCCTTGCGCTAATTTGCCTAGCCCTATTTTCGCCTTTCTCCAGCATCGCGTATTCAAGGAGCCTTTTGATCGCACACCAGAATCACTAGAAGAGTACAAGCGCTCCGTCAACGGAGCTCCTGTTCTTGGCCCTGGCGACGAAGGATACGTGAGCGAAAAGGAGGCCCAAGAAGCGGTTGCACAAAAGGAGCCACAGCACATAGAACTCCGCTTTCCCTCGCTCGTACCCTCTCTCCCAAATCAGGCAAATGTCCAGTATCCCGTTCAGCAACAGTCGGCTAACCCGTACGGCAACGTCCCCCAAACGTCTGGCCCGGGCGTCGGTCGTCGAGGATTCATGGGGGCAGCCGTTAATGTTGCAAAAAGAATGAGCAACACGGCCAGGATGAGCATGCTCAACGTCTTTCGCGGTGGAGCAGACCGGCGAGCGAGCACATTTAGCACGCCATCTGTTTATTCCATTGATCGCAATGGTGGGCCACCCGGACAACCACGATATGGCATCAACTCAAGGCCTCCTCAAGAGTCGTACTATGATCGCGGAAACGTCTCAAGCGCGTACAGTGGTGTAGAAACAGCACCTCCCGTTCGCCCTCTACAACTCGCAAATCGACAACAGGCACCTTTTCGACAACAGGCACCTTTTTCGAATACTCGAGGTAACCCTCCTCCCTCCGCCTACGCGCCCTCGATGCGTAGTGGTCGCAGTGGGTTCGCACAGCCTGTCGCCGCACCACCACCACCAGCGTCGTTACGAAACGACACGCGTGCTCAGGGATGGAGGGGACCTGGAGGACCAGTAGGACGAGGTCAACGACAGATGCCTGCTGCACCAAGTGCTGGTGCGAGCGGGATGCGAGACAACGGCGGTAACCCGCCAAAGTCGGCAGCGAATAAATTGAAACCAAACGTCAAGTATAATATGCTCTAGACTCGTAGAGGACTCTTGTTCGACGTGAATATGTCACGATGACCTGCGCGACAGAGCGACCCCATTCGTTCCTCCTCTCTCTCTCCTCGCCACGACCTCTTCTCCGTCACCATTACCTCCCAATTCATACCCTCATATCCCCCCTTTTCCCTTTGTACTACCTACTACCCAAGGGACGAAACCAGCCTCACGAACGCGCGTTATTCGCGACATTTTCACGTCGAATTCATGCACGGACTGATACCCATGTTCTGTTCTTTGGATGATTTACTCTTCCTGTAGTTTAATGGATGAATTCATTTTGTGGACGGACATCTTTGACAAACGTGCTCCGAGGAAAAGAGGAGTTGGCTCATTATCTCTCTCAAGTAGCGAAAGCATTGAATCGAATCTAATTATGAGGCTAGGAAGGGAAGAAATTACGTAGGTCGGGAAGCTTCCTTGAATGGGTTGCCTACTCAACGTTCGATGACAGTCTCGATAGATAGAATATGCCCACATTCAGTTCTTTCGAAATGCGGAAACGTATCCTGAATTGGCTCGAGTGAGGGGTTATCAAAAGTGCTGTCAGGATGGTCGAAGTGCGAAGTGACATGGACCCAAGCTGTTTATCCAGTCTGTAACGAGCTTGGAAAGCAATTGAAGCCGAGACTGACGGAGTTGGAAGAGATGAAACGACCACCTGGGGATTCAGGGTTCGGAAGACTCGCTCTGAAGAGGAAATCATCCCAGTGGCAGAATAAGAGCAAAATGAAAATTTATTCCAAAATGACGTTAATTTCCAATCAAAACCGGAGCGGGTATCCGAGCATGCCATTAGTGATAGTTGTTTAGATGTTTAGAAATGAAATCCGATTAGACTACGAAGTCGGGGTATAGGATCCCGTCGGATCAAGTGAAATATGAAGGAAACCCCCTTCATGAACCGGACGACCCCCTTACGAGTAGCCAGCATAGGCAGACCACGAGTTCTGCTCAAGTTTAAGACAGTTTTTGGGAAAACAAACGTGACATACCTGGATGTACATAGGGTAGCCCGCAGACTGGAGCGCTGAAGTGTACATCACGCTTGGAACTGCTGGAAGATTGTTGACAGTATTGGTGGCCACCCTAGGGTACTCAGACCCCATAGTAGGAGGCTGAGACATATGACTATGGCTGCAAAATATTTAGTATGACTAGTTCCACGACACGTCAAAGGAGCCAGTATGCGTTGAAACAAACTGAAAACTCGATCGGGGTGTCGGTGTTTCTCGCACCGTAAGGTAGCCTCAGAGAACGTGTTGAAGTACTCTTTGTTGGGTGCGAGGGGTTGGTCCACGTAGTTACTATTCGAGAGTTGGCTAGCTGGGGTGAAGTATGGCGGGTCGTGCGCAATGTCGTAAGCTTCCGGTGGTTGGCCAGGTATGGTTGACCTTGAGTGTTGATCTTGAAGTGCCCAAACCGGGGCGGGTGGTGGCGGAGGTGGTAGAGCACCTAACAGAGTGTTGTACGGAGGCACGACAGGAGGATCGTACTCAGGGCCGAGGCTCTGAGGAACAGGCTGCGGAATTTCGCGTTGCCTCGTTACACGAACGGGACGGGCATCCATGCCATATGGAGCCCATCGAGAATGATGAGCGGTGTTCTGTTGTCGGGGGTGGGTCAGTGCGTGGGTGGAGGGCGGGTTGACCTTGACTGTGTGGTAATTGTCGACGACAACTGAACCGCTGGAAGGGTTCGGCGCAACCTGCGAATTGTGCGGAGCAGATCCCGGGTGCTGAGAGACCTTGACTCGAGGAGCCTTGCGTCGAGGAGCTTTGCGTCGAGGCAGGTTCAGTGCCTTCCTAATTTCTTCTAGCGAGCCCGGGAGATCCTCATAACTGTGTGACTCTTCTAAGTGTCGCTTCACGTCTGATTCTTGAAGTATCGTTGCATGACTACCGCCTAGTTAGCGCATTCGTCATTTGGAGTCTTTGAGCCTACCAATCTGGGCACTCATACCCGATCGGAGCGTGCATCGTTGTGAGCAGATGGCTCTTCATGTTCGAGTACGTGCCAGCGGGTCTGGCACAACGTCGCACTCCGAGCTTCCACTTCTTCGTTGCCTTGCATTGGACCATCATTCCCTTGAAGGTCTCGGGCTTCACGCGCTCCAGGCCCTTTGACTTGGCCTTTTCGAGGAGGGTAAGCGCCGCCTCCTCATGCTCATAGTCAGGTCCAAGATCTTCGTAGAGCTTCTGCTGGGTTTCGTCCAGCTGCCCATATCGCATCCCAAGTCTGGGATGAATACCGTACCACTTGTAGTCCTTAGACCCATAGTCGGCACCCAAGCATGTGAACCAGCGGCCCCTACAATTGGGCCTGAGAACATCGGAGTCCTCTTCCTCTTCCTCCGACTCCGAGTCGGGGAGGTCACGGCACTTGTGTGATCGCCTTGACCCGCGACCTTCATTCGCGGAGAGTTCTCTCGACACAGGCGAGTCGACATCGACAGAATCTAGCGCCGGAGGATCAGGCTCGGCATCCACAGAGTAGAGCGAATACTCACTAGGGGTTTGTACCGTTGGCGACGACAACGTGGATGGAGTGTGAAGGTCAAAAGTCATGGACTGGGACATTTTTGTCTTCGACGAGAGATTGACCTGGAGGGGGGGAAGGAGGCGAATATAGCAGAGGAACCATGTCCAAAGATAGGCCTTTTGTAGTAGGTTTTTTTAGGGGGGCGGGAACCGATGACCTGGGCGCCACGAAAGAGAGCCAACATCAAACCAGGTCACAGGCCAGACGGGGGCGCTAAAAGAAACACGAGGCAAGTCTTCTGGGATCAGTTATGTTGAAAAAGGGGAGTGAGGACGGTGAATGAAAGTGGGTGTTATGGTCGAGGTTACGAGGTTGGCAAGCCTCCCTATTTCCACCGGAATATGTTCGTCAATAGATTGAATAGCGTATTGTGGATCAATGTGACCGTGGTCCCCCCTTGCTGGGACGTGTGGCTATGAACCAAGGTATCAACAGTATGCTTCCGAACATAAATGCGGCTGGTTTATTCAGTAAAGGCTAAATTACCTTGAAATACGCGCCCAAGACGTCCCGAGTAGTTGCGTTGAGTAGGTCCCTTGAATTCATGTCAGATGTTGGGCCCCAGCCCACTACACGAGCCACGACGAACAAGCTAGTGCACCACGTTGTTTTCACGCCTCATCTTTGCTATTGGCAGCCTCCAGGCTAGACTACAGCTTCTGTTGGCCATGATTGCAATCGTGTCCAAATTGCCACTTCCGTCTGACGCAGAATGCGGTACACCCGCCACGAGTTTGATCACTTTCTAACATGTAAAAGCATCTTCCTATAGTATCTGGATTTGTTAACACAAGTTTTTGACTGGGGGGGCAGCACCACCACACAAACTTGGTCTCCACCCCTCCCAATGCCTCACTGAATAAGCATCCGAGTATCGCAACGATGCATCGTGCAAGAATTACCGCAAATTACACATCCGGCTTCATCATCAAGGGTCGTTCATTGCAGATTTTGTTTCACTTATATGTGGCCCACGCCAATGCACACAACATCAGATGGTTTCCCCCCGTCTCGCTTTGACTCGAATCTCTGTATTCCTCGCGAGATAAGAGCATCGACATCTTCGTCTCTATGATCCTGATATCGCCATTCCTTTGCCTCGTAGAAGTGTACCAAGGTGCCTCCAGGTCGGCAAGAGAGTTGGACAACAGTACTTGGGCAATTCGGTGTAGACCTCGCTGGAGCTGTGCTCCATAGCTTTGTGCAAAAATGATAAATTTTGGAACCTGGGCAGTGGCTTGAGCAGAGTTCGAATCCCTGCCTCCCCCTTCTCTTTTTTTTGTTCTCCTGCCATTCTTTTGTCCTTCTGGCGCCATATAAATTTGTCACTATACGGGATTCGTACACACCGCTTTTGCTTACGGTGAATAGGCTCAGCGAGGTTCACCTCCCTTGGTTTTGTCTCTGTTCCGCCACTCCCCATCCCTCAAGCAGCAAGTCTCAAAAAGTGCTGCTGTCGTATGTGGAGTTCTGAGATGAAAATACATGCGAGTTTCGGCGTTCTAGTGAACTACAATCAATGTAGAACCGTCCTCATGTAACTAGCCATGGAATGATGGAGATTTCTGAATGCTACGAGTGGTGTCATTATCTAATAAGAATCCAGAATATAATACAATGGCCAACTCTTGGGATCATGTGCGCTGATCCATTGGTCGCTCCTTCCAGTCAAGAAGCCCTTCATTAAACTTTGTGCAGACAACGTCTGCAGTCGACGACTTTCCAAATGCTTCGACGAAATTCCCGGCCGGGTCCATTAGGTAGAAGAAGATGGAGTGGTCGACCAGGTAGTCATCGCCTTTGTAGTGTCAGATAATTCCAAACCAGATTGTCTTACCGACCTGGTTTTGCATTTGGTGGCGTCGAGAAGTAGACGCGATACGATTTGCAAGCTGCCTTGACTTGCTCATAAGTACCGGTAAGACCAATCATGCGCGGATGAAAGTCTATTGGTGCATCATTCATCCAGTCGGAAAGCGGATATAGGAGGCTTATGCACCTGCGAGGTATTTCTCCAGCTGGTCCGATGTGTCTCGTGCTGGATCACAGCTGATGAATATAGGTTGTACTTTAATGTCATGTTCCTTTTCTGTTGGAATGCGTCAAGCCGCGACCCGTTGTGCAAAAGTCTAGACGTGCCTATTCGATCGACGACTTCGGTCATCTTGTCGAGCTCCTCTGGACACACGTCGGGGCAATTGGTGAATCCAAAGTAGATGAGACTCCAATGCCCGAGGAGATTGTCTTGAGTAAACGGCGTCTTGGTTTGTGCATTCACGAGTTCAAATGGTCCACCGACAAACGCTTTTCCATATCTTGCCTTTTTCAGTTCTTGACCTGTAGCAAATTAGACATTGAATTCGTCGGCTTGTACCACATACGTTTCTCTTCTTGTACTTGTGCCTTGTGATGCTCGAAATAATAGTACAAGCCGATGCCTGTTACAACGAATATGCCTGCTGCTTTCCAGTCGAATACCTGAATGACTATTTAGTTGATTGTAGATTCAGAATTGAGGCCGTACTCCTACTGCTGCCTTGTCCTTTGCGCGTTGAAACGAGGGTTCGTCCGAGTGCACTCTCCTAGACGTTGCAAATCCTCTTGTTGTTATTCGTGGTACCAAAGCACGCGTAGAGCCAGCTTTTGGAAATTTGAGGGAGATTTGTCTGACACACCGCGAGGCCATGAAGGATGGGAGTAAGCAAATAGCTTGTTTTTATTTGCCCTCGACTCCTTTTCGCCTCTTGGATGCTTCGTCGCCGCCAATCCACGTCCAACGAGGACGAACGTCCGCAAAAAATACTGAGAAAGACGACGTCGGTCGACGACAAACTCCATCGACGCGGAAGCAGCACAGACACCGATTCGTACGACGAGCTCAGGACGCCAACGCATCCACCCATCATCGACGACGGTGCTCGTGACGCTGAGGGAGATCAGAAGGAGAATATTGACGAGATTAACGGCCAAGAACGCGTTACACGCCCTACGAGACCGCTGCCCGCACGAAAGATGGCTGCACCCTCTCAGAACTCGACAAACACGATGAACAATCCATCCATGGTACCTGTACAAGCTACAGTTCCCCGTACACCCACAGCGAAAGCGAATACGAGGCGATTGATCGTAGTCCTCGAGCAAGCCTGCCTTGAGGCATACAGAGTCTCGACTCCATCGAGCTCGAGCTCACGAAAGACGGGAAAATCTGGTGCTAGCAAAGAGGTCAAGTATACGCTCCTCAACTGCGACGATCATCAAGGCATCCTCGCGAAAACTGGCAGGGACATTGCAGATGCTCGACCTGATATTACCCATCAGGTGCGTCCATCCTCTACGCCGATATCGAATAGCTAATTCATGTCTTTCCATCCCAATAGTGTCTCCTTACCCTCCTCGATTCACCGCTGAATAAGGCGGGGCTTTTACAGGTTTACATTCATACTGCAAAAGGCGTCCTTATCGAAGTTAATCCTGGCGTACGAATTCCTCGTACGTTTAAGCGATTCTCTGGGCTTATGGGTACGTTCTCCTGGGTCCCGTGACCGCTTGTTGACATCTTTCTCAGTGCAATTGCTCCATAAGCTGTCTATCAGAGGTATAAACGGTCCAGAGAAACTGCTACAAGTGATCAAGGTGCGTTGGGTCGGTGCGTATCAATGTACAAACGTGTCTCACCATGTTCTAGAATCCAATCACGGATCATCTTCCACCCAATACGATCAAGCTCAGTAAGTATAAAGCCTGAAAGATCCCATGACGACACTGAATATTTTCTCAGCTCTCTCTGCCGACGTCCCGACAGTTCGTCTCTCCCAGTACCTGCCAACCCTGCCAGAGACGCATTCTATCGCCGTCTTTGTCGGCGCAATGGCAAGAGGGTATGTCTCGTAGATGGAATCAACCAGCTCTAATCCCCCGGTACAGACGGGATGATTTCGCAGACGGCATTGTCGACGAAAAAATCTCCATTAGCAACTATACGCTCTCAGCCTCTGTGAGTTCTCCTGTTCCCCTGTAAACGGCCGTATTGATTCGATTCCAATAGGTCGCTTGCGGAAAGGTGCGACCACAGACCCTGCAAAATGCTTCATCACCTGATATTTTACAGTTCTGCTGTGCCCTCGAGGAGCTTTGGGGCGTAGTCTAGTACTCGTCCCGTGCCGCCAAAGCCGCCTGTTTGCGAAAACGGATTCATCTCCATCGCCAGGCCCGGGGCGATATTTTATTGGAACCTATTACTATCAAATCGACTGCGTCACGCGCATTGGACAACTCTCCCCCTCCCCTAAAAGAAAAATCAAATGCAGGGCTGCATTCGTACCAAGCCTCGACAACTGGTAACGTCCAACCGTTACCAGACTGTCCGTGGACTCGCCAACCAGATCCAACTCTCAAGTCCTTCGCTTTCCAACCCTGTATCAATCGAACATACGTGGATATGTATCAATCTAATGCGTCTCACAAAAATAAACATGGCTTTCAACAGGCCAATAACAAGTGGATGGGTGAACGTTTGTGAGCATTGTCAAGATAAGGTATACAAGAAAGCGATCGCAGATGAGAATACATACTAGATCATAGGAATAACAATTACACTTAAGCGCAATGTTGGAGGCAATGAACATCGCGTTCGAGTCCATGGATGCTCAAACTGCGCATCTGTCCAATAAAGCTTTCATAGGATCCTGGCCAGAGCCCGCAGCCTTGTTACGCTGTGGTGTCGAAGAATCATCTTCTTGCTCTAGCAATTCTTCTACCTCTGCCGCCGCCTCGCTGCTCGTCGTCGTACTACTGTTATTACGAACCCAAGTGAGCAGCTCGCCTACGTCAAAGTCGAGATCAGAAGCAGCACCAGCTGTGGTTCCATCGTCGAATTCGCCTTCGCTCTCAGCTGGCCCGCTCGTGAAACCGGCATCTGACCAACCCAGCTCGTCAAGCGAGAACGAAGAGGAGCTAAACCCTTGCGCATCCAAGTCAAACTCGGGAAGGTACTCTCCGTCAGAGGTCGCATCAGATGGGGTCGTACCTCGTCCAGGGTTTCCCAGCAAGGATTGAGTAAGATCGCTAGTATCAAGTGGTATAGCACTGAGGTCAAAGTAACGAGCAAAAAACTTGGAGGGACTTTCGTTGACGTCGACGACAAGATCGGTGGTGGTGGTAGCTTGAGAGAGGTCCTCTTGCGTACCTCCGTCACCTTCATCATCCGCATCTGCAGGTGTTAACGATGCAGCATCCGTGATGGGAGAAGATGGTGCTGGTGGTGAAGAAGGCGGAAGGTTGGCCGCCCAGTCGGGCTGAGCGCGTCGAGTGGGTGGTGGCGAGGATGAGGAAGACGCCGCCCGTCGACCAAGCATGCGCACTGGTGTCTTTGGTATCTTCTTCTTCTTCCCACTCGCGGTAATGTTAGCTCGCCTTTCGCAAGGACTGCTCGGTCTGGCTCCGTCGTCTACACCACCACGCCTTAGGGGTTTGAATGGGGAAAGATGACGTATAGTGGCTGGCGTGCCCGCTTCTGAAAAGAGGGAATCATCTCCACCGCCAGTGCCGGAGACGAAAGGCGAAGTAAGGGCCAGGCTATGGAATGATTGAGAGGAACCAGACATCTTCTTTGTTCGTCGCGGGGTCTCTGGTGCGGGCGCAGACTTCTTTGTAATCATCGGTTCGTCCGACGGTGGTTTGTCGTCCAGGTTGGTAGTATATGCGCGACCTGGTGCGAATTTGAGGCCGAGGATTTCGGACGTGCTGGGGAAACTGATCAAACCCTTCCCAGTCAATTCCGCGGACTTAGATGGCTTCGACATGACCGCGGTAGAAGATGAAGCGTGTACAGTATGTGAAGAGGAGGTGCTGACCGTGCGGGTCGTCTTTTGCCGTTTTCGTGCAGGGTCATACTCCTCATCATCCAAATTCCGCTTTTTGCCCGCCGTAAGTCCACTCAAAGATCGGTTCATTCCCTTGCTTCCGCCTTTTCCGGACCCAGCAGCCGCCTCCTTTGTCTTCCCTCCAGGTCCAGATCGCGAACTTGAGCCTTGAGATTGGGTTTGAGAAGACGATGCACGAGAAGAGCCTTGGGTGGAATTTGGGGGAAGAGGAAGAGTTGCTCGTGTAAAGAGTGCAGAGTTTGAATACGGATCCACTTTCTTGCCTTTGCGGTCCACTCCGTTTGCTCCCTCCATCGGGGCTGCGTTCCTAAGTACGGCAACCCAAAAGTCAAGTAGCTGGCCCTCGGCAGTATCTGGAGGGGGTGGTTCGTCTCCCTCGTGGGAGTTGAGTCTGGTCGCCAGAGACATCAAGGCCTCCATATTGCCCCCTGGTGGTGGCTGACTGAGCTCCCTGACTTCATTGTCCTTTTCTTTGCGTGCCTTTTTGACAGGAGCTGCTGCGGACTGTTTCTTTTTGGGTGGGTCCACTTTGGGGCCTGCACTAGCACCGCGGGTATATGTCGAATCTCCGACAGAATCTGGAAGAGGTGTGGCTTCTGATGTAGCTGGCGTGGACGCGTCTGTCGAAGTTGGAGTTGGTGCTGAGCCAGGCTTCTGTGACTTTGCTCGGGGAGCTACTGGAGGCTTTGGATTCCCGGCAGGTATAGGAATGATTGCACCCGGTGGTGGACGGAAGAATCCTGGCATGCCAGGAAAGCCGAACATCATGGGATGCTGTGGCCAAGGGGCGAAAGGAGCCATGGCACCCGCTGACATTGTCTGTTCACAGTTGAGCGCTCATGTATGAAAATAAAGAAAAAGTGCACGCACCGCCTTCATTTGAAGAATAACCTCGAGAGCTTGACGACCTTGGTCCTGAATGACCTTTCCGGTGACACTGACGGGATTGAAAGTCCGGTCGTCTTCCTGAAGGGCATGAGAGACAAGTCCCATCCCCGTCATGACTCCGCTGAACTTGCTCGCCACACTGTCATCGGAGGAAGGTCTTCCGGACGAAGACTGTTCCAATGGATCCAAGCAGTAAATAGACCAGTCACGAGACCGATCGTATGCTAAGTCAGGGCTTCGCGTGACCACGAGAGTCAGCAATAACCCGAGGAATCCGTCCGATGGTGAACCAACCTTGCGGCCCATATGGCATTGATGCAAACTTTAAGCGGCGCGTATCCGTACTCAACCTTTTCTTCGACCTCTTCTGCATCGTCGTCGCCCGTCTCATCGCCCAAGCCCATGTCGTGCTCGACCTGTGCTTTCGTCTGGCTGCGCCGAACGGGCGTCGACGACTTGATGCTCGAGGGTGTAAGCGCCAGCTGTTGCGCCTTGAGCTGTTTTGCTGCTTTTTGTCTCTGACGTCGCGACGGCTTCGGTCTCTGGATGATGCGGACCGCAATGGGCGTGTGTCGCGCTAGGAAAAATTGCTGAATATTGTCATTGAGAGTATAGACGACCTTGACTGCAAGAAATACGCCTCGTCAGCACGCCCGCCCGCGCGTCGAGGCGACAAAAGACAAACCATGCATGGACCGAAGCCCCTCAGTGAACTTTGTAATCGTATTTTGCGACGACGACGCGTCATTTGTCGCCATCGCGCGCTCTGTGGGTCGTTGCGGTCGTGGTCGGGAGGAAGCGCTGATAGCGGAGTCTGAAATGTATTTGTCCCGACTATTATTTGAACCCAAGAAATGACATGAGATGGCTCTTTGGAAATTCTCTACTTATTCTCTCAAATCTTTCTTTCAGAGCTTTGACGCGGCGGCTTCTTCAGGGGCCGCCGACGTGCTGGCCTCAGGAGGAGCAGCGGTGGTCTCCGACTGCTGAGAAAGGTGAGCAAGGAACCACGCCGTAATGTCCTCGAGTAGCTTCACTTTAAACTCGGGCTCGTTATGCAGCTCATGGAAACCACCCTATCAAAGGCTCAGCTCATATCCTGGTCCTCAAGCGACGCAAACCTCGATCATTTGCAAATGCTTGTCCTTGGCTTTGATATCATCATGAAATTTGTGGGTCGCCTTTGCACTTGTGACCTATTAGTGGCTTCAGCACCAGTCTCGACAAATTGATATGCGTACCTTGTCCTCGGTTCCGTGAAAGAGGAAGACCTGCAGAATAATCAGCTTTGGAAGTAATCGGGTGAGGCAAACTCACAGGAAGTGACTCTGGCCAGTGAAGGTAATGCTTCTCGGCAGTTTCCGCACCCTGTTCGGCTAGTTAGATACGCACCCTTCAATTCAAAGTACCCTTACTCCACGAAGCATGGTGTCGACACCGCGAAGGGTGCCTTGCTGAATGACAAGGGGGTCGGCAAGGTATGCCTTTCCGACAGAGTCATCATGGCAGAGGTCCTACTCCAAAATCAGTACGTTCCACAAAGAATTCGCAAGTGACTGACAGCTGCGTTAACTTTGGCCGGTACGCTCATCCATGGTGTGAGGTTTTGTGCCATATGGCCCATAACAAGTTGCCATGCTGGTGCAGATACAGCTTGTCGGAGGAGAGGGGAGGTTGCAACTACTCCACGCAAGTCGCACTTGACGTTGAGATCGTCATTGCCGACACAGCAGTATTGAAGTACGATCGCACCACCCTATTATCAGTTAATTGGCTTGTTCTAGATAGCAGAAATGTGGCAAGCGTACCATGGAATGACCATACAGGAAGAGGTTCTTCGTCTTGAACTTTTCCCTTGCGTGGTTGAGCATGAATTGCACGTCGTCGAGCATTTCGGCTCTTGTATTCTTGCCGTAAGCACTCCCAACGCTACGACGCGCTTTGTCCAGTGCCGTTTGACCAAAGCTAGACCACGCGGCCGAGTTATTTACCGAGCCCGGTCGAGCATTCACAGCACTCACCCTCGCTGGTCGTAGAAGAGGACAGCAAAGCCCTTGGATACTAAAGCTTCACGAACAAAGTCGTAGCTAGTTGACCGAGGTACTCAGACACGCTATTCTTGGCCCTCGGGAGGGCGCCTGTGCTCACCGTCCGAGATGTTCAATGAACCCGTGGACGAACACGACGGCTCCCTTGATCTCCGCAGGTGCTTGTGTACGCGTAAAGAACTTTGTGTCCGATGGGCCGGTCACCCATTCATCAGTATACGCTGCCATGTTAGAATAAGCTGGTTGTGGCGCCTTTAGTTTAGTTATCACACTCTTCACAGTCTCAAGAGGACCTACAATCGATCGAGATAAGAGATTTGGAACCTAAGCCGCGCAATATGTTCCGAACTTGAGGCGGTTCCGGACAAGTCAAAGACGCAACCTTGACCCTTTCTTCATTTGTAGGCGTCCATGAATACATTGCCTATTGTCAACTATGTCAAGTCTGAATACATAGAGACAGTACGAGATAGGTTTTACAAAAGGGTAGACGCGGTCTGACCCAGGCCAGGACACGGGAAACAAAGTCTCAAGACGAGCGACGATTGCAGGTGCACAAAATATCATTCTCGGTGGAAAGACGATTATATCAAGCTCTGCCATTATCAGAGGAGATTTGAGACGCACTGGACCTGGACATGCCGTCGTGATTTCTCTCGGGAGGTATTGTCTCGTTGGAGAAGGCTGCGTAATGCGGTATGTCTCCCAAATCACTCTTTCGACACTTATATTTCCTTCCAGTCCTCCCTATAAGACGTATCGTGGCAACTTTAACTACTACCCAATGAAAATCGGTGACCACGTTCATATTGGAGCTGGATCCGTCGTGGAAGCGGCCACAATCGGAAATCATGTCGAAATAGGGAAGAACTGTGTGATCGTTCGTGTCTTTGACCCGTCGAGGATTGAACTGACCGAGTTGTAGGGCAAGTTTACTATTATCAAAGACTGCGCCAAAATCGCCGACAATACGATCCTACCGCCAAACACCGTAGTTCCTGCTCTCTCTCTCTTTGCGGGTTCCCCAGGTAAATACGTCTTCCTGGTGCTCTTGCTACTTTTGACGATTCACGCAGGCCGCTTTATCGAGGACCTACCAGAGACGACGCAAGAGCTTGTAGAAGCATATACAAAACTCTATTATAATCGTTTTCAACCAGCTGATTCATGACATCTGGATCTGTACTACTAATGAATGTCAACTTTGAGCTCGATGAGCGTGTCCATGCTCGCTCAACGTAACCAAATCCCCTTAATTATCTTGCTGAAGCTCTCCTGCTCTATTTGCCGCTTCGTGAGGCGAATCATGAACTTGCGTCGTGATCGGATCCACGCAAGAAAGCTGGTCACTTTCAAGTGAACACCTCTGCCCGATTGAGTCTTTTATGTGCCCAGACGACACCGCTTGTAAAGATGGCCGCGAGGAGGAAGGACGCGTCGAAGAGGACACCGAAAAGTTGATATTCCGGTAGCGAGGCAAATAAGTTATCTTCTTCGCCACTACCTTCAAAGGCACCAGGACCATTGACGTCCAGAGGGGCGTCCAGCTCCGTGTTGGGTGGTGTTGCTGTCGTATTTGCGGGAGGTGGAACGACTCCCGGACCCGAGTGGAGTGGGCTAGGTGGAAACGATGTGCGAAGTTGGATCAGCGTCGAAAGTAGGTACGTTCCCTACACACAGTCAACATACAGGTCCAACCTCCTAGAAGGGACTAGACTCACCATCAATTGCGCCAAAAAGAGCAATAAGAAAGCGGCACCGAGCGAGTGACTTGACACCCTCAACACCCTTGCAATCTGCCTCAACACAGCACGCACGCTGCTGAGAATGATACAGCCCACGAGTAGCAGACTGATTTGTCGAGCAAGCGATGCAATGGCGTGAGGCGTCAATTCGATGGAGTGAGGAAGGGGCAAAAACGAGACGATGCGCGCAAGGAGATGAGTTAGGATATCCGGAGACGAGAGCCCTGGTTCGGTGCTCGGACCAAAGATCAGATTGCGAACCGACTGTGATGTATCAGAAGCTAGCATGATGTATATAAGAGGTCAAGGACGTACGCTTATGATTCGAAATACGCAGTAAACGGCAAAGGCTTGTCCAATGATGACAAATATCCTGCCTTTTAACGTTCTCCGGAACGCGATTTCTCCCCTGCGACGCTGTAATGCATCTAGATTGCGCGCCATTTGCGACTCTAGTGCCCTCAAGCCCTCAATCTCCTGAAGCAGAGCAGACGCTCCTGATTTTATCAGGTACTGTCGTTCGATACAGCTTCAAGACATACCAGAAGGTCCTTTGAACAAGCGTGTGGGGAGCCAACTGGGACTTTCCTATTCTCAAATCAGGCTCTTGAGGGGGCGTTGGTAATATGTATACATACCTGTACTGCGCCACTTTCCTGTGCCTCTCGTTGCCGTTGAGAGAGATCTGTGCGAACGCGCTCAAGGGCAGCAGCAGCAGAGTTGATGTCCTTGTCGGTAACCTCCTCGCTGTACCAATCTTCAGCCAGATTCATAGGAGTAAAGGCAACTTACGAGGCACTAACAGATGGTCTAAACGACCACGCGGTACTAACCGCACCGAATCCGCTCAACAGTCCCAGTAACAGGGTACCCAGCACCGTCATGCGAGCGACAGCGTTGTTGAACAGATGATATGACCCAAGTTGTTGTTTGGGAAGAGGTACGTAGGAGAATGCGAAAAGGTAGAAGAGATAGGGCGTGAGTGTAAACGCGAGGTGAGACTTGAGTGTGCGTTTGATGGTGGTGCGGTAGGTGAAGAGATGGCATTGGAGAAGCGGGATAAAGATGATCACGAGGCTAACGAGAACGAAGATTGAGAGTGTCCAGTGCAGCTTGCGCACCCTGGCAACGTCAGAATCGACGAATAGACAGTTCTAAAGCGGCGTACCTTGGGCTTAGAACGTCAAGAGCCTGACACATGACGAGTAGGAACAAGATGCAACTTCTACCATGGATGTAAGCTTTCCTTTCCTTATGAATGATTCCGGACGCACTCTTCGAAACAGAGCGCAAAGGCACTACGCGATAGATTCGATTCGAAATTATCCTTTGATAGGGTAGAAGCTCTATTGAATAGCACACTGTGCACGAAACTGAGCGACGAAGCCGATCCTGGGGTATTGTGATGACGGAGCTCGGGCGCTCGACTCGTCGACGCTGTCGGGAGAGTATCGAGCTCCGTATCATCTTGATCCGCGTCTAAAGGACCTGCATCGGGAGCCGAGAGGGAACGAAGGTCCTTGTACAGCGCGTCGAGCAGAAACTTGCGGCAGAAGACGAATAAGGATATTCTAGGTAATCTTAGACTCTAGTTTTGTCCCGAGGAAAATGAATATAACCTAGCTAAAACGACGAGGACATGCTGGACGAGCGCAGTCATGGAAGAGTAAGAGTCCAAGGAGATCCACCCAACTATCTAAATAGATTTGCCAGACCCAAGGAACCTTCCCTTGCAGCGTCTTCTACAAACACGACGTTTGAAAATACTCTATCTAAACTAGCAAGTTCCTCGACGAGTAACCGTCGATACTCTGCCACACCTAGCAACGATCCCCCGACGACCAATATCGATGACTCTGCTGGGACTCGCTTGCCCGAGGATGATCCTTTCTTTTGGATAGATAGCCCTGCTATTTGAGATGCGAGTCCCCGTACCGAGTTTCGCAATGCCGTGAGGGCTGCATCGTCGTGGAGCGTAAAGGCGGCGTGAAAGACGAGCGGGGCAAGGGATACTATCCTTTGCTTCCTCTCCATTCTTGCCCATGGCGCTGTGATTGAAGATGAGGATGATGGTACATCGGGGGCATAGACGACCGAGAATAGTTCGTCCGGTGAGGAGAGCTGAAAGTGATTGAGTAGAATTGAAGTGAGTCCATTCTTATCACTCGGTGATGGTGCATCTTCCAAGTCTTGCGCATTGAATCGTCGTAAAACCTCTCGAATAGCCTCTCGGCCAGCTGCAAAGCCTGAACCCTCGTCTCCCAACAAGAATCCCCAACCGCCCGCACGAGCGAGCTGGACAATCTCTTGTGTAGGTGCGATAGACGATGGCTGCCGTCGAAAGGAGATGACGACGCTTCCCGTGCCGGCGATGGCGACGACCGCATGGTTGATGGATTCTGGCGTCGCGAGGAGCGGGCTGGCGAATATGTGGGCGTCGTTGGCGATCACGAGTCTCTGTGCCTCTAGAGGGATTCCCAAGAGGCGGGATAAGAGCGGCTCGAGCGTGCCGATGTCGGTCGCGCTGTCGACGCCGGATGCGCCAATCCAGGCAGAATATAGATACTTCTTGTGTGATTCTGTGATGATTTGCGATGAATTCAACACGTTTTCGACCGTCGGTAGCTCGACAGATTCTCCCGCGAGGGCCTGGGAGAGAGCAGAGAGAGTGGCCGTCCGGATGGCGTTTAGGAAGATGACGAGGCCATTATCCTTGTAGTTTGATGGCCCTGCAGCACCTCTAATTATAAGAAACAAGTGTGAAATGCTGGTTTGGCTTACCTGGCGAGGATCACGGGGGTGGTCGAGAACGCGGCTAGTGAACTTGACGTCTTTGAACCGCCGCAATCAATGCAGATGTGTAGTCTTTCCATTACTTGGCTTTACTTGTCTCCGATTGTTGTCAGCCGACGGGGGTTGTCAAGGATATAAGGACGACTCGACGATCCCTCCTGTTTTGTTTATTCCCCTTTGCTTTGGTCCCCTTCTTTCTCCTCCGTTGCGCCTGGTCGCACTTTCTTTCCTTTTCTTTCACTCGTCATTCTTTCAAAATAAATACGCACAAAATGCAGTTTCTAATCTTCACACTCGCCGTCGTCTCCCCCGTCTTTGCTCACCACATCTATCCACGCGCCGTCACAAGGTCCTTTACGGGCGCACCTTATCCGACCGGTCCAGGTTTTGACGTTCCACCGCTCTCGGAGATTACACAGAGCAGCGCTCCAGAGCCAACAGTGCCGTTGCCTGCGACCTTTCCGCCCGGCACGACACCAATTGCCCTTGGGCGGGGAGCAGTCGGCTTACCAGATTGTGAGTTTTGATACTATTACATGACATCTTCTAACTTGTTTTGTCAGTAACCAACTTTGATTCCAGCATCTACCCAGAACTTGACAAGGTCCCCCCCGTCGACTCACCCCAGGTCAAGCAGTGGCTCAAGGAGCTTGAAGGTCACACCATTCCGGATCTTGCACCCACCAAAGATGGTACTTGCGAATCTGATCCCGAGTTTGCAGCCCAGGCTGGGCCAGACGGCCGGTGTTGGTGGACCTGCGGAGGATGCGTGCGTGAGACTGACGTAGAAGGATGTCCAGACCGTGAACGATGGGGTTTGACTTTCGATGATGGACCTTCAGACCACACTCCCAAACTTTTGACGTACCTACAATCCATCGACACCCTAGCCACCTTTTTCCTCGTCGGTTCGCGTGTCGTCTCTCGACCAGACATCGTCCAGACGCAGTTGTTGCTCAATCATGAACTCTCAGTCCATACTTGGAGTCACAGCAAGCCGTTGACGAGTCTGACGACGGCTCAAGTCGTGGCCGAGCTTGGTTGGACCAGACAAGCGATCAAGGACGTTACAGGGGTTACTCCTCTTACTTTCAGAGCACCTTTTGGTGATTATGACGACCGTATTCGGGCCATTGCGCATGCAATGAACCTGACTCCGATCATCTGGTCGCGCGTCAATGCTCCCAACGGGACACCGCTCACGGTAGATACAGAAGATTTTCAAGTCCCTGCTGGACAACAATCCGCGTCCGACTCGATCAACCAATTCCGTAACACGCTCGCCATTGTGGAAGGCGATGACAATGTCACAAGTGGGATCATCTCGCTCGAGCATGATCTGTTCCAAGAAACCGTCGATCTGGCCATTGGAGAGACGTTGCCAAATGCTCTGAGTAGACCTGGTCCAGACGAGAGGGGATGGACGTTGGGGACAGTTGCGCAGTGCCGCAACATTCGGGCCGGAGACTCGTATGCCGAGACGACGACGAATGCGACTGTTCTCGCACTACTGGGACGGCCTTTGAGCCCCGGAACACCGCCAGACGTGGCTACTGGGGTCTCCACTGCCCTCCCAACACCTCCCAATCCTGGCGTCGGCGTCGGCGTGGGTCCAGGACCACGGCCTCCACCAGGGCCTCCAGGGCAACCAACCCGTGCTACTCCTCCTGGACAAGTATCTCAGCCTACAGCTAGTGTTCAGCCGAGTGCGTCTGGGGTAAGACCTAGCGCCGACCTCAGCGTCACACCGCCGAGCCAACAGACTCTCACTCAGGAACAATCGCAACCCAGTGAGAATTCTGATCTTCAAAGCGCGAGCAGTAGCTCCCCGACAACAACAACAACAACAACAACAACACCCTCGACAGACACTCCCCCCGTCATCAATCCTGTGCAGCAGCCTACAGCCACTCCTCCCCAGCCCTTGCAAGCCATTAACCAACCCGAGCCACAACAAGAAATTGGTGCTCCACTTGATGTGAATTCGAATGCACCCAGTTCGGCAGCGAGCTTGCCAGGGGCGTCTTCTCGGCCAGAGCAGCCGAGTACGACGACGACTATCACCGTTGGCAATGACGGGGCAGACAACGGACTGAGCTTTGGACTCAGGAATGCTGCGCTATCAAAGGCGTCTATATATCATTCCCCTGTCATTCTCATCTTTGTCATTCTGACGCGCCTTGTATAAGGGGCGTGGGGGAAAAGGCTTTTAGCTGCGGACTTTATGGACGATTGAAATGTCGTTTGGTCGCTGTTTTAGTGATGGGCGTGAAGTTAAAGTGGACATTTGAGATATGGACTTTTTTGCATGTAATACATTCTGATGCGTGAGAGGAAGAGCGCGCGGCATAAATAAGCTCATGAGTAGAGCGTCTCTAAGGCAAGGCTGTGGCGGGGAGCAAATGATGGTCATTGCCTTGATAAATAGCTTGGACTGCTACCACCCCCTGACCTTGGCTGGCCCCGTTTCCCTTTGGCAATTCCAAGTAATCTCATTGAATGAGTACAATGTCCTTTCGCGCAAGACCTCCTTCTCCGACCAATACCGCCTTTTCGGGCGTCTCAAACTACCGATCAGAGTCTTACCGCACCCTGCGCGATCCTCAACGACCAAACGGCAGCATGGGAGGTGCAGGAGCAGAGCCATTACCACAAACAGACGGCCAAAAGATTGCAAAGGTCCATTTCGACGAACTGCAGGCATTTCTGTCGACACACATCGCAAAGGGTACGCATCCTTTTGCACTCTTACATTGTCTACGGTGCTCAAGAAACATGTTCAACGTGTAGAGGCCCCGAATTCGCGTGCCAGCGCGCGCGAAAAGCTCACTAGGCTCACCCGACAACAGTTTCAAGAGCTGTCGACAGACGTATATGACGAACTGATTCGACGAAATGCCAAATCAGAGAGTATGTTCTTTCCTCCCTCGTTTGTTGCTGCGCGCTCAATGATCAATGATGTGGTGAACAGCACCCCATCTTCCGACTCGCGACGACTTTCATCCGAAGCGGAACCAGGCCCGACAAAAGCTGTCGACACTTCCCAAAGCGCGTTTCAAAGACCTTGCGTCGGACGTTTACTTTGAACTCGGACGACGGTACCCCGAGTTTAAAGAGCCAGAGGTTTGCTCGTTTTCTCCTGTCCGGAAATGAATTATTGGAACTGAATTCTGTCTCATAGATCCAGCCTGACACGCCCGAATCGAATTATGACGACTATGGCGGCGAAAAGGCAGTGAGCGGACGCCCTGTTCCGCAAGATGGCTATCGTACACGCTCGCCGGACAATTCTAACAACATGAGCAATGGAATCGGGAGGCTAGGCCAAGCCCGCGCGGATCTGGGCCCCGCAAGACGGACGACACCGGATCAAACATATGGTCGCCGTTCAGAGGACAATCGACCGTTTGGACGCCAACCCTCTCAGGCATCACGAAACGGTGCTGGGAACGATGATGGAGAGAGCACGTATTCTGCGTCGAGACGACGACCGTCGAATGGATCCGAAGCGCAGTATGCGCGCAAGATGCCGACAGTGTTCCGCCAGGCCCCTCGACGGCAACATCTGGCATGGTGATCCCCAATAAATCGACGATTGCCGAAGAGGAGATTCAGGTGCCTTATGGACGCGACTCTCGGGCACCCCGAGAGTCGGATATTCGCGACTCTGTTGCCAGCGATCTTTCAGCGGACATTAAACTCGATGACACACCTCCTCCGCCTATGCAGAGAAAGGGGAGTGGAGGAAACAATTTGGCTGCCTCGACGGCTGGGTTGGACGAGTCGAAATGGGGCAGCTCGCCTGTTACACCATTGCAAGGCGGTCTGAGCGCGTTGGCGGCTGGGTTAGGCAAGAACCGGAATCGGAGTCCACCGAGTGATGAAGATGATCGGACGGATTTCTTTGATACTTCAACGGTCGGTGGGCGCGCGCTCTGGTAGCGGTGGATCGAATACAGCCCGACGACCCACCTTTGGAGGTGTAGATCGAGAGGAGACGGAGAAAATGCGCAAGGATTACGAGTACCGGATCACAAACTTGCAAAGTAAAGTTGGGACGCTACAGGATGAACTCGACAGAGTGAACAAGGTATGGACATTGGCCCTTTGGCTCGGCTGTTGCTCATGGCTTACAGGAGAGGCAAAGCGACAAAGAGCGAATACGCGAGTTGACCGACGAGATTGCATCTATGAGAAGTGTACGTTCAAAGCCTAGTTACTTGAGAGAAGGCTCACACTCCCTCAGAAATCGGGCGATACTTCGTCTGCCTTGCGAGACATGGAACGTCGCCTGGCTGACGAGCGGTCCGAACGGGAGCGTGCAGAGCTTCAGATGGTGGAAGCACACTCACAAGAGCTTCGCAAGCTACAACAGAGATGTGATGAACTGGAGAGGGACAAAGGGAGCGCGTCTGCCTTTGGGGTAATGTCTATTCGTTTCTATCAAAACAGATTCTGACAATACTCAGGACTCGGCGGGTATTATCGAGGACCTCAAAGCGGGCATGGAATCGCTGCTCGAAGAAGTCAATGAGCTAGCAACTCGAAACGACCAGCTCAATTCAGCCAAGGACGAGGATGCAGCAATGATTCAGCAGCTAGAAGAACAAGTGGCCGATTACAAGAAAAAGTATGAAAAGGCAAAGACGGAACTCCGCGGCCTCAAAGGTGCGTGAAAGGTTGTCCAAAGCGAGCCGAGACGCTAATTGGATGACAGCCACCTCGCAATTATTCTTGCAGAGACCGAGAAATGAGGATCAGCTTCCGACCTCGAGGACAGGCGCCATCCAAGATGTTCATATCACAGCCTTCCAAAGCGCTGCCGACGAATTACTTTCGGCTGGCCGGTGAGTAATTGGAAGGGTGTGCAGAGCAGGGTTCTGACATATTGCAGGTCTGATGCTCCTTCGCGCGTCCTAACGCCGATGAAGGCTGTCGTTGACGCAGTGTCGGCAATTATCGAGGATGCACGTGCCTATGACCTCGCGCAGCGGTCAAAGGACGATACGCCAATTGACTATGCGACAATCGATAATTTATGCGAACGCACACAGGCGACATTGAGTAATTTGGTCACGGCCTCCAAGACCCATGCCACCAGCTATGGATTGTCGCCCGTCAGTCTGCTCGACGCCGCATTGAGCCACGTCTCTGCGAGCGTCACCGAGTTGGCAAAACTTCTCCTCGTCCGCCGGTCACCGCGGGAGACGGACGGCGCTTCGACAAACGGTATGTCAAATGGGCGTTATGGCAGTAAGTGGCTTCCCAATCGATGATTCATGCGTGTTGATGGATGATGCATAGATAATCTCACAGTGGGCAATGCTCCCAAGCTCGTAAGGATTGAAGAACCGATGAGCCCCGACTACTCGGAACCGCCTTCAGCCGGTCGCGGCGATTGGGCAGAGGTCAAGGTGAGTAACCTCTTCGCGAGGCGGCTTTTGCAATATCTTATCTATTCGTAGCCTTATCTCGAAGCGCAGTCGGAGCAGCTCGTGCAGTCTATCCAGGCCATCTTGAATGCCGTTCGCAACCCATCACCCTCGGTCGAGCTCAACGACAATGTGACCCAGATTATCACCATTGTGTCGAGTATTGTCGCCGTCTCGCGTGACAGTCTTCCCCAGTCGTCGTATAGCCGTGGCCTCACAATCCTCAATACGCTGAGCGAGCACTGCAACAAGCTAAGCGAGACGCAATCCGAACGCACGATCTCAAAGGACGGACGACAGGTTCTGGCTCAGTCGAGCTTTGCTATTGCGAGTGCCGTCAAGGAGTTGATGAAGCTATAGAACTCTTATGGCATACGTTCCTCCTCTCCATGACCCTATGTAGCATATTGGATGGGACACTACCTAACTTATCCGGGCCTATAATATGTGTCATATTCCAATATTTGTGCAAAAAAGCATCCCGACTTCTATGCCACCGACTTTGCTGCTTCGATGAATCGTTTGATCTTTGCCACGTCCTTTCGTCCATCCGTCTCTACGCCCCCGCTCACATCCACAGCCCATGGTTTTACGTATTTCACGACCTTGGCGACTGTATCTGCACTCAAGCCGCCAGCCAATATCAGAGGCAGTGGAGCGCTTCCACCAGCCTCGCCTCTTTGCATAAGCTCTTTGGCGAGGTCCAAGTTGACCGTGATACCCGAACCACCAGATACTTTTTCTCCAGGCCGTGTCGCTTCCAACAGCGTGAATTGATGCAAACCCGGTCGAGAGATGCCAGCCAAGGATTCGGCGGTATCGTTGGCCTGTGCGTGAATGACTTTGATCACAGGGACAGGAATGAATTTGGCCAACTCGGGTGCCTCGGAACCATGCAACTGTACGAGATCCAATCCGACCGCAGCCACGACGGCCAGAATCTCTTCTAGCGGCTGGTCTTGGAAGACGCCGACGAGGAGCGGTTTACGGATGGGCTCGATTGCTTGTGCATTTTGGCTGAACCAAGGCAGTGGAGCAGCCATGGGTTGAGGGGGTGGGATCGGCTTTTCCGCTCGCAGCGTTTGGACGACGGTGGCAATCTCGATCGCCGTCTCGATTGACACACGTCGACGACTGTTTGCGAAAATAAGCCCAATGAAATCTGCACCGGCTTCGGCGGCTGCCAATGCATCCTCTGGCGCACGAATGCCGCAGATTTTAACGAGTGTCTGTCTTTGTTTAGACGGAACTGTCGGTGGAAGATCGAGTAGCTCTTGAATGAATTCCTTTGGCTCGGCGGCTCTCATGAGCGCCTCCCCGACTAAAACGGCTTTCACACCCTGCTCGATGTATTCCAATACATCTTTTCGGCCATTGATCCCACTAAGAGCGCACAGGATGACGTCTTTGCCCTTGCACATGTCCGCCAAACGCGTCGTCGTCTGCATGTCGACCTGGAATGTGTGAAGATTTCGATTGTTCACACCTATCACTTTTGCACCCAGTTCGAGAGCTGCGTTCATCTCCTCTGTATTGTTGACCTCGACAAGTGGTTCCATACCAAGTGACCTCGAAAACTTCATGAGTGATGCTAGTCGAGCCACAGGAAGCATGGCGACGATGAGAAGAACGGTGTCTGCACCGTATATTCTAGCCTCCATGATTTGGTATTCGTCGAGAATAAAGTCCTTGCGCAGGATGGCGGGTCGGTTAGGGAGCTGGTCGACGGCTTGGCGGGCCAGTCGCATGTCCAGTAGTGAACCCTTGAACCACTTGGGTTCCGTCAGTACCGAGATGACTGAAGCACCCGCCAATGCATACTTGAGCGCTTGAGAAGGCGCATTGATATGGAGGGCTATCGCGCCCTTGGATGGAGAAGCCCGCTTTATTTCGGCCATGAGAGCTGTATTCTCGCTCCTTCCGAGTCGTTCAATAAGATTAACGAGCGGTGGATCCAGGTGCAGTGCCAGAGATGCCCTCAAGTCCTCAGAGGTGGACCCTGGAGTCTTCTGGGCAGTGTCGATATCTAAGAGGCGCTGCTTTTGTATCGTCTCGAGTATTGAAGGGAGCTTGGCGGCCATTGGGACACCGTTTGGTTCATAGGTGAAGGGGGGCAACTGCGTGTCCAGCACGCCAAAGCTTGGGTTTTCATCCCACGTTCCTCCACGGAGTGAGAGAAAGTTTTTGAGATACTCGTCACCGTACTCTGACAAGATGCTCTCCGGATGGTATTGTACGGCCTCGAGGGTGTATTCCCGGTGGCGAACCCCCATTACGACGCCGCTCTCCTCTGTAAAGGCACAGATGGCGAGTTGGTCTGGGAGAGATTTGATATGGGCGCTGAGACTATGGTATCGCGTGGACAGAAACCCTTGCGGAAGATCTTTGAAGCAGCCACGCTCGTCGTGCCGGATTTTGCTCGTCTTGCCATGCATAATTTCTCCGGCGTAAGAAATTTCTCCCCCGAGTGAGTCAACGATGCACTCGAGACCCATGCAGACCCCAAGGATGGGGACCTTGCCAGAGAAGTACTGGATCGCCGCTTGGGAGATGCCACCGTCCGTCTTTGGATGGCCAGGACCGGGGGAAATAATGAGGTTGCGGATGTTCAAGTTTGGCAAGTCTTTTGGTGACAACTCGGAATTTCGAACGACTCGTACGGTCGCGCCGAGATTACAGAGCGACTGGTAGAGATTGAAGGTGAACGAGTCATAGTTGTCAATGAGGAGTGTCTCCGTCGCCGTAGACATGGCTATATGGTTGTCAGAGAGGGATCCAACGCATAGCAAACGGCGGCTTACTACAAAAAGGCGGAGATGGTAGTGGCCAAAGATGGTTTGACCCCGACCGTCCGAAATGAGCGATGCCAAAGTGGTCGACAAGGCCATTTCACAGCGAGCAAAAAAGCCACAGAAAACCAAGACTGTCTTCAAACCAGTATTAGACAATCCGTTGACAATCTCATGGTATGCCCAAATGTTTCTCCAGCACCTCTTACTCACCGCACTTCCAAACAGGCCAGATATTCCGCAAAACCTTCAAAATACAATCCTTGCATCTGCTATCGACCTCCTAGGATGCTTAAAGGACTATCATCGTCAACGCGGAATGCATACAAAACGAAGTCGCCAAGCACGACGTCGAGAGATTCTCAGAACACAAAAGGAAATAGAAGAAGCTGGTAGCAGGAAGAGGAAGCGAGACGATGAAACTTCACCAGAGAGGGAGAAAATGGAGCTGGATCCAGGACCGCCATCTCTGGCAGAACCCTCGAGCCCGCCCCCGTTACTCGGCCATGTACACTTTGGTCTGTCCGAAGTCTTAAAACTGTTGGAGCGTCATATCGCCCAACTGCGCAACACTGTTGCCAACTCCAAGGCATTGGACGAGACGGCCACTCCGACGGCCATTCTCGCATGTCGCTGGGATATCAACCCTCCCCAGCTCTTCTCGCACATCCCTCACCTGGTTGCGTCCTACAACACCCTTTTGACGCTGTACCATGCAAGACTGCAGGATGCGAAACGAATCCCGGAGCTCAAGTTGGTCAATTTGCCAAAGGGGGCCGAAGATGCACTCTCAGAGTCTATTGGTCTGCGAAGGGTCTCTATCGTACTTGTCATGGTAAGCGCTGCTATCCCCGAGGAGACGGTAGCTCAGACAGTATACCAGGCCGGAGCGCATCTTGAAGACCAACTTCTTAACTCACTATCAAAAGTCCCTCGTCTCGCCACACCGTGGCTTCTGCCAGATAACAACCGACGGTATCTTGCCCCTCAACTGGAACCGACTCGTATCAAATTCGTAAAGACCACTGCACCAGTTGATATGAAAGCAGCACGTATAGCTCGTACAGAGGGTAAAAAGTCCGCCAAACAAGGACGAAAATCCAAAGCCATGGTCTCGTAACCTGCTACATCACGGCAGCGGTTTCTTTGGAGCTGTGCCCGGAAAGCACAGCATATATTCTTCATAGACTGCATCAATATCGTCTTCGTTCCAGTCAGAAGTCGTCTCCCATGCATTTTCAAACTCGATGTCGATGGCCAACTGCGGAGAGTTCTGTGGTCGCGAATCGGATCCCGCTCTTGCCGTCTCGTCAGTATCCATGGCGTCGGATGGTGTTGGTGGCATCGATTTGGAGACTGCTATTGGCGGTAACGAGTTTGGAAGAAGGACAGCAAGGGTCGGTTGAGTCGAATCAGAGCGGTCTACCCGCTGGACCCATCTTCTTTCTCGTAATAATTTGTGCTATGGTGGGCTGTCTCAGCTATTGGCTCTCCATGTATTGGTACAGCGTACCCGTTCTCTGTCTTCTTCTATTCGTCGCATAGCTTGAGATCTAGATATTCGTTCATGGGACGATTTGATACCGTTTGAGGGATTTTGAGCGTTGATGGCTTGTATACTGTGCGAAAGAGGGTCTCAGCGGATGCATGCTCGGTATGGGCCATAGTTACCTCGCTCGTCGCTCCTGGAGGGAAGCGATAACCGCTTCCACCTTTTTAGGATCCAGAATTCGCTTCATACGCCAATTTTCTAGCATCTTGAGTTAAATTCCGATGATTAACGTCGCGGACGGCTTGGGTAACATCCCACTTGCCTGCATTGCGCTCTGTACGTTGATCAAGCCGTCTCTTGACTCTGGAACGACCCATTCAATAATCGAGGAGAGATCCTTTTGGAGCAGATTGACGTAGTAAAGACCTGGGCCCACGGGCTTGGTTGATGATGACGGTTTTGAGCGTTGGTTGCTGGCACTCTGGGCCGAGGCTTCGCATAGTGAGTCAAGAAAGTAGAGTAGATTGATGCGCATGTTTGTAGAGCCCTGAAAGCGCAAGACATCGCGTCACCCCGCGGATTGTCAGTCGCTTTGGCCGGCAGCACAACGGAAGCGCGAACCGTACGACATTCTTGCAGTACTGTCTCCCAAAAGTCCTCTCCGCATGTCGAATGATACTCTAGAGCAAATGCCACAACTTGTTGTATCGACCCCTGCGTTCTGCACAAAGGCGTCAGTAAACGCAAGTTACGATCAAATTATACATACGCATCTAATCTCTTTAGTAGTTTTGAGAATCTTAAATGAGCCTCGAATAGGTCCATGGGCATTGTAGCCAATGAGCGTGATAAATAGAGAGACAACGTTGGGTGCAAGTTGGACGCGACCATTGACGGCAAGATGCTGGGCGTCGCTGTGAACCATAACAGACCACTTTACTACATATTTCTCGTTTTCATACTCTGCTTTGTTCTATATTTGATCCGCAAGGAGCACTACCGCCTTCCTCATCTGGGTCAAGGACATCCGGCGCCACGCAATGAGGACACGATTGCAAGATTACGTGGGCGAAGATACTCTACATTGGGGCTCACAACCAGTGCCACTGACCAAGATTCCTGCGCATGCACCGGGTCCGCTCAATTTCGAAGCAGTCTTTTGATCTAATCATTACCTAGGCTGGACAGTCCTTGATAGACTATATTTTCATAAAGGAACCATGTACATTGTTTCCGACTACCCGAAACTTGTTCCAAAACCTGTTCACATCACATCCAAGGGAAGGCGCATTCAAGAAGGCAATGTGAACATCCCAGATTTGGAGCCCACCGAGGAGGATCTGAGAGTGATATCTACCAGAGAAGCGTATGGCCTCTTTGGACAACAGGCCATCCGGATTGGAGGCGTGACGGTGAGCAACCTCTCGTTTCTGAAAACCGAGCCTGAACATCGTCAGTTTCTCGTCAACGAAAGCCCCCAGTTTATGACCCATATGTAAGGATTTCCAACTTTTGAATCTTGCTCTCACTCTCATAAGGTATCACTTTGTTGCAGAGCTTCTGTTCGGCCTATGGAGGACGTATTCATCTCTGGATCCCGACCTTGAAGTTAATGGTCATACTCGTCTTGCAGCCCCCAAGCGCATCTGCTTTACCCATCTCGACGCTGCCCATTGGCGCGACTATGCTGCCATGAACCAATATGTTCTCCGTGCAGTCTTTCCTTCGGCAATCTTGGAGTTTAGTGATACATGGGAAGAACGGGCATCGCTCAAGAATAAGACGTTTGTCTTGGATCGAGTGGTTTTTTCGGACCGAGTTGCCGCCATGCACAGCGAGGTGTTCGTAAAGACTGACCGTATCGCTTCAGTGGCGTACCAGCTCAAGTCAAATTTTGGCTGGTGGAACACCATTCGAATGCCAGTCCTCGAGTATTCCAAAGTTCGCATAAATGATGTGGCGCCCCCTGTACCGGTGATCACGTATATCAGTCGACAAGGTTGGGGACGGAGAATGCTTCGAGAACATGATCATATGCGACTAGTCGTTGGCTTGTATAAGTTGCGCGACCGCCTGGGTTACGAAGTCAACATTGTCGAACTCGACCGTCTTTCTCGGGCGGAGCAGGTTCGCCTTGCAGCACGTACTACAGTATGTACATGCGTCATAGCTCGACGATGAGCTAACGGTATTTCAGATAATGATGGGCGTTCATGGTAATGGCTTGACGTCACTTCTCTGGATGAAACCGTCTCGGAGAGCTACCGTCATCGAGTTTTTTTATCCCAAGGCTTTGCAATGGATTACCAGTGGACGGCCGAGGCTCTGGGCATCAAACACTACGGTGTATGGGATAAAGAGTAGGGGGATTTTCATTAGCATTCTGAAGCGCGTCTAACCCCTCCGAAAGGACCTTTACATCTCCAAATGTGCCTCCTCGGGCGTACCCAGAGGGATTTCAAGGTAACGACATCCCGGTCGATGCGCCGACCGTTCTCGACCTGATAGAACGACGGCTGAGCCCAGACGAGCTAGACATGATTCCATAGCTGTTCCCTAGAGATGATGCTATTATTATCGCGTATTTGACTGTCACCGGGAGTGTTGCAAACATGTTGAGCGGAGTCTCAATTTGTTTACAACTTCTCTTTCCCTGCGACCTCACCGGTTCTCCACCGACTCGCGCGACACCTGGCCCACAGCTCTCTCCTCTTTAACGACATTTACTGCAAAAATGCAGTCCAACCATTCGCGCGCGTCTGCTAACAACGCGGCCCTCAGCAGGTCTGGCCACCCGTCTTCAACGTCCTCATCGGGCTCGAGCACGCCCCCATTGAAGACAGGCAAGACAACGACAGCATACGCATCAGAGTCCACGCTCATCGGCGGCGTCAAGGGCGGTGCTCCTCTTGCGCGCAGACAATCAGCAAGCTTCAACCACGTCCGGACGTCCTCTCTGGTGTCGTCATCTCCTTTCAAAACAGGTGGAAATACCACTTCAAGCACTCCTGCCGTCAAGCCACGCCCGCAGATTAACCCATCGCAGTTTCAACATGGAGAAGCCCACCGGCATTCGTCAAGTGGCGAGCAGCCCACGAGCTATCTATCCCAGTCCAGAAGTAGATCGGACGAAAACAAGCTATTTGACAACATTCGCAAACCCCGAGAGAGCAAGGGCTTCCAGAGGCTGCCCCAAGCTGAAGCAGTCACCAAGAGCCCATTCGTCGAAGCAAACGGCTTGCCTCCGGGATCGAAGCATACTATTACACGTTCAGCTGAATATCCAAGCCACGCAGCCGATGCCGTGTCCTCGCATAGAGTGTCGAAATCGGCAACGCTCCCTGCGCTCAGCGGGACGAGCACCGCGTCGACAGAGGGTGCCGCGGGACACCCCCTTCTCGCGCCAAATCACGTTCTCTCTGCTCGACCTCTTCCTGGAACACCCCAACGACCAACTCGACCCGTGTCCATGTTCGTTCAAGGATCAGTCCCAGTGTCGACATCACCTACGACGCGCTCTAGTCTAGCATCCAGGCGATTGTTAGGCCCCCGATCCCCCGAAGAAGGAATCGGTAGTCGCAGTTTTTCAGACTCTCCTACGCGGTACGAGAGGAGAAAGACGGTCACCTGGGATGAACGTTGTGACGTCGTCGAGTTTGAACAAGATGACGAAGAGAGTGTCCCTCCAGAGTCGGTCAGCGACTCGCAAGAAGTTAGAGACTCGGAGACGGAGAGCGAGGTTGAAGAGGTGCCGCCGGCCGTTCCTCCGAAGCAGGAAGAACGAGAATGGTTTGGTCCTGACAGAGAGGACGGTCGCTCCCCATCTCCTATCCTTAGCGGGTCGATCAATGATGCCGCAGACGATATGGAGTCGGACAGAATTTCTGCTGATCCGATCTCCGATGACGATATGCCAACTCCTCAAAGGGAAACCTTTGATCTTCCGGTTGAAGATCCTCACAATCACCATATGGGTAAGTATTTCTGTGTCGTTTGAGGGTAGTGTGCCGACACCACCTGGCAGATATTGGTTCAATCTCTACGGCGACTATTCCTCGACGCTCCGGATCCGAGTCCTTCCTCGAAGGAACCAGTGCGTTTAGAGACGATTCCATGTCTACGCAAGAGGATTCTTTCCATCGCAGCCTCCGTGAGGAACCAGTCGTGGAGACATCCAGACTAGCAGAGTCACGCTCTCCAGAGAAGTTTCCTCGCATCTCCCGAGATGCGATCCGCAAACAAGTTGAACAGCAGCGCCTCAGCGCGAATTTCGACGATGAGCATTCCCAGTCCAGGCTAAGCATCGGCGACGAACGTCGGTTGTCTCAAGGCGGCTCTGGATACAACTCGCCTATGAGAAAGTTTGATCATTCGCCAGTGCCGTCTCCTGGACCTCGACCGCGCGCTGAACAGGTCTTCACGTCATCCAATGTCAACTTGGAGGACGTCCAAAGTGCTCTGGATCGTCTAATGCTCGGTGTCGAGAAAGGGTTCGAGCCTTCCATACACTCAAACATCACGGAGCAAGACTACGACGAAACATCGAGTAATGGTGATGACTACGCTCCCAGGTCTTATGGACAACCCCCGGAGGAAGAGCATGACGATACTCCTAGAGAAGATGAATATCTGGAGCCCTCAGAAGGTGCCCAACTTCATCGTCAATCCACTGCGATGTCTGGTACTAGCACAGAGTCTACAGATGGACCATATACACCCGATATTCATGGAATGGCCCAACCCGAACTACCTTCTGACGCGAAAGACATCGACTCGATGTACGAAGACTCGAAGCCGCTCCCACCACCTCCCGAGATGGAACCATCCCCAGTCATGCACCATACGCATCTGCAAGATGAAACGTCGAGTGCTGAGGGACATCAAATGACTCTGGCTGTTCCAGCTGGCGCGTCAGTCCGTCGTGGTAGTACCATCAAGCGGCACGAAGAAGCAATCAAAGCCAAGAGAAGGGAGCAGCGCGCTCTGGAGGGGCGTCCTAGTAAACGTCGTAGCCACTCGACCGGAGATCTCAAGACACAGGTATGTACAGGCAGACATCATGTTACGACTCGTGACCTTTTTTGTTTAGTTCTCTCCTGGGTCAGAGACTCTGGAGATTGATAACCGGGACGACATTGATCTCACAGACGCGTTCCAGCATGAGGTTGCCAAGCTCGAGCCTGTCAAGGTCTGTCCTAGGTGTAACTAATGGCGATACTGTGCTCATGTCTTTCAGAAATCCTACATGATGAAGCAACGTCGTCCCACTATCTATGCATCCGACAGTCGTGTCGGTCATTCCGGAATGGCTGGAGATGTCCATAAAGGTCGCGCTTGGCGTGCTGTTCGTCGGCCGTCTGATATGGTGAGTGCTGAGACAAGGGCTTAAACAGAGTGCTCACTCATCAAACCAGAATGAGTACTCCAGGCAGATTAGACAACTGCGACAACAGGAGAAGGTGCCACTCCTCCAGGCAAAGTCTTCGTACGGGGTGTGTATCAATTAGAGGCTAAGGATACCACTCATCTATTGATAGTCCTCGGGATCCGTGCCTTGGAAGTCCCATTACCAGCTCAACCTACATACTTCACCTGCGTCTTGAACAATGGCATTCACTTTGTGGAGACACCAGCCAGCAAGTTGGAAAAGGACGAGAGTATCATCGATCAGGAGTTTGAGCTGTACGTCGATGGATCCATTTCAGCGGTCGCTAACTTACTTGGTTAGGATTGAGCACGAAAAGCTCGAATTCACTCTGACCATCAAAGTGCGAAAGGACGCCCATATCGCGCAGATTCTCAATCCGCCTGCACGACCCGCGTACCTTCCTCCAGCTGTGCGTGTTGAGACGCCAACTAAATCGAAGGGCGTCAGAAGTTTCTTCTCAAGTCCCTCCAAGAAGCCGAGCAAGCAAGCCGCTATTCGCGAGGTGGAGGCGACCCCGCCGCCAGTGCATACGGCGGATCCGTTTGGACGCTATTTGAAGAAGGATCTTTCTATTGCACGTGCTCTCGTTTCCTTCAGGGAAATTATGGATCGCTGTGATACAAAGCTTTTCGAAACGAGCTATCCCCTCGTCGGCCAGTGTGCTGAAGGTGGACAGCTTGCTACGAAGACGATCGGCGAAATCGTCCTTCAAATCTTCCGTCTTCCTCCCCTGCCCGGGATTCCAGCGGACGACCTCCCGCAATCTCTCGAGGAATGCCAGCGCGGCTTGAGGCACGTCCAATGGCACAAGGTTGTCTATCACGAAGGTGTCTTGACTCAACTGGGTGGTGATTGCACGGTACGTTTACTTTGCTGTAATGGCCCATGAGTTAAACTTTTCATTAGACTTGGAGACGTCGTAATCTCCAGGTGATGGGCGCCAACTTGATCGCATTCAATGATGTGACCAAACGACCTATTACGACCATGGACCTACGAAAGATTACGCTTGTCGAGGACGATGGTCGGCCCGGTGTACCTGCGACTGTCATCACGCCGCCAGCAGATGCCGTAGAAGGTGGCCTGAATCCACCCAAACTGAGAAGGCAACGATCTTTCAATTCTCTGGCGGGAATTGAGCACTCCTTCCGCGTCATCTTTGACGGCAACGAGAACGACGAAGTATGCTTCTTCGCAGATAATGCAGAAGAGAAAGCCAGATGGTGAGCCATTCTTTCTATTAGTCGGCTGTCACTGAAATCATCTAGGATGGAAATCTTCGGTGCCCTCGTCGGACGGATACCCCACAATCCGCTCTGGGCCGAACTCGTTTGGCAACGCCAACAAACAGTCTAGACAACACATGCGCCTCGTTACTTTTAGTGCTGCAGGCAGTCTTGTATCCTGATACCTCTTACCCAGACTCTACCTTACGCAACGTCGGACGTCGAGGCAGTTCAACCTACCGCCTTGCTTCTTTTATGCTGTTTCTTATATCCCAAATGCACGTCTCTGTATCCGTTGATAGCCAAAGGTTGCAATAACAATTGCTCGCGGACGCTTCATTTGATTACATTAGATGATTAGCGCTTGTCTCTCCACGACGCGAATTTGAGGATGTCCGATACGGTGCTTTGCTAGAGAGGAGTCGAGGACAATGAAAACAAGGTATTTGCTTATTCCTATTCTTCATGAACTCGTGCTGCTCCTGAAATTCTCGCGAGTAGACTTTCATCCTATGATTCGTTTCACTGGTACTTATGGGCGAGTCAAGGCTGCCGGCAAATTGTATCGCGTCTACTTTTCGACTACACCACAATAACCGGATCAATAATTGGACAATCTCAATATCCGGCAGGGAGTTTCTCGAAGCATTTGGAAAGTCGTCGATTGCAAATGCTGTCTGCACAAAGTTTAATGAATGTCTTCTTGACTGGAAGGAGCGACCAATGGATCAGCGCACATGATCCCAAGAGTCGGCCACCTGTATTATATTCTGGATTCTTGTTAGATAATGACACTACTCGTAGCATTCAGAAATCTCCATCATTCCATGGCTAGTTACATGAGGACGGTTCTACGTTTAGTTCACTAGAACGCCGAAACTCGCATGTAGTTTCATCTCAGAACTCCACACACGACAGCAGCACTTCTCGAGACCTGCTTGAGGAATGGGGAGTAGCAGAGCCAAAATCAAGGTAGATGAACATCGCTGAACCTATTCACCGTAAGCAAAAGCTTTGTGTGTACGAATCCCGTATAATGACAAAATTATGTAGCGCCAGAAGGACAAAAGAATGGCAGGAGAACAAAAAAAGAGAAGGGGGAGGGCAGGGATCCGAACTCTGCTCAAGCCACTGCCCAGGTTCCAACATTGATCACTTTTGCACAAAGCTATGGAGCACAGCTTCAGCGGGGTCTACATCGAATTGCCCAAGTACTGTTGCCCAGCTATTTTGCCGACTTGGAAGCACTTCGGTACACCTCTACGAGGCGAGGAGATGATGATACCAGAATCACAGGGATGAATTTTTTGATACCCTCATCTGGAGAGGGATATAGGGAATCGAGACGAAGCGGGATGAGTGAAGTCTATATCGGAGCTCTGCATACCACCTATGACTGAAACAAAATATGCAATGAACGTCTTTTGATGATGGTGCCGGATGTATAATTTGTAGTAATCCTTGCGTGACGCGTCGATGCGGCACTAGGATGCGTATCCAGCGAGGTATCTTGGGGGGGGTGGAGGTCATGTTTATGTGGTGATACTGCCACCCCAGTCCAAACTTGTATTAATAAATCCAGATACTATAGCAAGACGTTTGTACATGTTAGAGAGTGGCCATACCTCGCGGCGGGTGTACGGCATCCAGCGTCAGACGATAGTGGCAATTTGGACACGACTGCAATCATGGCCAACAGAAGCTGTAGTCTAGCCTGGATCAATTTGGAGGCCACCACTAGCAAAGACGAGGCGTGAAGGCAACGTGAAGCATTAAGCTTGTTCGTCGTTGTTCGTGTCGAAGATTCAAAGAGCCAGCATGATCCTCTGGCACCATCCTGCGAAGCTTAAGCCATCGACGTCGACGATATTTTCAACGGCATTTGCGAGAATTATAGAGAAAATGTTCAGTGGGCTGGTTTCAGAAGGGTCCACTTCCTCGACGTGCAACTACTCGGGATGGCTTGGGCGTGTTCTAAAGGCAGAATTCAACTTTAATTGAATAAACCAGCCACATTTTACGTTTGGAAGCATGTTTTTGTCACCTCAGCTCATAGCCACACACCCGAATCGTCACGCACCAAGGGTCGTGCCCACAACACGCCATTCGCTTCGTCGACCAACATTCTAATTGACACATAGGGGCTGCCAACCTCGTAATGTCGACTGAACACTCGCTTTTATTGAATGGACTCACTCCTTTTCAAGTTAATAGCCTATGCTGAATACCTCGCCTCGTGTCTAATAGCGCCTCGTCTGGTCAGTGACCTGGTTTGATATTGACTCTGTGGTGTGCGGGTCATCGGTTCTCCCCAAGCCTACAAAATGCCTACCTTTCGACATGACCCCTCTGTCGTATTCGTCTTTTTTTCCTCCCTAGGTCGACCCCTCCTCGAGCAACGAGGCGAAAATGTCGCAGTCCACGACTTTTGACCTTCACACACCACCCACGTTGCCGTCACCAACAGTACAAACCCCTAGTGAGCATTCGCCTTACTCTATGGATGCTGAACCTAATCTTCCGGCACTAGATTCTGTCGATGTCGACTCGTCTGTGTTGACAGAAATCCCCACGAATGTCAGTCGCAGACCAAAGCAGCCATACAATTGCCGCGACCTCCCCGACTCGGAGTCGGAGGAAGAGGAAGAGGACCCCGATATCCTCAGGCCCAATTGTAGGGGCCGCTGGTTCACATGCCTGGGTGCCGATTATGGTCCTAAGGACCACAAGTGGTACGGCATTCACCCCAGACTGGGGATGCGATATGGGCAGCTGGACGAAACCCAGCAGAAGCTCTATGAAGATCTTGGACCTGACTATGAGCACGAGGAGGCCGCTCTTACCCTCCTCGAAAAGGTCAAGTTGGAGGGCTTGGAAGGCGTGAAGCCCGAGACCTTCAAAGCAATGATGATCCAATGCAAGACAGCGAAGAAGTGGAAGCTCGGAGTGCGACGTTGTGCCAAACCCCCTGACACGTACTCGCACATGAAGAGCCATCTGCTCACAACGATGCACGCTCCGATCGGGTATGAGTGTCCAGATTGGTAGGTTCAAAATGTCCAAACAATCAATACGCTCACTAGACGGTAGTCACATGACTATACTTCAAGAACCAGACATGAAACGGCACTTAGAAGAGTCACATGCTTATACAAATCTTCCGGGGTCACTGGAGGAGATTAGGAAAGCACTCAACAGGCCTCGACGCAAGGCTCCTCGGCTCAAGGTCTCTCAACCCCCGGGATCTGTCCTGCAGGATTCACAGGCTGTACCCAAGCCTTCCAGCGGTTCAGTTGTCGTCGGCAATTACTACACAGTCCAGGTCAAGGCGCCTATCACCCACGCACTGACCCACCCCCGACAACATAACACCATTCATCATTCTAGACCGGCTCCATATCACATGGATACCCGTCCTGTTCATGTGCCTAGACACAGCGCACTCCGGCAAACCCTACCCCAGGGTCAGCCTGATAACTTTGGATATGCTCCACCAGTTTACGCACCTAACCAACTTCCCGATGAGGACTACGTGGGCCAAACCCTTGCATCCGACAAAGAGTGCCTCACGTTCTCTGGGGCCATGCTCCCCACGTCACGGTGCGAGAAACCCTGGCACCCCGATCGAGTTTCCAGTTTGCCTCAACGCATACTGGCTCCTTTGACGTGTCGTGGGACGAGTCGGACTAAGCATTTTACAGTTATAGCCATTATATGTCTCAGCGTCCTGTTATGGGGTCTGAGTACCCTAGAGTGGCCACCAATACTGTCAACTATCTTCTGGCAGTTCCAAGCGTGATGTACACTTCAGCGCTCCAGTCTGCGGGCTACCCTATGTACACCCAGGTATGTCACCCTTGTTTTCCCAAAACTGTCTTAAACTTGAGCAGGTTTCGCGTTCTGTTTATGCTGGCTAGTCCAATATGCACTATCGCTAATGGCATACCCGGATGTCCGCTCCGATTCTAATTAGACGATTAGCGTCATTTTGTAATTGACTTGCAATTTCGCTCTTATTCTGCCACTGGGAGGAAATTTCCTCATCAGAGCGCAAGGCTTTCGAACCTTGAATTTTGAAATGTCTTCTCCGATCTAGACTGACAGATTATCGGCTTTGGGGGTCTTCGTCGTCCCACCGGCACTGGAGACTTCAAAAATTTTCCAGCGACCAAACCGTCATCTGCTGTCCGCGATTCTAACTCCAACAGAGGACAAGGAGACGTCAGATCACCTTCTGCGTTCTTCGTTTCTTATCCCGAATGCACGTCTCTGTATGGTCAAAGGTTGCGATAGCAATCGCTTGGAGACGCTTCATAAGGTTACATCAGATAATTAGTGCTTGTTGAGCTTGTCGACGAAATCTGGCTTGAGATCGCCATCCCAGTCTATCCGCGATGCATATGTGCGAATATCCGACACGATGTTTTCCTCGACTTCATCTCCAGCGCCTGTAGCAACCTTGCCAAGTACCATGTTCAAAGGTGTTCCCCCGAGAATATCGATATGGTCGCCAGACGAGGCACCTCCGCGAAGATGATATGCCTCTGGTTGGTCTACAAATCTCGTCAGTCAATCCTTGAGGCGCTGTATGAGTCCAGTGTGCATACGTTGAACCTCGTGAGTGACAATCTTCACGCCTCCAGGGTTCCATCTCTTCCTCCTCCACCCCTCTACGCACATGGCACCAAGGGAGAGCAAGCTGACCGTGCCATCCCCTTCGCCAATCTTAACGCCATTTTTGAGTTTGGGGCACGCTTTTTCGTCCGTGACTGATGTGTCGATGTAGCTGACACGTGCCATAGGGAATTCGGCCTTTGGACTCATGCATTCAGCATTGTCGGGGCACTGTGCTGATTCGGAGTCTGCCTTTGTGTCGTCATTGACGTATTCGCCTCGCGCGTACCAGTAGGAGCGCTATTGGACGGTTAAACTGTAATTGTCACATGCTTACAGGCCCACCTCGGTCTGTAAACCGTGTCCGTATACACAAACAATTTTCAGTGACGGTGCATTAGGCAGTCTAAAGAGTAATTAGGTCAAACGGGGCGCTCAATGCGAGACTTACTGAACCTCCAATGGATTTGTCCACTTTTTAGGGTCTTCGCCATTAGCCTTGAGCTTTTTCTCGTCACGTTCGAAGCCAAATGAATAGTTTGACGATATCATTCTCTGGAATAGGGTTCAACAAGCGGACGTGGGTGGCTGTCACCCACATACCTGGTAACTTGCAGGCGTGTGACTCAGGATCCAATCACTCGCTGTATCAACTGTAAGGTTCCCGGCACCAGGTTCCGACATTACGTGCGGAACGGCTTCGTTCTCCTTGGGCCGGAACGATAGGAAGTGACCATGGGTGTGATTTGTGTACTCTGGATCGTCTGGGGCGCATGTACTATTGCCCCAGATGACGTCTCCACCCTATAGCATGGTTCAGCATCCAGGAAACCTTCCATAGACAGTGCAGACCTTGATCCACATCGAAGCACTTCCTGCCCAACTACGGAAGAGCTTGGCCCTTTCTCGCTTGTTAAAGTATCGCTCAAGGACATATGTTGCAGCAGGACTCATCGAGACGGTGTCCTTCATCTCGCCAGATAAAAAGGCGACCATGGCTTTCGGCTACTTGCGTGAGAACTATCCACAAATGAGATTCAAGACATACAACTCCCTAAGAGCAAAATTTAGATGTCAAAGGCGAGGAGAACAAACTCGTACCAGGAACGTGCCACCGATAGTAACTATAGTTTCGATATGATTCTAGGCTATGATTCAGTATGCTGCACCGTCTTTTGAAAAGGCTTTACTTCAACCCAATCTGGTCCACCCTTGCCCCCATGTTCTGCTTCTACCCATTTGAGACTATAAGACGTCAGTCGTGAAGAGTAAGCAACGTGGCATGGCTCACAAGTACTATGAGGAGTGAATACTGGTCACAATCTATGTTCTTGCTCACCATCATGACCTGTAGATGTCAGCTCAAAATGACGGAGACAGCAAAAGCGCATACCGTGGCTCCCATACTATGTGCGACAATTACTGTCTTCTGCCCTTGCCTCCTCCTGGAGTGGTTGAGATTACACCTTCAAGTCAGGGTGCAAGACGCACTTGTAGCTCTCGATCGAGTGCTTTAGTCGAGAAAAATACCCATCCCTCACTTCAAGGTTACGATAAGACAGACGCCAATCTAAAATTGCGTTATAGATTGTAAATCAAATGGAAACTTCGCACCGTATGCCGCAAGTTCCAGGTTGTTAGTATCGTAATTGAGCGCCGCCAGGTTTTGGATGATCTTCTCCCAAAGCCAATAGCCCTCGATAAACTTTTGGGCTGCGTCTATGCCTTGTGCTGCTCGAATTTTTACTCCTGGAGGATCAAGGCCGGTCTCGGGGTCGAGCATCAGAGCCGCCATCCAACCTTCAGGATCTTGTATAGCTCTCATGACCATACTATAGTAAGATATGAGAGTGTGTCGACTCGACTCAAGCGAACTTGCCTCGCTCCTCCCCAATATCTTTGTACTGCTATCAGTTCCTGCCACCGCGTCGGGGGGACACGTACCTCTTCCGGAATTGTGCCTTGTATTGACCTGCAGTTGACCAGTTTTCGAGTGCGGTGGAGATGATCCCGGGTATTAATATGACAGGGTACTTTGCCTTTAGTCCACGTTGCGAAAGCTCCTCGCCCACACAGAACTCTCTTCCATCAAAGTTTGCACGTCCAATGTTCCACGGGACCAGGGGAGAGTTACCTATATCCGTCTGAGCCATTCACGTGTCCATGGGCGAGAGCAGCAGATTCGCACCAGAAAAGAGTTCCTTCCATTCAACCTCTGCAGCCCCGAGAGAGGGAAGATCGTATTCCTCGAGTAATAACGAGAGATTTGGAGGCGGATGCGTGAGCAGGAGCATACACGCAATAAAGCCGACTTGCAGCAGTACGTCAATGCCCGAGAATAGCCTGGAGAGTTCAAGGCAGACATACAGAATGCTCCAATGCCCACCAGCACGCGTTTTCTGCTCAGGAGAGCCTTGAAGAACTGGGAAAATGCTATCAGCGAGCATGCTTGTACGGTAAACACGGGTCACCAACGCCTGGCTCTGCAAGTTCCTTGCGAAGGAGCTCGATGCGACGAGTAATCTGTCCTTCACCATCCACTTCTTCAATTTCCTCGCGTTCGAGAATCTTTGACCGTATGCGTCTCCGTATTCCCTGTGGCTCGCTCATGGGGTCTACGGTTCAAAAGTGCTTGAGCGAGCACTGCCACAGAGTTGCTGACGATGGGAGCATTGGATAATGTTTGGAATATTCTCTTCTTTCCAAGTCATCTCCTCGTCGGCGCGTCGAGTTCGGCGCTATTTGTGCAACCTGCTAGTCCCAACTCAGACTCGACCACATTCCAGACACTGTTCATGGCGACATTACGCGCATTCCAGAGCGAAATCGAGGATATCCAGACGAAATCTGCCGAACAGCAGCGAATAGCAGCGGCAGCTTCTGCAGCGTTGGCGGACAAGAAGCTCAAGCCAAAGGAGCCTGTAGACCAAGCAGCCAAAGACACGCCCATGTCTCCTGTAACCGACAACGATGACGAGGAAGACCTTGCTCAGGTTCAGGTTGGTCGTTCTACACCCATTCCACCACGCACTGACGAGGTTTGTGTAGGACTTGCTCTTAGGAGACGAAGCATCGCATAGACGAGTCAGCGATCTCATTGCCTCGATTGTGACTCGTAAACGCGGAGAGTGTCTAGTTCATCTCGGCCTTCACCCTCCCCACCAGCTCCTCTTTGGCAACTCCCCATTACCCACAGAGCCCACAGACGACGCTGCAGCAAAAGAAGCCGAGTGGAGAGGTTCCAAATTAGACGCCGAGCAATTGAAAACGGCTATTGCCACTCTAACGCAAATCGTCGACGGACTCGGCGCGACAGTGACTCGACTATTCGAACACCCAACTCGGGCGACCTGCCTCGTCCGCATTCCCCCTCCAACAGTAGAACTCACTCCTGAAGTCCGATGTGCAGTTGTTGGCAACGTAGATTCCGGCAAGTCGACCACGCTCGGCGTACTCACCCGAGGCGCTCTCGACGATGGCCGAGGCAAGGCGAGAGTAGGCCTTTTCCGACACAAGCACGAAATTGAAACAGGAAGAACAAGCTCCGTTGGCATGGAGGTAGGCCTCCCACTTTGCATTTACGCGCCGCTGACGGTTTTGAAAGATTCTTGGATTTGGTCCTAGTGGACTTCCCATTCTTCCCGCCATTGCAGCAGCTCCAGACTCTGAGGTTGTCAAGAGAGAGCGATTAGGCTGGGAGGACATTGCCGCTCAGAGCTCCAAAATCATTAGCTTTATTGGTACGCACTCTATCGCCCCATTTACTAAACCTCATCCTATTTAGACCTCGCTGGGCATGAAAGATATCTCAAGGTAGTCTCCGATTAAACGCATTGTCGCCTTTTTCACCAGTGATAGACTACTCTCTATGGGCTAACTTCAGGAGCACCGTCGTGTGTCTTTCTAATGGTGGGCGCAAATGCAGCCGGATTGATAGGTATCCTTATACCAAATTTACTCTTTACTGCCTAACCTTGCCCAGGAATGTCCAAGGAGCATCTTGCAATCTCGTTAGCTCTTAGCGTGCCTGTGGTGATCTGCATCACCAAGTACGTACACGATCCCGCGTTCCCTCCAGGCTAATTGTATGGCAGAATTGATATGACCCCAACAAACGTCCTGAATGAGACCATCAAGCATATTGTCAAAGTCTTAAAGAGCCCTGGATGTCGGTACGTATCTAGCATCCGAAGCTGACCATTCGGCTCATAGCTTGCTAGTAAAACTCCAGTTTTCGTTCAGTCTGTCGAGAGCGCGGCCGAGCTCTCTCAGGTGTTCGTCGGGAAGCGGTTATGTCCCATCTTTCAAATCTCCAATGTGACTGGGCAAGGTCTTGATCATGTGAGCCACCTAATCATGCCTTGTTCGAGCTCACCAAAGTAGGTACGAACATTCCTCAACCTATTACCTTCTTCCGAGAACGAGAAGAAGTTTATCAAGGATCAGCCATTAGAGGTAAACCGCTCACCCGTGTATTGACCCTGTCTCATTCTATCTAGTATTCGGTCACCGAAGTATGGAGTGTGCCATACACCGGAGTGGTTGTCAATGGAATCATTAACAGTGGGACAATCACCGCGGGTGATCCTGTTCTCATCGGACCTGACTCTCTTGGTGGATGGATCAGCACAGCTGTCAAGAGTATCCATCGCAAACGAGCACCAGTTCCCTCCGCGGAGGCTGGACAGTCGGTCAGCTTCGCGCTCAAGAAGATGAAGAAAGGAGTGGTCAGAAAAGGCATGGTCGTCATTGCCAAGACGGAAACGCCGCCCAAAGTCACCAGGAGGTTTGAAGGACAGGTTCTCATCCTCTAGTAAGTTTTGTTCTCAGCCTTTCAATCCCTTATTGAAGAGTTATAGTCACAACACTACACTTCAGAGAAACTACCAGGCAATGCTACACTGCGGAGTAAGCATTGGTAGCGTTTCTCCGAATATCAGTTAACGGACCTACTAGAATATCCGACAGACCGTAAGACTGGTAGACATGGACTCTGAACAGGGCATTCTACGGACAGGCGACCGTGCCACCGTAATATTCGAATTCATCCAGCGTCCAGAGTTCTTGAAACCGGGCATGAAATTGGTAGGTGTCTCTATTCGTCAAATACACCGTCTGATGCGCCCATAGTTATTCAGAGAGGGCTCCACCAAAGGCTTAGGAGTCGTCACCAAGCTATTATGAGATCCTTGTTTCGCATTCTTGCGCTGGTCGCATCATTCTACAGCACCCGTTCTGTATCCTTCATCCATAGAGCTTTGTACTCATAGCTCATCTATACATTATCTTACTCATTTTACTCTTTTGGAGTCCAAGCTCCGTTGTTTATCGATAGCAACCAATACAAAGTACAAACATGTGGACAGCCCAGCGTGGAAAAAGGAGGGATTGAATATAATGAATAAAGAACGGTATCATGGCGACGACTGAGGTTCACTGTCTTTACCAGCGTCCGGGCGCACGAGGTCACTCTTATTCGACTCTGCAGAAGGACGACGAGGGAGGGGTGGAATACCAGAAAGTGGAGTAGCGCGGAATCTAGAGGATAGGCTAGCTGGACGTGATGTCCTCTCCCTACCGCCGCTCGTCGTGGGTTTGTCGTCGGCCCGGAGGTGTGCCATATTGGCTTCCGATGTATGTAGTCCCCTTTCATTCGGTGCTCGGGTAACCATCTCCTCAATTTCGCTAGATGAGCGCGGTCTTCGGGGCACACTTGTAGACGTCGCCTCAATCTCCGAACTGCCGTGAGGAATTTCCAAATATGCAAGTGTCGAAGTTCCTGGTCCACCCTTTTCCGCCCCTCCGCTCATCGTACTCCCCCATGTACTCGATCGACCACGACCGCCTCCAATGGCGGAGATACGGAGCGTCGAGGGGAACTTGCGTCCTGGTATGGATATAGGCCGCCCATCTGTATTATTTTCCATCGACTGAATCCTATCGGAAGCAACGGTGGAGTGCATACTCTCCAGTGTGCGTGGACGAGCAGACTCGCTGGCACCCGTACTCGGCCGCGAGCTCGGACGAATTTTGATTTCGAAACTATGACTCGTGCGCATAGCTCTCCTGGCTTCGTCAGAGGTCGTGTCTTCACTTCCATGACCAGCGCTTGCCGCATTACTGCTCCCGGTATGCGACAAGTGGCGAATCTGGTCCTTTGTACGAATAAGAATGTCAGAACCAAATAATACCGCACTATCTTGGCTTTTTCGGTGTTCCACCTGGAGCCTGTCGTCCTTGGAAATGGTTGATACATTCTCAAGGGGTTTCTCGTCGACACCCTCGACAATAACATGTCCCAGAGGCGACTTTGATGTTCCTCTCGGAGCTAAAGAACGCGGTGGTCCCAGCGGTGTCGGCGTCGGGAACGAGGAGAGCGGACTAGCAGAAGGAAGAGGACCACCAGTTGCTCCTGCCCTTTGCTGGTTTACCGATGCTTTCATTTGCATCTGGGTAGCCACTTCCACTTGCCGAGGAAGGATTTGACGGGGTGCGGCAGGAATATTTCTGTTCACTTGTGACGGTACAATCGCCGCTGGGCGCCGAATGTCAATCACGTCGTATTGCGGAGGTAGGGGTAATGGTGATGGAGCATTTCGGGTGCGCTCGGAGGTTTCATTCTGGATAGGTCGACGGAATCGAAACCCAGGAAGGAGGCCATAAAGTCCACCTGGCTTTGCAGGCGCACCTTGCTGCATTTGATCATGAGATCCACTCGACTTTGAAACAGTAGTCGATCGCGATATGGAAGCTGGCTTCTGCAGCTTGGAGCGACTGGGTGTCCGCGCAATGCTGACAGAAGAAACAGCTTCGGAGGCTCGCTCTTCCGGGGATTGGCGTACCGTAGTTTCCTCGGCTAGGCGAACCAACTGTGAATCTGCACCCACTACTCTGCCTCGGCGCGCTGTCAGCACAACTGCCTCACGAACACTTGTACCCGTGCTCGCTATTTCGTCCGTTGAGGACATGCGTAAAGGTACGCCTGGAGACATTCGACTAGATGTTGTCCCCGTCGCTGACCCGGACCGCTCAAGGCGTGAGTCTCTGTGAGCGATTCGACCCAAGCTCGCGACATGTCTCGGTCCAGCCCAAGTCAGACTTCGTTGCATGATGGCACGGGAAATGTCTTCGACTTTGTCATCTTTGCGCCCAAAAAGCTGAGGGGGGTCTTCATATATTGTCGCTGCCCGCCTCTGCGCGCGAGCCCGTCGGCGTTCCGACTGACTTTCGTCAACGATGGCCACAGAATCGGCGATTTTCGAAGTCTCTTGGTATGTACGGCGCCTCAAGGATGATGATGTTGAGCGCGTTCTTCGCGTAGCCTTCTTTGGTGCAGAGGGGAGACGTGGATACTCGTCGATGACCATAATCTCCATGCCATCGTCAGATCCCTCGTGCTCAAGTTGCTTCCTTTCATCTCGCAGGTGCTGCTGGCGAGCATACAGTACGCTGTCGACATTGACCTGACCAACTTCCAGTCTTGGAGTTCTTTGTCTCCGTCTTTTCAAGCTTGCCAGGTTCGTTGAAGATGATGTGTCTTGCATTGGATCGAGGAGGCTCTTCCCAACGCTCCTCCCACCAACGCTTCCATCTCGTAGATGAAGAGATGAGACGGATGATCTAGAAGACGTCGAGGACGATCCCATATGAAGGAATGGACTAAAATCTGGCGTTGGGATCCGGATAGATGAGGGAAGGATAAATTCCGCGCCTCCTAACCCACTTGAGCCTGTGGCAACGAGAGTATCTCTCGGCAATCCGATTGTGCCCATCTCGCCCAATTCCTTCACATTCGGAACGCCTAATTGTCTATTGGTTGAGGGTTGACGGCCCATATCGGGAGGTAGGATTGCGCCCGAGTGCTCACGAGCACGAGCCGCCGGCGGTTCAGTACGACGGCCAGCGTACTGTAAAGTGCGTGTATGATCGGGAACTATCGCAACAGTCGATTTTGGTCTTGTGTTTGAGGAAGGTTCGCCCCCTGTTGAGATTGGGGCACTCAGCCTCGAACCGCCGCCGTCTTCTCTTTCGGAGGTCGCGAGGTTCGTGAGCCAAAAACCAGGTTTCTGGTTGAATGTATAGAGAACGAGAATTGTCGCGGCACTGAACGGGACATATTGTAAGAGGACGTGAATACTCGTGTCGGAGAAGATGCTTGGATAGATGGTGACTGCATCCAGAATCAAAAGGGAAAAGGCCCGCTGAAGGTTCAGGATTGATGGTCGCTTGAGAAATTGTGTCAAAGGAGCGTGTAGGCCTTCGTCGAACTGTACAGATCATCAACAAAACGATCGCATAGGAAAAAGGGTGCATACCGCGGTAATGGGATCTACGCGTGCGCGACTGCGAATAGACAGGAGGAGTCGGATCAGGCAATACAGCTCGAGTAGAAGGTTCATCCCACTCATGGTAGAATTACCAAGGAGGAACCTATGCGAAGTCAGCATGTCGCAATTGACATTTCTTTCTATCTCACTGTCGTGTATAGCACCAAGCCAATCTCTCGTTGAGGCCCATGATCGGACGTAGGACACCGGTGCTGACGGCTGTTGTGAGGAACATGACCACCGCGAGAAGGAGAAGGGCGAGCCAAATGGTATATCTTTCGCACTTGGACGCGACACTTGATTTGTCTAGTTGTGATCGGACAACACGTCTACCTTCTACGGCTGAAGCGTTCGCCGGTCCCGCGGCCGCTGTGGTTGTAGTTGGAATCTTCCGGATGCGTGGAGGCCGTATATGCTCCACTCCCTCACGTGCATCGTGCTCCCGCCCGAGCACACCGAGCTCAAGATCACCCTGCCTCGAGAGCGTTGAACGTCGCTTGAGACCAGGTTTATGAAGAGAAAAAGAAAGCTTGAAAAGCCCGAGGAGGCGGATCGTTTGCGAACCTGCGGTAGGGCAGTCGTGTGGAAGATTGATCCGGGTCCACGTCGAAAGTCGGCGAGGGTGGCGACAGTCGTAAGAGGCAAATTCGAGGATCGCGTGCCAATAATTGAAATCAAATAGACAGTGTTATGGAGAGCGGAGTGTCAGCTGCCTTATTGTTCAAACACACGACCGACAAGGAGACTGACCGAGCTGGCCCCAAGCGACGACGAAAGTGCATCCAACTTGACCAGAAATGCTATCGAATGCGAGGAGAGAGGCGAACTGAGTCGCAGATGTCGTAAGGGCGACGAGATTGAGGAGAAAGACGAGCGCTAGTGGGTCCGATTCGCCAGTGACTGACGAGTTCAACGATGCGGACGAGTGCTTCAGAGAACCGCGACCAATAATATAATGAAAAATAGACGACGATGTTGGAGAATGGACGAGGTAATAGGTTGAGGAGGCAAAGAGCAACCCAATGAAAAAGGTGGCAATTTGCCGTCTGGATATCGTCAGCGCAGGCAATCTCAAATGCAAATGTACAGACAGAAATGGATGTTGGATGTACTCGTCAATACTGGGATCCCCTAGGCCGAGGTTGAGCATCCACTGCGTCTGCTGGCTTGCCATCCATCGGGGGAAAGCAGCGTCAAGATGAAATTCGGCTGTGTATTTCCAATATTTATAAAGAATTCCTCGGTCAGGCAGCTACATCTCCCAACCTCTCATTGGTCGTTGACCTAGAAACTGTGAATAGGCCCTCTTCTGTCCCTGGAAGCTGTGGCCAGCTCGTGTAGCACGCCTATCCCATCTACGACCGATCACACGTCTTGTTCTCTACGGTGTCCCTTGGCGCGACATTCCCGTTAGAGGGGTAGACGTCTCGCTACCGGTCGTCATCAGCGGATTCGGTGACGGCACGACACTTGTGTCAAGGTAGTCATCGACTTGGGTCATGTACCTGGCAAAAAACTGCCTCCAGCTCGCTTTAGAAGGTATAAAATGACCTTTGGGGCATAATGAGGGTGCACCGCCGGCGGATTTAGTGTAAGTACACACATACCTCCCTCGTGCTTTTCAACCCTAGCGTTGGTACACACGTCCACAAGCGTCATTGAGCGTTCGAGTCCAACAATAAGGTCGTTCACCCCCAGGACGTGCAGGCTCGGGGTCTGAATCCCTGGTCTTGCGACGCCATCAAAAAACGCATCAATCCTGTCGCTTCTCGGCCGAAATCCGGCGACTAGCACACAAAATCTGAGGGGAGGATGCCGTATTAGTGGCCCTTCCTGCGCACTCTCGACGTCGGATCCCGACGGTTTCAGCAGGTCGGAGACGGCCTCAGGGTGCTCCAGCTAGATGAATTATTGATCAGTTGGATAACATTCCGTCGGATTAGAGTTTTACCATTGCCGCAAGCAACGCCGCGGCGCAAGCACCTTGACTAAAGCCAAAGACTCCCTGAGACGCGTGAGATAGTGGTACCAGATGCTTGACACATACATCAAATGGAACACCGTTCTCTTCCATTTGGAGATTGACAATGTCCAGTAAGGACTTCGCGCATTTGATCATGGTTTCCTCATCCCCTCGAAGCCACCATCCACGGGCAATGAGCTCCGGATGAGTTTCTGGATGATCTATGGATGCCTCGTTACTGCTGTCCAACGCATGCGCTTCTGCAGCCCCGAGTTGCGCGAGATTCTGGGGCAGGTCGGCAGGTCGTAGAACAAGAGGGGCTTCTGCATGTACTGTTACTTGTTTCAGTATTTCATATATGAATACTTGTTTCAAGGGCTGGTCTCGTGGAGAAAGACCGAGGATTGCTGACCAAATTCACAAGTCTTCCCGCACTGTTTACGGATAGCCGCCATCTGTCGTTTTGTAAGTGCCATTACTTAATAAGGTCAATGTGAATCACTTTTTTGTAGAATATCGTTGCATTCTGGGCGTAACTAGGCGTTTATCAGCGAAATCAACAAGAATGGGAGCATATACCCATGCAACAGTAGAATTCTCCTCATTTCTCGTAGTTTTCACGAGTATCCTGCGTTGGCTGGAATCAACGTTGGAAGCGAGGGTTGCACCCAATTAACGACGCCACTCAGACCCGTTCACAACTCCGCCAATAAACCGTTGACTGCCAAATCTTGAGACCAAACGAAAGCTCGAATTAGAGTGGATAAAGATGCTTCAACAACATCCTTCTATGGACGGACGCGAACAGAACAAAGCGCCTTTGAAAGAAGAAATCGATGCACTACGCGTCACACTCTCACGTGAAGAGCGCCTTCTCCAAGTAATCTCGTCAGAGATTGAGACAGTAACACTTGAACATGCCAAAGCGTCGCATGCGCTCTCGCTTGCCCAAGCCGCACTGGACGCCGCTGTACTTGTATACCGGACAAGTGAAACGATGCTCAGTGGGCTAAAGGCACAGCACGCTCAGCTTAGTGAAAACGTTCATGACAAAAGGGCGGCACTACATCCAATTCGACGGGTTCCCGAGGAATTATGGAAGGATATATTCACTATTTGGGTGGACGAAGAAGAGAAAGAGCGAGTATCCAAGTTGGATACACACGTTCAGGCTGATCTCAGCATTCCTGCGTCCTTGGTGGCGGCGTCTGTCTCCAGCTTTTGGCGTAAGACGGCGCTTTCAACACCGAGTTTGGTATGCAATATTGAATCCCATATTATGATTGACTGGCTGTCAGTGGCGATTCATCACGATACCAAATCAACCTCTTTCCGAGATTAAGGCTCATATCCACGAGTGGGCAAAACGGTCGGCACCAAGAATCGTCTCACTAATACTATGGAATGTTGGTCGTGAAAGTTGGTCAAAGGACCCAGCATTACCCACCTCCCTGGATGGTCTTCGCTACGCTCTTTCTTCCCTCAAAGGTAGGTCAGATTCGAATGGCAGCGCCCAACGAGCTGATTGTATACAGATCGTATCGGTAGAATAGAGGTTCACTTTCAACGGTCTACTCCCGCCCCAGCTGTACAGATATTTAGTGCCGTTATGAGTGAGCCGAGGCACAAACTCTCAAACCTTTCAGAAATATGGCTCGAATATACAAGTATCATACCCGAGAGTCTCTCCGCACACTCCTCCCTTATTCCCGACCGGACTTTCCAACTCCACCGACTGAAAAATCTCCACACTCTTACTCTCCGGAACCTCTTTTGGAATACACCAAGTGGCCTCAAAAGCCTTCGAGTACTCAAGATAGAATCGATCTTTATGGAAACAGATGTCAATTCGTTTCGCCACCTCCTCGCTAACTCAAAGGAATTGGAAGAGGTTGAATTCTTGACACTTGCTTCGACCGCACACCCAATTATCCCGCCTGGAGGAATCGTCGACTACCCACGTCTCAAAAAGCTCTCTGTCTGTCCTCGATGGCTCGCGACGGTGCACGAAGACCTTTCTCAAGTGCTTACTCTCCCTGCACTTCGAACTCTCCGCCTTATTGCATGCCAAGTCGCCCCTTTCTCCTCTCGGGAAGCCGATGCTGTTTCACGTTTCATCGCTGACGTCGCGCCTACGGTTGAGGAACTTTATTTCAACCTCCGCGGTGAACTCTTCCATACACAAATCCTCAATACCCGCGCCGCTATTACCCGCCTAGAGCTAGTGAATACCGAGGTTCCCATCGAGATCATTGAACGACTGACCAACCCCATCTCGGAGGGAAACAGTGCTTCCATGGGGGGAGCCTCCCTCGGCTCTCCTACCTCGACGATTAGCATGGGGAGTAATGCATCGCGTAGATGGGTACTCCCACACTTAGAGGAGATTCGCTTCGAAGACTGTGATTTACCGCCGGAGATCGAACGTGCTCTCGCTCAGCTTGTCGAAGTTCGCGCAGAAGTTACCCCATATCTACGTGGGAACGCGAATGCAAAGCTGGGACGAGTGAGCGTGCGAAGAAATAGTATGACCGCTTGGCAATACCCTGTCGTATGGACTTGATTGAATCCTTGCTACTAGGCTCAAATTCCAATATGATCAATCATGCCACTCGTGTCCATATGTAAAATTGTATTGCCAGTGGAATCATCTCACTCTCTCCCGACCGCTATTGGCAATTGCGAGAGATGGCGAAGGAAGCCTTCAAATCGATACGAACAGCAAGTTTGGATATCTACAATCGATTGCATTCCATCGATGAAGATGCGGCGTTTGTCTCCGATATTGCTGATCGTTTTCCTAGCTATCCGCTCTTCGGTACTTCCTCCATTGATGAAAAATATGTATTTCTGACCTAGTGTAGCAAATCAACGTTGCGGAGCTTGGTATACTGACCCAGCACGGGCATCGTCTGTGATTTCCGTCTTTGCACACAGAGTGTGACAGATAACAGGTCAGATTTCGTCTACTTCAAGTCTACAGATGGACACACTGGTCAATGGGACTTTAATCTCCGTCGCACGAATCTCCATCTCCTGCCATATATTTTAGAGAGCAAAGGGTATATGGAAATCAACAGCCATAGGTCGTTCTGAAATACTTGATGCAGCATACTACTAGTAGACTCTACGAGGAGTGGGAAAGCTTTCCCAGATGCTCTCTCGAAGACTGTACCACTTTGGTGTGCTGTAATCAACCAAGCTCTCCTTTCACAGGGCCACCTATCTCAGCACATGATCAAGTCTCATGGAAATCTACACGTTGCTCCGTCGTGTGTGGGCGGGAGCGAAGCTACACAGATGAAGCACCGGATCAATCAATTTGCCGATAGACTTCAAGTATGCCCGTCTCCTTCCGATTAAATTTGAACTTGATTTCGATTGCAGTAAAGGCGTCTTCATTTATCCTGCCGCCATTGGATAAACCACTTCGTCCATTCTGGATCTCCCCGCGATCGTCTGTCCTCCCATCCTTTGGACAAGATCCCGAGTTCTATCCAGTGATATGTATCTCCGCATCCAAGGTTATTTCGGATGGATTGGAAAGACGACAGGCCGGATATACGTATATTCAAGGCTCTGGAGATGACCATGAATCTTGGAGTATGGTAAGTTTCTCCCTCATAGTCAGGTGATGATGATTCTCACAAGGTAACAGGGCCTCACACCTCCTATCTACTGGGAGCGCAAGAGAGAATTACTCGCTGTCACCCAGGACGACCTTCCCAACACCGTAAAGCAGATCGTTCTAGAAGAATCCGATAAAATTATGGTTTTGCATGAGAACATTTTCTATATCGATGCCGTAGGAGGACAAATAGCCTACTGGTGCGGTAGAACTGAGCCGCAAGGGGTGTCGATCATTATACGCTCTGGAGAATCGACCTCGATTCAACGACAAGAAACATCGCTGGTGATTACAGCGGCAAACGGGAAGAGGAAGCCGCTCGACCTTTTGCATCTGGTGCTACCTGCTGTTGACTCGTTTGGACGCAAATGGTTGGACGACAGCGGGCACCGTGTTATTATCGTAGACCAGGACGCAAGATATGATGAAGGAATTGGGATTCTCATGCTTTTACTTGGAAGCTTCTTTGATGACGATGGAAGAGAGGTACAAGCAATGTCGAATCCTGGTAAGCCAAGACTCAGGCAAACACAAGGAATTAATATGGTCACAGCTAGCAAGGAGAGTTTAAGGAGGCGATTGGAGTGGATACAAAGGAGTATCCCGCGTGCCAATCCCTCGCGGACGATAATGAAAAGGGTCAACGAGTATGTTATCTCTCGCCATTTATCCATACGCAGGAGACCTGTTTCGACAATAACAACATGAAGAGGTAATCTCCAGAGCTTCAGTCAAGTATCGTCCCAATACTTATTGTCTCGCGTCTAGAAATATCTGTTATGACAATCCCATTGCACCGCTTTGGAACGTGAGATATCACGAGGTCTATGCCTGCCACTGGCATCACTACGAGAAAGCGCGCATGGAATGCCGAGAACCAGGGTTCGGTCTAAAGTTATAGCCGCAACGTTGTTTCTATGATGCTACGGATTTGATTGCAATTGTGTTGATAACAATTCTATCCACGGCTCGGCGCTGAGCTTCCTCAGAGTCTGCCTGCACCAGTGCCGTGTCGGAGCCGAGCTTGTAATACTGAAACAGAGACATGAGTTTATGTAGTAGTAGCAGCAAGGTAGATGGACGAGCCTTTTTTAGTGCTGCCCAGTCTGTGGGCAGATCTTCCAGAGGGGCAATTTGCCCTTCTACAACCTTTTCCATGTCTTTCCTTACGTCTATGCTTCGTGGTTCACTATCTTTGAAAACGCGAAGTACGACGATGTCTGTAGACGACTCTGTCACACCAAAGCGTCGGATAGCTTCAGAAATCTGTCAAGGTTTAGAGTCTTTCGGGGCCAAAAACCAGATCGTACATTATTGCCTGGATTCAAGAACCATAGAATCTCGGAGTGAATATACTTTGTCTTCAACGCGCCCTGCTCTTCGGCGAGCAAAGCCTGGTGAATAGCCGTCTCAAGCATCATCTTACTCGTAACCTTGCATGTATTGATTCAGACGCGTAAAAGGAAAGACTTGGACCAACCAGGCGCGCATCGATAAAGGCAAAGTTGACCGCGGCTCGTTCCGCGATCCCTTCGTCTCCTGCCATTGTCGAAGCCGTCACAAGTCTCTTCTTAAGTGAGGCTGCATTGGTGACATTCTTGAAAAGTGCGACGAAGACTGATGCGCCAGAGTGTGGGATTTGGTACGACTCCATCTTCGCTTCGCCACCCGGCCTCCTGTGCAAGAGACAATCCAATGAGTTGAACAAAGTTTTGATTCATCAAACGCGTAAAACAATCCTGGATCAAGTAATACATTTCTACTTTTGCCTCTTGTAAATCTTGTTCAGGAAGCTCCTGAATACCTCGCGTTTCAAACCCATCGTATCCTTGTCATTTCCCAGACTCGGAATCGTTCGCGGGTAGGGTTCCATCATCGGTTCGTATGTAGCGTTGCCCTACGATGTAGATGAGGCGTGGCGTTCAGAGTAGGGATGGACAAAACACTCACCCCAGAGGTGTACTCTACTGGCCCCTCCGATTCGGGGATCGCATCAATGAGCTTATTAAGCTTCTCGTACGTGTTTTGCTCGTATTCCCTATAGAGCTCTTCAATCTTCAGCTCGTTAAAGACGGCCTTGACGCGTGCCTCGCACGCCGAGTCTTTACGTCCATAGTTTTCCTAGTCTTCGTTAGGTCCGAGTATAAACCAAGTGCATGAGCTTGAAAGACGCACATCGAGAATCTTCCTTTGCTCAGGAGAGGCACGTTGGAGAGCAATATTGACGTTCCAACTGCATTTGTTGTCCAAAATATCCGTACCGACTTTACCAATCTGCTCGGGTGTACCGAAACAATCGAGGTAGTCGTCTTGTACTTGGAAGTACTCGCCAATCGGAATGAGGATTGAGAGTGCGGTCGCGTATGCGGCATCAGAGTTGATACCAGCATACCGCATACCGAGTGCCACCGGAAGGTAGAATGAATAGTAGGCCGTCTTGTAAATCACAATGAGCTGGTGCCTACAGACTCGTTAGTGTTCTGGCTAGTTTAGCAAAATGGCTGGATGCATACTTTTTCAACGAAAACTTGCTCAAATCGACATGCTCCTCTGGTGCAGTGATCAAGTCGATCAACTGGCCAATCTCCGTCTTGAGCGTAGTTTCGAGGAAGAGTTCGAGGATGTACACATAACTCTTTTCCTCGCGGAAGTAGAGCTTGAGGAGATGGTAAATGGCAGCTTCGAGCATAAACGAATCGTTGATCGCAATGTTTCCGACCTGGGGCAATCGGTACCAGCAAGCTTGTCCACGACGCGTGATGGACTGATCCATCATGTCGTCCGCGACGAGGAAGTAGGCCTGGAGCAGTTCAACGCACCATCCAAGGACCGACGCCTTGAAGAATTCGTCGGCAGTCAAGGCACGCCCCTGGAGGATCTCAAACGTATCCACGACAGAGATTCCACGGTTCAATTTCCCATGTGGAGTATTATAATTGAGATTCTGTTGAGAGAGCGCCGCGGACGGGAAACCCAATGATCAGTTGGCTATCAAACGCAAAGAGAATCAAACATACGCGTCTGAACCACTCTGTCGCATCTTCTGGCATTGAATGTTGCTTCATCAGTTGGACGAGCTCGCTTTCGAGCTTTGGCCAGACATCAAGGAATTCCTTCTTGCGCTGAGCAGCCTTGGCTTTTGGATCGATAGCAGGAGCGGCCATTCTGAGCAAAATGGGAGAGAGCAGATCACTGGAACTTGTGGATTTGACAGAAAGATTCCGAGGGGAGCAGATGGTCCGACGAGGAAGAGAGGAGAATTCTGGTAGATGTCGAAGTCTAGCAATTCGTGTAAGTGAGGCCAGTAGGTCTCTTTTATAGACAAGCAACCAAACAATCGCGGGCGGAGGGTTCAAGGTTCAAAGTGGCACAATCGCGTCCATGGGCCGATTGTCAAAATCGTGCTCATCTTATTGTCGTCTCAGAACGATCTCACAATTTACAATGCGCAAGGCAATAAAATATCGAGAAACAAATGATCATATTGATCGGCAGAGGTATAGGAGAGGACATGGAAAGACTACATACGCATACGGGCAGCGCAAAATAAAAGTCGCAAAAGACACAGCTGAGAGAGAAAACCGAACCAACGAGAGAGGCATGGAGGTCGTGACAAGGGCGGATACCCGCAGTGGAGACGACGTCTCCTTTTGAGCAGAAGAGAGACTGGGCGTTTATTCGCCATCAGAGTCCTCTCCACGCTTGCGACGAGCCATACGATCCTTCTTGGCTTTGCGTGCCTCGTTGGAGGTCAACTTCTTCTTCAACTTTGACTTTTCAATCTTGTTGCCCATAGCGTCGTACTGATCCTCATCTTCACCAGCTGGCTGATCAATTCTTGGACCCGAGCCCTGACCTTCGACCCAGTTGTGGCCAGATGCCTCGAGGTGACCATCCCTCATCGCCCAGACTTCACTGCAAACCGACTCGCTGAAGTCACGCGAGTGAGTGATGATGAGCACACCACCGTTGAAGTCCTTGAGAGCGCCAATGAGCGCTGCGAGAGACTCGCGATCGAGGTAGTTGGTCGGCTCGTCGAGGGCGAGGATGTGTGGGCGGCGCCAGGTCGCGGCTCCCAACACAATCTTGACCTTTTGACCACCAGAGAGACCGCGCATCGAGTTGTGCGAGACAAACTCTGGTTCGAGACCAAAGTCGGCAAAGTGCTTCTCGATTTCCTTGCGGACGAGTGGGCGGAGCAAGCCGAGACGTTGAGCCTCGCGCGTATCAATCTCCAAGATGCGCTTCTCGAAGCCGCGCTTGACAAGCTCATCACGGGGCAACCAGACGTTCTCGCTGGACGAAAGTCCCTTGAAGGAGACCTCGTACTCAAACGACTGCTTGAGCTTCTTGCGGTTGTTGATCTCTTCGATAATGCGCTTCTGGCCGTCGATGACAATGTTGGCACCCTCCTTCATCTTCTTGACCTCCTCTGGCGTCAACTCGCGGTTGGCCTTCATCATCTCCTCGAGATCCTCACCAGTCTGGTAGCGCCAGAGCATGTACTCGAGCGGCGTCTTGTCAAGATGCTGCTCAATGTGGTGGAAGGCATGCTGGGCGACATAGCCAATGACCAAGTTGGGGTGCTTCCAGACCTCTCCGCCCTTGTTGGCCTCCATGTCGCCAATGAGGAGCTTGACCAAAGTGGATTTACCACTTCCGTTGGGGCCAAGGATAGCGACACGGGACGAGAGCGAGACTTGCAGCGTAATGTCGTAGAGCTGCTGTTGAGTCTGGGTAGGGTACTGGAAGCCAACCTTGCGCATCTTGAGGAGCGCCTTTTCCTTGGTCTTGACACCATCGAGGAATGGCGGGTCGGGGAAGCGGAACTTGTAGTCATCAGCGGCCTCGAGCGTGTAGTACGACTTGGCCTCGGGCACCGCCTTGACAAACGACTCGAGATTGCCGCGGTAACGTCTGATCTTGAAGCGGTTGAGGTGGAGGACATCCGTGATGGTGTTGTTGAGGAAGCCAGAGTCGTGCGAGACGATGACTATAAAAAAACTGTCAGATGAGAAGACTAGAAAGGAAAATAAAACGTACTGGATGTGCAGTGGGTGAGCGACGTAAGGTAGTTCTCGAGCCAGGCAATGTTGACGACATCCAAGTGGTTAGTCGGCTCATCGAGAAGGAGAATGTCGGCCTTGAAGAGCATGGCACGAGCGAGTGCGAGCTTCATCTTCCAACCACCAGAGAGTGAACCAATGGAGGTCTGTTGGCGCTCATCGCTGAAACCGACAGAGGCAAGGTCTCGACGATTTCCTTCTTGTCCGCGAGGATGCGCTTGTCGGAGAGAATAAAATCGAGGATGGTGGTGGACTCTTCGCTTCCGTCAATGTCGTGCTCGACGTAGAAGGTGCGGACTTCGTCTGGCGATGGGAAGCCCTCGACCTGACCGTTGGTAATGGCCCTCATCAAAGTGGACTTGCCTAATAGATGGTCAGAAAAATAAACATCACAAGAACTATTGACTTACCGCTTCCGTTGCGACCACACAATCCGTAGCGGTGGCCACGCTTGAGACGGAGAGTGGCCGTGTTCAAGAGGATCTTGGCACCATAGGCGAGCGAAAAGGTGCAGTTGCAGAGATCCTCACCTTGTTCTTCGTCATCGGCAACTTCGGCCTCGTCGTCGTCATCGCTAGCGCTCTTGAGGAGCAACTCGCGCGTGACAGCCTCGGCATCGGGTTGAGAAGCGATGAACGAAATGTAGGTAGGGAGCGACTTGAGCCACTCTTGCGAGTCGAACATGCGAACGGTGATCATGTTCGCAGCGAGCTTGCAGGCATAGACGGCAGCAGGAGAGCTGAGGTCTGGAACAGTTGCAGCGCCCGCCTTCTTGTAGGCAGCGGCGAGCAACTTGGAGACGTGAGCAACGTCGACCACCTTTGCGGGTGGGAGCTGGCTACCATCACCCTCGGGCAACTTGGCAACGCCGCGGAGGGTAGCGATGGCACGCTGGCAGACGCTGCGAGCCTCTGGATCTGGCATGGCCTCTTCGACCTTGAGGAGACCAGGCAAAAGTTTGGGGATAAAGGGACGAACGGTGTGTTCGTTATCGACGAGCTTGGCCATGTTGTCGATGATAACGGCACACTTGCGCTTCGTCGCCACAGGACGTTCTTGAAGACCACGAGAAAGAAGGGGAACCATGAGGGAAAGAGTGGGAGCATCCACCTCCGAAACGAAAGTCGTAGCAGAAAGGAGCTGAATAGTTTTGGGGACCTCTTCGACAGGATTAATGAGTGCGCTCCTCAGCGCGGGAATAAAGTTGACGATATCCTTGTTGGAGACGAGTTCGGTCGTATTCTTGAGCGAGTCGCGGGCAGCCTTTTTGACATCAGCCTTGGTATCCCAAATAGCCTCTGCGAGGACTGGGATGATCTCGGGAGTCTGGCTGGCCGTCTGGGTGGGTGCGACCTTGACGAGCGTGTTGAGTGCGGTGAGGCACCCAGTCTTGATCTGCCATTTTCCAGCCGTCTTGATCTGGTGCAAGAGGACGGGGAGGATGAGAGAGGCAGACCAGACGCTCGAGTTTTCGATGACGGCCACAAGGGCATCAAGGGCGTTGGCACGGACGGCCGGAGTCTTATCGGCGAGCGACTCGAGAAGGACGGGAATAAGGCCGCTAGAAGCGTCGGCAAGGATAAATGGCTCGAGCTGAGCAGCGGCACCCTTTGTAGCAAGGAGCTGGACGCAGGACGCGGCAGCCTCGCGGTTTGCAGGGTTCTTCTTGTCGGAGAGGGCAGAGATGATGCTCTCGACGAGGTTGATGGACTGGATAGCAGCAGGACCATCATTTTGGATTTTGGAGACGAGGGCTTCTACAGCAGCCACTCGTGTGGCCTTGTCGCAAACGAGCAAGGCAGGGGCGTCGAGTGCGCCAGCCTTGACGGCCGTTGGGACTGTGGTTGCGGCGGTGGTAACAGCGGGCATTCTAGCAGTCTGGAAGGAAAAAGAAAGACAAACAGCGTCAGTAAGCAGACTCTGGGAGACTGGAGGGAGGGCACAATCTGACAAAGCCGGTTGCGGGCTCAGACAAGACGGGACGGGCGCCACTCACCAAACGGTTAAAAAAAGGATAAAAATGTGAGCTAAGGCGAGTGGTCTACGCTTGAGAATATCAAGAACGTTTATGGCGACGAAGCGCGGTCTATAAGGTGATCTATACGAAACCCGGGAAGGGGAGGGGACCAAGTGATACATTTTTGTTTGGCCCAGACAGCCACTCCGGCTTATCCGCGCTCCGTGGCAGTCGCCTAACCCTTAACAACGTGTGGATACCGGGAGAAATGTTGGCTAATTAAACTGGACACGAGGCTGACCTGTCCGTTAGCTCTTCCGCGGATTTGGCTAGGTGGTAGAGGATTTCAATGGGATCCCGTTGATTGGTCACTCGGGAGGAGCGGATCCGGACGCCGAGCATCTTCAGCGGCTGATAAGCCTCTGTTTTTCAGGCTCTTTCAAATCAGTCGTAGAGGCCACATTATGGGTTAAAGACCCCTAATTAGGCATGCCACAGGGCAAAACTGGGGGTGGGGCAAAGCTTAGCATGCGAACCTGAATTGGGAGCTCGGCAAAAATAAGTCTTTTTTTGCACAGCTAGTATCCAGCAGCGCCCGGTGCAGAAGTTCCTTCGCGTTTGAGACGTAGTAAGACTTCCTTGTAACGCGTCAGATCCGTCGTTCCAGCGCCCGTGCGTGCAATCGTCTTTGACTGAGAATTTTCGAGCTCGATAATTTCACATATGCGGCTCCACGTTGTCCCCGCAGAGAGAGACTCTGTCAGTTTGGCCCTGAATTCTTCCTCACGCAACCTGGGAAAAACGTGCAGATGGCGCCCGTCAGTCAACCGCCCCGAGCGCACATACACACGTTCATAACGCACTTGTTGTCCTTGATATTGCGCTCGACTTTTGCTTTATGCTCAATATAGAATTCATCAATCGACTCGTTGGCCTGCTTTTTGATATCTTCGCGTCGACGGGCGCTCCTCTCGTCCCGCTTCGCAATCTCGGCCTGTTGCTTTTCACGCCAGTCCCTTTGAGTGAGGTGTAAGTGATCTATATAAGAGCTTATGAGACTCTCCGTACTTGATTACTTGTGGCTCCTCCTCAAATGCTGGGGTAATAGACGGTTGCGCATAGGCAGGTGGTTGGACAGGCGTCCCTGCAAATGAACGCGTTGCTCCAAACGTAGGTACAGACGGAGGTTGTTGAACGGGCTGTATTCGAATAATAAAAAAGAGTCAGCAATCTGCACTCCAGAAGCCAGACACGTAGGAGCCATTCTGCCACGTACCGTGCCAATATCAGGGGAACTGGCTTTCAAACTTTTGAATCTCATCATCTCCAGTGACGCGTACTGGCGGTGCGTTGGATGCTGGCAGCGGGTCAAAGTCAAAATCGAGCGGTTCGCTGGGGATATTTTGGATGGGAGCGGGAGCAGCGGTCGTCATTCCTCCGAATCCATCCAAGTCGTCCTCGAGCGCAGGGAATGTAGACGACGCGCGCACAAACTCGTCGTTGTCGTCAAAGGCGTCCATCGTGGCACAAGGTAAAAGTCGTTGTTACAGCTGTAAGTATACGAGCAGTCAGATTATATCGTTTTGTTAAAAATCAGAGAATCGTGGTCGAGCTCAAGAGGTGCACAAACTTCGACTCGTCACTCACTTCTCGGCATCATGTATTCGTGTCGAGCGACCCAAAATACTTCAAGAATATTGCGCACATCAGCATTTACTCGTCCTACAAACCACCAACGGTTACTTCCTATTCTTTCCAGACGCGCCCTCTCCTTTACTCGGAATGAACCCCCAAAAGTTTCGACAACAGAGCCCAAGCCGCTCCTCGTTCGCTTTTTACCAACTTCAATGCAACCAGACGAGAAGAGTAGCTCGTCTTTGCGAAGAATTTATCGACTCGCGCTCACAGAACGTAAAAGCCTGAGTATAGCCATTGGCTTAGTGAGAAGTCTCCAAACTCGCAGTTGCACACATTGACATTTGAAACAAGCTCTTTATATCTTCTTCAGTATCTATGTCAGTTCCATTTACAATTGGACGTCTCATTGATTACTTTACCTCACCGAACCCGGTTAGCATTGCGCAGTCAAATCTTGGTCGCATCTAATGCCTCTTACAGGACCTGTTTCTTGGGTTAACGCCTACTATGGCAGCTGCTTCGCTCGTAGGAGTCTTTACCCTCGGAGCCTGCGCGAATTTTGGTCGAAGTTTGTTGATGCGCTTGTCGGGACTGAGGATCATCGCCAGACTACGAAAGGATACCTATGCAAGTGCCCTACGACAAGAGGTCAACTTTATCGAAAACTCGGAGGGTGACGTCTTGAGTCGGCTTTCTGTCGACACGAACATTGTCGGTGAATCGTGGGTACATACTTGCATATCCTCTCACATTCTTAATCCGCTCTCAGTGTCACCGGAAACCTGAGCGACGGCCTTCGGTACGTTCACTCGTATCCCTTGGAAACAGTCTCATGCCTTGTAGTGCTGTCGTGACTGGCACTGTTGGAGGTATATATCTCGACTCTGCAACGATATAGACTAATTATTCATAGTTGGCCTCATGTTCTATCTTTCACCTACATTGACAGCTCTCATGTTGGCAATCGTTCCCCCAATCTCTCTCGGTGCCGTAAGTGCATGCTTAGTACCACTTCTTCATCTCACGTTCTATAGGTCCTTTATGGTCGCTACCTTAAGCGACTCTCCAAAAGGACGCAAGAAGCCCTTGGCAAAATGTCTGACACGGCGCAAGAGTCAATCTCTGCGCTTCGAACTGTCCAAGCATCCAATGCAGAGAAGCATGCCCTGAAGCTCTTTGCTAAAGATGTGCGCTTGAAATCTCCTATGGCCTTTATGTGCTCATCCAGACTAGGTCGACTCGGTCCTTGGTCTTCAACGTAAAGAGGCTTTTGCAACTGCAACTTTCTACGGTTCAACGGGATTAGCGGGAAACGTCACAATCCTAGCACTGCTGGGCTATGGTGGAACTCTTGTTTCACGAGGTGTCATCTCTGTTGGCGACTTGAGCAGCCTATTGCTCTACTCCGCGTACGTGGGAGGAAGTATGGGTCAACTGAGCTCCTTCTTCGTATGTATCTTCCTTTACACCATGTCTATGGTTGACCACCGTTAGACCACCCTCATGAAAGGTGTGGGTGCGGGAACAAGAATATTTGACTTGCTTGAGCGTGAACCTGTCATTGCACCATCGAAAGGCACAGTACTAGAGGGAAGGGCAGTCGGTACAATCAAATTCGAGGGTGTGCGCTTTGCATATCCCAAGCGTCGCGACGTCCAGGTGCTCGATGGGTTTGACCTCGAGATTAAACCCGGAGAGAGCGTGGCACTAGTGTAAGAGATTCCCTTCTGTTTATCCTTATTCTGACTGGGTTGCAGTGGAAAGAGCGGAAGCGGAAAGAGTAGTGTCCAAGCCCTTCTGCTCCGTTTCTACGATGTGAGATCTAGTACTACTTCTTAGCTATGGCTAACATGGTGATAGCCCGACTTAGGTCAGATCAAGTTCAACGGAACAGGTACACCATTTCGTACACACTCCACGTCGCTGACAATGCGTAGATATCAGAGACTACACTCCGGCGTCGTGGCGATCACAGATAGGACTCGTACCTCAAGATCCAGTCCTATTCTCTGGCACTATTGCGGAGAATATTGCCTATGACCGTCCGGATGCCAGTCAAGCAGAGATTGAAGAGGCCGCTCGTCTTGCCAACTGCGAATTTGTTTGGGACTTTCCAGAAAAGTTCGAAACTAAGAGTGCGTCTTTGTTGAAGTCTGTGCATCTTCGACTGACATGGCGCAGTCAACAAGAATAGTCTTAGTGGTGGCCAGCGACAGCGAGTTGCAATCGCCAGGTTTGTACTTTCCGTGAATGCTCTCATCAATTTCTCTAAGAATTTGGTAGGGCTCTGCTAAAGCACGCTTCTATCCTCTGTTTGGACGAGGCATCTGCCGCTCTAGACGGGGCCAGCGAGCACAAAGTCAACGACGCGATCGCAAAGATATTGCAATCACGAACAGTCTCCTGCCTTATTGTCGCACACCGACTGTCGACCATCCAACGCGCCGAAAAGGTTGCCGTACTTGACGAGGGGAGGATTGTAGAAATCGGAACGTACAAGGAACTCGCCTCTCGCGAGGGTTCAAAGTTCCGCGAGGTCATGGGCGCACAGATTGCGGCCGTAGAGTATTGAGGACTCTCTTCTCATCACATCTTTATACTTGACATGGTCAAGTTTTCCCTTATTAGCAACACTGTATCCCCACTTTACACTCAAACACGGAGGGCTCCATATGTGCGCGAGGATAATATGTAATTGCACGCGTAGGTCTAATCCATCGGGTAACTTACTGCAATACCATTATAGTTCCTCCTTTGCGCCCGACGATCCAGCCGGCTTGTCAGCAGTGTCGGCAAAACAGAGCGCAGGAGTTGTGCCGGTGACACGATACTCGCACTTTTCAGGCTCAGATACAGACAGGAGAACATTCTCCGTTCCGCACACCAAGTCCACCTGGATAGTCCGTCATCAGCATAAGATTGCATATTAAAGAAGATAGCATACCGTGATACTTCGTTCGGGACCGTTCCAGCATTTTGCGCCGTGCTTGTACACTTGTCGTGAATAGTACTCTGGAGTTCCTTCGGGAGCAGAGGTATTCCACGATGAGAAGTGTCTAGAAGGCACTTAGCAATGGACAAGGGAGCGGTACGCAGACGTACCCTAGGCTGTGGCTACCACCACCATTATTGGATTTCTGCGTCGCCTGACCGAATAGGCAGACCTCATAGGTATACCTGACGCAATGAGGAAGAAGTCTAGTTCAGATAGAAATCAACTTACTCGCCGGTATTGTATGACAAACAGGTTCCCTCCAATTTCTTCCATGCGCCATCTGCTCCATACCACTTTGGATCATAAAGTTTGTTGAGGGCCTGTTCTTCATTATAGAGTTTTGACTCGGTGTTTCTGAGCTGATTTATCGCTGTGTTGTGTCGTTCGCGTGCTTTCGCCGTCGCTGTTCCCAGTTAGTCTAGCAGCAGGTAAAGAATGGTGAGGTTCTACCTTCGGACGACACACTGGATTCGCGAACAACTCCGAGTTTCGTAAGCAAGCCAACCACTTGCGTGCGTGCGTTTTCATAGGCTGGGTAGAGCGAGTCGGGGACATAAGACTCCAAGTCAAACACCGAGTCTACTGCCCCAGTCAGACCAATTCTATCAAAAGGGGCAGAATGGTTACCTTCTTCTTCCGTAGAGTCCTCCTGAGAAATATGCGAGTCGTGCTGCAGCAGCAAGGATACATGATCCTCTCGCAGAAGTGTTGAGATTGCGTTATCATCCCATGGATCGACGGTTTCTTCTTTCTCTGCAACAGGCTCTGAAGACTCTGTAGTTTCCTCGACTGGAGACGCATCGGGATTCAAGCCATCCCAGCCTCGGACGGCTTCAAGAACGGCCATATCCTGATAGTTCGGGTTGTAACCTTCTTTGAGGTTCCTGAGCACGTCGGATAATGCGCGCTCGCGGTTTTGGAGAGCTTGATATCGGGCCTGGAGGGACTTGAGGGCCTCGGAATGCTTGACGAGTGATTGATAAAGAGCTGAAAGATTTAAAAATCGTGATATGGGATTTGAATAGCGGTACTTACGGGATTGCTGCTTGTACGCGAGGGAAGCTTGGGACATGGACTCGGCATGGTCGAGCAGAACTATTAGGGCGTTGAGTATATGTCTTTCTCGTTAGGGTATGCATACTCTTTGCATGAGCCTCTTCCTTCTTCTTGGCTTCTACCTCCAGCTTGAGAGCCGCAATGGACGACTGTAGTCGCTTCTTCTCCTTCTCGGCAAAGATGACATAAGTCGAGCGAATCTTTGAGCCCGTTTTGCGTAGTTTGGCTTCAGCCTCTCGTCGTTGTCTATACTCCTTCCCAACTTCCTCGCAAACATTTGGACACACACCCTCGGGTTCATCTGAACCATCACAGCATTCCTTTTCTATTTGGGTCATGAGCACATAGAAAGAGAACATGTCTCGCGCTTACCGCAAAGGCCGTCGTCAACCCGTGTGCTGGAGATGGTCGCACCCTCGTGTCCTTCGTTGACGCAATAGAACGTCGAGTTTGGACACGCACTTGTACCTGTTATATACAAGAGCTTGTTAGCGAGCAGAGCGATGTTGGAGAAAGCCCAATACACGCACCTGGCTCGTCACTGCCATCAGGACAATCACAAAAGTCGTCGTTGACTTTGTCCCATGATATTTCCTTATTACCGTTCAGACATTTCCATGTTCCGGCGCTCGTAGGTGTGTAGAGTGACCGCCGAGCTGGCAGGACACCGCGAAGTTTGCGGTTTGGGTCGGCTGAAAGGGCAGCAGAGGCTGTCAGAGGGAGCACAAGCGATAAAAGAGTGATAGTTGGCGGCAGCATTTTGGGCTATGGAGAGCCTGTCGAGGTCGAACTGAGGTCAAGGTCAAAGCTTGGAATCCACCACGAAACTCTGAACATTCTGGAAGTCTACAAGTCTATTCACTGGGAGATAACAATACTCGAGAAGATAGATACAGACGATTTGGGAGATTTGAGCTTTGCCGGTGGATCGAAACCTGCACATCCGTCAGGCTGGCAGACTCAAACTGCAGGCCTTACCTTTGGTTTCGGCTCATCAGATGACAAACTTGCAACTGCCATGGTCGGAGTTGTAAATGCGACGAGAAGCCGCACTGAGGCTCTGTTAACCATAGTCACACAAGGTAAATCGACTCACCAACGGCGTTTTCATCTAGCTTGTTCGAAAGAAGGAGAATAGCACCTGCTTGTAGATTGGTCCCGGCATCTCGCTTCTGCTCCTCCGCTTTGGGTGGATGAGTACACAGAAAAAGTGCATCGTGAAACCTACATATCCTATCTTCAAACACACGGGTCAAAGCTCCCTCGGGGTCTTCACAGTCTTCATTGCAAGCCTTGCATAATTCACGGGCAAGTCCTCCTCGGATGATTTGTTCTCCAGTCCCTACACGGAATTAGCCGTGTTAGTCTTATCCTGATACGCACCTGACACGCTGCACGCCACAGCGTAGCCACTGTTCTCCGCTTCCACCACACTAGCCCAGCACCCAGCCCCGTAGACAGCAGCCTTGCAATTAGAGCACTAGATCAAAAAGGTAACTACACTCTTACCTCTCCTATTCTCCCTGAATGCTTGAGCAATAAGCCCCCGCTGCAAACTGCTGTTCATTTCCGTGGCAATCAACAGACAAAGACGCACCTTGAAACTCCCACCGCGATACTCCTGTCAAGGACAACTACTGCTCCAACAGTATCTCCCATGGGCGCTGCTCCTTGATTGCTACAAGCCAATTGGTATTGCTTCATCCAATATTCCCTTTCTTCCTTTGCCTCTTCACTAATCATCTCAATTTCAGGTACGAGAACTGGTGCCCATGAAAGCGTCGAAGGTTGCCTCTCCAAAACGTACCGCCGGGCTCCCTCACCGGCCAGTGTCCTACCTCGTTGGTGAGTTCCGGATACTCTTTCCAATCACTTACATCGGTGGAACACGTCCGAGAGGCTGTGGAACAGATGGACGACCTTGTTCGAGGATAACACGCGCCGCTGTGATGGGATTTTTTATACCTGAAATGTCGTCAACCGCCTCCTGACTACCATATCTATTTGTACGACCTGATATCGCCCCCACGCTTCCAAATACTCCATCACTGTCCATGAGTGCAGCATCGCACTCTACGGTACCGTCAATTGTCAAGTTTGACCCATAGCCTGTGACTTCAATACAAGCTGCACTGATTGGAACGACCCTACCTGCATTGAGCGCACTATCATCTTCGAGCTCGCGAATAGCCGCTTCAACTGCATCGAGAGCTGATCCTGCACGTTCTACAAGTACGTGGGTAGCACTCAGACACGCTCTATGTCCATGTAAACGGCCAGCGAATGAAATCTTGGGACGCCTACTTCTTCATAGCTGCTTTGACACGGCTTTCAGTCTTCTCTGAATGGCTGCCCGCCCCGCCATGGACAATGATAGCAAAGCGCATGATCTGAAGGCGAGAGCAAAAGGCGAGTGGTCTAGACCAGCTGCCATCGCGTCGAGAGGAAAATAAGATCTATCCGATAAGAGAGACGGAGATGTAATGCTACAACAGAGGCGCGATGCGCACTGGAAAGAAACGAAATCAAAAGACGTCATGCGCGTGAGGACAATCAACGGCTGGAAGGATACGTCAGTACAACCATCGTATGAGATGTAAATGAACTCACTCGAATGACCATGACTATCACAATCGACACAGTAAGGTTCGTCTGCTGCAGGCGTCGAGTCGTCTTTGAGGATAGGACAGTTGAAGATGTCATGCCCAGACTGCTCACAAACGTCGCATTTGAGATTGGCCGGCTCCTCCTCTTGCTTGGAGACCGTCTGTTGCGTGACGGTTGACGACCGCGTATGGCTTGAGCGGCCCATCGACTTGGAGGACAAGTAGTCACCTCCACTCGACTTGGAACTCTTGGACTGGGCACGCTGCAACTTGTCCTTGAGTCGTTCAATCTCTCGCTCCAAGTCATCCTCCCTGTATATCTTGGCTTCTACGAGGCTCTCCAAATCAGCCACTTCTTTGTTGAGCTCTGATATCGTCTTTGCGCTCTTCTTCTCGGCATCGGCCAACTTCTTTCGAAGTTGATCGACCTCGAGCCTTGCTTCCCTGACACTCCTCTGTAGCGATTCAGAATCGCCGCCGCCACTCCCTCCAGCCTCTTGCTCTTCCTTGAGCATCTGCTCTTCGCGTTGGATACTATCGTCAATGGCTTGCTCAAGAGTCTTCACGGCTTCCTTGAGATCCTCAGTTTCTGTGACGAGAATCTTGTTCTCCGTCTCTAGTGATCGAATCTTGGAAGCATAGGCCGTATTCTCCTTCTGTAGCTCTTGCATCATAATCTTCAGCCCAGAGACCTGATCTCTGAGATTGTCGTCCTTGGTGCGTGAAGATGTGGAGCCAGTGGAACTTCGCTTGCTGCTCTCATCCTTGGGGCGAGAAAGTAGCGACTTCTGCATCTGTAGAATGGTGAGCTGTGTCCCGTCAATCGCACAAAGCATTACCTCTGCTTTCTCCTTCTCCAAACTCTCAATGAGCTCTCGCAAGTCTTTGACGAGGCGAGCACTTTCTTCCGCTTGAGCTTTGGAGGCAGCAAGCTGTTCTGCAGTCGCCTGTGTTTCGAGCTTGGATGCATCCAGCAGCGCTTTGAGATGTTTTGCTTCTACAGCTGCTGTGTGGTCCGTATTCACTGGCTCTAAGGGTCGCTCCGAGGGCTCCGTCGAGTTTTCCAGATTCTACAATGGTCAACAGCTACACCACAGAAGACTACACTACGTACCGTCAGATCGGTTCTGAGGCTTTCGATTTCTGCGCGCGCATCCTCCAAGGCAATTGTGTTCTCTCGGAGCGCGGCCTCGAGCTCTTCGATTCTCGTACGCGCAGAGGACTCCGACTTAGCGGTAGTGGAGGCGAGCCGTCGAGCCTCTTCCAGCTCTTGCTGCCTCTGAGCATCCTTTTCCTTATAGCGGGCCAACTTTGTTTGTACAGCGGCCTCTTCGCGTTCCGCCGCAACCTGTGCCTCTTCGAGTTGGTCTTCCAGGTGAGAGATACGTTGGTTCAGATGCGCAATTTGCTCCTTGAGCGTTTCGTTGTCGATTTGAGCAGCAGTAGACGCTTGTTGGGCGAGCTCTTCTGGTGATGGGACATGTTCAGCATTCCGTAGCTTCTCCTCCAAGGACGCAATCACGGCCTCCATGTCGTATCTCTCGGCCTCGAACGCATGAATACGTTCTTCGTAAAGTGCAATTGTTTCCTGACGACAATATTAATAAGAGAGTTTAGGTGGAGAAGAACCACATACCTGGCCAGCACTGCGCAACTCTTGAACCTGAATGCCCAGTTCCGAGCGCTCTCGCTCAAGATCACCTGAGAGTCGGGCGACTTGACCCTGAAGAACCTCTATCTCCGCTTGTTTCGCAGTAAGAACAGCATCGTTCTCCGATGCTGCAGAGACTCGGGCATCGATTGCATTCTTCAAGCTAGCAACCAGCGCCTCTGATTCCTCCAGCTTGACCTTGACCTCTCGAGTCCGTGTCTCGCCTTCTGCTTGAATCTTTTGTGTTTCCTCTTTCATCTCATTCATCTGTCGTTCCAGGGATTCTAGCTTGGACTGCCGTTCCATGTTCCCCTTTTCGCTGGTTCGTAGCGACGCCTCGAGTTCCGTGACTCGTTTGAGGGCCGCCTGCGCTTGCTCTTCCAGGATTGCTTTCGAACCGTCATCCACTGGTGGTGGCGGAGGTGCAGCGGCTGCTTGAGCCTGGGCTTGCAGCACCTTGTTCTGTGCTTCCAATGACTGAATCGTCTCATTGAGGCGTTGAATCTCCTGTATATGATAGCTAGGCTCAGGTGATGGGGTAGCATAGACGGAGCTTCGACCGCTTTCAGCAGGAGATGGCGATGGAAGAGGGCTGGTTCCATTGATATGCACATATCCCTGTGTATCGGGGTTTGGCTCATCGACGAACGCAAAGTCGTTGCTTGCTGTACTCGAAGCGGGTGTCAGGGGTGGCTTTTTGTCAGGAACAGGCGGTGGCGGCATATCCAAAGTCGAGAGCCGCGCTTTGACAGGTCGGGGAGTCGCTAGCGCCGGAACGGACGTGCGTGGCTTTAAACCGAATGATGCTCTAGGAGCCTTGGGTGTGGTCTGAGTTGTGGTCATTGTCGGCCGAGGTGGGCTGCTTGGTCTTGGGGATGGCTTCACTGGGCTGACCTGCGAAGGAGAAGGAGAGTCTATAGAGGATAGGTTCCGCGTGGAGAGTTGCTTTGCCGTTATGCCGATATATTTGCTAGCTCGTGACCCTTCAGTAATCCTCGATTGCGCTACCAGGGAGGCTTGTGCAGACGATGAGGCCTTGCGTTGCCGGACACTAATTGGAGACGCGATGGATGATGCACTCGAAGGAGGACGAACGATTGCGGCCACTGCTGCTGGGTTTGGTGTGATCTTGGTAGATGCGACGAACACTCCACATTTGGGAGGACACGAGAAATACGGGACTCTGGTTGAGGTCAGTCATCATTCATGCCCGCACAATCTGCACATACCCAGCGACTGATCCATCGTTTTTCCCCTTCCCAGCGAATGAACCACTGAGCTCAACTCCTGCCCAATGACCAGGCTTGCCGTCAATCTCTCCTAAGAATCGCAGCGTTCCTTCGAGTCCCAAAGACTCAATCTTCACTGGATCTCCAACTTCGAGGGGTCGCTGGGACGCGCGGCTTGAGTCTCTTGTGTATGCATCAGAGGTGCGACTCTCAGAGCGCGAAGTCGCGGCCGAGCGGGGTGTACCACCAATTTTCACGGCGGAACCTGTGCCGTATGCAAGACTCTGTCTCCTTGGAGGTGTCACAGGCACGCCTTGCTCTCCGTAGCGCGAACTTGTGGCGGAAGCAGACGACGGCGGGCGTCCAAGACTCGCACGGGGTCCGTTGGACGTGAAGCTCCCACGATTATAGCTGGGGCTTGTCACTGGTGTCCCGTACACGCCCTTGCTCGTCCCGGGCTCGGGGGATACTGCAACATTGGACGCGTTGCTGGGTCTGCTAGCTAGACGAGACACTCCGTTAGCTATGCCTGTTCCGTTTGTTGTCCGTGGTGCGACGGGTGACTCTTGCGTCCCTCCAGGACTGGCATTTCCTGCCGTCGTCGTTGATCGTGCGCGGATGCCGGGCGCGGGAAGACCGGATTTCCCTGCTGAAGGAATTCCAGAATATCTGGGCTTTGGTAGACCCGGTGTTGGGAGTTGGGACATGCCTCCGACGACGAGAGTATCACGGTTGGGTCTAACGTTGACAATTCATGGGTGCCTTGGTTCACAAGCCACTCGCATTTACTGAAACAATATATGCACTATAAAGCACACTTGTTACAGAGTATTCCTATTCAAAAAAAATGCAGGTTGGAGCATCCCTATTATTCTATCCGTGGTTTCTTGTTAGCCTGATGAAACAGTCAGTCCCGAGATACTGCACAGTAGATTATACGCCACATACGCCGAACCTCTCTTCACGCAACTTGCGCTTGCGCAACTCTTCTTCGTCGACCGGAGCTTCTGCCTTTTTCCCAGCCGAACTTGTCCCAAACTTCGCTTGACGAGCCTTAATCTTTTCTTCGTCATCGATCGTTGCTTGAGCCTTCGCTGCTTTGGCTGGCTTGGACGGTGCTGGTGCTGGTGCTGGGGGTGGTGCAGTCGGATCGACACTACAAGCATTGAGGGCCGTAAATTTTCATAGGTAGACAGGGCTCACAAAGTAGTCCCCCATTTGGCAGCTCGTGCGCGTCGTTTCGCTGCTTCGTCCTCCAAAGTCGCCGGTACAACGTCTGCGGCTTTGAATGCTGCAGTCTGTAGTTACCTATCAATAACAGGGCCTCATGGTGAGGCTGACTGACCGAAGTCTCTGCAGCTTTCGACGGGCCTGGCGCGGCCGGACTCGCTTTTGCTAGACCCGCGGCTGGAGTTGGTGGAGGTGCTTTGGTTGGTGCAGGGGATGGATCTGGCGACGAAATGAGAATCGTTGCTCTGCGCATTACGACGACTCACCTGTTGTCGCTTTGGGCGCCTCGTATAAAGCACTACAAGAAATCAGCCACAAATTTACCTCGGGAAGCAGCGTCAACTTACGCTGGAGGGAGGTCTGGCTGCAGGGGTATACGTTAGACACAACGACTCATACCGGAATCTTCGACCTACCAAGTCGTCATCCGCATTTTCCTCGCCCGCAGAGGCTGCAGCTAGCGCCTCTGGAGTTTCTAGAATCTTCTTGATGAGCGCCGGCTTTGTGAGCTTTGCGTCGAACGACACATTTGCTTGTTGCAGAATGGATTTGAGGTCGGCGACCTTCATCGCCTTTCTATTTGTCTAAATAAGCTCCGAAACATCGAGTTGAACACTGATAAATCAAGCTTACAGCTTTGCGTCCATGGTCAGCAATTTCCAGGTGTGGTGGTTGGGAACCAACTTCTTGGACCCGCTCTCGACATACATCGTGCAAGTTTTCCTTCTCAATCCTGTCTTGTATTATTGGAAGTCTTATAATCACCTCTTATATCTCATGGGTGGTACTGGTAAGTGGGAGTCCTGGAACAAAGCGGGCGACTGACGATATTTGACTTGAAATCATATAGTGACATGGTACTTATTCACTTGTTCTGGAGAAACATCGGAGTCTTATTCGCTCCTAGCCCTATTTGTAATCGAGAGGTTGCGGAAACTGTCATCAACAAGCACCTAGACTCGCAATGTCAATACCCTCAACAGAATGCAAAACTAGCGCCCATCTTCACCAGCCGGTTGGGCAAACGGGGGACAGAGACGCGTCCCACTGGTGCGGAACCTTCGAGTAGCAAGAGACAGAGCTCCCCAGACGTCGTTACACTTGACGAGGATGATACTCCAACAAAGCATACCACCAAGCGACCAAAGACTGAAAGTAAGCAATGCGATAGCGGCGGCAACGATCGAGAAACTGCCTCACCTCGAAGTTCAGATGTTCCATCTATATTCACGCAAATGTCCAACAAGTCTTCTAAAGCATCAGAAGAAGTACTTGCGGCATCCGCTCCTCTTGCAGAAAGATTGAGACCCCGCCGACTGGAAGACTTTGTCGGACAAGAGCACTTGATAGGGGATTCTAGCTTATTGCTTCAATTGGTAGAGTCTCAAGCCATTGGAAGCATGATTCTATGGGGACCTCCAGGGTATGTTTCGGCCAGGTCCAATGCACTGGCTCACGACTGGTAGATGCGGCAAGACGACGCTGGCTCGTTTGCTCTCAAAGTCGGTGAATGCAACCTTTAAAGAGCTCAGTGCGACTTCGTCCGGCACCTCTGATGTCAAAGCTATATTCGACGAGGCGAAGCGAAGCTTGAAACTCACCGGAAAGCGGACTATTCTCTTCATGGACGAGATTCAACGCTTCAACAAGGCACAACAGGTGCATGTTCAAAAGTATGGGGATGGCGAAACATGCTAATCGCTCACAGGACATATTCCTGCCCTACGTTGAGAATGGGTGGATTACGCTCATTGGGGCAACCACTGAGAATCCCTCTTTCAAGCTGAATAGTGCTCTGCTGTCCCGGTGTCGCGTGTTCGTCCTCGAAAGGCTTCGGGACGAGGACATTGAGGTGATACTGCGTAAAGCCATTGAACGAGTATCGCCAAAAGTCTCTAGCCAGGAGAGCGACGTGACGAGTCTACCCTCGTCGTCACAAACCCTTGTCGAAGGCCAGGTAGAGGTCAAGCCAGAACCCAGGTTGCGGGAGATTGCTCCCGAAGTAATGAAGACGATTGTGAACCTATCGATGGGGGATGCTCGCACGGCACTATCGTTGCTAGAGCTGGTGCTTACATCGCCAGCTAAAGTCTCGGACAAGGCAGTCATCTCGCTGCTCAGACGGAGCGTGTCGTCTCGATATGACCGCTCTGGAGAGGATAGATATGATATGATATCAGCACTTCACAAAAGCATCAGAGGGAGCGACGGCAGCGCCGCGTTGTACTGGCTCGCGAGGTATGGCCGTTAGCTATTTCTGGCTCGAAATGCGACTCACTCTTATGCAGAATGCTGACGGGAGGCGAAGATCCGCTATATATTGCCCGACGTCTGATTGTTGTAGCCTCAGAGGACGTGGGGCTGGCAGACAACCACGCGCTTCCGCTCGCTGTCGCAACATACTCGGCTGCGCAGACGATTGGGATGCCCGAATGCAGGATTAATCTGGCTCATTGCGTCGCATATTTGGCAGAAGCTCCAAAGTCGACCCGCAGTTATGAGGCGTATAACCTCGTGAGCCTGTCGGTTATGCTCGTGGCCAATTCCACACTGACACGACGTCCAACGCCATTGCTCAAATACCATAGGCGGAGGAAGCTGCAAAGGCCGACGAGACGGCACCTGTACCGCTCCATTTGCGGAATGCCCCGACGGGCATGATGAAGGATTTGAACTACGGGCAAGGCTATCTCTACAATCCAGCATACAGGTCCGCACTAGTTTCGGTTTTCCTACTGCTTCTGATGCTGATGGGCTGATGGGCGAAACAGGCATCCAGTGTATCAGACATACCTCCCCGCAACACTTGAGGGCTCCAGGTTTTTACGTGAGGAGGGGGATGTGACCGACAAGATCTTTGATGAGAATGCATTGCGGAAATGGGAATGGCGCTGCAACCAAGGGCGTGACTGGCCGGGGAGGAGTAATCTGGCTGGATCCACAGACATGACACGGAAGCCCTAGCCATGACATTCGGCATTGCGGCCTTTGAGAATCCGCTTAGGGGGGGCTGAAAGCGGGAGGCGGCCTAGCTAGACGAGGGGACGGTGGATTCGATCTCTCATTGTTTCCATTTTGGATTGATTTCTCGGAACGTCCCTGTTTGCCCGGCTGTACAGTAACAAGAAGCCTTGTCTGCGAATCGAACAAGGAATCTGTTTAAAAACCAAATGGACAAACTGGTGGCAGCGCCCCCGAACGTAACTTGGCCCCCGTCTAAGCTTGCCCATATTATTTTCCCCCCCCTCTCTCGCCGTTTGTAAACACAATGTCCGCAGAGGAAATGCTCGTAAACGGCTCAAACGTGGTCGCTGCAGGCAGTGGCCAGCTCCTGGCAAACGGTATAGGTCGGTGCAAATCTCGTCTTTCTCCCTCGCCGCACGTGATGACAACGCAACGCGTTTGCAGGTGTTACTCCCGAACATTCGCTGCATTTTGGACACGTCTCCCAAGTCCCGCATTCTTATGGCATTTCAGGCCTCCAGAGTATGCTTTCTATCCCAGACGCTTTGGCAACTGTTTGGGCTCAATCGTCTCTCTTGCAGCAGATCTTAGCTACGGCGCATTTCCGATGCACCAAGAGGGACAGCTCGCACCAAACTCGTATCCTCTCCCTGACCCAGCTATCCTCACCCAGCAGCGCAAGACGGAACGAAGGAGGCCACCCGGGAAGAAGGACTTGAGCATTCCGCATATCCCGAGACCTCGAAATGTACGTATAAACACACCTCGGATTCATTGTGTTTTACTCACAGCACTCTAGGCGTTTATCCTGTTCCGCTCAGCCTTTATAGAGCAGAAGAATGGCAAAGAGCTCGCCTCGAAGCAGCAAAACCTCAGTAGGATAGCCGCAATGGTCTGGAAATCGATGAATTCTGCCGAACAGGATCCATGGTACAAGCTCGCAGCAGAGGAGAAACAGGCGCACTATGCCGCCAACCCAGGCTATACATTTCAGCCCACCGGGCGGACAGAGGCCAATAAGAAGAAGACGCGCAAACCAGCAATGGAGCCCGCAATCGAAGAAAACTCGTGCAAGCAGATTGCCGACTTGATCATCAACGGGGTTCAGGGAGAGGATCTCGTTGCGGCTGCAAAGTCGATCGGCGTCGCTCCCTGGCCCAAGTCGCAAGAAGGTGGTTCTGGTGGTCGACGTCGTCGTACTGCTCCACAGCAGGGTGAGGAGATGCTAGAGTACATTGACGACGAGGGCTCTTCGGAGGGCGACCCAAAACAGTACCCGCCTACGTCGCCTTCTCAGTACCAGCATGGCGCCCAGACAGGGTACGATTATTGATCTTTTTTGGTGTCAGTCTTCTTGGTCGACCACTGTATTTCCTATCCATCACATCCACTGACCGGATATGGCTTTCGTTTCTGGTGTCACCCATTGTTCTCCCGCTTCTCACCCTGTTGGTGTCTCCACTCACTTATACTCTCTTGTACTGCCTCATACCAACCACGACCATGTTGGTCCGTACCATAGCACAGCGCGGAGGACTCTTACATCCATCCATCCGTCGTCTATTACCGCCGCTGCATGTCAATCAAACACTTTGTAGAAAACCATTTACTTGCTCCGCCGAGCTGTTGCATACCCACTCCGCGCCGCACCTCGTATCATGAACCCACGAGGTCGACAGGGGCCACCCTGTTTCGACAGTCTCTGAGACTTTTGTGCAGACTCTTACAGAGACGTAAGGCGCTGGATGTGTGTGTACAAGGCGCATGCAAAAGATGTTCCGTGTATTCAACCCACCTTTGCCAGCCGTTTCAACGCCGTAAGAGGGCGACGCCGCCATTGAGTTGGGGTGGACTGGCTATGGACCGCGACCAATTGAGAAAGAGCGATTCAAAGGGCCTCTTGTTATCCTCGATAATCACCGCTCGGTTCTTTGTATTGAGGTACTAGGGCTCGTGGGGTGTTTCTGTGATGTCTCGAAAGGACCGCGCTTTTCGCATCAAAAGGGACCCAAAAACGATCGACGACCCATATCGTTGGGTCTTGGTGCAAGCGCCGTCAAGGCTTGCCATTCTGGTTAGAGCCACCACGGGCGCGGGAGCATCCGAAAAAAAGAGTTGAACTGCAAGAGAATGTTCGTAGGATGAGGCCTTTTGTCCTCTGTCCCAACTTTTACTCCCAGAGGGTGTGGTCGCAGCAAGAGGAAATGGAATGCAGACTTCTAAAAACGTATACATAACATCTAAACGGACTCTGGAAGGATGTATTAGGGCGAAACACGGTACGTTGTTTGCGTGGACGAACCTTGTAGCAGAGCGTTGAGCTTGTTGACTCGAGAAGCGACGCTAAGATCAATCGTCTTATCTCCAAAGTCGACGACAATACCCCCAAGGACGCTCGGGTTAACCTAAGGCGACTCGTGTCAGCATGTTTCGACATTTGGTGAGCGGAAGCCGACCTTGTTGGTAATCTTCAAGCTCTTTGCTTTTTGCGCTGCTTGCGAGCTCTTGAGTGAGTTTTCGAGGCGGGTCATGATATCCTTTGGCAGCGGTGTTGCCGATGTGACGACGACGGTAGCCTCGCCACGATACTCACTCATGAGCGCAGTAAATCCCTCGATGACCCCAGAGGTTTCTGCAAGGCGTCCATTCTCCGAGAGGACGTTGAACAGATTCTTTGTCGCTGTCGAAACTGGAGTTTTCTTCGGTCCCTCGGCGGCGGCAAAGAGGGCCTGGAGACCCTTTGCACGGTCATTTGCAGAAATAGTTGGATTATTGACGAATGCAGCGAGGGATGGAGTCGACTGGAGGGCCGAGGAAATGGCCGTAAGCTCCTGGTCGAGCTGCTTGAGCGTGTTGGGCGACTGAGCGAGCGCTGCATTGTACGCAGCTTGTGCGTATTTCTGTGCAATAGACGATACAGCACGCGAGTGCGCTGGAGCAGCGCAGAGGGCACGGCGAGCGAGCATCCCGCGGTCGAGTAAGGAGCCAAAGTTTAAACGGCCCGCTGCCACAATCACGGGGGATACTATTCGTCATATTATCAACTAAGATGAGTATTTTAGTTGTTAAAAAAGGTTGTGTATGTACACGGTTGAATCTTGACCTCTACCATGTCTCGGTTTTTCAGGACACAGAATGATTCCTCGTCTTCATCAGAATCATCCGACGAAGAACTTCTCTCTTCAGGAGAAGAAGCTCCCGCTCAGCCCGCTCAGCCAAAGCAGCCCATGAGCCGCTTTCTGAAAACCGCAGGCGACAGTGACGCATCGTCCTCGTCTTCCTCGTCAGATAGCGACGATTCAGACGACGATGATCAACCAGCTCCCGTTGCCAAACCCGCCGTCAACCGTTTTCTCAGGAAAAACGCGGGCTTGGGCGGTGGCTCGGACAGCGATGACTCGGATGACGCTCCCAAAATCGTCAAGAGTGCAAAGGATAAGCGAATAGAGGAAATGCAGACGATTGGCAAGGCAATCGACAATGCTGTAAAGATTGGAGACTGGAATGCTGCCTCGACCGGTAGGTACGAGTCACCAATAGGTTTCATACTTTCATCACTGTACAGAATTTGAAAAGCTTGGGCGGCTTGTCCAGAGGCAGACCGGTGTCTCAGAACCTGTGCCGCCATATTGGCTTCGCGCAATCGTTTCGCTCGAGACGGCGATGAGTGCCACAAAGGAAAAGGACTCGAAGAAGAAGCTCAATGCTGCGGCGACAAAAGCGCTCAATGGATTGAAGCAAAAAGTCAAAAAGGCGTCCAAGGAGCACGAAGAGCTCATCAAGGAATACAACAAGGTAAGTCTAGCCAAGCAACTAGATCATTAAATTCACACTCCCCAAGGACCCAGAAAAGGCCGAAGAAAAGTATATTGCTGCCCTCGCACCACCACCGCCACCACCAAAAGAGCCGGCGCCAGCCCGATCTCGAGTGGCAGAGGCAGCTGCTCCTGGTGAAGGACCCGACTTTACCACAGTCGGAAAAGGTGGCAAGGGGGTACAACACACGCAAGACACTGTCCTCAAAGACTTGGCACAAGTCAACGAGAACAGAGGTAAAAAGGTGCGCCATCAGTTGATCGTGTATGTAAGTACTAACATGGTGAAGAATACGGACAGAGTCGAGCAAGTTCGTACTCTCGAAAGGTTGTTGGCTGTGGCGGAGAAGACATATCTGCGAATCAGAGTCTTGCTGGCACTAATCTCAGCCCGTTTCGACTATAACCCTGCCGCCACTCACATGCCCATTGATGCATGGATGTCGGCACAAGAAGAATTGGACCAACTCGTCCGCTTGCTCCTCAAAGAGCCGGCTTACTCTGTTGACGAGCAGGTCGACGTCGAGTACGACGACATTATCGAACGTAATCCAAAGGACCATGGTGATGCGGATGGGATTGTTCGCATTCGGGGTAGTGTAATCTCCTTTGTCGACCGATTAGACGAGGAGTTTACCAGAAGCCTTCAAAATACGGATCCTCACGGGACGGAGTATATTGAGCGTCTACGACATGAAAAAATTCTATACAAGAGCATATGTCTCGCCGAGCTCTACTTTGAGCGCACGTCAAAGGAGGATCCTAGGGCCAGGGTAATTATGCGAAGGTTGGAGCATATTTACTACAAGGTACGCTACAATTATCTGTACTGTGCTATTTCTCACTTGGTGTAGCCCGATGTCCTTGTCGAAGCATTGGAACAGGTCAATGCCGACGCCGATAGCATACCCGCGCTTTCCCTGCGAGCTTCTGGGAACCCACAATCACTCGTGCATTCGATTTGCATCCTCCTCTATAAAACCACGAACCCAGTACTCCGAACACGGGCTATGCTCTGTCACATCTACAATCACGCACTTCACAACGAGTTTTATACGGCCCGTGACATGCTACTCATGTCTCACCTTCAAGAGTCGGTCCATTCAGCGGATATTATGACTCAAATCCTATACAACCGCACCATTGTCCAACTCGGCCTCTGTGCCTTCCGGTGCGGTCTGATCAAAGAGTGCCAAGCGATCCTTCAAGAGATTTTCGCTACCCAGCGAGTGAAGGAGCTGCTTGCTCAAGGTCTTCATCAGCAGAGGTATACGACGCTCACCCCTGAGCAAGAAAAGGCAGAACGTAATCGACAAATGCCATTCCACATGCATATCAACACCGAACTCGCCGAGGCGGTATTCTTGGTGGCGAGCATGTTGATTGAGATTCCGCTCCTGGCAAGCCTAGACACAGAAGAGGCGAAACGCAAGACAGTGTCCAAATCGTTCCGTCGCTTGTTGGAGCATGCGAATCGTCAGGTGTTTAACGGGCCACCGGAGAATACTCGAGACCATATCATGCAGGCGTCAAAGGCGCTGCAGGACGGCGAGTGGCAGAAAGCGAGGGATCTCATCCAAAGTATTGCCATATGGAACCTTATGCCCGAGGCAAAGTCTGTTAAAGAGATGCTTGCCAAGTCAGTGTTTTCATTTCTCTAAGGCAGTCACTTACCGTACTTCCAGACGCATCCAAGAGGAGGGTCTACGAACCTACCTGTTCTCCAATGCACCACACTATAGCACCCTGTCTCTCGAGCTATTGTCGCGCATCTTTTCTCTTTCACTCCGAACTGTCACATCGATCGTGTCGAAGATGATCTGGAACGAGGAATTGGCCGCGTCGCTGGATCAAGCGTCTGGCGTCGTCGTATTCCACCGTACAGAGACGACCAAGCTCCAGCAGCTTGCACTTGCGCTCTCCGAACGGGTGGCACAATTGGTCGAGCAGAACGAGAAGACACTGGACAACAAACTCGGGAACAGCGCGGCGTGGGCTGATCGTGGAGATGGAAAGGGAGGCGAGAAGCGTGGTGGTGAGGTCGCTGGAGGAGGAGAACGGAGGGGGACACGCACGGGAACTCGGGGGGCACTTCGTGGAGGCGCAAGAGGACGGGGTGCTCGGTTCGCCCAAGGACTTGGTGGTCAGGTTGCTGGTGCACGTGCTGTACGAGCATAATTACGCTCTTGTAGGCGATATATACGGGTTTGATTTGGCATGGCGAACCTTTTTGTTTGGCACGTTGTTTGGCCTCCTTCATCCAGTGGACACTTCGACCTCGGCGTTGTCGTTAAACTTGAGAAAATTATTAGAGGTCAGCCATAGCTCCTGGAACGCTATGTGCATTGGATTAGAAACTGGCTGCTGTGTTTCCCTGGAGGATTCGCCTTGGAGCCGTTTCAGCCTGCACCGTTGGGACGATGGACCATGCTGACGTTCCTATGCCAGGTTGAAATTTGTTTTAATCTCGTCAAACCACCATGTCCCTCGTCGTCCCAGAGGCGCATGTGCAATTCCAGGCAAGTCTCTCAATGGCAACGCTCAGCGGAATGTGTGGCTCATATAATCGTATTTGTAGCACATTTTGCGTCTTCTCAATACCAACGTTGACGGAAAGCGCAAGGTCCAGTGAGTCCTCGCTCTCCATCCTCCCAAAGCGGGGCATTTATATGCATGGCAGATATGCCTTGACCGAGATCAAGGGTGTGGGTCGAAGATACGCAAATATCGTCTGCAAAAAGGCCGATATCGATCTCAAGAAGCGGTTCGTCTGACATTCTCCGGCGACAGTGGCCACCATGCTGACCTATCGCTAGTGCCGGTGAACTCAACTCGGACGAGCTTGAGCGAATCGTCAACATTATGCAAAATCCTACCCAGTTCAAGATTCCGCTGTGGTTCTTGAACAGGCAAAAGGACATTACCGATGGCAAATACGGCCAATTGCTGTCCAACGCCGTCGACTCGAAGCTTCGTGATGACTTGGAGCGTCTCAAGAAGATTCGTGCTCACCGTGGTCTCCGACACTTCTGGGGAACTCGTGTCCGTGGTCAGCACACCAAGACGACTGGTCCGTGGCCTCTTAGACTTGATATTTTCTTCTCTGCTGACACGATTGATACTCATAGGTCGTCGTGGAAAGACTGTCGGTGTGTCGAAGAAGCGCGGATAGATGTTTTGTACCCTGTTTTGCTGCATACTTTCCTAGCACGCCGATACATAAGCCTTTTCATGCAATATGATCATGATCCTAGGCATTGTACACTTTCATAAGAGGTTGACTTGGTCGACGAAGCAAACTTGAACTCTTCCGCGTCTGTGAGATTGCCGTTCATCCGCGTCAAACGCGTCATATCGACTTTGATTGCTTTTGGAGAATGCCCCCTGCCATCCCGGACAAGATTCCAGTTGAGTAAATCCGCCATACCCCCTTGTACCTACGAGATGTTGACGTACGAGGCGGTAGTGTGACACCGAGAGCCAGCTACAGCGTGAAATCGACGATTTGAAGATATGTCTAGACAGAGATGAAACCGAGGAATCTTGGGACGCGATGCAACGCGGCCTCGCGCGGTTCAAAGCCATTGTTCGTGGTGGCGCATATCGCCACGATAGCTTCGTACCAAGCCTACGATTCGTCGTGAGGTATATCACGGGTCCAGTAAGCAATTTATATGCGTAATCTCCTGATCTAAAATCCAATCCCTCCACAGTTGCTTTCCGAGCGAGGCCGTCTCTCTGCCGTCGCGATTGAACTGGTTTCTACCCTTGCTTCTGCTCTGGGGCGCCGGTTTGATCCGCTCATGCAAGGGTTTGCTCCGACTTTGATGAAACTGTGTCAGCGTCCGAACAAAGTAGTCATCACACGCACCCACAGCTGCATCACCACCATTATCAAGCAGACGAGACTACCTTCACTTCTTCCCTTTCTTCGTGATGCCGTCAAGGACAAGAGCGTCACATTACGCACTGTCGCTTCCGAGTCTGCATATCTGTGCATGTCTAGCATCGAGGAGGACAAGCTACTCACTAAAATATCGGATATAGAGCAAATTATTAAAGTGGCCAGTCGAGATGCGAATCCAGAGGTTCGAAAGCACGCTCGTGCCATTCTACAAGAGTACAAGGAAAAGTTTCCCGACCGCTATGAGACGTAAGTACTTTGCGTCTGCTTCTGCATCAACTAAATTCACATAGGTTTATTTCCCCTTTGACGCCAGTGACGAAAAAGTACCTTGATATCAAGACGTTGACCCTCCCCTCGACTGCCCCCCCACTTAATCTAATGGCACCAGCAAAGAACCCTGGACCTTCTAAACTCAGAGCACCACCGGAACGTCCTTCATCATCCATGTCAAATCATTCCTCCCGAAATCCGGACAGTCGTCCAGGCAGCGCACTTCGGCACGTTGCACCAGCATCTTTACCGCCGAGACCACAATCTGCAACGCTTATTCGACCGCGCATGGTCCCTACTTCTGCCGTTGATAATGTCGCAGCCGCACACTCGCGCGGCACAGGCACGAGACCCTTGAGTGTTGACGCAAGCTCGCTTTTTGGCCATATTCCAAGGCAAACCCCTACAGAGCGACCTCGGTCGATGCTCAGCGGAGTCAGCCAACAGCGATTGGATCTCCAGCGACAGCAATCACGGGAAAGGCTTGCGGCTGTTTCCAATACTGTCACGTTTCCTTCCAGCTCTTTACACACTGAAGTGCATGCAGACGAACCGCGACATCGTCAACGCAATATCTCGACGACAGACAGACAGGCAGAGGCGGAACGCGCGAAGAAGGTACTGCACGACATGTTACCAACAGAGCGACATCACGAAGCTCTGTCAAGGCCAGGAAGAGCTGGTCCAGACAAACCCGCCTTCATCAGGCCGCATCTCTTGTCTAACGAAGAGCTGGGAACAGCTGGTCATATACAACGACCAGTCTCTGTCGTTTTCGACTCTTCAGGAGCACCTGTTGATCCCCATCGGCCCACCCAATCAAACCCGTCAAATATTCCATCTTCGGCGTCTAAAGTGAGACCACAAGTTGTGTACATGCCAACGACAGAAGCGGATCACCCACCCAAACCCAAGGCAGTAAAGACATGGTCGCTGAGCTATCAGCTGGAGATGATGCAAAAGCGTCGGAGAGGGGAGGAGGCCAAGGCGGAGACACCGGCATTGCAGTCCCCACAGACAGAGGCGAATCTCGAGTCCGTGGAGGTCATCGAAGCGGCTGCAAAGGATCAAGAGAGGGAGTCTCCTCAAGAAAATGTAAAAGAGATATCGCCTGCGACGACTGAACCGTCCCCCTCGAACGAGGAACCGACGTCAGTTGTCAACGAACCAGCTGCTGCTGTTCCTGGAGTGCCTATCGTCTCTCCTGTAGCATTTCCTTCTTCTGATTTGGAGCAAGTCACAAAGGAGCCAGCGCCGGCGAAGATCATCGCACCCGAGCCTCCTCGCCCTGCCTCTCGAGCTCGAGTCGCATCGACTGCCAGCAGTACAGCAAGATCAATAGCACCATCGCAATCTAATGCACGCCCCGTCGCATCTCATGGACCCAAGTCTTCTGTAGATGTGAAGCTCCCAGTGCGGGTTCCTTCGCGGAATGGAACACAACCTCAAGGTTTCGTACCGAAGCGAACCACAAAGCAGTCTATCACTCAACCGACAAAATCCCAAGCCGCACGCGCTCAAGTTCTCAAGGAGGAGAAGGAGAAAGCCGCTGGTTCGAAATCGGTGGCTGCCTCGGGACTGAAATCTAGCCAGACAGGCCCGAAGCCAAAAATAGTCGATAATGCCCCACGACGAGATGCATCTACGCCGGTTCCCTTTGAACCCAAGAATGGGGACAATCAGCATATGATAGTTTCCAATAATTCTGAACCTTTCAAGCCCTCTCGGGTATCGAAAAAACCACCAGTTCCCACCGTAGTCTCGCTTGTCAAGGCTCATGCGGCGAAGAGGGAAGTCGGACTTGCCCAAGTCAAACGTCGGCTGGGTGGCGCAGCTCCGACAAAGGACACCATCCCGCCCTCTAAACGCGCTCAGTTGGCAAATTCTACGCTGTCTCGGAAGCCACCTCTCCCCAAGTTTGAGCCCAAGTCGCGCGGTGCACGAGATGCGCTGGATGAGCCGACAGCAATATGATGACTACAAAAAGGCCTAGGTCGCCCAGTAATTACCGACTAGGATGCGACAAAGGGCCTATCGCCGGCGTCTCCTTCCTCCGTGGTTGTCCAACAAGACAGGCGTTCAAGCCACCATCCGACCGCGGCTTGCAGGTGAAACTCGTCGCAGCGGTCATCCCTGTGATGGTATGGTGGGAACAAGAGTGGAGCAAGGGTCCTCGAAGAAGTGGATAGCGTCATGAGAGCGAGCATTTTCCTCGCGATTTGGGGCGCATGTGTGTACGATAAAAGGTGGCTCGCCATAGAATGAAGAAGCCCGTCGGTTTATGCGCTTCAATGGACTTATGAAACCGACGGGAGTTCCAGGGGACCCGCAAGAATTCTCGACTTATTGGATTAGGATATCTCTCGCCTTCGACGAGCGCCTGTGAAAATTAGCACATGATTTTTTTATGACGATAGCTCTTTCTTTCAACGGATGATATCAATCACGAATTTCATACACACTCGATTCACTATCAGCCGTAGTAAGGCCGAGGCACTTCTAAACTCTTACGCGTCTGAACAGCTATTGCGTCATGAAAGTTTGGGTATGATACCAGAAATTCCCGTTACCGGGACAGGTGACCGAGCTACCAGAAGAAGAATGGTCCATGCAATCTGCATAGAATGTGTTGTCCATCGTTGTTACGAGTCAGTGTCCGCAGGAGAGAGGATGTATCCATGAGGGAGCAGAGAGAGTAAAACGATGGTGGATGGGGGGTTGGATCCCAAACGAGTGTGGTATGCGCGGGTGAGGCATCATCGCCCAGTGAACTCGCAGATTGCGGGCCAGGCCTGCGAGTGAATGTGTATATGGGTGATAAGAAACGGGGACAAAAGATGCAGCAGTTCGTGGAAAGAGTTCGTTGCGAGAAAAACAAGCGCGATGGAACGCGCAGATAGGATAATGGAAATCTAGTGTATCGATGATGCAAGGGTTGGTGAACATGATAGAGTCAAACATTTGCGGCCGTGATGTGTATTGGCCGGTCTTGATGGTTGTACGGGCACATGGAATCGGGGGGCTGCAGAGTCTATGCTCCTGGTGGAGTCGAGATATGATACGTCTAACAGGTGCTGAAAGGGGGAAAGTGTTCCAACTGGACGTCTTAGTACGTGAAGAGGAGGAGCCATGGGTTCAGGACAATTGGGTAGAGGATATGGCATCCCGCTTGGATACTGCCCTCTTGTCAGATAACTATGCCAACAAGCCAAGAGAGAAATACGCACGCAAGAGGGAATATGACAGCCCAACCAGCACCTCCAATGGCCCACTGACGCGGCATTATTGGGAGAGCGAGGACGATGATCATGGCAATAGTGAGGAAGGAGATGAGGATCGAGAGCCAGAAGCGCTTGAAAATCTTGGGAACCTCTTTGAAAAAGTTGGAGAACTCGACTTCTTTCTTTGTTGCGGCCCAGGTCATGTTGTATGAGAACAAGTGGGCGAGGACAGCACCGGACAAGTGCAAGCTCAAGCCACCAAAGAAGAAGCTAAGAAGATATTAGATGGGTATGAACAGGTACAAGGCACGTACAAGAAGAAGGGAATCCACTTGATGTTGACCCAAAAGGCGTTGAACAGGCTCCTCAAGCCGAGACGATACTCGACGACAGTCATGGCTACAAGCTAGTCAGTTCGAGTTCTACGGATTCTGCACAAGACTCACAGATTGTTCCAGCACCGCTGAACACAACGGTACAAGAGAGCCAAATCTCAAACGCATGGAGGTAATAGCCATCCACGGGGAGCTCCCACCCAAGGATGATGTAGTTGAGGAACGAGAGGGTAAACGCCGCGGCAATACCATAGTACGAGAACATGTAGGACATCATACTAATCTTGTAGTGCAACGGCGCGTCGCTCCAGACAAACTTGCGCAGCTGGGCATTAATGGGACCCTTGTACACCCACTGGTAAAGCGGATTGAAGATGAGCTCTGAGCAACCATACGCATACTTTTGCCATCGGTTGAGCTCGTCGTCGGCCGTCAGCGAGACACCCTCTTTGAAGCCACCCTTGGAGTAAGTCGCCCAGCGGACAATGTAACCGCACATCATGAGTCGGAGCGCCATGTCGAAATCCTCGGATACATTCGACTCGGACCACATCTTCTTCTTACCATCCGCTGGGTCGATAAACGCAGCTTCCTGGACGGCAGACCAGCGTAAAAAGGCATTGTGACCGACAAAGGGTGCGACGTTGCCGTTGGCGCAGTCGATCGAGATGCACTGGTTGATACGGCGAGTGAAATAGGTAATGGCGTTTTCAAAGTAGTGGTGGGCAACTTGCATGACGTCGCTCGCGTGTTGGATGATAGCCACATTCGGGCTCTCTGCCAATTCGCGTGCCGCATCCCGGAAACAGTCCTCTGGGACTTGAGTATCCGAATCGACGATGAGAATAATCTCGCCGATGCGCAAGTGTCTCGCTCCTTTAGCCCACGCCTCGCCATTCGTCTCGTCAATGGCCATTTGCAGCGCACGCTCTTCAATGTCCATTTCCTCTTCTTGACCATCCACATCCGCACCAAATGGATTCTTTGTCGCCTCTTGTGCTTGGAGTTGGAGCAAAATCTCTTCAGCACGCATCGAGAGTGCTAGGCCATAGTTCATGTTCGACGCCTTTTTGAATCGACCCGCACGGAGGAAGCCATTCTGGCCATGCGGAGGACGTGCGACGAATCCAATGTCCTGCTTGGCGTAGAACTGCATCCGGAGCTCGCGGTCCTCTTCCGACAAGAGCTGGAGACCGTCGTCGTTGATAAAGATGGAACTCGTGCCGCCTTGACGGGCGTACGTCTGCATGGCCTTTTTGATGCTCTCGATACTAGGGGCAATAGTCTGCTCGAGCGACTCTTTGTAGACGGGCATCTGGATGGTGACATGCGGGAGACGCTCCGGGACGCCCTTTGGCGGGGCGACGGGCGGGATTGCCGAAAAGTATTTCGAGTTTTGGTAGACTTGGGCAATGGGACCGATGACCACGGAGACGGTGTTGACGATTTGGATGCTGAAAAAGAGGGCGATGCAAAAGACGAGTGGGACGGTGGCGAGGAGTGCGAACCGAATAAAGTCATTGTCGAGTGCCCATTCCATGAGGATAATCTTGACACCAGAGCCGACAAAGACTATCCGGAAAAAATAATAATAATAATCCAAAAATTCCATTTGGTTTTAGAGCATAGCAACGGCGGCGCGTAAACGTGGAGCACGGATGCAAATCGTCAGCAATGGCGTAAGACGTGCACAGGTGTCAAGTGGGAGAGGTGGCGACTCACAGGTTGACAAGGCAACGGCAATCCCGATGTAGATCGCTGCAAAGGTCCGAGTGGGCCGAGGGGCAGGCTTTGCGCCGGCCTCGAGTTCCTTTTCCTTGAGGCTGATCACATCGTGGTTGTCTGCCATTGACGCTGCCTTTTCGGTCAATTCAATATCTGTGCCGGTCATGATTGTATTCTTGCGCGTTGCGGAAAGCGACATGCGAGAGGGTGTCGATGCGAATGCAGATGTCCCCGAAAGTGGCGTGAGAGATGTCGTGTTGGTTGCCCCATTGCGGGATTTCCAGACGAGCTTGAGCAGTCGGCTTTCGAGATCGAGTGTCGAGGCAACGATATTGTCAACAGAGTCTGACCAGACGATCATGACACGTTCATCGCGCTGGAGGGAGGAGATGGACATTAGTATGGGCTGGCTTGGTCGTAAAGGAAACGAGGGGAGGATGGCTGGCGCTTGACACGTACAATGAACGCAGCTTTTTGTTCTTTTTCTGCAGAGCCAAGGTCGAGCATTGTTTCGAGAACTTGAATGCGAATTGTCGGGTCGACCTGGAGGGAGCGATCTTCTGGACCCCTGATTTGCAAAGTCAGTCAAATCGCGGGAAATCGCCACTCTGAAACGCGGAAGACGTACATGACAGTAAAGGCGGTATGGACTGCGGCTGAGCGCACTTTGACAGCGACTTCTGGCGAGAGAGCCCGGATGGCAGTCTCAAAGGGTTCTAGGTCGGGATTCTCATAGGGGAATACTCGATATACACCAGGTTCGACGCGGAGGCAGACACCGGTCGAAATGGTTTCTTCTGCTGGTTTGAACCAGGCGTCGCCTTGGGTCTAGAAGGTGTGGGTTGTTAGAATTGGTGGAAATTATGTTGAGATGCAGAGAGCGCGCTCGGAGATGAACCCAAGGCCCACATGGGCTTATTCTGCATCCAGAGCGGCTACAAGGAGCGGCGCACCCTCTGGGCTCGCTTCCGACGGACGGAGGGGAGCATCGAGGTGGGGGGAAAAGAGGGTCGGCAGGATGATCCAAGACGAGAAAACTGACCTGTTTAAAGATGTGATGAAGGAGTGCGTCATATCTGTGTAGCCGGCGAGTTGTGTGAGCACGAGTCGAAAGCAGAGGCCGTCTGTGAGCACGCACGCGTCGTAGTCCATGGTTGCGCAGAGACCGTGCTGGCCAGCGAGCACGAGCAAAGCAGAGAGTAAAGCTGGGAGAGGAAGGGGATCAAGAGGCGAATTACTAGCAGCCCAATAAACAAAGGCACCGACAGGCGATAACGGCACCAAACAAAGGGCCAAATATTATTATTAAATTAATTGGTTTTCTACGTCATGGGAGAAGAACTGGGAGATAGTCGCTTCGTAAATGTTCTGTAAAGCAGGGAATACTCTTTACAGCAGGTAAGTATAGCAGAGAATATTTCTGTAATGGTTATAATGTTCCTATTACTCCATAACGGCGCCCCGTTGCAGCGGCGAGGTTACTCCTGTCAATCTTGTAAATTCGACAGCGGTAACCGACCAGTAACACACCTTGGACCGCCCCTCGACCCCCCTTTCCGCTCCTCTCCAAATGGCTGAACGTCGCAGTCGTCCTCCGCGAGCAAACGCTCCCTTTTTCATGGCTGGTCTGTATTCTACACCTCCTCAGATATGCCCATTCACTGCCGCTATCATCGCTAACACTTTACCAGGAGGGGATGGTGACTTTTATGGCAACCACAACGACGAAGATTCAGACGGCGAGCTCTTCCCCTCCCAGTCCTCGCATTCGAATCCCTTGGTGGCCCAGTCTGGTGAACACCAGCAGATCCCACAATCTGCACAGTATGCTTCAAGCTCTGCAGACGCCTATCGCAGTGTTCCAACAAACGATCCGCGCCATTCGACCGACCTCACGCCGCCCTCGCCCGGTATTCCTCAGTCTGCTCGTCCATTGCTGCCGCCAGGCGCTGCACGCTCCTTGGATGGTCACGGCTACTCCTCTTCTTCTCGTCCACAATCCTACAGACTCTCCTTTCAAGGACCTCCCGCTCCCCTCACAGGCGGAAGCATGGGTGGACGTGCATTCCCCCCCTCTGCCTTCATCGACCCAGCGGCCGGAATGACCATTGGTCCAAATGGACAACCTGTACCAGACTCGGCAGCCTCGAGCTATACGAGCCATACCATGCGTCGAGCCGTTTCGACCGACGACTTGGGCAACCGTGTATCGTCCTTTGGCCCCGCCCAACGAAACTCGAGCATCACATCTTTTGCTCCACCTCCAGCTCCTTGGCTCCGCACCGAATCCTGGCACAATTCGCAAGTCTCCATCTCGACGGGTGCACGCGGTGGCGTGCTCACTCCGCGTAAGAGGAGCGCTCTCCCTAGTACGCTCATCAAGGAACCGGTCGAAAAACCCTGGTTGGAAAAGCGAGATCCCTGGGAACGCGCCAGTTGGTGGATTACGTTTGCCTTGTTCGTCCTCGGTGTCCTCGCCGCTGCCGTCCTTTGCTTCTTTGGGTATCGAGACATTCCTCACCTCGGCAAGATTTGCATGGTCATGAACGACAACTTTGATGGGCTCGACTTGAGCAACACTTGGACGCGACAGGTCGAACTGGGTGGCTTGCGAAATGGCGACTTTGCCATGTACGTCTCATGCATAAAATCTGTCATTTCTCACGTCTATCAGGTTTACCAACGACGATAAGAATAGCTATGCCTCTGACGGCAAGCTCTTTATTGTCCCAACACTCACAGAAGAAGAGATTGGCGATCAAGTGTACTCTGGTGGTACCTATCGTCTCTCTGGCTGCACTTCGAACAATGCTTCAGCATGCAATGCCCGTTCTGGAAACGGCAGAGTTATTCCTCCCGTTCAGTCTGCTCGTCTTACCACCAGAAACACTTATAATATCCAGTAAGTCGGGTTTTTTGACAACTTATAACTTGTTTCTCATCGCGTTGCAGATTTGGCCGTGTCGAGATCCGTGCTCGACTTCCCAGAGGGTAAATATTCTCTCATCAAACAATGTACACAAGACTGAACACGTCCCCAGCGATTGGCTCAAGCCCCAAATTCAAATGCTTCCCGTGAGTGATTTGTTCAGCCACGAAGCCCTGAAGCCCGAGCTCACCATTTCTTTTTTGCCGTGGCACGCGTGATCTTGACACATCTAGCAAGATGATGCCTATGGCATTTACCCGGTTAGCGGCGAGATTGACATCATGCAAGCGCGAGGCAATAATCCCGATTATCCAAAACAGTGAGTTTTCGTCGTCTTCTATTCTATCTCCTGTCATTCTCGGAAGCGGCGAAGCGTGTCCCTGGAGGGGAGCTCCACTTGGACGCCTTTGCTAGACTATCGCGCACCCACCGGCCTTTGCTAGCCTATTTCATGGACCTGGACTAGTGTGGACAGGATGCCGTATCCTATCGAGCAGAGTCGTACGATGCCTGGGTTGCGCTGCACACCTCCACTTGGGTCGCCTATAGCACGGCCATTGAACACGAGGTCTCAGCTTACAGGCTGAGTTCTAGTGTATTAGAACGGGTATCCGCGTGGTTCAGACTTTCGTATGCCGACGACAGATGGGGGTCGAACCCTCCTGTTTAGGGGTGGCATCGATACGCTTCGAGTCTCCTGACCTTTTGATTACTGATTACTGATTAATTTTTTTTCCTCGTTATCTATTGCAAAAACGATCGATATTCGACCCTTGTGGACGATTTCATTATCGACTCTTCTCCTGCGGTGCTCAATTTATCCGCTTTCGACGGACCGGTCGTCTACTCTCCAGAGGCCGAAACTTTGTGACAAGCGGGCTACATTGGGCACCTACGAGCTCTCCCAATATGGATCAATTTTACAAGACATATGGCTGGAGGTCGATGCGCTGGGGCGATTACTCGGACGACTACCACACCTTTGTTCTCGAGTGGTCCCCCGACTTTATGTTCGTACTCTTTTTTCCTCGCCATTCTCGCTCCTTTATTGACGGTATTCATCTAGGTGGACGTACGTTGACAAGCGGACGTCTCGCATTCTCGACATGCGCTTCAACAAAAAGTCGTTCTTTGAGCGTGGAGACTTTCCGCCGACAATCTTGAATAATACCAACGTGCCGGTCGTGCTCACCAATCCATGGGCGGGCGGAACGCGTGCGGCACCGTTTGACAAGCCGTTTTACCTCGCCCTCACGCTCGGTGCTGGTGGGACGGATGGGTGGTTCCAGGATAATGAGGGAGGAAAGATGTGGTACGATGGCTCGTCGAGTGCGTTACTCTCCCTCTCTCTAAAGTGAACGATTGCTGACGCTCGGATGGCGTAGGTGCGATGCTTGACTTTGCGAATAACAAGGACAAGTGGCATTCGACCTGGTCAAAGGATAATTCTCGACGGGCATTTGCCATGTACGTTTATTTTGTTCGAAATGGTCTGGGTGAATGCTGATGCTGATTGTGTGTAGTGATTATGTCAAGATGTGGTCCAAGTGCTAAATGTTTTGTGTATACCGCCCCGGACGCTGTTCTCTTATCCTCACACACACACACACGTATACGTATCACGCAAGGACCTTATCCACTATAGACACTCTATCTCGATCTGCTGTCTCACCTAGAGATCCGGTCGTTTTGCATACCATACTACATCGTCGCCTCTCTCTTCACGAACACTCGACTTATGATCGTCGTGCATTATGCTCTCGTTTAGACTGTTGCCACTCTACCGATGTCTATCCTACTGAAATAAGGATTTACTCTCTGACCGAAACGAAGTGGAAAGAAATGTCTTATTTTGGTTCGTCAAGTGTCTGCAAGATTTTTTGCTAATATTTTGATCAATTATCAGAAAGCAAGCGGATGTAAGCAAGTTCATGTTTGGCTGGTAGACATCTTGACCCTTACCACATTCGCATAATGGCGAATGAAAAAGAGCAATATAAGCTCTTTTTCCATAGATAGAAATCACCCGGGTGATCTTTCTTCTGTCATCATTTCGAGATCTGCACAATCGAGGTCTCCAACGAGAAATCCAATCATCGCACCCCCGTTACAAGGACATACCCTTGTCTGATCTTAAATTGTTTCAAGTAAATGTCCCATTTCCCCCTAAAGCGTCTGCCCACGACCGGAACCGTATTATCAACAACAAACTCGACGGTTGGACACATCTCTTTTCAACTGACCCCATCACCGACTACTACCCATCGCTGCCAGAATCTAGAATGCTACATATTGTTGTGCGTTCAGAGTCATCTCAGGAGTTTCGTGAGTAATCATAATCTCTCCAACGGATCTCAGCTTGCAGACCCTGCTTCCCAATCTCTCGGCTGGGCTGATACCAGAGCCTATGAATAGCCAGAGCGCAAGCGAATATTGCTTTCTTCGACTACGAAATTCGCGAGCGCACACAAACGCCTCAGATTTGAACGTCTCTGAATGTGGTATCGAGATATCGGACAGTCCCCTTAACCATTTACGAGAATTCTCTGGGAAACTGCGAAGCAAGCGCATATATGGTGAAGATGTCTCGGAAAAGTGATGAATTACTATGCAGGCTACTGTCGACTCACACATAAGACAGATGAATACAGTCAAGTATCAAATGCAGGGGCTACCTGGCCTCAAATTTTCAGACTACTTTCAGGTTTTGGGATTAGTATCCAGCGAAGATCTCATACGGGATACCCATACGACTGCCGGATCACATCGTCATCGACTTTGGCGACACGGTCAAGTACAATGGCCAAGGGACGCTATATATAATCGACTTTGGGATAGCGGAGGCGGATGTGACAACAAGCACTCTGATGGGGGATATGTGTGGGACGCGCGGATGGCGAGCGCCAGAGATTCAAGAGGGCCAAATGTGAAGTCCCATTCTGGCTGATAGATGGGCATGTGGCAAGATGCTGCTCTACCTCGGCGAGCAAGTCAAATGGACGTCTCGCGTTCAGAATCTTGTGCAGAGACTGATGGACGACAATCCTCAGGCCCACCCCTCCGAGCTTCATTCTTGAAAACGCATTTGGGCGGTTTGAATGCCATTCCAACAACACTGCCCAGGGTGCATCCCTCTCAACACGGGCAGGCCACCTACTTTCCATTCACTAACAGGAGTAATCCTCGTAAATGGTAGCTTGTTTTATTTGTAATGTATCTTCTTGTAGCTGTGGTATAGCTTGCCTATACCTATCTCCATTATGTCCATATGAGAACCACCGTAGAAGTTGGTATAGTTGATAATTCTGACATTTCAGATATGGCTCCACATTGAGGAGTTGCGACAGATTTACCAACTCTAACAAACTGATACCAACGTCTATCTTACTGAAATGAGGATCTGTTCTCTGACCGGAACGAAATGGAGAGATCATTTCGCCAGGTACTGTTAAATTCAGTGATTTGCAAGAACACCACATGGTATTTGGCTACTTATCTAATGCCTTTGTCCTCGAAACTTGAATGTATTTCCATCGGCTCTAAGAAACATGAACAGTGAACCATTCACATCATCACAGATATGTTAAGTGCATTGTAACGAAAATTCTAGATTATTCTACGGCGAGATGGTTGTTGGTATAAAGGCGGAGGTGATGTGTCAGCCTCACATACACCTCTTAGCCGCTTACCACAACCATCTCTATCCCTTCGAATTCGATATGGCTAGCCATCTCGTGCGTAATCTATGCTTTCTGTCCTTATTTTGAGTATACTAACGCTTCGTTTCCTCTAGGCAAACATTTTCGGAACCGGTGCGTTTTATTTTAGGATTGATAAAGGCAATTACTGACGATTGATCGTGTGTTACAGAGCAGGACCGTGTCAACTGCTCGTTTTATTACAAGGTTCGTTGCCCTCGTCTCCGCCTTTTGCTCATATACTGACGGACCATCGTGTTGTCGTGTTGTAGATTGGTGCATGCCGACATGGCGATCGCTGTTCTCGAAAGCACATTCGACCACCATTTAGTCAAACGATTTTGCTACCGAATGTGTACCACAACCCGGCCAATGACCCAAACTGCAAATTGAGCGCAAAGGAGCTCCAAGAAGGTTTCGATGCAGTGTATGAGGATTTGTACTGGTGCGTACTCTTTCTTTCACGTACTCCTTTTATGTGTGAACGTCATGTACTGACAATTTTGTAGCGAGTTGACCAAGTTCGGACACCTCCTCGAACTGCACGTATGCGACAACGTCGGAGACCATCTGATTGGCAACGTCTATGCACGCTTCGAATGGGAAACCGAAGCCCAAGCTGCCGTCGACAACCTAAACGAACGGTGGTACGCCGGCCGACCATTGTACGCCGAACTCTCGCCTGTGACCGATTTCCGCGAGGCATGCTGTCGTCAAAACGAGAATGGGGAATGCAACCGTGGCGGATTTTGCAATTTTATGCACCTGCGCCTTGCTAGCCCAGAGTTGAAGAAGAGCTTGGAAGTTGGGCAGAGGTTGGAGAGACGGTTGAATCCGCCAAAGTCTGATGGTGGTGCCGGTGGATGGCAGCCTGGTCAGCGCAAGAGAAGGAGTGCAAGCCCGCCTTGGAGCAAGCGGTAGTGTCCTCGTTCTTTGGCCCTATTGTTGCCTTTGCGAGTTGAAGAGACTGATGTTGAGCTAATACTTGTCTTTTTGTTAGCTAGAATTCCAATTGGTGACCCCCTTTGGTTGGATGTAAGTGTACTCGGCGAGCCTGTTGATTGTTTGCCAAGTTATCTTGCTCATATCTGCACATCATCGCCTCAAATTCTATATACCGACCAATGTTGACAAAAGCCGACCTCGAGATGCTCATGGGTACCGGTTATTCACCGCCGATGATGGTTCCTATTCGACTAGCCCCTGAACCCATGAATTGCGATCATCTGAGCGGTCTTCTGCGGTTATTAGCCAAGTAAGGCCCGCCGAGGCGTGAGTTCGAGACCGTTGAGTCTGTGATCCTCCACTCACCGCCTCCTATTTCTAGACTTGCATTGGATCCTTTCTAGATTATATCCAGAGATCAAGGCCCTCAGTCCGTAGATGGCTCTGAGCTCCAAGTCTAGCCACCAGGGTATTGGCATGCACCGCCATTTGTGCCTCGGGCACGGGTATGCCGAGCCCGTGATCACAGTCGTCATATTTTTACGGCAGACATGCTATAAAGCCATGCCGGTGCACGCTGAGAACAAGCACCCAATTTCCTCCCGTCAAATCTTTGTTTCCGACACTTTTCTCGACTATGATCCTGTCTCTCGTTTCGGCGTTGCTCTTGCTCACCGTCTCCGTCCTCGCACGCGTCGAGGGCCCGTTTGCGCTCTACCTCAGAAGTTCTGACCCCAAGTTTGTCGCCTCTTTGTTATGACAACGAGGTACTGATGTGATATAGATGGAATATGCGTTATATTAACATTGGCGCACGCAATGCATACATGGCAGTTGCACCAACCGCCGTCTCCTCCCCGTCGCAAATCCCCGCGGCCAACATCAACTTTTTCCTCAATACCACTGCTACGTACGTGTTCATGGATCGTATTCACTATAAGAAATCTGAGTCGCCCGTCTTCATAGGCTGACACCGGACGCACCGTACGGTCAACTCGTATGGGGAGCACAGAGCTATTACAGCAACCTCTTTGGAAGAATCGACGTCCTTACGCCTTCGTCATCCGCCCTTCAGCCCATCTTCTTCGACATGACCTATAGCTTGCAAGGTTACTCTTCCCGCTGGAACTTTACGGCCAATAAACAGCTCCAGCTCGACAATGTCAAGGATCACTTTTACGCCAAGGAGCTTCGCACGACTATGTACAACTATGACACTGTGTTTTGGCTCTTCGGTAGTCCCAGCCAGAGTGGTCTCGGTGCTTCAAAAGTCACGGTTTGGAGGTATGATCCACCATCCGTCTAACAGAAGAGCCATGGACGCTCTTGAACCCGAAACAAACTGAACTCACGGACAACTTTTTGTTTTCTCTCGGACACTTTAGCCCCACTTTTTGCTTTAAACAAACTGATGTACCACAGTCATGGACAATTTTCATGGACAATTTTCATACCATTTACAACAAAAATACGAGACGAGAGTGTGCGCCAGGAAATAGACTAAGAACTCACATAAACACCGACATCAAGGCTTAGATGAGACTGTGCGAGAAATGCCCTTGCCAACTGAGAGACGACTCCCACTTCCTGTCGCACTCGCCGTAGCACTCACAGTAGACTTGATCGTCGTCGCCTTGCCACTCGACAGTCGCCCACTGACCCCGCCTTCTTTTAGCCCAGACTTGCTCGTCTTCTTCTCCAGCATCGGTCCCTTGACGAGTGTACTACTACTACTACTGCCCATTGTCGTCGTTTTTGCCATTGCTCGGTCCGCTCGTTTGAGAAACGGACTTGGTACGTCGTCATCATCACCCTCCCCTGTCCCCCATCCTACTGGCGCGCTCATCGTACGCTGCATGCCCCTCTCTCCATTCTGTAAACTCGTAAGAGATGGATTGTTGGCTTTCAACTGTGCAGTGAGATCCTCGTTTCGTCCAGAGATACGCTTTTTGGTTCGTGGTTGGGGTGTCTTGTCGTGCCAACTGAGCCCAGAGCGAGAACTCGTCGTTGAGACAGACGAAGGTGACGGTGGACCTGCAATACCTGGCGGCGAATTCTCCTTTCCTCTCTCATCTAACGCAGTAAACGCGTCATGAATAGAGGACGGCACGGAGGAAGAAGATGGTTGTTGATCCAAAACATGTATGAGATCGACTCGTTTGGATGGTGAGTCGGTCAACAAGTGGCGCAACTGGGCGGCTGCGGGAGTGGCCACGGGCTGTCCGTCTGCCATGATCACGCCCTTCATCGCCGAACCTCCGTCATCTGGCGTTGACGTTGATGGAACGGGTGTTTCGAATACATTTGCGTGGGGGAGAGAAGTACGTGCTTGAGGTTTTACCGGAGTTGCATCTGTCCTATACAAGATGAGCACGGTCATAAACATTTGAAGCAAATGCAGGAGACATACTGATCTTCTGTAACTTTTGGAGTAGGCTTGAACGATGTAGATGAGATACGCTCCCGGTGCAATCGTTCCGCTTCTCGCTTGAGTATTTCTTCCCGCTCTGCAATCTCTGCATCTTTCCTCGCAATTTCTGCACGTAATAGTGCCTCGCGTTTGTTCCACATATGTTCCAATTCGACCTCACGCGCAGCGACAGCCTGTTGCGTCGCCTCTTCCTGCGCCATCATCTCCTTTTTCAATTCGGCTTCACGTGTGAATACCCACTGGCGTAGTTCTTCTTCGCGCGCGGCGACACGGGCCATGATCTCCGCCTCCTTTGTCACTGCCAATGCAGCAAACTCTTGCTCCCGTCGAACAAGTTCTTGCTCTTTGAGAGCGAGTGCTTGTTCTCGGCTCGCGAGATCATGTTCTCGGCTCGCGAGATCATGTTCACGCTTCTCCAGCTTTTCTTGTCGAGCGTGCAGCGTTTGGCGATGGCCTACGACCTTATTTAGCATCTCTTGTGTTTCACGCGTCTTGAATGCTAGATTCATTCTCTCGTGTGCCAATAAATGAGCGGCTGATGGCCGTTTTGAAGGCTATAGCAGGTCAGTTTCCATTTCAAGGGCTGTGCGAACCGTACCTCGAGGCTCATCATGGCTTTGATGGCAGCTTGAAGATAGTGTCCATACTGACTTGGTAGTGTTGGCACTCGACCTTTCTTGACATAGGTTGCAAGCTCGGCGTGAGTTTGCGCTTCGTGAAAGGGAGGACTTGGGCAAGTCAGAACAACCACGACAACGACAATAAGACGTACTTTAGTGCACACAGCTCGTAGACCAAACAACCTAAACTCCATATGTCGCTCTTTGTGTCATAATGCATTTCGCCAAACAGTTCGGGGGACATGTAATATGGCGTCTGAAAGGAATAAGTGTATAGAATCCGAATTGGCGACACCACTCACTCCCACGTAGGTGTTGGTGAATGCTTGTGCACCAAGTTGCTTTGAGAGTCCAAAATCACCAAGCTTGACCACACCGTTTGCATCCAAGAAGACTTCACAAAATTCAGATACATCTCTAACGCTATCTCGAGGACTCACCATTCTCCGGTTTGATATCCCGATGGAGAATAGGAGCCCGTTTTATCACATTCGGGAGGACCTCGTTGGTCGTTCCGGGCTTGATGTGTGGAGCATGGCAGTGATGAAGGGCGAGTACGATCTGTAGAAAATAGTCCCACACGGTATCCTCCGGGATATGTTGACCACGCTTCTTCGTCGAACTGATCACACCTCCAAGGTCGCCACCACCACAATACTATAACATATCAGAACAGCACAGAGAAATAGCATAATCCTTACCTCCATCACAATATAGAGCATCCCATTGTCCGAGTCGACAAACTATCAAGGCATGAGCCTTCGTGCTGGCCAAGGAACTGAATCGAACACGCACGCGATCGTGATATCGCACGATATTCTCGTGATTCAGATCTTTGAGAATATTTCTGTATGCAAGTTGAGCTCACAACGCGCCACATCTAGTAAAAAGGCGCTCGCACACTTCTGCAACAATCTGCTTCTTGTCTCGATCCGACATGCGCTCAAAGTTCAGTTCTTTTCGCGCATAAATCTGGTAAAAAGAAGTCGAGATGAGCAAATGACTGTGCAAGAGGGCCCAACAACACGAACGGCACCGTCCTCCTTTCGGCGAACTTTGCGAATCACGCCAAAGGAACCATTCCCTATCACATCTATTGGTTCATACGCGTCTAAAAACTGGGCGCGTGTTGTGAGGGCCGTTGATGGTGGAAAGCTCGGAATGGCCGACATGGTCCAGGGTAAAGAATACGGATAGAGCGTCAATCATGGTCAAATGGCAGGCACGAAAAAGCAATTGTTTAAAAGTAAAATGTACAGTAGCAATACAAAGCTAGTCATCTATCATAATCACATCACTCTCCGGTTCGGCCTTTTCAGACGGTGTAGGCAAGGGCGTCGGTGATTGGGTGGCTGGTGGCGTCTCCTCGGCTCGAAGAAGAGAGCTGGCTGGAGAAGCCGCTTCAGAGCGTGTTGCTGCTAAGAGGGCTGCGGGGAGCGCCTTGAGGACATCGACCTCGGTCAAAGACGGTTTCGTCTCCTCAGTCTTGCTAGTGGACTCGCCAGGCGTACCACCGCTCGTGTCGTCCAAATGTTTCCGCAAACGTTCCATGAGCGACTTTTTGACTTCATTCTCCGTCTGTTTGCTGGCCTCCTCATCACCAGCAATGGCTTCGTCAAGTTGGAGCTTCGTCAGAGCAAGCTGAAGAATGTCCTCCTCAATTGTACCCCTTGTAATTAGTTTGATCACGTCTACATCCCGTTGCTGCCCGATTCGGTATGCTCTATCCGCCGCTTGTAAATCCTAGAACTCGTCAGTAATCAGTCAATAGATCACGTGCAGCCTACATTATGGGGATTGAAATCTTGGTCATAAGTGATCACGACCGACGCGGCTGTAAGGTTGATTCCCATGCCACCTTCAAGGGTCAGACAATGACACAGCAGAAGTAATCCGTACGTACCTGCTTTTGTTGATAACAAAAATACTTTGATGTCTTGGTCATCATTAAATTCGTCCACTAGTCCTTGACGTTCGTCGACGGCGGTGGACCCGGTGAGCACAAGGTAACGGTAGCCCTTGTGATTCAGAACCGACTTGAGAATGTCAAGGATCTGCGTGAACTGAGCAGAGTAAGTCTCGAGTACATCAGGAACCCCCGTCTATACCCACCTGGGAGAAAATAAGAACACGTCGCCCCTCTGCGGTGTATTGTTCCAGCAAACGGAGGAGAACGTCGAGTTTGCCAGCCTCCAGAAACTTGCTCTCGTCAAGCGCATATTTTCGAACAGACTTGTAACGCTTGCAGAAGTGGTGAATTTCTGCATCCGTCATTACCTGTGCACAATTACTAAATACGAGACGACTAACGATTCACTACTTACCGACATGTCCTCGAGGACAAGGTTGTACTTGCTGTTCATAAACTCGGGCTCCTGGAGGCACTCTTTGGCGAGCGTCTTTAGCTGTTCATCAGTGTATAATCGCCTGAACAACATCGGGTGACTAGTCGCCTTTCGCAGATCCATCAAGACGTTGCTACTGAGATCTTGTTGCTGCGCCTTCAGCTGCTTCTTCTTCTTGGGTCGATTCTTCTGTCCAGCAGCCTCTGCAAGTGCGAGTTCATCCTCCACTTCCTCTTGCTCCATAAAGACACGTCGAGAGCGTTGTAACGACTGGTCGTATATCTCCTTTTGCAGAGGTGTCATCTCGCACCATTCAATCCTCTCCATCTTCTTTGGCAGCTCTCGCAAGACCTGATCTTTGCGTCTTCGAAGTACGAAAGGTGTCATCATTTGCTTTGCACGGGAGACACGGTCGTGAGCAAGAAGTCCTGCCTGGGCCGATGGCTTGACACGGAAGATAGCTCGGAAGGACTCGGCTACATCCGTAAAGAGTTTGGGGAGGATAAAATTCATGAGCGACTTTAGTCCGTCAGTTTTCGTCCAAGCTTGTACACGTGTCATACCAGAAGTTCTTGAAGGTTATTTTGTAGTGGTGTACCGGTGAGAAGCAATCTCCACTTGGCTCGTATCTTTGTCAACGCATGATACCGTTGACTTTGATAATTCTTCAGCACATGTCCCTCGTCGTACACACAAACCTAGAAATACTCAGAGGGATCCTAGTCGCTTCGTGCATAACTCACAGCCCATGGCACCTTTTTGAAGAACTTGCTGTCATTCCCGCCACCTTGAGCAAAGTTGTACGTCGTGACCATGACATCCCACGTATCTTGGCTCTCCAAAAGTTCCCTCCGCAGGGTGGAACGCTCGTTGATCGTCCCATAGTAGGAGACGATGCGCATCGAGGGGGAGAACCTGGAAAACTCTCGAATCCAGTTTTCGAGAGTGGAGGCACTATAAACATGAGCAATGAGAATGTCGAGCAACGGGCGGCACATACGGGACGACGATTAGAACCTTGTCTTGGAGACCTCTACTCTTGAGGTACGTTAGGAAGGCGATAACTTGGATCGTCTTGCCAAGACCTGCACAGGTGTTAGAGGATGACCATCGGTAGAATTGGCAACGCACCCATCTCGTCAGCCAATATGCAACTGAGGTTGCGCGAGTACAAAAGGTTCAACCAATTCACACCCAGCATCTGATAGTCTTTCAAGGTGACATCGGGGGCCAGTGACTGTGGAGCATCCCAGATGTACTCGGCCATGATCTTGGTCTCCTCTGGGGTCTTGACGGCCGATGGTTCGACAGGCCCATCGTCGACGAGATAGACATCGTCCTCCTTTTTAATAGACTTTGGACGATCATTGGCAAACTTTTGCCAAACAGCCTGCACCTGATCAAGATCCTGGCCGTAGCGTTCGCACCGTTGAAGGACCGCATCTACGGCTCGATAACCCTTTAACAGATCCTTGTAATTCTCAAAGAGCTTGGAGGAGACGCCGGTTCTGCGAACCATCTTGCCGTCGATGTCTTCAACCGAGAGAAAAGGTCGCATGCGAATAATGGTCTCTGCTTGCTCGGGTGTGCAGGCTACAAGGTGTTAGTGGGGCTGAGATTTTGGTTCACGAGAAGAGACAGACCAATCATCATAACAAGACCCTCTGCGTCGGCTGTGTTAAAGTATTCAAGAGCCTCTGCGGCACATGCAGCCTCCAACTCCGCATCGTGGACATTGTCCCCGTCAGACGCGTCGCTATCGAAGCCGTCGCCTCTAAAATCGTCTCCCTCTGAGTCAGAATCATCATGGGCGCGTTTCGAGCGTGGAGCAGGTGCTTCTATCCCAGGTACCGTGTTTCGATGGGCATAAATCGCAGACTTGTTCTTCCGCTGTTTGGCCAATTCCTTTTCTCTTCTTTCCTTTTCCTGTGCCTCGGCAATAGAGATGGACACGGCCCTTTGTTGCATCTCCCACTCTTTGATAAAAAAACTCGCTTCTTGGTAATTGTTTGTCCTCGCTGCCGCCTGTCGCAGGACCTCGTGATGCACCCCTGGATGCGCGTTTTGTAAAGTACTGAGGAGAAGAGTAGGGCTAGGAGATGGAGATCCCAGAGGCTGGATGTAATCTGCAGGTCTCCCTTTCCGCAAACGATTTGGACCAGGACTGTCTTCCTCGGTCAAAGGAGACATCATATTTCCTCCTTGTACTCTTCGCATATTTGGCGAGTCATCTGGAGAGTTTGGCACGAACACGACGCTCCCCGGAGGGCGACCCGTGTTTTGTTTTTTCCGTGGGGGCTCGAAACCGGGTTGATTAGGCCTGTAGGGCGCGTGTGACATTGTTGATGGAGCAAAGGGGTCCTGATTGAACCCATTACGGCGCTGAGTAAACGCAGCAGACCCGAGGGTTGGCTGAGCAAAGTGCGATTGATGGGGCACATAGGGGGCGTTGGAGACTGGTGGTCTATCTGGACTCGAATTTGGAGCAATTACAGTTGGTTTAGGTGCAAAATAGCGTGATTGAGTTGGAGGTGGTCCAAGGTTGAGGCGGAGAGGCGGGATCGTTGGGTCGTGCGCGATGCCGGGCATTCCAGGTCGTAAGATGCCATTATTTTGCGGTCTAGAGGCTCCCTGAGCGTTATCCTGCATATTCCACGACATGGTCGCGCCGACCGTATCAGGCAAGTTGTCAACAAAATAGCTCCAGCTTAGACGGAGCGACGGGGGATGCTCACGGTAGATCCCTGGTGCTTTGCAATGTTTCCTTCGACTTTTCTGAGAAAACTTTCAGCCATGGCGAGCCCGATGCGCGTGCGGGCTCCAGCTCGAGTGCAAAGCTCGGGTTCAAGTGATGTTTTTTGGAACTGACCCATGGTGAGGCTCATCACGCACAATCTCCTCGCGTGCCACGTCCGAGGATGCACAACAAACAATTTTCCACTCGCTTTTAAAGACGTCGAGATTCAACTCCGAGAAGCAGAGTTCAATCAGGACTTTCTCAGAGGCTTCCTCCCAAAACTCGAGTGGCGAGCCCTCGTCGACACGGCAAAATCTGCAAGTACTTTGTAAACATGCCGTTATTGATATCTAATCATCACCAGCTCAACGATCAGTCGCTCCCAGACACCCCACCAGCACCAGAACAGATGGACACAGAGTTTCTCAAGGCGTTGCATCACGTGCTGCTAGAGGTACTTTGCATCACACAAACTTGGGAATTTCTCAAATAGGTACTCAGATTCACGTCGAAGAAGGCGCAATGGTTTGCGCAAACTGTGGTCATGTATACCCCATCTCAAATGGGATTCCAAACATGGTACGCATATCATTTTTTATGCTCCACGATTCCTCACTGTCCTTAGCTCCTCCAAGAGCACGAGCTATAGCACGAGTCCATTACAATATGCTGCTAATAAACAGAAATTCAAACTCCCTTGTCCTGATGAAGACCGGGCATCATGCGTACAACCTTTCCCTCATTCCTGGCATGAACGCGAAGCTTTTTCAAAAGCTCTGTATTTGCCCAGCGTTCCGGAGGTGGCTTCTTCTCGATGGCCCAATAGTAAATATCCCAGTCCGGCTCGTCCAATAGCTAAAAGCCTGCATTGAGTAATGTCATACATCACAGTTGGAGAAGGCTTACACGATCGTACTCCATGAGCTCAGCCTCGCTCATCAATGGCAGTTGCTCTGCTGCAAAAGTTGAGAGAATCAGGTCGCCTTCCAACATGCCGCGCTTCCTCGATTGGTAAACAAGACGGGCTCTGAGTGCGGACACTGTCTCATTCTCTCTGTGAATCCTAGGCGGCAGCGGTGTCTCCTTGTCCGCTATTTGCTCAGTCGCTTCTCGTGAAAGCGGCAGAATGAACGGGTCTGCAGTCGAGTATCTCCGTAAAAGAGCTCTAGAGCCTAGGAAACGACGTGAATGTCGTATTATGTGACTAGCCATGGATGCGGTCGGGTTCAGAGTTTGCCCAAACCGCGACTTTCTTTCCGCCATAATCATGCACACCTTGGACCCGGCGTCCGTCGCTTCCCTACGGCATGCCATTGAAGACTGCAGTGAACGGGGACTACTCGCAGCTTCCAAATGGCTAGTTTTCTTTGGATGATTCAACGCTACAGTCGATAACGCGAATTGCAGGGCTGCCGATCTTTTACAACACGTACCCTTGGAGATTCGAACAGCCTCTTGGGACGTCATCCTTCCAGGACCATCAGACAACGAAAAGCTACTTGCACGCCGCGAGGAGGATCAGCTGCGAATAGCGAGAGGGTTCTTCTCATCCAAAGAATACGCGAGAACAGCCTTTATTTTGGAGACATGCACCTCACCAAAGGCCCGCTTCCTAGCGTTGTACTCTCGATTTCTTGTGAGTGTGCTCCTATTGGAAAGCCACTATTCTGACCTCCAGAAAGATGACCGAGAAGAAATCGTACGAAGAGTTTGAACGAGCCGTCAGTGCGTGCCATCACCTTCAGATGCAGCCGGTTCTTACCACGATCAGAAAAGCAGCAGTACGGTGGGCGAACAAATAGCAAATACTATCCACGACGACCAGTAAACACGAGTCTTTCCTTAATCCTCTCTGCGATCGAGGAAACCAATGACCCCTTTCTTCTCTTCCTGTGCGCGTACTTGAACTGGCTCTGTATGAGCTGACACTCTCTACAGGAAAGGACTCCTCCTTCAACGATTGAACCATAGAGATAAAGCATTGGAGGTTCTCATCCTCTCTGTTACAGCATACCCGTGGAACTGGAGCGCATGGCAAGCCATCGTGCGTTGCATCAAAGACAAAGCAGAACTCGCTCGATTACGACCACTTCTACCAGTACATCCTACTCAGGCCATGTTAAATCTCTACTATGCATCTCAAATCCACGCGATGGAGGATGAAGAGCTCGACGAATGCGACCGACTGTTGACCATCTTCCCTGGATGTCCAATGATCATTGGCTGGAAAGCTCACTGTCTCTATATGATGAAAGGTAAGATCTTGGCGCCCTAAAGCTTCATAACCTCAAGACAAGCAGAGTTGGAGGCATCCGAAAAGTTGTTCGATGAACTCTTGGTGAAGGATCCCTTCCGGATAGAGGACATTGATATATACTCGGCAATTCTCTTTGTCCTGGGCAAAAAGACCAAACTGAGCAAACTTGCTCGTCGATTCTCCGGAATGAGCCGTGATCGACCAGAAGTCTGCTGTGTCATAGGCAAGTTGTCTATATATATTAGTAGGCAGCAGCTGAATATCAGCAGGGGATCACTATTCTCTCCGTGGTGAGAATGAAAAGGCCATCAAGTATTACCGCAGGGCCGTTTTGTTGGATCAGAATTGTATTGCAGCGTGGACGCTCCTAGGACATGCTTTTGTGGAGATGAAGAATGCTCATGCAGCAATAGAATCGTATCGCCGAGCCATTGGTATGATCATTTTACGTCGTCCAGTGCTTTACTAATCCTAGTAGATATGGCCCCTCAAGATCCTCGTGCATGGTTTGGGCTCGGACAAGCCTATGCCCTTCTCTGCATGTTTCAATATGCACTGTATTACTATCAACGGGCAGTTGCCCTTCGGTCAGTTCCTACCTTGCCCTGCTCGTATGTCTTACATTCACATAGGCCGCGTGACGCGCGTATATGGCAAGAGTTGTCAGCGTGTTACGTCAAGGTTGATAGGTACGGTCCCACCTGGACCATGTCTAAAACTCACGTTTTCCTCTAGACCACTCGACGGAGTCGATTGCCTAAAGCGAGCGATTGCCGTTGCATCAAGAGACGACACTGTCATCAAACTCAAGCTGGCGACGCTTTATGAAACCTTGAAGGATTCAGCTTCGGCGTCAATATACCACACGCAATACATGGAGACGTGCGAGCGGCTGGGAAAAGGTGTCTCTGAGTACTCGAGGAGCTGCATATACGTCGCCAAGCACCACGTTCAGATCGGAAAGTTGGCCGACGTCGAGCTAGCAATCTCGCTCCTGGAAAAGATTGCGAACAGCAACGCGGAAGAGAACCAGCTGGCCAAGGACGCGCTGCCAAAATTAGAGAATGTGAGGCAGTCTCTACTCGAGTCGGAGTAGATACATGATCCATGTGTGTGGGTAGAAGCCGAGCTCCTTGCTTTTGAATTCAATTTGAACCCCGCTGCATTCCCAGCCTCACCCTAAGGCGTCAAACTTCCAGAGCCGGACCCTTGTAAGATCACTGCGAAAAACAGTAATAACTTGCGAGACACAAAGTACGCCGCTTGCAGCAACTTTTTGCGACACCCGGGCTGCCAATCTCCGTTCCAAGTTTTGGCCAAACGGAGCCGCAACCGCGCAGGAAAGGGCTCATATTCTAGTACAATTGGATATTGTACGTTGGAACGAACATTTGGCAATCCGTGAGGGAGGTTCTGACACCGCTCAGGGGTCACCGCCGTCGCTCTTAGGCTCCGTGGCCGTCTCCAGCGATGACAATTCGCAGTCGAATCAAACAATCCTCTTCGGAGGAAGGTGATAGTATGTTCTATAATTTCTCGCGCGTTTTGACAACCCTCTGACCAAGCCCCTTAGTGCAAGCCCCCGTTAGCGCGGACCCCGGCTTCATCATTGAATGCGATAGCTGCTTCACAAACCTGACCAGGTCTGTTCGAATACGCTGTGCGGACCCGGTGTGCGAGAGCTCCAGCATCGACATCTGCGCAGACTGCTTTCGGCAAGGCAAGGAATTTGGGAGACACAAGGCTGGTCATCCATACCGAGTCATTGAGAAGCACTATACACCCATCTTTGATGAGGACTGGACTGCCGACGAGTGCGTGCTTCTCACCGGTTCTCGTTCTAGACTCACGAGTGGTAGGGAGGTCAACTTGCTTGATGGGCTCATCATGCACGGCATGGGAAACTGGCTCGCAGTTGCAGAGTTCATGGGCTCCAGGACGAAGAAGGACGTCGAGGAGCATTACCTCAAATATTGGCGAGGTTCCAAGAACTGGCCGTTGCCGGTGAGTCTTCACAGCCGAACCGGCTAACTTGAACTCATCCGACAATAGGAGGAACCCATGGAATTCGAGACGACCCAAGAGGAGATGCTGAACAGGAAACGTGACCGTCTAAAGCGACTTACCATCAACCCTCCTCTCCCCCCACCTCCTGTCCAAAACTCTGGCCCGACCTCTCACGAGATTGCTGGTTTCATGCCCGGGCGTCTGGAGTTTGAGCACGAACTGGACAACGAAGCCGAAGATCTTGTCAAAGATTTGGAGTTTGGCATCGTGCGAGCATATGGTGGCGATGAGCAGATTCAAGATCCCGCAGACGCCGCAAAACTTGCCGCCGCTGTCGAAGCGCGACGAGAAGCCGCCAATGTCCTCTCACGAGCGACACCAAACGGTCATATGCACAGCTCGCCGGCGAGCGATGTCAAAGATGAAGACTTGAAGGACGAGCTTCCACAGATACCCGACGCAGTGGAGACCAAAGAAAGCATAGAAACCAAGCTCGCCCTGCTGCGAGCATACTCTGCTCGAATAGACAAACGATTACAAGCAAAGACACTTATATTTCAACGAGGACTGTTGGAGTTCCGAAAGGTGTGCTCATTCATGACACGTTGATGGATAATGCTGACAACATGCGCAGATGCAAGCAGCCGACAAGCGACGAAGCAAGGAAGAGCGCGACTTCTTGACGAGATTCAAAGTCTTTGCCAAAATGCAGACCGCCCAGGACAATGAAGACTTCTTAGATGGGCTCATGTGTAAGCATTTCCTGCATCTATCCATTTCGAGACTAATATGCGAACACAGACGAACAACTTTTGCGCAAACGAATTACGGAGCTGCAAGAGTTACGCAGACTTGGGCTTACCAGCTTGGCAGAAGCAGAAACGTACGAGAAGGCGCGACAATACCGGGTAAGTCTACAACCAAGGCCTTTTCGTATCAGCTCAACAAGGCTTCTAGAATGCCGAACGTGCGGAGATTCTACAGCGCGGCCTCGTTCGTAACGGTGATTCTCTGAAGCGTGCAGGCTCTGTGACGGACGATCGCTTCAAGTCGACCGCACTGGCTCGCAGAGGTGGTGCGTATATGACGAACAGAAAGTACAGATACTCATTTTGTCCTTAGGCCCTTTGACATTTGGCACGTCTGCTTCTCTCAACTTGCTTTCGTCAGAGGAACAAGAGCTCTGTCGACAAATCCGCGTCAACCCTCAATCTTATATCGTCATAAAAGCTACTATCGTCCGAGAGAGCCAAAAATACGGCAACGAACTCAGCCGCAAGCAGGCCCGAGACCTTCTCAAGTGCGATGTCAATAAAGCAGGCAAAGTTTGGGACTTCCTCGTCCGAAACGGAGTCATCAAGGCGCCAATGGAGCCTCCAGTCTCGGCCATCAGCCTTCCAGATGGCTTTCCTCAGCTCAATGGGATTGTCGGCATATCAGCGGTCAATGGGTATGTGGTACGCGGGCCAGATTCTGATATCTGACATTGTAACACCAGAAATGGCGACGTTCATATGACAAACGGGCATGTGTGAGGTAAATATGATTATGTATTACTTCTCGTGCATCCTCATGTTACTTGCTTGTACTTTGTATGGTATTCTGCTTCAGTAGATCCTCTGTCAGTGAAATGTCTACTCTGATTCCTGCCGCTTCCAGGTATTCGTCGTTCCAGAACTAAGGAGGGTTAGCGGGAAACGCGTTTGTCAAGGGCTCCGGCTCGCCTTGGAATAGTGCCTCGAACCCGAATCACATCTAGATGAATATCAGCGCAACCAAAACGGAGTGATCAAGCTCACAGAATAGTCACTACGCGTCCCGAACGAGGAAGGCGTTTGGCAACTTTGACCGCAGCGACAAGATTACAAGCTAGAAATCTTTGATCAGGTATGAGTGAGCAGCTTGCACAATACACACCACTACTAGAACCGAGGAACAGACCGTCATTTTTGACGATGAATCTCGACATGCTTACAGCCTCGACATCGGATACTCTTCGTTGACGTGAGCCCGCGAAAGGGTTGGGGAATTATGCTCACCGAATCGCATCGTCGATAATTGGGAGTGCGTATTCGAAGTTTTTGGTCAGCCTATTGATCCCTCTTGTTCTTATCAGCTGAGTCACAGTGTCCTAGGATTTACTCACATTCCCTCGACCACCGTGTCCACTTGGTGCCGACGCTTTCGACCTTCTGACTCCTTCGCGTCAAACATGACTCCATGTTTTACCTGTAGTGTGATGAATGTACAATATTATGTCAACAAGTCTCCCACCTTATTGTAAAGCCCCGAGCCTTCTGGATCAGATAAAACGACGATGATCTTCGGGTTCTTTTCCCTGAGATATTGTCCAGCACCCGCAATCGTTCCCCCAGTCCCTGGAGCTCAAGGATGAGTGTATTGTCTGATGAACCCAACTATGAAACCTACCAGCCCCCGAGACAAAGGCATCCACCTTACAACCAGATTGCCTCCAAATCTCTGGTCCTGTACCTTGATAGTGTGCCTCGAAGTTGCTTCTATTCTATTGAGAGTGTCTGCTTTAGAGATTCCTCGAGTGGCATACTGACCTCAAACTGATCGGCAAAAAACCCACGAGGCTGGTCTTTGGCATCGAGATCCTGGTCAGAGCTCACAACACCATCAAGACCAGGGAGGCTACGGGCGTTGGTGCCATATGCCGCTGCTTTAGACTTGGCCAAGTTCTTCTCTAGGTCAGACATAAATTAATATCTCCACGGTTCGCGCACCACAAACTAAGAGATCCAAGTAAGATACATCGTTGCCGCGAATGCCGAGGCTCACCTGCTTCTTATCAACGATACTGGCGGGTCGAACTTTTTCTACATCCGCTCCGAGAGCACGTAATGCAAGAGCCTTTTCTGCTGCCACATCGTCCGGCATTATGATCGCTGGTGGGTGTTATAGCGCGAAACAGGTTTAAAGGCACACTTTACTTGTATTATAGCCTCTGAGCGAATGTAAGCTATATCCACGCAGAGAAATGAGAATCACCTCGCTGCTGCCAGGGTAGCAATAGATATTCCAGTTGATCCGACTGTGCCTTCGAATATCCGCGAGCCAATGCCCGGTTTGAGGTACCCAGACGCTTCCGCATCATCAATGACTATTGAGATGAGTAAGGTGTTTATCTGCATTGTCAAACATCCTACTTTTCATTGCGACCCTGTCTTTGACACTTCCTCCTGGGTTGAGAAACTGCAAGGATCAGTAAGAATAAGTTTATATAGAAATAGAATCACCTCTGCTTTGCCCTAGTCATGGTGGTCAGTATAGAAACGTTCGAGTCCAACCGACCAAAGCACCAGAATATCAACACCCAGAGCATCGCTCAGGGATTTGATTCGCAAAAGAGGTGTATTCCCTGTAAATGTTCAGAATGGTGCAAAGGAGTGTTCATTCATTTGACCTATGAGACCTGGCACTCCGTCTACAATATCTTCCTTCTTCCTTCTCCCTAACCAGCTCGTAAATCTATTTAGTAGTGATATTGTTGAAGCCGAGAAGGCTAATCCGATCGCAATACCAATCAATAAGTCGATGTTTTGCCGTTTTGCGGCCATAGTGGCATAGAGACTGGATATGGTAGGATTCAAGGTTCACTTGAACTCTCCCACAGCCATCTCGCCGGTTGAATCCGAACCTCTCCGTACAACTAATCAATTGCGATTCCTTTAGATACTCATGACAGTGTATTCGCTCTATATCTTTGACCGGCAAGTGCTTTGGTAGATCGCTGGCCAATGTTGATGCAAGATAGACATTGCGCATGTATCTACTATCAAGATTGGCATAGAGCACAGCGACCACGACCCGCGACTGAAGGAAATATCCTCCATGGCGTCTCGCGCGCTGTCGCCCCCCAATCGTCCAAGGGCCCTGTGCAGCCCGAGTTTACAAGTCCAAGAAACACCCTGACGATCTCAACGGGTGGGATTGTCGTAGCAGTTGGAGAAGCCTCACCCAATCAGACCCCTCCGCCAGTCCCAGCAAAGACGGCAGCATCACCCAATCCCGTTCTTCCAATGGCCAAACTCTCATTTGATGAGGAAGCAAAGCTGGTCTATGGAGTCATTTTCTCTCTTAGGAACATGGTACATAAGCTGTCTGGAAGGTGTGATAGTCATCAAACGAGGTTTTGGGCTGACTAGTGTGTTCTTGATAGGGATGAAGCCTTCGTCAATTACAAGACTTCGGCATATAAACTTCACCTTTTCGAAACTCTCACTGGGTACAAATTCGTCCTTTTCACCGATCCGGGAGCAGACTCCATGCGCTACATGCTACGACAAATTTATATGGGACCCTTCCTGGAGTATGTCGTACGCAATCCTCTGGTTGAGATGGACTCCAAGGAGCGAGGGATCGACAGCGATCATTTTCGACAAGCGACGGACAGACTAGTGCGAAGCCAATCTGTATTCAACAAATAACTTACTAGATTCTGTGTTTGAGGGTGTACTGTATGTCTCTTTAGAAAACACGTCTTGGACCGAGCCATTCCGATGAGGTCCTGTATACGTCGCCAGTGTGGAACCATACGAGAACATGGAAGATTTTTGACCCCGCGGAGAGCGTTCCCACAAGAAACTTCGCATCCCGGAAGCAGCTTTGGACGGCAACAATCTTCCTTGGCCTCGGAAAATGGTCAGGACGGTCCCAAAGGCCCTGTTGTGGACGATAAACCGTCAAGTTTGACGAGTCCAGACTCTATAAAGCCCATTTTGGGCCGAAGGGTTCCTCCAGGTATCGAAGTCGCACCCGTTCCCTTACAGACATTACCTACACCACCCCAAGCACCTCGATATCCTTGTCAGCATCTTAGCGAGGCACAACTGGAGCAATATCTCAAGCCGTTATATGACCGTGGATGGGGGATCCATTCCAGGCTACCCATGGACGACATACCAACGACCACGTTCATGTTGGCAAAGAGCATCAAATTCATATGGAACTTTGCTTTGGTTGAGTTTCTGGGAAACTACACCCCGTCGTGCAAAGGGAGCAGGTCCGCATCTTGTAGCTCTCGCCTATTGAAATAACACCTTTTTAGCATCACCCGAGAGTATCTTATGAGCTCAGAACGCTCGATATCATGATGCAGACCCACTCTGCCTTCACGGTCGATGGAGAGCACCGCCATACAGTTCCTGGGATCACCCTGCGAGACATAAGACTTGCATATGCAGTCGAGGACATCCTCATGCACTTTTATCAAACGAACAAACTCGAACGGCAGTCGCCCAAATATCCTCAGCTTTCTTCACTCCGTATGAGCGATCTTGAACCAAAGAAAGGTTTACCTGCTCGCACTTCAAAATGCATCGTTTGTGGTGGCGACCACTGGTCAACGGTTTGCCCATCTCGCTTCACGGTCAAGCCCCCAATTCCATGTGAACTCTGCGGTGGGAATCATTGGAAGTTTGCATGTCTTCACTATGGCAAATGGAAAGAGATGGTTAAACGTGACCGGGTAAAGCCGGGTTGGGGAAGAAAATTTGGAGAGTAGTCTGACTACTTCCATCGGTTTGCGAGATCAATAGAATCTGGAATCTCCTCCTTGGTAAGTGGTATAAATTCCGTCTCCACTCCATCTTTCATATATGCTTCGTTTGTACTCCCCGCTAACGGTACCATGCCCCAGATTTGCACTAGCCTATACACCACCTGAGCAGGCGTCGCATTCTTCTGCTTTGCGAGCTCCTTCACAGTCGGGTGATTTAATAACTCTGGAGTTCTAGTCAACGTCCAAAAGTCCTATTCAACCGTAGTCAATCTAGTTTGTCAGGATACGTCCATGTTTCTTCACTTACTGGTAGAGGACGCCCTTCTCCAGGCAGTATTTAACCACTTCGGCGTCGAATCCATTCCCTTTGTACCATCGATTCTGCACAACTTGAACCCGTCGTCCACCGACCGTCTCGAGCGCATCCAACGTGCCAACATCATAAGTATTGCTCACCCCAATGTGTTTGACCTTTCCCTCGTCCTGTAAAGCACACAGGACAGACCAGGCTTCCAGCGTGCGCTCGAGTGTGTTCAGGGCGAGTGAAGAATATATAAGTCGAGATAGGTGGTACGCAGATTCGTCAGTGAAACGACAAACGAGTCTCGAACTTGCTTAGTCACTGGATCCTTTGGGTTGTACGGAAGAGGCTGAGCAGTGTCCTGGCCTCCGATAGGGGTGAACCTAATGGGACGCGTCAATCATGTTACAAAGCAATCGAAAAGAGTGCACTTTGTTTGGAGGAAGATGTCCTCTCGTGTAATGGTCTTTGTGTCAATCATTTGTGCAAGTGCTTCGCCTACAAGGTCTTCTCTATAAAGAGCTGTCAGTTAGATATCATTAGAACCTGTAGTCCTACGAGCCTGTAGTGCTTCAATTGGCATGCCGTGTCAATCGCTCGAAAGCCTGCCCGAATAGCAGCCACAACCAGCGCCGTTGTACGCTCCTTCTTCCTGGTCCAAGTAAGTGGGTTGACGACCATGTTCATGAGCATGCTCGGTACCAAGCCGTGCCATAGATAATCGAGAAATTCCTTAGCGCAGCCATTATAGTGGTAGGGGTGTAAGAGGGCGCGAAGCCATAATCATTCTGGCCAAAAAATTAGATAACCCATAACATGTGGACAAGACGGAAATGACGATGAACATGCAATACGATAAGGGATTTGGCTACAGACGGGTAATGGCGAACGGTATGACTTCATACCCGAGGTGGGCGGTCGTGGCTACAGGAATAGGAGGATGTGTACGGTGATGACGGTGATGAACGAAACTCTAGTGTAGTGGCATGAACGTCGACAATGAACCATAAAAGCTCCTTGATTTGAGTACGAGAGTCGAGTCTAGCGTGCTGAAGTGACGATTTAGGGGTAACCACGATTAGGCACGCCATAGCGAGCAAAATAATCGAGCTGGAGTTGCTGTTCAAGAGCTGCTTGATCCAACGCGTTACCATAGTTCAGAGAAGGGACAGGGTAATACCCCATCACGGCAGGATCAATGGAACGGAGTGCATCAAAGTGTGGAGCGGGCGACAGAGATGTAGGGGGTGCTCTCAAGCCCATTTGAATAGTGGCGAGTGCGCGAAGGGTTTCGAGGCTCTGATCTCCCAAACCGTTTCCACCCGAATCCTTTGATCCGTCAGTGGAGTTTTAGGCCAAATTATCCCAACTTACCCAGCGCAATTGACCAAAGCGCAAGAGTTGGAGCCTGTCAAGAGTTTGAGGGAGATCCCAACGAGGATAACTATTCGCTCCAATTGTGTACGGAGGCGCATATTTCCTTTTGTTGGGTTTTCTCTTGTAATTCGTCGTCGGAGGGCTTTGTTCGCTCATAGATTGTGAACTTTCCGTTGCAAGAAGAGAAGAGGTCCTTTCGGAGACCGAGCTGCTCGTTGCATGCGATCCAGAGGTGCTCGTGACCCCAAGGCCTACAGAGGAGGGTTCAGAGTTGGACTTGGTAGCACCAGCTCGCATTCGATTGGCAAGGTCGGGCGAAGAAGAGGCAGATATCTTCAGCAACTCTGCCACTGGGTAGGTGGTCTTGGTCTTGGATGAGGTGCCAAGCGAGACGCCTCCACTAAGAGGTACACTCGTTCCCTGGCTAGGGACGGTGTTACCTTCGTCGAACCTAGTAGGAGCAACTGGATTGATTTCAGCTCTTTGGTTGGCCAGAGCGGAATCTTTGGCCTTGGAACCCTGCGATGTATTCGAATTCTTGCCCAATGAAACACCAGAGGACGACCTATTCCGAGGTTTGCTTTGCTTGTCTGTGCTGTTTATAGGCACGGTGGCTGCCTGCTGGACGGGCTTGGCGAGAATCTTTGCCTGATCCTGAGCCTTTTTCCTTTCCTCGTAAGCCATTGCGGCTCTCGACTTGTCCTGCTTCATCGTCTTCTTGGCGGTGGTGGCTGCACGGAGCGCGTCCTTGCGAATGCCAAGCTTAAATTCGAGCTGTCTTTCAATTTCTTCATCATCCCACGGTAGTAGATCCCCTTTTTTATGAGAATAGTTGCACTGAGGTTCTGCAAAACGGCACTTGTTGTTATGGATGAAGTAGAGACAGACATTCCGCCCCCTTTAAGATTGTGAGAAGGTTGCACACTGATTGCTTTATACACGTACTCTGGGTGGCTGCGTAGGGAGCAGAGATCAGGTGCATGCGAATAAGGACATTCGTGGCCTTTTGCACACCGACTCTTATTATAGTATCGGCAGGTGATGCCGTTGCCAAAGTGTTCATTGGACGGACGTTCGCCCTCCTCGGAGATGCCAAGGTTTGAGCGGGCAACAAGGGAGGGGCTCTGGCCAGCGACGATGCGATTGCGTCCTGGTGTCCCGGCCACGGAGCCTGGACGCGAGGGACGTTCACTGGTTGCTCCGTCCTTGTCTGAGGGAGCCGGAGTTGCCTCTAATACGAATTCGACTTCTTCTTCGTCTTCCGAGATCAGATTCTCTTGGTCTAGGGCATGTCGGTCAGGTCGAGAGTAAAACACGCATGGCTCGAATACACACCTTCAGAGCTACTTGCACGGTGCACATACTGTGGTTTAACTCCGGGTTCGTCATTTTGGGCCATTCCTGTGTCTGACGTCTGGGTGAGAGACACTGGGGTAATCCCACTCCTGCCGTGATTCGTTCTGTGAGAAGAAAGAGACGCGATTCAGGAGCCAGTATCTAACCTTCTTGCAGGGAGTTCCGCCGACGTCGCTACAACAGTTGGACTCGTTACATAGCCGTCGCCGCCCGGCATGGTCGTACAAGTAATAGAAGGCTGAGCAGCTGAGGTTGGGATGTTTTTGTGGTTTAGGATGGCTTGTAGTATCGGTGAGCTGATGTTGTGCTCGTCCTACACCGCCCAAAACAGAGCCGGCATCAGCAACCAGGAACTCTCACGCAGTCCAGAGCAAGCAATGCGAACACCATCCGTAAATACCGTTGGTAGAGCGTACAGAAGGGGGTTTGGAAGCGGGCCGAACTCACCTCTGCTGCAGGTCGGATTGCAGGCTCTGGGTGCCGCTGCACGGTTTCAGAGTCCTGAGCAGTGAGCATGATGATAATGCGCTCGTCGTCGTTGTGACCACAGGCCTCTGGTGATGTCTAGGGAAATGCGCGGTCGTGGTCGAGTTCTAGTTTTGGTGGCCACCGGCGGCGCGATTGAGAGGGCTCACAGAAAGGGCTGAGCGGGTAAGCAGCCAAAATGAGCCCTTTATAGCAGGATTTACAAGGAAACCACAAAAGGATGAGTGTATAGAATGGAGTGAGACTTTGCCCCGCTCTAAGCTGACTTCCGGTCAGCCATGTAAAGGGTCGCACATTCAAGCCTTCATTATCATCATTGTTACTCTAGAATACTTTCCACCGGCCCCCGCAGCACCCAGACGTTCTCTAGCTGGTTAATGAATACAGTCGTCCAGCTAGCGACAGCCTCTGCACCAACAGAACATATCCAGCCAGTCTGCAAATATCGGTAAGAGAATTGTTCAGAAAGCGCCCATCTCGACCCCCTCGAAGCCCTTGCGGATCCAAATCTCATCCTGAATGACAAACCCACTCCGCAAGTATGCTCGAGTCGCTGGTTGATTGGTCGGCTCCACAAAAAGAGACACGGCACCTTTCCTTTTCTTCTCGTCGGCGCTCACGAGCCACCATCGACTGGCCGCATGGACCAAACGGGCTGCGATCCCCTTGCCACGTTTCTCTGGACTTGTAAAGACGTTTCGGATTGCAATTGTGCCCGCAGTTTGTCGTCCGGTATAAACGTAGCCTGACAGGCTGAGCCCATCATTGCTCGCCGTCGGTGGATTCAATTGCCCATGTATGTTGATGTCAGTCCTGCCCATGTTTGGTGGATTGAGTTGGGGTTTGGATACGCAGAGCCATAGCCTGCCTGCTTCGTCTGCGTCCAGAACCTCTTGAATCATCTTTCGTGCAATTTGCTCACTTTGCTCGACTGTGGACCCAAAGAAGCTGCAAACAAACTCGACAAGTGCCTCCACCAGTCTCTTCATGTCGACTTCGTCGATCTCTGTGCGAAGCGTGACAATATCGACCACACGCAACTCGTCTTCCGTATTGAACAACGCCTGTTGGCCAGCCGCATGGCATGTAGAGGCCGTAGTGAGAGCGAGACGTGTTGTGAGAGATGGTTGTTCGCAGGGAGCCAGCATTGGCTCGTTTGACTCTCCCCAGGCGGCAACGAGTGCGGAGGCGAGTCGCTCGGGGGCATATACTGAGCGCATGGGAGGTGCGTTGATGGCTCTAAGAGCGGTGACGATTGAATCCATCACTCGTGGTTGTGCAAGCCAAGGTTGGAGATGCCTCTTCGAGTTGGGCGTCGCCATATGATAAGTGTCAGCGTTTGGCGCACCGATCATCATTCTAGTATGTCCCTGCATCATTATTTATGCAGAAAAGTATCGATTTCACTCACAGGATTGAGCCTTTGATCTCCAATGCGCCATGAAGGTACGGGGTATGCCGAATGACATCGATTTCAATGTCTTCTTCAGCATCCCGGTGTGCGGGCAAAGCTATGGAGGAAAGGATGATCGATACGCCTTGTGCGACGTCGCCAGACGGATGCGATTTGACCCGGCGAAATGTATCCATCAATCCGCCCACGACAACATCCACCGCTCCGTTATCGACTGCAACATCTGCGGCGGGAACAGTCAGTGGGGTTTCTTCATCGTTTCCCAGATATGTTTGGTAAGCTTGAAGAAAGACTTCGGCTGAAGGAAACACGTGAACTTTGAGGGGGATCATTGGGGCGTTAGTTGGATGGAAACTCGCTGCGAGGTTCAAGTAGAGTTCAAGTCACCCGAGTCAGAAAGAGAATGGTACCGTTTGTGATCACACATGACCGCGAGTTGGAGCCAGAACTTGCAGACCATATGGTGCAGCTCAAGCGAGGTTATCGGTATCAATGGCGAGTTGAGATAGTAAATACGATGGAAGAATGCTAAAAGACCTAATGAGCCGACATCATCGCTGCTTCTTGCTCTCCTCGGACTGCATGTCTGTCCACGCGACTGGGAATCGGTTGAGGTATGGCCACGGTGGCACTGCGAGCTTGTATACAAGTCAGTAGTCAAGGACGAAAGAAAAGATGAGAAACCTCGTGGACTTACAACAAGAATAAGCACGACGCCGCCTCCAAAGATTGTAAACGTGGTCCGTAGAGACTGCATCACAAAGCCAATAATAAACGCGACGGTCTGGTTTGGATGTTAGTTTAGTATGGAATGACTGGGAGGTCAATATTACGTACTCCAAGGATAGAAAGGGCGACTCGTGTCGTCTGTTCAACAGTATGCTGGCTTTTAAAGTCCTGTTGCAAACCGCTCGTAAGAAACGATACAATGGACGGGTCTGAAGAATATTCTCACTATTTTGCCTTCATAAATGTACTGCAGCTGGGAAGCCATGATGTCGTGGTCGAGGGGCCAGCACTGAACCCCCCCTGACCCCTTCGGGGGAGGAAGGCTGGGACCAGCTCAATTAACAATTACGATTTGCTTAGGTAGGCTACAGTATGTCTGCATATCAATTGTCAGGAGTTGACAAAAAACCGGAAGCAAGGCACCTTCCGTCGGAGACATGCAGGGACCAAACTGTTCCCAAGTTCCTGAGCCTGAGAGGCCAGGAACCAGTTTGAACTGAATGTCAGTGGCCGAGTCCTGGGATTCCGGTCGTGAGGTGTGCGTGCGGTACAACTAGTTCTGGTAATAGGGGACCGAAAGCAGCCAGTTTCCCACTCTCCAACATCACTGAGAGATAGATAGTATTAAGAGAGCCCGAAATATCTGGCTATGAATCTCGGCTATGGTACTTCCACGAATATGGGTATCGATATGCATGATGAGAACGTCTGTATCTATTTTCCGTGGTGATAGATTGATCCAAGGCCTCTGTCGTGTATGTATGCACTGGCCACTCAATATTCGACAGAATAACGTGTCAATGATGCGGTGTGGACGCGGTGACAGGCTCGCGCACGCGATACAGAAGGTCGCGTGGAGCATGGAAAGAAGGATTAGGTGATATTTGCAGGAAGAGGAGGATGGTTTCCGTATGATCCAATGCCCGGTTGACATACTTACTGGGCTACTCGCTCTCAAACCAAATTCAGACAAGTGAATAAATGCAAGTTGTCATGGTAGGGCTCAACTGGTGGAATCTCGGTGAGTGAGAGGTGATGCAGGTCGCAGTTCCGGGGTGAATGCTTGGTCCTATCCGAGTCCTAGGATGAATAGACACAGAGAAAGTAACGTAACATTGATTCAGTCATTCTCAAAGACCCCATTACAAAGTTCCTGGTCATGTATTGTGCATTCTCCTCTCCAAGCCCAGGCGTGCAAGGGTCAAGTCGCGTATCGGCTGGCGGTCCCCTTTCTCGGTCGTCCGCAGGCACGCGCGTTAATGAAGACGATCACTAGATGAAAATTTGACAGAGCTGCACACCGTCAGGGTCTCAACGGCAATGTAGTCAACTCCCGGTTAGATGACCCTCTGGGTATAACTTGGACTGAGCCGGGTACCGGTACATTCTATGTCGTTTTCTGATATATTAGAACGTTTATGCAGATTCTTCATGCAGTACAGTGGCACTGGGATCAAGCAGAGGTCACCCATCTTGTTGCATGGCACTCGTGGACAAGAAGCCCAGATAGAGTACATGAGTAGGCATCAATCCCGTATCAAACAGGAGATGAGACGGCGGAGTAAGCGATTCATGGCAAAAGGCAATGGCGCATAGTCGGGAGAAGGCTGGTAGTATGCGGGACCGCGCACGAAGGCTCGGCTCGTAGAAGTGTTTAGACTTGAGGCCTCATTTGACGATTTGGCAGGATGGTAGCTACTGCTCCGGTGGTGGGGACGGGCACTTTGCCCCGTTGTGAAGTTCACAGCACTTTGTCGGAAAGGTCGTGATGATAGATTAGTGCACGTGGAATATGCGGTTGCTTGACATGAATGATCATCTTTTGACAGATTTTTGGCTTTCTTCAGCCATATGTCAGACGCAAAGGAAACGCTACTGAAAGAGGGACGGTAGAAGGGAGGCCTCCTGGCTTGGACACCGAATTCCGCCTTCTGCACCCCCTGGGTTTAGACAGGACCACGTGGAAAGCTCGGGAGTGTGCGTAAACTTGAGATCTCGGTACGTTTGTGCGCCCACCACCTGCCAAATTCGCCGCAAGGGTCGCCTCGTCTGTACAGGGAAACGCAAGGTGTCGGTTCGGGAGCAGCTGTGGCGTTCTGCGGACCGAAAATTCGTCGCAGAAGTCGTGCTTTTTGCGAATACTCTATCGGGTTAACGCTGAGGATGAAACGAGCCGCGAGGCTTGAATACAGGGGTGGTTCTCCGAACATTGCCGCCAATAACGGGCAGCCAACGAGTCGGGCGAACACTCAAAGTCCGGTGCTGCTTTTGAACAAGCTGTGGACCATGATTTGGAACTGCCTGTTGAGGCGTCGGTGCGTGGAAAGCAAGCGATGCGCCGTAGACGACGGGGCTCGCCATTTTACAGTTGTGCTGTAATCAAACACAGGACGGATGTGCATCGCACCGACGTGTCATAGATCTCCGGCAAGTGGATAGCGCCTTTGTTAGATCGTTGGGACAAGTTCGAGAGTCCCCTTTCTTCTGTGAGCCCCTGAGCCGCGTTTTCCTCCCGACGCTTGCTGGCCGACTATAAATCGAAGGCATTCTCCGCCGATTTCTGATAACATTTGGTGCTTCCGACGGGAATCTGGAGTCACGGACCCGCGGGGGGATTCACAGCTAGTTGCCTGTTGCACAAGGCATCGACAACGCTTACTTAGCGATATCCTGGTCAATTTGACAGGCCATCTCCAAGCTACCCGGCGGTCCCTGACATCCCTGGTTTTCGGGTAACCGCCCTGCTAATCTTGCTCTCGACCACGACCGCGTAGAGGCTGCGTACCGTTGGCAATAACGACTACAAAACGATCTCAAAGACCTCTTACTGTCCTTTCTGTCCTTTGCTTCCAAAATGTCTGCAGATCTTGCGTGGCCAAAGCGGGACGGCGTCGTCGCCACTGGTTCCAACTCGAGCGAGCACGATTATACCGACCAAAGCTCACAGTCTTCACATCCCCCTTCTGTTCAGCACGTTCAGGAGTGGGATCCCTCTGCGTTTCTGAATCCTACCATGTTTAGCTCAGACATGGTCTCGCCAGATACGGCCACTCCGCCGCAGAACGCTGCCCATTTCCAACTCGAGCAGTCTGTGCACGCACCGCTCCACACCGCGCACGTCCCCCAGCTCGTTCATCAGCCCGGTCACTTTGGCCAAGAGAGTTACCAGGACGGCTATATGCAGGAGCAGTACGCGCCCCCCTATGATATCTATCAGTCGTCTCAAATTGGTCGCGCCTCCTACGAGTCCACCCACTACCGTCCCCCGACTCAGGCTTCTGATCTGTCGCCGTCCATGGCACAGTTGGGGCTGCATCAACAAGACTTCCTCTACTCAAACTCGAATCCCTATCCATCTCAGCTTCAATCGAACCTGCATGCCCAGCTTCCTACACAGAACCACCTGTACGACTTCCACCAACCAAATGCAAGCGATCGTGCTTCTCCCCTCCCGAGGCACTCGCCCTTTACCGGCTCACCCGTTTCCAATCCGAGCTTTGCGGCCCAGCAAGATCACTTTTCATCAGTGAGTGGAATTGACCGCCGTCCGTCTACAGCCGACAGTATCCACTCCCTTCATGGCGAGTATCCGAGCGAATTGGGCTATCTGCCAGGCGCAACAAATGGCACCAACGCTCTAGGCATGGCTCCAAGCGGCGTCGTTCCATCCGCATTGCATCCATTCAATCAGCGTAACGCCGTGAGCGGAACTCCTTATCCTCATCTGGGCAAAGACGTCAATGGCGGCGCAGCGAGGACGTTTAATCCACTGGCCGCGCCCCCTCCCAACACAGGCTATACATCGGTTCACCAGCAGCACATTCAGGGCTATCCCGACGCTCAAACTTACTCTGACCAAGCGACTGGCTTCATCCAACCTCATGCACTCGCCGACGGTACCGCTGGTACGGATGCAAATGGTGCTTACCCATCCAACGCTGGCGCCTCGCCCGAGGTTACCCAGTTCATTCGGTAAGTCAAATAATTCCGAATCGTGCGGGCGGTCTATCTACTTTAGCATTGGGTACTCCTTTCCCGCCATCCTCCTCACCCACCCCCGAGCCATTCTCTCGAGTCTCTATTTGTCACGCCCCTACACGTTGCCCTCCGTTTTTTTGATGGCCGCCTCGTAAAGGCATTTTGGGGGACCGTTCTCGACTGAATGAATAATGAATAAGCATACGAACTGACGCGTTTCATCAGGCCGGTATTGCAACAATACATGGAAACACGCAATCGTATTGGGTTTGGCGAGCGAACGGTCATCGTCATGGCCAGCAAAGTCGCCCAGAAATCCTATGGTCAGGAGAGACGGTGAGTGGCACAGTCTAATCCATGTACAGTCAAACAAGCCCCCCGATATTCCCACCGATTCTATCTCATCGTCGTCGGCGCTATGATTGATTGCTGACTACCACGCTTATTTTCTACTTTGCACAAATGCGATGCCACGCCAACCGAACGCCAACCGTCAATTTCATACACCACATTTGTGCCTCACTGCGATGCGCGCTTGCCTCCTCTCACCCACGGGCGCTCCACAGCTTCTTATGCCCGCCGCCTACAGCAATCATGATAGGTAATTCATGGTGGTCGGAGACTGCGCTGGGAAGAAATGACAGGCGAGCGCCCAGAGTGACCATCTCAATCTCTGGCGAATCGGTGCCCCCTGAAAGTGGTGTCGAGTGGACGTCGACCACAGGCAAAGTTGTCGAGCAAGGGGAGGCGCCCCCTGAACCATCCCAATTCGGACCAGACGACATTTCTGCGTTTCAGACTGGTGCAAAGGCAACACAGACATACATTGGTCGTGCAGTGGGTAAGCAACTCTTCATCTCGGATGAGAGGCAGAAGAAGGTCGAGGCACTTGTCAAAATTGTCGCCCCAGGCACTGAAGAGGAGCCCGAGCGAGTGATTGGCATCTTCCCGTCTAAGCCTATCAAGGTCATTAGCAAGCCGAGCAAGAAACGCCAGAGTGCAAAGAACATGGAGTGTGAGTTGCATTTGAAATCTGTTCTCTCTCTATCGTGTGTCGTGTGGAGCTGATGCCGTTTCACCAGTGTGTATCAATCACGGGTCCACAGTCTCCCTCTTCCACCGCCTCCGAGCCCAGACAGTCTCTACAAAGTATCTTTGCGTATCTGGATCCGGATTCTCTTTCAAGGGGTCCGATGGAGCTCTCCTTCCTGGTGTCGATAACCCACACCGTGGAGGCGGACCATCCTTCGTTGCCAAGATTGGTACATGGGGTAGGTTTTGTGAGAGTGATATGGATATCAGCTAATCTCCTTTCTTCAAAGATCCTTTCATCATCTACATTGTCGATGTCAACAAGCCGCAAGATCCCAATACCCCTCTCGCGCCTCCTTTGCAGCCAGATTATCCAACACCACCTCCCAACGCCATTGGGGTCATGCACCACGGTAGCAATATCCCCATTTACTACAATCAGACCGTAGTATTGCAATGTCTTACGTCTGGTGTCGTATCCCCCGTCTTGATCATTCGCAAGGTCGAGCGAGATACAACTGTCGTCGGTGGTGGACTGCAAGAAGGCGCAAAGGGCGTCCCAGATCACTTCTGCGCTCCAGGAGAGGTCTGCGGTGATCCAGTCTCACAGCTTCATAAGATTGCGTTTGAAGTTTTCGATCCCAGCAAAGGCATGCCTGCACCAGGATCTCCGGGAGCTACTGGTGCATTCCTGTCCTGCGTAGCGGACAAAGTCAACACGTATAGACCTTCGGAGGGACGTACATGGAACAATGCGGAACACATGTCGTCACGTTCTCAGTCACCCGCTGTTCCAGACTCTCCAGGAGCCAGCTCAAATGGCTCACTCACAGATTATTTCTCGAGTGGCAGCCCAGCCGACTCGGGCCTCGATGGCATCCCTCCAAGCTCTGATGGCGGACGTGTCAATAGCAGGAGAGGGACTAAACGTTCCAACACGACGAGTGGACCAGTTCTCAAGGGAACGAGTAAAGCTCGGCGCAGGGTCAACTCTGTCGGCAGCAACGGCAGTGGTGGAGGCGGCTACGTGAGCTCGTCGACTCGTTACGGTCTCTCCGATCAATCAATGTCGAGTGGTGCTCTTTGGTCAATTGATATTGGAGAATCCGCCGTTTGGACTATTGTTGGTACAGGTGAGTACCTTGTCGACGGCGGAGTTTGGACAAATTCTAAACGCTCCTGGTAGAGCAAATTCGGTACAACTTTTACGTTCCTCCAGGAATGCCCGGAGCTCGTGCTTCAGGGGTACCGATCAAGCCCGTGACCCCGTTCCCAAATATCGGTACGTTCTCCTGGTCTCACAGGCTTGTGGGGCTTACATGGCTGCAGTGAAGTACCTCCCTCCCGATCGTGCCGCGGAAAACCCAGCCAAGCACGGCGGGATCAATAGAATGCTGATGAATAACGGCATGAAACCAGATCCCCGTAACGCGTCGCTCGTTACCATATACGGCGAGAACTTTAGCAAAACGGATCCACCTCTTCTCTTCTTCGGCGCGGAACCAAGTCCCTTTGTCGATGTGCGATGTCAAGAAGTTCTCGCCTGCTTGCCTCCGGCAACTTCACCAAGTAGCAATTCCGAATCGGCGCAGCAGCTTGGTCTAGATGCGGTTCCAATCGCACCCCAGCCTATCTTCATTGCAAGAGCCGACGGCGTCGTTTACCCGTCAAGCGTCCTCTTTTATGGTAAATAGAAGGCGGATTTGTAACAGGCCAAAAATTCTCGGTGCACTGCATGAATGATCTCATTCCCCTGTGCCTTTCTTAGCCTTGTCGTTTTTCGATCCTGGAGCATGTGGACATACAATATCATCTTCCCCCTGACGACCCCTCTGATCCATCGTCGATTACTTCGGGCTCGGTATGTGCTTCTTTCCTGTACCCCTGTCCTCTCTCTCTCTCCGCCGTCTGCTCGATCATACAAGCGTGTGATTGTGCTTCATTGACCCCCAACTGCGCGCAAGTTCGCCCCGGGTCCATCACCTCTTGTCCTGCCTTCTCGTTCCATATTCCATGCCCCTCGAATTGGCCCTTCCTGTCGTTTACTGGCTATATATTTCCTCTCCGAGCAGCGTGTATCTTTCTCGAATATCACCCAAATATCATGTGGCTCTCGCGACTGTGTCTTTAACATGTTATCAATATCACTTTCTTACTTGGATTCTCAAATTCGGGTTCGTTTCATCATGAGAATGACCAATTGGCTGAGACCTCCACTACTTGGAGAAGAAAATGTACTCTGAAACGCGAAATATTTAATTGCGGGAGTAAAGGAATTACACACGTTGGGTTGTTTGCCTGGATAGAAGGTGCGGCTAAAGAGCCGGCCATGCGGAATGAATCGGAGACAGATATCACCATTACGGGGCCCATGGACCTAGAATCTCGCTCGTGTCGGTCGTCGTCGCAGATCCTGACCGCGGTCCGGTTGCATGGACGGGCCGTGTGAGTGCTTCACTCTCCTGACAAGCACTCGCGTGTCTGGCAACAAGCAGGGTTGTAAGATTTGTCAGTGTGGATTTACACGTTCTGATGATGACTTTCCAAGCGGTTGTTTCACGAAGCAAGCACCGTTTGCAAGCACAAGGTGTTTCGGCGGAGCTTGGCTATGAGAACACCGTTTCTGTCGTTGACTAAGGGATCACATGAGTTCCATTTTCTCTCCTTCTCTTGCTGTACCACTGTGACCCGTGCGCGAGAAAGAGGGACTTTGGTAGATCGCAGCCGCACAGCATTGCGTGTACCGTCAAAAGCTTATTCATCTGTTTCCTTGAGTTTCCGGTTTGCGAGCATGCTTCGGCTGGGATTGGCGCGTATCGGCGCTACGCCCTGGCAGGGAAGATACAGAGGTCACACTTGTAGTCATGAATTACAAAGTTGACAAGATTTGATGTGCGGATGGATGCGTTGATTGTCATCAAGAAACGGCCATTTGGGCCAAGCAAGTCAGAGAGAAAGGCAGCGTATCGGCAAAAGGCATGATAATGTGAAACGTTGAAATTGGCAGGCGTAGAGGATTTTGTTCCCTGCAGCAAGCCCTTCATTGAGAACGGAACCGCCGTTTGCTTCTCTCATGCTTGGACCCGTTTCCTCCCACAAAGTTTCCAAAACCCGGTCCAGAAAGACATAGAGGAACTTGTAAGATAGAAATACTTGTCAACGTCTTGATATGGGACGTTTAGTCGTCCTCTCTGGACAGTCGGATGGAGCGCGGTCGGTCGATTATCCCAGGGTGAGCCATTGGTTTCGATTTTCATTGAAGCGGCTCCGTGGCTTAACGTGTTAATATCTATTTGTTTTTGTTGCCGCAGAGTGTAACATGGCAGAGACGAGACTTGGTCGAGGCGAGCGACACTACAACGCTTACCTATGCACCTCCCATCGGTCAAGGTGGATGGAGAACAAGCACATTGGATAGAGGATCCTGTGTATCTGGAGGAACTAGCACAATAGAACCTGGAAATACCGTCACGTTCGCCTTTCAAGGTCGGTAGCTACCTTGTAGTCAAAGCAGCACGCTCACTCCTTGACCAGGAACCTCTGTTAGTGTCAACATCGTCAAGAGCTCGAATGGTGCTCCATACAGCGTTTCGTTGGATGGAAATATACAAGCATTCGACTCTTTTGCAACGTCGCAGCAATGTAGTACCGACTTCAAGGCGGACAACTTGACTGCAACATCACATACAATAATTGTTACACACCAAGGCAATTCAACGCTCCTGGGTTTGGGGAGGTCGACGCTGTTTCTTGCATCTATCGAGTGAGTGGTGAACAAAGCGGAACCTCCGGCATTTGACACGCCTCAGATATACACCTTCCAATCACAATTCAAACCCCACCACCCCAGTTGGTGCCATTGTCGGTGGTGTAGTAGGGGTCGTCATCTTGATCCTCTTTGGCGCATTCTTCTACTGGTGGTTCAGGAGGAGGAAGTTGAGGCAACATGAGGATGCCCGAATTGTTGACGAATACAAAGACGAGCCGCAGAATCAGCCGCACGGGGTTCCCCCTGTCGGCGTCGATCCCTTTGTGACCCCCGTCTTCGACTCCAATCACCCACGCAATGTTAACGAATTTAATGCACCTTTACAAGCCAATGCAACCACGACATCTGCTCAACCTGCGAGGAGGACAAAGGCAGACTATTTCAATGAGCAGAGCGGACGATATGGTGGAAATAATTCTCCTTGGGCATCCCTGTCTGCTCATGGTCGTTCAAATCCGAATAGCTCCAATCCTCAACTGCAACAGCTGAGCTCTACCTATAGCGGAATGAGCGAGAGTCCTCCACCAACAACCATCGCATTGCACCAGTATCCTCCTCGCTCTGCAACCGAAAACTCTTCAGAACCTGGGTCTTCAGAGCCCCGCCAGGTGTATCAAATACCAAGGAATCCTCTTCAAACACTCCAGCATCCTCAATCAGGGTACGCTCCTGCGCCATCCGAGGCTGGCGGAGAATCTATCGCGATAGACCGTTCCGACTATATCCCCCCACCCTCTTATTCGCCACCATCAGCACATTCCATGCCAGCACCGTCATTAGATGCCAAGGCCACCTATACGACCTCGAATACCAACACCTTTTCTCCATGGCATTCGCAGTCCTCTCATCAAGGACTTTCAGCCGCAGATGTAGACGTCATAGCGAAGAGAGTATATGACCTCATGAGGTCAGGCTCGTCGACTGGAGGAAGTAGTGCTGGTGGTGGTTCCGGAGATCCCAATCGCCCTAGGGATGATCGATTGTCTGCCATGTCCGAGTCTGTCTACTCGGGGCTTCAATCGGAATTAGGTACCAGCGATGCGGACCAGGCCCAAATTCAACAAGCAGTCCGCCTCTTACTGGAGAGAGACCGGACCAATTCTACAGCACCGGCATCAGGAAAACAAGGACCCTAACCTTCGTCTAGAAATTCTATTGCATAGTGCTGTCTTGGAATATGCTTATCGTCTCAGCTATTTTCGTCCAGTTACTGACTCGTACTCTCACTGTTCTTCCTCATCGTGTCCATTCTTACCACTGACTGTACATTTTTGCTGAATCCACGTGTGTCTACGTGTACGGTTCCTTAGGCGCTGAGAGGCCCGACCCTCTTCTACTACTTAGACTCGCCCTTAGACGCCTCATCGCACCATGTCTGACGAGATATCCATATCTTTTCCTTCTGTTCCTACGACGATAGTTGGAGAAAGCAATATGCAGCAGCAGCACGACTCTAGACCAGCTCTTGAAGCCCAACCCCATGATCCTAGTCCTGAGGAATCGCGAATCAAGCCGCATTTCATCTTCATTGAGCCCAAGTGGAGCCATGAGACCCGCGAGACCCTCATCAAAGCATGGAACAGAGCGATTGCGCGCTATTACCCCAACCGCGAGGCCGTTTCCCCGTTTACGGTTATCGAAGGCAGGTTGGGTAACATTGAGCCTGCTCAGATACAATGCGACTGCATGGTGTCGCCAGCTAATAGCTATGGCATTATGGATGGCGGGTACGCGCCGTTTCTTCTCCTCAACTGCAGGACTCATGGTTGCCCTTTTACACAGGTACGACTATGTACTTTCAGATGTCTTTAGGCAGCCGAAAACGCGTGACTTTTGGCATATTAGCAACCACGTCCAATCCTACTTGCAGACGCAATACCGAGGCTACTTGCCTCCGGGCTCCTGTATCATTGTGCCTCTCCCCGAAGACGTATCGGGACCGACACGCTTCGTGCTCGACCCAGAGGGACGCGACCAAGATGCAGATGGGAATCCAGGGATCAACTATGGCAACCCGTGGGGTGCAACCTCTATGGCGGTCCTGCCTACCATGAGAGAACCCGCTAACGTTGAATGGCATCAGGATCTCGTCTACAACTGTATGTGGACGCTGCAAGTGGAGATTGACAAGTGGAACGCCGCTCTCGACGACGGCGACCAGAAAGTGATCAGGAAGGTGCTCATGACGGGCTTGGCTACGGGATGTGGACAGGTGCCTGCCGAAAAGTGTGCAAGTCAGATGGTTCTCTCTGTCAAACATTTCAACGAGCCTGTCCTTGTGCAACCCAGATGGAGCGATGTCGGGGAGCGAGGTAAACTCATCAAGTCGTCTGTGCTGGCTGTACCTCATCAATCACAGGTCAGCTCATCGAGGATACTATCGTCGGTGAGGGGAACCCTAGGACGCGTTATGGGTAAAGCGTATAAGAGCTTCACTGGTGCAATATGAGAAGGGTTTATTAGTCCATGTCAGCGAAATTCACGCGGTATCGCTTAGAACCTAGCAAAAGTCCAATTCCGAGAAGTCTGCTTAATACATGACTCTAGAGCTGTCGGAGCCGGACTTGTGCTGGCTTGAGTCTACCGAAACGACCAGAAAACAAAGGCGAGACACGAGGTATAGCGGCAGGCTCAACATGTTCCCTGTGCTTGTGACATTAACCAGCGGTATAACCGGGAATGATTTATATTATTACGTAAACCAAACAGACTATCGACCGGCCACTCGATCTGATTCAAGTTGTAAATATTCGAATTGGAGAATGTCTAGATCGAGTTGATATGGAATATAAATATGAGTTGGGGAAGTGACCTCGACCGTAATTCATGGCTCTCCCATTTGCCATAATCTACTCTCTCTCGACGCGCGCCGACACCGAAACTACACTCTTGTCAGCGCAAGCATGCGCGAATCAGTACAGAAGCACGTCCTCGATTATTTTGAGCCGTTTGAGCACGGTGATTCTATGTACTTGGGTGTCGCTTCATCCAAACGGTCCCCAACCATTCGAGGAAAGAGGGTTGGGCAAATGGGACAAGTTGCAGATGAGGCTGCGACAACTCACAAAGAACAGATTGGTTCCGTTCCTCGTCGCTTTGGTGGCTCCAGAGTGGATTATATTTTTGGTTGGGCTGTCCGACAAAGTCTGAGCGCTCGCACTCTGGCAAGGGAGCTGGGGAAAGGTATGCCACATAATGGCCCAATAATCGAATGCTGAACAATTTAGGGGCCACGTACCAACAGACTTTCTTTGTCGTCATGGGAGGCTTTCACCGGTTTCGTCGAAGCAGCGATGAAGCCCAGGGTGCTCAACGAGAACACATGAACGAGGAGGCTATCGAAAAACCCCTTCCCGAGGGTGGTAAGCAGCCTCAGTCACTGACAGAGGACTATGGCATACCCCTTCACCCACTGGATCGATGGGATATCTGCCATCTACTACAGACTGGGAGGATAACGCTCCTTCCTTCCACAGAGTTAGAAGACAAGCGCAAGAGTGACGGATTGGCAAAGGTCTTCGTACTCTTACAGACTGTGTGGTCCATTATCCAGTTTATTGCGCGAAGAGAGCCTGCCCCGAGTGGATCCGAGATTAAGCGATCCATCTTTAAAGGATTCCTAGTAGCCCTATGCATAGAGCGGATAAGAGGTTCGTTGATACAATAGAGCAATAGTTACACATCGAGGTCAACGAGCGGCGATTTCGTACTGCTTTTCGTCCTAATGAGCTGGTATTCTTCAGTCTTGGAAACCTCCTTCGAACAAAAAGTTTGCTGCAAGCTCGACGTTTTTGCCGCACGCCAAGTACGCCTCAGCCGCCTTGTCCCGTGAAGCGCCGGTCCAGTCTTGTAGCTGTCACGGCGAGTCAATAATAGATGTAATGGCCTCAAGGCAACGTACAGTCTGGATATCGTTCATCTCCTCTTGCGTCAGCTCAATGGTCATCGGGCCCCCCGCACCAGCTCCCTCATCACCCTCGCCCTCGTCATCACCACCAGCGAGGAGCTGAAGGAGAGCCTCTGGGTTGTTATTGATACGCTCGAGTAGTGCCGGGTTATTAGCGACAATCGTCTGAATGAGCTCTTGGAGGAGCGCTGGATTCTCGCGGACCATTTGGCGCATTTGATCCATGGCTTGCTCTTCACCTCCAGCTGCACCTCCAGCGGCCCCACCAGCAGCTGCGGCTCCTCCACCGAGTGCACCAAGTCCTCCGAGAGCCCCAAGTCCACCCAGGCCGCCCGCAGGCGCTCCACCGGCCGGGCCACCTCGTTGCTGCTGTTGTTGCTGAGCGGCCATCTACAGGGAAGGTGAGTAAATGTTGGTATATAATACTTGGGGACCCACTTGGAAGAGATTGCCACCTCCCGAGGGCGCAGAGGGAGTCTGAGCAGCTGGAGTCGCGGGGACGGGCTGGGCAGCCGCTGCTGGGGCAGATGGAGCAGAGCCACCAGCTGGAGCTGGACTCCTTGCCGCTGGAGTGGGAAGTAGACCAGGAGGAATACCCTATCGGAAGTTAGATTGACACCCCCGAAAACAAGAAAGAGACTCGTACATTGAAGAGATAGTCTGCAGCACGATCCGGATTGTTAAAGCTCGCACGCATGGCACGTTCGACTTGAGGTCGCTCAAAGCCCATATCCATCAAGCCCTGTATCGCCGTCTCGAGCGCGCTTCCGGTAAGGAAGCTCGTATCAGAGCCTGGTGCAGCCGCTGCAGCAGTCGTTGATTCGGATGCTGGTTGTGGGTTTGAAGCAGTCGTAGTCGTCGGTGTGGCATCCATAGCATTGCTGGTGCTGGCCGCTGGCGGCTGTGCGGGTTGTGCTGGAGCCGCGGGAGCAGAAGTTGACGAAGACGCTGCTGCAGACGTTGATGCAGCTGGTGCAGCTTTGGCCTAATCAAAGAGTTATCAGCCGTTGTTGTGAATGGGTGGCAATAAAGGCGCGCACCTTTGAGACCATGAGCACCAAAAAGTCCTTTTCTTTAAAATTACAGTCTTTGACCACTTTGGCATCGTCTAAGACTTTGCCTAGAGAGTCATCGGCGTCAGCCACTCGTAATCAGCGCGGGCGGAGAGAGCTGGACCCGGGTCCAGACGACACGCAATGTATTCACAATGTGATGTAGATACATACCAGAGTAGATGAGCTTTTGGCTTGCGACTGGATGGCCATGTTCCTCGTTGATCTTCTCCTTGATGGCTTGTACGGTTTGTTCTGGTTCTACATCAACCGTGAATAGCTTTTGTTGAAGTGTCTTGATTGTTATCTTCATGCTGTATTGCAGCGAGAATAATGAGGAGTCGAGGTGCTCTCCAAGGTCTGACGCGGCTCCTCTTGACTATCAGCGTCTGTTGCCGGAAGTCAAGTCGGAGCCAAAGGGACATGGATTTCTAATCAAGAAGACTGTATTTCTCATTCTATTCAATATTTCCTGGGTCGTTTTCTCCTTCCAACAGCCGTTCCACTGTCTGCTCAAAATTTCTGCCTGTCATGAGAAACATTTGCAAACCTGCAGTCATGCTGACTCCAGAGAGACTCTGAACATAGGTGGATGTCAGAATACGTGTCAATGAGTGTACGCGCACCTACCCGACACTGCGTCTCTTCGTCCTCTTGTAGCGATATCAGGATGCTGTGAGAATCCCTTGAGGCCAAAGTATCAAGATCGTTGTTCGGTTCATCGAGTTCACTTAGTTTCGAGGTGAGGTGGCTGAATGCATGTGGATTATTCCCAAGAGGTCATGCAAGCATTTGGATCGACATAACAAGTTGCACTGGCCACTATTAAAAGCTCTGTGGATCACTCTCCATGGCTGTACTGAGCTGACGTAGTTGCCAATCTCTTGAGGGTCAGCTCTGTGAGTATAGTGCTCGCTGTCTTGTATTTGATAGACTTCTCTTTGAGTGATGGCACCGAGTTATCAGCATTGTCTGGGTTTGCAGATTGCAGCGGTTGTCCGCTTGAATTTGAAACCGTAAGGACGAGTTCCTTTGCACTCGCCGCGTTGCCCACGGCCGTCAATTGACGATTATATCGCCTAATACGTCGTCCAATGTCGTCAAGGACAAGAAGAAGAGATACCAGCGACGATGAGTTTCTGGATGGGCTCGTTGCTCCAAGATCTACTGCTCAAAGTCGAGAACTGTAGTCTGTGGCTCTAGATTTACCCTGAACCGTTCTGATTTGATTGTTCTGATGGTAATGTGTACCATTCTATTGTAGTGGCGTAATCCAAGGACCAGCATTCCGGTAATGGTCAGATGTGATCTCTTATTGCAAATGTACTAATACACCATTTATATAGCTATGTAGACTATTAGCCAGCAGACGCTGCCCCCGCCTTGCTCCTTGTCCCCGACGTCGACTCTGCTATTAGGCCTGGGGATGCCACAATGGCCACCAGAGAACGAATTCGACATGTCCCATCGCCTCTAAATCTCACGCCCACAAAGTCGCCGCCGCCATTGCTCTATGACCTCCCGATGAGCGCCCCCCTCTCCTCCCCGCCGCCAAGATCAGGCCCATTTGCGACTCCAAAGTCTCCTAGATCACCTCCACGCACTCCAAGAAACAGAAATCAGGTCCTGCTAAGTCCAACAACCTCGGGTTTCAGCAACAACTATGCACACAGAAACAGTATCATCAGTCTCCACTCCCAGCAGCCTTCACATCCTTCACAAGGCCTCTCTGCTGTTTCTAGTCTGTCAGGAAATGCCAATGGCACGTCCACGCATGAGATGGAGGCCTTTGCAGCGCTCTGTCGTTCGTGGTATGTTCGTCCTTTTACCCTCTTCTCCCGTAAACCCGTATGCGATGCCATCTTCGGTTAAACTATTCTATCTTTCTCCCTTGTTACGCGCGAGATTAGACGCTTGCGATAACCTCTTGTCGAGGCAATACTAGGACCAGCGAATGTCGCCGCTCCAGTAATTCCGTCTTTATCCCGCGTTTACGACTTCTTCGTCACTACGTTTCAACATGGATTTCATTTTTCTTTTGTTTTCGAAAGCCATAGGCGCCTTTCGACATGCTCCTCCATACTCTCATTTCCGCGCTGGTCAGGTGTTTGTGCTCGAGGCACGACTATCTAATCTGCCATCGGCTGTCATCCCTCATCTGCCACAGATCTGATACCAGACTCGTTTGTATGCGCGAGTCCGGCTCAGCGGTACGACTTTCCATTGTGGCATCCACAGAACCTCACCGCGCCGCCAACCAATACACAGCCAATAACGAGTGAGATCATCACTCGGTCGACCAGACTCCGCGCTTATTTGTATGTGCGGGGTCAAACCTCGCGCTCCCTTGATCGAACTGCCCTCTACCTCATGTTCCATGTCGTCAGCGGTTCGATCTCAAATATCAATTCCACATGTTATGACATGTCGGATCTCTCTCTTTTTCGGTTCCCGTTTGATCGATTGTCGCAGCTGGCACGGCGCCGAGCCAAAAGACTCTCGCTGACGATCCCAAAGGTACTTTCAGCAGGATCCAGAGGCCGGCCGTCAGGTGCAAGAAACGCTCAAGAAGATACCCGCCTCTCAGCGTGCGGCATATACCCGTCTGCAAGCCCAGATACGATCGTCCTATCACACCTCTGTGGCCTTGAGGCGAGAGTCAGAGTTTCACGCACACATCACGTCCACCAAGCCAGGCCAGTCTCTCACACCGTTGAATCGACAAGACCCCTCGTCCGAGAGTGCCCGACAAGAGCGGCTTGAGAGGTTTGAGAAGCTCGTCAGTGTGTGGGCAACTGCGGGCAACGTTGGCGTGAAACCATTCTTCGATGGTCTATATGCAGTCTTGCGCCTCCAGGGTCTCCCAGAGAAGCTCGGAGGCGCTGGGGAGAAGCGAGTAGCTTGGGAAGTTGACGATGCCGTCTTCAAAGAGTCTGCGTAAGTACATTGCCCTCTCTCAGAGCACCTAATGCTTAATCTTCTTAGTGGCAAAGAGTTTATGCTAGAAGCCATCGACGTTTTGAAAGGGGTGCTCGGCTTTGAAGAAACTGTCATCACCGAGCAACGGAACGGTGACATTACACCATCCTCTATCACGGCAAATGAACGGCTAACTGCATCCGACCCGCCTCCCTTACCCGCTCGGCCAAGAGGGGGTTCAAAGTCTGCCGAATCGAGCCTTTACAAGCCTCGTCCAGCGCTCCCAACCATTGCCAGCGCATCCGCTGTTCAACAATCCGACGTTACAGTCAACGGGAGTCCGATAGAACCCCAGGTTGTCGTGGTTGAAGATGATCTAGAAGACACGTTTGCCGACCCGGTTCCGCGAAAACCCGCAATCCCGCCCAGAAGAAAAGTCCAAAACTCGACACAAAACCACGATCTCGTCGAAAACCGAACACGAAGTCAGTCGGATCCATTTGACGACACGAACGGACATCTCCCCTATGGGTACGGCCACACGCGCTCAAGGACACAGGGGAGTATCACTGCTTTCTCACCCACTGCTCCCAGTCCGTCTATGACGCCTCTCTTGGTCCCCGGAGGAAGCAGTGTCGGGACTGGGACGACGAGCGAGAGTGTCCTCGCCAAGGCGACGACGGAGACGGAGAGCCAGCCGAAACGACCACTCTCGCTTCCTCCAGAAGACTTTGAGCTCGAGGTGACGGGTCCGGGTGCCCGGCTGGCTGCGCCTACGCCAGGGTTACAAGACTCTGACGACGAAGAGAGTGGCGAGATTCTAGGCGACTCGGAAGCGAGTGACAGACGCTCTACCGCGTTTGGACTTGGTTTTATGGGCAAGGCGCGGCGCGGGAGCGAGACGACTGGTCTGGGGCTGTTGGGAGCGACGAAGCAGGCAGACTTGACGTCGTCGTCGGCCAAAGCGTCGACGATTGAACTGGATAAAAGCACGGCTCCTTCTCGAAGTATTACACCCGTGCCACCACTACCGCCGCACGATCTGACGCCCAACGCAAAAGTCGATGGGTTCGTGCCGGCGCATGCAACATACGGCTCGATTGACGGCAACCCATATATGCGCACCTGGTTTGTGCCTTCGTATCTGACCAACCCAGAGCTCTCAAAGCTCCTCGCCGTCTTCCCACCTTCGATTGCAAGGGGGAATGTTCCACGATTCCGAGGCGCGGTACAGGATAAAGACGACAAGAAGCGTCGTGGCGCCGCAGCAAACGACCTCGAAGCCCAGACGGAGAATCTCACCGAAGAACGCGAGTACCTAAGATATGGCACAGGCAGGATCTACCTAAGCGACGCAGGACGTGACGAAGGATGGAGAGGATCGATGTGGGAACGGTTCGTTGGCTGGTGGAGGCGCCTCTTTTGCTGAATGCAAAGAGCGACGCCATTGCCATCAGCTCGCTGTGAGTTTTTACTTATTGATTATGCATTTAGAGTCGTCCACTTTGGCTTTTGTGTATCTCCCAAACCTCCTCATCTCCTACGCACACTTCTGGTTGCATTCGAATTTCTCCATCACACTTCTCATTCTCATCACATATGGACCACAATCTCCGGACCTCGATGACTCTGCAATGTACCACTTCTGACAGATTGAATATACCAAAAAAGAAACCGCAAATGGTAGTGAAATAAAGCCTGTATCAGCATTCCTCGATAGTTACATGTATTGCCACTGGCGTGACGCCTCGTAGCTTTCTATTGCTCAAGCAGAGCCGTACAAGTTCTTTGCGTTTCCTCCAAAGATGGCATCGACGCCTTCTTGATCGATACCGAGCTCTGCAACGGCTTCACGTGCGAGCTCATACCAGTTTGCCGGGAGTGAGTTGTATTCTACACTGGAGGGGCTGGACGAGGCAAAGATGATTCGATTAAAACCGAATGCGTCGATGATTGGACCCACTGTGGGACATGTGAGTGATGATTGGAATAGTATTCAATGAACAGAGTACTCACGATACATCTTGACCCGCTTCTTCCACTCTTTTGAAGCAAGGTCGAGTGGCCCTGGTACGGCAGATCCCCATTTTGGTGGGGAAAGACTGACGTGGACAGACTCGTACAGAGAAATTGTCGCTGTATGAGCTTGATAGGCAACGTATGATGGGTGGCTGAGCAAAGTAACAGTGGGCATCTCGAGGACGCCGGGAGGGGGGAGAATATTGGCTACAAATCATTAGGGAAGCCGATAGATGCTGTGAATCACTGGCTTACAGAGAACGATGGCGGGCTTGGTGGCCTCTGGATCGACATCCTTCAACGCAGAGTTTAGAAACTCTTCCAGCATCTCCCAGCCGGCATCGCTAGACAGGTCATTTTGAACGTCGACGTTGACAATACCAGACTTGAGCGCCGTCCGTACTGCTTCAGATTCACTGGGGGCCGACTGGACAAACGGGGTGGTGTAGGCAACTTTGACGTTGAGAATGGCAATGGATGTGCTTGCATCAGAAAGTGGGACGGTGACGCCAACCACCGGGACTGTCGACGAGGTAATGCTATTGGCACATACAAGTGGATTCAGTCGACGAAAGTGACCCAAGCAAGTTGCGTTAGTATGCCGGTCCTCGTTCGATGGGCGCGATGGTACTTACAGTTGTTCTACAGATTCGGTTTTTGCGTCTGGAAGCGCGATCACGACACCCGCGAGCCGTGGATTGGGTGATTTGCCTAGCGCAGACGAATAGCTTTGGAGGGCATCGACAGACGACACGACGGCCGATGCATCGTACACGGCCGTAGGGTGAACTGTTGTTGGACTCGGTGGCAATGGGAAACGCTCGCCCGTCCCAGAGTTTGGCGGCGAAAAGGCAGAGAGTGGCAGACGAGGAATCGGTTTTGCGGGTTTGTTGCGACGAGCTGCAAGGCCAGATTCGGGCTGGGAGGCCATTTCTTGAGCAAAGGTGAGGTTATAGGACGGTGGTGGGCGGGTCTAAGGAGTGCAGCAGCCAGTTCGATGCCAGAAAGCGTCTAAGAGGAAGAAAAGATGCCCAGCAAGCACGATTACAGCCAAGTTTCGTAACTATACGCACTGCAAATGCACGGGGCGCGCTCGTATCGCCTAGCGTAGCCATCCCCACATTGTCGGGGCCCGCAGTGTCCTTGTAGTCTGCTACAATGTATTATATTTACTCTTCTGCAGTCTGCTAGCAGCGTCCATGACAGCGGTGCTCGCAATATTATGTGTGGGACTCGGGCGGTGGCAAAACAATTAGAATAGCGAGGCGCGACAAGAGACTGACATAACTACAATGAGATGCGTTACCAAGAAAAGACACAGACATAAATGACAAGACGTGAAGCATCAGAAAACAATATGAGCATATGTTACGTTGGTCTAGAAACCGATCAGTATTGTCCCCTGTAATTGCCCGAGTGGACATACTAGGAACGTCAACGAATTATATTGATCGCTTTGGGGGTTTGCGGTCGTCCTATTCCATTGCCGACATGGAGATTGTCAACCACAGAGTCCCGTTGTACCATCAGCAACGAGATCAAGGCAGGTATTAGAGAATTTTGAACGCAGAGTGTTTCAATTTCCCGCCCTTCGCGAAGAGAACCGCCACTTGCAGCTGTTCTCTCGTTTGATAGTGTGCTGTTTTCGGCGGAGTGGTTTCGCTCCGAGATTTCCCGGGACATAATATGGCCAAGTCCGTTCCCAAAGGTATTCCTCTGCGCGCAACCGTTAGTAGGCATGTCAGGAGCACACTGAACACTTACAGTCCCATTGGTGTGACTTCCCATCAGTGTCTCCTTCAGCACTTCAAACGCGACCATCTCTGTCGCTCGTCTAATTCTTGGGGGGACACTGCCGGTAACAGACGGCGTGAGGTAGATACCCTGAGCAGTTGGAGGCCTGTCTGGCTCGAGAATGCCAGCGGCACGGTTAATGCGTGTCTTCAAAACCTTGGCCCAGTGATCATACTCTCTAGGATCTTCGATGCTGAAGACATAGGTCTTCTTTGAGAGAACAGGGAGCTCGTCACTTGCCATGCTATCGCGCTCGCGCACGGGGGGTGCATCCTTGATGTCGATGCGCAAAGTATTGCGCATAAATGCACGCTCGATGACAATATCGCTCGCCAACGGCATCGCGCTGTAGAGATGCGCATTCGCCCCTGCCCGCCAGTAGAGAATTGATTTTGTTCCCAACGAGGTACCTGTGACGCGGAAAGTAGCCTCGGCACTGTTTGTAAAGTGTAGAGTCGGGGGCTCAAAGATGAGGCCATGACCTAGCAAGTGGATGCGGAAATTCGGGTCAGGAGCTGGTATCCGCACGCGGACAAAGTCCGACTTGAAGCGGTAGGTAAAGTGCATAGGGTTGGTCGCTCCCTTGATTTCGACGTGCAGTCGAGCATCGTTGGGGTTCTCTTTGGGAGCTGAAATCTTCTCTTGTTTCACTGCCTCGTATATGTCTTCCAAGAGATCCTCTTTGATCGAGTAGCGCTGATCGTACGCTCGGACGGCTTCTGCAAATTCATGATATGAAGCTGGTGCATGTTGGTGGGCATGCGACATGTGGAGCGAGGCGTTGAGAAGGACGATGGATATGACAAGATTCTTTGCGCATTCCTTGTCGAAGGCCACTGTAGCTCCATTTGCGTAGAACCAGCGGGTTGCAAATCCGGCAAGAAGGTTCTCCAAGGAGCGAGGTTCTGCATTATCGGACAAGAGGAGGGAAAGAAGGAAGATTCGCAACGCGTGATCGATTCTCGTGCCTGCAAAGTTGAACCTGTCCACAAAGGCATGGAGGATTTCTCGGTTGTTCTTCCTTGCAAGGAAATCACCGAGACGAGGCCGTTCAATCTCGTGCGCCTTGAACAGCACACCAGCAATGAACTGACTCTCATCCATTTTCACACCAGCCATGTCGCAGAGTCTGGCGACTGCCTTTGCCTGGTCGCGGTTGAACTCTTCGACAAAGGCTTGGAGAGCGGGGCTGCGACGGTCACCGGACAGACCACAAGATCCCATGCTCAATGAGGGTCCAGAGCAACGTTTGAGATCCAGAACATTCTTGACAATGTAGGACTTGTCCATAGGGAGGCCCCCTTCCCCAGCTGTCATGCATTTAGCGACAATCAGGAGGTCGCTGAAAAGGAATAGCGTTCGATCCTTTACTACATCCTTGCTTGCGACTTGAAGCACCGGTGTCACCAAAAGCAACTTGCGTGGAGGATCCTCAAGTACTTTGGACTTCACGTCCGAGGACGATGTACTGGTGCGGTTGAGCAGGTTGTCTATACCGGATATGATATCCGCGGAACTGAGAGCTTTTTGGACATAAAGGCCTTTTGATCGACCGAGGGAAGGCGAGTGCGAATGGAAAGGTGAGTGAGAACGAGGAGACATGAGAGGGGAAAGTACTCCGGACAGATCGAAACCTGGGGACTGTGCTCTGATAGGAGGAGATTGCGCTCTGTACGCAGATTCCTTTTTGAGAATGGACGGAGATTGTGCGCGAGAGAGCGGAGATTGTGGTCGTGAACTCAGCGGAGGAGGAGGGGAGCGCAGGCGAGAGATGGCAGGAGGTGGTGTTGCCATCGTTCTGGGAGGAACCTCAGTATGTGGCGTGGACGTAGCAGGGGGTATTGGCACTGTTGAGGATGGTGGGAAAACCAGAGGAGACGGAGATGGAGGCCGGGCAAGTTCCGCTGTGGGCGCTGGCGTCGGCTCAGAAGGAACCGGTTCTGGTTCAACAACTGGCGCTGGTTTTGATGTAGTTGCAGTTGGCGTAAGTTCAGTAGGGGTAGCCTCTGTTATTGTATCGTGTGAGGGAGCTTCGTTGACCTTGGGATCTAGGACCGTCGATGGGACACCATGAGGTCGTCTCGTTGAAGGTTCTTCTTGGTCGTTGGGTGCCTCTTTATTGTGGGACTCGTGAGCGAACATGCCAAACGCCTTTTTCAAGGACGATTTGGAGGTGGCAGTCTTCAATCCATGTGCATTGGAGCCACCGTTGTGAGCATCTGCCAATGAGGACTTTCGCGACAGACCCTGGAGAATGTTGGGCGTGGATGGGCGTCGCTGCAGGCCACCGTGGGGCAAGAAAATCTCTGCCGCAGATGGTCGCCGGTTGAGATTGGCAGTGGGTCGTTCCCCTGCTACAGAGCTGGGAGCTGGAGAGTAACTCAAGGGGTAGGGATATGGTGCGGGCGATGGCGAATTCGATGCGGGTCCAGGCTGAAGGACCTTGAGCCATTTCCTGATATTCGAACCCGAGGAAGCAGATCGTGATATCGAACCGCCCTGATCCTCGTCATGGGGCCAATTGCGATCCTGCTGGCGCATGTTTCCAAGGGAGGGATTTCTTTGAAGACCTCGACCATTTTGTTCACTTCCTTCATCCGGCGAGTCTCGGACAGATGGAGGCAGAGGAGCTGAGAGTGCTGCTGCATTTGGGAACAGAGGCATGGTCACGGATTGACCAGGAGCGTCTGCTGGAGATAGTCCAGCTTCAACGGCCTTTCTATGATTTCTTTGCTCCTCCAATTGATAGATGCCGGGAAAGGGCATGAGCTTGGAATCATTGTATTTGGCAAAATCCCCTGGAGATGGTGGAGGAAGAGGTGAGACACCGCGCGGGATATTGATGCTCCCCGTAGACAGGAAGCCAGACTGAGACGGTGATACTGCTGGAGACCCACTGGGCCCAGCATTGATGGTCAAAGAGGGCTGATCCTTGAAGCTGTTACCGCTCTCGCGATTGATACCACTCTCGACCTTTTCCACCCGGTCTCTTACAAATGAATTTGAACGAGATCGCCTTCGACCGATGATAGTTTGCTTGACCTTGGCCCAGCCACTGACCTTATCTGTGCTTGGTTTCCGCTCGAGCGAGGGCTCTTCGTCATGGTCAATTGTCTGAGAGTTTGTATATCCTAGGCGGGATGAATCTTGTGACTCGGATGCTTGGCGTCCTATAGGCCTATCCTTGCGACCGAAGGGCCTTCCAGATGAAGACGAGCCTTTTTCGATCGCGTCGGAGCCGGATGCTCCACTCAACCGGTCTTCTTCTGTAGTGGTTATCGCCACCGACGTTACAACGGCTTCTTTCTGTACAGGAAGGGCAGGTGCTGGAGAGCTAGACCCGCGGCCTCGGCTTTTGTAGGACCAGGTGAAGATCTATTCGGAAAGGGACGAGGGAGCACAACATCCCATTCCTCCTTGCTGGGCCCCGTCGCAGAAGACTCGACCATCTCAGCCGACTCGAGTCGCATATTGTCCTCGCGAGGTTGCTTCAAAGCCTGGTCTTCGTTTTCCCCCCCTTCTTCGTCGGTTTGGACTAGATTATGATCAATAATAGAATAAGAATCCACAGGAGACTTACAATAATAACTGTCAATCCAAGAGGCTGCAGACTTCCGGTCCCATGACCTCGGTGTCGGCCCCAATCGTCCTCCTTGCATCGGTTGGTTGGCGCTCAGCCTACCAGCATCCTCTTGTTCCACATCGGAGTGATAGCCAGAATAGTGATGAGGTTGGTCCTTTCCCGGCGTCAACACGATGCTGGTAGGGAACGGTTCAAAGTTGACCAATGGGACATCCGTTTCTTCAGCGTCATCCAATCCAGGAGCCTTGACTCTTCCCTTTCTCCCGAACCCGGTCGGCTGTCCATCTTGGCCGTATTGATGCATGACGATAGGGACACGAGCCATACCGTTCAAGCCACCAAGGCCGGGGGATGACTGACCATCTGTACTAGATAAGAGTGACGGGGATATTGAGTCGTGATGCTGACGCTGTATCGAACCTGCAATTTCGACGCTATCCACGCTAGGCCGCGTTGGTGCACCGGGCGACGAAACAGTCTCTGGAACGTCCGTCTGAGAGGGTGATGTGGGTTCCAGAACTGGGACAGGCAGCGGTTCATCCTCCTCTTCGATGAGGACTCGTATCGGACCGGGCGTTGCAGGGGTTTCTCCGCTTGCTGCTCTCAGCAGGTTCAGCCCTTGGAAGTATCGGGCTTGCATCTCTTCTTGTCTACGTATTTCTGCTTCATTCAGTTCCTCGATACGCCTGGGCCCTTCTGGCACATCAGGTGTCCGACTTGCCGAAGGCGTAGAGCCATTGATTAACGAGATGTAGGTATCAAGTGGCATGATCGGTGGAGGGGTATAGGCAGGAGAAGGCGTAGCGCGTAAAACACTGCTGTGTGGGTTGAGTATCGAAGCTGACGAGAGCGGGATAGTCGACGGCAATGGCGAAAAATGAGATGCTGGAGATGTGCCCACGCTAGCACTGGTGCCATCCGACATGAAGTCTCCCTGGCTCTGCGTATCGTGGTCGTGAGTGCTACCATCTTCAATAGTAGCGAGATGGTTAGCAGCGCTCGAGCTGGTCCTCTTGCTCCTCCTCCGTCGACGCTTATTCTCTCGAGCAACAATTTCAGGCATAACGAGCACCTCATCTATACCAGTGTTGACCACAGTCTCATCGAAGCTCAGCCCCCCAACGGTGGCCGATGTGTCATGGGGCTCTGGAGATGACATCTGGACCGGCATCGCAGACGGTGGGTCTAGAGTTGCTGCTGCTGTTCTTGGGGTAACTGGCCCAACCCTGCCACGAATCTTTTGCAACATGGCAGCTCTGGCGACAGAGCGTTCTCCCCCAGCGACAGTATTGCTTCTGGAAACCAAGGTAGCTGGAGGTGGTGTATTCATCGCATTTCTTGTCTCGGATATGCCAGAGCTCGTGGGACTTGCGGCGTCAAAACGAGAGGGACCAAACGGAGGGAAAAGATCCGTGTCCGCTGGGGACATGTTCCCTCCAAGTAGTTTATGAAGAGCATGCGCTCTTCCTACACTGACAGAGCGTGAAAGACCACCCGCTGTGTAATTCGACTGAAGTTCTGCCAATGGAAGAGGGCTCGAGGCACCGATGGGAACAAACGGGGATGTACCGTTGGCAAAAAGGGGAGAGAGCTGCTGAAATGTGCCAATGGGCGAGACAAACGTTCGATTTCGCGGCGCGGTTGGGGTGATGGAGGTATCCGAAGGAGTGACGGGCTCTGGCGCCAGCATCCCCGACAAGTCGAGATGTTGAGGGGGCTCCTGCTTCTTTTGAGACTCGGAAACGATCGAGTCCAACAGCGCTGTTGCTGGGGATGCCACTCGTTGAATGGGTGTGATCACGCTCGTCGTGCTGCTAGGTGGGATTTCGAGTTTTGGCGTCCCGGAGCGACTACCCCGCGACCTTGAGCGCCTTCTACGACCTCTAGTAAGAGCAGGTGCAATAGCTTGATCAATCTCGCCATGAGTTTCCGGCTCTGGATGTTCAATAGAAGGCGATGCAGGTCCGGTATCGTCCACCAGCACCGAATCTTCTTTTTCTGGACTTGGTTTCTGAGAGTCGGGCTTTGGACGATCGTCTACGGTCGATGGCAAATCTCCCGCCGTCGTAAATGGAGTCGTCGCAACGCTAGCACTCTGGCTCGCACTCGTAGTTGTGTCTTGCAGTTCTCCGTCTGATCCGTGAACCGCTGGTCGTCGTCCATCCTTCATCCTGGGGAGAGAGGCAGCCCGTTTCAGGCGCGCAACCGATGCGGCGCGCACATTTGCAGCGGGTTTAGAAGCACTTTCCATCTCTCAAGCTGTAGAAGAGGGTTGATTAATTGCCAATAATTCCCCAGAGAGACCAACGATGCAAGACAACGCGGAAAGCGTGTTAGCGTGGGCAGTTTGCCAACTCGAGAAAAGGCACACCTTCCATGCGCTACAAGACGGATAATATCAACCAAAGGTGGATGGAATTATGGGCAAGGCCTCTGTAGAGAGGCAATGGGCGAATAAACTGGGTGAAAGGGTCGAGGTTCAACTTTGTGAGACGCGGTACAGCTTGGACCTGACCTCGACTGGTATTAAGCAAATGGGCAAACGCAAGAAATCTTCACGTAAACCAGGACCATCAAAGAAAAAGGAGCCACTTGGTGCGTTGGAATATGCGCCTGCTGGATGCGCAATTGATAACGTATGACAGAGACGACATTTGCGTGCATATTCTGCCATCACGAAAAGTCTGTCGCATGCAAGATTGACAAGAAGGAGCTTCTCGGACATCTCTACTGTAAAATCTGTGGCCAGACATTCCAGACGAGAGCAAACTGTACGTTTAGCACACCGTCGCATGCTCGTACAAGGAAACTGGGAAGCTAATGTGACACTATTAGATCTAACAGAACCCGTGGATATCTTTGCGGATTGGATTGACGCGAGTGAGGCCGCGTCCAAGCTTAACAGCCAGTCTATCCGGACACCAATCAGCCCGACTGCACCAAACGCAGGACCTTCTCGCTCGTCTAGGCACGTTGCACAAGATGAAGAGGAGAGACCGACAAGACGCTACGTCGAGGCCGACTCGGACGACGATTAGATACCACCATGTACTTTTAGTACGACAGCGTATACTCGCATGACTTATCCTATTCAGATTTCAGTGTTGACCAGGAAGAAATGAGTGTGCAGAATGGAAACGCGTTCGCAGTACGAGCAAGAATGTACAGAGAACCTAATAAGCCTTTTTCTGAGTCAATGCAAGATGTGCGCTGTGCTCGTCGTAGGGGTTTTTCGAGAGAGGAATCTCACGCCACAGGTCGGGAGTCAAGAACGCATATGTCTTGGTGAGCTGCGAGAGAGTCAGTTTTGAATAAGATAAAGTATACTTTACATACCGCGGCAAACGTCGCCTTCAAGAAGTTACCCATGGTCGCGGTGCTACCCTTGGACTGGGTGTAGCAGTCCTGCACACCAGCGAGCTGGAGCAATCGCTTCGAGGCAGGAGCAGCAACGATACCCGTACCACGAGGAGCAGGGATGAGACGGCACATGACGGATCCAACCTTGCCAGAGACCTTGCTCGGGACAGTATGTGGCTCCTGGAGAGCAGCACCCCAGTAACCTCTTCGGACGGGGATAACCGAAAGCTTGGCCGTAATGATCGCACCACGAATGGCAGTCGCGACTTCCTTTGCGCACTTGACGCCCAGCCCGACGTGACCATCAAAGTCTCCAATAGCCACAAACGCCTTGAAACGCGTCCTCTGACCAGCACGTGTCTGCTTCTGGACGGGCATAATCTTCATGACCTCGTCCTTGAGCTTGGGCAGGAAAAAGTCGACGATTTGGTACTCCTTGACGGGGAGCGAGAACAGATAAATCTCTTCCATTGACTTGATCTTTCCATCCTTGACAAGACGTCCGAGCTTGGTCACGGGCACCCTAAGTCCGGGGGGTTCAAATCTACGCGTTTGCTGTGGTAGGTCACTCACCAATCCTTCTCCTCGTCACGCTTAGCTCCCCTTCTGGGTCCACGACGTCCTCCACGTCCACGGTCTCCTCGTCCTCGCCCAAATCCGCCACGGCCACGTCCAGTATCAGCCATTTATTCGTTTGCGAGCGTAGATTTCTACATCAAATGGGATGAGCATGCAAAGACCAATCTATGCATGCTAATTTTACCTTGAAGGAAGTCTCAACGACAATGTCGCACGGCTCAGCTTTGGGTGTTGTTTGTGCGTGTTTGGCGCCCCGTGGACTCTGGTCAACCAGTGGATTTCGAGGAGAGCGGACGACGTCCAATATGCTATTGATACAAATGCATACGCTGTGTACAAAATCCCGTACGACTCGCTAGAATGCTCAACTATTAGATCTTCATGGGACCCGTCGTCGCTTCTGTTTTTCCAAGAGTAGTTCCAAAATCTTTTCTATTGTTGCCATTGCATCGAGCTGGTCTGAGTCTGTGCAGTACTTTTGTCAGCATCGACGCCTTCGCGCGCAAAGTCCAAGAGGCCATCCTCTACATCCGCCTTGACAAACCCCTTAGGCGTCTCGGGATGCGACTTGAGCGGGAGATAGGTCGTAAGCGTGGCCATCATAGATGACAAGGGCGTGACATTTTCCGACGTATTCGTAAGGTCAGGCGACGACGACGCATCGTCTGTAGGAGAAACGGCAGGGCTGGGACTAGACCCTTTGAACTCTTCAAGATCCAACCTCCTCCGCTTGGCAGCAGAAGACGGCGTCGAGGGCATCGACTCGAGTTCCTGCGACGCACGCTTCCGACAAAACGGCGGCGAGAGTGACCCCACGGGCGTCGTCGGATCGTTTCCGCTGACTCGCGAGATTGTGACATTGGTCGCACCGGTCGAGGGCGTGCTCAGCATCGACGCTGGATCCGGAGTATCGCTATACGGGGGTGTCGCAGGATGTTGGACGAGTTGGATAGGCGTCTGGTCGTTGGCCGCACGGTCATCGGCTTCGGCAGTGACCTCTTCCATGGGCAAATCACTTGGGTCTCTTGCAAAGGATTCGTCCTCTTCATCGTCGCTTTCCATTTGATACATTGGGTCAACGTCGTCCGTCTCTTGCTCAGCCTTGCGCGCCGGGGGCTCATTGATCACAATACCACCCGTTGGAGCCTTTCGTTGAGAGCCGCGTAGACGCTCCTCTTCTTGAATTTGACATGCACGCTTGCAGATGCCACACTGACAAGCGACGAAAGGATGGATAGACTTGATCCACAGGTTGGTAATCCACTGGCGCGTGTACTGTGGAGTACACCCCAGTTGAGAGGAACAAATGGTACAGATTGGACTTGTCGAGCCTCGACACCAGTCACCTCGAGTTCTGGCATGTCCGGAATGGGGCTGCGAGGAGACTTGGAGACATCGCTTGTCGTTATTGTTGCAGCCACAAACTCGGGAGATTTGGCGTCTTTTGATTGCGCGGCGGGTGGCGGGGACGGCGTCGTTTTCGATGTCGAGTTGGTCCCATCTGGAGACTCGGTGAAAGTGGCAGACTCACTTGAGGCAGACGAGGATGCGTCGCTAATGCGCCGAGCACGAAGCTCTGCCAGCTTTCGACTCCTCCAATTATAGCCCGTGACCCAATACTCCTGCTTGAGCAAGCGATCCCAGACATCCTCCATCGTCCAGGATTGCAATCGCTGGCCGGGATCACTGATGCGCCACGGAGCGGGCTCCTGGTTATCAAACTCGAAAACTTTCGAGTCGACCAGGCACGAGTCGGTGACCTCTGCGATAATGTTCTTGAATGCCGTCTCGAGAATGTCTACCATAGTCTGATGCCACAGGGATTGGAGGATTTCCTGAAAGTCATAGGAAGGGATAACATAGAACCAAGTAGCCACTTGTCGCTCGCCACGGATCGGGTGGTAGACTGGGGTAGGAATAGCTTGAGCACCTTGCCAATAAAAGGGTAGACGATAGCGATTTTGAGAGAGTTCCAAGATGTCAACAGGAGCAAACCAGCCGCCTCCCAGGATATGAGTTCGCATAAAGTCGCGCATCGCGAGCTCTCGGATCGAGGGGTCACTATACATGACCACGGCGTCCTCTGGATCCGAGTTCATGGCCTCTGCCATTGGCATACCACGTAAGAGGCGATCTGCGGCGACTGCTTGCAAGGAAAAGTCTTTGATCTTGGTGTTAACGGCGAGCCACCTTCGCTCCTGAACTTGGATGCAGAGGCTCTGCACCGACCCCTCACCAAACGCCTGATAGTTGGAAAAAAGTTCGTCCATGTCGACGGCTTGAGCGATACTGAGGTTGAGTTTGTGCTGGCGCATCTGGCTCCGGCAGGCGTCTGTCCTACATTGTTCACAAGTGTAGACGAGGCTGGAAAAGTACGTGTCCTCGTCATCCACTGGGGACAATGTTGATTGGTACTCTGGGGGCTCTTCGCGGAGGACAGTGTCGTCTTTGAGACAAACTCCACAAAAGCCATGCTGCTCGTGCCACTTGCATATGGCAATCTCGCCGGCAGCAAACGAATAGCTCGTGGCGCCGGTGAGAGCAAAGTTGAGGCGTCTAGAATAGGCAACGCAAACGGCACAGACCAGGGAGCGGGCGTGGTGGAAATGGGCTCTGGTGATCAGCTGTTGCGAGCGAGGGGAGTTGAACCACGTCCGTAAGAGCGTCTCTAGCATTTTCTCATCGGCACCGTAGATGTAGCGGGTCAAGTTGTCCCAAAACGTGCAAGTGGCCACTAGGGTAGGATTATCAGTTGGCTGTCCTCGACGCATCGCGAGGTGAAAGGATCACTCACTGGCAGAGTACCAGCGACTACATACAAAAGAGAGACTATCAAACGCCCGGGCAGCGCTGAGAGCGCGAAGACGGTTGTAGGTGTCTGCATAGCAGTTGTCGACGGGTGTAGTGATTTGCTCGTACTGGAGCATAAATACTTGCTGCGAAATGATACTGTGGCAGGACACGAAGAGAATGGTCAGCCACTCGTCGTCGGAATCGAACAGGCGCGAAGCGAGTCAGAGGCCGGGCAGGCGTCTACGCTGTTCAAGACGACGTAGAGCTCTCCAACGCTTCGAGTGAGACAGCCGTGACGCGCGATTTTGGGCGTCCTTGCTGGAGTTTGGCCCACGCAGCGCGAGCGGAGTCGACGCGCCCAAGGGCTTGTTGCTAGCCAGGATAAATTGACAAAATAATGCTCAGACAGTTCTGAGACACCGACGTCACGTCGTAAACCGCTCGCAGTAGCGCATCTCGCGCAGAGTGCCACAACGTAGAGGACGCGGACTCACTGCAGGAGCTCTGGCGGGAGATGGGCCCAGCCTTTTGCATTTTTCTGCTTATTCCCCATTATTTGCAGATTATCCAACGTTGGCACGCGCAGCGTCTGGCGTCCTGGCCCCTTGGAATTTGTTGGTCGATGGTCAGCGTAAGCAGGAGGCCGAGTTGCGCCCTGCCCGATTCATGAGCCTGGCCCGGTATCTCAGTGCACTTCTAATGATTAGAAAGAAAACAAGAAAACAAAATTGATTATTCCCGGTCAGCGCAAGAAAAAAAGGACAGGCACAGTGGGCCCTGCCGGGTATGCCGCACGCGGCTAGTGATTAGCAAGGGGGGATAGTACAGAAGCAAAGTCATGGCACCTGGCATAGGCCGCGGATCCTTGCCAGTACGTCTCGTAAATACGTCGTCAATGGTCGTACAAACAGGTCATGAGTGGTCGTAATCAAGCGAGCGAAAGGGGTGAGCAGAGAGCGAGCTAAAAGCTAGAGGCGCCGCCAGCGTGGGGCAGGTGCCTCTGACACAGACAGGCGAGGCTGGCACCGTCGAGCGAAGGAGAAGTTTGGATCAAAGGGACTGCTTCCCTGAGTTTGTGGTGTATGTTCGTGTTGGATCCTTGCGGGAACTACCAGGGTGATGCCGGACTCTTTGTCACTACTCCCGTCCGTGCATTCATCATCATCAAACCATGCACTCGGCAGCGACTTTTTCCTCGAACCGATCGACTTTTTGCGCAACGTCTTGGAGAGCGAAAGTTTGCATGGCTGTCCTCCCTCGAGCGAGTTGTTGCGAGACGAAGCATCTCTCAATGGTTTCCGAGATGCCGAATCTTGCGAATTGGACTTTCCGTGCATCGAGGCGATGCCGTTCTTAATCTTTTGTCGCATTGTCCTTGGAGGATCGATATCGTCAGTAGGCAGAATTTTGGCATCGAGACGTGAATGCTGAAGAGGAGCACTGCTCTGTTTCACCAGTTGCGGCGGGTAGCTACCACCAGCAAGAGGAGAGAACAAGCCACCTCTCCGACGCGATGCTTTGACGCACTGTACCTCTAGCGAGGGGTCGACAAGAGAGTAATCAGGAGGTGCGTCGAGAGGCCGGCGATTCTGCGACTTGGCTGGGGGGTAGGTTTGTGCCCTAGCTGGAGTGTGGTTGATCAGACGGGTAGGGAGTGGCGGGAGCGGACGTGGCTTCTTCACCGTTTCACCCACGGAAGATTTGCGCGGACGAGTAGCCTTGTTGACTGGGGGAGGTCCAGTGCTGATGTCCGTTCTGAAAAAGGCTGCCCAATCCGTCGCAGGCGCAGACATCGGTGGCTTCTTCGGCGCCTTTTCCACAGGTACGAAAACCGTAGACCCCACGTGCTCGTCAAAGGGTATGCCTTTGCATTTGAAGCTGTCCACGCTACTGGGTGTCTTGACGGCCAATCCGCTGTCGGCGGTGCTGAACGTCCAGGTGTCCAAGGAAGGATCACGAGAGACATCAACGACACAACGGAGTCCCAAGGGCGGGGGTCTCCGTTGACGCACATGGCTAGGCAAGCTGGGCGCGGTGTTCTGGGCCAGAGGACAGTCCGTAGTGAGCGTTGGCTTTTCTCCATCTACTTCGACAATGCAACGAAGATGAGATGGAGTACCACTTCCTTTACGCGTAAAGCTGCCGATCGAGCTGGCAGTAATGGCCGATTGACATTCACAGTCCGAGTCCGATTCGGAATCGTAAGAAGGGACGAGTATAATACTTCGGTCTGATGGATGTCGACTATCAGGAATCACGCAACTTGATCTCCGACGAGTGAAGCTACTGCTCCGTGACGAGGCAACTGACGGTGCGGGCGAGTTGAAGATGAAGCCTTGAATGCCCTCACGTTGATCCGTAGAGCGTATATGCGCCAGGAGTTGACTCAAGGATACTTTAGACTTGCGCTAAACGAGCTGTTAGGTCCGTTGGGTCGGCGATCCATGATGGGCTCACCCGCGGAGGTTCGGTTGGAGACGTGAAACGGGGATCCATTGGCTGAAAAACGAACAAGAAATCGAAGACAGACTCAAACGAATGAAAGAAAAGGGAATGGGAGAGGCGTGAGGCAGAGGGAGAGGGAGGCCGGATCGGAAATCGAAGAGGAATCCTCTGCTGGCCACGAGAAGGCCCAAACACGCGAGTTTATAGAAGATTTATAGGATTATTCAGGGCGCGCTGTTCTACGCACCACGGTAGGAGGGGTTCAACCAGATTGGGAAACAAGGAGCATTCAGTCCGCACTCAAACCACACTACCACCAGAACGAAAACAGAAGTCTTTGATAACACAAGTTAATGTACACAGCACTCGAGGGCGCGCCCTGGACGTCAGTTACGCAGTTGCGACGTAGAAAATCAAAAGTCCGTGGTCAATCCAAGGCTTCGGGACACGTGGAAGACGGCACTAAAGCCCCCAGGCTGCAAGCGTAAATTCACTGCCAAACTCCATATTGTAGCCTCCATCCATACCCTCCGCGAGGAACGCTCCGGTCGCAGGCTGGCTCACAAGAGATGTAATCGGTAGCCAGGGGTCAAAATGTCCTCCAGAAGTCGGCTGTGCCGGCGCAGGCTGGTACGTTAAGGGGATCGTGGGCGCTAGCATCGAGGAGGGTGTAGAGAGAGCAGATGGACGAGTAGGCGCTTTATGACGAGGGCGCGGGGCAGTGAGATCGCGGCGAGAATGCTTGATATGGAGCTTAGCACACACTTCTTCAAACGTCTCCCACTTTGGTGCAGGGTACGGTCCATCGTGCTGGGTGTGGTATACTTGCCAGTGCGCCTTCATCACATCTGCGCGCCCGGAATAGAGGTAATCACAAGGTTGTCCACCCTTCGTTCCCGGACAACGTGGGCGTTTCTCTCTTGGAATATGCTGCCACTTGTGGCGGGAGACTTGGAAATACTTGGGGAAGTGTGCACCGCATCCGACCGGACAGAAAAGCCTGGTCTCATCTTGCTCCTCTTCCGTCTGGTAATCTGATTCCACTCCCTTTAGTTCGCTGACTGCAGGAATGTCCGAGGGGCTGACGGAATCGTTCGGAGGTGTGGCGGGATGACCGTGTTCGGCACGGAAATGCAGCTCGCGGGTGGCATGGTTCAGAAATACGAGAGTACACTCTTCGGCTTTGCACTTGAAGCTAAGCAGGCTGTTAGCAAGGTAAAAAAAATCTGAGGTGGGACCGACCCTTTCGTCAGCTGGTCCCGGCGCGAAGTATATTTGGCCTCGTTAGACTTCTGTGATTAGATAAGTCTATCTTCTACAGTAGGGCGCACAATGGGACGAACCGAATTGAAGAGCTGAGCAATCTTCGGCATTGTCGACAATGAGTTGCTAGATTCTTGGGTAGACGATAGAACAGAAAGGATGGGTTGAAAAGAGGATAATGAGCATCTTTGCAGGCGATCTGCGGTCTTTTATAGTGCGACTGGCTTGATGCTTGGAGCCAGGTGGTTCGAAGAGTTCAAGTCCAATCAGTAGGTGAGCGGCTGCGAGTGTTGTGGTTTTTCGGTCCTCGATATGGGATGTTTACCACCTTGCTTTGTGCCGCGCCGCCAGACGTGTGCACGCAGGCGACGGCCGGAACAATAGCAGTGGCTCACTGGCCCAAAGCGACAGCCAAACCTGCAGACATGCCCTTGGCCCGCCTGTATATGAACCAGTAGACTCGCCAGATAGGAATAAGGTTGGGGATCGACAAGTTGGAGTCTGTGTGGGCGTTGTGGATTGGTACAATGGAATTACGAGGATGATAGGCTACGTCTTGCTTCATTCTGATGTAGAGTTCGATTCCTGGGTCCCCAAAGCCTGAGCAATACACTAATAAGGGGCACTCCGATTGTCGCCTTTGGACCCTCCCACGGCGGCACGAGCCCTATATAAACTCAGTACCAAACTAAGGGTAAGAGAGACTACCTACGCTGCACGAGGCCTTTCGATGCCATGTATCTTGCTCAAGTGTTTGTCCAGATCAAATTTGCGGGTGAACGCGCGATCACTAGGTCATCTCAGTGCACTTCTTGAAAGCATAATGCAACATACCAGTCCTTAATGCTACAAGGGAAGAATTTAACCTTTACGTGCTTGGAGAAGAAATGGTCTATGCATTTCTGCAATGTTGTCTGGAGATTGCATCCTGGCCAGCAGCAATCGTGGTACTTCATTCCACCCTTTGAGCCCTTGCCCGTAGTACGAACGGGCAGAGGCGTCCCTTTGAAAAACGGCTCCATACGTTGGGAGGCAGGGCGCTGGGGAGAGTGACCTTGTGCTTGGAGCTCCATCAACAGTTCCGACAGGTTATCCAAAAAGGCGGAATAGTCTTTCTCCAAATCTAGACTAGCCTCCTGCGCCTGTAGCAGAGCTTGCCTATAAGTCTCACTCAGGGTGCTCGCGCTCTGAGCAGGACTGAGAGCGGGGGATGACAGTTGGTAAGGGGTGACCGTCGGCGTCGCCTCCGTGTCAGAATGGCTGTGGCTCGGTGGCGAAACGTCGATTGGTGTGATCGGGATATCCGGAATCATGGCATTTGTATCGATGGTGTGGGAACACAAGGCAGGTGTGTCTTCGATGAGGGCAAATAGCCTGCCTTCCTGGGCGAGCGCATTGTGCACTTCTGGCACCGGCGAGAGATGCCCATGTCCTTTCTTGGATTGTGAACCTAGGATAGATGAGGATCCTTTTGTTCAACTATGTAAATAACGAGCAGGCGCAGCGTACCAGTGGTCATACAGCAGTAGCGAGAAGACGCGGGGGGGAACAAGACTGTCGAGAGTGGCCGAATCTAACGTAAATCTGGGAGCTTATAAGGATCAGAGAGGAACGGAAATGCTCCCGGGCAAGTTAACCTACCTGCGAGACTGCAATGAATTTACACGTGCCCAGATGACGAGCGAAGAGTGCGTGGAGTAGGACTCGGGAAAGATTTGGGAGAGTCTCCGTGCAAGAACGACCGCGCGGGCGTTGAGTAGTGTTCGGAGAAGATCGTCTACCTGACGGACGGCGTCGTTCGTCAAGTCGTAAGAGGTTTATAATCGAGAGATATTTGATGCAATAAACAGGATATTCCGCCGTGAAAGAAGACGAATGCGGTAGGGTCCAAGTCCCGACCTGCAACCTGCGGGTTGGCCACCCATTTTCTAGAGTCTGCCGTCTCCTGACAAGAATCGCCAAAGAGGCAGCAAGATCAGGGGAATCTGTCAGAAGACTCATCCCGAGGCTGGGGAAGCAATCGAATACAAAGCGGACGACGCAGACCATTAGTCCAGATGGGTGGATGAGACATTTCAAGAATTCACATTCGTACTCTCAAGAGGTGGCAAAATAAGAGAAAAATTACAATTCAATTACAAAATGACGGTCTAACCAAAACCGGAGCGGTATCCGAGGGTGCGTGTCAGTGACAGTGACTATAGGAGTAGCCAATGCATCCCGGGCACGAAACCTGCTCCAAGTTTGAGAAAGTTTCGGGAAAAAAACGTGGCATACCTGGGGAGCGCACATAGGGTAGCCTGCAGGCTGGGGTGCTGAAGGGTACATTATGCCTGGATACTGGACAGGATTGGTGGCCATTCCAGCATACCCAGGCCCCATAACAAAAGGCTGATGCATATAAGTGCCAGAACTATCAATCGTTCAGCATAACTAGGCCTGTGACACGTCAAGGGAGTCGCCAGGAAGCGTTGACGCCGACCAGAAACTCCCTCGGGGTGCCTTTTTTCCTCGCACCGTGAGGTAGGGAGAATTCCCTGAGAGAACATGTTGAAATACTCATTGTCGGATGCGAATGGCTGGCTCCCGTAGTTCCCATTCGGGACTTGGTTGGCTGGCATGAAAGGCGGGTTAGGCGGGTTATGCATACTGCCGTAAACTTCCGAATGTTCATCAGGTGCGACGATTGACCTTGTTAATTGTCGTTGAGGAGCCCAAATTGGAGCAGGTGGTAGCTGAATGAACGGAGGGTCGTAGAAAGAGGGAGCAGGAGGTGCATAAACTGGTGGAGCATATCCAAGGTTGTCAGGCTGGTTTTGAGGTAGGGGTTGCGGGAGTGCACTGTGACTTGGTACACGAACGGGACGGGCATTCAGGTGATATGGCGCTGGTCGAGCATGATGGCCAGTGTTATGTTGTCGGGGTTGAGTAGCTGAGTGAGCAGTGGGAGGGTTGATCTGAACCGTGTTGTGATTGCCGATCACCACTGGACCGCTTGGAGGCCTTTCGCCAGAGAGGTTCAAATCAAGTGCGGATTGCGGAACGTCTCGGCTCAAGGCTGGTTGCTGGTGGGCCCTGATTTGATTTATCATCTCTTGCAAAGGAGCCTTGGGTCCTTTGTATTTGTGTTTCGTCCTCAGGTGTCGCTTCATGTCCCATTCCTGTTTGGTCGTTATAGGACTGGCATCTCATTAGCGTATGTCATTCGAGCAGTTTGGACTGACCACTTTTGCACAGGGCACCGATACCCAATTGGAGCATGCATTGAGCCGAGCAGGTGGTTCCTCGCGTGCGAGTATGTGCTAGGGCCCATTTCACAGTGCCGTACCCCAAGCGTCCATTCATCTGCCGTGTTGCCTGGTACCATCATCCCCTTGAACGTCTCAACGCTGACGCCCTCCAAGCCCTCCGTCTTGGCCTTTTCGAGAAAGGCGAGAGTTGGCTCTTCGTGCTCGTAGTCGGGTCCAATCGCTTCGTAGAGCTTTTGTTGGTTTTCGTCGAGTTGGCCGTATCGCATCCCAAGTCGAGGATGAATGCCGTACCACCTGTGATCTCTGGGACCGTAGTCTGCACCCAGGCAGGTGAACCAGCGGCCTCGACAGTTGGGTCGAAGGATATCTGGGTCATCCTCCTCCTCCTCTTCCGAATCAGAGTCGGAGTGGTCGCGACATTTGTATACCGGCTTTTTGGGCTTGGGAATGGTGGTGGGTCCTGTCGCCACAGGCAAGCCCACATCGGAAGGATCTGGCCCTGGAGGATTAGAATCCACAGAGTTGGGCAAATGCTCACTAGGGGTTTGTGTCATTGGTGACGGCGGCGTGGATGGAATGTGAGGCTCAAAAGTCCTGGACTGGGGCATTTCGTCTTGGGCCTAGGGAGGGAAAGAAGGCAAAAATGACAAAGGGACCATGTCGAAAGGCAGGCCTTTTGTAGGTTTGGGGAGAACCGAGAACCTGGACACGAGACAAAGCCAACATCAAACCAGGACACGGACCAGACGAGGGCGCTAAAAGAGACACGAGGCGAGTCTTCTGGGATCGGTTGTTTTGAAAAGGTAGTGGAGGAAGTCGCTGAATGAAGTGTTTGCGGGTCGACATGTACGAGGCTGGCAAGCCCTAATATGTCCATCGGAATGTTCGATGTCAAAGCAAATAACCTACCTGTGGATCAATGTGACCATGGACGCCCCTTGCTGAGTGTCGGTTGCGGCCTATGGCTATGAACCACGGTGACAAAACATGCTTCCGAACGTAAAATACGGCTGGTCTATTCAGTAAAAGTTGAATTGCCTTGAGAGATGCGCCCAGGTCATCCCAAGTAGTTGCATATCGAGCAGGTCCTTCCAAGTCGGCGCCTTTCTGTCAGATGTTGAACCCTTCTAAAACCAGCCCGGTGAACATTTTATCCATAATTCTCTCAAATGTCGTTGAAAATATCGTCGACGTTGCCGGGTCAAGCTTGGCGGGATGGTCAGCGGCAGTGCCTATGTGCCAAAGGATCTTGCTGGCTCCTTGAATCTTTGACACGAACAACGACGAACAAGCCAATGCTCCATGTTGCCTTCACGCCTCGTCTTTGCTAGTGGCAGCCTCCAAGTCGCTCCAGGCTTGACTACAACTTCACGGTTGACCCCGCTCGTCGTAGGTAGGCCCAGCTTGGTTCGTTATGTGACAGCTGGAAGACCACCATTACGGTCACGCTTGACAAGAACTCCTCTACGAATAAAAAAGGAGGCGGTAGAGGATGTAGACGAGCCACAAAATGGAGATAAAGAGGCGCAACACCGGAGAATGATTGACAATAACAATCCAAATCCCGTAGTTAGCTTACCTGGAGGTATTATGTGGCCTTTTACAAGCTCTTCTGCGACGGACGCGGCGTTGACCACGGTTATTGGCCTCGGGCTCGGTGAGTTTGCCGTCGCACGCCGCTAGCGAAGCATATGCTAATCTAAATAGTCTTCCTGGGTGGTGTAGCATACTTAACATGGTACAAATGGCGCGTGTTGGACAAAGTGCGCACCCCGTCATTCCTGGTCGAAACCCCACTAAACTTTCTCGTTATGCCAGATGGAACAAGCCTTTGCCAAAGTAAAATACTATTTCACTCTTTTTAACCTTTTACTGATCTATTCCGATTACACAGGGATACGATCCGGCTCTTGAGCTTGCGGTGCACGTCCCCAAACGTTCGGCAAACAGTGACGGTTCGGATTCCGTCACTTACTTGGATTCAGAGAATCTCCGACGAAAGGAGCAATCAAGAGTAGACGAAATTGTCAACGGCACAGAGACGGGCCATTACTTCTTGCTCATTGGAGCTAAAGGCGTTGGGAAAAGTACAATGATTCTGGAAGCTATGCGAGCTATCGGTCAGTAGTCTAGAGCCGGATTCCACACAGCTGAACATTTTCCCCAGATGCGGAGGGCGTAAGTATCTGTGAAGCGCATCCAGACCTCGAGGTCTTTCGGCTTCGTCTTGGCAAGGCATTAAACTTTGAGTACAATGAGGATACCCAAACCGTATGTCCTTTTTCAATTGCAGTGCTAAAGCTGATCAGCTGGTCAGGGTCTTTTCCAACGTCGTGATCCACGTGAAGGTGGGTGTTGAGCGTTTGGTATGCATTATCGGCCTGACTCACTTTAGGTGGACCGGCACTCGACATTGAAAGAGGTGAGTGACACCTAGTATTCATTCCGGTGCTCTAACACCCTTTTAGCCTTTAATAAACTGGAGAAAGTTGCACTTCGATGCCACAAGAAGAGGGGAAAGCCGCTCGTCCTCATCATCAACAATGTTCACATGTTCCCAAATGATGACTCGGGAAAGAACCTCTTGGTGCAGATTCAACAGAGGGCGGAAGCCTGGTGCGAGAGTGGTAGGTGTATATCAACAGCCAGTAGCATGGCTCACTGTTGTCTAGGTATCCTAACCGTGGTGCTTGCCTCGTAAGTCGTGTCGAGCTCCATGGCGGGAGTAGCTGACCTCTCGATAGCGATGATCTGTGGCCCTATATGACTTTGCGTGCGTGTTCCTCCCTTATGAAAAGGCCGTGCTGAGCAGTAACATAGGGAAGACGAGTAACAGGATGCAAGTTATCTCGATTAGTGACCTGGATCCCAAGGCTTCAGCCCACGCCTTGCGCAATATGCGCAAAAACTCTCAATGGAAAGTCAACGATACCGAAGGCGCCGTCGAGGAAGCAGCCTCCATTGTTGGAGGCCGTTTAGCCTACATTAACAAAGTGTCCCATGGACGCAATATGGTGGATACCGCAAAGCAAATGCTTGCGGAGGAAAAGGCATGGCTCTTGAGTCAGATTGGACTCATTAGAGACTGCGACGACGACGTGATGGACGAACAAAAGTGGTCGTCGTGCTCTTGGTTGCTACTCCAGGAGTTTGTCAAGATGCGAAAGGAGCAAGAAAAGGAGAGGGACGAACGTATTGCAGCCTTTCAGGCTGAGCATCCTGGGCAACCATTTATTGCAGAACCACTCGACCTGCCCATCATTCCATATCATCAATGCCGGCAGTTGATGACGAGGACAGACTTTATGGAAGGTACGGTACTGACTTTGACGGGGAGAATACGCTTCTCATTCGTTGCAGATTTGGATCGCCTGAACATCATCACCATTGATACCCGACTAGGAGTCAAGCCAGACTCGATGCTAACCTTGCAAGCCGCGCGAGAGGTGGTCGAGGAGGACGGGTTTGACGAGCTCCTAGAGAGCGTTCGAGAACGTATCGACGAGATTGAGAGCTTGCACCGCACGCGAGAGCTGACCGTGAGTAACTGCCACTGCGTCATTTTGGCAGAAATTCTGACGACATCACAGTTCAAGGATCTTGCCGAGGGCGACAAGCTGCGGTTAGCGATTGACAAAGGCTCGTAGGAGCGTGTGCGTGGCATAGCCTTGGAGACTTCGGCAGCCATTTATATTCTGTTTTAGAGTATTGCTCCTGATAATAATACGGGTTTCCTTTGGTTATTGCCGGCCGTCGGTGCGATCAATCCCGCTCGCTTTTGAACTCCTGCCACGATCCCCATATTTCACCCGGTGCCCGCCAAAACGTCCATTGGACGGTAGCGACATAGGACGACTCTTTCTTTTATCAACCTCGATTTTTACGCAATTTTCCTACGACCCTCGGCGCTGCGGCTCGTCTTATTGGCGACGAACCCCGGGGCATTCACCACCATAGATTGGAACGTATTTCGCCTATAAGGACTCTTGAAGAATGTCTAGCATCGATATTGGAAACTTAGTCAGTGCGTAAATGCCTCTTGATCAATGGCTGGTGACGTTGACATGCACCTTCTCAGACAACTAGTGAGACTCTAGCCACCCCCGGTGGGGCTATACTAATATAGCAATCTTCTCCAGCAATAATCATCTTTCTGCGGTCCTTCCAAAGGCCGTGGGCTCAAATTTGGTTTTGTGGTCTGCAGGATCGGTGAGGTTTCGGGTCTCGGCGGACGCTAGCACTCATGCTGACGACACTAGCTCGCAGTAGTCTTTCTCTTCAACATTCTGCGACCTCGAAACAAGGTAATCATCCACCTCCGCGATTGTCCCAGCTCGTTCCACCCCTTGCTCCCCCCGCACCTACTGCATCAATCGCTAACAAGGAAATTTTTAGATCATTTACGAACCCAAAGTCAAGTACCACGAGGGCAACAAGGCACCACCACCGATCGACAATGGGTTCTTCTCCTGGGTCAAGCCACTCTGGTCAACTTCGGAAGATGTCCTTTTGGAAAAAGTCGGCTTAGATGGTGTTACCTACCTGAGATTTCTCCGCATGATGTCTTGGATCTTTCTCTTGGTTTCGGTCCTCACCTGCGGCGCACTAATTCCGATCAACATCTCCTACAACTACAAGAATGTTGACGCAAGGACGAGGAATACCCTATCTATCTTGACCGTCCAGGATGTGCAAGGCACCACCCTCTTCTTCCGTACGTTCCTGGAAATTGTGAGAGGTATTCTTATTCTGACAAGGTTTATAGACGTCGCCGCCAGCTATATCATCAACATCATAGTCCTCGTGTTCGTCTGGATGAATTGGCGCAAGATGGTCGCCCTTCGCTATAAATTCTTCAGGTCAGACGAGTACATCAAGTCTTTCTATGCAAGAACTCTTATGATCCTCAACGTCCCGAAGAAGCTCCAGTCCGACGAAGGTCTTCAAGCTCTTTTTGCCGGGCTCCAAATACCTTATCCCGCAACATCCGTGCACATTGGCCGTCGAGTGGGCCAATTGCCTGAGCTTGTCGAGTATCATAACGACACCGTACGGTCGTTTGAACAAGTGCTCGTGAGCTATCTCAAGGGTGGCAAGATTGGCAAGAAGCGTCCTACCATCACCATGGGTGGCTGCCTCGGTATGGGTGGCGAGAAGAAGGTAATGGCATTAGGGGTCATATCCTCGGCACTGAACCAGTTCTCTAGGATGCCATCGAATTTTATACCCGCAAATTGGCAAAGACCGAGGCTGCTGTTCAAGACTGGCGTGAGAGAAACGAACACAACAAGCCCGAGGTATGTTGTTCGATTGGATATGGTTGACTAATGCTCACCTTCTGCAGAACTATGGCTTTGCCTCGCTCGTATGTTTGTCGCCTTAATTTTGATTTTCCTCATCTCCTTTCAGGCTGCCGTCCCTTATGCACACATCGTTGCTCAAAGACTCAATGGAAAGCATCCCAAGGGAACCACAATCACCCTTGCACCAAATCCAAAGGACATTGTGAGTTTTTCTATGGCATAATTCCACATGTTGCTGATATTCTGCAAGATCTGGAAAAACATCACAATGACCGACGCCACTCGCCGGAGTCAACGTATGATCGGTTGGGTTTGGCTCGCCACTGTCTGTTTCTTTAACACTATTCCGCTCCTTTTCATCTCTCTCGTCGCCAACCTGAGCCATGTTGCTCAGTATGTTCCCTTTCTCGAAACATGGCAAACGCAAGAGCAATGGTCCTTTGCTCTTGTCAATGGTATTCTGCCGCCGACAATTTCCGCCATCTTTGGTTTCTTCCTCCCAAGGATTATGCGTTGGCTCAGTCGTTATCAAGGAGCCATTACCCACTCTCGACTGGATCGTGCCGTGGTTGCAAGATATTTTGCCTTCCTCATCATCTCGCAGCTATTCATTTTCTCTCTTCTGGGTGTCGGCTTCCAGCTCGTGACACAGATTGTCATTAGCGTCCAAAAAGGAGAGAGCGTCTGGGAGATTCTCAAGAATACCAAAGGTTCGTTCTTTGATCCATCATTATAGCTGTTCTCACTGTATTTTTAGACCTCCCAAGGAAGATTCAGTCCACTTACATCGCTCAAGCGCCCTACTGGCTTACCTTCTTCCCGTATGTTGACATTTCTGTGTTTCATGTGTCTCTGACAACGACATCAGTCTACGAGGCTTCCTTGCCGTTTTCGACCTTGCCCAACTTATCAATGTTATATGGATCTGGATCAAGACTCGTATGTTTGGTCGTACCCCACGCGACATCCGCGAATGGACTCAGCCACCCGAATTCGAGTACGGCATTTACTAGTGCGTCAGATAATTTATCGTAAATCAGTGATTTAACCAATCCTTTAGCTCCAACCTGCTGTTTATGGGTGCTGTTGGCCTTATCTACGCCCCGCTGGCCCCATTGGGTTTGTACTCCTTGTATCTCTCCCGTAACCCGCTAATCATCTTTACAGTTGCACTCGCCGCAGGAGCAGTGTTTTTGATCACGAGTATCACGTCGAGGTATCAGATCATGTTCGTTTTCGTGAGCCGAGTTGAGTCTGGCGGCGTATGTAGACATTGCTTGTTTGGGTACTTCAAACTGACAAATGGCCATAGCGTTTGTGGAACGTCGTCATCAACCGTCTACTCATCTCGTTGATCCTGATGCAACTGCTTATGACGCTTACCATTGGACTCGCCCATGGTTGGCGATCGTTCTACTGGGTATCATGCCTCCCTCCAATCATTTTTGTTGTCATCTGCAAGATTTGGTGGCAAAGGACGTTTATGGAGCAGTTCCGTTATTATATCCCGAGCGATCAAGAGCTCGCTTCTACCGTCGTCCACTCAGAGCGTGCCGACAACAAGGGCAATCGTTTGGAGAAGCGCTTCGGCCATCCAGCTCTTCATGCGGACCTGTTTACACCTATGCTTCACAAGAAGATGATGCCTCTACTCGCCGAGGTATATCACGGCAGACTAGCAACCGATTCGGCCAAACTTGAGGAGTATGGTGGGCAAAAACTTCAGGCTCAAATCGCCCCTGGTGGTATCAAAATTGCCGGAGTTGACGAGGTATGTTTTACAGCTCCACCGTCTATGACATGGCTCATTTCCCTTAGCAACAACTGGAATACGATCCGGCCCTCTACCAACGTGATCGAGGTGAACTTGACTGGGACCAACGTTCCATTGGTGCCGGCACAGTACTAGGCGATGGTTCGACATTGTCGCACTCGAAATCTGGCTTCTACGCCAGTAGCACTCGAGGTGCTCCTGCGGGGTATGATCAGTACATGCAGCAAGGCCCAATGCGCACTGGCACACCATCCAAGGGACTCAACGTAGAATCCTACGAGATGTCGCGCCGCGGCGGCTCTGAAGCCAACCTTCCTCTTCTGAACACCCAAGGCGCTCCCGGATATGCGAGCCAGTACAGCTTGCATGACAGATCACCCTCCGTCGGACCACACGGCGCGTATGGTGCATCGCATGACGCTCCCTCCGGATACTTCTCGCCGGCACAGCAAACTCAGGGGTATCACCCTCAAGAGGCCAGTGACGCGTCGATGCGCTACCATGCACGGGCCAACTCTGCTGGGTTTGATCAGACAATTGCTACTGGATACCCGCCTCAGCAGCAGCAGCAGCACTATGTTGATCGTTCCCAGAGTCCCAGCGTGTATCAGCAGCGCTCCGGTTCTTCGATGGGGTACCACCAACAAGGCCCCCCTAGAAGTCAAGCTTACTCACCAAGTGATCAGGGACCGCCAGTCGCTACTACACTCCAACACCGACCCTATATGACAATCCCGACCAAAACAATATGGCAGGACGAGGTGCTCATCGACAAAACTATTAGTATTACTTGATCCATGAGGCGCATAATGCTCTATTTGTATCTAGAGTTTGGTTTATTTGACCGTTCGCTCCCTTCAACCCGGACTTTTCCCTCTTAACATCAGATTTATCGCAGCAGCCATGTGCATAAATATCAATACTCATAATCAGAAAGTACGTTACAGTGCTCAGTAATAACGCGTAAAGAGTCCGAAAGATGTGGCTCTGCAAGTTCATTAATGATCATCAGAAGGGATTCATTTCGTGCTTGATGCCTGAGGGCGCTTCTTGGCATTTCATGTCACGAGAGGATTGGCCGTGCTGATTTCGTGCGTCCAGCGAGCCTGGCGTACATGCGCAATCAACCGCGTAACAGAGTGCACTAACTCTATGGGCGCACCCAAAGAGTTGACTTGAGACTGCACGAGCTGCGATTCTGCGTTATCTCCGAGGATACCAGCGATGCAGAGAGGGAATAAGAGCGAGACTGTGCGTTGGGCAACGTGGATGGATTGGAACCGGGAAAGGATGGTACGCGTTGCATTGGTAAGCTCTGGTACGCGAGGGTTGGGTCCAGATACAACGCAGTGAAGCATCGACACGCAAGCGTCCATGTGGATGAGCTGGGTTGGAGGCGCTTGGGAGACCATATTGACAAATTGCGAGGACTGGGCAATGCCATGGGCAGGGTGTAAAGCTTGCATATTTGGAACGTATCCCATTTGCGGTGCTAAGGAATGCACAGGCGCAGAAGGCGAGTAAGAGTAATTGGCGTAACTGCGCATATGTCAGTTATCGTCCACATGGAGCAGAAGAGACTGTCGGCCACTTACCCACTAGCCTGAGAAGCTTGAGTAGTTTGGCCAAAGATAGAGAGCTCAATCGCTTGTCCGCGGCGGGCAAGCTCGCGGTAGCTCAAAATTCCATTGGCGTCTTGTACGGCTTTCCATTGCCCAAGCTCAGCGATTTGAGCAACAAAGACCATATATTCGTGAGGAAGTTGGCAGACCCGGGCGATATCGAAGAGTTGGGTGGCAAGCCCTGGATAGTCAAAGACCTCGGGAGACTCTGCCCTGCTTCCGTTGTTATATTCTAAGGATAGTTTGTTAGTAAATTGCGAGGAAATTGGAGCTTTTGAGGTTGCAGAACTGACGAAGAGAATGTTGTGGACGAAACATGATCGTGGACGCGGAAGTGACAAGACACTGATGAAAAAAAGTAACCATACCTTGTGAACTTATATAGTCGTCATCTAGCATATGTTCCCCGTGCGCATCGGCGGCCTCGCGACCGGAAGATGAAGGAATAACAGCTGTGGTGGCGGCGCTTACTCCGCGCGAAGGGGCTCTAGTCATGAGTTGACGCTTTATCGACTCCTTGAAATTTCGGAGGTTTTCTTCATCCTGCGGAGTGCGATGCCGACCAGCCAGTAGCACCCGCCCCGAATGAATTTTGTGATAGGACCATAGCCACATTCATAAGCGCCGCGATAATGAGATAGGTGCAAATGTAGTTAGTCTCCGCTTTAGACTCCGGAGATGCGGAATTATGACTCACTTTTGCCCATTCAGGACGTTGTTCCCCCCAGCTGTATATTGACGGTCGGTCAGTGTACGGTCCATCGAATAGGCGAGCCACACCGACGCACCCAGCACAGGGAATGTTCAATCGAACACACCTAAAATCAAGTCATCAATCTCGCGTACATGTAGCAATATGGTGAACGTACTCTTGACACTTTCCGTTCTCATCTTGAATTTCGTCGCAGCGCTTACGTCGGATCCGACACGTCCAGCAGCCAGTTTTACGGCGTGAGATGGTGGTAGGCTGACCTAAGGGGGACTCCTGGCGAGAATTGACGCGGAGCGAAGACATGGTATCGTGAGGGGGGGACAGCTGGAAAGGTACTGTCGAGAAAGGTACGATGGTTAGAAGAGAGTTCGGCGTCGTCGATGCTGCAAATCCCCTCGAGCTTATGTACCCAGTCGTCGATCTTCGCTCATACCAAGGTGTCGATGCCAGACGCGCGCATCTTTCACTGAGTCAACAAAAACGCTGGTAATATCGCAAGGTGCCGGAACTAGCGACCAGGGGTCACGCCTGGCCTGGCCTGGGTGGCCACAATTGTCGGAGATGGAGTGAATTGGATTTTGCACGTGTTGAATTCTATCGATGCTGTTTTCTTGAGTCTATGTCGATGTGCGATGAATACCGGATTCAACGAACACAGACACCCGACGCTGACCTCGGCGCATCAAAGAATCCACGCGCTCTTGTATGGCCTGAATACGTATTTGGTCTAGTTCCATTATCAAACTCACCAGCTAACAACGAGAGTATCGAGCGCAGGGTGGGGAAACGTGGCTAATGTGTTATGCGGGCACAGTCGGAGGCTGGCTGCTTCCGTAAGAAAGAGGGTGTAGTATACTAAAAGTGCTGGGAAGACGAGAAAGTCTCGCATTCCTGAGGAAAATGTTGTCTGGAGCTTCCCAGCATGATGGTGGCCGAGGAATTAACGAGCTGGCGACTTCACCCTGAGTCCAAAAGCATTGCAAGGTGGCAGGAACAACCAAGACGTGGCGCTGAAGTGTCCTTACGTCCAGAAGTTGCTCAGCCTTGACGGCAGTGTGCCGCGTCGTCTTTCCGGCAGCGACGAACAGACTCCTGGGAACGTGGAAGAGACATGTGACAGTAGAGATCGTCCAGGCGGCTCTGATTTCGAGCTCAGCAAGGTTTCGGTGCCACAAGGAATAGCGCTACATCGCTACGTTCGCAGCGGAGCGCTGAGCTCGTTTTGGGCAATAGAAGATATTTCCTGGGAATTCTAGTGTCGAATATCGCAGAATTAGGTCATCGAGGGGGGAGTTCAACATCGCTTGACCCCAGCCTCATTGGACAAGTAGTCATCAGACATGGCCTCGAAGCTCGAAATCCCAATGATTAATCTCTCTGATGGATATCTGATGCCTGGTATTGGTATCGGGCGAGTAGTGCTTGTTTGGGGGACTTCTGAGCTCATCTACTGTGAAGATGCTGGATGGGCGAACCAGGTGGCCACGAAGAAGTGAAGAGAACAGTACAGCTAGCGCTGAAACACGAATATAGACACATCGATACCGTGAGTAATTGCCGTCTAGCTGCTTGCTTGTCTAAAATAGAACCATCAGGCTGCGTATTATGGTTTGAGTGGCCAAGACTCCACCATTCTCAGGATACTCACGGCAGTGTAGGAAACGAGGGGGCTGTTGGAGAGGCTATTCGAGAATCTGGAGTGCATCGACCAAGCATCTTTGTCACAACCAAACTCCCGTACGTACGTCGTTGATGACATTTTTAAGACTTTCAATAATCCTCAGGGGGTCGGGTCATGGCAACGTTATGGAGGCCTTTAACAAAAGCCTTACGGCCTTGGGATTGGATTATATTGACCTCTACCTGATGCACTGGCCTATGGCGAACGATCCTCAGAGTAAGTGTGAGCAGGCCTTGTCAAAGCGATTTGATTAACATAAAACTTCCAACAGCCGGTCGTGCATTGAAACCAGAGGAAAATCCGACATTTGTTGAGACATGGAAGACGATGGAGGGCCTCCTGGAGACCGGTGCGTGAGCGAGCCAAAGAGGTTCGCACTCACTCAGACTCCCAAAGGCAAAGTAAAGTCTATTGGAGTCTCCAACTTTAGCATCAAGAATCTGGAGATCCTCTTCTCAAAGACCAACCTAATACCGTCTGTAAACCAGGTAAGAGCATTCGGATACATGGATAAGTCTCATCGCCCAAAACAGATCGAAATACATCCTTGCTTGCCAAATTTTGAGCTTGTTGAGTATTGCAAGCAGAAGGGTATTGCCGTTACTGGTTACACGCCCATGGGTCGGCCCGGTGCCCCGTTCTACACCGATCCTTTATTCCTTTCTATTGCTCAGGAGCATAATATTACTGTCGGACAAGTCTTGCTGGCCTGGCAGGTCCAGCGAGGTATTGCTCCGCTTCCGAAGAGTAGTAATGAAGAAAGATCTAAGCAGAATATCACGGTGTGTCGTTAATAGCTGTCTAATACTTGTTGTACTAAATATCCTCAGCTCACCAAGCTCTCCGACCGCGCCATGTCGCAAATTAACGAATTCCACAAACAGCCAGGGATGCACCGTACATTATGCTTTGCCAACTCGGTGAAAAATGGTGGAGTGTTTGGCTGGACGTTTGAGGAACTCGGCTGGGACCTGGACGAGCGAGGATACGGGCTGCCGAAGTGAATAGTTGACAAACTTGAACCCATCCGCCGCCGCAATCTGCCACAAAACAGTTATTGTTACTGCGGGATCGAATAAACGATAAATTACGGGATAAATTGTAATTATTTCGTGTGAATGAGCGAGATATGGAGGCTGTCGAACGCCGCAACAAGGTCGAGAGGACCAACATCCCAGCATCCGAGACCGTGATAGACGGGACCGAAGACGTAACGTCTCCAGTACATCCAGTAGCACCGTTTCCACCACTTCTCGGCACACATACAGCCGAGAACGCGCGGGTGGGGATACAGTCTGTCGAGGTGGCCGGGCGCCAGAGTTTTACGGCTTTGTAGCGTGGTTGATCACACTGTTGGTATACTTTTCATACGTTTTATGGGCCTTTTTACCAGATTGGGTGATCCGCGCAGCTGGTATCACTTGGTATCCAGCACGGTGAGTAGCAATCACCTCTTTCCCAGGCTATGCACAGGCTATGGAGTACACTGATTACGTTGTGCAGGGAATGGGCGGTTCTTCTGCCAGCTTGGTCCGTCATACTTTTCCTCATAGCGTATTTCGTCTATATTGCGCTCGCAATCTATGCCACTCCGGTGTTGTCACATGAGCACAGTAACAGGTGAGGAGACTCATTATTCCTACAAAGAGCGGCACAATGGAGACTCATCGTTGTTGGCTTGACGCGCGCACCGTGAAAGACCCGCGAGCGCACTACGCCAGAAACCATCGCAGAGCAGACCAGAACACAGGGGAACGGGATTGGTATTTGCAATGTGCAGATGAAAATGCTGTCCCAGCACCATACGACATGCCTCTGGCCCTTGTCAACCGCGTGCTGTTCAAAGACTCGCCGTCCGCGGAATCAAGCCAGATCTCAGTACAGGGCGCTTAATATTTCATCTTTTTCGACCCCTTGTCGGCAGATGCTTATCCCCGGAGCCGTTCGGACATCATTGAGGATGTAGGCAGGGGGCACACTCTCCTGAAAGCTGGGAGAGCTGGTTGTGATTGTTGAGACCACGGAAAGACGAGGAGTGATGCAAGATGCTCAGACACGCGATTTCCTTCTCCTTGCTCGTTGATCGGGGTTTGGTGATTGATACTAGATAAAATATAGTGAATATACATGGTTTTCCTACATAAATGCGGATCACAGAATATGTAATAGAAACTTTAGCAAGTCGGACGGAGAATACAATCTCTGCTTCGTCCATGTCAAAGCGAAAGTGGGACCAGACTGGCGAGCCCGCCGAAGAGACTCCATCAAAGGTATCCAAAACAGACGATGGGAAATCGGCCTCTGAAGCCGCCGCTGCTGCTGTACGTATGCCGTTTCCGCTGACCTCTTTTCTGAACATTGTTAACGGCTCACCTGGGGTTCTGTTGACTCCGAATTCATTCTACAGGCAGCAATAGCGGCAAAAATAGCGGCTCAGTTTTCTGCATCTACCCCTAGCAGCGCGCCAGCGCCTTCTTCCAGTGCTGCGCGCACACAGGCCGCATTAGCAAACAGTGGCGCGACTGTAGTCACCGACGACAAACGAAAAGATCCTCACGACTCTGAATTTACATGCGACATTGAAATCAACGACGTCCGGAACCGGTATATGCTCACAAAGGGAGCCACACAGCAAGAGGTAGCTTGTCTGATATCAAGCTGATGATACATGCTCAAACAGTGCCCTAGATTTATGCAGAGACGTCTGCAAGCGTGACAACAAAGGGCGTCTGGTATCCCGACAAGAGCAAGGCAACCGAGAAGGACCCCCCGTTGTATCTCCACATTTCCGCGACGACACAAGAAATCTTAGACAAGGCTGTCAAGCGTATCAATGATCTCATTGCCCAAGACCTCGGCCCACTGGTAGAGGACAGACGAAAGGAATTTGGAAAGGTCTGGATTCCTTTTATTGCTGGTGTCAGTGTTACTCACAGCCATACAGAGGAAATGGGCAGAGGAAAAGATTCCTATTGGACTGGAGATGCTGCGCAATTTCAATGTCCGAGCAAAAGTTGTCGGTCCACAGGTTGGAATTCCTTCAAATTCGCGATGTACTTTGGGGCTCATATGCGTCTAGGGAATGTTTGTTAAGCATATTCAGCAAGAAACAGGCACGCGTGTTCAGATCAAAGGCCAAGGCTCTGGGTTTTACGAGACCGAGACTGGTCGCGAGTCAGACGAGCCTATGCACATTCACATCACGTAAGTCATCTGTGTTTACTCCTATAGATGCTCACTGGCTTATCCAGAGGACCCGAAGATGGCCAGATTGCGCGAGCCAAGGACCTTGCTTTGGATTTGCTCGAAGTCGTCAGGTCGGAATGGGCTAAAGCAAAGGCTGTCCTTGACCAGCAGATGGGATATCCCTATGCTGCTTACTATGGGGTAAGCACCCCAACACTCTGCTCTCCCCACGACTCAGCGTCCTTTCAGGCATATGCGGGAACTGGCGGCCCTGCTCCGCCACCACCCAGTGGCGAGGCACCTCCACCACCTCCTTCAGATGCGCCTCCTCCGCCTCCGCCTGATGGTCAGCCGCCTCCGCCTCCTAGTGGCGCACCTCCGGCCAGCGGCTCTGCCTCGTACACTGCATATATGGAGCAGTACACCAAATACTGGTAAATAACCAGCAATCTAAACTTTTAGATTCTCACTAGTTTCTAGGGCCTCCATGGGTTACGACGTCAACTCTGCAGCGTTTAAAGACTGGATGGCGACCCAGATGAGTCAAAATCAACAGGGGACTGCACCGAATGGTGGACAAGCACCCTCACAGCCAAGCTCCTAAGTGTTAGGTTAGAATTGTGTAGCTTGGTCTACCGAGGATACTGACACTGAGCAGGCGAACGCGAGAACAAGGTGATGTCAAGGTCAGTTGTCGCGATACACCCGGCGAGGAATGAAAGCGCAACATTTGCGCATGCTGAATTGTCACTCTTTGTCGTAGCTTTGCCGCATCAACCAAACAGATATCCATCTCAATCGCTTGTCGATAAAAACTCGCTGATGACATTTAACATTCACCTTAGCTGTCTACGCTCGACGTTTTCAATCAGAGTTTAAACTTTTTCTGGCGATCCATTTAGTCTCTCGCTCCCTGGAGTGCTTCGATGTTTCCTCCAGCTGCTGCAAGAACACCTGTCATCTTGGGCTCCTGGACGTGTCCACTGGCCGTTCGTTCGGGTTCTCGGGGTAATTGCTCTTCCGTCGTCTCCATATCCCAACCCAGGGTGAGTTCGATATCCATCAAAAGGGCACCAAATCCCAAAGGGAAGTCTACGTCTGAACGCGTGAGCTTGATCGTTGTCTTTGCACCATCGTTTATAGGAGGTTGTGGTAGATGGAAGCATGGGATGAACCACATCCAGCCCATAAAGACCTTTGTTGGATTAGTACGCTCCTCTTTGGCAGCTGTTTCTCGCTCACCTGACCCACGTAAAGCTTGACGCGAAACTCACGACTCGAATCTAGCAAGACCCCATGCTCTGGTGGTTGTGTCTCGGCCTGCTGAATCTCGGGTTCTCTCCCGATATCTACCCAATCAGAAGAGATTGTGAGTGGCACTAGATTGTAGGTTAAGATGGTTCCATTGTCGTCTTTGCTGACTTCTGCCTTTTGACCTTGTGCGACGCCCATGCGAGCAAAGCTTTTGACCATCTTCTTGTTGTCCCACTTGTCCGTCGCGAACATGCCGTCCTTTCGCGTGATGCCATCTGCTTCGTATTCTACTGGTGTGCCAGCGCGTACTCGGCGTTCAAGCTCCTCAACCATTTCGTCTTCATATCGAGCCAGGGACACCCACACTTCTGTAGCTCCTCGCTCGCGTTCACTGGGCCCCAAGCTCCGCGGTGCGGACTCGATGAGAAGGTTGGCCATGCGTACGACTGCGACTTGGACGCCCCCGCCACTATCCCGCATCCTAACTCGGATATTATATAATCGGCATTTCGGGGCCTTTCCTCCGTTGTCTGGAGACAGTCGAAGCTGCGGCGGATTGACATTATGCAGAATTTCAGACCAATATCTAAGCCACCTGCGCTGCGATGGGATTGAGACGCCTTGGCTACTGACAGTTCGTTTCATGCGTCGAGAGGTATGTAGCTTTAGCACTTTGTCGACTTTCACCGTGTGCGGTGCGTGGTCAAGGCCAACCGGTACTTCGAGGAGATTTGACTTTGGCTTGTCATCGAGATGTTTCTCAACCGAGTTGTTTTCTCCTTTCTCGCTGCTCGTCTCTCCGTCTGTTGTGGGTGGAATATCCGATTCTGCACTGATCGTCGCGCGAGGCGCCTCCGCTTCGCTGACGACGTCTTGCATGATCTCGTCTGCGCGTTTATCTGCCCATTCTGATGCATTATAGCTCCGCTTCAGTTTTGGAGGCTCGATAGCGTCATCCATCCGCAACAGCAGAGAGCATGCGATTGTACCGCTTCTACCCTTACCCGCTGGAGGAATGGATCGGTTTTTCATTCATAAAATTTGGTGCTGTACATACCTTTGCAGTGTACAACTACGGTATAGTCGTCTCCTTGTTTCAGCCAGGCCTCCATCTCTTGAGTTGCGAGTGCAAGTAGTCCGATAGGAGGAGCGCTTCCACAGAGTCATAAACAATTGCTTATTTCGTTTGTATGCCGTACGTACTGATGATCCGGCCATGGATACCTTGAGACCCGCCCGTCAAACACAGAAGCTGGGTACGAGTTTTCTCGTATTGGACAGAAGTTGAATACTCGATACTTGTCCCCGTGTCGGGTGTCCAATAATCGCTTGGCGTCCTCTCTGGGATTACGATAATACCGCTCCAGGCCTTCAGCTGGGTAGCCCATGATGATAATCTGACATTTAGATTAGATCAATTCACTTTATGTATCAGAAACTTACGCGATCTGTCAAGTAGACGAGATCCAGCTCTACGTTTAGCTCATCATCCTTATACCTCGCCTTGTGGCCTGGAGGCGATGAGTAAAAAAAAAAGGTGGATAAAACATCCTACCTGAGACGATACGGCGAACGTAGTTGGCCATCAGGTCAGAGTCAGGTCCAAAGAGCGTCGCCACTTTGACAACTCCGAAAGTGAGGACGGAAAAATTGGCGTTGAATTAGACGGCTTCAGGCAGTACAATGTCGAGGAAACTAGACTAGCTACTTTACATACTAACAAATCGCTGAAATGGTACATTTGCGCAATCGTCATCGACGAACCAGTCCAAAAAAGGGAATGCTCTATATCCAAGGTCTTGAAGAAACGCTGATATCATGTCGATCAAGGTGATTCAGGTAACGATGCCAAAGCCTACGCAATGTCAGGGGATACAGAAGAGCAGATAGGTCACATACTTCTTTCGGCGTGGGCGGATACTCTCCCTCTCCCGACGGGCCGGCGACGCCTTCTGCAACCTTTTTCTCTGCTTTGAGCTCCTTGAAGCGGGCCAATGAAAAATACATTTCAGACGTGTAGGGTGGCCAAAGCTAGAGGAAGGTGAGCGGACTACTTTATTAGAAAGGGTCAACGTACGCATAGATTCTGGAGGTGATGATAAAGGCAGCGATTGGTATCCAAAGCCACGCCAGTATCCCACTAAAAGCAGCTTCAGTCTGGGTACTGCATCGATCATGGATTCGACTCACTCCTGGCGCTCTCGGTACTGTTCTCTGCAGCAAATCCGGGTTTTCAGAAATGTAGTGTTGTAGCCAGCCGCGCAGCTTCATGACCTTTTCAGAATCGGAGGTTCCCAGACGCGCAATGTATTGCACCCAGGTTTCGCCGGCATTCGGTAGCATGCCAAGTTGCTTGAAACCATCCGGGCCATATCCAGACAGTTTGATGATACCCTCGATAGGAATTTCCGTAAAGGGACGGGTCGAACTTGGGGCCGGGAATTTGGTCAGACGCGCTTGGCCGATCCATACACACGCGCGGAAATAATTGATACTCTTTGCACCAACATTGATTGGGGTCTTGTTTTCCTTGGCCATCTTGATACAGGCTGCTAGGTTGTTGATGATCTTTGACGCAGACGACGTTTCCGCACGGTTTGCAGCACGTATCCTGGCGATGAGATAGTATCCCAAATCAACCACAAGTTGAAGTTCCTGAATGGGGTTGAGTAGAGTCTAGGTATTGACAGATAACTGACCTCGGCTGTGAAGGCTGGTGGAGCGTCCTGAAGTTTGAGGAAGTTGTCGGTTCTGAAAACAATCTGGAGGTTCGTCAGCACCCTTTCAATTAAAAAAAAGGACCTCTACGTTGTCTGTTCCAGTCCAAAGCCCGACGACCATGTGCCCCGGGCTCTTCTTGCCTTTATTGCTTGACGTTCCAGCAGCCGGCGAGGCTTGTAGAGTCGGAGATTCAATCGATCTTTCGTTGTCAACAACCGCATCTTGTTCACATTCCTCGAGATTCGTCTTCGAGGAACTGATGTCAACTGAAGAGGCTTCGTCGAGGCTGACCTAGGCAAAGGTTTAGTCGTGAATCGTGCTCTCGAAATTAGCGTACCTGGACGTCGGAGGGGCCCGACGGGATGCCGTGAGTGACTGCGACCTCTTGGGCCGAGTGAGGTACGACATCCTCGTCAGGCGCGCCAGGAAACACGGTCGTAACTTCTTCGGTCTGAACTTCATCAATCGTTTGTTCATGGGTCTCTGCCTCTGCGGGCTTCGCTTCTTCCAAGTCCTCCGAAAAAGCCGTCGGTTCTTCCCGGGAACCATCCCTCTGAGGTGATATGGTCGATAATGTGAGTCCTGTATATTGTCCCAGTTTATTGACGTTTTGGTCGGGTGTTTGGATGGATGCATCATCTTCCTGCCTCGAAGTCGACAAGTTCGATGAGGTCGGTGTGGTATTTTGTCCGAGTTGGTCAACAGCATCGTCCGGGGTTTGAATAGATACATCCAATTCCTGTTGCGAAGGCTCGTTCACTTCGATGGATTCCTTGGTTTGTGCCGGTTCATCCCGGTGCCCCATTAGCAACCCCGATGCGTGACACGACTCCGCGGTAGCCTCTGTTTCCATTTCAACGAGAGTGAGGTCCTCAGAGCGATGGTGTGGTTCATCTGGATGCTGATATGATTCGTTGGCGGCGACGGATGAGTCAAACCTGGAGACTTCATTCGTCGGGATGGGCTCATCCAGAGCGGCACTCTCCGACTTCTGGATTGATTCCACAGATAGGGACACTTCTGCGGGAGCCACAGCATCGACAACTGGTTCTGTCCTATGAACTGGATTGTCAATCTGGTGAACTTCGTCGATTATAGTAGGCAACTCGTCGACTTCTGTTGATTCCAAGCCTAAATGTGACTGTTCTGTGTCCTTGGCGGGCTGCTCGGATAGAAGACACGATTCATCGTGAGCTGTTGAAAGCCCGACGACGGCTTCGGCTCGCTGGATAAGTTCATCGATAGCTGATTCTGGTGCTCCGCTGCTGACATCGAGCTTTTGAGGCGGTTGTTCTGCAGGTTGATTGTCGACTTCAGGCGCGATGGGCTCCTCGATTATGTGCACTGCTTCCGTTACAGCCGTGGCAGGGAATTCCGTAGTGACCTCCTCGTTGTATTCTACGATGAACGCAGTCGACTTTGAGACTTGGACCGTCTCTTCCACCACCTCGATTACAGATTCGTCAATGGGTATAATTTCGTCACGTTTTGGAGGGAAGACGACTTCAAAGAAGCTTTCGGCTACTTCGGCGGGGTGCCCCGCATCGCGAGCCTCGGCAAATCCTGAGGCATCTGCACAGTGGTAGTCATAAACTACTGTTTCATCATGTCTGAGTGGATGAACATCTTCTTCGTCCATAGCCTCTACGGGAATGACGCTCGGAATGTCGACAAAGTCGTCAAATGGAGGTGTTTCCGCAAGTTGGGAGGCTGAACTTTGGTCCACGATCGTCTCGAATTGAGAAGTGACGTTGGGGATTCGTTTTGGTGAAGGATGGGAGACTTCGATATCAATGATTGCCTCGACAAGTTGTCCGAGCTCTTCCCGCTTGATATCGATGTCAGAGACGGTTGAAACCGCAGCACCTTCCTGCTCGAAAGTGGGAGCCAAGGAGGTCATAGATGCATCTACCTCCTCTTGCTTGATCACCAATGTATCCACATCCTCCCTCTTGATGGTCAACTCAGAGGCAGGGACTTGCTCTGCAGTGACGGACGCAATTCCCTTGTCGGATTTTAGTAGTGTTGCCTCGTCCGTCGTCTCCTCAAGCTTGATCCGGGTCCTGTGAAGGGTCTCCAGAATCTGCTGATTGATTGATTCTCCGCTTTCGTGTGCCGTCTCTGAGACGGGGGGAAGAGATTGATACAGCCGATCGAGGGTGCTATGTATATGTGCAATACGCGAGGCTAAATTTATGGCCACGGGTACAGGACGCACTCTAAGCCCGCTGACGAACTCTTGTAGTTCGCTGGCGTCTTGGATGACATATGCAAAACCTCGTCGAGATTCGGCCATTTCGTCGTTGAGTCTGGTGATGATGGGATTCACTTCGCTTAGCGTGGCGCGAGCACGGTTCTGCGTGTGTCTGTCGATTGAGTGCTGCCTCGCGACATCGCCGTTCAGGTTGTAAGTTTCGGCGATATGAAACATCAACCATCGAATGTCCATTGCGAATTCTTCAATATGAGCAAGGCGTTGGCGGAACCACGAATCGTCCAGACCTTGTGCGCGCATGTCGGCCATGATAGCCTTGATGATCGGGGGGAGAGGCGCAATGTCCAAGAAGGCAAGTCGGAGACTGGCGTAGTATTCTGCAAAATCCATATTCTCCACGCCGGAGCTTCGGGTCTGGAAGGTCTGGAAACATTGTCGGACCATTCCCATCCGCTCCCATATAAGTTCGTTTATTTTGGCCCTTATCCTTTCTTCTTCCGTCTTGGGCTCGACTTGGGGGGTATATGATCTACCAAGCTTGCTGCCGAGCTTGCGTGCCGCTCGAGCTGTATGACGACGTCGCAGAGAACTACGGACTATGAGCGAGTCAGCGACTTGTAATCATTGACTTCTTTGTACGCACCAGACGAGCTAATCAGCTCAATTGCAAGACTGAGCAGGAAGACGGCAGCTGCAACTAGCGCGGCGAGTGCAAGGGCCGACTGCCCAAAAGAATACATGGTCTCGTACTCTTCGATCACCACGAATTTCAAACGACGGCGGATGAGCGGAAGCTCGATCAAGGTGTCGATGAATAGATAGGTGACGAGCGAAGAGAGGAAAAACAAGATCCAATCGCTGGTAGTGCGACCTTTACCTTCGGTAGAAAGCAGTGGATTGAGTGCAAGTGCACCGAATTCAAAGGAATATAAGAGACCGACGGCGTACGCAGTGGGACCGCGGACGACAAAGGGGGTCGTGGGGTAGGAGATGCTGGTCAATGCTTTGATGATAAAGTCGTAAGTGGAATCCTCGAGTTCGGATATTTTGACGAGATTGGCAAAAGGGACGTCGCCAACTGCGCGGAGGACGCCAAGAGTGACCAGGACGAGAGAGGACGCGTACCAACGCGTCGAAGCCCGTAAAACGAGTCTCACGAACGTGAGAAGTAGAGCGCTAAGGAGGATGCACGTCGCAAAGAAGGCAAACACGCGTAACTGCTCCTTTATGGCCAGCCCAAAGAGGAATTCTGGAGCACGGTGGAGATTTGAGAGCGATGGGAAAGGCGCGACTTCGACAACTTGTGGCTATTTGAGCATATTTCAAGTGAACAGCGTCAGCGTTTGGTCAGCCTATGGCGCGTATGAAAAGGCCATGCGCACCTGCCAGCCAAAATCGCAAGGGGGGCCAAATGGCCTGTAGCAGAGCTTTGTAAGTACTTGACCCTCGTGCGGATCACGTGCAAAGAGCCACCCGAGCATCGCTGGGGTTGAGCTGAGCGGGCGCTGTGGTCGGTGGTCAGGTCTAAGTTGGAATTTCGTCTGCCACCGCAAACTCGGTGGTTCTCCTGCATCTCAAAATTCTGAAAATTTTGCATCTACTGGGCTGATTTTGATTTTTGGACGACTTTTAAGAGCGTCGACCGCCCATCCCACCCCAGCGTCATCTTTCCAGAGCCTCAATAGGCTGCGATTATATCACTTACGGTGGTTTAGAGGGTTCATTATCAAGAAATACACGTTTATGGATGCTCAAGGTGGATTCATACGCGTCGATTAGTACGGCAGTGGAAAGATACTCTAATCCAATTTCATAGCAATCTATTTTCAATCTAAGACGCGGTAGAGACACAATTTCAAGGTTTTCTTCTCCCAACCTTTGTGCGAGCGCGTCATTCGATGCTATTGCAGCCGCAGGCTTTACGCCGCCCCCTTCTTCTTTCCAAGACGGCCCTCGCGATACTTCATGAAGACGAGAGCTGCGATAGCAGTCCACCAATAGAAGATGTACGCGAGGACAGTGCCGACTAAAACAGTGTCAGCAGACAGTCCACGATCTTCGAAATCGGATACCACATACCACTGCCATCGTTGCTCCAACCAAACAGACCAGCGAATACGCCCCATCCATGGCCACTGAGCTTGTCTTCTGGACTGCAGCAGTTCAGGTGCCAGATGTTTCCATCGGTCGAGTAGGACCCAGGCCCAGTTCCAGCTTCTGCGACGTCGCCACCAACACTGTTGAATCGGTCAGCTCATCCCCAATACATGTTCAGAACTTGCAGTTTGTTGAACTTGTCCTGCTGGAAGTTTCCGACTGCCTTACTGAAGAGGCCAGCTCCGATCAGGAGCAGCAACCAGGTCGAAGCGATGAGGAAGATGGACAGACCGACGCGAGAGGAAGTCTTGTAGATGATGAATCCAATTGTCAAGCCAACGATAAGACCGACAATCGCCGCTAGAGGGATGGCCGTCGCAGCTTGGCCAAGGGAGACCTACTCAAGCTGTCAGTATACAAACGTCTCTTCGGCAAGTTGCACGGACACCACCGATAAACACCACGGCCTCTAGGCCCTCTCGAAGGACGGTGATGAATGGGAGAGTGAAGAGGAGCCATTTCACGCTTTTGCCCTCCTTGTCAGCCTTGGCGGTCTTGACAGCAAAGGCACGTTCTAATTTGATCCTCCAGCGTTCCCTTGCAGTATCCATACGAAGCATGGTGAGACCCATGACGAAGATTAAGATTGAACTGGCGGAAATGGCTCGTAAGGTAAGCAACTCCAGAAGAGGCGCGAAGCACGTACGCAACAAGATTAAACACGCCCTCCCAAACTTCTTCGTTGGCTCCAAACAGATCTCGCACTTGGGTGAACCACTACGTCGGCTATTAGAAGGGGTGCTACTGCAGAGGGGTGGACGCACCACCGCGATAAAGGCAGCACCGCTAGAAACCGAGTGAGTCATCGCATTTGAATTAACATACTCAACTCACATTATTAGAGAAATCAAAAGACCGGCCCCGGCTCCGAGGAAGATCTGAAGAGCGCCAAGGGAGTAGCCAAGTATGTCAACATCCATCAATAACGGGGTCGGAGATTAGATAAGACCCAGACGTATCCAGGCGTCTCGAGATCACTAGCCTCGCCTTTGAGGTCCAATGAAAGGGGCTTACCTGCAAGCGGAGTTTTCGGACAAGGGATTGACGATCCAAACCAGTCTCTTCGTCAATCTCATCGCTTTTTTCGTCGCTGCTGCTTTGTTCGCCGTCGACTTTGGGCTCGGCCTTTTCGTCGACTGTCGAAGGTGCCGTCATGGACGGGGTACGCCTTGCGACGATGGATTCGACGAGGGAAAGAAGAACTGCGATAACAATTACTGCTTCGAGGGCCTCGCGGAAGACCTCGAAGACGAGTTTTCAGCCCATGGCGCCGTTATCAGATAAAGGGTCTTTGGCCCGCCCGTGACTCACAATGAAGAAAATGGGAATCTGGAGGGTGCAAACGGTGTCAGGAATAGTCTACAAATTTACTGGAGGGGACAACGCACGCTGAAAACGTCTTTTGCCATGGTGGAAGGGGTGCAAGAGAGCTGAAGAGCGTCGAGAGAAGAGCGGCTCAACGTATTACGAGATTGAGACTGTCGAAGAGAACCACCCCGGAGTTGCAATTAAGTTGAAGAAGGGGTATCCACACTCGAGGAGCGGCTCGCAGCCGGTTATCTGATCCGACAAACAGCGTTTTTGTTATCAGATGATCATGGGACCACTTGGACCGGCCTAGCCACTCGCCTAATCAGATAACACACCTCCGAACTTGGTCCCCACGGCACAACCGGACGGGCCCTCAGTGCACCTTGCCTTCTTTCCTCAACAGCAAATGCACACCGTTGCTGCTCTTTTTCTGCTCTCTGGCTCGCTCGTGCGCGCTGCCGTTCACGAAGTCTGGTGCGTCGACAAAAGTAGAAGTAATTGCTTCGACTAATAGCCTTTTCTGCCAGGTGGAACATCACCTATGCACAAGCTAACCCAGACGGTCTCAAGGAGCGTAGAGTCATTGGCGTGAATGGAACTTGGCCGTGAGTCGATTTTCTCTGCAGCGTGGATCGAAACGCCGACCGTGTCGAAAGACCACCACCCATCGAGGTCACCAGAGGAGACACGCTCAAAGTTCATGCTCTCAACGGCTTGGATGTGCCGACAAGTCTGCACCACCATGGCATGTTCTTCCGTAACCAGAGTTATTTCGACGGCGCTGTTAGCATCACTCAGTGGTAAGGCAAATTGTTATGCGAGGTGACGACCTGATACTGATTACGAATTCGACAGCGGCATTCCGCCGGGTGACGAATTCATCTATGAATTCCCCATCACCGAGCAGTACGGCACCTATTGGGTGCATGCCCATTCAAGTGTAAGTGGAGCCCTTGGATCAGGGATCAACATACAAACGATTTTGTTAGGGCCAATACGTCGACGGACTTCGTGCACCGTTCATTATCCACAATACCCCCGAAGTGCACAAGTACGATGACGAATACACGGTCATCCTTGGTGACTGGTATCATGAGGAACACACGGTCCTCAACTCTCAGTTCATGAGCAAATGGAATCCTGGAGGCGCAGAGCCTGTCCCCAGTGAGTCGCCTATTGTACCCTCCACCGACCGCTAATCGCACACTAGAATCGTCAATCATGTACTTCTCGCACAATGGTACCTATCTGCCCAACTTCAACGCCGAGGCGTCCATCAACTTTGCACCCGGCAAGACGTATCGCTTGCGCATTGTCAATACCTCTGCGCTCGCCATGTTCTACTTCTGGATCGACGGCCACGAGATGCGCATCATCGAAGCAGATGGAACTGATCTCGAGCCTGTGACGGCAAAGATGCTTGCAATCACCGTGGCGCAACGCTATTCTGTCCTCGTTACTGCACGCAACACGACCGATTACAACTGGGCCATCCATGCGAACATGGACGAGGAAATGTTCGATTTCGTTCCCGCTGATCTTCAACTGAGTACGTCCCGCGATGTCTTGATGACTCTCGGTTAACAGCTTCCAGACCAAACTTCGACCATTGTTTACAACTCTTCTGCTCCGCTCAACGAGCCGAGTGTTGTAGACGCATACGAAAACTCGGTGGATGATACTGAACTTCGCCCGTACACACCTCAAACTGTGGGTACACCGTACCGCTCAGTTGAACTTGGTGTATTCTTCGATACGTTCGACAATGGTGTCAACCGCGCTGCATTCAATAACGGTAGGATAGTAACTACCCTAGAAAGCGATGCTAAGTGTTTGCAGTAACATGGAACCCGCCAGTTACCCCTTCTCTTTTCTCTCAGCTCAGCATGGGCAAGGATGCGGAGAACGTTCATATCTATGGCCCAAACACCGATGTTCTCGAGTTCAACAAGACTTTTGAATTCACTGTCATCAACTGGGACGCCGGCAAGCATCCATTGTGATTTCCATCGCTTTTTCAGGGTGCACCATGCTTACGCTCACAACAGCCATTTGCATGGCCACAAGTTTGCCATTGTACACAAGTCGTGGGATGTCGCATCTAATGATCCGACACTGAACCCTCCGCGCACGGAGAACCACCCAAATCCTCTTTGGCGTGATACAGTGCAGATCCCCCCAGGTGGTTCCGTCACGATGCGTTTCCTGACTGATAACCCAGGGACGTGGTTCTTCCACTGCCACGTTGGTAGGTTTTCTTCTCGTCCATTCGATGTCCGTGCTGATTATTGTCAAAATGAAGAATGGCACTTGGAAGCCGGACTGGCATATACGTTCCTCGAGGCACCGACACTTGCCCAGGAACTCGTGCACCCTCCACAATTCATGTACGACCATTGCGCGAAATTGGGCGTTCCGTATACTGGCAACGCGGCTGGACGCAATAGCACGACAGATTTGCGAGGACTTAACGTCGGTCCGTATCCACAAAGACTTGGATGGACACCAAAAGCGATTGGTGCCATGTTTGCTTGCGTCTTCAGTGCCGTCTGTGGTGGTCTGACCATTGTCTGGTACGCGCTCGTCGGTGGGCAGGTTCCAGCTGCATGAATCATGTTTTGGTATAAAAAGAGACTTTGTAATACGTTTCTTCGAGTCGTGTCTTTCCAGAGTGTATCTCGGATTGGGGGCTCATAGAAAATGGGAATAGATCGCTCAAAAATCACAAGGTCATAAAGACGTTTAGGCACTGTAATTGATATGACAGAGGTACAGTGCACATACAAGTAACGAGTGTGAGGCTCCAAAGGAACGATTAGCCGCTTGGAGTAAGTTAGGGATGAAATGAATGAAAGTGTGCTCTATCGTTTAATGTCTTGCGAGGAGTGACGATATTAATCTATACCGAGGCCATTTCAATGGGCGACGCAAAGAGGCGTGTTTATCCAGATAGAGGCACAGTTGACAAAGTTATTCCAGTAGCGAATGTTGGACTCTGTCGTTCCATATGCGGTCGCGACGGAAGCGCAAGTCGCACCGGGCCAGCTGTTAATCGTGTTTGAACAGCCTTTACCTCCAGGAGGAATACAAATTGGCGTGTACTTCCAAATCGTGTTGCAGTTAAGGAAGGCTATGCGAGAATGTCAGCAGGAAAGACAAGAAAATGAGTAGACCCACTGTTCGCGTTGAAAATTGCCGTCGCGGAAAGTCCGAATTTCGTGCCGATGGTGATGCAGGTTTCATTGTCTTCTGCCGGATACTTGGTCACACAGTCGCCTCCTGCCGCGTTCGACGAGCCGGTTGTTGTCGATGTCTGCGCACTGGTCGAGGTGCTTGTGGTTCCAGATGAAACACAGATTATCACGGGTGTCCACTCCCAAATGTCGTCGCAATTGAGCCACGAGGGATTTGAGGCTTTGATCGAGTCTACGGTGATTCCATATGTGGTGGCGAGCTTGGCACAAGTATCTCCCGTCTTTGCGGTGTATGTACTGCACGAGGTGCCTCCCGTGCTCGTCGATGTGGAAGTTTGGACGCTCGTTGGTGTGCTCGTGGTGGTTGATGTAGAAGTTTGGACACTCGTAGACGTGCTCGTGGTGGTCCCAGATGGAACACAGACAGTTACAGGTGTCCACTCCCCTAAAAGACGGTCAGAAGAGTCACCTTGATACTAATTATCTTACAAATATCGTTGCAGTTGAGCCAGGATGGGTTAGATGCTACAATTGAAGCGACCGTGACTCCATAGTTTGCTGCAATCTTCGTGCACGTGTCTCCGCTCTTCGCAGTGTGTGTGCTACAGACGACATTGGTCGCCGTTGAAGTACTGGCGGTTGATGCCGAGCTGCCTACAACAGAAGTGGAGGTTGGGGGCACAGTCGAAGTTGATGTCGAGCTGCTGGAAGTAGAAGTTGGTTTTGGAACAGGTGTAGAGCACACAGTGATCGGAGTCCAAGCCCAAATATTATCACAATTGAGCCAGGATGGATTCGATTCTTTGATGGAGTCGACGGTCGTGCCAAACATGGTTGCAATCTTCGCACATGTATCACCCGCGACAGCCGTGTATGTTCGACAGGAACCAGCAGCAACGAATGCAGTGTAATCACGCCAAGCCGCCTGGCACATTAAGACAAAGGCCTGGCCTTCAGGGCTGACGTCGGTAGATTGCAGGGCAAAGTCGTATGGATTGACGACGTTTGGAAGTTTTCCATCTGCACCAATCAGGTTCTTGACAAGCGTAAACGCCTTGTCGGCGTTGGGGATGTAGCTCGAAGCGTCGGTGAGTACGGCGAGACGGTACGTAACAGCGGCCATAAAGGCAGTCCCACTCATATCCGTAAATGAATCGTCGCGGAGATAGTTTCCGAGTGAGCCATCAGCACGTTGGCGAGCCCATGTTGCTGCGACAATTTCCTGAATCCACGAGACGAGATTTGCGAGTTCTTGGGTAAATTCACCGCGAACACTAGATTTTGCAATTGTCTGATGAACACGAAGCATTCCTGCGGCTGCCCAACCTTGACCCGTTGCTATCACCATTAATTAGCCAGGCTCGCTGTTTAGAAAATTTTACTCACTCCAGAGACCTGGATCGCTCCAAGAGCCCATCAAGACATGCTTCCACGCGTTCGTTGCCGGGTCTCGGAGATAATTGCGGTACAGGCGAAGCTGGTCATATGCCTTTCGGAGATAACTGCGTTGCGTGTCCAGGTTGGTCTGCAAAGCACCCCAATAGGCAAAAACCGGAGCAACCATAAAGGCAGAATCTAAAGGAAATAAGCCACCGCTATTACGATATACGAACCGGCATACCGGACCACAATTGAACCTAGGTGCCTGTTAGTATGGTGTTGGAGTGTGGGAGCACAGACTCACTTCTGAAACTCGATGGGAAATGGCGCCGTCGGTGGTTCGGGGGACGTCGTATTCAATGAAACCAAGCTGCGAATAGAATGCTGACAGATAGCGCCAATCAGTAGGGTTGGTAAAGTTTGCTAGCAAGAGTGTAATGGCGTTGCTCATAGGGTCCCCCGCAGCACCATCCTCCATAATGGTTTTAGAAGCGGGAGGTCGTTGATCCATTAGCTTGTTGGCATTGGTGACGATGTAAGACGAAAGAGGAAGATTGCGTGGGGGCGGGAAGGGAGCAGAACCATAGACAGAGACATCTGGGTAGTCAAGTTCGAGGACGGCAGTTGTCGCCGTGCCATATTCCCAACTGGGTGGTTGTCAGCTCTCGAATTCAGAAGCAAACAGCGCTCGGAGCTCCCGTAAACAAAGGATACTTACCTGACATGTGCTCTGTCTATCATCAATTGCCGCACGGCGTTGATTTGGGCGGTTGTCAATCCATCGGCGAGGAGGGCTTGAACGGGAGGAAGCGCGAAGAGCCCAACGACGACGGTAACGAGCGATGAACAAAGCATTTTAGAGTATGAGGCCAAGCTTTAGATGTCGTTGGTCAGGTTTGTAACGACAGAGATCCTAAGTAGACTTGTAGGGACAGTGATAGTAGTGAATGTTACAGCGGTCGGCCTCGCTGTGGCTTTAAACGGCTCTAATGGACCCCAGACGATCCTCAGAGGGAGAGGAGACGCCTTGGATAGCGTCGCGGGAGGTATTAAAGGGTAGAGGGGTGAAAACAAACAAGACGGGTTTAGCGGTGCCAGGCACCTCGGCAACAGATCTTTTCCTCTCCTCGACGCAATATAGTCGGATCGGATTGACCGAGTAAACCCCAGGTAGCGGCAGTCCGCGTCTGTCCGAAGAGAAGATGGAATCCAATATTCCAATGATTGGAGCAGGTGATTTTTCTGATATGCATTTTGCTCCCAGGGACGCGTGGTTACAGGACGGAGGGTTGGCTTACGGACGAGCAAACGGCCCGTGACAGATGACAGTTGATTGGGCGACGTCGTCGGTATCGGATGAATCTACAGCAGAATATGCCTAAGTCCGTGAGAAAAACACATTCGTGCGGCTTTAAGCATAGTGCGCAGCTTAAGTCCTTGATGCAGACGGGCGATAAATGAATTGCCACGGACAGTCTCGCAAGAATAGAGTCATTTTGGGCGAGACTTGTACATTTAAATCGGAGACTGTTGTTCCATTAGCTCCAAAGGCAAGCAGCTTATTAGGCCCTGTGCTGGATGGATCGGTGCAGAGACCAAGTTTGGAGTCGGTCACCACCCACCTTTGTAGCCTCTGATACCAAATTAAAGCGCGTCGACTCTGCAAATGAAACAAATACTTTTGGTAAATCATACGGATGCTCTTCCATCCCGACAAGAAGAGACTGTCGCGACACAATCTCATTCTCGGAATTTCGTCAGAAAATACACCGACCCTTACCAAACCATTGGCACCGACAGTTTGGCCAGGTTTGATTCAGGCTCAAGTTTACGGCAACCCCGTTGACTCGAGCCTTGTTACATCCCGCATTTGGACCCAGTGAGATTGTCGGGCACCCATTCGGTCATAAGTTAAAGGAGTATTATTGGCGGCTTCTATACTAGTCACGTATGCTGAAAGTCCAAGGGGGGTATGTCGTTTTTCAAAGTAACACGAGCCCAGATGGAGGCACTGCACTTTTATATGACAAAAGATTGGGTGGGTATGTACAGCGCACGTACTAGTAACGACGGTAAGTTCCCGAGTGAAACGATTAGGCAGTTGCTTCGGGGAGAGGATAAACATCAAAATGAGCGGATGAGTTTGAGTTTTTGTGAGAGGGAGGAGGAAGTGTGTTTTGTCCGTGAACCAGCTCAGTGGGCCACGCAGAGAGGCGTGTTCGTCCAGATCGAGTTGCAGTCCACAAAATCATTCCAGAAACGAACATTCGACTCTGTCGTGCCATATGCAGTCGCGACATTGGCACACGTTGCCCCCGGCCAGCTGTTGATTGTCTTTGTGCATCCTTTGCCTCCAGGAGGAATACAGATTGGTGTAAACTTCCAAATCGAGTTGCAATTGAGGAAATCTGGAGCGTTGTTGTTAGAGTAGGCGAGGAGAATCAAGACACAGAGACGTACTATTAGCATTGAAAATGTCAGTCGCCGAAAGTCCAAACTTGGTAGCAACGGTAATGCACGTCTCGTTGTCCCCAGCAGCGTACTTGGTCACGCATGTCTCCGTAGCAGTCGAAGTGGCCGAGCTGGACGTGCTCGTCGACGTAGAGGTTTGGACATCCGTCGGCGTGCTTGTGGTTGCCCCAGCAGGTACGCAAATGGTGAGTGGCGTCCACTCCCAGATATCATCGCAGTTAAGCCACGAAGGGTTCGAAGACTTGATCAAAGCGACGGTCGTTCCAAACTTGGCGGCCAACTTGGTACAATTGTCTCCGCTTTGTGCACTATACGAGCTGCAGACATTGTTCCCGTTACTAGATGATGTCGAAGTAGAACTGGAGGACGTCGACGTCGATCCACTGGCTGCGCAAATGGTGAGCGGTGTGTTTGCCCAGATATCGTCACAGTTGAGCCACGATGGGTTTGAAGCCTTGATCGAGTCCACCGTAGTGCCGAATTTCGTCGCAAGTTTGGTGCAGGTATCGCCAGACTGGGCAGTGTACGCGTTACAGGCAGATCCGCTCGAGGTCGACGTACTGGCCGAGGAGGTAGAAGTGCTGGTGGATCCCACGCAAATGGTAAGAGGAGTATTTGCCCAAATATCGTCACAGTTGAGCCACGAAGGGTTCGAAGCCTTGATCGAGGCCACCGTAGTGCCGAACTTTGTGGCGAGCTTTGTGCAAGTATCACCAGCCTGCGCCGTATACGCGCTGCAGCCGTTCGTTCCAGTCGGGCCAGGGGTAGACGACGAGGTGGTGGCGGTGGCTTGCGGTATGCACAGTGGCGTTCCGGTCCCTAAGAAGAGTTAGACTAAATTCGAGACGGGACAGGGTGGAAGAGACGGACAAATATCCTGGCAATTAACCTGTCGATTGGCAGCTGAGACAAGCTCAGCGGATGTGCCAAACTTGGTGGCAATCTTGGAGCATGTATTCTCGCCTGGCTGAGTGGCATATGTCTGACTACACGGGATCGTCGTGGTTCCGGAGGCTAGACCATGCTGTCAGCGGAGGGGTGCGGATGCATATAGGAGAAACAAATTACCAGGAGGAATGCAAATTGACGTCCATTGCCAGATGTCTTGGCAATTTAGCGACGGATTTGCAAAGTAAATGTCTGAGCCAGAGAGTCCGGAGAACTTTGCAGCAATTTTGCTGCAGGTGTTCTCGCCAGCTTGGGCGGTATACGTTTGTTGACAGTTGGTAGACGTAGCCGGTGCAGTCCAAGTACCATCGCACGTCCACGAGCTATCACGCACACCATACGACCCTACGGTCTCATACGGGTTAATGTCCAAGCACTGCGCGACGGTGACGAGCCTGATGCCGGCGGTAGCGAGAACTTCGACGCTTCCCTGATCCATCCCATCCAACGCCGCCTGCGAGGTTTCGGTCGACTGGGAGATGCGCCTGGTCGACGCGCCGCCTGCGGCGAGGGATTGGAAAAATGCATACACGGAGGAGCCCGTCGCACCCTGTGCGGCGTCGTTGGATGGCGCATCCGAGGTAACAATGGTCTTGCCATGCTTGGATTGTATATACGAGATGACCGAAGATGATGTGAGAGTGACTGGTGCACGGAAGACCTTTGGACGGACACCGAGAATCTTGATAATGGCTTCGTCCAAACGCTGAATCTGTTCATCAATTTGTGCATTCGTCATGGAGTTCATGTCCACGTCCCTATCCACTGGTCAGAGCGGCGCTCCTCTTTGAATTGTGCAAAAAGCGGTACCTCCATGCGTGCGAGGCAATCTGGTGGCCCGCTTCGAATGCATATCGCAATCGTGAAACATTATCCGGCGAGTATATACAGCCTCCAGTGGTACCGCTGACGACTGTGCGGGTGGTGGTTAGCCGCTGAAAGGGCTGAGGGTCGAAACGACTTACAAAGCGTCGTCTTGCCAGCCATGCAGTCAAATTCATCTACAATTTCTTCTGTCCATTCTGTGACTGGTAAGTACCCAAGAAAGACTCCCAAACCGCCGTGGACGCACCGTATGGACCCTGGGTAGCACGGCGGTTAGCCACCGAATGAGCGAGAAAAGGTGAAACAGACGACTCACATCATCCCAGGTAAAAGCAAAGTCGTGGTTGCAAGTCGAGAATACACCATTGGCGTCGCGGGCGACATTTTTTGCGAGTGCCGAAGGGAAAAGAGCGAGAAAGACGGAGAGAACAGCGAGCGAGAGACGAGCCATTAATGAGCGTGGGTGGGGGGAGATTTTTGAGGAGGATTGAGGAGGTCGGGAAGTAAGAGTAAATATCCGATGAGCCAAACAACAACGGCAGTCTGTGACCGCGTCCTGCTAGTCAAACGGGAAACAGACTCGAGTCGAGGGCGGTGCGGCCGGGTTCAAAAAAAAACTAATGGTTATTACGTTTTCTAAACTGCTGCTGCGCGCTCGGCGACGTCCAAACAGCTCGGATCCAATATTTGACAGCGAACCGGCCTGCAGGGTAAGGCACCCAAGCCAGCCGACGGCAGCAGAGTAAATCACGAGAGAAACACGGAGACAACTCCAACGGCCCGAAGAGCTTTCTTGTTGCACGACAATCCGACATAGCAACCTTCTGGTGCATCGAACGTCTGCGACTAGAACCCCGGACAGGAGCCTTAATATCGTCGAATGAACCGATATTTCACATTAACCGGCCCGTCTGAGAACCAATGCGTTATGCTTGGCATGGACGACGAAGGCGGAGCGTGAAGCGGACATCACCTCGTTTGCGTTTTGTTAAATTCAACGTGCGTCGGAATCTCCACTCCTTCGAGCGGGACAAATGTCATATGCTCCAAGCACAGACGCCGTCAGCGTGAGAGCAACTCGGTCTGCAACGTCTCTCCCCGGGCACATTCTGTCAGAAACAACAAAATCTACGACCGTCGCGCATCAATAGGGCACAAAAGTACGCACCGCCTCCCAAATCCGAAAACAATCGACTCGATGCGCAAGAGCTCTTGTGCTCGTTGACTACCATCGAGAAAGCGTTCCGGTCGGAATACGTTCGCGTCCTCACCCCCATATCCGCTGGTTGCGTAGCATGAACATGACATTCATGATCAAAAGCGTGCACTATAGTAACCTTTGAAGATGTCGTTGCAAGTATTCACATGAGGTACAGCTGCGGCTGGTCAGCAATGCAATAACTGAGCAAGCAATGCAATACCTGTGGGAAACGGCGGGGAGAGGCGAAGTGACTCTTTCCAAACGGCTCCGAGGCACTTCATTGCTACCGCTTGCTTGCTCGTGGGCAGTTGTCCAGGTGCGATATCGCCATCAATCTCCGCTTGTATGCGTTTCTGAATCTCTGGAAACAAGAGCATGTGGCAAAGCTCGCCAGGCCTGTGGAAATCTACCAATATTAGCAACGCCTGTAGCATCAGTACCACTCACTGTGTCCACACGACCTATCGACGGCATTACTAGATGTCTATGGGCGAGGAAGCAGCTTACCAAATACATCATCGCTGTTGCATTTTGCAGGGGCTCATGGTCAAACTCGGCCTGATGTAGATGCCTCGAGAGAATAGACAAATCGACATTCCTGCGTTCCTGTTAAGAGTTGGAGGCTGTTAATGTAACTAATAGGCGCACAATATCCGCCTTGACAAGGTCAAGCCCCTATTCCGCATCGCGGGGATGAGCTCGCGTCCTTTCTTTACAACGGAAGGATACTTCAAGCCGGGTAACCAAGAAGGAAGGAAACGAACTGTATGCAGATTAGACAGCGTCGACTGATAGACAGAGCGTTTACAATCCACACCTGACTGAAGCACCAAGCAACCAATTCTACACCCGTAACATTTATCTTTGTAAGTTCTTCTCCGTGTTCTTCGTCTATCTTAGACCCATAGGTCAACTTGATGATCATCGCCACCACTATTGCCTGGATCTTCTGGAATGGGTCGCCAGTAAACATGTTCAGTGATTCAACGAGACTTTTGTCTTCGGCCTCCACAGGGGGGTTGTATTGAACAATGGCTTGCGTACCCAGTGCCTTTCGAAAGATGCAGCGCTATTCGTTGAATGGCTCGCCAGGCTGCATCAAGAGCAGGCTCCAAGAGAACCCCATTCTGATATATCTATAAGTCGATTGATAACTCCCGAATAGTTTATGCGTATTGGTTGCGGACCATGTTGTTTTTTGGTCCAGATATTGGTGCGTCGATTGAGCAGTTCTTCGGCGTCACCTAGCGAGTGGATGGTTATTGCGGATATTGTTGCAATGGGAACGAATATGGTCTCGCCTGCAAGTGATAAGTTCTCTCCCACGCACTCAAGATTGCACATGACAGACCATATTCTTCCCTCCATTTGCTAAAGGCCTTAGACCACGAATATTGGGGAAATATGCGGCACTTCCCAGTAGAAAGTGCCGCGGTGGGCCCGGGAGATCGTACAACAAGCGAGCAGTCGCTTCCTTGTCATTCATTTTGTACTTTGCAATATAGAGAACGGATACGCTTGCTAGAGCAGCAAATGTAAGGACCCAAGGCGACTGAAGGAGATTATCTATGTTGGAGGAATGGACCAACGTCGGCGTAGGTTTCCGGTGCAAATACAGATCAGAGCTATATAGATCTGCCTACGAAGGCTTAATAGTTCTGGAAGGGCGATTTATGTCTGTATAAACCAGGAAAGGATACCACGCCCTCTGCGAATACGCATTGCATGGCTGAACCGAGTTCACTTCACAGCCACGGGTGAACGAATATACGATATGAGAAGGTATTATGACCATCAAATCCACAGTTATCATTCATATGTTGACAAGGCTGAATCCAGACTTCACCTCAACTCCAGCTACCAGTAAATCTAAAAGATTACGACAGGAAACAAGCCCGAAAGGGTCTAGAGTGAGCTCAAATTGCCTAATACCCGTCTCATGACGAGCCGACACGGCAGCCCTTTTAGCGTACCAAAGATTTCGAGACTAGAAGCCGAGAAGAAGTTTAGCCTCGTGAAACGAAGCGGCATTTCACGTCGAGTGGTCGCCTGAGAACCCGTTAGTTATGCCTTGGCATGGACGGAGCATGGAGCCGGCCTCACCTTGTTTGCGTTTTGGTAAATTCGATGCGCGTCGGAATATCCTCTCCTTCAAGCGGGACGATGTCATATGTTGCAAGTGCGCATGCCGCCAGTGTCAGACCAACTCGGTCCGCGAGATGTCTCCCAGGGCACAATCTGTGAACAAATACCGCATCAATTGAACGCCGAGCATCAGGAGTACGCGAGTAACACACCTTCTCCCAAAACCGAACGCGACAGACTCGATGCGGGAAAGTTCTTGCGCCCGTTGACTGCCGTCAAGAAAGCGTTCAGGTCGGAACACGTCTGCATCTTCTCCCTAGATGCGCGGATCACGCAGCATGAACATGACATTTGTAATCAAGAGCGTGCCCTTGGGAATGTAATATCCCTTGAACACGTCGTCGGATGTGTTCACGTGGGGTACAGCTATAGTTGTGAGCACTAATGAAAATTGAGCAGGCAAAAACGCACATGTAGGAAATGGTGGAGCAAGGCGAAGCGATTCTTTCCATGCTACTCCAAGATACTTCATCGCCACGGCTTGTTTGCTCGTCGGCAGCTCTCCAGAAGTGACTTCGCTGTCGACTTCCGCTTGAATCTGCTTCTGAACGTCTGGGAACATGAGCATGTGGCAAAAGAAACTCGACAAAGCCGTAGAAATCTGCATCATTAGCACAGAAGCCGAGCCATAGATAACACTCACAGTATCCACGCCACCTGCACCGTTATATCAGTAGTAGACAATAAATCATTGGTATCATACCCAGATACATCATCGCAGTCGCGTTTTGGAGTACATCTGGATCAAACTCGGACTCGTGTATATGTTTTGAGACGATGGACAAGTCGACGCTTCCGCGTTCCTATTCAGAGTCAGAAAGATATATCGAAAGGACATATACAAACAATTTCCGTTTTGACGAGATCGAAACCTCTATTTCGAATCGCGGACACGAGTTCGCGTCCCTTCTTCGCAAAAGCCGGATACTTTAGACCTGGGAACCAGGAGGGAAGTAGGCGACCTATGTAGAGATGAGATCAAATAAGCAACAGCTCAGAGGACTCGACTGATGGGAAGAATATTGACGATCCACACCTGGCTGAAGCACCAGGTGATAAACTCTAGAGCCTCCATATTGACATCTGCGAGTTCTTTCCCGTGCTCCTCGTATATCTTCGATCCATAAGTCATCTTGATGGTTAGCGGCGCATCTATCGCCTGAATTGTTTGGGATGGGTTGCCAACTGAGTCCCTCAATGACTCAACGAGATTTCTGGCTTCAACTGAGACGAGCGGGTCGTATTGGATGATAGCCTGTGCCCCAAGCACTTTTCGAAAGATGGAGCGCTGTTCGTTGAATGACTTGCCCGGCGAGGTCAAGAGCAAGCTCCAGGATAGACCCATGCTACGAGATATGAGGTGCTAATAAGCCGAAAATAACTTTGGACGTACTGGTCGGCAACCATCCTATTGTTGGGTCGGCCGCTCCAGACATTTGCGCGCTTATTGAGGAGTTCCTCTGCATCGGATAGCGAGTGGATGATTACTGTTCGCATCGTTGCAATAGGTACAAAGATCACATCGCCTATTCTAAGCTGTGAGTCCCTTTGAAGGCAACAAAGTTGTTGAAACCTGACCATATTCTTCTCTCCACTTGCTGAATACTTCGTACCACGAATCTTTGGGGAAATGCGCGGCACTTCCCAGCAGAAACTGGCGTGGTGGGCCTGGAAGCTCGTATAGCGAGCGGGTTCCGGCTTTCTTAGCATCCCCGCTAGCCGTTGCAATATAAAGAGTTGCCAAAGTTGCTACAGTAGCAGATGTAACAAGCCAAGGTGATTCAAGAAGATGATCCATGTTGGAACCCCGACCGGGCGGAAGGGATTCCAGATAGTCGTCAGAACGAGAGTTTCGAGTGTTCTTATACGATTGGACTGCATTTGCAGGTCGTCATTCAACCGAAATGAGTCCGCAACGTGGTGCAAGGGATTCGGCAGCCTCCAACCGTCTGAGCCGCACTCCTTGATCTTGACTCTATTCCTCAAGAATTGTACCGATCAGACGGGCGCTCCGTATTGTCTTAATTTTTATTATTCTGATATTATAGTTGGCAATGGAACGCTCTTATTTCACATTTGGCATAAAGTCGCCTGACGCAAGCCTAAGGACGGCCATCAGAGCCATCTCGAATCGATACTTTACAAACCATTGTACTCATATGACGTTTGCTGCGCAGTCGACGATGTCCGCAACGACGGATGACCATCTCCGTCGATCCGGACTTTGACTCTATATAGCAGCAACGGCCTAGTTAGGGGTCTTTACCAGCACTCACAAAATGTCGCAACGATATCTTACAGAGAAGCGGGTCGAAACGGCTGATTTGTCTCAGTCAGTCGATACATCTGAGCAGGCTGGAGAACGTGAGCCACGCAAGCAGTCAGCATGGCAGCGATGGAAGCCACGCTTACGCTTATCACTCGCTCTACTACTCCCTGTCATGCTTGAGACGCTTGATTATACCGGTACGACTCAGTCCTGTTACTCCCATACAGCCACACTAAATTTTGGCCAGTCGTCGCCACAGCACAGCCAAATATTGCTTCAGTATTTGGGAGACTAGATCTTCAATCATATATTGGTACATCCTATGTCCTCGGTTCCACCATCTTCTTGCCGGTCGCTGCGTCCTTTGCAGACGTGTTTGGGCGTTATGGTGCAATGCAAGCTTCGGTATTCATATTTATTGTCGGATCTGCCCTCAGCACTGGCGCTATCAACATGCCTATGCTTCTCCTTGGACGTGGGATTTCTGGAGTTGGTGCCGCTGGACTTTTAGGGGTATGTCAGTTCCTCTTTTTCAGGCCACATTGCTGAGTTTGACTAGATTGTGCGCATTCTACTGTCAGATTCAGAGTCACTCGACGATAATAATGCCCAAAATGCTCTTATGGTCGTCATTTACTCGCTAGGTGTGCAATTCAGGTGATTTAGATTGATCCTGCAAACTGGCTGACTGTTATAAAGGGTTCTCAATAGGCCCTACGCTAGGCGGAGTCTTACTGAAGGTGAACTGGAGATGGATTTTTGGCATCAAGTATGTCTCCATCTGTGAACACCCAGGTAGTTGCTGATTTTGTCAAGTCTACCAATTGGAGTGGCATCAATGATTATTATGCATCTCTTACTTTACAAACGCTGCAAAGGGCCGCAACCACCTCAACGATTTCAGTATCTCCCCCCAGACATTGTTCGCATGCTCCAAGCGAGGACTCATGGGGGATTTATTGGAGGGCTTCAGCGAATGGATCTCATCGGTGCTGGTCTCTTCATCATCCTTGGCATTCCCATCCTCCTTGCACTCAACTGGGGCAGCACGGAGGAATGGAATCAACCAAAGGTCATTGCTTGTATTGTCATTGGTGTCGTGTTCCTTGCACTCTTTATCTTGTGGGAGTATGCTGTGGACCATTCAACAGATCATCTCGCCATTTCATCCCCTGGTGACTCCACATCACCGTCCACCAACGATCAAGAGAATCAAATGTCTCAGATCCCAGAGAAGAAAATAGGTATTCGTGCACGATTTGCACGCGTCACGCCGGCATTTACGCGTGTAACTGATGCTATGCTCCCTATCAACATGTTCCGCTCCTTCGACGTTGTGGCCACCGACTTTGCGGTCATGACAAGCGGCATGGTGATGTTGGGCATCTTTTACTTTGTTGCAATCTTCTACATTATTGTTGATGGCAAAGGCCCTGTCAGCTCGGCCATTCAGCTCGTGTTCTTTGCACCGGGCAATGGTAGGTATAATCTCCTCTCAGCCAATGAAACTTTACTTAGCGGAACTATTTCGATGCTATAGGGTATTGGAACTGTTATATCACTCATTCTCATTCGGTTTGTCCGCCAACCAAAGCCGATCGCCATCCTGGGTGGTATTGTATTACCTGTTGCGATTGGACTCCTCGCTCAGGCAATGTATATCAGCAATCAGGCGCAAATTCGAGGATTTATGATAATGGCGGGTACTGGTATTGGAATCTCATTCGGACCACTGAGTATGTGCATACTTGCTTTTGCTGATTGGATACTCAAGTGACTGTAGCATATCAAGTGCGTTTTACACAACCGGAGGATCGTGTTGCAATTGTAGTCGCTTCCAACCTCTTCTTCCGCACCCTCGGTGGCACTATCGGTCTTGCACAACTCTCAGCAGTAATGTACTCACGCGTCCGAACCTACATCACCTCTCAGGTCAATCATGGCTCCATAACGATCACCCAGGCAGGACTGATTGCAGAGGCGTTGAACAGGTTGGACTCTTCTGGTGGAGAGAGCTCGAGTAATGGAGGGATTTATTCTCTTCCAGATCAACTCAAGACAATTGCCATCGATGCATTTCGCGATGGAATTCGTGCTGCCTTCTGGAGTTTGCTGCCGTGGCTAGCTGTCGCACTTGTCCTGTGCTGTTTTCTCTCGCACGTTCCAGAGGAGCGTCTTCGACGTCACCCTGCAGAAACCAAACCCACCACGTCTCATTCCGAAACTTAGTCCATTCTGCAAGACGTGCGGAGCAATACTGTTGATTTCAATATATTCTTCTTACCATACTACATACCAACATTTAGGTGGAGTTATACTCCAAGTTATATCCGAATCTCGAATAGTATACTGGCCGTATTTATCGTCTTGCTGGTGGGCCCTGATATGTCTTCTCCATGAAGTTTCCACAATAAAGGTGACATTGCGGTGCTTTACCAATGATACAAGAGCAATACGATAACCCTCCTTAAAACCATAAGACTTGATAAATTGAAGCCGTTCCGCGACGACCCATGGCCTCGATCCACTTCCTTTGCACATCCTCGCCACTTACTTCGCAGCGTATGAACCCTAAAGTAAGATAATATCGTTTCTCCTTGTACCGTGCACGGCCGATCGTGGGTGACTACGGTCCGAGTTTAATTTGGTCGCCTGCAGATTGTCATCAGAGTCGTCGAGCAGCTTGCGCACATAATAGTATCGCCGGCGAACGATTCCAAGCTGCATTGAGGATTATATGCGCTCGTTTGCAGAACCTCGATTTTGACCGCGTTTGCTTCGAGCCGCTTCTCCTCGCTCAGAGGCTTATGATAACCCATAATCAATGCTTGAGTAGACAATGGACACTAATATGGCAAGTAAGAGTCTGAGTGCACTGTGAGGCGCGCGAAGACAATGGAGTAGCCTGTCGGGTTCATCCTTTCGCCTCCAGGAGAGCCTATTCTTCTGTTGGGACACAAAAGAGTCTGTCTCAAGCGGTATCTCACAAAAGGATAACCGCAATTGAAAGCAAGACTTGCCCCAAATTATATGAAATCCTAAAACTACGAAGCCGAGCGACATTTTCGGGTTTCAATGCATACTTAGGCTTTCGGAGAGAATTCTCGATCAGAAACACTTCAGTGGAGAGGCAAGCCAGCACGGCGTTATGGACATTTGGCCCTTTATGTACAAGGATTCCCCAACCGTTACGGCCTACCTGATAATATGAAGGATCTTAGGTGCAAGCGCAATGGGACGGGGCATCTTGCTGGCGTTTGAGAGTCGTGGCACCTTGCAAGGCAGTCTCCTCTGCCCCCCGCCTCCTAGCTGGCCTGTATTCATGTCATGAAACCTACTCGCAAAGAGCTGGTTCATAGGATATGTAAACTGTCAAAAAGCAATGATTTGACAGTCAAGGGCACGATTCCGATTTCGTGTCGGTACTTTAGGCTTCTGAACTTTAGTGATGTGTCATGCAACGCAACTGCAATTATGTGGCTTACAGGGCAGGCATACCGGACACGCCGTTGGTCCCGTATTGAATAAGCGGGGTTGGGCACGAAGGTGCCTTGTTTAGTGGAGACGACAGCTCATTTCGGACACCTTTTTCATCGCTTCATTTGTGATTTACCACCAATGGTTAGATAGCGCTATGGATCCATAGTACGAATTTGGTAGTAGTTAAACAACAAGAGGCTGTAAACAGATAGAGGCAGTAGAGTACCGATCATCAATCATGTGTCGTCTTAAAGAGCGTGAGGGCATAGTGAGCGGCGTGCTGGTTTACGGGTGTAAACCAAAGGCAAATGTTCTGCATGTCGTCGGTGTGCATGTGTGCACGGGGTGTGTGTGTGGTAATTTTCGAGTACCAAATGTACTCGCAAGGCAACTGGGAACGGGATAGAGGGGGAGAGCAGGGTAAGTGTACAGAGTTTGTCTTGTACAAACACCATCCTTTTGTCGTATGGAAGGACGTTGTTATTAAATGAGTCGTTTTGTGTCCATATTATTGCGAGATACGGTTCGCTGTCCGAGAAGCCTCGCTGTGAACCCGGTCGGATTTATTGAGTAGGTGAGAGAAGATGTGGGAAGAGGTCGGTATTGTAATGGAGCACGTTTGACGCTCCTGAGTACCCTAAACCCCGGCGCCGGTGAGGAAGGCGAAAAACTTACGCGCTCATGGGGGAAACGCGCATTGGTGGAAATCCGCCACCGATATATCCATCTTCGACGTATGCATCGTGAATGAATGGCGACATTCTATCTACTGGACTCATGGGAGCCGCTGCCTCTGAAAGGGGTGACCTGAGAACCGAGGCTGGTGACTTGAGTAGGACCGAAACGGGCGAGGACGTGAGTGCCGGTGGAGAAGAAGACGAGAAGATGGTATCTGTCGGAGGGTGCGAAAGTAGGCTGAGTTCGCTCGTGGGGATACTGGCGGGAGTGTATCCTGGACCAGGAGGTGAACCTTTTTTATGTCCGTATAAGTAGTTTCCGGTAAAGGGCTTGGACTCCCTTTTGGACAAGGAGGACAAGCCATCGTTTTCGCAGTGGGTATATTCATATGCTGTCGAGGGGATCAGCGGCGGAAGGGGTGGATGGTCCATTGCAGCCGCTCGCGAGAGAAGTCCCAATCCGCCGGTGACACCCGTAGCATTGGTGCTTGCGCTCGACGTCCTTCTGTGTCGGTGGTGATGCTCTCGGACGTGAGAGGTTGGAACGGGGACTAGTGGAGGATGCACGACGTTGTAGTTGCCGGCGGGGAGTAGAGGGTAACGCGTTCGCGGCGGCGCGTCGACTGTGGACAATGCTGGAGACCTTTGTTCGTCTGCTTCTTCGGGGAAACGCATGACTTGAATCTGTGGACGTGCAATGGGATCCATACGAGTGGCACCTGTTGCTCGTCGTCGACGAATAGGACCAACTCCAGAATCGTGCTCTATCGTGGCCAAGGGCGTCGTCATGGATGATGGGGGTTCCACAGAAGGCTCGTCGTCCTCGCCATCCGTAGTGGTGCTCGCCTGGTACTTTGAGGGCGGAGTGAGAACGATTTCACCATCCTTGACGAGTTTCCAAAGATCTTCAAACGGCGGGTATCTGTCTGGCTGCCAAGGTCCCTCGTTGGTATGGTGGGTCAGCCAATGGCGCTTCATCGTGTCCGCACGGCCTTGGTAACTAGAGCGCAGTAATGTTAGCGAGTTTTGCTGGTTGAGAATGGTTTACACATTGTGAAGGGGGGCTCACCGGACAGGACAAGGGAGGCCGTTTGCCAAATGGCCGCGACAAGCTGGCAAGAGTCGTTGTGGTAAATGGCCCCACTTGTGTCGACACATTGATGAGAGATGGTTGGCGACTGCAAAGCAACCTGGGATGGAGCACGGGAAGCGGCCGTGGTTTTTGCTTTTTGGCATGGTCACTCTACTACAACAAAAGAACCGTCTGAGAAATGGGAAGATTTTGGGCTGTCTAGTAGCTCACGTACCCGCCCTGGAGGGATGTGCTCATAGATAGACGAGAAACGAGCGTGGAGGAGAGAGAACAAGGGAACCGGGGGAGTCGTACGTGAGTCTGGGTATTGTCGTACGTGGTCGAGTTCAAGTAGGCAGATGAGACGGGCTAGGCGGCGGTTGGGCGACTGTTGGGATCCGATGAGTGGCGGCGCTGTTCAAAGAGCGCACTGGTCAGTTTGGGACCGCTGAGCTCTTGCTCCGATCGATATTTGGGCATTTGAGCATAGCGGTGCTTCCGGCCTCTGAAGTGGGCGCTACGGAGGGGAGCGTGCAATTGGGGGTCTGGCTACTACCTTGGAATGGCTTTTCAGCTTATGGCTATGATTGTGGTTAGCACATGGCTTGACCACGGATGGCGATCGGGTCCCTCTATTGCTTGCACTGGCCGCGCCTCCGCAGCGCTTCCCTTCAGAGGCCGCCAATCCGGTCGGCTGCTTGTTACCCCCGAGTGGCATTGTTTGGCTCTGCTTGGCCCATCGGCTTTGAAGCGGCTCTTCGGCCGGCCAACCCAGCCTCATTAGGGGTCTTGAACAAACTCCTCCAAATACCCTACACAAGATCAATAACATTATTATAAACAGCTCACACGAATTTTTAGAATAGCCATCTATTTTTGGACGCGTGTTTATTTAGCCGCCTGAATTTGTCACTCCTAAAAATAACACGCTTCGATTCGACCTCGAGTTTGACGGCTGACCAGAGTTGTTCATCTTGGACCTCTCCACGATGGGTCGTAGAAAGATTGAAATTCAGCCCATCACAGTGAGTCCCCGTCCGCGCTAGGCAAGGATTTGGCTCTGATCATTGGCAGCACGAGCGGAATCGCAGTGTTACATTCCTCAAGGTAATGTCCTGCAACTCATCACACACATTTCTCACTCTTTTCCAGCGCAAGAATGGTCTCTTCAAAAAGGCATACGAACTCGGCGTGCTCTGCTCCGTCGACGTCGCTATCATCATCTTCAGTCAGTCACTCCTCTTTCACTTTTTCTCAATTTCTCACGTTTCATAGATCCAGCTGGAACCAGCAACAAGCTATTCGAATTCACGTCGACCGATCTTGACGGCCTAATCCGTCGGAGAGCCGATGTACGTCTCTGGCTCGCTAAGAGATTTCTTCCTCACGATTCTTCATAGTTTACAGGCGAGCGGGATACCAAGACGAGCTACGACTTTAACGCTCCCGGTGGAGCGCGTAAAGCAAACGGTGCCGGCGGCATGCCGTTTGCCTCCAACGATGGTCGTGGTGGTGGAGATTCAGACGACGACGACGATGAAGGAGACGAGGACGATGGCGACTCTTTCATTCCCGGACAGCTCGGCACTAGCGCCAAGATGCTTGCGCCAACAGGAGGGAATAAGAGAACCTCTAGCCGCGCTGCAGCCGTCGCAGCCACAGCCTCTCTCAAGTCGCGTCATCATTCAAATGGCAGACGGTCAGACGTCGACGACTTTGACGACGGTACAACAACCGCGGGCCCACAAAATGTTGCCCAGACGCCCACTTCCGACGACGAGCTGCATCCAAATTCACGCAATCGACCGAATGGACGTCGCAGTGTGAACGCACCAATGGATGGTCAAAGGAATGACCGTGACACGCCTACGGACATATGGAAGAGCGACTCTTGGAACCGCGGGTCCCAAGGTCAACCGACCATGTCTGCGCAAGAACTCTTCCTTGCCGCCGCTGCTGCCGCTGCCGCTGCCAACAGTAACAACTCGAATTCCAACGCCAGCGGCTCTGGTGGAGCGGGCAGCGGACTACCCTTCCCTCTTAGCCAGCTCACACCCCAGCAACTCGCAGCATTAACACCTCAGCAGCTCTCTGCTCTTGCATCATCTGCTGTAAACCAACAACAACAGCAACAGCAGCAATCAGGAGGGTATGGCAATAGTTTCGGCAATGGATACTCCTCGCGAGATCACGACTCTCGTACAAACTCGAGCTCAAACTCATATGGTGGGGCATTGAACCATCTCAATCTCAACCTTGGTGCAAGCGCAAGTGTTGGTTCATTTTCAGCGTCCAACTCGTACACCAGTTCGTTATCACCATCTCTCCCTCCGCTTCACCAATCACATCAGCAACACCAACACTCTTCGTTACCGTCTGGTCGACTCGGCACGTTGAACCTCAACCTGTCTGGCTTGAACACCCTCGCCGGTCTCGGTAGCCTCGGTAATCTTGGGGGATCAAATCCTCTTAGCGGACTGCAACTCGGGGGACTCAACTTGAACTTGAATGCAGCACTCGGAGGACTAGGTCTGCTCGGAGGTGCATCGGGTGCTCCGAACAATTCGATGCGAGACTTTGGGCCCAATAGTTCCAGTGCCCTTCGAGACCTCGGCACGTTACGCGACCTTGGATCCTTTTCGTCGAACAGTGGCGGTGGAGCAAATGGCATGATCGGTACGCCCATTCGAAAGATGAACAGTTCGACTGTCCGGTCTCAGAATGATCCATCCACTTCCAATGTAGGCGGAGGAGACGAAGGGTCCTGGTTGGATTTCCTCAGTCTGCCGACGAATACCAACGCCGTGCACAGCAGTCGCATGGCGGACACTGTTCATTCGAGTAGCGGAAACCTCGAGCGTGAGAGCTCCTTGCGCTCGAATGGACTCGGTATCACAGTCGACGATGAAGAGCGTCGAAGTGCCGGTGCATCCCAGCTCGACTTTTTGTTCGGTGCTGGTGAGATGGCTAGTGGGACTGGGCCTGGACGACAACATTTCTCGAGCTCGGCCTCGAATCATACTTCTATCTCAAAAGACGTTTCGTACGCGTCGGGCGTCGCAAGTGGTGGCGGCTATGGTATGTCCATGGCGGACGACGACGACGAACGAGACCGAGAACGGGAACGAGACCGCGAGCGAGAGCGGGATCGTGAGCGAGGTGGATTAAAGCCGCAGAGTGCGCGGGATGGGATGGAGGTGGAAAGGCATTCTACGGGTATGTCCGCAACGCCCCCTCCGCGCAGTACGAGCGCTAGCAATGCCAGTGCGGTTGGTGAAGAAGGTGACGAGGAACATGTCCGCAAGCGGCAACGACGCGAGTAAAGCCAATGATACCATGCTTCATGTGCTCTGTTCTCTCTCTATTCACATGCTTTGGATTCATGGTTAGGAATTCTCAGCCTATTCTATTATATTTGTATCAACAAGGACATTTGGCGACGGATATTTCTGGCCATTTCAGTGAGAATATCTGGTTTCGCGTGCAATCGTGCTTGGATTGAATCAAACCGCGGCACTCTCTGCTGATTGAACATACCTTTGTATACAATAGTTAGGCCTAATAGAAGGCACCGTGTATCACTAGGAGGAGCTCTGCGCTTGGACTTCACCTTGATAGCCTTCGATTCCGAAAGGATGCCTCGACCTATCGAACTTGCCAAAAGTGTGTCTCAGATCATCAAACAGGCCGAAGATATCGGAGGGCGCGTGCAGAAAGTCACAAAATCAGAGAACACACCCAACGGGCTCGCTTGCCTTTCTACCGAGCTATTTCTGATCGAAACTGCACTCAAAAAGCTTCCGAAATGCGCTTGGAAACCGGAAAAGGTCTCACAGCTCCAAGATCCCAAGATTACCAGAGATCTGGATGAGGTACTACTTGTGGTTACTGTCATTCTCCATGAGATACCAGTGGAGCTCGACTCTATTATGTCCCAAAAGGCGAAGAAATTCTCATGGAAGCGAAAAGATGACTCTACTCGACTCATTGTTCGTCTTCGGGCGCTGCATAGTGCGCTCCGACTCCTCCTGACAGTTGTATCCATGTGAGCGTGCAGTGACTCCTTGTCAGCTTTTAACGCGTTCATTCTAGGTCTCCAGGTGACGAGACGGAGCAGAGATTGGAAGCGCACGCTACTGCCATGGAAGCCATTCGCTACGACCGGATCGAATATCTGAAGCGGCTCGGAATAAAAGATCAATCATACCCGTACACGAGCAATTTGCTGGATGATCCAGATGGAGACTTCGTAGCAACGAAGCCCAGCAAGCGTGAGTTGGACTTTGCCCATGGAATGAATCTAACGTTGCAAAGGGAAAGGGAGACCTCCGCGTCTGACTGCCGAACTTGTACAGTATAGGATCGATCGAAAGGATGTGCAAAAGATTTACGATGAAAGTGGATTGAAGCCATGGATCGTGACGGAGTTGCTCCAACGCATCAAGTCGTATGGGTCTGAAGAAGATTACCGCATTGCTCTGGCTACCCTCATCCAAACGAATCACGGCGTTACTTATACTGCAGAAAGTTTGGCCGCGCTGCACGACATCGACCCACGACTCTATTCGAGAATACTCAAATGTGTGCAAGCTTGGGGCTATGATTTGTATTGGAGCCGGCAACGTCTGACAAAACTGACGGCCAGCTTGCTAGTGTCGCCCACTTGCGGTGACTGGATGCCGCGTACGACATCACCGGATATCGCTCACATTCATAGAGAGAGCTTGGTTTTCATTTTAGCAGCACTCGAGGCGAATAATTACTCCTTTGACTCCGTGAAAGCAGATATTTGGAGAATTATTCGAGTACATGTAGAGCTCGAGATTCTCCCATTGAGAGAACATTCCGCAGACGTCTTTTGCTCATTCGTTCTCATGCGATTTTGGGAACGAAACTCCTATAACACCCGCGGCACGATTTCAACGTTGAAAGGTATTTCAACCAAAGTTTTGCAGATCGTTGATCTGAACACATACAATTTTTCCTTGCGAGTTTCGGCCCTGGCGATGATTTGCCACTTACTTCATCGGTTCTCTTATCAATTGGATCTGATGTCTCTATCACCAGGGTGTATTGGAGCTGCCATTTATGGTTGGGGTGTTCGGGGAACTCCTCACTCTGATTCTATGTTTGATGCCCTTACCATACTAGTACATGCGAGACACTCGCTAGATATCGAAAGTCTCGTCGCAGCCCTTGCTCATCTAACAGAGAAGTTTATATCAACACAGGGATATCTCTTCCGCCTGGCCCACCATCACCAGTATGACATTAGACGATTGGTGGAGTTAGAGAAGATCATCGAGGACGCTTACCCACCCGAGGACGTGAAAACTGGAGTTTGTTGGAACGTGTTCGAGAAGAATGGATATGATCTGCACCTTACATTGCAAGATGCAGCGGCTCGGACCTTGGGCCACAATGAAGGCTGCCACTTCGGATTAGGCCAGAGTTCTCTAGCTCATTCGTATACATACACTATCCAGGATGGAGATATAACTTGGAATGTCGAGACTTCCTCTGGGATGCTTCATCATTGTACTAGTGATAGCTATATGTGACTGGTCTATTCCCATCAGTAAAGGATTCTATCAGCTATTCCTTGTGTTTACCAGCAATGGCCAATTGCTTACATAGCTCGACACGTTGACGTGAACCTTGTACCCCGCACTCACGAACGCGTGCCCCGAAATTTATCGCAGCGCGTGTTATTCGATGCCTAAAGCACCCCAATCGTATTAAGAGAAAATTGAAGCCCATCGATCTCTGGAGGGCCTTACGCCTGACGATATCAGCCTCCCGCTGTCGCGTCCACAAGCACCAGCACAGCGGAACTGGCGTCAAACTCGAGAATGGGTGTTAGTGGATTGACAACGTACCTGCGTACCCACCGTCTAGCCGTCGCAAAGACGGTCGAGTTGAATAAGGATGGTGAGGCGACACAGGATACAGACGACCTTTCAATACTGCCCAATGTAGAGATTGTCGTTGATGGGTGGGGGTGAGATATCTTTTATCTTTCAGATCCTTGGCGCGGGTACGTTCTGACGGCGAGCCAGTTTCATATATATGCTCTATCAAACGTCCAAGATCCCGTGGGTATATGGAGGAGAGTATGACCGCTTTGCGGACGCCATCAAGCGCACCGTCGACTCGTGGATGAGCGTCGGCGTCAATCTTTCATTTGTCTTCGATGGTGTGCCAACAGTAGAGCTCAAACTGCAGCAAGGTTGACATTTTAATAGGACCACAAGAAGAATCCAAGTTCCAGACACGCATTTCCCGGCTGATGAGCTCAAATGTGCATCATTCTACACTCTTCTTCCGCACCTCACAGTTGACGCGGGTCGCTCCACGGTTCCTGAACGAGACGCAGATAATACCACCACTGTTGTACACAACGTGTGTTGAGACGCTACTCGACCTCTCCTCGTGCTTCACAACCAAGCCAACTGGCATCTCCTTCCCATCAACCCGCCCAAAAACGACACTGAAAGTCTACTTCGCGGACCGCGAGGCGGATCCATTCATGGCCGAATTGGCCGCACGAATCGGTGCCTATGTGGCGGCATTGGACTCGGACTTCGTCATTCTCAACGCGGCGGGCTACCGTGGCTATATCCCGCTCGACGAGCTCGAATGGACCACTGTCCTTCCTCCTTCGGATACAGCGCGGTCAAGGACAGTTTCCAGTATTTCGGTCAACTCGTCCATTGCGTCCTTGTTATCGCCCACGGAGATCAGCGCAGACTCAAAATTCTGGGAGGATCTGGCAGACGTGAGCGGGGGAGGAGGAGACTCAGAAGAAGGATTCAAACCGGTGCAGAAGAAGAAACGTGCCCGTACAGTAAGCGCAAAATCCAGGCTCAATCCTGTGGGCAGCGCACCTACAACCCGAGGCGTCATTCCACCCGATGAATTCACTTCTCTTGTGTTTCCTGTTTACACACCAGAGAGCACTGCTGCATCATTGGGCATTCCACCACCCTTGCTACCCTTATTGGCTGCATTCGTTGGTAACGATTTTACGCGCAAGGAGAATTCCTCACCAATATCTACTTCAATGCCACATTACTCCCTTCAAGACTTCCTATACGAGCACAAACTACCGGCAGTAAAGCGGATTATCTATACCGCCAATACGCTCGCAGCGGTGCTGCAGGGATTATCCAAGCCGAACGGCAGAAAGAGAAAGGGGGGAGGGATTGGAGTGGTGGACGTGATCAGGACGACGACAAAGCGAATGCTCCTGCGGCCAGGACACACTACCGATCCGGAAATAGATATGATCGTTAATCGCATTGTAGAAGGTGCCCTCTTCTACGCCATCCCACTCTCCTCGACTGCACATCCTCAAGCACTTTGGCCCACATCGTTCTGTCCGTTACATGCCAATATTGACCAATGTCGACTTGAAGCTTTGGTACCAGTGGAGGAAAACGACACCTCACCACGACACTCTCCGAGTGCACAGAAGCACTCTATACCTAGCCAGTCGAATCCCCTGATAATGGTCCAGAATCAGTATATCCAGGCATACCGCGCGGGTATACTCGACCCAAAAATCTTGGATGTCCTCATCAGTGGAACAATGTGGCCGCGCATATTCCTGGAAAGTCCCGATATGGCATCCTGTGCGAGTTCCAATGAGGCAGCTGGACCGCTCAGGAGATGGTTATACGCCATCCTGGACCAGGGCATTGGAGTATATGTTCCTTTGCCTGAACCAGAGGACGAGGTGGATGAGGCGATTCAAAAGATGGTCGCCGAGGGACAGCAGCCTCGTATCGCCCCAACGAAGACAACAGAGGACGAGGAGAGTTGGGATGAAGAAGACGAGGACGAGATTATCGATGTGATGGATGCTGACTCGGAGGAGGAGGATCCGCTGGTCGCGCTCAAAGGTGCTCTACAGCGTCTTAAAGGGGCCAAAGAGGAGTCTCATTTACCAACTATACCCGGCCAGGAAGCAATTGCTGAGGAAGATGAATCAGAAACCGAAGATGAAGAGGAAAATCTACCGGATTGCCATGTCACCGAGTACGTTCGACGGGGAGCGAGGATTGCAGAGGAAAAAGTTCTCGTCGAGGATCTCAACGCCTTGATCGAAGAGGCGTATCACCAAGAGGAATCCGGGTTTGGACAGTCGACCAACGCTCACATACGAACGTCACCGAGTCACCCTATACAACTCCAGGAAGAATCCAGCCGCCTTGGCATACTCCTCCTTGCGACAGGATCCAACCACCCTAAAGTTCTTGCACTACCAAAGGAATGGATCGCCCCAGTCGTTGCCACGCGATGGTTGATTCGACACGCAGGGTCAAGGGAAGTGGAAAGAGGGACCTTTCCTGGCCCTATGCATCGGAAATGGGCAAAGGCGGAGATTTTAGCTCTAATGGTTGCATTTGGCGTCGGGACCCCCTGGGAATCTGCCGTCGGAGGGCAAGTGGACGACTTGCTTAGCGAAGAGCCAATCGATCTATCAGAGCGTACGATACAACTCCTCGCAAGAGCACTCAGTGTCATCGAGGCGGTCCAAATGATTGTCCAATCACTCGGATTGACCACCCGCGTTCCCCTGAGCCTCTCTAGGTTCCGCGGGAGAGTGTTCCACCGACTCTGTGCTCGCTCCTTGAATCCACTGCCGCGGCAACAAGCGTCGGCGGAGACTACTCTCGCGCCGGAGGCGTTGTTGGATGACGGTGTGTGGGATGCCGTCTCCGAAGGCCTGGAGATGCACATTGGTGACGATCTAACGAAGAAGAAGAAACCCAAGGAGAAGGATACCCATGCGAATAGCCAGCCCAAGATGAACGCGAGAGGGAGATTGCCTGCTGGTACGAGTGTGTTCAGTCTGTTGGCTGGGATGGATGCGTGATGCGCTATTTTGCTGGGTGTCGTCTATATTTGTGTGTTTAGCTTGTACTATCTCCCTGTGAATGATCGTGAACCTACGAATGGTGTCATTGCATTCTGGTCCTGGCGATGATAAGTGGCCGCAACTACCCTTCACCGAGGGGATTGTGGACAGCTCCTTTAATTTAAGTGTTAGAAACGATTCCTAGATGTGCGAGTCAAGGAGATTAGCCGACGTAATCGGCCAGAAACAGTCACTGGGGACGACAAGACGACTTTATACATCACAAGATGGTATAATTACGCCTTTCTAATACAATCTAACCCCATTTCCGTTCCAGGAAAGAGGCAGAATGATACTGACAGTACATTGGCGACGAATTTAGGCACTACAATGTCAAGAGAATGGTTTACATGGCTTTATACCTCGTAACAAATGGTACAAGAGGCTACTCATGTCATGATATGCCAGATCCTTGGTCTGAGCAATCAGCGGCAGACAATCCAAACGGTGTTTTTATAACCTCGAGGTTTAAATGCGTCTATGGCAGCCTCAAAGCACCCTGCCGAGCGGACTCAGGCGGATATTCTTTTGTCAACTTAGCTTCTCCCAGGCTTCGCGTGCATTCGTGCTTCAAACGTGCCGCTTTGAACCCCCGTGTCCTACCGAGGTTATTCATAATGAACCAATCACGACGAGGCGGTGACCTCTTACAGCTTCCTCACGACGGGATCCCTCTTCCATGCAAGGCCCCTATTCGTCATTTCATCGATGCGAATCCCCAATTCATGTTCTCTGAGCACATTACTTGCCACTCCTCGTCCCCAGACAGGCCGCTAGAATGTCCATCTGCTCAGGCACCGTCGTGTGGCCCCAGTAATTCCCCCGCGAAGCCCAAGTGATGCAAGCCTTACTCGCGCTTCCAAGACAAAGCGACCGGTCTTCATAAAGCCCAGCGCCCGCAGTGGTGCATGTGCTTCCGTTGCTTCCTCCCCCCCTCCCAAGCTACATCTCCTCTTCTCGCCTCGACAAACTTAAAAACTCAAGCCCAACTCAGCTAGTGGAAACAAAGAAGACGCAGGAGAATGCGCATCAACTACACCCTAGGACTCGTGGCACTCGCAACCATTGTCGGTGTCGGCGCCTCGCCCGTGCCTGTACGTCAACTCTCTTTTGCGACTCCACACATCTTCTCACTGTCCTCGACGATATGAGTGCTGACTCGATATGATAGAACGCACCCAACGCTGGCATCAAAGCACCTCTTCCTGGTGTTGGCAAACGTGCCCTCCCAGGCGTAGCCAAAATAAACGCTGCTGCTCTCCCGGGTGTTGCCAAACGTGCACCCGCACCCGTACCCGCACCCGCACCCGCTCGCGGTCTCCCAGGTGTAGCTAAAGTAAATGCAGCTGGCCTTCCGGGTGTCGCCAAACGTGCCGACGAGGACGCAATCCGACCAGCTAAAGCACGAGCAGAACTCGCAATTGATGCAATCCCACCCCTCGCTAAACGTGCCGTAAATGCAAAGGCTGCAGGGCTCCCTGCCGCTGGAAAGTGAGCTGCGCTTCGTGAGCGCCATTGCCTCGGACAAGCGCGCGCGCAGATGGAAACCACCCTTCCACGGTCGTCGATAACTTTATCTGAGTACGTCATTCTTTATCTAAAGCGTACATTTAGCTCATAAACTAGTAACAGTTTGATTTCTCTCTTCGCAGCGGTGCTGTTCAACTCTCCTTTGCGTACTCGATATCCTAGCAACGCCTAATGGCTCACTCTTTTAACCTATGCAATCTCATTCAGCTTACAGTTTCATTCTGTGCGTTGTAAAGCGGCGTTTATTGACATTCCAGCACAAGGCGACGATCCCTTTGTGCGGATAAATACCTCAGCGCATGTGTGTGACAACAATTCATACAGCAAGAAATACAGGAAGAGTGATGATTAGAGGGGTGGGAATACGTGTATGAGCCCAACGTCGACAGTGCTCGACACCCTTCTAGGCAGGGGTTGAGGAGCAGGGGGATGATCCATGGGACTAGGGAAGGTCAACACGTTTCATGAACGAGGGCGTGTACGACCCGGAAATGGCCGTATTCCTGGAGGTTGCTGTCCCATGATCACTTGCAGGAAGAGGCGGCCGAGAGCAGGGCGAGAATTCTAGCTTGCAGTCTCGACATGGCCATTCGTCTCGATGATGCGTTTGCGCTTTTTGCTTGGTTCTAGAATAGCATCATCATAGGCGCTCTGGGTTGTGTGGAGTAAAAGTGGTCGGTGTGCATCACCATCGACGCCATTTGGGCTGGTGGTCGCTGGCGCCGAAGTTGCTCCAGCAAGATTTGACGAGGTCGTGGACTGATTAGATATCGATTCAACGTCGATACCCGCATTCTCGAGCGCAGACCGGAGCATGCTATTTTCATGTCGGAGCTGGTCGACGAGGGCCCGACATTCTTCCCACCGCTTGTTTGTTGCTTCTGCATGTGCCAATGTCTCTTGTAAAAGTGCTGCCTGTTCTTCGAGATACTTGACACGTCTGTGAGTGATCATCCCCACAAAGGCAGATCATAGAGGATAAAAGGATGACGCATCGGCACCGACATCACGGGCGGCAGGACGGGAAATAAAAGGGTAAATTTGTCAGCAAACCAAGAGATTAGTAAAGACGGATAGACTACGTACGCGTCTCTTCGCATTCTGAATGCGCGCTGAGCTCTTCGGTTCTGTTCGGCGCGCTTACTGTTGCTCAATGTACGTCCCTTGGATCCATTTGGGTTCTCATCAGGTGAGAGATGGTGAGCTGATGGGGACCCATTGTCTCCGGACGTTGTTGGCGATGCCGAGCGTCCATTTGCACCGTTCATCGTAGCTGGCGTATTCTCCAACTTGGTAATTCCAACGCCTTGATGGAAAGACGTCTGCTGTGGAGAAGTAGGATGGATAAGCGTGTGGATGGACGCAGGCTGGGTCAATGTAGGACCGTACATTGTGTTCCAAGTGTCGAGTGTAGTTGTTAGAGAATCTAGAGTGTTTTCTATAATCTCTAAACTGTTGTTGAGCGTATAGTTGGCCGTGGCTTAGGTGGTTTGTGGCAAAGGGGCCAAGTGGACGCAGAGTTCAAGAATCAAGTGGCCAAACCAACCGGTGCGTTTGGGATGCTTATAAGTTGACGCGGCACCGGGCAAATGATGCTCGCGCGTCTTGCCGAAGAATCGGGAAACTGCTAGGCTAAGCACTTTTAGATTGCTAAGCAGCGGGTCACTCGAATGTATTATGTAAGCCCCACTGGGTCATCAACCCGACCTCATTCGATCCTCGCTGATATTCCTTTTACTGCGCTTTTTTTGCTGCGAAACACTTTCCATCCGCGCGCTCCTTTGGCGGACGTCCGACGGCAATCGGGGGTTCAAACGAGCAAATTACAAGCCCGCCGATAGGGACGGTCGTTGGCCAACTGAATCGCCCATCACAAATTAAAGTTCACGAAAAGCACCCAATTTCGTCCAAATGGTCAGTAGACCCCCCCCCCTCTTCAACTACCCCGCATCGTTCAGGCCCAAGTGCTGAGCGAGGCGATCAGGTAGAATATACCCATATATTCAATAAAGACTACTTCCTCTCGTCTGACGATCTCGTGCCGAGTTTGTGGCGTGTTTGCTAATGTTCCGGCTCGCACTCGGCTCAGGCATGAGGGTGCAGTACAAAAAGTTCCGTCGCAGTCCTTGAGACGGTGTTACGCTTCCTACACGCGTTGTCAGCGCGGGGGGTTCTGCACCGCGGACGCCCAGGCTAAACATCCGGTCGAACACTGTCACGGAGGATTGAGACAAACACGGCATCAAAAGGGGCTCTTACAATTCTCCACCCACGTCTTCGCATGCATTTGACAACTGAGATGGGTCAGGGCCAGAGGAGGGGACCCGCCTTCGAGCGAACGCAGATAACGAAACACCATTGACGGCTGTGCGGGGCCTATGGAAGATCAGATGAGGTCTAGATTCGCAATTGGCGCCTATACCAAAACGGAACAGGGCCATGTACCCTGCCTTCCACCTCTCCTCCAGTTGACGAGCGCAAATTGAGGGGTCTGGACACGTCGCACAACACTGGTATTCCTTTGCAATGGAGACGGTTCCAAGCTTGAGAACACGTTCAAGGAACCAATTTCGCCGTTTCTCGAGCTTGAGCAGCGTGTCCTTGGAGAGTGTGTTCAACTCTTCCTCGGACCATCCATAGAGGTCTTCCAAGACAAAGCTGAACAAATTTGAGGTGATAGTTCGGCTAGAATACGGTCACATACCGACTCGCCTCCCGATAGAGCTCCTCTTGTCCAAAAATCTCGGCAATCCGCATCGCTTTGATAGGTTTGCCAGCTGCATGCGACAGCAGAAACTGTAAGCATGCATTCTGAAGTGAAGGCACGCAGAGCTTGTCGGAAATGTTCATGAGCCCTTCAACGTTCTTCCAAGTAATGGTACATTCGAGACTGAACACAATGAGTGAGATTTCCGCAGTAGATAAATGACCTTACTGCGGATAAATAAACTTTAAAAAGTCGTGAAATATAGTCGCTCGTTCTTCCTTGAGAATGATAACGCCCTCTGGGACGCGTGAACGACGGTAGGCTTTCTTCTTTGGACTCTTTGACCCAGGCAGTCGTGAAGGGTGCGGAATCGCAGGTGGTATTCTCCCTTGCAGTTTATCCAAAGAGGAAATTCGCGCGGCGTCCTTCTCGGCCTCTTCTACTGCGGAAAGGGTCTTGGCTTCCTCTGTCTCTCCTTCGTCCTCATCTCCACCTTCACGTGAAGATGAAGAGGAGCGCACACGCCCTTGTGCCTCGTCTGAATGTTCGTTCTCGCTGTCCGACGATGGGCTGATGCGAACAGAGAAGAAACTGCTCTCGTTTTCCGACGTCTCGGCAAGGTCGTTTGTGGTCTGTTCATCTGGGCCAGCGGTAATTGTCACAGATGGTTCGCTTTCTTCAAACGCAGTGGCGAGCTGTTGCCCATGTACAGATGGTGTTTGCTGAATAGTGATAATTGACGACGTGGATACAGGACGCGCTTTGGTTTCCGACCAACTAAAAGGACCCAGTATTCGGTCAATATACGTTCTCGGTCAACTAACCTTTCGTACCTTCCACTCAATGCTGCGTCGAAAAATGGCGAGGCAAATACAAGTATATCTCTATGTGCCCTACATTCAACGTCATCAGGAGCAATGTACGAGTAGAGTGAATGAAGGTTTTCTCACCAGAATGTCGTGGCCTGGACAATAATCTTGATATTTCCTGGCCATCGTAGACCCGGCGAGCCAGAAAACGTCTCGTCAATTTCGATTGGGGTAAACTGTCCTTCTTCTCCTTCATTGCTGTCCACTCCCTCTTCGCCGCTACTTCCCAGTGAAACTTCATGAGTGACGCGCGGCGGACTGCCTACAAAACAGATGCGTAGTCGTTGAGCATAATCGTATGAATAGGAAATGATAAATATTCAACATACCCGTCCTGAGAGAAGACGTTGCTGTACGAGGGAAGATTCCAGACGCCGTCGCGGGCGTCGTGAGTGTCTCAGTTGGCGACAAACTCGTCGACGAGCGTGCAATTAGCGCATGTGCTGGATTCTGCTGCTGTGTTGGCGTAGTTATGCTGGGCATCAGCGACGAGCCAGTCGCGGCTGCGGTCAACCTGGATAGATAGATGGACAAATTATCTGGGAGCTAATTAGAGTGTCTATTACTACTTTTGATAGTGACATAGTACCCTAGGCGTTTGATTTAGGGTGGGTTACGCATCTTGACCTCTGCCACAACTGCTCTAATTATTGGCGGCGTTTACTTTACTATTTATCACTTGCCTTTTAATCATCGTTCACGTCATTCGCTCATAATTTGTTACAATGAAGTTCTCTCAGACTCTTCTCTCGCTTCTACTCGCCGGGGCAGCGGTCCAAGCGCATCCCATGGTGGACCCAAACCATAGTCCAAATGGGTTAAATTCAAAGGTACGCCGATTTCTGAGCTCACGACGTGCATATCACGCGCTCGCGGCCTCCTATCTTTGTTCACAATGAATCAGCGTACACCTCTTGCAACCAACGAAGTCAATCAATCTATTCAGCCCAGTTCCTCTCGTCCGCAAGAGCAAATTCTCACACCCGTTTCTCGGCGCCGCGAGAAAGCAAGTCGCCTTTGCGCCACACAAGCACCAGAAACGCGCAAAGTCGAGCCATCCTGCATTGACCAATGAGGATTCGGACGCGATGGAAAGTAAGAGTACTGGACGAGGCGTGCAAAAGGCTGGAGTCTTCGGTGTCGCTGTCGAAGGAGTTAGTATCGGAATCGGCCGTCCAAATCGCCTGTCTCGTAAAGGCCACCGCGAAGAACTCGAGGTAGGAAAGCAATTGATGGCGTATACAATAACTAACTGGTTTCTGCAGGAACGCGGTCTTCGTCCTGTGGGTACTGATTGCGAGAATTTGCTTCTCCTAACGTCTGTACAGAGAACTCAGCCCAGTTCAGGGGATAAAGAGCAGTATAGTGCTTCAAGAAAGCACTTAGCTACACCAGAACTCGCAGTACGCTGTCAGCATTTGTGATGTTCTAACCTAATATCACGCAGGTTACCGTCGAACGTGGAAGAATGCACGGCATTGGAAAGAAGAGACTCGACCACAACGGACGGGGCATCAAGGCTCCCGATTACAAGACTGACGAGCCTACTCCGAGCGGATCTGCAGAGGCGTCGTCTCCCTCAGCGACAAAGCAGCCGTCCCTATCGAATTGATCGTCCCTCTGAGCGAATTTTCCTGATACGCACCCACTTATTCAGTCATTTGTTCCATCACCATTTTCGTCAAGCCTTCAGTTCCATCAGAGTAACGACATAGAGAAAGGATAGGTGGCTCTGAACGTCCTGCCATTCCCACAGTTCTCATATGTTGCTACAAAATCTCGGCCATTATACCTGTAGGTCGTCTAAATCAGACTCTCAGCGAGAAAAGGCATGAATATGAACTTGAGAGTGTTCAAAGTGAATCCACTCTCTGCTGAGGCTGTTTGAAAGCCATACCTTCCAGGAGCCCCTTGATCACATCGTTGCATGGCTCACAGCCTCGAGTGCAATCTCGGCAGCTTTGGAATTCCCACCTACATATCCTCAGACTCTATAGTGGTTCGAGATACAAAATGTACCCAGCATTGGGTCCGATATTACAGCTTGGGCTTTCGCATCACGCCTTTTGAGGGCTTGCTTATGCGGTGGGGGATGGTCAGAGAGTCTGAATCTAGTCGGTTTCTTTTCACCTGACTCGAAGGAGAGTCTTACGGTGCGCAGACTGCCAGGGAGGCGAATGTAGTAGCCAAAAGAGTGAAAGAAATGAGACGATGCATAGGAAGAGCAAATAAAAGGCTGATATTAGATCAGAGATGGAAAGTTTGGCAGTCGACTGCGAGTTCAAAGGTCCTTTTTATCGACTAGGCACTCATTTTGGCGCGGGAACGGAGATAAGAAGTTGGGTTAATAGTGAACAAAGAGAGGACGGTGCAGCTCAAATTTACATCTGATTAAGAAGCGCAGTAAATTGAAGAACAGCTCGGGTACAAATTATATCTGGACGCCGTGGTTAGCCTGGGATAATAGTTATATGACCAGTCTGTACACTACAGGTCACATTATCGTGGTAGACGCAAATGCACTTGGGTGGTCCCGACGGTTGCTCGATAGTTCCAGTAAGGGGCCGGTGACTGGCGTGGTTCAGCATAATGCTATCCATGCTTTCCATATCTCTTTTGTAGAGGCTGTAGGTTTTTTCGAGTTCTGATGATTTCGCTTGTCATCTGCATAGCAATAGAAGTAATTGCGAAGTCGAGAGCCGGCCAAGTTCTACCTATAGCAAAATTACGTCGTAGCGCAACTCATTCATTGAGATTTCACAAATGCAAGACTGTTCTCAACTTCCATTCTCGGGTTCAAGATGAAATTCCCCAATGATTGGCCAGCGCTGACATGGATATATAAATACTAATAAACAAAGCTAGTACTCTTCTCTATGGCTTGACGTCGAGGTTGTAGGATGCAGGAGCAATGACCTTGGGGTTATCGCATTGGTGATACTGAACGTGAACCCAGTTAGGTTGAGTGTCGTACCGACTAAAAGATGGCATTAGATTGGCTCTGTAAGCATTTAAAGATACTGACGTGATGGTGGCCGAGGTATACCCTTTGGACTGCAAGTTTTTATCTTTCTTATAGTGCTTCTGAAGGAACGGCTCTGCAATGTTCCTGAATTGAGGGTGACACGGCTTGCAAGGAGCGAGTGGCTTGGGGCATTCGTAGCAGGCTTTGAAAGTCAGGCTGTGGATGACCGTTAGCCGAGTTCCGTTCGTAGACGAGGATACTCACGTTGGGACGGAACCTTTGCTAGGGCAATTTCCTCGGGCTTCAAGGAGTTGCATCACCGGTTCTGGTGAGCGCTTCTCAAGACCAGCCTCTTGGAATGCAGCAACGTCCGGCATACTACATACGATGTTAAAATGATCAGAGCAGGTGATTGAAATACGTACGGAGCGGAAAGAGCGACCTGGGTGGAAGCGAGCATTGCGACGAGGACAGTAATGTATGTGAAGCCGAACATGGTCGAGATGGAGTACAGGGAAAGAAAGAAGAAAGAAGAAAGAAAAAAGAAGAAAGAAAAAAAGCGTAAAAGCTGAAAGGTCGATACCAGATCGAGGGTGAAGAAGGAAGTGAGGATAACCATCGACGACTCCCAACTCCTTTTATTCGAGTTCTGAGACTGTAGGCAATGCGGTATTTCTCTTCACCCTTCTTGGCTAAATTTGTAAACGCGAGATGGTTATGAGACTTGATTAATGAGCAATATGCCGCGTATTGTGAAGTTCGAAAGTCCGGTTACGACTCAAGTGAGGGTTCGATCAGTTATCTCCGTACAACTCCGGTCGAATCAAGTTGAAAGCAGTGTCAAACGATTGTATGCGGTATTGCAGTGAGTATCAGGGATTATTTCCGAACGACCCTTTGAGGCTTCACATGTCTTGTGTTACTGCCGTCGACGGCAAAGCGGCAAAGCGGTTCAGAAGGGTATTATTATTTATCGACGTGGGAAATGAGATTCCAAATCTGGCGAACCTGCCAACCGAGTGCACATGCTGTAACTTGGCGAACTTCTTGGGCCAGCTTTCGCAATAGATACTGAAACTTGACCGACCATAGCCTTCCTTCGTTTGATGAGCAAAAATATGAGCGGTCACGGTGGACAAATTCGATTCGACTTAGGGCGGGATCCAAGTATGATCCAGTGGGATAGGGCGCACTTGGTTTACTTGGGCTGACCGGTCGCCAACTGTCCCTTCATCTCCCTGGTCCCATACTCCATCAATGATATAGAATCATTTGGTAGGCTCAAGTAGGAGCTAATCATTGAGCTAGGGAATAGGTTTACACTGCGAGGAAGGCTCCCTACCATCAACCTTCAAGACTACCTCACTTCCTAGATCTATACTGGTAGCCCATCTTGTGATTCAACACTTGTGGAATATTAAAGTAGATTTCAAGTCTACCGTTTAACAATAAAGATAAGAAACGAGGGTTCATGCTATGGTGGACGTTTCATTCGTAGAGGTACGAGACAGTCACTCGATGGCCATCAGCCGTGAAATACATCGCATGTATATGCGACCCAGAATTCGCATAGTAACTGGTAAGACTATGAGTCATATCACAATGGGAGCTAAACGGGGCTCACTGTATCTCGACGGCCTGGTAGTTGGAGTTGAGTTGCTTATCCTTCTTCCAGTTCTTCTTGACAATTTTCTCTGCTTTAGCTTGGAGGACGCCATCACATGGAGAACATTGGTTCTGGTAAGAAGTAGCAGTTGGGCAACTTTGACAACTTCGGAAATGCAGCCTGGGGACAACATCAGTCTTTTACCCCTTCTGTGACCGTTGTAAGTACTCGAGGTCGGATTTTGCGTGGCAAAAGAGACCGCAAAGAGCGCGGCGAGCGATGTTCGATCTATCTTGCGATGCTGTCAGGCTGCAAGACATTAGTCACAAGCCCTGAGCCACAGGAGGCGCACTCACGGGACCCCGTTGATGGTTGGAATGGTTGCAAAAGTGATTGCGACGAGAAGGGTGCGAGTGAAGTAGACCATAGTTGAAAAGTGCAACAAAGGACGAGCAACAAGAAGAAGAAGAAAGTGGTACCAGACCGCCCGAAGGAAGATGGAGTGACCATGGCGTCCAAAAGTACACTTTTATACCTCGCAAAGTGGCTATAGAGTCCAACTTCTGGCTCGAGACCGACTACGCGACGTGATTCACAGCATCTCCGATAACGGCAGCAATTTGCGCCCGTACGAGGGTTCATCGGTTCTAGGGAGAACTGAATGTGACTTTGGCGGAGAGGCGGGTACTTCTCACGCCTCGCAATGGTTTGCTGAGGGCAGTAACACTAGTGTATCAGCGCCTAGAACGTGAAACCGCCAAAATGCAGTTCGCTCGGTCGTGGCCCTTTGTCAAGTTGAGAACTTGCCGAGACAAGGGGAGTCAGCTTGAGGTATTTTCGGCTCACAAAACTCACACGAGAAGGATACTCCCAAGTTGATGACTACCGGTGATTCCAGGAGATCAGGGATACATCGTTGCAGTGCTCGACGAAAGGAACCGTCCGATGGTCACCAGGATGAAGTTCCCAACAATGACCAGAACGTATTCCAGTCCTCACCGAGCCTCCATAGAGCACTCAAGTCTCAGAAACGCACTGTCGTGTGACTGGCGTATTCAACGGGAAGAACTTGTGTTGGCCTCGTTGCGGAGAAGGCAATGTAGAATCGTGGCTATCAGAGCGCGCCGTCTCCGAATGAGTTGGACACGCAAGTGAGATAACGAACGTTCGATATGACGGTAGAGGTACGATTGGCCAGCCACAGAGAAAGAGCCCGGTGCATCCCAAAGTGGCTTGGAGAGCCCTGGTCAGAGAATGGAGATAGCAGCAGTGATATCACTGCTATATTATTGTCTGAGAAAGATCTGAACTGCGACGAACGTTGAATCCAGACGCCGATCGATAAACTGCGCAAGGAGGAAGGCTCTCCAAGTCCTGGAACGCGTCCTGGTTGCGTCCAGCGAGTGCAACACATCTTCAAGCAGACTTCCAGGCGGAGTTGACACCGCACCTGGCTGGCTTCGTCATGGACGGGTCCAATCTAGTTTTAAACCCGGTCGCCACTCCGCTCCCCTCTTCGACCCTCACCACAACCCGGATCCCCACTTTCGTGTATACGACCAGAAATTTTATTATCAGATTTACTCAATATTCACTATGGAGGCTCTTTCTGCGCTTACAAACGGCGCCATCTCAGCTGATGCAGGAGCCCCGTCGTCGACGGCTGTGTCTACAAAGGCAATCGTCCTTGGCGTGTGCGCAATGGACGTAAAAGCTCGCTCAAGAGCTATGCAAGAGATCTTGACCCGCTTCGTTGAGCGCGGCGGACCGCTCGTCGAGGTCAAGGTTTTTGGTGATAAAGTCATACTCGACGAAGGTGCGACTCTGATTAAAGAGTCCTATCTTTGACATGAACACTCTCTCACAGACGTGCAAAATTGGCCCAGATGTGACGTGTTAATCTCGTTCTTCAGCAAGGACAAACTCGTTGAATTTCCTCTCCTCAAGGCTGTTTCCTACGCCAACCTTCGCAAGCCGTTCTGCATCAATGACCTTTCGATGCAATCTATCCTCTGGGACCGTCGGATCGTAGGCCGGATGCTCGATCATCTCGGTGTCCCGACACCCCGGCGAGTTGAGGCGAGCCGCGATGGTGGACCTAGGATCCCGGACGGGTTTCGGGAACAGGTTGAAAAGAGATTGGGGTTCGAGCTTCCACAGAACGTTCCACCGGCCAAGGTCCAGCTGCGAGAGGATGGAAACGCCATTATCGTTGACGGTGTAGTCATCGAGAAGCCTTTCGTTGAAAAGCCCGTGAGCGGAGAGGATCATGACGTCTATGTCTACTTTAGAGACGGAAAGGGTGGCAGGAAGCTATTCCGCAAGGTAAGTCGCCGTGAAGTGGTCGCGTGCCCATAAATTAGTCCGCTCCTGCCAGATAAATGTGCTCACTTTCATTTACATAGGTCGGGAACCAGTCCAGCGAGCTCGATCCAGACTTGATTGCGCCTCGGACGGACAAGTCGTATATCTATGAAGAGTTTATCGACGTGGACAATGGTGAGCCCAGATCTCTGTTCGTCCTTTCAAAGACTTAAACTTTTTTAAGCCGAAGATATCAAGGTCTATACAGTTGGCCCAAACTACACGCATGCGGAAACTCGCAAATCTCCTGTTGTAGATGGCGTCGTCCGTCGCAACACGGAGGGGAAAGAGATTCGTTTCATCACTCGCCTATCAGATCAGGAGAAAGACTGGGCGGCTCGCATCTGTCAAGGTTTTGGGCAAAGGGTTTGCGGCTTTGACCTCCTCCGCTGCGGCAATGGTGCAAGAAGCCTGGTAATCGATGTAAACGGCTGGAGTTTTGTCAAAGGAAACGATTCATACTACGGTTAGTTTGTTCCTGATAGTGGATGTCCGACGGGGCGCGCTGACTCAAGAAATAGATAAAGCCGCCGACATTCTGCTGGATATCAGCAAACGCCTTATGGCCTCCCCTCTGCGCGCACAGTCCATCTCTGAACAGGCGAAAACACCAGAGGCGCCCTCATGGAAGCTCAAGGCCAATGTGACCGTCTTTCGTCACGCCGATCGGACTCCCAAGCAGAAGCTAAAATACAACTTTCCTATCACCGAAGCATGGGCTCAGCCATTCGTTCGACTGCTGAATGGTGAGAGAGAGGAGATAATCCTTCGAGAAAGAGAACAATTGGAGACTATTGCCACGGCTATTGAGGAAGCGAGAGAGCTGGGTGCGATTGGGGAGGACCTTGGAAAACTCTCCGCTCTCAACAATGCGCTTTTCAAAAAGATTGATCTCCCGGGGACTAAAGCGCAACTAAAGCCGGGCTACCACAAGAATAAGGGAGCCGGAACGCGGAAGCTGGACAAGCTCACCCTCGTCCTGAAATGGGGAGGCGAGGTAAGACCATAGTCTAAACCGAAAAGAAATTGCTAATGTTTCATATAGTTTACGCATGCAGCGAGGTATCAGTCGCGTGACTTAGGCGAGAACATGCGGCGGGATATTTCAATCATGAGTACGTGGCTCAAGCGCATATTGAAGCGCCAGCGCACGTTTCTCACATCGTTCTAATTTATGGTCTATTCTCATTATTCCGGTCGGTTGATTCGACTGGACGCCTGGACTCGTATCGGATTCGACTCGCGATTGGACGGTATTAAACAGACAAGGAATGCTTGAACAATGTTAAAATATACACGTCTTCCGAACGACGCGTTACGGCATCGGCAGAAATCTTTGCGGCGGCGCTTTTGACGCCTTCAGCAGCTCAGCAACAACGTGAGCAACAGCATCAAAATGGAACCACATCGAGTTTGTATCCTTCTGTTCAATCGAATCAACAGCAGGTCACGTCACCTATTGCTATCAGTCCGGCGGCGAGCTCCTCTCCGTCACATCACAGGGAGCACAGCATCATTAGCTCGCTTTCCTCTTTCGCTAATGCCGTTGTTCACAATCTACCAGGAAATCACAAAGACACGACGATATCACTGGACGGGCCCTCTGCTTCGCCGTCTGCTGCGACATTCTCCACGTCGTTGTCCACTGCTGTCGACCCCCTGTCAAACTCACCGCGCATCTCTGACCGTTCATCATGGTCGAATGCCACGGCCGATCGAAGCACCAAGGACGAGAAAACGGCCACGGCCCTACAACTCATCATTCGAAAGGACCTTTTGGACGATTCTAATGAAGCCAAAGATCTGATGGATGAAGTGAAAAAGCGTCTTAAGATTCTCCTTCGCCCAGGTGAGCCGGATAGGCGACCACAGCTGACTTGGCCAAAGAACTTGAGAAAAGAGCCAGTGGAAGTCGTCGCGGTGCGTACATGGCTTTGAAGTTTGAGAGCTCTAACCTTGTTCACAGGAGGTGATCGAGCTGTTATCCGGCTTTCGAGAGACAATGAGACACAACTTTGAAACGATGGACACAGATAAGATTCAACAAAGATGGTGCTGTGGTGATGAGCCATGGCTCTTCCGGGAAAGATGGGAAAAGCTATTTGAAGACTTTTGCGACGTCAAGCAGGAAAAGTTTGATCCTTCGCGAGTGCGTCTGTTCCTCCACGATTGAATGGGAATGCTCACGAGAAATGTGGATAGGTATCCGAACTCTACGATACACTCAAATATTGCGCATTGCATCATCGCACCTTTCTATTTGCTATCTTCGGCGAAAAGCCAGAGAGTGAACTCTCTGAATATCCGGACAAGGAAAGCCCGCCACCCAAAAGGAAACTACACGAGCTCTACTCGAGAGCAAAGGCTCTTTTGATCTGGTGGCTCCACAGGAATATGGAATAGAACCCTGGGAAAAGTACGCCGACGTTTGCGCGTGGACAATCCACCTAACGGACTGGACAGGAGGAGATTGGCGTTCTTACTTCGTTACCACTACTCAGGAATATTATCAAGGACCTTGAGAATGCTAGGAACAGTGGCGAGGGTTCCCTGAATCTCTATTTCACAAAGGAGTCACACATACACACATTGCTTAATCTCGTGCTTACTTCGGGCCTCCCTATTGCCAATCCAAAGATACCAGAATTGGACTATTGCGTGAGTTTGTTCGCTTTGATTATCCCGAATCGAGCACTGAAGAGAATATTATAGTCTCACTTGACGTAGGGATCCTTCACCAGACACCTGTTGCGCAATGCTTATCGTTGCAAGGTTTGAGCTGTACGAGCGAGGTGTTGGGTCGAGCAAGTCGGACAAGGAGTTTTCGATCAAGCTCAGTCTTTCTGAGGGTGCCCACTCATCGAACGTGCTTGACTCGGCAATCGACGCACGGCATGCACTCAACGTGCAAGGCAGAAAGTAAGCGGGGGAAACCCTCGAACCCATGGCAAACGCTGACAGTTAGCCAGACGCTTGACAAGCCACCTAGCTTACAGCCTAGTGATTGAGAAGCTTTCAAAGCACTTTTCGCGGGTGCCTGACGTGAGTATGGCCAGCGCGTGGACGACGGGCTGAGACCGCGTGCCAGGAATACGATACTGAACCACCAGATACTCCCATCTACCGTTCAGCACTCGGGTTCTTGACACCAGCAGATGTGAGCAGTAGTGACGCGACGGAGCTATAGAGATAAAATGGGCATGTATTAGGACTTATGGACGGAACACGTGCATGTTGAATGCAGAGAGCTAGATGATCCGGTAACGTGCGACGAACAAAGGAGAGATATCTTGTCATGGATGTCTGACATTCGAACTGGAGTCTGAGCGGTTGAAAACGACAATCTAAATCTCCAAGCCGATGAGAAGGTGCGTCGAGCTCGCCTTGAAGGGAGGACGAGTGACAACCTGACCACCGACGTACATGAGGCTGTGAATGAGTTCATCGAGCCCATCAGCGGTTTTGGGAATAGCAATAATAACGGAGGAGCATTCCAGCTGTTCGTCGGCCATTTCGAGCAAGGCTACAACGCTAAAAGAAAAGAGGATTGAATAAAACGGTGGCACGTGCCACGAACAAGCTCACCTTTCACGCAGATTGGCCAACTGCGTGTATTGACCGTCCACGTATAGGGCCTTTGGACGACCAGGGAGGGCAAGAACGAACCCATCCCACGTCGCGTTGGATACAATCTGGATAGGTGTTGCAAACTTGGTAACTGTCGATGCTTGCTCGGGGAAAAGAGAGGCAGCAAAGCTCGACGACTCGCGGGGGACGGCGACGCAATTTTCAGGCGTGAGTGGCGGCGTTGCGAGCTGGTCGTTGCTTTGTTTACGGGGTTTGATGAAATGAATGGGTGCAGTCGAGGGGGTGTTGGGTGAAGGGTACGGGCTGGAGATATTGACTTTCGCTGCGGGATGGCTGGAAAAAGACGACGGTAGGTCACCTGTCACGTAACCTACCGACCCTCTAGGAGGGCATTTTTCCACGGGGGCGTCAAAAACGCCACTAAGGAACAAGGTCAGGATTCCTCTGGGGTATCTCGAAAAGGCAAGAAACGACGCACCCCTGGACCGCCAGAGAAGGTAGTAGAATAGTAGTGGACATTAGAGCCCATACTTTGGTTATTGTTGACGGCAATAGCGTCGCTGGCGGTGGCGAAAGCAGAGGCCCCATCTCCAACGGTCTGCCTGTGACCGTTGCTGTAGACAGAGGTGGTTAAAAAGAGAACAGATGTCAGCAAAGATGCCATTAAATCAGTCAAAGACGGGGGAAAACCGCGCGATGGTGATCTGAAGAGTCTGACTCACGCGGGGCTGAGACTAGATGGTTGCATTGACATGAAATTGGGTTTCGACATTTGGAAGATAATCCAACTTGAACTTTTGAGCGCGGTGTGCAAAGGCCGGAGCGTCGAGCGAGTTTCGCAAGGTGAGAGTTGCAGTTTGAGTGCAAATGACCACCAAACCCAGTCGGCCAAGCGCGACACTGCCGAAGGCGCGGCCATGGCGCCAGCGCTCATTCAGATCTACAATCAACAATTTCTAGAATCACCTGCAAGTCTTCGGATGGCCCTCAGCTCAACAGTGAAGCCAACAGATATATGAAATCAGGTTGGATTTATCCCAAAGGACGGAACATAAGGAATTATCGGGGGGTAGGTAATCCAGACGCAGGAGCACCAATCTCCGTCAACTGCGTCAACGGATCCAGCTTGCCCTTGAACTGTGGATGGAACGCCGCACCAGTGTACGGGCATCGAACGCTCGGAGATCCTTTGTAAATCGGCGTAAGCGAGGCAGCGCATACTTCAAAGTCGGTGAATTCGTCGTATGCAAACTCGACGGCATCGCGGGGATTCCGGTCGCCAGCAGCAATCACTTCCTTGGCCTATAGAGGTTTTAGGGCTTATGGATTTACGTGCTTATCGACTGACCTTGTTCAAGGTTGCTTTATCTGGGTTGAGCTCGACTAGACGGCGAGCAAATCGAGCGGCCGTAGCATAGTTCTTCGCCTTGGTCGCCGTCTGGATACCCGTCCGCAAGGCAAGAATTGCGTGCTGAGGTAGCAACCTGCAGTGAGTGAAATACGCTGCCAGCTCGAGATGTCGTTTGGCGTCCTCGGCGGGCCGTTCACGTCGAGTGGTTTCGAGAATCATAGCAAGCATATACTCTTTCGTGCTGACCACTAGCTCTCGTAACTTGTTTGGTCAGTATCCCGGTTACGTTCGTAGGGGTTTGCCTTACCTGCTGCGCCTCTTCCTGATCAACAGCGACGGTAAGCAGTAGTATGTGAAGCAAGTTTCTAAATGCAGCGACTGCATCTGGAAGCTTGTTCCCAGAGACAAATTTGCATGCCACTTGGAAGTCTTGCTTGGCCGACTTGAGCGTCCTGGCCACGGGTAACACCCGAGTCGGGGATGAGACCTCTGGGTTCCTGCGAAGATGGAGCTGGAGCGGGGGGAGCGCCGCGTTCGGCGAAAAGTATATGTGCGCGGCACGGAAGCCGGCAAGGAAGAGCGGCTTTAGTGGCTCAAAGTTGACGACGCCAGATTGCCGATTCAACAGCTGGCCACGACGTCAGCTATTACAATGTAAGGCGTCACATTACGCACCTGCATTGCCGTCTCAAATGACCCAGCGGCAACATGATCTGCTGCAAATGGCGAGTTCTTGATCCAGAGTTCGAGTTCGCTGACTCCTTCCGTCGCACTGGCACCCGCATCCTCGTCTTCAGCTTCAGCGGTCGCCTCTTCTTCAGGTTCATCAAGTCCCCAATCGCCAGCCTCTTCCTCCGCGTCTTCAAAGGTTTCTCCGGCGCCACCCTCAGGCTCCACCATGTCGTCCAAGCTATTGACATACGATGTCTCTGGAGCAGCCTGTAATGCACCACTCGCCAATGCCTTTTCGAAAAAGTTTTCTGTCGTGGCGATTTGTGGCCAGATCAACGAGGTCGTAGGCGTTACGACTTGTGGTATCTGCAGTCGCATATGCGACATGGGTGGCAGATCCTCCAAGTCTGCCTCCGTCTTCCCCGCCTTTCGTAGAATATCCTGGGCGACGTCTTCGAGGCCGTTGCTTTTGGCGGTAAGATATGCAAGTGGGACTGTATAGTAATCAGTATCATCCCCACGTGTACTAGCAAAAAATACTGACGCATATCTACGTCCTTGAGCACAGCAATGCGCGACTCGACATCACCAGCGTAGATGGCATTGTGGAAGCGCGACATTGGGTCCTTGCGCGACGCGGCAATCTTTTGCATCTTGGCCAATTTTTCCGTACTACCGGTCATCAAGTAGAGGAACGAGAGCTTGTCAAAGTTCTTTGCTCGCTGGTACGCAATTTCCACAACCTAATCGACACTTAGCATCAGGCGCAGCGAGTATTTCGTGACAACATGCCTTGTGGTTTCCTTGAGCCAGGCCTTGCTGTGCGAGTCGATTCCACAACTCTGGTCTATCAATAGCGCGCGCAGCCTCCAATGCGACATCCAGATTTCCACATTCAATTGCGAGCTCGAATCGAGTGTTCTTGTCTTGTACAAAGTGAAGGGCAATCTAACATTCGTCAGTACATATCCAATAACACCCAGGTCACCCTACCTCTGGGAATCCCTTCTTTTGGAGGTAAGAAATGATGCTCTGGCCAACCAGATTCGATGTTTGGATGATTCTCAAGACTTCTTCGTAATTTTTCTTGATCAACGCGAGCTTAAACTTGTATTCGGTGGGATCCATGGTAATTGTACGAGGACGAGCGGCGCGGTCGAGGCAGTGGATGTTCTTTCCCTTGATGCGCGTGAGATAGACGGGTTGCTCGAGGGTGCGGATGATGCCATTGTCCCTATTCTTGTTGGTATCGAAAAGTGACCATCGATCAGGAAAACTCACCCTTGCGGAAGTGCGTATTTGATGTGATTAAGAGTCGAATAGACAAAGACTCCAGCGTCGTCCCAGGCGCCCGACTTGATACGGATCGTCTCATGAATCAAGCTGCTTTGCGACAGGTTTTTGTTTGCTAATGTGATTGCTACACAAGCTTAGTCGGCCGTTCCTTGATCCATTCGAGTCGCACTCACTATGTTTGCTCAATAGGGCAACCATGCTTCCATCTGTATTCCAGACCGCATACTTGACTGGCGGTGAATTGATCTCCGCCAGAGTCTTTTGCTGCTGAATATCGTAGAGGATTACCGAGGAAGTGGAGCTGAGCAAGAGAGATGCAGTGCCACCATAGAAGATTTCATTGGTCTGCGCCGGTGGCTTGACGACTTTGGTCACGGTATTGTTGAGATCACGAATCTCAATTGTCTATCAAATATTAATGATGATATCCAGCACAAGAATAGAAAGTCCGCACCTGGTTTGCCTTGTCGAGCACCGCAAATCGGTTACGCGCGACAAACACAACGCTGGAACCCGGTCCCTTTTTACCATCCGTGCTCGAATCCTTGACTTCACCACTGCTATCGCGTGGGAGTGTGGCGAGTTCAAACTGACCACCATCCGTCGACGTAGTAACGAGCACGCTGCGCTCGGCCGGGTTGTACGCCAGAGTCTTTGGCTGAACGTATGCGGAGCCCAGCTTGCGAACGGACAGGAGACCATTATCCGCCTGTGTATTGAAATCATACTGGCGAACGTATTTGTCCTTGATATAATACAGCTGGTCTTGATAGATGGTGAATGCCGGTCGTTCTCGCTCCAGTTTGAAGACGATGAGACCGTTGTCATGACCTAGAGATATATGAGTATTGGAAAGCGGTTAATAAGAGGCACCCACCAGCCGCAAAAAGGTTGAGCTCTGGGTGCGCCACTAAAATCCAGAAGCGATCATGTTCGCGCCTGAATGTCTGGATTGCACTACGCTTGGCCATGTCCCACACGCGAATCGTCTTGTCCTCTCCAGCACTGACGATGAGCTCGTGCTTTGGGTGGAACAATACCGCGAGGACATTGTTGAAATGCCCACGGCAGGTGTCAACCTCCCACGCCTTGTTATCTCCCATTCTCCATAGCTTTATTTGTCTATCATCGCCACCAGATACGATCAGCGGTAGTGTTGGATGAAAGGACGCAAAATTGACGCCGCGATCGTGGCCCTCAAGTACATATTTGACCGTTGAAAACGAGTCAAAGGCATCAAACGAGCCGGCCAATCCAGGTGTCGCATTACCAGCTCCTGGGCCCATAGCATTATGGCGCGAAGGCGACTTGCGCAGTGAGGAAATATCCCACACACGCACAGTCTGGTCCATGGATGCAGAGACGACCAGGTCATCTTTTGGATGGAAGAAGGCGGACATGATATAGTGCGAGTGGCCAGTCAGGATTGCGACGCAGTTTCTTGAGGTGCTATTCCAGATCCGAATAGTTTGGTCGTCGGATGCCGAAATCTACACATTCTTATCAATCCTAGTCGTATTTTCATGTGTTCGACGTACGATCCATGGCATTTCGTGATGGAACTGAACAGTACGGATATAATCCAAGTGGCCATTGAGCGTAAACAGGCATTTACGATTCTGAGGTCGGATATCTGTGAGCGTCAACAAGCGGTTCTCGTATCCGTATGGGATACATACCCCATACTTTGATTTTATAGTCGTCCCCTCCGGATACGAGCAACGGCCGTGTAGGGTGCATCGCGACAGCACGAACAGGTCCTGAACACTCATCAGCCAGTCCATTCCCACATAATGCTCTCTCATCCCCGATACAAGCCGCCAACGGTGGATTTTGCGACGACTGATCGACAACGAAAAGAGTGGATTGGACATACCATCGTGCTCGTCGAATCTATCTACCAGCGTCCCCATCTGGTAGTTCCACAGCTGGATGCTACCATTATGCAGCGAAGCCGCGAGCAAGGGCCGAGTGGGATGGAACGCCAGGCCTGTTCCCAAACCAAGCCACGGTCAGCTCTCATTCCAACATCATCTCGAGCAAATTGAAAGGGTGAAAAGGATTGAATGGGAAGGAAACGACGAGACACGTTACCTTTGACGCGGTTCGACTTTGATTCAAACTTTGTGAGCATCTGCATCGTGCCTAGACTCTTCAATCTTCTTTAAACTATCCACAGTTGCGTTTTGAAGATACTATATTCCGTTTGGCGTAGCAGATTCACTGATTGTTCCAAATTGCCTGCGTGGCTCAGAGTCGGCGACCGTCGTTGGTTGGCAGGTCGAGTATACTAGGCGTAAATGTCGAAGAGAATTCGTAGAATATCGTATCTGACGCGATGGTACAGGGATACGTGTCCGGTCTCGTCTCCCCGATTCGACGTGGGTGAGGAGACTTCTAAGTTTTGGCCACTACCAAACTGTCGCTCATGGGTGCCATTACAAGTCAAACGAATGGATAATGGAGGACTTGCGGTCCATTGATGATCGTTATATTTGAATATCCCTGGAAGAGTCAGATCTTATGTGTCTGGAATGTCTGGAACAAAGATGAGTTTTTTATCACATCTGATACTTCTACATGTCTACAGCGCTACACCAGCATCCCAACTCGACGCAATTTCGCAGCCGATCATCGGGGACGACGGATAAGAAACAACTAGCGCATCAAAGTATCACACGAGCAAGAAGATGTGATGATGAGGAAGATCAAGATGATGACGATAAACCCATCAAGACGAGGAGGGGGGCGGGTGCTTGACCGAAGAGGCCAAGCAGGAGGGCTACGTACGGGAACAAGGGATTAATACGTAGTTCAAAACCGTTCAAAAGTCCAAAAATGGGGTCAGTCCATAGTCCGCAGAAGCGCGTTCTCTGGCTCGAGACAAGGGGGGTCACAGTGTAGTTCGTGACGGTGTCGAGGTTGATCAAGATTTGGTCGGAAATTCCGTCGAGGATGACGGGACAATATAGGATCATATGGTTCAGTTCGAGTAGTAGATTAAATGAGTGGCGTGTCCGGATAGGACGAGTGGAAGAGAGAGCATTTTGGCCTCTCGTAGGGGTTGGTTTGGAGCATTGGTTGAATTGAATAAGTGAGGCGTCTCTTTGGAGTTTGGCAAGAAGCAAGAAAAGTGTCCATGAAAGAGTCACGAATGGCAGGTAGCGATTAGTGTCTCACACAAAGCGGGGTGTTGGGCCACACATCATTGCAGTTGAGCCAGCTTGGATTCCTGCAAGCAGATGAGCAAAGTCGGAATCAAACCCGCGAGAGACTTACCAGGCTTGAATCAGAGCGGCCGTGGTTCCATAGCGAGAAGCCACAGCTGCACAAGTCCTGTCAGTCGAAGCCGTAGAGATCTTGAGGGTGCATCCCGATCCGCCAGGAGGAATGCAGATTGGCGTGTAAGCCCCTACAGAGGGTCAAAATGCGTGCAGTTTTAATGAGTAAACACATACAGATATCCGCACAATTGAGCCAAGATGGGTTAGCAGCTTGGATCGAGCCTGCCGGTAGCTCATAGTTGTACTCAATCTTCGCGCAGGTATCACCGGCGACGGCAGTGTACGTAGAGACGCAGGTCGGTGCAGGTCCACTGGTGCTGGTGCTTGTAGGCGTCGTAGTAGTACGGGTCGTCGTTGAGCCTCCGGGAGGGATACAAATTGGCGTGTTCACCCCTAGCGAAGAATGAGCATCGTTTTCGGAAACCATGAACATGAATAGACGTACAAATATCTTGGCAGTTCAAGAACGAGTTGGCAGCCAAGATTGAGCCAGACTGGAGGCCGAACTGACCCTCGATGCTCGCACATGTGTCACCGGCCTTGGAGGTGTACGTCTGAACGCAGGTCGGCGCAGGCGTCGAGCTCGTGCTAGTTCGAGTAGTTGAGGGGCTCGTGGTCGACGTTCGAGTTGTCGTCGTGCCTCCTCGAGGAATGCAGATTGGCGTGTTCACCCCTGGCACAGGTCAGCTAGGATGAACTGATGGAGAGCAAGGAAGAGGCTTACAGATATCGTTGCAGTTCAAGAAAGAGTTGGCTGCTAAGATCGAGCCGGATGGAAGGCCAAACTGGCTTTCAATGCTTGCGCATGTATCACCGACCTTGGAAGTGTATGTTTGCACACACGTTCCTCCACCAGGTGACGGTGTCCATGAACCACCGCAGTACCAGGACGAGTCACGCTGCTGGTATCCGCCAACATAGATATACGCATCAGTATCGAGGCATTGAGCTACCGTAACGAGTTGGACGCCGTGGCTGGCCAAGTTGTCGACGGTACCCGAGTACATGGCGTTGTAACCCGATGGCTCAGTCTCATGTGAGAGCGCCATATGAGGACGCTTGGGGTTCTCATTCGCAAATGTATTATAGAAATTGATTGACTGCTGGGTTGAGCCGCCGGTCGAGTCTCCAGAATCGTCTGACCAGAGGACAATGGTCTTGCCGTGCTTTTGCTGGATGTACGACGCGGTCCGCTCGTCGATGTCACCATAAGGTGGCCTAAAATGTTGGTTTAGTAAGAGATTTAGTGGTAAATTTTGTAGTTACCTCAAGAACTTTGGAATGACACCCACAATCTTGACAAAGGCTTCGTCGAGGCGCTGGATCTCGTAGTCAATTTGGGCATCACTGAGTTGGGTGAGGTGGGCATGTGACCACTGTTCTATGTTAGCTGGACTGAATGTTGTAAAGAGGAAGGAGGCTAACGGTGTGCGAGGCGAGCATGTGTCCCTGCTCAAATGACTGACGGATGGCTTGGACATTATCTTCGTTGTAGATGCACGACCAGTTGTCGCCATTCATAAAAAAGGTAGTCTTTCCGTTGTTTCGGTTAAAGGCACTGTTAATGTCACGATGGGCGGCTGGAGGGGAATCAGTCAATATTCTTAGAGATACGATTTATTTATTTACTTACTGTATGGTCCCTATAAATTTGCAACAAAAAAAAGTACTAGTTAGGGCGGACTGAACGTCAGAAGTCGAACTCACATCGTCCCTGCAGAAGGTCAACAACGGGCTAATTAAAGACAGACGGAGACAGACCAAGTATACGCAAAGTCGTGATTACAGTTGCTTATGACCTGTGCGAGACCCTTTTTCTCGAGCGGAGCAGCGCGTACAACGAGGGCAGCAGCGACAAAGGCGACAAACGAGGCGGGGAACATGGTTGGCGGATATTAGAGGGAGCGTAGAGAGGGAAAGGAGAGAAGAACAAGAAAGAGTGGAAGCCGTCTGATATATAGACGACGTGGGGAAGACCAAAGCTCTGGCGTTGTTTGGTCCAGGTGCCGGACAGGTGTGGTCTTCGCTCGGAGCGGAAGGTCCCTGACCGGCATTCAGTCAACTCGCCTCAGTAGTGGGGGACGGCCAGTGCACTGCTTGTTTCACTAACGAGGTGCCTAAAGACCCCTAATCGAGCCTGGGCGAGGCCTACGAAGTCGACCCTCTGTGATATTGCCCCATCAACGGGCACCCACACTCATGCCGCATTCGGCATCATCTCGTAACATGCACGGCTATCAGAACTTTAATAGGTTCCTGATGCATTCCACCTCTCACAGCATCTCGTCGGCCCAGTGCGAACGCACGATCTTGTACATGCTGCAGAATATGTGCAGCATCATCAGTTATCACTAGCACAAGGTTGGTACTCGTCGGCAGATTTCGATCAGATCAGATATACGTCGCTGCATACACCGGGCAGAACTCACCGGAGAACATGGAAACTGAAACATCATTGGTGCTTGCTTCTAATCTTGACTGGACAGGTCCCTGTTCACAACTTCGACCGACCTTGGCTTGATGTACCCCCTCGCACGCGATATACGCACGCTGGAACACTTGGTGGGTGGAATCAAAACAATTGAAACTTGAACTCATCAATAAATTTAAAAAGTGCTCTGTAGTATGTTTTTTCTACTACAACGGGCCGCGCTCATGTATGATCGAGGGCAAGCGCTCGCAAGATGCACCAAAGGGGAAGCAGAGTGTCCTAATGATAATAATTACTTTGTCCATATATCGCGAGGAAATGTTCCAAAGTGATGCTAGAGTCCCAGCCAATAAGCCATTTTGACCGTGAATACTGCGCTTTTGTGCATTATACAAGCTTAGTGTCTTACACAAAGCGGCGTATTGGGCCACACATCGTTGCAGTTGAGCCAGCTTGGGTTCCTACAAACAGATGAGCGAACCTAGGATCTAGAACCACCAAAGACTTACCAGGCTTGGATCAGAGCGGTGGTCGTTCCATAACGAGAAGCCACGGCAGCGCACGTAACATCAGTTGAAGTCGTAGAAATCTTGAGTGTGCATCCTGACCCGCCAGGAGGAATGCAGATTGGCGTGTATGCCCCTACAGGGATCAGAATGTGTACAGATTTAATGAGTGAACTCGTACAGATATCCGCGCATTTGAGCCAAGATGGGTTGGCTGCCTGGATCGAACCCGTCGGGAGCTCATAATTGTACTCAATCTTTGCGCAGGTATCACCCGCGACGGCGGTGTATGTTGAGACACAAGTTGGTGCAGGTCCATTTGTGCTTGTGCTTGTAGGCGTCGTGGACGTGCGGGTCGAGCTCCCAGGTGGGATACAAATTGGCGTATTCACCCCTACCCAAAAGTCAGAAAGAACGAAGGAAATGACGTATGGAATGTGAACATAAAAAAGGAAACCAACGCACAAATATCCTGGCAATTCAAGAACGAATTTGCTGCCAGAATTGAGCCGGACGGGAGACCAAACCGGGCCTCAATATTCGCGCAAGTATCGAGTGCTTGGGATATGTATGTACGAACACACGTAGGCGCCAGCGTCGTCGATGTCCGAGTCGTCGTCGAGCCTCCTACAGGGATGCAAATGGGCGTGTACACCCCTGACGTATTTCAGTTACTTTCTGTGAGTGATGAAGGAGAGAGGCTTACAGATATCCTGGCAGTTTAAGAACGAGTTTACTGCCAATATTGAGCCGGATGGGAGGCCAAATTGACCTTCGATACTTGCACATGTATCACCAGCCTTGGATGTATATGTTTGCGCACAAGTTGTTACACTCGAGGTCGAGGATGTCCCAGTGGAACTCGAACTCGGGGTTAGAGTCGGAGTCGAAGTGGACAGGCTAGTCGACGATACTTGAGTAGAACTCCACGTATCAGTGGATAGAGTAGAAGTTTCAGTGAAACTTGAGCTAGTCAATGTCGGCTGAGTAGATGAAGTCGAGTCCTCTGTGTAGCTTGAACCAGTCGAGCTGGGTAGTGTAGTCGACGAACTCGATACTTGAGTAGATGATGTCGAATTAATCGCAGTGCTTGAACTGGTCAAGGTAGAACTCGACGTCTGGCTGGATGAAGTAGAGTCCACAAGGCTCGAAGTAGTCGAAGTCGGCAATGTAGTTGACGTCTTGGGGCCCAAACACTCGTCCGGCACATTGAAATCATCCGTGTATCTTGGTACACTGGTCGCATTGGAACCCAATCCACGCGACGCAAATGCTTTCCAAATTGTACACACATGAGCGCCGTTGTAACGCGTTCTATCACCTAAAGTGCATCTTCAACACCGTTTATTACTTATTTCAGCGAGACGTTACCTTGTATCCATGCATCTCGAGCCTGCAGCACTGCCAACTGTCAGTAGATCCGAACATTCTGTGACGACATACTGGTTGGATTGCATGGTTGCAACAAGAGTCCGTCAAAGAAGTTGCGCATGAAAATGACATTCCCTGCCGAAGAATCCGCATTTGTGAATGCATCAGCCGTCCATCCACTACTTAATTAGTCCCGTTTCGAGGAGTCAGAAACCGAGACGTACTAGGCCTTGACAACTGCAAAGAGATCAGTAGGTTAATTAGATATTGGGCCGGACATACGTTCGGCATAAACATTGTGGAGCATCTGCAGATGGTAAGTATCAATTCAAGGCATGAATCGAGGACCCACGTTGGCCCATATCTCTCCAACATCCTATGGCAATTAGCACACGTCGAATACAACAGAGAAATGACAAACGTGGGCCTCGCTTCGGGTTATAAGATTGCTATATTTGAGCGGATTGACGTTCCTGCAAAGATCCTGAGTGATACTCTGCCGTATTGCTGACAGTAGACATACGGGTCAGTCGAGTACGGATAAGACCGCAGACCACCAGGGCTATTATAGACCCATCTACTGTTTGTGAACAATAAGTTGAGAGGAAATAATGGGATACATACGCGCCCATGACGAAATCAGTCACAGTTTCAGTAGACTGCTCCATCCAATTTGCATATGCATCACTCCAACCTTCGCCCATCCCTGATAAAAGTGAGGAAACAGTAAAGCTAAATGAAAGAACGAACCTTCGGCTTCTTTTGACTGAAGACATCTCGCGGTGCCTCCCTGTGACGGCAATGAGAGTCATCTTCACACAGTAATAACACATACTCCTGTCATGCGATTTGTTGTACCGTGAGTCTGCTCATGAGCAATAACCTAGACAAGTCAGCTTCGGTCGTCAATTGACGCCTTCGGAAGCGTACATCATTGGCGAGTGCACTGTCCCTTGCAGGTGCAGCCTTTGTCCAAAGATATAGTTCTGTGAACGTAAGTAGGGCGCTGAGATCTCAGATGTCAAACGCACTCATGTATCCACCACCTCCGTTTTTCTCCTCCCCATAAGTCGTGAAGAATGCATTGTTCTTACCACGACTGTCTTGCACAGAGATTTGAATTCGATCATCACCTATACCGCCTTTTCCAAAGTTATCCTGTTGAAAATTGAACGCGGTCTCAGTGAAGCCGTAGCGATAGTTGATCTAATTCTCATCAGTTATGTGAGAATTGTATAGCAATATCTGGTACTCACGTCGTGAATTAGATTCGACATGTAGAATGCGGCGGTTTTGGCTGCTTCGATGTTCAAGCCCTCTGAAGGTTTCGCCGTGAGATTGTATGGATAGTCAAATACCAATCCATCTGTGGTAGGTTTTGTTGTTGCAGTAATGTCCCGGTTCAAGAATACGATGACATTGTTCCCTGCATGCATTCCATCAGCGTCTTGCTTCCCGACAGACAAAGAGTCGTACCAGAAGTGTCGTTGGCTGAGTGCCATCCATTAGGAGACGAGAAAGTATCCACCGGGTCAACAAAGAGTGTCGTCCCCTCTTGCGAGATATCGTGCAACCGAGGCGGAACAGCCCGATATGCTGCGCGTGACGAGAAATTGTTTGCACCTAGTACACGCCCAGTAGTGTCTTGTGCGTCTACAAATGCTTCGTACACATGCATATCCTGCTCTTCGCCCTCTTCGTCGAGCGTGATCGAGTTGATTACGACAACATAGGTCAAGGTCAGAGTTCCATCTTCTTCAACGTAGTACTCTAGCTTGACTGGGCGCTCACTGTAGGTTCCGCCCATTTTGGCAGCAGCTACCTTGATTGCCGTCTCCTCGGAGATCGTTGGCTGGGTCGGCAGGGTAGCAGCTGCAGAAGTAGAACCTGTTGACGAATCAAAGCTCGTCCCGAAGGCAATAATATCCTTGTCGGTATTTAGCCCAACGTTTGCGACAGCATTGGCGACCGGTATTCCATTGACAGTGCGCTGCACCCAGACGTGACCTCCGGTGTTTGTAGGTGCTGAGGACTGTATACGATATTCATCAGTCGAAAGACCAAGTTCAGATTCGATAAACGCTGTTGCAGCTTCTTCGAACGTCCCTCTTTTCCGCAATGGTGATGGGATGCCCTTTCCAAATGTCTTATAGATGGCAGGCGGATGATTCGACGATTGAACAATCTCCTCTCGCGTCTTGAGAAGATGGGCCCGCGATAAGCGGCGGTGATGGTGTCGGTGGGTATCAGCTGCTGTGGCTAGTCCGACTGAATATAGGGAATACGAAAGGAGAGTGAGGTGAGTCAACAACATTGGCGTTGACTTTTCTTGATAAAGGAATGTGGGTCTCGAGTTTCTAAAGGGAGGATACACGAAAACACTCAGCTTAAGTAGAAGGCCCTGCGTAAAAGATTTACGTTATTCGGCGAAATGGTGCCACACAGGCTGGCTTCTGTCTCCAGGATCATCACTGCCGTCTGCTTCGTCTGACATGCTGGCGCTGTTTCCTCAAGGTGAAAAGGCGACTTCGAACGTTTGTGGGAACATGCAAGGGCCAGTGGCTTAAGGCGCTGTAGATCCGAATAATGGGCCCGATCTCTGCGGATATATGTGGCAACTGTTTATTACCTCTCCGTGACTCGTCAGCGGTGAACCGAGTCGTTGAGATCAATCTGAATACGAGTATTTGCTTGCCAAATAATTTACGTCCACATAATCTGGGCCCAATGACCTCCCAACTTGAAGACGCAGCTCTATGTGAGCTCGAGTCCAGCGTCTCTAGACAATGTCGCGACCACCGAGGCCTGCGAATTTGTTCCAGGCGCCGGACAGGTGATTCTCTCGGAGCCGAGAGGCCCTGGCCGGTATTCACTGACCTCGGTGATAAGGAGAGTTATTGCCTTTCTCACTGAACAGCAAGGCCTAAAGAACCGAATCGAAACTAAAGAAGTCCGTCCTCGTTGATAGATGGCTATCAATGCCTTACACAAACAGCCGTATTAGGCCAGATATCTGCGCAGTTTAAAAATCTAGTCATCCATCAGTGTACATCCGCAAACTCGTCAGCTCTCACTCACGCATTCCAACCCGCAATCTGTTCACCGCTTAAACCATATTTTGCACCTATTGACGCACACGTCTCGGTGCCAACAGTGCGAACTGTTCTCGTACAGCCCATCCACCCTGCCGGAATACACAGCGTTGTTGATGTCCACAAGTCGCTACACGTAACAAATGCTGCGAACTCCGGTAAGCAAAGTCTAGCATTGGCAAAAACATACGCACAGTTGGCAGCCTTGATTGATCCTGCCGGCAGACCATAGTTGAACTCGATCGAGTCACATGTGTCGCCACTGACAGTCGCATAGGTCGCTGCACACGCTGGCGACGTCGTGGTCGGAGCAAGGCTCGGTGGTGAGCACGGCAACTGGAGTTGGGTCCATGGCCAGATATCCACGCAGTTTACAAAATCTATGCTCATGAGCTATTTCTCCTGGTTATCAGTCAGACAACATACCGTTCATCGCTTTGACTGATCCAGGGGGTATCCCTAGCTTGGTCTCGATCGAAGCGCATGTATCTCGATCGACGGACGTATATGTTTGCACGCATGCCGGTGTTGAGCTTGTTTGCGTGGGCGTAGGATTTGCCGAACTCGTCGACGCCTTGGAGTCCATACACTCGTCAGGCACTGTAAAGTCATCCGTATATGTCGGTGAGTTTGTTGCATTGATACCCAACCCGCGCGAAGCAAATGCTTTCCAGATCGAGCACACGTGAATGCCATTGTATCGCGTCCTATCACCTACACGCCAACGTTACCTCTAGGGTCTGTTCGGCACAACTACAACCTTACCTTGAATCCAGGCGTCCCGGGCTTGTAACACTGTGGATCGTGAGCAAATTATCCTCTATTCTTCGTGGTGATCTACTTGTTGGATTGCATGGCTGCAATAATAGCCCATCCATAAAGTTACGCATGAACACGACGTTCCCCGCCGGGGAATCCGCATTAGTGAAGGAGTCACCCGTCCACCCACTGCCAATCAGCCCAGTTTAATCAGCCGGAATCAAAAACGCACTAAGCTTTGACGACTGTATGATGATTAGTATAGTACTCAAGACGAGGAGAAGGACATACGTTCCGCATAAACGTTATGAAGCATCTACAAGTAGTCAATACCATTAGGTGCCATTGAATAGTGCACACACATTGGCCCATACTTCTCCCAAATCCTATTCTGATCAGCATATGCATCTGAAATATTCTAGGCTTACATGGGGTGCGGTTCGGTAGTTAAGGCTGCTATACTTGAGCGGGTTGACTCCCCTGTAGTTGGTCTTAGCCAGCGCTTGGCATATCACTGAGTACGCACGGATCCGTGGAATACGGATAAGAGCGGAGACCACCAGGGCTATTGTTGACCCATCTACCCTCTCTTGAGCGACGGCGCGAAAAGAATATGGAGAACATACGCGCCAAAGACGTAGTCTTTCACATTCCCATCAGATTGTTCCATCCAGTTTGCGTATGCGTCGCTCCATCCTTCGCTCTATAACAGTCAATCAACTCAAACCTCTCTTTTGATGCTCACCAAACCTGTCCGGAGTCAGACTAATGGAGTGGGAGATGGCAAACGAACCGTTGGCTTCAGTCGTCTGAAGGCATCTCACAGTGCCACCCTATCATCCAAATGAGACATGTTCCCGCATGTAGATACCACGTACTCCTGTCATGCGACTCGTAGTCCCGTGAGTCTGCTCATGCGCAACAATCTAGAATGAGTCAGCCTCTCCCGCAAAATCTCGGTATAACGAACATCATTAGCAACTGCACTATCCCTTGAAGGCATGCTTCGTGTCCAAACAAACAATTCTGCCTAGATTAGCACGCATGTGGATTCCCTGAGCTGATAGACGCACGCATGAGCGCGCCACTTCCACCTGATTCCTCGGGAAACGTCGTGAATCGCGCATTGTTCTTGGCACTCGCGTCTTGCACAGACACTCGAATTCGATCACCACCTATTCCACCTTTGCCAAAGTTATCTTGCTGAAAGTTGAATGTGGCCTCGGTAAATCCGTAACGATAATTGATCTGCATTTCATTAGCCCCCGAGGTTATAATAGGATAATGAACTATATGGCACGCACGTCGTGGATCAGATTCGATAGATAGAATGCGGCAGTTTTGGCTGCCTCGGGATTGAGGCCATCAGAGGGTCTTGAGGTGAGATTGTATGGATAGTCGAAAACTAGTCCATCTGCACTGGGTTTTGCGGTCCTGGTGATATCCTGGTTCAAGTACACGATTGCATTATTGCCTGGAATCATTCTATTATTAGCCCACTTCCGCACGGGAGGAGAGACACACCAGATGTATCGTTAGCCGAGTGCCATCCATTCGGAGATGAATAGGTGTCCACTGGGTCCACAATCAGCGTTGTGCCTTGCTGCGAGATGTCGCGCAAGCGAGGGGGAACAGCGCGGTATACGGCGCCCGAAGAGAAATCATTTGCACCTAATACGCGTCCAGTGGGATCTAAGGCGTCAACAAACGTCTCATATACGTGCATATCCTCTCCCTCTTCGTCAAGGATGGTTGAGATGACCACGACGACATAGGCTAGTGTCAGGCTTCCATCTTCCTGCACATAGTACTCCAGTTTGACTGGGAGTCCACTGTATGTTCCAGCCATCTTCGCTGCTGCTGCATTGATCGCCGCTGTGTCGGAAATCGCTGGCTGCGTAGGCGGAGAGTCTGGTGGAGAAGTAGAATACGCTGATGGATCAAAATTTGCTCCAAAAGCGATGATATCCTTGTCGGTATTGAGCCCGACATTTGCAACTGCATTGATAACCGGGACTCCATTGACGACGCGTTGTACCCAGACGTTTCCTCCAGTTGTCGTAGATGCAGAGGCCCGTACGCGATACCCGTCACTTGAAAGCCCGAGCTCAGACTCGATAAAGGCCGTAGCGGCCTGCTCGAGCGTCCCTCGCTTCTTCAATGGCGACGTTGTTCCCTTTCCGAACGTTCTGTAGACAGCTGGTGGGTGATTCGAAGAACGAACAATCTCTTCTCGTGTCCGGAGGATATGGTTGCGTGATAAACGGCGGTGCTGGCCTTGTCGGTGGGCGTCAGCCGCTGTGGCGGTTCCGAATAAATAGATCGAGAAGTAAAGGAATGTCAGGTAAATAAACAGCATTTATTGTGTTTGATTCGACGAAGGAGTGTGGGGGTAAGGTTTGTCGGGAGATTGTGTGAAAACTTGTTAACCTGGGCGGACCTGTTTATTGTTAAACGGCGAAACATCGACGTGCATGCTGTCTCGATGCGCCCGTTGCTTCTGGGCGCAGGCGAGATCAATACGACGAGTGCCTAGTTCCTGGTTGATCCGGCATGTGCTCGCTCTTACGTTTCCGACTAGGACCAGAGGATGGTTTGGAAAATGCCTACATATTCTCAAGACACGTCTCAGGAGTGTAGTTGAGAGCCCAGAGTGGGCAGGTCCAAAGTGATGGTTGAAATCCCAAATGGCCTGGAATAGACTACAAAAAGCTAAAACTGAATCAAAGCTGCTTAGTGGAACTAGGTGACCGGGGTATTCCAATCGATGCTCTAAGCGGAGTGTGCGTGGATTGACCTGACGATTGTCTAGACTCGACTCCTCTATATATAACCAGAACGCACTAACGTCATCAGATTCCCTAGTGAGCGCTACAATACCTGGAAAACACGTTTACTCAGGAGTCTTCCCAACCCGCTATCCGTCGCATTTACAGTCCCATGCAGTATTTGGAAGCGCTTTGTAGGATATTAATCTAACTACAAATGCTGTACAAGATTGAGACGCGCTGGTTGCACATAGAGCAGGCGCTCTCGAGATATCCCAAGAGAGGGGAGTGGGGGAAGGTTCGGGGGGAGAGTAGTGTCCGAGTAGTACCAATTATGGATAGTATGTTTGTTGTCACAGTGTATCGTGACGGTGTGTTTGATCGGTTGACAATGAGCGGTAGTTCCAAAAGAATGTGAATAGTCCGAGTCAATAGTCCTTGGTGAGCCTAAACTCCAAGCTTTCGCGCATCACGCGAGCTTAGTGTCTTACGCAAAGCGGCGTGTTGGTCCACACGTCGTTGCAGTTCAGCCAGCTTGGATTCCTATGAGACAAAATATGAGCATCAAGGACTGAGTTTGAGCAGGGAACGTACCAAGCTTGAAGTTGAGCCACAGTGATACCGTAGCGGGAAGCAATCGCCGAGCAAGTGTTGTCACCGGCAACGGTCGAAATCTTGAGCGTGCACCCAGTTCCTCCAGGAGGAATGCAAATAGGCGTCCATGCCCCTACAAAGCAGTCAGAACCATGCATAGTATGTCATCAAAGCAAACGTACAGATGTCGTTGCAATTCAAAAACGAATTGGCAGCCAAGATCGAGCCGGATGGGAGCTCATAGTTGTACTCAATCTTCGCGCAGGTATCACCGGCGACGGCAGTGTACGTAGAGACGCAGGTCGGTGCAGGTCCACTGGTGCTGGTGCTTGTAGGCGTCGTAGTAGTACGGGTCGTCGTTGAGCCTCCGGGAGGGATACAAATTGGCGTGTTCACCCCTAGCGAAGAATGAGCATCGTTTTCGGAAACCATGAACATGAATAGACGTACAAATATCTTGGCAGTTCAAGAACGAGTTGGCAGCCAAGATTGAGCCAGACTGGAGGCCGAACTGACCCTCGATGCTCGCACATGTGTCACCGGCCTTGGAGGTGTACGTCTGAACGCAGGTCGGCGCAGGCGTAGAGCTTGTGCTGGTCGACGTGCGAGTAGAAGTAGAGGTCGAAGTTGTCCGCGTCGTGGTCGTCGTGGGTGGGTTCCATGTGCCACCGCAGTACCAGGTCGAATCACGTTCAGAGCGTTGTTGAACCACAAGGTAGGGGTTGGTGTCGAGACATTGAGCTACGGTGACGAGTCTGACACCTCCCCGAGACAAAGTGCCGACAGTACCCGCGTACATGGCGTTATACCCGGAGGGCGAGGTCTCATGTGAGAGCGTCATGTGAGGGCGCTTAGGGTTCTCGTTGGCAAATGCATTATAGAAGTTGATTGACTGCTGGGTCGAGCCGCCGGTCGAATCTCCAGAATCGTCTGACCAGAGGACAATGGTCTTTCCGTGCCTTTGTTGAATATACGATGCCGTACGCTCGTCGATGTCACCATAAGGCGGCCTGTGAAATAACTTTAGTGAGGTCTAGTGACGGAAGCGAAACTTTACCTCAAGAACTTTGGAACAACACCCACGATCTTGAGGAAAGCTTCATCGAGGCGCTGGATCTCAACGTCAATTTGGGCCTCACTAAGTTGGGTGAGATGAGCATGGGACCACTAGAGAAATTCTTAGTGCCAGAGAGAAGGTGTTTGAGATGAAACGGACCGTGTGAGAGGCAATTTGATGGCCTGCGTCGAAAGAGGCACGGATGGCCTGGACATTGGCCTGATCATAGATGCACGACCAGTTGTCGCCATTCATGAAGTAGGTCGTCTTGCCATTGACCTGGTTGAATGCATTGGTGATATCGTTGTGGGCAGCTACGTGAATCAGTGAGTGCAGGCTCTTGGCATGAGATTGAATTTACTGTATGGTCCCTGTAGGAAGCAAACGAGGGTCTGTGTTAGTAACCGTATTTCAGTGGATTAATAGACTGACATCGTCCCTATAGCCGCGTGAGCCACTCTCCAGTTAGTAGAAAGTAGTACGTACCAGGTGTAGGCAAAGTCATGGTTACAGTTCGAGATGACCTGGTCCATGCCCCGCTTTACAAAGGGAGCAGCCTTGACCGAGACGGAGGCAGCGACAAAGAGGAGGAGTGACGCGAACATATTAGGGGAGTAATGAGTGACAGTGAGTAAAGAATGACAGAGGGGTAGGATGCCCCAGAGAGAGAGAGAGTGAGCGCAAGGGAGACGATGAGGTCCGTGTTTGTTGACTGGCCCACATGCTTTATAGGTACTTCGAGGACGGAAGAAGCTTCGGCATCAAAACTGGATGCACAGCACCCCCCGGCTCGGTTCATTCTCGCGGCCATCTGATCGTCGTCAGAGACTATAACCGGGCAAGAAAATACCCAACTGTTGATCATTATCGAGACTCTCAACAAGTAGAGAGATTTGCAAGTGGCGTTTTTACGCTGTACCACAGGCATGGCCGTGAAGCCGTTGACGTGGTACCATATGCCTTTTCCCAGCCGCCGCCGGTTCAACAAACCAGAAATCACTTTCCATCGTCCTTCACAGCGCTTGTAAGCCCTATTCTGCCTCGGGCTTCCTCCAGTCTCGCCCCCTCTAGCCCCCGAACTTTCTCACCCTCCGCTCGGCTCGCATCTATTGACTGTATCTCGTCTCATAGTATTGCGTTCTATTTCGGGAAATTTCCGAAGCCGTCTGTGATTGATTCCTCTGCCTCAACCGGACTTAGTCAAGCTCAAGAGCGACTTCCCCTGACTCTGAAACAGGGAGCATCTATAATCTCTCTAATCACCTTTGAGGGTTTTCCACCATGCTCCGCCGCCACCACTTGACTGCTTCCCACCCCTGGCATTTGAAGAAGCGTTCCTTGTCCTGCCTTGAATCTGTGTCCGCTCGTTGCGTGTGACCACTACGGAAATGCCACTGCTTATACCTTGTTTCTTCTTCTTCTTGGCAGGCCCTGCCGTGGATAGGGCCCCTTTTGGGGTTGATGCCTTATGTAGATCTGGTGCTTTCGGCTTCTTGGTAATATTGATGCTAATGTCCGAATCTCCCTCTTCTGGCTGTCCATCTTCATCTGGCGTCGGGAACGAGCGAACCTCCACGGTGCTGCTGACCGGCTGATTGACCACAGAGCCCAGAGACATTGGAGGATCGACTGTGACTGGTCCACAAGTTAGATACAAGCATTCTTGGACTAAGGTGGCCTATTTACCTTTTATAGGCTCCTTAAGTGTGCCGGGGCTTTCCCATTGCTTCCTGTACATTCTGTAGAGCGCCATGGGGGCACGGGCATCAATGATACTACTGTGCTCTCCCTCTTGAATGTTTATGTCAAAGACAGCCTTGACAAGCTTCCGTAGGGCAGGCCTGCTCGACTTGGAAAGAGCTATGTATTCTTCTCTTGAGTATTCAGTACACAAGACCTCGAGCCAACTCACTCTTGAAGACCTTGAAATTTTGTGTGTCCCGTGTCTTTGTCCATGGATGACTGAGTAGGAGCGCGGATAGATCGTTATGTAGTGCATGACCCACTAGGTATCGGTCATTGAGTAGCTCAGAGACCATAGCCTGAACCTCGCCAAACGACTTTGCTGGAAGATCTTAGTAGTTGGTCTCACATATGATAGCACTCGTACCGTTGACCATGTCCTCTTTTCGCACCCCACTGACCGCGGTTCTCCAGTCCGTGACAGCTTCCTGCGGGAGAACGAATTCGTCGAGCACAACATCCCCAACATAATTAACGACTGTGACTCGCGCGAGGGCACTCTCTACTCCAAACGGACCTACACCGACCATCTCGCAATCCATTGCAATAAACTTGGTAGGCCTACGACACAGTTAGTCCTCTATCCCTCAGAAGCGCTAGTTTTACATACTTTGCGCGCTCTTTGCCTGAGCTTGGACGCAGGATCATCGCCACGAGATTCTCTTTCGAGTCGGGGTCGCCAACAATCGTCGGCTTTGAGTGCGAGTGAGTTTCTGGTTGGACCGACGTGCTCATAGAGTGTAGGTTTTTATTACTTGACGCGTATGCGAGTTGACCTGCTCTACTTAGAGATGTAGACCCAGCCGTCTTCCTTCGTTTGGGTGCTGGTCCATCTTTTGAATTACTCGGAAGTGACTAATATAAAAGGTGAGATGCATTGTCATAGAAGGGAATGCCTTTGAAAGCTCGTACGCGTTTTAAGGCCAGCCAATTTGCGGACGGCGTCGTGGTCGAGGTCATCAATTCTACAAACGAGTGGCCAAAATATCGATACAGTCGATTTTTTATGAGTGCAAAAACAATTTTCATACACGTTGAGAGTGGCCAAGGTCAAAGCATTTCACCACTGGTTCATGTTTTGATATGGAGTTTATTTCAAAGTCTACCGTTTTACTTTCTTTGTACTCCGCTTCTCGCTCTTCGTCTCCTCACGCGGCCGCTTCCCCTTGCTCTGCTGAGCCTTTTCTTGCTGCAAGATGGTTTCCGCTTGTCGTATGGCCTTACGAAGCAGCCTTTTCTCACCAGTACGTACAAAGACTGCGTTGTGCAGCCGACTATACTTGTCTTGGAGATCAATCAACATCTGCTCATCTGCCTGAAAGCCATTTGAGAAATAATACTTGACGTCCAGTGGCCATAGGCATACCTCTAATGCTGTCCCATATTGATTCAACCTTTGTTTATACACCTGAAGGGCGCCCTCGAGTAGCTCTCCGGTCGGCTTACCCTTCGGGAGCTTGTCCTTTTGCAGTGTGTCGTCGACTTCCTGTTCGGACATTCCAAGGAATTTGATAATGCCAAGCAACGGCTTGCAGAGAGGGTCATCATTGTCAATCACAAAGGTGCTGTCGAAGTGGTTAGTATCGTCTAGCCGTATATCATTGTACCCACTCTTCTCCTCCCAGCGTCAGCCAGTCATCTATCCTTCTCGTGCGTTCCTTCCCGTGTAGATGTGGAGTACAAACATCAAAAACGAGATCTGCTCGTATCTCGACTTCGTCTGCGGGATTCTCAAACGGATATACTCCGACCTCGGGATTCAAGATTGGTATCCTGTCAATATGACCATATTGACGTAATAGGTCGGCATTGGGGGGGTCACCGTACGTGTTCCAGATCTGTTCCCCAGCAGGGATATCCTTGGTTGCGATCATATTGAGGTGATCCTTTTCGTAGAATAATTTAGCCTGTACGAGGGTGAGCACGTGGGATAAATGGCTTGATAGACTCACGTTATGGCAGCCATATCTAGCGTTTAGTATGTCGGCCATAGGAACCATATTGACATCGTCTGGAGACTCGGTGTCGCTCTCTGCATCGTCATCTTCACCTCCTTCTGGACGCCCTTCATCTGTGTCCATTGCATCGGGATCCCTGCTCATTTCGACCGGCTTGTGGTCGGGTTCACTTGGGATGGATTCATCATCAGATGCATGCTCATCATGCCACTCTTCTACGTGGAAACTACGAGAGAGAATGCGACTGCCATTGATGTGAAAACGTTCGAGGGTGAAAAATGTATCTCTTAGCGCGGGTTCGAAGACGTCAGTCCGTCTCTGTATATAATGTAAGTGGGGAACTTTGATGATATCAGAACAAAGCGAACTTGCAGGAGTGGGAGCACTCGCTCGTGAAAATCCTTTTCTGTGGCAGCCTTGCCAATCTTGTCTGTAGTATATTTTAGAAGAGGTTGAGATGTTGAAGCAGCATACTAGCCTCGAACGGTACTAGCTTGGAGTTGTTCAAGCTCTTCATCAGTCCAGAACATCAAGGTATCAAATTTTGTTGGGAGATCTTGTAGGTATCCTGACCATGGGCTATCTTTGACCCTTGAATCTTCGTACATCATGGAGAGGATAAGTCCCTCCCATCCTTTGAGAGTCGACCAATCTTCGTCGCCCAAGATGTCTCGCAAAGGTGCCGTTCGAGTGGAGAGGAGGATGCTCCTTGGAACCGTGAAAAGCACCGTGTCTTTCTTTTTCGCGTTAGAGCTCTTACCGCAAGAGGATAAATAGGTCCATACCTGAATATCGTGGAGGGCCACTGCTCCTCGGCCCACGCCTTCAAAATCTTTGATCCCAACTGCTGGATGAAGAGTTGCACCAGAGTCTCGAAACCATTTCAAAAACTCTTGCGTGGATTCTGAAACCATGGCTGACACGGTCGAGTGGAAAGGTGCGAGCACGGCGGGGGACAAATAGAGTCTGAACTTTGGACCCATATGAGCTCACGACGCCCAGACTACCAGTCAAAATTCTCGTCAAAGGGAGCATTTGACACGCTCACTGTCGAGGATTTGCCTAGTGAGGAAGAGGAAGATGCCCCCGTCATAGTCGAGCCAGAAGCTCCAGCTCCTCCAGAGCCAGCGTACGCCTCCAATGTTTTCTATATTACTGACCAAATGATGCTGATACTTGGAATCTCTTTGTAGTCCCGTCGTGGAGACACCGAAACCTCTGACGAAAGCACAACAAAAGAAGGCCGCAAAGGCCAGCAAACGCGAGCAGCAAAAGGTCCCATCGCCTATTGTCACCAAGGATCCTCTTCCTGCTCCTGAAAGGACGAGTCCGACACGTGAAAACTCGTTGGGAGCTGGTCCCAGTACACCTTTACCGCAGCCGATACCGCTACGGGCACGTTCGCGTTCTCCACCTGGGAGCATAAGCATTCCAGCAGAGCCAGCATTCACACCAAACCTCCCAAATGATCTGCCCCACCCTTCTCAAAAATTGGTCCGCAAACGCAAGGCGTCTACAGACTTGTCTGCCGCCAATTCCAAAGAATCCAAAGTAGAGATTGAAGTCGAGAACGTGGATAGTCATGAGAAAGTAACGAGCATTCCGGTCACCGTGGACGTGTCCAGCTCAGCTCCGGCCGGCATCACCCCTGAAGGACTGAAGAAGCGCAAGGATACAGGGAACAGGATTATGAGTGGCCTAGTCCTCATCGGCGGTTTCCTTGGTTCGTTCTCGACGTCGCTATTAGATTTGTGGCTAACTTTACGTCCAGGTCTGCTACTCGCAGGTCATATCTACATGATCATGCTCGTCGTTGTCATTCAATCACTCGTCTTTCGCGAGATCACGCAGCTCTTCCAGGGCATCCGCGATCCATGGAGCAAGACGCTTAATTGGTACTTCTTTGCCATTGCAAACTATTACTTTTACGGAGAAACTATCATCTACTACCTCAAGGTATGTGTGGACCTGATAGCAAGCGACCGATACTCACTACCGCTACAGCATGTGCTATTTTCAGAAGCCGTTTTCCACCCTTTTGCTGCGAACCATCGATTCATTAGCTTTATGCTCTATGTATTTGGTGTGTGCCATCTGGGTGCCTGTTACCCTGCTGACAATCAAAAGGCTTCATGGGATTTGTCGCCTCCCTCAAAAAGAATTACCTCCAACGACAATTCTCGCTCTTTGGATGGGTTCACATGACGCTGTTGGTCGTCGTTGTGTCCAGTCACTTTATCGTCGACAATATCCTCGAGGGTATGATCTGGTTCTGGTTACCAGCGTCACTTGTCATTTGCAACGACATCTTTGCATGGTTCTGGGGTAAATAGAATTTCGCTCCGGGGGACTTGGCTGATGTCTTGTAGGTGTCACGCTCGGTCGTACCCAGCTCTTTGCACTCTCTCCTAAGAAGACTGTCGAGGGGTTTGTCGGTGCCTTCTTTAGCACGCTCATCTTTGGTTTCTTCTGGGCTAGCTTCTTCATGCGATACGATTACATGATTTGCCCTGTCAAGGATCTCGGTGCCTCCGCATTTAGCGGACTCACCTGCAAACCCAACCCGGTGTTCGTGTGGAGAGATTTCAAACTGACTCAACCAGCCGTTGCGATTGCGTCATTCTTGGTGAGTTTGACTACGTTAGGTTGCGTCAATACTCAGATCCATCATAGGCAGGACGAACAGTGACGACGATTCCCTGGGCACCCTTCCAGTTCCATGCACTCATGATGGCTACATTCGCCTCGCTCGTCGCACCGTTTGGCGGCTTCTTCGCCTCTGGCTTCAAGCGCGCGTTCAACATCAAAGACTTTGGACACAGCATTCCTGGACATGGCGGAATGACCGACCGGATGGACTGCCAGTTCCTGATGGGCATGTTCTCTTACGTCTACTACTCGAACCTCATCCGCGTCAACGAAATTACGGTCGCGAGCGTCATGCAGGCCATCGTCAATGGGCTCTCGCGTGATGAGCAGATGCAGCTGCTCGGAGAGCTGAAGCGTCTGATTGGCTCGTCGGCTGGTACCTCGTAATTTCGTGGCCCATTTGGGTTGAAAGAGTATTTGGTAACTGAGACCCGCCTCTGAAAACGTGTAGTATATCGCGTTTTACTTGTTGTTTATTGCAATCGACGTCTGATTCTTGTCTATCCAAAGTCACATAGCACTGTAAGGCTTGTTTGAAGCGCACACTTTTTGGATCTGCAGAGACATTAGTGATGGGAGAGAGCAGAGACTAGGCATATTTACCTCTTGGGAAGAGAGGGTGTAGAGCTCGCCTGGGACGGTGAGTTTACCAGTAACGGCGGCGCGTGCCGTGTCGAGGGCGTGTGATACAGCACCTTGTGTGCTATACCAATATCGCACCGACTGAGTCTTCACCGTGATGATGCTGATGCGTGGGTCGGATGGAGTTGAATTGTGTACTCCATCCTGCAAGTCTGCAAAGTACCCAGAGAGCCTAACAGATGATTCATCTTAAGACTCATAGCACAGCCTCTGTAACTTACGTAGGACTCCACAGCTTCTTCACGAGCTCTGGGTCATTAGTGACGGTGGCGTGCCCAGTAATGCTAGCCCAGCTCGTCGAATTCGAGTCCAAGAAGCTAAGATGAATAAGGTTGTTCTTGTTGAGTTCTTCAAACTTGTACGAAACTTTGTTTGCAACAAATTGAAACTGGAGATTCTCTGTCGAGGCAGGGTACATGCACCGAGAGTGAAGCTCGCTTCCGTCGGTTGAGAGCGTTGTCATCATGCAGAAACGGGCTGCTTTGAGGATCTTCCCGAGTGTCTCGACTTTGGAGTCCACGGACAAGTCATTGTTCGACTGTGCGACCGTGGTGAAGGGGTCTAGATAAGCTTTTTGTTGTTGGGTGGTCATGGTTGGGGGAGTTGGGTTACATCTCATGTACATACCCTCTTTTATGCGGGACGCCTTGGAGGGATCGCATGACGTGAAGGAAGAGTCATTCACGATCCGCATACCTTCGCTAGAGGGATCACTCCCTCAGCCTCTTAGGGTGACAAAGGGAATGTACTCGTTTAATTGCAGTGTAGAAATACAATTTATGCTTGCTTGTTCAGACCAAATACAAGCTGGAGCTACGGGGAGATGAGAACGAGGAGCGACTTGGATGAAAGGACGGACCTCTTCTGGCGTAATGGTTCTGATCTCGCCAGGTGCAGTGAGCTTTCCGGTGATAGCACCCTTGGCATGCTCCATAGCTCGGCCAACGGCACCGCTTGTCGCCACCCAATAGCGAATCTCTGTCGGAACCACCTTGATGATACTCACCCGTGGATCATTCGCGTCTCCCTTATGAACGCCTTTTCAAGGTCAGCAAAGTATGCGAGATGGAAATGGGCTGACTGACCATCTCCAAGATCGGAAAAGTACCCTGCGACACTGTAATTTGGTTGGAAGTGTAGATGAAGCCAGTACGGCGACTCACTAGGGACTCCAGAGCTTCTTGATGAGTTCTGGGTCACGGCTGACACTGGCAGTGCCTGCGACCGACGCCCAATTCGTCGTTTTCGTGTCCACAAACGAGAGATTGACGTGACTGTCTGCAGAGATTTCCTCAAACTTGTAGGAGACGTTGTTTGCCAGGAAGAGGAACTGGAGGCCCTCTGTGCTGGATGCGGTCATGCACCTGGAGTGGAGATGGCCGTCTGGAGCGCGAGTGACGAGCATGCACATATGTGTGGCCTTTATAATCTCGTAGAGGCCGTCAATCTTCTTCTGGGGGGTAATCTCGTCATTTTCGGCTGCAGCGGTGTACGGGTCAAGGAAGTCCTTTGCTTGCGATGTCATGATGGAGGAGTTCAAGTTGTGAATCCTCTTGGAGCTGCCTGGTGGCCGATGACGCGCACAGATGCGATGGCCACCGCCGCTCCTTCGATTACCGTGAAATGTAGAATGCCACACCGACGAGGAGCATCATTCACCAGATAATTATTGTAGAATGCGCTGTTGCGTTTGTTCGATAGCTGCGTTGCGTAGTGCAAATGAGGTCATGGACCAAGTTGCATCTTGTCCTCGACCTCTTCTCGCCTTTTCTCCAATGGACGCCAGGATGCACCAACAACGCCCAATCGCTGGGTTTTCATCTCCTGTAGTCCCAAGGGCTCGTCCTCTCGTCAATGGCGCGGCAGGAGCAGCCGCTGCAAGCCGCATCCCGCCGTCTCTCCAGGCCAAAATGGCTGCTGTACGTGTCTTTCATCGCTAGAATTACCAAAAGGCTCATCTACGTGTTATCCGATACTACATCTTTCTTCAGTTGGCCAACAAGTCACAGCAGGCGACCACGTCCAATAACCAAGCAATGGATGCCACAGTCCACGCTCTTATGCGTGCTACACTGGCAGACAAACCACCCCTGCATCCTAACGGAACACCTGCGCTCTCCACTCCCGGCCTTGGGACAAGTCCAGTCGGCCGTGGGCCGCCATCCGGTATCGGTGCACGCCGTGCTAAGCCGGGCATGAAACTCAGCGACATGTCTGGCTTTGGTGGTGCCGCAGAAACCTTTGGGCTTAGGGCTGGTCGTCCCGCAAGCCCTGGTCCACCGGCGCGACGTGCCCCTCCTCAGGGCAATTTGGGCACACCCTTTTCCAGCTTTTCCAAGATTGTGTGAGTATTTTCATCCCCATATCTGTTCTTTGTCCCTCTTGCGACGACCATTGTCCCACGTATTTTCATTAGCCACCCCTTTTCTGTCCAGCGCTTTTTGTGACTAATCCTGGTTCGTAGGGACCCTTCCGGCGCGCTCAACTTTAATGGAAAGGCCATTCTTCACGCAAAGGGCGTCGACTTTTCCAGCGGGGCCTCGTTTAGCATCAGTATGAACCAGTTTGAACTCGAAGACGAGCTGGGCAAAGGAAACTATGGCACTGTCAGAAAGGTGCTTCACAAGCCCACCAAAGTCGCTATGGCCATGAAGGTCAGTTCTTTGTCATCCTCCGCAGTCTAAAGCGCTGCGTGGAAAAATCATCCGTTCGCTTGGCTGGCGTCTGACAACGAAGATCCACAGGAAATCCGGTTGGAACTTGAGGATCAGAAGCTCAATGCGATCCTCATGGAACTCGACATCCTTCATCGCGCGGTTGCACCGGAAATTGTCGAGTTTTATGGTGCTTTCTTTGTCGAGGGTTGTGTCTACTATTGTATGGAGTACATGGACGCCGGATCACTGGACAAACTTCAAGGCGCCGGCATTCAAGAGCCTGTGCTCGCCCGCATCAGTGGCGCAATGGTTAGAGGTCTCAAGTTTCTGAAGGATAAGCTGCAGATTATGCATAGAGGTGCGACGGAGCCTTTTATTTCCACATTTTCACCAGCTAATTTTCCACTATAGATGTCAAGCCTACAAACGTCTTGGTCAACAGACAAGGCATTATCAAGCTTTGCGATTTCGGAGTATCAGGACAACTAGAAAAGAGTCTCGCAAAAACAAATATCGGCTGTCAATCATATATGGCCGTGAGCACCTCGTACCTTGTTGTTATCTTGTTCGCTGACCCGTTACCTCCAGCCGGAACGGATCCAGGGCGAGTCTGTCAACAATCTTGGAACATACAGCGTCTCGTCAGACGTTTGGTCTCTGGGGTTGTCCATCATCGAAGCGGCCATGGGCAAATATCCGTACCCGCCGGAGACGTATGCCAATGTATTTGCACAACTTACCGCCATTGTGCAAGGTGATCCGCCCACGCTACCGGATGGCTTCAGTGATGAGGCGTGTGATTTCGTCGCGCGATGGTAATGTGCTTTCTTTGTTCAATGAACCTCCCCAAAGCTGAAACGATCAATGTAGCTTGATGAAGGAGCCCACCCGCCGGGCTACATATTCGGAACTTCTCGAACATCCATTCCTCATCGCAGACTCGAAACGCACCGACGACGAGGTCGATATGCGTGGCTGGGTCGAAATGGCCATCGAATGGCGCGAAAAGGAACGGATAAAGGCTGCTGTTACTGCGGAACTAGAGCTCTAGGTTCCACGGATCTGCTGGAATAACGTTCATGCACAAGACCTGTTGACTCCTCGTGAGGGGTACCATGGGGTGCGACCAGACTCACTTGGTCTGGACCCAGGCGCTCGTTTTCTTGGCTCCGCCGATCAATAGGTTTCAATTGCCCCAATCCTCTGTGCAGATCGTCTTGCAGCGGTCACTCGACTTCCTCGTTTTATCCCCGCTCTTGTCCACCTACACCTGACACCGCTAGCAGTCATCTGTCCATGAGCGTACAGGGCATTATGCACTGCAGTGCTACGCTGTCTGTAGGTAGGCGGGATCTACCTATGAGGTTGTCCAATTTGGACACCATTTTCGGTTACGCACCCGTATTTTCCTTCTCGAGGATGCACATAAACTGCCCTAATCTCCTCGTTACATGCACACACATTCACTCATACCCCAAAGAATACCCGCCATCCACGCTAATATATCGACAACTCGCGTTATTTACCTGTACAGCATGTAGCGTTAGAAAGGATGTCTGAACACTGGTATCTAGAAGTTGTTTGCCTTTGACTGATGCACCTGTAAGTCCCCAGCCGTGAGCTCCTGAGGGCCAATGCCAATTTGGACGGAGGCTGAAATCTTTTCTCCTGCCAGAAATCTCAATTTTTGTTGGCAGCCAATCAACTGGGTATGATAATTCCTTTATAATTCATCTTTACTGTTCTGACTAGTCGTCGCGTTACTGCACGCTGCCTAACAGGGCCACGTCGCCTCTCTAACGCAACATGGTCCACGCCGCTCCCGAAGGCCCTCTGCTGCCTGCTCCTATATCTGCAGCTGGAACTTACACCATATCCGTACGTTTCCTGATTTTTCTCTATTTATCCATTGCCCAGCGCCACATTTTTCTTTGTCATGCCTTTTGAACTCCGATTCAATTTGGCCCCCTTTCCCACTAGCATTCCGAGGCTGACTATTACCGCTTCTAGGATATTCGCGCGGGATGTAAAGTCACTATGACACGTCCTATTCCTGGTGGTGGTCAGGAAGAACGTCTAGCAGAAGTCCTTTCCATTCGCCAGAAACCCTCGCTCCGAAACGCGCCGGCGACACCCTCAAAGGATGAACCACCAGAGACGCCAAACGGGACGGGTGACTCTATCGCCGAGCGCATCGAATTCTTCGTGCACTGGCACCTCTTCAACAAGCGTCTCGACGAGTGGGTCTCTGCGACTCGTGTCGTGCTCACAAAGGACCTGGAATGGCCACGTCCCAAAGCACCACCAGCTGGATCTGCAGCAACGCCTGCTGCGGCTGGATCGCCCGCACCTTCTGGAGCAGCCACCCCGGCTCTCTTACCCCCAGGTGCGCAAAAGTCAGTGACACCACTTGGACGCGCAGGGTCTGTTTCGTTGCTCAAGAAAGCGACAATGGCCTCTGCCGCACAGGCACATGCCTCGCCATCTGGGATTGGTCAGAAGCGCAAAGAGCATCCAGACGACGTGGACGATGATGAATCTGGATCGGTCATATCTGGGAGTGCAGGAGATGGCATGGACGTCGATGACGAGCCGGGCGTCATGACTGCGGCCATGGACCCGAGCGCTGCCCCAGCTTACATGGGCAAAGAGTCGGAGATTGAAAAGCTGCGTCATTCGGGTTCCATGACACAGTCGGTTGGTGAAGTAGCGCGCGTCAAGAATCTCAACCGGATACAAATGGGTAAAGCAGAAGTCGAGGCGTGGTATTTCAGCCCATATCCAGTCGAATACGCACATCTCGACGTGCTCTATCTTTGCGAATTCTGCCTCAGCTACTTTCCGTCCCAGTTTATGCTCGGACGACATCTCAAGCGTTGCACGCTCAGACATCCACCCGGCAACGAGGTTTACCGCAGCAAAGATGAAGCCTCGGGCGAGGAAATCTCATTTTTTGAAATTGATGGCAAACGTCAGAATACTTGGTGCCGCAATCTCAGCTTACTCTCAAAGTGTTTCTTGGATCAGTAAGCTGGGTTCTGTCCCGATTAGTTCTTGCCTCTAACTGCTCATAGTAAAACTCTCTACTACGATGTACAACCCTTTCTCTACTACGTGATGGTACGCATTCATCGGTTCGCCCCAACTGATGTATATTGACACTTTTCAAGACTAGCAACGACTCGTACGGATGCCACCTGGTCGGCTACTTTTCCAAAGAAAAAGAGTCGGCAGAAAACTACAACGTGGCGTGTATTCTCACCCTGCCACAACACCAACGAAAAGGCTATGGCAAATTGCTTATCGAGTTTTCCTATGAGCTCTCGAAGCGAGAGATGAAGCTCGGAAGTCCAGAAAAACCGCTCAGTGATCTAGGTCTTCTCAGTTACAAAGCGTACTGGATGGAAATTATCATCGAGCTGCTCAACGACTGCCATGAGGATATCAGCATCGAGGAGATTGCCAATCGAACATCCATCACGCAAAATGATGTGATGTGGACGTAAGTACTTTGGATTTGCAAAAAGGCAGCGAGCTAATGATCTGCAGATGTCAACAACTCGGTCTCTTCAAGTACTACAAGGGCCAGCACGTTCTTTGCGTCACAGATCAGGCGCTCGAGCAGTACAAACGCGCCAAATCGAAGCAGCGAAAGCGCATCAGACCCGAGCAGATTGTCTGGAAGCCGCCCGTCTTTAGCCGCGACCAGCTTCGCTTTGGTTATTAGGCTGCGCAACGCTAAGTCATACATCCAGTTTCTCCTCTTAGGTGTTTGTTCAACGCACGCCACCATTAGGCGACTGTATTAGTACATGTCAGGTTATCATGCCATGCTATAAACAGAATTGATGGGAAGTACAAGAGATGAGGATCAAAAAGGACCAAATTGGAATGGTAAAATAAAATCTACTGGAACCAAAGTTCTTGTACGTCGCTGTTTGCAAAGGGTCCGTTACAAGCCGGACACTTGCGCTGACGAGTCGTGAGTCTAGCATCTATGCAGCTATGAACGCGTCAATAAGCAGTCAGATGACCAGCAGTGGACATACTCTTTGCAAAAAGCTGCGCGGGATTTGGGTCAGCAGGGTTCCGACCGGTATTGATCTACGTACTGTGCATGCACTTGGTCAATACATATTTGCGATACTGAAGCTTGCAAGTCGAACATTTAAGAATAGACTAAAAGGCGCGTCAGCAGTTGTAGGTAAACGAAAAATCATACTTCACCATAAGGCTATCTCTCTCCTTGACCAATTCCGCTTCGTAACCCGTTGCATTTGCAGCCCTTGCTTGGGCAACTTTGGCATCGGCCTGCCGACGCAAACTTTCGCATTTCTCGTTAAGCTTATTGACTTCGAGTCGATGCTTTGCAATGAGATCATCGCGCTCCAGAACTTGGGTATTGAGCTATGGAAATGATTAGGAAGCCTCGAGCCTCCACTACACTCAGGCTCACCTCTTGGACTCGGCGGTTACTCAACTCGAGCGAAGCTCGTTCCTTGTCAATCTGTATTTGAGCACGAGCGATGACTGTGTCTCGCTCTGAGATTGACTTCGCTTGGAGATGAGTCTCCCGTTCCAAGTGCGCCTAACCTCAGTGAGAATCAATGCCGAGGAAGACCAAGGGGCTCACAAGCTGCTCCTTGAGCGCCTTTTCAGAGTCGACAAGCTTGCTCTGCACAAGTGACTGTTTCTTGTTCTCCCTATCCTTGTGTTGTACGACAGCCTTGAGCGCATCTAGCTCTCGCATGGCAGCAAAGTACTTGTTGTCTGCTTTAGATTTCTAGGGAATGACAGGTCAGCTGATGCGTTGTAGAACGTAATCCACTATACCTCAGTTTGAGCTTTTGTCAGCTTGTCCTCCATTGCGCCCAAATCGAATATCTTGCTCTTAAGTTGCTTGTCCAAGTTCTCCCACAAGGCGGAAAGTCGCTCAATTTCGGTGTAGAGAGCTGTGGGTTCCTGAAATACGCATGAGATGACGAACCAATCATGATGTGAGTCTCACCTCCAAGCTCGCTTTCAGCTCTAGGCGAAGCTTTCGAAGTTCCTCCTCCTTGCATCGGAGTTGTTCACTCAGCTGTTGTAAATCGACTGACGAAGAAGCTATCGCGTCAGGACCATACAACGCCTCGAACTTTTCCAGCCTTGTCCGCAATGCCTCTGCTTGTTCTTTGGCTTCGGTGGCTACTTGTATAAAGTTTTCGACATCCGGATTACCTTGGCCTAAAGCTTTGAGGGTCGCATTTAGTGAGTTGTTGGCTCTCTGGAGCATGCTATCATACCATCAGAAACGAGGATCACAACCATGAGTAGCGTACATACTCGACACGTTCTTCTTGAGCCCGTACAAAAGACTCGTCTTGTGGGTTGCTCATGATAAAGGCAAAAAAGGTTTCTTCTCCCTCTCTTGCAGCCAAGCGAGCTTTCAGCCTGTGGTTCTCCGATACAAGCATTGCTATCCGTTCCTGTAGAGCATTAAGATATTACGTGCATAAGGGCCACTGGTACATACGCCTCGTGCATTCGCCAAAATCTTACTTTGATTGAGCGAGCCATCGCGGGTAGATTCTCGTGCTTTTCGGTCTAGTAGGTCGGCAGATAACGTGTCTCGATTTTCGCGCAGCCGTAGCAGGTCACTTTCTTTCTTCTCTAGCAAAGTTCTGAGGTCATTGACTTTGGCGTTTGCTTCAGCCTGAATAGAGCTTAACGGAAACCGCGTGGCAGAGGGAAAGTATTACCTGGGCTTGTGCCTGGAACTGGCTCCGTGACTCTTCCATGCGCAATATATAATCCCGCAGTGCCTTCACCTCTGCTCGTTGTGACTCTTCCGCCTTTCGAATAGTGTCCACAGAAGATTGGAGAGACTTATACAAGTGAAGCGACGTCAAAACTTCGCTACTAGGAGCGACGAGCTTTGGAACTTAGTTAACTATAGAAATATCGAATATGAGGTTACGAACCTGTGTTTTCAGTTTCGAAATTTGTTGTCGAAGTTCGAAATGCTCCTTTTGAAAGTCTTCGATGGTCCGCAGTCTCTCTTCGGCGCGATATTTCCATTCCTCCACTTCCTCAGAGGAGACGTGCCCATTCATATCCTAAAACTATGTGAATTATTCGTTATTGCGACCCTGGGAAACTTTACGGGAGCTGTGGTTTGCATTGGTTCGGCTTTGATTAATGTGCCGTTTCCGTTGGATTGAGAGCTGGGCTCCGGCTCTTCCTTGGGCTGAGGCTTTGCTTCCAACTTCTGCACTGTCGTACTTTTGAGACGCTCTAGACGATTCTCCGCAGTTGAAAGCAGCTCTCGGTACGTCTCAACGGACGCCACGCTCTCCTCCAGCTTCGCCTTCGTAAGCGCAAGTTCGCCACTGATGCTAGACAGCTTGATCCAGAAATTTCAGCGAACCAGACGCGATAAAATAAATGCTTCCTACCTGAGAACGAAGTCGGTGTGCCATATTTTGCAAGTCTTGCACATCTGGTCGTGCCAAGGCAGGCGTAGAGGCAACCACCGCACGAATAGTATTGACGGTGAGGCTCTCTTTTGCCTTTATCGCGTCCATGTACGCGTTTCCTATCTTTCCCTCGGCATCTACATCTTGGGCGAGCGCGAACAAAGCTATAAGGCAGGTAAACTGAGCATGCGAGCTAGAACATTGGATGATCGCGACGGACCTGATTGATCTTCAACGTCCTGGAGTTCTCCAGGTTTCACTAGTAAGCGAACCTGTTGCAATAACTGTTCTGTGATTAGTACACGATCGACTGGGAGGAGATAGCGCGTTAAACGCGAATATTATCTCGTGAAACAATTATGAATGAATATAAAGAGGCTTACCTGATCCCAACAAGTCTCTATTGCGACCAATGCGGCTTCGTAGGAGAGAGTTTTAGACTCGAGCTGAGAGACGACGTGCTGCGATCGCTCCAATTCCCGTGAATAGTGCTGCATACGTCTGTATATTGCCTCTTTGCGAAAACTCTACAAACGATGAGACAGTTGTCAGCGAGGGCTGGCTGAGAGCAATGGCAACAACTGGATGCGTCACAATGACCATGGAAATTGCAGTTTAATCTCTGGGAGCCCAATATCTCGTATGAATAATAAAAACAAAGTGTATGTTTCGGAAAGAGGATATGATACGGATCCTGCAAGCTCACCTCGATTTCTGCATTCTGTGGCTCGTCAGCGACAGCGCTAGGCGAGACAGGAGTCATTGGAGAGTCGCTAGATGATAAAAGAACACGTTTTTTGACAGAAACTGGGCCGTCGCCATCGTGTGGGCGCTTCCGTGAGTCCATAGACGGCAGTGGTAAGAGCTCAAGATGGCCAACAACGCTGGGAGAGGAGAAGACAAGATTAGAAACAATTTGCCAGTAATATTTAGCAAGATTTGTTAGCTACATCTGGGCTCATTATCCTCGCCGCTCTATCACACACATCTTTGGTTCAACAATCGCTAACCTTGTTCATCCCTTGTCCAATATCTGGTTTCTAATCTAGCATCTCCTCGATTGGCATCTTGCATTGTGTCACTGGGCTTCTGAGCGGCTTCCCTGCTGCGCCGCTCTTTGGCAACGAGATCAAGTTAGAACTCTGAGAGATTTCTGGGATAGCCGTGGGCGAATGGATTACCAAAGCTGAACCCTCGGCGTTCTAGGCTGACTGTCCAATTGTTGGTGAGCAGCAAGGCCCTTGGCCTCTTCCGTTCGGGGCCAATAATGCTCTTTTGAGCGTAATTGCAGAGAAACCATCCACAGTCGTATTCTCCTTTCATCTGAATCGGCCTTGTCGCCAGCGCGCCGGATGCAGAATGTCGAAGCCGAGGGAAAGAGCCCACAAAACACGGTCAGTACTGTCAAGTGTCTCGGTACCATTATTCTGCGCATTTTGGTGATACGCAGAGCGCCCCATTCACCAGCCAAGGTAGGAGCTGGGGGCAACTTCAATTTCAGCCGAAACCGTGCGGTGCGAGTGCCGCCGTACAGTCTCAGCAATCGTGCGATATACAAGAGTTTTAAACAACATATAATCAGTACTGTCTATCGTCCATTCTTCTCCGGGTACATCACTTGCAGGTGCTAAACTCTTCTCTCCCTCGAGCATCTTGCCTGGTCCAGACGCCGACGCTGCGAGCAGGGCACTTGAACTCTCCCCATCCATCCTCGTTGATCTTGACCTCGCCTTGATGCCAGCCAAGAACGTCTGTCCAGGTCTCCCCTGCATGCTCCTTTCCGACCTCCATCCACTTGAACCTGTAGAGACTGAGCATGACTCTAAAGTGACACAAAGCAACTAACCCTTCGTCGCCGTTACACATTACAATGGCACCTACAGGTATTCGGTAATTCTGAAACCAAGTTCCAGAGAGTACTCACATCCGTCATGCCACTCATCCCCAACTCGTACCCACCCGAGACAGTTGGGGTGGTCCCAGTAGTCACGGATTTCGCCATACGCAAACAGCTTGCGTGCACGCACAAAGTCTGCAAGCTGGCTCACGGGTGGCTGAGGATTTCCCTCTGGTCCCTCGCAGCCGTATAAGTCTCCCCAAAAGACACAGCTAGACATAGTCAGACACCACAGACATGGATTGACTAGAAACGGACGGATACCCATCGGGGCGATAGAGGATGAGCGCATAGGCCAGTGGCTTAAACCACGAAGGTACGCAGCTCTCAAGTGACTGCCCAACTTGAGTGTCGTGATTGTCCACGAGTGTCACTGCATCGATTGGCCTCTTTTGGACGACCGTCCCATCAAAGATTTGACGCATATCGTAAGAACTGCCTTGTTCACCCGCCTTTTTGAAGTTGTAGTGCAATGGAGTATCGAAAACGCTAAATTGGGTGCCAAGCTCGGAAAGATAGGTGTCAAGATCGTCGATAGAATCCTTCCAATATTCCCCAACGGCAAACATGTGGGAGGATCCAGACGTTTCACGGACGTGCTGGACAAACTTTGCGATAAAATCCCGGCTAATATGCTTGATTGCGTCAAAGCGGAAGCCTTGGGCGCCGGTCTTTATCTTTTCGTCAGTGCCGTGGCTGGTTTCAAACTCGAATGGATCCACCTCTTTCAATACCCAAGTTCCCCAGTCTAACATATCCTTCTCCACCTCTGGGTGACTGTAAGGGTATTAGCTAAAGTACCTCGGCGTTTACACTTCACTCACTTGTGGTCAATATCTGCCCCATCAGGAAGTCATAGTTCTGATTCTCGCCATCTACATGAGCCGCCCACGTCTTGCCGTCACCCTGAATACGAAAGATCGTTGTTTCTTTCGACTTATCATCGTAGTCGACGCCGGTAAAGTGATTGAAGCACCAGTTCAGTTCGCTATACTTTAACAAGTATGATTATAATGTCCATATGATGAAAGCTTCTCGCACCTTCCCCTGGCGACCTGGAAACGAGAATCCGGTCCAGCCCTGGTAAGTGTGAGTGGAAAGACTCTGCAGAAAAGAATAACCATACCTTGATATTGTGCTGCTCTCCCACATCCTGAGTGCGGTCATTGCTGTCCACCGCGCTCGCCTGCTCCATTTTGTCAATTGGCAAAGGATAACCTTGACATGGCGTACTCGAAACTTTTCAACATCATCAGCACCAAATTTGTGATTAAGAACTGCATCAATGTAGACGACTATGCCGTTCCTCCGTGCTTCGTTGATCATGGCGACTAGGTCATCCTTTGTTCCATACTTTGTTGCAGCTCCGCCCTTTTGATCAAATTCCCCGAGGTCCCAGAGGTCATATATATCATATCCGACAGAGGAGGGATTGGCCGCTTTCGTAGGAGCTACCCGGGATGAGATGAGCAAGGGATTGGGCTAGGGCTCACGAGAGATCCAGTATGCAGTAATTCCAGCAAGTGAAAGCTCTTTAGAGATCTCGTTAAACTTCTTCCAGTGCTTGCCACCTCCTTTCGTGTACCACTCAAACGCCTGTAACTGACACCGCTGCTTCAGCCTCGACAAGTGATTCTCTAGATGGCATATATACCAGGGTAAAGTTTTCATCACGCTTTCGATCGGTATATTCTGCATTTGCATGGTGGGCCATGGTCGAAGAAGAGGTCAAGCTGCGATGCGACGTCATTCTCCGATAGCAGACTTAGCAGCACCGGAGTCATGAGCAAGGCCCCCTCTGGAACGTAAGAACGTTGAACTCGAGCCCCTATAATACTTTTTGTTAACATGGTCGATAACCAAGTTTGACCGCCACCTTGACGGATGGATGACCTGGTGCTCAACATTTCCTTTGATGAACCAGTAGCAAAGAAGAGATCAAACCTATCAAATAAGTATGGTCGCACTCTTGAGAGTCTCACTTCTCTAAAAGTGCCCAGCAGCCACGACAAGACCCCGAAAAAGCGGAAAGCACCAGATAACCCAATACAAGGTGCCTCAAACCAACCAAAGAAGCGCAGGAAACTTGAAGAAGGTACCTCTACGCATGTGCAAGCAGCCTCGGCTGCAGTCAAAGCACCAAGGCATATCGTCTCCTCTCTCTTCACCTCAAATCCGCTGGTGCCGAAAGCATCTACAAGTTTGCCTATATATACCACTCCGGCTCTTCCAAGCAATGCCCCGTTGACCGATTCGTCGACATTTGAAGGTGTCGGCTTGCACAAATTATTGATCAATCACTTGCAAGGCAAGATGAACATCCAGAAACCGACTTCAATCCAAAGAGCCGCTCTCCCTCATCTTTTACGTCCATACGATGACAAGTCACCACCGCCCGACATCTTTTTGCAGTCGCAGACTGGCTCGGGAAAAACATTGGCATTTCTCCTCCCCATCATCCAAGATCTCCTCCCACTCAGCTCCCTCTCGTATATCGACCGATCCATCGGTACGCTGGCGATCATCATTGCCCCAACTCGAGAGCTCGCGAAACAAATATCCGACGTATTGGAGACGCTTCTCAAGATGCGACTAAGAGAGTCACAGGAAATCTCAGACGATACCGAGCCGCGACTAACACGATGGCTCGTCTCCGGACTTCTATCAGGAGGCGCCACCAGAGCCCATGAAAAGGCTCGTCTACGAAAAGGCTTGCCTATCCTCGTCGCAACCCCCGGAAGGCTGTTGGATCATTTACAAAACAGTACCTCGTTCAACGTCGGAAAGTGTCGGTGGCTGGTTTTGGACGAGGCTGACCGGTTGATGGACCTTGGGTTTGAAGAAACCATCCAAGGGATCCTGAAAGGACTCGACGGCCGGAGGAAGCTCGCCATGAAAGCAGTAGAGCAAGGCCAAGGAATGGAGGTTGGTGGATGGGAGTGGAGGGAGAGACGAACAATCCTTTGCTCGGCCACAATCAGGGAGGACGTACAAAAGCTTGCAGGGACGGCCCTCAAACGACCAATCGTGATCAGGGGGAGCTTAGATGACCCAAATGATACCCAGCCGGTCCAGGCACAGTCACAGGCGGAGCATTTCGCACCTCCATCTCAGCTTAGCCAAAAGTACATCGTGACGCCGCTCAAACTTCGACTAGTGACCCTCGTTGCATTGCTACGGTCACTACTCGCCGATGGCGCGCGACGGAGAGATCCAACTCGAATCATTGTCTTTCTCAGCTCTACAGACTCGGTAGACTTTCACTGGAGCCTGCTAGGCAAAGCAACGATGGGTGGTGAAGATACGGACAAAGGGCCGTCCGAACCAGACCAAGTGTCTGTCCAATCATCTCTACTACCCGATGCCATTGTCTATAGACTCCACGGCTCGTTACCTCTGGCCACCCGTCTAGCATCTGTCAGCGGCTTTGCAGGGAAAAAGAACAAATCCTCAAAGTCCAACATAGCTGAAGCCCAATCTTCCACAATCCTACTCTGTACATCTGTCGCTTCTCGCGGTCTAGACCTTCCACAAGTACGAGCGGTCATTCAATACGACCTTCCAACCGAAGGTGGCGCAACGGAGTATATCCATCGTGTTGGTCGAACAGCACGTGCTGGTAAAGGTGGAGAGGCGTGGAGCTTTGTTTGTCCAAGTGAAGCGGAATGGGTCCCATGGCTGGAGGAGCGCCTAAGCACTAGCTCGGCGGAAGACACGCCTACTGCCAAGCTTCATGCTGTGGATAACGCCGTGGTTCTTCGTAAGGGATTTGGTGGCAAAGGAACTGAGTATGAGGAGAGAGCTACCGAGGTTCAGCTGGCTTTTGAGCGTTGGGTTCTCGCGTCCAAAGAAGTGCGTATTCCTATAACGTATATTCCTAAACTAACGTCCGTTTCCAGAACGCCGAACTGGCAAGATCCGGCTTCAAGTCTCATCTTCGTGCCTATGCCACCCACCCTGCAGACGAAAAGCATATCTTTCATGTGCGGAATCTGCACTCGGGTCACTTGGCAAAGGCGTTTGCCCTCCGTGATGCACCTTCGGGTATGGACAAAGCAAGCAAGGCAGCTGCAAAAGTCGGTAGCAAGGCCGGGAAGAAGAAACATGCTGGTCGACAACCCGCAGGAGCACTTGATAGCAGCGACGAGGATGCAGATATTTCACTCACAGAGAAGCGCATGAAGGCCATTGTGCGGGAACAAGGGCGATTGACAAAGAAAAAGGGCATGCTGATGCCTTCTGGCGTCGGAGAGTTCCAAATTGCGTCCTCAGATACACTGGCAAAGTTGGTCAAGTCCGTTTCGATCGATTAGCGCACATGTATAGTCTACTTTAGATATCGATGGTCTACATTGAAACGTCGGAAACGTCTTCCTCTCCAACTTCGCGCATGAGAAATTCGTACTCGTCGTTGTGTGGCTGCTTGCCGAGCTTGAGGGTCTCCCATTCCACTCGTAGGAACACCCAAATCCAACGCCGAAGGACTTCGAGACCTTCAATGAGGAAAACTCCCGCCTCCAAATCGGCAACGTGGTGCAAATGAGACGAGAGTTTGAGCGACCAGGTAAACCTCAGAACAAAGTTGATAAAGACCGCAATGTAGTAGATCATTGGGTCGCTGAAGAGGAGGTGGGATCGAAGGCCTGGTGCTTGACTGGGGCCATCTAGATCATCTTCACCCGCAGCGTTGAGCGCGGCAGTGGATCCATAAGGGGAAATAAGTCTATCTCGTGACTCCATGGGCGTTGCAGGTGTAGACAGCTTGCGCTTTGATTTGCGAGACGAGAATGTAAACATTGTCAAACCCCAGTCGTTTGTGACGTCCCACCAAAACGAGTAGATCGAGTTGACAAAGACGAAGAATACCCTTTAAATGGTCAGGAAGGTGACTATGTATGCTTTGAATAATTACCAAACTCGAAAAAGTGGGTGTTCTCCATGAGGCTTTTCATCGTTTACCAATCGCTGCGCGGCAGACAAAAAGATGACCGGAAACGCTGTAAAATACTTTAATGCATTATATAGCGATCGTTTCGAGCTTGTGACGACGTATTCTGCAATGCACTGACGCAGTCGGACCGCGTACGGAAGACTGTCGAAAAATTGAGTGTGAATTTCATGATTTGGGAAGACAAACCTCATCAAGCAAGGAGTAATCCATTGCGTCAAGCCTGTCTCTTCGGGCAGTTGCCAGAGATGACCGTTGGAGATGAGAATGATCGAGGCGAGCCAAAAGTCGCCAAAGACTTTTGCGAAGGACGTGAAGATATCGGCGAGGATGATGTCGGAAAAGTAGATGGACTGAGTAAACGAGGGGACAAGACATCGCAAAGAAGCCCTGCAAGCCGTCAGACATCATTCTACACACCATGAAATGGGCTTACCGGAGGAACGTAGCCCTTTCACGACGGTAAAGTATAGACCATGGGGCCATGAGCAAGATCAGGAGGGAAATAATCGTTAATGATGGAATAAATTTAACAGAGTCGGTAGTGGGACTCGCTCCCGAGGAGGAGAGGAAAAAGAAAAGCCAGCTTGTGAGGGTAATGACCGCGTAGATCAAGAACAATCCATACACGGGCTTGTAGAGGGTCGACGGGTGCGCAAATGTAGTTGCCAACCCTTCGCGTGTTCTCAAGCCGGTATTTGTGCTTCGGATATTGAGAGCATATCCGGTATCTATTCCTAGGAAGTAGAGTCCTTGCAAATTGGACGCCCACCCCAGAATTCCGATGCCTACGAGGCAGAGGCAACGATAGGGAAGCGGGAAGACAATAGAGAAATGCGAATTTGTGTCTAATGGTAGCTCTGTGTCGATATCCATCGATTTTTCATAAACGAATGCTGAGGCGAGCTGCGGAGACAGCCTCTCGTGAGCGTTGACACGTCAATTTGTGCAAAGCAGAGAACATACGTGAGGTTACGTGAGCATACAAGAGTCGAGATATAGACGAAAACGACGTCGTTTCCAGCAAGGCCGAGGCCGTCGAGGTGGCAGAGAACAACAAGCAAGCTTTGGGCAGCGCCAACCCTTAGCCCCTGACGGTAACATGGCTGAACAGGAAAAGGTATGCTAGCCTATTTACAACGAGTAAATTTGTATTTACACTTTTGCAGAAAGCCAAAACAGAGCGAAAGACATGGGACAAGGAGGAATGGCGCAAGAAGGCGCAGGAAAAGGATGCAGAGGAACGCGAACGGATGCAGAAGAATGACGAGTTGATGCGAAAAGGTGAGAATATTAGCCTGTAACTGCTATACCTGCCTCTAACGCTCACATAGGCAAGAAACCTGCGCGACGGAATCCAGCAATGGACAAACCCAAGCCGACCGAGGTCTTGAAGCAAAGAGAGGGATCCTTGGAACTCGAAAAGAACCTCGGCAAGACTATGGTTGTTACGAATGGCACTGGACGAGGCGCAGGACAGCCTGGATTTTACTGCGAGGTCTGCGACCGCAACCACAAGGACAGCAACAGCTACCTAGATCACTTGAACAGTCGTAGTCGTATGTTCTTCAATAGCTGCCTTTCGTACATCTAACTCTTTACAGACTTGCGCATGATTGGTCAGAGTACGCGAATAGAGCGGTCAACAGTTGAGCAAGTCCGAGAGAAGATTGCTGCACTGCGTGCACAAACAAAGGAGGTTCAGACTGCCAAAAACTTTGACTTTGACCGACGGCTTGCGGAGATTAGGGCGAAAGAAGACGAGCTTCGTGCCGAAAGACGCGCTCAGAAAAAGGCTAAAAAGGAAGCTCAACGAGCAGAACTTCTCAAGGTTGGGACAGACGACGTTGACATGGAGGCACAAGCGGATATGGCCGCGATGATGGGCTTCAGTGGCTTTGGGACAACAAAGAAATAGGAGCACATGGCCACTCCCTTCCAAGCCGAGAACTAGCAACATGATTACTTTCGAGTCAACGAGAGGTGGAATCCAGTCTCGCCAATCTCCTGCCTTCTGTCGATCAACACGACCGCGTCCGCTGGCCGTGTCTTGACATCAGCTGGTGCACACCTGATTGCCTTTGTGATGGTCTCCGCATGCTTGACAATGGCAGCCAAGATATCCAGGCCACTACCATCCTCAAAGCTGTAGAAAACATCGACATTGTCCGTTGCTTGGAGGCCTGCTTCCTTGCGTAGTCTTTGTACGCGATTAATGAATTCTCTTGCTAGGCCCTCCGCTTCGAGTTCTGGATAAGTACGGATGTCGACCAAGACGACGACATCATTGTCGGTGTTGGATGCGAAGCTACCGTCCTCTGGTAAGTCAACATAGCGAGTGACCACCAAGTCCCCCTTCTCCAAGGGGATTCCATCCACCTTGACCTCTCCAGTGCGTTCATACTCTTTAACATCCTCCGAGGACAGGTTGGGGAGTGCAGCTTTCACTTTGCCAATATCCTTGCGTAGCTTCTTTCCCAGAGTTGGCCAATCGGCCGTGGCTTTGTACTTGACGCAAGTTCGCTCCTCGTCCGTCGTAAATACGATTTCGCGAACGTTGAGCTCGCTTTCCAGGTACCCTTGGAGCGGTTTAACATCACCGAAAAAGCTCGTTTCCGGATGGAATACAATGAGCTCCTTCAGCGGAATCTATAAAGGGATAAGTCGGTAATTTATTGATAGTTTAACGCGAACCTTGAGCGAAGGTTGGTGTTTCTCCCTGACCGTTCTGGTTAGTTCGATGATCGTCTGCATGCGCTTGACCTGGCGCTCAATGTCAGGGTTGAAATATTCCTCGCGGACCGTCGGGAAGTCAAGGAAGTGCACTGAGCGCTCGTCTTTCTGGCTCGAAGGCAGGAACTTTCGAAGTGTCTGATACAGACTCTCGGTCAGGAAGGGCGTAAATGAAGACTGTGGACCATGATCAGCAAAGATACGCAGAGTGAAGACCACCAACCATTGTTTTGCACAGAGTAAAGATGGTCTCAAAAAGAGTATTGAGGGCAGAAACGGTATCTTCGGGGCCGTTCTCCCCCTTTAACCGCGCGCGGTTGAATCGGATGTACCAGTTGGTCACCTCGTCAATGAGCAAAAGTAAGCGAGGAATGACGGTATACAGGCGATAAGCTCGATTCTATTGAGTCATCGCATCACAAGGGTCACGGATGGACTTACCAGCCATCTCCTCTCGAACTAGTTTGATGAGAGATTGACACCTTGCGAGGACCCATCGGTCCATGATATTAGCAGAGAGCGGAGCGTGTGGATTATATTTGAACTTGATGCCGGTATCCTTTTCTAAGAGCGCGACTTGACCCAAGAAGAAGCGGAAAGAATTGACCCATGGAAGCAGGACGCGAGCCACGACTTCCTTGACACCTTCTTCCCGGAATCGTAGATTCTCAGCTCTGACGATGGGAGAGTTCACCAGGAATATTCTGTACGATGTCAGCTACTGGTTTATGCATTCAGGAGGCTCCCATTTCACCTGGTAGCGTCGGCACCATACTGATCGATGATGGCGTTAGGATCGGGATAGTTACGAAGACTCTTGCTCATCTTCTTTCCGTCTTGCGCGAGGACTAACCCAGTGACGATGAGATTCTTCCACGGTGCCTTGCCGTACAATAGTGTCGAGACGACCAGCATTGTGTAGAACCAGCCACGAGTTTGATCGATTCCCTCTGACACGAAATCTGCCGGCCAGGCCTTTTTAAAGCGTTCCTCGTTCTCGAATGGATAATGCTCTTGTGCAAACGGCATACTGTCGAATGTCAGCTGGAAACGATATGCCATCAAACGACAAAGACAGACCTTCCAGATTCGAACCAGCAGTCAAAGACTTCCGTTACTCTCCTGAGGACGCCTTTACCCTTTTGCGAAGGAATGGTAATCCCGTCAATGCTCTCCCGATGGATGTCCTTGATACCCTGCACGCCGGAGAGTTTCTCGAGTTCCTCAACAGAGCCCAAACAGATGATCTAGAGTATAATGAAAAGCTTGACTCCAGAGAACAACCGAACACACCTCTTCAAAGTCATCGCTGACCCAAAGAGGGAGAGGGGTACCCCAGTATCGATTTCGCGAAATGTTCCAATCTTTTGCATTCTCGAGCCAGTTTCCGAAGCGATTGTCACCGACGCTCTGCGGGACCCTACGAGAGTTAAGAGGGCAAGGGAGGTAATAAGCTTACAGACCATCTTGTCGCCTTGTTGGCAGCCATGAGCTCAGATCTCGAGTCTGTCACGCGGACGAACCAGGCGGGAATGGCACGGTAAATGAGAGGTGTGTCAGACCGCCAGCAGAAGGGGTAGCTGTGTTGAAATGTGCTGTGAGCAATCAGTCGACCATTGTTCTTGAGAGTCTTGATAATCTCTTTGTCCGCATCCTAAGGGGGGTGAGCATAGTTATCGTCGTTTGTCAAGACATACCTTGAAGTACATTCCGGCAAAGTCTGGAACCTCATTTGTGAATCGACCAATGTCATCCAGAGGACATGGGGGCATATCATCATGTCGAATGACTCCATGAGCAAGTGCAACGCGGTGATCGTCTTCACCGAATGCAGGCGCCTGATGGACGATACCGGTTCCACTCTCTTTTGTAACGTATTTGTCTACAAGCACCTTGAAAGCCTTGTCCTCATACTTTTCCGTGAAATATTCGAATAAGGGGACGTAGCGCCATCCCTTGAGATCCGATCCCTTGTAAGTGGCGATGACCTTGAAAGGTGGCTTCTTGAGCTCCTTAGCAGAATAGACTGCATTCAAGAGGTCTTTTTGCAGAATAAAGTTGAGATCTCGCGCGGGATCATGGATCTTGATGTATTCAAAGTCGGGATGCACGCAAAGGCCGAGATTACTTGGCAAAGTCCACGGCGTTGTCGTCCATGCAAGAAGCATAGTCTTCTGGTCGTCTACAAGAGGAAATCCGATCGTGACTAGCGAGGTTTAGTTTGGATATACCTTGTCAATCGGCACACATACCTGAGGGGTCCTGAATGTCCTTGTATGCCAAACCAGCCTCAAAGTTTGACAATGGAGTTGTGCAACCGGTGGAGTACGGCATGACCCGCAAGCCACGGTATACAAGGTTCTTTTGGAAGAGTTGGGAGAACACCCACCATACACTCTCCATATAGGACAGGTTAAGTGTCTTGTAGTCATTGTCAAAATCGATCCATCGCCCAATTCTCTCGACGGTAGCTCGCCAATCCTCCGAATACCGCATAACGATGGCTCTGCATTCCGCGTTGTATTTGTCGATGCCCATCGCCATCACGTCGTCTTTGGATTTGATGCCTAACTTCTTATCGATCTCATGCTCTACCGGTAGACCGTGCGTATCCCATCCGAACCGCCGCTCGACGTGAAAGCCACTCATGCTAGCATGACGGGTCACGATGTCCTAACGGAGGATAAAATCGACTTGATTAGACATTAATTGTTGCATTGAGGATAGAAATAGCTCACCTTGACCGTTCCCGCTAGTAGATGGCCGTAGTGAGGTCGTCCTGTGGCAAAAGGCGGACCGTCGTAAAAAGAGAATTCGGGACATCCCTCACGTAGCTTGATGGATGTCTGGAACGCATCGATATCTCTCCAGAACTGGATGACTTTGAGCTCCTCTGCAGGAAAATCAAACTTTGCAGTGACTAATCCGGCTGTTAGATAGTCGTAGTTATTAGGATATTGAAATGTACAGACTGTCGTGATCTGGATAAGACATCGTGAGATGTGGAAGGGACCAAGGTGCAGATAGCTGCTGACTCGGTGGCCAGTGGCAACGGATAGCTTACAAGCCAAACGTCTGGCGATAATTGGAACATCTACTCAATTATCGAATAAAAGATGTGATTGTAGACGATAAAGATACATGTGACGAGCAGATAGAGGCCAAGCACGACAAAATGGCGCAGAAAGAAGGAACCCGAAGGGAGACGCCGAATCATGGCGGAGTATCCTTTGTATGGGATGCTTGCTCCTTGCCTATCAGTTGCTCCTCTGCGGCAGCGACCATCTCCGCCTCGAGCCTTTCTCTTGCTCGGACGACTTTGGCCAAAAGGTATAGGCTCGTGTGTTGCTGTTGTAATCGTGCAGCAGCTGCTGGAGAGGTGCCTTCTGGAATCGGCTTTGGCGAGTTGGCTTTCACGAGATGGTCAAAGTGCTATCGCGTGTTTAGCATTCGGAGAAAAAAAGGAAAGAAAAGATAAGAACCTTCATCATTGCCTCGATTCCTTCGTCCTTTCCAACATTGAGAATCATCCGTGCCTCATCGGCAGTCATTTTATGTTCTCGTGTGAGTTTGTCCGTGAGAGACATGGAGGTCGCATTTTGCACGCCCGCAGCTTCACCCCCCTGCACAAGTCGAAGAGTAAGCGAATGGACAATATTTCGGTCAAGTTCATACCGCCGCTAATACTGGTCTATGTTGCGCATCTGTATGATTCACGGGATATGGTGAGCTCTAGACTGGCCCCAGAGCTGGCTACGCACTCTTATACGCCTGCCGTCCTGCCTCGTATAAAGCCTTGCCAAAGATACGACCGCCAATAATCATCATCTGTACAATAATTTTCGGAGCAGACTGAACGTGGAAACATGGTTTCCAGGCGGTGATCAGCTCACTTTGAAAATTGAAGCGAGCCAACTCACCATATTGTTCTCTAACTCTTATAGAAGTATCCCGTATTCCAATGAACAGAGTTTCTGATTAGTTTAGTGATTCAATGTCCAAAAGTCGACTCGCAGCAAAGGCTTGGTAGAAGTCAAAGAGGTTATTGAATCAGACTTTTCTCCATCCCCACCAACTCTCCTCGCCATCTCGTCCATCTTCGACCCTGCCATGGAAAACACTGGTCAAAAACGGAAAAAGGGTCCAGAACTCGAAGAGCCACTCGCGAAGAAAGCAAAGAAAAGCAAACACAGAACAAAAGACGGGAATGTCGAAGTATACGGGTCAAATCACGATAGAAAAGCAGAATTCAGGACTGTGAATGCACGCATGACTGTCAATATTCCTCCAGTTTACAGTGGCCCTGGTCGACCGCGGCAGGCTGTTCTCGAGATGTTGGATAGCATGATTATGCGGTACGTTCCTCCCAGAAGAAGATTTATACACTGACAAATATAGATACATACCGGCTTTGCGTGGCGTAGTACTCGCACACTCCAACCTTTGCTTTTTATCCGATACAGCACCCTTTTTAGTCGATTCACCATTCGCAAGGGTGGACATAAGCTTTACTGCATTGACATGGAGCCCAGAAATTGGGTCCCGAATACGTATGTGAGCTCTAAAGACCGCTTTCACTATTAACAGAAACGCCCAGGTGGTACAATCAGTATATGCTCGCCAGATCATATCGGACTGTTAATACACAAGACGTTTAATGCGTCAATTCCCCGCCATCATATCCCAACGGGGGATTGGCAATTCGAGTATGGAGCGCTAGAAAATGATCCAACCTTTGGCGCTGCTGCGCTTGGCTTGGATCAAGATGATGCAGAGGACACCGGCCGGTGGTTTCACAAGGATACTGGCGAGTCGATTGGAGGACCAAGCGGCGAGGTCGAGTTTACAATCGTGAGGTGAATACATTCTCGCAAAGAGCGATCTGTCTCTGACATATCTAGCCTCAATGTCTCTCAATCTATGCTCTCAATCTTGGGTTCTTTGCAACCGGATCCATTCTCCCCTGAACACAAGCCTCAACCAGCAACCTCCCATCCAACGATACGCAAGCTGCGAACAAAGACTAATTCGGAGGAAGAGTTCTCTGTTGCGAATGCACTTGCAGATGATAATTCAGATGGAGAGGACATTTTCGACTCACTCAAATTCGAGATGCGCGACTTTGACGATGAAGAAGGCGCCGAAGATTTGGAAGAGACAGTCGACGTGGGTACGCAGCCCATCCACGATGCGTTCGCAGAGCTAGGAAGGGGCACGGACAAACTTTCGAGGGAGGTGGCGCAAGAGGCAAAGATGGAGAAGAAGCGACGAAAGGAGGAAAAGAAGCTACGCAAAGCGCAAGAACGTGAGGGAGCGCAGCTCAGCCCAATGAAAGAGGCAAAAAAGAAGAAAAAGGATCGCGCATAGTTTCAATAAACTATTTAGCGTGACTTTGGATCTACTACGGCAATACGATATACTTTTGTAGGTCCTCGGGGATGGCCTTTTCCAACCCCTTGCTCGCAAGCCATTGTCGCGAGAATAGCCGGCTCTGATAGCGATATGCACCGTCGCAAAGAATGGTGACAATCGTTTTACCTGTGATCGCGTAAGAGGGACCTCTGTGTCAGGGATAGTACACACCTGGGCCAAGCTGTTTAGCTAGCTCTTCTGCTGCAACCACGTTTAGGGCAGAGCTCGCGCCAATGTAGATGCCTTCAGTATCCAGCATCTCGTACACCATCTTGATGCTCTTTTCGTCAGGGATCTGTAGTGCTCCAGCTAAGTGTTTGATCTCCGTGCCCAGGTTGTCGGTGATGCGACCTTGACCAATGCCTGGAAAGCGTCAGCGTGAAGTCTCGAGATAGGCAACGAATCACCTTCGGTGATACTACTTCCAGACCTTTCGGTCAGCTTTCCACCACTCGTGATGTAGCTGTATAGGACACTTCCGGGTGGATCTGCGAGGTAGCTCTTGACCTTGCCATTACTAACCTCTCGCAGATATCTGGCAACACCTGCCAAAGTTCCGCCTGTCCCCGTAGAGCACGTAAACGCATCAATTTTGTGCCCAGTCTGCGTCCAGATCTCTGGACCAGTCGTCTTGAAGTGGAACTCTGCATTGGCAGTGTTATCAAACTGGTTGGTCCAGATTGCGTTTGGGGTCGCTTCAGCATACTCTTTGGCCTGATGATTATAGTTCTTTGGGTTCTCGTAGGCCACCGCGGGGACTGGTCGCACGTCTGCTCCCAACATTCGAAGCAGGTCGATCTTTTCTTGAGACTGGAGAGTGATTAGGAAATAAATACTACAGACACCCGGGCATACCTGTGTGTTTGGCATGTAGATTACGCATTTATATCCCTTTGCTCGACACACGTGAGCCAGGCCAATTCCAGTGTTTCCAGCGGTTCCTTCGACAACAGTTCCTCCGGGCTTCAGTCTGTACATATTCATTCATAGATTGCAGGGAAAGACGGGATCAAAAGCTTACAGTCCTTGCCTTTCCGCATGTTCCACGAGACCGAGTGCTGCTCGATCCTTTACGCTTCCACCAGGATTCTGAAACTCTGCTTTTCCGAGTATATCGCACCCAGTTCGTTCCGAAAGACCCTTGAGTCTGATCTAAACACGCCGACTGCGTTAGTCTAGCCGGTAACATCTCGTGAGCCACGAACCAAGGGCGTGCTTCCGACTGCTCCTGTGAAACCCTTGACAGAATGAGTTGTAAATCCACGTCTTAAAAGGGGGATAGGCCGGAGCATGATCGTCGCAAGGTTCAAGTTTGTCAAAAGTCAGAATTGCGCGATCGTATTAGATGAGAGAGCTACGCGAGGAGCACCAGAAACCCAAAGCACAATATAAATGAGACAGAAAAACAACGGGAATAATATCCTCCATAGTATTATCCGAGATCAGTACTCTGTCACACCTCGCAGGTGCCGTCGTCTTCGACCATGCCCTTCCTCATCAACACCTGGACTTCCGACACGTGATCCTCCACTACTATCTCCACCAAAATTCTTCTGGCTGAGCACCTTGAGCCAATTATCAGGTGCACTTGCTCGCAATGCTTCAATCTCAGCTCGGAACGCGTCTGCGCCACCATTCTTTGCGGTAGGAGATGTTGAAAGATCAACGACATCACTCGCGTCTGTCGACTCTTCTGCAGTGGGGGAGAACATTGCAGGGGAGAGCTTCGAGCGACGCTTTGAAACTGTCCCGTTACCCGAGATCGTCGCATAATTCATCGTCGGACTCCGAACACGAAGCGATCGAGTGTTGGGTGATTGTCCTGCCTCGTGCATTGTTGCCCCCCGTGCGTGTGAAGGTCTACGAGGAGATACCGCGACAGCCTCTGCCGTACTCTCCTTAGGCGGAGACTTGGTTGTCTCCGCAGACGTATTCTCGGATGCCCCTCGTCGATGTACACGTCGTGGAGTTGACGGTTCCTCGTCGACATCCATGGCCCCGTCAATGTCGACAACCCGCTTGGTTGGTCGTTTCCGTTTAGAGGCTGTATGGACCACTGTAGTTTCCTTGGTGGGTTCTGCAACTTTGGAATCTGCAACGACGGCAGGACTACGCTGTGGACTTCCGACCGCCACTACCGGGGGGCTCGGGGCGAGCTCTGGCGAGCGTACGCCTGGTGGGGTAGTTGGACCATGATGTGAGGGAATAATGAGACTACGTCGTTCCATGAATGTCGGTGGGCTCCCATCAAGGCTGATGCTTTTGCCCTCTTTGAGGAACATGTTGAAACAGGTGATGCGATAATCAGGGTTGCTCTCAACGAATGGATTACCCTCAACCCATACGCCCTGGAGATTGGGGAGTGTCGCCAGACGTCCAACCTCTCCAATATCTATTACATCGTTCCGCCGCACGTCCACTCTCTCCAGCGCAACCAAACGTTCGAGCCCACAGAGCGAGTCGATACGATTTCGGGAAAGGTTGAGGGTGAGGACTTGTCCCAGCATGGTGTAAATGCCAAGCACCGACTCGATCATGTTGTCGGATAGGTTGAGGGCGACAAGATTGAACATCTGGTTTAGCCCAGACGGAACAGAGACGAGGAGATTGGATGAGAGATCTAGATATGTGACGGAGAGAAGATGAGGGATGATATTGGTAGGGAAAAAGGTGAGCGCGTTGTCGGCCAGACAAAGGTGCTTCAGGAACGCCCATTTTAGCCGGGAAAGTTGCGGTTGTAGCATCGGGGATACAGCACCGGAAGGTACGGAATCCTCTTCGTCTTCTTCCCGGATCGGAGGCGAGGTCGGAGGTGGTCCCTTCCATGACGGACGCCGGGAGTCCACAGACTTGTGGATAAGCTTCCGTCGCTTCGGTTTGACCTCCTGTCCATTTCTTCGCGCTTCGTCCTCCAGGACTGCGTCGACGAATACCTCTGTCATGTCCTCCACCCCGCTCTTGCGGAGAGTCAAACTCCTGAGACTTTCCGCTAGACGATCCCATCCCATGATGAGCCGTGGGTCAATATCGACACATTCAAGCGTCTGAATATTTTTAAAGGCGTAAAGCGGGACGACGTAGTCGACCGGGGGATCGTCTGCAAGCTCGGAGATGACGTTGAGAGAGCTCTGGTGGATGGAGAGCGCCGGGAGCTTTGTGAATGCGCTGTAAATGGACTTGAGTTCTGCATCGAGGCTTGGAAGCTCGGCGCGTGGCCACCAGCCTGCACCAAGACTCATTTTCGAGACTCCGGAGATGCTCTTGAAGGAGAATATAGACGCAGAATCTGATCTGTCCTTTGCAGCGACGAGCAACGAGACATAACTGAGCGGCCTCGAGATGCTTTCGGCTGGCAGACGGACGTCTAGCGGCCCGACATCGATTCCGAGGTCCTCGAAGCGCATGAGGAGGTAGAATATGTGATGTAGGTCTGTCGTGTAGACCATTGGGCTCTCTGGCTTGCTCATCCAGCCAAACAAGCTCGCATTCTGGTTATTGCGACGCGCTGGGACAGCATTGGCGAGAGCTTGCGAGTTATTTCTTATAAATTCTGCAATCCGTCGCACATAATCATCTCCCGGTTCACGCTGCATAGAATGGTGTTGCGGTCAAGTCTCAAGTTTGGCACTCCCCAAACTGAAGCTCAGCGCTGGCAGCAGGGCGCACCCTCATCGCTAGCGACGACGACGAGGACAACGACGATTGTATCAAAAAAAACTGAAAAATAATGTAGAACCAATAACTCGTTACCCATTCGTCGGCTGAAAATCCTACGGCATTACGGGAAAGGAGTAACCGGGCGTGGTGGCAGACGGACACCTTTTCCCCCGAGTTTCATCGTACCTTTCATTTAAATACCCTACCATCGGCAAAAAGATAGATCCCGTCCATGGGCCGGGTATAGAGAACCCGAAGCCAAGGCGATTGACGGGGAACCCCGCACAGGGAGTATTTAGTACTGATCTCAGACCTTTGAACTGCATCCGATTCAACACAGATTGCGGGGTCTCAACTGCAGCCGACAAGGGGGAGTCCGCACACCTGACTAGCGCGGAGTGTCTATTCGCTCTCCATGTTCTTGGCTTCTCAACTTGTCGTGACGAGACTGACGACGCGCTATAAAAGCCATCTGCACCCGCATGTTCAGGTGAGTCGCAGCTTGCCCCCGATTCCTCCCAACTCATCTCCTTACAGCGGCTACAGCTCTCCAAATGGCCACTACACACGAAACGCACTCATTGGAGAAGAAACGTTCATCCAGCGAGCGCTTTGAGAATGCGGAGGCGCCAAAGTATGACCACGACCACGTCGCGTCCGTCGATGCAGAACTAGGGGGATCCTGGGACAAGACTTTTGCCAAGAAGACTATTCGACATGTCGACCGGCGGGTACTTCCCATTCTGGCTGCTCTCTACGCCATCTCCCTGTACGGCGTAATTCATTATGCTTTCAGCCCAAATGCACTCACACGAACCTAAATTATAGCATCGATCGAACGAACACATCGAATGCCTACGTTGCCGGTCAGCTGATACCCGACGGTCTCTATTCCGCTCTCTGACGGTCGATTGCTCTCTAGGTGCTGCGAGGGATCTGGGCTTGACTATCGGGAATAGATATACCCTTGTCACCCTGATGTTCTTTGTCCCGTGAGTGCCTTTTTCCGCAGCATTTTTCTATCTAAATCTCAAACCTTGCAAAAGATACATCATCTTCGAGCTGCCTTCCAATATTGTTGTTCGCAAGGTTGGGCCTCGTATGCTACTAGGTACTATCACCGTAGCGTGGGGTATCGTCATGCTGGGAATGGTGCGTCTATCCCCGCGCGACTTTGACGGCCGGTTCACTCGGCCCCTCCCAGGGTTTTGTCGAACACTGGTGGCAACTCGTCATTTGCCGAGCGCTCCTCGGTTTCCTTGAGAGCGGTTTCTTCCCTTGTGCTGCATGGCTCGTGTCCGCCTGGTTCGTACCCAATATTTTGTGAATTATCATCTCACAGCCATCATCAGGTATATCCGCCGAGAGGTTCAGAAGCGAATGACTGCCTTTTACATGCTCTCCGTGGTCGTACGTACCTCTCATTCATGTCCCTTACTCGAAATGACATTCTTGTTAGATCGGTGGCTTCTCCAGTGCCATCGCGGGAGGCATCAGCGAACTAAAAGGAAAGAGAGGCCTTAACGGTTGGCGGTGGATTTTTGTATGTGATTTCTGCTTCTTCATCACCCTTTTGCTTACGGCGTACCAGATCATTGAAGGCGCCGTGACCATCGTGCTCGGTCTCTCCGCCTTCTTCCGTGAGTATCAGCCCCCTCGTATAATGTATGAACGCTAATACCTTGATAGTCGTTCAAGACTTCCCCGAGAAGAACCAGTTCCTGTCGGAGGAGGAGACTAAGTTTGTGATCGAGCGCCTCGAGCGAGATCGTGGAGACGTCGAAGTCGACCCTTGGACTATGAAGAAGTTTTTGAGGTGAGTGCTCAATCATGGTGCTACTTACAGAGACTCATCCGTTTGACAGCTACTGCGCTACACCAAAGCTCTGGGGATTCGCAGTTCTCTTCGGTGCATCGACTACCTGTTCATATGTGAGGACTTTGTTCGGCCAGGCTCATCATGACTAACACTTTCCTTATAGGCCTTTGCCTACTTCTTGCCAATTATTCTTCTCGGAATGGGCTACACTGAACTCAACGCACAACTTCTCTCCGCTCCTCCCTACTTTACGTCCATCTTCTTCGCCTTTGGTCTCGCTTGGGTCGGAGACAAGTACATTATCCGCGCCCCGATTATCATGGTACAAGCCACGATTGGTATCATCGGACTGAGCATGGTATGGAGCCCCGTTTCCCGCCTAATATCACGCTCAATTCATCTAGACTGCGTTCCACTCGTCCCACGGCGTTCGATATGCCGGAGTCTTCCTTGGTCTTGCCGGTGCAAACGCAAACGTCGCAAGCGTCCTCGGTATGTACACCGGACCTGAATTTAGGAAAGAACTGACTTTGGACAGGCTACATGCAGAACAATATTGTTGGGCAGACCAAGCGTGCTTTCACGAGCGCACTGGTCATCGGATTCGGAGGAATTGGTGGTATCATTGCCTCCACCGTCTTCCGTTCCAAGGATGCACCAAAGTATCGCCCAGGGCGTGAGTACCTCTGTCTCTCTGATCGAATTTGTTATTGACGACACTGTAGTCTGGGTAACTATTGGAGCAAACCTCCTTGTCATCATTCTATGCGCCATCATGTCCTTTGCATTCAATTGGCGTAACAAGCAAGTCCGCGCAGGCAAGGGCAAACCCATCGAGGGCAAGGTCGGATTTTACTATACGATTTAGTTTATGTCGACATTCTGCGAAATTACGTTTGTGTGTACAAGATACTCTTGCCAACAAGGATACAAAGTGTGGAATCGACCGGACGAATGCACTTTAAGCTAGCTTGCCACTAGGTAGGCCGCGGCCATTTAAAGTCGTTATCTGCAGTTCTTCGAGGGCGGGTCAGGTCGATGTATTGCCGACCAGTTTCGTCTGAGGGTTGTCAGTTTCGTGGCTCACCAGAAATTATTACGCACCTGGATCGAGGTATGTCTCTTCTCCATCATCTGCGTCAATGTTTTCCTCTTCTTCGGCCTCGTCTTCCGCGAACTTGTCTGTGCGAGGATCAGGACCTGGTCCTGACCAGGGCCTAGCGCTGTCAACAGATAGGTCCTTCATTGCTGCATTGAGTGATTCCTTCTTGAAGGTTTCCAGCGTCTTCTCCTAGGACATGTTAGGACCCTCTACCTCCATCAGCTTGGAGACTCACTCGCTCCGCCATCATTCTCTTCATTTCCGGAACATAATCCCTAAAAGTCTGGTAAGCTTCTTCCCGATATGATTGTGGGTGGCCCACTCTTCGTATTCCTTTCGTGCTTCCTCGACGGCTTTGAAAAAGTCTGAAATTCCAGCCCCAGTAACAGCAGACACACCAACCGCCTAAAGTAAATTAGATAAAATGAATATTAGAATATTTATCATACCTTTAGGCCTTTATAAAACTCGTCAAGGACCAAGCTCATGCTATTCATAAGACTGGACATAAAGGTCTGTTCGCCATCTGCATCCCGCTCTCGCTCTGCCAATGCGGCTTGAAACGCCTCGAAGTCTTCCATCCATTCAAGCGCAAAGTCATGTGATTGCACGTCGGTCTTATTGAAGACGAGAACGAACGGGAGCCGGGTTTTATAGAGGATACTACGAGCTAACGTCAATATCTCAAAAGAGGCAATCATTTCTCGCACCTGCAAGCGTAAAGCATGTTGCTCATGAACGTAGCTGGAGCAGCAGTTCGAGGCGTGTCGATGATATACGCCACTACCGTCGGGAACGAAGAGGCCACCGCGTCTGTGATGATGGCGCCAGATGCAGACCATGTAAAGATTTCAATCTGACCGGGTGTATCGAGGATGATGTTCCTGGTCTTGCATGACAGACTGCTCACGTTTGAGCAAAGCATGCTTACTCCACAGTGGAAGATCTCTTTTCCAACAGTGATAAAACTTGCTCAAACTTTGTAGTAAACAGATTAAGAGCTGTCAGGATACCACCGTTTGGGCCTAGCTTGTACCTAACGTGTGTCAGTTAAGATGACAGATTTTGCAAGGAATAAAAGGGGTTTGCACTGTTTCATGACCTGAGCATAATCTACAGTATCACGAATGTCGATATTCGCCTCAAAGGGCAAATGTGAGACTGCAGGATCCAGATTCACGATGTACGGTGGCTTTTTTGCGGCATGCAGATAAGAGTTGATCCGTTGGACGAATGTAGTTTTACCAGAGCCTGCCATTCCAATCGTGATAATAACACTGGGCTTGCGCCCCTCTGTCTGCTGGGGTTCGGTCATGATGGTAGCGTCTGAAAGTTGATCACCACCACGATGGCTATTCCATCAAGCGTTGGAATAATCTCTACCAAATGCTTTGGATTACCAGATGTCCACCAGATGCGACCTTGGATGCAACCAGGCGCTTGTCAAGTAAAACTTGACCGCTCCCATGGCGCACCTTTCCACGACGCTGGGCGGTATGCCTTTGGATATTGCGCATATCATCTACAATCTGCTTGATTGTTCACTCCTTGAACATTGGCAACGACCGGACGAATCAAGGAACGCAAGAAAACTTGTCCGCGACGAAGAAATGCGAGACAGAGCAAAGGGGCTAGTCTCTTTTTGCTCAGTCAATAGAAGAATTAGAGCTTGGTCCAGGCCGCTGCTCTTTAGTCGTATTGCGTTTGGTTACTACTGGCGAGCTAGTGGACCGACATGCTGGCCGAAAGCCTGCAAACGCATGATTCAAATGTTACACCACCCACAACTTATTGCCAATATCAAGTATGTTTTCCTGGCTCCATGCAGCACATCTGACCAGCTGTCCAGGGCCTTTAAACTGCAGGCGTGTGCAATTCCACTTCCGCACCGCGAAGAAGAAAGGCATGAGATTTGGAAAGTTGTTTCGGTATTCTTGTCTTCTTTACCGGAGCTCAAAGCCATTGTTTTGGATCTACCACCTCTCATGCCAGAGCACTTGAAGCACGTCCTCGCACCGGACCTCGTCGTGGAGCCGGTTCCCTTGAATACGCCTACTCAGCGGAGAAGGCGTCGAAAGCTGCACCAATTGAGGTTATGGCTCAGACGTCTCTTCGGGTCGAAACGCCTGAGGGAGGATGGCGATGATGCAGTCGAAGCTTTTACTCTCCCGCAAATCGCAAATTTGGAGTTGACTCTGCAAAGTTTGTATGTCAGCTCTAACTCGGCATGGTTCCTCCCATACTGCCGAGGTTTAGAGACGTTCTCCTGTCTGGATGGGCAGACCTACTTTGGATGCAACGCTTTCCTACAGCAGCTCTCCCATTCCCGAGAGACACTCGTCTCTTTTGTCATTAAGACGCCCGTCCATGACGTGAATGTGCCAGGTACGAGAACGCTGACTGTCATCTTGCTGCTCTGAACCTCGAGTTAGACATATCAAAGCAGCTGACCAATGTCGAAACTATAGCCGTTTATCCGCCGAGGTCAACTGTCGTGACTTGGTTCGGCTCTGTTTTCCAGACCTTGGATGAAGAGGGTCTCGTGGTGAGCTCCCACGGTGATTAGTATCGACATCTCTAACTCCGTTCGATAGGAAGCTATCCCTTGTTTCCAACAATGTCCTAAACTCCGTTCACTCGTTTTCATCGATGCGCCAAGTGGCGATTTGTTTGAGGATCAGACGCCTTCCAAAGACATTCAAGAAGCAATAGTCACACTAGGGAGGGGCAACCCCACCCTTCAATCCGTGCGACTCGGCCCATGGCTCTTCCTTCGCGAGAAGGATTGGGACTATATGGTCAGCTACTGCCTGGACGCCTCCCGAGGATATCAAGTGTTTTGAGAATACAAACAGCGGTGCCTCGTGCCCGTCTTGCGGCTCCCCTGGAAGGCTGTAATTGTAGCCGGGGGAACAAGAGAAGGTTGTGTCCCGTGTTGAGATAGAAGAAGAAGAATGAAATACATAATCATCGATTAGAAAGCTGTAATAGAGACGAGTGACGCCTCGGAGAAATTAGCCAATTCACTGCGAGTTTCCCAGCTTCTCGAACTTGACCTCGTCCACCACTCTTGAAGTTGGACACCGCCGCTCCGTCGCGGTCGACGACGATAGTACACCTGGAGACATATTGTACAGACGTTCGTTGGCTCGGGCGAATTTTTGCAATTTCCAGGAGTGATTTTGGCACGACGGCAATCTCGACAGTCCGTGGCTCGCGCAGGCTGTCCTCTGTAGACGCAACAACCCAACGCATCAAATCGCAAATACATTAGTTTTACTGGCGCACGTTAGTGACCCGACATCGGCTCCCAGAGCCCCTAGGGACTGGCTCAAGCTCGCCATGGGTCTACTCTCGGCTGGTCTTACTGCACTATTCGCCCGGGATTCATCATATCTACCGTCTTTCCCCAACATCTCGTCGGTAGCGCACCTCCCAGACCCACGCGCCTTTGTCTCTGGCAGGACCGTGTTTTTCGGTCTCGTCTGCCTGATAGTGATTCTCATACTAGGTGCGTCTTCGGATTCCTATTTATCTGTGATTTTATCTCTCCTCGCTTTTGCCACCACTCCTCGTCCTGGGCTGTCTCATCTTTTCATCTGATTACCCCCGTGTGGCGAAAACGCTTGCTGACTCTTATCCTTCTCGGCACTTCTAATGTTCATTAAAATGTTACTCCATCAGCTTATCTCACCAATCCGTCCGAAGCGTCCTTTCGCACTTTCCTCACTGAACAGGTCTTCCGGCGGCATTTGCACAAGCTTCACGCAGAAGACACTGAAGGGGGCGCTGATCTTGAGTCATTAGAACGCACGTCGTTGACAAACGGCATTCGGCATCCAAAGGGAAAGCGCTATTCGCTTTCATACAAGTCCGCTTCCGGCGCACTCTTCGGACGTGGATCCTCCAGAGTAGTGTCGAAACCGCCTCGAGTACACTTCACGAGTCGTCTCGCTGTCTCTCTTCAAACACCTGCGCACATTTTCAGGACCTATGGTGTGTGCACGATCGCGGTGACCCAGCAGGTCGATACTGCTTTACCATTTGGTTGCATTCTCGCCACCTGCGAACATGCGACGTGTAGTGCCCATCCTTCGGGTGCTGGGCAAGCCACGACCGTTCAAGAGGCAAAGATTCGCGGGACGTGGTACATTGGAGCATTCGGAAGATGGTGGGTCGGTGGAGATTTGGAATTCCTGCGCGAAGATCTCATGGCTATTGCCAACACGGGTAACGTCGCACCTGGCCAGGGGACGCAAGGAGATCTTAAAAGTGGGCACTACAATGTCAAAGTTCTCGATTCCCACGACGCATTTGAAGGTGATTAGTTACTCTCTTCACTTGCTACTTCAATGGCTGATTCTTCTAGGCCTGCCTATCACACGGCCCTCCCCAACTATCGACACTACATCTCAAGCTGAATGCTCTACAACCGCCGTAAAAACACGCTCTAGAGCATCCACTCGGTCTGTCAAACAAACGGTCACACCCATCTCGTCTCGAAGCTCGACCCCTCCTCCAGCAGGATCTCGAACGATCAACATTGCGGCCCCGCAAACAGGTCGTTCGACCACGCGTAAATCACGGTCAAACTCTAGCGTAGATCCTTTACTATCCACTGACGGTTCGCATCCTCCGGAAGTGACAAAGATCATTCAAGAAATCGCAAAGTCTCAGGCTGCAGTCCAAGAGCTTCGCGATCAACTGAATGCATTTCAGTCACAGACTTTTGCCTCTCAGTCTTCGCTGCGTATAGCCCTTGAGGAGCAGCGAAATCGGAAGAAGCAGGAGGATGCCGCAAGGTTGGACGTCAAGGCGCGCACAAAGACACTGGAGGAAAACAAACGAAACGCTGACGCTGGCAAGCGCGATGCCGATAAGAAACTCAAGGCGGCTCAAACCGCACGCGATTTCGCCATCAATCGTATACAGCGCTTATCGAGCGAAATCACTGCGATGCACCAAAGGATGGAGAGCGGAAACGAGAAGCGACAGAAGAGTCAACAGGAGGTCGCACTCATGGAAGCGCAGTCCATGGCGGACATGGATGCGAAGCGTAATGAGAGCAAGGCTCTCGAAGACGTAATTGGAGAGCTTGGCAATCAGGCCAAAGATTTGGAAGAGACGTTGACCAAAGAGCGCGAGCGGCTCGCCGGGCTCAAGGCAGAGGTGGAGAAGAAGAGACAACAATACCAGAAACAGCAAGAGGCGGCTCTTGTCCTTGCGCTTCAAATGCAGCAAACAGCCACTGCTGGTGGCGGTTTTCCAAGCATGGAGGACATTGGGCTGGGCACCCTCGACTCTCAGTCACCGTGGAATGTGTTCAATCCTGTCCAGAATTATACCCAAGGTCTTCCCCAAAGCCATCTTCCCAACTTTATTCCTTTGGAGGCACTCACTTCTTTTGTTCAACCTCCACGACGACTCTCTGGAGAGCTCGTCCCAATGTTACAAGAGAGCCCGGCAGTTCCTACTGCTGTGCCCTCTAGTCGCTATCGATCGCTGTCGTTGGGCGAGCTCTCCAATATGCCGCCTCCACCCCCCATTTTCCCAGGCGTTGTTGAACCTCGTCCATCTCTCAACCCTGGAGACGATGGATTTTCGCCATTCGACGTGGACGACCGGGAGCGAGTGACACCTCTCCCAACGAGCGCTTCATTCTCTTCACTTAACTCAGTGGCCGCTGGTCTTCTTCCAACCAATCTTGTCAATTCGATGGAGACGGAGAGTCCGATCAGCCTACTACCTCCCGCGGGTGTATCCGAACCGCGTAGTACGTCTGAGTCACGATGGAAGTCATCAATGTGGCCGTTCAGATCGGATAGCCTTTCTAAGAGCACACCAGCCTCAGGCTCAGCCCCAACGTCGAAACGCAGATTTGACCCCTTCGACTTGTATCACATCCGATCCAAGACTACGCCCGAGGATGGAGAGGAGCCCTCCCAACCGCCGGAAAGCAACAAGCCTCAGGGGTCTGTTGCCAAAAAGTGGTTCTCCAAGTCTGCATCTGCGACGATGACGGAAAATCTGGATATGCCTTCCCAGGCGGTCAGCGCACCTGAGAGCGCCGCATTGGCGTCAAAGTCGCGCCTGAACCCGGATGCAAAGGTTTTCAGTCTTCCAAAAGGCCGGTCCTTACTTAGCAGCGCGTTGTGGACGCACGACGGGATGGCACCTCTTCCACCGATCAATGTCCGTCCGGGCACTTTTAGTATTCAACCACCGGCCGAATTTGTTTCTTCCTTTTCTTCCACCGCATCGCTGCCTCTGCCTACTCCAAGCTCCAATGGGTCAGGGATTGTGAGCACCGCACCATCGTCAAAGCCACGGTTCCGAGGGCTCTTTTCTTCACCATTTGCCCCCTCTCCTGCCGAGCGGGAGGCTTTACAAAGAGCACTGGAGAAGAATCTCAGTCATGACCGAATTTCAGTCACCTCTGACGGATCTGGAGATGGAAGAATGCCTCCGAGTCCCTTTGGGATCACGGCGCCGACTGGGTCTTTGTTTGACGTGGACGAGGAAGATACCGATTCGGGATGGGGCAAGGTTCTCAAGTCGGTGGCAAACAGGAAGAGCTCGGGTGGAGAAGGGATTGCGCGCCAGACGACGCGCTAGACCAATCGCAGGGGCAGTTGTTTGCTGTGACTTTTATTGTTGTGAAAAGGAAAGATTTTTTTTGCTCTTTGCGCGTCATGTGAGCATCGACCGAATAGCGGAGGCCGACCGTGTGTACTTTGGACTTGAGCCATCCCCGTTAGCTTCGATGAGCTCCCCAGCGCAAGATGTAAACGACGCGCCGACAGTAGACAAGTCTGAGGAAGCACCAAAGGACAGCAGTTCACGGCCGCAGGACGACCAAGCGAACTCGAGTCAAGATCCCAAGCCTGACGCGCCTGCGTTGCCCGCCTCGGACAGTCCAAAGACGGCGGAGACGGTTGTAGACGAGCCAAAGGCTTCAGAAACACAGGCAGCGCTAGACGTCAAGCACGCGCCAGCAGCAGCAGCGACGGCAGTCCCCGCGTCGGCGCCAGAGACGACGGCGAGCAACAGCGAGAAAGCAAAGCCAGCGCCGAGCACACACTCAAAGACATCATCGCTGACAAAAAGCCTCCTCAACAGCAAGGTGTTTGCGAAGAAAACAAACGGAGATGTCTCGAAACGCCAGGCTTCAGAGCCCGGAGCGACGGCAAGCAAGGCGCATACGGGCACAAAACCTGCAGAATTGAAGCAGAAGAAACCGAAGAAGAGAAATGGCATCCTCAGGTTCTTCAATTCGTGCTGGAATCCGTCTCCACATTCGGTGCTCGAAAGCACGGACAAATCGTCGCCTACCGCGACGTCGTTTGTGACCAAAGACAAGCCGCTGTCTACATCTGTCTCGCAGGAGAATGAGAAAAAACCGGAAGCGCAGCCCAAAGAGGCGTCGGCTTCGACAGCAGATGCGCAACCCCCGCCGTCAAAGGCTGATTCCACTACGGCGACTGCCGATGGTACAACCGTGGATGTTGTGGTGCCACCTACACATCCAGGTGTACTTCCAGAGGCGGAGACAGAGGGCGTGACCTCTGGTGCTGTACAGGTCCCAGGATCGACAGGCCTGGAAGCAGACGAATCGGAAGCGAGTGCGACGGATGATGAACGAGCTCGACATTTGGAAGAAGAAGACGAGGAGGAGCGGCTAATCATGAATGGCGGGAATGGTATACCGATAGGACCCGTGAGTCAATGCCTCGAAATAAATATATAGACAATATCTGATTGCCACCTAGGATGGACAAGAAATGCCCCTCCTACCTCCCTTGGCACCTGCACACAAGGGCCGCAAATGTCTTGTACTCGACTTAGACGAAACCTTGGTACACTCGAGCTTCAAGGTTAGCTCTGCAACAACTGCTTCCGCTACATGCTGATACCTTCCGTTTAGCTAATTCCTCAAGCAGACTATGTCGTACCCGTCGAGATTGAATGGCAATGGCACAATGTCTATGTGATCAAGCGACCGGGGGTCGATGCATTCTTAAAACGAATGGGCGAGCTGTACGAGGTCGTAGTCTTCACAGCCAGTTTGAGCAAGGTAATGCCGGCGGAATCGATACGGGATCATGATCTGACTTTGTTGACAGTACGCGGATCCGGTGCTCGACAAACTGGACGTTCACAAAGTCGTCGCCCATCGGCTATTCCGAGAAAGCTGTTACCTTCACAAGGGTAATTATGTCAAGGTGGGCGGTAAATGATACGGTGTCAGTCTCAATACTTATGGTACCGCAGGATCTCAGCCAACTTGGAAGACCGATAGGAGACACCATCATCCTCGACAATTCTCCTGCATCCTACATATTCCATCCGAACAATGCTGTTCCTGTATCTTCCTGGTTCAACGACCCCCACGACACCGAGTTGACGGACATGTCGCCGTTCCTTGCCGATCTCGCAACGGTTGCAGACGTCCGTGGTGTTCTTGACGGTGGTGTATAACATCTCGCTTGGATTTCTCGTCACGAGCAGTCGCGTCTGCCTCGTTCCGTAGTCTCCTTTCTGTTGCTGCTTGGATTGATTGACTGCTGCACCTACAACAGCCCTCTGCTCTCCCTTTCAGTGATTCGGCATCTTCTCTCAGTCTCACTCTCCTTTGCATGTGTTTCCGTCAGTAGCAGTTGCCTAGTCGTTGAGCATACCGCCGCTCGTCCACTGTCATTTACCTTTCTGTGTGGAAATATACAACCGATTGGTATTCTAATAAACAAGCCGGAATATCGAGGACGGAGAAAGGCCCTGGGATTGAATTGCAACTCTTGGACCTCTTCCTCGTTCGGTCAAGGGGACACGCTGCTCGTTCAGACGGCCAACCTCGCTCCGTATTTGCTATTCTGGGACGTTTATATACAAACGGAGTCGAGTCTGTAACAGAGTTTCGCCCACGACCCCCAAATGCTGGAGACAGCCGCGAATACAACAAACCCCCAGCCCGCATTATGTGGCGGCTGCAAGCTCTCTGTAGAGTCTGATACCGGGGGGATTGTTGTATCCTTTGGGTGAGCACTGCACGCTCGCCTGGTCGAGGTTTTGCTGACACAAGTCTCGTACGCGCCGACCATGAACCAGTCAATCTCTATGGCACGTAGACTGGTAAGGAATACTTCTCAACTCTCAGTAATCGTTCTTTCCGATCCCCGCTGATGCGCAGTCAAAGCTTCAAGTGCGCGAAATGCGGTAGCCGCGTCAACGTATGAACGATTCCTTGACAAGTTTGCAGGAGATGACTCACTGATTCTAGGCCGATACGAATCTCCTACTCTTGTCCGATGGGAGTCCCGTCTGTGGCAACTGCTCCTATCATTGCAGCGTTTGCAAACAACCCATCGTCGACGAAGCTATCATGACCGGTAAATACTTGACATATGACTATAATCTCCTACTAATACCGGTATTTCTCAGGCGACGACTCGTATCACGCCCATTGCTTCACTTGTCGCCAATGCAAACGCGGAATCAAAGAATTGGTATTCGCAAAGACGAGCCAAGGTATTTACTGCATGGGATGTCATAATGAACGCGCGGCTCGAAGCCGAAGACATCACGAAAAGAAGAAACGAGCAAGAGCGAAGCTGGAAGAAGAAGAAAGACGAGAGATGGCCAACTTGGTGCGTTTAATTGACATATTTATCTCATTTAATCGCTCACAACAAGTTCAGAACGCTGGCCGAACTGGCGTAGATCCAAGTCCTGATACCACCCCGACTAACGGCCAATATACAGGGACAGAAACAATACTAGCAGAGCCTACTTCTGGAAGGAATGGCGCTTCTGGACGAGACCGACTGCCTACCACGCCAGCTTCACGATCTCAGACTGTACCGGTCCTCGGCGTGGACAGCATGATTGCGCCGCCTCAACGAAGCTCATCGATGGAAGAGCCATCCAAAGAGTTTGGGTCTCTCAATGTTCCTACGAGCAAATCAGCGAAACGTCGTTCCATCAACCCTGGTCTGCGTCTGGCAGATTCCAACGGTCTTGTACCAAACTCATCCCAGCAGCTCTCTCCTACACAATCGGACCTTTATTCTCCAGCTTTCAGCAGCGAATCTGCGGTCCCATCTCCTGGCCTGGTAACCACGGGCACTGTCGCTGCACAAGCGCCATCTCATAGCGTTTCTTCCACGCTTTCAAAAGAGCTTCCCGAAAAATCAAGAACTACCGACTGGAACTCATCTGCACACGATTCTTACCCACAACTGAATGGCCATGCAGTTGATCCTCCCCATTCAGCAGGTCTGAAGGAGAGATCCAGATCCAACACCCCGGTCCCCAGCAACGTTGATGCGAGTGGTAGAGCAAGCGACGAAAGTGACAATGATGAGGCCCCGCTCGTTCCTCCAAAGGCTACTGTCAACGGATCAATCGACGGAGAAACAAAGTCGGCATTGCCACCCATCGAGCTCACCTTCCATGACGACCCAGAGTTCAGCAGCCTTCTTACTTCATTTGGCGGGGACGCTAATCCTCCGCCTCTGACTCTACGAGATCCTGCTGGTAGTCGGCGAAGCATGCAAGCACTTGCAAATGTTGCCTTGAGAATCAGTGATGATCCAGTTATACCCGATGCCCGAAGCTCTAGCGCGACTATCGTTCCAGAAATCATGGCAGAAGATGCTAAGGATAACCATTCCCAGCCAGTGGAGTTTCCAGAACCACCAAAGACCTCGTTTGATGGAGCCAGATATTCTTCTGAAACCTCTCGGACAACCAGAAGCTCCTCGGAATCACGAAACGCTGCGAGTTCTACGGCTCATTCGACTCGTCCAACAGGTCCGCGACAGCGACTGGATTCTAACAACTCTGTCGCCTCGAGTGTTAATCGCCCGATGCCACAGCGTGCTGATACCGGCGATCTAGTTGCTAGGACATTGAAGGAAGCACTGAAAGATGCAAATGAACGAGGAGCAAATGCCGTCAAACTGGACAAGGATTTCATCGAAGCCATAATTCGCGCGCTGCAAGGCAGTCAAACGAGGTTTGCAGACATGAAAGGTCGACTTGACAGCATGAAGGTGCGCCCAATCCTTTATAGTTACGTCGTTCTTACACTTCCCAGCGTGTCAGTCAGCGAATGTTCGATGGTCTTTCGGTTGCTCAGGAAGAATACGACCAAGAAGTAGCTCTCAGACGGGATGCGGAGGCAGAGGTCACTCGACTACGGCTGCAATTGTCTGCACAAAATGCTCAGCTAACTGCTCTTACCGCAGACCAGCGGAAGCAGGAGTTGATGCAGAAGATGTCCAGGGACATGAGCGAGAATCTTCATGGGCTGGAAAAGCATCTCTCTCAACTCAAGGTTGAACGCGACCTCACCCTGGCGGAGATGGAAGAACTGTCACAGACGAAAGGGTGAGCACGGATCTCTCGGCATGATTGATCCTGACGCGTACTGTTTAGAAAGCAGGATCCCTCTGAGGCAACGAGTTTGTCACGCTCGCTGACGAGCAGGTTCGATAACCTCAAAGTCAAGTATCGACGTGACTTGGAGCCACTGATAGCGGAGCGGGAAGCACTCGAGCGGGAGATTAACGAACTCAAGCAAGCCAAGGAGCTTTGCCTAGAGGAGACGACCTCTCTTACATCAAGAAATGAAGAGCTATCAGAACTCAATATGGCAATGACTCGGCAGCTGGAGAATCTTCAAACCACTATTAAAGCGCGTTCTGCGGACCGCAAGGCGAGCAAACCAACTCCTCTACCAACGTTGCCTTCTGGTACTCCGCAAATTACGCCGGTTTCGTCGACCTCAACTACTTCGTCAGCTGCATCCTTGACATCCACTTCTACCTATGTCGAAGAAGAGCGGAAAGGAGCCAAGTCGGATTCCGAGGCCAGTAATACCCTTCGCAAGTTTCCCTGGTTCAAAGGAAAGGATCCCAATTCTATCGGACGAGATATCGCCTCGCAGCTTTCAAAATTACAGCAGTCATTGCCTGGGCCACCGCTCCCCGAGAAAACAAAACCTGTTGTGCGACACAACTTTCAGCAACAAAGTGTCCTGCGGTTCGCGCGTTGCGATTACTGCGGCGACAAAATGTGGGGAACGCAGCTCCGATGCGCTAGTTAGTTCATATTGAATCCGTCCCATTTTTCCTGTCATACTCACGGCTTCCAGACTGCTCGACTGCATGTCATACACGCTGCTTAGCGTTGATCAATACTCCTTGCCGTGAAGCGTCCGCACCGGCTCAGGAAGAAAAGGATGTAGTTGACATATCCCCACCACGTGAGTTTCTGTCTCTCGATACTCTGTGGCTAAGCGATTTTATAGCCCCTTCTATGTTTGGAAGAAGCTTGATCGAGCAAACGCAGTCAGATGCCAACGCATCCAAGTCTGACAATCGCTTCGTCCCAGTCATCGTCGAGAAATGCATTCAAGCTGTAGAAACTCGCGGTACGCTCTCCTTGATTCATTAATGGCCGTCGCCGTTGAACACAAATAGGTTTGGAGTACGAGGGTATCTATCGCAAGACAGGCGGAGCCGGGCAGTCCAAAGCCATCACACAAGCCTTTGAGCGAGGCGATTACGATGCGATTGATCTGCTTGACCCCGACAACTTTACGGATATTTCGAGTGTGACTTCTGTCCTCAAGAATTATTTCCGTTCACTGCCGAACCCGCTCCTTACGTTTGAGCTCCATGATGCTTTCATCCAAGCTGCCAGTAAGTGGTTCCACTATCCACTGAAGGGAGAAGACTAAGAATCTTGCAGCGTACCGGGATGCCGCTTCCAAATCTAGTGCACTTCAAGCTGTTCTCGAACAACTACCAAACGAGCATTTCCACACCCTGCGCCTACTGATGCTTCATCTTCACGGGTGAGTCAGCCCTGCAGTCCAGAATCGCCATTTACACATCATCAGAGTGATGGAGTATTCGCACATCAATCTTATGAGTGCGCGAAATCTTGGGGTAGTCTTTGGACGTAAGTCATTGCCAACTCACCAAAGGTCGTACTCAACTGCCTTCTAGCGACGTTGATGCGATCCGCAGATAGCTCGAAAGAGTTTGCAGACATGGCAGGCAAGGCATTGTGTATCGAATGGCTTGTCGAGAATGCACAAACCTGGGCCAACAGCAGACCGCGTTGATCAAATTGGGCTACTGGATAGATTTCTTTTGGGTTGCTCTAGCTGTTACATGTATCGTATGTACTTGGAGGACTGCCTTTTATACCCGATTAGATGACTGTACCTGCTCTTAGAAGCCTGATGCAGTGACTCGAAGACTCTCGAGCTTTTTGAGAACGTCTCCTACGGTTCTGTCCAATTCCCCTGCAATGGCCAGTTGCTTTTGTGTAGGCAACTTGGCAAAATATTCGCACAAGTCACCATCGACGGTGGCTTTGACTGGTGTATAGTAGCCTCTCCACGAGAGATGATCTCTCCCGACCAGACTCAGGTTTTCTGTTCGCATGTGTTGCTCCAAGGTGGAGATAAAGTCAACGTCATCCTTTGTGACAAGAGGTACCAGGATGCCAATCGTCCCATGCAACCCAAAGTAGACGACCACCTCTCTCGCACCCGCGACAAGCGCGACGCGTTGGATAGAGGTGATGACGTCGCCCACATGGAAGTGAGTGAGCATCTTTGTCTTGTGGGGTGCGCCCATTAACACACTCTTCTCGTGGAGGATACCAGCGCCTGTGGGATCGTCGTCGACTTGCTTGCTGACTGCTTCATCGAGTCGGTTCACAAAGACGTTGCCAAACTTGTCAGCCGCTACGACAGTGTTGTAATCAAGCATCGTGGATGCCGTGATCCATCGTGCAGAGGTGTCGTCAGCAAATATCAGGAGCCGATTCTCCGCGGCCTTGTATGCGACATAGTAGATAGACTGGTTGATGTCTCCAGCAAGAATGCGCGAGCCTTGGGTGCTTAGTGTCACAATGGCAGTTGCGAATTGCTTGAAATATCAGGTCAGTTAATGCGGCAACCTTGAAGGGGAAATGACTGACTCGATTCTCTGCCTTGCGTAGTAGCTTCTTTTTCCCAATGTCATATAGGCGAAGTGCCTTACCAACGCCTGCTATCAATCGACCTTGGAAGGCCATCAACGCAGTGGGAACTTCGTCGATGTCGGTCTTAAACTAGTCAGTATAATGTCGACAGTCATAAGGCAGACTCACCTTGTGGAGTAGCTCGAGTCCTGAGCCACCTTCCGTAAAGGAATAGACACGGAGATAGCCTGTTGAGCAGGATCGGGGGGCAAGATGCGTGTCCACAGCAGTTCCAACGACGAGCAGCAGTTCTCCATTTCGCGCTGCGAATGGAACAACAGCAATGGAGAATGCAGCCTCGTTGTTGTCGAGAGAGAAGGCCGCGACGCTTCGCAGCTTGAGACGGTCAGCTACATCAGTCAGGATTGATGAAGTGCTCACATTGACAGGATCGATGATCCTGATACACGAAGCCCAGACTCCTTCAGGAGCCTTGAAGTGCCCGTAGATTCGTGGGTCAAGCTCCAGCATTTCCCTGTCAACCTTTTCACCTGACATTTCCTGCACCGGACGTTAGACAAGCACAAGGGTTTGGAACGAAACGAACAATGGCTTTGACGCGCTCCTCTATCATTGTCTCCGACATGGCACGATGATCGGATTCAATAAGATAAAAGTAGGAGTTCTGTGGATGCGACACAAACTTCCTTGGAGTATAAGACAGGGGAAGAATCTCTTGTTTGAGTTTGCTGCCCAATTTGGGCACCTGGAAGATCCTAGGTATGTGTCAGCAATTCGACCACGTAGGGTGTATGAATGGAGCTCAGTAGGAACAATTGGTAATTAATATAGGTATCGGCAGTCTCTTTGAAGAGATTTACGGCCCCTTTGTTTCATCACAGAGGTGAATAAGAAAGATAACCCACCGGAGCGTATTATTGGCAATTCCAATGAATCCATCCGGACAGAGCTCTGCATTTACGCTGCAAGCTCCATCTAGTCGGTCGTACGCCAGAGGAGTGAAGTGAACGAGGCCTTGATACGTATAATTGAGCCATGAGCGACTAGATAGCGCCAAGACGCCGGGAGAGCCATGGACCTGTGTTCGGACGAGACGCACCGGTCGATTCCCGAGGAACCTGTAAATGAGACGGTCAGCGTAACAATTTGCGCATCTTGATGCGCGCACCGAGTCCTCGTATCCGCCAGTTTACCGTTTGTCGGATCCAAGACCGTACGAAGAAGCACACCATTCTGGAGCCCGATATTGACAAAGGTTGTGGGACGATGCTTGTCGATACTCGAGTCGAACATGTCCGCAATAGAGATTGAAGACGGTGGCGCCGTTACCGCCTGCAAACTGATCATCTCGAGGGTCGAATCTGGATCGAGCGAGATGATGCGAACGGTCTGGTCTTCACAACCAACGGCCTTGATACAATTAATATATAAAGCCAACAAACTAGGCGTGCAACTCACAAGATATTTGAACCGCTGCAATCCTTCGGGGACTTCACCGACGCTGAGCGCGAGCACCGTGCTCCCCATAGCCTTTCTCTCCTGAAACTCGTTGAGCTGTCCCTCATAATCGAGCTCAAAGTAGACGAGCTCGGCAGAGCTGAGGGCGACGACGACTTGTCGTTTGTTCGTGGTTGCTGCTACGATTGCCATGCCAGTTGGAGCGCGCCACTCATTGACACGCTTATCCGAGAGCACGTGCCGAATTCCACGAGGGTGGACTTGTAAGAGTGCGTCTGAACCGAGTTGTTGCGCTGCTAGCGTGGGTTCTGATGACAAGAATCCAGAGTTTGGTATTTCTTCAATCTCCTCGCCAAAGGAGAGAACGAGCGTGCCGTTGATAAAGGAGAGGACAATATAAGAATCGTATTGGTCTGAATAATGTTAGATGACGTCTGGTTCAAAGTCACAAACATACCCGTTTCGGCAAGCTTCAGGGTCCAGACGGCATTCGGAATACTAGGTAGATCCGAATTGCCATTTTCTTCCACCTCGAGACCATGCTTCAGGGTGCGAAAGGTACTTTTTGCACCCTTGCCGCATGCGGTATAGAAGAGACTGGTATCGGGCAAGTTTTGAACTCTTGCAGCCAGGATGGGGTCAAGGGACTCGAGTTCATCGAGAAGGACTAGGTTTTCCAGTGGCTTTGGACGGAAATAGGCTCTCGGCAGCGGCTGCGAGGGCGTTCGCATGCCGTTTCCTGGATAGTCGGCAGAGCTGTATTCCGGCTCCTTGTCATCGTCGCCCAGTTTCTGAAACTGATAGAATGCATGGTTTCCGAACTCTGCTGGTACAAATAGATGTCCCGATTTGAGAATGCAGAGGTTGACGGCCGGAGAGACGGTATCGAAATATTTGATCTTGAGGGCAACTACGTCTTCGTCTTGGTGCTCGAGGGTGACTTTGTATAAGTCGCCGAGTTCGGATTGCAGTAGGAAAAAGAATGCACCCTTCATTCTGTGCATGACGGCAGAGATAATGAGAAGGCCGCGGGAAGATGCGTCCTCTAGTGGATGCTCTCTGCGTGGTATTGGTACGCGAAGCTGGGGTTGGTCCATATGTCGGTATATGACATGATCTTCACAACAAACTAGCACACCGGAGGGGCCATCAATTCGCGTTATTGGCGGGTCCCCTGTCGTTGTTTGACCACCAGGGACTTGGACCAGTAGATTTGCGCGACGGTCGGTTGGCTCACTCCATTTTCGAACGACATGGTTTAGACCAAGGTCGAGTTCGTAAAATGTGAGCATCTACAGGGTTTAACTCATGATGACGGCGATGGGGAAGACTGCGCACCTTTTCAGTGTCCCGAATGGCTTGTCCTGAAGGATCGTTGTCTGCTTCGGAATAGTCGACCTCTAATGCAGCATATAGCGGATTCTCAAAGCCTACATCGACGCCTACAATGTGATGTATGATGGCAGATGGCTTGTGGGCTTCAAGCGGGGAGGAGATAGTCAAGTTGGCGGCGGCATCACGGTTGAGCACATAGACGAGCTTTGCTTTTTCCATTGCACTGACCATGAGACTGCGTCCCTTTGGGTCTGTTGCGAGCATCTGTCCGGGGACGATACGACGGGCGCCCGTCTTGCCGTAGGTTTCCTGGTAGAGCTTGTTGAATGCATTCTGCTTTGGATCATATTCGAGAATGACGATACGACCTGAATCTGAGCCAACGATGGCATAGTCTACGGCAGTGTTAGTTGAGCTGCAAAGTAGTGAAAAGAGGCCAACCTTTGGTGCCGCCGGTGAGACGAAAGGCCGCAAGGGAGCGAATGGAACCAAATACATCGTAGACGAGCACGGTGGAGAGTTTACCGAGGGCAGGGTCTGGGCGGAGGAGCTGGAGACGGGTGCCTCTAGAGACGAGGATTTCCTGCTGTCTAACGCCCGAAAAGTTTCCTACGACGGCAGCAGTAATAGACGAGGCATGTTCGAGCGTCAAGTTGTACAGATGCATGGTGGTTGGGACCAAGTTGAAGACTTGGAGCTGGCCACTGCGATGGACGACGAAGGACTGCCCATCTACCACGGGCAAAGCCATCCAAGAAACAGCGCATTGGGCTACTACAACAGCCCAGCGCACGACTACGGGCGATCTACGAGCCAGCAGGCGGGCCAGCCACCGCCATCGACAGCGACGAGCACGACGAGTGGGCCCAGCAGCCAGGGAATGTCGTTTTATCCATCGAGCGTGGCGACAAACGAATACTATCCTCGCCATGACCCGTATGCGCCCAGTGCTCTCTACGGCGCACACCACGTTGTCCGCAACCCAGCGTCAACGCCCTCGAGCCCGTATTACTATGCAAACGACACCCATATCAGCACCGATCCAACATCCCCGGCCCCTCCTCGCAAGGCTGCTGGTTTTAGACGCGTGCGCGACGCCAGAGACCTGCGACCAGCCTTGCAGCACTCAGCTCCCTCGGTACGTGCCACCACTGATTCTCCGCTGGTTGATTAATGCTCCTCCAGGCCCTCAAGGCCCTCACGACAAACATCTCCACCACCTTTAACATCTGCAACCCCCAGTTCTCCTACGAATCATCCACAAACCCCAGGAGAGTCCTCACAAAGCCAAGCAAGCCTGCTCACAACGATGGCTATGATAACGAGGATTATGATTACATCCTCTACGTGAACGATCTCCTTGGCGGCGAAGAAAGCCACAAGTCTGTCCTTCTCAGAACCCACAATCGAAATCTAGCTGACCCGGATTTGTACAGGTACTTGATTCTCGACGTACTCGGTCAGGGCACATTCGGTCAGGTTGTAAAATGCCAGAATACTCGGACACACGAGATTGTCGCCGTCAAAGTCGTCAAAAACAAGCCTGCGTACTTTAACCAGAGTATGATGGAGGTCACGATTCTGGAGATGCTCAACAAGGATTATGATCCGCACGACGAACATCACATTCTCCGGCTCCGAGACTCGTTCATTCACAAAAACCACCTTTGCCTCGTCTTTGAGTTGCTCTCGTCCAATCTCTACGAGCTCATCAAACAAAACTCGTTTAGTGGGCTGAGTACACAGCTCGTCAAAGTCTTTACTGCCCAGTTGCTCGATGCATTGACGGTGCTCAAAGAAGCACGGTTGATCCACTGTGATCTCAAACCCGAGAATATTCTTCTCAGATCGTGGGCTCCATCCTATATCCGATTGCTCTCCTGACACAGCATTAGACTCCAATCTCCTCAGATCAAGATTATAGACTTTGGCTCGGCGTGCCATGAAAAGCAAACCGTCTACACGTATATCCAGTCCAGATTCTATCGGTCGCCAGAGGTCCTCCTCGGCGTTCCCTACACGTCTGCGATTGACATGTGGTCATTGGGATGTATCGCCGTCGAACTCTTCCTGGGTCTACCATTGTTCCCGGGAACAAGCGAATACAATCAGATTACAAGAATCGTGGAGATGCTTGGGTATGTACAAATTACCTTGAAAGTGGCATCGTCTTATATTTGGTAGCCTGCCACCACAACAAATGCTCGACTCTGGAAAGCAGACCGGTCAATTCTTCGACTCGTATGTCGACACATACGGCAGGAAGCGATACCAATTGAAGACGCTGGAGAAATATTCGCGCGAGCACAACACAAATGAGCAGCCGGGTAAAAAATACTTTACCCACAACACCCTTCCTGAAATCATCAAGGCTGCGCCGATCCCCGCGCAGCGCGCGAAGCCGCAAGAAGCGGAGAAAGGTCGGTCACCTCTGGGCAGTCGGGCAGTTGCTAATCTTTTGCAAACAGAGCAGTATAGTCGCCTGGCATTTATCGATTTTGTTCAGGGTCTTCTCAATCTCAACCCTCATGAGCGATGGACACCGCAACAGGCAAAGTTGCATCCATTCATTACGGGCGAAAAGTTTACGGGTCCATTTGTTGTGAGTCTTTGATCCAACACTCAGCTAGAGGATAATGACCGAGGTGATTAGCCCCCTGGCTCTGCAAGAGCCAATGCAGATCCGGCCAGGCCCTATGGAGGCCTCCCTCCCGCTCAACCCCAGGGAACTCGAGCGTATCGAAACGCGGCGAGCTACAATCAGCATCTGAATCAGCACCAGGCCAACACAGCAGCAGCAGCAGCGGCTGCAAGCGCTGCAAATCCAGCGGGAAGCGGCGGAGCACCCTATCGGAACCCATACCTGCCTCCCGGTGGTCAGCAGCCACCAGCACATCAAGCCCAGGCCGCACCAGCGCAAGCTGCACCACCAGTTGAGGTCTCGCTAGATGGATATTCAAACAATGCCGCCCCTGCTGCTGGTCCTGCTCAAGCCGCCTACAGCATGCCTCCTCCGCCCCAAGCCCACGCAGCTACTCGCCTGCAACATCATCATTCCCAAACTGGACCACACGGTCAGGGCAGTCCCTATGGAAGCTCTCAGCCTCCGCAGGCCGGGTCTTATCAGTATACATCCTCACAGCAAGGCTCGCAGCAGCAGCAGCAACAGCATCGTGGACGCGCAAACACTGGTCATATGGATATTGTCCCCCCAGCCATTGCTCGAATTGCAAACATGGGCGGCGATCAGTCGGGTATCGGGCGAAACGCACTCACTCCGGTCCTTCGACGAGATGATGCGTACCGAGAGTGGGAGCGAAGACACCAGACCGGCGCTGCGCCGGCCACTACGTACCCTCAACTCGAATACTTGCAACAACAAGCCGAACGTATGCCGAACACGTGGAGCTCACGAACATACCACGGGCCGTCTGGAGGTGGTAATCGCACACAGCTTAGCTTGAACACCACCTCTGGAGGACAGCAGTTCCAACCTCCGCCTGCGGCAATCGTCGTTGATACTCAGGAGCGTCCTGTTGGATTGCGTGATGTGATGAGTAGCGTGCGGTCCGCGGCAGGAACCAATTCGATGGACTCGTCCTCGCTTGGTCAAGTTTCCTCTTCCATCTCCACACCACCGTTGGCATACACGTCTGGCACTGCATCCTCTGCGTCTGGTCATCGCTACGGGAACAGCGCCTCGTATCAACAGTCGCCCGCTACCTCCCTGGCCTATGACTCTTACGACCGCGGTGGCGGATCGAATGGTGCCAATGCTGGAGGTGGAGATCTGTCGTCGATGTATGCGCCTTTGCAACCACACCAGTACCAAGGGTCGGGCTATGGCTCTGGAGCGCCTCCTTCTAATGTCGCACGCGGTCAGCAGCAACCTCCGCAGGCACAGCGACAAGCGACGATGAACAACGTTCCCCAGGCGTCTGGTGGTGCATTCTATACCCCTGGTGCCTCTCCTTCGCTGGGAGGGGCAGGCTCTACATATTCCCAACAACAGCAGCGGTCTCTCTATGGCTCGCAGCCGCCGCTTTCGGCTGGTGGGGACGGGAGACGACTGAACAACGAGATGGATGTGTGGTCTCGCTAGAGATGATGGACGCTTGGCGTTGACAGAGGAAACTATGCGGTGCCTCCCTTACGCGCATGATTGACGGGTGCTTTCACGAATTCCTGATGGTGTATTATTGCTTCGTATGCGTCCGAATGGCTGCTGTTATCTGTTTCTCTCTCATGATAAAGATCGAGGGCTTGCCCTTGAGTTTTGACGATCCCCCTCTTGTGTTTTGAATTTGAGCCAACCCTCTTGAACCGTAACCACCATGTCGGAAGGGAATACGGCAACCTTGTTGGCAGCCCGAGCGATCTATAAGAAGACGGAGGGTTATCTATACCTCACAGATTATCCATTTCGGATCGTATGGGTTCATCCCGAGACGGGTGAACCCCTCGTGCAGCTTTTCACGCAAGACTGCACCAGTATGTTTGAGATTTATGAGGGTGAAGTCTCTTCTTAATCAAAAATCGTCAAGATTTGTTCGCGAACAAGACCGGAGCCAAGCCACCAAAGCTCAAAATCGTAGCAAACGATGTTGATTACAACTTTGTGTTCACGGGCGAGGAACCGCAATGCTTTGTGAACCGAGACGCGTTTCGAGACCAAGTCAAGATTTTGATTCGTGAAAGCATGACGCAGGCGTCGACGGCAGGTCCTTCAGAAGTGGCCACACCTGATGTGAGTCTATAATCGCTCCAGGGATTTGATCTGAACGTTGCTGTGAACAGCAAGTCGCGAGTCCTAATGCGATGGAGGAGGATCCTCCAGAACCATCGACGCTGCCCCCTCCTCCTGCGGTCACCATCCCGACGGTGGATCCAGCAAAGGAGCAAGCGGCGAGAATGTATCGCCTTCGAAAACGTATCTTGATGCGAGATCCAGAGCTAGCTGCGCTCCATAGTGCGGTTGTAATTGCTGGTAAAATGTCCGAGAATGACTTCTGGGCGTCGCGTCAGGTGCATACACCCTCTTGGATACCGCAGTAGCTAATCTTCTTAGCATTTACTTGACGAAGCTGCGGTCACAGATGCTCAGAAAAAGGGCAAGTCTTCGAGATTGGTTGATCCCAAACCTGGCGTTTCTGCCTCTGGTGACATCAAGATATCGATCACTCCACAGCTGATCCAGGAGATATTTGACGAATGGCCGGTAGTGAAGCGTGTGTGGGTCGAAAATGTACCAAATAATGTGAGTCGGTTCAAAGGAAACGTACGCTCGTCTGATGTGCCATTAGATGACAAAAGAGGAATTCTGGAAGCGATACTTTGAGTCACAGTTGTATCACAACCATAGGGCTTCAGTGCGATCTACTGCTACTCAGCATGTTATCAAAGCAGATCCAATATTCGACAAGTATCTCGAACCGGTCGACAACGGTGAGCCGCTCGCCATATCCTCCATGTTGTTGACAGCGTGTTACAGAACTTCAACCTCGACATATAAGAAATGATGCCGTCAATCGGCTGGTGGATTTGGCGGCGACGGAAGAGGATCATGTCGAGGAACATTAACTTCATTATTAGTCTGATTACATGCTGACATTTGATCAGACCGGAAATATTCGCGATGTGACGATGCAGGCCGGAAAGCAAAAAGCTTCACTTCCGCTCATGCGAAAATTCAACGAACATTCGGAGAGGCTACTCAACACAGCTCTGTATGTGCTCAACGCCGCATTCGACAACTTTGCTTAGAAATCATGACAGCGGGACCGTACAGCCCGTGCGCCGAACCAAGCTGGAGCACATGAACGAGGTCGGTATCCTCTAGACTTTTGGCGCGAGTATTGACGGGCCGTAGGCGAACGATTATGACGAGATCGATATTGAGGATCTACATGGAGGAGGAGACGACCCTGGTATACCACTCGATATGCAGAATCGACAACGCTATTTCGAAGGACGCAGTGGAGCGTCGGGAAGTGCCCCTACCGTGGACAACAAGGCTGCAGTCGTAAATCTCAAGGGACAAATATTGAACTGGGAGCATAGATTAAAGACGGTAAATGCATCTATTGCATCGAGGCGTTCTAAACGATTATAGGTCCAGCTGGATGGCCAAGCAGGGACAGCTGCGTTCAAGGCTATTTCATCCAACATCTCCTCTCGAACGAGGATCAAGTCGTCTCGTCGTATGTACTACGTGGTCCAAATTACAAATGGTTCTGACATCGAGCAGTCAATGTATCTCCAGAGTTCCTGAAACAGATGCAGACGCTTGAATCTACTACAAACGAATATCTTCGCCAGTTCTGGTTTTTTGTGTATCCGACTCCAGAAGGCGTCAAACGACCTGCTCCAGAAGAACGAGCACAGAAGATTGGAGCCATGCGGGACCGATTGCTGGTAAATCAAAAGCGGATAGAAGACCTCGTCAACCAAGCAGCGGCGAACCGTTGGGACAAAAACGGCGTATCAGAGGTGCGTTGATACTGCAAATCTTTGGTGATTGCCTCACATCGTTCAGGCTTTCAAACCCACTCTCACCGCTGTTGACAAAGCAGTCAAGTTTGCTGCAGGAAAGCGCTAGATATAATGTATATTAATCATTGCATTGCACTGTTTTTACTCGCCAGTGGTATTTACCCGATTGGTGTCTTGCTCCTGTCCACTTCGGCTGTCAAATGCCTCCATTTCTGTACCCTCACCGACGCTCGAGGCAGATGGAGACATTAAGCTGATACGAATTGCACGACACTGTCCGTGTACCTTGTGTGAATGTCAAGGCTTACATCCTGGAGTCGACCAAGAAGTCGAGATTGTGCTCGAGCAGGAGGATGCAGACTTTAACACGCAGTCGACAAAATGTGCTTGTGGACATTCGTGGCATAGACACGGAGCTCTGGATCGACTAGTCGACGGCGAAATCAACCGTAGGGCTAGGGTTGCGCTGAGGATCGACGAGTTTCTCGATGTGAGTCGGCACTATGTTCACAACGCGACATAAATCTCACTAATAGCGCAGGAAGTAGAGCATTTGGACGATTTCAGCCAGACTGACGATGCGGATGAAACGATACAAAGTCTTCGAAAGCAGATGGAGTTACCACCTGGTGAAGAACGAGACGCCTCTTTCAAAGCTAGAGATGGCTCACCTGACTCGATGATGTCTGGAGGTCGGTAGACTGCTCGCGTTCGACTCATCTGATTGTGCTTTTCATACTTAGTGTCTGAGCCAGAAAAGAGCAAAAGGTCCCGCTCTCAATCATCATCTGAGCTGAGTGATGTACCAAACGCACCAGCTAGGCAACGGCGACGGATAAACTCTTCTGACGAAGAAGAAGCCGCGGATGACAGAGAAAAGGGAGCGCCCCTTCCGACCAAGAGCATCACCAAAGGATCTAAGAAAGCTCCTCCCGTTCCCGTACTAAGTGGCGCAAGAACGAATGCACGAGGGGCAAAGAAACGGGCAGGCGGTGGCGCATCTGGAACTGTTGCTGCCCCACAGACGAATGGAATATCTGCACATGTCCCAAAGATCAAAGTTGAAGATGACGCGGTTGAACTGGAATCAGTTGCGGAAACGGCTACGACTGCCCCGGAAGAATCAGCTCCAATGTCAATTGATGTAAGTTGAGCTGTCCCAGGGCAAATGGTGCTAACACAGTATAATAGTTACCCCCGAAAGAGAAGATTGTAATGGAGGAGCATCGAAGGGGATATATTCAGTACACAGCTGTCAAGAACGATGGCGAAGAGCGGTCGTATATCGTCTTGACCGGTCTCAAGAATTTGTTTCAACGGCAGCTACCCAAGATGCCTCGAGAATACATTACTCGTCTGGTGATGGATCGGAATTCGAGGGGCCTTGCAATGATCAAACACGGATACAAAGTCGTTGCTGGTATCACGTATCGTCCATTTGCACACAGAGGCTTCATTGAAATCGTCTTCTGTGCTGTGTCGAGCGCCAACCAGATCAAAGGCTATGGTGGACACTTGATGGATCACTTCAAGAAGCATATCCAAGACACCTATCAGAATGTAAACTATTTCCTAACTTACGCGGACAATTATGCTATTGGCTACTTCAAGAAACAGGTTCGTCCTCCCTCCCACCGGTCACATCTAAATGATTTGCTAGGGCTTTTCAAAAGATGTAACTCTTGATCGCGTTCAGTGGGCTGGATACATCAAGGATTATGAAGGTGCTACACTGCTTCAGGTTTGGTCTAGTACGAGTTATCTTACACATCTACTCTAACAATCCTCAGTGCACTTTGGTCCCTGTTGATTATACCACCATTCGCGAAACACTGGCTCAACAAAAGGCATGGGTGATAGAGAAGATTCGCAGTCGTTCGTCTTCACATATTGTTCGCCCTGGGATTGCAGCGTTCCAAGAGGGTCACTCTCCTACCGTCCTCAAGTACGAAGATATACCCGGTCTCGGTGAGTATTCCGGTAGATTTTGAATACGTATGCTAATTTCGACAGTGGAGGCTGGGTGGACCTCACACCCAACGGTCCAAGAGCTGTGCGTGGGTGATCGTTTCCGTACTATCTACTAACCATTTCCAGCCCTGCGAATATCAAGCCTCCTGACTATGTTCGTATGACTCGTGCGCTGCGTGCGCTCCAGGCCCATCAACAGTCTTGGCCATTCCGTGTTCCTGTAAACAAGCAGGATGTTCCGGACTATTACGAGTTTATCAAGAATCCCATGGGCGCGTAATATCGTGTTTACCGCTCTCAAGCTGACTCGTGGGTAGATCTGCATACAATGCAAACCAAACTGGAAGGTGGGAAGTATGCACAAGTTGATGCATTTGTTGCCGATGTCCGAGCAATTGTCGAAAATTGCCTTCTGTACAATCCTCAAGACTCGGTATACGCAAAGGCGGCAATCAAGTTGAACCGGTATTTTGAGACGAGTCTTCTCAAGGAACTGATGGAAAAAGAATAACGTGCATTTTATTCGATTTTGTAGAACAACTTGTTGTGGGCGCCAGGTAGTCACGTGCACCGAACTCTGTTTGTCCTCCGACCACGACTTGTTGATTTCGCAAAACGCGCCCGACGGCCTCGAAATCGACTTGCTGCCATCTCTCTATAACGTCTACAATGCCGGTGCAAACCGTGCCAACGATACCACAGTCCTCTGGCCGTGTTACGCGCTCGCAGGACGCGTCTGCCAGGCTGAAATTGGCTATCCAACCTAGACCACGACTTCATCGCTATAGTACTGCTGGAAATGCGCCCTTGAACATGCCGAGCGGTGACGAACACGACAACGCTGACATAGAAGAGCCCCAGTCCAGCTCTCGTGACCCAACCTACCCGCACAAGTCTGAAGCACAATCATCAACACCCATGCCCACACGACGACGCGTCGCATCAGATAACGCCGCCCAGGCTCTGTCGCCCTTTGGCGATTCACACAACAGACGCTTGAGCGGCGTTCGTCGCCCGCGTCCTTCCTCCTCTGAACAGTCTCGCAAGCGCCGTTCGCTCGAAAAGCCCGAAGAGCCCACACCCGGAGCCACCAGCAGCCAACGTGCAAAGCCGAGGCTATCAGTGCCATCTCGCATCCCCGCACCTGTCAAATCTGCACTAGCGAGTCAAACTACAACAGTGATGACGCCGGAGCGTCCAGCAAGGGACGTCGACAATTTGCTCAGGTCGAACCAGGCTTCCCTGAAGAAGCTTTCGTTGGGCGAGGCTGCATCCAATGCGGACTGCGATGCACGCTCCGAGTCATTTTCGCCTCCAGAGATGTCGCCCTCTGCTCGCAAGGGCTTGCGGATGATGAATCCACCACATGCCCGAGCAGAATCTAGCGACTTGTTGGAGTACTTCTTCGACACACCTCTGGACCCCCCCAAGCTGCTCGCACTTGCTACCGAATTTCATCATGACCAGCCCAAAACACGCGGCTTCGAGCGACAAGTATCGCAAGCCCACGTTCTCTTTGGGGGCCCTGCAATCCTTTCACCCGCGACCAATGAGGTCCCACCTCCTTCTAGTCAACCGGCCGCATGTGATGATGACGATGACGACGACTTCTTCAAGTTTTCATCGCCTTCAAAGCCACCTTTTGACGAACCCGGTCTCGTTAAAAAATTCAAGCCAAGAGACTCTGGGGTAGTCGTCAGTGACGGCTCAGAGCCTGATTCACCTGTCAAGAGTCGTTCGGCTGTTCGCGAGCTACCTCACCTACGATTGCCTGTCAGTGGTCCTGGCGTGGATGGTATCACGCCAACATCTCGTGCACTTCGTAGATCGGCAAAGTGGGGACCAGAGCATGTGCTAGCTGATTCGGTGACCGACCAACCTGCTCTAAAAGTACTCTTCGATCACGCTCCTGGAAAAAATGAAGCAGAGCCTAAAGCAAGACCACGAACTCCCACGAAAAGAATCCAATCCGGGCGTATGTTTTCTTCTGTCCCTCGTCCTAAGGCCTCCGTTGCGCCCTCAGCCATTTCCAAAGGTCAGTCCCCAACCTGCATGTCTGCCGTGTCTCATTCTCTACAGGCCGCAAGTCTATGCCCAACTCTCGTTTTGATCTCGCGGGCGTGATCCGATCTCCCTCACCCGAGAAAAAGCCAATCACGACGGCAAGATCGCCCATGAAGCAGCGACCCACCATTCTGACAGACTTTTTGAAACGATGCGATCAATCTGGCCTCACAAGCGCTTCCTCTTCTGTCGATAGCATCTCGGAGGCGAGCAGCTTCGAGGAAACACCGACGCGTTATCGAGCGGCTAGTAAGTAGACCAATGCATTCTTTCTACTAACTAACTAAGAATCCAGACTTGCTGAGCGCAATTCAAGGAGCTGGCAACGCCGAACCTCGCCGACCAACAGCGCCTCGCCGCTCGAGCAGCCGCTTCCACATTATCACCGCTCGTGTATCTCAAGAGGATGAAGAAGGTCGATTCGCCAACCAGTTTCAAGTTCTTGGAGAGCTTGGCCATGGCCAATTCGGTCAGGTTCTTCGGGTCCACGACCGACTCCGCAATGCCGAATATGCCGTGAAGAAGAGCGAGCGGTATACGGGACCACGCCATAGAATGCGTCTCAGAGAAGAAGTTGATGCCCTCAAAACGCTCACAGAGCGCGGCGGTCACCCAAATGTGCTACGGTACATTGACAGTTGGGACGAGGAAGACCATCTCCACATCCAAACTGAGCTCTGCCAGATGGGGAACTTGTCTACGTTCCTCAATGAGTACGGCAAAAAGTTTGACAAGCTGGACGAGGGGTACATTTGGAAGATTGTGGCGGATGTAGGCGACGTATGTGCACTCGTGACAATGGGGACGGAGCTAACTTTACTCATAGGGACTCCAATTCATCCATTTTAACGGGTTCATTCATCTCGACCTCAAGCCGGCCAACATTCTAGTCTCTGATGAGGGTCGCCTATTGATAGGAGACTTTGGCATGGCGAGTGCCTGGCCACGACAGATGACAGGTGACTTTGAGCGGGAAGGAGACCGAGAATACATGGCGCCAGAGATCTTACGCGGTGTCTATGGCAAGGCTGCGGACATGTTCAGGTGCGCTAGTCCTTTTGCAGACTGTTGTTGTGTCCGGGCTGACGAAGGACCGAATAGCTTTGGTATGGTCATCCTCGAGGCCGCTGCCAACATTGTGGTCCCAGACATGTACGTCCCGACTTCATCGCCGTAATGGAGGTAGTCGCTGATGGTAGCCTAGGGGTACGCCATGGCAGAGACTCCGTCAGGAAGATTTTGATGATGCGCACTTTGAGGGCCTGAGCGCAAGATTGGTGCAACTTATACGCGGCATGATGCGCACGGAGCCGGGCAAGCGATTGATGGTCGACCAAGTGTGTCGAGACGTGATTGTTGGCCGTGCACGCGCATGGATGAATACGAAACGAGCAGAAGCGGCGCGTGAAGGACGACCGGCCATCCTTGGTTCTCCATTGGCGGAGGAGCGGGCGGGCTTTGTGAAACACATACTGGGCGTGGACGGAAAGGGCCAATAGACGTTGAGGGTGCCCAAGGTATTCATTTTCTTCCAGTCAATTATCCGTTTGAGGGGATCTGGCTGCCTGTCTTTTAGAGCGGTCTGTGTTTTTGTTGTTTCTTTCGTTGTGCAATAGTAGGACATGCGGCTGTTCGACCGCGGCTGAATATTAGAAGCTAAAGGCTGGCTTACGCGTGACGGCTGACTCCAGTGCCCCCGATGTGCGGCCTCTTTGGTGCCTGAGACGCTTCAAGCTTCGCCCCCTCCCACTGCGATCTGGCCAGCAAAACAGGACTTGTCGAGGACGTTTTGTGCATCGACGACGCTCCAAGACGGTGTCTGTGATCTCGAGCTGTGACACCCCGAGTCTCTAGTTGCCCCCCGTGTCGAGTCTCCATCGATCTCGGGATCCTAGCCCTTTGGCTCGCTTTGTCTGGTCCATTTCTGCATCTTCTCTAGTCTACATACTCTCCTCTATTTTCTCCCAATTTTTCGCCTCGCAGCCTGGTCGAAATTGCTCCCCCTCGTCGGCCGTCGACTGTGAACCGCGCCCCCGCCGAATCAAAGCCATAGCAAACTCGCCTTATAACTCGATCTGCGCCTCTACTACTTATCGATAATAATTTTCTGCTTTTCTGCCCGCCCAAATGGCCTCTTCACTCAACTCCGGTGAGTGTTGCGCCCACCCACCACCTGGGGCGATAGCCACCTAGGCCCATCAGTATCGCCGCAGGGCTGATAGTCTGCCTCCTTCTAGCCTCCTTCCAAGCCCCCGCACACCGAAACTTGCAAGCGATTTCGGCGGCTGTCCCGTCTGCGTACCCACGGCCCCCAATGGCCCAGTCCCACGCAGCCCCACCATTTGAAGGCATTGTCGACTTTACTTATCCTAGCTCGCTCCCAGCGCATCAACAGTCCTTTACGGGTTATCCGACCGGCTCCGATCTCGTGCCCCAGCATGTCGGCCGTCTAGACGGAACTGAATGGAAGCAGTCTTCATTCTTTTCCTATAGACCAAACGAGGTCAAGCATCGCAAGAGGACAACCCGTCAGCAGCTCAAGGTGCTCGAAGAGACGTTCCGCACCACGCAAAAGCCAGACGGCAATCTCCGCAAGACACTCGCCGTCCAGCTGGACATGACCCCGCGCAACGTCCAGGTCTGGTTCCAAAACAGGTTTGTCCCCATTGGCAAATAGATCGAGATCCCATTTCTCACGCACCAGCTAGACGTGCAAAGGATAAGACACTTGCAAAACGTGCTCAAAAGAGCCTGGAAGAGCAACAGCCCAAGGATATGGCCGCAGGACCCGCGGACGCGATCGAGACTTCTTCGCCCATGGACACGCCAAACGTCACCTCGCCTGTCGACTCGATAGGCACATATGTCCAGTCTGACGTTCTCAGTCCGCTTTCGTCGCACCCGACCTCGAGCGTGACCAGCCCCATCGATGCTCTCTACTCGCAACACGACGCAATCGTAGAGTCGGTCAACTATGGCTCTGACAATGGTTCCAGCCAACAACCCCTTGCATATCCAAGGCATATTTTTGCGCCACGCGGATCGCTCCCGCACATCCAGGCCGTCCCGTACTCGCAAGACTTCCAACACCAGCGTTCCAATTCTTCTCCCGCATTTCTCACCAGTGTCGACAACTCCAACTTGTCCCTGACGACTTACGCAAGCATCAACGGCATCTTGTATCCCCAGCAAAGCCACCCAATGTATCCATCTTCTTATTCGTCCAGCGCCTCGGGTATTTCCGCAGGGCCTCTGCCTGCATCGGACTTTGTGTTTGGCATGCCCGCTCGCCCAGATGCAGACAGGGAAACGGAGGCAACCTTTTCGCACATTCGCTCCGTCTCCGGAAGCGACACCCCATCGAGTCTCTCACACTATGGCTCGGTCGCTTCATTTAATGAACACGGGTACGAAGAAGAAGTGGTTGGCGCCCCAACGGGATGGCAACCTGAACAACGACGTGGTTCGTACGTATCCCTCGTTTTTTTTACTTTTGGTGAAACAGGTCACTGACTCTATTCTAGGAACGCGTTGACTCAGGGCGGCATGTCTAGCCGCGGATACTCCCCGCTCTCGGCTACTTTTGCTCAATCCTCACCTCGCTCCGACTCTGCTCAATGTCTCGAGGCCAAAGTCGAGTACGTGGACAATGTCGCGTACCCACAGTCGTGGTCATCGGCATACTCGGACGACGCCAAGCCATATCCGTCCGAGTCGTATGCTTATGAGCGATACGTTTACAGCCGTGATGCAAACATCGTCCCAAGCTATGCCAATGTCGAGCAACCGTACAACATTCAACCTTCCTTCGCTCCCTACCAGCAAGCTCCAGTCGGCTACACATACGCATAAAGGTGTAGATCGTCGATGAGGTTCCGACACTCCCTTACCTCCCCGCTTCCGTATCCCTACTGCTTTCTGTTCCCCTCGGTTAGCGTCCTCTTCCGTCTTCTCAACCGTCAACCCTCACCGCTCTCGGAGCCTTGGTTGGGACAGCCCTCCTTTTTCCCTCTTTCTCACTTCTCTTTTGGGTCATCCTCCAATGCATTACGCTCTCGCGGAGAAGGTCCCTTCTCCGATGCTCAAACGGTACACCAAAATGCCCAACTCGTGCTTACTCACGCACGACGCTGTAATTCCTGATTTTTTCTCCTATCCTTTGGTGCTTCATGGCTCGCTACTCTTCACGATCATACATGATCACTCACACTAGCCATTTGTTTTACTACTACTCTGTTCGACACAACACATACCCTACGCACGCGTTCATGCTGCGCATTGACGCTCTAACTGCATACCACCGTCATACATTCACCCCCTACTAGTAGTTTCACTCCTTGGAGTGTCTTTTTGACACACTCACACATATACACCCCTCATCTACGATATAACTGCCGATAGTAGCTCACACTTCTGGCTCTACGCCACGATCCTGTCATTTCGAAACAGCGAATGCAAGACCGTATCACCATCCTGCGTTTTATTGAAGTTTTTATGGAAGCGTGTACGCTGTGAGGTACTTTTGACGCCGACGACGTTTTCGCCACGTCCTCACTTTAGTAAATAAATACAGCCCGAGCACATTGTCCATCCACAGATTTCCTGACTTTGTCAATGTTTGAGCGACTGCCTTTCGACGTTGTGACTCTCCTCTGTCGAGAGGTTTTTGTGCAATCTCAGGATCCAACACACAGACTCGCTGGCAAGCGAGTAATTGGACGTCGCGTTGTCCATCCTTCTGCGTATACGGGACACGACGACCCATTGGTCGCACTCTCGTCGGTCAACAAGCGCACACGAGACGCCGCCGAGCCGTTCTTGTTTCATACCATTGCGTTTGGAAGAACATGGGAGCGCATCGGAGCACATCGTTGGGAAATTGCGCGAAAGCGAATGCTACGAATGCTCTCCAAACCGTCGTTGAGAACGCTCGTCAAGTAGGCACCCTGGATATAGAGCCCTCTTGCACGAAACTGACAATAGGGCAGGGTTTTCAAGTTTGAGTGTTCTGCCGATGCACCATGGGATGAAATGAAGCAAGATCGCCCGCGCTTTTGGGAGGCGTTTGTCCAGGTCCTCAAGCATTTACATAGCGTGGAGACAGTCTACCTCGGTTTATTTACTCAAGAGCTCGATTCGTGTCCTCGAATCTTTGCACCTTCGCCTGGCAGACGACGTGCACTTCGAGATATGTTTGACGATCAAGTGGTGCAAACTGAGCGTACCGAGAGGGGCCTCTTGGGTACCTGTGTTCCTTTCGTGAGTGACAGTACTGTCCTTGCGCTGGATTACGAGCTCTTGCCGCTGCAAGATACCGAGAGCCCATTGTTCCCCAATGTTAGGACGGTCCACCTTTATCGAGGGTCACAGTGGTTTGCGAGACACTGTCCAAGTCTAAAAAGTTATGTAGACTGTGGGACTCACGAGAGCCAGTTTTTGATGCTGGGCCAGCTCGTCTTATCCCCATCATTGATTCGCTGCTTGAAGCTGCGGCAAGAGTTTTCAACACAGCTCTTTAGAGGTACGTTTCGTCCTTATATGGGATCCGTCTTGCTTATCCTCCGTAGAACTGGCCGTCTTCTCCGCATTGGAAGAGCTCTCAGTCTGGATACCCCCTGGGGGGGATGTGTGGTACAATGTGCGTGATCTGGTGATTACCAAATGACACTACTCATGCCTGGGTATATCACAGAGTACGACTGATAGTCTAAGCCGATTGACCAATCTGAGGCGGCTCTGCCTCGTAAAGCCATCAGCCAGGACCCTGTATTCTTCTGGTGGACAGAACTTTCAAGAAGTTGCAAAAAAGTCTCTCAACGCCATCGAACAGAGTTGTCCATCCATTGTCTATCTCAAGGTGGGCGAGTTTGAGCATGTCCGAGAGCACGGAGAGGAATCGTTCACTATCAAGAATCTTGTTGCTTGCTAGACCATTTATTCTTATTAATTCTATTTTGTGACCGGTGGCTACACAAACTAAGTTTCCTCCCGACACCTTAAAGACACGTCCTTCTCGTTGTCTGTGCAGGCTGAGCGGCATCGAAGAAAGGATCACGACCGTACTATAAATTCTCAACCGACGATGACGACCGAACAGCCGTGCTTCACCGTCGTTCAAGACGATGGCTCGGAAATCCCATCGACGCAGGAGCTTCGTAGCGCACTGGAAAAGGGATCCGACGAAGTCAAGATTGAGACGCTCAGGAAGATTATAGTTACCACCCTCAACGGCAACGATCAGGTGCGAGCCACGTCTGTCTTTCGTCGACGCGAGGCCTGGACTGCAATATGCTGACGATGCCCTTTTCACAAACCATGGATGATATACTATTGCACATAAAATGGGATTGATATGACCTATCACCGCCAATTGGTCATCCTGCTGGATATCGAAAACCTCAATGCGCCTTCTCTCGCGAATCATTGCTCTTTACGTATTCATGATGGATAGCCCGCGGTATTAATGCCAATCATTCAATTCGTACTGCCCTCGAAGAACAAGCAGCTGAAGAAACTCCTTCACTTCTACTGGGAGGTCTGTAGGAAGAAGGATGAACAGGGAAAGCTTAAGCAGGAGATGATTCTTGTTTGGTAAGTCCGTATTATCTCGCCGCAAACACGCTGCTAAAGGCTTTACGCAGCAATGCGATAAGAAACGACCTGGTAGGAAACATACGCTCCATAAATACTGGATTGCTGAACTTGAATCGCGAAGCAACATCCCAACGAATATATCCGAGGTGCTACGCTCCGGTTCCTTCAAAAAATCAAGGAACAGGAGCTTCTCGAGCCGCTAATTCCTACCGTTCGCGCCTGTCTAGTAAGTTCAGCGTCATTAACCTAGCTTTTCTGATTTCTCTTGCTAGGAGCATCGTCATTCTTACGTACGGAAGAATGCCATATTCGCCCTCCTTACCATCTACCAATCATTTGAGCATCTCGTGCCCGATGCGCCAGATCTTGTCGTAACGTTCCTCGCTGCAGAGTCGGATATGACCTGTAAGCGCAATGCGTTTGTCTTTTTGATAAACGTAGCCACTCCCAAGGCCGTGGAATATATTCTAGGCTTCTACGATCAGATTGGGACATTCGACGAGCTCATGCAGCTCGCTGTCATCGAGTTGATCCGGAAAGACTGCAAGAACGAATCACCCAACAAGGTGAGCGTAACCCACTCGTCTCGGTCAATCCCACTAAACTCATCGCCAGCCGAAATGGATTCGCCTCGTCTTTGAGTTGCTCAACGTCTCTTCACACGCAGTTAAGTACGATGCTGCCATGACGTTGACGACCTTGACCCAAAATCCTGCCGCGGTTAAAGGTCAGTGTAACTCTCCGTGGTATGCTTGATTGCTCACTATAACGGCAGCCTCGGCAACCGCATTCTCTGAGCTCGTCGCGAAAGAATCTGACAATAATGTCAAACTTATTGCTTTGGATCGCATAGAGGCTCTGCATTCCAAGCACGAGCACGTTCTGGATGGCCTTGCCATGGATATCCTTGGAGTGCTGACGAGGTGGGCCATTCAAACTCTTTGAGACCGCATCCCCTAACATCTGTTAGCACCGACATGGAGGTACGGCGAAAAGCCGTCAAGATTGCCCTCAGCATGGTCACCGGACGAAATGTCCAAGAGGTTGTTCTCTTCCTCAAGAAGCAGCTCACCAAAACATTAGAGCAAGAATACGAAAAGGTATGCATCCTCTTGGGATGATTCATAAGTGCTAAGCACCAGCAGAACGTCGAATATCGACAACTACTCATCCAATCTATCCACATATGTGCCGTTAAATTCTCCGAGGTCGCTGCTAGCGTCGTCCATGCAATGATGGAATTCCTGGGCGACTCTAGCAACTCTGCTGCTGTGGATGTGATTGCCTTTGTCCGGTGCGTTGGTAACAATTGGTGGATTTTTGGCTGTACTGAAGCGCGCTTGTAGCGAAGTTGTCGAAAAGTTCCCAAATCTTCGACGGTCCATCACAGAAAAGCTGCTCGAAACTCTGCCAGATATCAAGTCGGGTAAAGTCTACAGAGGGGCTCTATGGATCGTAGGAGAATACTGCTCAGAAGCAGCAGGCAAGGCAGTCAAGTTCTCGAAAATTATCCACTGACTTTGTCCCAAGAGATCCACGAGGCTTTTGCACAAATCAGACGAACTATTGGCGAGGTACCCATACTAGCCGCCGAACAGGTAAGCATTTTCGGCTTTTGAATGCAAATCTGACTCATTACAGAGACTCCTTGATGCGGCAGGAGGCGATGCTCCCGAAGAGCCACTCGTCAAGACTGGTGGTGCGCCAAAGGTCCTCGAAGACGGAACCTACGCAATGGAAACTGCAATGAGCTCTGCTGTTAATGCAAGGCTCGAGGCAGTCAAAAAGGCGTCCAAGCCACCGCTAAGAGGTGAAAACATCCATTTGGCCATGTTTGGTTCTGACTTTCGTTAGCCTTGATTCTCAACGGGGATTTCTATACTGGATCTGTTCTTGCCTCGACGCTTTCGAAATTGGTCTTAAGATACAACCAGGGCGGATCAGACTCGAAAAAGGCGCATGCTTTGAGAGCAGAGGTTGGTAGCAATGTACAACGTGATGTTCGCTGACAGACGTACAGGCAATGTTGATGATGACTTCCATCATCCGAGTCGGTCAATCAAAGTTTGTGAGCGTACCCATCGACGAAGACTCGCAAGAGCGAATCATGAACTGCATTCGAGTCCTCAGCGAAATGTCCCTCAACAAATCCGTCAACGAAATCTTCCTGCTCGATACCAAGGCTGCCTATGCAAAGATGGTGGCCACGGAGGAAAAGAAAGCGCAAGAGAAGCGCGAAAAGGAGTCGAAGACGACTGCGGTGCAGGTGGATGACGTCCTGACCTTCCGTCAGTTCTCCAAGAGGGGTTTGGCGGACGCCACAGACGATGTGTGTATTTCTGAGCTCTCTCAACGATGCTCTAATGGGGTTTTCAGTACGAAATGGACGTCTCGAGGGCAACAGGCACAGGAGAGGACTCGGTCGATGTGGCATCGAACCTCAGCAGTGTCGTTCAGTTGACAGGATTCTCTGACCCGGTTTACGCCGAAGCCTACGTCAAGGTTCACGGGTTTGATATCATGCTTGGTGAGCATAGACACTGCAGCGCGTATTGGCGACTGAACACGCTCATAGATGTCTTGATTGTAAATCAAACGACAACGACGATGCAAAATCTCTGCCTGGAGTTTGCGACTTTGGGAGATTTGAAGCTCGTCGAACGTCCATCGACACATACTCTTGCTCCTCATAGTTTCCATAGCATAAAGACCTCCATCAAGGTTGGAGTTCTCGCAAAGTGTAAAGATACATGCTCACCCCTAGCAGGTATCGTCGACCGAATCCGGCGTCATTTTCGGCAACATCATCTGGGAGTCGGGTACTTCAGAAACATCCGTCGTTCTCAGTGATATCCACATTGATATCATGGACTACATCAAGCCAGCGACATGCACAGAACACCAATTCAGAAGCATGTGGACCGAGTTTGAGTGGGAGAATCGTGTAAATGTCACTACTGACATCAGGTAAGTCTCTTTCTACTTGAAAGGTTCCTTTCTCACCGTTCATCAGCGATCTTCGCCAGTACCTGGCGCATATAATGAAGTCGACCAACATGGCATGCCTGACCCCCGACGCGGCACTTTCTGGCGAGTGCGACTTCCTATCGGCCAACCTTTATGCACGAAGCGTGTTTGGAGAGGATGCTCTCGCAAATTTGAGCATCGAAAAGGTCGAAGGGACTGGCCACATTCAGGGGCATGTACGCATTCGCAGCAAGACGCAAGGCATCGCTCTGTCGCTGGGAGACAAGATTACATTGTGTGAGTGCGCTCGCTTTTCTCAATGTTCCCACATTAATTGATCGACTTCAGCGCAAAAAGACGGCGCTAAACACTCAGTGTCGTGATTCGAATGTTAAAGCATGTCGTTGTGTAAGATGACCTTATAATATCTCTCTGTTTGTCCCGCCCGACCCGTGCGCCCAGCTTATTCTTGGCCTCATCATGGTATCGAGTGCATTGGATCAATATCTCGCAGAAAACGGCAACGGTGAAGTAAATCCGTGTCGCTGAGGCTTCCAAGTCTGTAAATCCTAATGTTCGTAGACGTTCGACAGCGTCCTTGCCAAACCGCCAATCAAGGAACCCGCCCAGTTCGATGGCTCGCATCCCTTGACTGATTATTTCATATCCTCGAGCCATAATACGTATCTCCTTGCGAATCAACTCTATGGAGCGGCCTCTGCTCAGGCATATACCACCGGTATGTCCCAATCTCCGCCTATCGATCCAAGGATCGTCGACGCTTCGCTTTCGATTCTTATACCTGATTCCGTGATTCGAACTGAAACGAATCCAGCTTTACATGGCTTGGCCGCCAGATCACCCGCCAAATGCGTCGAAATCGACGTGTGGCATACCAAGAAAAAGGGGCTCATTATCACTCATGGACATACCTTGACAGGAAGTATCCCGTTCAAGGAAGCGGTAGAAGCTATCGGCAACTCAGTTGGAGACACCGATCTCCCAGTCTTCATCAGTCTGGAATGTCACGTCGAGGCTCAGGATCAACCCGAGCTTGTGAACATCTTGAAAGGCGTCTTAGGAAACAAGCTTGTCACTGCAAAGTTGGAGCATCTGGAAGGAAAGGTGACCCCCGACGACCTACGCGGACGAGTCGTGTTGATGGTATGTTCCAATTCTTCTCATCGTAATCAATTTAACCCGGACAGGTCGAATGGTACCCTCCTCCTGGAGATGCGGCAGAGGCTATCATCAAACCGGATGAGGATACGTCCTCTTCGAGCTCGGAGAGTGACGATGACGACGAGGACGTCAAGGAAATGCAACAGTTTAAAAAGACGCACACTGGTGGTGTCGCGAAGATCAGTGCACCACTCGAGGCCCTTGGATTTTATGCAAACAGCATCAAGCCAAAAGATGGCTGGCTCGAGAGAAAGATTATCAATCCCCTTCATGTTCTAATCAACATTTCCGAGAGTGCTCTTCTTTCTCTGCTCAAGATACCCGAGAACCATGCAAGGCTGGCGGAACACGGGCAGCATCATCTTCGCCGATGCTATCCCAAGGGACTCCGCGTCAAGTCTGGCAACCTCAATCCGCTACCCTTCTGGGCTTGTGGCACGCATGTAGTTGGTAAGTACGAGTCCGTGTACAAGGGTATTTGTACTGACGGGCTGAAAGGGATCAACATGCAAAAGTGGGACAAAGGTCATCATCTCAACGCTGCCCTGTTCCGGGATACTCAAGGCTACGTGCTAAAGCCCGAGAGTCTCCGTGGAGGGCCAAAGAGAACAGGAAAATGCCATCTCAAGCTTACTGTCATCGGCGGGGATGATAGTGAGTATCTCGTTTCTGCTGCATTTCGCTGCTCATTGCTTGTAGTCCCTCACGGCGAACAAGCCAAGACTCGCTCAATCTATGTCGTCGCAGAATTGCACACTCCCAGCGGCAAGGATCAGAAATGGAAGAGCAAGACCATCAAGGACCATGATGGAGTTAGTATATATGTTCTGTTGCATAAAGCATTTCTCACGACTACAGGATCCAATGTTCAATCAAGGCTTTGAATGGACCTTTGACAATGAAGACCTGATCTTCATTAGGCTCGAGCTCAAGAAGGACGAATGGGGATTTGACGACATCATCGCATCGTATACGGCTCAAGTCGATCGACTTGCAAATGGTCTGCATTTCTGGCCCATGTTTGATCAGGAGAAGGGGATGCCGAGTGTTGGCCGGCTGTTAGTCAACGTCGAGTATAGTGTGTCAGACAATTAAACCATGCTCGGAATTATCCCATTTCAATTGCTCTTGCTTTGTCGGATGGCGTAGTGTGAGGAGCGCCGAGGATTCAGTGGGCCGTCCTTTTGATTCCGACCAGCTCCATGACTGCAGTGCGAGATGTACGTTTATGCCACAAATCCCAGTAATAAAGTAATAAATATCTGTGGAACAGGTCGTAGCCATCTTTATCGCAGAGTTTCAGGCTCAGAGAGGTGATTGCTCACCACGTTGAATGACACGCAGGGCTGTCGCTGACTAGACGGGCCTTGCAGGGAATATTATTGACTGGTCACTAGTTGCTGACGAGTGTAAGAGTGTCTCCAACGCGTCTGCTCTCTTGCTGAGCCCGCAAATAGCCGTATCCCTCGACGGCGTGGAATTTAGCTCTTTGCCAAGTGGGATTCATGGAGTGGAAAAGGATGTAATGTACGCACATCGTGCGCAAAAGCTGATTTGGACGCTCATGCAAGGATAGTTATCTGACTACGGGCGTCTACCAAGGCTGCTGCGTCTATCGTCGAATTCCTTCAGACGAGGTGAGCCCGTCAGCTGTGTCCCGGGGCCCTCCGCTCAAAAGCCTTGTAGGAGGGGACGAGGGGCGCACGAATGATTTCTATAGGCGTACTCGTCGCCCAATCTACTCGCCCGCGGCCCTGGAATCACATCGACGCGTTGAAGCGCTTTGCCGTTCGTTTGGAAGATGATTTGAAAGAAAGAGAGTGCTTGAAAGAATACTTCGAGGAGAGAAAGGTATTAAACTTGGATCTACCAGAGGAAGAAACCTGGAATGGTTGGGAGGCTGAGCTATCCAGAGCGACGGTAAATTTCTCGTCTTGGATAGGATAAATGACTGATGATTCGTGAAGATGGATCACCCAGCGTTTCATCTGTCGCACGTCCTGCATGTCCTAGGCATTTCGTCCTTGACCCTCTTCAAGCATGCCCTGGGTCGCCGAAGAATACTTATTTACACTCACCCTCCTGTCGAGTCCGCATGCCTACTTGCACAATTGGCGGCTGTGATTTCTACTGGGGAAGAAGGCATCATAGGCGTGCATGAGAGGCGGATCACAGTATTAGGATTAGTTGGCCTTACCGACCTTGCAAGAATAGAGCAAGAGACTGCTCGTGGCAATGGTTGGATTGCTTGTGAGTACTTTTCCGGCCCACGAAATGAAAGCTCATGCCCGCAGGCACTACCGATGCCATTTTCTTGGAGAAACCTAAAACGTATGATCTCTTGATTGATTTAATGAACCCTGCACAACTCCGCCCACATCGGCCGTCTCTTTCCATCTCGCGAGCGGTCGAAGGCAGTGGTCCTCCGAGCTACAAGCTACAATCCGTCCGCTTCACCTGGTCCGACTTCAAGTTGTGGACAGAACTGGAAACGATTCTTGAATCTGATCCAGATCATTCCCATCCATTCGAAGCTCCTGGATCTGCAAAGGCAAGATGGTCCGACCCTTGGAGTGTCTATGACGATATTTGCATGGTTTGCGCTGGAATATGGGCAGGCTGGAAGCCAACACCTTCAATCAAACTTGAAGATAGCCCTAGACAGCGTCCGAGTCGCTCGTCGTCGCAAAGTACCGGCATCACAGCCAACACTAGCCAATCGGGAACACAGATGAGGCCCTCGGCGGATATGAAAAAGTCGAGACGTTCTTCGGTCGATCCACGACTAGGAACACTCTCGAGCACCCCGACCACAAACCACACGGTCACGACGCTTAGCCTTTTGTCGGCATTTCACAATCATACAGCCTTCCTCCTCTCTCGACTCGCCCAGGTGGCACCATCGAACGCCGACGCATCATCGTTGTCCTCAAATCCCATTATCATCGGGCCGAGAGAGATGGTGGCATTCGATTTGGGTCCCGGGAGCGATCTCGATGCGAGATTCGTGGAGTGGCTGGGTGAAACGCGAGGTCAGCGTCTCAAGGTCAAACGGGGTTGGAAGGATATCATCAGTTTCTTTTTGGGGTTCACTTGATCCAAATGAAATCAAGGGAGCACCGTTGCTATTTATTTCCCCATTGTCGTCCTTCCCGTCGCTCCTTGTAAACCTATCTCTGTTGTTTATTTACTCGATGAGTATTTACGCGCGAAATTAGATACTACCAGAAGCGACGGCCTCGAGCCACTCGATATCCTTGCCTACTGGCGTTAAAACCTCACACCCATTGGCCGTGATGAGAACAACGTCTTCGATACGTACGCCTCCGACATATTCATATCGACTGAGAACCTGTTGGTTGATATATGGTGAATTTCGGACCGGCGCAAGTTGATGCGGGGAGAAGTAGCATCCAGGCTCAATTGTCTGCAGGGTAAAGGTCAATCAGCACTTGATTGAATCTTGTTGCATCTCACGCACCACAACCATGTTCTCTGCCAACGGGAGCCTCAGACGGAGGTAGCGATAAAACTCGGGGTTCTGCGAGGATGACGCTGGGATAGTCTTGTTCTCAGTGGGCTTGGAAGCAGATGGGCAATCGTGGACGTCCATTCCTAGCGAGTGGCCTAGGCCGTGTGGATAAAATGCGGCAGACACTCCGCTCTCTAGGACGGTCTTGTAGTCTCCGACCAGAATACCGAGCTTGATCAACTCTTCGACGAGAATCTCGTGAGACTTGAGGTGAAGGTGATCCCAGTGTACGCCAGGTTTAGCTGCTTCAATGCATGCCTTGTAACAGGTCAGAATGAGATGGAAGTAGGGGCCAGATACTTACCAGCTGCATCTTCAAGACTGTGGCGTAGATTGCCCGTGCTTCAGGAGAAAACTTTCCTCCGTTCCCTACGGGGGTCACACGAGTAACTAAAGGTGCCATTAGAAGCGATTCGAGAAGAAGAAGAAGTACTTACTGTCGGACGCATAGTTTCTCCATTCGCACCCTGCGTCGATGAGAAGCACCTGTGGTGCGAGACACTCTTGATGATCATGCTCGAGGTCGGCATCACTGTGAATGTCGGGACCCCAGCTAAACTGCTTGTCGTTGCAACAATAATGAAGAGTAGAAGCGCGAGTAGACGCGGCAACAATTGGAAGGTATGCTTGGTGGATCGAACTAATGGATCTTTAGTTGATGGAGAGACTTCTAATCAATCTCTCACCCTTCACGCCGGCAGCTGGCGACAAAGACGGCTTCAGCCTCAGCTTCGTGGTGAATCCTCCATTCATGCGGCATAAGTGGCCGATTCACCTTCTTTCCGTTTGGCACTCCATTTGAACGTATCTCTAGGTCGCGGACTCCCTGGCCCAAGAGGCGCATGACCACTTCGTGAGCACGAGACGAGATTTCATTTGCTTTGCGGATGAGAGAAATCTCGTACTCGTCCTTGATCAGTCGCACTTGGTGGAGTGCAGTAAGTAAGTATTGGTCTGTCGAGGGTTGCAGGCAAGTGGCGACTGTATCTGGGTGGGAGGGATAGAGAGAAGAGGAGGGGAGGACATGAAGAATATGCTGAGGATGATTCTTCAAGACGTCTGTCAAGACTGATTGGAAGTCTTTGCTGAAGCTAATCTCAGTCACGTCGTACATCTTGCGCGCCTCCTCCATATTGGGAGGAGCAGGGGACCACAAGACTTCAAGGGGATCTTCCTCTGGGATGAATAAGTGCTGTTTAAATGATCCGGAGGTTCTTCCAAAGTCGTAATAAAGTACGAGGTGACTACCGGGCAAGTCGCATCCGCTGAGCCAGAAGAAGTTGGATTCCTGTCTAAATATGAGTTCCCTATCCGTGTCATTTCTGTATCCCGTCCGTTCTCCACTCAGAACAATAATGTGAGACTTGTTCTGGTCTGCATGTGGTGCGAGATCTTTGAGCTTCCAATAAAGCTTTTCAAAGTGCTTTGATGCTACTTGATGTTGAGATGACTGATTATACGGACATTATCCGATCTCACCTGGATAACGGCTCATATCGTCGGCGGCAAGTGAAAGCGAGCCACTTGAACCGCGACGACCATGGCAGACGCGCATGAATTTACACCGCTGCCTGCACTCCAGCGTCTGAGTGCACAACGGACGTATGCAATGTTCGGCTCCGAGTCTCTGGATACCCTCCCAGAGAATGACCAAGTGTCGGTTTGTCCAAAATGTGAATGGACGTGTCGCTGACAATATGATAGCGCAAAAATGAGAACAGCGATTCGAATAAGGAACGAGTACAAAGATTACACGTCCCTCCCCGCGGTTTTGCTCTCACAGCAAACACCAGTTGGTCCCGCAAAACCAAAACACTTGGCTATTACCGCTGGACGTATGTTGATCCATTTGTTTTGCCGCGTTGGATTGTTGACATGTCTATTCTGGTAGCTGGACAAGCGGCAGCGAACAACGACCGCGCGTTGACGCTCGCACCTTCGCCGCTAAATGGGTCTGGTTTGAACGGCACTTCGCCAGCAAACAACCTCGCAGTCGGCTCTTTGGCGACGAGCACAAGCTTTGCAAAGGCATTGGCGATGCACAAGCAAGTGAAGACTGTCAAGCCTGCCTACCATCCACCGTGGAAGCTGGTCCGCGTTATCTCTGGTCATCTCGGCTGGGTGAGAAGTATTGCTGTCGAACCTGGAAACAAATGGTTTGCTACTGGAGCTGGCGACCGTGTCATCAAGGTTTGTCTTTCCCCGCATTTTTATAGTCGTGCTGACCGTTGCGCGATAGATTTGGGATTTGGCGTCTGGAGAACTTAAACTGTCGCTGACAGGTCACATCTCTACTGTTCGAGGGCTGGCTGTCTCCGGACGACATCCATACCTTTTCTCTGCAGCCGAGGATAAGATGGTCAAATGCTGGGACCTCGAGTCTAATAAAGTCATACGACATTACCATGGGCATCTCTCAGGAGTATATACTCTCAGGTATGGACGAGTTTCGACCCAGTACCGTCGCTGATCTAGTTTAGCTTGCACCCAACCCTCGACGTCCTTGTGACTGCAGGACGTGATGCTGTCGCCAGAGTATGGGATATGCGGACAAAGGCCCAAGCCATGCTCCTGTCTGGGCATACGGCGACGATCGCCGATGTCAAATGCCAGGATGCAGATCCTCAGGTCATCACTGGAAGCATGGACACGACGGTTCGGTCAGCCAATCCACGGTCCTTTGGATACATCTAAACCTTGCTCTAGATTATGGGATCTGGCCGCTGGAAAGACGATGGTGCAGCTCACCCATCATAAAAAGTCGGTTCGAACATTGGCCATCCATCCACAAGAATACTCGTTTGCCAGTGGCTCAGCTGGTGGGAACAACATCAAGAAGTGGAAGTGTCCAGAGGGTACTTTTGTGCACAACTTCTCTGGACACAATGCGATCATCAATACACTTTCGGTCAACGAAGATGGCGTCTTGTTCTCCGGCGGTATGCTATCTGTCGCTTATTCGGAAGAAAGAAGGCTGACAAGGGCCCTCAAGGGGATAATGGTACCCTGACATTTTGGGATTACGGAACCGGAGTCCCTTTCCAAAACTTGGATGATATTCCACAGCCAGGATCACTGGAGGCAGAAGCAGGGGTATTCTGTTCCACATTCGATCTCTCTGGTTCACGACTTCTCACGGGAGGCGCTGACAAGACGATAAAGGTGTGTGGCCGACTATTGCTCATTTCACAGATGCTCATGTCATTGTCAGGTATATGCAGAGCAAAACAAGTAGATCCTGTAGTAGACTATATAACGTTTAATACCCTGAATCGTTTGCCCGGAGACTGCCGCGAATTCGGGTGGATTGATCGAAGACTGGCTCTGGGGAAGGTTTGATCAACTCAGCGTGTGTATATGAGTTCACATGAGTGACTGAGAATCCACAAACTCGCCTCTTGGATCCTACCTTGGGATGAGCTTAGGCCTGCAGCCGCGAAGGCGAGGCCACAGCCTGTTTTTTACGCCCGTCTCAGACTCAACATCATCTGAAACGGCGACTCCATCGTCTACAATCTCGAGAAGAAAGTCGCGAGCGAGTGGGAGCAGCTCGCAGTTGTCCTCCAGTCTCCACACGGCACAGAACAGCGCTGTAAATGGCTCCAGAAATGTGTATCGCTCATCTTCGTCGCCATTAATCTACCAGGATCCTCGCGCGGTGTATCCACCGAGCTCGTATCCGCTGGGTGGTCCAGAGGGCCATAGAAGCTTGCGTCCCTCACATTCTCAGTCTCATCTCCAACGCTCGCGATCTAACTCGCAGCAGCAGCAGTTTTATATACGACCACAGCTTGTTTACAGCCGTGACAGCGGTTCAGACGAGCTCGACGACGACGACAGTCGGCCGTTGCTCGTGACGAGGAGCACTCACTCTCCAGCACGCATCTCCCATTCGCTCGTAGCGCCTCTATCCTCCATTAGAACGGACACGATGGTCTCTAGAAAGTCTGCTGTTGAGCCGGCAGAGAATCATTTGGTACGTGGACGCTCAGCGGGCGAGACAGAGACGCTCATAAGACTTGAATATCTCCTCTACAGCGTGCATCTTTGCATCATTCACGGTCAAAAACACACAGTAACAATGCCAAACCGCCGTCGGTCAATGGCCACAAATCTTTGCCGCTAGAAAAGCATGCCATTGTCGTCGGAATCAGCGGTAGTTCGATCAACTGGAGCGTAAATTTTGAGCAACTCACGCCGTTGATGTTCCAATGTCTCCGCACGCTTGCTGTGATCCCTGCAGGCGTCGAGACGCTGCACCTTCTCGCGCGTATGTGCACCTCTCAACCGAGCCAGATGGAAATACTAGGCTAGATTACATGGCAGCCGCTGCTTGGGTGAGACCCGTCCAATTTCAAGCGTATTCCCTCGATTGACCGATTACAAGTCCCTCCTTACCGCCTATCAGGTGCTTGCATTTACCACAGGTCTGCTAAATAGGTGGCGCCATTACTATCCAATCGCTTCCACCCTTATCCGTCTCCTCGCCCTCCAAGCGATATGTTGGCCCGCAACGTTTTACACCCTTCGCTTCCTTCAGTACGACGGGGTCGAACGCCCTTTAGCCTGCTGGGCTGTGATAGGTACCACAACATGCGTGAGTAGTTTTCTCACAAAGAGGGGACATGATTGACGTCGTGTACAGATAACGCGCTCTATACAACTTTGGGTGACCTCGAACATTGACGACTGGCACCGCGACTCGGTCTCGACTCAGTACTCTGCACATACCGTCGCCTCGATTGCGCTCTGGCGAAAAAATCCGAGGGACCGAGACGGAGTGTGCAAGAGTGCAAGCGCCCAACGGCCGTCACATCAAGAACAATAGCCGAAAATGGGACTGGAACGAAGTCGTGGAGCAGTATTCCCCGCGGGGTGTGCTACTTTTTCATGGCATGGAGTTGTTATTCAGTCGAGCTCGACCGACTGAATCTGTCTAAACGGGACTGACCAGCATCTCACCTCAACTGCGTCAATAACCCCTGCTATTGTTGGTATCCGAAAGGGATGCAAGCGCCTGGACTGTATATGCCAGGCATCACATATAGGATACTTATCGATGCCTGTTCATCGTCACACCTTTACGCGCGACGATTTACTCTGTTCTCTTGTATATTGTGTATGTTGTATCGATTGCCTGGAAAAGCCATCTGTCTTGACATGCTCTAAGGGGTCCATTATTGAATCTCTATGAATTAAGATGCTTTTAACCAATCGTACGCAGGAAGCCCCATTCTCAGGTCGAAACTGTCGGAGGAAAGTTTGGTCACGTCCAAGGACGAGTCGACGGCGAGTAGATTTGGATCTGGTACCCAAACGACTAAGGAAGAGATGCACGATATCGACGAAGGGTTCACTGATTTGCATCCCAGCTGCTTTCAGCCAAAACACCCGATTGTCTTGAAGACCTGGAGGTTCATGAGAAGCAGTGAGCACAGATGATCGACTACATACCAAACCTTTGCCTTCTCAAGCTCTTGTTCGCTGATATCGTGCCTTCCTTCCAACATTTCTACAATCAACTCTGCTGCACAGAGAAAATATCCGAGATGGTTTGCCTCGTACAACCTTTTCGGCACCCCAAACAGCCTTTCCATGCTCCGAGTCATCACACACATAATCTTGTCGCCGAATAACCGAAAGATTTCGACCTTTTCGGATCGCACTTTTCATGTGGTGGGTCTTTAGATCAAAATTACGTCTGACGGAACCACATATGGCCATGATATGTGCTTGTGTAAGTGCCAGACGAGTTTGGCTGCACCTGGCATGAGACGGGTGAGTGGCCACTCAAGATCTTGGAGGCGTCGTCGCTCAGCGAGGTAATCGTCGATACTGAGCTCGTTTTCGATTCCAGAAAGGAGTCCCCACATAAGTTCTGCTCCGACACGTTCGGCTGGGAGGGAACATCAGTCAAGTGCTTTAGAAGAGAAAAGCTACCTGCGTTTGCCCATCACCTGGGACTTAATCTCCCATGTCATTTCACGCCCATAACGCGCCAGAATAGAATCTTTTCACGGACTTAGTACTTGATCGGAGCAAACCAAGGGCCTTACTGGTTACTTCGGTGTAAACGCGCTCGCTGTCGCTAGACAATGATCAGAAGGCACTCGTGCAAATGAATTTAGGGTACATGAGTAGGCCATCCATATCAAAAAGAACATATTCAACAGGCTGTCTCGTGCTTGAAGCCATGTCGCCAGGTCAAAGGATGTCCTCACTACATGGTCGCCGACAGAACTCTGGAAATGTATAACACTTCCTGGGTACTTGACTCAATCGGCACTTGGATAAGATGATCCCAACCCAGATCATACTCGAGACTGATATAGGATCTGATACTGACTGATTATATATGTAAGAGAGAGAGAATAAACACCCAAATACAGTTGGAATGATCTGGTAGAGCAAGACATGACTATGTAGAGTGTTCAGTGCATATACAGCAGAGGGAGAGGAGTCGTTGAAATCTACCACGAGAGGGACGAGATTGTTGTGAAATAATGGACTCCAGCAGCTCTTTTGAGTCCACAGTACAACGATGATCCGCACCCAAGACTTCAACGCGTAGTTCCATGGTCTCTTGCAGAAGCATTGCAGCTTCTTTGAGCTGATTATTCTTGCATAATGTGATAGAGAGGTTGTATGAGGCATTGAGAGTTGTTGGATGGCGCGGACCGAGAGTCTCCAGCCGCAGAGCAAGGACGTCCTGCTCAATCTTTCCTGCCTCGTCCAACTGACCGCGGTTGTACAAGCTGACCGCAAGGTTGGCCATTGCCGAAATGGTATGTGGATGGCGCTGTCCAAGGATGTCGAGCCGCAGAGCGAGTACCTCTCGCCTCATCTTCTCTGCTTCGTCCAACTGACCACGCTGGTTTAAGGTGACGGCAAGGTTGGACATTGCCGAAATGGTATCCGGATGGCGCTTTCCAAGGATGTCGAGCTGCAGAGCGAGTACCTCTCGCATCATCTTCTCTGCTTCGTCCAACTGACCAAGATCAGACAAGGTGACGGCAAGGTTGGCCATTGCCGAAATGGTATCCGGATGGCGCTTTCCAAGGATGTCGAGCTGCAGAGCGAGTACCTCTCGCCTCATCTTCTCTGCTTCGTCCAACTGACCACGCTGGTTCAAGGTGACGGCAAGGTTGGCCATTGCCGAAATGGTATCTGGATGGCGCTGTCCAAGGATGTCGAGCCGCAGAGCGAGTACCTCTCGCTTCATCTTCTCTGCTTCGTCCAACTGACCACGCTGGTTCAAGGTGACGGCAAGGTTGGCCATTGCCGAAATGGTATCCGGATGGCGCTGTCCAAGGATGTCGAGCCGCAGAGCGAGTACCTCTCGCTCAATCTTCTCTGCTTCGTCCAACTGACCATGATCAGACAAGGTGACGGCAAGGTTGCCCATTGCCGAAATGGTATCCGGATGGCGCTTTCCAAGGATGTCGAGCTGCAGAGCGAGTACCTCTCGCATCATCTTCTCTGCTTCGTCCAACTGACCACGATCAGACAAGGTGTTGGCAAGGTTGCCCATTGCCGAAATGGTATCCGGATGGCGCTGTCCAAGGATGTCGAGCCGCAGAGCGAGTACTTCTCGCATAATCTTCTCTGCTTCGTCCAACTGACCACGCTGGTTCAAGGTGTTGGCAAGGTTGGCCATTGCCGAAATGGTATCTGGATGGCGCTGTCCAAGGATGCCAAGCCGCAGAGCGAGTACCTCTCGCTCAATCTTTTCTGCTTCTTCCGACTGACCACACTTCTCTAACATGTCCCCAAGCGTGACCATCACCCATATTGAGCTTTTGTGCCGTTGACCGTGACACTGCTGGACTTTGGAGAGTGCACATTTTAGCAGTTCTTGGCAAGCCCCCCAGCCACCCAACGAGTTGTAAAGCTTATAGAATGCCAATGCGTGTGCCACATCCTCCGATTGCACTGACCGAGGAATATTGCTAGCATGTGGAAGCAATTGCCAAAGCCGCCCATTGCTATCCTCCAACGGCCGGATTGCCCCCAGTACGAGTTGTGTCGCCGTGCGCGCATAGTGTCGATTATCTTCATCGTTAAGATAATCCTTGATGTACATCTGAAGGAGTGGATGCACGGTGTAGAATAACCCATCGTTCGAAACATTGATAAATGACGCTTGAGATGCCGAGTCAATGATCTCCTGGAATGCGACCTCGTTCCACGCCGTGCCTAGAATCTCCTGGAGCGTTGAGATAAATGTTTTGTCAGACTCAGGGGGAGGAAAGTCATTCAAAACAGTGTATGTAGTAAAGCTGGTCTCTATCGAGTGCTCAAACAATGAAATCGGGATGAGCGAATGGTGAAGAAATGCGCAAATCTTCAGGAAGTCTTGCGTCTTCGCCGGCAAATTGTGGAACGACAGGTCGAATGCGGTGTATGTCGACGATGTATACTCGTTGCCGAAATCTGGCTGCTTGCGCAGGAGTTCGTCTCGGTGCTTTCGAAACGTGTTCACATACGTTTCGAGTCGCCGTGTTTTGCGAATGTACACTCCTGCTTGAGTGATCGCGAGCGCCAGCATCCCCAACTCCTGAACGATCTCGATAGACTTGGTGTTGGATGTAGGCGAGGCATTGGCGAGTTTGTGAAGCAGATTGACCGCCTCGTTTTCCTCGAGATCACCAACAGCAACAGCGCCATCCGAGCGTAGCTTATGCACTCGCTATTCCTCGTGGTGATCAAAATAAACCCGTGAATGGAAGCGGGAAGATATGGGCCAAGGTCGAGGTTTGGAGAGTCGGCATTGTCGATGAATAGTAACCAGCCTCTTCCTTGCCGTCGAGGTAGGCAATTGCATCCTTCCACCCCATCGCTCTGTACTCCGACCCAAGGGCGAATAAATTGCTCCGTCTGCTTCAATTTGCGTCTGACTGGAGGCGTCGACAAAAATCACCCGAGTAAACCTAGTAAAGATGAGACAGTTCCAAGCATTTCTATCGTTCGTACCTGGCTTCGTTCTCTCCAATCCAGTTCGTTGCTAGTTGAGTCTTACCTGACCCTCCGATTCCATGTAATATACACCTTGGTTGACGTTGCAACTACCCGGAGCAACTTCTGCGTGATGAGGACTGGACCGCCTCTCGCTTGATGTAGCTGATACGGATGGACGAGGTTTAGGCAGTATGTCTCTGGAGGAGCATATTCTTCATTTGCTACAGCTATGCTTTGATCAGCAAAGACATTGGGATAGACTGGTTACAAACTGCGAAGCTTGTCCTCTATAGCCCACTTCTCCTGCACTGCCAGGGGGCATTGTCGACGTATCCTTGAGGCGATGATGAACCGTTTTATAGTTTTCTTCATCTTTGGATGAAAATCGAACCATGTTGCGGTGATTCGCATGAAGCACGATCGGCGTCCCGTTGCGGTCACCGGAGATAGTGGCTGAGTGATATGGAACATTCTATTTTCGTTTAGTATTGTATTCGTGATTGGGAATCCACTGACAGGTTCTCCACGATTCCCAATACCGGATGTCACATACCGCACAAAAGAAGATGCTGTTGATCTTCTCACTCGCCGCAACGTACAGACTCTGAATGTTCTCGAGTTCAGCCGAATTGGATCGAAGATCCTTGATGATATTGTCGGTAGTCTCCATGTATATCGACGCCAAGAGGTTGATTCCTTCAAGAATGTTTGTATTTTCGAGGCCGGAGTGCGGGGTTCCAAAGAATAAGATTCCATGCGTGGATACGACCACGTCCCGAAGGCCACTCTTGGATGTCAAACTCTCATTATGGCAAATGACGAGAGCCTACGAAAGGGTCAGCACCTGGGTTTTGGTGGCTCCCGTATTACGAACCCATTTGAGAATGATACCTCCTAGATCATGGGCAACGAAAATGATCGGACGCTAATCACTTGTTCAAAGGGGGCCAACCAGCAAGAATTGTTTACTTACTCGAGCGTCCTTGCGTATCCGTGAGAGTGCCTGGGCTAGCTTCTCAGCATGTCGACGCATGGTTTGGGTTGATACGCATTCTCGACTGCGAGTGTCGGCGTCGTATCCATAGAGAAGGACTCGAGCGTTGGGTATGTCGGTACGCAAGAGGTCACGTAGCCACAAGTCTCCGTCTTCTGTCGTCCATGTCTTCTCTCTATGTCCTTGCAGACCATGAATAGCGACGATACTGGCGGGGAAAGCTAGGTGAGCGGCGAGCACGTGTAATAGCTGGGGTACTTGCTCGACGACAGGGTCAGTTCCAGACTGGACTTGTAGGAATCCGAGATGATCCGTCTTCGATTCGTGCTTTGAAGTCGATGGCCTGTTAGTCTGGGAATCCAGAGGTGTGGATTGGGCGTCGTTGTGCGACAATGATTGGGAGAGACGTAGGGTGTCCAACGAGGACAAGCGAGCATCCGACATTGTTCACGATGGAGATGGTGAGGAGCAAGCAAGGCTCGTTATTTGCTCAGAGGCGTGGCGCTAAACAGCCGGCGAGACTGGCACAAAGACCCCGATGAGCCAGCGGTGAAGATAGTCAAAAATGGCAACAATGTGAGCTAATGTCTCCACAATGACATTGCATTTCAAATCAGCAGACCATTGATTCCCTCGAATAAATATGAGTGGTGTAGTATCCTGAGGATGTCTTTACCTTGGGGAGGTATGTTTCTTCCGAGACCATGGGCTATACTGAGACACCCGAGTCCTTGCGGACGCAATGACGTGAAAATGACATGTTTTATGAATTTGAACTAACGAGGTGTCCGACCAGTTGTTCCATCAAAATAGCGCAGTTTCTGTTTTTCGTGACGCGGCTGAACTTGGGAAGTGCGGACTCTAGCTCTCGACATGCCTTCCAGTCCCCAATGCATCGCAAAGTGTGTAGAAAGCAAATCCGTGCGTCAAATTCTCTGATTGCACAGATCGAGAGATTCTTTTATGTGTGGGAGCAATTGCTAAAGGTGCGCATTGCTCTCCGCCGGCACCCACGAGCTGCATCGTCGTATGCGCATACTATCGGTTATCCCGTGGAATGTAACCTCCCATGTCATTTCATGCCCATAACGCCAGAATGAAATCTTTTCAGAGACTTAGTACTTGATCGGAACAAAGCAAAGACTTTACTATTATAGTCACTTCGGTGTAAACGCGTTCACTGTCACTTGACAATGATCAGAAGGTAGTCGTGCAGATGGATTCAGGGTACATGAATAGGCCATCCATATTGAAAAGGACGTATTCGACAGGCTATATCATGTTTGAAGCCATGTCGCCGAGTCGAAGGATGTCCCGCTACATAACCGCTCGCAAAATTCTGGAAATGCCTAACACTTCCTGCGTACTTGACACCAATCAACACTCAGATCACACCCGAGAACCGACATAGGTCCTGTTACTGACTGAGCGCCCATGTAAGAGAGAGAGAATCAATACTCATACAACAAAATGATCTGGTAGAGCAAAACATGACTATGTAGAGCGCCTGGTGCATGTACAGCAGACGGACAGGATTCGTTGAAATCTACCACGAGAGTGACGAGATTGTTGTAAAACAATGGTATCCAGGAGCTCCTGATTTCACAGTACAACGATGATCCGCACCCAAGACTTCAACGCGTAATTCCATGGTCTCTTGCAGAAGCCTTGCAGCCTCTTCGAGTTTATTGTTCTTGAACAAAGTCATAGAGAGATTGTATGAGGCATCCAGAGTTTCTGGATGCCGTGGTCCAAGCATCTCCAGACGTAGAGCAAGTACTGCTTGCTCTAGTTTCTCCGCATCGTCCAGCTGGCCACATTGATAAAGTGTATTGGCTATTGCCAAAATAGTGCCTGGATGGCGCCGTCCAAAGATCTCCAGCCGGAGAGCAAGTGCCGTTTGTTGAAGCATTTGCGCCTCTTCCAGCTGATCACGGTCGTACAAGGTGCTTGCAAGGTGATCCATTGCCAAAATGGTGTCTGGATCCCGTGGTCCACGGACGTCAAGCCATAGGGCAAGAACCTCCCGCTCAAGCTTTTCTGCCTCATCCAGTTGACCACTTTCATGCAAGGTGGGTGCAAGGTTGTTCATTGCCAGAAGGGTGCGGATTGCGTGGACTAAGGATCAAGCCACAGAGCAAGTACCTCTCGTTCAAGCTTTTCTGCCTCGTCCACTGACCAAGCTTGCGGTACCTGCAAGGTTGTTCATTGCCAAAATGGTGTCTGGGTGGCGTTGTCCAAGGATTTCCAGCCGCAGAGCAAAGACCTCTGCTCTATCTTTTCTGCCTCTTCCAACTGACCCAGGTCGCGCAAGCTGCCGGCAAGGTTACCCATTGCCAAAATGGTGGCTGGATGACGTGATCCAAGGATGTCAAGCCGCAGAGCGACTATCTCTCGCTCAAGCCTTTCCGCCGCATCTAACTCACCACGGCTGTACAAGATGGTTGCGAGGTTGCTCCTTGCCACGATGGTGTTTGGATGACGTGGTCCAAGGATGTCAAGCCGCAGAGCAAGTACCTCTCGTACAATCTTTTCTGCCTCTTCCAGCTGACCACGCTCATGCAAGATACCCGCAAGGTTGTTCATTGACGAGATAGTGTCTGATGATGGTTCAAGGATCTCCAGCCGCAGGGCGAGCACCTCTCGCTGAATCTTTTCAGCCTCGTCCAACTGACCAAGGGCGTGCAAGGTACCCGCGAGGTTGTTCATTGCCAGAATGGTGGCCGGATGGCGTGGTCCAACAATCTCCAACCGCAGAGCGAGTACTTCTCGTCTCATCTTTTCCGCCTTGTCTAACTGACCAAGGTTGTGCAAGGTGTTAGCAAGGTTGCCCATTGCAGTAATAGTGTCTGGATGGCGTGGTCCAACAATCTCTAACCGGAGTGCAAGTACTTCCTGCTGAAGCTTTTCCGATTGATCCGACTGGCCACAGTCCTGTAATACCCGGCCGAGTTGCTCCATCAAAAAGAGGACACTTTCGTGCTTTTGGCCGTGACGGTGCTGAACTTGTGAAAGCGCGGACTCTAATAGCTCTCGGCATGCCTTCCAGTCCCCCAATGCATCGTAAAGTGTGTAGAAGGCTAATGAATGCACCAAATTCTCCGATTGGGCCGATCTAGGGATTTCTTGAACGTGTGGAAGCAACTGCCAAAGGCGCGCATTGCCACCCTCCGATGGCCGAATGGCACCAAGCACGAGCTGCATCGTCGTACGTTCATAAAGTCTGTTATCATCATCGCTCAGATGATGCTTGATGTACATTTGAAGGATGGGGTGGACAGAGTAGGATAGTCCATCAGTCGAAACGTCAATAAACGACGCGCGCGATGCAGATTTAACAATCTTCTGGAATTTCTTTTCGTTCCACATCATGCCTAGAATCTCCTGGAGCTTTGAGATGTATACTTGGTCACTTTCTGGTGGAGGAAAGTCATCCAGGACCGTGTATGTAGCGAAACCGGTACCCATCGACTCCTCAAACAAAGATATTGGGATATTCGAGTGGTTAAGAAATGCACAAAGGTCCAAAAAAGCTCTGTGTATGAGCCGGTAAGATGCGGAATGACAGGTCGAACGCGGTACGTTGAGGATGTGTATTCGTCGCCTACGTCTGGCTTCGTCCAACATTTCGTCTCGATGCTTTCGAAAGGTGTCCAAGTATGTTTCGAGTCGCCGGGTCTCGCGAATGTATGCACCCGCCCGAGTAATCGCGAGCGCGAGCATCCCCAACTCCCGAACGATCTCAATAGACTGAGTGTTGGATTGAGGTGAGATATTGGCGATTTTGTGAAGAAGATTGATCGCTTCGGTTTCCTCGAGACCACCCACGGGAATTGCACCGTCCCGAGCGTAGCTGATGCATTCACTGTTCCTCGTAGTGATCAAAATTGATCCATAAACGGAATTAGGTAGGTATGGGCGAAGGTTTAGATCCGGGAGGTCGGCATTGTCAAGAAACAGGAGCCAGCCTTTTTCCTTGCCGTCGAGGTAGGCCACCGCGTCCGCCCAGGTCATCTTGCTATATTCTGGGCCCAAAGAGCGGATTGACCGCTCCAAATCTGCTTCGATTTGTGCCTGACTGGAAGCATCAATAAAAATCACCCTAGTGAATCTGACAAAAGGTTAGCGGTTCTCTCGGAAGCCGTCACAAATCTTACCTGGCTTCGTGATCCCGAATCCATCTCGTTGCAAGCTGAGTCTTGCCTGAACCTCCAATTCCATGTAATATACACCGTGGTTGATTCTGTACGCTGCCCGGAAGCAACTTTTCCGTGATGAGGGATTGAATTACTTTTCGCTCGATGTAGTCTCTTAACACAGGTGGACGAGATTTAGGCAGTGGGAGGTCTAGGGAAGCTTGCTTTCCCTTTGCCGCATCTGTAAAGCCAATCAGTGCAGAAAGCGTAGGGAGGTGGTTACAAACCACGAAGCCTGTTCTCCGTAATCCACTTCTCCTGAACAGCTGCAGGCGCACCGTTGACATAGTCTTTGATATGGTACTGAACCGCTTTATAATTGTCGTCCTCCTTGGATGAAAATCGGACCAGATTGTGGTGATTCGCATGAAGGACGATTGTCGTTGCGTTGCGGTCGCCAGGGATAGTCGCCGAGTGATACGGGATATTCTATCGCCGAGTTAGTTTCTGCCCCCTGGATGGCAATACACGAACCAGATCTCGTTGATCCGCAGTGTTCGACGTTACGTATTCTTCGCAGAAGAATATGCTGCTTATTTTCTCGCTCGCTGTAGTGTATAAATCTTGTATGTTTGCAAGCTCGGATGAATGAGATTGAAGATCCTTGATGATAACGTCTGTAGTTTTCATGTATAGTGACGCGAAACGGTTGATTACTTCGAGCGAGGTGATACTCTCGAGACCGGAGTGCGTCCTGAAGAATAGGATTGCGTGTGTGGACACGAGGACATCGCGAAGCTTGTGATAATCTGATGTTAAGCTTTGCGTATGGCAGATAACGAGAGCCTACGAAAAGGTCATCAGCTTATTTCTCGGGATCTAGTGTCACAAACCCATTTGAGAATGATGCCCTAGATCATACGCAACGAAAATGATGGGGCGCTAGTCACTGTTCAGAGGAGACCAGCCACTGCCAGGATTTACTCACCCGAGGGTGGTCTTTCCGTGCCCGCGAGAGAGCCTGGGCTAGCCCCTTGGCATGTAGATACATTGTATTTGTTGATACACACTCTCGGCTGCGAGTGTCGGCATCATAGCCGTATGCAAGAATTCGAGCGTTCGGTATATCGACCGGCAAAAGGTCACGCAGCCAAAGGTGTCCATCATCCGTTGTCCATGTCTTTTCTCTATGCCCCTGCAAGCCATGAATAGCGACGATACTGCCAGGGCAAATCAACTAAGCCGCGAGGAGGTGCAATGGCTAGTGTGCTTACTCGACAACCGGGTCTATTCCAGGGGTAATTTCTAGAAACCCAAGATCATCTATCTTTGATTTGGGCATGAGGGTTGGTGATCTGCCAGCCGTGGAATCTGTAGATTGGTCCGCATGTAAACGACTATCAGACATTGTTTATGATGGATATAATGAGGGACAAGTGGGCTCGGTTCTTTTAAAGATGCACTAAGGACTGGCCCAGGTGGCGAGGCAACTGGCGAGAACTGAAGCTGGCAAGTAGGGCTGACCTGTCTGTCGGGTTATTTTTTCAATGAATTGATCAGAATAATGGCAATTGACTGTCCACATTTGCTTCGGTCAATTAGACCTTGGAACATCGAGCTCTGGCGTCTAGTATGTATAGACTATGAAGGAACGATGCAAGTAATCAATATCTTGCTCGCCTAGATGCGCGATTCTACCGGAGACAACGCGCTAAAAGTCGAGCTACACCGATTGAGGCAGCTCATATTCACCCGTTCGTCCGTAATGGATGTCTCCAACGGCGTACACGATGTATATGTCTGCGTATTTTGGGGTGATGACTAGTGCAAAGGTCTAGTCAATGGGCCGTTGGTGGTCGAGGTCGCGGTCGCTGGGTCGAAGTGAATCCAGTCTTCGCCACCACATTCACTCACAACTTTCTTGGGAAAAATGTCTGATACGGAAATGCAAATGTAAAGCCTTAATGGTTAATGCTTTTGGAATAACTAAGAACATTGTAGGGACACGACGGAGGGACATCGCGAGGTCGAACACGAGGAGAGCATTGAGCAGTCGATGGATCAGTCTGAACACGAAGGAGACGAAACTCATGATGAATCTGAAGACTCTGAAGATGAAGAGGCGCTCGTCGTACGTCGCTTTGATGAGGATTTTGCTGATATTGACGCGTGTTTGTGGTACAGGAGATGGATCCAGCAAAGATTCTACCAACACGCATCCGTCCCAACATGCCAAAGGTCGATTACACGTCCCCCGAGGCGATTGCCCGTGCAGGCATTGCCGGGCAGGATGAGCCAGATCCTCAGGACGCAGAGTATATCCCCACAGAGGAAGCTGTACCCGAAGACGAAGACCACAGCATGCAGCAATAGCAATAGCCACACTCTCTGGCGGATAATTGTCGAAATCGGCCATGTTGCCCCATGTCGCAGCCAGTCCCATGCGCAGTATCAACCATAATAGAAAACTAGTTTCTGACAAGACTATGAGGCGATTGCCTGCGTCCACAGCTCCCGTCAGGTCCACCCATCGTCGTAATCGCCCGCCGCAGTCGTACATTAAACCTCTTGCACCTGACGCTCACCGCCTGAGCAAACGCGGTGCTCGCCCTTCCTTCTTTCTCATCATTACTCTATCCATAATCAAATTTTAAAATGACCGCGTTTCTCTGCTGCTTTTCCGCTGCAGCCATGTCGGATGACCCGACGTAACCCTCTCGCTCGACCCGTCTGCAACGTCGTTTCTCGATGGTGACCTCGTTGATCCTCAGGAGAGCAATATATACGATTGAGACCGCCGACGCGCTCACAAATTGTCCTCTGTTCACAGCAGCCGCCTCGACGACATAGCGCCAACTCGACTAGCTCTGTTGTGGCCAGCATTCGATGGCCATCAAGACTAGAACCTTCTAATGGACGAAGATCAAGCCCTGTCATCGCTCCTGATGCAATGGTATCCGTCCACGGAATACGATCCTCTGGTCGTCTGCTTCGGCCTCGGAACTCGTCACGTATGTCCGAGCTACTCGTTAAACAAGACATATACCCATAATATTTGATTATAGTGACGGAAAATCGCACAAATTTCGCATCGACGGTTACAAACCAACATTCCGGTGGAAGCGAACTGGCAAATATTATACTCTTTTTGCCACGGGCCACAAACGACCGATTGCAAAACTCACTTCCGACCACTTGACCGCGACGTACCGACTGCAGGTCACCGGAACGACACTCGCTTCCTACCATTCGCAAGACGGCCACGGCGCCGTATCTTCCGTCTTACTAGACCACATTGTCCTCACATCTCTCCTCCTCGTCACCCCTCCTCTCGAATGGCGTCGCATCTCAGGTGCGACTGCCACCCGTACGTCCATCGTGACGGGTACAGACGATTTTGAGTTTGAGGAACCAGCCGCGTTCATTTACACTCCTTCATCCCATCCACGTAATCCATTTCTAGACGGCGCTCAATGTCGGCCGTCGTATTTTGTCGGAGGCCTGCCGACTATGGCGCCCCCGCCTCCACACCTTTTCGCCACAGAGGAGAGAGACAACTCTCTCGAGCTCCGACGACAGGCGAGCACTACTAGTAGTGCCTCTAGTCGCACCCTCGTTCAAAGTTTGGTCCACCGTGTACTGGCCAGCGTATCGTCCAACGATTCTCACCTGTTCCCATCGTCGTCGACAGGCAACCTTCCACACTCGTATGGCGGGAGCACCTCGTCACTGCGGAGCTCTATCCCGGCTCGATATTGATGCGTAGATCGTCACTAAAATCACCCTTTCTTTCCTTTGTCTCGTGGATTACTCACACTGTACAATTAGCTTTGCCAGTTATCAGAAATCTAGATACCTATACGTCACTCTAATTGATTGAGTAGCAACATTACCTCGTACATGAGATTGCGATCAAGCCCTTCAAGTTCGCAGGATAGCTATAGCTTATCGGACAGAGGGACGACTATGAAGGCGACCTTGGCGTCCTATTTCCGGAAGTTCGTCGGGGCATCGGAAAGTGGGAGCTGACAGGACATGGGCGTTAGAGGTGCGATGGCGAGTTGTCAGGCTCTGGGCGTCAACTCTTGGACTCTCCCTCATGGATGCTCCCCAAGTCTCTACAGCATTCCCCGAAGGAGAGGGCGATCTTTGCCTCATATCGAATGACGGCGTGCTTTTCTACGTTCACAGCCAGCTCCTTCGTCACTCGTCCCCCGTCTTCGCGACCATGTTCGAGATCGGGGGCGGCACAGGAAAGCCCGAGGGAAAAAGCAATGATTCCGTTCGCATGGAGGCAGATTCAGCGACCTTGGAGCTCCTGCTCCTCTATGTCTACCCGCTCCGCAAGAACCCACAACTCGAGACTCTCGAGCAAATATCAACTCTCCTAAGTCTCTCTCATCGCTATGAGCTCGATGGAATCACCCAGCAACTCCGTGTGGCGCTGACAGAGCCTCGATTCGAAGGGAGCGACCTTACCCGGCCCCTCTATAAGGTATCTCCACTGATAGCGCTCGCAATTACGGATGCATATGGCCTAATCCCGGAAGCAAGACTCGCACTCCACGACTGCTTGTCTCTGGACCAGTCCGACCTTCTTGGCATCAGTGCACAGATTAATATTCCATTCAGAATAATCACAGATGTCCTTAAATTACGCCAAGAAAGGGTTGAGTGGTTTGCTCGGAAGCTTGACTCCCTTGAATGGCCTGGGATGACTGCCCAGTCTACTCGCCATTGTGCCATTGACAGGTCAAAGATCGAGCGTGAATTCAACCAGAAGCCCGACCTACATGCATTAAAGAACATCATGCTTTCTTCAAGTGACGCGGGGATCTCCATTGCCACTCTGCAGGGTTGGGAAAAGGAATGGTCACAGGCGTTCGCCAAATTACCAGAATTTCCCGCCAAATGTTCTAAGAAGGTAAGCAATAGATCTATCTCTAAGGACTACGCTTGCTCAACTTTGGGTCTTCATCCGTAGAAAAAAAAGAAATTAACCATTGCCTTGTAAATGGCACTATATTGAATATCAGGGCGTCCTACTTTGCTACAAGCTTGCGATACGCTCGATTCTCACGAGAACGCATATACAAAGTCATATTGGTCGAGGATTGAGCTCATTCGATACTATTGTCCATTAAAATGAGATGATACTGCCTATTATTGTCGCGGGAGTCTCGGTGACGGACCATGAGCGGCGAGGGGGACACAATACGTCGTCTATAAGGTATCAGGACATGAAAACGCGAGTATAGACAAGAAGAATACCCATAGGAAGGCGACGGTCCTGCTCAAACTCGGCAGACGGTGGTGAGAGTTGAAAATGGCCAGCGGCCGTGGTATTCCAGAAGTACAAACGTCAGAAGAGTGCTTAAATCGATATATAGCCTACAAAGATACTGCACTAAACGTTAGCAGACTCCCAGAGGTCCACGCACCACGGTGAGAGCGACGCCTGACGCCCAAACGCGCCAGCGGCTCGCAAAATCCGCACGCGAGCTGATAGCAAATGGTCGAGATTATCCGCGGCAACGCCGTGAGAGTTTGAGAATGGTAAAGGCAGACGCCAAACACGGCGCCATCCTTCTTTTCAACCACGACGTCGCAGGTGCGCGTCCGGTCATCGTCTTTGAAGGGCCAACCAAGTAATTCCATAGACGGGATGGACATTGCTCAGCTTTTTCGAACGCGTTTGCAACGTGATTTGCTTGAGATTCAGGCAAACGCGGACGCAGGCATCCACGTTCACGTTGCCAGCGAGGACATGCGCAGGCTCTGCCTCCAACTGTGCCCACAAAACGGTCCATGGGCTTATCTGAGGTTACACTTTACGGTTGAGTTGCCGTCGAACTGGGTCCGTGTTTTCTCAATCTTGCCACATCATTGTCAGGTCGACCTGAACCGTATTATCGAGTTTGGTGTCAGGTGTTTCTAAACGCACTTTATTTCGTCTTTGGACGTCGTCTTGAGAGCCCATTCCGCCTGCGCCGTCATCGAGGTCGATACTGACGATGTTGCCCCTCATTTTCTTGCACAGCCGGCCAGCCCGCCGCGGATTTGGAGCACGATAAATAATATCCAGCATCCAAACATCCTCGACGAAGGTCTTGTGTGTTGCGATCTCTTCCGGGAGACGGCGGGAGGATACTCTGGGACCAAATACGCCGGGTATGTCTCAAATTGTCCAATAATGATGTCGTTCGTTGACCGAATAAAAAGCTATACGCCAGGGTATAGGCTGCGTGGTGTGCTCCAGCAACTGCTTGCCATGTTCTCCAGCTCGTGGGTAAGCGACAATTATGGCTCGCGTGGCGAACACCTCGGGAGTGCTGTTATTGAGCACTACGTCACCGAGGCGGATCTGATGGGTCCATTTCGGCAATCGTATTCACTCAACGACCGGCGGTCGGCGTACCCCTATGTTGAGTCTGAGCAGCGGTTAGAGAGGCTGTGGAATGCGGATGACTCGGAAGAGGTGTTGATCATGGCATACGAGACTGAGGACGGCAGCGAAATTAGACAACTCACCAAAAAGAGCATGTTGCGTGGTCAAATCGTACCCCAGTCAAGCTTTGCCTCAAGTACAAGTCATTTTGCTACTTCTGAGGTCCAGGCGATCTCGCGTGCCTCGAAAATGTGCGCCTCAACAGGGCGTGTGTTCAAGTTTGAGTCGCGGAGCCCGTTCTGGGAGCGTACGCGTCGCAAACTTGAAGTATTTGAGTGCACTGAGTGTGGATATGGGATAGATTCGATGCCACATTATTCGCCTGGCGGTATTTTGCCCCTACATAAGTTCCGCCCGCCCTACATGATCCCTGCCCGGGTCAACCAGCTTTCACGGCTCAAAATGGACACGTTACACGTTCTGTGCGATTTCCTGCCAGACGAGTCGCTGCGTGCGCTGAGCGTCGCGTATCCGCCGTTCGACGCGTTTTTGCGACGGGCAAACGTCCTCCGCAGACGCCAAGTGCGCTGTTTCTACCTGTCTACACCGTTTGAAGACCGTAAAGAAGGAGCTGGAGAGCCAGAGCTGTCGTCGACGATGGGCATTGGAATTGCGTTGGATGCAAAGACGAATCGCCTGTCGTGCCCCACCCTCGTCGATGGCTTCCTGTCTGAAGCTGCATTCCAGAAATGCGGCGTAAGAAGGAGCTCAAGGAAACACGAGTTTGGATTTTTCCTCCCGCTCGCGCTCAACTATCGCCATTTGAAGCAGATCAAGCCCCGCGTGTTTGAATGCCTCAAGACGCTCAGCCAGCAAGTCGCCCTCGCTGATCCACATCGGTGGAAAAGTAATCCAGCAGTACATTCACCTTCTCTGCGTTCAACACGCGCCACAGCGACGATAAAGCCGCCTGCATTGAACATTCGGACTCCGCTTCAAGCAGACGTCGATAGTGTCAACGTCTTGTACAAGCTCCTAAACGACGTCATGACGGGCTACATGCGTTCTTGCGAGGCCATCCTCGACGCACCTCCAGCCGCCTTGCGACGTCGTGGAGGCTCAGGAGGATCCCTCCAAGCCCAAATCGAAGAAGAAGAGTCTGCTACTGTCACCTTGACACACGCCGCAGAACGATTCCTCCCCGTCTATTGGCAGGTTCTCCACCTGTTGATATCCTTATGTCGCGAGAATCCTGCCATTCTTCGTGCAGCTCACGCAAGAGTGAGGCAATTCATCGATCATCCAGAAAAGAGGAGTAAAGAATACGAGCCCGACCTTGGAGAACTCCTCGTCGTAGCTGCATTGGTCTTTGCCTGCCAGGACGAGGGCTCCCTTGCGGGACACGGGTGAAGTTGTCCCACCGCAACCAACCCGTCAGCGCGAGTCACAGCGATCCCAAACGACACCTGGGGGCAGACGTTACGACCTTCGAAATGGACACAACGCACGACGACCCGCATCAGTTACTTCTGGATCAGGTCGCCAGATATCTGGAAGCGCCAAAGATTCAGTGATCCGCTGGTCGGAGCATTTTGCGGGGCCACTCCTTAAAGAGGCCATGACGCGCGGTGTAAAGACTGCACTCGAGCATTCCCCCGATTTACAACATCTCGAAACGGGTGCTTGTCCTTACCGTACCACAAAGACATTTCAGCACTGTCGTGGACCGCTCAGACAACTCGCGCTCCAAGTCTCCATGGTCGCCGTCTTCAACTATTTCGAAACGATGCAAAAGGGGCCGCATCCACAGCAGACGCACCTCGACCGAAACTTTGGCAATCCGCCACCAGAAGCAGTCCTCGTCCTCACCGAAGAAGTCAAAGCCGTACACCGGCTTTCGACATGGGGAGAACTGTTTATCAAAATACAATATGAAAATGGAAAGGCGTGGTCCGATGTCGAGCTCGCCTCTGCGTTGCGACAATGCATGCTGCTCAGCGAGCGACGAGGCTATCACACCAATCATTACCAACACGCCGAGGCAAAGTCTCGCTTGCTCACGATACGGGAGCGAAAGGAAAAGGACTGGAAGATGGATCACGCCCGACGTATGAGAAATCAGCGTTGAGCGTTTTGGTCTTTGCTCTCGTAGGCGACCGTTTTATGACACTACCTCGCGTCTGTTTTACAGGCTGCCACCAGTGTCATGGAAGCCGCTGAGCATCTCGACCATTCCTCGACTTTTTAATCCCGAGTCGCTTCTGGTAAGCGTGGGTTAGCCTCCTGCCCAAAACAAATACAATTCTCGTGTCCTCTGGTTTCCTTGTCCGTCGTGTGCCGAATTGATGACTCTAGATGTCCAGTAATTCCCAACGCTCTCCACCTGTTCGATATCCATCTGAAGACGCAGCGTTCGTCTTGTGTTTTATAGTGTATATAATCGAAATTCAGAATCACGTTTCCCTGTAAACAGATTTCCGTGAGCCGTCTCATTGAACCAGCTCGGTCAGATGGACAGGCTCATAATAGAGGCAAGGAGCGCGCTACTCGCCTGAAGAGCTCTCGTCACCACTTGTTCTCATACGGGATGAACGTTACATAGATCTCGCCTCACACTGTCAATTTTCCTCATAAAATAATGGAATATCACAGGAAAAGAGAGATACCTATACCATTATCCCAGCTTTCATTCCTTTATAGGTGTATAGACAGAGTCTCTTCTGCGTACAGTCCTCCGCACCGATATCGTCAGTACTGCACAAAACTTATATCAATACACATGAGATTGTGACCCCCCGGTCATGGGGACAAGACAAGGTGGCAGCGAGAATGGCAGCTGTGCACGGCGCTATTCTTCAGGTTCCCTCCCATGGTTTGCAAGGTCAGTGATCAACCAGGTGTTATCTCTGACCAGGTCGATCAGTACCTTCTGTAGGTGCTCCATAATGAAACAGCCCTAATCTCGTCAATACATGCGTACCAGGCTGTGGTCGTCCCTCGGGAATGCTTCCAGAAAAACGAATCCAGGTGTAACTACAGGCATTACTGCTAAACACTGATCCTGTGACTCAATGACTTTATTTGTATACGCTCTAGGTTTAGCAGTCGAGCGTGAATCCTTCCTATGTTTGCGGCCATTCGGAGTCAACCGAGAAGGCGCGTTCTGAGCTCACTGTCTGGCAATGATTTAGAATTTTGGCACGAGTTCACTGGTTGCTGGTTAGTACGCTGCGCCTAGCACCTGCCATGCACCATTCGGCCCTGTAGCCAGCGATTGTTTACTTATAGAGTCGACGTGACCTATTATAAAACTCGCGGGGCAGGACATGGGAGCCTACCTGCGTCAGGAAACCCACTTTCCATCTCACAATGGGCGAACAACCGGCTGCAGCCACACGCATGGCGGAAATCTCGACCTTGTTTCCAGCAGGTCAAGGGGACTTTCTAGTCACCTCCGCCGACAGGATGCTCTTCTATGTACACCAAACAGCGTTGCTGCACGCGTCAGGCAACTTTAAAGCGGCATTCGAGAAGTCTGCAAGCGAAGCTACCGCTGGAGCCATTCCTGCCTTGAAGATGGAGGAAAATGCGGTAACACTGGAGATTCTTTTTCAATATGTTTACCAGGATCGGCAAAGTCCATCTATTGGTGACGTGCATATACTCAACAACGTCTTTCGTGCCGCGAGGAAATACGAAATGGAGGAGTGCTGCAACACTGCGAAAGAGTCTCTTGGAGACTCGCCTCCACCAAGGGAGGATTATTCAGCCGCTATACGTGCGATATCCTTTCGCTACACTCGCAATCGCAACTGCTTTCGATTGCAAAGACGAGGCACGCTTTGCTTTACGCGAGTGCCTGAAAGGTGACCTGGCGAGCCATATCAAAGACGCCTCTGGAATTCAGGTTCCGGCTGATCTAGTGGTCTATGTCATGAGGTTGCGAAGAGAACGAGCGGCGTGGTTCTCCTCAAAGTTGGATAGCTGGCCATGGCCAACAGAGGGTTGCCATAATTGCTACCGTGGATATGCCGAGATTCGTATGCAGCTGGAGAAGGAGCTGGCATTCTCCTTGGACTATAAAGCGAAGCAAGTCGTCATAGATCCTCGCGAACGTGCTCCAGTCAACACCATATCCCTGAAGCAACCCGAGAGCTCATACAAGCTTGGGATGCCGAGTGGTTCGAGATGAAGCAGCCGCTTCCCCTTCTCTATACGCAATTGTGACGGATGGTAAGTCGGGTGAATTCTCTTTGACATGTACTAATCAACCTTTCAAGGGATTCAAGAAATAATCCAATACCCAAACCGGGCACTGATTGTTAGCGAGTGCCTCGACATATGCACAGTAGATATTCTTAACAGAGAGCACATATCTTTTGTTGACTTGTCGTTAGCGGTTGAGCCCTATGTACCTTGAAACGAGCTACGGTTCGGTCACCCATCCAATACTAATCATCTTGTGAGGATGTCAAAATCCGCTGCTATATTCATTGTCACGTTGTTACATTTGGCCAACGCGTTGTGGTGGCAGGTGCTCATCGGTTCTTTTTACGACACTTGTACGTGTTGAGGTACGCCGGTTACTCACAGCATGTTCATTACTTACACTAGTTGATGTAAACACGCTCGTTAGGTGGTGTACGGTGCTCATTAGATCGTACGATTGAACAGTCAGGCACCGACACAGACCAATACCACTCGCCCCTTCGACTCCGCCGACTTGCGGCAACTTATCAATCATGAGCGATGCTCAAGTATCTCCACTATTTCCCGCTGGCAGTGGTGACATTCGCCTCATCTCCACAGACGGCACTATCTTCTACGTTCACCGTCTAATTCTCCGACTCGCATCTCCCTTCTTCGAGACAATGTTCGAGATTGGATCCGAAGGAACTCCTCAGTCAAATCATTTGCCGCTCAGAGTGGAAGCTGATGCGAAGACTTTGACTTGCTTATTGCAATACCTTTACCCAACTCCATGCCGTCCACGGATTACAGACTTAGGTCAACTTACAGCCACTTTACGTACTGCAAAGAGATACGAAATGGAAGGCGTCATCGAGCAGCTCCGCAGCGTCCTAACGGAGAGGTATCTGGAAGAAGACGAGCTAATCGTACCCCTCTATATCAGATATCCCTTGCCTGTCCTTCTTATTGCGGATGCCTTCGGCTTCATCGCTGAGAAAAGGCTCGCCTTGCGGGAATGTCTCGAGGGCGATCTGACCGAACATCTCAAGACCGTAATATCCAGTGATATACCTGCACGAATCATGATAGGACTCCTCGAACTTCGAAAGGAGAGGCTAGAGTGGTTCAGGTCAAAGCTGAATGCCTGGTCGCCTCCGCTTGTAGAGCCGTGCTGCTCCCAAAATTTTGGAGCACCGTCAGAAAATCGAGACGAAAGTTTACCACTGTCTTGAATTTCAAACATCTGTGGATGAGTTGACCAAAGGTCTTCGATGTGATAATCAAAAGGTGACTACTTTAGCTTCATAAAGGGCACCTTATTGCAGTTCCATTTGATGCAATAGTGCAAAGATGGGAAAGAGAGTGGGTAGTGTTGCGGAAATCCATCCCGAAGGTCCCCCCAATAATGGCGTAGCAGCTACAATTTGATAATTCTACGCAGACTGCAACAGAGGCGGTCCGTGATGTTGATTTGCGGCAGCGAACGCTTTTAGAAAGACACTATAGGTATCCTAAACAGAGAAACTGTATTTCTTGTGCATTGTCACCCAAGGTCGAGTCCAAGTTGTATCTTTGACCCAACCATGTCGACGATATCGCGGCGGGCGTGCACAACGATTCAACGTCGGGCAGCACGTTATGCGCCGAAATACGCTCGTTCAGCTTCATCTCACGCACATGGAGAGCACCACCACCACGACCATCACCATCACGAAGAGGCGCATCCATTCACATATCGACAAGAGAGTAAGAAGCACTGAGGAGAAATGCTTAAAATTAATCTTCGGATTTGTAGCAATGACTTCTCGACCGATCATCCTGACCAGTGCCGCCTTTGTCGCTCTCGTTGGAATGAACGCGGCCGGACTTTTCGACGTAAAGGATAACAAGCACCCCATCACTCGCTACATTGCGTCAACAATCGATTCGAGAGATGCTATCATGGAAGAAAACCTGCACAGAATCAACGACGCAAAGGAAGAGGCCGCAAACTATCGTCTCGAGTCGACTGCTCGCAAGGATCCCGTCAAGGGCGTCAGGAACCCAGGGTTAGATCTTCTTTATTCTTTCATCGCCTTTGAGCTAATTTTGTTCTAGTTTGGCTGCCATTGATCTCAACCGGCTTACCCGTCAGGTCAGTGGCTTATATATTCTATCCTTGCAACGCTAACTACCTTGTAACTACAGACCTGGTGTCGACTTTTCGGACATCAAGCCAAAGCGACTGCCAAGGGACGATTAAATTCAGGAATAAGGATAGACTACAGCCAGATGACCCGTGTAGTATACACCTGCTCTATTCCACGCGTCGTTTTTTGGAAGGATAGTTAGAGACCTTGTGCTCTCTGCGACAAGTGTGAGCTTCTGCGAGTACGAACAGAATACCACGACAAACCTGAATGCCTGCGACTTGCGTTTGCGGCTTTCCTTCTTCGCCATATTCCGCTGTAGCTGTCTCTTTGCCGCTGCTTGAGGATCAGATGCGACCTGTAGCTTTTGAGCATAAAGTCGCCTCTTCTTATGCAAACTCACCTGCATCGCGCGGGCGACTTTGCGCTCCCGTCGGACGTTCAGAGCACCTTGTCGGATTTGCCCGTACGCGGCCGTAAACTTGGTGATGCCGACCTTGCTCTGGACAAGATCTTGCAGCTCTTGTGCCACCAGTTTCACTTCATCTGCTAGAATGTCAATCCAAAGCAACTTTTCGAGGACGAGTCGTTTACCCATGCCAGCGTCACGTATCGTATCGTCTTCCAACAAGCGATACACCGGAGTCAACACGTGATTCAAGAAACGCTCCAAATCCTCCGCTTCCATATGCGCGACCATGGCCGCGAACCATTGCAAGACTGAGAGGGGTTCCAGATGCCACTTCTTCTGTAGACCAGTAAGTATGGCGTTTAAAGGAGAATAAAAGGCCGTACAGAAGCAGCAAACGTGTTCCGACGCTTGAGGTGAGCGGTTCGGACTTGATAGGAGAGTTTGGAGAAGAGCCAAGGTAAGGGTGCTCGCTTGATACGCTCCAACTTTGACAGCTCTCCCCTTTCGTTCTCGCCTCCTTCATCATCTTCACTCTCGTCCTCAGAATCATCTTCTGCATTTTGAGTCGCATCTAGAGTGCCATAGAATGTCTTTCCTAGAAAGACGAGGTTTTTGACGATCTGAAGAGCGAAAGGTTGATCGAGATGCTCGCTCCGCAATTGAATCGAGGAATTGGTGGCCACGGTGATCATGCCAGCGCGTGAGGCTGGATGCGAGTCGGATTGGTGGCCAAAAGATATTTTCCACGCGTAGAAGGACCCGAGCAGGCGGGATGCGGCTGCTCTGACCCAAGCATGAGGGAAGAGCATCAAGTCGACTATCGTCTCCCAAGCGATCTCCGTTTGTAGAGTCCTTTGGCTCTCGTTGTCGATGAACGCCTTGGAGAGCTTGGAGAGCAACCCAAGCGCCTGATATGGGACTTGCCAATCCAAGTCGACATCCATTGCATCCGTATCCTGCGTCACGAGCGACTCATATCGCTCCAGAGCAGTCTCAATGGCATGGTTGATATCCTCAACAATAGTGCCGAGGTATTGGGCGATGTTATCGATCGCGACTTGGGCGGCAAGCCCGTAAACCTGGAAAGCGACGCCGGTGAGCGATGCTTGAGTGGTCTGACTAGCCCAAGCATGGACTCGTTCGAGCGTCTTCTGCCTTTCTTCGTTGCTCATAACGGTGTAGAGCTTCTTGACGAGTCCTGACGCCTTTTCCTTGCACACGGTCGACTCGTCGTTTGCCAAGACCATGACCAGGGCCGCAAGGAAGAGATCAATGAATTCAGAGAGGAGAGAAGAATCGAATTTGAGGAGGACTGCATCGAGCAGGATCATGACAGAGATCCTTCCTGGCTCATACACGTAGCTGAGGTTACTCGCCAGGAAGGTCATCTGCTTTCGAAGCCGTCCCTTGCCTTGCGGGTAATCGAGTAGAAACTGGAGCATGATCCCGCGACACACTTCCTGCACTTGTGTCGACTGACTGGTCACCATGATGTTCGCAATCTTGTCCATCATGTCGTAGATTTCTGGGACGACCAACTTGCGTTGGATGATAGCGCGCAAGAGTGCAAACACAGAAGCTTGTCTCTCAGGCTCTTCAAGGTCTGGTACCATAAACTCGAGGAGGAACTGAAGGTCCTGTTCTTTGAGCTGGGCCGACGGACACTCTCGAAGGGTAGTGGCCAGAGATTTGAGCGCGGCCTGCGCCACCTCTGATTCTGCGCTACCAGATTGTCGTATAATGTTGACCTGCTGTCGGGTGATAACAAGCAGTGACTTCGGTACAGACTTCAGAGGTGCCTTAACAATGGATGAGATCGCTTTCAAGCCATTGATTACCACTGCTGTTGCCGAGGAATAGAGCGTATTCCCGATCAAACTGACAAGTGGTTCCAGGCGAGAAATGATGCCTTCATCATGAAAGTCGAACCTGTTGCGACGAAATGCGACCGTCAACAGATCTAGTCCAAGCACGGTGAATCGATACGAGTTGTGTGCGTAGTGCTTCGTGGCCTGAGGTAGGTCTCGTTTTGTCTGCACGACGTAATCGTTTTTCTTCCCTTTGCGATTCAGCTCTGGTTTCTCCTGGAGGAATTTGGCGTTTTGGCTGATCAACGTATGACAGAGGGAGAGTAGTGCGTTTGGGTCCAGGGAGGGATTGCTGTTTAGTCCACTCGAGAGACGTTTTAGAGTCTCGTCGACAAGCTGCATCACCTTGGCAGCCTGTGTCTCGTACATGATCGACTTCAGCGGTAGCAGACGTTGGCTAACAACAGAAGGAGACACGAAGCGGGCGAGAATCGTCATTGCATCAAGCCCTTTGGACGACGCACTACGAACTTCCCGAATCTTTTGTCTTGAAATCCTCCTTGCGTGTCCTTCCCTGATTGCCCAAAGATGACCTCCGCCGACACTTCCGCGACGCTAGCCGCAACTTCGTCCAAGATTCCATCGGTGTTGGCTAATCCAGCATCGGAGGTGATATGGTGGATAAGCGAATGACATGTCACCGCAAGAATATGCAACTGCGGTCCTCGAGTCAGAGCCACACGCAACTCCTTGATAATAACGGGGAGATAAGAGGGGCCTGTAGAGACTAGAACCTTGCAGAGGACCTCTCTTGCTGTGTCTCTTGTCTCGCTCGACTTGCTGCGTAAGGCTTGACTGACAATGGTGATCAGCCGGGTGATCTGTGCACGTTGTTTCTCGGCGGGGAGGTGCAGTGCGACCTTGACTACCCCAACGGCCATAGGCAAGCGAAGAGTATCTTCCGTTTCCTCTCGTTTCTCCATAAAGTTGAGCAAGGCAGGGAGAAGACGTCCGTTGACGGCATCAGCAATCTTTGTTTCTGGGACCGACTGCACGATTTCTTCAGCCCCTTCCTCGTCGCCATCTTCCTCCTCTTGAACAGGCTCAGGGACATCCTCCTCCATTCTGAAGTGAAAGCTGTCCAGGATAATGACGACGGTACGAATCGCAGCTTTTTCGGGCAACTTCTTGTCCTTCACCGCCTTCAAGTATCGCTGAACTAGACTGTAATAGCGACTCCAAATGAGCTGTCGAGATATGTGGCCGAGAGTGGTGATGGCCTCATTGACCAAAAGATGGTCGTGGTTCTCCTCCCCTATGTAGTGACCAACGATTGGGACGAATATCTCGAATAGCGTGGAGGATCGCAGTTGCCCTTGATCACAAAATTCGGCAAGTCTTCTCAGTGCACGGGTGCGACGATGAATCTGGATGTGGGCAACATTGTTGAAAAAGTTGGCCTCTTCATCTCCGTTGGCGAGAAGGGGTGTCATATCTTCGAGGCTCGGAAGCGTTGGGCATTGTTTGATTGCATAAGAAAGAACGGAAATGAGTTCTGTCCTGACAACCTCGTGCTTGGAACGGAGGCCACCCTTCAGCCCGGACAGAAGCACACGACCAAAGAGTCGTTGAAACTCGGTCGTATTGACCTTTTCCATCCTCTCGATGAATCGTCTCATCGAGAATGCCGCATTGGTTCGGATAGAAAGCTCGTTCTGATCGTGAATGAAATGGAGCATATTATGCAGGATAGGAGTCCATTGAGATACTGTGAAGTGGAGGTATAGTTCCTCATTTAGGAGGGTAAACGCGTCCATTCGCCGATCAAAGTCGGGTTCCTCTGGCCGACGCGGGTCGAAAGAATTCAAGGCCTCGATCACAGATGACAGTTTCTCCATCTGTGGATCCTTGGCCCCGAGAGCAGTGAACACTTTAGTGGCCGACGTACGGGCAGCTCGACCTCGTAGGGTTTGCAAAAGCTGCGAGACATGCTCGAACGTGGCGGTGGTCAAAGTGGTCGTCTCTGGGTTCTCCATAGGTAGCAATAATACAAGCCGTGCGACCACTTGCAATAGGTCCACCTTTGCACTCTCGTTGACCTTGCTAGAAGGTTTGCGAAGAAGGGGTAGGAGGAGCTTCAGCAAGCCTATCGCTTGAGAGACATCTCGCACATGATCGGAGATCATGCGCAGAACAGATATTTGCCTATGCGAGACGTTGGATGTGACCGCACCCGTCTTTGCACTCTCCTGTATCATGACGGTGAGGTTGTCGATGAGGATGGATGTATGCGGCTGCACAAGGGCTTCCACGATAAGCTGCTCTGTGGTGGCATGTGCGAAGATGTTCTCGGCAATATCAAATACACGCATGATGACCACTGGCTTGACATTTGGCGTGATGAGGCAGCCATAGATCTTGGGCAAGACTCGTGAGTCGTAGTCCGCTAAAAATGCAGCATATGACGGGTGAGTGCTCCACACATGGAACAGTTCCATGAGCGAGGAGGGTGATTGAGAGTTCTCTTGTTCGAAAGCCGGTAGACGGCAGGAAATAAACGCGGAAAAGGCAGTCGGTAGGAACGGGCGAAAGTCGTATTCGATAGGAAGGCGGAATGGATCTGTGAAGCGCTTGATCCCCAGTTGTCGAAGATTTCGAGCGACCTTGAGAGGAAGTTGTCCAGGAACATCTTCTAGTATATTCTCGTCCTCATTGTCTCCGTCTCTTTCGTCCTGGTCCTCTTCGATGACTTGTCGATTCTCTTCTAGAACTTTTTGTGCGTTTGCAACAATCATCGTGACTGCGTGGAGAAGACCCGAGATGTACGCAGTAAGCTTGACGCCGAGGATTCGATCAACCTCTGCGAGCAGAACTAGGAACCCAACTTGCTGCTTGCTAGTCATCGAAGCTGGGAGGGGTCGAACTTGCAACCCTCCATCAATAGCCATGAAATCTGCCATTTCAAATGGCTCCAGCATAAGATGAACAAGCGTCCCGAGCTCCGAGTCGTGACATTGTCGCAAGGAATTGATGAGAGCTGTCCGTCGTTCCTGCAACTTGTTCCGTCCTCGTCGTTCACGCATCATTCCGTAGAACAGTCGAATCAGAAATTCGACAAATTCTTCTCTTTCAGACGGCTGCACTGTCGATCCCAGATCAAGTCCAGTAAGGTGCTCCTTCCATTGACTATCCTCGAGCAGGCCTCGGATAGTATCCTTATGCGTAGTAAGCGCCTTGCTCTTGTATGAAAGCATACAATCGACAGCAAGGGTTTGGAGATGGCGATCGGGATGGGAGAGCAAGGAGATATACGTCGCGCGAAGTTCGTCCGCTGAGACGACCGCCCTCGGATTGTTGAACTTGGATAGAAGAGATAACCATGATGCGAGATTGTGTCCTGATGCTTTCTTGGCGCCACTTGGAGAGACGAACGAAAGGAACAGTGGGATGAGTTCGCGGTTATGTCGTTCCGCAAGCGATGAGCATCCTTCGAGGGTCTTGAGAAGTTGCTTCTCGTAGTTCTCCACGTCGATTCTCTCGGAGATGACCTGAGCCTATCCAAGGATTAGGAAGGAAGCATTAGTATTTGCGCGACTCGCCTTCACAAGAGTCATCACTTCGTCCTCTTGAATTGCGCCTTTCATCGCCTCTAGAGTTTCTTGTAGCCCAGGATTGCGCCACGTCTTCTCTTCTTCTTGCACTTCCCGATCGTCCTCGTCCTCTACAATCCATGTGGGACGATCCTGGAGCAGGGCCCCTGCAAAGATCGCCTGTATCTCTGGCCCCATGATATCCCATAACTCTTCGCTCGACCGATTCGCTACATCGATCAAGGCCTGCGAAGTCGCTTTCCACACTGGCATGAGGTTGACCTTGAACTGACCTAAATCGGCATAAGTATTTGCACAAGTAAAATGAACTCGACGTACCAACGAGCCAACGAATGCAAAGTTCTGCGGCGCCGGCAGACTGTCCGACCGGGGCTGCATTGCCCACTTTCCCCGTCTTCAGTACTCGTTCAGGGGCCCGTGTTGCAGAGATTTCAACCTCTTCGGCTTGAAGACATGCGGTCACTGCAAGGTCTTGCGACGAGTCTCGCACAACAAGGTCAGAAGCAAGAATGCGCAGGGCATTGTATCGCAACGCCCCAACGTGAGACATGACAGAAGCTTTGAGCATTTCGAAGGCATCCACAAAATTGATTGGGTTTGCACTGCGTGCTTCTGATCAGTTTCATAGGTGATGCGGGGAGGCGGAACTCACGCGTGCTTTGCTAAGCTGGCTACTCCTTCAAGTACCGGCGAGCTCCAGCTATAGTGCGTCAATGCATGCTGTAGCCATACGTCGACCTTGGAATCAGGGGGTAACTCGTCCATCTCGCCCAAGACGAGCAGGCAGGATCCAAAGAACCACGAGGCGTTGGCAGCCGTTTCCATATAGTTTTGAATTGGATTCACATCCAAAGAAACAATGTTGTCGACAATGGATGCGATGGAGGGTGCAAGAGATGGCAGCTGTGGGACGAGGGCGAGAATGTGGTGAAGCTGAATAGAGGATTTATCGTTGAGCTTCCATTCGTCCAGCAATTTCTCGCGCGCAAGATTTCTGGATCGCTTTCTTCCAAGTCGCATCTTCGAGCACTATTCGCTTACTCTCTACCAGCATGCGCAAGAGTCTCAAGGTAGCGGCTGAATGTGAGGCGATGTGCGCAACAGTAACCCTAAGGAATGTCAGAGATTACTTCAATTTCCAAAATTCGCCTACTTTTGGACCTGTGGTAGGATGAACGATCTCCAACCCTTAGACTGGTCAAGAGCCGAGAGTGCCTCTGCTACCCAGTAACCGGCCTCTACATCCTACCACGTAGCTTAGCTGTGCAATGTGGATGATACAGTGCGACTTACCTTCCAGATATGCTCCAGAGCGGAGCGACCTCGTACCCAGAGTGCAAGCTCTCCGCCTTTCAAACATGCTACGATCATGGCAGCAACATCTCTTTTCAAAGATAAGGTAAGCGGGAATGAAGACAGCTTGGAGAGCACAGATGCAAGTTGATCGGCTGTAGGCTGGTGAGTGGCCATAAGGGGTAGGAGGAGAATCCGTACTGTTTGCCATTGCTTCTGCCTGCTTACCCTTGCGAAACGCGAATATCACCAATGATATGCGAAGCAACCTCTGTGTTCGCTTTTCGTCAAATGGCTCCGCGAGGGCGTGTATGCGCGAGACAAAGATGTTCGTGATGGGTTGAAAAGACTCGACGGAGCAATAATGCATCGTTGCGGTCAACACCCGTCGCACGAGCTTGTAAATGGGCTCGAAATCGTCTGCAACGAGGGCATTCTCCAATAACAATTCGAGTAGCGGTAAAGCAGCAGTATGCAGTGTCAAAGATGTTGATCGAACGCTTATGATGTATATCCATGCGATAGTATCTGAAAGTGTGTCCAGTGAGCCAACAAGCGCGTCGGTGGCATGGCGCTTTTGTTCCGACTTGAATTTGCGCAGTGTGGTACCCCAGACTTCTGCTAGTAGTCTTCGTATGTCAGGACGACATTTTTTCATCGTTGCGCTCAATGCATCCCATGTAAAGGAGGCGAGACTGGGGGTAGGGAGAAGGAGATGCTTCAGACATGCAGAAAGAGTTTGTGTGTACGTCTCGAGTGTGGACGGTGAAAGTAGACGCGTTGCCTGTGCGAGTAGCGTATCCCAAATAGATTCAAATTTTGGGATGAGGGTTGTCCGAAGATCATGGAGGAGTTTTTGCATGAGACTGAAAAGATATGAGATCAGCATATCATTTACTCGCTGGACATTTGTACATACTCAAGTAACGGCTGCTTTGATTCGAGGTCTGCCTCTGCCATGGCTTCTATCCATAGATCCACAACAAGCTGCCAGTTGTGAAGCAGAAGAGGAAGAGATGCAGCAAGCTGTTCTGTCTTTTTTGCATACTGGAGAAAGGCAGGCGAAAGGTTTAGCTGTTTCCAATGGTCGAGCGCGAGTTGGAAGTGGGACTCGTTGTCCTGAGGTAGAATGAGCCAAAATCAATCAAAAATGAAGAGAATGAACCGATAATGGCTGGTCTGCTGCATTTTGCGCGAGTGGCGATGGTAAATGGACGTCTTTGACCTGGGCTTGGTACGAGCGGTGCTGTTTTGGATGTATTTAGCGATTATGACGCGTATTTAGAGAGTCAAATGAGCCACCTTGAATCGTTTTTGCACTCCGACTGGATCATCGGTGCTCATGGGCAGCTATTTTGGCCACCAACGTGTGACGGTGGCGAGTTCAAGTGTTGACCACCGACCATCCCCCCGCACATCGACAAGTTTCGACAGAAACCAGTGAAGAGAATTATTGGAATATTCGACGGAGATTTCCGAGCGGTGAATTCCTTGGCCCTAGTGGGAGTCTAGCCGGCGTCTCGTGCCGCCTCTTACGAATAAAGGCTCCGGACCCGCAAATTCGCGGTCACACGAGCACTATTTTGGGTAAACCCTCGTGGGGACTTGAGTGGATACTGTAATCGGTGACCGTGACCGTGACCGTCTCGGACGACGCCCAGCCTGCATCTTGGCCCCTCCCACGTCCATATAACTCTGCCTTTCGAAAGCTCGCTGATACTAGTTTATTCATTATAATGGCAGCCATTGAACGACCCCCCTCACCTCCTTCGTACTTGGATCCACCACCGGCATTTACGACAATCACCACCTCTACAAACGACGATGGTGAACTCCCAAACTACTCTAGAAACGCAGCTGCAGACGAGCGGATAATGCTCCTCGAACCCCTCGCCTCGGCCAGAGCGTCCAGCTCCATGCAGCCGGTCGACTACATTTTCACCTCTGAACGTCTAGAACTCAATATGGGCAGAAAACGCTTCCCAATCAAGGTTCCCTGCTATGGTATGGACGGCGTCGTAGAGGGAAAAGTCACTGTCAAGGATTTCAAGGCAGCAGCCAAACTCTCCGTTACCGTAAGTGCTTCTACATCCACAAGAGTCTATCCTGACAAACTTTTTATCTGCAGTTGGAAGGCGCCTGCAACACTAACGTTGTCGAGCGTGGGATGAACGTCTACAGTAGCACCAAGAAGCTCTTGTCTATGACGGAAGTTCTATGGACTCGATCAGATGGATCGGCATGCCCAGACACGCCGCAAGACTTCTCGTTTTCATTTCGCATCCCGACGAACGTGCATCCACCATTGCCGCATTCGTATGCAACCGTCCACCCCGGCTTGAATGCAGATGTCACATACTACGTTAAAGTTGACCTTTTCCGCAAAGGACTCAGGAGACACGAGCGGCAAGTCGATGCTCTTGATGTCACACGTTTCTGGCCATCTGACACTATGCCCCACCCAGACTGAAGACCATGGTCTTGTATTTGCCAAGGTCTACACCACCAGAGACTCCACAGAGGACGTCTGGGTCATACACTGAACCCCCCGCCTTGGTGCAATGGGAGACCATCCCAATCCTGCCCAGATGCACACAAGCCAAAGCCGAGCAATCCAGTCAGGACTTGTCCAACGATGCCATCAACGTCAGCCTCTTTTTTTCATTGCTCATGCTCGTACTGACGTGACCGCCTCTTTCTTTCCATTTAGCTCATTCTGCCCTTGCCCAAAGTTTACGCGTCAGCCGCTCCGATACCGTTCCAACTCGCTTTCCCCGGAAGCTCGCCGTTGCTTCCTTATGTTACAAATTCGCTTATTGTCCAATTAATCAAGTCGACCTTTATTCACGCCGGCGGGTTCATCAGTCTACGAGAGGGAATCATCGCCACGGGTGAAATTTCACGCATCGAAGACGAATCGTATCCAACACCTCCACCATCTCCGGGTTCGGACGACAAATCGTCGACCAGGGATAGCGTACTCGCACGGAGGGTATACAATGGAACGCTAAAGAGTTTCCGAGAGGGTGGTGAGACGAGCTGGAGCGTTCCAGATCATCTCGAGATACGGGTGAGTGTCTTTGAATGCTTGTACAGACGACGTTACTGACATGCCAAAGCATGCCATCCGCGTGTTCCTCAGAGCGCCCAAGTCAGAGGGCAATCTTCCTGAATACTTTATCGACCATCCTGTTCAAATGTGCACACACAATCATATTCCCAATGCGACGGATATTCACGACCCAGTCATTGGGCTCATCGCCATCTCGGGCTCTCAAGGAACGCCAACGTCTCGTGCTATGGTGTCTGGAGGTGTCTGGATCTAATTAAACCTCTATGAAGGGGTAAACGGCTCTCAGATTTCTTTTTCCCTTGGTTCTGTACTAGTACTGTATTGTTGTTACGAGTACCCTCAATATATGTATATGCTTATGGAAAAGCATTACGAAAGATCAAATATCAAGGGGGAATGCGTTCAGAAAGGACGCAAAGGTGCAAATTTATTATTCAGAATAGGGTTACAAAGAAGAAAAAGAGAAAAAAAACGCGTCAGATAGACGCGCGTCCGCTGGATGCTGGATGAACACTCGCAGTGCGTGTGAACAAGCAGGACCCAAACTTCCTCGATGCCCCCACTCGCCACCCAAGAGGGCGACGAGCGTAGCGGAGCTGGCCTCTGTCGAACGGACGCACGAAGAATCATCTACGGCGTTGAGAAATGGGGCATTTTTGTAAATGCGAGACTCGGGTCAGTTTCTACATAGAGATCCTGAACTGAGTATGTTCTAAAGATTCGTCCTATGTTTGCGACCAAACATTATATGCCCGCCACGGCTATACAGTTCTAAGCCACCGCTAAGCCACCAGATGGACTTGAAGCGGAGTTCGATTGTCTCCTATTCACCATTAAAAGTGCTCCTGGAGTTTTAAAGATCAAGAAAAGGACTGTCTTTTTTGTCACTGGTGTTCAGCATAGATCACTCTCTTTGGGAGTACACCTTGAACCTGACCAATGTCCATGGCCTCGCAGCACATATGGAATATCATCCTCGCATGTGGCTTTACTTCAACAGCAATCCACCTCTTTAATCAACGTCGCGAATCTGAAACACAGCGACTCCGTTTTGCAGCCCATATTGGCGCGTTGGAGGATGTTCTTCGCCGTCTTCGCGCGGGGGAGCGCATCAGCGACGAAGAACTGGCAAAAATACGTAGACGGGTCGGACTCGCACCAAGAATAAACCCTACAGATGTCACTTTCGTGCCAATGCAACTTTTAGAATCAACGAAGGATGCCGAGTCCAAACCAAAGATGAATGCTGAAGAAGAACTAGCCTTCGAATGGAATAAAGGCGAGTATCTTCTAGTCGTTGGACGCACACTGACGCGTGTTATAGCGCTTGACGAAGCCTCAAAGACACCTTCTGCGAGACCCTCGCTTCTGCGCGCGTTGCTTGGGATGGAAGCCGCTCAGCAAGCAGTTTCCAGTATCTCCACCACACCCTCAACTACACCTGCACCAAGTCCCGGTGTACCCTCCAAGAAACCCGTCTTTTACTAAAGGGATGGCCAATGGTCGTAACTTATTCATATATACGCCATACTATACATCTACAAGCACGTCAAAAGCCCAGCCAAACGATCGCGGACCTGCTTCTGCGTATCCTTGTCCACATCCAATTTGGTCGTTCCCTTGAACACCGACACGGGTACTCTACATCCTCCAGCATCAATGACAGCCGACTCCGTTGGGAGATGGTTCGTCGAGCACTGGTTGACGTCGTCCGTGAGCGGATTGATATCCGTGTTGATACGCGAGAGGACAAATTTATAGTCGCTGGCATTGGGACAATCTTTCGCGTCGGGAATATTGACGTTCTGTCGAATTCTGTCAGCTAATCCTGCTCATTACTGGTCTATGGATATTTGACTCACAAGGCCCACGCCAGCAGGAAGATATGGCGCGCCGGATTGAATGACGGCGTTGACTAGCTTCGTGGCTACCTGGGCGTAAACGTCTGCTACTGGATCGGCTTCAGTGTATACGTGCTGCGTGCCACCCACGCCACTAAATGCGATGGCGGGGATGCCGTAGCTGATAGCTTTTGCCGCTGCACCACTAAATCAAATGTCAATACCTATCCCTCCCACAATAGAATTTACGTACACGGTACCCGAGAACTGCGTCTTTAGGCCCAAATTATCTGCAGGCCGTCAGCATTGACGCAACGCACTGGCGGGAGAGGCGTACCTCCAACGTTGACACCCGTGACTGCAAAGTCTGGCTTTCCACCAAAGACTTTGGGGGCAAACTCTTCGATACCATACTTCATCGCCGTCGCCGGGAACGAGTTGACATAGTAAATGTTCTTGTCCTTGGGATCAGCACCAGTAGCGGGTGCACCAGCAGGTATGGTGTTGAACTCTCCAGCAGTGATGAGCGGAATGGGCGGGAACTCGATACCGCTAGAGCCAGACTTGTTGCTCGCCGGTGCAGAGATGAGTGGCTATAAATACATGAGTACAGTCAAAGGCGAGGATGAAAGTAGTTTTACATTGTATCCAGCACCTTTGAGCGTGTTGTAAAAGGTGCGAATGTTGGCCGTCGCCCACCCATCATCGTTACCAATCACAATTTTGAGACTGTCGCGGGGAAGAACCGCAGCATTTGCAACACAAGTGAGTGCGAGGAAGGAAACGAATGTGTTCATCATGAAACCCTAGCCCAAGTTAACTCCATCAGAATAAAGCCCACCGTCCGATACTGTGCATCACTCACCGTATCAATGATCGTGTTCTCCGAATCTAAACGTACGCCAAGGCCGTAGACGAATGGACCAAGGGGGGAAAAGGTTGGGTGCTACCGTTGTTCGCCATCGGCGCCGCCTTTATAACGGTGTCGTAACCGCCAAGTTTTGTGTTTTAAAGAATCAAACCTGATTCCTTTTTGTGTCCGCAGTTTTGCGATGGGCCGTGACCATGAGGTCCATGTGGGATCCCAACCGGCCACTGAGCAACGTTTGCCGCTCCGGTCGCCTCCTGCGTCCGAGCGAGCCATAACAGGCATCTGGACTTCTTCGGAACTCACACCAGCGGATAAATCTAATCAATAAATGATTGGCGACAAACGTTGGGATGGCAAGATGTAGAAGCATGACTCGCATGACGGCCTCGAATGTGCGCCGCTTTTGGGGAATATGATTCAGAGATGAAGCAATATCTACAGCCAGGCGAATGGAATTGATGCGAACAGTGTCCTTGCGATGATGCAGAAGGCGCAACCGACCGACAGCATTGAGAGTGTCCAAGCCAAGGGTTGAAGGGTGAAAGTGGACGGTTCCTTGATCTATACAGAGCCGATGGTCGTCCTTTGGTATAGTCGACATGCGAAAGGAGAGGAAATTATGACTGATCACGCATCGTCTGTCGAAGACGTCGCTCCAACTCTTCGCGTGACCAGCGTCGCGCACTTGGCGCGACATAATCGTGTGGGAGCTGCTGCTGCACCTGCCCGTATGGGCTTCCATTTGAGTAATGATCGTATGCCCCTCCCGCATCAACCTGCGAGTAATGATACGACGGTGGGAGTCGCTCGTTGTTCAGGTCCGATCGTCGCCTAGACAGAAGGATCAGAACACCCATGACGGCAGAGAGGCGTGAAATACTACGCACGTGTCATCAAATCCATGCAGACGTTGTCGGGCAAGCTGATCACCAGCGGTGAGTGTATTGTCGTCGACGCCGGCCTCTTCTTCTCCCTCTTCCAGACGTCTCAGTTCCGAGGAGCGTTCTGCCTCTTCTCGAAGGAGGGCCATTACACGGCTCAGCTTGCCAACTGTTCGTATCTTGTTCTTGATTGCCTGGCGTCTTGCCAGAATCTCTTGCGCGTTCAGTTGCTCGACCTTGGCCTCCTCTTCCTCGATCTCCTCAGTCGATACTGTGTTGAGTAGACCTTCGAACATATTTGCCACCTTTTGGGCCACAAAGGGCATTGTCCATGTAAACTAGAATGGTCAGCATCGGGTCGACATTGAGGGTTTACACATACAGCGTCCATGAAATTCGGAAGCCTATAAAATGTGAGTATTGGTTCAATGGCAGAAGTCCGACATACCAGTATGGGTGTGGCTGATGGGTAAATTGCCTGACGGTGATCTTTTTGTCGTAAATGAGCACAGCTCCTTTGTTCTGGTACGAATCGAGGTAGTTGGGGCAGCTGAATACGGTGATGATGGAAGGAAAGCCCTCGGGAGTGAGCTTGTACATCCTAAAGCCGTCCTTTTGTGCTTCGTGGGCGCGGATAATTGACAACAGTTTGTTTCTCTTGAGGAAGGTGCAGACCGCTTTATAGGTATAAAAGTAGCTGCACCCTCTGGCTGAATTTCGCACAAAGTCGTCGGCGCCATCAGGTTCAATGTTGTGCTCTGCGGGGTCGCTCCATAGGATATCGTTCATCAAGCCCTCAGTAGGAACCTCTTGGAATCGATTTATGACACGCAGATCGTCAATGGTGGTCATTTCGGGAGAGATACCACCGTGGGCGCAGAAGAATTGCTTGTTGACAACTGCTGCGAGTGGCAGCCTGTCAAAAGTGGCCATACAAACGTCGTAGAGGAGAAGCGAGTATTTCTTGACGCACTCGGCTTTGAAGGTGAAGTGCTCCGTAAGATGTCGACACTCGTGGTTGCCTCGGAGGAGGAACAACCGATCCGGGTACCAGATTTTGAGCGCAAACAGGTACAGCACACACTAAGAGACACCAAATCGGTCAATAGCGTGCTTAATAGGGCAAGAAACCCAAACCTCGATACTAAACATTCCACGATCGACGTAGTCTCCGAGGAAGAGATAACGTCCTTTTGAGACACTCCCTCCTACTTCAAAGAGCTTCATAAGGTCGTACTGTATGAATGTATCATTAGTGAATGGTGCAAAGACGGATGACGAAAGGGGAACGGGCGGCACGAGACGACGAAAACGTAGGTGCCAATAGACCGAGTATTCGCGGTCGGAGTCGAGTAGATCCACTAAATCAGACGAATGAACGGGGCTCACATATTGGCCGTGTATGTCTCCGCATACTAAAAGAGGGGCGTAAATACCGACTGATCGCGAGGCGTTGGGACGCGAAAGACGTACTGGTGATAGGAGCATCTAGATCTAGCACGTTTGGTTCTCCCGCAAAGATTTCCTTTGCTCTCTCGAGGATGTAGATGGCCTGGGACTCGTTCAACCTGCCTTCAGCATGGAAGTGACGCCGCAAGAACGCGACGTTGGGCTTGTTATTGGCATAGAAGAACTGCTCGTCTGTTGGTCTTGTACGTTCGGGCTTGCGAACCTATGAAACATGTGCGTAGAATGTTAGCCCGTGCAATCCCTCTCCAGATGAACAACCGACGTCGATAAGTCTGCCTTGTAGCATTTCTGGATTCGGTGCATAATGACGAACAATCTCGTCAGCTACGTTGGCTAGACTCATGATTTTTGGATGATATTCGCGACGAAGTGTTGCGTCGTCGGCTTATTGACGTCCCTAGATGGGAGTTGGAGGGTCCAAGTGTTCACGTCGTGCGCCCATCCAACATGGGTCCCAAATTCACGAGCTCTAGAGTTGCCTGGAGCACATATTCATCGATCAATCGCCTTTAATTGGCCAGCTTCACAGCTCGACTCGTTGGTTTACGGTCTCACCATCGCGCTTTCTGGCGTTGGAAACCTAAGACGAAATTTGCCTGGATTTTGAGGAGAGTAAAGCAGTAACTGTTTGTGAGCGTAGGGAAAGAGCTGTAGAGGCTCGAAATATGTACGCCACTTGACCATCGGGTTTTCAACGGCCCCGCTCAAGTGATTGTAAAGGTTCACATTGAGATGACTATTATTATCCACACTCTATTTCTGGTCCTTCGAGCCGCAAACACGAATGCCACACGAGGCACACTTGGTCTTCCCCACCAAGCCCTCTGGCGAGCTACAGGCCCGAAACTGTGAAAAATGAGAGAAGAATGTGTATTAATCCTTGGTATAGCGTCGAGGCATGCCTATGAGTGCGACAGACGAGCACGGAGGATCTCGACGCCTGCTTTTACTCCATCAATCACCACGACCTTTTCAGGCATGTCTTTCTCGTTGACCGCTTCACTAACGATCACATCCAGACCGCTCATCCCAGCACAACCAAGGCAAATCGCCTTTGCCCCTTTGGCTACGAGCTCCTTTGCAGCTTCAGCCATTAACGTTTTGGGGTCCTTTGATTCATCGTGGCACTCTAATACTCCTAACCCAGTACCGACGACACCAGCGAGACAGTCTGGTTCTGCCTCGCCATCAATTTCGTCGAGCACCCGGAGCGCACCGTCCGTCAAGAGTGGTTCCCATTGCTTTCCAGTCGTGACTATGCCAAACTTTTCTCCAGGCTTGATGTGCTTCACGGCGCTAATCACCGACGCATCCAGGATCCCCAAGACGTGAAAGTCTGGTCGATCAATCTCTTTTTGCAGCATCTGCGCAAGAGGGTGGTCCGAATAGCATGCTACCAGCACTCCTGACGGTGGCTCTGGCTTGTTCATGCGGTCGATGATCTCTGGCATGCACGCCACAGCACTTTTCATCGCATCTTCCTCGTCGTCGATCGTCTTGGGACTCGAAGAAGGCCCAGTCATAAACTCTAGTCCTCCCTCATCTGGCCCGAATAACGACTTTACGTTGTCCGTGATCGATTGACTCGAGTTTGGGTTGACGACGAGGATCTTCCAACCGTGTAAGCAAGAATAAAACTTCAGAGTCGCATTCTTGCCATAATAAAAATGACTGGACTGTGCAGACAGTATCAATGCTGGCCAATGTTATGGAGGGAGAGTGACAAGTACAGGAAAACAAATACTGTGCACGACTACATAAAACTTAGGATCAATAAACGTAATAAATCCTCCCCATCCCAACTGTCTACTTAAACGCATGCGTCGCTCATGCTACGTCTTCTCCGACCTCGTAAACCCCCGCCGTCGAACCGTAGACCTTGCGCTCCCATCTACGTCGCATCTCATGCAGCGTAAACGATATAGCTGCCAGAACTAGGAGCGTAGACAAGTCTCGGGCTCGAAGCGCCTCTGTCTGGAACACAGTTTGCATAAACGGCACGTATATCAGCGTCAGTTGCACCACGAATGAGGTTGTGACAGTGATGAGGAGCATTCGGTTCTGGAAGATACCACAGCCGAGCCCACGGTTCTGGAGTGCCGAAACGAGATCAAGGAAGACGAAGCTAGTAAAGGTCTAGAGCCAAGTCAGAATCATACAAAGGCTTGTGAAAAAATAGCCTTCACCATCGTTTGGTCCCTTCCGGACATGCTTCCGTCACTGAGTTCGTGGAGGTAGACGAACAATGTGCCCAGCACGATCATAGATGCCGAGAACAAGACGCGTCCGTATATCCTTTGACTCAGAATCGACGCATCTTTGCTCCTCGGCGGCTTTCGCATCACTGACGGGTCCGCGGGATCAACACCGAGCGATTGACTGGGGGGTCCTGCAATAGATTAGGTCCTGGATCTTTCCTGTGAGAAATCAAACTTACCGTCCATAAGTATATTAATAAATAAGATTTGCATTGCATTGAGTGGATTGCTGAGCTTGAAGACGGTACTGAGTGTGATTAAGGTGAGAGCTGCCACGGCGGTACTGAGCTGGAAGGAGATGAAGTTTTGAATGTTGTGGAAGATTGATTTGCCCTCTTCAACCGCCTTGAGAATGGTCGCAAAGTTGTCGTCGACTAGAATAACATCCGCCGCTTCCTTCGCGACATCTGTGCCGCTCTTGCCCATGGAAATACCAATATCCGCCATCTTTAATGCGGGCGCATCATTTACTAGAATCATTTAGCTCCAAAATATTAGCGTGTGATAAAGTGACCAACCTCCGTCACCTGTCATGCCAACCACTTCGCCTTTTCCTTGTAATGCCTCGACGATGAGCATCTTGTGCCGTGGTGTCGTCCTTGCAAATACACAGACTCCAGAGGATATCCTTCGAGCCACATCTCCAGCATTCATCCCATCCAAATCCTTGCCCGTCAAGCAACTTCCCTTGCCGGACGGATGAACCTTGAGCCCAAGTTCCTTTGCGATTGACAGTGCCGTGCTCTCCGCATCACCCGTAATCATGATGACCTTGACACCACCGAGGTGAAGCTGGTTGATCGCTTCGGACACGCCCGGGCGCGGTGGATCGTGCATAGCCTGGAAGCCCACAAAGACGAGGTTGTTCATGGACGCTGTGGAGATGGCTGGATTTTCGGCGTTGAGAGTTCCATGTGCATATGCCATTGCGATGACACGAAGACCTCGAGATGCTGATGCCGTGGCACGTGCGACAATATTCGCCCGCGTCGCGTTGTCCATACCGGGCGTCGATTCGTCAGAAATGAAATAGAACCGACATCTGTCGAGGATGGCTTCGATCGCGCCCTTGAAATATACGACTGATCGAGTTTCACCCTCGTGAGTGCCAGAGATGGCCATGTACTTGTTCTCCGAATTGAACGGAAGTTCGACTGCGCGGTTAAACGTCTAGAAGTCAGATCAGAATGATGATGAGAACGGCGGGTGGAATCAGATACGCACGGGTCTGGCGTCGGTCAATCCAAAGGTCGACACAACTTCCAAGAGAGCTACGTCTGTGGACTGACCCACGGTGACATTTTCGTTATTCTTGAAGGCGTTGTTACAAATATTTCCAATTGTGATCGTCCGCCTGAGAGCCTCGGATATTCTACCGTGATGATTCAGACCAACTTGGAGCTGCTTGAGCTCATCAACGGTGTACAGCTCAGTGACAGTGAGCTCATTCTTTGTGAGAGTTCCCGTCTTGTCGGAGCAGATCACGCTCACACAACCCAACGCCTCGACGCTGGGTAATTTCTTGACAATCGCTTTTTTCCTGGACATTCGAAGTACTCCCAGGGCGAGAGTAACGGTAGTCACAATGGGTAAACCTTCTGGGATAGCGGCTACAGCCAAGGAGACTAGGACAATAGATTAGTATATTGTACAACCCCAGCGGGGAGTGCTTGTACTCACCACCTATGGTGAACATCTCAAGCCAACCACGACTCTGAATCACTCCTATGAGACAAATGACTCCGATGATCCCAAAGGAGATGAAGCTCAGCTTCTGAGCAAGTTCGTCCATGGACAATTGAAGAGGAGTCTTCTTCTCCTCTACGTCCTGCATCATGGAAAAGATGACACCAAATTCAGTCTGAGTCCCTGTGGCGATGACGATACCCGAACCACGACCATTGCGGACGAGTGTACCCATAAACGCGATGGAGTTTCGTTCGGCCAAGGGAACAACACCTGGTGGACAGGGATTTGACGTCTTGGACGATGGCACAGTTTCTCCTGTCAGGCTACTTTCGTCAATCTCCAACGCTGTGGCTTGGATGATCCGTAGGTCTGCCGGGATACGATCTCCTACACCAAATGTCACCAAGTCACCGGGAAGGAGTTCATTGGCGAGCGTATGATTTTGTCTTCCGTCTCGGATCAAGTGGCAATGGTGTGGGACGAGTTTATTCAGAGCTTCGAGGGATTTCTCCGACCGCTGTTCTTGAACAAAGCCGACAGTGAGTACGATGAGGATAGCGACGGTAATCGAGACGGCGTCGTCAATGTTGCCCATGATGGCGCTGACGAGCGCGCTCCCCAACAAGAGGAGATTGAGTGGCGACTCGTAGATGGTTTTAACAAATTTGATAACGAGTGACTCTGGAGCATCGACAGCAAATTCGTTGTATCCGAACTCTTCCCGCAACGAGTGGACAGCAGCAGGCGGTAGGCCGTGCTGAGCAGAGGTTTGAAAGTGCGCGACAGTGTCCTAGGTTCTCCAGAATCAGCACAATCTTATAGCGCCACCATGGTTCACTGACCTCTATTGACCAAGAGGCAAATTGAGCCGACTTGCCTTCCTTTGGTGGTTCAGACTCCTTTTGTCCAGCCTCTGTCCAACCATTTTCCATGAGTCCTTCTCTGCTTTCTCCCCTCCATTCATCCCACGCGCGCTGAGCGCGGTTGAGTAAATTTGTAAATCCATCGGCTAGAAAGTCTGGATGGATGGGTGTCGCAGCATGACCAGTGGAATCTACATGATGTCTCCTGAGTGTTGTAGAGTATGCAAAGTGGGCTTGCGCATCCGCATGCGGAGTCGGTTCTGGTGGATGACCTGGAGCATTTGGGTCGCTCGAGAAGCCTGAAAAGTAGGCTGTGGCGGGTGGAGAAGGCTGTCTAATGGGTGCATAATGATGATTATTTGTCGATGTCATCCCTGGGCGCACGTAAATGCGTCTAGGTGGGCGCGACGAGGTCGAGACGGCTTCAGGCAAGTGATCACGGCTTGTGCTGCGGCTATCGTGGAGTTCAAGCGACGCTCGTTTCTTGTCAGGGAACATTTGATCCCAAGGAATGGCTAGTTACTGTTCCTTCGGTGCGTCGTATTTCTCCGCTGAGCTGGCAGGGATTGAGATGAGCTCTTTTTTCCCCGTGCAAAGGGTTCAAATTCACTGGGTTTACCAGCTCTGTTGTATGGCTCGATAGCGGTGGCTGGATGGATTAATTGGTGTTTGTGTACAAGTTTAACATGGACTTTGCTCCTCGTCACCATCCCATCCGGACGTCCTCCAATTTATCAGTCTGTTCACGCTTCTAAACTAGTTTATCGACGGTTTATGTACACAGCAAATGCTCATTGGGCTCGAACGGCCGGCACGTTGGTCCAAATGTCCATCCAGACGCCGCGCCCAGTGTCAGCAACGACTTAATAGGGACAAATGATGTGTTAAATTGAATGTGAGAACGTATTCAGATGTTGCACAGCGCTGCTGTGAACAAAGTCTGAGCGCCTCTCACGCCTCAGCCGACGGACATCGGGCTCCCAGCGATTCGCAAAGCAAATATACATAGTTGCTACCGACCATTACTTCTCTGCTGGACGAGCGAGCCTGCTAGCTGCTCCAGGTCGAGGACAGCACGCAGCTCCTCCTCAGCTTGCTCTATGTCTCCGTATAATGCTCAGAGACGAGCACCGCAAGCCTCAGGAACACCTACCGCTAGTCCATCCCTTATATCCACAACTACCACAACATCGTCGAGCAGAAGGTAAGTTCACGAAAGACAAGAGTGAACTCGCTCGCTGACTTACTAGTTCTACCTGGGATACTCGAGCTGGCACCCCCGTGCTCAGTACAGCTGCCCCACGACCGTCTGCTTCAGCGACCAGTTCTCATTCCGGAGGGTATGTATTTTCCTTCCTTTGACGTATTTACTTACATCTCTGTATCAGCCTTCTTTCCTCCAAGATTGGGGTGGCCTCTCTATGCGCCGGCATCGCCGTAGCATGTCTACTCCTCGCTGGATTCCTTGTCTACAAAGTTAGGTCGAAGCAGATCAAAATAGAACAAGCCAGGTCTCAGCGGTCTGCCTCTGTTGCCGTCTCGACCGCGTCTCGATCGACCAAAGCCCCTCCGAGTCCCTTCCACCTCAAGTCGCGAACTCATCAACTGAATCGAGATGAAACGATTCATTCTAATAGCTCAAGACCATCGAATCATCTGTCTACAGTCGACACGACCTCTCGGGCAGGAACTTCGCAAGGCTATCCACCTCTCTCGAACCCTTCCGATTCGCGCTCAACCTCGCCGTATAACCTGTCGCTCCTGCAGCGTATGTCTTCCAGTGTTTCAGCCGTAGGCACAAACTCGCGAATCGGCATGCGGGAAGACGTCGGGTTGTTAAGCCGTAACACCTCGACGCAATCTCGTGGATTTCAGGAGCGGCCTTCTTCATTTGGGACTGGCACAGAGTCCAGGATATCTGTGGGTGCCTCGAGTGCATATGGCTCCCGAACGCACTTGATACAGCCAAGCTCTGCAATTTCCGCGCCTGCGCCTGCGCCCTCAATTTCAACAGTCGCCACCGTCCACGAGCGGAGACCGCTGCCCGTTCCTCCTCACCCTCCTCCAGCGTACGATACCATTCACCAACATCCTACCAACGGCCTCTCCTCGATACAGCCTCTCAAGGACTCTGACATTTTAGAGAAAAAGCCTCTGGATCTTCAACCCGAGGTGAATCGCACAGCTACCATGCGAACGAGCTCAACAAGCTCCGCGCCACGCCAAGATTATCCCTATGTTTTCGACACTGAAACAGGAGCACTTGTCTCGTCGTCGGTGGGACCGATTACTGGCGCGCTCTCACGGCAAGCATCGCATAGCACGACGCAAACAGTGTCGTCACCTCGTCCAGAGGCCCTTGTTCGCGCCTCGATCAACTCACAGGCTCCCATTTCACCTTCCACTCCATACCCTTTGCACCGCCGAGCCATGAGTGCTGACCAGGATCCGTTCACCAATGCTCAGTATGAACTACCTGCATGGTTGAACGAGGATCCATTCCCCGCAACCAGTCTACGACACCATACGAGCCAGTATTCACTCTACGGAGGACCAGCAAGAAGTGTGGCAGCCTCTTCACGTGTTCTACCTTCTGAATCCTCCATCCGCTCAATTTCACCAGATCTCGATAATGCCTCCGTCTCTCATCTCGCACCTCCTCGCTCACGCTCAGTGGGCACATCGCTCCGTCCATTCTCAATTTCGGGATCCGTGCACTCGCAGGCTCCAACGCAACTTGTTGAGGGTGAGGGGCCACAAGTGGAGGAAATGTTAATCATGCAGGGAGCCGAGCGTCCTGGATGGGCTCAGTCAAACCCCTCGTTTGCCCGCTCGCTCTCGATGAACCGTCGTCAGTTTATGGGCGATCACTTTGTCGATGTCGAGGTTCATCCCTCCGCAGTCAGTGGGACGAGCATCGCTGGGGCCGGGGTTGGGTCCCGTGGTTCGTTGGACACTCAGAGATATACGAATTTCCTTTCCATCACCCCTCTTACAGGGAGCACACCCAATCTCTCTCGGGCGTTCAGCGTTGGTTCGCAGAGACGCGAGAGCAATAATATCATCAATGGCCTTTTGCGAGGAAGGACTGTGTCTGCTGTTGCGCAGTCGTGGCAGCGTGCCACGATCAACCGCTCGACACCGACATTGGTCGGCGCACCAATCCGACACCATGAATCAACTGCAACCTCGGGCTACGAGGCAACTGTATGGCCAGACAGTGCCTCTTTCCCTGCGAGTGCGCGGTTGAATCACCTGCCACTACCCACTACTCAGGTCGCTGGCGTCTCAGGCTCGTCACAGGCTCTACCAGCCGACGTGGAGTCCATCCGCAGTGTGTCGCCTGAAGTAGGTTGGATTGGTCTACCAGCAGACAACGAAGCCAACCATCCCCCTGAACCGCACCGTCCAGAGCCCGTACATCTTGCAGACACTTCGGACCGACGTGTTTCGCGCATTAGCATTGGTGAAGAGGCACTTCTCTGGAGCCAAATGACCTCGGTAATGGAGGCTCAGAACGAACAACCTTCTGTAGCTTCAAAACCGTCATGAAAGTGCATTCGTTCATTCCCTTGACCCTCCAGATTCATCAATATTGCGCTGTAAATCTCATTATCCCATACACTCCTTGTGCACCAATCGCATTTTGCATGTTCCCAATACCACCTTTATAACTGTGCACTATCCCCTCATTTTGTTTGCCCGTAATCACTTGCCAACTCTCCTTTCCGGCTTTCTCCGTTGCACGTTGAAGTCGAGTAATTAGCTGTATTCCAATCAATTTAGGGACATTTTTGTGACATTTCACTCTGAGCGACCGAGACTGTTGGCCAGCCTTTGGAACTTGAACTCTGCCTCGACTGGCGAGTTGCCCATCTGCGATGATATCCAGGTTTACTCGCTCCTTTATAGTCTCGTGCTTTGCTCTACTCCTCATCGGCTCGCTATTCTTCCTGAATCCTCCTATCCGTGTGTACAAGGATGCCATCACGAATGAATGGTTCTCCAACGACGGGGTCGAGCCGTATCATCCACCCAAAGACTCTAAAGAGCAGAACTCGCATATTGGAAGCGTGATTATGGGGAAGCTGGGGAACGAAACCGCAAAGTAAGCTATTTCTTGGTGTTGCGACGTGGAACTCACAGAAAATTCAGGGCACAATTGGGACGAGCGACATGGAAACTCTTGTAAGCATTTCACTTGTTGACTTTGACTCTCTCTTTTGACTATATTTGATAGGCACACTATGACCCTGCGATATCCAGAGGTATGTAAAAGGCCGCGTTTAAGGGAATGGCTACAGATACTTGTTAGAAACCAACGGAGGATGAAAGAGAGGCACTAAAGTCCTACTTTTATCTCAGTTCGCGATTATACCCCTGTGGAGAGTGTGCGGCCGAATTCCAGCTTCTCTTAAAGGAGAATCCACCACAGGTATGTATTTCGGACTGCCTGCACCTTTCTAAATTGTCCACCCTAGACGTCTTCACGCAAAGCAGCGTCCCTCTGGCTCTGCCATGTGCACAATCTCGTGAACAAGCGGTTGGGTAAGGACATATTTGATTGCAACACCTTGGGGGATACATATGACTGTGGGTGTGGTGATGATCCGGTAGAAGAGAAGAAAAAAGTCCCACCGGTCGACTTGGACGGGAAGCCATTGATCAAAGGGGGATGAGTTTCGCGGTCGCTGGGTCATATCTATTCACTGTATATATCATATTTTTGATTACAATCTTTGGATTCTCTGGTCTCATGTGGCAAGTGAACCGGCTCCCGACGTGCAATGGACAAAGCCGTCGTCACGACAAATATCTATCGAGACTTTGCTCAGAGTGTCGAAAAGTTTCAAAAGCATCGGGGGAATCCAGAGACACTCGTGTCTGCTCATGGTTTGGCCGCAACATTCAAGGAGATTTGCACAAGACGGTATGACACGCTCCATCATCCTTTAGAGACACGTATTCTGAATCTTTATGATATATTCTCAGTGCGACGCGTCAGCTTGCGGATCAGCGACTGACGGATGAGGATCGAAAGATGTTGAGACTAGAGGCGAATACATGGGACCTCCTTCAACGCGTTTACGAGTCGGTATCATCTCTTAGAGTAGACTTGAAGACGTTTGCTGAACACTCTTTTTCCCAGACATCGCAGAAAACCGCAAAGCGAGGGTCGAACAGCACAAGAATTGCTCAAGGCCAATCCATATGTGCCCATCGACGCGTTGTATCGAGCTTGGCTTAGCTATTCTCCTCGACTTGCCGAGTTGTGCGAGGTTCGAAAGTGGCTGGAAGCTACGTATCGTCTTAAAGAACCGCCGCCGCTTTCAAGCGAATACTGGAAGTTTACGCGAATGGACTTGAAGCAAAAGAAAAGACAAGGGCAGACAGAACGCACAGGATACGTCCGTACACTTGACCCGGATGCAGTCAATCGAATTGGGGACTCGGGAGTGCTCAACGCGGACGATGCACTAGAAGAAAAGCAGTTTATCGTCTCTTTATTCCAGTATATACGTGCAGGAAAGATTGAGGACGCCGCGGCTCTCAGTCAACGGACCGCTCGACCATGGAGAGCAGCCGTCATCAGAGGGTCCCACCACCTCAGATGGGAAGCACTGAATGATCCCCATACAGACTCGGGACTCAACTCTCAGGAGGATGTGTGGTCTGGAAATCGTCGCTGGCTCCTCTGGAGACAGACATGTGCACGGGCAGCGATGAGCGTAAGCGTTTCACCTCTACGATAGAGAACCGTCTGAAATTACTCCACAGACTGCTCTCTCTACGGTAGACAAGGCATTGCATGCCGCCATTTCTCCATCTGTGCAAACCCTTCCGGCTGTACTACCCCTCTGCAATTCATGGGAGGATCGTCTTTGGGCACGACTCTCCGCTCTGATTGGTGACAGAATAGAGGCAAGACTGCAAGAAACCGCAGGCGCGTTCTGGAATCGCGGGACACTGCTTGACAGACTTGTGCTTCTGGATCAGCTAGAGGGCGACACCAAACCGGTCGCCGGACATGATTCTGACTGGGAGGCGGTAATTGCACATCAATTAGAAGAGCTCACAGAGGAGGCGGTTGACACCAAGTATGTCTTTGTACCTGCGCCGGTAAATTTCTAACATATGTTCAGTCTTCCTATGGAGGATTTCTTGCGACGCTCACAACTGAGCATTATCCGTCGACAAATGCAGCCGCTTTTGGCCGAGGTAGAGGATACATTCAAGCACCCAGACGAGCCGTTGCCTGCGTCCTCCATTCGATTCTTTGCCCATGTTTGGCTTTTTCTCAACATGATCAATGTCTCAAATGAACTCACACAATCGACAACGATCATTGAGAAGTATATCGAGATTCTCCAGGTATGACAAGTATGATTACCAAATACCCGCTGACATTGTCTCCAGAAATCTGGCGAGCGTGATATCGTCGCCTTGTATACATCATTCCTCGGACACGCTGCGATCAAGAAATATGCAGATTTCCTGGCTGCCCTTCCTCTGAAAACTCCGCGGGCCGAGCTCGAACGTGGATTGCGTAGCGCTGCTTCATACCACCTGAACGTTCGACTAGTCGCCCAAGAGGCGGCAAAGCTGTCCCGAGACCGAGCTGCAAAAGTAAGAACACGGATTTTTATGTCTTTGGCTGACCCTAGTGCCAGCTTTTCCCTGCAGAGCCGGTTACCTTGCCCACATTACCAGAGTTTGGTGGAGATGAACCCCTTACAGAAGGCGAACAGCATATCATTCGGTCCCTTGGGTGGCTACGATTCCACCCCGTGACAAAAGACCTTATCCTCAAACAGTCGAACGAGGACACCCGATGGCTACTGTGTCGTGGACGTGTCAAAGCCGCCATACAGCTATCTGTAGATCTTCCAGAGACCATCATCTCGGTCTCGGGAGACCCATCTCAGGAGACGGAGTACATGCTCTATCGAAAGCTATTCTCTCTCTGGGATCAGTTCATTATCGTACAAAAATTAATCAGTTCAGAGCCCAGAGGCATGCTGGACGGGGATGGTTGGGGTCATTGGAAGCGTCGAGTCAAGGTTTGGCAGCTAACAAATACAAGAAGCAACGCTCATTCAACAACAGGAAGGTTTTGAACAATTGTTCGAGACTGCAACTAGTGTCATGACCGCAAACTGGGGTATTGACAGTATGGATGATGTCGACCAGCACGGGTTGACGGAGGATGGTTGGTGAGATCGATAGCCAGGAAATTGTCTTGACCCTTTTCCCGTCAGCCGATGTTGTCCGTCTGAAAGAACTTCAGCGGATCAGGAAAACGTTTATCCCAGAGCTTGCAATGAGGCTGACAAGACAGCTCATCGACGCCCGTATCTACGTTCCAAAGTATGTTCCATGTTCTTATATTAGAATTGAGGGGTTAATTCCGAGCAGCGCGATTACGATGGTCACCCAATTGGCCAATCTTGTCGCGGACGGAAAGGACAAACTTCATCTGGACTTTGTTTATGGTGGAAATAATCGAATAGCGGAATACCTGCTTCTCGTCCGTGAGGCGATATTGGTCGGAATGGAAAACGGGAGTTCTGATCCTCTGCTGCCAGCACTCTAAGGTATGTAGCCGCGCTTTCTGCTGGCTGTTGGCGGTGCTTATTCTCCAGTTAGTATACGTTATCTTTTCTGGAATTCAAAAGAACCTCGCTTCCGTGCCCGTCACGGCGATACGAGTGAGTCAGAAACAGCCGGTTGGCTTGTGCAACGCAATGAAAGTGCGTTCTAGCTCATCGCCGGGTTGTTTCAGCTGGCCCTGGCATTGGTGAAACGGCGATCGGGACAGAGACTGGCGGTCAAAATTGTGACGAATAATGAGGAAAGAATGTTGATTTGCCACTCTTGAGCCCATATTGAGGCGCTGTGAAAGCTGTGACTCGGACCGCGTCTGCGGGAGCTCTGGCGCTCGCGGAATATAAATGCGCACTTTGTCCTCAACTCCGTCGTATCACATCCTGACCCCTTCCTCATTCGCGGCTCTGAAGAGTCTACTCTGCTCTATATTGTCACACATTATCTAGAACAACCCTCCGCTCTCGTAGCATGGACTTTGCAAAGTCGTTGCTGCAGCCCCTTTCGAGCAGCGCCGTTGGCTCAGGCGTGCTCGATGCAACAAAGCTCGTCATACTTGGAGGAACAGTTGAGACCGCTCGTGAGTTTAGAATCCGCCCCAAAAGCTTGGTTGCAGCACTTGACGCGTCGTCCCAGGCAGGGCTGCATCGTCGGGCTGGAACTCGTTTGTCAGCTCGTTCTATTTGACCGCACATTTTTGTGAAGATGACTATGTGAGCTCATCAAGCTTGTCGCGGCTGCTGCGTTCCTGCCCGCTTACTGACCGTGTGTGTCTGTTCCCCACAGCCATACGACTGGCTGCTCAATTGGCTCAGTAAACAGTACGTCATATTCTCTTAAATTATCTATATTTTGACCGACGCATCGCTTCTCAGACCGGCCTGGAGCCGCTCACGGGAGTTCGAGGCGACAGTAAGTTTACAGGTAGTCAACGCTCGTGTGTCTGATGGGTATAGACGTCAACTGTGACTGCAACTGGACGTTCCAGTCAACGCACTGCTGGTGATGAGGTGGAAGAGGACATCGAAGATGTTATCGAGGAGGATGACGGACGCCCCCGGCTCAAGGTCCATTTCCAACCAACTCTCGGTAAGTACCGGAAGTGACTTGCCAAGTCGGTCTGATTCCCCGCAGATACTACCCACACCATCTATTACAAGGGGCATCTCCTCCGCATTCGCCGATCAAAGAAGACGGATGGAAGCGAATTGTCAATGCTCACCATCTCGGTTGTTGCTCGCTCGAATGCGATCCTCAAGCAGCTCGTCCTCCAGGCGAAGCGAGAGGTGAGCCACATGACTTGCACGCCACATCCGCGTTCTCATCCGTCCCCAGTACGAACAAGAGTGTGTCGATAGAGTGCAGATCTACGTCAGTGAACACTGCTTCTACGTAATGCAATACTTATCTATCGATAGTTCGCTGATCAGCACGGCTCGTGGCGATGGTCAGACAGCAGTACGTTGATGCCCGGGGTGTGTTGGTTGAATCACTTACCCTTTTTTTCTAGGACACAAGCGACCGCTCTCTTCAATTGTCCTCAACCCTGGGGTGATAGAGATGCTTGTGGCGGATGCAAAGGACTTCCTTCGCAGCGAGAGATGGTACGCGAGCCGCGGTATTCCCTACCGTCGCGGTTATCTTTTACACGGCACACCGGGAGCCGGAAAAAGCAGTCTTATCCACGCTCTCGCCGGTGAATTGGCGCTTGACGTTTACATCGTGTCGCTGTCCGCCAGCTGGATCAACGATGCGTCGTTGACTTCACTTTTGGGTCGCATTCCCGCCCGCTCCATACTACTCTTGGAGGACATTGATGCGGCATTTACCCGTTCGACCTCGCGCGATAAGGAATCTACTGGCGCTCCGTCCGCAACCAAGGAGACCAAGGACGCCGCAGGCCCAGAGACCAAGAAGGAGGCAGAAAAGGACGACTCGAAGCTGAGCCTGAGTGGCCTACTCAACGCATTGGATGGCATGCAAGCGAGCGAAGCACGCCTCCTCTTCTGCACAACCAACCATCTGGAGCGACTTGATCCTGCACTCTCCCGGTACGTATTTGGATTTTTTTTTTCAGTGATGACCTTGGCTCATTGCCACAGTCCCGGTCGTATGGATGTCTGGATTGAGTTCCGCAACGCGTCCAAATTCCAAGCTGAAGGCTTATTCCGCAACTTTTTCCCAGTTGCGGAGGAGTTTGAGGCGGAGAGTACGCCTTCGTCTTCTCTCTTCTCGAGCTACAACTCTTCGACTGCTGCAACACCTCCAACTGCTCCTACGACTCCTGCCCCTTCCACCCCTTCAACATCGGCAACTCCATCGGCAGATGCAGCCCCGCAGTCGCTCAAGGATGCTCTTCCAACCCTTGAAAGTGCTTCTTCTCTCGGTACGACCCTCCTGGATGCTGCTCGCCTGTCCGAATTGGCCAAGGCATTTGCGGAGGCAGTACCAAACGAGGAATTCTCGGTTGCAGAGCTGCAAGGATGTGAGTAGAGACCCATAAACATGTCACACGTGACTTATCACCCATTCAATAGTCTTGTTGAAGCACAAGTCGCGTCCAGAGGAGGCTGTGCGACAAGTCGGCCAATGGGTTATCAAAGAGCGTGAACTCCGTGAACGCTTGGCAAGGGAACGCGAAGAAAAGGAAGAAAAAGAGCGCGTCGCCAAAGAGAAGCGCCGCAAGGAGCGCGAAGAAAAGGCTCGCAAGGAAAAAGAGGAAGCAGAAGAGAAAGCGCGCAAGGAGAGAGAGGAAAAGGAGAAGAAGGAAAAAGAAGAAGCCGAAGAAAAAGCTCGCAAGGAAGCGGCCGAGAAGGTGAGCCACCACGGGTTGTCAGAGGTCAGGGCTGACCGATTTACAGGAGAAAGTGTCGCCTCCTGCGTCGAGTGAGAGCGAGGCCGCGGCTGCTAAACCTAAGGACGACTGACTCCTTATCCCGACCTCCCAGGTCGAGCCCTTTGAGATGGTCGAGGTTCCCGTCGAAGAAACGGTTGTGGTCGAACTGGTGCCATCGACGGGTCAAGAGAACCGCATTATCCTTCGTCCTCGCAACCTCGCCCTTGTTCAACATGTACCGATGGACCTCGTCCTGACCGCGGTGCTATATAAATGGTTAGAGTTTCTGTATCTGCGTTTGTATCCCTTTGGGCATCTCATTTAACACCAAAACCCTCATGCTGCATCATCTTGCTCACACACACCCCGAACACTTGCATCGCATCTCGTCGTTTCACATCATTCATGCCTGTTCATAGTCGCATCAAATAAACGCTGTCATTGCTCATCAAAGTCCCAATGGTGAATGACTGTAATCTATATACCGAATGAATTGAAAGGCGAGAGGCGGAACGTTTCGCACTGGAGATTGTCTATCTAATAGCTGTTGAGGACCCGCATTGCGAGTTCAAAGCCGACAAAAGTGGCACCGTTCGCAAAGGGTGATCGAATGAGCGTCGGGATGAGACCTTTTCGGAAGCCACTGATACCCTCGTTCGCGATGACTTTGCGTACACAATCGAATGTCGAGGTGTATTTCTGTCCAGTAGCCGGCGTGAACCCGTCAGTCTGCATTCGGCTCTTGATCACGTCGCAAGGGTAAATTGTGAACCAGAGCTGGTGGCAATGTTAATCCATAACTTTTAAGAGACGCTTGAGGCGTACCGCGTATCCAGCAATTGCACCGTAGAGAATGGTGTGCGACGCAGCAATCTCCTCTCGTCGGATTCCCTTCGCCGCCATCTCACGTTGCATGAGCAGCTCGTATGCAAGGAAATACGATGCATATCCAGGTCCTTCACGCCACAATGTCGCCACCTGTCCTTTGTACAACCCAGCAATGCCCTTTTCAGCCCAAATCTTCTTGATGGCGTCCATTGGGCCATTGTATAGCGGCTTTGTGGCGGACTGTGTCTGTAATCCTACCAGATATGTGTTTGGTAACGAGAATTGTCAAGCGGTGACGAAACATACGGATACGGATATGCTCAACAGGACCCGAGACAACACTATTGGCGATACCAGCACTGGCACCCGCAATAATGAGCTGTGTCGGGTTGAAAGTTTTCCCTTCTGGACCTCCTGTCCCCGCACGGAGATTCTGGGCTTGGAAAATACGCTTCATATACTCCAGCGCGCCGAATTGGATCGAAACGCATGCACCAATGCCCACCAGGGGACTCAAAGTGCCCTATTATACCGATTAATACAAACAACTACACGCAAAGGTGCGTTTCTACCTTGTAAAACGCAAGCGGACCCTCATTTTTCAAAATCCCGCCCGCACACTGCATCATGCCCGAATACGTTCCAGGAGGAGCCGTCTGCATTCGAACCTGATAATATCCGTCTTAGAAAGGATGCCAGACGCGATCAAGACAGGCTCGAGTTACCTTGACAATGTCAAACGGTTGACCTAGACAAAATACTGATCAGAGCTCGAGTCACCTGGCATTGCTGGTTGGCGGACCTATAAAGACCTGGAGCACGCCTCCTGCAGATCCAGCCAGGAGATCCTTTGCAGTACTCCGTTTTCGGCTCTCTACCGTGGACGGGGACGCCGTGCCGTCCATTGCAAGTGATGGTCGAGGTTGAGGTTGAAGTCAAACAAATCGTCGGCCGAGCTGGAGAAACATGTAGGGGGGTGGTATTACAGCGAAAATAATTATGACAACACTAGGACAGCTATGGTGTATATACATGGTTTCAATGTCCATAGTAGGTTAAACAAGATCGCATGACTGGATAGCGCTGCCCAAAATAGTGTCTTGAACTGCATGTTGTGAGCAAAATCGATACAAAGAAAGTACGAAAGGTCACCTTGGACGATGATACGGGAAGTAGCCTCGATATCGAGGACCGACGTGGGGAACACGCGCACGAGACGCGCCACAGATGATTTGGAAGATAGTTTAATCTTCGATTGTGCCTCTTTGTTCACGGAGAGGAACCTTTTCTTCATGTACTTACAGACCGCCTCTAGGTCATTGCTGCCTGAGTAGTGGTGGATGTAGTTTCCAAACTCGATGCCTTGCTCCAATTTCTTTTGGAGGAGGTCAATCTTGTTGAGAAATAGGATCTACGGCACGGTAAGCGGAGTGGAAATCTGGGATAGAAGACATACAAGATGAGCATTGACCAGAAGAGGGGAGCCGCTAATGTCTAAAAACAGGTGAGCGCCCTCACTAGGCTACACGGTGGACACTCACCTTTCCAAAGCATGAGCGAATCGGCGAGGCGATTTATCTCTGGGTCCTCTTCTAGTTGCTGATTGAAGGCACTGAGTGGCGCAAGGAAGACTATCGCGTTGACTATGAAGGTTGAGTAGAGACCAGGGTGCCAGAGAGGGACCAACCATCTTCAAAGTATGGTTTCCACGTCGCCCTCTGTGTTCGCGAGCCACCGACATCGTACACAACCCAGTATTTATGTTGGAATAGAGAGGAAACAACAAGGTGGGTTTCTGATACCCCGACAGTCTTCAGCCGTGCTTTGCAAACGTCCACTACAAGAGGGTTGAGGGTCGACTATGAGTAGAATGAAACGCAAACGTACGATCAGTGGGCTCGTAGTTGAGAGCGGTGACACGCTCAACGTCGTCGAGGAAGAAGCCAGCCTCGAGTTCAAGTCGCACGCCTCTGCTGTTCAAGAGTCGCCGGACCACCTGGTCGGTCCAAAGTGCGAGGATGGTCTTCGCTAGTGCATTCAAGACGCGTGCGAGCTCATTGCGGAGTGCATCGCCCTTTGAAGTGCGATGGTGATTTTGCTGGCCAGCATTCGCTCCCACCCCAACCGAGCCCCCGGGCTGAAAGTGTTTGATCCATGCAAAATGGGACTGGACAAATACCTCTCGTCTCCCGAGGGTCGACCGTTGGGAGTCTAGAGCGGGCGACAAGTAGGGGTTCAGGTGTGCCGTAAACGTCGACTCTAGGTCGAGGAGCGGTCGGAGCCGCATACATAATACCCTATGATCATTTGTAAATTGGAGGCGTCCCCGTGCCTCCACGCTTTGCCGTTCTGGGTCTAGCCTTGACTCTGAGGATTCACGCTGTCTAGAAGCCTCTTCGGCTTCTTGCAAGCCAATAGCTTCCTCGACGAGGCGAACGACCGAGACCATCTGTCGCAAGATATTGAAATGCACAATTGGCACCCAACTACCTCGTTCGGCGCGAAACGAGTCCTTTGCATACACGAGTTTCATATCTATGCGGCGTTAGTACGACAGGGTCAGAAAGGTGTAGGCCGCACTCACTCTTTAGGGTCGTCGATTTGCCTACAGACAGAATATTCAGTTGCCAATGTCGGTAAATTTGTTATACGTACCACTCTCGGCCTGGCCTGCATCGAACCGGTAGAGGTGTCAACGATCATCACTCGCGCGCGCATCACACACCGACCGAGCAAGAGAACTTTGACGAATTCTTTCTTATCTTTTGCTTGCTTTTTAATCTCATCGTCGATTTCACGACTTTTCTGAACTGCTAGAGCCTCTGCTTGCAGACGCGCAGCCCTGTCTTCGGGTGTTTCGCCAGGTGGTGGTAGCAAAAACCGTGAAAGAGGATCTGTTGCATCGTATTGGACAGCAGGCGGCATCTCCAACGAACTCAACGACTGGACGCCAAGTCGAACAGGGTCAAGGTAGAGGGTGAAGGGGGGTGGGGAAGTTCAACAAGGTAGAGCGGCGAAATTAACGATGGACTGGATGCTTTATTGAAGAACGGGCGCCTACATTGTTGGAAGATGCCGGTGTGCTAATTCACAACTCGGTGACGTTCCTGAGGGGACGTGCCATGATCACGACGAGGAAGAGAAGCACTCTTATACGCTCATCACCATTGGAATGTTCGGGTGCGGACTGTATCCCTCGACAATGCAGTCTTCATATCGAAATGCGTCAATGTCGTCCAGGGGACGCGAGAACCGCAGCGTTGGAAACGTTCGTGGTGTGCGCTCGAGTTGGGTCTTTAGGGGCTCGACGTGGTCTTTGTAAACATGAGCATCTCCGAGTTGCATAATTAGCTCGCGGGCCTCTGTACCGGTGACATGGGCAACCATGTGGGTAAGGAGAGCGTACGAGGCGATGTTGAATGGAATTCCGAGACCGAGATCCGCGGAACGTTGGTACATTAGGCAAGACAGGCCGGGCTTGACGGTAGTTGACCCTTGAGGCGGGAGGTGGACATAAAATTGGCAAAACATGTGGCAAGGCGGGAGAGCCATGAGTGACAAGTCTAAAAAATCGGGAGGAGATTATGTGAGCATGATGAATTTGAGGAACCATACTAGGCCAAACCGACGCACCCGCGGGGTTCCACGCACTCATGATGATTCGTCGATCGGTCGGGTCTTCTTTGATCTTTCGAATCACTTCTTTGAGCTGATCGACGCCTTGTCCGGTATAGTCGGTCTCACAGTCGACGTATTGTGCACCAAAATGCCGCCATTGAAAGCCATAGACTGGACCCAAATCTCCCTCGCGGCGATGACTCAGTCCACGCGCGTCCAGGAATGCTCGCGAGCCATTTCCATCCCAAATCTTTACCCCGCGCTCGGAAAGCAATCGCGCGTCGGTGGAGCCTCTGACAAACCAGAGGAGCTCCTCGATCACTCCACGCAAAAAGACGCGCTTTGTGGTGAGCAATGGAAACGAATTGTTCTCTAGAGAGAATCGGAGACTAGGTGGGGCAAAGACGGCCAGAGTTCCCGTTCCCGTGCGATCTGCGCGCGTCTCTCCAGTGTCCATGACCGTCTTGAGCAGTCTTAGATACTGATATTCATCGTGTTCACGTTCTGAAGACGCGTTTTGGGTGGTTATTGCCGTGTCCATTTGTCGTAGTGGCCAAACGCGTCGTTACCACCTTGACCCAGCCATCGTCGTGCTTGAGGAACAGTTGTAGGAAACCATTGCTACCGTTTGACTCTTTGATCGCTCAGGATCGTGGTCAAGACGCCAGTTTTCATCGTCTGTGGCCAGGCAGATTACCACGATTTGGCTCTTTTTATGATTTCCTATACATTTCCGGACTCGGGCAAGAGGCGATTCCCGGGCGGTGGCAGCACCTAATCAGATAGAACCCCCCTTGCAATCGATGTTGAGCTCAGAGCTTGGCCCCGTCCTCTTAGCACTCATTCTTGCGATCCCAGTTGGATTCATCCTTTCAACCGTATTCAAATCGCCCCGAAAGATCCCAGACGAGAGCGAAGAACCGTACAGCAAGAAACATTCAACAACGACTCCAATGGCAGCATTTGGTCCTGGCAGTTTGACGTCTCCTCCAGTTCACCTCCAAGCCCCGAGGATGGACCTGTTTACGCAAGAAGAACTCAAGGCTTACGATGGAACGGGACCGGACGGAAAGATTTACGTGGCGGTCAAAGGTGCGCATCTTGTTCGTTTAGCATCTGATTTGTACTGATAATACATTAGGAACGGTCTTTGATGTCTCGTAGGTGACAGCTTGTGACCACGTATAGCTTCTGATATGCGGGGTTTAGAGCCAAGGCGGACATGTACGGACCCGGAAGTGAGTGCCTTGCCCTACCCGTGATTGATACAGTACTTATCATTGAAACACAGAGGCATACAACGTTTTCGTACGTTCTTCTCCGATGCCCCGACGGTACCCGCCTGACTCAGGGCCACAGGCTGGCAAAGATGCGAGCAAAGGACTCGGGTTGTCGAGCGTAAAGCCAGAGGATGCTGTTCCGGATTACTCTGGATTGGATGAGCAGGGAATGACCACTTTGAATGGGTGGTATGACTTTTTCCAGTACGTCTCCTTATTGTTGCAGTTTTGCGCTATATCTAATCTACCGTACAGGAAGCGTTATAATATAATGGGAACGGTCAAGGACCTCCCTGCTGCGGTATCTCGTTTCTAGTTATGCAATAAGAATCAACGTCGTCCTCTCTGTGTTTCTCCGCAGCTGAAACGGTTTCGGGAAGGGTGTTGGCCGGAATCTTCTGGAGACGGAAAGAAAAAGAAATAGAAGTGGGCTAACTGAGTGGCAGCGACTAGGGACGAGAATTTCCGAGCTTTCGCGGGCGACGTCGCAACAACCGCGGGCACGAGACCGACTGGTCAGCGCAAGTAGTCAACAGCGATCCCCGAAGAGGTAGCGTAGTTTAGGGCTGGATTAGCCGTCACATGGCAATGGATGGGAAATGCGGGGAGTTGGCAGGGAGCAAAGAAGCCATAGTATATCCGTGGGGGGATAGTTTGGTGCAAAGTGCTGGTGGCTGCAAAATGGCATAGGAAATAGGGGATAGACGAGTTGAACACGAGGATAGGATATGCCTGCAGGTGCGTTGAGAATTCAGAGGTCAACGTGGAGATGCGCGAGGCATATTGTTAGATTCCCAAAGTCGGCAGCCGCCGTTGTCCCACAAAGTAGCCGAGCCTAAGTTCAGGTCACCGCCCCTCTCCTTGGTTTCTCATCTTCGACTCCAACCACGACCATCTATTTTATCCACAATATCCGCAGCATTCTCGAGACGACGTCCTACTCTCTTCAACAGTACGTCCGGCCCCATTCTCACTCGTCCGTTGTGTTCGCCCTTCCCCCGTTCGCAGCCACTAATAGCCCGCTCCCACAGCCTAATAGCGGCATCGCGTCCTGTCCCATGAAGTTTTCAAAACGCTTTCCTTCGTCCTCGACCATGTCAGGCTTTGGCAACACCCACCAGGCCGCTCCATCCTCTACTTCTGCCTCTGCCCCGCCCAGCGCACTCGATATTGTCTCCAGTCAGGCTGCAAACTGGGACGCACTCCTTTCTCCAATCCCAGACGCCCTTACGTCGCTTCCCCACGACGACAGTGAACTCATAGACTCGCCCAGCTTTGCTTTCGGCGCTGACATTGATCCTACCTCTTCAACCATCCCAGACGCATTTACTTGGGATGCCGCTGCTCATCTCCGCTCCTCGGTGCTCGGCGCGCCAGACCTTCACACCGGATTTTCCGCTGGTTCACAAGCCCCGGCCTCGTCTGCACTGAGCTCTACCTTTTCGTTGATGCCAGAAAATGCCTCTGGTTTTCCTGGATATCCGTACGGTGCGTGTTTCTATAAAATTTTAATTTACACGGGGGGCGTGGCCTTTACGTCCGTTCAGTACGCGTCAACCTCGAGGCGATGCTGACTTCCTGCGAACAGGCTCATATCCACTATTGCCTGTGCTCTCCACGGGCCCGTACGACTCTCCCACCGTCTCTGGGCGCGCGTCCAACGATGATATGCTTGTTGCGACAGTCAGCCCAGCTGCAGTCTCCGTTTCCCAAACGAGCCCCGCCTCAGCTCCGTCCGTTGTGGCTCCGTTGACTGGCATCAAGCCTGAACCGGTCAACGCCACTCACAGCTTTAACCGCCAGACCCCCTCGGTCTTTTCCCGCGCTGCCAGCATGGACCTCGACGAGGAAGATGATGAAGACGATGGAGACGAAATGGACGACGAAGATGGTACAGATGAATACAAGGAGCGCTCCCGCGGAGCCAACGGCGGCCGAAACAAAGATTCCAAGATCGGCCGCCCAGCCTCGACAAACGCGGCGCGAAAATCGGATACAGCGTCCAATGCAGACGGCTCATCGAAACGAGCCACCAACAAGAGCCTTGGATCAAAGCAAGCCTCTACAGGCTCGGACAGTGGCGCTTCTACACCAGCCCCCAAACGACGCGGAGGCAATCGTATCGCCGTTGCAGACTTTGTCCCCCCGGATGTAACAGGTTTGAGCAAGCGCGAGGCCCGCCTCGTGAAGAACCGCGCGGCTGCGTTCCTCTCTCGCCAACGTAAAAGGGAAGAATTTGAGCAGATGGAAATGTGCGTCTAATTTTGGTCGGCGTATTTCTGGGAGATCGGTTACTAATTAGACACATAGTCGCCTTGCCGAGGTCCTCGAAGAAAATGCACGCCTGAAAAGTGGCAACCCCGAACCGTCGAATCAGGCTTCAGAAGAAGTCCAGCGCCTGCAAGCAATGCTCCGCGAGGCTCAGGAGCGCGAACAAGCGTTGAAGACCCAACTCGAGGAGCAAGCTCGTATTGCCGAGCAAGCCAAGGTCGAGGAACCCGTTTTCACCGTCCAAGAGGCCCTCAAGATGGCGCACTCTCCCTCTGTCGCCCAATCGCCTCGCAGCGAAATCTCCAGTCTCGATGGCTCTGTCCTCAGCTCTGCTCTCAAGGAAAAGGACTCGTCTCGTCATGGTCCAGGCTTCAACCTTATGGTTCTCGTCTTTTCCCTCACGCTCCTCTCGATGCCCCATCAACACCAGCTCAACATGCGCGGTGGTAGTGCTCAGCCGACCAGGATCACCTATGAGCCGTCTGGCTCTGCGACGAGCGCTGCATTCCCGTCTCTATTCAACAATGTTCTAGAGCGATGGGAGGGTGGCAACCGTTTCGAGTCTCTCGATTCAATTGATGAAGACGACGAAATGGAGGTCGAGGTCGAGCCATGGGAACAAGAAGAAGGTAACGCCGCGAGCCAAGGCAAGCAAGGCAGCTCGTACGTTGTCGATTTTGAGATGCCTGTCCTCGCGGATGAGGTTGGCAAAGACGATGATGGCAAGATTAAAGTCCGCATCTCTCCTTGTGGCGTTCCACGACCACGTCAATCCATCGGCAGCCTCAAGGCAAACGAGCTCGCTTGGGACGGTACGCCACTGCCGCCACTCGAGGCCTCGGGTGTCGACTTTGGTACTGGTTCCTTTGCTGCTGACTGGGGATCGTGGGCGGGATGGCAAGACTTTTTGAGTGAGGATATTGTCGGCACTGGCGCAAGCACCCTCGCACCCGAGACTATGACCAACGACGAGGCGGCATCTCCCAATTCGGACAACTCGCGAACCGAGGAGAATATCTCGGAGCGATGGGCGACGCCACCACCATTCGAAGAGTCGATGGAAGGCTCCAGGACTCCAGTTGAAGGTGCGACGCTCGCCACTGTCCTCTCTGGAGAACAAAAGCCAACTGCACCCGTCGATGTCGACGTCTCGCTCTCGACGCTCCCCGCTTGGTCTCGTGCCATGATCCAGGCCGCGGCCGGTGAGAAGCTCAAGGCCCGCATCCGCGTCTCGAAAAAGTCGAAGATTGCTGGACGCACTAGGAGCAGCATCTCTCTTGGCAAGAAGAAGATGGGACTCGTCGTCAAGGTGTGAACAACCTTTGATTTTTATTCCCGATATAGACCAACTGGACTTGGATTCCAAACACCCCTGATAACAATTATGGAACGGCTCGGTCCACCTGCCAGCCACAAAAGTATGCCCAAACAACCCACCTCATGCACTACCCCACCATTCGTTTTCTCCTCGCGTCGTTGTTTCTTGATTATGCTCTCAGCCCGCCCTTGGCCGGTCCTCGGTCAGACGAACGAACAATAACATTGAACAACTCCTCATGCCACCCTTGACCGCCTAGTACTCTACCAAAATGTCCATTAAAGCCCCGCGTCCGACTCCTTGCCCTCCCTTCGTCTTCCTCTTCACCACCTCTTCCCCTCCGATACCTCCCCTCTTGAAAATACCGTTTGTTCCATCAGTGTTCCATTATCCGACTCTCGTGCGTCGTCTCTCGTCTTCTGTTGGTTTGTGGATTTCGTCTCGTGTGCGCTGTCCTAGGGTTGGCCAGTGGTACAGTTGTGTATTTAACCTGTTGAAAAAACAAGTTGAACCAGATATGTGTGTGACGCTCTGAGATTGATTCAAGGCTAATCACATTTGTGATGGAGGCCTGGACGTTGTGACCGCCGGGTTGATGAATCCGACCTTTGCAAGAATTATCCAGTCTAAGAAGCTAGACGGGTGATTTTTGTTTATCGTCGTGTCAAGAAGCAAAGCCGGCCATCCGATCTTGCTGCCATTCTCCTAATTGCCAGCTGTTTAGCGCCGCACCGTTTAGCAAAGAAACGAGCACACTTGTTCCCAGCCAACTCTGACTGTAAACGATGCTCAAAACTCGTTTACGTCTGAGAAACATCCTGCGTCGCTCCCCATCGCCGCAGAAGAAGGGCGAATCCACACCTGGACCTCTGGATCCGCCCAAGAGTAGCAGGCCATCATCTTTGAAGCTCGAGTCGAAGATAGATAATCTCGGGGTTCTGGAAATTGCTTCTGGGACTAACCCTACCGTCGAGTAAGTGCGCCGCTCATTACACGTGTTCGCCGCTCACTTGGCCTGACAGTATTATCGCTATCCATGGTTTGCAAGGACATAGAGAGAAGACGTGGACGACAGATGGAGGGGTCTTGTGGCTACGTGACCTCTTGCCTACCGACATATCCAACGCTCGAATTCTTCTATATGGTTACGACGCCGACACTCGCAGTACAGAATGCGTATCAACTCTGACTATGCGTCGACATGCCGAGACACTGGCTCAGGCACTCTCACGGATGCGGAAAGACAATCCTCGAGTCCGTAATTTACACTTCCTTGCCGGTTTCCACTGAACAGCAACTAGCGTCCGATCATTTTCGTAGCACACGACCTAGGGGGTATCATTCTCAAATGGGTGCGTCACACAAGCTCCAATGAGACTAATCGCTGATGCTCTCCTAGGCTCTCGTCATTTGTCATAATCAGAGTTTGGCATCCAAGGGCGAGCTCCGGGACATTCTTGTATCCACGCATGCCATCTTATTCTTCGGGACCCCTCACTCTGGCCTCGACAGTACTAGCGTCCTCGAGGCAATCAACCGCTTGGCATCGGCCTATATGGAAACAACAGACATTCTCCTCAAGGACCTTCGACCCCATTCATCTGAACTAGAGAATATCCAGAGTCTGTACCTCGCGGCGAGCGAGAATATCAACAGCATCTTCTTCTGCGCGGAATATGCGACATCCGGTATTGGGAATCGAGAAGACTTGGTGGTGAATCCTCAATAAGGAATCATATACTGAATGAGCAACAGAATGTTTCATATCACTCGGCCACTATATCTGGCGACCGCAAGGCGACGACAACGATCCTTCATGCGAATCACCGCGATTTAGTTCGATTCTCATCCAAGGAGGACGACAACTATAAGACGATTCACCACCATCTCAAAGACTATGTCGACAGCGCGTCTGCTGCGGTACAGGAGAAGTGGATTACAGAGGACAGCTGTCGCAGTTTGTAGTCACTTCATCGCCTCTGCTTAGCTGATGAGTACGCAGGTGCGGCAAAGGGAGAGGTCATCTCTCAGGAAATGATAGTGGCGAAGCCCTGTCCACCGGTGTCAAGGAGCTATGTCGAGAGAAAGGAGATTCAGTCCCTGATCACACAGAAGCTGCTTCCGGGGAGCGTACAAGATCAACTGCGGTGTATACTACATGGAATCGGGGGTTCAGGCAAAACTCAACTCGCAACCAGCTGGGTTCGGAAGCATGGTTCCAGGTAAGATCTATAGCGATTTCTGGAGAATCTCTGACTTGTTTCCAGCTTCAGTCGGGTGATTTTCGTTGACGCTTCCAGTCAAACGCAGATAGAAGCAGACTTGGAACGGTCGATTCGCTCATTGGGGGCAGAGTACAACAAGATGACCTGGAAGGATGCAGTCGCCTACCTCGGCGGCAAGGAAAGGGGCTGGCTGCTGTTTATCGACAATGCCGACTCGCCAGATCTCAACCTCCGCCCATATCTCCCTGTTTGCGTCCATGGAGCAATTCTAATCACCACAAGGAACAGCGAGTGCATAAGCTACGCTCCGGATGGTGCTGTTCCTGTTGGTGGACTGGAGGAGAATGAGGCAATCAATCTCCTTCATAAGCTCGCTAATGTCACACCCACGTCCGATACCAAGTCTGTGGAGATTGTTCAGGAGCTAGGGATGCTGGCGCTGGCGATTACTCAAGCGGGGTCATATATTCGCAAGACACGCCGGCTCGACACGTACCTTGATACGTTGCGAAGTCATCGAAAGCGACTTCTACGGAAGCAGCCAGATATCGGGAATGAATATACATCCTCGACGTACGCTGCATTCGACCTGTCTTTCCAAACCCTACCGACAAAGACACAAGAGCTCCTAAAGCTGTGTGCATTTCTTCACCATTCGGATATTCCGATCTCTTTGTTCCAGCACTCGACAGAGGCCGGTTTCGCAATATACACGGTCCTGGACGATTATCCTCCCCCTGAGGGTGACAAATCAGTCATCCAGAAGCTCAAGGAGATTCTGGGCTCAACGTGGGACGAGGTCGAATTCCAAGAGATCGTGGAATCGGCTACACGCGCATCATTTATCCATGTTTCGACTGATGGACTATTCTACGCCGTCCACCCACTACTTCAGATGTACATCAAGGATTGTTCTAGTCAGGAGGATAATCGAGAGTACGCGCGTGCGACTACTCAACTGATACTTGGTGCGATCCGGCCAGTTGAGGGTAGCAATGCGCGGTTTTGGCAACTACTTCCACACGCCACCAAGATCCCACAATCGGTGCAATCAGAGAATATGGCACACGCATTGGCGTTCTATAAGCTTTATCATCCATTGGGTGACTGGAAGACTTGTCGAGAACTGTTAGAGACTGCGTTTTACCAAGTTCAGCAGGATCATGGTCTAAAGCATAAAAGTTCGATGTGGGTGATGGGTAAACTTGGTAGTGCGTTGTATAGTTGCGGTCAATTGGATGAGGCAGAAAAGATGGAGCGAGAGGTACTCGCTCTGCGGCTGGAGATTCTTGGACCACGTCATCCAGACACCATTTCAGCAATGGGAAACCTTGCAACCACCTTGCACTCCCGTGGTCAGCTGGACGAGGCAGAAAAGATGAAGCGAGATGTACTCGCTCTGCAGCTGGAGATTCTTGGACCACGTCATTCAGACACCATTTTGTCAATGAACAACCTTGCAGCCACCTTGCACTCCCGTGGTCAGCTGGACGAGGCAGAAAAGATGAAGCGAGATGTACTCGCTCTGCGGCTGGAGATTCTTGGACCACGGCATCCAGACACCATTTCTGCAATGGGAAACCTTGCAACCACCTTGCACTCCCGTGGTCAGCTGGACGAGGCAGAAAAGATGAAGCGAGATGTACTCGCTCTGCGGCTGGAGATTCTTGGACCACGTCATCCAGACACCATTTCTGCAATGGGAAACCTTGCAGCCACCTTGCACTCCCGTGGTCAGCTGGACGAGGCAGAAAAGATGAAGCGAGATGTACTCGCTCTGCAGCTGGAGATTCTTGGACCACGGCATCCAGACACCATTTCTGCAATGGGAAACCTTGCAACCACCTTGCACTCCCGTGGTCAGCTGGACGAGGCAGAAAAGATTCTGCGAGATGTACTCGCTCTGCGGCTGGAGATTCTTGGACCACGGCATCCAGACACCATTTCTGCAATGGGAAACCTTGCAACCACCTTGCACTCCCGTGGTCAGCTGGACGAGGCAGAAAAGATGAAGCGAGATGTACTCGCTCTGCAGCTGGAGATTCTTGGACCACGGCATCCAGACACCATTTCTGCAATGGGAAACCTTGCAACCACCTTGCACTCCCGTGGTCAGCTGGACGAGGCAGAAAAGATGAAGCGAGATGTACTCGCTCTGCAGCTGGAGATTCTTGGACCACGTCATCCAGACACCATTTCTGCAATGGGAAACCTTGCAACCACCTTGCACTCCCGTGGTCAGCTGGACGAGGCAGAAAAGATGAAGCGAGATGTACTCGCTCTGCGGCTGGAGATTCTTGGACCACGGCATCCAGACACCATTTCTGCAATGGGAAACCTTGCAGCCACCTTGCACTCCCGTGGTCAGCTGGACGAGGCAGAAAAGATTCTGCGAGATGTACTCGCTCTGCGGCTGGAGATTCTTGGACCACGCCATTCAGGCACCATTTCTGCAATGGGAAACCTTGCAACCACCTTGCACTCCCGTGGTCAGCTGGACGAGGCAGAAAAGATGAAGCGAGATGTACTCGCTCTGCAGCTGGATATTCTTGGACCACGGCATCCAGACACCATTTCTGCAATGGGAAACCTTGCAACCACCTTGCACTCCCGTGGTCAGCTGGACGAGGCAGAAAAGATGAAGCGAGATGTACTCGCTCTGCGGCTGGAGATTCTTGGACCACGTCATCCAGACACCATTTTGTCAATGAACAACCTTGCAACCACCTTGCACTCCCGTGGTCAGCTGGACGAGGCAGAAAAGATGAAGCGAGATGTACTCGCTCTGCGGCTGGAGATTCTTGGACCACGGCATCCAGACACCATTTCTGCAATGGGAAACCTTGCAACCACCTTGCACTCCCGTGGTCAGCTGGACGAGGCAGAAAAGATGAAGCGAGATGTACTCGCTCTGCGGCTGGAGATTCTTGGACCACGGCATCCAGACACCATTTCTGCAATGGGAAACCTTGCAGCCACCTTGCACTCCCGTGGTCAGCTGGACGAGGCAGAAAAGATGAAGCGAGATGTACTCGCTCTGCAGCTGGAGATTCTTGGACCACGGCATCCAGACACCATTTCTGCAATGGGAAACCTTGCAACCACCTTGCACTCCCGTGGTCAGCTGGACGAGGCAGAAAAGATGAAGCGAGATGTACTCGCTCTGCAGCTGGATATTCTTGGACCACGGCATCCAGACACCATTTCTGCAATGGGAAACCTTGCAACCACCTTGCACTCCCGTGGTCAGCTGGACGAGGCAGAAAAGATGAAGCGAGATGTACTCGCTCTGCGGCTGGAGATCCTTGGACCACGTCATCCAGACACCATTTTGTCAATGAACAACCTTGCAGCCACCTTGCACTCCCGTGGTCAGCTGGACGAGGCAGAAAAGATGAAGCGAGATGTACTCGCTCTGCAGCTGGAGATTCTTGGACCACGGCATTCAGGCACCATTCGAGCAATGAACAACCTTGCAACGACCTTGCACTCCCGTGGTCAGCTGGACGAGGCAGAAAAGATGAAGCGAGATGTACTCGCTCTGCAGCTGGAGATTCTTGGACCACGGCATCCAGACACCATTTCTGCGATGACCAATCTTGCCAACGTTCTATATCAACGTGATCGACTGGAAGAAGCAGAGAAAATAGAGCGAGAGATCCTTTCTCTGCGCCATGAGATTCTTGGACAACGTCATCCAGAATCGCTCAACGCCTCTTATAGCCTCTGTATGACATTATGCAAGGGCGGCCAACTTGAAGAGGCTGCCACGCTCTTACAAGAGACCATAGGAATATGTATTGAAGAATTTGGGAAAGATGACCGTTACAAGGAGTTTCTCAAGCTTATTGTGCCCAACCAACCTGTATGACTTGCGTTATATGTCTATTTCATTTTCATTGTTTATTTGATAGCACCATCTTGGATATCTTCACGGTCACGATGACTCGCGACTCTGAAATCCAGAATATGATACTATGCTGTACAATACGTCTAAGCCTGATATATTTTCCTCAGGAACGTCGACGCTCAAAGAGCTGCCAGCGCAGGTTGAACCCTGCCGCCATCTCCGGAACAGCCATGGGGCTCCTCGACATTCTCCTTCAAGTCTTCCAGCTTCTTTGTGGCTCTCAAAAGCCCACAAAACAGGAATCCCAGGCTCCAAACGCTGGATATCCAGGAGCTCAGCAACCCTCGGCCCCACAACACGCCCAACAGCCCACATACCAACCACCAGCGCACCCAAAACCACCTCAGCAATACCAACAGAAGCCTACAAAGTCACATAAACCTCCCTCTCCACCGTCTGGTCAACATGCTCCGAGCGGCCGTCCACCCAGACCCCTCCACCAGCGCGTCGTGCGTGTGGTTTTTTACGAGACGTTGCGCCACTTTGTGTACTCATGTGATGGATTTATAGGACGAGAATCAAGTCAACCAACATAACCCACATTGTGAGTGTTCGTCTCCGGCGTGTTTTCGACTCCTGACCGGAAATCAGATCTCGACTTGCGGAAACGTGCGAACCAGGCGGGGGATGCGATGGGACGTGCATTTGAGGATAGCAAGCGGGCGTACGAGTCTGGTGATGGGGCACGCGCAAAGCAACTGTCCGAGGAGGGCAAGCGGCACAAGGCAGAGATGGAGGAACTGAATCGACAAGCTTGCGATTGGATATTCCATGGTACGTGACCGTCCTCGTAGCCGATTCCCTCACTTGACCCGCGCCAGCAAACAATACCGACTCTGCACTCAACGAGGTCGATCTGCACGGGCTCTATGTGAAAGAGGCGATAGCTCGATCTGAGCAGGCCATTCAGGCAGCTCAGCAACGTGGCGACTCGGACATTCATTTCATCGTTGGTTCGTAGAGGGGCGTGCCTACAACAATGCCATTCACGTTGCTCGCAGGCAAAGGATTGCATTCTCAGGGCCATGTCGCCAAACTGAAACCAGCGATCGAGGAGCTCATGGTCAAGTGCGTTCCTCTCGCCCTTCTCCCAAGCCTTGTCGAGGATCTGACCGGCCTTTTGGCAGATACCAGTTGGCTGCACAAATCGACCCAAACAATGCTGGTGTCCTTATTGTCCAGCTCAACGGTCCTCAACGTGGCGAGCGAGGCATGGGGGTTGACGAGATCCAGCGCCGCTTGGAGAGGGACGACGAGCAATGCGTGGCCATGTAGCGGGCGCGCTAGCGCGCGAAAAGAAGACCAGGTGATAACCAGGTAGGGACATCCGTGCCAAGGAGGCTGCTAGACTCTTTCTGACATACATCGTGGTAGCGGACTTTCAAAGAGAGCCCATTTTATCTTATCTTCGGCATCCTCCACGGGGACAAGTTCTGTACATAACCTAAATTTCCAGTGCTTCCCACCAACCTCATGGGCTGATACGCAAACGGATTTTCTCTTAAATTTTTTTTATTTTGGTTTCTCTCGGGCCTTCGCGAACTAGCCCTGGGTCCGTCCGGCTGCTGACTGAAAATAGTGAATGATTTCCCTTGTCCGTTTGCCGTTTCGCACGTGCAAGGGCTGTGAGGACCACGGGTATATCAAGCTTGGGCAGTTTGCCGGAACACAGTCAAGGCCTCTCTCCCCATCCTACACTTTTCGCCCCTAATGGGGGCGAAGGATCTCTATCTGCTCCAAATCGTCCAGTACAGCGCCAACGAGTCGGAGAAAAAACCGAGTCATTGGGCCTATTTCATCCATTTTACAGACAAGACGGGCAATGTCACGGGCGACGGTGAGCTGCACGAGCTTGCATTCTCTCCAACAAAGGGATACCGCTACGTCCAGCGTCGCGCAAAATTCCTCACCCAAACTTTTCGAGGCGCATGTACACTTGGGTTATTCTACAAGAAGAACCTGTACAAGATTCTCGACGAGCTCGAGGCCGGCAAAGTCCCCTCGCTTTCTTCTGCAACGACGACAATGGGTGCGAATCCTGTCGCAGACGGACGTATCTCACAAGCCTGGGTCGAAGATCGACTCGAGGCAATGAGGCGCGCTGGCGTCGTCTTGCTCGGTCCCTCTTTTGCGGACCTGGCACGGAGGGCGTATCAAAACTGGCGTGTCCACCGTGAAGAGCGCAAGATGCGATTACCTACGTCCCATTCCTCGTCCGGGACACCTATTCCGGCACTTGCGTCCACGACGACAACAACGGGCGCGAGCCTGTCGCTCGTCCAAGAGGACGCGGCGGAGATCGTCAAGCGACATTATTCCTATCCATTTACCCAATACGCCAAAGACTGACGTCTTCCTGCTTTGTCAGTGAGTCCTCCCTGCTTGTCAAACTCAGGCCATGATCTCTGACGCTCCTCCCTAATAGCGGCTTCCTAGTTCATGCAACCCTGGAACTACGGAACGGCGTCCGCCCAACTATGATTCCCATCATAGACCCAATTAAGTGGACATACCGGTAAACCATGGATTCTCCCGACGACCCAATCCTACGTACCCATGCATTCCCTTTATCTCGTTAGTCTTTTATCGCCGTCGCGTCTTGTCGTGCTAGTTTTAAAAAATATTGTCAATTGACCTCATCTCGAGGCCGTAAATACAGTGCCGTGATAGAATAGAATGCCAATTATAGAGAAAAAGAGGGACAGTGTATCCTCGCGCAATTAATCTATGAGCTGAGGTCATTGTCGTCAGACTGTCTAGTGCTCGGTCTGGGCGAAGGATGCCTGTTTTGTTGTGAGAGGCGCTTAACGTCCAGCGGTATAGGAGCCCTAGTCTCATCTGGGACAGAGAGCGACGTCTTGGATTGGAACATGTGAACGTCCCCGTCTACACGAAACTTGAGCGCTTCCCGTCCAACACACGAATGAAGCATGCTGGCGCTTCCATCCGCAGACGGCATTGAGCGGTGAAGGCCAGTACGATTGCCATAGGGCGTCCCGGTGCCCTTGGAGGTCGGTGTCGCAAACCGCGGGAGCGTGCCCGTAGAGTGTAACACATGCGCATCTGAAGCCTTGTAGACAGTTGGGGGAAGCGGCACGACCTCATGCTTGAACTCTGCGGGGGCATCGCTGTTCGTCGGTGTTATCAGGAAGAGTATGTGTTGCGCAACTGAACGCTAAATTCAGTGATCTGAACGCATGTACAGATAACGCCATACCGAGTATCCCCGTCACGGTAGAGCCAATAGAGCCCATATCTTCAATGCCACTCACGCCGATGGAACCCAGCAGGGTAAAGGTATTTACGACGGCATCCAGCATCATCAAAAACTGGAATATGTCAGACAAATACATAGTACCTCTGAGCAGACTCACGACTCCGTTTGCCACGATATTCTGTAGGAGCTGCGCACGTACTCCATGTCGGACGAGATGGAATGTGCTAAGAAAAATAGCGAATAAATCGAACATGCTATTCACGTATTGAGCTTGAACAAGGCTTCGACCCGAAAGAACTCACAGATGTGCGAGGTAGAAGACGGGCGCGGAATTGAATGATCCATCTCGGATTTTCGAGAGACACGCATCTCGCCTGGTCATGTCATTGTGGAACACGACTGCTTCACGATTCAATCCCACGGAGATTGCCTCGAGTGGTACCGAGATGATCATGGCGAAAATCATCACGGCAAACACGGTCCGTTCACGTTTGGTGATATCCAAAGTCCGTAAAAAGAAGACAATCTGAACGACGAGTCCCGTGAGCACTGAAGGTTCGTTGCCTGGGTAAGCTTCCTCGTCTTGTTTCAAAGCCAAAGGGGGTTACTTGCCCTGAAAGATGCCTGGGATGATATGGACAGCACTGCACAACGCTGGGGAATAATTGCTAAAGTACAAGGACGCATTGGCGATGAGTGCTGCTAGTCCGAGACTTGCGGTGCATGTCAGACAGCTCGCTTTTGGCGCAAATGGGACGGATCGAACGCACTAGCGAGTCGCGGCAAAGAGGGCGCTCCTCATCGGAGGGGATGATTTGTACAAGGAATGTTCTAGTGGTATCGTTCGTAACATGCTAGATGTGCACAAGGGCCATGAGCGCTGAGCCGGGATGGGCTGAGACAATGGGAGGGGCAAAACGTACTCGTATGCAGCGATGGAGAGCGCACTGTTGAGAGAGAGAGAGAAAAGAGGTGTAAAGAAATGACCTCTTAATATTTGAACAGACGCACGCTATTCGCAGCTGGCCTGCAGTGAGAGAAGAATCGCCTCCGAAACTCATGGTGGAGAGGAGCGAGAACACGAAAATATTCGGGATAAATCGACAGCGATTTTACAACCCGAAAACGAGAGGATGCGGGCCCCAATGGCCGCGGCGGTCGAGATCAAGAGGTGCTCGTGCGTGCTGTTGCCGGTCGGGACTTATGGTGAGAATTGAAACCTGACCTGGGAATCAACGGAGGGGACTGCCTGATGGCCGCGCGACGTTTGATTGTTGCATGGGTGTATTATATTCACAGAGAAGGATAACATGGGGATAACTCTGACACAGTTATTAGTTGGGGACCGCAATGTTCAGCGCATTGTCGAAATCGGCAATAATGTCGCTAATAGCCTCAATACCGACCGATACCTATACAAGTAAAAAAGGGGGGTGTCAACAGAGAGGACGGCCGCGGCTCAAAATAAAACGCACTCGGATGAGATCTGGAGTAACGCCAGACGCCAGCTGTTCCTCTGCAATCAATTGCTGATGAGTTGTCGTCGCAGGGTGGATCACTAGAGTCTTTGCGTCTCCCACGTTTGCGAGATGGCTGGCCAGCCGGAGATTGTCGACGACTTTGCTACCCGCCTTTGCGTCTCCCTTGACTCCGAAGGAGAGAACACCTCCAAATGTGTTGGGACGAAGGAGCTTCTTTGCCGTCTCATGCGACGGGTGGGATTCGAGACCCGGGTAGAGCACCCAGGAAACCTTGGGATGCTTCTCGAGGAATTTGGCCAATGCGAGTGCATTATCACTGTGTCGCTGAGCACGAAGACTCAACGTCTCTAAACCAATCAAGAGTTGGAATGCAGCGAATGGGTTGAGTGTTGCTCCAATGTCGCGGAGAATCTATCGGCTCCGGTCAGTCTCCTCCAGTAGCTACATACTGTTCACATACCTCTATGCGCAATTTGATAGCAAAGGACAGATTACCAAATGTCTCCCAGATCTTGAGTCCGTGGTAGCCTTCACTGGGCTCGGTGAAGCTAGGGAAGCGACCGCTCGCTGCCCAATCAAACTTGCCAGAGTCGACAACGACACCACCAATGGTCGTTCCATGCCCACCAATCCTAGTAACCTAATCAGCTAATCACACCATTTCGACGCGAATACGCACCATTTGGTAGCACTGTGCACGACAATGTCCGCACCCAAATCAATCGGACGAACAATGTACCCTCCCGCACCAAACGTATTATCCACAATCAATGGAATACCATTGGCATGGGCAACCTTGGCAATTTCGGGGATCGGCGCAACATTATACTTTGGGTTCCCAATACTCTCGACATAAAGAGCCTTGGTATTGCTATCAATAGCCGCAGCAAACGACTCGGGCTTGTCGTCGTTGACAAACTTGACGGTGATACCATACTTTTTGAAGAGGACCTTGAACTGGTTATACGTTCCACCGTAGAGATACGACGTCGCGACAATATTGTCACCTGAACCTGCAATAGTCGAGATGGCCTGGAACTGTGCTGCTTGGCCAGAGGCTGCAGCCACGGCTGCGACGCCACCTTCGAGTGCGGCGATGCGTTTCTCGAAGACGTCGACGGTGGGGTTACCAATCCTGATATCTGATTAGACTCTACCTGGGGTTAATATGTAAATCTCACCTCGAGTAAATGTTTCCAAATGCCTTTAATCCAAAGAGACTGGCTGCATGCTACCAAGCACTCATTAGGGACGAAAGCGACCAGGAAGTCATCGACGTACCTCTGAGTCGTTGAAAACAAAGCTTGTGCTGGCATAAATGGGCACAGCGCGTGCATTAGTGGCAGGATCCGGAGTCTGGCCAGCATGGAGCTGAAGCGTATCAAACTCGGGAGCTCTACATATCTACATCAGTCCCAATGCAAAATCTCATAGCATATTCACTCACTTGTAAAAGTTTTCGGCCATTGGAAAGAGGCTTCAAGAGGGGCTGATCAAAGACGAGGAATGGGGAGTACGCGAAGAGGGCGTAAGAGGCGGATAACAAACTCGAGGGGCTTTATATACGTCAAAGATCTGCCTCGTAACGTAACGCCGTCTCGACAATTGCCAGCGATTGCGTGCTTGCGACGAGCCGGTCCATAATGTCGCCTTCGCCTCGAGTCCTAGCTGGCCGAGATCCACAGGCCAAGAGCGGCTAAACACTCGTAGTCGTCGATATCTCTGCCAATGGCGGCATCGCGCTTCAGATATACACCGAGGCCGTGGTCAAGCACTTCACTCTTGGGTTAGCGCTCCCACTCCTTCCCGAGCGCTCCCACCTGCGAACGAATTCCGTTGTATGAAATGTATCGAGATTGGTCGTGAGTCATTATGTACACGCACTGTACTAAGAAAAATGAAGATGCACCTCAGAGCGCACCGAGGCTAAAGTCATCCGTTTGCGATTACATATCCTCTACTCCTCGCACTTGGTGGGCACCTGGAAGCCATCACGGCGGACTCCTCCACCCCAAGGCGTGCGTCCAACGACCGATGCATCCTTTCCAAGTCCACGGCTGGCAAACGCCTTCCAGAGCAAGCAGTGGTTCTCTCCACCAGTAAGAATCTCATCCGCTTGGATGATCGCGTTACGAGCCTCGATAAATCCAGGTCGGCAAGGCTGCAGCTTCATGCCGTCAAACACAAGTTGGACCATCAGCGAGTTGCCGTGCTTGGGGATCGGGGGCGACGTTGGCTTGTTCGTCTTTGCATCGTACGTGATCGGGCGGAAAAAGTCATTGTCCTCGGGGTACTTGCCAGTGGCATCTGGGATCGGGGGGAACAACGTCTTGGAGAATCCGTGCTTCTTGACCATAGCATTCTCGACAACAAAGAGAATCTCAGCCCAGACCTCACCTATACAGTGTCAGTAAAGCGCATTGGTAAGCAAGAACAAACGAACCGATGGCGTGAACACCAAAGTAGCCCGACTTGTCGAGCGTCTTGTAGGTCGACGGGTTGATGGTCGAGTTGGTCGAGTAGGGATAGTTGCGGATACCATTGTCTCGTTGGCTGCCCAGGAACCCATGGGATAGTCGTGATACTTCTTCACACTGCGGATAGTCGTAGCGAGGAAGTCTCCCCAACCCTCTGAGGTAATCGTTAGCGATAGTCTTTCGTCGATTAGCTGATACATACCTCCCATTCCTCCAGACTCTCCCCAGCCCAAGCACGACGAGTCGGCTGGGCCACCAGTGAGACGGGTCGAGAGACCGTGAGAGTACTCGTGGATGACGATACCAGCCTCGAGATCTCCGTCACGATATGGGTATCCGTGAACATTCCAAGTGTACATGCGCATGCCTGTATCGCGTTAGACTCCAATGTTGAACGACTCGGATCACTCACGTCCGTTGGTACCATCAGGAGGCGTCATCCTACAAGAGGTCAGCAGGAATAACTTGACAGTTGCAATGCTCTCACATGTTGGCATTGTTGTAGCCAGAGCCGTCCTGAGCATTGGCAATCACTGCATCACCTTCCTTTCCACCCTTTTCAAAGTTGTACTGCTGGAAGTTGCCAGAGATTTCGTCGAAACCATAACGATAGTAGAGATCGTGGATCATGTTCGTGGTATAGAATAGCTGGGTGATGGTCAAGTCGATATACGACTTGGGGTCCGCCCAGGTTCCGTTGTCCGTCTTGAGCTCATAGGGGAAATCGAACACAAGATCCTTGCCACCATCTGGACGATAGTTGTCCATCCAGTCGTTGCGGCCAGCCCAATCCTCGTGCGCGTAAACATTGTTGCCATACGTCTTTGTAATGTTGAGGATGGTATCCTTTGCAAAGCGCTTGTTGTACGACTTGGCATCCTTCGAGGCCGGCATCGAGTGCCATCCAAGAGGAGAAGCCACAGAGTCATATGGCGACTCTTCCACCGAGCGTTCTCCGCAGTCGGGATCATTGATACCCCACTTCCAGACATTGTACGTGCCACCTGGGCGACCAAGTCGGTGCGAATCAACACCCACGTCAGACACCCAGTCGACGACTTGAACAATCACCGAGGGGTCCGATACACGGACGGCGGCCTCGTAAAAGTTGTCCTGCAACTCGACCTCGAGCTTCCAGACGAGTGCCAGCTCAGTCGTACCATCTTCCATTGGGGCCTGGACGTAGGCGAGGTGAGCCCGTACGGGTCTCTGCGCGCCTGGCACGTTGTGAAGATATTCGACAGGGAACGAAAAGTCGTGCTCGCCCGTTGAGCCCGCAAAGTGACTCTCGGACTGGAAGGAAATACCGGCAAGGCGTTGTTCAAAGTTGTTGGCAATGTCCGACGCAAGTTGTTGATCCGTGGTCGCGTGGAGCATGAATGTCAAAGCAGCACGAGCAGGGTCAGAATAGTCATCCTTGGGGTTACCGATCCGCGCGAGATGTTCGCTGGGCACGAGGCAGTTGCTGTCATGAATGTTCATGATCCGCTGCAAATGTGCATTGTTGTTGAGCGTCGTCTGACCACCGCCAGCGCGCATAGGCTGGAGGAACTGGGCACGGAGTTCGCGACAATAGCCCTCTTGGGACGCGCTCAGGCCGGTGTTGGGAGAGATGCCAACCGGTGGAGCCTCTCCGCGATAGAACTGCGGAAAACGCGACGCGCATTGGTCAGCGTCTGGTACGTGTCAGGCTGGGGCCCAAGAATAGCTCACCGAGTCACCAAACGAGATTACTTTGCCATCACGGATGTTGAGATTAATGTTACCATCTGCAACTTCGATTCCCTGGACGAGCTGGCGGACGTAGAAGTGCGAGACGCCGGTCCTTGGGTCTGTGTACGAGTCTTCGCGAATATAATACGAGTGACCTTCTCCAGCATACTGAGCAGTGAGCTCGTTGACAAACTGGATGGCCAGCGCTCGTGGGCCCGCGGTTGCCGACGCTGCGAGCGACGCCGAGGGGGGATCAAGAATGAAGCGTGCTTGGGGGAGCACAGGCCCAAAGGAGAGCGATCTCCTAGCAAGAGGAGTTGCCTGGAGAGCGAGCGCAGAGGCAGCAAACGAGGTGAGCAGAAGAGCGGATCTCATGGTCAGGTCCAAGAGTCTGCTGGGGCTTTGTGCTGATAAGGGCCACAGTACTGCAGATAAATAGTAGATAATACACAAATGGTTATATTCCAAATGGCGTATACTCTCCTACGCCCGAAAACCGATACAAGTTCTCCTTGCACCTGACCTCGTTCTGAACTCAGCCAGAAACTTCGAGCCGCCGCTACAGCTCAGCCCCTGGCATCTTGGAGCATCCTTTCGTCCGAAATCCCAGTGCATATAACACTTTTCGACGATGCCCGCCAGGGATCCCGCCAATTCTCCCCGCCCGCTCAAGCAAGTGGCGAGCAGCGGCTCGTCGTCTCCAAACAGCGTACCCCAGTCGCCAATTGTACACTGGAAATCCTTTACTTCGCGCATGCAGGATCATCACCCTCACATGGAGCCCTCCTCGAGCGTGATCATCCCAGAAAATTCGGGGAGCCACTCGTCACACAGGATCCTCAACCTTCCAGGAAGTTACACCCGTGGAATGACCTTGTACGTCTTGTTTACTTTCTGGTTTTTACTCTTTTTCCCATATTGACCTTCGACCCGTTCAACATCGGCCCTGGTCGGCGAAACACTTAGAGCGTTGCCCCGGTCACATCCTTTCCATGTCGCCTCATTTTCAGCGACAGCGGACAGCATCAGAGACAGAACCGTCATGTTGTCCTCAATTCCCATGGGTAGTCCCTTGACTGCCCAGCCAATAGACGCAAATACGACGGCCGAACCGGACTACTTTTCTTCCCCTGCCATCCCCTCTTCTCATCCGCCTGAATCTTCAAAATCCGCAGAAAATAGACAAAATTATTCCAGAACACATTCTCAATCGCCTTCGCGTGCTGCGAGCAAGGGTTCCGGTCCGTCGAGTCTGACGCTGCAGCTCAGGAAACACAGCAACCCTCCCTCGACTCTGCCATCGCGAGAGGTGTCTCCTATGCGTATCGAAAGCAAGTATACCGTCGTCCCAGACTTGACGATCTCCACCCCCACCACCACCACCACCACTGGAGGAGACACCACGCCCCGACTGCAAGCCACCGACGATGAGCACCGCAAGATTTCACAGCACATTGGCCGCCTGCCCATCCCAGACCTGTTGCCAACGGACATTACACCACTCCTTTCCAACCAGACACTCCCAACTTACACCATACCCCCTCGACCAGATTCGGCAGACGCGCATTCAACAACACGCGCGCGCCTAGAGGCTCGCCGCGCCAAATCCCTCAACAAACGTTTCCGCCTCGCCCTGCACAGCAGTCTCGACCACGCCAAATCCGCAACGAAACCAAACTTTTGGCTTGACCTACTTTCCCGCTCAGTGGCGGTCCTACCCGCAGTCTTTCTCGGTCTATTGCTCAACGTACTCGATGGCGTCTCCTATGGCATGATTCTGTTCCCGGCGGGGAAAATGTTTGAAGGATTCGGTCCCATGGGCGTATCCCTCTTTTTCGTGACGTGAGTTCCTGCCCCTCTAACATCATCGGTGTTCAAGAACGTCATCTGACCTCGTGCGCCCGTCGTGCTTCAGGGCCATAATTTCCCAATTGGTCTACACATTTGGAGGAAGTGCCTTTGCGGGGGGCAATGGCAGTATGATGATCGAAGTTGTGGTATGGCCCCTATTCCGTTCCTGACGTCACCCCTCACGCGACCTTGTAGCCCTTTTTCAACATTATGGCCACCCAAATTATTGACATTATTGGGGATGATGACCCCGAAGGCGTAATCGCCACCACGCTCGCTGCTTTTTCGTTTTCCGCCATTCTTACAGGCATCGCATTCTTTATTCTCGGCAAGTTCAAACTAGGCTGTAAGCCTTTTATTCTGTTATATACATCCTACTTACTGTCGCTCAGCATATCTCTGTTATTTCCCGCGGATTATCCTCCTTGGTGCCATCGGAGGCATCGGATGGTTTCTTATTGAAACTGGGTAATATTTTTCTATTTGAATTGACGAGCCTGACACCGTCTAGTTTCGAAGTCAGCACTGGCATGAATGAGGAAGGTGGCTTCAAATACAACCTCGAAACGCTCGAATTCCTCTTTGGCTCCGAACGAATTATGGCTCTATGGATATCTGCACTCGCTTTAGCGGTCATCCTGCGATTGATCACCGCCAAGATCCATCACCAGCTCGTTTTCCCTATATGCAAGTACCATCCGAATACCTCTGGCTAATCTGACGCGCTCTTAGATTTTATTATAATCCCAATCGTTTTCTACATTGTCGTTGCGGCTGGTCGATTCGACCTCAAGCATCTTCGAGCCACAGGATGGCTCTTCGACGTCGGGGATGAGCATGTGCCATGGTGGAAGATTTATACCTACTGGGGTATGTGCTTTTGCTCTATCATATTTGTACTCGCTCACGTTTGTAGATCTTCGACGAGTAAACTATATGGCTCTTCTGCAAATCATGCCCACCCAGATGGCCCTACTCTTTTTCAATCTTCGTGAGTATTCTCCCATCGATCTGACGTTTCCTGATCGTTGTACAGTTCATCCTCCTCTCAACGTACCAGCTTTGGGTAAGTATTGCTAGTTAGTTTAAATCCCTCTGACATCGAGGTAGCCGTGTCACTGGATCAGGAAGTCGACACAGACCATGAACTGGTCTCACATGGATATTCCAACTTTCTCGCCGGTCTCTTTGGTACGTCGACACGCTCCTGCCAACCTTTTTAACTTTGCTCGGCAGGATCGGTTCCTAATTATTTGGTCTACGTTAACACTGTTCTATTCTATCGCGTCGGAGGTGAGTGTGCTCCAGGGAATGCAACTCATTCTCATCGCTTGCAAGGTGGCACAAGGCTCGCCGGTTTCCTCCTCGCATGCGTAACCGTCATCATTCTGATGGTTGGCACCGCACCTATTGGATATCTACCCGTCATGCTAGTCGGGGCACTCATTTTTGTACTCGGTATTGATCTCGTTCGGGAAGCGTTATGGGATACACGCCATCGTGTCAGCAAGACGGAATATGTTACAATTCTCAGCATTATGGTCTGCATGACGATCTTTGACTTTGTTGTTGGTGTATTATTCGGCATTGTATTGGCTTGTAAGTTTCTCTTCATCGCCAGCAGTCTTCATGCTAACCATTACCCAGGCTTCTTCTTTGTTGTTCAGACGTCGCAGAATCGGAGTATACGCGCACAATATACAGGCGACACCGCGATGTCTACCGTTAGACGACCCTCCGCCCATAGACGGTACCTGCAAGAAGTAGGCCGACAAACAGCTATCATCAAGCTGCAATGTACGTGAGAGCACCTGCAGGCTTACCTTTTCTCATTCCCTATAGCATATCTATTCTTTGGCACTATCAATCATGTGGAGCAAACCGCCCGCGAGATGCTCGAAGCTGGACGATGGAATCACAATCCAATCAGGTTCCTCGTTTTGGATCTCTCACTCGTATTTGGGGTGGATCTCTCTGCCTCGGAAGCATTTGTTCGGCTGCAACGCTTGTTGGCAGCCAAGAATGTCATCCTCGTTCTCTGTGGATTCTCCATGGACTCATCAGTCGGACGTGCGCTTGCGAGCGTCGACCTATTTGACAACGACAACGTCGAAGTCTTTGCAGAGATCAACGAGGCTATGGAATGGACAGAGAATGTCTATCTCAAGGCTTGGTTCGACTCGATCAAGGAAGAACAGAAGGTACCCGAGGCCAAACCAATCGGTCAGTTCACGTTATATCGAACCCGGCCCTTTTCTCACACATTGACAGCTCTTCCTGGCCGAGCAACAATGGCATTCTCAATGGGCGAATCGTGGCAACAGTCACCGCGTAGATTGCACATACACGACGTTGCTGGCCGATTAATGCGTTCTATTCTCCACGAGAGCGAGCCTGAAAACGATGACATTCCGGAACCAGCCCCCACGTTGATGAAGACGTTCTCGGGGTATGAGAGCGATCTTACGCCAATGTTCTTCGTGCCCATTATCCGATACTTTGTCCGCGTTCCGGTCACCGAAGGTCAGCAGCTCTGGACGCGTGGCGACCGACCGGACGGAATCTATGTCGTCGAATCTGGTGTTTTACGTGCTGCCTATCACTGGGACAATGCGGACGACATCTCGGAATCAATGGTCTCCGGTACCTTGGCCGGTGAACTTTCTGGGCTGGCAAATATGCCGCGTAATGCCACCGTTGTCGCCGAGAAGAATAGTGTATTGTGGAAGATGTCAAACGAGAACTGGGCATTGTTCAAGGAGGAGCAGCCAGGACTCGCCCACCGATGGGTGGAGTTGATCCTCAGAGGTGAGCAATCTCAATCCCTCCAAACACTCGCTGATGACTTTGAACAGTTGCAAAGAGCGACTATGATGTACTGATTTCGGCTTGTTCTCGTCGCTAGATCATTGTGTAGCACACACTCTCAATACATGCTTGGTAGAGTAGATCATCACGCATCTATTGCCGCGCAGCTAAATAACAATACCGACAAGTTAGCTGATTACACCCTTTCGCGTCGACGAAGTCCCAGCGAGTTCCCCTGACTCTGATTTGAGCCAGAACTTCCACCCGATGGTGAGCTAAGTAGCGAAGCGGTTGATAGCAGTAGCTGCTGTGGTCCACTTCTCTTGACCCTGCTTGTCGTGTGGACACGTTTCAGGCCTTTGCCCATTGTAAGCGCGACTTCTCCGATTAGCATGACCGGCGGAGTCTGAGTGCCCTGAAATTCGTCCAAGGCCCTCCGAAACTTTCTTGTCCATTTAGTTGGGCTTTCATTCTCCTCCTCTGAAAAGGTCTGAAACGGACGTTTGAACAGCAAGTCTCCCGAAAGAAGTGTCGAATGGATGGTCCTAGTGTTACTGTTTACCTCGTCTTCATTCTCTATTGGCGGGAAGCCAGAGAATGACAACGCTCGCAGGGTATGTGAATAGCTGCGATTGAACGCTGTCATCCATTTTCCTTGAGCCTCTTTGACTTGGAGGGCACTCTGAGATTCGAGATGGCTACCAGGGATGACTGGAAGCGAAAGAAATATCGAGTTCGGTGTTAATATTTCTGGCGCGCCCGTTCCGTCGCCGGACAAGATGGGGACTATGTCTATCTGCAGGAGATGCTCGTAATCTGTCCACGGGGCGTCCAATCAATTATTCCATTACGCGGAAAACACTGTACACACCAAGTTTCTTTGATTGGTCGGTGACACCCAAGATGCGGCTCAACCCAATACCTTCGATCAAACCCATCCGTTCTTCCGACACTTGGGATGCAGATGATGCAAAAAGGCTGTGTTTCTCCGTTTGAGAAGTGAACACTAGTAGATCCTCAAAGATAAAGGCGTAAAGAGTTGTCTCTCGCGCACTTCTGCTCCGAGAGGTCTTCATAGAATTCATCAGTCCTCGAGATGGCATCAGCGGTGATCGCTCTCCATACGGAGCGAAGGGTGTGTTCCCGAAAGATGATATGGATGAAGCAGACGAGGGTGGCCTACCCACTGGATCAAACTCTGCTGGTAGCGCTACTGAGGAAGTGGGAGAGTAGGATGCCGTCCACTCCGAGAGATGAGAGGCATCTGATACAGCGGAAGACGCACGAGAGATTGCCGACATGAAGCTCTGCCGAGGCGAATAGGGCGAAGGAGGCCCGAGCGAAACAGGAGTTCGATTGTGATGGGATGGGAAGAGAGGCGAGGTAACGGGGCCAAGCTTTGTCAAATCAGTGATGGTTGGTGTGGTCTCAAGCGGAGAGTGCAAGGGCGTGTTGTTCACTCGATGTTCTCCCAAACGCTGACGCTCCTTGTCGGTCAACAGTATCCGCCGAAGTAGCCCCTGTGCTATCAATCTCCTCTCTGGATGTGCCAGGTTGAATCCGGGTGGAAGCCCGGTGATCCGGTTTGCAAGGCTGATGATATACTTGTACTCTTCCTCCCGGATCTTCACCTCTTGCATTACTCTTATCGTCATGTCCATTGATTGATATAGAGAGAAGATTGGAAGATTGTCAACGTGATCTCGAGGAGTCAATTCCCAGATTTGCTGAAGATGTTATCAGAAAAGATGAAAAGAAAGAGAGAGAGAGAGAGAGAGATAACTCGCTTTAAAGAAAAGGGTGTATTTTGTGAGTCTCTGCATAGGCTTTAGAAGAAAGGCGGAGAGTCCCATATGCCCACATTCTTCATGCTCGCTTTGCTGCTTTAGGAATCGCCCGAGTGAATTCGCTTCATCCTGAACGAGGTGATCGACGGTACGGATTGCCTCTTCGAGATGGACAAGATACGCCTGGTGTACCTCAAGGCGGGCCACAAATGGACGAAACGACTCTGCGAACTGTAGCATTAAAGGATACTGAGACGATCTTATCGAGTTGAGCGTTGACGAGATTTGATTGTGAAGGTCTGATATCCTCAAGATTGCCTCGAAGGCCCTACGGACGGGTATAGGGAGTTCTTCCACCCAGTTCCCTGAGTATTGTTTGAGTGGGGTTGAAAGCGAAGTGGCTACTTACCTCTCACGCTTAAAGGCTCGATGAAGAGGCGCTGTACGATCTTGAGAGACTTAAGGAACTCGCCTTCGGTCTCGCAAAGCTCAAAGATTACGTCCTGACGCTTCATCTCTAGAGGACCATATCGCTCGTGAAGTGCCTGATAGGCAGATGATGAAATGGTGTTTCTCCATGTTTTGATACCAGTGTCTCGGAGTGGGTGTACAGTTTCTGGTGCACCGGAGATATCGTCTACTGGCGAGGTCGAAGGTTCTGCTTGTCGAGTTTGGACCACGGGCTCTTGTATACGGTGAGATCGTACTCGGGATGGATGACCTGCTCCGGCTTCATCCAAATGGAGGAGCATACGACGGGCATTCTCGCTGAGTGGTTCGTCCATGCTGTCAGTATCCGACCAGACAGTGGAGATACTACCCATACGATCAGACTTTGTTTTGTTTACTTCCTTCAATGTAGATGTGACAGAACTTTTGTCTTGATTCGCGTCGTATACCCAGGTGTTCCGCCTCGCATCATTGCGGAAGGAGTTGCGTCTAGGCTGGCTGACGACGGGATCTCCAGCGTCGCCTTCGAGGTTTTGGGCGAGAACCTGGCTGTCTGGGGCTCGTGATTTCTTTGGCTTGATAGACCCCAGATTAGGATTATTCTGTCGCAAGCCGTCCTCTCGCTTGCTGGAGTCAATCTCGGCCGTTGATGGTGATTGATGACGCGAAGGTCTCCAAGTATCTTCAGCGGTTCCTCTCACGTCATATTGGTCAAGGTGAACACAAGATTGATGCCGCTGCTCTGTTAGATTCCTCGGAATCACAGGAGAAGCCCTATTTGAGGGTGTTTTCTGCTCCATCGATGGAGTTCCCTGTGAAAATCTTGTCGATTCAATGATCTGTGGATCATGACCTGCGCCTGTCGGAAGATGGGTCAACCCCAGACCTAGACCCAGACCCGTGAGTAGTGCGTTTCTCCTCTCCATAGCGTCTGCCACCTGTTGATCCCTCAAACTCCATTCGTCGAGCGTCCCAGATGGTCCATCATCTTCGTAATTGGATGCCTCAGAGAGCTCGCCAGGCCGATCCGCATCAGACAACGGCGACGATCCGCTGGCCGTCACTGCAACATACGTCATGGAATTGTCGTTCCTAGTCCTACGTGGGGAAAAGAATTCACTCCGCTCCGCTGGACCTTCCTCAATGTGAACATTGGGCGGCGACGCAGAACGATGCAAATTCGTATGGGTACTTGGCATGTATTGGCGGAGGTAATGGACCCCAGGTTGACCCCTATCGTCGAATTGCTCATCTTCCTCCAGAGTCGGGTTTGATACTGAAACCTGTGGTGCCTGCTCGGTCCCGTGATGCTTTGACTTTCTTTCCGGTTTGCGAGTGGGTATACGGCGCAGTGAAGGCTTAACATCGTTCTGAGTAAAGTATCAGTCAAAGATTGACGACACGATAACCCCTACTCACGCCCTTGTGATAGTCCACACGCCCTGAAATGGGTGATTCCCGCTGCTCTCCCGCAATCTCGCCTATAAGTGTGCCAGAAGGAATCTCCTTATGTACGACCATCGGTGGGTCGTCTTTCGACGCCCCTTGAGTGGTCTCTGGATTCCTCCCTGTCACATGTGTGCTGTATGAACGTGGTCGACTCCTCATCGGGCGCGACGAGTTGTAGTCTGAGGCTTCGATTTTATTGTCAATGACCGCGTCTGGGTATATGGCCGTATTGGGAGAGGGTTTGAGCGCGTATTCACCTTCCCTAAACTGAGGAGATTGAAAGAGCCGATTCCATGGATCCATTGGGGACCTTTTGAATCCTGTAAGATGGTTTCCAGGGCCGTCCGTAGCTTGCCGTGATCGCCAATCGTTTGCACTACTTGGACGATCTTTTGAATCCGGATAATTTTGACTACCCTGTAGGATGGTTGGAGGAGGTTGAGGAGAGTCACTCGTCTTCGCCATTGTTTCCCCCCACTGCGACACGACTTGGCTTCTGCCAACTCGAGAATGCGACGAGTAATGTCCCTCTTTTCTCTTGGAGTCGGGCATGTTGCGTACTTTATCGTGCTCCTTGACCATTTCTTCTCGAAAGAATGTTTTTGGTGATGGTCTTTGTGCATCTTGTCGGAACTCTGCGTTTGGTGATCGAAAGTAGCTGGGACTTGCTTGCAAAGGGGAGCCCAAAAGTGCATCATGCACTTTATAATGAGTATTGGATGATTTTAAGCTACTCTTGAGGGGGACATCTGTTCTCCCTGAGGAAAGAGGACTCGTCGGTTCGACATGGGGTCGAGTTTGGGGAGCAGAAGTTGAGATGGTCGATCTTCGCTTCTTTGTGAGCTGCTTCGAAGGAACAGCGTAGTCCTCTCGCGCTTGCTGGGCATCGTTGGAAAAAGCAGGGTCGAGGACGGGTACAGAGTTCTGTGCGTGCTTTCTCCGCGCTTTCGGGGTCGTCGGCACCGAAACACTGTTGGGACTATGGTTCAAAGGTAGTGGAGAATGTAAAATGGCTCTCTGGTTGAACCACGAGCTCGGTGGTTCGGGGGGAAGCTGTTCGCGCTGTGCAGGTATGAGCAGGTCATAATAATGAACGGACATGTCAACACACAGTGCGCGAATTCCTTCGTCTAGAAGCGCTGTCCTCTTGTTCCCGGTGCGGTTGCGTCCAACCCTCTCGGGTGGCATTGTCCACGCGTCTGGAGTTTCCTTGATTCGACATGATATCCTTGTATTAACTCGAGAGGACACAACACGTATGCCACTCTGGAAATGGTGAAGCCCAGAACTCCGATGCACTGAGGCAGCGTTTGTGGTTGGAGACAAAGAAGTGTTCGATAGCTGGAACAAGATACATGCAACACAGATACAAGAAAGCAAGACACTTCTATCTGTGAAAGTCGCGGATCTGTCTTTCTACTTCCTCCGGGCTCGATTTCATGTCTACAATCGTTAGAAACTCTGTGAGACGAGGTCGCAGAAGCCTTACACTTGGCGGCACCTAATAATTAAGCTTAAGGATGCCATAAAGAAGGAACAGAACGGGGACGTACTCTTGGAGTTCAGTACGTTCTTCTCATGGAACCGCTTCAGAGCGGGTATAACAAGACGCACGACCTCCTCTTGAAGCATTTCCTTGCCTTCTTCGTCATCCATGAGTACTTTATACATGCGATGACGATCGCTTGCTTCATCAAGGGCGTCGAAGAATCTGGTAAGTTTATCCTTTACGTCGCGTCGACCACCCGTGTCTCCCAGGGCCTGGACAAGTGGAGAAAAGTTGACGTCGAAATAGGTTGCTTTAGCTGTCCTGTAGTTTGAATTTAGTGCGTCTTGTGTTGCTTTCCCAAGCAGATCGTCGATTGGTGTGCTGGGATCAAGTAGGAGCCTGGTGCGCAGAAAAGCAACATTATTGAAGTGAAAGATGGCCCCCTGGGCGGGCTTCTTGGATGCGGTCGCGAGCGAATTGAGAGAGGCGAGTAGTGTCGTGACGACGTCGTCTATCGGACATGATTAGCAAACAGGTAGAAATGGTGTGAAGACGTACAAATAAAGTGTTCAATTACAAGGCGCTCATCATCCTGGTCTGACTTTCCGAGGACTTTGCCGGCACCTTCCCCCATTTTCCACATACCATCTCCCAATGTCACGAGCGCAGTTCCAACTGCATCCATAACCTGAGGTATCTGCTGCAGGTAGTTGACGACGAGATTGGTAGTCTCATGAATACCGGTCCCAAGCTCGACGTTTGTCTTGGTCCCAGCACTGCGCACGTCCAGGAGGAATTCTGGAAAGCTGCGGAGACACACTCCCCGAAGTGCAGACAGACTATCTTTCAAGTCGTTCTCTTTCTTCCCGGTTCGACTTTGAACGTCATCCCATGCTGCCTGTGCATTCGATAGCTCCTGATAGGCAGCCAGGGCGAGGAAGACGTGTTTATTGAGGTTTGATTTGATCATATTGATGAGAAGGGTCAAGGTCGTCGTGAATAACGAGTTGACTGGCGCCAATAGCGTGGCATACGTCGATTGAATCGCTCCCGACGAAGTGATAAGAGACATATTGAGCAGGTGATCATACTCGGCCTTTGCACTATTAGTATGTTATATGAAGACTGTGGGGCCGCTTACATCGGCCACTGCAATGATCCCGTTCACCCAAAGACCAATCTCGCCGCCAGCCGCGACACCATCCAGAGTTTCTACTCTGTCAATGATGCGACGGCCACCCATGGCTTCGAGACATTTCTTCCCCCAAGCCCCGCGCATCTGTTGATGAACATAAGAAAAGCATTTGGTACGGACGTTTAGACTCACATCTCCGTAGCCTTTCTGTGTCTCCTTCAGGAGCTGATATATTGATTTTGCGGCTGGGTGAGATGGATGTGTCGAGGGTTGCGGCATCTTTCGGAGCGCATCGATGATCGGAGAGAGTGTCCTTATGATGCCCTGTGAAAAGGGAAGCGTCTTTATGGTATTACCTCCAGGAGGTGCACCAGAGGATGCTTCTGCTGTAAGCTTGATGTAGAGCTGTGTCATCTTCTTTGCGCCAGCTTCGACCAGACGCGCGGTCTCTTTGGCTGCCCGTGGATCTCCGGCGTTGAACGCAATCGACGCATTCAGACGTTCTACAGTAGCTATATAGCTGTCTACCTCGTTTGGACGCGGTCTATCGGTGTAGTCGGTACCAAAAGCTGAACACAAGAAGGGCCTTACCCTCTGAGGATCAGTGCCTCCTCGGCGGCGACTCCTTCCTGATCACTCGCTAGTCTGTCAATGCTCTGAAGTGTAGCCTCAATATCTGTTTGGCGGCAGATGTAAGTAACATCTCAAGCTCGCAAGCAGGGATTGTCGCTCACTTTCCGCAAGTTTGGTAAGAGACTGCGTCGACTTGTGAAGTGGAAGGATAGACTTCTCCAGTCGTATCAGTCTGGTGTCGAAATTTGTGAGGATCGAGGTCATTCGCTGGGAGATGTTGCTCGTCTTGATTAGATGCTGCTCCAGCAGCTCAATATCAGCAGCCTCATCTTCCATCATTCTGCATATCCGGCTTTAGGGGCTTCCTAGAAAAAGTATGCGCGGAAGTCGCCAAAGGTGGTGGCCAAAGTTGGTAACCAACTCAAGCTGAACCACATCCCAGTTTTTTTTTGTTGGGGTCACTTGAAACCGACCAGGGTGACTCAAGACAGTCTCTGTACTGAGTACAGCCTCTTTAATTCCTGGGTCATCTGTCCTCTCCTCCAGCTCGTCGACATGAATCAACAAAGGGCACCGCTTCCGCCACTCCCGACAAATCCTATGCTTCCTCCCAAACCAGAGTTTGCCTCTTTCTCGTTTACCGGAGCCATAGCAAGAAAAACAAGACCTTCAAAGCTTCTTTCTCGAATAGAGCAGGCGGGCTTACAGATCGCCTCCGCCTCTGTCCTCAACTCGGCAAGTCCCACCAGCCAACCTAGCGGAGTAAACAGGTCTCTTGACTTCTCGGTTCAAACCTCTACGGAGTTCCCCTCATTCGCACCCTCGTTCGGGCCAGATGCTCCTACAGCACCCTTTGACGAAGCAATGGAGGTTCTCGCACCCGCCCCAGACAGGGAAGAAATCCAATCCGTTTCACTCCCAGACACATCCGGAGAGGTAGCCGAAGGTCACTTGCTCGACCACTGGTCCCGAAACACAACTCTCCTCCGCTGCGACGACATTGAGCTCCATGCGAAGCAAGTCACCGACGAGTGGGCGCAGGTAGTTCGTGCTCCTCTGCAAGCTTCTCCCGTCCCAGGTCCCACTCTGTCCTTTTCCTCGCCCTTGGAACAGGATTCAGGCAACCCGCTTGTGCCGACAAAATCAGCATTCCCTCTATCTTCTTGCTTCTCCGATACCTTTCAGCCGACCCAGGGTCTCACAAATCATACTGCATACCCCCAACTCGAGACATCGGCGTCTTCAAGAGTTGAAGGTCGTGAAGATAATCCTCTGCCCCACGAAGGCCCTCGCATGCCGGAGACTATGGAAGCGCAACCTTCTCTGCCTACCCCGACCAGCCAGGTGGCCGAAGGATGTGGCAAACCACAAACAGATGGTCTGATCGACAAGGATGTAAAACTTCGTCCAGCCGATAAGGGTGCCTCCAATCGACCCACCGATTCAGCACTGAATGGACGACCAAGGCTTTCTTTGAACATTGAAAAGGGCAAGCACAACATCCATCGTGACCCGAATCATGAGCCATCTCCGCCTTCTGCATCCAGCACTACTGCACCAGGTACTTGTGCCATCAACAGAAGCCCTCGTTTTTCTCCATCTACTCTTGCCTATCCTCGAGCGCAGTCTTCATACGGACATCAGCTCCGTAGAAGATCGGCATCACCACCTCCGCGCAATTCGAGGTCATTTGCATTCTCGCCCTCACGGTCGCACGCCCGTCAGCGATCTTCGAGCCCGCCTCCCCGCGGTACTTACCGGACTCAGTATATGCTGCAAAGTCCACGATCTCGCAGAATCAGAGACTCTCCACCTCATTTATATCGTAATTTACCATCATCCACAACTTCTCGACATTTACCTCCACGCCCTCGACGTTCTTCCCCTCCATCGAATCGCCTCGTTGACTACTTTTATGAACCATACCGGTCTTTTCCACCGTCCAGGGATAATGGACATGGCCCCTCACGCTTTCCTGAGGCCCCATTGCCACGTGCTCACTATGAACGCCCGAGATCACCAGTCAGAAGCCCAATAAAGGAGCGCTTTCAACCTTCCATACATCGCTCAGAGCAGAAGCTTGGAGACTTTGAACCAAAACGCGAAGACACTCGTTCTACCAGATATAGTCCGCTGCATAATGTCGGCACTGGATCGTATACTCGACCAGAAAACCCGAAGCAAGGCATATCCTACAAGCGATCCAGAGAGGACACAGGTCCTGCACCACAGAATGACCATGCTGAGCCGGTTCCCAAGCGTCAGAGAACGGTGCAAACTATTCAAAGCGAGTCAATCCCAGCCCTTACCAGTAGTCGAGATTCACATATAGTAGGTTTCTCTCTTCGCTTCGAGTGCAGTGGCTGATGTGTAGCCAAACCAGTCCACAAATAAGTCACAATCTCAGTCGCGGTCCACCTCTCCCCAAGGTCCCGCCTTTGAAAAAAAGGGAAAGCTCTGGAACATGTTAGCTGGCGGCTCGAACAGCCCCACTGAATCAGTTGATTGTTCCACCCTAACCGGGGTTGGTCCGTCTGCTCCTCAGCATGTTTGGCCTATGGAAAGCGTGCCTTTGCAAGAAAGAATGAAACCCACTATTCAACAGCCAATGGGCCAAATTCCAAAGGCTGGTCTCGCCGAACGTCTTGGTGGTGTGCAAAACACTGAAGTCAGTGTACAGCACACGACTCGTACTTCTCCAAACTCCGCGTCTCTCGTAAACCGCATCAATCGAGACGAGCCCTCTGCCAAACCAACCCCGTCCACTCAAAGACGCGCAAATACCAAGCAGGAGACACTCGCTCAAAGGATGAGCCTGGAGCAACCAAATAGTTCTTCTACTCTTATTTCGCGCCTGAGCTAAACTGAGAGTTTCACGAAGAGCTGTTTATCACCATTTCTTGATCTTTTTCTTGGGACCATTCTGGTGGTCTATTAATCTTCAGAGTAAGTTTTTCTTTCCTCACATTCTTGATCGTTCTAGATGTATCATAGCATCGCAATGTTTAGCCTGTTTTTCCCAATGTGCCTCATGATCATCGAAGGTCGTATATTGGTATGAACGGCAACAACGATGGTGTTGCGGAATAGTATATCACAAGCGTTGTGACGAAGAGACTCATCCGACGACCTTGACGCAGAACGCGCTTCAGGCTCCGCACTCGATGGTGGGAGAGATCTCTTCATTTCAACACATAGGGAAAAGCAAGTAGCGAAAATGATACGTAGTCCAAGACAAAATCAGTAGTACGATTCATCTCCCCATGATTCTGTGATGAATGGTAAGCAATTTGGGGCGCAACGCATGTCTGGGTCCACTTACCCTCCGTTACGCTGCTCCAGGTGACGACTAGGAAGACCACTGCAACGGTCTCGAGGAGGGTGGCGATGAAAGAGCCATCCACCTTCTGATTTGAGACTTTGCATAGTGGTGAATTGGCGAGCATGTAGATAACTTGAGAGGCAGCCATGATGACGATGGCGATGGTCAAGTAGCCTATTTTGGGGGGTCAAAATCGGACAGAATACGAGGCGAGTTGGACTTGCCAAGTGGCTTCTTCTCGCGAAGGACAACTGTGATGACATAGGCCATCAAGATGTAGTAAAATATAATTGTTCTGCGAAGACAGATGAGACATGCAGGTCCGTGTCTTCGTCCAAACGATACTTACGCGCCAGGCCAGACAGAGGTAAGGACGAAGAGTGCAATGTTCTTAAGGTCTGAAGGAGGGTCTGATTGGAAGGCGCTTGTGAAAGAAAAACCGGTATCGAGACTGATATAAAGCGTTCCGACGAATATTAGGAAACCGAGTCCGAAGAAGGGCTGTTTGAGCGCTGTCAGTTGGATGTCGGCCCCTCGGAGAAGAACCACACTCACGATCAGAGATGCCATGGTTCCATCTTCCACGACCTAAGACGCGAAAATCTCAGTCACCTGGCAACGCATGCGGAGCACAAGAGTGCTTACTTGTGTGGCGACAATGCCGTTGAACAAAAGGAACCAGAAGAGGGCAGCCACCAGAGCGGCGTGGATAGCTGTGAGGACGACGAGGGGTGTTGAACCTTGTTGGAGTACCGAGCCATTTGTGACAATTTGTAGTGCCAAAGTTAGGAGATATGCACTGAGCAACGACCGGAGTTCGACGCGGCCTATTCAAAAGCGTTATGGGCCGTTCACACAGGCGGCGGCGAGCAGCAGAGGCGAGACGTACCAACAGCAGCCCGTCTACGGCTGACTTGCAATATCAGAATGGCCGTGATGATTATCGAGACACCGCAAACGACCATGTTGGCTGATCAGAGTGGAGCGTTTCAAATAACCCAGAAAAGAGAGAATAAACCGTCAGCACCATATCAACACCGATTTATCGAGAAAAGATAGAAGAGACTTCATACCGATATTTCCTAGACGGCCATCGCCCGCCTTTGGAATCCCGCAGTCGACGTTGATACCGACTGGCGCCGTTACTGGGTCTGGCAGCGTGACACCTCCATTTTCCTGGAGCTATAAACATAGATAAATGCATCAGCATTTATCCAAGCAACGGCAGGTCCTCTCGATGGTCCAGACGAGCACGAGTGGACTGACCTGACGAAAGAACAAGTTGCACCAGGGATAGGACGGGACGCTTTCGCAAAGATACACAAAAGAACCGAATCCACTTCCGTATTTTGAGGTCGACGTTGTGTTTGACATGGCTCGTGAACTGAGCGCAAAGTCGTGGTCAGAGTCAAAGAACGCAGACGGCCGGGCCCATATGGAGGGCTCGGCTCGACGGAGTTACAGGCAGAAGATACGCAGACGTATATATTCAACTAATTTTTGTACACTTGGTCCATAGGATCCCTCCAGTTTTCGTTGGCATACCCTGCCGGAGATTCCAAGCCATGCAGCACCCGGCTATACGAAGAAGACCTGGTCTTCCCACTTGCCTGTGCACACCTTGTTAGTCTACCGAGTCTACAGAGAAAACTCAATTCACATACTCTCGGTGATAGTCCTCCATCCTATAAACAAGAGGCCCATTGCAGTCGTTTCAAGGAGGGTCGCGATGAAGGCGCTGTCGATAAACCGATTTGTTCCCTAGAGATCCGTGAGATGAACTGGCACGAGGACAACAGGTGAAGGGTACCTGACAAATGGCCGTCCCGAGAAAGAGATACGCGAGCTGCGCTCCAATAAAGACAACCAAAGCACCCAGGTAGTACACTGTTCATCGATCAGTTTCTGCTTCATATGTTGAACCAAGAGGGCGTACTCAGCGGTCGTTTCTCGCCAAGGATGTTCACGACGATGTAGGACATAATCCCGGCATAGAGAAGGACCGAGACGGCAGGCCAAATGACCAGGAGGATAAAGAGCGCTATATTGCGCAGATCCCTCGGAGGTGTCGACTTGAAAAGGTTCGTATAGCTAAACGCAGTGTCTGCCGATATATATGCGGTGGTGGCGAAGAATATCCCTGTTAGCCTGTCAGTGACCAGCTCATGCGTCCTATTGGCCATGAAGTGCACCTGCGAATCCATAGAATGGCTAGAGATCCCTTTGGTCAAAGATCACGCGGCGTGAGAATCAGAATACTCACAATCAATGAGCTGGGCGTCCCGTCCTCCACATACTACAAAGGCCGTGCGTCGATATGGAGCCTCGGCGCGGAGCGATGATCAACATACCTGAGTAGCGACGAACGCATTGGCTAGGAGACACCAAAAGAACGCGGCCACAGCACCCGCGTGCAGACATGTGAGAATCAACAGCGGGAGGCTACCTTGTTCGAAAATGCTTCCGGCCGTGACAGTTTGTAAGAGCATTAAAACCGCATATAGAACAAACATCGCCCGTATCTCTATGCGCCCTGTTATCGAGGGGGCGTTACCAAGGCACTAGTGTCGGTTGGTAGCGGCACTCACCAACGGCAGCACGCCTCCGACTTACTCTCTGGGAAAGGTAGACGATGAAGATGAAGGATATGGCACAGAAGATAATGTCGGCGACGTTGCCAAATCGGCCATTTCCCGCGAGAGGGATACCGCAGCGAGGAAGTATTCCCACAGGAGCTCGAGTTACAACAGGAAGTGTAAAGTTTGCTTTGGAAAGCTGTCAAAGTGTAAGAATAACTCGAATGGGTCGTACCTGCCCTACCTGTCTCCAAAATAGATTACAGAAAGGATAAGAGCCTGTATTTCTGCACAAATAGACGAAAGAGCCGAAACCAGCTTCCTGAAAGGAAGCAAATGTAGTGTTGCTGGCCATTTCCGCGAAGAATTGGCCAAGTTGGAAGAAATCGCCCGCGAGAAAGCTGGAGAAAGGAGCGTCGAAGGAAATAAAATCAAATGAAGGACAAAACAGCTCGTAAAAGGAGAGCTGTGGCCTGCAGCCTGCGCTCAGCGCCAAGGGTCGAAGAGGCAAGAACCAAGATGACAGCTATGGCGACGGCGGGCTAATACCCAATTAGCCGGGAGCTTAGTTTCTGATCTGAATACATGAGATTTACATATGACGCAGATTGTCTGCTTTGCCTTGCAGATCCGAATATCAACCACGATTCGACAGTTGATGAGATATGGCCTGCACACTTACTTGGTCTGTTAGATTTATCAGCTGTACAGGGCCACAGTCCACTGTGTGTATCACCACCTGCCAACATCTGATATGGCCTGGGGTCTAGAGCTTGGAGATGATTTCGACAGGCTATTATCGTCTAATGTGTCTAGAATAATTCGAAATAATTCGATGGCTTTGTTCCCATCCTTCTGAGCTCCTCTGGACTGTTCTGGCTCTGCGCGGTCCCGCTCGGCTATGGTTTTCTTCCTTCGGCTCTACTTCCGCCACTCCAGATCATGAACGGCACCAGCAGCAGCTTGAAGGCAATACCAGCAGCATTCGACGGTGCTATAGACGCCGTTCTCGAACTCAGCGATGGCTCCTTGTTCCCTGGGACCAGTTTTGGAGCAGCAGGCAAGAGCGTCGCAGGCGAATGCGTTTTTCAAACTGGTCCGTACGCGCCATCTCTTTAAAATCCGCAGATTTCCTGACTTTTTCTTCAAAAAGGCATGGTTGGCTATACAGAGGCCCTGACCGATCCCTCCTACGAGGGCCAGATCCTTGTCCTCACGTATCCTCTCATTGGCAACTACGGCGTACCAGAGCGTGTGAAAGCAGAGCTAGACAAGATTCCAGACGATTTCGAGTCGTCTCGAATTCATGTCGCTGCGCTCATTGTCGGTTATCACTCTGAAGAGTTTAGCCACTTTCTGGCAGCGTCATCTCTCGGCGCGTGGCTCAAGGAGAATAATGTACCAGCGATCCAAGGAGTAGACACTAGGGCTCTTACCAAGCGTATTCGCGAGAAGGGTTCCCTGCCCGGGAGACTATTGGCCAAACGAACCAGCGGTTCTCTTGTCGAACCCATCGGACCTCCACAGACCCCCTTGACACAACGTAACCCTTTCTCCGGCTATGCAGACTCTTGGCAAGAAGAATTTGATGTCGTTCCCTTCCATGATCCAAACCAGGACAACCTCGTCGCCATCGTGTCTACCAAGCAGACCCGTCTCTTCAAGCCGAGCTCCGACTCAATTCGCATGCATCCGACCGAGAAGCGTCCTCTGCGCGTACTCGCCATCGACGTCGGCATGAAGTTCAACCAAATCCGCTGCTTCACCAAGCGTGGTGTAGAGTTGAAGGTGGTCCCTTGGGACTACGATTTTTTGGCTTCTTCAGAGGTCTATGATGGTCTCTTCATCTCAAACGGCCCAGGTAACCCAACCATGGTCACAATTACCATCGAACGGCTGCGCAAGGCACTCGAACGGGATACACCCATCTTCGGCATCTGTTTGGGTCACCAGCTGCTCGCACTAGCCGCTGGTGCAACCACCTCGAAAATGAAGTACGGAAACCGTGGACATAATATTCCGTGCACAGAGTCGTTCAACGGACGCTGTTATATCACGAGTCAAAACCACGGTTATCAAGTCGAGGTGCAGAGCCTGCCATCCAACTGGAAGGAGCTCTTTAAGAACGCCAACGATGGTAGCAACGAGGGTATTTACTGTCTCGATAAGCCATTCTTCTCGGTCCAGTTCCACCCCGAGTCGACTCCAGGACCTCGCGACACAGAGTTTCTCTTCGACGTCTTCCTGAAGAATGTCGAGGATACCATCCGTACCAATGATCCACTGCCCATTTCCCTTGCTAATCGCAAATACACTCCCGGTTCGACCCGCGTCAATGTCTCCAAGGTCTTAGTTCTCGGCTCCGGTGGTCTCTCCATCGGTCAAGCCGGAGAATTCGATTATTCTGGTTCTCAAGCTCTCAAGGCACTCAAGGAGGAGGGAATATACACCATTCTCGTGAACCCCAATATCGCCACCATCGCCACTTCCAAAGGATTGGCCGACAAAGTGTACTTCCTCCCCGTCACCCCCGAGTTCGTTCGCAAGATTATCAAGTACGAAAAGCCAGACGGTATCTACGTCACATTCGGTGGTCAAACCGCCTTGAACGTTGGCATCAAACTCCGCGATGAGTTTGAGGAACTTGGAGTCAAAGTACTTGGCACTCCGATTGCCACTTTGATCGAGACCGAGGACAGACAACGCTTCGCGGATGCCATGCTCCAGATTGGCGAGAAGTGTGCTGAATCTGCGACTGCTACCACGCCAGACGACGCGGTTATTGCCGCGAATAAGATTGGCTTCCCAGTTATTGTACGTGCAGCATATGCTCTCGGTGGACTTGGTTCTGGGTTTGCTCAGAATGAAGCCGAACTCCGCGAGCTTTGTGGCAAGGCATTCGCCACCAGTCCTCAAGTTCTCGTCGAGCGGAGTATGAAAGGGTGGAAGGAGATTGAGTACGAGGTTGTGCGCGACTGCAGGGATAACTGCATTGTCGTGTGTAACATGGAGGTGAGTCCTTTGTGAATGTCTCGGATTTTACTCACTTTGACAGAACTTTGACCCCCTGGGCATTCACACAGGCGACTCTATCGTTGTTGCTCCTTCGCAGACACTTTCGGACACGGATTTCAATATGCTTAGGACGACAGCAATCAACGTGATCCGCCATCTCGGCGTTGTTGGAGAATGCAATATTCAATACGCTTTGAATCCCAATTCCAGGGAATACTGCATCATTGAGGTTTGGGCTCGCTTCTATCTGTTGTTAATCTCTAAAAGCATCCAAATAGGTCAACGCTCGTCTGTCAAGGTCGTCGGCTCTTGCATCCAAAGCCACCGGATATCCTCTAGCCTTCATCGCGGCTAAACTCGGTCTTGGTATCCCTCTCAACGAGATCAAGAACTCTGTTACTAAAGTCACAAGCGCGTGCTTCGAGCCATCCCTCGACTATGTGGTTGTCAAGATTCCTCGATGGGATCTCAAGAAGTTCACTCGTGTCAGCAAGGTCTTGAGCAGCAGTATGAAGAGTGTTGGAGAGGTGATGAGCATAGGGCGAACCTTTGAAGAAACGATTCAGAAGGCCATTCGGGCAATCGATGATCAATTCTTAGGATTCGGCCAGGTGAACACCTTTTAACTTCTCTGCTTCTTGGCTTACAGAGTTTCAGAACGATATCTGTGTCGACAATCTCGAAGAAGAGCTTTTCAAGCCCACCGATAAGCGGATCTTCGCTATCGCCAACGCATTCCACAAAGGTTATACTGTCGAAAGCATTTGGGAGAAGACAAGGATCGACAAATGGTTCCTTACACGGCTATTCTATCTCTACCAGACGGAAGTTGAGCTGTCGTGAGTATTCATGATTGTTTGATACTTGATTTTGATCACGTATGCACAGTAAACTATCTGTCTCGACTATTACCCCAACTATACTCCAGCGCGCAAAGCGTATGGGCTTCTCCGACAAGCAACTAGCGAGCTGTATGGGCTCTACGGAACTTGCTGTTCGAAAGATGAGGCAGGAGAACAGCATCGCTCCATTCATCAAACAGATCGACACGGTTGCGGCAGAGTTTCCTGCCGCAACCAATTACCTCTACACCACCTACAACGCGATGGAGCATGATGTCTCATTCAACGATCAAGGTGTCATCGTCTTGGGATCTGGAGTATACCGCATTGGTTCCTCCGTCGAGTTTGATTGGTGTGCCGTTGGTGCCATTCGGACGCTGCGAGAGCAAGGCCTAAAGACGGTGATGGTGAACTACAATCCTGAGACAGTCAGTACCGACTACGACGAAGCCGATCGTCTCTACTTCGAGAACATCAGTCTCGAGACTGTTCTTGATATCTACGATACCGAGAAGGCGGCTGGAGTCATTATCTCCATGGGTGGGCAGAGTCCGAACAACATTGCTCTCTCACTTCATCGCCAAAACGTCAAGATTTTCGGCACGTCACCAGAAATGATCGATACAGCGGAGAATAGGTTCAAGTTCTCCCGTCTACTGGACCGCATCCACGTTGATCAGCCCCAATGGAAGGAGCTCAATAGTTTTGACGAGGCACGGGCCTTTTGCGAGACTGTTGGGTATCCCGTATTGGTTCGACCCTCCTATGTGCTCTCTGGTGCCGCCATGAACGTGGTTTCTTCGGCGGATGATCTCCACAACTATCTGACCCAAGCGACTGCAGTTTCCCGTGATCATCCTGTGGTTATCACCAAGTACATCGAGGAGGCCAAAGAAATTGAAGTCGATGCAGTAGCCAAGGACGGAAAATTGGTGATGCATTACATCTCAGAGCACATCGAGAATGCTGGTGTTCACTCTGGCGATGCGACGCTCGTCCTTCCACCTCAAGATCTTGATCCGGAGACTGTTAGACGCATTGAAGATGCAACTGCAAAGATCGGCGAGGCATTAAACGTCACTGGTCCCTACAACATCCAATTCCTTGCGAAGAACAACCAGATCAAGGTTATCGAATGCAACCTTCGTGCCGCTCGCTCTTTCCCTTTCGTATCAAAGGTCACTGGCGTCGACGCGATTGAGATGGCTACCAAGGTCATGCTCGGTATCCCAGTAGAACCATATCCATTAGTAGACCTCCCATCAGACTACGTTGGCGTCAAGGTGCCGCAGTTCTCCTTTAGTCGTCTCTCGGGTGCAGATCCTATCCTCGGTGTTGAGATGGCCTCGACGGGAGAGGTCGCCTGCTTCGGAAGAGACAAGTACGAGGCGTATATCAAGGCACTTCTGTCCACCGGTATCGTTCTGCCCAAGAAGAATATTCTATTCTCCATCGGCAGCTTCAAAGAGAAGCTGGAGATGCTTCCTTCGGCACAGAAACTAGCTGCTGCGGGCTTTACCCTGTTCGGAACGTCTGGCACCGCTGATTTCTTCAACGAACATAACGTTCCCTGCAAGGTGAGGTAATTTCAAACTGCATTAATCCGAATCTAACTTGATTCAGTACCTGGAGGCACTTCCAGACGACTATTCGGAGCAAAAATCCGAATTCTCCCTCACCCAGCACCTGGCCAGTAATGTCATCGAGCTCTACATCAACCTTCCGTCCAAGAACAGGTACCGAAGGCCAGCAAGCTATAGCTCGAAAGGCTATCGCACTCGCCGAATGGCCATCGACTTTGATATCCCCCTCATCACTAATGTCAAATGTGCCAAGATTCTCGCGGAAGCATTGGTTCGCAAGATGCCCTTGAACGTGTCCGCAGTGGACAGCAAGACTTCCCACACGACACACGTTCTTCCTGGTCTTATCAATATATGCGCATTCACTCCGAACATCGCTGTTCCCAACTCCGCCGATGTCTCGGAGGTCTCCAAAGCTTCAGTTTGCGGTGGATTTACCACAGCCCTGTTGAGCCCGATCGGCCTGCATGGTAGCATTATCGACGATGCATCGTTGACCACTGCTCAGAAGAACGCCGCTGGGTCATCCCACTGCAACTATTCCCTTTCGGTCGCTGCAACGGGCGCCAATATCAAGGAGATCACAGATGAGGTGGCTGGGGAGGTGAAAGCGCTCTACCTTCCTTTCAATCCCATTCTTCAGGCATCCCCTGTGACTGCGCTGGCAGAGCAAATTGCTCGTTGGCCTGCGGATAAACCCATCATCACGGATGCCAAGTCACCGAATCTTGCATCCATCCTTTTGTTGGCGAGCCTTCACCAACGGAAGCTTCATGTCACCGACGTTAGCACCAAAGCCGATATAGAACTCATCAAACTCAGCAAAGGGCGTAACTTGGGGGTTACGTGTGACGTTGGCGTCTATACGCTCTTCTTCGATCAAATTTCATTTGCCAACGTTGCATCTCTCCCCACTAAAGAGGATCAAGATGCTCTGTGGGAGTCACTAGATATTATCGACGCATTCTCTGTCGGACTGGTACCGTATCAGCTGGCCCTCGAGCTTGGACAAGATGTCTCTCCACGCTCTGGCGTTGAAGAAGCGCTACCCTTGCTCCTTGGAGCCGTCCAAGAGAAGCGTCTCACATTCGAGGACATCAAACTGCGCTTACATGATAACCCGGTCAAGATCTTTGGCATTCTGGAGCAACCTCAGACTCAGGTCGAAGTGGTGTTGAATCGGGCCTCGCCATTCCGACAAAAGTCCAAGTGCTGGTCACCACTTCAAGGGAAGAACGTCGTGGGAAATGTCAACAGAGTGCTTATCCAAGGACAAACTGTCTTCCTCGACGGCGCTGCCTTTACGTCTGCTATTGGTCGGGACCTCTCATCTGCAGCCTTTACAATTGGTAGGCAGGCAGACAGAGCATCGCGAGGCTCCTTTGCGTTTGCTAGGCCGTCAGCTTCCGAGTTGGCACAAGCTCCCGCACTCACGGCTACAACTCCTGCGACCCGCGCAGTTGCAGAGACGGTGACAAATGTTGGTTCGCCGCCGACGAACAGACAAATACCAGCCCCTGCAATCACTAGTGTAGCTCTGGCCTCACTTACTCGACCACATCCAGCTTTCCATCGCCGACATATCCTCTCCGTCAAGCAATTCAAGCACCAGGATATCCATGATCTCTTCGATCTCGCCCACGAGATGCGATTGCAAGTTGAGCGGAATGGCTCTATTGACCTGCTCAAAGGCCGAGTCCTTTGCACCCTCTTCTACGAGCCATCAACCCGGACGAGTACGTCCTTCGAAGCGGCTATGAAGCGGCTGGGAGGAGAAGTAGTGCAAGTGACGGCAAACACGTCTTCGGTCATGAAAGGAGAGACTATTGCAGACACGATCCGAACCCTCGCTTGCTACGCGGATGGAATCGTGATCCGCCACCCGGCTGTCGGGAGTGCGCAGACTGCTGCAAACTTCTCGCCGGTTCCGATCCTCAACGCTGGGGATGGCATCGGAGAGCATCCGACGCAGGCTCTTCTCGACATTTACACCATCCGGTCCGAACTTGGCACAGTCAATGGTCGTACGATCACGCTACTTGGGGACCTGAAGAATGGCAGAACGGTGCATAGTCTCGTGACGCTGCTCATGTTCTATTCGGTTCGCCTCAACTTTGTCTCTCCACCTTCGTTGGCGATGCCAGACTCGATCGTGAACGCTGTGCGCAGGGCGGGCATTCCTTTCACCATCTGCGAGTCTCTGGACGACGTGCTGGAACACACGGATGTGCTTTACGTCACCCGCGTGCAAAAGGAGCGATTCGAGAGCGAAGAGGCGTGGCAGGCGGTCGCGTCGAGCTACGTGGTGAATCACGCGGTGCTCGCCAGAGCGAAACCGGATATGATCGTGATGCATCCACTTCCTCGTGTCAACGGTTCGTTTCACTCCCTTTTTCTGTCGTGTCATTCACTCATTGACTTTCCCTTTGCAGAAATTGACCCAGAAGTCGACTTTGACGCTCGACGTGCGGTGTACTTCCGCCAGATGCGTTACGGTCTCTTTGTGAGTAAATGCAGCTCTAGCCTGTTCACGCAGCTGATCAAGGTCAGGTTCGAATGGCACTCCTCGCCAGTGTCCTTGGATAGGCTCGGGTGGAAGCGAACTCAAAAGGCGACGACGGTCTCCATTATAAGAAAGAATTTGTCTAGTACATAGTGAATGGCATAGATTATCTGTGATTGGCCGTGTGTTCTTCCATTGTGCAAGAGTTCAGAGTTTAGCAGCTGCATCCCGAAGATGCGTTATCCTGAGCATTGGCGCTGAGATCTATGCTCCCTGGCATGGATTGCTGTGGCTTTGCCGTCGCCGTCGAGGTGATTCGGGGAGCGGCAGGAGCCCACAGTTCTGGAGTATCCAAAATCTTGCACGTGATCAGTCATCCATTCGCAGGTAAGAGTGACAGCATACCTTTTCGACGAGCTCTTGGAATGCCTCTCGCACACCTACGTTGGTCTTTGCGCTAGCCTCGAGGAAGAGGCAGCCGTTTCGCTGTGCAAACTTCCGACCCTCATCTTCTGACACAGCTCGACTGAATTCCTGTCAGGGAGATTAATTGGGCATGGCCTGATGCCGTGAGTGGGCTCGCTGCAGACCTTGTCCAGTTTGTTGCCAACGAGCATCTTGACGACAGATGGGGTCACATACGTGTCTAGTTCAGTGAACCTGGATCACCGTCAAAACCGGTCGTCGTGGGGGCAACTACAGGGCACAAACCAACGAGGGAGGGCATCAAAGGTTTCCCTGTTGCTAATGTCATACGCGACAATGATTCCTAAACGAATTAGCATAGCTCTATTGTTCTCCTTGTTGATCTACCTTGTGCTCCTCGATAGTACCTGTAATCACGAGGATTTAGCCATTCTCGGCAGGAATTCTGGGCCAACGTACGAAGAAGTGATGGTACGGAACCTCTCCTGACCAGCAGTATCCTTGTTCCGTAAATGAGTAATCGGACCCGCATGAATCGGCGAGGCATACCCAAATCGAGAGCTTTACGCGTCTGCCGCCAATCTGCAGCAGCGTTAGTGACTGAACCTAACAGAACGTTGCACATACCTCCATCTTGCATACTCGAAAGTCGACTCCAACTGCCGGCTGCCATGTTAGGCTCGAGGTGGAGTGTTAACAAGAAAGGAACTGACTCGTCGCGCTGGATTCATCCTGTCCAAACCACAATATCAGCAAATCTGATCAAATTGGATGCAAATATACGACCTCTGGGAGGAACTGCGCGTCCGTGAAGCGCATGAGCAGAGACGACTTGCCGACACTTGGGCGTGGTGAGCGCGTGCGTCTTAGCGTACTGTACTAATAGCACAAACGAGCTGTTTCCGATGAGCAAGAGCTTCAAATTTGGCGGTGCCTCTGATCCTGCCATTTGCAATGTCAAGGCCACGAATGACGCGCGGTTCAAGAGTTGGGGCGCGTGCGAGCTCTTTATCCAAGCTCCGAGACAAGGTCAAATCAATTCAAGGCAACGTCAATTTGGTACATTTACATCATTATTCATCGTTAAAGGTCGTTAAATGGCTTCCGGAGCTACGCTTTGAGGTCTCCATGCGGATCTCTAAACAGGCGTGAGTCTGTGGCACGGTGAGCATTCCAGAGAACAAACCTTCTACAGCAGCAACAAATGGCCGCTAGAATGTCGCAGCATCCCACAAAGATTCCAGTAATACCTAACAAGACGAACTCAGCGAAACGAACAGCGAGCCTACGCGATTTAAAGCTTACAAGCGATAATACCTGCATGTAATGGTAAAGATTGAGCAGAATACATCCACAGACGCGTCTCACCTTCGCAGCAACCCGCGATACATTCCACAATCGTCATTATCGTCTCGCCAATACACTCAAAAATGGCTGCTAGACAAGAACAAATGCAGCTTTGATCCGAATTATTACAATGTGTGCACTCGTATAGGTCAAGAGCGGCTCACCCCATGGCGACGAGCGGGTCAAGGTAGGTGGCTCAAACAGGAAAGGCTCAGATATCGACTACAGCAGTGAATATTTCGAAACAGGCTGCATTAACAACAAGGAGGTTGCTAGTGGAGGAGACCCAGTACAACAGGTGTGTTCGTGTCGGCACAAGACATAAGGCATAGGAAACATAGGAAACATTTGTAGGGCCGACGTGGAGCGGATGCCGATTGTAATGGACAGAGTTGATCGGATAGCTGATGATGCAGATGATCAGAATATGCTGAAATTGATCTGGAGTGGGGATTCTGGAAGCCAGGGGGGGGGGGGTAAACAATTAGCGTCGTGGGGGGAGAAGCTGGTTGTTGCACGCCTCGTGATTGAGGGGGGTTTTCGTAACGCGTTCCTCAAACGAAAGCTGCGCCAAAACTTGATTCGTATCTTTCTACTTTTATACGGGGAAAACTGCAGGGTTGCGGTTCAATGCCTTGAGGTGCAGGTGACGCCGTGTCAAATGTTCTTTGGGAGAGAGGGGGGAGCCACAGAAACAATAATGATTAATCGCCAAGAAGGGTGCGTCTGTCATCCTGGGAGGGGATCATGACATGTCAAACTCCATCTCCATGTCTTCGTCACCCTCAAAATCTTCTTCCGTCGGCGCGTGGGAAGACCCAGGAGTACTTTTGGTGCCAGCTGCAGAGCCGGGTCGCGACGTCAGCGGAGTCGATGTGGGAGAGTCCCCACTACCCTTCGAATTCGAGCGAACGAGATTGCTGGTGCCGCCGACGGCCCACGCCGGTGGAGCAGGGTGCGTGTTGGAAGCAAGCATTGCGAGACCGACTGCGCCATGGGCGCCAGAGTGCTGATAGTGGTAGCCTGCGAATCAATCCGTCAGCACGGACTGCTACTTTTCAGAGAACTAGAAAAACACGTACGGAGACCGTTCATATTCTTGTATCGACGGCCACATCCTCCGCCCTTGCCACCCGCGGCAGCGCCGACGGCGCATACAAATGGGCGTAGCCGTTCGTCCGCCTCCTTATCGGTCAAGTTCTCGAGGACAGGGTCGGGTGGCAGGAACGAACATTGACCGTGGGTCAGATGGTACTTGAGTCCATTTGCTTGCTTGTATGACTTTGTGCAATTCGGGGTAGGGCAGCGGAATGGCTTGCCTCCTGGCAGAGGTGGCCGCGGATCGCTCGCGGCATTGGGCACGATGGGGCCAGTAATGACGCGCCGAGCGCCGTTTAGGGGTTTAGTATTGGTCGCTGGCGTAGCCGGAGGCGATGATTGGGGTGTTTCCTCAGGAGTGCGAGTGAGCAGTGCAGGCTGAATGCCAGGACCATTCGTATGTATCCCAGTCGAGTGCGAGCGCTGCATCGAGGCAGTCGTATTGAAGAATGCAGCCGGGCCAAGGTCGGATGAACGGCGATACGGTAGAAATACGGATGTCGTATCAAAAGCACTAGCGGGAGGGTGTGCTAGGGGTGTCGGAGGGGGCGAATTCGACGATGCAGGAGACGGTGCATCTTCCTCCATGTCCATATCGTCGGGATCCATGCCCGCGGGAGCAGGACCTAGACCACCCACAGGCACTGTCATGTTGCCGCCAGGAACAGTGACAGGAAAGGGATATTCGGATGGAACAACGCGAACATGATTGTCCTCGAAATGTTCTACGAGCGCATGGAGGTCCCCCAAGTTGATGCCGCAGCATATGAAATCGCGACAGAATTCCTTTTCACGTGTAGTCGGAGTGAGATATTCTCCAAACGAGCCAGCAGTCTTGGATTGCGAGGCGCTGAGTGCCCTCATTAATCGGGATGATTCAGACTCCACAGAGCCAGTCATCGAGGAAGATAGTTTGAAATCAGCATTACTAGAGGGGCAAAAGGCGCCAATAGTCAGCAATCATTGCACCAAGATCAAAGAGTCAGAGCGCCAGTGCGTGCATCTCGCATCGGGACCGTGAATGGCTTAAGCCAAAGTCACCCGAGCCCGGGTCGCAGGGGGCGGGGGGAAAGATTGAGCGCACTGATGGATCCAGAGATTTCGATGTAGATTATCAAGGATGTATCAGCAGACGCTTGCGAGGCCCGTTGGGCACCCGGGTGGTTGACTAATTTTGTGCGGCGACGCGAGTTGGGAGTGGAATGGAGACGTACTCGAGATGGCTAAACGGCTGAAAGGGGCTCATGCCGGTACGGAAGCTCTTTGGAACTCCCAGAGAGGTCCGAAAGGACATTGGGGAACCGGCTTGGAGCGACGGCTGGCCAACTTGGTCGCGAAGGGGGATGGAGACGGCGGCGGGCATGTAAACTAGAGACTCTGAAGGTGAATACGATATGATGAAAGTTGGAATGAGAACGCGGAGAGCCGCGAGTGGAGGGGATCGGGAAGAGGTGGGAGAGTCCAAGTTGTTGGAGTCGGCTGTCGAGTTTGGATTCGGGCCAGAGTTTCCACCCGTTGGTCGTCAGACTTTCGATCTCACCAAACCGGCGGCCATGACCCGTAGCAGAACTCGTGGCAAACGAGCGACTTTAACACTGCTAAAGCGCTGTTTCTCCTCTCTCCCCCGGTCCAGAGGGCCGACGGTCGACTATCCACCCAAACAGCCGGCGTCGCATTGGACAACCTTCGGGTCCTTATCCGACTAGGGTTGTGGGACGTTTAGGTAACGCGTTGCGTGACTTGCGTCTGATCTCACACGCACAATGAAAAGCCACTGTGGCCCTTGGCTCGACCGACCCAATCGCTGCGACTGATCTTGTCAAGATGGCTGCACGTTGCACACCGCACCCGAGCCTCGAAGTCGAAGCGTCTGAATTCGGTGAGCCGACATGAGGCTACGGGCGCTGCAATTTCACGGTCCGAACTGGTGGCCCTTTGTGGAGGTCCCCCCAAGAGCGGTCGTTGGCGACAGACGTTTGCGGCGCTGGGGCCTTTTGCACAAGTCCCAACGGCAGCTTGGAGGATAACGAGTACTATGCCTTCGAAGCGATCGTGGCCCCAGAACGCGCTTGTCGCTGGATGTTGATTTCGATCATGAGATATTCGCCCCATAGTTTGGTCAATCCCGCCTGCAGTCACGCGAGTCAACCCCAGCCTCCGACAAGCTCGATATTGGACAGTTTAAACATGAATATTAGACGCAAACAATGTGACCAAAGAGAACGGGCCAGGATGGGGGTCGAGTCAGTCTCGTCTTGCGGACAGTGAAAAGCACAAATAGGCAATGAAATGTGGGTTTTGGTGCATTTCAAGACTTGTACGATGTCTAGTTGTCACTAATGAGATTGTCGGTTTGGCAGAGTTGATAGGAAGCTGGCTGATGCGACGCGTAGGAAGAGTGAAAAGGAGTAAAAACATCGTAAAAAGAGTTAAGGAGGGTGCTTCAATCGTTTTCTACGCGTATATCGTCCATTCTTTCGTCAGCCTGGGTTTCGATGTTCGTGGTGTGGGATGTAGTGGAGGAGCAGCCTTGAGTAGTTTGTCTTGGTTATTATCAAGCCATATTCTGGTTTGGTAGCGACTAGTAAACCGTTGAAGCGATGCAAAAAGAAAATGGGTGTCGGTGGCAAGCGCGAAGTTCTCGACCACAGTTTGGCCAGAGCTGCAAGACGGCAAAGAGTATTCGGAGAACATAATCTACGAGAATAACAGTAGTGAGCTGGTTGCAGCGTGGACGCCTGACGCTGTGGTGGAACCTTGTCCGGCCGCTCTGTTCAACATTTGTAAGGGATTTTACTCAAAGGCTGCTGTTTATTCGTTATAAAGCATTGCTGACCATCTGCTGCCCGTCACCGTCCGCGCTAGTAACCCGGGATTAGATTCAGAGGCGCCAGACGTTCTAAAACCAAACATCCAGACTTGCTCTCGCCCATCACCCTCGTTATCTTGCCATGCCTTCGTCGATCATTAGCGCCTTGGAGCTCCTGGACATCAAGGATGGCTTGCTCCCCGCTGTCGTCGATAAGCGCGACGACGAGTTGGCGAGGCCAGAGACGAGCAGCGTTTGCTTGTGCGGAGGATGTAGCACTTCTCGCAAGTCGGAGGCAAGTCTAGTTTAGATTACATTCAGCGGTTCTAATGGATGGCTTATCTTTGCCCATTTCAGGTTGCTTTGGACGGCGAGCGACAGCCCGAGGCCACGACGGCGCGCATTTCTTCGACCTGTGAGCGTATGCCTCTATCAAAGTCTGAGGAAGGCTATTCCGTGGCCCCGACCACCTCTGTGCTCTCTCTTGCCACCCCCGCTCTCGCCAACGAGTCTGCATCGGTGATCGACATTGCACGGGCACCCTCGAGCATCACTCTCCCAGCAGATAGCTCGTCTACAGCCGCACTCGACTCGTCTATCATCCTCAACTCGCAGCGCGATCCCGCAACCGCCGCCTTTGTGCAAGCCAACCGCGAGAGGAGCCCCTCTCCAAGGACCTACGTCCACAGTCCCTCCGTCCTGTCCTTGGCGACCTCGAACGAAGGCGCATTCAACCCGGGGCGTGCAGTTGTGGTTCCGGCACCCCCTTTCCTCGCCGCCCAGAATATGTCGGCATTCTCCAGGTCACCTTTCTTCCGCAGGGTGGAAGAACGTGAGGTCATTACATGCCAAATATGCCTGGATGAAGAACCCATGGACGAGTCCGTCACCATCCAGACCTGCGGCCACTCGTTTGGCCGCGAGTGCATGCGGAGCTACATCCTCTCCCGTCTCGACGAGCGGCGATACCCTATCCCCTGTCCCACCTGCTCTGCATCGGATGATTCTGGCCCCAACCCAGGATGTATGTTTTTATGAACCTATCGATCAGTGCTCGTGTCGGCTAACCAATGCCCATTTAGTGGTAACAAGCGGGATCGCCACACAGGTCAACCTCTCGGACGCAGATTGCGCCCGTTGGGACGAATTGGAGTTTCTCATGCATGCGGTCAAGTTTGAATGCGACAAGTGCCTCAAATCGCATGCTGTTGATCGTCTCAAGCTCGTCAAGGAAAAGTCAAAGAAGCGGATCTACTGTCCGACTCCTGGGTGCGACCAAGTCTGGTGCAGAAACTGTCAGACAAAGATCGATGCATCCAACAAACAGAAGCACGTCTGCGAGGGTAAGAAGGAGCTCCAGAAGCTGCTCAAGAAAGAAGGCTGGCGCCAATGTCCCGGTAAGACGCGGAATAGTTTCTATCAACGGGGCTCTAACTCAATCTTTAGGGTGTGCAGTGCCTGTTCAGAAGATTGCTGGGTGCAATCATATCGCGGTATGTTTCCGACCCCTCTTTGGTGCGCATCAACTAACCCTTTCTCACAGTGCAGCGCTCCAGGATGTAATACGTGAGCTGGGATCAGGAATAGAATTCGTTTGGATACTCATCGCTTTCTAGCCATTTCTGCTACCGCTGTGGCGACATTCTCATTCGCAGCGTCTTCGGCTCTGAGATTCATCATGCAATCTCCAATCATTTCAGACGGCGTCTCTATTTTTGGAGATGCTCTCAATTCCATGATCGTACGTGCGCGGTTGAGCTGTCGCTGCTGGTGCTGACCCGTTTTAATAGCGAACATTATCTTGCGTTTGATCACGCGAGGGTGGAGGCTTTGAAAGATCTCTGCAAAACATCTACATGTCACTTCGCTCATTTGTGCTACCATAGGGATCTGTTCTCTCCCTCGGACGTTCTTTTTCTCTGGCTTTTCCAAGATGTCTGCACCCAGGCTCGCCGCTATGTATCCATCGCACTCTCTTTCTCGTGATCCCATCCCTCTGTGCATGTATGTAGGTCCCCTCTTAACGAGTTTTGTCGCTTCAAACGGTTTCAAGTTGGTCCGCGTGTTACAGACTAGGTGCCCAAAAGTTTAGACCTTGCTTGATCCCAGCTCCAACGTCTCTTTTCTCCCGCCATCACCAACAACGTACGTTTTTTCCTTTGCACTTGATAATATCCTGTTCCGCCTACTTGTCGCGCTCTACGTCGCGTCTAGTCTCGCGCGGCCGCGGACACCACGTCGCCCATCGCGGTGATTGCGCGGCATCTACAGCGCGCAGACGCGTTTGCTCTGTCTAAACTCGATCTAACAAGCCTTCTGAACAGTATGCGTGAAATTGTACACCTCCAGACCGGCCAGGTAAGCCTTGGCCGCATCGTACGGTTTGCAGCTGGCTGATCCCGCTTCCGTCCCTGCACAGTGCGGCAACCAGATCGGTACGCTCTCTACCTCTTGCTAGCTACTCTTGCAGTCCTCTCCGTCTGCGGGTTTGCTCGCCTCGTGCCACTTTCAGTTTCTGATCCTCTTTTCAAAAGGTGCCAAATTCTGGGAAGTCGTCTCTGACGAACATGGCATTGAAAGAAATGGACTGTAAGCTTCTTTTTCTCTCTTATTCTGCCGTCTGTTTGACCACGACGGTTTAGCTACAAGGGAACCAATGACCTCCAGCTGGAGAGGATCTCCGTCTACTACAATGAGACCGGAGGTATGTGTACCTTTTGCATCCCAGTCCGCGCTAATACTGACGCGACTTCGCCTTGCAGACAACAAGTATGTCCCCCGTGCCGTGCTCGTCGATCTCGAGCCCGGAACGATGGACTCTGTCCGCTCTGGTCCCCTTGGAGGACTGTTCCGCCCCGACAACTTTGTCTTTGGACAGTCTGGTGCTGGTAACAACTGGGCCAAAGGCCGTGAGTGGTCCTTTTTTCCCCCTTTGCCCTCCACCGTGGGTTATGTAAGACAAACACGTGTTCTGACGCCTGTCCTTGATTAGACTACACCGAGGGTGCAGAGCTCGTCGACTCTGTGCTCGACGTTGTCCGCAAAGAGGCCGAGGCCACCGACTGCCTCCAGGGCTTCCAGATCACCCACTCGCTGGGTGGTGGAACTGGCGCCGGTATGGGTACGCTCTTGATCTCGAAGATTCGAGAGGAGTTCCCCGACAGAATGATGTGCACTTTCTCCGTCGTTCCCTCGCCAAAGGTCTCGGACACCGTCGTCGAGCCCTATAATGCCACCTTGTCCGTGCACCAGCTCGTCGAAAACTCGGACGAGACTTTCTGCATTGACAACGAGGCCTTGTATGAGATTTGCTTCCGCACTCTCAAGCTCAACACCCCGACGTATGGTGACCTTAACCACCTCGTCTCCATTGTCATGTCCGGCATTACGACTTGCTTGCGCGTGCGTACACACCGTCTTTTCCCCTCTCTTGTGCTGATTGATATCTAGTTCCCTGGTCAACTCAACTCGGATCTCCGCAAGATGGCTGTCAACCTCGTGCCGTTCCCTCGTCTCCACTTCTTCATGGTTGGCTTTGCTCCATTGACCGCTCGTGGCAGCCAGCAATACCGCGCCGTTACCGTCCCCGAATTGACGCAGCAAATGTTCGACGCAAAGAACATGATGGCTGCCTCTGACCCAAGACACGGACGCTACCTTACGGTCGCTGCCGTCTTCCGTGGAAAGGTCTCGATGAAGGAGGTCGAAGAGCAGATGCAAAATGTCCAGAACAAGAACTCTGCCTATTTCGTCGAATGGATCCCGAACAATGTCCTCACCGCTCAGTGCGATATTGCTCCTCGCGGTCTCAAGATGGCAGTCACATTCATCGGCAACTCGACGGCCATTCAGGAGCTCTTCAAGCGTGTGTCGGATCAGTTCACAGCCATGTTCAAGCGCAAGGCTTTCCTTCACTGGTACACCCAAGAGGGCATGGACGAGATGGAGTTCACCGAGGCCGAGTCCAACATGCAAGATCTCGTTGCCGAGTATCAGCAGTACCAGGATGCGTCATGTATTTGCATTGCGTGAAGGAGAGGGTTGACTGATGTATTTTCTAGCGTCGAGGAGGAGGGCGAGTACGAGGAGCAGGCTGCCGAAGAGGAGGAGGCATAAAAGTTGTTGGCATCACAGTCTCTGTCGTGTCAAATACAGCCCCTTCAACGATCCCCGCCACAATCTAACTCTCTAATCCCTGACCGCAAGGTCACACCTCCCCCTACCCCCTCTATTATACTGCCGTCTTCATTCTTGGCGCATTCGTCGTTTTTTCCCAGCCGGTCGTCTACACACATTCATGAAATCCTACGTCTTATGGAAATTCGTCGTGCCCGTCGAAATAAGTCGTATTTGAGAATAAGGAGAAAAGCATATACACAAACGAGATACAACAGATGACAGATGCACAAGAGCCGGGGCGGTATAAGGTTATTGAGTCTTGTGAATGGATTGGATTCGGGCCGCCTGGAGATGTGAACGAAACTCGAATACGGCTGGATAACTGAGCAAAAGAGTGGACAAGACCCAAGCGGACTATGAGGTACGTTAGAATGAACCTGATTGTGAGCCATTGTCACGTACTCCGATGCGTAGGCTCGCGTGCCTCTGGAGAGATAGAAATACGACGAGAAGGGCCAAAGAGACGTGAATCACGCCAATGGTACCCCAGACAATATAGGACGTATTCGGCGTAAATGGCAGTGCTTGGCGCACGCTGGTTAGGGCGTGGCTGACCGTGTTGACCGTGTCGATATATGGTCGAAGGGCAGGAGAAATACTCTCGCGAGAAATGGTCTGCTTCTCATAAGGTGCGGCGGAGAGGGCGGCGAGGATGAGGAGAACGGGGACGGCATTGAACATGGAGGGTTTCAGAGCAAAGGTCGTCAATGGGGGTGTCTTTGCCTGTTGGATACAGTCAGAAACGTTTCGTTGGGCATCAAAGGACTTGCCATTCCCAATTGTTCCTCGGCGTCAGCCTTCATTTGCAAAAGACGTGGCTTGACTGCGTCGTATCCGCTCAGCGGTGGATCAAATTCGACCGTCAACTCGTGCCATTTGGCGGAATCACGTAGTTGGTATGCCAAGTTCATTTTCTGTGACCACGTCAGGAGCGCTTTGGGACGATCAGGAGTTTGTTAGACATACTTGTTGATCTATGCCGACCATTTTGGCATCTACTGGCGTTTCATGAACCTGACTCTTCCCGTAGTACATTACATAGGCGATCAGGGTGTCCTTGTGTTGGCTCATGTAAGTCGAGAGAAAGCTGGATCCTACAGACGAGCCGGCAGTCAGACACCTTATGCTTGACAACGTTTCGACGGTGTAGAGTAGTATATCTAAAGTACTTACGCGCTTTGACCGGGTCATAGTCCTCGCTAGCCATTGTGGTTGCGTCCAAGATGCACTAGCGCTCGTCTTGAGCGCCCGGATTGGAGAGGGGTGCAGCTTTCATCGTTACCATTGGCGGGCACACGATCGATATATTATCCTGGAGCTTGCTGGAAACCTGCCTCGGTGTTTCTACAAATATGCCTGTGCCTCTAGGCCAGAGGAGAGCTCTGAAACGTCGAGACTATCAAGAATACTCATAAGCCTATAGCTTACGTCACAGTCACTCATATACAGGCATGAATTGTCAAAATCGACTACGAGAGAGAGGATTGTTGTAAAACAATCGCTTCGAGGCGTCTCTTTGAGGTCAAAGTATCGGGATGATCTTCACCAAAAACTTCGACTCGTACTACCATGGTCTCCTGTAGGAGCCTTGCAGCCTCTGCGAGTTGACCGCTCTTGTGCAATATCATGGAGGTCTGTATGAAGCATTGAGACTTTCCTGGTGGTGGTGACCGTGCACTCTGAAGTATAGAGCAAGTACATCTCGTTGTATTTTCTCCGCTTCGGCCAGTTGACTGCGTCGATGTAGTGTAGCAGCAAGGTTGGTCATTGCCAAAATGGTGTCGGGATGGCGTGGCCCAAGAGTATCTAGTTTCAGAGTGAGTATCTCTTGTTGAATCTTTTCCTTCTCCTGCAATTGACCACTGGACTGCAGGCTGACCGTAAGGTTTTCCATTGCTAGAATGGTGTCAGGATGACGTGGTCCAAGGATCTCCAACTGCAGAGCGAGTACTTCTCGCTTCATCTTCTCTGCCTCTTCCAACCGATCAAGCTTGTGGAAGATGGACGCAAGGTTGCTCATTGAGGTGATAGTGCCTGGATAGCGTGGTCCAAGGATCTCTAGTCGCAGAGCAAGTACTCCCGGCTCATCTTTTCTGCCTCGTCCAGCTGACCACGGTCATGAAAAGTGACCAAAAGGTTATTCATTGCCCTAACAGTGCCCAGATGGTGTGATCCAAGGATGTCCATCTGCAGGGCGAGAGCCTCTCGCTGGATCTTTTCCGCCTCCTCCAACTGACGACAGGACTGCAAGCTGATCGCAAGGTTACCCATTGCGAGAATGGTGTCTGGGTGGCGTGGTCCAAGGATCTCCAGCCGCAGAGCGAATACTTCTCGCTTCATCTTTTCTGCGTTCTTCAACTGACCACGGGAGTGCAAGATGGACGCAAGGTTGCTCATCGCCCAAATGGTTTCTGGATTACGTAGTCTAAAGATCTCCAGCTGTAGGGCAAGTACCGCATTATCCTTTCCGCCTCCTCCAACTGACCACGGGGGTGCAAGGTGATCGCAAGGTTGCCCATTGTTGAAATGGTTTCTGGATGACGTGCTCCCAAGATCTCCAGCTGTAAAGCAAGTACTTCTCGCCTTATCTTCTCTGCATCCTCCAATTGATCTCGAGAGTGCAGGGTGGATGCAAGGTTGTTCTTTGCCAAAGAGTATCTGGGTGCCGTGGTCTGAGGATCTCCAATCGCAGAACAACCACCTCTCGCATCATCCTTTCGGCTTCGTCCAACTGACCGCAACTCGACAGGGTCTTACTAAACAGGCCCCTTACCCACATCGAGCTCTTGTGCCTTTGGCCGTGATGCTGCTGAATTTGCGAAAGGGCAGACTCTAGCAACTCTCGACAAGCGTTCCCGTCACCCAATGAGTCGTAAAGCTTGTGGAAGGCCAGTGCGTGTGTCGCATTCTCAGATTGTGCGGATAGAGGGATCCTATGGGCATGTGGAAGCAATTGCCGTAGCCGCGCATTGCTACCCTACAATGGCCGGATTGCACCAAGCACGAGTTGAGTCGTTGTACGTGCATAGTGCCGATTATCGTCTTCACTGAGACAATCCTTGATGTACATCTGAAGCAGGGGATGCACGGTGTAGAATAGCCCATCAGTCGAAACGTCCACAAATGACGCGCGTGTGGCCGATTCGACGATCTCCTGGAATTCAACTTCGTTCCATGTCGAGCCTAGAATCTCCTGGAGGTTTGATATGAATATCTTGTCGCTCTCTGGAGGAGGACAGTCATCCAGGTCCGAGTATGTCGTGAAACCGGACTCTGTCGAGTGCTCGAACAAGGACATTGGAATGTCCGAATGATGAAGAAACGCGCAAAGTTTCAGGAACTCTTGTGTCTTTGTCGATAAGTTGTGGAATGACAGGTCGAATGCGGTGTACGTTGAGGAAGTGTACTCATTTCCGATCTCTAGTTGCTTCCACAGAAGTCGCTCTCGATGCTTCCGAAACGTCTCGAGACATGCTTCAAGCCGCCGTGACTTGCGAATATATGCCCCCGCTTAAGCAATCGCGAGCGCCAGCATCCCTAGCTCCCGGACGATCTCTAGAGATTTGGCGTCGAATGTAGGTGTGCATTGGCGAGTTTGTGAAGATTGACTGCCTCTTTCTCCTCGAGACCACCGACAGGAATAGCGCCGTCCTGAGCGTAGCTTATGCATTCGCTATTCCTTGTAGTGACCAGAACTGCGCCATGTCTGGAATTTGGAAGGTATGGCCGGAGGTCCAGGTCTGGTGAATCGGCGTTGTCGATGAACAACAGCCAGCCTCTTTCCTTGCCGTCAAGGTAGGCGACTGCATCCTTCCAGGTCATTTTTCTGTACTCCGGGTCCAATGAGCCGATCGACCACTCCAAGTCTGCTTCGATTTGTGTCCGACTTGAAGCGTCGACAAAATCACCCGACTGAACCTGGCAATGTGTCAAAGATTCTCGAAGAGATCTCTGAGGTTCTTACCTTGTTTCATTCTTTCGAATCCAGCTTGTTGCGAGTTGAGTCTTGCCCGACCCACCGATTCCATGTAATATGCACCGTGTTTGATGTTGTGTGCCTCCCGGAAGCAGAACTTCTGTGATAAGGGACTGAACTTCCTTTCGCTCAATGTAGCTTCTTGACACCGGTGGACAGGGCTTCGGCACTATGATCCCTAGCGAGGTAGACTCTCCCTTCGCTGCACCTGCCGGTTCATTAGCTAAGTAGAGGTGATGGGGTGGCTACTACTTCGACAGTTGTCCTCCGTAACCCACTTCTCCTGCACTGCCACAAGCGCACTCTCGACATATTCTTTGAGATGATGGTGAACCGTTTTATAGCTTTCTTCTTCCTTGGATGAGAATCGAACCAAATCGCTGTGATTCGCATGAAGGACGATTACCGTCCCGTTGCGATCGCCGGTGATAGCACCTGAGTGATATGAGACATTCTACCGTCAAATTAATATCTGGTCCCTAATTCGCGATACACTAACCAGGTTCCTGGTGCCGGACGTTGTATACTCTTCGCAGAAGAATACGCTGCTTATTTTCTCGCTTGCCGCGACGTACAGACTCTGTATGTTTTCGAATTCGGAAGAGTGAGATCGAAGGTCCTTGAGGATGAAGTCTGTAGTCTCCATGTACACCGACGCCAAGCGGTTGATTGATTCGAGGAGAGTGGTATTCTCGACGCCAGAGTGAGGGGTCTCGAAAATAGGATGGCATGTGTGGATACGAGAATGTCCCGGAGCTTGCCCTTGGATGCCAAATTCTGATTGTGACAAATGACGAGCGCCTAGCAGAGCATCAGCAGATAGTTTCATTGGAGCTTGTGTGACGAACCCATTTGAGGATGATGCCTCCTAGAGCGTGAGCAACGAAAACGATCGGACGCTAGTTACTACTCAGTGGAGACCGACCAGGAAATGTGATTTACTAACTCGAGGACTATCGTTCCGTATCCGGGAGAGTGCCTGGACTAGTCCCTCGGCATGTCGACGCATCGTCTGAGTTGATACGCATTCCCGACTACGAGTGTTGGCGTCGTAGCTGTACGAAAGGACTCGAGCGTTAGATATATCGGTAGGCAACAGGTCACATAGCCACAGGACTCCATCGCCTGTCGTCCATGACTTTTCCTATGACCTTGCAAGCCATGGATGGCAACAATGTTGTCACAGCAAGTTCAGTGCGGAGCGGCGAGTACGTGTAGAGGCCGGGGTGACTACTCGACTATAGAATCAGTTCCAGGAGCAATTTCTAGAAATCCTAAACCATCTATCTTCGATTCGGGCTTTGAACTCGTTGGCCTGCTACCCTTGGAATCCAGAGGTGGGGATAGGGCTGTATTCTGCGACGATGATTGGGAGCGACGCAATACATTCTTTAAGCGCAAGCGTATATTTGACATTCCTATGTTGATAGCTGGGAATCAGCATGACACGTTCCTTCAAGGCGGCGGTCAACGACTCGTGAGAACCGGAATCAACCAGAAATCTGAGCTAGAAACTCTGGCGATACCGTTTGCAGTGCATGGGCGATAATGATGACAAGTTCGCTCTCCGGATTCGTTTAGCTGCATAATTATTGCGATGTTGGCATCAAATGATAGCAGACTTGGGTTCCGAATATGCCGAGGATTTAGTCGTTGAGCATGAGGCAGAGCTGAAGCTATACTATCGTTTAGATGAGTGGTCGAGTCCAATATGCATTCGCGGTCACCGTACCAATTTCAACTTTGGTGAGTCGACTTTGCAAGAATGATGTTACTGCCTAGAATCTACAATAGCAATTCGAACATAGAACCAAGGTACCCGCGCGCTTCTCGCTACCCACGGCGCGCGTCTACTAGGTATATCCGCACCATCTTCTCAACCTCTCTTCCTACCGTATTTCTGAAAGGTGAGCAATATTTACTGGATGAACCACCGTGAAACTGATGCACTCAGCTGACTGCCATGACTTCTCATTCCGTCGACACGCTCGTTATTGGTGCCGGTAAGTACCAACGCATTCATAACGACATTATTGACTGTGTCTGCGTCCTCCATTCGTGTTCTACTGGCAGGTCCCACCGGTCTCGGTGCCGCAAAGCGTCTTCATCAACTGGTGAGTACACATCGCGTGAGAGGCGACCAAGCTGCTTGATGAACCGCGTAGAATCAAAGTATTTGGGCCCTCATTGAAGCCTCCCCTAAAGCTGGTGGTTTGGCTAGCACCGATACGACTACCGAAGGCTTCCTGTTCGACGTTGGCGGCCATGTCATCTTCTCTCACTATGCCTATTTTGATGACTGCATCCACGAGAGTCTTCCGGCCAAGGAGGACTGGTACGAGCACCAACGCGCATCCTATGTGCGCATCAAGGGTATTTGGGTGCCTTGTGAGTAGTGGCAATCGGTGCTGAGAAGGAAGATTGATAGCTGATCCCCCGCTCGCCCGTAGACCCCCTCCAGAATAACATCTCCGCGTTACCGATCGATGTCCAAGCTGAGTGCATCAACGGCATGATTGATGCGGTCGAAGAGCGTATCCTCCGGGCCAAGGAGCCGCCCAAAACCTTTGACGAGTGGATTTTGCGAATGATGGGACGAGGATTGGCCGACGTGTTTATGCGCCCCTACAACTTCAAGGTGTGGGCCGTGCCGACGACGCACATGCAATGCAAGTGGCTCGGTGAGCGTGTGGCTGCGCCGTCGCTCAAGTTGGTCGTCCATAACATGTTGTACAACAAAGTAACCGACAAATGGGGTCCGAACGCCACGTTTAAATTTCCAGCCCGTGGCGGTACTGGCGCCATTTGGAAAGCTGTGGCTAACACGCTACCCAAGGACAGGATCCACTACGGCACCAAGGCGGTCAAGATTGACGTAGTTGCCCACAGGGTCTATCTGGAAGATGGGAGCACGATCACCTACAACAAGTTGATTAGCACCATGGGTGTCGACGTTCTGATCAGCCAGTTGGTCAACACCGATGAAGTTGACATTCAGCGGCTGGAGAAGGCAAAGGAGGGTCTAATTTCCTCTTCAACTCACGTCATTGGCATTGGGATCCGTGGTAAGCCGCCGTCCTGTGTCGGTGACAAGTGTTGGCTCTATTTTCCCGAAGACGACGCCCCCTTTTATCGGGCGACAATCTTCTCCAACTACTCGCCTTACAATTGCCCTCCGTGCAATAATAGGTTGCCCGCGTTACGGTATGCCGACCCAGGCCACGGCAAGCCAGATACGACACCCAGGGTTGGTCCTTACTGGTCGCTGATGATGGAGGTATCCGAATCACATATAAAACCCGTCAACTCTCAGACGATTCTTGAAGAGACCATCAAAGGATGCGTGACCACCCTTCTATGCCGACCAGACGATGAGATTGTCTCGTTGTATCACCGCAAGTTTACACCAGGTTACCCGACACCTAGCCTGGGGCGTGATTCAGCACTAGATGTGATTCTGCCCATATTGGAATCCAAGTATGACATCCTGAGTCGCGGTCGCTTTGGCAGCTGGAAGTACGAGGTGGGGAACCAAGACCACTCGTTTATGCTCGGTGTCGAGGCTGTGGACAAGGTGTGCTATGGCTCGCCAGAAGTGACGCTCGAATCTCCTGACTTTGTCAACGGTCGTCGTAATCTTGAACGACGATTGACTAAGTGATTGGACTGTGTTGTAAAGTCTATCGTGTACACGGCATTGATCGTCGCCTCCCTCTGTCCAGCAGTTGATTAATGCCTGTGATCTGACTTGACAGATGTTAGTGAAATCAACCGTAGAGAGATAGGATAAAGAACAATGTCTATTATAGATCGCAAAGCTTGATTAAATATAACATTCGAGGAGCCTCGTCGACCTCAATGTTCTTCATCATACACTTCAATGCCTACTTCCATGGTGTTGCGCTGTATTCATGCGACTTCCTCGAGTTGAGTGCTCTTGTACAATGTTATAGAGAGATTATAAGAAAGAAGCGTCGAGAGATTCCGGATGACGTTGTCCAAGAATCTCATGGCGCAGAGAAAGGATTTCTTGCTCTATTTTCTCTGCTTCTTGCAGTCGGTTATGTTGATATAAAGTGGCAGCAAGATTAGTCATTGCTTGAATGGTGTGTGGATGGCGTGGTCCAAGGATCTCCAGCCGCAGAGCGAGTACTTCTTGGTCCATCTTTTCTGCCTCGTCCAACTGACCACGGGAGTGCAAGGTCGTTGCAAGGTTTCCCATTGCAGAAATGGTGTCTGGATGCCGTGGTCCAAGAATCTCCAGCCGCAGAGCGAGTACATCTCGCTTCATCTTTTCTGCCTCGTCCAGCTGACCACGGGAGTGCAAGGTGGTCGCAAGGTTGTTCATTGACAAAATGGTGTCTGGATGGCGTGGTCCAAGGATCTCCAGCCGCAGAGCGAGTACCTCTCGCAGAATCTTTTCTGCCTCGTCCAACTGACCACGGGAGTGCAAGGTGGCTGCAAGGTTTCCCATTGCAGAAATGGTGTCTGGATGCTGTGGTCCAAGGATCTCCAGCCACAGAGCGAGTACCTCTCGCTTCATCTTTTCTGCCTCGTCCAACTGACCACGGGAGTGCAAGGTCGTTGCAAGGTTGTTCATTGCTTGAATGGTGCCTGAATGACGTGGTCCAAGAATCTCCAGCTGCAGAGCGAGTACCTCTCGCTTCATCTTTTCTGCCTCGTCCAACTGACCACGGGAGTGCAAGGTCGTTGCAAGGTTGTTCTTATGTGACTTTGTAGGCTTCTGTTGGTATTGCTGAGGTGGTTTTGGGTGCGCTGGTGGTTGGTATGTGGGCTGTTGGGCGTGTTGTGGGGCCGAGGGTTGCTGAGCTCCTGGATATCCAGCGTTTGGAGCCTGGGATTCCTGTTTTGCGGGATTTTGAGAGCCACAAAGAAGCTGGAAGACTTGAAGGAGAATGTCGAGGAGCCCCATGGCTGTTCCGGAGATGGCGGCAGGGTTCAACCTGCGCTGGCAGCTCTTTGAGCGTCGACGCTCCTGAGGAAAATATATCAGGCTTAGACGTATTGTACAGCATAGTATCATATTCTGGATTTCAGAGTCGCGAGTCATCGTGACCGTGAAGATATCCAAGATGGTGCTATCAAATAAACAATGAAAATGAAATAGACATATAACGCAAGTCATACAGGTTGGTTGGGCACAATAAGCTTGAGAAACTCCTTGTACTTCAAGGTACGACGGTCATCTTTCCCAAATTCTTCAATGCATATTCCTATGGTCTCTTGTAAGAGCGTGGCAGCCTCTTCAAGTTGGCCGCCCTTGCATAATGTCTTACAGAGGCTATAGGAGGCATTGAGCGATTCTGGATGACGTTTTCCAAGAATCTCATGGCGCAGAGAAAGGATCTCTCGCTCTATTTTCTCTGCTTCTTCCAGTCGATCACGTTGATATAGAGTGTTGGCAAGTTTGGTCATCGCAGAAATGGTGCCTGGATGCCGTGGTCCAAGAATCTCCAGCTGCAGAGCGAGTACCTCTCGCTTCATCTTTTCTGCCTCGTCCAACTGACCACGGGAGTGCAAGGTCGTTGCAAGGTTGTTCATTGCTCGAATGGTGTCTGGATGACGTGGTCCAAGAATCTCCAGCCGCAGAGCGAGTACATCTCGCTTCATCTTTTCTGCCTCGTCCAACTGACCACGGGAGTGCAAGGTGGCTGCAAGGTTTCCCATTGCAAAAATGGTGTCTGGATGACGTGGTCCAAGAATCTCCAGCTGCAGAGCGAGTACATCTCGCTCCATCTTTTCTGCCTCGTCCAACTGACCACGGGAGTGCAAGGTGGCTGCAAGGTTTCCCATTGCAGAAATGGTGTCTGGATGCCGTGGTCCAAGAATCTCCAGCCGCAGAGCGAGTACCTCTCGGTCCATCTTTTCTGCCTCGTCCAGCTGACCACGGGAGTGCAAGGTGGTTGCAAGGTTTCCCATTGCAGAAATGGTGTCTGAATGACGTGGTCCAAGAATCTCCAGCCGCAGAGCGAGTACATCTCGCTTCATCTTTTCTGCCTCGTCCAGCTGACCACGGGAGTGCAAGGTGGCTGCAAGGTTTCCCATTGCAGAAATGGTGTCTGGATGCCGTGGTCCAAGAATCTCCAGCTGCAGAGCGAGTACATCTCGCTTCATCTTTTCTGCCTCGTCCAGCTGACCACGGGAGTGCAAGGTGGTTGCAAGGTTTCCCATTGCAGAAATGGTGTCTGGATGACGTGGTCCAAGAATCTCCAGCTGTAGAGCGAGTACCTCTCGCTTCATCTTTTCTGCCTCGTCCAGCTGACCACGGGAGTGCAAGGTGGTTGCAAGGTTGTTCATTGACAAAATGGTGTCTGAATGACGTGGTCCAAGAATCTCCAGCTGCAGAGCGAGTACATCTCGCTCCATCTTTTCTGCCTCGTCCAGCTGACCACGGGAGTCCAAGGTGGCTGCAAGGTTTCCCATTGCAGAAATGGTGTCTGGATGACGTGGTCCAAGAATCTCCAGCTGTAGAGCGAGTACCTCTCGGTCCATCTTTTCTGCCTCGTCCAGCTGACCACGGGAGTGCAAGGTGGCTGCAAGGTTTCCCATTGCAGAAATGGTGTCTGGATGCCGTGGTCCAAGAATCTCCAGCCGCAGAGCGAGTACATCTGGTTCATCTTTTCTGCCTCGTCCAGCTGACCACGGGAGTGCAAGGTCGTTGCAAGGTTGTTCATTGCTTGAATGGTGTCTGGATGCCGTGGTCCAAGAATCTCCAGCCGCAGAGCGAGTACATCTCGCTTCATCTTTTCTGCCTCGTCCAGCTGACCACGGGAGTGCAAGGTGGTCGCAAGGTTGTTCATTGACAAAATGGGTCTGGATGACGTGGTCCAAGGATCTCCAGCTGCAGAGCGAGTACCTCTCGGTCCATCTTTTCTGCCTCGTCCAGCTGACCACGGGAGTGCAAGGTGGCTGCAAGGTTTCCCATTGCTTGAATGGTGTCTGGATGACGTGGTCCAAGAATCTCCAGCCGCAGAGCGAGTACTTCTCGCTCCATCTTTTCTGCCTTTTCCAATTGACCGCAACTATGCAACGCATTACCAAGTTTACACATCACCCACATCGAACTTTTATGCTTTAGACCATGATCCTGCTGAACTTGGTAAAACGCAGTCTCTAACAGTTCTCGACAAGTCTTCCAATCACCCAATGGATGATAAAGCTTATAGAACGCCAATGCGTGTGCCATATTCTCTGATTGCACCGATTGTGGGATCTTGGTGGCGTGTGGAAGTAGTTGCCAAAACCGCGCATTGCTACCCTCAACTGGCCGGATCGCACCAAGTATCAGTTGAGTAGTCGCACGCGCGTACTCTCGATTATCCTCCTGACTAGAACAATCCTTGATGTACATCTGAAGTAGTGGGTGGACGGCGTAGAATAGTCCATCAGTCGAAACATGGATAAATGATGCGCGCGTAGCCGATTCCACGATCTCTTGGAATTCGACCTCATCCCACGTTGAGCCCAGAATCTCCTTGAGCTTCTGGATGACTGCTTTGTCGCTATCTGGCGGAGGAAAGTCATCCAGGACCGTGTATGTTGCGAAACCAGACTCTGTCGAGTGCTGGAATAAGGAGACCGGAATGTCCGAATGGTGAAGAAACGCACACAACTTTAGCAGCTCTTGCGTCTTTGTCGGTAGGGTTTGGAAAGACAGGTCGAATGCAGCGTACGTCGAGGATGTATATTCATTCCCGATATCTGGCTGCTTCCGTAGGAGTCGCTTCCGATGACTTCGCAACGTATCAAGGTACGTGTCGAGCCGGCGTGTCTTGCGAATATATGACCCCGCTTGAGTAATCGCCAGCGCCAGCATCCCTAGCTCCTGAACAATCTCCACAGACTTGGTATCGGACGTGGGTGTGACATTAGCGAGCTTATGAAGGAGATTGATTGCCTCATTCTCCTCCAGTCCACCAACAGGAACAGCACCATCCGGAGCGTAGCTTATGCACTCGCTGTTCCTTGTGGTGATTAGAACTGCTCCATGGATGGAAACAGGGAGATATGGGCGGAGGTTGAGATCTGGCGAGTCGGCATTGTCGATAAACAGCAGCCAGCCCCTTTCCTTGCCGCCGAGGTAGGCGACTGCATCCATCCAGGTCATCTCGTTGTACTCTGGGCCCAATGAGCGGATCGACCGTTCCAAGTCTGCTTCTATCTGAGTTTGACTCGAAGCGTCGACGAAAATGACTCGAGTGAACCTGGAAATAATCAGAGATTCTCTAAGAAATGGCTATAGTTCTTACCTGGCTCCATGCTTCCGAACCCAGCTGGTCGCGAGTTGAGTCTTGCCTGAACCCCCGAGTCCATGTAGTATACACCGCGGTTGATCTTGTACGCTTCCCGGAAGCAGCCTTTCTGTGATGAGGGACTGAATCTCCTTTCGCTCGACGTAACTTCTTGACACCGGTGGACAGGGCTTCGCCACTATCATCTCCTGAGAGATGACCTCTCCCTTTGCTACACCTGCAGGTTTATTAGATAAGCAAACAATATGAAGTGAGTACCAACTTCGAAGGTTGTCCTCTGTAATCCACTTCTCTTGCACTGCTGCGGACGCACTGTCGACGTAGTCTTTGAGATAGTGAAGAACGCTTCGATAGTTGTCGCTCGTTGCATTAGAGAATCGAACCAAACTCTCGTGGTCCGCATGAAGCACGATTTTTGTACCATTTCGATCGCCGGCGATGACTGCGGAGTGATGGGCAACGTTCTATCCCAGTCAGTGGTCTTCAAGGCCGGACAAAATTGGCACCAACCAGTCTCCGCCGTTTCCTGTCAACAGAAGATGTCTTGTACTCTTCGCAGAAGAATATGCTGCTTATTTTCTCGCTCGCTGCGACGTACAGGCTCTGTATGTTTTCGAGTTCGGACGAGTGAGATTGAAGATCCTTGAGGATTACGTCTGTAGTCATTATGCGCATCGACGTCAAGCGGTTGATTGTATCGAGGAGAGTGGTACCCTCGACGCCAGAGTGAGGGGTCCCGAAGAATAAGATGGCATGCGTGGATACGAGAATGTCCCGGAGCTCGCCCTTGGATGCCAAACTCTGATTATGACAAATGACGAGAGCCTAGGAGAGCATCAGCGATTAGTCTCGTTGGAGCTTGTGTGACGAACCCATTTGAGAATGATACCTCCTAGGTCGTGTGCTACGAAAATGATCGGACGCTAATCACGTTCAGTGGAGACCGACCAGGAAATGTGATTTACTGACTCGAGGACTGTCTTTCCGTATCCGTGAGAGCGCTTGGGCTAGTCCCTCGGCATGTCGACGCATAGTCAGAGTTGATACGCATTCTGTACTGCGAGTGTCGGCGTCGTATCCATATGAAAGGACTCGAGCGTTGGATATGTCCGTAGGCAAGAAGTCACGTAGCCAAAGAGTTCCATCCTCTGTTGACCATGTCTTTTCTCTATGCCCTTCGAGGCCATGGATAGCGACGATACTGCCAAGTCAAGCTATATGAGCGGCGAGCACGTGCAGTGGCCGACGTACTTACTCGACGACAGGGTTAGTTCCAGAAGCAAGTTCTAGAAACCCGAGATCATCTATCTTTGATTCGGACTTTGAAATCGACGGCCTGCCGCTCTCTGGATCTGCGAGTGCTGTGCCTTCGTTGATGGTCTGCGACGATGACTGCACGGGACGGAGGACGTTTGTCAGGTGCATAAAAACATCGGACATTGTTCACGACGGAGACGGTGGGGGACAAGTGAGGCTTGTCCTTTGCTCAGGTGCGGCGCTAAACAGCTGGCGAGACTGGCGTGGACTGGCCACCTGAGCCCAGGTCTCTGCTAATGCTACTTGTACGACATTGATCATGAGAAGACAAGTTGACTGTGCAGAGTTGATTGGTCAATGTTGATCAATGCGTCGAATCACAGAGCTCGTAGGATCCAATATGCAGAGTTGTGCCATTTTGTTGAATAGGATAGAAAGGCGACTAGTCCACCCATTCAAACGAATGGTGAGGTCCAAGACTGGCTGACTGCGTGACTCTGTCTCTCATGCTGATTGCCTCTTTTATCTGCACTCGCCCAACAAAATTCAGAATCAACAGTAGTTGAGCAATGCCTGTGATCTGAAAACTTGACAAATGTTAGTGAAACGTGTATAGTATCTGTTTAGTAGGATTGGCTCTTAGTCAGCATGTGACAAGACTGCCCAATGTCGCGAGGTCAGGATGTCCCGTGCCGACTTGCCGGCGTAGAGTCAGTTGGACCTGGACATGTCCTCGTACTCTCAACCTATCGCCCTCACTCCATCCACAGCCGGGTTTACATCCACATTTCCGCATGAAGAACATGGATTATTATGGCGTCGGAGAGCGAGAGTCTTGTGGATCGCAGTCTTGGATATATATAACAAGTCTGTCCATCTCCAAGTCCGTTTTCTATGCTCAATATACTCTCTTTTTCAGCAATATCGGATTGCTTCTCATGATGGCGTCGCAAGTAATCGTCCACACACGAGTCGAAATCGAAAGCATTTGACAAGTTCTACTAGTTTTGCGGAACATGCATGAACGCCACAGTCAAAATACTCAATGGTCTAGATCCTCCCGTACCAACTTTCGAGGCGAGTGGCCCCTCTTTAGCGTTGACATCCTCTTGACGCAAAGTCGACTGTTTAGATAATATTGATCAGGATGGTGCGCGTTCCCATTCCTTCATACGTTGTTTCTCAATCACTCCTCAGTCAATTACATACATATCTTGCATCGTATACATGAAGCGTGCTAACATTCCGCACCCGCTTAGTGGACCACCAGGAGTACGATATTTATTGGCTATTCGGGGCATCAGTGGCTTCTTTGGTCCGTGTATTCATCCCTCTAAGATAGTTTACTAATCATCTTTCAGGCATCTTCGGAATATATTATTCATTGATCTATCTTTCTCTCTCGGATGCTATCGTTATTACCTTTCTTGGACCAACAACAACTGCAATTGCTGGCTACCTTATCCTTGGAGAGGCTCTCAGTCGAAGAGAAATCGTAGCCGGTGGTCAGTAGGCTGATACATTTCCCGTAAAGTCTAACGAATACGCAGCTCTTTCTTTCATGGGAGTGATTCTCATAGCAAGACCTCCATTCTTATTTGGTCAATCTGATCAAGTCGGTGGCGAAAAAGGGACACCAGCTCAACGCCTCATCGCCGTCGGGTAAGAGCTTTCGTGTCTATAGAGAAAGCAACTAAGAACACGTAGTGTTGCACTCCTTGGTGTACTGGGGGGGACAGGCGCCTGTAAGTCCCAATTCGTAGCAGACTTTGTCAACTAAAATCCCCCCAGTCATTTCCATCCGAGCCGTGGGTAAACGCGCACACCCTCTCCACTCCGTCTCCTTCTTTTCCATCTACAGCTGCTTGGTCTCAGTGATCGGCATGATCGTCCTACGAGTACCGCTCGTCCTACCACGAAGTCTAACCTTTGTCGGATTGGTGTTCAGCATCGGATTCTTTGGATTCTTCACGCAACTTTTCTTGACCATGGGTCTACAGCGAGAGACGGCAGGAAGGGCTTCTCTGGGTATATACGTCCAGATTCTCTTCGCCGTCGCTGCGGAAAGATGGATCTTCCATACGATTCCACCAGCATCCAGTATTGCTGGTATCGTTATTATCATCTCTTGTGCGACATTTGTTGCAGTAAGAATATCCTATTCAGTTGACGCCTCGAGTTGATTTCTTTCCAGCTCACCAAAAGCTCGAATACCGAAAAAGAGCAGAAAGCACGTGGCAGCGCCGACGTGGATCTTTCGACTATACGACTCGAACGAGGAAGCTTAGAAGGGAGTGACGCTGAACGAGAGGGGCTGGTGTCGAGTTTGAAGGAGGAATGGCCACATAATGACCGACAAGACATAGAACATGGTAGACGTGGTTCGGATTGAACATCATAGACACGTGTACGGGCTACACTTCTACCTCTTCCAATGGCGCAGGGAATACAAAATCGCCTTGCCTGCGGATATCATCCATGATCCTTAGCATGGCCAGTGTATCCTGCAATGGGGACTCTTCACATCCGCGCTTGCCGTCACGAAGTGCTCGCGCACAGGCGTCCGCTTCCCATCCTAGATCGTTTCCAACAAGGTCGACTGTAATCGACCGCTCCCCATCGTGCGCATGTATGACATACTCTCGTGGACGTGGTGGAGGTCCTGATATCATGATCTCACCCTATCGTAGTGAGTCTAAAGGATGTGGTGATCCATAGGCGCAGGACTCACGTTGTCACCTTGTATAACCACACTATATTTCGGCGTCCGAGCAGAAATGCTGGTCGAAAGGTGCGCAACGGCGTTCAGGCGCTCATAGACCAACGTCATGCTCGTAAATTCGTCCACTCCTCGATCGGTTTTGACGACAGAGGCAGTGACCTTGGGCATTGCGTTTTCATTATCTGGATGCTTTTGGAGAACCATAAAGGCCCAAAGGAGAGAATAGAATCCGAGGTCGAGTAGTGCGCCGCCTCCGAGGTCCGGGTTATGGAGGCGTGACCCTGGATCGCGGACTTGGAGAGAAAAGTCGGCGATGACGCGTTTGATTGTTCCTATCTCCTTTTCTTTGTGTAGGAGAGATAAAATTTCTTTTGTACGAGGGAAGAATCGCGTCCATGCCGCCTCCATCAAGAACAGTCCCTTGGATTGGGACAGCGCTACCAGGTGTTCTGCTTGTCTGCTATTGATGGTGACTGTATAGGTATTTAGAGTGCATCGTGGAATGCGGATGAACTTACACGGTTTCTACAAAGACGTCAGAGATGGTGGTACACCAATGGAAACTCACCTCGCAAAGAACGTGTTTACCAGCATTTAGACATAGAATCACATCCTTGTAGTGCCTCGATTGGGGCGTCGCGATGTATATAATCTCGACATCTGCATCCGCAACCAACTCTTTATACGAGCCATAGGTCCTAGTCGCTTCCGGGGCGCCTATATCCTTTGCAAACCTTTCAGCACTTGACTGAGATGAAGAGGACGCTATCGCGGCGATGACATGTTGCACATCATTCGCCCCTCGCTTTGTCGGATCCATGAGCAAGTCTTGAGCAAATGATTTGGCGATCCCGCCCTTGATTTCGTCTGTCATACAGCTGAATAGCTACAAGTAGCACATACAGTGGCCATGATACCCCACTTTAATCGAAAGGCCATGATGTCGTCGGGGCCAAGTGACGATCAACTACGAGGAGAGATAGGTTGGAAGAATATCGTGAACAGACTTCATTGATTCTCCTGTTTGCGACTCGAGGAGTTTTGGGACAATGTCTTTTTGTGCATCAGCCACTACATTGTCGAGTTGTAATTGAGCGACCTGATCTGCATTAGCCTAGGGAGAGGAGTGGAATCGAGGGAGTGCGTACTTGATCTCTTGAAATTGTCAGGATGCTCTCAGGAAGCTTCTCAAGGAGAGCCCCTTGCATGTAACCTGCCCACAAAGGAATGGGAACCATGGGACGCCACCGTCCACTGTACTTGAACACGAGTTGCAGTATTTCCCTAAAGGTGAAAACTAGGAGATGCTTGGTCAGCGTCCAAACAGCGTCGGAAGGCATACCTTCTGGACCTCCAGCTTCCAGGATCTTGCCGTCTACCTTTTTGGCTATAGATGCATCGCCCTTGCTACGAGAACAAACTTCTATCAACTTCGCGAGGTCGCCAACGTAGACGGGCTGAAACTTGGACATTCCACTCCCAATCACAGGCATGACCGGGAAAAAGCGGGCAAGAGTGGCGAACCTCTGAATGACGTGAGTGCTCGAGAAGATAGACATGGCCAAACTCACCGTAAAGAATGAATCACCTGGTCCAAAGACTAGGGACGGACGAATAACGGTTGCAGTAGGTGCCGCCTCGAGGACGGCCTTCTCTCCAAGCCCTTTTGTACGCGGAGATACAAGCTCACTATCTGGATTTGCTCCAATGGCGCTGAGATGGACGAGCTTTGCCCCAACCTCTTGGGCGCACTGAGCGACATTCTGCGCACCCTTCCACTGAACCGCTTCAAATTTTGCAGGTGATCCTTGGAGAATGCCAACAAGAGAGACCACGGTATGCGCGTCTTGAAAGACGGGACGCAGCGTCGAGGCATTCGTCACGTCTGCCGATGCAGACGAAATATGGGCATGTGCATCTTGTAGGTCGTCGACGTGTCGCTTGGGCTGTCTGGATGCGAGAACGATTTGGATGCCTGGATTTGATGCTGCAAATGCACGGGCGACGTAGTTTCCAATGAAACCTGCGCCGCAAATGACTACCTTCATGGTCGAGACCAAGTTGTGGAACACCCTATAACAGTGGTTCACCACTTGCGCATACACTTTCTTTGAGCTCGAATGCACGTGGAATATGGGCTTTGGTATCCCAGAGATGCAACGAGTGAGGAACTCGGCGGTACTAGCCAGACATTCAATTCGGCCAATGTTCAAAAACGCACTAGATTAGCGCAGCATAAGCAATATATTGCCTAGCAAATCATCTCGAGCGTGATGTACTCGGGGGGATACAGTCGAATCAAACACAAAATGCCCAGCAGCACACGAGCCAGCTATCAGCGTAGTCGTCTGCAAAGATGAAATGAATACGAATAAGCAAAATAATCTAAACTTGGAAGCAGATGAAAGGAGACGCACCGTGCCTCACGTTCCGACTCGAGCAAAGCGAGAATATCCTCCTTTCGGACGGGGCCCTTGACGTTGCGGATGATGGAACGGAGAGGATCATCCATGAACTCGACACGGACTTGGGTCACACCTCCTCGCGATCCGGTGCGGCCGAGTACTTTGGTCACTTTGGCGAGCTTGACGGGGACTTTGGACGCAGCTGGATCCTGAATCCAATATTCAGAATTCTCATATTCTCAATCCTTTTTTTAGCCAGAGCTTGCCCACCATTTTTACGAGATTTAGTGGCGAAGGTGCAGAACTTGAGCGAAAGAGGCCAAACAGTAAACAAACAGTGAAGATGCACAAAAGGCCTGGATAACTATCGAGGACCATTCTACGATTTTGGTTGTCGTTGTTCAATGACCTTGGGATCATAAATCTGCCAGTGGCCAAAGAGCATGCTTGAGAGTGGTCGTCAGTATTCAGCAGGTGTCCAACTAGTTATTACATACTCGAACAAGGCCATGATAGTCCATTTACGGTTATCAGCTTCTGGGAACACGAGCGAGCGAGGGCCGTAGAAAACCTGGTGCATGTCAATATAGGCCTACGCCTGGATTCTACAGGTACTTGCCTCGTCATCTACCTCATCCTTCTTCCTGGGGAGACAGTGGAGGAACTTCCAGTCGGGCTTTGCACCACCTTCTCGACATAGCTGCTCTGTAACCTGGTATCCTTGGAACGCCTTTAGTCTCTGTTCCTTTTCAGCTTCTTGGCCCATAGAAATCCTTTTCGTTGTTAGCCAAGCCCTCTTTAACGGCGGAGCGCCTACCAAGTGTCTGTGATCACCACGTCGGCATCCTTGACAGCCTCTCGGGGATCTTCTACCCAAGTGATGCCACTATCGCAACCGAGTTCTTTGACTCGGTTCCAAACCGGTGTTGGACAGCGGTATTGTGGGTCGTTGGGAGTGGCTACCTGCATCTTGTGACCGAGACGAGGAAAGGTGACCAGCATGTCGTGGAGTACGTTTGTGGAGTCTCCAAGGTATGTGATGGTAAGTGGTTTGATTTCTGGCAGTACGGCAAAAGCAGTCTTAGCCTTTATCGGTTGGCCGACTTGGAATGAGGCCTCTTCATGAAGTGTGAGCAGGTCGGCTAGGATTTGTGTAGGATGCCAGAGAGAAGAGAGGGCGTTGATGACTGGAACAGGCGAGTGTTCGGCAAGTTCCTGTGACGAGCAATGAGTCGTGTTCCGCAAGTCCGACAAGCAAGAAAAAGAGGATTGGGAGGAGAAGAGCTTACCTCTATCTCTGAATGGTCTCCAACTCGAGCAAAGATGCCTTGGCACATGCCTCCTAGAACGCGGGCGGTGTCTCGAGCTGACTCGTTGACTCCTAGCTGGATGTCTTCTCGACCCAGGAAGAGCGCGCGCCCTCCGAGCAATACAGCAGCTGTTTCTGCAGATACACGTGTTCTAGTACTTCGTTTGGAGAATAGCAATGCAATGCTCGAGTGCGACAAGGATTGTGGGGGCACCCCACGCACGAGTCGAGAGTTGATAGGACGAGGGCTGCCTGGTGCTAGATAGGCAGTAGATGTGTTCTTGAGTCTGAGGGCGTGTGTAAGAACATTTTGAATCTGGTTGACGTTGAGGTCTGCCAAAGTCATGAGATGGGGAGGCTTGATCATGGTCGTTCTAGAGAATGTTAGACGTTGTATAACATGTATTATATTCTACTGACGACTTGAATAACTAATTGCCAAAAAGTCGCTGGGCCGGTCGAGGTCAAAACAAAAGGACTTAGCTTCCGCCCTCGCTCGACTTTTCGTAGCCTCACTCGTTTCTACTTCAAAAATGGCGTCTGGAATCGGTATTGCTAATCTTCCCAACCAAGTATGTTATTTATGCGCGTTTTGCCTCGCTCCGTCCGCTCATGCGCTGCCTACAGAGACACCGTATCGTGGCCAAGCGTGGTGCCCATTTCACCATCATGGTGGTCGGTCAGTACTCTTATTCCTCTCAATTGTAAATGTACATGCACTCAAACGCATTCTCCGTCGCTTCCGTAGGCGAATCCGGCTTGGGCAAGACGACTCTCATCAACACGCTGTTCGCGACGGAGCTCTCGCCCGCCAAAAACTACAGCCGTAGACACGTAAAGCAACTCGACAAGCTCACAGAGGTACAGTTTTGGCTCGATTTATCCACGGCCGTTGAGCTCACACGGTTTGTCGTTTCAGGTCGAGATCATCAAGGCGGAGCTAGAAGAAAAGTCGTTCAAGGTCAAGCTCACTGTCATCGACACCCCCGGTTTCGGTGACTATGTGAACAACCGCGACTCTTGGGCTCCCATCATCGACTTTGTCGACGACCAGCACGAAGCCTATATGAGACAGGAGCAACAGCCCCAGCGTGGAGAGAAGATTGATCTCCGAGTTCACGCCTGCTTGTTCTTCATCAGACCTACAGGACACACGTACGTGCGCGCCAGCCTGAAAATATTGTATCGTTTCTGGAGGGCTGATCGATCCTTTTAGTCTCAAGCCCCTTGATATTGAAATCATGAAGCGCCTCGGGACCCGCGTCAACCTGATTCCCGTTATTGCAAAGGCCGACACGATGACCCCCAACGATCTCGTCGTCTTCAAGCAGCGCGTTCGCGAGGTCATCGCCGCCCAGGGTATCCGAATCTACGTCCCTCCCGTCGACCCTGAGGATGATGCTTCGAGCATTGAACACAATCGTGCTCTTGCCGAAGCCATGCCCTTCTCCATTATCGGTTCGACCGATGATGTTGTTACCAAGGACGGAAGGACTGTAAAGGGTCGCGAGTATCTCTGGGGTGTAGCTGAAGGTGTGTACAAATAGTATTCGTCCCCGAGCTGTTGACTGATCATTACTTAGTCGAAAATGAGAGCCACTGCGACTTCCGCAAATTGCGCTCCCTCCTGATCCGCACGCACATGTTGGACCTCATCAGCTCGACCGAAGAGTCTCACTACGAAAACTACCGCCTCGAGCAGATGGAGACTCGCAAGTTTGGCGAGGCTCGTGTCAAGAAGCCCGACAACCCCAAGTTCAAGGAAGAGGAAGAGGCTCTCAGGAAGCGTTTCACGGAGCAAGTCAAGTCCGAGGAAGCCCGCTTCAGACAGTGGGAGCAGCACGTATGTCTCTCTTCTAACAATCATGGTTCAAGATGCTAATATTGATCCAGCTCATCGCCGAACGTGACCGCCTCAACAAGGACCTCGAAATCGCCCACGGATCTATCAAGGCACTCGAGGCCGAGCTCGATAACCTACAAATTGGATACCGTGGTTCTCAGCGAACCAGGTAATCGCGCGTTGGCATCGCGATTGACAGCGCACGACAGTTTATTCCTCTTCGGGAATGTGTGGTCCTCTCCTCTAGTCACATCCGCCTAATACGAGTCCTCGCTCCTATATCCATTGTGTGCGTTGTGACACCATTTCTATAGTCACTCTTGTTGCCCCCTTTTTTCAGAATACATTCTTTGTTTTGGAAAAAAACAACCAAACAGGTGATTGAAAATCTATTAGCCATGAAAGTATAAGATAGGGTAAGAATAGTACTCGTCTCATCGCGCATTTTCCTCATCGCTAGCATGATCCTCCTCGTCATCCCTCAGCCCCCCCTCGTCTTCGTTGATGCTGACATTATTGTCCTCGGTAAAATCGAGAGCTGGATCGAGAGCATTGCCCAACTCGTCCATCAGGCCGACGCGGATCTGTCCTCGAGTGTCCGAAAGGTATTGTGCCATTTCGGTATCGGCTCTTTCGTATGCCGAGTCAATGAGGACGGTGATGCGTCTATTCTCCTCTGGTAGCGGCTTGTGGAGTAGCGTGCCGTTGACACCTCGACCAGGGAGTCGTGGGTCGAAGCGAATTCCAGGGAAGCCAGCGTAGTAGCCAGCAAGTCTCTCTGCAATCTGCGATGTGAGCCTTCGCATTCTGGTTAGTCGCAGGTTCAGCGACCGTGATGGATACGAGATTTTGCACTTGAGGTCCTCTGTGGGCATTGAGGCATAGTATGGTAGTCCACGCGGGAGCGCTTTTGCTAATCTTGCCATGACGCGAGCTAATGGACGTGTTGGAAGGCTGACGGCGAGAACGGGGATCCAGAAGGGTTGTTTGGCGAGTGTGGGGATGTACTGTCTGCGGACGTCGTACACGGTTCCAGCGAGATTGGTTTCGACAAACTTGGGATCCATTAGGTTCGGATCGTTGACAGACGTTCCATGCCCTGCCATGTTTGGGAATACTTCTGACGAGATCATATTTGTATATGCCCGCAGTTTGGCTTTGTCTGCCAAGTATAGGATTTGCTCTTTCATGAGCTGAGGTCGACTCTCGGGTTTCTTGAACGACGCGAGCACTTGCTCTTCAACGAATGGCGTTCTCATAAATGCTAGGACAGAGTGCGGGGACACTCCTTGTTTCATCATTTCCTTGGCTTTGGCCCGCCTCGCCCGCTTCGCGCCTTCAACAATGGCCAGGTCGACAGCGAGATCATCGTCATCACTGTCATACTTGTTCTTTTCTGCTTCGTCGAGGTTATTGTCCGCGGGTTGGGTAGTGGATGGTGATGTCGAGGATGATTCCACGGTAGCTGTGACCTCGTTGGTTAAAGGTACTGACTCGGTATCAGCGGCGACTTTATCCAGGGTATCCTTCTCTTGACTACTCTCCCCATCTGAAGCAGCAGCATCTCCTTCAGAGCTGGAGCCTGAACTTGTTGACCCTTCAGTACTGACTGCTGACTGGGGAAGCTCTCGACCACTCTCAAGAGTCACCCGAATCTCGTCTGGATCCTCCCCGGGATTCCACCACTTGATTGGTTTGAAGGGGAGCTCCCGCGCTAAACCAGGCCAGCAAGCATTGTCCATTGCTTCGAGTACTTTGCTTTCGCAGAATCCGCTGTTGAGACGTCGTAGTAAGTGCTTAAATCTCCCGACTGGACAGTATCCAACAATGAATTCTGGCGCGTTCGGTCTCCCTGGACCAAAATGAACGAGATACCGCGACCGTATTAGAAATGCAATATGGGGTTGGTATGCTATATGCGCTGGATCTTCATATAGTTTCGATTTGGCAAGAAACCGTCCTCCAGGGAGCCAGTTGGTCATTCGCAGGTCCCTGGGTCGCGTGAAACCGCCCATGTAGCTGAAGGAGCAAACACATTAGAAAGCGTGTAGACGCGCGTGGTGGTCTACATACGTCTTTACAGGAGTAAGGCAAAACCCAATGTCCATACGCTCGTCGCGTTCCGCTTTTTCTATCCGTCGCAGCCGTTGTTTTTCAAGTTCTTCGGGCGAAACTGTTTGCCATTTGCGGGGTTCCCGCTTAATAAATTTTGGTTGCTTTGGACGTGCTGCCGGAATTGGAGGGATAACGAAGGTAGCATTGCATCTTCGAAAGGTTGGTGTCGGCATCAAGTTGACTTTGTATTTGTAGCCGGCCAGGTCCTAGCATTTCGCCACGAAATCAATAATTATTGTCACAGTCGAGAGGGATCATTATTCAAGAATATCAGAATCTGTTGATGCCGCAAGAGTCGAAGAAACAAGGCCGGGAAGACGATAACGCTGCCACTTCTCTTTTGGCAGAGGTGTAAGTACTCGGATGCATCCTTACTTTGGAAGTAAAGGTTCAAACTCTGACAGGCTCGCAGGAACAAATCTCGAGGCACATAATCCAGACGATCAAGACGTCGACTCGCTCAAGTCCCGAAATTACGGGCTACAGCAACTACTCGTTAAGCTCTTTGCCGAGAATGAAGTCCTACGAACGCAAAACGCATGCCTTGATGAAAGCTACAAGCAGCTAGAAGAGCGATATCAAGAGTTGTGTACCAAATACGTCAAAGTCGGTGGAAAGTACAAGAAATATAAAGCCAAATGGGATAAAGTTCAGAGCAGTGCTTCACCCAAGAGTGAACAGAAGCAGAGTCGGTCCAAGGTGAAGGAATCGCAGGTACAAGACACGGAAGAGGAGCATAGTCAACCAGAGGACGAGGAAGTTGTTGCTGCTCTAATTGCAGATACGAATGAAATGCGTCAATCTCGATTTGCCCTCAAGAGGCCATTGCTCCTTGCATCGAATGATCCTACGTGCGTAGGCTTGCAACCATCATGCGGGTCAATGCGGCTTACCAAATACATATAGACCTGTCAAGAATGTTCAAGGTATCGCAGCCCACGACAATGACTTTCTGAAAATGTCGACGCTAGGTGATAAGCGATACTTTGCACCGTAAGACGTCTCTCTTGATTTGTTATTGTTGACTGACATTCATGTAGCTCGCCGGTCAAGAAAAGTGGACAGGGTAGCCAGCCCGCGCGGGCACTCGTCGCCCAGAGAGCTCGTTCAGCGTCTCCCCAGAAGCGCCGTAACATGTCACCAGAGAAGGCTAATGCTACTCCAGCTAAACCAAGGTGGCATTGAATATCCTCAATGCCACACTGTCTGGAATCCCATCTAAGAATGTACTTTTATGTCCTTGTTAGAACTCAATACATGTCGCTTGCAGGAAATCTACGCCTTGGAATGGTTCGCAAAGTGAAATCGGTGGTTCAGTTGCCAGATGTGTGGCTCCAAGTCAGTCGCCACCTCTTGACCCCGACGCCAACTATTAGAACTAGCTAAAACATGGCCACACATCCTATGCACGGATGGGTTCCAAGACAAGTGACCGCGGATAAGGTCACGACTGCCATGGACGGCGACATCAATCCATTTACAAAAAAACCGCTCTCAGCAACTTACAAGAAAATCCTAGAGGCGCGCAAGAAACTCCCAGTTTATGGCTATATGGAGGAGTTCTACAGAATAGTACGTGAATACGCGTGAAAACCGCTTGCTTGCTAACGCGCCGGCGTCTAGTTCAACGAGACACAGATTACTGTCATGGTGGGAGAGACGGGTAGCGGCAAGACGACCCAGATTCCACAGTTCGTAGCATACTCCGATCTTCCTCACCTAAAGGGGAAAATGATTGCCTGTACCCAGCCACGCCGTGTTGCTGCAATGTCCGTAGCCAAACGCGTAGCTGATGAGATGGATGGTACGCGTCTATCTGTGCCTTGATCATTTTCTGACGTACATACAGTCGAATTGGGCAAAGAAGTTGGTTATTCTATTCGTTTCGAGGACATGACAGAGCCTGGGACAACCTTTCTCAAGTACATGACCGACGGAATGTGCGTCTCAAGCTACGTGTGCGTCATCACTTTCTTACACTACCTAGGTTGCTTCGAGAAGCAATGAACGACCCATCTCTCGCTCGATACTCTACAATCATTCTTGATGAAGCTCACGAACGCACGCTGGCCACTGATATTCTCATGGGACTGCTAAAGGATATTTGCAAGAACCGCCCGGACCTCAAGGTCATCGTGATGTCGGCCACTCTCGACGCACAAAAGTTTCAGCGATATTTCGGAACGGAAAAGAAACTTGCTCCTCTGTTAAAGGTCCCTGGACGTACACACCCAGTCGAAGTCTTTTACACTCAAGAACCGGAACCAGACTATGTCGAAGCCGCAATCCGTACAGTCCTGTACATTCACCAAGCCGAAGATCCGGGTGATATCTTGGTCTTCCTCACTGGAGAAGAGGAGATTGAAGATGCTTGCCGCAAAATCAAGATTGAGGCAGATGAGTTAGCGAGTCAGGATCCACACGTGGGTCCCCTGATGTGTGTGCCGCTCTACTCCTCCTTGCCGCCTCAGCAACAACAGCGCATCTTCGACCCACCTCCAAAACCGCGAAGGCCAGACGGACCACCGGGACGCAAAGTGGTTGTCAGTACCAACATTGCGGAAACCTCGTTGACAATCGATGGCATTGTATATGTGGTGGACCCAGGATTCTCAAAGCAAAAGGTCTACAACCCTCGCATCAGAGTGGAGTCGTTGCTTGTCTCTCCCATCTCAAAAGCATCTGCCGCCCAGAGGGCTGGTCGAGCTGGACGTACGCGGCCAGGGAAATGCTTCCGATTATATACGGAGAAAGATTACATCAAGGAACTTGAAGAGCAGACCTACCCCGAGATCCTTCGAAGCAACCTTGCCAATACGGTACTGGAATTGGTGAAGCTTGGAATTCACGTATGTTCCCGTCGATACCCTTTGATTACTACTGATATTGGTACAGGATCTTGTTCGGTTCGATTACTGTGACCCGCCTGCGCCAGAAACCATTATGCGCGCTCTCGAGCTCCTCAACTACCTGGCGGCACTCGATGATGACGGAAACTTGACTGCACTGGGTTCCATGATGGCTGAATTCCCACTGGATCCCCAGATGTCCAAACTTCTCATTACAAGTCCGGAGTTTGAATGCAGTAATGAGATCCTGACCATCGTCTCCATGCTTTCTGGTATAATTTTTTTACACTCTCGCGTCAATTTACTTACATCTCTCAGTTCCAAATGTCTTCTTGCGTCCACCTAATCAACGGAAGGAAGCCGATGCTGCAAAGGCCCTGCTATCAATACCCGAGGGCGATCACCTCACGCTTATGAACATCTACAACAGCTACAAACAAAGTAATTGTTCATCTCTCAAGTGCTTTCCCCTTTTGACGAGATGGTAGATGAGCATGACAAGAATTGGGCGTGGAACAACTATCTTTCAGCGCGTGCGCTGATGCAAGCAGACAACGTCAGGAATCAAATACAACGGATCATGGAGAGGTTGGATATAGACTTGACGTCCCGTACTGTAACGGGTCCACGATTTTACGACAACATTCGCAAGACATTGGTATGCGGCTTCTTCATGCAGGTTGCACATAAAGAGGGAGAAAGGAACGCCTATAAAACTGTCAAAGACAATCAGGTACTTGGTTGTATTCAGGGAAGAAGATTAGTGCTCACTGGAACAGGCCGTATCATTGCATCCTTCATGTGGCTTGGACACAAATCCCGAATGGGTGCTGTTCAATGAGTTTGTGCTGACGAGCAAATCATTTATTCGAACTGTCACGGCGATCAAACCGGAATGGTAGTGTAATTCTATCAACCTGCTCACAGGAACTGACCTTTTAAAGGTTACTTGAGCTAGCTGGAAATTATTATGATCTGAAGCAGTTCCCTGCAGGCGAGACCAAGTCTGCCCTTCAAAGAGTCCTGAACAAGCAGCTGGGAAGGCAAATACAAGGCAATGGGGAATCCGGTGCTCCAGATGCGCGGAAAAAGAAGAAACAGAAGACGGACCATCAAGCTCAGGGAGGTTATTCGACACCTCCCGCTGTACAGGGCTACGCTACTCCCCCTGCTGGAACAGCACGATATAGCCAGCATCGTCCACAAGCGAGCTAGACTTGATTCAGGCTTGGATATTTCGAATCTTGTATTGGGTAGCAGTCGTGATCAACAAAGGGACCATCTTTGTTCTCCCCCACTGTCTAACATTAATGGACTCTCTGCAGGAACTGCCCGTTTTTTCTCTTTTAATCAGTGCTATTGTGACTTGGAAGGGTTTGAAAGATGGAAAACTGTCATTTGATGGTGCCGTCGCGGCATTCTTCGTCGGCTTCGCGATGCTCAGCACGCCGTTACACGTCTTTGGTATAACATTACTTGTCCTTTACTTTGTAGGGTCCCGTGCGACTCGTGTAGGCAAAGCACACAAAGTCAAGATGGAGGAAGGCGCAAAAGTTGGCTTGGGGGCACGCGACGCTGTTCAGGCATGTTTGGCAACACCTCCTGGTCTGAAACATTCTAAACAAACTTTTAGGTGTTCTCCAACTCTCTACCAGCGTTCATTGCGTGCCTCCTATGGAGAGCGCGCTTCACCGATTCACGGCTCTCAGCGTTTATTGGCGTACAGCAATCCAAGCCCTACAACTCGAATACCACATGCGCTATTGATCCCACGTATGGAGACCGTGTGAGCTACGCACTGGTTTTGGCCGCCCTTGGCCAGTTTGGTTGTTCTCTCGGAGATACGTTGGCTTCGGAACTCGGGATTTTATCCAAGTCGAAACCCATCCTCGTCACAACGCTCAAGAAAGTTCCTCCGGGAACAAATGGCGCAATGAGCGTGCTGGGCACGGCCGTGAGCGTTGGCGGCGGGGGATTGATAGGATTAACAATGAGCCTCGTCTTGCTCGTCGATAATCCTGCATGCAGAGATCTGGGATACATCCCGTTTCTCAAACTCTGTTTGTTGGGAATCTTCGCTGGAGGCTTTGGGTCTTTGGTGAGGAGCTCATCAACAGCTCGTCTCGGCTAACGATATTATACAGCTGGACTCCTTCTTAGGTGCTACTGTACAGCAGACACTGTATTCTACAAAGACGGAGCGTATACTTACAGAAGATGGCGAAACCAAACCTGGCTCGAGCGTCAAGGTCATCTCGGGACGAAATCTACTCTCCAACAACCAGGTAAGCATCTTCATGGTCGTGAAGAAGTCCTCACTCTTGCACAGGTGAACCTTGTGTCTGCTATTGTTACCACGCTTGTCGTTGCATATATCGGATGATATGTGAGATAAGGATTATGCAACAAAGCTATATTAACGCGAAGACTATGCATAGCAAGGTATACGAGAGAGATAAATTAACCTACTGAGACTCAGGACTGGTTACGAATCGCCCCGCTTTTCCGCTACGACAGCGTTGACCCAGAGAATGACAGCATCATGAAGCATCTCCTCCCAGAGAGGACCCTTTTTGGCCACTATGGCGGCATCAAAAAAGAACGGTGTGACGTTATGCCCGAAGGAAAGTGTCAGAGCTGAGGGCGAGGTTGCGGGAGTTCCGTTCCGCGGGCTGCCACCAGCTGTAAGGTTTGCAGGGCTGACCAGTGGTATCATATAGCGCATTTTGAGTGCTCTGAGTGCATGTCAGTGACAAGACAGAGGCAAGAGATAGAGTTTCTTACGCCGCCCACAACCTGAGATTCTCCGTACGACGAAACGTCCAAGCGGTCCTTCTCTTTTCCTTTTCTCCTTCGCCTTCGCCGTCCTTGGCGGCATCAGCCTCCAAAGCGGCAATATCGTGAACCGCATTCGCATTGATGTAGCCCCAAGGCTTCTTCGACTTGCGAACCCCAGCATTGTAGGCAACACATAAAAGTTGGCCAGAACAGAGTGACATCATGAGTGCTTCGCTCGATGGAGTTTCCGATGGGGGTGGAAGCAGATGCAGCAACTCGACAGGCAGTAGATGAACCAAAAGGGCGAATGTACGTCCTGGAAAGAGGTGTGAATTACGACCATAGTTTCAGGAAAATATTTACCCATCGGATCATCTACAAAAGCCGTCCGTTTAGCCCAGTTGGGTAAATGCTCCTCGTCCATGGGTGAGGCTGGCTCGTCCTCAGGCTCCTCGGTAAGGGTCATTGCTTGCATGGTGTCCGTGAGCAACCCACCCGATCGCTTTGCGCGCAACTTGGCTACAGGCGATGGTTGTCTCTCAGGCGTCAACCGTCCATTGACACTCGAGTTGCGACTCGAGCCACGTCTCTCGTCCTGGATCTTGTCGAGGGTCTTCGACCAGCCACGGACACCATTTTGATGGTCCCCCGGAAAGAGAACGGCGTCGACTGTGTTTAGGTATTTGACGACAACCTGCTTTTCCTGTTGTACGTCGGAGAAGGAGACATCGTTTCGATATAACCACCCTCCGCCAAGGACGAGCTTTTCATCCCAGTTTTCGCGCCTCTCTTGCTCTGTATCGTCGTTCATAACATCCTCTTCCTCATCCGGCCAGACTGGAACCGTCTTCTTGCGACCCGGAACAGTGACCATGGAAAAATTGAACGAGGCAGTTGATTCCGAGTCGTCGTCTCCGGAATGGTGTCCGGACGGAGAAGGAGCCGAGCGGGTCGAGCCAGACCCATTTTCCGATGCACCTTCAAAGGAATCATCCGTCATCGGTAGCCGATATCTCTCCTCGATGCCACGAAGCGCAGCAAGAACGTCGAGGGCCTCACGCCTAATCTTGCTGAGTGGGTCGTTGCCAGGTCGCTGCGCCGGCTTCTTCGCCGGAGAAGGTCGGTGAGAGATTGTATGAGGACGAAACGTCGGAGCCGTATTCAATATAGGAGTCTCGTCCGGAAGAGCCACGAGATAATTCCGCACCGACCTAATGGCATTTGTCGTTGCCTGCAGTACCAGCAAAACGTCAAACTCTCCTGGACTGGCTATCGTAGGTGTGGGCCGTAGCGCATCCTGTTTGGCGGGAGCGGGGGTGGCGACCTCTTCTTCGGGGCGGCCAATGTGCCAGAGGTCAGACACACGTTGCAAATCCGCGACGAGTCCTGGTAACAATTCTTCCGGATCTACTTCGTAGTCTTTGACCACGTCTACGAACGGATGCTGTATTGTGGGCGGTACTACTGGCGACGGCGGTAGATCGAATGCGATTTGCGGTATTCCGCTAATCGCGGACGGTGTTCTGAGATGACCACCGCCTATAGCTGGTACTAGACCTTTGGCTTTGAAGCCGGGTCTTTGGTAGGCACGTTAGCGGCAACAAGCGGGGTTGAAGTAGATCCGTACTTCTGTTTTGCGGCTAAGCCCGTCTTTGTAAAGTAATATTGCAGATGTTCTATAGACCCCAAAGCGAGTACAGATGACCGTTTGGCGGCACTCTTGCTGTACGGCTTGGTGTTGGATGTCGACGCGGCTGCTGGATAGTACGTAGACTGTTTACGAGATTTCCTGCCCTCTGAGGGAACCTTGAGCTCGTCTGCCATGTTTCTGATGGCCCACGGCGGGAGGCGTCGCGCTGGCCAACGTGGCGGGGAGGCAAGTTCACGGGTTCACGCCAGGGCCGCTTTCGACAATCCGCCAATCTCCTGGAATGACTGAATACCGATTATACATATAAGCCTGGTTATTATTTATGTACTCTACAGACCGCGGCTCGGCTTGGAACTACCTGGTTTCCGCTTCTATGCGCGTGTCCATGTCGGACAAGGGGTCATAATGATCCCCTTCGCCTAGAATGAGGTATGCAGCAGCATCAGCTTTCGACAGCAGCCAGTCTGCATTTCGGAGATCGTCAAGCCAAGGTTTATGGAGATTGGAGTGTCCAAAAAAAGCTCCAAGTGCAGAGCCTGCGACTGCTGCATTGGTATCGCTATCCCCGCCTGCCATCGTGATGTCGGTAATGAGCTTTTGATAAACGAGGGAGCCAAGGTTTTGCAGATCCTGCTCCTTCGATGCGCCTGCTAGCTCAAGGGCTTGACGAAGTGCCCAAATTGCAGACGCAAGGCACTTGTACGTGTATCCCATCGCCCTGGAAATAAATGTTATTAGATGACCCATCTACCATGGCTACTCACATCCTGTCGCCCAGCCGTAGGTCTGCGAGCGAGTCTTGCCATATAAGTTTATTTAGTTCATCCTTGTGTTTCTTCTCCAGTGGTGTATCGTGGGATTCCAACACGTCAATGCCACGCTGAACGATGACTCGAATGTCCTCGTCATTGTGGACTTCGCCCCGGATCAGCTACTTGGTGCTCAGCTCATCAGTTCGACATCAAGACTCTAATGCTTACGGCAGCAATCAACCCTACCATGATAGTGCAGGAAACCAAGCACCTTGGGTCAGCATGGGTGGTTGAAGCCAGATTGATTGCAGAGGAGTAAAGTCTCTTCTCGTCGTTGAAGAGGAGGGCTCCAACGATGGGAATACGCATTACAGCACCATTCGCAGCATTCCGTTTACCACCAGATTCCCATACTCTATAAACATATTAGTCGGATGCAAGGCCGGCACGCAACCACTCAAAGAGGACGTACGACTTTGCTATCTCGACTGGTGCATTGACATAGTTTGGACTATTCGCAACCGTTCTGATCGTATTCCCAATGTCGACTGGTAGCTTTCCGAGGGGTACGAAACCGTAGCTCACCCAGTTGCGTAGACGCTGGGCATAATCGAGGGCGTCTATTCCAGCGTCTGTTGGGCCACCTTTATTGAGAAAGGACATGAGAGTCAGTAGTGAGAGGTCTGTGTCGTCTGTAAAGTCTCCACGATCGAATAGAGTACGGTGGTAATCGAGGTGAACCCCTTGGAATCCTTCTGGCACTGGGGGCTTGAGTTTGAACTTTGGATTTGGTCCATAGATCGAAGTTGCTTCTCTTCTGCTCATAAACTCTGTAAAGAGACCTACAGCATCGCCGAGAGCACCACCCAGGATAGTTCCACGGATACGATCGTGCTTTGATGAGATCATTATAATAATTATTTGCTCGAATGAACCAGGTGGCTCTCAAGGCGAGATGTGGTCCGGTCCAACAATGCACCCTGGCGTCTCAAAGCATCTGGACCGCTCAAGCCAACTGTGTTCCAAAAATGCATCTACAAGACAATACATCCATCCTCGTCTTGCTTACGGCTCTTCTCCATCTTCTCCAGGAGCTCCATATCCCCGCATCGGCGATGAAGCGTCTCGATCATCACCTTCCACCGACCATCCAGTTCTTCTTTTGACATATCTCCCTTGCCCCCATCAACTAGATTATCCTTGTCTGCGCTCGGATCATACTCAACACCTTCACCAATGAGGAGATAGGTGGCGGCATCAGCTTTGGCAACAAGCCAGTCGTGATGCTTCAGGTCCTGAATCCAGCTGCTTGTAAGCCGTGAATACCCAACAAGGGCGCCCAGAATAGAGCCAGCCACTGCGCAATTTGTGTCGCTGTCACCAGCAGCCATGGTAAGATCGGTGATCACTCGTTCAAACACTGTTGAAATATCGCCGTTCGTTTCTCCAGGATGTTGGATCGCCTTTAGGCCTTGACGAAGGGCCCAGACACCGGACGCTAAACATTTGTATGTATAGCCAATAGACCTGTAAAACTGTTCAGCATGAGTGTAGGACACCCGTGCAGGAATACCAACCTTCTTTCATCCAATTCGAGCTCAGCTATCGTCTCTTTCCACACTATATCACGCAATTCGTTTAGATGTTCTGTAGACAGTGGTACTTCACGCGTCTGTATCTGTTGAATTGCCTCTTCGATAATGCGTCGAATATCTTCGTCATTTTTCACCTCGTCACGAATGATCTGTGACAATGTGAGTAAATCATATAGAGAATTTTGGGTTCCTTACCCCGGCAACTAGTGCCGAAGCGATTGTACAAGATACCAAGCATCGTGGATCAGCATGGGTGGTTGCAGCAACATTAATCGCAGTCGAATACAAAATTTGTGCATCCTTGAAGAAGAGTGCACCAACTACTCCTGTTCGCATCACCGCGCCGTTCGCAGCCATGACTTTACCGCCATCTTCCCAGATTCTGTCAAAATCTGTCAATATTGACTGCAGCAACGAAAGCACCACTCACTTTGTCGACCTCCCAATAGGGTCATCTAGATAGTCTGACGAACGAACCACTGAACCGACTGTTCTTCCCACACCAAGCGGCAGACGATCCAAAGGACGAAAGCCGAAGCTGATCCAATGCTTCAAACGCGCAGCAAAATCAAGCGGATCGACGCCTTTGGACATTCCACCGTTGTGCAGAAACGCCATTAAAATCAACAGCGACTGGTCTGTATCGTCTGTCCACCCGGCTTCCTCGAAGGCGGCTCTATGCCTGTCCATATGCATTGTCACGTATCCAGGGGGTGCAGGAGCTCGCAACTTGAATCGTGGATTTCGTCCATAGTACTGTTCTGAAGTCTTGACGTCGAGAAACTCGGTGGCAAGACCGACTGCATCTCCAAGTGCCCCACCAATAATGCATCCACGGATTCTATCATTGATTGTAATGTTATTCATGTTCGTCAATTAGTCTACAGGGCAAGTAGACGATGCGAGTGGGGTGACGATGCGAATGGGTAGGCGCCGAGATGGGTCTCCACCTTCAGCCCAAACTCGACCTAGCTATGCGCTCTTGAGATAATGAGAGACTTGATCCAGCCACTCTGTTTGCTCGTCTATGTCTCCCAGCCGTCTCCATTTGCCTCCATTGGCAACATTGTCCTGCTCACATCGTGGTCCATATCGCTCCTTAGCTGTCCTATGATGGGTAATAACCCAAAGGATGATAGAGTCCTTGGAAAAGAAGCATTCACGCCATGTCTCTTCGCAGCCGGGTGCACAAGTCTGTACGGCATCAAGCATCTAAGACTTGGGTAGAAGAGGCGCACCTTTTCCCATCCGAGTAACCGACGAAACGTCCGCAGCAAAGCGCGGGGGAAATACTTGTAAAATGGCGGGTCTAACCCTGTTCCCAAGTCTAGGTTCAACAAGGCACATGCGAAATATGCGCCTGTGTTCTCTTACAAATTATATCAGTCGCATAATCGTCCATCATTGCTTTCGTCTTTGTTTCATAGTTTCCGTCAATGACCCAGCCACTGTTTGTCGCCTCTGCATCTCGTTGAATCTTGTTCAAGTTTGAAACAAACTCTTCAGGAGTGGCCTGAACCCAATCAGGATGCCAGTGAATTTCGTCGAGATGAATTGCGGGCACATTGAGAATTTTGGCAAGGGCATCAGCCAATGTCGTCTTTCCCGTTCCTGAATTTCCGTGAATGACCACTCGGTATACGCCTTTTCCGTCTCCTTTCAAGGCAGGAATCTGGGGAGTGGACATGGCCGGGTCCAAGTTTGCTTAGATAAACATCGGGCGCTCGGCACCGTGGTGGAGTCAGTCGCCCAGAAGAAGGCAACATTAGTAATACTGGTACAAGCGGAAATTTACTTGGAAAGGCCGTCGGATTCCCTTCGGCGTTGATTTAGCCAGCCTCCACACATGCTACGAGATGTTGTACAAATTTATCGATGTCGAGCTTGATGGGGTCCCTTAGAGCCTTCTCTATATCCACTGATCGCTGGAGGGTTGACTTTAAGAGTTCCGAATACGTCTCGTTTGTTATTGACGGCATTTCAATGATTCTAAAGATGCTTAGAATACCCAGAACGGGAATCGGAAGGAAAGACCCACCGAGAGCCTCTCCAAGCTTGATAGTTGATCCCAACAACCTTGGAGACGTGATACTGCTTCGCTGTGAGATAGTCGTCTGGGAATAACTCGATGACGGTTGCACGCTTGGCCACTGGCATCCACATAACGTCCATAAGGCTCCGTCCGGTTGGTCCAAACATAATCTATTGGGGATGTAGGTCGGCGATAAGTCAAGCCCCAAAACGTACCGAGGTGGACAATGCGAGTCGTAATCTGTCGATGAAGTTGGTTGATGCGGTATCTACGACATGAAATACCAAGTCATGAGACTGTTCCAATGCTTTGGCAGCGTTGATGAGGGAGTCATGGGTGGTCGAGTCCAGCTTTCCGTGGTGATCCGAACTTGAGAAAACATACGAGATAATCAGTCGGTTCGACTTTGATTCCATGAAACCGATCATCTCGGCCAACCTTTTTCTCCAAGGAGCCCACCAGGTGTTACTGAGCGGCGTAAAGGCCAATAAAGGGGATAAAACCTCGAGACGAAGAAGTGAATGGTCGGGTTGTTGTAATATCCGAGGATTTCGAAAGGTGGCAGCACTGTCGAGAAGGACTAGGGTATCAAAGACGATCGGTCGATCGTGAGACGCGTAGTCATACCAATCTTCTTTGAATCCAATCCCAATGGATGGAAATATACTGCGGGGGGTCGTAGATAGCCCTGGAAGGGCATGCTGTTGCTTGATGGGAATATGGGGGAACAGCAGGCGTCTAGGAGGTAGATAGCTAGGGCCAGATCCTGTCCTGCTCTCCTGCATATAATGTGTTCGCAGAGCTTTGAGGACAGCAGAGTCGTCTGCATCTGTAGCAGATATAAATAAACAGCATCGGAGCGACAACTATAAACGAACATGCCAGAGGTTCGTTGAATAGCCACGTTGTTCCATGCAACCGACGAGCAGATAGACCAAGTAGACGAATTGCGGTTGCTCGATCGACGACGCGAATGCGATGGTGGGTAGGTTCTTCGGCAAGATAGATCCTGCGCTCAGGAACCTTTGCCCATGCAGAAATAACATGTTTGGGGATAGGTAGACTGCTTCCATTGTCCGAGACGAGGATGAGGGTACCATTGATACTATACACGTTTTGGAGCATCGTAAAGCCTACCCAGAGTCAGGCCAGCTGAACGCCTGAGAAAGACAAGTATCTTACCGGGAATATGGGCCAGACTGTATGTCTCTAGTATTGTTGCAGCGTCGTTCCACAGTACAGAGTGTTCGTGTGCGTGGTGTCTACCCGAGTGGTCGGTATCGGGAGCCTTTTCTGTAGGGACTTGCTTCTCGTTTGTTAATTCATTTTGGGTGTTGATTGAGAAGAATCGAAAGCAGAAGAAGCCGGCCACCGTCCAAGCGGCGAGGATCCAGAGACGGCGTGAAAAGCGGACATGTTGGAGCATTAGAGAGTGATATGTAGAATAGAATGTTTCTGAGTATTGTCGGCCCAAATCCCGGTCACAAGGCGTGTCAATGCGCGGAAGTCCCGGGCTCCAAGAATGGCAAGACAAAACAAGCAAGGCGGTCACAACCTTGGACCCGGACTCTTTCTGCTTTTCTTTACGAACAACGCAGCTTGTAGCTGCTACTTCCATCTTTTCACGACCACGACACGACTTCAACGACGCAGCAAGCAGCAATGAGCACAATCGGTGCCAATGGTGGCCAGGCGTCGCGGCTCAGACCGTACTTGACGACCGCCCAGCTCATTTCCCTTGCGGCTTTTGCATCTCCAATCATTTCTCTTCTCTTTATTCTCTTCCGCCTGAGGGCATCGAGCGATACTGCGCAGCACTCTATTGATGAAGCTAAGAATTCCCTCCAAGCCAGCTGTCTCGCCGCAGAGCGAGCAGCATCTGTTGGTGCCTCTCTTCCTCGCTATCTTGCTCAGGGTGTCAACGAGCAAATCACGGACGGCGTACGCGCCACCATGGAAGGTGTTCGCATCGGCCTCACCCTCAGGTCAGCGCCGGAGTTTTATTGTGGACCCTTTTTTGCTCACAGTATTTTAGCTTGACTGCTACAGAGGCGATCATCGAGTTCATCATTGACATGTACCGCTCTACTTTCCTTTGCCTGCTGGAACTTGTGATCAGAGGTGGATTATCGGTGGTTATTGCTTCGGTTCAGGAAGTGTGTACGAGCTACAATCCCAAACCTTCAGTGCTAACGAATGACAGATCACAAGCTTTATCAATACTACCCTTTCCTCCATTACGTCGGGGATCGCCAACGATATTCAGTCTGCCAATAACGTCATTCAATCGGCTGTAAACGCCATCAAGAACATACCTTTTGTCGGAAGCAACATCAACGTTCCTCAATTCAGCATTCCGAGCGCAGCGCAGCTCTCAAACATTCAGATTCCGACGACATTCGAGGACCAGCTCAAGTCGTTGAACAGCACACTTCCTACTCTCGATCAACTTCGGGACAAGCTTGACGCTGTCATCGCCATTCCCTTTGAGCTCGTCAAGAAGGAGATCAACGATACTTTTGCGGCATCCCAGGCGTCCTTTATTGCGACACCCCTCCCAGTGCCCAAAGAAGCCACCGTCTCTTTCTGCGGAGACACGATCAGCACGTCCTTTGACGACCTTGCAAAGACGCTCATCCGCGTCGCGCAGATTGGTATCGCAGTCGTCATCGGATGCATGGTACTTCTCTTCATAGCCTATGCATTTGTTACATGGTGGTCACAGAGGAGCCTTCGCCAGAACATCGAGCGTATCAAATCGCTCTGGTTCGGCGAAGGAAACGCAACCACGGATCGTCTCCTTGCGTTTGATGCATTAATCTCCCATCCCATCTGGAGTAGGATCGTACAGCTTCTGGCCGAAAGGTTTCATCTTTCCCAGGAAAAGTACGACGCTTTGACCTGGTTCGGCCTCTACGTTTTCCATCCGGCTCCAATGGCCTGTCTCCTCATCGGCATCTTTGGTCTCATTTCCGTCCAAATTCAGCTCGCCATCATCCCCATCATGACCCGTGGATTCTCAAATCAAGCGTCGAACGACATCAGCGATCTCTCTACCAGGATTGCCACCAAGTTGAACGAGACTATGTGGCAAGACTCTGTCACCTATGCACGCGCTCTCAATACACAGATTGGCAGCGTTCAGGACACGATCAACAATGACGTCTTTGGATGGGTCAACGCAACCATCGTCCCACTAAACAATACCATTGCGACCTTCTACTCGGAAGTTCAGGATGCGGTCAAGACCGTCTTTGGAAATACTCCTCTCGACGCGCCGGCACAGGAATTCATCCGCTGCATCATTGGAAGCAAAGTCACTGGTATTGAAAACGCCTTGACGTTCTTGCAAAAGAACTTGCATGTCGACTTGCCAAGAGTTGACGAGGGTGCATTGGTTCTCAGTCAATCCGGAGTCAACGAGGTGGCTACTCCTATCTCGGCGGCCGCTGTTGGTTCCAGCGATAATGGCCAGGATGGAGGGTTTATTGGAAAGATTATTGCGCAATACACCAAGGCTTTGGAGAAGGAGCGGATCACGTTCTTCATCTTCCTCCTACTCTGGGCATTGGTCGTGGTGGTCGCACTCTTGATCATTGCTTGGCACTTTTGGATCCTACCGGCTATTCACAAGCGTGGGTTGCGAGAACCTCGATGGCTTGCGGGTCCTCGTTGGGAAGGTACGCTTAAATTAGATAAGATACATGAGGCTCATGGAAATCGTAGACTCTATGACGTTTGTACCTGATCACGAGAGGCAAACCTCGATGGAGAAGGCGGATCTATACAACCACGGGCCAGCCGTCGTAGCAATACCATCACCACTTCGCAAGAACCATTCCGTCGCTTCTACCTCGACCAAGACGAGCTCCCAAGGCGATCATGTTCGTCAGCGACGAGCTGCGGATGCACAGGAAAAGGGTGACCTCGAGTCATTCCTCGACACGCATCCCAAGGAGGACGAGCAGGGAACGTTCTTTGGTCGACTCAAGAGGTTCACCACTGTCGGTCGCAGTACCCACATGGCCAAGAAGAATTCCAACGACGGCATTATTCCAGTTGCGAACCAAAACGTGCCACGAACCCGTCCATCGAACCCACGGACGCACGCTGGTACTCAATGGTTTGAGCGCCTTACTATCTGGAGGGGAGGATCTTCAGATGCGGAACCGAGCGTTGTGGAACCGCGAAAAGAACCTTCTCGACGACGTGCGCCCAGCAACCCTGGCTTGACAGTGGATGTGTCGAAAGCGTCTGCACAGTTCATCACCCCAAGGATCATCCTGGAGCATGACGATCGCCCGTCGGAACCTGTCGTCGTTCCGACCCCACGACGACCAAGTGTACCGTCTCGCCAAGGATCAGGAGACTCTAACGGGAGTAGGCGACCCGGCGATTATCTCTCTGTGCCAAAACCAGGTCCACATCGTCCACCAAAGCCTCCGGCATGGCTCGAAGCTGAGCGTGCTAAGAAGGCTCTCCCAGTCCTGCCAGACGAGCGGCCACGGCACTATGGACCCGAATCTGGCAAAGATCGGCAGCGTCAGAACTCTGGCTCGGATAGCGATGCAAGCCGTGGACCGCGTCGACCACCTGGACTTGGCTCTGACAATGAACGCTCCCGTCGCCCAACGTATCCCAAGCCTGCAGTCCTGTACGAGCCACGCGGACGCCCTTCGCAGTCAAGCCGATCTCGCCACTCTCGGAACTCATCGGTCCCACCGCTCTCGGAGCGCACACGTACTGACCCGAAGCGCCAGCAACAGCGTAACCGAGTGCTCTCGAGGCCCTCCTCATTTGATGCTGCAGACCCCTTTGCAACACCCGTGAAGAGGACGATGGAGCTCCCGGCGCCCCTCGAGCCTGTCAAGAAGAATTCTCTCCCAACCGAGTCGAGTGCCTTTGCCAACCCCTTTTCCACGCCATTTGACGATTCGAATGCGGTTTCATCCAAAGCTGCAAACACGGAGCTTCGCAGTAATGCCACTTACAACTTTTCTTTCCCAACTCGTAGGCTGAACGGTGCGATCTAGCTATCCGCCGGTGTCTTCTCCAATCTGGAAATGTCTGTTACGAACAAATGACTCACTCTCGTTCTCATACCCAAATGTAACAAAGGGTCTCCCTCTCGTTGGTCTTTGGACATCTGGTAGATGTTTCTGAATAGACCACGTCCAATCTTTCCATCATCTCGCTGAGTTCATAATAAGTGGTTTTCTTTCAGCCTTGCTCGATGTATAAGGGAAACTTGATCCCTACCATGTCCGCCATAGACGATGAATATCGGAATGATGGAGGGGATGACTCTGACCTCGATATGGACATGCAACCAAATGCTGGTGGATCACGATTCTCCGCTGCTGAGAAGGGAAAAGGTCGTGCAGGCCCTAAAACGAAAGCAGGAAAGTCAAAGGAGGTGTGTTAGCAGCCACTTCTGGACCGAAATCTGAAGAAACGCGTCTCTTCAGATATATTCATGGGAAGAATCGTACACTAGATCGTGGGACGTCGTCCAGGAGGACGAAGAGGGTAGCCTTCAACAGGCGGTTGGCGACTTCTTAGCAAGGAGTCGAAGAAAACGGTACCAGTCACCTATTTATCCCATTTATTTGATTTATTCATTGCAGATAGTCTACAGGCGCCTACGGAGACTGTCAGGCGAACGATTATACGACACTTGATCCTTGTCATAGACTTATCGGCTTCTATGACAGACAGGGACCTGAGACCAAATAGATTCGACCTCTCTTTGGAGTATTCCAGGGAGTTTGTCACGGAATGGTTTGACCAAAACCCGCTTGGTCAGATTGGCATTGTCGGCATGCGAGAAGGCGTTGCAGAAAGAATTTGCGGTCTCTCAGGTAAAATTTTTGTCTCCCTCTGGTTAAAAATCTGACCCATTCAAGGTAACCCACCTGATGTCCTGAAAACCATCGCAGACAGGCGAAATCTGGAACCTGCCGGCGAGCCAAGCCTTCAAAATGCGATAGAAATGGCTCGTGGCAGTATGAGGTGACACTTTCTCAATTGTTATGTCTGTGGAGCTAAGTCGGAAATCAGCCACCTTCCCACTCACTCTTCTCGAGAAGTTCTTGTCATCTTTGGGTCTTTGACGACGTGTGACCCAGGAAACATCCACGAAACCCTGAAAAGTTGCGTGGAAGACAAAATTCGTGTCTCGGTCGTTGCACTCGCAGCAGAAATGAAGATCTGCCGAGACTTTTGCACGGAAACAGGAGGTTAGCAAGAATGTGCCTCGGTTCACATCAAGCTTACCGCAAATTTAGGGCTATTTGGGGTTGCAATGAACGAAGGGCACTATCGTGACATGCTCTTTGAGCACGTACCCCCGCCAGCTGTACGAAAGATAGAAGCAGTCGCAAAGATCTCCAACGGGAATGGCGCGGGACCCGCACCCGCAGCCGCCACAGGGGAGCTCATGATGATGGGATTCCCGACGAGGCTCCCAGAGACATCAGCACCAAGCCTCTGCGTCTGTCATGGGATAATGAAGAGCGAGGGATACATATGTCCAAGATGTCTCTCGAAAGTTTGCGACATTCCTACGGATTGCAACGTCTGTGGTCTGGTCATTGTAAGCGCACCCCATCTTGCCAGAAGCTATCACCATCTCTTCCCTGTAAAGCCTTACCAGCCTGTGTGAGTATTATCCCTTGTTACATCGAAGGTGCTGATCGTTCGCTAGAAAAAGACTACTGCCAAATGAAGATCCCTCCCTCGCTTGCAATGGATGCGGAACCACATTCTCGCTCACAAGCTATGCTCCTACAGCTGCGACAGACGCGGATGCCGGAGATGGACTTAGCAGATTTGGGCGATATCGTTGTCCGGAATGCAAAAAGGACTATTGCTCAGAGTGTGATCTATTCGTCCATAACGTACTTCATGTTTGTCCTTCTTGTGGAACATGATCTTGTATCAACTTGTAACCTACTATGTCTCAGGTTGTCTCTCTCCATCTAAACCGGACCCCTTCCGATGTCAAAGGGACAAAATATCGGCTTCTTGAACTTCCGACAGACTTTTGCAAACAAATAGAGGATCCAAACTCTGGCCTAAAGTGACGATCAGACCAGCCAACGACGACAGGGAGAACCTGACATGCTATTCCAGACTCTGTATAAAGGGAAGAGAAGGAGATGATGCAGTACTCTGTACAGAAACCAAGACATATGCTCTGCGCTCGGTCAACATCTCGAATGCACTGATTCTGGCAAACGGGGCCTCGCGTGCTGAAGAAGCGACGGACGATCTTTTTCTCGGAAGTGATATTCATGAGATTATGGAGATTGTTCCTACTATACCTAGGATCGCGCGATTGCTCGGCATGCTTCGTGGATCCGAATACGGCGAGGATGAACCAGGAAGTGATACGGAGATGCAAGTCGACGATGAAGTGGGGTCACCTTTGGAGATTACTGCTCTCTGACACTATGTTTCAGCCAACACAAAGATATACCCGCCAGGATTTGGCTCAAGTAATTCAAGCAAGTGATGAAGAACTCGCAAAAGCCATCAAGCAAAACCATATTCTAGAGCTTGATGGTGATCAATGGTGTATTGTAGGTAACGCTGTCTGAAGCTTTAACAGGTTATCTTCGGCCGCTACCTATGCACCACTTGTCCAAAATCTTAGTCTACATCTTCACCTCGCTCATCTCTCATGGTATATCCCGAAAGGACATATCCGTAGAGCAGTTGACAGCCATCCTCAAGGACGAACACGAGGTTCCCGTCTCGGTCTCTAGGCAAGTACTGGAATGGTTTGGAGACATCGAGGATAGCAAGTGGAAGATGAACGAGAAGGCGTCGGTGCAGCAGGTCGGACTTGGCCTCCTGCGACCGTATTCGGTGACCAAAATATCATCATCTCGTGTGTTTGCTCACAAATATACAGCATCTCAAGGTAAAGGAGGTTGAGCTGCTAGCAAGTTGGCGAGATGCCGTCGGAGATGTATTTGCCGACCAGGTAGATTTGAAGCTGCTCCGAGTACGTGCACGCATTCAATGGGTATGTTCACTGACTTTTCGGACAGGGAAATTTTTTGCTTTATCCAGCCGATGGAGCGAATACGAGTCAGACCATTAGCTACTTTCCCCGGTCCAAGCTATCTACGGACCCATTGACAAGATTCAGCGAACTGTTTCTTACTCGAGTAAAGTGGAAAGAGGAGGATATCGTTGCATTCTTAGAGGACATTGCTGTCGACAAAAAGGAGTGCGACCGACTGTTGATGAAGTTTGCTCGCAGGAGTGCAGAGAGAGACGGAACAGTGTATTATACCGCGAGATCTGGACATGTGTAGCAATGTGCATGTCGGCATTAGCACAAACTCTGAGGTATCTCACGTGATCACGCTCACTCAGCCTCTGACCGTGCATGCCGGTTTCAAAGATCACCATCGACGCTATACGCGACGCCCTTTCAAAGGATACATCAGGTAGCGAGAGCGTACTCCGCGTGTTAGAACGCCTGCCACAGCTCCTGGACGCACAGGATGATCCAATCGCTGTCCAGAGAGCATGGAATTCTGTTTACCCAGATCTTAGGGGGTTATCAAGTGCAGAAGGAGGCCCCCTAGATAGAAATATTCTCGATAAACTGGTCAATGAGGTCTCCTCGGTCACGGTAACATTGGAAGAATTTCAAGAGGTGGCGCGGCAGGTTTTGGATAAGATTAACGCGCAAAATAGTGACATCGCGTCAATTCTCCTTCCTCAGGCCAGAGGGAAGCTGAAGGAAGAAGCAAATGTTGCTTTTCTGCTTCGTGCGCTCGCCCTTCAGCCCAAACGAGTTCTGCCACCGGGCAAAAGCTTGCTCTCACTCTTTAGCAAGGGGAAGGATGACGCTGATGAAGAGAAGAGGAAGAGGGCTCAAGAAGTTGAGGCGGTTATCAAACGCGCGTACTGGGATGCAGTAAGCAGCTCTCTCAAACCCCACGACATCTCACTGACGACGAGCAAAGGCATACGAACAACTGGCATCCCCTTCTCCAGATGTCCAGATACCTCGGATCAAGGTGTTCTATCACGACCTCTGGGAGGCGTTGAAACCCCTCGTGCCCCAAACACACCCTCTAATGGTGATTCTCACATCACCATTGTCACCATCATCCAATCCACTAGCTTCTGCATTACATTACCTTCAAGCGGCACTCACTTTGATGAGATCACTGTGTGCTCCTGCTAGGGACGAGGCAATAGACGAGTCGCTAGCCTCTCTTGCAAAAGTCGACAAACTTCATGCGCCGAGAGATGAGCTCGCAAAGGCATACACATCCGGGATCAGATTTGCCTTGGATATGTGCGGGACCATGGTCGATGATTTGCAGTCGTTCATGGCCAAGTATGGCAACGAGTCCAATGTCGCCGCAATGCTCCGAGCATCTGCTCGTGAGCATGAGCGGCAGGCAATTATAGGCGCTTTTGGAAAAGAGGAGATTCAACGTGCCTGGAAGGAATGGGCACAAAAGTCATGGAGAGATCAAATGGTCGACGTGGTTGGCGATCTCAATCCCTTGATGCAAGCCGCCGATCTCCTTCCTTCAACGCTCATCATGTCACGCGTAGACTTGGCCGAGGCTCAAACGCTCCTCCTTGGTCTCGTCATATCCGCATCTATCCGTACACTTGTTCCTGCCCTCTCGCAAACACGACTTGTGACTCTATATAACAACAACTCCAAAGCCATTGAACTGGAAAATCAGTTCATGGGTCGAGTTTGGACATTGATCGGCGCCGACCCATTCGCCACCGATCACGCGACACAGGAATCAGACATCGACAATATTGCCGCCGAGGTTTTCCGAATTTGGAAGCTGAGGAATCCAAATGAACAGAACATCTCGGCAAAAGAGAAGGAGTTTGGTGACATGGTCAGACGAATGATCAACGAAGAGACCCACCCTGTTCGTGTGCTCCTAAAGAAGCGAGTCACCGACGCTCTGAAGGAGAGACTAGCGCAACCAATTGTACCCATCAAACAGGAAGCACCCACGACTGTCGCCGCCGGTCGGGCCCTTCAACCTACCGCTCGGCTTAAAAGCTCCAAGATATTCCCATCTGACCAGAAAGAGACAGATCTGGTCATTTCTGGGTTTGGTGACCCGGTCCTGAAGAATCACCTGCATCAAATCTTACATATTCTTCGGGTCGTAGAATCATGGGTTGAGTACGTTTGGAAAGATATAGAATAACGGTATATACATGTATAATTTGTGTGATTGAATGAATCATCTATCCAAAGTAGAGATTTTCGTCCGATGAGGATTCTCGCAACTGTGCAGAAATTGGGTCGACAATGTTTCGTAATGCAGAAATGACGGCTTGTGATGCCATTGTGAGGGACCAAGAGCTGACCGCCTTGATACGTCGGTTCATATTCATCTTGGTAACATGGTATGCCAATGCTCCATAGACCTGCAGCGCGATGGCATCGGTGAGTCCCGTTTCCCATGCTGTCCACGATCCATCAAACTCGGAGAGCTCTTTGACTACCGTACAGTGGATTGGGATCAACGTTCGGTTTGCGCTGTCGTGGGTCAGTTCCAGTCGAAACATGTTCTCAAAAACACAAACTTTATGAATGCAACAATAGGCCGTACGAGGGCATTGTTGGCGTAAGAGAGATCCTTTGTGAATATGGGTACTGCGGCTTTGAGGTCCCGGAAGCGAAGGTCAATGTCAATAACAACCTCGCTACCGACACCAAGCTTCGTCTTGCTTTCTTCTCGTTCGAGTTCCCCATCTGGTGAGCGTAATGCAGGCTTAGCCAACTCGCGTTGACCCGGAATACGATCTGAGAGAGACATATGCCTCATAGCGACATCGGTAGGCGTGCTCTCGCCAGATGATGTGGCTACGGAGATGTTGTGGGCAATCTCGTTTATGAGGGACGAGATGTCCACTTCTCCAGACGCATCGCGCGGAAACTTGATGTCGAGCACGGCGTCAACTTTTCCCGAAGTAATCCAAGAGATCGGGCCGGCACTACTACCGGTAGCAGCTTGCAGGTGATCGATATTTACACCATCAATACGGAACCTTGACTAATCGGCTTCAGTATGAGGTGAGCAGATTAATGAATCCCTTACCATTCGTTTCCACTGGGTATCCTTGAGGTCTTCCGCCATCGTTCTCCCAATGCTCTGTGGCTCATGCAGACTAAAGAGACAGTTATCGAACTGCCCAACAATACTTTTGGCCGAAAGAAGGTCGTAGAATAGCCACTGCTTTCGTAAAAGTCGGAAGTCGGCTTGAAAGATGCTGGCCATATACGGACGAAAGTTTGGTTGATAGACGGTGACGAGCACATCTTCTAGCTGGAGAGATTCCAATTCAAACCCGGGATTAGGATGGCGGAATGATGCAGGATCTAAATCGTCCGTATCCATAGATATCAAGCGTCGGTCTAGACAATTGTGAGCCGCTTCATTTCGATTTCAATGTGTCTACTCACCAACTACACCGCGAACACCTTTAATGGTCGCATTTTGAACGAGCCCTTTGCCATCAAGCCAACGACTCAGTGAGAGCTCGACGTCGACAGAATCGACCTCTAAATCAAATGTGGTGATTCGTTGGTCCGGTGTCAGTTCATCGATACTCTCAATCTCGAGCGTCCGTGGAGCGACAAAATGTTCGATATCGTCCTCTCCAGAATGGTGAATGGTAGGGTGATGAACGTCCAATCTAGTGGCCGCGGTATGTGCAGGATGACTAGCTGAATCTGGAGACTTCGGCGCATCTTGTGACAAATGAGAGGTGAGATCAGGGTGACGAGAGATGTATGTTTTCTTGAAGGATATCTTGCCGTCCTTCCATTTCGGAACAATAGCGGATTCGAAAACGACTGTCCAGCCCGTCTCTCTCGTAAGGTAATCGCTAATCTTTCGCGCGACAAATTCTGACCAAGTTCAGCAGCCTGCTTACGACACATATTGCTCATACCTTGCATACGAAGGCTGTTAAAGGTTGCAAACACCACAGAGAAGAATGTAGTTCTAGGTCGCATGAGAAACAAGAGCTTGCAAAGCGGATAGGGTAACGTACGTGCCCAACAGAATCCAAACAGCTTGCCCAAAGACGATCCAGCTGAGGAATGCCGACATATCGTCCGTGTTGAATTTTCTAAAGCCACGTATCGTAAACCATTTGAATCGTATCCTCAGTCGCTCCCAGAATCCATTGGCCAATGCCAACATTTCGTCCTTGGTAGGTCGATGCAATGGAGGAAGAGAAGAGGTAAGACGTTTGACATAGGATGGATAGTCGGTTGTATGCAAAGTACCGTGTTTGTCTTGATCTTTGAGCTGCGAGGTGCCGGGATGCTTGTCGTGTGCGGCAGGGGTTTGCGCGTCATTGGACGCAGTTTTGCTTTGGGTATCGTTGGTGGATCTAGTGATCTGAGATGACATAAATGCACGTCTTGAGAGTGATATCGGGCTGAAGGCCTTTGGTTTTGCATGCCTTGTTATTGCATGCAGCGATTGGGGTTTTGCGCGATCTATCGACGTGAAAAAGGACCGTATCATGAGGTATCTTTGCCTCATTTCGACACTATAACAAGTCAACATTTTTGTAGCGCGCGGGACTGTCGAGTTTTTGACCTACTTTGGCTTGTGTCGGGCAATGACCGCAAGAGAACGGTTTGCTCCAGGTTCGAGCAATGCTATTCGAGAAAGCATAGGTAAGATAGAATGTAAAATGGCTCTTGGGAGCCTTTGCAGCGATCCAATGTTTTGCACCGGTCGAAGTTTGTGTCGCAACTTGGAACCCACCGCGTCTAATGAAATTACGACAAGCCGCCTTTGCGGCGCTATCACTCGCTATTTCTCATGTTCAACGCACATACGCATCTGCGTTGACAACGGCTATCCCAGCAGGTCAGAAGATGTGCTTCTATGCCGAAGTGGACAAGGAGAAGGAAAAGATTGGCGTATGTTCCTTCTCGTCTATGCGAAAGAATAGGCTAGATGCTAACTCTTCCTCCTCGTATAGTTCTACTTTGCAGTACGTTTCCTCGCCACGTTGGCCGACCTATTGGCATGCATGTGGCCGTTGCTGATCCCTTGTATACTTTAGGTCCAGTCTGGAGGCACATTTGACATCGATTTCGAAGTCAGGGACCCGCGAGATGTTGTCATTCTAGATGGCAAGCAGGAACGACAGGGCGACTATATCATGACGGCCAATCATATCGGAGAATACTCGTTCTGCTTTGAAAACGACATGTCGACGATAACCGAAAAGCTAGTCGACTTTGATATCATGGTCCGGTGGTCCTCCGTGCGCAACTATCACACACTCATCCCCGAGACAGGTCGAGAGCGAACCCCGAAAGGAGACACCAGGGAAACCTTCGCAACTATCTGAGCATACTAGCGCGCTCGAAGAGAGCATCTTCAAGCTCAACGGCATGCTTTCGAGCATCGAGCGTTCGCAGAAGTAGTACGTGACCCTCTTGCAGGAGTTTTGCCACTAAATTGTTGCGTATCAGCTTTCACACTCGCGAAAACCGCGGTTTCTCGATTGTAAAGTCGACCCACGAGTGAGTGCCGCGGAGTGAATGGCGATTGCAGGGCTAACTCTTGCCTGTCCCTCAGCCGTATTTTCTGGTACTCTTTCCTGGAATGTATCGGGATCGTGGGCATGGCTTGGTGAGCATTCCGAAGGATTCTTCCGCCACGGACCCTGACCATTCACCCGGCGACAGTGCCCAAGTCTATGTTCTCCAGACATTCTTCAACCGCACCGGTCGCAAGTACAAGGTATAACCATTCGACCGACGCTGGGACTGGCTGCTTGATTCTACTCGTTTTGATAATGGCCAATGTAGTCGGCAAATGTAGATTTCAATCTTAATTATTCCCGTTCCGGAAGGCGCAGGAGAGACTGCAAATCTGCGGGGCGTGATACGCTCGCTCCTTAGATCCCGCCTCTGCCGTCCAAAAATCTTCGACGACAATGTCCAGGGTGCCCTACGCAGCCTCGAAATCCATTGCAAAATCAGGAAAGCAGATTCGCACTCTGTTCTCTCTTCCACCTTCGTTGAAGCTCGCTGAGCCGCCCGTCGTCGCTCGTCCGGCAAGTCCAACGGCCCCATCCCGCGCTGTACCCCATCAAAACAACCATTCGGGCCAAAATCCCCCTCCTTCGTCGTCTTCTCTCCATGCATCTCAAAATACAAGTCCGGCGATGCTCTTCGCGCCGCTGCCCGTACCAGGGAGCTCGATGCATATTTCACCCTTGTGGATGTTCGCCAGTCCCTCGCATCAGCAGACACCTTCAAACTATCGTTTAAGCTCTGCTGGTCATGGGATTCCCAAACCACGGCATGCGGCCTTGCCAGAGGAGGACAAGGCGCTCACGTTAGCCGTGCAAGTCGGCGAGGATGCTTATTTTGTGACTCAGAATGGCCTCGGCGTTGCCGACGGTGTAGGAGGATGGTCCTCTTCAAAACATGCCCATAATATCCCCGGTCAACGGTCCAATTCGTCCCTTTTCTCGAGACGGCTTATGCATTTCTGCTCACAAGAGCTCCAGAGATGTACAGGAGAACCAGATCCCGTCCAAATCTTGCAAAGTGCATACAACATCACCGTCGGACTGTCCATGGCAGAGGGAATCATGGGTTCATCAACCGCTCTCCTCGCGGTGCTTTCCAGAGACGGCCACGAACTCAGGGTGGCGCATGTCGGAGACTGTTGCCTATTCCTGATCCGGAATAGGGAAATAATTTATCGCTCAGAGGAGATGCAGCATAGGGTGGGTCACCTTTGCTTGCCTACGGCATAACGCGTGCCCTCTGGATTCGGCAACTAACTTCTGGCTAATAGTTTAACTACCCTCTCCAACTGGGTCCTCTTTCACCAACCACACCTCAACAGCATGCTCAAGCAATCACGCTTCCTGTGCAAGAGCAGGACGTAATCATCCTGTCCACTGACGGCATGTCTGACAACCTGTGGGACGAAGATGTCATTGATCAGCTTTCGAAACTTGCGGGACCAAGTCTCGAATCCAATTATCAAGTCCCTCCTGATGCTGAATCTGCCGGCGGCAGCCCCTCAATTTCCGCCACACTCCGCACGGCCCTGTTACCGACAACGCTATCGCATTCGTTATGTACACGGGCACGCACCGTGTCCGAAAGCGGACCTTGCTCGTGGCCGCCAAACGCCTTGTCAGCTGACACGCCGTTCAGTCGACGGGCGAAACAAGAGGGATTAGAATATGAAGGTGGCAAACCAGATGGTGAGTTCGGCTTGTGATTCTAGGATCTAGAACCCACCCATAGGGGTCGCGACCTTGCGTGGCGGGTTCGCCTATGCTTGAATATGCCCAAATACATCAACTGACTCCTTTTTTTTTCTATATTACAGATATTACCGTTGTGGTCGCTGTGGTATCGAGATCCCGATAAGGACTCGGCGACGCTTCTAGGCTCCAGCATGCTCAGTATCTTATCACACCTATTTTGAGGGGAATCCTCCCAGGACTGGCGCTTTACTCGCTTCCTCTCATACGCTGATCGCGTATGATGAGGGTATCTCCTCGCTCATAAACCTCTGCTCCGCATCGCGTCTCAAGAACTCTCTGTATACCGACCAAGGATATGCTCCCACCACCATTGGATTTTGGTTGTTTTATATCACCGCTCATCTTCCTGTAGACTTTGTATGCGTATACTAATCCACTTGTTGGCTCTCACACTACATCACTGAGGAGCCCGGCTAATGAAGGTCTTGGACTGCTCTGTCCAACTGTCTGCAAGGTAATCCACGCTTCTATCGGACCGTCCTCTCAGTTTGAATTCTCCCGTCAGCAACCGGAGGTTTAGACGTCATACAAGGTCGCCCTTGACTCGAGTCTCCGATTCGAGGTTCTCATCTTGCTTGACCATGCGATTTCTTATTCAGAAAGTCGATCGACGACTCACGATCATCTTTATCCACGGACCGGTTCGGATGTTTATGCAGCGATAAAAGAGGTGGCTCATCATCTCGACAACATTCTCCAACCTCAAATCATATCTTTACCTCCATGTCTAAACCTCTCCATGTACTCATCATAGGCTCTGGTGTAGCTGGTCCCGTCTTGGCGGCTGCACTCCGCAAGACGACGGATTATCGTATCACCATTGTCGACGCGAACCCAGAGAACACTGCGTCGCCCATTGGAGGTCCATACACATTCTCTCCAAACGGGATCAACACACTCAAATTTATTGGCGCCGAACATATCATTCTGGAGAACGGATTCCCCTTGGATGGGCTGTCCCTGATTCGAGGTGACACAAATACTCCATTGGTACAAGAGAAGATTGCACATCTCTTCAAGGAGAAGTTTGGCCATACGGTTTGCAAGTTTTGTCTCCAATTGGTATAGTGTCTGACTCTTCGTAGACCCATGGAATCCAGCGCGCAGTTTTCTGTCAAAAGCTTCAGGATTTTATCAAAGACAAGGATATCACACGATACTTCAACATGCGCCTCGATAAAATAGAAGAGTCCGCCGACTCAGTAACTGCTCACTTCCGCAACGGACAATCGCTCAGCGCCGATCTCATTATTGGGTGTGATGGACTGAATTCAGCGACACGTCGATATGTGGTGGGAGAAAAAATCAAGCCTCGTTTTGCTGGAACCGGCAACGTACTGGGCATCTCGAAACTAACTCCAGAAGAGGACGCCACCTTGTTCCAGGGGATGAATATCGCGCTTGGACCTGATGCCTTCTTCGGTTGCTTCCCTTGTGGCGAACACACCTGGGGCTGGTGAGTGTTCTATAAAAATGGCTCGTTTCCACCTTTGACAACTCTCCATAGGTTCAATATCTTCCTGACCAAGGACCCTGCTACCGAAGAAGTCGAATGGGATAAAGACCACCCTTCCCTGGATGCGCACAAGAAGATTGTCCAACGCAAGGTCCAAGGCTGGAAGTCATCCATTCCGAATTTAATCATCTCCCGAGCCGTGCGCAGTGTTGCGCTAGGTCTCTACGACCGTCCTCCCATTAATACATGGCACAAGGGTCGCGTCGTTCTGTGCGGAGATGCGGTTCATCCGACAACACCGACTGGTGGGCAGGTGAGCAGATTTCTCTTTGTATACTCGAAGCTTGACGACTTTCCCTAAGGGATCACAAATGGCAATGGAAAGCGCAATTATCCTTGCACGCCTTCTTGCGGCGAAGGGACCTTCAGATGCGACATTTGCCGAGTATACGGCCCTTCGTCGTTCACGTACAGCTACTGTGACAGAAAACTCCCGCTTCGCATTGTCCATGATGATTCCGCGTAATGCCATCATACGAACCCTGCGCGATTGGTTTGCCTGGCTCGTGATGCCATCACTTTTACGCAGTGGGATACGCGGTCAATATTCCTACGATGCTGGAACTATTGTTCTTAACTAGTTAATCTGTAATAATTACAAGGGGTACTATAGACAAAGAGAATTCAAACTCGAAGATAAGCTAAGCACCGAGGAAGAGATATAAACCCCTTATTCACAGCCTAGAAACGGTGGAAATCTCAAAAAGTATTCCTAGGTCATCATTTAAGTGGAGGGTTCACAGTTCAGAACCGGGATCGAGATTTCTAATCAAACCGCCGAGTCGGATGTCTATAAGTGCTGGCCTTGGAGTTCAATTCGGTACAGTATCCAGATTAATGTGCTAATACCGGGATGAGTATCACTAGTTCCTCGGTGGCAGCCCCTCGGCATAGGCTAGAATATAAGACGCACTTATCCTGTATTGTTGAATTCAAACTCTCCGATAACAACCGGAGGTTACTACATTCAAGGTGTATTATGGAGGTTATGCCCTCACTCGAACACCCGACTCGGAACTTCCATCCACGGTAGCCCTACATTCTTTTATCCAGACAGTTGAATTACCGATGAGCTCAACATTCAGACTGGATCGGATGTTTATTGTGGGATAAAACGTGCCCCATAGTCGTTGAGCATAGTTCGGCAACTTCTACAACCCGATCCATACGTTATGGCCACGTCCAACCCTCTTCATGTGCTCATTATAGGCTCTGGTGTGGCTGGTCCCGTCCTGGCGGCGGCACTCCGCAAGACGACAGATTATCGAATTACGCTCGTCGATGCTAACCCTGAGCACTCTGAGTCTCCTATCGGAGGACCATATGCATTCTCTCCAAATGGGATCAACGCCCTTCGATTTATTGGAGCCGAACATATCGTTCTTGACAACGGACACGCTCTCGAAGGGATGTCTGTGATCCGGGGTGACACAGACAATACGTTGATACGAGAGAAACTTGCAGATATTTTCAAAAGCAGATTCGGTTATGCGGTCGGCGATCCATTATCCCAACCTAGTATAGTATGATGATTGACTCTTAATAGGTTCACGGTATCCAACGCGCAGTTTTTTGTCAGAAGCTTCAGGATTTCATCAAATACAAGGATATTACACGACACTACAACATGCGACTTGACAGAATCGAAGAATCCCCCGACTCGGTAACTGCTCACTTTCGCAACGGAGAAACACTTACTGCCGATCTTCTCATTGGATGTGATGGAATACACTCAGTAACGAGAAAATATGTTGTGGGAGAAGATGTCAAACCTCGCTTCGCGGAAACCAGCGACGTACTGGGCATCTCGAAGCTCAGTCCGGAAGAAGATGCCACATTGTTCCAGGGAATGACCATCGCACTTGGACCTGGAACCTTCTTTGGATGCTTCCCATGTGGTGACCACACTTGGGGTTGGTGAGTGCTCTATATCCATCGCTCATGACCTGCTTGACAACTTTCTACAGGTTCAACATTTTTCCCAGCAAAGATCCCGCTGGTGGAGAAGCAGAATGGAATAGAGAACACCCTTCAATGGACGGGCATAAGAAGCTTGTCCAGCGCAAGCTCCAAGGTTGGAAGAACTCCATTCCAGACTTGATCCTCTCCCGAGCTATACGGACCGTTGCATTGGGAATTTACGACCGCCCTCCTTTACCTACCTGGCATCGTGGGCGAGTTGTTTTGTGCGGAGACGCAGCTCATCCGACAACACCTATCGGTGGGCAGGTCAGTGGGCTCTTCTTTGAGTTGTCGAAGCCTGAAACATCCTTCAGGGCTCTCAAATGGTAATGGAAAGTGCAGTCATCCTTGCACGCCTTCTTGCGGCGAAGGGACCTTCACATGCCACATTTGCCGAGTATGCAGCCATTCGTCGACCACGTACAGACGCTGTGACTACAAACTCGCGTCGTACCCTGTTCATGATGATTTCTGGCAATGCCTTGATACAAACTCTGCGCGATTGGTTCGCCTGGCTCGTGGGGCCATTCTTTATACGAAGTGGGATACGCAATCATTATTCCTACGACGCTGGAAATGTTGTTCTCGACTAGGTATTGGTTTAATGAAGAGCCATATAGACCATTCAAAGGCTAGCGCTGAAGATCCTTGTCCCCGACTTCAACCAAGCAGGTTCAAACTTTGGCAGTGCAAGTACGAAGCGAGGTGGCACCATCCTTTCTGACATAGTCAATCAACCGTGAACGACCCAAAAGGCATCACTGGTTTCCTTTGCTGCTGCGGCGGTCATCATTCAAATGTCTCCGAGTACCTCAACTCAGTATATGAATCCAGACCTTCTAGTAAAACCGCCGAGTCGGACGTTTACAGCTTGATAAAGTGCTGACGTTGAAGCGATGGAGTACGTCGTGTGCAACCATGTCTTCGAATAAGCAGCTCAATGTTCTCATAGTGGGAATGGGTATCGCTGGTCCCGTAATGGCAGCTGCTCTGCGCAAGACTACAGACTATCGCATCACCATTGTCGATGGTGGGCCAGAAGACGCGCGTGCGCCCATAGGTGGCGCTGTTGGGCTCGGTCCGAATGGTCTCAAGGCTCTGAAGTTCATAGGTGCTGATAATATCGTCACCAAACGAGGCGGAAAGCTGGGAATAGTAACGGTTAAGAGGGGAGACAGCGACAGTCTGTTGATTCAAGAGCGACTGGGAGATCTATTCGAAGAGAAGTTTGGATATACGGTACAGTTCTTTATTGATTTTGAATCTTGCTCACGCAAGTAGATTTACTCCATCGAACGCCAAAAACTCTGTGATGGTCTGCGAGAATTAATCAAGGATCGAGGCGTCGATATACGCTACAATCTCAAAATCAGCAGAATTGAGGAATCTGAAAACGCCGTGACAGCACATTTCCGCAGTGGCGAACACATCACTGCCGACTTGGTGATCGCATGTGATGGCCTCCACTCCGTGGCGCGCCAATACGTAACAGGAGAAAATGTACAGCCGAACTTCACTGGAGCAAGCGTAGTTGTTGGCATTTCAAAATTGACCGCTGAAGAGGAGGCTACGATAATTCGTGGGGGAAATATGTTCCTGGGCTACGGTGCTTTCTTTGGTGCCTTTCCTAGCGATGAAGACCACACGTGGGCGTGGTGAGTTGGTATCGTTGAGCGTATATGTCATTGATCCACCACAGGTTCAACGGCTTTCCAAGCAATGATCCCGCTGGAGGCGAAGCAGAGTGGACAAAAGGAAACAGCAGTTTAGAAGAATGCAAGAAGATATGCGAGAATAAGATTCAGGGTTGGGAGGCATCTTTACCTTCCCTCTTGATCTCAAAAGCCGTCCGGGCGGTCCCTCTTGGTATTTACGACCGCCCCCCTCTACCCACCTGGCATCGCGGACGGGTTGTGCTATGTGGTGACGCTGCACATCCGACTACTCCGATCGGTGGACAAGTAAGCAGCACAACCTATCGCTCTGCCAATGAATGTGACAACCCCTCCAGGGATCTCAAATGGCCATTGAAAGTGCAGTTATCCTTGCGCGCCTCCTCGCGGCAAATGGTCCCTCGGACGCAACGTTTAGCAAGTTTGCCTCGATTCGTCGCTCACGCACAGACAGAGTGACTGCTAGCTCGCGACGAGGCTTGTCTGCACTCGCGAATAACAGCATCTTACAGGTTATACGTGACATAGTAGTGCGCCTTTTCGGGCCCATGTTTATACGGAGTGGCATGATGGGGCATTTCGCATACGATGCTGGAACCGTTTCCCTTGAATGAATGACATGACTTCTGATATTCTACGACTTGTATCTAGTACTGCAATACGAGTGATCCAATTCTCCTCACTGGGTGTATGTTGAGCGTGAAGTTGGTCTAACGCGTCTTCAGCAAAAATGTCGTCGGACAGCGATCCATTCTACTTTCGGTACGCGAAATCTGTTCAGTTTTGTCGCATTTCTAATGATATTTTCTAGTTACTAGTACGTGTCAATGACTGGTCAAAATCGCTGGCTGCTGAACATGGACGGCAGCACGGGCCACTCTGGCAAGCACGGTCACGAGTTTCTCGAGTTTGAATACTCGCATGGTCGCCTCCGATACGCGAACAACTCGAACTATCGCAACGATTCGCTCATCCGTAAAGAAAGTGAGCACGCGCCATCCACGTTCAATCAAAGGCTGAGAACGCTAATATATATTCCCCTATCCCACTCTTTACATTTCATCTGGCTCATCCCTCAGTGTTCATTGGCCCCCTGGTAGTCAAAGAGCTAAAGCGAATTGTTGAGACGAGTGAAATCGTCAAGTAGGCTCCCTTCAACCTCTTTAGATAGTATTCACATCTCCTTCTCAGGGAAGATGACTCAAACTGGCCCAAACCAAACATCGTAGGCAAACAGGAGCTCGAAATTCGTATCGGCAACGACCATATTTCCTTCCACGTGGGTACACTCTGAACGTATCTTTCTCCTCCACTGAAATGCTCTATAGACTGCCAAGATTGGATCATTGATGGACGTTTCAGAGAGCGAGGACCCAGAAGGATTACGCGTGTTTTACTATCTTGTCCAGGACGTCAAAGTAGGTAGCTGATTCGACCCGACCAATGTCTCACATTTGCACAGTGCTTGGTCTTCTCCCTCATTTCTCTTCACTTCAAGATCAAGCCCATCTAACCGAACAACGTATTGCACAAAGCTTGAATAAAAGATGCCCCGAGGATGATCGGGGCGGCGTTCGATTTGTGTAACTGGTAAGCATCGAGAAGCAAGGGTCTGGATTCATCTCTAATGGTGATTGTACAGAATGAGACCAAGCGGCAACATAGACTATAAGCCACAGGACGTGTCAACGACGCTTTGACAGCTAGTCCTGTTGATGAAAGGAACACGGAGACAAGATGAGGGGTAACCCAAGGATTGCCCATTGGATCTTTGCTGGATAATGATGAATTGAGTAAGAAAGAAAAACGATATGATTGGGTTAGAATGCGCATGAGCAAGTCAACCCAGGCTCGTTTAACGGCCGTTAACATTGTCTGAGAGTGGCTTCAACTTCTGGTCCGCCTTTTCGAGGTCACCTTGGGACGGAGGGCCCCGACCATTGGCTGGTGTGGTCGAACCAGACATACCGCGGGAGCGAACCTTGGTGTGGAGAGGGCTAATGGACGGTCAGCGTGAACAAGATCGTAGGTATGGATACGCACAAGGGGTAGCTATCATCGTCTTCCTCGACCTTGCGGATATCTGTCCACGACTGTGTGCCATTGTAGTCGGTAGTAGCCAGATGTTGCATCTAAAGGAGAATGAGCTTGGTTGAATAGACAAAAGTGGTGGCAAACCTCTTCTGTGAGCGTTCCAATATCTCCGGGAGTCATTGTTCCTCCGCGGAAACGGGGGCTTGCAGGGGTGGACAAGGCCATCTTTTCAAACGGCGTGTTCATATCGAATCCATCGTCGTCGAAAGCATCGGGGTAGGCTCTCCTCAGCGCAAGCTGCCTCGCCTTTGCATACTCGATACCAAGGTTCTTCCAGTCAAGCAACGGGGAGAGACGTTCGACACGGTTGCGTTGGTTAATGCGTTGGCGCCGGGTCTTCTGGCAGAACGAAGTCATAAAGTCTGTCAATTGGTTGACAGAATCTTCGATCGACTGGGATCTGCGGTCGACAATGTAGCATCCTTCCTCCTGCGAGATATGAGCACACGGATGGCCAAATTCCAGTGGTACACGTACACTTGGATTCTCGATGATATCGTTCATGAAGCACCCGAAGCCAGAAAGGTTTGTCGTGATGGATGGGATACCCATGACGGTGCACTCAGAGGGAGTATAGCCCCACGGTTCGTAGCTGAAGCCGGTAAGTAATGAGCCCGAGGGAGCGTAAACAACGTACTATGAGGGGAAGACACCAAGGTGGCATCCGCGAACAAATTCCTCATAGTCGAGACCCAAGATGGGGTTGTTCGAGTTCAAGAAGTCGGGGTGGAAGATGATCTTGACTCGGTCGGTCGACCTATTGAAGAGCTGAACGCGGCGAATCTGGTTCAGAATTGGGTCGTTGGCGTCATCGTTCATATTATGGGTGACCACAGGCGGAAGGGTGTGTCGCTTCAGGGCAAAGATACGTCGCTTGAGGAGGACCTTGTCTTCATTTGACATGAGACCCTCTAGATTTGTGAGATCGACATTGTCATTACTGTTGAAAAGTTTGATTATCAGCTCGGGAGATCAGATGAAGAACTTACGTATGATATCGGGCCGCCTTGTCGAAGAGTCGTTGACCGATACGCTGCTGAATCTCAACGACGGTATCGTGCAGTTGCTTGATGACTGCTTGTCCTTTCAACGCTTCGATGGTGTACGACTGCGTGGCTGCGGGCATGATGATAAACGCAACGACAGTTATTGGCGAGTTTGCCTTTTGCAGACGGTGATTGAGGCGAGCCATAGATTCGATAAACATATCAACTCCCTTGTTACGATATTCGTAACGCCCGGCTGTGAACATCTAAAAGTCTAAAGTCAGCGGCGGTCGTCGAAGGCCAAATTTGGCCACGTACATAGAGTGTATTCTCGAGATCGAAATCATAATGACCGTAGAAATGGCCTCGCACGAATTCATTAATCTTCTCTTTGGCCCTTGCGTGCAAATTTTGGAATTCGTGCATGGCAGAGAATTTGACAACGTTCAAGCCATTGGGCAAAACTCCGTCTGGTTTGCGCTTGAGTAGATGTTCCGATTCGAATGCCGTGATGTGCGAGACGGTGGTAAAGACATCGGCAGAGTGTGCGGAGGAGCGCTCGATACAATAACGGTGATAGATACCGCGCTTTCCGGCCTCGTGATCGACATCAAAGTATTGAAGGTTGTTGTAAAAGTCGACGGAGCCCGCGCACAGATAACGACCAAGGAGAGTCGCGTGTGTGGTGAAAACGGTGCAGACATCGATGTGGCGTTTACGGCAAAGCGGGATGGCTAGTCCAGCTTGCCATTCGTGGAAATGTGCGACGATTGCCGTCTTGAGCTGGTGGGACGCAAATTCTCCCAGGAACCAAGCTACGAGATAGCCGAAGATGATGGTTTCGTTGGTCTCGTGATCATTTGGTGGAGTCGGGATGCCGGCAAGATTCCATAGATCCCCTTTCCACTCGTCCAGGCGGTGGTACATCGATCCCGTGTCGAACAGAAGTACACGGGGAGCACCTTCGATGAGCCACCGACCGTAGAGAATCTTGACACCCTGGTCACGCATCGATTTGAGTGTTTTGGAGAGTGCGTCGTCGTCTATCGGTTCCATTGCTTCGACTTCCATGGGCGCCGACTTGTAGGACAGAGGACCAATCAAGCAGTATCGATCACCGAATTCGGAGACGGTAACTGGCACCTTTGTCTTGATGACAGTGTAAATGCCACCAACTAGCGAGTCGTTTGTCAGTAAACGGATGCTGATTGGTACAGGGCGGAATGGTGAACTCGTGACGAAGAGTGGATGCCGCCGGAAACATCTTGCCAATAGCAAGTTGAGATGTTTGTTAGACAGTTGATACGCAACGCATGCGCTCAACGCAAGAGACGGTACCAGGGCGTAATGGGCCCGTCGCAGAGACTCGAGACGATTGCTAAGATGAGAATAGCGTCGCACACACCTTTGTTGGCTACCTCCCAAGCACATTCGAAGAGGAGTGGCCTGGTGGTGTCGCGAGAGTCAGAGGTGTCGAGGCTGAGGGCTGGAGGCATTTTGGGCGAGTCGGGAGAAGGATGAGGGGGAGATCAAGAGTGCTTCGAGCTTTGTCTATGATCTCTGGTGATTTATAACGCGCTCTGGCTGAGATCTAACCGGATGCCTGTGGCGGTCGACGGCAAAGAGTTTGGTTTGTGCCCCAACGTCACTCAACCGCGGCGATGGTGGAGTGGCTTCCATCTGGGGCACGGGCGGGAACTTCGGGCTGGCTCTCAGATCCTTCAAAGTATAATCTGCAATTTTCTGGGAATTTCTACAATTTTTGGGCGTCGTTGGGGAGAGCTGCCGGCGCGGGTGCGAAAACTTAGACATAGACCATATAGAGCAATCCGCCGCAATGAAGCAAATGAAGCACAAGGCAGTTTCCCATCGGAAACAAAAGTCCCAGGATATCGGTCCTCGAAGATCTACCGCAAAACCAGCCAAAACTCGGGAAGAACGTGCGCCATTGCCGTCCCCAGCGCCGCCGGCGTTTGATATCGTGATTCCAAAGGGACTACGGACCATCCTTGTCAATAGCAGGGCGCAAATCAAGCAGGGAAACGTAGGCTCCCGTCGGAAACTTTCCCCGCATACTGTTCGCTCACCGCTCATGTCTGCATCCAGATTCTCGTGCTCCCAAAGGAATATATAGAGTATCCTAATCTTCCAGAGATACACAAGACCCAGCATGTTCTCAACCTCGAGCAAAAGCCTCCCAACGTCGATGAAGTATGCGCAGAATTCAGCCGATACTACCTAGACGCGACCGATAAGACTCTCGAGAGTCCGGAAAAGAAGGAGGCTCTGGTCGCTGTGATTACGCGTGGGATACTTGTCTACTTTCAAAAGTGCGCATTCTTTCGCCTCTCAGACATCTACTTATAATGTAGAACACTGCCTACCAACCTGTTATACATGGAAGAACGCGGTCAATATGCGTTTCTAGACAACAAATATCGCACCGGTATTGGTTCCGCACATGATACTGGCGACGAGCCGGTCATGAGTGGTTGGTACGGCGCCGACCACCTTTTGCGACTGTTGGGTGCGTACCAGTCACATCTATGTGTAACCTCCCTGTTAACACTGATTCAGTCAAACTTCCCGAGATTCTCTCCCTGGGCTCTCTCGACAGCTACTCGATAAACCTCATCGCAAAATACGTCCGTGAGATGCTCGAGTAAGTCACCCCTCCATATCATTGTCACATGCTTACTGTCATCAGCTGGATGGAGGTGAACAAAGAGCGGCTATTCCTCTCGACCTCGTTGTATCGAAAAATACCGACCTGGTACCAGACAGACATTAGAAGTAGAGCGTCAGGGACAAAGACAGGAGGTGCTTGATCACACTTTTTTGGGCCAACGAAACATCATTGTAAACTAGACAGCATTTTCAATTTTGCATTCTTGCTTTCCTCCACAACTGTTCGCATGGCACCTAAACTAGTCCTTTCGCATCAAGCGTATCTATCTATGCTTTTACATGCCTCGAAGCACCCGCATCGAGCTGTAAATGGTGTACTCCTCGGTCCAACCTCTGGAGGGAGTGAAATTGTTGTCGAACAAGTGATACCGCTTCTTCACCATTGGACAACACTGAGTCCTATGATGGAACTAGGACTTGAGCTCGTCAGTATCCTAACTGTCTGCCATTCCGAGGCCTTCTCATACTACGTCGAATAGGCATCAACATACGCAGCAAACAGCGGTTTGCGAGTCGTTGGCTACTACCAAGCGAGTCCAACCGTTCATTCTCAAGGACTTGGACCAGTTGGAGAAAAGATTGTCAGCAGACTCCGCGCGTCTGTGCCAGACGCCGCTGGCATCCTGGTACGTTTCTACCGCAGTCATCTTCACCGCCTATTCTCACTCATCTTCAGATTCATCTTGACGAGTTACGATCAAAATCATCCAAGACTACACCCGGAATCGTGGTATGTCCCTAAACTCCTGCATCTGGTGACCACGAATTGACCGTTCAACGTTTGCAGGCCAACGGATCGAACCAAATGGAGCTCCAGGACCGCAATTCTCCAGCTCGAACGCTCGAGCTGATCAGCACCGGGCTTCAGACCAGGTTTTACGACTTTGATGATCATTTGGAAAACGTTCATCTCGATTGGTTGAAGAACGAAGCTTGCGCAGACAAGAATTGACGTAACTAGAGTCAAGGTCATTTTAACGTTACTAGTACGGAATATACGGTCGATTTGGGTCATATAAAGCTACAAGAGGGAACGCGTGCGCGATGATCAAGATGCGAGAGTATTATAAACTTAAGCCGGTGGAGGATTTTGAGGCTGTTGCTGCTGCGATGCATTCTGCTGTTGCTGTTGCTGTTGTTGCTGCAAGTTCGCTGCCATTTGTTGCGCAGCGGCTCGTTGGGCCAAAGCCTGTTGATGTTGTCGGAACATAGCCACCTAAGTGCGTCAGGGGCAGAACAATATCAGCGATAAAGCATGCTCACCTGCTCATTGGACATGGAGGACATGCTGATTTGCTGAGCCATTGCAGTGGCCTGCATTTGGCGGAAGAGTGGATTCATCATGTGTGCCTGAGGAGGCGTGCCACCCATAGCTGCCTGCGCCTGCGAGAGGATTGACGCAGCCGATTGTGGCCGGGGGGAGGTACCGTTGGCCATGGCAGCCGCAGTGGCGTTTAAGCGTTGCTGCTGTTGTAGAAGCATAAGCGTTGCAGGATTCATAGGATTGATCGCTTCGCCGTTTGGTCCCCTTGCAATACCACTTGCAATGTTGGCATTTGCTTGCTGAGAGATATTCGGGACGCCTCCTGGCAACCGAACAGGTAGCATGCCTGGTGCACCGTTAATGGGCATGTTGGGACCATTGAGAGCGATCGGTTGCATCGGGATTGGTCCTCCTGGAATGAGTCCCGCCGCCGCTTGAACTTGTCGGAATTTTGCTTCGGTTTGTTGGCGTATCTCCATCTGTCGTCGTTTCATCTCTGCAATGCGCTTATCTTCACCCTCCTTTCTGATGCGACCGAGTTCTTGGGGCGTATAGACCTTGTACTTCATTATGGCATCGTGAGATTGATGAGGCATCATAACGCGCTGCTGACCCTCTATAACCTGTGTTCAGTAAATCAAAAGGGGGCAGCATAGTATCTAACCTCTAGCTTTGGCCTCTTCCTCCCGACGCTTCATCATTCGTTTGATTGCTCGATGCACGAATTTGTGACGCATAAACTTGGCGTCGTCGTCGGTCGGACCTGCAGTGGGACAAAATTCTTCCACTTGTTTGGGCCTCCGTCCAGGAGGGAATGGTTTGAGTCGCCCCTCTGGGAAGGGTGCAGGTGACCTTCTTTGCTCGTCATCACCAAAAAGCAAGTCGTAGCGAACGAGGCACTGCCCCGGTGTTCTCTTCTCCATATCGTTGGAGTAATTGTAGAAATTGAACGCGTCCGCGATCATTTGCCAGTTATACAATAGCTCGGGAACTAGGCGCTTGAGCAATGCATCTTCGGCAGGAAACCATGGTACAGATCTAGTACCGGCAGCTATACAGTTGTTAATGAACGCTCCGCCCACTTCGTACCGCGGTTTTGCTGAGAAGATGTGAACACGCTTACTCATACCGTAAAGAAATATAATACCTGGACCTTCATTGATATACTTGAATGGATCACCTTCTTCCTTCTTGACTGGCTCTGAGTCGAAGCGTGTCCAGCTCCCTTGGTCCAGATGTGTCGATGGCTGAAGCACACTGAGAATGAGAGGATTGGAGTCGGTATAGCGTGAAATTGGGATGGTATCTGTCTGAACTTCGTCTTTTCGATGGCGAGTCTGCCCTGAAGTGGTGGGATCGAACGGGTCCGGCATCTCATACACGGGGAGTTCAGGAAACACCATCTCCCAGGTTTGGCGAAGAGTCGTTTTCTCTCCAGATGATGTTGTGTGTACAACCTTCTCAAGCTCCGTCGGCTCGACCCAGAGTGCCGAAGAGTCCAATTCGGTTACCGTTTGCTGAACCAATACGTGGTTATCTTCGTCTTCACGCTTTTGATCTCCCGGGCCCTCGTATAGTAATGGGTTTTTGGTTTCGTCAATCGGTGGACCTATTGGATTTCCTTCCTCATCTTTCATAGCAAGGTCCCCTAGACTAGGCCCATCAGTCTCCTCGGTCTTGAGAGTAAACTCGGGTTCGGGAGCCGATTCTGGATTTTCTGCTGGGACTTTGGCGTCTTCTTGCATCTTGACATCTTGTGGCTCCGCTACGACCACCTCTGGCTCTGGTTCTGGTTCCTGCTCCGCAGCTTCCTGTAGCATTTCGACAACTTCCGGGACCTTGGTCGTCTCATCATCTTTATTTTCAATCTCCTCCTGTTCTGGAACACCGCGCTCAATCGGCTCAGCAAAGTCTTCCACTGGCGGTGCTTGGTAATAACCACGCAGTGCGACCCTCTCTTGAGGAGTCGCTCGGTGCCATTCCACTGCAGCCTGCGCTAATTCCATGGCTAGCGCCCTCTTCCATTTCCGCTCCTCTTTAAAGTCTGCGTGCATCCATTTCTAGGATAGGTGAGCTGTATGGGACGATATGTTCAAATCAACATACGGCTTCGTCGAGGAGGTAGGACCAGTGGTCCTTGATTGTCGGTATGACCTGACGTTTGGGTTGAAGGAACGACCACTGGTTGGCTGCCTTGAGTTGGTCAATCCTCTCAAACGTTTGAAAAAATATCAGGTCTTGAATAGCAGTATTCCATTCACTGGTAGTAAGGCATTTGGAAGCCTTGCGGACCAGCTTGTAGACGGGATTGTGCATCAAGGTAGCTTGCCATCGGCTGAAATCCATGTATGGTTCCTCTTCCTTTACCCCTTCTGATTTGACCTTGCTCGAGGCGGATTGTGGTAGATGATCAAGCGCGCGGTTCATATCCTTGGTCATCAGACGAGGATCTGGTGCTGGCAAGCCAGTCGCAAACTTGGAGATGAATAGTGTCGGCCGTTCAGGTCTCATAGCCTTCTGAGATAGTTTAGAAATTTTGAATTTGATGGGAGACTGCGAGTTGAATTCTTGTTGCTGGTCGACCTCCATCTCCTCGCCTTTCTCCTCGTCATCGTCGTCGTACATGTCTACTCTGACCGAGGAATCATCGTGCCTTGAATGCTGGTTGCTGTAAGGGGCGTCGGAGGTGCGATTGGTGCACCTATGAGGAACTCGTCTGGTGGTAAATTGGCAGTGTTCGTCTGTCCATGCGAAACGAATGCATCACTACAACAGAATTGTAAGTTTCATGAAGGATAAATCGTTTATACAGACTTTGTCATGGGATAACTATCGACATATTCGTTCAACTGTTCGAGATTGACGTCCGTGGGTCCCGGAAGTCGTGTCAACGAGCCAGGAATCTTGGTAAGTAGAAATATTTGCTTCAAAAGTGCCTTGCGTTCCTCTGCTATTTGCCTGTGGCGGGCAAAGGGGCGTGTCGCTGAGTTTCAACCTAATTGGCAGCGCTCCTGAGACTTACAGCATGCGAGCTTCGCGTAGCGCAATTAGCTCTTTACGCGCCTGCTCGATAATTGCTGCATCGTCGCTGTTCATGGAGGTGTCGAAACAAGGCAAGTTAAGGAGGGGTTCAAGAACGATTATCTAAGCGAATACAACTCTTCTACGATCATCATCGACGGCGGGCCTTCTTTTTCCTTCGATCGTCCTCGTCAGACGATGATAACGCCATAACGACGGGTCGCTTATTGTTCCCAGTCTTCTTCGTGGTTTTCGGAGGTTCTTCTTCCTCACTCTCGTCAAAGGATTTTCCTGCTGCAAGATTTCTTTCATCTTCAGACTCGTCAAAGAATAATGCCGGTGTCTTTCGTGTCTGGGTTTGACGCGTAGCCGCCGGAGTTTTGCTGCGGCCTCTGGTAGATGGCTTGACGGGTATGTCACTCTCGTCGCCACTATCTGCCTGCACCTGGGTGGCCTTCAGTTTCTTCTTTCGACTATGTGTTGCCACGGTAAGCTCTTGAAAGTCTTCGTCCTCCTGGGTGCTTCTGGCGCATATTGTTAGACCAATCAAGACATAGGATCAAAAACCTACTATCTTCCTCATCCTCAGAAAGTACCAGATTGGCCACTAACTGCACCATATTCCTTTTTACTGAGTTTTTCTGTGCACAGTCAGAACGCGTGTGTGCTTGTATTCCAATGAGCGAGACCTTTTTGAACTTTTTAAAGTCAGGACGCCCAACCCACTCGGGATTCCCCTCTTTCCGTCGTTTAGCCTGGGTGGGTTCCCGTGGCACTAACGTTGGCTGGCAGACCATGAAGTTTCCACGAAGGTTCATATCAATGTCTGCGGCCTGCCATGCAATCATTGCCGCATTCAAATCGTCGAGCTCAATTTCGTCTGTTCTTGGCTTGGCAATCTTGAGTTTGTTGAAGTCGCGATCGAATGCGTCCTCTTTCTTCTTCCCCTTCCGAGTTGACGCTAAAGCGGTCAAATATTTTGCATCCTTGTCTACCTGTGTCGGTTTGGCACTCTTGACAGGGGCTTTTGACTTCGTAATTGGCGCAGAAGCGTGGCTTTCTTCAACTTCGACTACCGATTCGAGCTCAACGGTTCCTTGTCGAATGTTTGGTCGCTTCTTTGGAGGAGGACCTATAGATCGGCTTCTTGAAGATGCTCTAGATCGCGTACCAGCCACAGACTCCGCCGTTTCGGGAGGAGGCTCGTCCTCCTCTTCCTCTTTAATGATTTGTTCGACTTTGCGCTTGCGTGTCTGAGTGGCTGTTTCGAGCCCTTTGAGTCTCTCGCGCTCAGCTAGCTCAACACGTTCTGCCAGGGTCAACGCATTGATTGATGGTACCAAGTCGTTAGAGGCTTGAGATGCAAAATGTCGGTCTGGATCCGTTTCTTCGAAGAGTTGGCGGTGTTTGTCTAGAAGAGACACAGTAGGTGTTTCTGATGCCTGTGACATTTGTGTACGATCGCGCCTTTTTAGTTTACTCCGACCGAGAAGCGTTTGTACCTAGGTGTTTTAAGCCAGTCGATAGTTGCCAACTACATCCACTTACAGAGGAATCCAGCGCAGGGATTGATTCAGCCAGTAAAGGAGAAGTGACCTGAACATTAGGGTCACTGCCAGACATTGGCTCGGCGCTTGGTTGGCGCACCCGCCTTTTGAGGAGCTAAAAGGGATTAGTTGGAGAAGGATGGCATACAGAAGGCGTGCCTTGGACCGAGCTGGCACCACGACAGCATCCACCTCCTCGTCGTTTGCAGGCTGTTCGGGAATAATTGGCGCCACTGATGGTCCTCTTCTGCGTCTCACCATATTCGATCTGTCTTGCGACAACTCTAGTGAAGAGGCTTCGCTTATCGTTCCTGGAATATTCTCTGCGGACTTGTCGTTGACTAGAGGTAGGTCTAGGAGGGAATTTTGTTCGTTCACAGATTCTTACCTGTCCCCGGATCGAACTCGCTCTTCAGCACGTCTGCATCGCACCACAAAATAGCCTCGGTCAGTTTCGAAAAATGGATGAGGCGCAGTCCAATTCTGAATATCGTTCAGCACCGAAGAAAAAGGTATCTGTGGATACGAACTGTTCCATGACTCGTATAAACTCCTTCCAACTCCTCCCTGTCGCAGCGCTCAAAGAGCCTTCATCCCCAATCAAAGTGATATTGAATGCATGTTCTCTTCCTTTGGCCCGCAGCAATGTGAGAGTGCCGGACCATTTGGATGACCCGTTGCGTACATCAAACGTTTCGTAGTCTGTATTTCCTGCGTCCATAATATTCTTCCATAACGAGGAGAGGGAATCTCCCTCCAAAAGGAAGACGAAATGGCGACCCTCGAAGAGTGTGCGACGATCCAATTTTTGCGTCCACAGCCCAGGTTCTGCATATGCCGAGATAATATTAGGAGAAAAAGGTGGCAGATAGTCGTCAAGTGCAGGCGACTGAAAGTCGGGGGAGCTCCCCGTTCTCGGCAGGTTTGCTCGCCGAAAAAGCTCCTTAACCCATTTTGGTGTGACGATACCTCCGCCCAGTAGAAGCACAGGGAGTTGGTTTGGCTCTCCGGTTATTTCCTCTGTCACGAGATGGGTCATCCTACGGTCGTAGCCATGACAGAGCCTCACACCTGACTACAGGTCAATACGACACTTAAATGCGTTTGTTGTACGTACCCAATGGAGCGCACTCTTTCTCTCGGATCGTTACAGCGTCCGGGACGCAACAAATGATTTCAATCCATTCTGGCCTTGATATTTCTTTCAGCTCGTGAGGATATAATGCAAAGGGACACACCTGACTATTGTCTTTGAATGCACGAGCACCCTGTCGCCTGCGTTTACAGCGCCAGGAACATTCTTCCCCACATTGATCTCCACGCCACCTCGTTCCATGACCCAGTTCTTAGTGCTAGTGTATTGTAGCTCGGGTATTCTGTCGCCCAGCTGCTGGTGTGTCAACAAACAGTGGGTCGTTCGGGGGCACCAATGTCATACAACGTCCTTCTCAGTGAAGGGTCCAACATCTAAGCGACCGAGTTCTCTTGAGATCCATGGCATCGGGAGGATTATCTGGGAGTTGTCTTTTCGACCAACGGTATACTCCTCGCCACACTTCACTAGAAGCTGTCCTGCACGTTTCCGTCAGTTCCAGCAGCTTGTCGCCATTTGTTTCCGCGCATACGAGTTTCTATTATTGTCTCATCATTTTCTCTGTGTATAATTTGCAAGATCCACATTGGACGCGGTAGTGGTCAAGAAACCCGAATGGCCAAACATTGCTTGCGCGTCGACCCAACAACTTGAACCCGCCGCTATTCCAATGGACCACCATCCGACAAACTGGGGGAGACCAGTCAGTTCTTAAGCACTTGTTATGTACTACCAGCTCATTCTCCGCTCAGCGCGATGACAGAGTCGACCCGTATGGCACATTCCCCATCCACGCACGCCCTCGTCCAGCAAAGGACGTGTTTGCAGATGGTGTCCAACGCACACAGTCAGTACATACAACGAATCACTGGATTAAGATATTGACGAGAAACTAGACAACCAATTGTCACTGGAACAAGCGTGATCGGTCTCAAGTATAGTGGCGGCGTGATGCTCGCAGCAGACAATCTAGGTCAGCTTTGGAAAAAGGATAAGAGTGCAGCGTATGAACTTTTATCCAGCATCGTATGGATCTCTCGCGAGGTACAAGGACGTCCAACGTCTGCACCCTGTCGGAACATCCACTGTCGTCGGAGCTGGAGGTGATATGAGCGACTTTCAGCATCTCCAGCATATGCTTGATAGCCTTGTGTACGTCTCGCCTACTAAATACGAACATGTCCTGATCCTTGCAGCACCGAAGAGTTTACTTATGATGACGGCAACAAGCTTGGCCCTACGGAGATATACGAATACCTCTCCAGAGTCATGTACGGCAGAAGATCCAAGATGGATCCGCTGTGGAACGCCCTCGTCGTTGGCGGAGTGAAGCCCAACGGAGAAAGGTAGGTTACCTCTCTCAACCCAATGATTACTCACTGGTCAATAGCTTCTTGGGATATGTCGATCTCCTGGGCACCACCTACCAATCCCCGACAATTGCCACCGGATTTGGTGCATACATCGCTCAGCCACTCCTTCGCAATGCTGTCGACGAGCGGCCTGACCCCCTCTCAGAAGAAGAAGCTGTGAAAGTAATCCAGCAATGTATGAAGGCGCTCTTTTACCGTGACGCCAGGAGTTTGAACAAGGTATGTTCCACCCCTGTCGAAACTAGGGCTGCCATCTAAGCATCATATAGTACCAAATCGCAAAGGTCACGAGCGAGGGCGTTACCATCTCAGATCCACTCGAGGCACCGACCGTCTGGGGCTTCGCAGAAGGCATTCGCGGCTATGGTGCTCAAACTCAATAAATTTCGATTATCACACATTTTTGTATCGTGAAATGTAAGCTCCATTAAACTGCTAAGCCGACGATGCATAAAGCGCGACCGTTGAGATAAGCTAGCATCCAAACCTTGACAAGATGGCGCGACGAAGGGTAACCACGTATCCAGAAAGACTAAGAATGTCGTTGCTTTGTCGTTAATGACCACCGCCACTACTTCCAGCTGTGGTCGTCGAATTGCCAGCCTCGCCTGTAACGGCAGCATGGACGACGTGACCGACGCAACCAAAGAATGTCTCAAAGAACGCTTGTCCATCGTAGAACCATGCGACTAAGGCCTATTAATAGTCAGTCAGTGAGCTCGAGATGGTTACACCACGTACAATCACGATATATAGGCAGATCATTGTGAATCCTGTTCAAAGTAAGAGAATGTTGGGAAATTATTACGATGAACCTACCTTCACTCCAATTTGTCTTGGCATCGTTGACGATATAGTTGACGACAAAGACTGCAGCGAGGAGAATGACAACCTCGAAGATGTCTGCAAGAGATGAGTACAGGAGACGTCTTGCACGAGGTACTAACCAAAGAGAAGTGGCAGTGGCTTTCCTATCCACCATCCAATGAGGACGAATAGTGGCGTCCAGAAGAGCGTAAACTGGATGGCAAGGTCGATCGGTTGAGCATCTGCCAATGCGTGCGGGGCTTCTCCATTATGGAAGATGGTTTTGCGAACGAGATACGTAAAGGTCACGAGACCATCTCCGCTGAATGACACAATCGGAATAAGGATGAGACCAAACCACCTAGGAAGGTCAGTTCATTGCCAACGTTGGAGGGCTGAAGGACCTACTCTTCTTGGATATTCGCACCCTCTCTGACGCTTTCAATGCTGTGTACAAGCCATTCTGCAGTGAATCCGATGATGACGACCAAGAACACCAGCAAGCCAAAGCAGAACCATGGCGAAACCTTGGGTTGTTCTTTCTTAAGACGGTCCTCCTCCTCTTTGAAGGCTTCATGTCCTCCGTGGTCGGCGTAAAAGTCTCCAGCATTCTCATCCCCTGGAGGGTTGATCGCGTAAATTCGCGATGCAATGTAGACCAACAGCATGATGATAGCCTAGCACTTTGTCAATGGCAGGTCTGGTTACCAAGAAAGAGCCATACCATTCCTCGGGAAAACTTGAGAATGGTGCTCCGTACTTCGTCAGTGACAACTTGCTCCGGCGAAGTCGCGCCAATGGGTGTTATGCCCGCAAAGAAGGCAGACGGAATCACCAAGCACATCACACTGGATGATATAAGTGACGGCCAAGGCGAGCAAATCTGCATACCCCATCGTCATCATGCTCTGGTTGAGCTGAGTGTGGCTCGCATGAAGTTCCTGTTGCATCCTGCGACTGCCACCAGCAACAAAGGCAACTCCTGGTACTAGGAGAAGTTGGAGAATGATGACACCGATGATGGTTCCCTGAAGCAGCTTCAACTTGCAGTCTCGCTTCAAAAGAAGGATGGCGAGAATAGCTTCGACGGCACTAGAAATAGTTAGTCATACAAAAGCTTCTGGTGAGGGGCGTCTTACTTCATGAGGGTGACATTGACGAGATCTCCAATCGAGTGACCTGCCATGGTGAATACAAGGTGCTGGTCGCACAGGATGTAGACATACCCAAATACAGCATTGATTGCTTCGAGCAGAACTGAAGAAGCTTCTCGAGGGGAATCAAGGCGAGGAACGACACTGCTCTCCGCGTTAGACGCACGCACCAGAGCGATTGGCGGAAACTCACAAACAAAAGTCGCTCGGGAATCCCAGTGGAGGTAATGAGATACCCAGGACAAGACGACGAATATAAGAGCGAGGTTGATCTCTATCGCGGTTGTCAATAAGACATAAATAGAGTGCCAAGAGAATTCTCGCGGCGGCCGCGAGGTACGGACGAAAGGGAATGTGGTTCGCGGAGGAAACGCAGCTCCAACGAGTTTGTGGGATGACGACGAGGGAGGCAACTCACTGGTCACAAAAGTCGTCGCAATAAGACTCTCTTTGAGCGTCGGGACGTGTTCTACGTGTTTACCACGGACGCGACGGTGAAATTCTTTAAATCGCCTCGTCTTTGTGAGTTGGTTCGGGTCCGTATTCGGCTTTTCTGCGTCATCTGTCGTTCCATTTCCTTGTCCTTTTTCCAATTGCGATGGGTTCTTTTCCAAGGCGTCGAGGGATGGCTCTGGCGCGCCCGCGTTGGGACGGATCCGAGCCGTGCTGGCGTTGGAATCCATTTATTTTGTTGCACTTGGTTAGCTTGATGTAAACGAGAGTAGGTTAAAAGAGGAGTGGTCCAAGATGTGAATCCTTTGTTTTGGCCATGAGGAGACAAAATATTGGAGCATAAAGGGTCAGGCAGCGTCGCGTAGCCACGATGCGCCAACGGTGACCAAACCTTTATAAATAACTAGGAAAAATATACTTTTCAGTCCTTTCTTTTGTGGGAACGCCGCTGTCGGAGATTCAAGTTAGCCGTGACTTGACGCCCGCCATCAATCCCGTTTGAAACTAGCCAGAGCGTCTACGATGGCGCTGGACCTTTCAGATGAAGAATCATCCAGAGTACGACTGAATCGACGACCAAGGCCGACAGATTCAACACTCTACGGCTCCGAACTCCCATCATTCGACACCAACACACGCTCGAATCCATCCTATGGACGTCCTAGTGTTGCAGATGTCTCCTTTGCATCCGCGAATATGGTCGACTTGGACGACGAGGGGTTGTATGGCGAAGGCGAGGAGACTACAGTCCGGGCTCTGATGCGAAGATGGATCGACGAGCGACTGGCTCCTGATCTACTACCCTGGCAAGGCGAACTCGTGGGCGAGATCCTCGAGAGACTGCAGAGTCAAGTACGAGTTTCTCCTCTTGGCCTATGGGAAGCGTCTGATCGGCTTTAGAACGAGATTGTAGTCACACTCCAGGGTAATGCAAACACTACAGAGGAAGAACACTTTGCGGTCATGCTCGTACAGACAGAGGTTGAACGAATCAAGTTTGTGCTCAGAAGCTATCTCCGATGTCGCCTACAAAAGGTATGAAGAGTTGTAATGTGCTGTATTGACTGAAATCTGTTAGATTGAACAATACACGCCGTATATTCTTGCCACTCCCGACGTTCAGAGAAACCTTTCAGAACTCGAACAAAACTATGTTCAAAGGTGAGTCAATTTTGATATTTGACCGTGTTCCAATAACGCAGCTCGCTCTAGATATGGTGATCTGATAGGACGACACTTTCAGCAAACAACCCTGGACCAACTTCCAGCGCACATGCACTCCCTCGCAGAGGAACACCCAAACACACCCAGCATGAGTACGTCTTGCCGATTTCACTACTCCAAAACTGACATTCACAAAGTCACCGAGCCAAACAAGTCGAAAGCCGTCTTCTTCTTTGTACGAGACGCAGATTGTCCACCAATGGCATTACCAGGGTACGTGCACACGCACGTTGCTCTTTCAACTTTCCTAACACTTGCTAGCGGAAAGTCCATCGAGCTCAAAAAGGGGTCTATACATCTCGCACAGTATCGACTAGTAGAAGACTTTCTTCGAAACGACTCGGTCGAACTGGTGTAGAGCCTTTCTCTCTCTCTCTCTCGTGTATTTTCCCTTTTCTTTTTATTGGTAAATGAAATTATATCTGCCGAGCGGGTCAACGCTTTGCTTGGGGGCGCAATCCCATCCGCGTACCTGGATAGTAAGTGTGGAATCGCCGAGAGTTGAGGACCGTATCGCGCTGCGTTGTCGTATAGCTCAAAGAGTGGGATCGCGAGGAGTTTCATGTTCTTTGGCACCGCCAAGACTTCTGCAAGGGTGTGAGTGATATGAAGAATAGAAGACTGACAAATGAAAACTCACTGCGCTCGGGCATTTGGACCAAGTACAGCTTCTTACACTCCTTTGGCTTGGTGATGTGCGCTGGGACAAACGGATACTGGGAAACGAACGTGTTAGCATTCCACCCACGCTCGTGAATCATGAAATCTTTCAAATGGAGTGAGAACGCAGCCTGTTCACGGAGATATGTACATCCCACTTGTGTACGATGCGAAAAAAGAGGGGGACACTCACCATGAACGTTTCAAAGTTTGGTCTCCACCATTGTGCGAGGCAGTCTCCAATTTCCCAATCATTGTCGATGCCGTGCTGTTCGGTGAACTGAAACGCCGTGCCAGGCGTCGGTGCGAGTCGTTCGTCGAGACGTGCTTTGAGACCCTGAATCTCTTCTTCTCCTGGCTTTAGATAATCACCCGGTCTACGAGGCTACGTGTTGAGAGGGGGGGATTTCAGCGTTGATGGTAAATGTCAAAGTACTGACAGTTTGAAAAAGGCATTTGCAATTTGAAGCATGAGAATGTGTGGATGTCCATGATCGTGTACGACGAGGACGCCCTCGACGGTGTGTCGCATGCCATAGTCTTCATAGTTGTTCTGCAGTCGTTGGAGGCGGGCTGCTACAGATGGATCTTCTTCCGGTTGAGATTCTTTTGTGCTGATTATTGTCAGTCAAAAATGGACAAGTTTACAAGTTTTGTGCCGAGTAGCGCCAACCTGAACGTAAAATTGGAGAGCGGGTAGCTAGGATGACAATGACGCGGTTAGAGCCAGAGGAAGAAGATGAGAATTCAAAAGTATTAGTTACAGGTTGATCGTGTTGGACATGTCGAACGAGCTCAAGGCGAATCCAAGGTCGAGGACGAGACCAAGTTGTTGTTACCTAGCTTTTTGGACCTGGCGCTGACTGTTGAGCGACGATAAACGAACGGGTGTAATGATGAGCGGAGCATCAAAGGGCAAAGGAAAGAATAGACAGACGCGTTTCCCCGTCGCGCGCATCAAGCGCATCATGCAAAAGGACGAGGAAGTTGGCAAAGTTGCGCAGGCCACGCCCGTCGTCATCTGTGGGTGCATTATAGACTGTTGGTAGTAGTATGCTGACGCAGCAGAGGACAGCAAAGGCGCTAGAGTTGTTTATGCAAGATGTGATGGGTGCCGCTGCGAGGATTTGCGAGGAGCGAGGAGGTCGTCGAGTGGAAGGATATCATCTGTGAGTATTCGATGACTAAAAACAAGTAGATTGTGCTAAGTCTGGTGGAATGCAGCAAGCTCGCCATCGAGAACACGGAGACGTTTGACTTTCTCAAGGAGATTGTGCAAGGCGTGCATGATCCTACAAATGGAGGATTGATATCCGAAGAGCAGCTGGCTGAAGCGCGGGCAGCAGAACGTAAACCACGAAAGCGGCGGGCAAAGGCAGCGAATGGAGAAGAGGAAGTGTAAGCACGTAGAATGTACACCTATCTGCTGTTATGTTTGTTGTGTACAATTGAATGTGTAGCAGCCACTACTCTTGTGCCCATTAATTCCATCTCCAGCGATCCAGGCGTATTCCCCAGGCCGTCCTGGACTCTGAAATAATAATCGGGACTGTTCTAGCTGGACTGAATTATCCTCTATTCTCACACCACACCGCGTCGAAAAAAAGATCGTGCCACCACTCACGGGCCCATTTATAAAAGACAAGCCGTTCCGATCTCAAACCCCCCAGTCTTGGTCCCGCCCCCTTCCTCGTCAAAATTCTGTTTATTCAGCTTTGATTATTCTACATGTCGTTCAACGCTACAATGCTGCCTCCAAAGGCAGCACACCCAACTGCTGCAGAACTCTACGGCGCAGCGGGCACAGACTTTGACACGCTCTCCACCCTCGAAAAGTGGTGGGTACAGTGGTATCTATACTTTGGAGACCCGGTAATTGCAACTGGAATGCTCAGTTTCATCCTGCATGAGGTCCGTTGTTTTTCGAGCTCCCATCGTCCGATGCGCTCACACCGACGTTTTATAGATCGTCTACTTTGGACGCTGTATCCCTGGATCATTATTGATTCTATTCCCTATTTCCGTCGTTGGAAGCTCCAGCCAAACAAGGTGCCGAGCAAGCAAGAGCAATGGGAGTGCACCAAACTCGTCTTGCTCTCGCACTTTACCATTGAACTCCCAGGAATCTGGCTCTTCCATCCTCTCACCGAATTCTTCGGAATGCAAACGTGGCAGTCCCCTTCCCAGACTACACCACCATTGCCCTCCAAGTGGCCGGCTTCTTCGTCTTTGAAGATTTCTACCACTTTGTCGCCCACCAAGCGCTCCACTATGGTCCTCTCTACCGCAACATTCACAAGCTCCACCACAAGTACAGCGCACCCTTTGGTCTCGCGGCAGAGTATGCCCACCCGCTCGAGACGCTCATCCTTGCCCTCGGCACACTCGGCGGTCCAATCCTCTGGACAATGTACTCTGGAAACTTCCATATCGTCACCATGTACGTCTGGGTCACCCTCCGCCTCTTCCAAGCCGTCGACGCCCACTCTGGCTACGACTTCCCTTGGTCGCTCCAGCACATTTTGCCATTCTGGTCTGGTGCAGATCACCACGATTTCCATCACATGGCGTTCACCAACAATTATTCCACTTCGTTCCGCTGGTGGGATCATCTCTTTGGCACCGACGACAAGTACCGTGCGTACAAGGCAAAGCTCAAGGCTGCAAAGGCACAGGGCAAGGACGTTAAAAAGCTCGAGGCCGAGCTTCTCGAAGCGACCGAACGTGAGGGACAGATTGCCGAAAAGGTTGCAGAGCAGACTGCCATCTGGACAAAGGCATCGAGCAAGGTCAAGGTTCAGTAGATCATCCATAGACACCCACCCACCCCGATATTCCCTGCTTTCTCTGCATCTTACTGTACTTTCTGCACATTTTATACGACAAAAAAAGAGAATTCACACAGACCAATATACACGTAAATTACTGAGAGAGTGAGAGGAGACCTATGCATGCCTTTCAGCCTGCTTGGCCATTTGCATCCATTTTCCAAAGTACTGCGGCGTCGCGCACGCAAATGTCGTGGCTTGACCACTGTACGGGAGAGCATAGCATTGGGTGCCGTGTGAGCATTGCTCAACTTTCCATTGTCCGTGCACGCAAACGGCAAAGCTCTGTCCCATACATGTCTTTTCGCCATGGCTGCATTGGGGCTGTTGGTTGGTCTGGTCAAAGGATTGTGGCTGCTGCTGGTTGAACGATTGTGATTCGTGACTGTTAAACGACTGTGACCCGTGATTGTTAAACGACTGCGTCTCCTGAGGGAACGAGGACGACTGTGAACAAGAGTTAGCCATGAGCAAATTCCAAGGATCAAAAGCCGACGAACCGATGTGGTGCTAATGAGGAAAGCCAGTTAGCCACTACCGACAACTCAGCAAGAGATAGAAATGAAAGACGGATACTCACCTGGCGCCACCGAGAGGAGTCGACTGCGGGCTGAGCATCACGTCAGTTAGAGTCAAACGATGGCAAGGCGACTCACAACGAGGCAGAAGAGCTAAACTGTGATGAACCAGACGAGCCAAAGTTGTTGTTCGACGATGAAAACTGATTATTGGACGATCCGACGTTGTTATTCGACGAAGAGAACTGGTTATTGGATCCAACGTTGTTATTATTGTGGTTGAAGGATCCAGAGTGGCCATTTGACGACGAAAAGTGATTGTTTGAGGATTCAAATTGACCGTTGGAGGATTGACCATGAGATGAAAACTGCTCCTGGTTATGTGAGAATTGATGTCCTCCGGATTGTTGATTCTCAAACTGCATATTGTGTCCAAATTGCATATTGTTATGGCCAAAGGTCGAGCTATTCAGCGTATCAGCAGGGAGTCTTGAACATTTTCAGCACACTCACTTCAGGTGTGGCGTCATCATGATCCCGTACGCCGCCATATTCTGCTGCACGTGCATCAAAGCCGACTGCAGAGACTGCATCGCTGCTCCAAGCAGTTGTCCCACGTAGCTCATCGACGCGTCCACCGAGTACATCATATGCGGCAGGTAGTACATCGCATAGTTTTGCATGTAGCTCGGGAACGGACTAAAGTTGGGTGGCACGCCGAATTCGTGATCACGGCCAAATGTTCCACATCCAGATGCGCCACACTGCGTGTTCGTTGCCGAAGTAGGAGTGCATCCAGTCGGACCACATGTCTCGGGTTGTCCAGTGGAACCAAATTGTCCGGTGGATCCAGATTGGCCAGTCGAACCGAATTGGCCAGTTGATCCAGGCTGCTCCGTCGATCCAAATTGTCCAGCAGATCCAAACTGTCCAGTTGATCCAGGCTGTTCCGTCGATCCAAACTGTCCAGCTGATCCTAATTGTCCAGTTGACCCAAATTGTCCATTTGCACCAAACTCTGTTCCAAACCCAGTCGTAGGTGGCAGACCGTTGGCAAACGGATTGTTACCAAATTGGCCAGTCTGTTCGAACCCAGTTGGAGGGACGCCAAATGGTGGCACCGATCCAATAGGCGGTTGACCGAACGGTGGCACAGCGCCAAACGGCGGTACAGTGCCAAACGGTGGTTGGCCAAATGGTGGAACCGCACCGACCGGTGGCTGTCCAAATGGTGTGAAGCCCGTGGTCGGTGGCTGAACAAACGGATTGAATCCCGTCGTCGGCTGGCCAAATGGTGAGAACGGAGGTGTCTGGCCGGTCCTACATATCGTTAGCTGTAGCCAAGTATATTGACGGTGCCTACTCACGGAGGAACAGCCGCTCCAGGTACAGTTCCAGGTAGTGTGCCAGTAGAGGGGGTCGCTGGTGTTGCCGGAATGGTGCCAACTGCCGTCGAGGACGTCGCGGGCGGTGTTGTCGTTGTGTTCGTACCAGTTTCAGGTGTCGTGGTCGTACTACCTCCAACAGGACCCGGTGGAAGCTCCTGACTGACTGGAATCGTCGTGGTTGATGTGACCGGGACTACGACGACAGCAGGTGCGTTAGCGGGCGGAGTCGAAGTCAGCGGGGCGCCAGATCCATCTTCAGATGGAGGAGGTGCACTCTCTCCATCTCCCTCGCCATCGTCGTCTCCTTCTTCTTGTCGCTTCCAGTTGCGCATAATCTCAGGCGTGCGTCTCACTCGTCGCATTCGGCAGGGTGCAACTGAGCATAATTGAGCTATTAAAGCGTAAGTAAGGCCCACTTCAGAGGTTAATGGGACGTACCAGCTCCGCCTACGGTGATCGGAGCGGCCTCTACGGCCAACGTGGACGCGCTCAGCAACGCGAGTAGGTAGGGTGTGAAGATCATTCTTGGTAAAATAAAAGTAAAGAGTAGTTGATCCTGCCAGAGGAGAGAAAGAAAAGAAAAGCTCCTGGCCTCGAAAAGAAGGGAAAAAAGGCAGAAGCGGGTGGGTCCAAAAGACAATCTATGAGACCAGCGATGCGCCCCGATATATATGACATCTCGTTGACGACTGAGAAAATGGCGGGCGGTGATGAGAACTCGTCGCGGGCTGTGAACCGTTTACAGCCTTGTCCATAGCATGAGCGCCAAGGTTGAAGAAATGTTTCATTTCATCCTTTTGACTAATGTTGTAGACTTTAGAGCATTCTCAGAGTTGACAAGGTCGCCGTCCAAGATTGGGCAGCGTACCATCTCCACGATGCAGTATTCATGACTCTTTACAATTATTCAAAAGTTCTTAGGGGTAAACTTATTGGCCTGGATATGCGACACGGAAATGCATATATTCCCGTGGGAAAAATGGTACGAGGGCGGCTGATTGGAATAATCAACGAGATTGGGGGTAAGGATGGCTAAAAGGATCTACATACAAGCGACGACCGAAGAGCACTCTGACGCCGAGGTAAGGAATGCCTCATTGTCTATAGCTGCTCTTGAGCAAGCCGGAGCGAACGAAGATCAAGGATATAAGTATTTTCGCTGAGAATAAAGGCGAGGGATGAAGAAGACAAGTCGAGGCCATTAGTTGCGGGTGCGATCAATGAAGATGCCCTAGCTGCTGCCGTGTCCATCGTGGACTGTCTTGAATGGACATATCTTCTTCTCCATCTCCATTCTCGAGGCAGAGGCATTGCGGATAGGCAGAGAGGAATGGACATGAGATTATTGGTTGGGTAACGGCAATCGCGCCTCGCTGAGTCGTGGTATCGTATAGACATGCATTGAATGGTCGAGTTGGGTTTGGTCACAGTCAAGCGAGTTCGTAGGATCATCCGAGTCAGGTAGAGTCCGTGAACGGAGTCAAGTCGGTCGGGGATTTCGATAATGGACATCGTAGGTTGGCGCGATGCTCGTTAATAATTTTTAGATCTTGATTCATTTCCTTCTCGTCGTGATGAAAATATGAGCGAGTGGACGGGTAAGTAGGCCGGTTCATTGTTCTTTTTCCAGTCGAACGTCCGCCTGCCAACTCCCCTGTGATACTTGGAACATGCGCAACAGAACAAGGTCATCGACAGTGATGCGACCTCTCCCAACACGCCATTTTGCTTGCCCACAGTCTCTTGCATCCTCACGGGCCTCCTATTTCGGGGGGGCGTAGCGGTCAATATGCGCTTCGGGTGGAGCGCCAGCGATAGGGACGCACCTCGATGAATTGCTTGTACACTTCTGAAACAGCCATGGCCAGTTCGCAACGCATGAGCAATCCCGTGGCTTTGCGCATCGTCATTCGACGCGAGTATTGGACGTAGCCCGGCCACTAAAAGAGATAAGTATGGGATAATTGCAATTATAAGATACCTACCCAGATCCTCAGTGTAATAGTAGAAGCTACCGACGCGGGAAAGGGGACTGAACGCCCGTTTTCCATAGGGAGGTCCATTGCACTGGCATCTTTCAGCAGCCGCATTGGAATTCCACATATACCATCAGCAGAGTTGAATTGAATTTGCATCGGCTCGCCAGTCAGCGGAACGGTCGCTTTGTACGCTCGTTGAGGCACGACCGGTCCTGGACGGTGAGAATGCGCACCAGGAAGAGGCGCAACGGAGTTACTGGTTACATGTGGTGGTGACAGAGGCATAGGGGGAGTCATAATGCGAACTAGAGGCGATGAGCATATGGAACGAGGGGAAGCCGGAGAAGGGCATGATGCTAGTTGTGAAGGATGAAATGCAATGGGAGAATATAACGTAAATGATGTCGTGGGCGTCTAGGAAAGAATGTCAGTTCGGAGCTGGCAACGGTCTCTTCGACGTGAGAGGGACGTACCAATGGGGACAACGGTTCTGACGGGGACGAGACACAATAAGGACTTTGCCACCCGGGTGGGGTCTTCGGGATCGATTGGGGAGTTTGGACGAAAGAGGGACAAGGCGACGTCGTGCGAGGCGCCTATAGACGACGACCGGCAGATAATTATCAGAAAATAAAGACATTAGCTGATAGAAAGAACAGATAGGACACATACCAAGTCTCTAAAGTCGAGAACGGACTCCAATGACCCGTAGCCCGTCCATTGCAACGCATGTCGACCGTCTGCCATGGCGTGGGCGCTGCGTATGGTATCGCAGAAGAGACGAAAGAGATGCGTTGCAGATGGCCAGCCGCTGACCGATGTACGTAGACGATCCGAAAGGGGAGACGGAGAGAGGAAGAAAATTGAGGTATGAGAACAACCTAAGGGGCCTGAGGCTGGTGGCGCCAGAAACCCCGGAAATGCTGATGGATTGGTTCTTATATGTCGCTGGGAAACAATGGCGCCTGATTCGTGACCGGCCATTCAGCCCCAGTCTTGGAATTTGCCACTCCTCTCGGCTCAAAGGCACGCCCGTTGGCGCGTTTAAACAGAGTCACTGTCGCCTCTTAGATGGTATAAATGATCATAAATAATATCTGGTGCGAATCCGACGCGCGCCACGTCACGTAGACGCGTCACGGGCACGGCCCGTATACAATCCGCAATTAGCTGTGCATACCATACTGCAAGAAATGCTCTATAGAAAGGATTCATCACGAGGCTCGATTCAGCTCGTTGTAGATTGAGAAACTTTGCCGTCGCTGCGACTTGGTCGCCTTTCGCCCACCAGTCTGGCGTTGTTCCTGGCAAGCAAAGCTTACTGGTGCACTCTCCCAGCGATCTAGAATATACTTTCCACCCTGCGAGAGAATGGAGATGTCGTCCTCGTCCTGGTCTCCCTCGCCAAACAAATCCATCGCAAGTTTGGCATGACTGACCCCTGCATATGTCGTCACGCATCGTGGATTCATCATGATTCGAGCCGGCTTGTACACCTTGTTGAGTACGGGAGGCACCTCATCTTCTTCAGGCGTGAGTTCCTCGTCTACAATGTTCTCCGGCATCGCATCAGCATTGGATCCGGCCTTGACTTCATCGTTTAGTGGGCCTGCAGCTTCCGCCACTATTTCACGTTTGTCCTTCTCGCGAACGTTCTCTTTTCGCAAGTCCGATGGCGTCGCCGCTGCAGTATTACTATTGCTGGTCATCGGGACGGCATTCCTCTGAGATACCCAATCCTTCTCTTGAGTCTGTTCTGCGTTCTTCACATCCCTCGCGGCGTCGACCCACAAGTCTCGGCAGAACCACGCTTGTGCACTATCCTGGCACGGCTGTGTTCGGTCCCATTCGATGACGAGGTCCTCTCGGGTACTGTTATAAAAGTGCGTTCCATGACGGTACTTTATCCCTTTGTAATACGACTGTGCGGGATCCACGATGTGGGTACCGGACTCGCAGCAAAAGACTTGAAAGGGTAAATGGGATCCATATCGGGTGGCGGACACGGCGTGTCTCGGAGGTCCACTCTCTGCGGGTGCAGATGACCTTGCTCTGCGAAACACGTCTCCGTCCATGTCTCGCGCGCGCCATCTGTCAGCAATGAGTGGACAAGTTAGAAATGCAACAGCCGTCCATACCGGTCGGAAAATATAAAGGCACCGTTGAATTCAGCCCAATCCATCCCACAGACCATTGCAGCCGAGTTCAACTCGCTCACTTTGATCGTCTCCAAAATGTCGTATGGACAAGTAAACCCCTTGAGCCAGATAACGCGATGGAAATTTATTCCCCTACGCTCTCGAAGTTCCCAAAGAGGCTCCAACGCGAGATTTCGCGTATAAGCCTCCTCTTGTGGGTAGTAAGAGTTCTTTCGATCCTCTGTCATCCGCGGTACGTGACGAATGCGGAAAGGAACAGCGAGCAGAGTCAAGACAGCTTCGCAGAGATCCAAAAGTGTTGGTGTGGCATCGTCAGAGTCGTAGTCGAGCATCGAGACAAAGATGGATTGTGGGCCAATCCTTCGTGCCATTTGAATTATCACGGCGAGCTGATCGACGAGGAAATGGTCGGCAGAATGGATGATGATTGCAATATAATAGAGGCGATTCTGCGCAGCGAGGACGTCCCAGGCTTCTTCTCTGCGATTCTGACTGAATGGTCGCGTGAGTGTCGCACAGGATGCGGTAACCCATCCATTCATCGCAAGGAGATCTTCTATAGAGCTCCGCACAATTTGGGTATCAGCGTGCGATGTATCTTTTGAAGTAATGCTTGTGAACCGTCAGTAATTTACAACGACCAAATGCACTCTACATACAACTTGGATTGAAATCTATTCCAATAGTCGTCCACACCTACGGTATGCTCTTATCAGTAACCCGTGCTGGACGGAATAACGCACAAACCGTCCGAAATTAGTTCATCCAGGATATCCTTTTGCAGAGCTCCACCCATTCTGACTTGTAGAAAGTCGTATTTCTGTACATCGAGCGTTTTCGATGTTCGCTCAAAGATGTGCTGCGTCCGAATCTCTGGATGGTCCTTTGGAGACGAGCTGAAGAGGGCTCTCAAGACGAGAAAAGAGAGTATTGCAAGAACTACACGTGTTATGTTCCGTCTTCTGAAGAGCACCTTGGGTACAAAGCTCGCCCGTCGCAAGGCCATGAGCAAACTTTGGAAGCCACACGCTGCCGATGAGTGGTAAAGGCGATGTATTTAGAATATTCATAAGTCTAGGTTTTAGTTATGTAGAGGAAACTGCTTTATGTCCCAGCTCATCCAACGCCCTTTCAATGATGGCCGTCGTTTCTGAGTGAAACGAGTGAATGTTCTTCGAGTACTCGTCACCCGTCCACAACTTTTTTCTTTGCTCGTGTAGTTGCATCGTAAGATTCGTCGGGTCACCAATGGAAATGGATATATTCGCGCCCGGGCGAGGGAGAAACTTGGGGAATCCTCTATTTTCTGGCATGACCTGTTCAAATCCTAGGAATAGAGTAAGCGAAGATACGTAGGATATCGGAAGCCTGACCATTGATCCATATGGGAATGACTGTCGGCGTATGCTTGCACTCTGCGAGCATTCGTCCCCTATTACTGCATCAGGAATAATTCAGTGGACAGGAACCGTGCTCACACTCCCCACTTCAGTCTCTTGATAGGAGGGCCTAACGTTTCCTGTCGCACAAAGCCTTGAGGGAAGAGGTGCACCTAGTCCAAAATTTCAGGTGATGAGTAATCATCTGCATCTCTTACCCAGTCCCCCGTATCCAGTCGCTGTATCGCGAAGTCAATGGCACTTTGGTAGATGCCAGCGCCTCTCACGGTTTCGACGCATTTTCCATTATTGAAGAAAGAAGAAAGTAATCTAGGAGGCAGTCATCAGAGAGGTGAAAACTTTGTGCTTTACTTACTTGTTGGTGTACATGATATCCTGTGCACCAAGAGTCCACCTCGATGTTCTGTCGCGGAAAAAGGAGCGGAGGGGGAGTATACCCCACATTAGTGGTTCATCCATCCTATTCAGAGTATTGAAAAGCAATATAGATCGGATTTCGGTGTACCCACACTGAGATGTGATTGGCGACTTGTAGGGGATGAATAACGGAATCTTGCCACGTCGTACACTTACCAGTTATGATACCCTTTCCTTGTCTGTGCTCTTCCTTCCATGCTTCATACAGATGCTCCAGACCGGACACCTTTGTGGTGCATGCCAAACTGAGAAAGAGCTTGAAACGTGTCAAACGCGTCTAAAAGCGTATAAATCAAGCCAAGCAACCTTGCTAGCCGTTCCGACAAGACCAACAGTGAGCGACGACACGACTCGATTCGGCAACGGGATTGGCGGCATTCAAGAACCGCTTACTTCGCTTACTTCGCACTCCACCATGGCAAGCTCGAATCAAAAAATCGCGTCTGTATCATTCCTGGTGCCAGACTACGACGAGGGAATAGATTACTTTGTCAATTCGCTCGGCTTTACACTCACATCTGATGTCGCGATGGGTGGTGGCAAGCGCTGGGTGGTCGTTCATCCTCCAAACAGCGATACTGGAACCGGATGTGGACTTGTACTTGCTGTACCATCCAATGATGTACAAAAGAGCGCGCTGGGTAATCAAGCCGGAGGCCGGGTCTGGCTTTTCCTGCATTCAGACAACTTCTGGCAGGATTATGAGAAAATGAAGAGCAAAGGAGTTGTTTTCATGGAGGAACCAAGGAAAGAACCATATGGGGATGTCGTTGTCTTCAAGGATAAGTGGGGAAATCGGTGGGATTTCATGGGACCCAAGTGTGAGTACTCCAAACGGACGATGTATAGCATCTCATGCTCTGTACAGCGAGCTCGTGATTATTGCAATATAATCTACGTTAGAAGATGACATCCTCGTCCTTTGTCGCGAGCAAGTCGCCTGGCCCGACCTCTTCGTCGACAAGCACCGAAACGGGCTTGGCTGATTCTTCAGCTGCTTCGCCAGCTTCAATAGCGAGTTTCTTCTTCAGGGCTTCAGCTGCCTCGGCATCTCGCTTCTTCTTGCCCTGGACTTTCTTCAATCTAAATCACCGTAAGCAAGCTGGACATGCAGCTTTGAGCAAACCTACCGATAGAATTCTTCACGATCCATCTCATCCAATTCTGAGATGATAAACTTGATAGTGTTTTCTAGTCGAGGGATGACAACGTGCTCGATAGCGTTAACACGTCGGTTAGTAGCTCGAATGACTTCGTCCAGGATCATGAATGCTGTCTGTAGTGAGGCAAGTTCGACCAGTGTTTCAAGGGCTTTGGCATAGACTTCCTTCGACTTGATCACCTGCTGTCCACCACGACCAAGGCCGGTGAGATTAAAATCTAGATATGTCAGTAGAGTTTAAAGAACGTATGGATTTGTTTACCGCTGCCTGCCACCCTATCCACCTCGAAAGTGGGCAAGACTACACCGGAGACGTTCTCCTGAGCTGCCTTGACGCGGAAAGAGGCATTCTTCGCCTGCTCTTGAACTAGATATGCAATGTCTCCGGTAGCATATGTGACTTCGGCGAGTGAAAAAGACGCCAATTGCATCACACGTCCCATCTTGCGCTTTGCCTGATCCAGAGGAGATTCGAGGACTTGGTCAGACACTGCTGAGGAATTTATTATAGTATAACGATACCTCGTCAACTTTGCGCAAAATCGCTCGAAAGCGGGTCATGAGCGCGTCTCGCTTCTTGGCCAGGAGCGAGTGGCCCGTCTGTGCACCCTTGAGCCGTAGCTTGGTGTTTGTAAGCGCCATTCTTGTTGGAAATATTGCTTCTCGTGGCCCAGACATGGCGACTCGTAGTGTTCGAAGACGACAAGAGACTCGTCAACTTTGGACCTTGCCACGACCAACATTCACCAACTCCGGTGTTTATGACATCGTTAATGATAAAGTGAATGTTTCCTCTCTGCAGGCGCTCATGCTATGGACAAAAGGCTGTATGCGGCCACAGCCTACGACTAGTTCCCATCACCGCTCATGTCGCCAACGAAATCTCATATATATCATGGCGCATCGCTGCCTTCTCATAGATCATCTTTGGATCCCTTTCTTCCCCTCCGCCTTTTTATCTCTTCTTTTCGAGGCCAGGAGCTTTGCCTTTATTTCTCTCCTCTGGCAGGATCACCCACTCTTTACTTTTATTTTTAAATTTCACTAAGAATGATCTTCAAACCGTACCTATTCGCGCTGCTGGGCGCATCCACGTTGGTCGCAGAAGCCGCACCAATAACCGTAGGGGGTGCTGGTATGGGATATTTTCCGCCAAATTAGCACTTATTGACACTTGGATAGCTCAGTTGTGCTCAGTTGCACCCTGCCGGATGCGACGAGTGAGACGTACACCCGAGATCATGCGCAACTGGAAACGACAAGATGATGACGGCGACGGAGAGAGCACACCCCCGCCACCCAGCACACCAGATGTTGGTGTCGTTCCCGTCACATCAACATCGACGATCCCAGTTAGCCAGGAGCTTCCCCCAGGCCCCGTTGGAGGAAGTACCACACCTGCAACTGGTACCAACACGACAACCACTCCGCCGGCGACATCGTCCACGGCAGTTGGCACTGTTCCAGCTGCACCAGCGATTCCCTCTACTGGCACGATCAATCCTCTGTGAGTCGACAAAGTTGATGTACTTGGCAACAGCTAACGATACGCAGGACCGGTCAGACACCTCCATTCTCACCATTTGGCCAGCCGACCACGGGATTCAACCCCTTCGGTCAGCCACCAACGACTGAATTTACACCGTTCGGTCAGCCACCTGTCGGTGCAGTTCCACCATTTGGTCAACCACCGTTTGGTCAACCGCCTATTGGGGCGGTCCCACCATTTGGTGTTCCTCCTACCGGGTTCGAACAGACTGGCCAATTTGGTAGCAATCCGTTTGCCAACGGTCTGCCACCTACGACTGGGTTTGGAACAGAGTTTGGTGCAAATGGACAATTTGGGTCGACTGGACAATTAGGATTAACTGGGCAGCTTGGATCTACAGGACAATTTGGATCGACGGAACAGCCTGGATCAACTGGCCAACTGGGATCGACTGGATCTACTGGTCAATTTGGTTCCACTGGACAACCCGAGACATGTGGTCCAACTGGATGCACTCCAACTTCGGCAACGAATACACAGTGCGGCGCATCTGGATGTGGAACATTTGGCCGTGATCACGAATTCGGCATGCCACCAAGCTTTAGCCCGTTCCCGAGCTACATGCAAAACTATGCGATGTACTACCTGCCGCATATGATGTACTCGGTGGACGCGTCGATGAGCTACGTGGGACAATTGCTTGGAGCAGCGATGCAGTCTCTGCAGTCGGCTTTGATGCACGTGCAGCAGAATATGGCGGCGTACGGGGCTATGATGACGCCGCAGCTGCAGTAAGTATGCGAAGACATCTGGAAGTCGTTCTGATACGCTGCTAGCTCGAGCTTGGGCCATAACATGCAGTTTGAGGGCCAGCAAGTCGGCGGGAGCCATTTCTCGAGCAGTCAGGAGCCGTTCCCATCTAATGGACAATTCTCAAATGGACAGTTCGGGTCACCGAACACTCAGTTCTCTTCGACTGGCAATTTTGGGTCTTTGAACGACCAGTTCTCGTCTTCATCGAATAACAATCTGGGTGGTGCCAGGTTAGTATTGTCCAGCCATCCTACTCGATTCACTAGTTTCTGACTTGCATCTATCAGTACTGCTTCAGTTCGTGCTATCGAAAGCTCGTCTATTGTGCCTAATGAATATACCAACAGGTTCACAACAATGGACAGAGCAAGACCCAGCCCTCTCGTAAAGCAGGTATCGCTGAAGTGTGAGTCTCGGCAAATCAAAAAATCATCTCTTACAATTCCTTAGGACGCCTGAGGTCAACACGGGAGCTGCTGCATTCCAGACTCAGAACGCTAGGGATGCCCAAGGGCTCAAGTGCGTTGACTGATCTGCTTTACTTCCATTCTCACATACTGCAGTCAAAAGTTCAAATCTATCACAGTCGGCTCGCCATGCACTGTAGGCGAGAATGCATGCACCTCTGACGGACAATTTGCCCAGTGTCCATTCGGGACGTTCATCGCTACTCCTTGCGCCGCAGGGACGCAATGTCTTGCGCTTCCACTTGTTCTTAAGCCGGGAACAAGCATAGCGTGCTCGACGCTCGAGGATGCAAACCGCCGTATGGCCGATGCCGGCGCTTCTGGTGGATTCGATGGTCAACAAGGATCTGGTTCTGTTGCATCCAACACCGGTAGTACTTTACAGAACCCACAGGGGCCCTCTTCTACGTACGTGTTTCACGAGGACTGTAGTTTGTGCGCTTACCCTTCTGTAGAGCCTCTACTTCCGCTGTTTCAGGCGAAAACAATGCTGGTGGCTTCCAAGCGCAGAACGCTCGAGATGCCCAAGGCCTCAAGTACGTGCATCCTCTAATACGTTATCCCGATCTCACACTTTATTCTAGCGAACGCTTCAAGTCGATTACGGTTGGCTCGCCATGTACTATAGGCGAGAATGCCTGCACGTCTGATGGACAATTTGCCCAATGTCCATTTGGAACTTTTATCGCTACACCTTGCTCTGGAGGAACCAAATGTTTTGCGCTGCCACTCGTCTTCAAACCGGGAACGAGCGTAACTTGCTCAACGCTTGAGGATGCAAATCGTCGTATGGCAGATGCTGGTGTTTCTGGCGGATTCGATGGACGCCAATGATCAGCCTTTACCTTGCGCTCCTCTTTCTACCGTCCCCTTCACGATCTAACCGACTTGCCCTTGTATCACCTTATTCTCCATGATCGTTCTCGGTAGATATACTGTAGCGAATACAGGATCTTACTTATGTCTGTGCCTAGTAAGGTCTTGGACTTTCTCTTTCCACACTCTCGTTTTCAAGAACAAGAAGAGATGCATTATCTACGGTACTTTGTTGACTGTACCCACAGCTCGTCTTCCTGCCCTTCTTCATGGTATCATAGGTTTCAGTCTTCGTTCTCTCCAGCCTGCTCAAGTGCTGCTGCAGCTGGAGGGGCGCCTTTTACCTCCTCCGTTGCGGTCGAGAGTGCGGTTTGCGCCTCACCCGTCGCGTCTGTTCCCTTTGGCTTCCCTTTTCCCTTTTCCTAGCAAGTATATTAGTGAATTTTTTTCATCGACACGCTGTGGGTGGAAAGGGAACTCATAGTTGGTTCCGTGGCTGGTATTCACCTTTTTCGGCTTGACGACCTTTGCAGTAACCGCAGCTGGATAGGCGAGGTTAGTCACCTCTTGCCATTCCTTGGAATTCTCAAATTCCTTTTGCACGGGCTCGAGGAGTTCCGTAAGTGCCGTAGTCACAACAGCCTTGAGGTCTCCAGGATGGATGAGCTTGTTCCTAAAGTCTTCTTCCATCGGTTCAAATGTGGCATAGTGCAATGTCGACTGATCGCGTCTCGGCACGCTGAAGATGGTTCCAGCAGGGGCCGGCTCCTCACCCTCTTGGCCCTTGTAAACAAACGTCTTGTGTACTGGGTCTTGAGTCTCGAGACGGAGACTGGATATCGGCATAAGGACAGCTTTGACAAAGGAAAGAAGCGCATTGTTCTCCACGTTTCCTTCTTCACAAAATGCGCCCTTTAGCTTCTTCTTTAGCTGCGCGGGGGAGTCCAGGAAGTCAATCTTGCTATTTGGATCCGATGCGGACATTTTTCCGCCCGTCAATCCTGGTAACATCTGGTTCATTAGATGTGCCCGCTTCTTGTAGCCTAGTTTGGGTAGGTAGAGTTCGGCGTACGTAAAGATTTTACGCTATCATTCGCCTAGATTAGCAACATAGGATGGGGGAAGAAACCTAATTACCTGATCAACACCACCAAACTGGAAATCGCAACCGAGGTACTCCTCGTCGAGTGCCTGTAGGCCCGGGTAAAGTAGTCCACTAAGAAGTGGACTCGAGACTTGTTTCACAACCTCTGCACCGGCCTTTTTGGCATCGTGCTCCGTCACAGTCGCACACAGACGGTAATTGTCCATATTGTACTCCTTTGTCAACTGGTAACTTGACCCGACGACAAACTTGAGCTTTTCGATGGGGACGGGGATGGCTTTGAAGACGGCACGGAGGACGAATTCGTAGTACTTGACTCGGTGTGCCACGAGCTCGAGGGGTGCTTTCATGTTATCCAGAAATGCGTGGACATCTAGGGGAGGTTTAGAGAATCGGATCGTTTTTGAATGCAGAAAACTTGCCCGCTAGAAGGATTGTAACCTGCCATCGCACATCAGTGAAAAGAGTGTGAGTGGCATGGGTGATAAGAGAAACCATACCTCGCAACCAGCGCGTAAAAAGTCTGCGATTTTCGTAAGAGGTCCGAGATATCCGATATGTGCTGAGATCCATCGACGAAATCCATTAGTCTTGTTTCATCTTTGGCATTGGAATGCTCACGTCGACCAGTCGGAGCGGTTCCTATATCATACAAAGTTAATTTGGTGGGTCAGTTGTGTCTAATTACACTTTGATCGGCACGCAAGCTCACCCCAGTAGCATCGTAGTGGCCGTCCTTCAGCGAGGACGGAGCGGATGATATCGGCGCCCAAAACCTCTTGGAGATTTCGTGTAATGAGGGTAAACGTCTCTTCAGTGCTGGCCATGGCGGATATGGGAGGGTTCAAGGAGAATGGACCATCGTCGGAAATGGCGGGATGACTCGTCACTTGGTCGTTTGTGCAACCCATTGTAAGAGGAATGCCCCTTAAAGGTTTTCTTACGGGAATGTTTACATGTACAATGTCGAGTAAGCTTCTGTATTCGCCACGACGAAACCACCGAGAACTAGCTACGGTAGTTGTTGCTTCCAAGAGCAGATAGAAGACAAGATGGTGGTATAAAGGAGAGTCAGCCAGGCAAAGGCAATGTCGTAAAGAAGACAAAGGGAAATTCGTAAAGGAAAAGGAAATGGGTTTATTGTTGCCCATCAAATCCACCCGTAACACCCGCAGCTGCAAACCTCCTGGCCGCATCGTCGAGTGTCGTGCAGGTTACGCTCGTACCCGCCTTGTTGACGAGCGGGAGCGCAAGGCATTGCGTGCCACCCGCACAAGGGGTGGCGACAAACGTCCCATTAGGACATTGCGCAAATTGCCCATCAGACGTGCACGCATTTTCACCGACGGTGCATGGCGAGCCGACGCTAATCGACTTGAACTTTTGGCTAGAGTGGGAATGTTAGACCGTGGGTGAATATGTGTGGCATGGGTATACGTACTTCAAGCCCTGAGCGTCACGAGCGTTTTGGGCCTGGAAACCACTGGCGTTATTAGCCGGAGCGGGAGCTGGTGCTGGTACCGGTGCTGGTGCCGGTGCTGGGGCGGGTGCAGGTGCAGGTGCGGGCTGGGCAACTTGCTGGTTTTGATTCTGGTTCTGCGTGGCATTACCAGATCCTTGTTGACCGTCAAATCCTCCCGAGACACCCGCAGCAGCGAATCGACGGGCAGCATCGTCCAACGTCGTGCATGTTACACTCGTGCCAGCCTTGTTAACAAGTGGAAGTGCGATGCACTGTGTTCCACCGGCACAGGGAGTCGCAACAAAGGCGCCGTTGGGGCATTGTGCGAATTGGCCGTTGGAGAGACATGCGACTTGGCCGACGGTGCATGCGGAGCCAGCTGTGAGTCCCTTGAATTGTTGGCTGTTGGGATGTTAGATTGAGAGTAGTACAAAAAAAGGAGAGACGGACTTTAGAGCCTGTGCATCCCTAGCGTTTTGAGCCTGGAAACCGCCACCGTTGTTAGCCGGGGCGGGCGCAGGTGCAGGTGCAGGTGTAGCCGGTGCCGGAGCTGGAGCCGGAGCACTGAAATAAGCCGTGAGAAGTGTGCAACAGACTCGACTGGACAAGACTCACTTCGACTGAGCGGGAGGAGCTGGTTGTGAAGGCTGAGCGGCGCCATTGTTTCCGCCACCGTTTCCGCGTCCAGGATTGTTGACAATCTTGTTCAACTGCTGACCGTCTGGAATCTTTCCACCAGGATTAGCGGGGCAAGACCCGGGCGGGCTGAGTGAACTGAGACCCAGGGGGATAGTGCCAGGGGCGCCGAGGGCTACGCCACCGGTGAAGACATTGTCATTGACACCTTGGAATTGGCATTGGAAAAGACCCTGAAGTTCGTTGTTACGCGGAGGTTGCTGGCAGTAAAGAGAGGAGACTGAGTCTGGTGCATTCCGTGGTTGCTGCCTGAAGAGCTGGGCGAGACGAATCATCTCTGCATCGTTTCCTAGTTTACGAGCGAGATCGATCATCGAGTCTGCGGCGTCTTGTTGTGCACACGGAGGCGGGGCCGCGAGCAAAGTGGCCATGGACGAGACGGAGAGGGGATTGCAGGCCTGGCCACCACCGGCTCTGAGACAAGCTTGTTCCCAGTCTGCTGTAGCTTGTGCAATGACCTGTGCGATGCGTTTCTCGAGGATGGGTGCGCCAGAGACGAGAAGGGCGCTGGTGGAGAGAGCTGTGAAAAGGATGGACAACATTGTTTTGTACAAGATGAAAGAATGAAAGACTGTTGGTGCTACTAGAGCAGAAAAGAAAGAAGGATAGGCGCCTGGCTGAGGGGGGACGAAGTGGGGAATAAGAAGACTTTGCAGAGTTTTGGCAAACTTAGACTTTGTTTTATAGGTGAGAGCGGAGGTGGCGTAATTCGAGGCTGTCCGTCTCGAAGCAAACGACAGCGGCGTGCCTATTTTGGTGAAATTTGTAACCATCAAGCGCGCATATTGGACAGCACCAGATCAGAGGTCATCTAACACATTGGCTAGACTCGCTTCTAATCTCGATTACAACAATGTCTACAATTCTCCCATCTCGTCCAGTAATCCCACATACACATGCCCAATTGTCCCAACTGCCGCACAGAACTCGAATACCCGACGCCGTCTCCATCAACACCTCTTGCATCCATACAGGTCCAATGCTTTATCTGTCGTGGTCTATTTGCCGTCCAGCAACCGCCGCCACAAGCCCAGTCGCCTCCGCCGCGTAACAAGAACAGAACACGGTCAGTTTACCCGACGAGCACATGCACCTGCTTCTGACTTGAATCTTCTCATTTGATGGTATATCGTCAACACAACTACAGCAAGATTGGCACTCAGGACAACCCGCTAGAGACCGGCTACTACGATATACTCGGTGTACCCATCAATGCGACCCCAGACGATATCAAAAAGGCTTACCGGAGACTAGCGATCAAGCTTCATCCAGACAAGAACCCCGGAGACCCACAAGCCGAATCAAGGGTAAAGTCTCCATGCTGCATGTTCCTATCCCAGTTCCTGACTCGTTGTATCCAAGTTCAAAGAGCTCGCTATCGCCTATCAGGTGCGCATATTGCCTATTGGCGACCATTCTCACCCTAACCACCTTCCCGATAGACGCTGAGCGATCCCGTCCTGAGGAAAAAGTACAACGAGTTTGGACCAAAGGAGAGTGCTCCAGAAGGCGGCTATGTCGATCCCGAAGAGATATTCGGCACAATCTTTGGTCCGTTTGGTTCCCTCCCTATTCTCTAGGTGCGCTACTCACCGCGCTCTAGGCGGCGAAAAGTTTGTCCCCATCTTCGGTCATATATCCCTGGCACGTGATATGAAGACGGCATTGCAAGAAGACGACGACGACCAAGGGACGGTTGCATCCACGAGCGCACCCGGCTCAAACGGCGCACCCGCCAAGGTTCTCTCGCCTGAAGAAAAAGCAAAGAAGCTCCAAAGAGAACAGAAGATTCTCGCAGAGGTGCGTAGTCTAGACGACCCTCCTTGGTAGAATCACACTTTGTGCTCACGATTTGTTAGAAAGCGGCTGAACGCGAAGCGCGAGTAGCGACGCTTGTCGTCAATCTAGAGAATAGGCTCAGTGTGTTTGCCGAATCAGCCACTTCGCCCCACGACGCACCCGTCGTCAATTCTTGGCGACAGAAATGCGCGTATGAAGCTGAAGAGCTCCGTTCAGAGTCGTTTGGTGTCGAGCTTCTTCATGCGATTGGGTTTGTGTACGTGAGCAAAGCGCGACATTTCATCGCGAGCTCGCAGAGTATCTGGGGTGTTGGTGGATGGCTGCATGGCGTGCAGAATAAATATCACGTCTTTACTGAAACGTGCGTTCCCAAACGTTATGCTATTCTTCTCAACTGACAATCGCTGCGTGCAGAGTCTCGACTGTGCGAGCTGCTCTCGAGGTCAAGCAAGTCTTCGAACAGCTTGCCGAAGCGGAAAAGGGTGGCGTTACGCCTGAGCAAAAGAGGAAGCTCGAGGAACAGGCAGCCGAAAAGGTAATTGTGTTCACCCGGACTTACATAAAGACACTAACCGACATTATTCAGGGCATGCAAGCGTTGTTCAAGGTTCGTCATTTGAGACGTCGAAACGAAGATGACTAAATCACATTGGTATAGGGTGCAAAACTCGAGATTGAATCGGTGCTACGAGAGACGTGCGACAAAGTCCTCAGTCCAGAACCTCCTATCCCGCAGCACAAGGCCATCTTGCGCGCTACGGCATTGGAGATTCTGGGTGAAGCATTTTTGGCTGTAAAGAAGGATGGTCGGTCAGATTTGCTCGATGAAGAGTATGTCCGGGTCGAGACGGGTCCGAGCAAGGCGCGCGAGCGCAAGGAGAGTACCGCCGGGCAATGGGGACGACCATGATACACGTGGGTGACGATAAATTTCTATTTCCTGTGAGTGTTCTTTGCCATCCGTTTCATGTTAGCCTCCCTGGCTGATTGACGTTGGGTTTTGGCGTGGACGCTCTCTTGTTCGCTCCTTCCCGGACGACAGATGCATATGCTCCCCATTTTTTTCGTGTCAAAAGAGGCTGTTCTGGGTGACGGTAACCACGTTTAATCCGCTGACAACACCCGGACATTGGGACTGGACCACCGGAGTTGGACTGGTGGGAGCGAGCAGCGCATGAAGCGGACAGGCGGCCATCCGGCCCTCCTTGTGGTGGCCTTGGGCGGTAGAATATCGTACAAACGACGGGCGGGCTACACATTACCCTTGCAGTTTCTATTCTCGCAATATTTATTTTGCATGGTCCCGTTTGAGGTCTACTCCAACGGAGGCTGTATTCAAACCCCTCTTCCTTGTAGCCCTGAATCCTGAGCGGATAAACTCCTTTTTTCTCATTCGTTATTTGTGAGAAAACCTCGATCTGTAAGGCCCTCGGAGCGCCGACGCGTTGCCCTCCTTTGCGTCCACGGCGATACGGCCGCAATGATGGGGTCGGCGGTAGGTTGGACCTGACCTCGTCAATCTCCGTGCGACCTTTTGCTCTCGTCAACAACTCGTTTGAGCAAGATATTCCTCCTTCTCTTGCGCATCGATTTGCACGCTTTAATTTGCGAGCGGTTGACTGGATTGTAGCCACCCAAAAGGCCTTTTGCACGCCGCCGCCAAACCCAGTCCTCGAGTTATCACTCGGACTCACCTCACAGTCGTTTCATCGGTCGTGTTATTCGTACCGCTACCCTAATAACTCTCACTCGTTTGGCCCCCTTGAAAACCCCAATACCCCTCGTCTTTCTAGAATCATCGACAATGCCCGCGTTTGCCTTTGATCTATTCGCACATCGCAAGGCGGTGAAACGAGCTCCTAGTGGTGCGTGATCTCTTTCGTCATGTCCACCCCTATTCTCCTTTGTCGCGGTTTTCCCGCGCGTCTGCCGCATACTCGCTCGATGGGAAGGCACACTTCTCAGGAGGGGCATTATGCTTGCTAATGAGCAACCAATACATGCCAACATCAATGCATAGGTCACGGGACTAATCACGAATAGGTTCTTGTCAATTGTACAAGGAGCCCAAGATGGGTGCAACGCTCAACAGTTCGACGCCTGTCACGTTTGAATGGGATCCTTCCTGCCTGGGAGATGCGCAGTACATTGATATTAGCCTCTTGTCCGCGCGAGGAACGCTCTTTCGCTGGAGCTCGGTCCCGGCCGCAAGTGGGAAACACGAGTGTCAACTAGACGCAGGATGGTGGGACCAGCAGAACACTGTGCAAGTTCAGGTAAGAATCCATTCATCCACCCTCGCCTCCATCTGGGTCAGACGCCACCATTCAATCTCTTGGTCCATGTGGATCTACAAAACAACGCCGTGATCGTCAAACTTGACAAAACTGACTTTTGGCATGTAGCTCGGGATCACGGCCAGCGACGAACCGCTCGCTCTGTCCCCGTTCCCAGCTGGTCCCGTCTTCACCGCAAGAAACAGTGACCCGATCCCGACTGTCTCCACCCCTTCCAATTCGTCAGTCTCTGGCACCCGCACATCCTCGACGCCTGCTCCGACAGGAAACTATGCCGGTGCAGGAGGTGTGGTGAATGTTCAACAATTGTACTCGTCTCAACAAGCCCAGCATCGTGGCCGACTCGCCGCTTCGATCATTCTCCCACTCCTTGTGGCCATTCTTGTGTCTGTTGGTGGCTACATTTGGTATTCTCGACGTCGTGAAGCCAAGCGCCGTCAGCAATGGGTGGAGAGCATTGACAAGCGCATGAGCAGAGTCAGTGCGGATTGGCAGAGTATGTCAGCCATCGGAGGTCGTCCGTCGATGCAGAGTGGTCGAAGTCGCACCATGAGCCATCTTGGTGGTGGTGCAGCTCACGGTCGTTCCTCTCTCGCTCCCGAAAATACTCGCCCGTCAATTTATGAGCGGTTCAAGAGTAGCACATCGGTTGTTGACAATGAGAAGAATGTGTTTGCCGCCGAAGATCTCTCTCAACTTGGCCCTCGTGCTCGCGCGTTGTCTGCTGCAGCTGCAGAGGGTCGCCCTCTGTCAGAACTGTACAAGGATCTCCCTGCTGCACCGGCCGCTTCTGCGACAGGTGTCACACGCGCGCGTTCAAAGTCGATTGCACACGATGGCTCGGGCCTCAGGACGTCTGGCTTCTTGCCACGACCAGCTTATGATCGTGCACCAGCCTCTCATGCAAGGACGACATCGACGACGTCTAACAACCCGTACGCAAGTGCAATGGCACAACGAGACTCGCAAGCAATGGACGAAAAAGCTCTTTACGCATTCCCAACCAGTTCAGGTGGCAACTTGCATTCTGGAACATCACCTATTCAGAGATCCCGGCTCGATTCATCCAACTCTGGTCCGACACCTCGTACAAGACTCGACTCGGCCACTGGTCGAGGCCGAGTGACGTCCCGTGTCTCGTTCGCAGATACACCCAGACCAAATGAGAGGAGATGGAACCATGCAGACGCGGAGAAGAATGGGGTCGGACGTGTATCTGTTGGCGATGCTTTTGCAGTCGACTTTGATTCTCTGCCGGCTCTCGCTCGTAAGTTTGCTCCCTCTATAGAGGTTCTTTGTGCTCACGAGAAATGTACAGTGATGCGCGTCAAGTCTGGCGAGGGTCTGGAGGGATCCGCACCTGATTCGCCATTTACGCCCACACGCGAGTTTATTCCTGGTTCAAAAGACGATCATCTGGGTGCCCGACAAGGTACTGGCATTGGCGGTCGCACACCAGACGAAATGTTGAAAGCGTATGCGGCTGCAATGGCGGGTGAAAAGGGCGAACTCGGACAGGAGATGGAGATGGGCACGGCGCGTGGACAGATGCGGCCACGGCAAGAGGAGGAGAGTGGAGGAATATTCTCGAGCGTTCGCAAGTTGTGGAGGAAGTAGTGCCGCTGCGAATTTGCGCGCCTGCTATCCATTCCGTATACCCTGCCCGCTCACTCGCTACAAGGCAGATATCGGTATTATCCGCCGTTCATTCTTTTTATGACATTTAGACGAAGAAGGATAGAAGATAAGTTACGGGTCTTTCCCTCGTCTCTCCCCCACTCTTCTGCATACCCGGCTTGTACCCTTGCTGGTTTGTTGTAGTAGTTAGTGACTGAAATCATCAGTCTGTTTACTTTTACTTGTATCGTTTCACCGCTTGAACTGAGCCGAGCCGAGCTTGAATCATAGTTTGTCCGACGTCATTGGCCAGCACACCACGACCTCACCAAACTTGAACCACAACCACGACCTTCTGTTGCTCATCTACTACATCTATCTACAAGCTTGCTTATCAGTCAAGACATGACTTCAACGCCAAAAGTCACACCCTCGCGCGAGGCGAGTGATACACGGATTCGACAGCGAAAAGGCGTCACCAGACCCGTCAAGGCGCCACTCGGAGGCGTCAGCTTCAAGTTGTACATTTATATTCTCGCAGCAGTCGCATTATCCTACTCGGTGTATTACGCATATCGAATGTGAGCGTCAGTTATCTGCCTTTACCACAACTAATTGATCGGTCTCTAGGTCTGAGAGTGCGTTGGTCATATTTTAGAGAGTTGATACTTAGACTATGGACAGTTCAACGAACCAGAGCCATCAACATGCGCGAGCAGCTCAAAGCCGCTCGAGGGACTCCAACCGCTGGCGCACCGAGTGGAGGAGGCATACGTCAAACCGTACAACAGAAGATAGAAGATCTTGCGGACATGCTTGGACTCGAACCGGTCGTACTCGCCAGTGCGGTCGCCGCTGTCGTCAAAGAGCACATGCCCGCGGCAAGCTCGTCCTCCATTATCAGTCAAGCCAAGAAAAGCGAGACTGGAAGTGTGATGTCTGCCTTTACGGAAGGATTAGAAAACGGTGGTACGGTCAGCGCCATGCCAACTGCGACAGAGGGTATAGCCTCGACCGCCTCCTCAGTCGCGGGTGTCGCTGGATCTATAGCGTCCGTGCTCATGAGCGCTGGGTTTGACGATATGGGTATAGAGCTCGACTAGGGCTCGCCAAGTTTGTGCACCTCTCAGGTGTTGTATTCTCCATAGCTCGTCGTGTTCTTTAATGCCTCGTTTTCAGCCAGTTCGTATGTGAGTTACCACTTAGACCGTGTGTCAATGCAGAACCCGAGGCCGAGGAGGTGACGTTGCGGACATTCGTTAATGGCCATCGCACAAACAGCCCAAAACAAGTCAAAGGATTTAATCTTATGTCTAAAACTTATGGAACATGGGGCTTATCTTTACATTCTAGCCTCTATAGCTATCTCACATGCAACAAGCTATTCAAAAGCGATAGACGAGCTTTCGGACTCAAGACAAACAAAAATTGGACTAACATTGAATAGCCTTGGCGATAACACTGCCCATTGGAATAGGTTTGGGGTCATTCTGGTGGTCAACTGCATGGATGGCCCAGTCGGCCAAAGTCACCTTGTCCTTCTGGAAGATCATGATATGGGTCGATCCGCCAAACTCAAAGTGACCAATTTCTGTTCCTCGTGTAATGTCGATCGGTGGTTTGCCATCAGGGACCAAGCAGCTGGGCTCGATGACACAGGTCGAGACTTCGACCATGCCAATGCAGATTAAGGCAACAAGACCGCAGAGTGGGTGTGAGAAGATGAAGATAGCGCGAGCAGCGACGTGACCAAGATATGGCTGTGACTCGGTGCCTTCCCAAGTACCAACGCCTTCGCCTTGATCGGGTCGCTGGGCAAAGTAGGTACCCGGTTGTACCCAAGACGAGATAAGCTGGCCATCAATTGGTGCCCTCCAGCGGTGATAGTGAGTGGCGGAGAGGAATCCCTGATAGACCTGGCCGCCGACGAAGGGTGCCGCTTTGTCCGCTCGCCCGCCAAACAGATCAAAGAGAGAATATTCGACATCTTTGATCCAGAAGGGGGTCTCTCTGCCGACTCCGTTAGCATATTGCCACGGTGTCGTCTCGCAGCCAATGTTGACCGATGTCGTTGGATCACCTTGGAATGTTCGTGCACCAGGAACGAATTGGCGGATGAAGAATGAGTTCCACGAGTCGAAACCAAACCCGGGCTCCAAGGGGTTATGGACCATGTCCTGCCACACGCCTGCCTTGAAAGCTGCTTTGGAGATCCAAGACCCTGGCTTTTCCGGATGTTGTATGTCGAGCTTGTCGAGAGACTGGGGGCTCTTGAGGAAGGCGTTCCAAGCGTCAAGAACGGTCTTGAACTGAGCGTTAAAGGTTGTGTCGTGGAAGAGAGCTGCCCCGGCAGGAGTACCCATGGAGACTGCGAGGAAGCCATTCATGGGTGTACCAACCTGTACAGTGTCGTTGAAGGAAGGTGATGTATGGATGATCAAGTGGAGGTACCAAAAGAACTCGTCATATCCATAGATATGGATGGTATCCCGTCCTTTGTTATCTCTGCGACAGTTGCTGGGTCGAGAGAAGCCACAAAGGCATTGGCTTCGTCAATCATGCGATTGACTAGCATTCGGTAAACACTATTTGTGGTGACCCAATCCTTGAAGGCTTGAATAGTCTCGTGAAGGCGGATCAAATTACCCCTGGTTTTGAGCGTGTCGAGATGCCGGCGCAATGGGATGAGATACTTGGCCGTAGCGTAGACACGGTTGGGTACCCAGAAACCCATCTGGATCGGCCCATCCTTCTCTAGAGTGAGCAATTGACGGCCTGTCGTCTCGAGACGAGGACGAGCGGTATTGGCGGGGATAGACATTGGTGGCAGATGTTTGGTAGCTAAAACCTGTCTGCTCAGGATCAGTCGCGTATCCTTGTTTAAAACGGGGAGACATACCAGAAGAGGAATTCCGAGCTGGTGGGGCTGAGTATGAGGGAGAGCGAGGATCTGGTATTTTATATCGTCGTTGCGGCGATTGAGGTTCTCCGCGCTTGTAAGGATTTTCTTGAACACGCGAGTTTGAATGTCGAGCGAGCGCTGATCCCTCCGTCTGATATTGGTGTGGCACCTGTCTGTTGTGCGGCAGTTCATGAGGACGGAGACATAGCGCTGATAAGTTCGAGATCCATGTCGATGGATCCGGATTTTGACCATAACCTGGCCACTGTGCGCCGTGTTCTGCCTTCGGTTCCGATCTGATTTGTCGCCAATTGAATTTTGCGGGGTTTGGCAAGCTCCGAAGAGCGCCGGGGCCCTGATTCGCTTGATTTCTGGATGCTTATGCCCATCTAAGTCGATTCAATCCATGGAAAGACAAGGTCCGGGCTTGGTATCACAGTTACCCCTTCTCCAGCCAATGCTCATAAGTTGGAAATGTTGTAGAGTCTGTTTACTTCCCATCTGGCTAATGTATCTGAACGGGTCTCGATCTTGCCATTCAAACGTGAAGAAGCGGTGAGCAAAGGTGGAAGGGCAATGATATGGTGAAAAGACCCATGACAAGTGATAATCGCTATTCAGCGGCGCTTGACTGCCCAAGACGACCAAAGGTGACTATTGTGGTCTGGAGCAAACAGTGTTTGGTCTCTTAGAGTGCCCATGCTATCCATATAGATGGCTGTATGCGCCTTGGAACGAGTGCTGCAATTAAAAGGACGGAATTATTTGAACGGACAGCAAGCATACTCGTCGAGGTGCCAGCGCGGAGGTGCCAGCACGGAGCTGGCTTTGTTGTCAACCAGCATATTCGACCAATTCCGGGATAAATCGCGCTTTCAAATATGCATAAGGGTTACTAGCATAGTTGACCCCTCCCATACCATCATGGCTCTTGCAGCCGTCGTTTACTCGCTATCAACCCGTGCAGATTCTGCCACATTGAATACGCCAGATTCACTCCCACCAGGTGCCAATCAGTACAGAAGTCTACCTGGCATAGTCTGGAGCTGTTTGACTACAATCTTCCTGTGCATCTGGGTCTCCCTCCATCTGAACATTCCCGAGCCTGTGGACACTAGACGCTTGAATCGCTTTGAACGATTCAAATTCCGGATAAAATCGTTCATCCGATGCAATGTGGTCCCTGTCCTTGTCACATTGTTGATTCCTGAATGGGTTCTGGGTATGGCCGTTCGGCAATCCATCATGGCCTCCCAAGTAGCCAATGAGATTGGTATGCTTCAACAGTAATTTATTAACTAGTACTGATCGGCTTGTTGGAAGATGCCACTCGTCAACAGGGATTCTTCATTATCATGGGCGGCTTTCATCTCTTTAACCGAATTCAACCCACTTCATTGAATGAGAGTACGGAGAGAGTTGGAGAGGAGACTCACCCGTTGGTTGAGAAATCGGCCTTGGAAGTAGGAGATGGTCGACATAACCATGCACCGAGTCAAAAGATGGCAACTATATTTGAAGAAGAATTTGGAGAGCCTGTTCACCCCCTCGATGAGGTTGACGTTTGTCATCTGATCAAGGCTGGGAAACTTCGCCTCCCTACATCCGCAGAGTTGGAAGACAAGTGCAAGAGCGATGGACTCGCAAAGTTTCTCGTCGTAACCCAAACACTCTGGTTCATCGCTCAATGTATTGCACGGAAAGTCAGCAAACTTCCACTCACCGAGCTTGAAGTCATTACGCTCGGCTATACCTTGCTCACCTTATCACTGTACATTGCATGGTGGGACAAGCCATACCGCGTAACATTCCCTATACGTGTGTATGAAGCACTCCCTGAACGTGCCCAGGGGGAAATTTTGGGGAAGCTTGGACGTGTGATCGGCGTTTCTCTAAGCTCCATCGTGGGTGCTCAATCTGGGTCTGTTGACCTGCGGAGTGTGAAACGAGTTCCAATGTTCCACGCCGGACACAATAAAGGTTCCAGCGGCCTTGGTGGTATGGTGACCGCCGTCCTTGCTGGGTCACTATTTGGTGCCGTCCATTGTCTTGCATGGTCATCGCCCTTTTCATCCAGCCATATACAATATCTCTGGAAATTTGCAACTATAGTCATGACTGTAGTGCCACCTACAGCTGTCATAGGTACAATCTTCGTTGCAGTAATTAGTGACAAGTGCTTTAGCTTGGCTGGCTTGAGCTTGATCTTCATCCCATTCTTACCAATCCTCTATCTTGTTGGAAGGGCTATGACGATTATACTTGCGTTGAAGATGCTCGAGGCACTCCCACTCGATGCTTATCGAGACGTAGAGTGGTCCGATTTCTTCCCCCATATCTAGCTCTTGCGTTGTTATTGGAGGTTATACCTATATTTCCGTGCCTCGGACATTGTGAGTGCAGATTTTAATTAGAAAGTGAATTCCAAGATACACTGGGTTAGTTGGATAAGGTATAAAGGAATATTGGAACGTGTATTGCCCCGAGTATATGTACAAATTAATGTATCGAGAATCGGTAGCGTTTATACCGTCATAGCCGTCGCACGTTCATTGACCATACACATACGCCATGAACGTTGTCGGGGGCTCGACAGAACGGTAGACAGCTCGACGAGAGTGGGGTAGTGGTAGGACACGACGAGAATTACGCAGGCGTCCATTCCGATTGCGCATAGGCGATCGTGATGGGGAAGAATCTGATCCAGAGCGCTTGACTCTCGACAGCATCGAAGGTTCAACGGTTGCATCCGCACTCGTCACCGCCTCGTTGGTGTCGGCGACGATGCGTTCCATTGGACGTGGTGGTCTCGTCGTATCTTGCGCGTCGATTGCCGACGCGTCCTCGCGCGCATCAGGATGTTCGATGAGCGAAAAGCTCGACTCTGCATCCGACAACTCTTCGTCAATCCTATTCTCCATCAATGTGGTCGAATGAGCAAGGTCTGAGGCCTCTACAATCTGAAGACTGGAGATGCTATCGACCAATCCTCCATAATCCGACGTATCGCCATCCGTATCAATGACAGACGAGTCGAGGTCGGTCGCTGTCGGGGTGTAGAGAGCAGCAGCCGCTCGTGGATCCGGATGACGGCTATTTGGTCTTAAGAGATGTGTCTGACGTTCTGTCGTAGTTCCGTTGGACACATCTTTGCTAAAACTGACGACCGAATGGAACCTCGCTACGCAGTGGACGAGCCACCTCGCAAACGGATCCTCAACGCTCCAAATCAGTTGCATGGGTGTCGAAGACACGATATGAATCGCTGGTCGGTCCACTGAATCTACAAACCCTTTCCTTTCCTCGATTAGCGCGTCCAGCGCAGCCGAATCTCCATCCAGCCAGACTTGGAGCAAGCTCTCAATGTCCTGGATAAGAGTACGGGCTCGCATGCCACCACGGTGTCGGAGATCCTTACGCACGCCGCGAAGGCCGAGAGTGAAGCGACCGGCATAGGCAGAGTTGAGGTTTGCGGGGTCAGCACGGCTGATGGTCGCTCCAGATGGTGCAGGTGAGACGCGTGGAAGGTATGCAGGTAGAGGACGCGGGAACGTCTCGCGCGGCTCGGAGGTCGAGATGCTGTAGTCTGATGACGAAGGGTGCACGATATGAGGGTTGCCATTGAATCTCCCTGGATCGATATTATGTTAGTAATGATCATGTTGATCTAAAATGCAAGACTACTGACCGTTATCGTGGCGTCTCACATGACGCTTTCCGCGAGTCTTGCCGTCAATGGTCGTGGACGAAGGCTGTCTGGAACGAGTGTTCTCAGCATCACGAGTACGTAAGAGTTGTGGCGCGCGTTGCTTTGGGTTGAGAAGAATGGCGGGAAACGACATTGGGACGGGGGCGATAGGAGCAGGCACCGCAGGCGTTGCCTGAGATGTATTCATAGATTCAAGAGCGTCTGTAGTCGTCGTTGGCGTCTCCTGGGTCTCCTGCGCCATGGTTGTCGGATCTTGAACGTTCGTCAGAGTCTCCTGTCCAACTGCTGCGGTTGCAGCGTCGAGGATATCGATATTCTGAGTATTATTGTGCACTTGGGCCATGGCTTTGACTCTATAAGCGGACGAAGAAGAGTTCAAGGTTGAACGCATTGAGTCAGCACCCGCTGGATCGCAATAGGCGCTGAACAAAAGGCTACAATTTTCAAGAAGCTTGTATACCTATTCTACACGAACTAGACAAGAACAAACCCGTTGGATGCGGAGAGTGTACTGCCAGTAATCCAGCGACTCGCAGGACTGGCGAGGAAGACGACAACGTCGGCAATGTCAGATGGTTCTGCGACGGGTCTAGAATTTCTGATTGACGCCTTCGCTTCTTCTGGGAGTCCCTTGAACGTCTGCATGCGAAATTAGTATTTGTACCGTGCAGTTGAGAGATATGACTTACATCTGTCACGACTGGACCTGGACTGACAGCATTGACCTTGATGTTCCTATCGCGCAGCTCGATACCCAGGACGCGGGTTACACTCTCTACCGCGGCCTTTGTGGATGCATAGACCGTTGTACCAGCTTCACCTATTCTTGCTGATACTGAAGAGATGTTGATGATGTTTCCTCCTTCCTTCATATGTGCAACGACCGCCTTGGTCAAGAATATGACAGCACGCACGTTGACATCGTACTATAGCATCATCAGTACCTCGTGTAAGAGTAATAATGAACAGAGCTTACCATGCGCTGATAGTGATCCACTGTCACTTCCTCCAATGGAGCAAGCTCGGCCACTGCTCCATTGTTGACCAGGATATCAATCCTACCAAAGTGATCCACCGTCTGCTTCACCAAGTTGTTCAACTCGTCCAACGACGCAAGGTCCGCTTGCACGATGAGAGTCCGGGAGCCTGTCCCCAAGTTTTCGATTGACCGCGCAACCTCTTGGGCTCGCGAGAGTGACGAGGAGGATACATGATTGATGACCACATGTGCGCCTTGTTGAGCCAGCGCAACTGCAATTGCGGCCCCAATCCCTCTAGCCGAGCCAGTTACAAGAGCGACTTTTCCGCTGAGACTCATTTTGGATGTGAATAAGCGTATTGTCAATGGTCCTCAGCCTTTGTCCATACGAGCCGCCTATATAGCGCAAGTGAGCATATTTCGTCCACGCTGCCGTTGAGCGATTTATTATGTCATCGTTGCCGAAATTTCGGTGGTTGACCACGGAGCCGGACTTGATACAATTTGACAGCACGGCATATGCAGAAAATTCTCGCACTCGGTATCAAAGGCATCGGGGCGAGAACCTCGGCGTAATAGAGTAGCGTGCAAGCACGTCCATTAAAGCAGCAACTAGTCCACAGGAGCAATATAAAGAATCTGGAACATCTGGAAAGAACGAATAGGAACCCGTTGTTTACAAGAGCCACGATCCGACGACAGCAGCGACAAGTCCGACTGCGGCACCCCAAGTTGCACCGATAGTTTGTGCGCCATTTGGAGTTGATCCAGACGATCCAGACGAGGCAGGGGAAGTGGTCGCGGCATTTGAACCAGTCGCAGCTGAGTTGCCACTCGCTGCTCCTCCGGTAGGGGTTGGAATGGCCAGTGATGATACGGGGCTCTGAAAGACAGTGTATCAGCTTTATAACAGACTCGAATGAGACAAGGACATACCCCGACGAGCAAGCATCCCGTGTTCAAGTTATCGGCGCTGGTTTGCATGGCGGTAAGGAGTTCAGGCGTGAACGTGGATGGTGAATTTGCCTCAAAGCAGGTTATGCACTTTAAGAAATCAGACTGGGCCTGCGAGGTGCACGCTGGAGAGAGTGTCGAAAGATTCGAGGGGTCAATGGCTGCGAGTGTCTGGAGAATGGCGCATTGAGATGTGCATGCACTCGGAACATTTCCCAGAGGTTCAAGTGCTGGATCTACAGTCGGTGCACGTTCTTCAACGGCAAAGGCGAGTGCTATTCCAGACCATTGTCAGGAGACGTCCCTAACGCTCGGGGACAAAGAGAAGACGTACCGGAGCTGAAGGAAACAGCAACAACTGCAAGACGAGCAATGAACATGATGGAGTAGAGGGCAAGAACGGAGAGCGGAGGGCACCAAAGCTCTCGAGGATTTTAATGTGACACCGGTTACCAACAGTTCCTCTCGACATCTGTCATCTCGAGGGCGCGTTTGCATTCCTCGACGTCGACCGCCAAAGCCCACTGTCTGATCAAAATCAAACTTTACTTAACACCCTCCGATGGTTCCGGTCAGCGTCCCTATTCGTAATTGCAAGTCGTAAACATGACAAGTACTAGCCATCAAAAACCGTAAAACTAAAACTGTAAAAAGAAATGGGAAAATAGGTAGCCAATATACACTCCTCTCCGGGCGATCACGGCTGCGGTGCATGCTCATGCAAGTACGCAGACGACGCCCCCTGGCCAACTCTGTGTTCACCACCTCGGTAAACCCCAGTCGACCCAGTGTCAACTGTCGCAGGCAGTGTTATAAACGACTCCCGAGCAGTGCTGATGTCCGGGTGGTCAATGCTCACATTCTCGTGGGCCGTCAGTCGTCGGGGCAGTCCCGGCATGAGAGGCGGCGGAGCTTGAATCGTTCGCTCAGACGGTGCAACCGACGCGCCCCGTATTCGTTCCTCTTCAATGTCCTGCTGTGATGATGATGGTGGTTGGGGGAGGCGGTCTTGTGGTGGCGTTGTAGATTGGGTTTGGGTCGGCAACGGAGGGACTGGCTCACGAACCCAGTCGGGCACATAGTCCTCTTGCTCTTGTTCGTAGTGATGGTGGACCTCGCCAAACTCGCTTGGCCGTCCAGCAGCCATATACTCTGGTCGAGAAGACGTGTAGCGCGCACCAATCACTGGAACAATCGAGCTTGTCCGGCTCCGACTCCCACTACGACCACTCATCGTCGACATTGCGTGTGATTCCGTTCTCTCCCGCCTTCCATTCCCACTTCCGCTTGAAGTCGCTCCACCACCGGGGGCAGCTGCAGAGCGTGTCCTGGCCCTTTGCTGTCCAGAAGAATTCGAGTTGGAATGATGACTTGATGCACCCTGAGACCGTGTCCTTATCCGTTGAAGAGATTCGGTGAAGCTAGACGCGCGTGCTCGTAACGCAGCCAATGAGCCTTGATGGCTGGGTGCATTGGAGAGCAACCCGACGCTATCCTCATGCTCTTCGACTGGATTTTGCACCTCTCCTCCATCCCCTTGCTCTTCATGTTCATCCTGGTCATCGTGCTCTCCTTCCGATGCATATGGCTCCGGAGCTACATCGTGAAGCGCACCAGATGATGCCGCATGCAGCGACCTAGCAAGTCCTTCGCTCGGCATTGGTGAAGGTACGATACGGGACAACTGCGTCGCAGATACCGCTCGTCTCCTCTCCCCGTTTCCATTGCCGCCAAATCGCGCAGACGTAGAAGCAGAAGGAGGTGGGAGAATATTGCGTAATTTCTGTTGAGTCGAACTATCCGTACCAGGCGACTGCTGCGATCCAGAAGACTTGTGCGTGCGTGGGCTATAGTGCGATGCACTCGACTTGGCACTAGATTTGCGTCTGCTCTGGTCGCCAGAGTTGGACTTGCTGGACGTGCTCTTGTATCCCGAATTTCGTGGCGACTGTCCATACTGGGAGTGCGAGTACGACGTTGGTCCTGTGCTCATAGAGCTTCGTGTACGCTGGCCGACATACGGCAGTTGTCCTTGACCAGAAGGAAGTGGTTGACCAAGACTAGAGAGAGACGCAGAGGTGGCACGCTCGGGGAGGTAGCCCATTTCATCTACTTGGCCCTCAAGGTAATCGTCGTTGATATATTCGTCCTGGAGGTATTCGTCTTGATATTCCTCCTGGTCAAGATACTCCTCCTGATTAGGGTACTCGTCCTCTATCTGGCTCAGATCCTCTTGCAGTTGAGGCTCATCCTCATTGGGGAACGGAATCGCGCCCTTAGGTCCCGCTGTCTGCCGTTGCTGTTGGTGGGCTATTGGCGGCACACTGCCCTTGTAGGTCGGGAATGGGTATGGCAATTCCTTGAGTGGTCCGGAACGCGAATTCGACTCGACCGAGAATGGCAGATGCGTCGACGGTGGAACCAGCTGTATCGAATCGCGCAATCCACCTTCGATCGTCGGTTGGTCGAACAAGTCGGGTACGAGTCCCTTCCTACCTTGGTTCCTCTGCGGTAGGAGCGCCTGTGCAAGTCCCGTCAAAGGCTCCGGATCGACCTCTCCTTCTCCATCCTTGCCCTTGCCCATCCCAATCGCAGCAAGTGGTGCAGGCGTCGACCCACGTCGTCGATGCGGTAGCGGTGCAAGAAGACAGAATTCGTATGCTTCGCGTACCCTTCGTCGCGTATTTTCTCGCCATTGCCATCCAAGCTGGTCTGCAATGTCTCCCGTCTCGCGATCAAGCCCGCCAATGGTCGATTCACCACTCAGTGAGAGATGTCGTCGACTGCCACTGCCGAATTTTTCGTGCAAGCCAGCGTTGGTCGCATCCTCCCATTCTTGCCGCTCAATCTCTTCCCAGCGGTATCTGGGTCCGCAAACACCTGCACAACTCTGTCCGCTCGCAATCCACAGTGAGACATAGGCAGCAATGAGGATGATTGTCCTCCATAGTGTCCAGATGCAGTCGATCCACAACACTGTCCTCGCGTAATGTGTCAAGGTGCCGTCACGACCCGAGAAGAATGTTTGGTCACGGAGAACAGGCGAGTTGGTCGAGGGGTACGAGCTCGGATTGACGGGGGTAGTAAAGATTGAAGACGAACCAGCAGACGCAAGTGCGGCGAGCGTGAGCGGATTGGTTTTTGTAAAAGTTAGAATGATGATGAATGCGATACACGCTCGAGGCACCAGCAATGCTACTGTTGGGAGATTTTGGGATCGATTCCACGCCCATTCGATCATGCCTTGCTTGTAGTTCAACCGTTGCGCCTTTTGAAAGAGAGTGAGGCTTTGGATGGAAGAAGTATCCGACTCAGCGGCGTCACGTATGACCTCGCGGTCCAATCGCTCTGCCTCGAGCCGCGCATTCCGTAGCGCTTCTTTGCCCTCCCATCCACCGCCCATACTTTCGCCCTCTTCTGCCTCGCGCCGGCGCTCTTGTTCCATTTCCTCAATCTCGCGATCTCTTTCTAGCAAGAGGTCGAGCTCTGTCCGATCCGTCCACGCACCGCGCTGGACATACTCGAGGAAGCAGAACCGATCGTAGCTACCCATTCCGACGAGCTTGCGGGCCGGTCTGGACGAAAAGATGCCCAGCATCCCCGGTCGTTTGACTCGCCATCGACGCCAAAACGACCACGCAATCTCGTAGACGAGTACGACCCCCACAAGCCAGAGGAGTGTCGCGAGTAGGTATAGTATGAGTGCAAAGAGCCACGAGGGAGAGGGACTAGTGTTAGCGACGCCCGGTGCCAGAGGTGTAGGATACTTGGTGATTCTACAATGTGGTCAATAAAACGCTTGGGACCAAGTAAAAACCGTACTGGACAAGTATGTATACAACATTAAAGTCGAAGAATAGTTGGATGGGAACATGGGCAAAAAAAGTAACTGGCTGCAACAGGTAGCGAAGCTTGATGAATTTGCTGGGACTACGGAGTAATGATAAATTGAGATTACGCGCTCTGAAACGCGGAGCTGGTACGGGAGGGGTGGGAGTCTGAGACATCCATCCTACGCGGCATTAGCTTATTCGCGTCCCTCTCGGACTAATAAACCTCATACCTGTGTTCGGTGGTTCTATGCCGAGGGGTGATTGGGTACGTGCGGCGTATGGGTTGGTCGCGCTTCTCGAAAACGCCCGGACATGCGTGTATTCGCCACGATGACCCGGTGCGTATCCATAGCCGTAACCTCCATACGCTTGACTCGCACTCGATGATGCTCGGCGGGTCTGTTCAGTTGGCTCCTGGCCTCTGACGTGATCTACACTCCCTGGCGCGTAGCGTACACTTCTTGGGGTCGCTCTCCGCCTTCCAGTTTGTGGATCGTAATAGTCCCCGCTCGAGCCTCTCCGAGCCTGCGAGTAAGCGCCGCCACTGTCGCCACTCTCACCCGTTGGCTTGCGATTGCCACTATCGTCTGTCGCACGACGACCCGAAGGGCCCCCATACTCTGAAGGATTGGTAATGAATCCAGACATGGCCGTACTGACGCGATTACTGGACTGTGTAACGTTTCTCGAGTGACCTCGGCTGAAATTGAACAAGTCGGCGAGCCTACTCCCTCCTCCGCCATTGTTATAGTATCCCCCGGGACTTCCTGTGCGCATGTATGCCGAGTGTGTGTCTCCGGTCGAGCCTGGGGGTGCCGGGGCTAGCGGTCTGCGGGGTAACCAGCTCGGATAATTGGAATCTGAGATGGGCGATTCGACACGAGAGGTTCCTATGCGCGAGACGTTGGTAGACCTGCGTGGTTGTGCGGATGGCGGTCTCGAATGCTGTGGATGCTGCCCTTGCTCTTGGCCGTTTTGCTCATAGACGGTCGGATAGCGCGACATATCCACCGGAGAACGTGTCAAAGCGTCTCTGTCGATTGGTGAATGCTCCTCGTCTGCGGCGGCGGTCGTCGTTTGTACAATTGTCGAGCCTCCTACGGTCGGCGCGACGCCATACGACGAAGATGGGTGCCTCGACGGTGAGGCCATATATACAGCACCACGCTCGAGCGTGTCAGAGCTGTGTTCAGACAGAGACTGTATCTTCGGCTTGTTTTTTGATGAGATCGCGGCGCGTTGATACTAAACACCAGCCGTTGAAACGAGTGTCATCAGCGACTGGGCTCGGGTTTGGGCCAGGAGGACCGAAAGAAACAGCAACTCACAGAAACTCGGAAATGGTAGAGAACAGTCTATACTCGACCTATTTGCAGCCCAAGCTCGCCGCCTGCGTCTGCTCAAACCGCCTTGGACCTTTCGAGCCTCGTGGTTATCGCGCGTCTGCAGAGTCCCAACGTCACCAGGCCCGTATGGATGCATCACGAGATATTTTTCAGTACCTTTACCGATTTTTTCGTGCGCAGATTTGCTCACCGTTTGGGCGGATGCAGTCAGTCGGCTCGACGCAAAGGTTTGAGTCGAAAGCGAGTTGCAGCCGCCTGGCCCTGCTCTCACTGGCGGTTTAACCTTGGACACGCCGCGACTTTATACTTTTCGAGATGGCGCACGTCTCCGAGCCGCCTAACGCGTTTCAACGCACTAACGTCGCACTTGACAGCTCACTCCGAGGTGACGCAAAGTCGGGTCTTTTCTCTCTCTCTGACAACGGTGACAATGTAATGCCTAGAAATACGCGCCTTGTCGATAGAATGGGCCCTTCTGGAACAACAAGCGTTGCGGCGGCGAGGCTGTATATCCCACGACGACGAAACAAAGGACCTGGCGGCCATTCCCATTCTTGAATCCCATCTCTTGTCTAATAACGGTATCGCGTAGAATAGTCTGCCGACAGTGTATCAGTTGCGGCGCGCTCATTAACAGTGGCCGACGTACCTTTGGGCGAGACGACAAGACCTCGACCTTTGGATGCGCCACGATACACAGTCTCGATAATGTCAATCAGCTATGGGAACCCAGGTCAGTGGCGCTCAGTATAGAACACCGGTGCGTACCTCTTGTTTATCATCCATAGCCCAATTTCTACAGGAAATCGTATTAGAGTACTATAAATATGATAAAGAGAATAGACTCACATCTTATTGTTGTTACCCGTGCCCAAGTCAATCATGATGTGTTTGTTTCTGGAAGGTTCGATGAGCAACACGCATGATCGTCAGATATAGTGTAATACCTGTAAAAGAACATGACAGTGCACGCGTCGTACAACTCGTACATCTGGATTGCACAATCCGTTAACCACAACACTCGCCCAGCCGCATGAAATACAGTCAAAATCACTCACCTTGTTAAAGTCTGGGACATCTGTGATATCCACAAGATAGATTACAGCGAAATTTTGCACGCGCTCGCTGACTGCATTCAGCGTCTCGTCCATCTTCATGCACTGTGGGTCGCCATCGTGTCCAAAACGTATTACAACAACACGATCTTCTTCTGACAGAATCGCTTGGTCGACATGCCAGCCAGTGGGCAAATGAGGCAAAAAGTATGACATGGTCAAGTTTTACGCGTGGCGACCACTGAGTGCCCATGTAACCCCGACGACATTGAATAGTTTACAATATTCCAGAATGCAAGATAGCCACTTGATTGCGGTATTAACAACATTTATTCATATAGTCCTTTGATAGTCCATTGCATTTTGAGCAGGAGTATCCGTGCTCTCTGACGTGGTCACAACGGCATTACCGATGAGTTTATGTAGGAACGAGAACTCGAGATGAAGTAAATTCAAAGATATAAGCCACCTCTGTCGAATATTGACCGGTCGCTCTGCACGTAGGAACCAGCAATCGTGAGTATGATTATTCACACATCTATCAGATGTTTTGTCTAACCACAGGCGGCGTTTGGGGTATCTGTGTTGGGTCAGCCAAAAAGCATTGTGGGTGTCGGTTTCACCGGACACTCGGGCGGTGGTGACAAGCCATGCAGACTCTTGATCTCTCCATTGGCACGTAGAGTGCGAACCCTTGCCTCGACGCGTATCCGTGATATATACGACGATAGACCTATGCGTTCGGGCCCGTCGTCTTTCCGAATTGCGATAGATGTCGTTATTGCTATTGACGGAAAGTACCGTCTTTCATTCCTTTCCAAGTTTTTGTATGACGAAGACCACTGTCGTTTGCTCGCGCAATCTCATTGGGGGGACAGCACGCCATTGACCGACGCAGTTTCGACATCCTGTCTGGGTATATAAAACACAAATGTTATGATGAGTATTGCTCCATTGGACTCTTACCAATTCTCTCCCAAAAATGGTCGACGTCCAAACCGCACCCCACTTCCTCCACGAAAAGTTTGTGCTCGAATCTCCCTCGATATCGTCGCGGATCGCAAATGAGAACACGCCAACGAGAATAGAGGAATCGACGTCGGACGAGGCATCAAAGAGCATTGACGAATTAACGGCAAAAGAAAAACTCGCCCACGAGCCCCGAGTTTCGATGAATCGCATGGCGAGGCTCAAGTGCTCTATCTTCCACCACTCCTCTCGTCCTTACCCCACTCGCATCAAAATGAACTCCCAGTAGCAGGGCAAGAAGGAGTAGAACCCGGCAAAAATGCTCCATTGCGGACTGAAACGCACTTGCCTTCTATCGACCCCGTCTCGCTCTCGCTGCATCGTGCATTGCATAAATTCAAACCACTCGACACGCAATACGCCAGTCGTCCGTACGGCGAAGCCTTTAATTGGTCCACTTTGGAGCTTCCAATTGACGAAGAGAGAGAGTGGTATTGTGTCGCCTTTCGATCAAAGCGAAAGCCTGGGAGCGAGAGCGCACGTATGTCGCTATATCTTATCCATTGATCGGTGCTAATTTCCATAGCGTTGTACGAGCAAGACCGTCTAGCGCATGAAGAGGCAGTTCATCGTGGAGGCGTGAGTCGTCTGAGAATGTCAAATTATAAAGACTGACCTCTGGTAGTTGATCATGTACTGGTACGGTGTACCAGACCCCAAGACGGGTCTCAACCTTGCAACGTGTGTATGGCAAAGTCGAAAGTTTGCCCTAGCCGCCAACTCCGGTCCTCAACATATTCTAGCCATGCGGCTTGCGGCTGCATCGTTTGCAGAATATCGGCTAGAGCGTTACGTCTTGAAAAAGGAACGAGGCCAAACGGGTCTCACAGTGTATCCTTACAACGGCGGAGAAGTCGGATGGTAAAACACGGACTAGCAAAATGAAGTGTAAGCCATAGATTATCCTTATAGAGATCACATACCAGGGATGTCTCTGGGTTCAGCCAAATATACCTGTTTTGATGAGTATCTATCCGACAGGGATGTGCGCCTAATACTCATGCCGTCTCTCCTTCGGCCATCAGCCATTTCTCAAATCCTGCAAGTCGTTCCTTTTCGTTTGCGTCGTCTCCAGCCTCGTCAGAGTGTCCACTCTTGCGGAAGCGCTGTCGCCCTGTGAAAAAGGATGCTTCGATTTGTCGCCCGGAGAACCAGCGTCCGTTCATTTTCTGGCACGATCAGCCGATAGGTTAGGCACTAAATGGCTCACTCACAATGATACAAGCTTTGGCACTGATCGGGTCCCGGAACTTGATGGTCATGATGCCTTCGGGTTCCTCCTGGACACGTCTCAAACTCGGAAAGTGAAACAGGACGAGAGACACTCACATCGTACAGGACCACGTTGGTAACGTCACCTATCGTCTCTGCCTCTTCACGTACATCCTCCTTGAGGTCCAGTAAGAGTGACGGGTCTTCTTTCAATTCTTCGAGAGTAAACATGTGTTTGAGGACGACGACTCGCGATTCGATGATTTGTTCCTTTTGGACTGGCTCTTCGGTTGGACCAAAACCATCATCGAAATCCCAGTCCCCGACTTTGCTGCACGAGTTTGGGAACAATATAAAATTAGATGAATACACTCACTTCTTTAGCTTTGCAATCCTCGATGTTGCCTTCTTCTTGTCAACAACCCTTCGGGTGACTTCAACGCCCCCAGATTGCTTGTGTCCAAACTCGCCCGGCTGTACACGCATAATGGTGCTCTGATCCCCCAACCGGAGCTCCGCTTCATCCAACAGATTGACGGCCAGATTGACAGATCCTTCCATGAAATAAACGACGAGGGCCTCGCCGTTAAAGTTTCCCTTGTCATCCGCATACATTTTGATCTTTGGTTCGCCGGCATCATCCTCCATAATGACACCAAATTTTCCAAACCGCTCCGCAATCTCGTCCACCGTCGCATCTCGTGGTAGATTTGAGACGAAGACGGCTGTATTCTTAGAGGCGGGTTTTGTATTCGTAGAACCTTCATTTTTGCCCTTTTTCTTCGCAGGACCTGCACTAGTCGTAATGTCTCCGTTCGATTGTCCCGCTTTGCGTTTCTTGTTCTCTCGCGCGAGGACGGGAGCCGCTGGGGTCTTATCGCGTTTGCCCTCAGTAACAATACAATCAAAGTAAGGGGCACGCACGTTTTCATCAACACCCGCTACACTGTACACCGCTTGCTGTTGCCGCACTAACTCCTCGTCAACCTGAATCTCGTCAGTCCCCGTTAGACACGTTCTATGAGAGCTCACCAGTGGCACCCATGCATTCTTTACATCATCCCACTCCATTTCATTTCCATCATCGTCCTCGAATTCCCATTTCTGCGATACCGTGTTGTAGTGGATTCGAGGGTCCGTCTCAAAGTGCGCGATCGACATTGGCATATTTGTTGTCGGAAGATTTGACGACATTTTCAAGGTGTTTATACAAGAGATTCAGGGTATCCAAGACAAGGTGTCACAAAATGGTGAGAGTGGCGAGCAGCAAGTTAGCTTGCCGTCTTTCACCACTCTGGACTGAATATAAACCGAATATTCCGGGAACAGGTTGTGATTGTATATACACGACTAACATAGACAATGCGAGGTACAAGACTGCGGTGACGCCAAAATGATCTCTAAGTACTAAGATAGGGCGACCCTTCCATTTTCGAGACGTGATGAGATTACGCGAAGATATTCCACGAACTGGACGAGGAAGTGTACCTGTTCAAAGGTTTCAATTGCCTTGACGCTGCGCCTTCGTCGAACAACGCGAATGACCCGTTCGACAAGGTCGATTGTTTCTAACCGCTCCAATGCATCGTTGTATATCTGATTTGCGTCGGTGTACGGCGAGATGCCGTTGGTCGGAGGGTGATTTACAGGGGCATCCTGCGGCTGCGGCTGTGACGGTGATGGGTTGGCTCCAGCTTCTGTGAAACTGGGCATGAGTGCGTTCAGTGCATTGCCAGAAGGGATTGGCCCAATCCGTCGAATCCATCCAATGAGGCCGAGCTTGAGCATCCAACAACACGCAACGAGGCCAGCCCTGCCAACACCACCTCGACAATGCACGAGCACTGAAGTGCCTCTGAGAGTGTATCTGGTAATGATAGTGTCCAAGTGCGCATTGATGACCGCGGGATCGAGAGGAGCAAAGCCTTCAGGAGTCGGAATGCTAGATTTTCCTTTAGAGAGAATCAAAGAGACTTGGATACACGAACCGGAGCACATCTAGGCCTAGTTGATGTGCCTCTGCACAATATTCCTCCCAAGGTGCGCCCAAGAAATGAAGCTCTCCATCATCCAAACAGCTAAACATGTCAACCAGCGTTCCTCAGAGGAATCAATTCTTACCAGATGATACATCCTACACCTGAGTCCCGGATTCGCTGTAAATCCCTGCCGAGATCACGGCATATCGTTCCTCTGCCCTTTACGGGTCCTTGTAGGCGTACTAAAAATATTAGCACAATTGTGTGCGTAGTAATTTTGTGCTCACCTTTCTTGCCGGGGCAAGATGAAAGGAAGAGGTTCCCAAGAGGAGGTCGTGGCAAAGCAGCTGGCAAAGGAACTCCGCCATTCGAATGCTGCGGTCTATGAATGTTGAGACGAGGTTGAAGTCTAAAAGGTTGAGTGGGAAATTCGATGTTCGTATTGGTCGCTTCTTGCAGTTCACTTGCAATATTGGAAGAGACCGGATGGGTGAAGTATGATGCCGCTTCGTTTGGGATACCACGGCCTCTCTCAAGTTCTGGCGAGGGCGGAAGCGGTATCGAAGCTGGGTCTGACGCTATCATCTTTGGTGATGAATGCGGCGCCGGCGGGGGTGTTGGGATGTCTTTTGTGAGCTCCGTTTGGATGAACGTTGCAGGAATGGCAGACGGAGGATTCTCTGGCATCCTCTCCGGCGGTGGCGGCGCTGGCGTTCCCTGACCGGGAGCAGTGAGCGCATCCAAAGTAATGCTGTAAGGCAGGTCGAGATAAGTCGGCTGTCGCTGATACGTGGGGTCCTGAAGAAATCTAGCGAGCTGGCGTACAAGCTCGAATGGGACCATTGGCGAAAGGCTAGATATGGGTTCATCAGTCACAATAGCCGCATCGTCGAGTTATGTACGTACTTGATGGGATGTGTTTCCGATGTTTTGGCAGGGTTCGTTCCGTCGACTGGGAGCAGCTGCAGATGTTGGGGCAAAGGGGGGAGCGGCGAGGAGATGGCGAGCGAAAGCTCTTGCTCAAGCTCACTCATGGCAGCATCTTGTACTTGTGAGCCCTCTGTAGCATTAGATATCTGAACTACGTTGCGTTTCGCGTCCAAATGCGCGCGCGAGTGGGATGCGAGCCACCACGCCTGGTTTTGTGAGATGGCAGCCTGGTATACGCGTAGCTCCCGACAGTGATGAGGAAGTTGAATCGACAGGGGAATATATGTCGCAGGAGCGCCTTTGTGCTTGTCAGCAACCGCGCCGTCACGTAAGATGTGTAAAGCTTACCCTTTGGTCCAAACTTGAGCTGATGGTACTCCGACTGGTGATGTTGACTTGCTAACCACGAGAGCTATTACACGATCAAGTACATTAGCGCGTTTCTGAGCTCACGAGCGTTCAAGCTCTTACTTGTGCCGCGGTCCGGAGGACAGCAGGATCTGTCTCGGGCTCTGCACGCTCCATACTCGCGACTTGCATCTTCTGCTGAGGCGTAAGGAGCTCATTAACATCAGTCTGAGGATGTACGGCCATCGCCATTGTCAGCAGGCCGTCGTAGTGGCGGTTCGAGTTTAGACGAAAACAACATTTTGGAGCTAGCCGATCAAAACCAGCCCACTCAATTGTCGGACTGGATCAAGGCAGACGTACTTGACTACCAAGCGTCTACAATAGTGACAAGAAATATTCAAATACGGTAATCATACAACTTGAAGCCACGCAGGATCAAGTGGTCGGGAGCGTCGAAGGAATGACAAGCTCCGTTCACAGGTCCCGACGGATAGGGATGCACCTAGCATAACGTTCAGTCGGTAAACATCTTCCTGATAAATTCCGCACCAAGAAATAATGAAAGGAGCGTGCTGGATCAAGATGGCCTAGTTTTGAATCCCGGCGGACGAAATGAGCGTAGTGGACCAAGAAATCCGTTGAGGTCTGCCCGACGTGATGCAGTGATGACGGAAGATGAAGGAGAGTCCATTTTCAGTTTCAAGAGATCCTGGAAAGAGTGGGTCGTGGAGGATTTCCGACCAATAGAAGAGAGAGAACGGAATAAGGTACGCGGTGGAAGAGTCTCCTAGAGACTATTGAGGCTTAAAGTTGGACCTCCCAGGTGCCAAGGTGAATGCATTTCCGGTGCGGAGGAGACCTCTCTCGCGCTGATCTTGGCTCCGGCGCGCACGAGATGGATTCGTCGGTGGAGGGAAGGGCTCGCGTTGACCCTTCTTGGGACCAGAAGAGTAGAATATTTTGGGCACCCAATTATCTTGCATCTCCATGACGCACGAGTTTTTAAACTTTTCCACGAGTGCTTCCTTGCCTCTGTACTCGTAATGAGACTGGCCCTAGCGTGGTGGAATGATTACGTACTGAAAGTTGGCGTAGGACATCTGCAACACCTTTTCTGAACAGAACATGTTCCACTTCACACCGAGTCTTGCCTTGGCGAAAGCGAGGAGAGCCGACACTTCAGTAAAGTTGACAAAGGCTGACGAGCATGAGCGAAGTCGAATTATGGTGAATGAAACGTACCATAACCAACGTTGGCAGAAGAGTTGAAGTCAAATCGGAGGTACATGAAATCAAACGAATTGGGCACGACTTCGGAAATGTACTTGCGCAAGTCGGAGTCCGACATTTTGTTCGGAATATTCTACGCTCCTCGATTAGTAGGCACTCGGACACACTCCCATGTAACATACCTTGAGCATCACCGTCGTTCGCGTATCCAGCCCTGCTTCAATCCTGGAGACGCTAACACTGTTTTTCTCTGGTATCCCGGGAGCTCCTCCCGAGTGCAAATGTGCATTGCGTATGAGACCGGCGGTAGGAGATTCTTGGGGAAGCTGCTCAAATGAGCCAGCTTTGGAGAGCGCAGGTGAGTTGCCGTGAGGGAACACATGGTTAGGCGTCGCTGGTCCAGAATCCGTCATGGAGTCTGCAGTGCTCGTGCTATTGTTTTGAGAATGATAAGGCGTTGTCGGACCAGTGACAAACGAACGTGGAGACGACTGATTCGTCGGTGGGCCACCTTGACCAGGAGCAGTATGGTTGAACATCGAAGGCTGCAGGTTCATATGAGGGGCCTTTTGGTGGAGGGGACCTCCAGGCATAGAAGCGTTGAGCCAAGGAAGTGAGAGGCGAGGAGGTACTGTGCGTATATGCACATTGGACTTTGGCTGCTGATGAGTGCTCGGGGTGTTTGAAGTAAGAGTGCGCAGATTGGCTACAGACGCAGACGGGGCGAGTGCCTTTTTTGTACGTTTTACAGGAGACGTCGGAGTGGGGGGTAGTGGTCCGAGCGAGATGGGCGTGCGATACAGAACAGGTCCCGTTTCTTCGCCAGGGGCGTGTGCTTTCTGTGGCAGACGATGCCCGGTGGACGCAGCGGATGCTGGAGAGAGAGGGGTGATGGGATGTGTCGACGGCTTATCCTCGACTTCAGAGGAGACAGTCGCAGGCTTTGGGGCCACCTGCCATTCACGATTGCCGTCTGGCTCAAACTCGTCAGCAATCTTCAGCTCCATTCCGAGGATCGAACGTCCGTTGAGGTATTTTTTGGCATTAATTGCATCACGAGCATCGTAGTAGGAAACGTCAAATGTCGTCTGCGCCGTTGTCAGCATCCAATAGAGCACCAAGTGAGGTGAAAACCTACATGGTCCGCATTGTACTTGGTTGAGAAAGAAGAGAGGTCACCAAACAAGGCCAACGCTGCGTGTAGGCTGACTGGTTGATGACCAGACGGCGGATTGGACAGATTTGCAGTGATAGAGAGATTCCCTTCGCTTCCATTGACGAACGGAGACTTTCCAGTGGCCTGTCGAGCGATTAAATGATACGTTAGCGTTTCTTGGCGTGAAAGAGGAGTCTGGAATACCTTGATCAGGCTTTGAGGCGTGATGAACGCTGCACAAAGAGGCTCTGCTAGACCAAAAAGGAGGCTAGACTGGATGATCATACGAGCCTTGTTGGCATGTCTAACGTCGTGCCATGAGAGGACGACAACACCTTTGTGCTGGTAGCGCACAAATATGCCTTTGAGGTCCCCCATTCGCTGTCCAAGGAGTGTCATCAAGACCAAAGGCTTGACGAGAAAAACTCTGACTTACACAGAATATTCGACTGAGTAGCGAGGTGTGCACATCGGGAGGGACGCCTCCAACGGCCAGATACCTCGTCGGTCGCGCTTTCACATCGACCACTAGCCCGACGGCGAGAAATACCTCGAGAAAGGCCAACTGAGTGACTTGAACCTCTGACTGGGTCGAATTTTCGGCGATGGTCTTGCGCGCAAGAGGTGTTTCTGGCGGGGTAAGGGGAGGCTTGTAGAGTTGGGGAGGAGGGGAAGCAAGGTCTAGATTAACTATATTCGTGCGGATAAACGAGTCGCGGATTGCATCATGGGGATAGGGATTTGGAAGATGCTGGTACTGCTCGATGGGAAAGGAGAGCTGCCGAGAGTCAGAGACGGTCATCGAGAGATGAACGAGCACTTGCTTGAGATCTAGCACGCATGCTGTAGATTAAGAAATTGGGTGGTAGAAAACAAGGAGCGAGGCAGACCAGGAGGCTGCCGTGAGGGCGGCGTAAGTTTGACTGTTTGGGATCATAACTCTGATCAGTGAGTTGCAGAGCTTGTCAAATGTCACGCACCCATAAATCGAAAGAACAGGGAATCTTGGAGAGGCTCTCTGCATGCTTGACCGCGTGTCTTGTTCAGTCGGGCCACAGCTGATCAGTCTTGCTCGCGCGACCGACGCAGGGGTTCACACGCCAGGAATTCCATGGACATTTTCGACAGCGCGCGGGTGACAACAACCACAGGAATGCTAGGTACCAGGGCAGCGGCTGTATGCAGAGTATGTGGACCATTACTCTCGTTTTGCAGATTTATAATAGGTTTGGCATGTTTAAGCTCCGCCGACAGATGGAAATAACCAAGAGAAGAGCTTTCAAGACGTGAATCTTTGGAGTGGTGTCTTGGGTGGCGATCCAATGACGGTACGTTTGCATTGAGACTATTTGATTTTCATCAAAGGGCTGGTTTGAGCGCCTCTATTGGCTTATTTCACAAAACCTGGAGTGGTTGTCGAGTCGAAGAGGGGAGAAACCACCGGACGATGACCAAGAGTATTGCAAATATCCTTCTAATCACTTTCAAGGTTTCATCAGCAATGCCAATATTGTGTGCGAGATGCCGACAAAGGGTAAGCCCCTAGGACATTTCCATTAATTCTGATTGGCGAGTGTAACACCCTGGCCATGAACTGTGACATGTAAAGGAATATGATGCGTAATGGCTCATACACCGCCTATGGGACTTGTCCAATTTTGAAACCAAATGCTGTGAGGCGAGTATCGGGCTCACTGCACACAGGCGCTCGCTTTACCATTACTGGAAGAGCTAGAGGCTCAGAAAGCGCCGTAATTACAGCTATTTATCGAGTTTAAAAGTAGTAAAACCTGTCCGAAGTTGCGAGAATGTTTGGCCAGCCGTCGACACCGTGCCTTGCCGCCGACAACGATCTCTAACCGTTTCTGCCTCTGTCGCAGGGCCTGCAAAGCCTTGTCCACGAACACCTACGACGCATATTTCTTGCAGCCGGATTTGCTTGACAATTTTCTACGTAATTTTTGCATGCTGACGGCGGTCCCACAAGTTCTGCACAAGCCCTAGGACACCTCAGCCAACGATGCCTCAACCACCGCCGCTTCAATTTCCTGCAGAATACTCTTCGCAGCGTCTTCAACAACGTCCGAGCGACGTCCCGATCCCGACTACGACTGCGCGCGCCCCGCCCCGCCGAATGCCTTCGAGCGGTGGTAACAACCTTCGACGTGCAAAGACGCTTGTGCGTCCTGAACGAGGCGTTGCTCCTGCTCCTCTTATCAATCCTCCCGCGCCCCTCATCGCCTCGACCGGCGCAGGAGCTGGCGGCATCTTACCCTCAAACACTCCCTCCAAGAGCCCCGCCGACTCGTGGGACGCATGGAGAATATTCTCACATATCGTCACCTTTTGGGCTCCTCCTTTCCTTCTTTCCACCATTGGTGGCATGAAGGATAAGCCCACACGGCAGGCATGGAGAGAAAAGATTGCCCTCTGCCTCATCGCCCTCTTCATCGGAGCGGTTGTCGGCTTTGCTACCATGGGCCTCGACAAGGTCCTGTGTCCCAAGCAGACTGGCTTTAGCGGCAGCCAGTTTGACAGAGTAAACACCTCTATCACCCAAGGAACCGTCAGCGTACACGGTATCCTCTTCAACATTTCCAATTCAGATACCAGTCCCGTCAATTTTTTCACCCTCGCAAGGAACAACTCTGGCGTTGACATTACATACCTGTTTCGGCGCAAGGCGGCTGACTATAAGAAATGCGACAAAATGACCTTCAAGGCGGCAAAGGACGACCCATGCCCTGGCTCGACCTGCCCCCTCGGAGCGCTTGGAAACGCCACATTTAATACCGTCAGAATCGTTTCTACCGGTCGACCTGTGGGATACGATTGGGACCAGGTTGCCAAACTCCCCAACTTTCTCGTCTTGGACGGCTTTGTCCTCAACTTTTCCCCATACATTGCCGCCAATCCAAGGCCCGTGGCAAATGACCCAGTTGACAGGGCCCTCCGTCACGTGCTCTCTGGGAATGCAGCAGGTGGCAAGGATGCGACGTTGCACTTTTCCAACAATCAAGTGACGCTCAATGCTATTCCCTGCCTGAACGAGCGATACTTTGCAGGAACGATTGACAAGGCGAGCTCGGGCTGCTTCGTCGCCTCTCTCTTCCTTTACGTCGCGCTCCTGGTCGTACTCAGCATCGTTATCGCCCGCTTTGCCATGGCTTGCATCTTTAGTTGGTTCCTTTCTCGCGACCTCGTCAGGCCGCCAAAGAACCTTGGCCGCAAGGTTATTTCGCCAGCCGTCATGCCCGAAGGCGCCAATGTCACTGTTGACAACAAGAACGGTACCGCTCCGTGGGCAAAGAAGGGTAAAATGGGCAAAGCCCCTCCAGGACTAAAGGGCCAACGACAGAGTAGGGTTGGTCAGGCGGCAGTCTCGAACACACCTGTCATCTCGATGGCTACCATTGGCAGTGAGCTCTTTTGCGTGTGTCTCGTTACATGCTATTCCGAGGGCAAGGAATCGATCAAGGGAACGCTCGACTCGATTGCATTGACCGATTACTCCGATTCGAGGAAACTTCTCTTCATCGTCTGCGACGGTATGATTACCGGTGCCGGTGAGAAGCAGAGCACACCAGACATCTGCGTTGGCCTCCTGGATGCGGACCCGCGATTCGGAAACCCGTCTCCCATGGGATATGTCGCCGTCGGACTTGGCTCCAAGAAGGAGAATAGAGCGTTTGTGTATGCCGGACACTATGGTTCGTATCGCTGGCATATAAAATACTCCAATGTGCTCACGAGTACATAGTCGTCAAGGGCCATCGAACACCGTGCGTCGTCGTTGTCAAATGTGGAACGGAGCAAGAAGCTGCCAACGATAAGAAGAAGCCAGGAAATCGAGGCAAGCGCGACAGTCAGCTCATCTTGATGAACTTCTTCTCGCGCGTGACCTACAACGATCGCATGACCCCATTGGACTATGACCTATTCCGCAAGATTCAAGTACTCATGGGCGTCACACCGGATTTCTTCGAAGTCACATTGATGGTAGGTCGACCCTTTCGGAAGATTGAACGCACAAACTCATCCTGGCACAGGTCGATGCCGATACGCGCGTCCAACCAGATTCGCTTACCCAATTGGTCAACTGTATGCATCATGATAACTATATCATGGGAGTCTGTGGCGAGACTCGAATAGCCAACAAGACAGACTCGTGGGTCACGACTATCCAGGTCTACGAATACTTCATCTCGCATCACTTGGCAAAGGCATTCGAATCGGTATTTGGTGGTGTGACCTGCTTGCCAGGTTGTTTCTCCATGTACCGACTCAAGGCCCGCAAGATCAACGACGACGACTGGGTTCCGCTCCTCTGCAAGCCTGAGATTGTCCGCGAGTACAGTCAAAGCGAGGTGACGACGCTGCATCAGAAGAACCTATTGCTCCTCGGAGAGGATCGTTTCCTTACCACGATTCTACTCCGTACCTTCCCCAACCGTAAGATGATGTTCTGTCCTCAAGCCAAGTGCAAGACTATTGTACCCGACTCGTTCTCTGTACTCCTTTCTCAACGTCGTCGATGGATCAATTCGACCATTCACAACCTAATGGAACTCGTGCGCGTGCAAAATCTTTGCGGCACGTTCTGCTTCAGTATGCAGTTTGTCGTCTTCATGGACCTCGTCGGAACAGTAGCCTTGCCGGTCGCACTCATCATTATGTATTGGCTCGTTGTCCAACTTGCCCTCAAGCCCCCAAAGACGTTTGAGCAACTCATCCCTCTCATGATGTTGTGCTCCGTAGTCGGCTTGCCGGCATTGCTCATCCTCATCACCACGCGCAAAGTCGTCTACGTCTTTTGGATGTTTATCTATCTGGCTGCCTTGCCCGTTTGGAACTTTATTCTTCCGGTATATGCATTTTGGCACTTTGACGACTTTTCATGGGGTGAGACCAGGTAAGCCACCGATTGATCCAAGATCGAGGTAGCATTCTGACACTCCGTGTAGAAAGGTGGAGGGTGAAGGAAAGCAAACAGGCCACGACGACGCAGGCACTCTTGCCGAAGGTACTCAAGTTCCTCTGCGACGCTGGGAAGACTGGGAGCGTTCGAGAATCCGCAAGCTCAAGCGCGAAGCCCAGCGAAAGCGAGAATTGGACAGATCATTCCCTGGCCCCTTCCGTGGAGGTGTTCGAGGACCCGAACAGTATTCGATGGCCTTCTCCGAGTTCAACGACGATACAACTTCACTCGCTCCTTCGGAGGACGACCGATGGGGAGCTCAAGTCGGAGGGTACAATGAAAACTCGTCACAGTGGGCGCCACCCCCTGCGACGCTCATGCCCGAAGACGAGCTGCTTCACAATGCGGAGACTGTGGGCGGTGACGAGCTCGAGGCCATGCTGGAGCGCGGATGGGAGGATCGACCACAGAATCGCGACAGTTCGACCACCATGAGCTCTGGTGGCGGTCAATTTTCTGATCGTAACCAGTCGCGATTTCAATTATCAGACCAAGGGGTTGTGATGCCTCCACCTGGGGGTCGATTTGACGCTTACGCCCCCGTTTCCACACGAACACCGTCGCCGGGGCCGGGGTTGATACAGTCTCCGCTGAGTCCTACTGGAGGTGCGACTTCGGCGCTAGATTCCAAGACGCACATCAAGAGACGGAGCAGCGGTGGGCGACTACGACACGATAGCGAAGAGCTCCTCCGTCACACGCCTGGCACGAGTCCCTCAAGCCCGTCGACGGGCGAGTGGGGTCCGCTTGGGCCCCTTGACCCACACCACCCACAACAACAAAACAACAGCTCACGATCGAATATGTCTGCAGGGAAACGGTTCTGAGGACACCGTGGACACTTTTGTTTCTCTCTGGTTATGGTTCGTAGAGTACCTCTTTTATGATCTTGCGCTGTGGACAAATCTATCTTATTGTCGCATTACCCCTCGTTCCCGGGTGAACACTCCCCCATCGCGCAGATCTTGCTATTAATCCATGTTACATTACCTGCAAACTTCTTGTCCGAGTAAGAGAAGTCGACTTGAATGAACAGAATCACTATATAGAGGATGTCTACTTGTACAGTTTCATGGGCTGGAAAGGAGTGAGAGGAGAACCATTGGCCGAAGAATTTACATACCCAATAAGCATTGGGATCATGCGGGGCATCCTCTTCTTGGACCGGGGTCCACTTTGTGATGATACTTGGTGTAGGAGGAAGGTTCGACTCGGAGAAGACGGGCTGGAGCTTGTTGATGGCCTCGAGAACCTCACTTAGAGACTTGTTCGTTTCTGTAGCCGGAACAGACGACTTTTCACTTTCTTCCGAACTCTCCTTTGGCGGTGCGATGCTAGCAGAGGTTACAAATTCAGCGTATGCGGACTCGATTTTGATACCGACATACCTCTGGCCTTGTGGTGAAGCAAGGAGTACCTTTGAATATTCTGCCTGTGTGACTACTGAGAGCTGTGGGTACGCTCTTCGGACGTCTCGTTTCCAGTACTGTCATATTGTCGAAACCGTCAGCAGCGCCCCGACGAGGTAGGAAGACCATGACTGACTGGATTTTGAGCAACATCAGATGCTATAAAGAGGAAAAAGACCGCTGTGAGCGTATGCCTGCCATTTGATTCGTTCACGCACCCATCGTTGCAGGCGTGCTGTACAACTCTGGCCGCGAGCCTGGCTGAGGATATCTGTTCTTGTCTGGAAGAGGGAGACCCGATGATATTTCTGGGTTTACGACCATCACATCGCCTGTATTCGCAGTGACCGTCTTAGCACTTGCGTTGTACGAGGGAAATCACTCCATACGAAATTTCTTCCAGAATCCCTTTGGGGAGAGATGGTAGAGTGTCTGGTCTGCGAGCCTCTTTCCGGCCATCCTTTCACACAATAACGATACGGTCGGGTTCAAAGTTGGGAAAAAAGTGAGTGGCATTTCACATTCAGTCATCGTATCCCTTTCCACTGCGTTGTTTCCCTCGTTTCATTTTGAAATGTTTCTTCCCTTCTGCACCAATGCTCCCCCCAGAAGCCTCGACCACGGCTGCGACGCGTGCCGCTTGACCACTTATTGGTGTACCATCGTTTGCTATTCTGTTTTGATGTGGGTACATTTTCATTCGTGAAAACGATTGCCCGTCTCGACTCCCGCCTTTGACCAATGGTCGGGAGCCCATTGCCTGCGAGTCGAAAAAGTCGCGGTCCAGTGCGCGAGACTTTGACGATTGTTGCTGTAACTGCTTAGGATCACTAGTGGTAGAGGTGGCGTTAGTGCCGAAGACGTCTGGTGCCGTGTCTGCGTCCTTTCCGACACGGGTTACAGGTGCTCGCTTCTTGCCCTGTAATCGCCGCAGTTGGATCTCCATCGTCTGCCTGTTAAACTCTTTCCCATCCATCTCAGGAGGTGGGTGGCAGTAGAGTAGTTTGGCGTTGACATAATCCTTGAGTATATACCGTGCCGCTCGCGATTCGTCTGGATTTCCTTGACCGGCTCTGGCGAATCCACGAGCGACTATGGTGATTAGAATAATCTCTTTGATTAGGAGATCGACTCACTTGCATAAGCGACAAGTAAGTCTTCAGCGAGTACCTCATCTGCTCCATCCCCGCCTTCTTCTGTACCTCGGTGTCGAATAGTGAGACCGTACTTTGCCTCTAGCACACCTCTTGGTATCCTCTTGGTCACGAGTCCAACCGGTCCCCGATATTCCCTCATCTGATCAATCGGCAGTACGCCATCGCAAATGAGTTCTGCTTTGGTCGTCGCAAACTGAGGAAAGACGAGACCAGGACAATCGCAGAGCATAAGTTCTGGTGACAAGTTGATCGTCTGGAAATGCTTCGTCTTTCCGGGCGTAGATGAGACGGACACTTTCTTGGCTCCCAGTAGCGAGTTGATGGTGGAAGACTTGCCAACATTCGGATAGCCTACGAGTCCGATTGTAAGCTTTGTTGGCTGTCTGCCTTCTGAATCTGCAAAGTCTGAGGAGTGTCAGAAAAGTGTTTTAGGTAGTGATCGTCGGACTTGCCCGTTAAAGGAGGAGCAGACCTAATGAATAGTTGTTCCAGTTCCTGTACAGTGAGGATATGTATTCGAGGATCTTCCTCCTGTTGCTGATCCGCGGAGGGGGCGTCGGTTTCAGAGGCATCTTCCGACTCTGAATCTTCTTCGTCATCGTTGACTGGTCCACTGGTAGCCATTGATCCAGAAAGAAGCCCTCTACTGCTGCAGCATTTGATGCAGAGTAAAAGGCGTATTGTATGCCTTGTGATTCGAAGTAGTCGGCCCACGCCACTCGCTGAGCGCGAGTCAACAAGTCGGACTTGTTGACGAGGAGTAAGGATCGTCGCTTGCCTTTTCCTGTCCCTTTCTCTCCTTCTGGGCCTTCGATATCAGCAACATATGATTCTAGATCCTCGCAGCGGAATCGCAGAGGACTCCGTGCATCGACAATTTGAACCACAAGGTGCGACCGTTCAATAACTCTCCATAGTTGTCTCCAGACTTCAATGTTGCGTTCGAATGGGGTCAAGAGAAGGTCTTCTTTCTCTGCCAATTCGGCCAGACCTCGTCGCCACTCGAGAAAGGAATCTTTTTCTTGACGATCCAGTTGGGCAGTAGTCATATCCTTTGTCCACGCTGGCCTTGGATGGTATGAGTCTGTATTATAGGTAGCTAGAGGTAGACACACCTGCGTGGAACTCGTAGTCGAGCTTTGTGCTCAGCGTGCTTTTGGAGTGTCTTTTTCTCGTCTTGTGCTGAAAGTAGAAAAGGATTGTGCGCGGATGATACTCCCACTGTCGGCGCTTGTATTACTCGAATGTTCTGCTTTTCTAGGGGTCGGTAAGACTTGATGATTAATGGATCTGCAGCAAGGGCCCAAACCTGCTGTAAAGTCTGTCCCGGCAAGTTGTGCTGTATTCAGAAATTCGTCCAGATCTCTTTCTTGGGTAATCGACTGGAGCTTTGTCCCGTCGATGTCTGTGGAATACTAGGGGCGTGCAGTGAGTACGTGATGACGACACCAAGGACACTAACATTGCCTGTCTCTCTTCTTTGCTGAGCATCCTTTTGTTTTCGATTGATGAGAGCCTTGCCCAGGCCAGACGAGTTTTGCTTCTTGGGTGGCTTGAGGGCGGTGGTTATTCTGGCGATTAATGTGTCATCAAATGAGACTATTTACCATGTTCTAGTTTAGTGTATTGCTCTGTTTTGGCCTGAAACGAATGCTAAGGATAATCCAAGGTCGGGGCCAGGTCTAGAAGCCGTGTCACTGGCAGTCGCCACCCAAAGTCTACATTTGTACATAATTCTTACATTGGCTTGTCCGCAGATCCGCCGCCGGGCCCAGACGATATATTTGCGACGGCTCCCTCGAAACCGTGCCGTCTTGTTCGCGGCGCCGGTGAGAGTCCCAGTGGAGCTCTCAACTTGGCCCCGACTTCTTCTCAGGCTCGCAAATCTCGTTATTACCTTGCCTGGGCTTTGTTTATGTTCCACCCTCTGCAACCACTACGCTCCTTGGACTCGACCAACTCCAACTCTCCTCTCGGCCCAGGCGGCAACATGGCTTCGACCTATCAGATGACGGAGCGAAACCCAAAACCTCACAACGACGTCGAAAAGGGAAATGCCTCCGGAGGCTACAGCCGTTTAGGCGATCATCTGGCTCCGACTGGCACCTCCAACAGCCCCGTCTCCCCCCATGTCGAGAATTCTAGAAACTCGAGTTTCATACACGACGCTACACACTTTGACTACACCAAGGCTGGCCCTCAGCAGTACCGCGTGGCCAAGGGTGACGTACCGGACAACACTGTAAGCAGAAAAAGTCGACCTCTTGCTTTTCTTTACGAGGGAAAGCGACAAAGAATGCGAGCCGCTCACTCACCACGCCGAAACTTCTAGGTTACCCGTTTCTACCACTACCTCATCGGAGCTTCCATTGTCACAAGATGGGCTCTGTTCATCATCCCCATACTGGGTTGTCTGTGGATTCCCGTACGAACTTTGAAACCAAGATATTCCCCCAACTGAACCCGTTTTAGGGCATCTTGGGACTCACCGTCTATAAGAAGCAGGGCACAGGCCCCCTTGGGGGCGGTAACTGGTGGAAAACAATCCTCTTCTGGTGGTCTGTTTGGCTCAGCGTCTGGTGGGCCGGTACGTCTTGGCTTGAGGTTGGCGAGTCGCGATTGATCGTCCGGCAACAGGATATTGGGCAGCTCTGGCCTTTAGCTTTGTCCTCCCCAAGATATTGCGGTATACACTTGGCGTTATTGCGCTGAGCGTTCGGAAATATGCAGACTGGCTCGCCGCCATCCATCGTTATGTCGCCATCTTCCTCTGGGCATTGGCTTCCTTCATCTCCTTCCAACCTTTGATCAGGAACAACCAGCAGAGTGACGCAAGTGACAGTGACAAGCGCGCATTGGTAGTCTGCTGGCGTATTTTGCTCGGTTAGTCGCGTCTCGCATTTGGTGTTCCACTTGCTCAAGACTTCTAGGTATCCTCATTTGCTCTGCTATTCTCCTCGGCGAGAAAATATTTATTCAAGCAATCGCTACATCCTTCCACGAGCGTTCAGTAAGTCTGGCCGCAATAAGACGACCTCAAAATAATCCCCTTAAAGTACGCAGATCGATTGGAAGCACAGCGTCGCAATACCAGAACACTCGTTACGCTCTACATCAACTCTTCTGATCAACCTGGCCGAATAGATACCCTCCATGATGGTCCAGCTGGTGGTCAAGGAAAGATTGATCCCAACCGACTCCTAAGGACAGCATTGAAGGGAATCAAAGGCGCAGCTCAGACGACTACACAAGCATTTGGCAATGTCGCAACCGAAATCCTAGGAAGTAGCGTCCTACAGCCAAATTCCCCTCAAGCCATCGTCGCGCAGGCCTTGTCATCGGCGAATAAGACTCGCCTCTTGGCCCGACGTCTCTTCTACTCGTTCAGGAAGAATGGATCAGATGTCCTCCTCATCAAGGACATTGAAGAATATTTCCCAAACGCAGAAACGGCTCAAGAGGCTTTTGCCATGTTCGATCGTGATGGAAATGGTGACGCTACGAGAGAAGAAATGGAATTGGCTTGCATGGATCTTCACAGGGAACGACTCGCTCTTGCGAGCTCGATGCGTGACATCGACTCTGCCGTTGGCCGTTTGGATAATATCCTCATGACGAGTGAGCGTTTCTGGATCTCGTTGAATACTTGACTAACGCGCTACTTAGTCTATGTTGCGGCTGCCGGTGTCGTCTTTGCCGTCATTCTCGACGCAGCCGTTTCGACGTTGCTCAGTGGCGCTGCGGCATTCGTTCTGGCCTTGAGCTGGCTCATTGGTAGCTCGATGCAGGAGATCTTGGCTTCGATCATCTTCTTGTTCGTCAAGCATAGTATGTGGGCGACTTGACTTGCGTCCCTGGTACTGATCAGCTTTAGTGTATGATGTTGGCGACCGCGTCGACATTGACGGTAATACGTACACCGTCAAAGAGATTCGACTCCTCAGCACCATCTTTATTGACACAAGAGGATGCCAGGTCCAGGCCCCCAATGTCATGCTAAACGGAAAGGTGAGCTCTTACCAGACTTTATCGAGCTTTTTGGCTCATCTAGTTCTAGTTCATCTATAATCACCGACGAAGCCAACAAATGTCCGAACCTTTTACATTTGAAGTCGCCTGGGATACTACGTTTGAACAACTTGAGGCACTTCGCGCTCGCATGCTTGCCTTTGTCAAATCTGAGCGACGTGACTTCCTCCCGGTCTTTGACATTATCGTCGACAGTAGGTTCTTTGTCACTTCTACCTGGGAGCGAGGCTAAAAACTACTCTAGGTTTCAGCGACCAGTCCAAACTTTCAGTCAAGGCAGATATCAAGTACAAGAGCAATTGGCAGCAAGGTGCCCTCAAGGTCCAGCGTCGTAACAAGTGGATCTGTGCCCTCAAGGCTGCCCTCAAGGAGACCAAAGTTTGGGGACCTTCTGGCGATCCAGGAGCTGTCGCAGATCCTACCGAATATACTCAAGTGCCATGGGAAGAGGTCAAGGCCAAGAAAGAGGCAGCGGCGCATCCAGAGTATGCGGCCAGGGAGCCACTAATCCCTCGCGGAACGTTCCAGCTTGTGGATAGGAATCAAGTCGTCCTCGATCAAAGTCAAGACGTCTTTGGTGAAGGAAGAGACATGAACATGACCTCGCCTAAACAGACGGGTGGACGCGGCCGTGTGGCTTTTGCGCCGACGGGTCGTCCAACTGCCGAGGGTGTCTTTGCTCAGCAGCAAGGTCAGGCTTCTGGTGCCGGTCACTCGGCGGCTCCTGCCGCTGCTGCAGGCGCTGCCGCGGGTGCCTCCGCTGCGATTGTCGTCTCTAGTGCAGACGCAGACGACGGAAACTGAAGAACTAGAGTTGGTGACGAGGATTGGTATCAGAGACGCCAGAGATTCTCAACAACCCGAACTTTTTGGACATGATAGTCTAGATACCAGTGCTGTTTACTATTCCTTAGACGAATATATCAAGTTGACCAAGCTATCGTGTGTCAAGGGGGACCTAAGTGAAAGGTCGGTGTTTGTAACCTAATAAAGTGAACTCTGTTTTATTGTACCGTTGGGTGGCCTATAGGTTTGGGAGCTTGGATCCAACTTTTTGTTATTTACACACTTATTTCTCTCGGTTTGGATATTCTGACGACGTAAACTCCCTTTGATCGCAACTCATTGCCCGAGTGCTACCCCCAGTTCGAATATCTACCACGCAAACCTCTGCAAAGCACGACAAAGTCCCTTGCAAGTGGTGCTTGGAGATATTCTCTGTGAACAAAGCGGGGAATGAAAGACACCAAAGAACATGCCGCAAGTCGCCTCATCATCAATAACAACTGGTGGATATGTATCTGTCACTTGGAAGTGTGTATATTGAGGAGTCTACCGGCTGCTGTGGACCGTTTGCTGACCTGAATCTAGATAATAGATTGGAACTCAGCCAGGATCCCCCTGGGGCACCTTCTGATGCTGTTTGAGAGGCTCCATGAGCGTATGTCCCTCCCCTTTGCTCGCCCAATCTCTGAAACTCTCATATTATTCTTTTGTTCCATGGCCAGACACCCAGTTTATTCGAACGACGACTAGCTGCTGCTTGTTTCACCATTGCCCACCAGCTACGATAATTATTATCACTTCTTTTTAGTTACCTCGTCTAATGCTTTAGTTAACATGTTCGATATCGTCGTAAAGGTATTCGGCCAGGGCATTGTCCCCATTAATTATTCGATGATGTCTTATATGCACGCGCGTGGCAAGTCGCTTGTGTGCAATAGAACTCCGTGGTTCTCGCTTCCCCGTAATTCTACTGCAAGCTCCTCGAGACAGATCTATATCACAATAAGCCAGGGCACATGTACAGCCCATAGTCTTGAACGACGTATTCACATTCGTAGAAAGCCATTCAAACTGGTTGTGCGGCATGCTGATATACTTTCACAATGAGTCGGGTTGAATGGCGGTCAACCAGCGATCTAACCTGGTCTCTACCATAACCCAGGCGCCAAAGGGGGAAACGCACAGGGCAATCCATGAAATCTCTTAATGGTGCTTCACTTGCTCTCAAGACGCGTCGAGCCGCTTTGAAGCGGAAACGAAGTTACGGCGCAATGGAGGTCGACCAAGACGTGTCGACACAGAGTAACCGGCCAAAGAAGCACAAATCGTCGACTTATGGCTCACAATTCTTCATTACAACCCCTCTCGATGCTCGTTTCGTCATCCGACCACCCCACGCCGAGGACACCCATTCACTCATTTCTGCCTCTAAACCTTTGATCGATTCATTAACAACCCAAAATTTGGATTTGGATGATAAAATGGGCTGCGTCTCTCGAGCAACTTGCCACACCATCAACGCGACCCGCCAAAGTGACTGGTGGCTCACCTCCGGCGATATTGTCCTTGGTGTAGAATCCTTGATCTTCAAGGTTCACAAAAAGGTTCTCGCAGAGCACTCATCCGTTTTCGAGGGCATGTTCACTCTGAGTGCTCCTGCTGAAGGAGACTGCATCGAGGACATTCCATTCGTACAATTATACGACAGTGCAGGTGACTGGATTGAAGTTCTAAAATGGATTTATATGGGACCGTATGTCATTATTTGCCGCTTGCCACCCGAGACTGACAACTTTTCCAGCCCCAACGACGCTTTTGATCTCACGCAGCCAGCAATATTCCAAACAATCAGGTCTTATTCCAACATTGCAAGCAAGTACGATATGCCGGCACTAATGGAGTTTGCTCAAGAAGCACTTGTCAAGCTTTATTCGCCAAATCTGCTAAATCTTCTTGAAGACGACATACTAAGGAGGGTAGCTACAACTCATGCCGTTGAATCCATAAACTTGTCCCGGCGATGCGATATGCCGTCCATTCTTCCGGTCGCATTCTTTCTCCTGGCGACAGCTGAAGATGCGGCGCTATTGTTGGGGGAAACATCTGCATCGTGCCAATTACAGCTTGCCGACGCATTAAGGTTGCAAGCTGGGAGGCAAGCATGTGAGGTGGCTGCCAATACCTTTCTTACATCGCTCCTCTTCCAAAACTCCTTTGAAACTAGCAAAACGGAGCTACGTCTCCCATCTATTGAATGCTGCTCGACATCACAGAGGCTGAAGCAATTATGCGAGACTGCTTTTCTGACCAGCTCTGGCGCCGCCGCTTTTGCTCGTGTGTTAATACTCCTAGCCAATCAACGTACGGCAATGAAGGTCTGTGGGAAATGTGCACTAGAGGTTGAGATTTGGTTTGTCAAGTATTTGGATGGACTATCGTTGCACCTATGTAGATGGTTCGAGTTGGACTAGATTGAGCAATTCTCTACCTTCTTGTTATTATAGCTTTGTTTTACAATAGATAATACAGCCGCTTGAGCGATACTATTTCTTTCGACGACTTGCGGCTGGGTTGGATGCTGTCAACTCTGTCGCTTTCTGTATCCAAGCAAGTTCCTTGTGAGTGATCGTTCGTAGCGGCGGCGTGTATGATAGGTTGAGCGCCAACTTGCTGGACCATTGCACAGAGACTTTTCTTGACGAATCGGTGATGGTCGTCTCTTTTGCTTCTGGAGTTCTGTCCTCCCTCTTCTTTTGTTTGGTTGATTTGCGTTCCTGTTCGCCAGTAGTTGTTGAATCTTCCACGACGATTTTGGGAATCTGCCCAAGCAATTCACGGTAGCGACGACGCAGCCATCGTTTACTCCGCCCATGAACACGCATCTTTCTTGCAGCGCTGATAACTGCATACTCGGGCTCCTCCAGTGGCCGATCGGTGTCGTCTGAACGAGATGGTCGTGAAATGGGCGCGGCCGGGAGGGACAAGGAGTGTAGCATGGCAATAGGCGACAAGGTCTCAAGACCAGTTTGAGGGATTGGTGTAGATGCCTCGGTCGAGGATGGTGACCGCAAGACCTCCAACGGAGGGTAGACTCTGCGCGTCTGCTCGAGGAAAAATCGTCTGTGCATGTTCTTTTGTCGTCGTAGGCTCAAAGGGCCAAGTAACCTTGCTTCATCCGAAGCTGGGTCTGCTCTTGCTGGCAGGGGATTGAGAATATCCTTTGTTGGTATGACACGGTCGGTGCTCTTGGAGATTGAGCTCGACACGAGAGCGAGGAGAGTAGGAGTATACGTTGGTGGGCGTGACGACTCGACCTTTGGTATTATGGGGTCTCGTTCTGGGACTGTTGCCAAGTGAGGCTACCACCACATGAGAGGGAGGAAGGGCGACAAGGGCCGGGCTCACCTTTAAGAGCTCCCACTTCATTCTGCCAATTCTACCAAATGCTTGTCTCAAGAGACGCATGAACGCAAACTGGCTGCCGTTGTTGACTTTTTGCAGTCTACGTAGTTCCTGGACTGATGTTAGGACCACCCATGAATGAATAGTTTGCTCTTACCTTCTTTGCATTTTCTATCTGCTTTGCTGGTTTAGGGGAATTCCGGTGCCTGCGAAAATAGTCTCTGGCCTTGCCTTTGACGAATGCCCTAGTTATGAATGAGAATGAGAATAATGAAATATTGTAGGATTTACTGGAGATATGGGTGCGGGAGGTAGCCTGCCTGCCTGAGGAGGTCGCGGTAGACTCTGAGAGCCATAGAAGGTCACTTGGTCCGAGCCATGCCCAGTCAAGCTGGATACCAGCGTCTCGCACAAGACGACGACGCAGCTCCTACAGTTCCACACACTCGCTCATCAACAAGCTCGTCATTCACGCGTCAGCGACGCCTGTCACGGCCAGAAATTCCAAAGATTGACCTGCACGACATTCAGGACAAATTCAAGGCATGGTTGGAACGTGTAAAGAGTCGAAAGGCGTTGGATATCCACAAACAGGAGATTGCCTTCTCCGTTTTCGAGCCGGCCTTCTCGCGCAGCGTCTACCCAACTGCCCCGGTATGTACACGACGCCCGAAGGGAATGCATATGCTCACCTATTTCTATTGCACATACAGCTAAAGACGTTGGATCATGGACCTCCTATGTCCAAGGAAACCTTTGACAAGTTGGTGAACATCAACGTGTCTTGTCCGTTGGCTTACAGACATCGTCGGCAGAATGATAGACGCAGTGAAGGAGTCAATATTGGACGGAGTACACCCCAAATTGATTGCCAAAGGCTCGTCCGGAAGCTACTTTGTGCGCGTCAAAGATGGCGACAGACATAAGACTGTTGGGTAAGACCATTTGATGTTCCTACAAATCAACACTCACTCGGCAACGTGTAGGGTGTTCAAGGTCATTATATTCCGTCGGGTATCGCTAGTTTTGACACCATGGTAGCCGCAAAACGAAGAGCCTTATGGGAATCTCAATCCAAAGTAGAAACCAATTCAAGGCGGCTCAACCGATAATCTGACATCCAACAGGACAACCAAGTGGCTTCACCGCAAGCTTAGGTTCATCCTCCCATTCGGTCGGAGCTGCTTGATTCCCGGACTTAGGCAAGTGATTGTCAGACTCTCTGACGAGTGTTAAACATTTAATTAGCTATATTTCCGAGGCAGCTGCATCACTAATGGACACACGGCTACAGCTCAATATTGTACCGCGGACCGAGCTCGTTTCCCTCTCGAGCTCGAGCTTCTTCTACGACTGGATCGATCGAGTCGCAGCAAAAAAAGGGAAACCATTACCAGAGAAAATTGGCTCCTTCCAAACGTTCCTGCACGGGTACACCGATGCCACCGTCTTTCTTCGTGAACATCCTTGGCCTGGGAGGTCCATCTCCGACACATTTGACGACTCAAATCATCGCTCTGGCGCGGCTACCAAACGTTTGATGAGTGCTCTCAGTCTTGTTTGTGGAAAAACGGGCGAGGAGGAAGATCTTACCGATGAGGAAGTCGAAGACGAGCAGGCCCGTACAATGTACGAGATGCCGGAATCTACCGACTTTTATTGGTCACTGGCACTGCAGCAAGATTTTAGACTAGAGTTGGAAAAGCTTGTCATTCTAGGTTCGTCTTGTGCCTTGTCTGCCATCACCTCTTACATTTCATAGATTACATCATCCGTAATACCGACCGAGGCTCAGATAATTATGTAAGTCTTACCCAGAACCGACTTGTGGAATCTCACGACCGTGCAGATGATCAAGTATTGTAACCAGAGTCACGAAAGATCAATTGTAGACCAAGCACCGTCCCGAACGACCACCCCAGTATACACGTCACAAGATCCAATGAAAGCCGAACCTACTCTTCGGACGACTCCATTGTTAATACCGTCTCAAGAGCCTCCGCCGGCCACCTCCACAACGGAGCCAAATTATTCGCGACCTCATATGCATATTGCTGCCATTGACAACTCTCTCATTTCCTCATGAGCATCCGAAGGGTTGGAGATCATTTACATATGGCTGGCTCTACTTACCCGTCTCCTTGATCGGCCGGTATGCTACTTCTAATCGCCTTATCAATTCTGAAAAGTCTCTAGGCCTTTCTCTGAACAAACTCGACGGCACTTTTTGCCCCTGTTGTCGTCAAAGGCATGGTGGGAGGAAACCACCTACCAATTGAAGAAACTGTTCGCGATTGACCCCGGCTTTCACCCAAAAATGTTTGCGCGCCAAATGGCGGTGATCAAGGGCCAAGCTTGGAATGTGCTTCAGTCATTAAAGCATCCAGACGAAGGTTCGTAGGAAGTGAACTCTGTCGAGTTTGTATTAACATTGGTGCAGGCCCTCTTGAACTTACAAGGAGAGTAAATGTACTAGTGTGGGACGACGAGCTCGAAGTGGGCGAGACCTTCTCGGCAGATGCACTCGCTGGGCCGCTTAGTGCGGGACCACTGCCAAACGGATCATCACCATTTGCTCGAGGATCCCCAACGCGAATTCGTCGCATTCGCAGCGTTAGCTCGCCGCGCATCGACGGCAACTTTCCACCAATGTCGCGCAGCTCGAGCGACTTTACGGGTGCGACAAGACCGGTCCCCTTTTCCAGCAAAGTCACCCGCGTCAACCCTTCAGCCACCGGTGTGTCTGTATTGGAACACATGGAGCGATTGGACAAGGTTGAGGAAGGATTGACTCGCCTTGGCCCGGCCGAGGATACTCTATACGAAGATGAGGAAGCTGAGGAGGCCCAAACCGACCAGGCACCTTTACTACCTGCTGAAGATATTGTCCAGGCTGTTTCGGCTGCCCCACCTGCCGCTGAGCGTCAGCCCGAACCTTCCGCCTCACGTGTCAGTACAAAACCCACCCTTAGCGGGCTCGGGACCGCCGCTAGGACGAGCATACGAATGTCCGAGGAGGCACAACGCCCAAGCCATATCCGCTGGGCAAGTCATGGAAACGAGCGCTCGGGACGGAGCATGGATGTGTCAAGGAGACCCGTGCTCGATGCCGAGTCGGGCAAAAAGGTGGTGATTGCAGAGGTGTGTCGCCTTTTTTCATTTGTTCATAGCGGTTGCTTACCCATTGATTAGCGTGTGGAGACTGTGGACGCGAAACCGTTCTTCTCGTGCTGGTAATTGGTCTCATCTCATCGACGGGTGTCTGTCACTGTAGCATACGTGTTCGCGTTGGTAATAGAAATTAATTGAATTATTTACACGCCATACGAACGATGGGAAGATAGTAAAGATGAACTACTCTACATGGGGTGAAGGACAGCATGGAGTTGATCGAGGAACTGGTCACTGATCCAACGCTTGCAGACGACATACCATTCTACAAGGAAGACACTACATGGAGATGATGAAGAGGCTCTTCGCATCACCGACAGCCCACTCACGGCGGATTCCTGTAGGGAGTTTGAGGTATGTCAGAAATCTTGTCATTGATCATGTTCAATCATATAGAATACGCTTCCACAAGGACAAAATGTCGTACAAATTTCAATTTATCTGTACTCGGACAAGTCTGAGCTGCCAAATTTCGGCCACATAAGCTCGTATCCCCTTCTGCTCACTCCATTCTCACTGCGTTGTCACAACTTGATCTTCCTCTATATAATCGATAGCAGATGCAAAATTGGACTGGAGGGTGTTGATAAACTCTGGCGTCACCTTGGCAGAGAACCCGCGGAGGACTGTTCCATAGTCGTGAACGACTTCGCCACCTATGAGATTTGAACCTCGTTTAGCATATTTAAGAGCAATTGGCCACCCGAGCCACTCTCACCGCTCTCCTGAATCCTCTTCTTTGCGCTCTCAATCTCCTCTGCAGAAGCGTGATCCTTGAAGACAATAATGTAGCCTGTCTATGATTTATCACGTCTATTACGTGCCCTCAGAGTCTCACTTTGGGTCATGATCGATGGCGCAGAAGTCAAGTGTGGTACTATGGCGTAATGGGCCGGAATAGGGATGATTACACAAGACCCGCTCTCGCCCTCCAGGCACCGTCAAATCCATGCAAAAATAAACCCCGAAGCCATGCAGACGTGAGAACAAGGCTCGAGCGAAGGTCCATCCAAAATGCCGCCGTGGAGAATCCCAGCCTCCGGAATTGATAGACAAACCATCGCTTGAAGAACATCTGTACTCTTCCGTGCTCCAGGTGTACGATTGATTGTTTTTCGTCTTGCCATCTATCAGCAGTCAGTATCTCGACATTATACTTGGATGGAGGCGTACACGGCACGATTGCAATACTGTCCAACAATCAGGAAGACTCGGAACGGTGGATGCGTCGTATGTAATGCATGATCGAGGGAGCGCGTCAACTCGTTCAATTTAAAGAGCATCAATACCTGGGTGGCGTTCAGTCGACCGCCGTGATGCTATATGGGAGATACACACCTTTGAGTCAACCCCTCTCAGGATTTCGAACATGGCAACCATAATGCCGCCATTTGCAACAAGCATGGTACGGAGTTTCTCCATTTCTTGATCCTGCAAATTGCCCATATCGAACATAGCGGCAGCCTGTTGTATGGCTTGGAGGCGACCAGCAGCTTGCTTCTTTCCTCCCCACGAACCAGACGGCCTGCCTGTCAATGCAGCTATACTACAGTTAGTAGCTGAATTATCCCCTGCGAACGAGTATTCACCCTCAAAAACATTGTACTGCCTATAGTCAGTGACAAGCCAGGCTCTCTCGTGCACCATACTCACTCGCTCCGGTTTGATATTTCCAACAAGGGTCGCGTACTTTTGCCTGTTGGACATGTCAATACGCATTAATAAATTACAGGTGTCTCCCTCACCTCTTTTCTCGGTTCTTCTCCGTCGCAGGTGATAACAAGGACAGCCAAAATCGAGCCTAACGTCGTTAGTTAGGCTATTAATGTCAATATTTATGCTTACATAGTTTATTCGGAGCTCGTCTGGAATGTCAAAGTACAAGCCTGGAGAACGTTACTCATTGGCCGGGTTTTGGTGACATCTATGAGCTTACCATGATCCAAAAGAACGATATCAAAGTTGGTATGTCGATTTCTCCAAGATGGCCGAATCAGTAGATTGCCCTTGTGAGGGTCGGCATGGAACCACCCATGTATGTAGACCTGTTCAGAGAAGATCTTCGCAAGCTCTTGCGAGACACGGTTCCGATCTATCCCATGTGTTGCAAGAAACTCGTTGATGCCATCGTCAATCTTGTGGCCTAGAAAGCGCGAGGTCAGTCATCAATGAGACGAATGGACAAATAGGCCCACCTTCTATGAATTCCATAACTAGTGTGCGTTTGGTAGCCGAGAATACCTTTGGGATGTACAAGGGAGAGTCTGGGGCCGTTCGCTCAAAGTTGTACGCTACGCGAGCGGCATTCGCAGATTCCTCCAGGAAATTCATTTCGCGGGGGAGATTTTCAGCCATCTCACGGCCCAACCAGCTGAATTCAAAGTCCGGGAAGAGCCACTTTATTATCCGGAGAGTGATATCGGTAGAGACGAGGCTGGCGGAAGAGGTAAGCGGTCTAAGAGCCGGGGAGACAAATAACTTACTCTACGGCAGCAAATTCCTGGAGGCCTGGATGCTGAATTTTTACGGCAACCTTCTGCCCACGCAGAACGGCGCTGTGGACTTGAGCAAGGGAAGCCACACCCAGGGGAACGGGGTCAAAGTCTGAGAATACAGACTCTATCGTCATCCCGTTATCCTCGAAGAAGACTTGCTTAATCTCTTCAAATGTCGATACCTCGCACGAGTCCAGGCACGGCCTAAACAACCCATATTAGCGTGGTCAGAACATATATAAAGAAACTGACCTCATCGTGGTTTGCCATTCTATAGGAAGTATAATACTGGAGCTTATATGTTGTCCGAGCTTTACATAGACGCCTGAATTGGCCAGCAGAGCATGCAAGGTATGCGTTGCTGCTCGAGTATGACACGCTGAGATGGCAGCGAGTCGCTCTTCTTCGTTGGGGTATTCAGCCGCATACGTGCGACGATAGTCGAGGACGGCCAGTGTTGCTGCAGTGGCAATACGAGTCGTACGAACAACAGCAATGGAGAAGAATCGAATGTCATCATAGTTATATATAATCTGATATTGAATGCAGTCTGACATGAGCTCTCGTCATTCTTGGCCGTGTTTATACGCACTGTAACCCCCGCAAGTGCGACAAGTGCGAGCGATATCCGTCGAGGAGTGGCCCCTCTCCTTTTAAAATCAATGTCTCTCAGGAATCTCTGGGGCGAAACCCGCTCTCTGGCTCGTGGCGAAGATTTGAAGCCTCGAAATGATGACGCTCGAGGCCAATGGCCATTCTGGATCTTGAGCACATTCAGCATGTGCAAAACGCACAAATGAAGGCCTCAGGACCGTGTTTGAGAAACGACGAATATATGGCAGGTTTTAAGATACAAATGGTGGTGTCCATGCTCATGCAAAGCCGAAACCCTCTCCACCTTCATTAATGGCCAGAAGCAGCTGCTGGCGAAGCTTTTCGTACGAGGAATATTGTGGCAGATCGACTGCGTTTCGCATTAGTCACCCTCGCCAAAACACTCTGAAAGGGCTTACTCTGATTAAAGCAGGTATGAGCCTGTGGTAGCCTATCCATGGCACCGTAATCCTTGTGGATGGAGAAACGTTGAATGCCGTCGACACCCTGTGGTAGAGAGTCATAAGTCTCAGAGGAAACCAATCGACTGTAGACCGTACCTGAAGCTCTGCAAAGCCGCCAAGAGGAACCTTTGCGGTTCCAGTGGCAAAACTGAGGACCTTTGCACGATCTGCCCGCGAGAAAGACTTGAGGGCTCGCCACCACCAAAGGATGACCGCATCCGAGGCAGAGTAGCCATGATACTCGGTGGCCGACCTCCAATCCTCGACTTCGATATCAGGAGTCCCAGATATGAGCAGTTCGAGCTCCTTTTCGTCAAACTACAGCCTGTCAAGTCTTGGGGCGGACTTGGAACGCAAAAACGTACCACTGAAATGTGTTCTTTGGGAACAATTTCGTAGAATCCTTCTAGGAAGGCTTGCAGTTGATCTTTGATTGACGTAGTTAACCGATATTCGGCGATGAGTTGGATGTATTCGTCCTTGTTCTCGTCAGTGACGGCAATGTTCCGGCCATTGGGCTTCAGATCGACGACGACCATTTCTCCAAGCTATGAGAGAGTCACACAGAGACAGGATTGTAGTAAAAGAGATCATACCTGTTCGCTCTGCTCACTAAACGTAAGATCCATCGCCTCGACAGAATTGTCGAGCATCCAGCGCAACCCACTATAGTAGGATGGATCAGACCATTCCAAGTCGCGGTAATTGACAGGTTTCCCGAGAAGTTGTCGATAGACCGATCGCGCAAAGTGTCCATCCAGCAATCGTTGATCGTAGATTGCTTTTCCCAATATTCTCCCGACAAATTTAAAGTACCGTAGATGATCGGGATTGATCCAGGATGCGGGGTTGGGCTGGTAGGTCAAACGATCCGCGCCACACGGCGAGAACAAGGCGTAGTTAGGATTGAAGATTTCTCGCGCGAGGATGCGGAACCATTCTCGAGTGACACCTCCCGCGTCGACGCCCTCCTCGTTACTGAAGCGAACGTTCAGTTTGCCGTACTTGAGGTCTTTGTCGCTCAGTCGAGAAATAGCTTGGAAGCTATCCTCAAAGACCTTGGCACGTCGGACATTAATTGGAATGGTAGGGTAGGTCTCTCGCTCTCTCTCTGCGCGACTCCGGTGTCGAAGCTTGTGCGTGAAATAGTTGCGCTTGTTGTCAAAGTCGAGAACGCGGGGATTGTGTACGAGTAGGGAGAATGATCCAAACATCAGGGAGGGCTTGTTGCGCACCATCAGATTCAGGACCTTTCGATGCTTGTCCGTGAACGCGACGAATACGTCCCCCGACGATTCACGATCCAAGGTCGGCGAGCGTGGGGACATTGACGCTCTCATGGCCTTGGCAGTTGTCGAGTGCGCTTGTGAAGCAGTAGACTTGCAGACTACCATCAGTGATTCCATCAGCGGTAGTAAAAATGTCGCGACATGAGTAGCGTCTGGACGGTCTTCGACCGACTTGAGGCAATCACTGAGTTTCTTCCAGAGTGGAGCAAAATGCAGCCTCTCAAAGAGGGCTATTATTCTCTCGTCCTCACCAGAGGTATCCACCTGTGCGCTAGAGCGACCAGGCAGCACGGGCATGTAGATGTTCTCCAGAATCTTGAGTATCCTGAGCAAGCGAGCTTGATTGGACGTCGGCAAGGAGAATTTGGTGGTGATAGAGCTCGGCAAGTCTTCTCCTCGACGTAGGCCATTTACCGAGCGAAGGAGAGCCTCCAGCTCGATATGAATCATCCTGCCAAACTCCTCTGCTTTCGTCTTGAGCTCGTCAATGATGACATCTCGAGCACTCGGAAGAGACGAAAGATTGAATATGAGAGCCTGTGTGTTCTGGAAGCAGCGCGACGAACATTCTCCGAACGTTAGAAGATTGACTACCAATCGCAGAGCCGAGTCTGGCAGGTTGGGTGGGTTCGCTCGTATGATTTCTTCCCTGGACTTGGGTGCCACTTCGTCCTCTGAAGATTCTTTTGGCTGTCCTGACGCTAGCACAATGTTAGAGTGATGGAGAATTTCAGCCAGTACCTACAGGATTGTGCAGTCTCCGGAACTACGGGTGCAGGCTCAACGACAGGGATCTCTTGAACAGCTCGTGCTTGCGCTGATGGTGGGACAGGTTCCGCGACCTTGGGAACAACCTCCTCGAGAGATTTCTCATCCTTTTCTCGAAGGGCCGTAAGAGGCTTTGTGATGGTAGAAAGCAGCCCAGAGATGGTATCTAAGGAATGCGCTTGCTGCAGGAGGTTGTGTCGCTCCAAGAGGGCGAGGAGTTGCACAAATGGATAGTGAGCTCCCGGTATTTGCTTCTCTTTGCCTTTTCCTTTCTTTGAATGGGCTCTGTGAAGCTCTGATGAAGCGTCCTGCTCCGTCAAGAAGAACAAGGGAGCCATCTCGTTCGCGAGCACGACGGACATCAAGGTGTCCAGCGTTCTTTGGACAACCACCTGCTCTTCCGGAGCCCGAACCCCATTGACCTGCAGCAATTGGTCCTCCTTCTGCTTCCCTTTTGCAGTGGGCTTAGCCGGCCGCACCGAGGGTTGCGCAAGACCTTTGTCGACATTCGTCGATTCGCTTTTTCCCGTGTGAAGGAGGGATAATAGTATCTTGAAGAGATCCGTCCTCGAGCGACCGTTTTGGGAGAGGTTGACAATAACCTGCTGTAAGGAGGTGCGACGGGTTTGGTCCACAAAGAACAGGAGCTTTACAAGGTTGAGTAAACCCGGCTTCTCCAGAAGTTGGGCCACTTCCCGGTATTGGGGCTTGCGCGGAGGTTGCTGGGTGGGTGGTGGTATGCCAGGGACGAAAAGGGAGGAAGAAGGTGCTGATCGGCGACCTATCTGGTGCCGCAAAGCATTTGCTTCTGCAAGGACGGCGGACGGCATACTCTCGAGGATGGCATCATCTTGCTCCAAAAGAACAGTTTGACGAAGCTCCTCTGGCAGTGTAGCAAGTACAGAAGCAGGGTCCATATCCACGGCGTTGGCAATCTGTGCAATCGCCTGGTTGCGCAACACATCGTCTCGGATCTCGGCGGGGAGTGCATTTAGGAACTCCATATCCATCTCTGCCTCTGGAATCCTGGTCGGTCTTGATTCTCTTTGCCGCTCCCGAACAAAGTTGCCGAGGATCTCGTCCCGAATGTCCTCGGGGACAGCATTGAGGAATTCGGGATCGATATCGGCGTCGGTGATGTCAATCTCCTCTCCTCGGTACATTACAGTTACACGAGGTGGATTGTTACTCGTGCTCGCTTCGGCGTTCGAGGTGGATGCTTCCATCGAGACTGACTCTGGTTCAATAGCGTCCATTGTAGTCGCTTGAGCATTCTGTGTCGCGTCACCAGGTGCAGTTTCAGGCGTTTCAACCGTCATTGCATGCGCTGCTTCCTCCTCCTGTTGACGACGACGTTCTGCTTCTGCACGCTCTGCTTCCTCTTCCTGTTGGCGAAGGCGTGTCTCTTCCTTTTCCTTTTCCTCAGCCTCCTTGAGCTTCCTCATCGCCTCTTCTGCGCGTAGCTTGGCCGCCTCACGACTAGCTGGCAGCAATGTAACCACTAGATGGTTTGCCAGCTCGACGAGCCGGTTCTCGTAGCTAGCTCCAGCATTTTCCCTCGCTTCCTCGGCCCAGCGTTGAGTTGTAGGCATCGCTCCGGGCAGTCCGACTTGACCGCCTGGCAAGTGTCCAGGTCGGATGGTCATGTACCGCGACATCATCCGTTGTCTGAATTGGGAGCCATCCAAGCCTGCACCGTGAAGGAGAAGTTGCGCTGCTGGGCCAGATAGTGCCAGCTGAAGTTCCCCATTTGATGCGCGAGCCATGTCATGGATCATCTGGGCGGTCGGAGCTCCCAACATTTCCTGAAGCATGCTTGTGCGGACTATTTGAGGTCTGCGATAGGCTCTGCGATGTCCCAGGCGAGCAAACTCATCAGGGTGAATGTCGAATGCACTCGTGATATCAATCGCTGGGAAACCTGGTGGTATCTGGCTGGGACCATCGAGGAGAACACTGATATCTGGGCGTAATATAAGTTGTGTCCTGCATTTATCTTGTGCGGGGACATACCGGGAAATCGACGATCCCCAGGAGGCTCCAATAACTCTCCCATCGGTTGAGGTGGATGTACGTAGACCGGGGCTTCTACTAATTCCCTATCGTTCAGTTCATACGCAAAGCTAGGAAATATATCAACTAAGTACACCTTTTGATGGTGAATCAAACTCACTCTGCAAGGGGATCGTCCAAAGTAGGATCCAGCCCTATGGGTTGGGTTAAACGCACAGCGTGAGAAAAGATACAGATCAACTTACCATCTAGATCGTCTTCTTCGTCACCGGGTTGCAACAGAACTGCCTCCTCGTCGCCTGCTTCACGGGCTTGAATTTCCTGACCACCAATTAGCACCATAATCCCATGACAACTGGATAACTTGCCTGCCAAACGCGCTCTTCAAGACGTGACTCGGGATCGTCTTCATCTGAGAGGCTACTTCCTTCATCGTCCTCATCGTGATCTTCGAGATCTTCCTCGCCATGCTCTTCATCCTCTCGCATGCTCATCTCCTCGTCGTCTTCCAGATCTGTATCTTCGTCGTTGGGATCTGCGTCTTCAGGAGATTCCATCTCAGCACCTTCATCGACATCAGCATCTTCTTGACTCTCTTCGGTATCATATTCGTCCTCTGCATAGTCCATCTCCACATCGTCTTCTTCTTCTTCCTCCATGGGCTCCTCCACATCGGCAAATGCCCCATCCGTTTCCTGCAAAAGTCAGTTTGCGTGTAGATCATTAAGATATAATACTCACACCCCCGTACCTGGGTACAAACAAGCGAGTTAGAGGCGCTATCGTCGGAGAAACTAATGCACTCACATTCCAAGTGCAGAGGTGCTGTAAGGGTCTGGAGTCTCCTCAGAGTCCAAAAGATCGCTCTCCTCTTCACTCTCGGTAGAGAATTCGGGTGCTTGAGTGATATCAAAAGGCACTGAATCGCCAACTGGCTCTCCGGATCGTCCGATTCTAATCGATGCCTTCGTTCTGTCCTTCGTCAGGGGCGAATATAGAATGCAAATTCGACTCACAACGTCTCGAGCGGGGCTAGAATGGACGATGTCACTACGGACGACATGGGATGTGCCAGATCGACTTCGGAGAGGATAGACGAAAAGGCGGCGACATAATTCTTCTCAAGCATCAGCTCGGCAATCTGCGTCAAGGAGTCCTCGTGATTCTTTTGAGAACCCGTGTGCAGATTAACGGTGAGAACCTTCTGACAAAGGTCACCCAGCGCAATATACCGAGTATATCGCTGATCGGATGTCTCCGTTGAAGAGATTGGCTCTTTGAGGGTCTTGAGAATGGTATCCAAGACGAGCTTTCGGACCGTTTGTATACCCGTGGTGACATCCTTGGCGTCTACTACTGGATTTGCATCGGAACACAGTGCCACCACAAGTGACTGGTAGGGGCTAAGCTTCGACCGCTTTCTCGATGAATCACTTGTGTCAGCCTTGGCCGATATAATCTCTTGTAGAACAAAGTTGAGAGCGAGGGGCTTGTGCTTGGCCCCATCCTTCGAGAGGTTCGGCAAGCGTCGCTTTGGAAAGGCGAGGAAAGCGATTTTGCAAGGCTCGAAGCAGAGCAAGAGCTCACAAAGAATGCCTTGGATGAACCGTGTGTATTCCACCTCCTTCGTGCTAGTGCTGGAGCTTTCCGGAGGGATTACTGGCCGCGGCTCAGGCTGAGCAACAGGCGTGTTGACACCAGAAGTACCTGCAGAAGGTGGCAGGACATTCGCGCTCAACAAGGAGTGGATGGTGGATGATGTCGCGGGCGGCTGCTCGGCAGCTTGTTTATGTTGGGCAATGAAGTCGGTTGTAAGTTGATTGATCACAGCGACAGCCACCTCTGCTATGGCATCCTCGGGTGTGATACCAAAAGGACCCTCGGAGATGGTTTGTTTTTCGGCTTCCGTTTGCGATTGGGCAGGCTGGGAGTCCGAGGTGTCCTCGGCTTTGGATCTTATGCGATACCCACCACCAATGTGAAGCGGCTCGGCGAGCTCACAGAGCTCATTGGAAACCTTGAGGAACAGTTGTGGATCGCGGAATGCAGAATAATTATGGTACTTGAGATGCGTCGAGACACTTTCACCAGATCGGCTACGCGCTGAGGTTGTCCAACGTCTCAGGTCGTTCCTCATAAACTTTTCGACAGTATTCTTGTCCTCCATCAGATGCCGGAATATGAACACAGACGCAGTGCTGACGTCCTCTTGCTGCTTGTTAGCCTTGAAGTACTGGAGAAGTTGCGAGAGTCCGCTCTGCTTGATAAATTGCAAAGCGAGGTCGTGATCACGCGTGAGAAAAGCTAACATATGAAAAAGAGAGAGCAGATCCTCTCTCTGGAGGTCCGATACGCGGAGGAGTCGCATACAAAAGTCGAAAAGGACTTTGCGCTGGCTGGTAAACGACGGTCCAACAAATAGATCCGTGTTCACGATAGGCTCGTCGTCCTTGGGGATTGAGATCGGTGCAATGGTCTCTGCCGTGCAAAGGATACGCTTCGAAAGCCACAAGTGACTCGCCAGCCACTTTGGTACCTTGTGTTCTGGAGCGGCACTTGGGATCGGTGTTGACAACAGCAGGGCCAGAAGACTCTTTAACAACTCCTCTGAGTCTTCCTTCGACAGACCCAGACTCTTTTCCCCTACTTTGAAATATGCCATAGAGAGAATCCGGCAGCGAACCTGGAGGGGAACCTCTGGGACTTCTCCAGTTCCGTTGGCGTATTTCTTGATATCTTCAGCCAAGTACTTCGCATTCCCGTTCATAGCTGAGCCAAAAAATATGTCCTGGATGTCGTCAATGAAAGCCGGATTTGCGTCTGCGAGGCGTAGAGCAGTGGGAACAATAGTCTCTTTGAGCTGTTCCCTAGCCTCTGCAAGTTCCTTGACGAAGTCGCGTTTGGGTTCTTCTGGAGTGGGGTCAGTCGAAGCCTGGTCTGCCGCGGGGGTGGTCTCTGTGCTCGGAGCGTTTGCTTCAGATGCTACGACAGCGGGCTCATTTGTCGAGTTGGGTTCCGCAGCGGTCGTAGGAGGGTTGGCATTTTCAGCCGCTGGTGTATCATTCCCATTTGACGCCGGGGCATCACCCTCGTTATCGAAGAAATGAGCATTTGTCAATAGCAGCTCGGTGGCCATACTGAGGTCCCCACGCGCACGCATAAGGGCATTGCGAGCTGCGGCCTCCGGGAAGCCCATGTCGGTGAGTTGCTGGATCATTGCAGGCGAGGGTACCACTGGCATGCGTCGTGGCATTGGGATTGGATGTCCGGGCATGGAGAAGCTAGCAGAGGCTAGTCGACCGGAGTCCTCATACTCTCCTTTGAGAATTGCAAGGAGACCAAAAATTACAGACTTTCTGACGCTTTCTGACGTTTCGCGAAGCCATTCAGCCTCCCAAAATCGTCGAAAGAGAGGTAGGAGGGTCAGCCGCAGTTGAACCAGCGTATCAGAGGGGTCGAAGCCTTCGTAGGTCTTGAACCGAAGTATTTCCAGAGTCTGGGGTGATTCCGCCAGTGGCTTTCCGGAGACCAGGTGGTAGAACCAGATCATGGGTTGGCGAAGGAAGTAGTGTGCGATATTCAACGCCTCTTTATCACGGCTCGGCCTGTCTTCATCCTTCATGACAAAGACACGATCGATTAAATCCGCACAGAAAGTGCAAATTTGAATCACTGCCTCAATTCCACCACACTTTTCAAACTCCAAGAACAAGCCTGTTTGAATATTTTGGCCATGCCGATCTGCAAGACTTGAATTGGAGCTCAGTCTTTTCACTCGAGAGGCTTACTTTCCGGGCCAATGCAACTCGTGATCGAGATAGCCAGGGCACAGAACCCAATGACGACGACGGGATCATCTATGCATGTAAATTTTAAAGAATAAAAGGGTCCGAGAACGTACCCGAGGCATTGTAGGAGCGGAGTCCCTCAACCAAGGCCTCTGCTAGAAGCCTCGCAACCTCTTTGGAGTCCTTTTTGAATTTGCTCGCTTCGGTGGATGGCAAGCGCCTTGGCATAGTCAATGCCTTTGCGAATCCTGTACGAATATCAGAAGGGCTCTGACATCAAAGAGTAAATTATTACCAGAAAAAAGCGTCTGGGTGATATTCGAGAATGCATGTAGTACAGTTTTGATGCTGGCTTGATTGCGTTGTTCCACCGTCAAATTCTTATCCTTGGCTGCTGGAACATCTCGCCCTGTCCTTTGTTCATCCAGCAGTTCCGGGACGGATGCACCGACATCGACTGGTGGATCAATCGATTGTTCTGTGGGCTGTGCCGACGAAGATGGCTGATCTACTGACCCAGAAGTTGCAGTTGCTTCTACCTCGGTCTTTTGAGCTTTGAGGTGGAGAATCTCCCAGGCTGATGCTTGTGAAAGACGGCCGATCTGCATCAATAGGGTCGGATCCTCTACGAGAGGCTCGAGCATGTTGATGGGCTCGCGTCTGAATGGTTGATGAATCGAATGTGAAGAAGATTGTGAATATACGTCGTTGAGCAAGGTCATATCAAGGAGAAGCCGTCGGATGTTTGTGAAGAAACTTCGAGCTTGTGCCAAGTTCTCGTCTAGGGGAAATAAGCCTTCAAGTGAGGTGACCGATGGGTTACATACCCGTCACATTGACGTAATTCACAAGCGTGTTACTCGCGCCACGCGACCGCAGAAAATCTTGCGCATATGTCGACTCCAGGTGTTTTTTGACAACTCCCACGCGATGTGTGAGGACAACCGCAGGGGAGGCGTCCATAAGACGGCGATTGACGAGAAGAACCGCATCCAAATTTCGTGCCAATACAAAGTCAATTGGCCATGACGGGAGCGCGAGAATACTGTCAAGACGTGTCAGGATCGACGTTTCGGAAAGGATGTCGCGACAATGTTGGGCGTGGCTGAAGAACCCGACAAGGAACTATCCACATGTGTTAGCGGTACAAGCAATATGACTTATGAGGCTTACCTTGGAGAAATTGCTCAGGTACTGATACGCGAGCATCTCGCTCAGTTCAAATGTACTTGGAGAGCTTGTAGCGGCTGATGCTGGAACGTCCACGCCGGATTGGGAGTTTAGCGTAGAGGTTTCCCCGGATGTGCTGATAGGTTCCGCGTCCATCTTGACCTCATTTACCGCTAGAAGATTGAAGTAGCCCTCTACTTCTTCTCTCGGAGTATATGTCTTGGCAACTTGTTCAATCGCATCTAGTGTTTCAATGACACCCTTGAAAATAATTGGCTTCAACCAAGGGTGATGACGGACAAGTTCGTCTACGTCTCCACCGATCAGGGACGCATTTGACTTCTCTTGCAACGAAGACGCGTGCGCATCTGACGTAAAGATTCCGAATACCGTGCTGATGACTTTAGAGCGCGCCTCTAGGAGCGTCTGTCCAGCTTGGTTCAGTGAGAGAGCCCCCATAGCGTTGAGCACTCCGTGGACAACCTTGATACCGTTCAGAGACAATGACCATCTCCTTGGTGATACGTACCTCGATCATTGGCTCCAAACCATGTTCAACCATGGAGTAAAAGGACTCGGGGAGTCCGCTTTCTTGAATGATTGTGAGTGCACTGGGGTCATTATGTACCCATGTAGCAATAACAATGGTGGCTAATGGAACTTAGTCTGCGATTTTGGTAGAGGGATGACATACCTGCAGCCAAAATGGTAGAGCCAAACAGATTGCGGTTGTCGAGGATGCTCTTCAAAGACGGGATGAAAGCAGAGTCGTTTTCAGGCAGAAGGCGGAGAACTTCTGCCGATCCGGTAGACTGTAGCATCCGTTGGATAGTGCGTAAGAGATGCTTCAACACGTTGATTCTTGGCGTCGGGACACGACCGTATCCGAGCGGAGGGCCATCGCTGGTCTGCAAGTGCGAGTATTCTACAATGTCTGTCTCCACCTCCCACTTAAAAGCAGTTAGTAGAAGGTTTGCTTATGAGTGTCTTACATGCCTTAATTCTCTCGAGAAGGAATTGAATCCCCCCATCGTTTAGGAAGACGGTGAACGGATTGTTGTTTCGCTGGTTTGCGCTAGATGGCCCTTGAGGAGGTCCATATAGTGCATTTTCGAGAAGTGGAATGGTTTTGGCGACTATGACCGCATAGGACGAGCGTTTGATCGAGACGACCTTCCTCAAATGATCAATCAGCCCGGCACTGATAACCATGTTGTATGAGACCTCGTGTGTGGTGAGAAAATCGAGGAAGATTTGCAGCGCCTCGAATAACGGATAGACCGACTCGGCCTCGGCCTCTTCCAACTTAGCCACCGTTTTGCGGAAAAGAGACATAAGGAGACCGTGAGCTACACTGGCGTTCACTGCGGTCAGTACCTCTCCTGATCTAAAACGATGATGACACAGCGCATCGAGCGCATGCACAGCGGCGGCTTGGAGTAGTTCGTCGATCCCTTTGTCTGTTGCGAGGAGAGGTGCGACAGATGAGACAATGTCGGGCTCTAGCAATAGTTTTGCATTCTGGCCCGTCGTGTCTGTATGCGTATGGCAGTAGACAGCAATGGCCAGCATGCGCAACATTATCAGTTTTGAACGCATTGCCCAGTTTCCTGTTCCGAGAGACTTTGCCATGCGTATTTTGCACAAGAGTTCGAAGCGTTCGTTGACGCCGATGGGACGTCCATTGATGGCGTCCTGAGTGATGGTGACCACGTCTCGAGGATCAGACGCGAGAGACTTGAGATGCACAGTGTACGGTCCAACTTCACTACCTGGTACTTTGGGCGGGTACCACTGAAATTGGAGGTCGGACGCTTCCGCAGGGAGTGCGGGTTCGCTCTGAGAGGACACAAGCTTGACGTAATTGACGCCATGTTCTCTCGTAACAGGCCAAGATTGGGCCAAGGTCTCCAAGTGTGTGTGATTGACTCGTAGGACGGTATGTAGGCTCAGTTGAAGAGTGTATTGATGGGCTGGCCGTAAAATGAGGCTCAGAGCCTCGATTGCAATGTCCACGTCGGGAGACATGACGAGTACACTGAGTCGCTGAGAAGCATTCTTGCGTCAGAGGACCAATACGAATAACACAAGAGTGGCTTACGTCGTACGAATTAAAGAGCTTGCGGTTTGTCGAGTTGTCAAGCAACATGCGTTCAAATCTCAGTATTTGGAACAAGAGTTCCTTGTCGTCTTGGGAGAATGGCCGGAGCTGCAGATTCGCCGCGTCGTACTCGGTGATGAGGGTGGCCATTATTTCATCGAAGCGATCTAGGACGCCAAACCAAACATGAAGCTCTGATCTAGGCCAGCTCCATTGAGATATAGCGCGAATGAATGCCGCGAGCTCCGTCTTTGGAACGCTTTGCAAGTCTTGAACGAGCCTGACGACATCTGGATGCTAAATGTCGTTAGCGAGCCTGTAATTCATTATTTGCAGACGTACTGGAGGTATTGTCCTCCGCGACGACTTTGCCTGGATCTTCATCTGATGGAGGCGGGTCCAGGGCTTTGCCTTTGGGTTTGGCGACTCAACTTGGTCCTGGCCACTGTTTCACCATGAACCCAAACGTCAGAATACGCGAGTTGCAACGTGACAAATGTAATTTTGTACTCTCAGGAGTCAATCTTGGGTGGGTTTAAATAACTGCCGCCGCGATTGCTGAGACAAAACCGAGTCTAGCTTTGCAAACTCGTTTCGGAGGACAATGATGGCAGATATACCCACCGTTGGTGAGCCCAAGACAGCCTATATGGCGCCTTACAAAGGGCTGACCGATGCTTGAGCTATTGACATGGTGGTATTCGAGGTCAATACGACCGTTTTGCCAGACGAATTCATCGCGCACAGACTTGGAATGATCCCTCTCATCAGCACAAACTGCGACGAAGGCATGAGATATACAAGGGTACGTAGCAGTCTAGTCAATTTTTGACCAGCACTCACAGTGGTATCGCAGGACTGTGATTGCGAACTAGGATGCCCTCTCTGCATGGTCGTATTAACGCTACACGTACGGTGTGATATGCCTGGAACGACCATGAATATCACCAGCGATCACCTGCAAATACAATCCGGCGGAGATGCTTGGGGAGGAGAGGAACTGACCAAACGAGGAGAAGACTTTGGTCTACCCGTGTCGAAATGTACGTCTCTTGTTCACTCGCTACGAGTACTGACCATTTTGCAGCACGAGGTTTCAACGGGCACCCTATCCTAATAGCGTCACTACGTAAAGGGCAAGAGTTGAAGATTAGGTGTGAGGCCAAAAAGGTATCTACACTGCACAGGGTCTACATGCATCTAATCCCTTAATAGGGTATTGCAAAAGACCATGCGAAGTGGTCGCCGTGTACTGCACTCGGATTCGAATACGACCCGTACAACAAACTTCGGCATACAACCTACTGGTTTGAGACCGATAAGCAAGCCGAATGGCCGCTGAGCGCTAATGCTGAAGAGGAAGAGCCACCGCGAGAAGACGCACCGTTCGATTACAACGCTGAACCAAATAAATTCTATTTCAACGTCGAAACAGACGGCAGTTTGACTGCCAAGGAAGTGATCCTCAAGGTTTGTTGCCATTCGATTTCTGCAGTCCTTTCTCACCTATACCTAGTCTTTGTCAAATATGCAATCACGGACCGCAACACTTGTATATAACATCAAACATCAATCGAGACCAGATGCCATGGACACAACAGACGCACCCGCATTCCCGCCTGCAGGCCAGCGAACCAGCGGCCAAGATCAGTCTTACACTAATGCGAGTGGATGGGGTGCGTCTCCTAATACCTCTGGTGCGAATATGGGTTGGGCATCTCCAAATGCGACCGCTCAGGGAGGCTGGTCGTTGTGAGATACAGTTCAAAAAGTCATAACGGCCATTTCATGATTGCGATACAGAGAACTACGTGTAACTAGAAGAACAGACACATGGCTATCGAGACAGAGTCACTGGACTGGTTCGTGAGAAATCGTCAAAAGGATTATTGGGCGTTCGTATCAAGTCTTGAGTAACTGGAACTTTGCCCCTCGTGGTAACGTGGCGGGCGTAATTACGACAGGTGGAAGAGATGGTGCGTTTGGGGTGAAGAGTCCTCCGCCTTTGCTCCCAGGGAACGCAATGGTAGGTCCATCAATTGGTGGTGAAGCCTTTGGAATCACCACGGCTTGTCCCGGTGGTGGGTCCGGGAAATCCCATGAGCGAGGAACAAGTGCTGCCGGACAGACCCAGGTAGCAGCACATACGACACCCTTGCCCTTGTTTTGATTTTGGATTGCTGCCCATTGGAAATCGAGATACTGAGAGATGTATCGCCTATTGAGGAGTCAACTTCGTTCCATCCACAGCAATTGACTGACACAAATGGCAAGATTTCCCTGACACCATTGTTGAAGAGTGAGATAGCGGTCAACAGATTGAGGGCGGCATTCTGAATCGACTTGACATTCTAGAGAGAATCAGAAATGCACCAAATTTGGCTGCAGACTCACAGCGAGATACTGCAACGTTGGCGGCGGTAAGCAGACTTCTAATCCCCACCAATCTGCGAGCCGTGTGAGAACAGGTGGAGCGGAGAAACAAAAGCTTACAGGTCAAAACGGACATCCTGTCTGTGGGTGGATATACACCGGCATGGTCAGGATACACGGCCTTACTCGTGGCAAATCCAAGCGCAAGCAGTTGACTGGTAATCTCCATCATGCCAGTATTTACTGCCCCTGCACTCGGAACTGAGCCAGCAAGTGGTCCTGGTTTGTCTGGAGATTGTCCAAAGCCAAGGTCCGGGCTCGAGACGAGTGTGACAATATGGATATCGCGAAGGACTGGCACGAGAGATGCGAGGTTTGCAGATGCAATACTTGGTGTGTCTGCATAAACTGTAACTCCTTGCTTACTCGGCTGCTCTCGGGGAGGAGTGGATTCCGACTCGGGGGTGAGTCGAGAAAAGTGATATAAATCTGCCTCCTCCTCTGTGCAATCCAGGCAGACTGCGTGAATAGGTCCTTCTGCTTTGGAGACGACGTGCTCTCCAGCATACTCTACACCAGGGAGCTCTGGCCCATCGGGGACCGGCAGTGTTCTAAGTTTGGCAATGACTTTGTTTGCTTTCTCCGGAGCAAGGAGCTGATTACTGGCTTTGCCGAGCTTTGATGGCGTCACTAATACCGGCTGCTGCTTGCCTTTGGGCGGGGCCTCCTTCGTCGAAGAGGATATGAAAGGAAGGGATGATGGGGTCATACCGAGGATAAAGCTTTGTAGCACAAAGGCCGTCTTCTCAATCTTCCTGAGCTCCCGCTTGGACTTGATCTTTGTCGGTGCTGTCTCCGTGGTCCCACTACCCTCCGCGTCTTGGGAGATGATCACGGACGCGTGTGGCTTCCTCCCGTAGAAGAATCCGAAAGAGCGAAATGATATGCGCCGTTTCCTTGTTGGTTCAGAGGATGGTGGCGTCAAGATTGAGGCGCCGGTTATGTCCACGGCGGGTGTTGTGGATGGGACAAGCTGAACTTCTGAGACGTAGACCTCTGTTGATGTCGATGGACGAGGAAATGGGAATCTGGTCTGGCTCTCGTCTCCATTGAGCACAACTTCACTGTCGTTGACTACATTGGTCGGACTCGCTGTAGCCTCCAGTTCTGTCTTGGTTTCTACGCTTTTCGGCGCCTCTTCCTTCTTCGTCGAGACATCACTGGCGTTCTGTAAGCCATTTTGGACTGCATCATCCGCCTGCACGTCGCCCTGGTTATCCTGGCTAGCTGGGGTCGTTGTCTTCCAGAATCCGAACATATAGATAGCTATATTTGACGTTGAATATGGCGGTGACAGAAACTTTGGCTGTAAGGTGGATTCCAACTTGCTCTCCGCTCCTGCTCTGTGGCTCCTGGGCGCTCATTGCAGTTCGAGTTTATTGAGAGACTCACGATCTCATTTCGATAAGAGCATGCGGCTTCTCATGTTAGTTATAACCAAATGTCACCTTCTGTACTTGCGCGCGACTCGGACCGGCGTCATGGATGAGGCTTCTGCCGTGTCGGCCTAACAAACTTGATTTCTTTGCTCCCCTTCTATTCTCTGTCGACCTCGTAGCGCTCACGCGTGCTGAAAAATATGCAAGCGCTCGATGAGTCAATCTTGGACACGACCTCGACGATGCCAGAGGAGCGCAAAAGCTTGCTGGACCGCATACGGCACTTTACTCCATCGTGGTTTGCTGTGACGATGGGTATGTACTCTTCTGTATTGTCTACTCGCTCTCGCTTACCTCCTTGCAGGAACTGGGGTGGTTGGGATACTGATCTACAATTTGCCCTACGGCAATGATAAAGCACGCCATCTGGTCTCGCTTGCATTCCTCATTCTCAATTCGGTGCTCTTTGCCGCATTCACCCTTATTTCGGCACTCCGTTACATAATATTCCCAGGCATTTGGTCACTCATGATCCGTGAGCCAACGCAGAGTCTCTTTCTGAGCTGCTTCCCTATGTCACTATCAACTGTCATCAGCGCGAGTATTTCGCTGTCATTGCACCGAGACATCCCTGGCCTCATCCCTTTCCTGTGGATTCTTTGGTGGATCAATGTCATGCTCTCCATGCTGAGTGGGATCGGCCTCCCTTATTTGATGTGCGGATCTTCTCCCGTGCTGGATCTTTCTAATTTTACTCAGGATCACCCGACACAAGCTACAGTGGGAGCATCACAATGCCACTTGGCTGCTTCCTGTTGTCCCTAATATCGTCTGTGCTTCGTGCGGAGGTGTTTTTACCAACGCCCTGATCGATAGCGATCCATATAAAGCAAAGCTCACTGTAGCTACGTCTCTTATGATCCTCGCCATGGGACTGTGCACGTCAATCATGATTGTATGTGATATATTTCTGCGCTATCATGTAATTAACACTCCATTAGGCTACAACCTATGTCTTTCGACTCTTTGCACATGGTTTTCCCTCAGCCGGCCTAGTCGTTTCGTTGTTGATTCCCCTTGGGCCCTGCGGACAAGTATGTCGACAAGTTAGACCAAAGCACCACGCTCATTATCTCTATGTAGGGTGGATACGCGCTGCTGTTGCTTAGTAATCACCTTGCGACTCTGAGTTCGAGCCTGGGTATCGATGGCGCATTCTATGGAAAGGTTTTTATTGTACTAGGGGCCAGCGGTGCATTGACGTTATGGTCAATCGGGCTGTGGTTTGGAATCATCGCGACAATCGGTTTGGTCGAAGCCGCGATTCGATATAGAATTCCATTTAGAATCAAGTGCGTACAATCCATGTTCCGAATTCATACATTTACATCTCCAAAAGTTACTGGGGAACCATCTTCCCAACGTAAGTCGGTTGCTCCCACACATATATCACTCCTGACGGCTCATAGTGGCGTTTATTCGTTGCTTACCATGCAGCTGGGACACAATTTGGACGTCAGTTTTTTCCGTATAATTGGTACGATTTTCTCTACCATCACTGGCCTCCTTTGGCTTGGAATCGCTATCAAGACGTGCTATCACACCTTTGAAGGTAGTATCTTCCACGCACCATGCTTGGACGACACGCCCAATACGCGACCGTGGAGAAAGCATTCACCAGAAGACACTCAGGTTGAATTAACGCAGGTCAATGGCGGGCAGCAGCTATAGTCTCCACGTAAACACATAGAAATCATCTATTTACCACTTTTCAACGAGGTGAAAAGGTCCCTTGTGAGTTGAAGATTCGCTTGCTCTGCTTCTATCAGTCGCAGCTACATGGCTCTTGGTCAGCCATCATGCAATCTATGATTATGAAACTGAATACCTTTTCCGCATTGGCTTCCCGAACGGCCACAGGAGTCTTCTCGTAGTCAGGTTTCTCTTGGACCTTTTTGAGCTTGTCCGCATTGAGATTGACGGCCGCAAGCTTCTCTTCCGCCTTTTTGATCTCGACGTCCAGGTCAATGTCAGGGTTACCCTTTCTGAATGTCAATCCTAAATTTGAAGCGCATCTTAAACAACGCACTAGAACATCGAGATGAATCGAGCTATCAGTCGTAAGGACGGCAGAGCCACATCCTGCCGGGACATCTTGAGTATTGCGGACAACCTTGAGACTCTTCACAAGTTTTGCTAGCGCCTTGATCGTCTCCAATTCACTCGACAAAATATTTGCCTCCTTATCCGAAGACGCACGGATATAAGCTAAAATTTAATGAGCTACATCGTATACAAATCGTAGGACTCACCATCGACATCTTTCTGGAGGTTGTATTGCGACGCTAGTGAACGAATGCTGCGAGTGGCATTGAATACGAGCGCAAAATCATCTTCAGCCGCTTGATCGACAAGGCTGGCGTCCTGAAAACAAGGTAAATGAGGTATTTTCGGCAGTTTGTCAACTTGCATGAAGTGGGAACTTGGATAGCATGATAGAAGGCGTCGAGTCTCCTGGTCGACGTGGTAGTCTCTGCCAAAGCTCTTCGGTGACAAATGGCATAAAAGGATGAAGTAGCTTCAACCCGTAATCCAAGCAGTTGTAAAGGGTATCTTGAGCAGATTTACGAGTAGCCTCATTGTCTGTGAGCGGTTTCGCCGCTTCCTAGTTCCCAAAATTAGACCCTTTCTGATAGGAGAGGTGCCACTCACGATGTACACATCACAGAGTTCGTATAACCAAAAGGAGTATGCTGCGCTCGTAGCTGCCATAAAGTTTCGCTCGGACAGCGCCTTGTTAAGCTCCGTAGTAGCCTGATTTAATTTGTGGTACACCCAGCGCTCCACAAGGGTCTCTTTTCCGCACAACTGGAAGCGTTTAGCCAATGCAATGTTAGCGTCACGCTATCGCTTACCTGAAGCGTCGCTGGAGGTACGAATTCGTTGTCAAGCTTGAGCATTGCAAACTTGGTTGCGTTCCATATCTTGTTGCAAAACTTGCGGTAGCCCTCGACACGATTGATTTCCAGATTGATATCGCGTCCTATGTCAATTTAGCAGGCGAAACCCTGATTCACCATACTCACCTCCGGAAGAGTATGCGCACAGCGCAAAGCGGAGTGCATCCGTACCACATTGCGGGATACCCCTCGGGAAGTCAGCCTTTTGGCCCTTCTTCGCCATCTCAATCTCGTGAGGTGGCAAGTTCCCTGCCAGAAGCTGCTCGTGGAGCTTTTCTAGCGTCGTTCCTTCAATCACGTCTACCGGATCGATGACATTGCCTAGAGACTTGCTCATCTTGCGTCCATGCGCATCACGAATCATTGCATGGCAAATGACCTCTTCAAACGGCATCTTGTCCGTCAACTTGAGACCGAGCATGACCATTCGTGCGACCCAGAAGAAGAGAATATCCCACCCGGTCTCCAGAACAGTGCACGGGTAAAAGGTCTCGTAGTCTGGTGTCTAAGCCCTCGTGAACAAACTTTGGTATCGCCACGCAGGAAAGAACAGTACCTTCTCTGGCCACCCCATGATAGAAAATGGCCACAAGGCGGAGGAGAACCATGTGTCGAGAACATCCTCATCTTGCTCGAGCGTGTACTTGCGTCCCGCAGCGACTTTATCAGCCCTTTCAGTCACCTCCTCCATCGTTCGACCGACAATCCAGCTCTTCGAATCAGCAGACTGTGCGCAATCAGCTTGGGAAGACCATTTAGAGTGAAAAGCATACATCTGGCTTGGGTTCGCCTTCGATGCAGAGTAGGTACGCAGGAACACGATGACCCCACCAAAGCTGTCTCGAAATGCACCAGTCTTGAATGTTACCGAGCCAAGAATACCATTCTGCTTCAGATGTTTTGGGGATAATTGTCAATTCGCCAGCCCTTGTTCGCTATGGGTCCGTCAGGAGTGATTGATGTATCGGACTTTATACTGACTGCGAGAGCTTCCTCTGCCAGAGGCTTGCTGTTAACCCACCACTGCGGTTTGAGGATAGGTTCGATGATATCCTTTGATTTCCTGTGGGTGTATCAAAATTTTACACAAGGAGATGCCGTAACAGGACACTGACGTGCAGATCGAGATAACCATTGGGTTATCCTTGGTCTCCACAAACAGACCGAGCTCTTTAAGCGCTTCAATGACAGCACCACGGGCATCGAATCGTTTCATTCCCTTGGACAAGTGAGCCACGAGTCGTACTGATGATGAGACGGTTATACCTTGAATTTCTCTCCTGCATTCTCATTAAGTGTCCCATCGTCGTTGAGAATGTTGATGAATTCGAGCTTGTTGCGTACACCACAAGCGTAATCGTTCGGGTCGTGCGCAGGGGTAATCTTCACGGCACCGGTTCCAAATGACATGTCGACGACAATGTCATCCAGAATAATAGGAATCTTGCGGTCAGGGATGAATGGGTGCTTGATAAACTTGCCGTGGAGGTGCTTGTACCGAGGATCTTCTGGGTGGACAGCAACGGCTGTATCTCCCAGCATAGTCTCCGGACGAGTAGTGGCGATGATAATCTTTTCGTCTGATCCCTCAATAGGATAAGCAAACGATGTGATAACACCGAACATGACTGGCTTTTCGTATCCTGGCACTTTGACCCATTTTTTCCCCGTGCATTCAATCTTGTCAAGCTCGAGGTTGGAGAGGGTCGTGTTGAGGTGCACACACCAGTTGACAAGGCGGTTCGCTCGGAAGATGATGCCTTCTTCGTACAGCTTGCAGAAATTTTCAGTCACGGCTTTGGATCGTGGTTCATCCATGGTGAATACGGCTCGAGACCAGTCGTAGCTTCCTCCCAGTCGACGAAGCTGTTTCCCGATACGCGCTTGATACCTGAGGGGAATCCGTGAATCGCGCGAGCGGGGCAGGATAAGGCATTCAGCTTACTCGTCTTTCCAAGCCCAGACCTTTTCTAAAAAGGCTTCTCTTCCATAGTCATGGCGTGTCTTGCCCTCGAGTTTCCAGATGCGGCCCTCGACGACGGCCTGAGTCGAGATACCGGCATGATCAAAGCCTGGAACGAAGAGTGTCGTCTTTCCAAGCATACGATTCCATCGCACGAGCGTGTCTTGAATGGCCACTGTGAGACCGTGACCGATGTGCAGACTTCCAGTGACATTTGGTGGAGGTGCGGGAATGACAAAGAGACCCTCCTCCTTTGCTTTTCCAGTCTCTGGATTCAACTCTGGCTTAAAGTAGCCCTGCGCATCCCACCAATCGTACCAAGCAGATTCGACGGCGATGGGATTGTAGCCGTTGGCCATGGGTTGCGACATGTCTATGATCGAGAAAGATGAAGCATCAACAAGCAGTCTATATATTAGCACGTACCCTTCTTTTCTCCTGCCGGCGTCGTGTTCACAAACTCTGGCTCGTCTGCCTTCTTCGCCTTTGCAGGCGCGGCCTTTTCCTTCTTCCCATCCTTGCTCTCAGATGTAGATGCTGCTGCTGCCTTTACTGCGGCTTTTGCATTGAATTTTGCCAGTTTCTCCGCCTTCTTTGCGTCCTTCGCACCGGCTTTGCTCTGCGATGCGTCTGCTGGGGCAGGACCGGGCTCAGACATCGTGTATCGCGTAGAATGAAGCAGTCTGGATGTACACAGACGGACGGGGAGGAGACCAAGAGACAAGCAATGGCGCATACGAGATCATAGGAATCACCATTCAGTTTGTTCGAGTCACGGTGGCTATCGATCTTGTTATCATTCGTACTCGGAGAATGTGACAGAAATAAAGTGACGCGCGTCTCCTCGCGTTTCATAAACGTATAAGTTAGTATACGATCTTCAATAGCCTGCAGCGACGCCCAGTTTCCGGCTATCGCTCGCAGCGGTAATCTTCCCATTCTCCTGCATAACCCCCTGCACTGCGGCAAAGGAGTCGAGTACGTTCCATACTATGGTATTTGAGTGTGATGAACACACAGCACATATGCCACTCACGAGTGATATTGTGCCCTCTATCGCGCAACCCCTCGACGGCTCGCTCGTTGTAGGTTGTCTCCACAACCGTAGTATACGGAAATATTTGGTCGTATATCTGCCGGATATCAGTAAGAGTGTTATGGCCCATATCTCTCCTCTGACCCGTGGTGCCTCTATGGCCTGACGGATGTCCATTCCCCAATCCACATTGAGGAGAGTCTGGACTACAGATGGAAAGATGAAAGAGCCTCCCGATCCTCCAAGAGCCAGGAAAAATGTCTCATCGTCTTCTGTAACAATTGTCGGTGCAGTAGAGGAGAGTGGCCGCTTGCCTGGTGCAGGGTAATTGTCTACAATAGTCAGTATTCAAGATAGTCCATCATAACATTACTTACATGGGCTAGGCCAAAGTCCAAACGCGTTGGGAATTCCAGGTTTCGAGAAATCATCCATCTTCTCTCATTAGACAGGGATCGCTTGTAGTATCATTGAGCATACCTCATCGTTGAGAATGATCCCAGTCTCCGGATCCATTACATGAGAGCCAAAGACGAGCTATACGCTGTGAGCATTGTGGGCTTCTAGGAAATGAGCAACCTACGTTGACTGTCGAAGTAAGTGCAACTGCCATCCCATTTCGATCTAGAGCACTAGTGTGTGTCTGTGACGATTAAAAAGGGCGAGGGTGCCAGCACCAAGTGCGTACCGTTCCATGGTCCTCCGGAACGTCATAGACGGGATTGTAGTATGCGGCCTCGTGGGTCGTATCATCGGTGATATTGGGGAAAATGTGTTGAGCATATTCCTTTGTAGGGATCTGGCTGATGATTGTTGAATCATTGAAAAATGCCGGGTCGCCGAGCCGTGTCCTATTCCCTCAGTTAGGATGCAATCTAAAGTTATTTCCACCATACCGAGCGGAGAACCCAACTTGGGACAGAGTCAGTTGCAGAGCTTACGAACGCAATAAGACGAACACTTTAAAGCCTCTACCAGTCGATGCACATTAAGAGGTGTGGGCCCCTCTTCAATAAAGTTAAAGCCTTCGAGGAGATTCAGAATGTGAAGAACAACTGGTCCGGAAGTCGGCGCATGCGTCGTGTAGATGCGCCGGGGAGGCGACCCCCTCGGACCACGGTATGTGCCCTCCAAAGCTGGCTGCACAATGGGCTTATAAGAGGCAAGATCCTTGCTTGTCATGATACCGCCCGTGGCCCGAATCTTCTTGATGAGACTGTCTGCTATCGGGCCCTTGGAAAGATTTCAGTAATCAAAGATTTAGGTTGATGCCGCATACCGTATAAAACGCATCGGGTCCTTCTTCAGCAATCGTTCTGAGCGTCTTTGCGTACTTGGCTCGCTGTATCCGTTCACCCTTGCGAACAAAGTCTCCAAAGGGAGCAAAGATTGGAGACCAGTCAGGGTCATCCAGAATAAATTGACCCGCAGTCTGTAAAGAGGATTCGAGCATGCACACGCATACGAGATGAACTCACCTTTAAACGATGTTCCAGAATCTCGCTTACGACAAATCCTTGAGCCAGCCTTATCGGCTCGCGAAAGAGGCGCACCTGTCTCTGAGTCAGCTTTGCAAAGGGCCAAAGAAATTGATCGAACCCAAGGCAAGTGTCCCCATCTGTCGTGTGCTGCTGCCATTCCGCGAATCTCGCCGGGGACGGCAACAGAGAGACCGCCTATGGTAGATGACAGTGGATTCTTGAGAAACATGGTGGCGTTTGATGCAGCCGGCGCCGTCTCACGAAAGTCAATCGTCCAGGCCTCCTCTCCTGGGGGCTTGATAGTCATGAATCCGCCTCCACCAATCCCAGACGAGAACATGTTGATGACTCCTATACAGAGTGTCGCCGAAATGGCGGCATCTACTGCATTTCCACCGTCCCTGAGGATATCAACGCCGACCTTTGAACAAGTCTCGGATTCAGACGCCACAGCTCCATGGGCGGCTGTAATCAAATAGGAAGGATTCCTGCCATTTGGTAAATGATGAGGACCACTGCCCGGAATCGGATTCTGGGCCACAACGAGGCCCGCGGCGACGATGACGAATAGGACGACAAAAACGCTGCAGAGAATGCCGACAACAGCGACCCAGGAGCGTGGTTCACGGTCTTCGGAGCGTAAACGGAGACGTTCTTCGCGCCTCCTGCTGTTAAGGAGTGCAGTCAAACGGCGTTTCGTGCGTCTCTGGCCGTCGGGCGATAAGAGGGGCTCTCGTTCTGGATCATAGTCATCGTCTGCGTCTGGATGATTTATTCCTCCAACAAAACTGACGCTACGGGAGAGGCGCGAGGGAGGGAGGCTGGGCTTGGACGCGATGCGTGGTGGCTGCCGGTGCTGGTTCGTGCTCGATGACGGGTCATTTAACGCACTCTGCTCTCTAAATGACGCCTGGAAGCCGTCGTCGGCCATTGCCCGCCTTGTGCGCTATCAGAACCAACTAAGCCGTGGTGGTGGCGGGTTGAGTGGCTGTGTTTCTTCCTCCAAACCAAAGTTTACTGGCCACCGACCGACGAGTGCGTAAAGCATTGCCCAAAAATTACAGCGATATTCTCAACGCACTCAATTTCATCTCATCAGATTTCACCCTCGTGATTCACAATGCCGAACAAGGTCAAGGCCCATGAACTTCACTCAAAGTAAGTCGAACCCATAGCCGGGCACACCAGCGTCGCTCACACCATAAAACCTATAGGAACAAGGCAGATTTGAGCAAACAGCTGGCAGAGCTCAAGGGCGAGCTCCTCACTTTGCGCGTCCAGAAGATTGCCAATGGCTCGGCAGCCAAAATCACCCGCATGTATGTATTCCATGCATACTTACAGTAAACCCATCCTGATATCATCCTAGAAACGGTGTCCGAAAGGCCATCGCCCGCGTCTTGACAGTCACCAACCTCAAGCAACGCCAGCACCTACGAGAGTTTTACAAGAAGAAGAAGCATCTTCCTCTTGACCTCCGACCAAAAAAGACCCGAGCTATCCGTCGTCAACTGACCAAGGTTTGTCCCTTGCAGTTGATCCTATCACTCGCTCACACTCGTTATAGCACGAAAAGTCGCAGGTTACCCTGAAGCAAAAGAAGAAGAACATTCACTTCCCGAGGCGCAAGTTTGCTTTGAGGGCGTGAGGTTCTTCTTCTTGTAGCATCTCGGTCTTGCTATTGCATAGGCATTCTGTGTATGCATAAAATCATGCTCTACATGCCATGTCAACCCAATCTCCTGCTGCGTTTCTAAAGCCGAGCTTGACCGTCTTCCTCCCGAACAGTCAAGATTGCCTTTCCCCACGTCTTTCGTTGCTCCAGCGCGACCAGAGCCTCTGAAACCTGCTCTAGCGTAAACTGTTCGTCGTATACAACTGGTTGAATGCTTCCCGACTCCAGCAACCTGCGTTCAAGCTTAGCGTGGTCTGCATTTGTACAGTGCCACTTACGCAAATAGATCCGCCCACACTTCCTTTTGCCGACCTTTGTCAAACTTTGCATAGGCTCCCCAGTGAGTCCCAACGATGGAAATATTTCTGCCAAAAGGTTGGAATCATGTGGGGTTCGATAGCTTTGCACTCACTTGAGAAGTACGAGATTAAGTGGTAGCTACAATAGTGAGTCACCATCACAGAAGCTCAGCATACCTCCGTACCTTCTCAATCTGTCCAGCCGCAAAGCCAATCACGAGTGCTCGGCCTTTCCAGGCGATGCACTTGAGCGAGTCTATCGATCGTGAGTACTTGCAAATGTGGAGTAATATTACATGCCTCTGATGAGACCAACAGGGTCATAAATCACGTCTGAGTGATCATCAAGCACTGCCTACATAGAGCCCCTCCTCACATACCGACACCCTTTCCGCCTGTGATCTTCATCACTTCTTGTTGCCATCCGGGTTTCGTATAATCGATGGCATGGTCCGCTTTGCCGTGCTTGGTGCATACCTCACGCTTTGCGGGCGTACTGGCTGTCGCGATCACCTTTGCACCGAGGGCTACCAGGGTCAACTATATTCAAAATACGCATAATCGCATACCTTTTGCAATTTGGATCGCGCATAGACCGACCCCTCCTTGAAGGCTGTCAGCACTCCACCTGGCAAAGGAGAAGCGACATACCAGCACCAGCATGAACAAGACACCATTCACCTGATACAAAGATGAACAAAACCATCTGCATCCTTGGGGGGCACATACCAGGCTTGAGCTGGGCTCTCCCCGTCAACGCCTCGTAACTCGTCGGCCAAGTGACGAACAGTCCTGCAGCTTGCCGAAACGTCAAGCTCTTGGGCACAGGTAGCAGCTGGTTCCAGTTTGCGGCAACCTTGTCTGCATAGCTACCCTGCGCGGCGCCAAATACGCGATCCCCGCGCTTGTAAGGGCACCCTGGAGGAATAGGCGAGTTTGCAGCGATGCGCCCGGCAAATTCCGCGCCCAATACGAATGGGAATGGAGGCTGGTCTACGATAGTGAGTCATCCCCACGTCGCCGAAGAGGGGTTGCATACTTTGGTACTTTCCCTGAGCTTGCAGGATGTCGAAATAGTTTAGTCTGCGGGTAGTTAGGTATCGCTACTCTCATATTTTAGTTACACCTGCCCACTGGTGCCGTCAGCATGGTTTGTGCTGGATGGAAGGTGTGAACGCACGCAGAGTAGACATCTACAAGAACTTGTCCATCCGAAGCAATTGGTTCGGCCTCTTGTACCGTTCTAAATCATATATAAGGCCTAGGACACAGGGCGCGGACCGCACATACAGAGGTATCTTGGATGGGTGTGCATATTCTGTCAATTACAGCATCATCAATCTTTGTACTCGACCTCTGTAAATTCTCATACCCTTGATTGTGAACGCTCTCATCTTCAGGATATACAAGTAGGATATGGGCAGCTCCAAGCTCGTTGACCGGCTTCTTGACTGCCGACTCGACGAGGACCCAATCAAATACAGCCGGCCATGCCCTTTTACCAGCTGCTATGCATATCCACTCATTATTCTGAATTCGTGCGTGCCTCTGTTCTGCTTCCGCTGCCCGCAACCTCATCGACGACGACAGAAATTCATCCGCACGCTTGTGAAAACATCTGCTATGCAGGTTTTCAATGCTGGAGGCGTCGTTAGAGATATTCGATTCCTCGGAACACGCATTTTGCCCGCGAGAATGAAGCGACATACTCGCCCGCAAACATTGGGAGAGTGAGTGCCCCGAGTCAATCCAGTGATTCCCAAATTCTGACAAAAATGCATAAAAATGAACTTTACAGCTATTGGGTTATGCATTTCGATGCCAATCCAAAGATTATGCAAGACCTCGAAGCCCGTCTACGACAGGATCCGACGGTGCTGAGATGGACGACACTAAAGCTCGGCTCGAGCCTGATGAAGAGTGTACAGCATCCTTCACAAACCGAATTCGAGAGATCGAAGCCCGGCGAGGTGCTCAACTACTTTTCACCAACAAGCCGATAATTGCCACGGCAGTCTCAACCCACGTATATTACCTATTTATCTATACAATCATCTAAGAGATGGTCTCCCGAGCCTCAATAAACTCAAAGAGTTCGTTCAGGGAAGATATAGTATGTGCTGGGCTCTCAGAAGTCTCCTCCCTACCACCTTCAGGTCGTTTCAGAAGTAGGGCATGCAACCCTGCTGCAATTGCTCCATTGTAATCCCTGCAAAGCGGTAAGCTAGGCTTGAAGCGACACTAGGAAATGCCTACGCTTCTAATTCATCACCAACATGTAAAGCTTCTGAGTTGCCAACTTGTGCACGCCGCAGAGCACGGTTCCAGATCTCTTTGTCTGGCTTTTCGATACCTTCTCTTTCAGAGAACAATGCTGGTGAGAGTTTGTCGAATATGCCAAGATCCTTGAGGACGAGTTCTGTATTTCGTCAATATTCCTACTGGGCTCAGCATACATTCCTCTCACCCATTCGAAGATCGGTATTCGATACTAGACCTGTCCGAATCCCGCGTCTATGAAGTGCGTTTACTACAAAGTTCTTGTCGGCGTTGGAATAACTTCAAGGTATACATACGAGTGGGAACAGTGTCATCGTAAAGTGTATATCCCTCTTTGGAGCTGAACCTCTTCAACAATGATGGTACAATCTTGGGTAGAGCATCGTCTACTGCTGCAAGCAATGTATCAGAAGAGATAAGGAATGGTACTGGTCATACCTTTTGGCTCAGCTCCGGCACCAATCGCCGTTCTACGAATGACTTCGGCCCACCATGCACTCGCTGCGTCGCTCTCTACAGACGCAACTCGTGAGTACGCTGGGTGGTCGACTTGAACCTGTTTTAGGGCTTTATACAAATCATTTATATGGCTTGACATGTAGTCTCGACGTTTAGCTACCTGTCTTGAACGAAGTCTTAACATCGCCAGGATTCGCCGTAAAATAGGGTGCAAACTCTTGCGCATACTGTACTTCGATTGGCAGGCGTGGTCGGACAATTGTGAACAAGGCGTCAAAGAATACAATCTTGATCCGCTTCGCCATGGAGACCGGTTTCGTGGAAACACTGCCAACGCGTGGTAGAGAGCAAGAGAACGGTTCACAAACACAGTGGGTACCAAGGGAATATCATTATCTAGATGATGCTATAGTGCTATATCGCCCAATAGGAGATACGAATAAAATAAGATAGGTCCTCCAGGAGTTCAAATCATCTTGGAACCACCCGTAGCTTGACGTGAGATCGACTGGGACTGGCTTGGGGAGGATTTGTGAGTGTATTGTGTGAACGTAGATCTGCTCGGCGAGGGCTTATGTGAGCTCGTCGTTGTTAATTGACGGGACGGAGGTTGCGTAAGGGTGCCGCTCGAGGTTGCGCTATTGGTAGATGCAGCGCTACTACTGTAGCCGTTTCCTAACAGTGTCCCGCTACGCTGAAGGGAGCCCCTTGTCCAGAGAGCCAGCCAGCGTTGATCGTGATCGTGTCGATGCAAAAGTAGTGCTTGACGGAAAAGAACACAGAGAACCGTAACCTATGATATTTCAGTACCTTTATGATGACCAACACTACTCTTCTCACCTCTGCATTACTTGGCCTAGGATTCTGGAAGAGAGGCCGCGCCCATGCCATGGCAACGTCGACAATATGAAGATTTCGGGCATGTGGTAGAATCTGGGATATACGTTCTAGGAGGAATCGAAGCGTTCGCTCTGCGGTTCTATCCAAACTATCGGCTCGGAAAAGCTCCACGACTTTTCTCTGATCTCGAGAGGATTCCCACCCTTGAGCAAGATGAGAATAGGCGAAACGCGGCAGGAGAAGGCTTACATGTTCGAGATAGATCCGGGTCGGCGATAATTGTAGCGTTGAGCTGGAGCAATGGTCTTGGAAGGGAGAAGAACAAGTACTGCAAGCAGTTTGCATCAGCAAAATAGGACATAATCTCAGACCTTACATTCATCAACCCGAGAGCTTCTGGGATATTTCGGACGGTGACAGTGAGCTCGGATTCCTCCTTTTCGACTGAGATGATGACTTCTTCGAAGCGTGACGCCGACAGTTTTGGGGTCTATTCTTGTTAGATACGCCCATCCTGGGAGACCAGTACTCACAGTTGCAAAATGCGCGGCTTCCTGTTCATCCCAATTGGCCTGCTTTAGGATACTGAGGCAGACACCAAAGCATTGCTCCAATATCCGAGGAACACCTTCGCGGTTGCATGGTAGATAAGAAATGGGCACACAGAATAGTACACGCTTCATCCACCCTGTGATTGCATCATGCCGGAAGATTTCGGGTGGTATGAGATTTTGCTCCGATGGAATGAACGCGCAAAGTTCGGCGGCGTCCTTGTGAGGTTTCCACGTCATAAGTTGATCGACCGTGGTCTCATATCGACGTGCTCTAGAGGAAGCGCGTTCGCTGTGGGACAGTGTCAAACCACGGGCTCAGTCAGTGATTGATACTTACGTTGCGAGACTGGACTGAACAAGCATGGCAGATTTGACGAGTTCCAGTGTTTGTTCAGTCGACTTTTGGAGTGTCTACCAAAGGTTTAGTCGACGTTGCGGGAGAGCTTAAGACCAACTGGATATCCCGCGCGGTAAATGGCGATGCGTTGTTCCCTAAGAGTATTGGCCACTACTATGGCTTTTCTATAATCGTGGTCCGCTAGAGCTAGTCAGTCCGCGACAGGGAAAGCAGTCATGCTTCTTCACCTGTATTAATGCCCGGGTCGTCCATAGAAAGCAAGGAACTAGTAGACGGATTCCGGTTGTGTTTGCTGCTCTTTAGGGAGCCTAGCCTGCTCTTCGGCTTTGCGTTGACTTGTCCAGTTGTCAGCGACGTCAGGTACCACTTCTCAGCCCATACCATCTTGAAACTCCTGCACGGGGTATTAACGAAACGAATATCGTCGTATAGAAGTGCTGTACCTTGCATCGCTTCTCGTAAACCTCTTGGGCGTTCTCGCATCGTCTATAAGCGGTCACCAAGGATTGTTCCAGTTGGTCCACGTCCGTGGTATTTGGTCGACTGGCTCGGATTGCTTGGGCTCCAGTCTTGAATGTCTCGAGTTCCTGCTTGAGGCGCTCGTACTCTTGCTTCCCGGCGTTGAAATCTAGAGACAAACTCTTTATGAACAAGCAGATGAAGGCATAAGGTGCCGCGCTTACCGTCATCGACAAGTGATACGAATTGAGATATGAATTTGCCGAAGTATGTCGTTCTCCAGAGCTCCGCCAGCGGATTGGGCTCGCTTTCTAGTTTGCCTTTGATGACCCTTGTTGGATAGAGTAGCGCGTCCAAACCATCGTTGAGTGCCGTTAGCCTACGGCGCTGTTAGCGGGCTACGTTGAGTAGAGAACCCATATGGCGTACTCTTGTCCGATACGTTCCAGACTGGAGGCAAATTCAGCAAAATAGATCAGCACTCTCCTGGATGTTACATACAAGTAAAACTCTGCTGCAACTCTGGACATGTGTCGTTAGCGATCTGTAGCTTGGCGACGAAGGTGGGCCCACACCTGGCCTCCAAAATGGCTTCAATCTGCTCCAGTACGTTGTCCTGTAGTCCCCAGATAGATGAAGGACCTATTGCTTGTGTCCATTGCGAGGTCATTGCGACCGGAAGGTGGCGTCAAGGTCAAAGTGCGATATGCTTTGTTTACCGAATCAGACGAGCCCGAGTTGACAACCTGGAATCCAACTGCAACCCATGCCCAAACGCAAACACGACTCTGACGAGGAGGAAAGCGCAGTGGAGAGCAATGCTGGCTCGAGTGGAGACGAAAAGCCCAAGAAGTCTGCCAAAAAGGCAAAGACGACAAAGGCAAAGGCGTCTACGAGTGAGGGAAAGAAGAAAGCGAGCTCTGTGAATCAAATTCGATATTAAAACTCCGTTTCTGACGCGTAGATGCAGTCACTGAGCGAAACAAAGGAGATTGAAGGCATCAAGTACACCGTCGATGGTGACGAAAAGTGGATCACCGTTGGGACTAAAGGAACAAGGAGGGTCACCATACGAGAGTTCAAAGGTTCGTCTTTCTGGTTATCTCGTCAAGAGGCTCATCAACTTTTATTAGGCAAAACCTATGTTGACATTCGGGAGGTGAACGAGATTCCTATATTATTTACGTATACTATAACAACTCCTCTCTAGTTCTACGTCGACAAGCAGACATCCGAGTCCAAACCTGGCAAGAAGGGGATCTCGTTGACTGTAGAAGAAGTGAGTCCTTTGATTAGATCGTACATATCTAATAGACGATATAGTGGCATGACTTGCTTCGCGTGAAAGACGCCATTACCGCTCTGGCAGGCGGCGCAGAAGAGACTTGAGATGGATGAGCGTGCCCACGAGTCTTTGACAACGACTGTATATTCGAAAGAACAAGAAGTATATTCATGTCCAGATGATGGTCCTATTCGCGTGCTTTGCCTCTGTGCCCTCTACCTCGCGATGGCTTACCCATCCCTGGTTGGTGGTTGGGAGAGCGTCCAACTGCCCTCTGATCCTCTCTAGTCGACCCTATCTGCTTTAATCCTCGAGCTTGACCCCGAGGCCTGGGTTTTCCTCTTGGAGCTCCCCCGTTAGCAATGGCAGAATCACTTGCCCTGCGGGTCTTCTCTGCAAGTGACTCATTAGGTAGTTCTGTGGTAGTAGATGACGTGTTTGTGACTGAAGAAGATGCTGGCTTTCTTGTTACCTCAGGCGAACTTGCGGGCGAGCGCTGGTAGTTGAGGGGTGAGCCAGGACTTGATGATTGATTCTGTTTGGTAGATTTCCCTTTCGTGGGTGTTATGATGATGGGTGAAATACTAGGTCGCTGACTCGAAGGTGATTTCCTTGAATTCGCCCTATTGGCCTTCTCTGCTTTGGTCGCATTCTCCTCTCGTCGATTCATCTCTGCATACTTGGACTTGTACTTCTCGGCGAGCGCCCCTTCCCAGATAGAACCCTCCCTGTTTATACTATTGATTGTTGAAGAGGTCCAATTTTCCTGCATCGAGTGTTCCAAACTATCTGGTGTGCTCGTGGGTGGCAAAATGATGATAAGAGGGTTAGAAGTGTGTGCGGGGTAAGTGATCGTCCAATGAGCCTTCGTGCCTCGTTTTCCATACCAAATAATGTCGCGGATAGAGCTGCATCGTTTAACGAATTTTCGAATTTCTCTAAGAGGTATTCCGGTTTCGTTCAATTGAGCCAACTGCACGGAGAACGTGTGTTCTTCGCTGTGTGATTCGGATATGTCGAGGGGGCTCGGCAGAGGCCTACTGCGTTGAACAGGTGAGACGGATGGGCTTCGAGAGACGCTTTGGCGAATCGATAGAACTGGAGATGACGAGAGTGCAGGAAAGTACTCTTCTGGTATGAACACAGAAAGAGTGCGCAGGCTAGTCGCTGCGGAAAAAGGAAGAGTCATAGCAAAGAGCTTTGAAAATGGTCCGTCAAAAGCGACAGTGAGAGTCTAGAGAGCGTAAGAGGGGCTTCTTAGCAAAACGCTCTTACCTGGAGTAGTTTACACTGTTCCAATGGCAAGCGAAGAGTATCTGGTTTCCAACTCCACCAATCGCACTCTAGTTTCTCGAGGGTAGTTGCACTTGCGACGGCTTGGGCAAAAGCGGGCGGTACCGGCTGCATAGAGGCAACTTGATGGACGCGATAAATCATGGGAGCGAAGATTCGTTTCACACTAAGATGCGTCAGGTGTCCGAATGGAAAGTCATGAAGCGATGAAAGGTGATCAATCGACCAGGAGTGTTGAACCAGCCCTTCGGAAATATTCACGCGAATCTTTTGAAGCGGTGGATACGAAGCCATCTTTCGCCAAAGTTCCTTGGAGAGTTTCCCTGATGATATGATGCGGTTAGATTACAATAAAGGAAGGAATACCATACCTTGGACATTTCCCAACGTGAATTCTGTCAAGTTTTCGCATAAGGGTAATAGCGTCAATAAGCATTTGTCGTTAAACCGGATACCATCTGAACCTATTTCCAAGCGCCGGGCCTTGGAGCAAGCTCTTCCCAGCAGCTCACATAAAGCTTCGTCCATCCAATTTGTGTCAATGGAGACTTCTTCTAGCATCGATTCTTCGTCGAGCTCGCTCATAAACTGCGCAAGAGATTGTGCGCCCGCATGAGAGAGCCGAGAAACCTTGAGGGTACTCAAAGCATGTTGAGAGGCAAGGAGGGGAAGAGATAGTGCATCCCATCTAGGCACAGCATTTTGATTCGCAACTCTAGAGGTGACCGGTGAGTACTCGAACCGGCTCAATCGTGGGTTGTGTGTGTGCAGAATTTCGCAGATGCCATCCGGAGGACAAACACTCGACGACCAGATAAATTGCTCTAGGAGAGGCACGCTCTTGAGAACCTCTTGCAGCTCTTTTGTACTGATTGGTCGCAGACGGCAAGTTGGGCTGTCCATTGAGTGAGATTCGGATGGGGAGTCGAACTGGGGATCTGATAGAGGCGAGAAACATCCATGAAGAGGGGTTGAAGCATGGTCTATCACGTGGATGGTCCGAACGGCATCTCCGTAGCGAGATGGATTGACAAGAATTGCGTGAAGAGCAGACCGAGACAGGGCAGCTTGTTCGTCTTCAATTCTTAGCTCTTTGAATATGACGTTCACAGTAGCTTTATGTATTCTTCGTCCCATCTCAGAGAGAAAGATGGGGATCAGAGGCGGAGAGAGCAGAAGAGCCTCCAGGATGATTCCTAAGAGTTAATTAGAGCCACGCCATACTATGAGTGAGTCCTTACGGTCCTGAACTCTACTTGGCGCGGCGTCGAACGAACTGGGTACACCGTCTAGCATTGGCATCGTGCGAGGACTGGCGATGGTACAAATGCTGATAAGTTGTCTTTTCGGACAATTTGAGGATCTATGAGCTATATTAGACTGGTCTTCAGCGTAAGCAAGCAATGGTCCACCCACTGTCGGTTTGCCGATCCCCGGCACGTCACAGACGAACGCGGAGTCTGTCTCTGCGTCAACCCGGCGAGATAGATACTGTGGTATTGTAATGTGCGTCGTGCGGGACTGGTGTATGTCGAATTGAGGTGGGCGCAAATGCTAGTCCCCACCAACCACCAACTCAGTTGACCAAGCTTAGACAATTTATGCAATGCCTTCGGAGGAATTTATATCTTAGAAATGGTACAACTCGAAGTTTCACCGTTATGGCTCTGGGTATGGACTCGGTCGCTTGCTAGACGACAACTCTCAATTCGACGTGGACAGAATCCTCAGCAGACGACACCTGCGTCGCTATAGTGGATCATAAGAAGCATATATTCTCCAATGTTGTGATCAAGCAGCACGCTATGTGAGCCCGGAAACCTTTTTTTTTTTTACCTCCCACTTCTAACCGTTCAACGAAGCCATCGACAGTATGGAGGTATACATCCTTCTGTTGCAATAAGAGCCCATCAAGAGAACATGGTTCGTGCCTCATCGTTTCGTTATGGCTACCCTTCTCATCCGTTGACAGCCTCATGCGATTCGGAAGGCCCTGTGCGAAGCAAACATGAAGATGCCAAATATAGATGGGATTGCCTTCACACGAGGACCGGGTCAGTGGTCTGGAAGTCGTCATCTCTGGGCGTGCTGAACGCTTGTCAAGGAATGGGAGGCTGCCTCTCCGTGTCAATGAATGCTGCCAAGGCATTAGCTGCAGCTCATGAAAAACCAATTATTGGAGTGCATCACATGGTGAGTGCGATATTGATCGAGCACGTCAGTTTCCTGAGAGCAGCATAGCAAGGGCACGCTTTGACCCCTCAGCTGACCAACGGAGATGAGATGGATGGATACCCGTTTCTCACCCTGTTAATATCAGGTGGTCATACAATGATCGCGCTCGTGCGTTCTGCCACAGTATTCAAGATCATGGCATCGACCGTGGATATTGCAATCGGAAATGCATTCGACAAAGCAGCTCGACTACTTGGTGTCGTTCCTGATCCCGGTAAAGGATACGGTCACGCATTAGAAGCTTTTTGCAGGACCGGTGACGAAGCCGGAGAGCCTGCTCACTTGCCCACTGCAGGAAGACCAACCTTCGCACCCCTATCGTATAGCATTCCGAATCCTCATCAACCTTCCCAATTCTCATATGCTGGGTTAACATCCGCTGTTCAACGCGCTCTCAGGGACGATACTGTCGATAAGCAAGGGATTGCCCGTGCATTCCAAAACGCCGCTTTCGCACAGCTCATCCACAAGTTGAATAATGCGATACAAGAGTGTCAACGGGACGGTGTCTCGATACAAGCAGTGGTTGTGAGTGGAGGTGTGGCCAGTAATCTGACCCTTCGTCAAAGGTGCCAAGAGCTTCCCTAGATGTTTCATTGATTCTGATTCTCTTCTCAGGCTTCGGGAGACGGCCTTTGTCGGCGTCAACGGCAAGCCTCCTCCCCGATTCATCTTTCCTCCGCCCGAGCTCTGCACAGGTAGCGAATAAGACACATCCATGAGCAATCATCTGATATTTATTCTTATAGACAATGCTGCTATGATCGCTTGGGCGTCAATGCATAGATTTCTTCAGCATGATTTTGATGGTATGCGCACCGGTGGTACGAGTTTTTGGATACATTTTGACCCCAAGCAGACTATAGTATTCAACCACTTGCAACCTGGGATCTTGAGAGCATTGGCGCTCAGAATGAAGGCGCACTTTCCACGACCTAGGAACGCGGCACCCCGCAATTCGAATGGCGACTTCCGGGGCCTCGGTTATCGCCATAAGCGTAGCAGTTTCAACACCTTTGCCCTGGATATCTCCACCCTTCTGTCATTCAGATTGGCGGGATGGATTGTAGGAGCGGAGTTGCTGGCAGCCTTGACGAGCCAGCGTCGAATGATCAAACCTTGTCGTCAATATGATACTATTTTTACTCGGTTTAGTGCATTAGCTCCACATCGGAGGGTTATGAGGAATTCATTGTGAGACGATGCGCCATCACGAACTTTGGCTTCGACCTTCTACTTTGGAGTTGGTGATCGCTCCTGTAATTGCCCAAGAAATATGCAACAAAACCTTTATGCCTTTACGAAGTTGGAGAATCTGCAGAATGGGTCTCATCCACTGAGAAGCGAAGAGGGATGCGACCATCGTTGAGGTCCACGGTAGCCTTGACGTCGAGGAACAATCTATTCAAGTCGATATCCGAGACAACATTTTCAATTGCTCGAATCCCGCAGGACCACGCGCTCACCCCCCGCGTCGGCATTTTACACGGTGCGATTGGCCAGTACGTCCGGTTCAAGGAGTTCCTTAGAGATGTCCGACTTGGGAAACCAACGCCTTGAACGCCTTCGCTGTCTCTCTGACGCCGACCGCATGGTCAGTGACGCCGGGATTGCGGCCAACTGTAGAGCCGTTGCCCAAACACGACTATTAAACGGCCGCACACGACTCACCAACTCTCTCTTTTTTTGTTTGCGTGAACGTTGGAGTCGTTCATCTTGGCCCTTGGGCGCGTCTGCAGCCATTCCTTTACCTCCTCTCAACCCCGCGCCCGGCAGACTTTGCACTTCTTGAGCCTCGGTTTTGATCGGACCGCTCTTTCACGAGCCGCTGCAATACGACTTTAGCATTCGCCTAAAACGCCTTGCTGGGACCCGCACGCTTCTGTCCCTCCACTCCTCTTCCTCATCCCTTCCCCGCACCCCGCAAGGAGTCTTGTCGCCACCACCTCCTCGTTCTCAATCTGAAGAGCTTGCCGTGACATCCTACCAACGATAGCCAGACCATCCCGTAACCAAGCGGCATATTCGATCTTCAATGTCTGGTTGGCTCACGACCAATTATCCGACCCATGCACGCCATTCAAGTGGCATAGAGCCATTTGGCAGCACCGAACATCTGCCTGGTATGATACTCGGCTTACCATCCACACTCGCTAACCCCTCTCTACAGAAAATGCAGCTAGTTTTGCTCGCGACACCGTCGCTGACGACCACACGTTCTATGCTGGGTCTGAAAAGCCTCCTCCACCTCCTGCTGAAAAGGTCCCGTTCTATAAACGACGAGGGTTCATCATCTGTCAAATAGTGACGGCCATCATTGGCATAGTCATGTTGTTTGTGATGCTATTCCCCCTCGTTCATGTCATCGCTCAGCATGTGCTGGATGTCTCGCAAATGCACGTGGATAGCAGCATGATACAATCTCCCAATAACGGGAGCTTCACGGTACGCTTCCTCCACCTCTTGTGTATAGGTTTGTTGTACTAATCAACACTTCAGCTCGTCATGAAAGGCTGGGTCTCGAATACTGGTGTCATTCCAGCCGTAATACACTGGACTCAGCCTGTCCGCGTATGTTTTCTCCTCTGGCAATACTCATTTCTCATCCGGTCCCTCAGGTCTCTTGGATGCGCGACTACGGAAACGACAACGAGACCGAGGTGCCTCTGGGTTCTATGTGGCTAGACGATCTCGTCGCGAAGAACAAGCGGGCAACAATCGATCAAACCACCCTGTTCAACATTACAGACGAGGACGCATTCGGGTCATTCACGCAGGACATGATCACCAAGGAAAGGTTCACATGGCGGCTTGCATCCGATAATCTCAAAGTCAATGCCGCCAAATTTCCTCAGGCCAAGAACCTTCGCTTTAGGAAGGACCTTACGCTCAGTGGAATCAACTCCTTCGCTGGGGGAGTGACACTGAAAGATTTCTCTCTCCCTGGGGTGGATCCCGCGGGTGGCCTCAGGTTCAGCACCACCACGACGTTGACAAACAATAGTCCGTTCACGGTCGACCTTGGAACTGTCGTATTTGACCTGCAGTATCAGGGTGTTAACCTCGGTCGTGGTACGAGCTCTGGTGTTGTGGTCAAGCCTGGGGACAATGATGTCACTCTCACCGGGAGAATGATTCCTCAGTCGAGTGCGTCGGATCTGGAGAAAGTTGGAAGGCTTTTCACTGCCTATCTCAATGGTGAAGCAGCCCCCGTCACTGCTCGTGGCGTCTCCACAGTCCAAAGTGACGGTTCCAGAATCTCATGGCTGAGCGATGGTATCAGTGCATTGACGCTCCAAGTTCCGCTGAAAGCACCTCATGCCATCGACGCCATCAAGGACATCAGTATCGGCTATCTCAATCTCACATTCAGCAAGGACTCTGCATGGGCGCCTATGACCACTACCGACGATCTACAGGCCAAACTGTCTCTTCCCTTTGGCTTTGGTATGAACGTGACGCAAATCGGCAATTCGTTCTCAATTGTACAGAACGGTGTCAACGTGGGTTCTCTTAACTCGAGCCTCAGCCCCGCATCGTCGGATATTCGCGTCGTCTCCTCCAGCTTGACCCAGGGGACCATTGACATTACTCTTACACCGAGCGCATTGCGTGTGCCCTCTAACGCACATGCTCAGTTTGGTGACTTCAACAAGGGTCTGACGCAGAGCGAGCATGCCACATTCCAGCTCGTTGGAAGTGCCAAAACTGTTGCGACTCTACCGATTGGATCGATTGTCCTTGACCCCATTAAATTCAACGTCACCTCCAGTCTTGACGGTCTCCGTGGGCTCAATGGCTACACCTGGATTACTGGTGTCGACATGACAGGCGGAACTAGTGACTATCTCGAGCTCGCCATCGATGTCATCATCCAAAATCCATCGTCTCTCAACCTTCAAGCAGGAGATTTGACTTTGCAGTTGTACAGTGGGAATAGCCTGCTGGGGACGGCTCTCATGCCCAATCTTCACCTCACCCGAGGAAATAATACCATCAAAGCTACCTCTCAATTCCGTGCTAACGACACCCCTGAAGGCGTCAATACTTTGACTCGCTTTTTGGCTGCCCAGGACACGACGATCTCCATTAAAGGCTATGACGGCAGCACAGACATCGAGTCGCTGCTTCCAGCCTTCAAGTCAATGAACATCCAAGCTACCCTTCCTGGTCTGCAGACGAAGCTGCTCAAGAGCGCCAAACTCACCGTTCTCCCAACAACCGGTCATGGAAACAATATCGCACACACACGAGTAACGATGAACGATCCTTTCACTAGTGGATTCACCGTTGCTTCAGTTAACTCCACCGTTCAATACCGAGGGATTCAAATGGGTACCATTCTTCAGGATACCAACTTTGCGGTTCAGGGCAAATCATCGACGACGTCGCCAGACCTCGACTTCAATCTCAATCTCGATCCGGCAACCATGTTTACGCTGCTCAGGATACTTGCAGTCGAAGCGGGATTGCCAACCGATCAAATTGATGGGATTGTAGCCCTGGGAGGCTATCAATATACTCAACCAGTTTCCAAGCGTGATCTTGTTTCACGTGGGCTCTATACGTGGGTATATATTCTACATCTCGAGTTGTTCTGATGTTGAAAGCTAGTGGCTTCGACCTTCCAAGCTTCGTCGATAAAGCGTTTGCAGTGCTGAAAGCGGACATCAATCTGCAATCTACGGTGGTCATCGGTGATTACCGTACAGCACTCAACTACGCACAGAAGGAGGTGCCGATTGAGACAGATGAAACACTCCATATGTTGCTTGGCGTGCTCGCTCAACCCATAGTGCAAAAGATTGTCGATGCCTCTGTCATGGGGTACGTTTAGAGCAGATATGGTGATGGAATTTCTAACTTGCTTTAGAATTGACACAATAATGATCACTAATCCTCAAGAATCTTCATTCGGTAAGACT